TTATAATATTATTTATCTAGGTATGTTACGCCTAAAGGTATCCTTGCTTAGAGTAAAAGAGTTAGAATATTAATACGCGCGCTTAATAACTACGCTATTAAGTTTCTATTAATATAATAGTTATGCAGCAATTCTAAAGAGTGCAAAATATGTGCAAAGCTATCTTATACCTTGTTATATAGTTGCATTAAGATCCTATAGGAGTTAGGGCCTATATAATTTAAAAAGATATATAAATTATATAGAGTCTAATGCAGGGGTCCTACTAGCGTTAAATTAAATTATATAGGGTCTAAATAGAAAAGGATTAGTAGTAAGAGACTAAAGGTTTAGTATTATTACTAATTATAGCTTAAGATAGAGGTCTAAAGTCTATAGATATAAGCTCTATATTTTCTTAGATTTATATTTTCTCTACTTATATATAAGAATAACCTTAAAGATAACCTATCTAGCTTTAATATAGGTTATATACTTATAAACTAACTAAAACTTATTCTTTAGCTATATACCTAGTTAGTCTTTATAATACTAATACTAAAATTATATATTATATTACTTCTTAAATAGCCTACTCTATAATTATAGCCTTAATATACTAAAGTAGTAGAGATAATATCTTAGTATATAGTAATTATATAGAAAGGAAAGTATTAACTATTTATTAATAATATAGGTAAGCTTAGTAAGTAGCCTATACTAGTCTATATTAGGTAGTATATATAAAGTAGTAAAGTAGTAACCTTAAGATACTATAGAATAAACCTATATTAAATTAGTATTTAACTTATTTATATTGCTAAGCTAGAATAAAGCTAAAACTAACTCTAGGTATATATAAGAAGAAATTTAAGGCACTATTCTAAAAAGTAATAGGAATATACTTATCTAGGTAGGTACCTAGGTACTTAAAGGTATTAATAACTACTTATTATAGTAAGTTACTAATTAGTTACCTAGTATAATTAAAGAGAAGGTTTAGATTATATAACTCTATATACTAGGCTTAAATAATTAAACTAAAGTATAGTAATTTTTAATTAGCTTAGTACTTTAGTCTAATTCTACTCTAGATAAGGTATATATTAGAGTAGATATAACACCCTTAAAGAAGGTAGAGAACTTAATTAATTTACTTAATTACTTTATTTCTCTTCTACTAACTAATTTAGTTATTTATAATCTCTAATTAATAATACTACTTTAGTAATCTTATATAATTAACTTATAATAGGTATATATAGTAGTACTATTAAGATATATTAATATTATTTAGGTATTCTATAGTTATATTCAATAATACTAGTTATATAATAATTTTATTTTATAACTTATAAACTATAATACTATAGCTTATCTATTAACTAAGAATATATTAACTCTACCTTTATCTTATAAGTTTATACTTTAAACTTTAAAGCTATATTAGTAATAGTACCTACTATTAGTATACTAGATAATAGGACCCTTTAAAACCTAGATAGTCTAGTATATACTTTTTAGAAGTATTATAGTGCTAGTATATCTATATAAGGGTACTAGTATAATATATAAGAGTTTAATAAGCCTACTATTATAGTTAGAGATTATTTCTTCTATCTAGTATAGTACTCTAAAGGTATATACTAGCTACTTCTATTACCTAGTATACTATAAGTATTTATAAACTAGTATCCTAACTCTTCTATAGTAACTTATATAAATCCCTATAATAATTATATACTAGAGTAGCCTTATATTATCTATATAGAGCTAAATATATTAGTAGATAATAATAATTAAGTCTAGCTACTACTTAATAATAATAATATTCTAGATATTTATCTATTTACTATTACTACTAACTAGAATAGAAAAGCCTTTAACCTAGCTACCTACCTTAAGTATAGTATATAGTATAAAAGTATTAATATTAAGAACTAGACTATAGTAAACTTCTATCTAGAGTTTATAGAGATTACTAATATGCCTAGCTAGACCTTTAGTAAAGTCTTTTAGTACCTCTATAGCCTACTTAATAAGTAGAAAGGTTATTAAAAGAAGTACTATAGAAGATATAAGCTTTAATAGTAGGTATCTTAGTATATTATATAGTAGGAGACTATTACTAGTTCTTTACTTATAAGATAGTAAAGTAGGTATATAGTCTTATTAATTATAGTGCAAGGAAAAGTAAGTTACTTATTTTTACCTTCTTTATTATAGTAAGAAATTAGAGTATAACTATTTAGAATATTATTATTTAGGAGTTTTAGAAAGGTGTTTTCTATAGCTCTTCTATAGTAGTATAGTTAGGAAATAGAATAAGTATAGCTTCCTAGTAGAGATAGAAATAGTAGTTATCTAATATAATATTTAATAAAATATAAGAATATATAATATTATAAGTATATTTATATATTTCTATAGAAAGTCTAAGTCTAAGTAATCTATAATATATAACTAAGATATATTTAGTAGAAAATATCTAGAATACTATAGTTCTAGATAGTAGAGATAATATAATATTACTAGAATAATAATATATAATAGTAATAAATATAAAGGTAAAGAATATAAATAAAGGTTAAAAATAGAAGATACTTTAATAATACTAATAGAAGGTACTTAGGTAATACTAGTAGAGGATAGTAGTAGAGAATTATATAGAAGAATACTAGTAGAGAATGCTATAGAAGGATACTAGAAAAGAACTATATAGAAAGATACTAGTAGAGAATGCTATAAGAGGATACTAGAAGAGAATTATATAGAAGAATACTATTAGAGAATACTATAGAAGAATACTAGTAGAGAATTATATAGAAGAATACTAGTAGAGAATACTATAAGAGGATACTAGAAGAGAATTATATAGAAGGATACTAGTAGAGAATAATATAAGAGAATACTAGTAGAGAATACTATAAGAGAATACTAGAAGAGAATTATATAGAAGAATACTAGTAGAGGATGCTATAAGAAGATACTAGAAGAGAATTATATAGAAGAATACTAGTAGAGAATAATATAAGAGGATACTAGTAGAGAATACTATAAAAGAATACTAGTAGAGGATTATATAGAAGGATACTAGTAGAGGATGCTATAGAAGGATACTAGTAGAGAATTATATAGAAGAATACTAGTAGAGAATACTATAAGAGGATACTAGAAGAGAATTATATAGAAGGATACTAGTAGAGAATAATATAAGAGAATACTAGTAGAGGATACTATAAGAGGATACTAGAAGAGGATTATATAGAAGGATACTAGTAGAGGATACTATAGAAGGATACTAGTAGAGAATTATATAGAAAGATACTAGTAGAGAATACTATAAGAGGATACTAGAAGAGGATTATATAGAAGAATACTAGTAGAGAATAATATAAGAGGATACTAGTAGAGAATACTATAAAAGAATACTAGTAGAGGATTATATAGAAGAATACTAGTAGAGAATAATATAAGAGAATACTAGTAGAGGATAATATAAAAGAATACTAGTAGAGAATTATATAGAAGAATATAGGTAGAGGATTATATAAGAGGATACTAGTAGAGGATGCTATAGAAGAATACTAGTAGAGAATTATATAGAAGAATATAGGTAGAGGATTATATAGAAGGATACTAGAAGAGAATTATATAGAAGAATAGTAGTAGAGAATTATATAGAAGAATATAGGTAGAGGATTATATAGAAGGATACTAAAAGAGAATTATATAGAAGAATACTAGTAGAGGATACTATAAAAGGATAGTAGTAGAGAGCTATATAGGAGAATACTAGTAGAGGATACTATAAGAGAATACTAGTAGAGGATACTATAGGAGAATACTAGTAGAGGATTATATAAGAGAATACTAGTAAATAATATTATAGAATAATACTAGTAGAAGATAGTAGAAGATATTTCTAAGAAAGATTCTTTATTAAAAATTTTATAAGTATCCTTTATAAGTATATTCTATTAGTATATTTAAAAAGTATTTATTATAAGTATTCTTTATAGATATTCTTTTTTATAATTTATTATTAGTATACTATATTATTATCCTTTATTATTATTCTTTATTATTACCCTTTATTATTATTCTTTATTAATATCCTTTATTATTATCCTTTATTAATATTCTCTATTATTATCCTTTATTAGCATTCTTTATACTAAGATACTAAGAGAATTGCATTAACCTAGGTTAATATAATCCTCTTAGCATTTCTAAACCTAAACTCTATAACTATAACTATATTTATAACTATATATACTTTACTATAATTATTTTCTAGTATTCTAAAAGTTATTTTAATATACTATAGTAGCTTTAGTTAGATAACTATAGTAGAATAATATAGATAGCTAAGATCTAAGTTTAATATTTGCTATACTTATCTAATTAGAATAAACTTATTACTTACCTACTTGCCTATCTTTAGAATAATTTCTTCCCTCTATACCTATAACTCTAATTATAATTAGTTTATATATTTATAAGCCTATATAAATACTAATAGCTAGTCTATAGGTATATGTATATAAGTAATATTCTCTAGCCTTAGTAATTATTATAACTAAATAACTAGAGAAATATAAGCGCACTTAGGCTACTTAAAACTTAAGTCCTTATTCTATATAAATACCTACCTAGAGAAAGAAGCCTTTTTAGATTTATCTATTTAGGCTACCTATCTTCTAGGTAAGAATTTATAACTCTAGCACTTAAAAATATTAAGTATAGCTAAATTTAAGTTTTATTATTATAACCCTTCTCTTATAGCTACTATTGTCTTTATTATAGCTTTTATAATTTTATCTATATAGCATACCTACTTACTATTTACTATAAAAACTTAGTATTTTATACTATTTATTATAGGATATCTTTATTAGTATACTAAAGATTATATAGTGCTTACCTAGGGCTAACTATATAAAGTTAAAACTATTAGCTTTGTTAGTAGGGCTATATCTACAAGAGAGTTACCTAACTAGACTCTAAACCTATATATTATGCAAAGCACGCTAACTTTACTTAGCCTAACCTTCTATGCTGCCTTAATCTATATAGTTCTTAGGCAACTTATCTGCCTTCTTAATGCTAGTTAATATTCCTTAATTAAGCTAAAGTAGCTTACAAAGTTCTTTTTGCTAGGAGATGTTCTTTTATTCTTTAGTTAAGCAGGAGGTATGCATAGAGGTGTCCCTAGTATTTATGCTTCTAAACGTTACTATGTTATTCGACGCTACTAATCTCATCTCTTAGGTGGCGGTATCCTAGCTTCAGCCAACACCGAGTCATCGCAAAAGCTTAGGAACAACATTATCCTGCTAGGTCTTGGCATACAAGTTATCTTCTTCGGCTTCTTCGTTGTTGTAAGTATAATGTTCCACCTTCGCGTTACAGAGAAACCGACTGCGATATCGCATTCGGCTACCGCACCATGGCGAAAGCTTCTGTGGCTGCTATACTGCGCTAGCTTACTTATCATGGTGCGGTCCGTCTACCGTATGATTGAGTATGCAGAGGGCAACAATGGTGCGTTGATGCAAAAAGAGATGTTCGTCTATGTTTTAGACGCTCTTCTTATGTTCCTGGTGCCGTGCATGTTTGCGCTGCAGTATCCAGGAATCATACTTAAGAAACTATCATTAGAGCATAGTTACATTAGCACAGGTTTATCGATGGATAACTATCCAACGAATACCAATGGTGGAAAACAATAGGGCACCTTTCCTTCTAATATGTCTACCGTTCCCTCGAGGTAACATTGGCTACATTGATAGTGCTCCAAAATAACATTATCAAGTAATAGATTTGAACTATTATCATCAAGACAAGATTGCGTGGCACAGTTTGTGACGCAGTAGGAGTTCTCGTCAGCGCTTGGCTAGCGACACGAGCCTTGGTCATACGTATTGACAGGAGGCAGAGAAGCCGAATGGAAGGCAATAAATTGATTGAGTAAAGATCTACATGCCGATAGAGAGCGATATCTCAGAAGTTCCACAGTCATGTGATGGGTCACGTGTCGTTAGCAGTCGCATCGAACGGATAGGTAATAGCCCCGTATTGCGTATCATCTTCTGTAAGACTCTGGTTTTAGTTGGGAGGCCAGCGGCGAGAGAGCGCTTGAAAGCACGAAGAGCGGAATAAGCCGTTCGCTGGCGTGCTATACGCGTAATGCTTTCACGTGCCGTAGCCCATACGCACTACGGGCAAAGTCTTGGCATCGGCGTATTCAGGTGGTGTCAAACAACCACGTGTCCAACCCTTCTCGTACCCTGCGCCAGCTACTTGTTGTGCATCTGGTCAGAGATGAGGCCAGAATCCTTTCCAAGACGTCGCCGTACCCACCAAAAATCCAAGAAGGGTTGCAGCCAGTGCAAGGCGCGGCACATCAAATGCGATGAGGGTCGGCCCAGCTGCGCCCACTGCATCACGACTCATCGCTGCTGCTCCTTCCTTCAGCCTAGCAAGAGCCTTGTCCTTCCAGACAGTGCTGCAGCTGCAGCCAGCAGTACTAGAATCAGTAGTTCCCACACACCTGAGGTGGCTGCTACGGTTCTTTTCACTACCAGCCATCTCATTTGCTTGCACCACGCCGAGACATGCATGGAAACGTATATGGCGTTGCAAGATACAGGGCGCCCGATTGTCAACCTTGCTATCGCCCATGCCGACTCGGCGCCTTATCTACTGAGCCAGATGCTTGCTCTGTCCGCGCTCCATCTTGCCACTGATGGGCAAGACACTTCGAAGAGGGCACAGTACCACCAACAGGCTACAGAACTACAGACACGCGCTCTAGAGCAGTTTAATCGGGCGCAAGAGGAGAGCTCCGACGCGAAGTATATACCAGTGTTTGTCTTCGCGTCCCTGTTGGGCATGCACGTGCTCAAAGAGACGCTAGTAAGCCATCAAGACAGCCTGTCCGACTTCGTGGATGCTTTTGTTCACTATACCCGTCTGCATCGCGGGGTCCGTACCGCCATTACGAACGATTCTTGGCCTATGATCCTTGAGTCAGACCTCAGGCCGCTCCTCTACTTCTCCGACCTCAGCGCTATAGATAAGCAGGTACCTGGAGATGATACACTCAGACTGAAAGAATTTATCGAGCTATACAACGCAGGCCCAGAGTCTAGTCATGCATGCCACGGTGCGCTCGAGCGAGTGCAGTGGATGCTCGATGTGTGCAAGCAGCATCCTTCTCAAGACAACGTAGGGATCCACGCAACAATGGCATGGCCATTGTTGGTTCCTGAAGTGTATATCGATGTTTTACACCAGCGTCGACCAGAGGCTCTCGCGGTACTGGCATTTTATGCAGCAGCCTTGCATCGATATCGACACTTTTGGGTGTTTCGCGAATCGGGGTTTGGTCTGCTTTCTGCGATAAGGAAGAGCATTGGTTCATACTGGCAAGACAGCCTAGACATCTCAGTGGATACTTTGTTTGCCACTTAGACATGTGGAGATCACCGCTGATCACCTATCCATGCTTAGGAGCTTGCTGCTCTGCATATTTCGTAGCCAAAGTTCTAGAAAACGCAATAACTTACTACATTAATAGCTATTCATGATTAGAACTGGAAACGCATCAACATTTATGAGTTTCATAGCACAGCAGAACCGAAAGTGCACTACTACAATTTCTAGGCTACGCTCGACATGCCTTATTGGCTTGCAACTGCATAAATCCATTCAACACAGTCATAGTGTCAGCCTCAGAGAGATGAGTCACCTGATACTCACCCTCTCTCAATCTCCACGTCCTGACGTTCCTCCGAGTGTGCGACTTCGCAATGTGACGTATGCTTTTGCAGATGCCTTGCCCAGGATATGCCACCAGCCCCAAACCTGCTGATGCAACCTTGCTCCCGAATCCAAGCACACCTTTCCCAACACCGCTAGCCACCCCTAGAGCACCATCCAACTTGCCTCCCTCGTATGGTCTGGTCCAAAGACCCGTGACGCCGTCCTTTATGCCATACGCGAAGTTCTTGCCCGCCACTTCTAAACCACTGCTCCAGTCTGTGACAACCCCGTAATCCTTAACTTCTTCGCCGTAGAGCCTGGGGACCGCGCAGAAACCCTCTGCGCACGCATACGGGATATCCACCCCTAAGCCTTTTAAGGTGGTCATGTAGAGACGACCGAATTTCTTAGCCGAGGCTGCAGCCATGCGGCCCGCTGTCTTCCCTCCGGAGGCACCCTCTGCGTTCGAGCGTCGAAGCTCGGTTATCGGCGAACGGATAATGCCGGTGGTATCGCGGACCCAGGATATGTAGGCGGAGGATGGCCTTGTCACAGGATCCCATCGTGTATTGCTGATGACAGTGGGGTGAGTGTCGTATCTGGAATCTCGATATCAGATAGGCCGTGAGAAAGGGAATCGCACTGCGGTTTGCTTACAATTTAATATCCGATGCGCCGAAGACAGCGTTATCTATGAGCACTTGAGCGGCCACCTTGCACAACTTGATCGGTAGTGTTCTGTGCTCCCATGCTGCAGGTAGCTAGGGCAGGAGGTCGCACTGCATCGCCTCGAGTGGAAGATTCGCGTGGAACGACTGGGCAGCAGCTTGCACACCATTCTCAGAAGACATCTGCGATGATATGTCGCGCGCTGCAACCATAGCTTCAGGCGTCAGGCAGAAAGATATCGCTTGGGCAAGGTTGCTACTGTCTAGGCTCCTGTGTGGGATGAGAGTTGCTCCCGCGCCTGCAGCTGCAACCATGTCGCCCCAGAATAGTTGGCTGCAAAATGAAGTCAACAAAGGTGGCTAGACGATGGTGAAAGGGTAGCCATACTCGCCAAAGAAGGGAACAACCACAGTAGGGCATGCATTCCAGAGCCCGCACGCCATGTTTCTCTACCTCTCTGTATGCTGTATAATATAAGCTCGCAAATGAGACCCAATATAAGTAAAAGCTAACTTTTAGCATAGTATTGGGATGGCCCAATTGGTAGAGACACCGTGTACCTCGCTTGTCAGGAGTAGTGCTATGCTTGGAGGTTCCAGGAAGCGGCACTTCGGCCTAATAATAACAAGGTGCACACAATAGTGGGCACCTGTCAGTGTACAAGTCAGCTACAATTGTGTTCAGAGGCCAATTGCGCCAAAGAAGACATATCGCCTTGCATTGTGCTCTTTTAGAGCAAACGGTTCTAATTGCCATCCACCTAGTGAGTTCAGCTTTCGCAAGGAGAGAAATTGAGCCTTTCTAACGGCAACCAGCTACACACAGATTGGAAATACTTATAATAGGTACCCTAAAACTCCTCCAAACATGGCAAATTTTGCATTATCCTTAAAGACTTGATCAGGGGCATCTCCGTGTTTGGCGGGGGCATAATGCTACACGGCTTCATCTCCCTCACAAGAAATTGGACCAAAGAGAAGGCGAAGTTCCACCATCAACTACATTAACAGAATAATATTGGCTGTGGATCTGTTCTTAGAACATGCGCTCTTCGTTCTATCTAAAAGAAACAGATTTGGCGCAGGCGCAAGGTTATCGATTACAAAGTCGGCTAGTTGGACCAACATCAACGATCTGCGGCACGCTTTGTTGTCACGCATTACTAGCCTCCAATTCTGCCTTTTAGGATTATAAGGTATAGTAGATAATTGTACGGTCGCGTACAAGGGTGTCCTATAAGAGACTGGCCAGGTAGCTTGCGTAAGAGTGCTGTCTAACAACTTGCATTTAAGATCGCTACAGAGAAGGCGCCTTTGCTTTGCGATTAATCTACCTCTATAGCTAGTCACCACGCTCTGTTAACATATACCGGCGCTGCTTTACTATAAACTAAATACCACAGCAAAGCCTTTAGTAACTGGCTCCTCGCACAATAGTAAGAAAAGGAGGATCTGCACTTAGTAAAGGTGCAATTCCTAGAAGCAGTGGAAGTAATAAAATGGCAACAACAAATAATAGTTACATTGATACTCTAGTGCGCCTACGCAAAATTCTCGAATTGCTATTGCTCTACCTGCCACTAATCACAATCACATGTGCTCTCGATTCTATGCGCAACACTAAAACATGTAGCAGATAACAAGTTTCTGCTCTATCCTAGTACATAAGTTTGTCGCAATCGCGCTATACACTAGAGAAAGTCTTGGATTAAGGATACCACTAAGACACCATCCAAATAATGTAGAGTAGGCTTGTAATAGCTGCAAATAAGCAGAGTTGCAAATAAGAGTCTAGCGCTGCGTCCGGCATTTTTGCGGCAGTAGTAACATAGTAAGCAAGACTAATATATTAGTCAGCACTCTGTAGCGAATTGTATTAGTAACTATTCTGAGACATATAGCAGACCCAATAGCGGCCTATGTTTATAATATGCGTAAAACTTCTAAGACCTAGGCAAGCAATAGCTAGAGCTAACACTGCATCTTTAGTTTAAAACAGATAGCAAGGAAGGTAGAACTTAATTGCTACCTTGTAAATATTAACGAAGCTGTTTCAAGCAAGGTAATATATGTGTGGACGTAGACGTATATTAAATATGTTAGCCAGTGCCGCGTAGCTATAGCTTAGCTTCCTGTAGCTGCTTCCTGCTGCTTAGATAAGGCATTGTATGTTAGAATGATTACGCAGGCATAGCACAAGCAGCCTAATTGAGACTAACTAACTAGCGCGTGGGTTAGTTTATAAGCAATAGCAAAGAGCAGGCGCATTCACGTACGCTACTCTGCTAACAATTTGCGCAAGATTAAATTAGTAACTTTAGGCTTGAGGAATGTTGTATAAATAACTTAATAGCCGTTATGCTATTCAAGACCAATAGATAGACAGATCCTATTAATTAGCAAAGGGCGCTTAACACTAGGCGCTTCTTAGGGGTATTTCAATCGCGACTAGTCGCTGTCAACGTTCCTGTCAAATGTCAACTGTGGCCCTACAGAACCAAAAAATAGCTACCACCCCCTTACGCCGCATGCTAAATCAAACAAGAATATAGGGGGCGATTTTCAGGTCTTGGAACAGTCACCCTTTCTATTGCAACATGAGGCTAAATTGTAAGTAGTTTAACTCTTAGCTAGAGTTTTAGCGGCTTACTCAAATTATATGTATGCAGGCTTAAAAATTCCTTCTACACCATCAAGGATGCTAATCCTATCTACTCTAAGGCCAGGTTTCTGCGCGCCTATCAAGATAGCAAATGCAGCCCAGACCTCATATCAGTAATCGTCAACATAACAGCTCAGCTCACAGAGTCTATCGCTTCTAGCGACCATAATCGTCTAAATACACAGATAGATCGTGCACTAGGTTCAACTTTACTAAACGATAAAATCTCTAGGCAATGTCCAAGCCTAGATCACTTTCGTAGGAGCTGTTTGTTAGCTTTCTACAATTTTCATCAGAACCCAGGCAGCCAGTCGTGGGCACGAATAGGGAAATTAGTACGCCTAGCTTGTCGCCAAGGCCTAGACTGGCTTGAGATACTTCGCAAATTATACCCTGATTAGGCAGCTGTCAGTGCAGAAGACCTTGATAAATGGCTTTTAGTCTAGTAGTGCATCTATCGCCTTGACTCGTACGCTAATCTCTCTTCTAGTACGCCATATCTCGTAGACAAGTCACTTGTTAACACTTTGTTGGTCGCTACATGTGAAGAAGTGTCTCTGCCATCTCGAGCAGTGGACTTGTGGAAACTTCTCCCTATAGTAACCCCTAATCACGGAACGCGGTCCACAAACGTTTACATCATCACCATCACGGCATTACGTCAAGCTAGGCAACTTAGACGCGCGTGGGACCTACAGTTGCCAGACAATAACATAGTGTCGTCTAGGAACATTAAGCAATTGTTGTCTAAAATCTGCTTATCTCTGCCCCCTAGTTGGCTCAATTCCAGGCGTAACGTGTTCTCTAACAAGTCCTTATTTAAACACCACACAAGGCTTGTAACTATCTTGCATCTAAGAATAGCACGATTGTATCTGGCTGTTATAAAATGTAGGCATAAGAACGAGAGTGTGTAGTTGGAAAGCTAGGAACAAGTTCTAGAAGCTTGTTAACACATCGTCAATGTGGCAGAACAATAGGATAGCTCATTCTTATCACAAATCGATCCCGCAATTTCATTTATTTTCTTCACCGCACTTACATTTCTCACCCTGCACCGAAATTCCGATACGATAAATTAGACTGAGTTGATGTCAGATATTAATTCCGGCATCACAATCCTTCATTTGCATCTGGATCAGTTCGCAAGTACTTGGACTTCAACAAAGCTTCTTGTCTGTAAGTTTTGTTTCTTGCCTGATTTCAACTAATTGAGCTGACGTGCCTCCAAGTGGCATACAAAAGCTTCGATGAGGTCGTCACTAGTAAATTATCCCGTCGGCATATTGGCCTAATACTCTCACGATGTGAGGCACCTCTTCACCCAAGGTGGCTACAATCTCTCTCATTGACTCTAGAGGATTTGGAAGCTGTTTCTCGGTGACCAAGTAATATGTTATCAAAGACTTCGATGTCTTGGCTATGCATAAAGAATCCGAACAGTTCAAACATCCGCCATTGTACCCATTCCAGCTACAGTAATCTTCTGCCCAAACTCCTTAGGTATCTCTGGACCCCATACTAACAATGGTCCGACAACCTCCCTTCTCGTTGGTGTATCTTTATTTACAATGTCGCCATCCGCGTAATGCTCAATTTTGAAACCGCTCGGGTCCGCCTAGTAATCAAAGATTTAACTACCTAGTACATGGCGTCCGACGCCCCAGACGCTATGCCAGCCCTTCTTGGCTAGCCAGTCATGTCCGAGAAGTTGAGTGTCGAAGTCGGCTACCTCAAAAGACGTGTGGTGAAGGAAAGTCTTTTTGACATGCGGCGCCGCCCGTTGTAGGAAAACGCAGTGGTGATCAGAGTAGTCGTCACCCAGATCGAGATGCATAAATGTCAGGACATCCATGTTGGAGAAGTTCCAGTGGTAAAGGATATCTGACGGGACGAAGCTGAAGTTCTCGGTGTACCACTTGAGCTCATTATCAAAGTCTAGAACAGCATAGCCAAGGTGACCCAACTTGTGTACAAGTGCTGGACCTGGATGGAAGCGTTGAAACTCTCCTATAATGATATCGTCAGATGGCAGAATCTGTAAGAGCAGGTCAAAGTGCTCACCTCGTCTGCTCTTCTCGAAAGGTCTGTTAAATGGTCCCACCCGCTCGTGGGTGGCCGTAGGCTCCTTCAAATCTACAGCTTGCTCCTCCTGCCCCCAGATGATATGGAAGAAGGTGTCATCTGGGCGGTTAAACGTAATTTTTTCACCACCTCCAGGACCGTCGCTCATATCGCTGACGATGGCACCAGGTAGCTTCTTTGCCTTTTCAAACTCTCCTTGGCTCTTTGCAACAAAAGCAGGGCCTTTGAATCTTGGCTGGTCATCTATGCTCTTCAATGCGACGTAAACATATTGGTCCCTGCCATAACCGCGATAATAAACTCTGTCTCTCGTACTCTTAGCTTCAACGAATCCAAAATCGTCTGCGAACTTCCTGAACTTCTCAAGATCTGCGTGTTCGAAGTAGATGTGGCTCAAACGAGTTAATTGAACCTTATCAGAGTGGTTAGTGATGATCGGAATCCGCATGTTTGTCATGATTTGCCCACACGAAGATCTTAGCAGATTTTGCACAATATACAACCAAGCGTCAAAACCAAGCGACATATTGAAAAATTGGATGTCTTGCGAACGATCAAGGGGTTTTATGCAATATGGAAATGCTGCTTCGCAGACACTGACAGCTGCAAGGAGCTGTGCCAGTTCATCCGAAGAGGCCAGTGGCTCATTGGCGCAGATGGAAAGACAGGCATAGTGCGCAAACACTTTCTCAAGCCTACAGCAGGTATAAAGCAGGAAGAGGGTGTGTACAAATACTCCGGTACTTGGATTGCCGCAAACCTCAAGATCACACCTCCAACACGAGATACACCCCAACTACCCCTTATAGAAAGCCAGGTACTCACCAGAAGGGATCTACGATTTGTTCTGGCCAAAGGGCTGGCACTTCTGCAGCCCTCCCGGTAAACCCACAGCGAGTAGACGATTCGGGCCATATAAGAAGAGGCTTTAGAGACATGAATTCAGCCAAGTGGATTGGAACGACTCAATTGACACTGAGGAATTACTCTAGGAGCACTTAACACCGATGATTACACGACATCGCGGTATTAATGGCACCGACTTTCTGCAAGAGGTGAGATTCCCACGCAATTGCATCAGGATCATCCAATGTCGACGTTTCAGGTTTGTCCACAAAGTCGTCAATAAGTGATTCCATAATTGCACTATCCTTATTAGCAATGCCGCGCATGTTTTCCCGCCTTTCGCAGGGCAGGGGATCAGTAGTAGGGTGCGGGATGCGCATCAACTCGCGTGGCGCCTTGCAATGCTGTTGAAAATGCGTATCCAGTCGCAGGACATTCGTAATACCATTCTAGGAGGATGGTCACTGGAACGACGAAAGAGCGTGGACGACGCGGCATTCGTCTCAATGCTGAATGGGAACATGTGCAGCAAAGAACTGTCAATCTGGTCGCGAGCGTTACTTCGTCTGATGTCTGTTTTGAATCTAATACCGATCCTGCGAGGCCTGACCGATATCACGGTGAAAAAAGAGCGCGAAGGGATGTCGAGTGTGGAGGGCGGCTTCCTGCTCAGACAATTTCGTGGTGGAGCAAGGATGGCTCAGATTATGGTCCAGTCTCTAGGACGAGATTCATTCTTGTCTGATTCCTTGTTTATACCGCAACAAGGTATATTGGCACTCCTTATAATCAGCACTGACAAGCACGACGAACTTCACGCTATTGCACATACCGCCGTCAAGGCGCTGAAGATCTATTCTGCCGTTCTTTCGCCAGGCTTGATTGTACTTTTCAGCCCATATTTGGTAAGCAGGAATGAGAGTGGGAAGGATGTGTACTGGCCCACAATCGCCTCAGACATCAATGGAAAAAGCAGATCGGGATATGACTAGGGAGCATTAGTGGCGAGACTCGGAAGATCTATGAGGTTTGCTCTCGTTCGACCTGATTTCTATGTATATGCTTGCGCAAGAAATTTTGATGAGCTGATTGAACCGCTTTGAAATGTCGTCTGGAGGGTTAAGCATGGATTATGTTTCGTCAGGTCCGTTAGGATAGGGTCTAGGATAATGCGTAGAGTGTAAAATAAAAGACTAGCACTAATACAAAAGCTATATATAGAAGATTTAGACTAGTAGTTTATACTATACTTTAGCCTAAATCTATTATAAAGGATACTTATCTTAAAGTAACGTGTTCTACCACTAAGCTGCGCACCCTACTAAGCTGCGCACTAAATGCAACTATCTACATTTAAACCTTAATAACTTAATGCTATAACAAGGTATAATAGTGCGCAATAGCTTAAATTAATTGCCTAATTCTACTGCATCTTTCTTGCATGTATACTTGTTGTGTTCTATATTGCTATACCTTCTATAGTAGGGAATACCCCTGCTGCTAGCACCTGCCTGCACTCTCTCCTCACGCCTCTTAGCCTCAAGTTAAACCTCAGCATCCTGTTAGGTAACTATTGCTTCTGCCTCTGCCTGTAATAGAGTCCCTCCTTTCTAAATCTGCTTCTTCTTATGCTTTTTATGCTCTAAGGCAGCCTAATTTACTTCTTTAAGCTTAGCTATTCTAGCTTTAAGCAACGTGTGTAAGTATACCTTTAAAGTTAACCCCTTTTAAACCTATAGTACTATCTTAAGAATAGACTTAGGTAAGGAGCTCTTATAGTCTCTTATCCTCTTAAGAATTAGTGTTGTTTAAGCCTCTATTTCTTAGGCGTTGCTTAGTGTTTTAGGCTGCTAAGGGGTACTCCTAGGTATAGGTAGTGTTAGTATATAAGGCTTCACTTTAAGCCTTAATAGTACTACCTCTAGGTTATCTAGGACTAAGCTAGTTGCTCTAAAGCTTAATAGGATATTGCCCTTTAAGAAGGCTTAGTTAAATACTAGGGTAAATATAGCTAGAAAGGCTTTCTTATTAATATAGTTAATATAGCAGTTTACTAAGACTTAGATCTCCTTCTTATATACATACTTTAGTAGGGCAAAGTAACCTATATTAAGTAGCTAAAGGATATATAAGGTATAGGGGGGCATATAGAGGGTAATAATCTTGTTCTCCTTATATAGATCTTAGAAGGCAAGTAACTTATAGCTCTTATAGCTATTAAGTATTAGCAGCCTATAACTACCTACTTTCTTAGCCTCTATATGCTTAATAAAGTGCTATAGCTAGGCAAGCCTAAGCTTATTTATTGTCTATCTATTATTACTAACTCCTATTCTCTAATCCTAAGGGTTATAATACTAGGCCTAGTTATAGTTCTTAGCTTTAAAGATAATAAAGGGTAGGATAACCTACTCTATAGTGTTAATAGTAGTAATTAACGTTACCTACTCCCTATTACTAGGCTAAACTCTAAGTAGCTTAAGGCGCTGCTTAGAGGCTGTTACTACCTTTACTAACCCCCTAACCTCTATCTAGAAGCTAGTCTTATTAAAGTTATACGTGTCTTTATCTAGGATGCTATACTTAGCTTTAATATTACATATAAGATTAAACTAGGGGCCTATAATAGCTAGATTGCTATAGAGGACTTGCTAGTAATTATAAGTTTAAGTTACTTAAGATTTAACCTTAGGTTAGCGTTAGATTAGCCTATAGGCCTAGTTCTCTCTAACGTAAGTACTACTACGCTTAGCTAGTAGCTAGTTAGCTATCTTATATACGTAGCTAAGCATAGGGGCAAAGCCTCTAGCATTAAGCTTCCTAATATACTATATAACTACCTCCTCTTTATACTTATAAAGCCTTAATAAGTTAGCTTAGATATTGCGTTATAAGGTTATTCTAGCGTGTTAGTTGTAGAGGGTGGTTTTAGGCACGTTGTAGATAGCAGCAGCACGTTGCTGGCTTAGTAACGCGTTAGATCTAAGGGCTTAGATAGCAAGGATAATTCTATCTTTAACAGGAAGCAATTCAATATCATGTTGTTAAGGCATCATGATAGTAGTAGAATGTAATAAGGTCTTAGCAGAGGTGCGCGGCTCAGTGGGGTGCGCGGCTTGGTGGTGGAACACGTTAGTACTAAGATCCTAAGTTTTAAATCAAGAATATATATTACGAAACAATAGCACTTTAAGTGGTTTTCTCTTCTTATAATCTTACTTATATAGTAGATATAAATTTAATAAATGGATTTTTCTTCTAGATACTAAATAAAGAGCTAAGGCGAGTAAAGGAAGTACAGATTATGTTTCTAGACCTTATCTAACTGTTCCTAACCTATTATCTTCAGGGGCTCAGCCATTATATCATAAGCACAATCCTTTTGGTTCATACCAATACCAAATCTCTGCAGACCCACCATCTTGTATACCCAGAATCCTGCACCCAAGAACGTCTCCTTCATCCTGAGGCCAAGGGGACTAGTGCCTTTCCTCACGTTCCCGTTCTCTGCTGAAGCCTGACCAATCGCGTCTACTCTTGGGCGGCGGATAACTTCGTATTCGCGGAAAACCTCTTCTAGTGGTTGCGGCCCACCTTCCAACACCCTTGAAAGCAGGAAGACGTCCTCTAGGGCCATTGATGTCCCTTGTGCTGCGTGTGGAGGCATAGCATGCGCAGCGTCGCCTAGGAGTAGGCATCGCTTCGATGACCATTTTACAGCACGCGGCATTCTAAAGATCGGATAGAACTTGATGGCTTCTGTCTTGGCGATGATCTCCTTCAGCTGATCTGCCCATTGACCCTGAGCTTCGTTGATCATTCCCATTATGGTGTCTTTGAAACCATCGACTTCTTTCCTGCCGTATGCCTCCCAACCCTCTCGATCGTCGTCGCTGCCTGGTACAGCAACCTCACGTGAGTAGAACCAGTATAATTGGTCGCTCGACGCGGTACAAGGCATAACGCCGAGTAAGCCATGCGAGGTCAATGTGGCGTGTAGAGCTGGTGCAATCTCGCGATTCTGTTCAGAAAGAGATGAGTTTGGCAATATGGCGAACATGTTGGCGATACCCGTGTACACTGGAAGGGCATCCCGGTCGACGTGTAGAGTGCGGACCGCGGAGTGAATGCCGTCGCATCCAAGAAGTACATCACCTGTGTCGGTTCTGCCATCAGCAAAGGTCACTGTGACGCAATCGTCGTTCTCTTCGATTCTGGTCATCCGGGTGCCAAAGTGAACGGCAACTCCGTGCCTTTTGGCAGCCCTAAGGAGAACATCCATCAGATCGGCTCTCATGATGCGCATGAACCCGAACCCGACCTTTTCGCGGCTCCATCCGGCCATATCGACGTCTACCAGAACTGGACCACGCAAGGAATGAACGTTCAGATGTGACGAAGAAGACCCACGCGCCACGAGCTCGTCGTAGAGGCCCAGTTGATCAAGCAAACGGAGTCCGTTAGAAGGAATGCTGATGGCACCACCTAGTGTAGTTGGTTCTGAGCGAATCTCGTACAGCACTGTATTGATGCCGTTGTGCGTCTTTAGTCGTATTGCTGCCGCTAATCCTGCGGCGCCGCCGCCGATGATGATCGCCTGAATAGATCCTTGAGTCAGCGGATTACTTGGCAGTTGTCGTCTATACTCTGTACCTTTTGGACCCGTGCCATGATCGTTGATTTTGAGCTGTGGAAAGAAGCTCTGAAAAGAATTGGAGTGGATGAAATGACTTGGGATGGGAGGAGAGCGATCGTGATCCGTAGAGATTGATATATATACTCTCGTACCGCGCAGCGGGGTAGCGCAGCGGATGGAAAAAATGCCCCATTTAGCCATTGACAGTAGATTCACCATAGCGCATTTTGCCCAGTACGGAGGATTGATCGTTAGTTCGGCGCAACTCCTTTCTGAGACTAGCGTCGGCGGATCTGTGGCTCAGCTAGAGAATGTTTATCTAGACCACCTACCTAGCAGCATTAGCTACAATTAGATAGAACTAGGTTACTAAAAGGCGCTGCCCTAATATTTTAAATCTTATATAAGTAATTTTTCTCTAAATTAAATAAAATTATTAGTAACTAATATTATAATTATTCTTTTATAACTAACTAGATATTAATACTTAATAAGTACTAATATACTTAGTATAATATTAAATAGGCTCTTCTATATAGTATAGTTTTATTACTAGTTATATAATAAGCTTTCTTTATAGTTATTAAGCTAAAGTAAATTTTATATAGAGCTTATATAGCTTATATAGCTTATATAGCTTATATAGCTTATATAGCTTATATTAAGCTTTATAAGCTACTATACTCTTTATAGTATATAGTAAGTAAAAATATAACCTTTATAGTTTATAATTAACCTAAGTATAGATCTATAATATTTAATCTTAATCTAACTTTTAAGCTAGATAGTCTATTCTTTACTTCTTATTATTATATTTATTTTTAAGATAGATAGATTATATCTATACTTCTTAGTATAGACTTCTATTAGTTTTTCTAATAGTATTTATATTTAAAAACTAATTAAATAGTACTTATAAGCTTTACTTAAAGTATAACTTTAATATATAGTTATTTTAGTAAGTAGTATATTTAAGATTAATATAGTACTTAGAAATATTTTAATTTAACTATACTATAAGAATTTATATATATTTACTAAAGAAATATATACTAAATACTTTATTTTTATATATAAATAGAATAGAGAATAGCTATTGCTATATCTAATTATATTTAAGATTCTTCTAGACTAAGTAGGCTACTAACATTGTTTTTAATATACGTTAGAGTATAGTAATATTAATTCTAATCTATATAACACAATATATAGAACTAAGAGCTACTGTTACCTACGCAAGCAAGATAGCGATCTGCAATCTATTTCGTTATCGTGAGTTGGGAAGGCCGATGACCGAATTGGCCGCAAGGCCGAGAACACCGTGTAAATGCCGAGAGCTACATGCCCCAAAAGAGCGTGATTTGAAAAGATTTGTGAGATCGAGAAGAACATGACAGCAACGGAATTAGAGTCAAGATTGGGCGTTGATGTTAGTGGGAAGATTTTGTTTGGTTAGTTTCTAATTTGAATTGTAATCGACTTCACAAGCAGTAGCACGACATACTTAATATCGAACTTGGTGGTAACTTCTGACAGTGAAGTTCTTCAGCTGTCACATTCTAATGTCGCAGATGTCTGATCTGTGCCAATCGGCAATTTGGAGGTGAAAGGCGGGGTTCCCGATGAAAGAATGGACCTATGAGCAGACGTTCTCTACTATTCTTGCGGCGTATATTTCCCGGCCACGAGAGACCCCACAAAAGCCGTACTGAACAAGAGACATATATAAAGCGACAAAACGCCGTAGAGACGTCTCCTTGTCTTTGCTACCAAGCCGTCTGATCTACCACTAAGTCCATATCCGTGCAATTATTATCACTGCCCGATATTTCACCTCTAGTCAAATCTATCAAACGGAAGCCATGGAAAATTTCGAAGAGTTTCTTAAACAGTCCACTGTCAGAGGGGCCAACAAAGTACCTGGCGCGATTATGGCTGTTGTTGACAAGGACGGTAATGCTGCTGATTTCATTTCTCCTTCCACTCGCTGACCAGCCGCAAAGGTAACTACATCTACAAGAACGCATCAGGATATAGTGGCGTTGGGGCAGATGCGGAACCTTTAAGTTTCGATTCCACCCTTTTCGTTGCGTCTTGCACGAAAGTCATTACTACCATCGCGTCTCTCCAGCTTGTTGAACGCGGAATCGTTGGATTGGATGATCCTCTTGACGACTATCTCCCAGAGTTAGCCTCCCAGCCGATTGTTACGCAAAACGACGATGGAGATTTCGTGTATCATACACCTACGCAGTCAGTTACACTACGTCATCTCATCACGCACTCGAGCGGAGCAGCACAAGATTGGATGACCCCAGTCTTGAAAGCATGGCGCCACTCTCGAGGTGAAGTACCGGTAATGCTTACCGACGGTGACGTTGCAAAAGGTTGTGCTTATCCCCGAACCTCTGAGGCGGGGTCGAGCTGGATGTACACCAGTGGCTTAGACTGGGCAAGCCTTCTCGTGGAGCGCCTCACAGACACAGGATTCGAGGAGTATGTCGAGAAACACATCATTCAACCGCTCAGCATCTCTTCATTCACCTGGCACCTATCGCATAAACCTGATGTGGCCAAAAAACTCATGCGCATGACGACGCGTCAGGACGATGGCACACTGACCAATAGCACGACGCCAATCTGGCCTGATCCTGTGAAGGAGGGAGGCGGGTCAGGGATGTACTCTAACGTGCACGACTTCACCCGCGTACTAGCCGACCTACTCAAGGACTCCCCTACGCTTTTAAAAAGATGCAGTGTACAGGAGATGTTTACCGCACAATTTGTGCCTGGTAGCTCCTCGCACAAGGCCCTTATTAGTTTGGCGCCATTCTCATACCAATGCTCCGTCGGAGGGAGTATGGATGGCGTGGACGCGAACCAAGGACTTAGCGGCTTGCTGGTTACTAATGATGTTGATCGCGACGACTTCTTCAGGCCGAAGGCTACGTTGGCGTGGACAGGCTTACCGAACCTGCTCTGGAGCATCAATCGCGAGCGCGGGCTTGCGCTGTTCATAGCAACACAAGTCATGCCATGGGGAGACAGCAAAACCTGGGAACTAAACAAGAGGTTTGAGACTGCCGTTTGGCGAACTATGTCAAAAGTTTGTAAAGAGTAGCTCTAGTCAACATTGTGGAGTCAATCTGTTAGAGCTCTTCCCGCATTTAAAGCGACTATATTAACGTGCTTCACCACCTGGTGCACAAAAACACCGCGTGAGCCAGCATTTTCATCAGGCTACAACACCGCCACGTACGAAAGCGACTATCAAATACCATGATACTCGCGATAGGCAGCGCTGAATTATCGAAGCAGCCTCTGAGACGGCTTGATGAGGCCGATGGGTTGTGTTTACCGCCAAAGACCAGGGCGGGATCATCACCCTATCGAATTAATGCCCTTACTGATTATAGCTCACTCTCGATGGCCCTGCTCACCATCTTCGGCTTTGAGGGATATTCAGATCTTGTGACAACTGTTCTTGTCGAGTGGAAGCCCACTATGAAGCCGGTCTCATTGAAGCCGTAGTTTCTGCATTCATGATGCCGTATATTGCTTCCATCTTCTCTGAAAACCTGAGCGTGTCTCTAATAAGCTTGGGAACCTCGGCAGAGAGCACCCTTAATTGAGACTGAACTTGAACGTAAGCTCTGGAATACGATCGACAGATGTTGGACCCCACTTTATGCCAAATGGGTCCTGGTAACGATCAGCAAATAGAGAGCCGGCCGTATATTGCACAGCGGCAAGCCGAATCTTTCGTACGGCTAGGTTAGAGACCTGCTGGGTAGTTGTTCTTTCATTTTTTTTGAGTTCAAGTGAGTTATTGTACTCGCGCCTGCAGCAGATGTGGGCATGGTCACGGTGATGGAGGGATTTGCTTTCCCATTGTCGGTAAACTCTTGTTTCGTCAATTCAATTCACCGAACCTAGAACTTTACCGGCCGAGGCGTAGGCCCGGTGCTTCCCCAAATCAACCAGCACTATTTTGAGAGATGAGAGAGCCTACCTTATCTATTTGGTTTCAATCGCCTGCCATTTCTCCGTCGCCATTTCTTGCCGTTCCCTTTCTGAAGGTCATCAGCCATACCTGAGATGGACTTCAGTGAGACATTGATTGCAGCGGAGCCAGACGATCTACGACACTAGAACCTGGCAAGAGTCCGGCATACCTGCATCCAGATCGACTCTACTTGCACAGCGTGTTGAGGGTGCATTCTGGTACGATGGCTTCGTGCATCGTTGTGGGCCCAGATCATTCCAGAACATGATGATTCCCTTAGTCTCTTGCTCAGAAATGGCGGTGGTAGTCAGAAACACTTACACGGCATTGCTTGACTGGTTTGAAGTGATGCAGAACGACAAAAGGGACTGCAGTGAACGGACATGTCGAGGCGAAGGGTCGGCTTCGAGATAATCGAAAGGGAGAATATAAAAGGAGATAATGACTACTTTTAGTGCCGTATTTTGGCTTGAATGAGTAGAGGAGCGCTTTGGTTATGAATTTGTTGGGGGGGGGGGGAGGGGGGGGGACGAGAACATGGATGGTGGTTTTTAGATGCTTAGATGAGAGAAAATAAGATATATCAGTAAGCCTACATGACTAAAGGGTCTCTCGTCACGGCAGACAAGGAGTTATCGCTGCTTGATGAGGAGTTCCATTTTACTACAGTTGCTACTAGTGGCACTACTGGAGGGTCATCAGTCAAACGCGATCACACCAAATGTCCAAAAAAACCCTATGAAGTCATTGATGTCTATTCGACACATCTGGTGTAGTGATGATCTCTCGATCACTTCAAACTTTAAGGTGCCCTTTCAAATTCCCTTCACTAGGTTCTTTAGCAAAATCCCTTCCTCAGGGATACTAAACATTCTGTTTATCTTGTTCAACGATTCCTGACTACAAGCATTCGAATATTGGTAATTACAATCGACCGAATGGAAATGACCGAGGACGAATTGCCGAAAAGAGCGATGAGAGAAGCCTAGTACTATGCTAGCAGAGCTCCATGCAGGGAAGGGATTAAAGCTAATCTTGAACTAAGCCAGGTTTCTAAATTTGGTTTTACGATACTCCTAGATCTGGAGACTTGTCACTTGGTGCAAAGCCAGCAGTGACAACTGTAGCAACATGTTGCAACGGACTCAGCCACTATAGGTACGTTCGCCTATACGCGACAGAAACTAGCAGAGCCGATTAAATTCTTTCCGCGGTTTGAGATACGGATAAGATTCTCTTCCAAGGTTGTTTGGAATTTTGGCATGACTTCTTCCAACTATGAAGAACCTGGATCGCTCTGTAAGCAAAGTCCTCCCATCGTCTTAGTACAACCATCTAGATTTGTGGAACACCAGTAGGTAACTCCAATTGGTTAGAGTCATCAAAGACATAGACCGACAAGGAGACCGGGAAATTTCAACAGAAGCTACGCACGATACATGTCAATTAACTCCACGCTTGAACGTCTTGGCTACTCATGCTTAGATGCCAAGGTCTTATGTATTCATCTAGAAACAATTGTCGTAGAAGAGACGTCAGCTCCTTGTGACATAGCCACAATCGACTGACCTGCTAAGATAGTGGGACTCACCAATCGGCAGTACCTGACCTTGGCGCCAAGACCTTTTCGCTACTATCTCCTTTGCTGCACTGGATCTACAGGGCTATGCTTGTGGAGTCTGAGTAGAGTGTGAAACACTACCTATAGCATTGGTGTGAAGAATGAGGGCGACTTTCTCGGCCCTTCTCTGCGGCTGTATATATATAGTCATAGAGGAAGCACTATGGAATCCGTCCATATTATCATCACAATCTTCACAACCATTGTCACTAAATCTTCATCAGTCATGAAACACGCGAGCCAAATTACGGCAATTGTCCTGATTCCCATCGGCTTCCTTGGTCTTACCATTGGCCTAACATATGCACCATGTTACGCCACGGTATGCCCGGAGGACTTTCTGCACCGGGAAACGAAAATTCATTTGGGGACCTTCTATCTCATGCTTGCCATTTTTGGCTTTGGCCTTTTTCTGCAATCGTATTTCGCCTCAATGCGAACATTGTGCTCCTACTGCACACCATTCGAAATCCCAATTCTTCGCAAGCGCCTTTCCGTCGGCGGGTTTCTAGTATCTGTGTGGATAATTGGAAGCACTCTTGCTACCACTGCAATTTGGATGCAACCTCTACTCGACTTCTGGGGTCTGCGGACGGATCCGCTAGAGTGGACAACGACCAAGCTTCAACTGACGTTTACTGGAGTCACTGGTCATTACGCTGACTTCCTGATGGGTCTCATGATAATTCCAGTCTCGAGGAACAGCTTGGTAGGCCGGGCATTTGGTGTGCATCACAGCACGTTAATGGCTGCGCACAAATTCGTTTCGTATTTATTCACAGCTGCCGTGGTAGCACACGGAGTCACCTATCTGGTCAGTCCTAGGATACCTGTATGACGTTCGCGATTGATGCTGACTCGAAAACAGACATATGCCATGGCTCCTTTTGCCGAAAGCGAACTGAAAGACCATACATTTGCCACTGGAAACCCAACAATGACCCTGGAAGAATCCGAAGCGCGAGGTTCCTGGTATACAACTACCACATACAATGGCATTGCCAGCCTTCTTATCATCATAGTTATAGTTCTGACATCTCTGCCCTTCGTAAGGCGACGGAACTACAACATGTTCTACTACTTCCATTGCTTTTGCAGTACTTCTATCTTTATTGGAGCCAGCATACACGCCAGTACAGACTTTTACCTTGTATTACCAGGCCTATTTCTTTATATGATCGATATAGGGATGCGTGTGTTCTCAGGAGAATCCGGCGGGTCACACAACAAAGTGGCAGCAATTATCGAGAACGCAGGTGCAGATTGGTATCGGATCTCATTTCCCGCTTGGGATAAAAAATCCAAAAGCAACACCACCGACCTTCTTACAGAAAAAGCGCTCACCATGGGATTCCCACTCAAGTATTACTACATCAACGTCCCCAACATCAGTAAGATGCAGAATCACCCCTTCACAGCCGCAGTACCTAGCACCAATACCTCGGGTCCTGTCTTCCTGTTTCAAAAATCTCAAGGCAAAAAGCAGAAGAGCCTTAACAAGGAATGGACTTGGAAGCTAGGTAACATGGTCCCTAACAGCGGCGACAAGATGGACCTCGAAGTCCGCCTAGAAGGACCATACCTACCACGCGACACCCGCTTCGAAACTGCTTACCACACCCTATGCATTGTTGGCGGAACCGGCCTGACAGGCGCATACAGTCTTGCCACTTGGTGGCTAGAAGCGCGCGCATCCAACAGCGGCAGTACCTTCACCCTCGTATGGACTATACGCGACAAAGAAGCTTCCACCATCGCGGAATGGCAATTGCTCAACGAAATTGCTGCGCGGACGCCGGGATTGATGCTTATCACTCATGTAAGTTCACAGGACGGAAGACTAGATCCAGCGATGCATGTTAGGAAAGCCGTAGGCTTAAATGAACGAGGCGCTTCTTTCGTGACAGAGAAGGAGCGTGCGACACAAGATGCGGTATGGGTGTATGGCGCAGGGCCTGATGGCTTGGTGCGCAGTGTAGAGGGTGCGTGCGTGCGTGCGAGGGCTGATGTTCGCAAAAGCGATAGAGCGTGTGGTGGGACAGAGATAAATTGGTACATGGCGAAGTGGGAGGTTTAAATTCATACGAAGCTGTTGTATTCGGGTTCATCATTGGGATGCGGCGTATTAGTGTAGAGACGGTGTTGAGTGACGCAAGGCTTTTTGTATGACTTGGAAAGCTGAGCCCAACTCAAGGGAAAGCAAAACGCAGCGTCGATACTATGATATCCTTGTAGCCCCGAGGCTTAGAGGTCTTGAACTCGTAGTCGTAGAGGAGAATTCGCCTATGCTCAACATAAGAGGGCTGATATGCGAGATTCTATATGAGGATATAACAAAGATACACATGTCAGCCCGTGATGTTTAAGGATAAAGGAAATACTGCAGTCATTGGTAGTAATGACGCTTGTGCGGTGGTTGATTATGTTTCAACAAGTAAGTTTCTGATAGCGCTGAGGGTTTCTGCGCAAGTTGCCCAGAAGCTTCGTTTGTACTGATATGCATATGACAGTAGTTACGTATTCCCGCGGGGTGGACTTAGTCCGTCTTGGAATCCGGGACTCACATGCGCCACTAGAAGAACTTGGTAGGAGAGTTATTCCTTCTGGGCGTTTTATTACTAGCTAATGGAACTACGTAAGGGTAGGGTGTGTCATCACAGCCTAATAACAGAGGATATATGTTCACTCACTTCTACTGATTCCGTCAACGAATTAACTTCTTCCTTACCTTCTCTCACAAGAGTTGATACCGGACTTGTGCACTGTTCTGTACAAGACCCTGCACAGGTTTCGTGAGCCAAGATTTCATTCGCATACTAATGCTATTATAGTTCCCACCTCGTGTCATTTCTGGGATACTGGACACCTGGTTCAGCCGATGTCTATCTCTCGTCCGTCTACGTCGATGCATATCGACTGTTTCGTCTGAGACGCTTGCCTTATCGAAATAAGAAGATTGGAAATCTGCGTGGATATGCGTTAGCGAGATCCGCCACCAACAGTTGCATCAGACAGATCATACGGGGCCATGGCCAACGCCAGAATTGCAAGTAGTGTCGTTGCCCACTAGTAGCCGAGATCTGTTCCGGATTATCGGCCGCTCTTTTCTCATGATCACGGTCTCGGTGACCTACTGTCGTACATTTGAATACCAAATAAAGGGGAATGACTATACGCGATCAATCAGCATCTTGTCTTGCATGCCAAAAGTACATACTGAATGCTTACCGCAGCAAAGTACGACCACGCTAAGCTGTTAGCCGCGAGAGCTGATGCAGCATATTCAGGGTACTGGTCAGTGAGGTCAATATTATGTAAACTCAAAAGTCTGGTTCCATAGCGGTACATGGTAGCACTCACTGCCTCAACCAGGAATGTATATACTCCTTAGTAAACCCAGATAACGCTGCCATAGAGAAGGTAGTCAGCATATCATATCTAGTTCCGACATCCCATGAGTCTTTCAGGCCTCTCTTACCCCAAGCCAAATGTGCCCGAAAAAATTACAGGGACTGTGGTCACATGGTCAGTTCTATTATTACCACCATCCCCTCGTCGCCGCGCAGGAAATATGTCATACCTATCCAGTGAATCTCCAGGAGTAATCTATCAGCCATCCAATAACTAAAAAGCCAAATCATAGACGTACAGATGCATATGTGGTCCATCCGGACCTTGCATGCACAATTAGAAGGTTCTTCTCAGCTACATATCGGCAGCAGCAACAGCAGCAGTAGCTTATCACACAGCGCTATTGGGACGACCCAAGCCGCAATCATTGTTGAAGGAAGCCGAAATTCTGGTTCCAAGCCACCATTCCTGCCCTGTTGCTCCTCACGTTTTCGTACAAGCCTGCCATAGATCCGCCTCTAGATTGGGTCGGATAGAGCGCCGACCAGCATGCTGACGAATAGCCCCAAGAAAGCAAGGCCCGTCTGCTAGTTACTGAACCCATGGTTGTTCCGGAACACCAGAGGGAAGGCTCCAAAGAACAAGTAGAGAATCCCCAAGAGCATTTCCGACAGCAGGCATAGATTCAGAAACTGATTTACACAGCAGGTCAGCAGTGCCACCGATCACGCAGCCACTGGATGTAAGTGGAAACCCACCATGGCCTCGAAAATGAGTAATTGAAATGGTCGGATGCATGACCACAGTACCGTTCTCGTGACAGATGTGGTCAATTTCTCGATCGGCGCTATCCACTCCTGATTTCCTGTTTCTCGTCGCAGTCTGATGGCTTTCTTACGCAACAAAACTGGGTGATACGTTTCGGGCACGAGGATGATTACTACCAAAGCCTGAACAACGGCATCAGTCAGTATTAAATCAAATGCGAGACGTACTGCACGGTTCATAAACTTTCCTGGACGGCAGAGAGCAAATAGAAGCACCTATCTTGACCTCAGCACACCGTTTGTCGGGACAGCAAGAGTATCCCTGCAGATATGAGAGCTGAGAACTGAGAGGATTAGTAGCCTCGGATCGGCGCTAAAAGTTCGTCTGATGCAGGAAACTCCCTTTCTCTAACAAGTACTTACCACCGCCAAGTCGTAGTCTCAACAATGAACTAAAATCGTGCATGATGTCAGCGTTCTGTTTCAAGATTGGGAACTCAGAGCTCTTTGCATACCCTTCCTATCAGCGGCCCCAGTTCGGGTCCTATAAATTGGCTTGCTGTGTACACCATCATGGGTGCTGATAGTTCCTGCGTTTGGATCAGACTCATGTAGCCGATCGGTGCTTCAAGTGGCTCACATGCTTGCTGAACATGTCACCCACGGTACCTCCAGCTACACTGAGGAAGGCGGAGCCAGATAGACCGTCAAAGAATCTCGCAATTAGCATGGTCTGAATGTTCTGAGCAATCGCGCATGGAACCATCCAGATGGTAAAGAACGCCAACGCGCAGATGTAAATAGGTCTGCGCCCATAAAACTGCACACTAGTGTCAGAGTATGACCAGGCTGAGGCAGATAGGCTGGCAGACATGCAATAGCACACGGCCGTGAAAGGATGTCCTATATATATGTACGCACCTCGGAAAGAGGGCTGAGGACCATAGGTCCCGTGCCAAGTCCAGCTACAAATAACGACAGCCCAAGCGTGCATACCAACCGAGACGCACCGAACTCAGATTCGAGCTGGCTGTAAGTCGATGCGTATAGCGATGAAGTACAAGTTCTATGTCATCCCAAACATCAACTATTAGCTTTGTGTATCACTGATTGGTTTCTAAAAATCTATCCTCGGGTACATTACGCACACGCAGAGCGAACTGGCGCTGCATATCAAGACGATGATCCAGCGCCACAGCTTTTTCATTGTCCGAGGGTTCTCTGGATCTGCATTGCCATCCCAGGTGACGAGATACGGCTCTTCGGCAACCATGCCGTCGGCGTTGGAGATGTTCGGTGTGATGGGGCTAGGCTCGGTGTCGAAAGATGTGTGACCGTCAGCTTCTGCTCTCGAGTGATGCGACCTAATCGTCCTCAGACTTCTGTTGTCATGTGATAGCCAGCTTGAACTTAGGCCTTGTGCGGTGCTTCTTGTCTCGCTAGGACAAGATGTAGGGTGGCTTGTTCCATCGAGTCCGACCACCTTTTCCTCATCCGCATTCATACTCGTTTTTTTCTCTTGTCTCATATTCGCCTGATCCGGTGTTCTCGTGCAGCTCCCGCGGAACATCCAAACACGTTATTGTGGACCTGTTCATCTCTTTAAGAAGGCCCAGGACCTCTTTCAAAATAACGATCAAGCTGTCCAATATAAGTATCCAATAGTCGAGTGTCGGCCATTAAGAGCAGTTGACATTCGCCTAGACTTTTTACCTCGAGAGACTACGGTAGTATCAACTCGGATATACAGTTCCGCGACAGAATTCTGCTCGTGCAAGGAAGCAGTGATCGTCGCTATTCCGAAAGATTCCTGAATAGGGCCGAGATCATAAGATTGCTACTTATAACAATAGTACAGGGAATGTACGTACTCTTGGATGAACGAATGTATAGAGGTTTCAAAGATTCAAATCATTGTTAAGACCGGTATCGATTCCAAGCAGCTAACGACGATCGATACGGAGAGAGAGACAGAGATAGCCTGTTGCTACCTTAGTGACTGGGTCCATTCTGACACCTTCATAGATAGACTTTGCCTCGTGCTCTAGTGCTTCTTTGTCAAACCACTAACAGAGATATTAGCTTGGTGGTGCTCTGCTGGAAATGCTCAAGCTCCGGTAAATGCGGCGTATGCGGTCAATACAATTCGGCCATTGCTTTTCGGCCGAGGCCAGAGTTTACCGACGAAGGCTATGCACACGAAGCCGAGCCATCGAGCGAGAGGGCTTGCAGTTAGGATGCGACTAAAGCTGGTTGAAGATGGACTACTTCTTACATATCGCACAGAAAACGTCGAATTTCCATTTCTGTCACCGTACTATGCGTCGGTATTATTGATTAGTTACTGTTGAGAGCAGCATCTCCTGCAGAACTGGGAATTTGGGACCTCGTGGCTCAAAGTCTAGATGATTCCGAGCTTAAATAGTATAGGAGGCTAGACGGCAGTCGTTGCGCTTTCCACAACAACAACATCAACAACAACAAGGCTTTGGAAGACATTTAATGAGACACCAGGCATGATAAATTAGCCCGTAGATTGGTCAAGATGTGTGCAGATAGCTAAAACCTTGAGCAAGCAAAGAATATATTTCGAATATCTCCCTGGTCCTTCTGTTTGGACATATACGTTTTCCCCGCTATACTGCACAGTTGGGGGTAACACTCGCTCAGTGGCACAACAGGGCAAAGGATGTAATTGTTCCGGTCGCCCCCCACATGTACGCCATCGGTGGCATCCCCTTCAAATAACTCTCCGTAGAATTGCCGCATGACAGCCGGTTTGTAGCCTGGTATGTCGGGCTGATATTCAGAAGGGCAGATATCCAGTCGCAAAGCCCAGCCTTTTCGGACTCGGCAGGCAGCCGGAAACATCTCGATGGCTATCTCCGCTACGTCGTCAGCTCCCCGCAGATGCGCCAGATCTTCTTTCGTGTGAGTATGTACCGGCCGCCATGGAGTCGATTTCTCCGTGTCTAATTTCCGGTGACTAACACGTAAGAATCCCTTCGCGATGGGCTCCGGCTCAAGGCTATGGGCACCGTAGGAGACGGCAAGTCCCGCCTCATCGACTGCCCATAATAGGGCAACGACGTCAGCATCTGGCGCTGTCGACGAAACACTTAACACAGTGGTGAAATGGCCGGCGAGATCAACGTCTTCCATAAACTGTGGGCTCTGAAAGCTTACCCCTGACTTCCGTATGGGAGTCGCTTTTGTCTGGTACCCAAAGCGCGTCTCGGCAAACCCAGCTGATGGAGGAAGGGTTGACAAGCCGCTTTCAGTTAGATGCCATTTTGTATACTGTGTCCCGGGAACAGGCCAATTTCGTTCTTTTCGCCAGCTCCATGCCTGGTTACCAAGCCTCATCTGGATGCCCACTCGTTCTGGTGGAAGTATGTGCTCTCCTTTGAGATAGTGATTGAGGAACTGGAGAATTTTCGAAGCGACCTCCCGACTTGGCCATGAGAAGTAGTTAGAATCGACGAGCTGGAGGTGAGTGTTCTCGGGACGCCGAACCATCCACGCCTCGTAAGCAGCCCGTCCGTGGAGCATGAAGATCTGTGATGCAGCTAAGAAGCATGGAATCTCTATTGAGTGTTTTGGATCGGCCTCTAGCATCTTCCATAATGCATTGTACTCAGGATTAGCCTGCATGGCCAATTCTATATTCGATTGGTCATTCCACTTGGAGGAAACCCCGCGAACTCGAGCGAACCAGTTTTCGAGATACCGGGTTGCGGGAATGCCACCGATGTAAGCAGCTTCGCGATAGGAATCGATGTCGGCTGTCATCTATCAGCTCTGGCTTATATCGCCTCTAGAAAAGACACGATGGGTCTGCTGGCGACAAGGAACAAGGAAACTCACTGTCATATGGGACAAAGCACTTCAAACCTTTCGGCTTCATGGCAGCCACTGCCCACTGTGTGTTTGCACCATAGGAGCTTCCTACGAGTGCGACACTACCATTGCTCCATGTTTGCTCAGCGGACCATTCAACCGCTGCATGAAAATCGCGTGTAAGCTGTCCGGGTATCCACCGGGCGCCAGGAGTTTGCGACACCCCTTTCGGGTCAATCTTGACCATAGCGTAGCCATTTGGTACGTAGCTAAAAGTGTTGAATGAACCTACATTCTCGAAACCACGCTGTCCTGTGTAGAAATTAGACCATGGCCCTAGGTTTGGCAGGGGTAGGTCTGTGCCGGCAGGCGTCGAATGCCAGGTGTCCTCCGCTTGCTCAAAGCTGGCAATCTCTCGGTCATTGTGCAGATCGGGGCCTCCCCAAGCCACACGTCGCCCGTAAAGTGTGCAACTGACCAGGACAGGAAACTTCTTGCCAGGCTTCAGCGGCAGATAAACATCAGCTAGAATGTGACCTCCGTCCGGCGAAGGTATCTCAAGGTCCCGTAGTACTTTGAATCCGGCGGCTTCGCGGCGTAGATGATTGCGGGTCAGAGACACAGTCTTAGGACGAAGATGCAGCGTGCTGCAGACCTTAGCGAGTGGTTCATCCAGAATAGTCACATCATCAGAATCCAAGTGATTTTTTGACACGTAGCTTGCAACGACATCCTCAACCTGAGTGGGAAGTTAGCGGATGTTGACCAGAGTGCAAAATAACAGAACCCATAATCGTAGCGATGGAAAACACTGATTGAAATGAGCACGGTGTTGAATTCTTTACCTTCTGATCAATGACAGCTGGCTTTTCAAATCCTTGGCCAGGAGCCAGACTATAAAGTAACCGCGCTCGATTGACTGTTCGGGGATGAAAAGTCGGCGTGTCAATAGGAAGCAAGTCAGATATTGTAACAAGCGGTCTGCCGATACACGAGCCCAGAACAAGACTGCCAATGGAGAAGGTCACCGTCTCGCCCTCGTAGTACCTGAACTCCGAATCTGTCGATGTAACACTTCTGGCTACTCCATTGTCGTAGGTAAGTCCTGCGACACCAATAAAAACTCCGGTTCCCGCCATGAGACTGAATTGACGTGAGCTTTGCTGCAGTGCAAAATGCTCCGAATGATGGATTTGTTACCTAAGTCCAGCAGACAATCTGACACGCGGATCGATATATGTACGTATGCAATTAAAGAGCATTTAAGCAGACAAAAACTAAGGCCGCATCCTCTCGGCCGCAGCTGTGTGAGAATTAGACCAGGGCCGTTGTTCCAGTATGTCCGTAAAACACCGAGGACGGCTCGGCCGAAGTTTCGCGCTTTCGGCGTCGTTCATTGAGAAACAGCCTTTTCGACGCGTGGCTAAGGGACCTGGTAGGGACGATTGAGTACGGTTTTCTCGGCTACACTCATCCGCCCCCCCCCCCCCCCCCCCCCCCCGCTTTCCCAAAGGCACGCAGTAGTTCCTCTGCGGAACCTAGCTAGCGTTAGGTCACTTGCTGTGAGTCGATTAGAGCACTAAGCTCTTGCTACCCTCACTGCTGCTGGTGTTTGCAGCGTGTATCCATAGCACAAAGATATAAGCATAATCCCGGATCACTAGCGAGCTATGAAGAAGTTAGGCGTACTGTCAGGAATTCAAGACGATCCAACCTCTGTTGATAGGGATGCTGTATCAAACTGAAGCAGCTTCAAATCACACATTGTCTAAAGGAGGCTCACTGCTTCAAGCTGGCTGTCGTCAAAGATTGTTCGATAGCTTAGTAGCTGTTGCAGAGCGCCGCAACGTCCAAAGGCTGAGGAGGGAGGGTTTTGGCAGGCTTAGACAGCTTCGTCAGCTTATGCTGTAGACTTTTGTTACCGGCATGGTAGCGGGAGGCAGTGCAATGCGTTAGCTCCCAGGGTACCGTAGTCGTGAATAGACTAAGATTCATTCAGTCTAGTTTGATACTGGATGTCAGACAATTGACCGGCGCAGATAACAGGAATAACCTGAAAGGCTTGTCACCACTGAATGTATAAGCTTACAAGTAGCTCGTTTGTACATGATTAACTCTTCACACGGCTTATGTCGCAAAATTCTCATCATCGCGCAACACCACTGATAATGGTTTCTCAAATCGCGTGGATTGGGCTCGGCAACATGGGGAGGGCAAGTATAGCCAGCTTATCTTCGAACTTCATCTAATGACTGTTACAGAGCATGTGCAAAGTACGATATACCTAGTGCAATGCCGGGTGGTACTCACACAAACAGAACCTTGTCGAAAAAGGGAACCTCCAAAAACCCCTTATTATTTACAATCGAACCAAAGAGAGGTCCGAGGATCTTGCAAGCACACTTGGTTGGGACAGGACCAGAGTCTTGAACACCGTCAACAGCGTTGTCAACGAAGCAGACATAATCTTTCTCTGTCTTGGGGACGACGCCTCTGTAGTCAGCATTGTTGACATAATACTACAAGAAGACGTCGAAGGAAAACTGATCATTGACTGCTCCAGCTTGCACCCAGATACGACAAACGGCCTAGAGAAGCGCATCACGGCACAGGGAGCTGAGTTCGTTGGAATGCCCGTCTTCGGACCTCCTGCCATGGCCGAAAGTGGACAACTTGTCTGTGTCCTTGCTGGCAAGTCTTCGTCTTGCTCTAGAGTCAAGCCCTACATCAAAGGCGTCATGGGCCGTGCAGAAGTCAATTTCCCGACCAACCTGCTGGTAACGCCACTCTGCTCAAGATGATTGGGAACACCTTCATCCTGAACATAGTTAACCAACTCTCCGAAGGCTATGTCCTCGCTGAGAAGAGCGGGCTTGGCGTGGACAATCTACACAACTTCGTAGGAGCGGTGTTGCCCGGGCTATATATTGAATACTCGCAGAGAATGTTGCAGGGCAGCTATCACAAGCGAACAGAGCCGTTGTTTCATGTCGATCTTGCAAGGAAAGATGCAAGGCATGCGATGAGTCTTGGAGAGAGTAGTGGCGCGCAGGGTAGCTTGAAATTGCTGAAAGTTGTGCGGGGTAGGCTAGACGTAGTCAAGGCAGAGCTGGGCGACAGAGGAGATATCTCTAGTGTGTATGGAGCTGTCAGGAATGAAGCTGGATTAGACTTTAGAAATAAAGAATAGTCAAGACTGATAGTCTGTGAGCCAGTCTAAGGCCTAGCATGAAACATGTAATTCTCTGAAAGATAGGGAGAAGGGAATCCTTCTGTTGGAAGGAAATATTCGCGCGAGATTTGTGTATCTGCAATAAGGTACATCCAAGCTGTCTACGTAGCCAAGATACTTGATTGAACAAGATGCTGCAGGTAATGGCTTGGGGCCGTTATCCCGTCCTCAGTGGATTGGACAGGATTGTCCTACTCGGTTCCAGCCGCAATTCTGCCGTTTTCTTCAATCACATTCTAAGTATGCTTGGCAACCCATCTAGATACTGGTTCTAGTGACCGTATACGGTGTTTTTCTGCAGTGGAGGAGGGCGTGAGCGACGGTCTGCCACCTCTCCCGTCGTCAGTGAAGTCTTTCGGACTATGCGACACTGGCAGATCTCCATCTTTACCCCGAAGCTAAGCTTAGTTTCTTAGCATACTGTGCACGTGCCTCTCGCGTAGTCATGAAGGTGAATATTGTTACTCTTTAGCCTCAGGAATGTGCTCTCTTTGGTGTGCGCAGGACACGAAGGTAAAACCTGTCCGTTGTTCGGGGCTCTCTGAACCAGGCCTGAATTTCGGCTCTTTCCTGGAGCGTTCCCCATAGAGGAAAAGTGTGCTTGGGAGCCGAAGAGACCGGTGGCATCATCATCGGGTATATCGGACTTGAAATATCAGACATGAAATTCCCGATGTGATGCCCAATTCACCGGAGATCGAGATGCGCTTTTGACCTGATATCTCCGAGTAGACGAGCTAGGCCAGAATATCCGTAACGCCGACGTTGATTGCGTATGCACCAGACGCAAGAGGGGGTGCTACGAGGTTATCTAGATGTCATCCACCGAGGCTATACGTAGTCAAGAAGCTGAGTTCTCTTAGTCAAATTGTTGTAGGACGGCATGTACCAGCTATTCTAATCACTTCTATGAAATAGATTGAATCTATATCAAGTTCTACCCACACAGTACACTGAGCGGAAATAACACCAAAATCTACAAGTTTTGTGTTAGGTCCCTGATTGCTACGTGTAGAAAAAATAAACAAGATTGAGAAGGTAGGATATGGTAAGCGTAACAAATTGAGCAAGGCTAACTTACTGTTCATCTAGGTCGTCATTATTGGAGCAGGACCTGCTGGGGTAGCTGCAGCGCTATGTTTGTACCAGGAACACCAGATATCCTGTACAATCTACGAAATCCACCACGAGCCAACTACACTAGGTGGGGCAGTCGGTATTCCCTCAACTGGTCTTCGACTCCTGCAACGCCTGAATCTTTACGAAAGATTGGCAACTAGGGGTGCAGAGACGTCGAACCTTACACTACATTCTTCGTCAGGGAACGTTATGGTGCTACCTTTGGCCAAGTGAATACACCGAAGACTGGTGCTATCTTCGGCCGAGGAGATAGTGCGCCATTTCCTTAAATTGTCTGCGGCTTTTGGCGTTATTACTTACTTGGCACTCGATAGATTTAGATTAACTACTAACTAGATTCTCTAGATCCTTTACAACGTAGGTTGATAATATCTTTAGTAGTCTCTAAATACAGTAGGGAATGTAGTAAATATAGCACACTACTACTTAGCCTAAATAAAACATAATATTTAACTTGTGTATCTATATTTAGAAGGAGTAGTATATTACGCACACAACTTCCACGTCTTCGAAGGGCAGCCTTAGTTAGCTTCTCCTCAGCTTATTTATTATGGTTGCGATAAACTCATTTCTTTCGTTACTCTCCATGAGCAGAGCAAACATATCAACAGTGGCGGAATTTCCTTCCGGTGTCTTTGCTGAGAACCTGGTTGTTCGCTATGACAGCTCTATCCTCGTCACCGACCCAGCAGCGAAGCAAATCCACTTTGTCCCCAATCAGATCAACAAAATTTCGACACCTGTGGCCCTTCTTCGTTTTGAGCAGTCACCGATGGGTATTGTACAGGTCCGACCCGACATCATTTACGTTACGACAAGCACCCCTTTCGACTTCAACAGCACTAAAACCTTATGGCGCATTGACATGCGTGGTTACGAACCTGGAGCGCCAGCCCCCATACCTACATCCGTTTTCGAGTTCCCACCAGAAGCACTCTTTCTAAACGGTCTGACGATGCTTTCGCCCTCCGTTCTACTATGCGCAGATTCCCGTTCAGACCTAATCTGGCGCATCGACTTGCCAGAAAGAGGAACCAAAGCGTCATTACGTGTCTGGCTCAAGCATGATATGCTTGCGTACAGCACAGCCCCGGGTAAAGAAGACGTTCCAGGAGTGAATGGGCTACAGGTGGATGGGCACAAAAATTATCTGTACTTCACCAACACAGCACAGCTAATATTTGGTCGCGTTCGCTTTCACCCTTCGACGCTCGATCCTATTGACGAACCTATTCATGTTACGGATCGCTGGATGCAGGCTGATGACTTCATTCTTGACAAGGTGGCGGGACTGGCATACGTCACGACTCATCGACAGAATAGCATCGTGCGCGTTGACCTGAACACCGGTGTTAATTCAACTGTCGTTGGGGATCCTCTCAATCTAGAATTAATAGGTCCGACTGCAGGCTCTTGGGGCCCAAAGCGGCGAGATTACGGTAAAGTAGCATATTTTGTTACTGATGGCGGATTCAAAAACCCATTTAATGGCAATGTAAGGGAATCAAGAGTTGTAAAAGTTGTATTCCCCACAGGAAACTTGTAGTAGAGTAGAAAGGTTACAATATATAGTGTATAATAGAGTGTAGGATTAATAGAGTTAAAGTAGAAAATAAATACTAAATATATTAAGAAAGATAAAAAAAGGTATATCATACCTTGTAGTAGTTACTATATCTATAAGTCTAGTTTTTATTTTGTATAGAAAAAATATTTAAAAGTAAAAGAAATAAAAGTAGTTATTATAATATATAGATAAAGCTATATAGAAAAATATTTAGATATAGAGTTCTTAGAGTAGTGTTTCTAGTAGTTAAAGTAAGGTATATAATACTATATCTTTTATATAGAGTAGGCTTATTAAAATATTCTAGTATATTTAATACTACCTATATTAAGAGTATAAATAGTACTAGTGCTAGCCTAATTTATATTACTAGTATATTAAGAAAGATAATATAAATACTATTAAAGTTAGATATAAGTTAATTAGGTATATATATATTTATAGTATCTTAAGTTAAATATTTAACTACTTAGAAAAAGATAAGCTTAGGTATTAAAGATAATAAAGATAATAAAACTATAGCTATAAATTATACTTTTATTATAGATAGTATAAAATTTAACTAGTTTATAGTCTACTTTTACTATAGAAACTAGCTTAGAGTTATAGGTCTTTTATAGTATTATAGGTTAAATATAGTTTAAAGACTTAAAAAATTTCTAAACTTCTATAAGGCTACCTAATATATTAAACCTATACTTATAAGTAGCTATACTTATAATTATTAAGTTAAGTTAACTTTAGAGTTATATATATAAGAGTTATGTAATATATTATATCTCTAAAGCTCTTAGAAACTATATATAATTTATAATATATTCTTAGAATATACTATACTATAATAAGTATATAATAACTCTTATAATATATATTATAGGCAAGTAGCATATATAGGCAAATAGCATACTTTTGCTAAGACCTTACTAAAACACTAACCTCTACTAATACCTCTATAATAATAATAGCTTAACACATTAAAAGAATATTAGATATAGCTTGTAATCTAAGCTCTTAAATAAGACCTAGACCTCTCTATATAATATGCTATAGCTATCTATAGCACCTCTAAAATAATACTATATATAAGATGTACTAGATAACCTTTATATATTAATACTATAGCTAATTTATAGAATCTAACTAATACTAAGAAGTAGATAATTATTATATATATACTTAAGCTAGCTAAGCAAGGATAACCCCCCTAGCTTATAGATATAACTAATATTACTAATTCTCTATAGAAAGAGTATAGTTTAGCACCTATTAGCTTAAACTAGGCTAGCACGTTTATTTTGCATTAGAAGGAGCTTAAAGTAGTTTTTAATTATAAGTATAACTATAAGTAAGCCCTCTATAAGGATTCTAAGGTTATATAGGGCTAGTTTAACCTTATAGCTAATACTAAAGCTAAGTATAGCATTTAGGATAATAATACTTATAACTTTAATAAGATAGGCTTTATAATAGGCTAGATAAGCTCTAGAGTAGTTATTATAGCTTTAGAGAACTATAGATAGGTAAAGGTAGTCTAGCTAGGCAATTATAAGTAGGTAATAGTTATCTAGGGTATTAATGCTATAGGGTAGGCTATTCTGCCCTATATTATCTTTAAAGCCTACTACTACTAGTCTAACTAGTATAAAGATAATAACCTGCCCTAGGATTAGATTATTACTATCTCTAAGAATAGCTAGACTACTAATAAGCTTAGTTTTAACTAGTTAAAGCACTTTAATAATTATATAAAGATGCATACTATTAGCACCTACTATTTGCTAATTATTAATAGCTATAAGAGCTATAACTCTATAGAATTTAAGTAATACTATAAGGATAATAATATTATAGGTCTATATATGCCTATACACTTATTATACCTCTTATAGCTACTTAATATAGCTTATTTTAGCCCTCTAAAGAAGGCATATAGGGATAAGGTTAATTAGCTAATATATAACTAGATTAACTATATTATAAAGTAGAAGTTCCTCCTATGCTTTATAGCAGCTTATAATAGAGCTATTACCCCTAGTAATATTTAAGGAGGGTTCTAAGGGGCTAGATTAGCTCTATTTGCTCTAGATTATATTATATTAGCTCTAAATATAAAGCTGCGCACTCTATTGCTACTACTCCTCTAAAATAGCCTGCTCTAGCAGTTGCAGACTCTAAGCAATACTCTAGAATTTAGGTTGCAATTAATGCTTATAAAGAAGAGGATTTAGAGGTATATAGATAGCTTACTAACCTCTATAGTTAAAGCATTTAAGAAGGTCTTAAAGAGGGCAGCAATTATTGCGCACAAGCTAGCTTTAGCATAATAGGAGAACGCTGCACTTTACGCAGCTCTAGCAGCTGCTACAGAACATAAATTGCGCAAAAGAAGGCATATCTAGATAGAGGGAAGCCTTATAGTTAAAGAGGGCTAGCAGCAGACTGCTCTATTAGAGTTTGGCGCACGTAGTAATAGAAAGAAGAGGAAGACATAGGTGCATGCTGAAGGAGGTAAATTATCCTAACAACGCTGTAGAAGGTGTAGAGAGAGTGGGCATAACGCGCAAACGTGCAAGAATAGAGTAGAAGAGGTCTCTAAGTAATATTATAGCTTGTTTCATCTTATGCAGCACTAATTTGTGGTGTTTTAGGCCATAATATGGTATGATGGGGGAGAGTCTTGGCAAAAGTGCGCCGTTCGCCCATGTGCGCCGCTCGCCCGTGATGTACGTTACTATAGGTAGAGAGCCTTAGCCTATTTTATAAGATTTTTTATAATACACTAAGCGAAAGAGAGGGTGGGCAGCGCCTCAATTTGGTGAGACTCAGGGATGATTGGTGCCTGGATGGCAGGGGTTTGACGAGCATTGGTGGTGCGAGAGGGGATCACGGGGTGAGAGGTTGTTCCTTTCTCATGTTCGGTGCGGGGACGGCGGCAACGCTGGCAGCGATCCTGCTGGATGCATTCTTGTTGACGTTTGAGGTTGGCGATGGTGTTGGTCGGGTTCTTTGGATCAGGGTAGAGCGATCCGCGGAGACGGTGGGTTGCGCGCGGGTGAGTTCCACGGAAGATGCCAGCAACGAGGGCGTGGGACAGTCGATTTCACATATTTATGGAAGGCCGTGCTGTTTAGCATTGGATGCTTCTTCGGTACAGATTCAGGCCGCCCTTCGACCTTTGTTGACACCTCGTGACATCGGCATGCAATGTACGCTAGTACTTAAGTCCATGGTATGAATGCAACAATAGGAGATAAGGGCTACCTCTAACCAACAAATCGCGCAGACTGGTTTCATTAGAGTAACCATGTTTCTTCGAGTTCTAACCCTCCTCGTGTAAGCTCTACTACTGCTTGTAGAAACGCTAGTATCTGATTTTGTACAGCACACCGGCGTTAGGTCACGCGCTAGCTTCCATTAACCTAATTGCCTCTCCAATATGTCCAGCCTCAACGCTCGCAATCAGCACGTATATCACTACTATTGAGACTTACATAACGCGCACAACTCTTGCCGCGCGACGCTGTCCGACGCTCACCACACGGGTCGACGGTCCTGCGCCCACGATCTCCTGCACCTTCGACTCCAGTAGTTGCGACGAACCGCCATATTGCGTGGTGCGTAGCAAGATCAGAGCCCCTTGCACGACAGACTCGTGCTGCGGACAGCTTGTGACTGAAACAGCGTACAAACCATGCCCGACCCAGTGTATGATGGACTGCAGAACTTCATATGTGGTAGAGACCGTGTGCTCAAAGCAAAGTGGCGGACTGAGCGCAGGCGCCTCAGCAGCCAGTGTAAAGACCATAGATGCTGGTCCAAACACTACAGCCCCCTGGCACGGTTCCGCGAGCCTCATTGCCTGGCCCACTTCACAAGCAGCATCAACCTTGTCTACTACCACGCTTACATCATCTTTCGCTCCCGAGATGACTTCTATAGAGTCTGTGGTGTCTCTTGATACGTTCTCTGCGTGTCCTACCTTCACCGTTCACACAACACCTACGTGTCTCAAGCCCAAGTCATGTCGGCCAATAGACTGCATTGCGATAGGCACGGTACTGGTGCCAACGGCACGAGAGGGTTGCGGTCCCGTGTCGACAATAACAACAGGGCGCACTTGTGACGGCGAGTGCTACCACGGTTGTAAGACGTAATGGGTTACGGTTAGTGAGGTTGCAGCCTCGTCTAAACAATAAGTCGAAACTAGGGAGAGAGAAAGAGAGCACTTCCCCTAGATCTTTACCACTTTAAAGCGGTCTCAGTCTTCTACATAAACCAAAGCAAAAACCAGCACCCTGTTTACTTTTCGGCCCCCCTCTCTGTTCTTATTGGGATAATAAGAATAACAATCTATTACTACATCTATGCAAAGTAATAATTATAACGCAGCTTGTTGTAACAGGGTCAGAGAAGAGAGGTAGGCCATAGGCTATTCAGCCTGACGACCATGAGTAGGTGACGGCGACAGCAGCTATTAACCCTGGTGGCTAATCAGTCCCACCGCTCCTGATCTTTGCCGGCAAGTACCATCTCTCCGTCTGGGATGAGGCAGAGATCCCACGTAGCTGGGCGTTCGTAGTTAGCGACTATAATTGGACAAATAACAAGCTCAGGGTAGAGTGGCTAAAGCACTTTGATGCTTGTACTAAGGCTCGTACAGTAGCAGCACGTTGCCTACTTATCCTTGATGACCACGTGAACAACTTGAACCACCATTCTCTTAGATTCCAGGAGCTCTGCAAGCAGTACAACATCCACACGCTCTGTATGCCACCTCAACGGCACCTCCAGCCCTCGAGATGCCACCTGCTACGGCTAAGAACAGTGACCGATATCAAACCACAGTCAAGGACAATTATTGCCAGATGATGACCATGGACTTCACACTTACCGTAGACGACTTCCGAGCATTGGACACTCGGGTTGACAACGAATACACAAATTTATAGGACAATGCGTCGTATGATGTGGCTACCGCCCAAAGAAGTAGTTCCGCCCTGAGTCCAGTAAACCTCAGTACAAACGTTGGCGTCCAATTCATCGCTCACGACAGCTGCGCCTCCTGCACCAATTTGATCTGGGGCCTCAGCAGCATGCTACGAATAGATCAGTACGTTACCATCGACGGAATTAGTGTTATCTAGTGTGCACAAAATATGAAACCAGCTTGGAACATTTAAGGCAATGGAATGCCATTTGGATGAGACCTGCAGTCACATGTGGCATCAAATCCTAGTTTCTCAACGATTCGCCCCAGAATTGGATCTATGTCCCACTCTCCGCAATCTAGCATGTTTGCAAATGATCAGTCTTACACAGGGATTGCGCCAGCACTATCAGCCAAGAATGCTTCCTTCGCTAACTGCATCTCTTCGCTCTGTGCTGCTGATATGCGCCGTGCAAGGCGACCTTGCTGGTCGAACTACTTTAATCTACCGAGCCACTCCCTCCTCAGTATTTCGAACCTCTTAGAGTTGTACCTCCCCGTACTCCACACAGACTTTTGGTACAACACCTGTAACGATCTCCAGCGATTAATCGCTTCCCGCAACTTAGATACCATCTTCTCACTCGGGTCACGTCTGATCTGTGCTATGGCTAGTGTCGGATCTATTGGCAAAAAAAGCTCCTAGATGCAATGCCTTGGGAGCATAAAGGACTCTACAAGACTCGACGTAGACCAGGAGATAATTCGTCAAAGTAAGGTACCCATTCCAAACTGCCAAACTTCCACAGTATCCAGCGAAGACTGCTTCGGTCGGGCGGCTAAGAGACTGGCCCCATGACTCTGTGTCTGTGCAACTCCACTCGATGATCTTTTCTACGCGGATTCAGCAAGCCGAACTCATCGCAGCACGGTGTCATACGTGCGCGTTTTTGTATCGAAAATCAGATTCATCCCACACTGCCCTGGATACATTCGCCCGATCGACAATCGCAGCATCCAAGGATGAAACAACTTTTGGTAACATGTACTCGTCGTCCCAGCGTCAATGCTCGAATCACTGTGTGTCGCGTTCGATGTCATAGCTGATAGCTTGCGATCTCGGAAGGATCTCTGTACCGCCATTTTGGAACCCCCATGCCACATCACCACGTAAGAACGGGATAAGTCTCATGAGTTGGATGGTTTCAGGCTCGGAACTGAGAGGTTAGTAATTGTCATCTGATATGGTTTCTGTGCTGTGCGGTAGCTTTAGCATTTCTTCTGGAGAGATATAACACATGTCTATTAGTGTGGTGTAAATCTTGTTCAAGCTCGAAATGAGCGTCGCATGCTTTGCAGCTATACCTTCTATGGTGCTGCAGTAGTCTGGTGCAGTCCGTGGTGATAACACGAGATAAAAGTGCAACTACCCCTAGCGTGTTGGAGTCAAGCAGTAATAGACTAGGAGGACTGGCGCTAGGTGTGCTCGGATCTGGCTTGCCTGATCGTTGCGGGAGCTCGGAGCATGAGTTTCGCCGCGGTGCTGCAATGCAGCGTCATCCCTTTGGCCCCACAGCTCAACAGGAGTCGTCATCAGCACAGCCCTCAGTAATTCGCAAGCTTTGTCCAGATACGCATCTACTGTAGCACTCAATTGTATCGGATCTGTTGGCCTCCACGTTCGGCCGATTCTGATCCTCCGTGACAAGCTCCGGCGCGGCTAACTTCCCGGAAGAGCCATCGACCAATCAGCATCCCTACGTCTGTCAACACCGACCGAGGCAACAACCCAGCAGCTATCAGATCATCCTAAAATCTTTGCGAGATACGCGACGTGATTTGCGAGAGTTGCGGTGTGTCCTCTGTGGTGTCGTTTCATGCGCGAACGATACAAGTAGCTTCCGACGCAGCACAAGACGAGCACAACGCTTTCAGGCAACAAAAAGCCAACGTTTCCTGTACCCAAATCTCCCATCAATTGTTCTTTTTGCGTCTCGTTCTACTCCATCCGTTTCACGTTTCAACTATGGCTTCATCAGACACAGCAATAATTCCTGGTCCACCAGGTCTGCCATTCGTGGGCAACGTATCAGATATCGACGCTGAAAACCCCATACAGTCGATGTGTAACCTCACCGACACATACGGTATATCAGTCTATTGGGTTAGTAATGACTTTTTACTAACTCTAACAGGTCCAATATGGAAATTCAGCCTTGCCGGCAATGATCGTGTTGTGATCGGCTCACAAGCGTTGATGGACGAGATTTGCAACGAGGAGCGCTTCTCGAAAATTATTGCAGCCTCTTTGAACCAAGTTCGAAACGGTGTACATGATGGGTTATTCACGGCGCGAGGTCCAGAAGAAGAGAATTGGGGGATTGCACATCGGGTACTGCTTCCCCAACTTGGTCCCTTGGCGATCCGCAATATGTTCCCGGAGATGCATGACATCGCTTCACAGCTGGTTATGAAGTGGGCACGTCATGGTCCTAGCCACAAGATCAAAGTCACGGACGACTTTACACGGCTTACACTTGACACCATCGCGCTGTGCGCAATGGACTATCGCTTCAATTCTTACTACTCGGAGAGCATGCATCCCATGATACAAGCCATGGGGGACTTCTTAAGAGTTAGCGGTGATCGTTCGCGAAGAGATGCAGTAACACAGATGTTCTACCGTGCCGAGAGCCAAAGGTACCAGGAGGACATTGAACTCCTACGAAGAACAAGCTTCGATGTGATCAACAATCGCAAGGAAAATCCGACAGACAAGAAAGACCTCCTCAACGGAATGCTGAAGGGTGTGGATCCAAGAACTGGAAAGACTATGTCGGTCAGTATCTGCATTTGAGCTCTTTGCCACTGGAACTAACAATTTGTAGGATGACAGTGTGGTTGATAACATGATCACATTCCTGATTGCTGGACATGAGACGACATCTGGCCTCCTCTCTTTCACGTGGTATTATCTACTGAAAAACGCTGCCACGTACGAAGCTGCGCAGCAGGAAGTTGATAATGTGATTGGCAAGGGCCCAATCACCGTTGACCATCTTACCAAACTGCCGTACCTGAATGCGGTACTACGGGAGTCCCTACGACTATCACCAACCGCACCATCAATAGGAATCACTGCAAAAGAAGACACCGTCCTTGATGACAGATATCCAGTCAAGGCCGACACGCCACTCGTCGTACTCCTGCCCAAGATCCATCGCGACCCTGTTGTGTATGGAGAGGATGCAGAGGAGTTCCGACCGGAGCGGATGCTTGATGAAGAGTTCACTCGTCGTGAGAAAGAGTACCCTAACAGCTGGAAGCCGTTCGGTAACGGAATGAGGGGCTGCATTGGCCGGCCATTTGCCTGGCAAGAAGCCCTACTGGTGATGGCTATCCTTCTGCAGAACTTCAACTTCTCAATGGACGATCCGTCGTATCAACTCCAGGTCAAGCAAACTCTCACCATTAAGCCAAAGGGTTTCTACATGCGTGCGCACCTTCGCAGCGGCGTATCTGCCACTGAACTCGAGCGCAAACTGGCTTCGGCCGCGCTGAACGACCCGCCGCCAGCGAACGGAGCTCCACAGGTGCGAAAGGAGAACTTGAAAGGCAAGCCTCTCTCTATCTACTACGGCTCGAACAGCGGGACTTGCGAGGCCCTCGCGAACAGGCTGGCCAGCGACGCGGCGAATCACGGTTTTAGAGCCGATGTTGTTGATACTCTGGATACTGCCAAGGACAACCTACCAACGGACAGACCGGTCGTCATTGTCACAGCGTCGTACGAGGGACAGCCAGCTGATAACGCCACTCATTTCGTACAATGGGTGGGTACACTGAAGGAAAACGAGCTCAAGGATGTGTCGTACGCTGTCTTCGGCTGTGGCCACCGTGACTGGGCGAAAACGTTCCAGAAAATCCCGAAATATCTTAATCAGGAGCTGGAAAAGGCCGGTGCTACCCGTCTTGTGGAATTGGGCGCCGCAGACGCTGCTCAAGGCGACATCTTCACCGAGTTTGAGAGCTGGGAAGACCAAGTATTCTGGCCTGCTGTACGCGAAAAGTATGGATCCTCAGAAGCTGATGGTGATTCCCTAGAGGCTACCCTCGATGTTGAGATTTCGACACCGCGAACCTCGACACTGCGCCAAGATGTCCGCGAGGCACGTGTTGAAAATGTCCAGGTTCTTTCCGGCTCCGGTGTTTCTGAGAAGAGGCACATTGAAATCAGTCTGCCTTCGGACATGACCTACTCCGCGGGCGACTACCTTGCTATACTGCCCCTCAACCCCAAAGAAAATATCCACCGTGCCATGAGATACTTTGGCTTATCTTGGGACAGCATGCTGACCCTCTCGTCAACTGGACCAACAACACTGCCTGTAGACCAGCCCATCAGTGCTACTGATGTTTTTGGGGCTTACGTCGAACTCGCACAGCCGGCAAGCAAGCGTAACGTCCATGCTCTCGCAGATGCGACACGAGACGAAAACACTCGATCTGAGCTTTCACGCCTTGCAGATGATGAGTTCGCTAGTGAGATCACAGCCAAGCGAATCTCAGTCTTAGATCTGCTCGAGCGCTTCCCTTCGGTTCAGTTGCCACTGGGAGTGTTCCTGAAGATGCAGCCGCCTATGCGCATTCGCCAATACTCGATCTCTTCGTCACCACTCTGGGACTCGAACAACGTCACCTTGACTTACGCTGTTGTCGACCAGCCAGCATTGAGCGGCCAAGGCCGTTACATAGGCGTTGCTTCGAACTACCTGTCGAACCTTGCGGAAGGCGACAAGCTACACGTCAGCGTCCGGTCCAGCCACCAGGCATTTCATTTGCCAAAGGACTCCAAGAAAGTACCCGTAATTATGATCGCAGCTGGTACAGGTAAGCATGTCCCCACGCCGCAAAAATGCGGAACTAACACTCTCCAGGTCTGGCGCCCTTCCGAGGCTTCATCCAAGAGCGCGCTGCTCAGCTCGCAGCCGGCCGTGAGCTTGCCCCTGCTCTCCTGTTCTACGGCTGTCACGGACCCGACAGCGACCTGCTCTATGCCGATCTGCTTCGAAGGTGGGAGGAGCTCGGCGCAGTTTCGTTGCGATTGGCATTCTCCCGAGCTCCGGAGCAGTCGGAAGGCTGCAAGTATGTTCAGGACCGCCTGTACCACGATCGTGAAGAGATCGTTGAGCTCTTCGAGGCCGGTGCCAAGCTATTTGTGTGTGGTAGCAGGGATGTTGGCGATGGCGCACAGGAGACTCTGATCAAGATTGCAAAGGAGACGAAGACGAATAAGGATGGAGTGGAGGTGGATGATCAGAAGGCACGCGACTGGTTCGACGCCTTGAGGAATGAGAGGTGAGTACAAGATTATGTGAAACTGAATTTACGTAGCTAACGGAACATAGATTCGCAACAGACGTGTTTGCTTAAGTAGCCAGAATAGTTGACGGACGGGCTAATGACGGCGACGCCGGCATGGCGGAAGTCTAAAGGTGTCGTGCACAGTACAGGAAACGGCAGGGGATGCTCTACTACTTAGTATAGCCGTGCAAACGATGGCGATTAGTTCCGAGGGTCGCTCGCAGCTCGGGTACCGGCTACAATATGTTCCGAAACGTCTTATCGCACGCGCCGTTGACCCACATGCGGTTCGGCCCTCTGCAAATTAGGGTACAAGTGTGCAACACCGAGATCAAGGCGCTTTGGGGATACGGATGTAAAGGATAATGCAGTATTGGCGATCTAACGTTGCCTACAAGACTGGGAAGAAACGCCTCGCATTTCCCGCAGAATAGCATGTTCCTCGCAATTGATATGAAGGATCCGACAATTCTTTTTGCTTAGTTTACAATCGTGGTCCGCCGTTTTTACCCAAGCGCCTCGTCGCCGACCTACAGGGTGGAACGTGATTACATCGTTCGAGATTTCAGTCAAATCAGATCTGATCGGAACCCTCGCGATCCGTCGGAGCCTCTCTCGGTATCAAGGTTCAACTCAAGGAGTATATAGTACATTGTGGTACACAACAGGCAAGACATCACCTACACCACGTTCTTACAGAATCCTCTACTGAGATGACAGACAACCCGTTCAAAGTTATCGTTGTTGGGGGCGGACCGGTCGGATTGACCGCTGCTCATGCGCTGCATTTGGCCAATATCGACTTCGTCGTGCTGGAAAGAAACGATGACGTTGCCGTCGATGTCGGAGCGAGTCTTGTGCTTGGAGCACAAAGCATGCGATTCATGCAGCAGTTGGGTCTGCTCGACAAATTGCTTTCGATTGGGGAAAAGTTGCTTTATAACAAATCGTTCACCCAGGAGGGTACAAAGTTCACGGATAGTACATCTATCCAGTTGATGAGAAGGAAGTAAGTGCTACTGTTTACTTGATCAAACGATTGAATCTTGACTGGATATGGATTGACTTCCAACTTTAGTTTTGGCCTCGAGTTGATCACGTTTCATCGAGCCGAACTTGTTCGAGCCTTACTGAACGGGTTGCCAAAGGGTGCAAGAGAGAAATACTTGCTCAGTCAGAAAGTTGTCGATATCTCAACTAGCAAGTCCGGTGTAGTCGTCACTTGCGCCAACGGGAAAATATACTCTGGCTCTATGGTGATTGGAGCCGATGGTGTGCACAGCCAAACACGAAAGATAATGCACAGGCTTTCAGCCGAGAGCAGATTTTCTGCCAGCAGAAACCCAGAGCCGCCCTTTCAAGCCAGGTACCGATGCTTGTGGTCCAACCTTCCGCGACCATGCGAAGCTGGGCAGGGAGCCGATACGCAAGGCAAAGACCGCTCCGTCATGTGGCTGACCGGCCGCGATCGCGCCTGGATATTCCTTTACGAGAAGCTGGATGAGCCAACCAACGAGCCCAGGCGGTACACCAAGACGGAGATGGATGCGTTTGCAGCTAGCTTCGCAGATTGGCCTGTCAATGAGGAGTTGCGAATCAAGGACGTCTACAACAGCTCAACAGCAGGTATGTCGAATCTGGAAGAAGGGATACTTGAGCATTGGAGCCTGGGGCGGATTGTCCTTGCTGGGGATTCATGTCACAAGTTCACCCCCAACGCAGGCCTCGGTTTCACAAATGGAATTCAGGACATTGCATTGCTTTGCAATCTGCTGCACGATGTGGTGGGTTCGAGCATGACCTCTGATATCAGCGAGGACACCCTGCATCAAACCTTCAAGGACTATCAGGACGCTCGAAAAACAGCCCTGAACTTCGACTGGGGTGTATCGTCTCTCACAACTCGCGGGCACGCTTGGGCGAATCCGATTTACTGGTTTTTGTATAGGTTCGTTTGGCCTCTATACGCTTTTCAGTGGCTCTTGCAAACGGTCATCGCCGCTTCACAGATAAAGCAAGGCAGAGTCCTCAATTACGTCTTGGGTGAGGACCGCATTAGAGGGCGCATTCCATGGATGTATCCAATCTATACAAAAGGAAAGGACGTTTAGAAGAATATCTATGTTCCAGCCTTAGAGGACAGAGGATCGATGGTGATGCTAAGTCTACGGGTCTAGAATATCAAGCTATTAACAGCCAGCAAACAAATCTTAGCTTTCCTATTTTTTACCCTTCTGTATTATAGGTAGAGCGGTTGAACTCAGATCGAAACAAAATCGGCGACGGTACACTCCATTATCTCCAGAAATTTCACCTGAAGAAATTACCGACTCTTACGTATCACACCCCCGAGACCTCAAAGATACCTTTGTAGGTCTAGCGGACAATACGCCTCCTGACCTTATACATTACGATCTGCCCAAAAGCCAAGGGTCGTCAATGTCACGCAAAGCCCCATCAAGCACACCCGATCACTCAATGCCATTCGCTACGCGAGAACAGATGTGGAACAGCGGCTAGAGCCCATCGATCGTTACGCTGGAGAACGAGAGGCCTCGAACGACTTCCTGCGGATGAATGGACTACCTACCCTCTTAGTGTCCCGACTGGACGTAGGCTGTAAATCTACGGACTGTTGGAGCCAGCAGTCAGCGTCGGTGATTGCTGTCAAAACGCTTTTCTTCATCCGGTAGTACTTCTAGTGACGCCGAAATCAGGGGCCCTCCTACCCTTGTCGATTCAGTCAGCCTCAAAGTGAAAGTGTCAAATTTTCTTCAGGAGATCGACAAAGAGACTCTCTTGCAGTGGTAGTTTACCATTACCAAAAGTAGAGTTCTTCATGACACGATCTGGAACGGATGTGGCAAACGAATATATCGCGTTCGCCATAAGTGCAAGTGTAAGGACTTTGAGCTCTGCCCCATTTGTCTTGCCAAAGCGACAACTGAACATCCGAAGCACACATTCCAGGGGCTAGTATCCAATAGCGCCGACAAAATAGATATCATCACTTAGAATCTTGCTCTCATGAGTACAAGAGAGCGTGACCATCTTCAGCACCGACGAGGCACAGAGCCGTATTAAATGGAAGATTGTCAGAAAACGCCGGACTCGATACATTTGTCCGGTGCTATACTGGAAATGAATAGATTGATTGCAGGATGTTGCAGGTAGTTTGCTTACAGTCAGCTTATACCGGTGTTACATCACTTTAATTCTCAAAGATCTATCCTGAAGCAAAACTTATTACAAGGGAACAACTGCCAAGTCAGTGACGGCCACGTTGCAATCACTAAGTGCTAAGTAAGCAAATCCTACACTAGCTATTATTCGGACGTGTGAGAAAAATAAACTATATTTAACAGTTACTCCGAGGGCAAAGACATACTCCGTAGGGATGACTCCGTAGGAATATTTAACGATTACTCCGTAGGCCCCCGAACAACCACTACCACAGCTTTGTAGCCCTATTCTTACCAACATTATCTTTAGATCCCTTGCTGATGATTATGTTATCAGCTCGCGGCCATGTGTACTCGGCTTTAGATCTAGCAGCAGGTTACATGAAGGAGCGAGGGCTTCTGTACGATAAAGACAAGCATCCGAGTGGCCTCGTATCCCTGACAAACGCCGAGAATGTGTGGTTCCATCAATTCATTATCTTACTTGTAACCACAGGTGCTAATAGATGCATTAAACAGTTCCTTATGCAAGCGAAGATGCTCCACTTCATGCAGACTCGGGTTAGTAGAAGGTTTAACATTGCCTTGGTGGACCTGACTCAATCAAATCTTAGTCTTTGCCATTGCTCGAACGCTACACCTTAACCTATCACCATGGGCCTTTTGGTTCCAAGCGCTTGAGACAAGCGATGGCCAACTTCATCAACACTGGATTCTTGCCGGCCGTTCCCACAACAGTTGATGAGATATCTTTTGTCAGTGGCGTGACCGCACTCAACAACATCTTGGCTCTGTGCACAACTGCAGAAAACGAAGGCTTACTCGTAGGGATGCCAATTTACGGATCCTTCGCTCCAGACCTACAGACTATGTCCAAGTAAGGCATTACTGAGATGATATATCACAGAGCGGCTGACGGGTTGCAGCTGTAAATTGGTCTACACCGTGTTCAATGACAAGGATCAATTTAGTGTTGATGCAGTTGATTGCTACGAGCGCTCTCTACAAGAGGCAGAGAAGAGTGGCACAAAGATAAGAGCGTTGGTCCTTACCAATCCTCACAATCCACTTGGTAGGTAACAGACAATTGCTCGAGGATCAAGGAGAAAAGTAACTCCTGCAGGTCGATGCTACCCTCGGGAGACTCTGGAAGCCATCATGAGGTTCTGCAACAAGTACAGCATTTATCTTATCAGCGATGAGATCTACGCATTCTCTGTATACTATACAGACGAATCTACCCCGGGATTCACCTCAATACTCTCCATCGATCTGGCCGGAATAATCGACAGCCAGCTTGTCCACGTCCTCTATGGTTTTTCCAAGGCAGGCCGTGTCACCTCAAAAAGGTAGCCACTCATCTGACAGCTATCCAGGACTTTGCTGCTGCCGGCCTGAGATTGGGATGCCTGGTATCTAGAAATCCAGAGCTTACAAAGGCTGTGCGGTCTCTGGCGTAGGTCTCGCGAGAACCATATGCTTCATCTCCGCTAACTTCGTGTTCCAGGCGATTCCATGGCGCAACACCATTGACAGATGCTATCGCTACTAGCATACTCGAGGACAGAGAGTTCTGCACACAGTTCCTAGAAGAGAGCGCTCGCGCATTGGGCGAACATCAAGCGATTGTAGTGAAGGCGCTCAACGATGCTGGGATCCCATATGTTCGCAAAGCGTAAGTGAAATAAATGCCAACATTTGCTCGCACAAAACAACAACTGACGTCTGGTGCTTTAAGAAATGCCGGGTTTTTCCTCTGGATTGACATGTCTATATGCTTGCAAAGTCTGTCGTGGCAAGCAGAAGACGACCTGAGGCAGAAGCTCTATGACAATGGCGTGGAAATGTCGGCTGGACATGCATATTACGATGAAAGCCCCGGAAAGTTTCGTTTTATCTTCTCGGTTGACAAGGACTCCTTAGTTGAAGGCCTTCGGAGGTGAGTGTCCGTGGATAAACAAGTTGTTTCTACGATGATGCTAAACAGATTTAGGGTGGTCTTGTTCTACAATAGTCATAGACTAGACTGATCTGGGACCTTCAAATGGAGAAAGGATAGCAACGGTTTCTTGCACCAGAGCAACTCATATTGGTCATTTGTCACGCGCGTCTATCTCTCGATCATCACACTAGACTCTAAATCTCATTCAGTTAGTGTAATCTCCAATCAATTCAAACTGCAGTTGCTCCGTCGTCACCATCTAGAAGCATGGCGCAAGTAGTTCAGCGAACCCAGTCGCAGCAAAGCAGTACAGCAAACTCTAAAGACGTAGAAATGTCTTCCGAGGACGTCGTCTGTTATAAGATTCTCGCTCCAAGGTGAGCCTTCTCGTGAGATTGTCAGCATTATTCTGCAGAGTTGCGTTTCTCTGGAGCCATTCTCATATGTCGGCTGGATCGAGCGACACCACTGCATGGGACCGTTGAAAACTCATTGCTGCAACGTCGACACTCGTTGCGCTACTTATTATTCAATGATGCCACCTAAGAGGGGCCCATCTCTCTAGGATTTCTGAAGGATCTTGGTCTATACCCAACGCTGGCAGGCTATCCTAGCCACCATGCTTCACTGTTAATCGTTGAAAAGTCTCTAGGGATCAATCAGCTTACTCTATTTTGGCCGGAGTTCTTCAGCCGGACTAGATCAAGTATCTGCGCATCGAAGTGTTCAGCTCGCAATGGGCCGGCCGTTATCCGCTCAGTGTCTGTAACTCTGCAGCACTTCTGGCCATGGTATTTCCGAACTTGAGAGGCTTTCATCGAGATTCCATACCGGACATGGACGACGTTTTTGCTCTTGAGTGGTATTTCGGGTAAGCCAACAATACTGATTTCAAATACGAACTAGACTACGGTGAATCTACTTCTCCGCATGCTGAAACTCTGCTGAGCACATCCGAAGCTTGAAGAACATCTTGAAGACTGAGAAGCGCAGCTTGGTAGCGAGTTTTAGCGTTAGTAAACCTATACTAGCACAATAACGCGCTATGGTTGTCGACAGAGGTCGAGATTGGAGTAAACTCGATGTTAGTATAGAATGAACCAAAAGGGTGACATGGTTGCCAAGTGCTACGTCTAGTCCCAGCGAGGATGTACAGGCGGCGGGGTGTTCGCCTGTGCCGTTTGTCAATACACCGTTCAAGCTGCCTACTGTGGACAGGCAACGGTCTGATGTCAGTCGCTGAATCCGAACATCTCAACAGCTCCATGTACAATGCATACACGATGTACAACATAGAAACCTTGCTGAGACGACTCCATAGTATTATTATGTTTTATTGTTACTGTACAAGCAATCCAATCCGACCACATTAGCACCTCACCGCGAGGTCCGTCATTACTCATCGAACAGCCATGTCTCGTCGCACCATACAGGCTAATAACTTAGACAAGTATTTACAAGGCAAAGAGAGCAAGAGCGGCAGCGCCGAGAACGGCGGCAGCCTGTGTAGCGTGGGCGGCAGCACCAGTGAACTCGGAGACCGATGAGCTGGTAGCAGGCGCAGTGCCGTTGGAAGTCGCCGTAGCAAGGTGGCTGCTGGCGGCGCTGGCAGCGCTGGTGATAGCGCCAGCAGCACTGCTCGCAGCGGACGCAGCAGCGCTCGACGCGACGCTCTCAACTGAGCTTGCCACGGAAGCAGCAGCAGAGGCAACAGAAGAGGCGGCTGATGCAGCAGCGGAGGTCGCGGATGCGACAGCAGAGCTAGCAGCGGATGTAGCGTCGGGGATCTCAATTGGTACACCGGCGTCCTGGCACGTCTTCTCGACGGCCGCAATGGTGGTGGCCTGGTCGTCGGCTGTGCAGGCGCCTTGTACACAGGGCTGTACGGTGCTGAGCAGCTTCGCGCCTTGCTTGCAGTGGCAGGCAAAGTCGGTCAGGCCAGCGCAACCATCGCTGGTGAGAGGGCCGATGAAGCATTGCAGCTACGGAGCGTTAGCAGAATAGACATGGGTATAAGAAGGAATGGGACGTACGGCGCAGGCGGGAATGTTGCTAAGCTGGGCTGTGGCAACAGTGGCCAGGGCAACGATGGAGGTGAGAGCGAAGGTCTTCATGGTGGTAGAATATGGACTGAAGTGACGGTCAATGACTGGACGAGGGTGTTGGACTCGGTTTGTGAACGACGGTGATGCTTGATGAACTGGGAAGTCAACGAACATGCAATGCTTTATACCACAATAGGCCGCATTGGCCCTGAGCAAGGAACACTCCGTATTCAGGAGAGCTACTCGCCATCATCGTCACATGCAGCTCCTGAACTCCTCCGTACTGTGCCAGATCCCTTGATGTGTTGAGAAAATCCTCACTTGCTTGGGCTGGATCGAGGGGGAAGCCTGTTCGCCGAGATGATGTCCCCTTTCCGCAAATGAGATTGAAGCTCATAGAGGAGCAACTGCCCTTCACGATCAAGTTTTCAGACGTTCTGGGGTAGCCTCGACAAACCCTTTTATTGTTTCGGCACAAAGCGAGCGGATGGCCCGGAATGATTGGCCATGAGGCATGCGCTCTTACGTCTGGAGCTGTTGCGGCGGTAGCAAGCGACGGGGGTGTGTTCTTGTTAAGACACCAAGACCGGTGCCCCAGACGCCACAAGTCTTACTTGACTGGGTGTGGTGCTGCAGGTGGCCCGCGAGGACGATCGCGGCGGGAGCTAGTTTGGGCATGGCGTGATGCAGAAAATCCGGGGTGGCTTGGCTATTCACAAGCTCACGCGCACCCAGACCCAACGTCCTGTGGTGCACGAATGTGAGGCATGTCCTGTGTTATAACGCGTATATCGAGCCGTTCGATCGATACCTGTAAGAATTCAAATAGGTAGTCCTGATGATCAGTCGTAAGGTTTGCACCCTTGGTCCCGTCTCATATCTCCTTTCTTGGTCATCTCCCGAGGTGGCAACTATTCGCGCAAAACCAGGCCAGTCATGGAACGGATGACAATGCCGGGCCGCACGCCTTGACGTTACACTTGGTGGCCTCGAGTGCGCCAGGAATTAGCGAGTGGCGTATGGTTCTCCGTGGGCAAATTGAATTGTCTCGTGTGTGCTTTGTACCAACACTGTACCTGCATCTGCAGCCTCAAACATAATCCCATCTCGTAAAATGGAATCGCCACTCAAATCGAGCTCCTTCAGTGTTGCCAATCATGTAGATCAGGTCAGGTTTACTGCAGGAGCTGCGAAATGTTGATGCCGATCCAAATGCGTTCCACGATGGCGGATGCGACGGCTCGGTTTGTTGTGAAGTTCCTCGGCAGCATGTGCGTGCACATGAACCCCAGCAGTCAAACGCAAACAATCTGGGGAAAATCTGGGGTCGGAGCATGCTTGGCTGAACGTAGCTTGATCAAATTACGTGCAGCGCAACTGTCAGAGATTAGAATTGACGAGGATCTCATTTACAACCTCCAGTGGCTTGCGTTGCAGTACGGCAGACTGTTCGCCTGGTGGGACATGTTGACGTAACAAGAAAGACCGAAAGGGGAGATCAAGTTGTTGGATCTAACCTGAAAGATATCGCGCCTCAGCGATTCTTAGAGCTGGAGAACCTATAGCGCTGACTGGTGCGTTGTTCCTTACATGCCACTCACGTTGGCAGGATTGAACTTATCTGCAGCGTATGTTTTTTAGTGCGACTTTCCGAGCATCACCTACTGTACTCGAGATGTCTCGCGCTCTTGACGTGAAATTTACACCACGTCAAAGTGTAAATATTTGCTAGGATTTTCAGTCCAGGGGAAGTCACTGGCTAGTTTTCCTGTGGATGGATATCCTGTTAATCACGTGCCCTACGTACTTGCCTTTCATATATCGGAGAGATGAAGGCCTCAGACCTGCCTACTGCCGTAAGAGAGTTGGAACAGTCAGATGGCGCTCTTGAGAAAAGGTTGACATGCGAACAAACTTCATTGACGACTTGTGAGGGTAAGCATTCCTGTACTTCTTCAACCATGATCGCGAAGGTCCAGTGAATAGAAACTTCAGGATTGATCAAAGCTGGAATTAAGAGGTCGCCAGTGACATCTTGTACTCGATGCCTTGTGATGTCGAGATCAGACTTCGGTGTTGCGTGATTTCAATTGACTGCTGCTTCCCTCCAGCTTATCGATACAACACGCCAAGACTCTGGTTTGATGTCGCGCTAAGGAAATCATCATTGAGGTTCGTGCCGCGGTCCAGACAACGACAACAACGCAAAGATCCCTCAACCTTTCGTCAGTTCAGTTAGCTGTCGCCGGACCTTCTAGACTTCCTTCATCGCACATACGCACATCAGAACGACGCGCGATGGCGACAACGGAACCGATTTCAAGCTCCACCGAGCAGCTCGTACGCGCATCGGGAAAACGCACAAGAGAGATATTCGCCGCAGACTTCGCATCATCAGCTGCTCTGAACCATGCGTCAAACTCGGCATTCTCGATCACTGCTACAACCCCCGCGCCCTCAACGGCTGCCGACCAAGTCAATGTCGCCGCGCGCATTCGCAACGAATACGAGCATGTCCGCGAATTACCACCAGCTCTTGCTGCCAAGATGGCCGCAGCAGCCTCTACGGCAGCAGAGCGACGCAAGAAGATCAAGAACCAGAATGCAGAAGAGCAGGCTTCAGACCCCAAGATGCGCAAGATGATTGCAGGCGCATCAGAGAAGGCGGACAAGGCGAAGGACGCGCAGTCAATGGCATTGACGTTGAGAGCGGGAGGGAAGGGCGCAGCACCTAATGCGAATGGCCCTACACCGAGCAGAAATGCGACGTCGAGCGCGCTGGTGCGCAAGGACACGGTCCGGCAGACGAAGCCAGATTGGCACCAGCCCTGGAAGGTGTCGAGGGTCATGGCAGGCCATATGGGATGGGTGCGGTCGCTGGCTGTGGATCCGGACAACAGATTCTTTGCTAGTGGTGCAGCTGACCGGACAAGTATGAATTCTTCCATCCAGATCCACAACCTACTTGCTAACGCTTTGAACAGTCAAGCTCTGGGATCTCGCGAGCGGGCAGCTAAAGCTTACGCTCACTGGTCACATCAGCGCCGTCCGTGGCCTCGAGATATCGCCACGCCATCCATACTTGTTCTCCTGTGGTGAGGACAAGATGGTAAAGTGCTGGGATCTGGAGACAAACAAAGTCATCCGCCACTACCACGGCCATCTTAGCGGTGTCTACACCCTCGCATTACACCCCACGCTCGATGTACTCATTACGGGAGGTCGCGATGGCGTTGCTCGAGTTTGGGACATGCGGACAAGAACAAACGTACACGTTCTGAGTGGGCACAAGGGTACCATCGCAAGCATCAGGGCACAAGAAGCGGACCCACAGGTCATCACAGGGTCCATGGACTCTACCATTCGCCTCTGGGATCTGGCAGCCGGCAAGACACAAACGGTTCTGACACACCACAAGAAGTCAGTCCGCGCACTCGCATTGCACCCGAAGGAATTCACATTCGCATCCGGCTCCTCGCAGTCGATCAAGCAATGGATGTGCCCACGCGGCGACTTCATGCTTAACTTTCAGCCCGCCAACAGCATTGTAAACACCCTCTCTGTGAACGAAGACAACGTCATGTTCTCCGGTGGTGACGATGGTTCAATGTCCTTCTGGGACTGGAAGACTGGGCATCGATTCCAGCACACCGAGCAGATCGCGCAGCCTGGTTCATTGGATGCGGAGGCTGGTGTCATGTGCTCGACATACGACAGGACTGGGTTGCGATTGATCGTTGGTGGTTCAGACAAGTCGATACAGATCTGGAAGCAGGACGACAACGCGACTGAAGAGTCGCATCCGCTTGACTGGCAGCCCACGCTTGGCAGGCAGAAGTTCTAAGAACGGCATTGAAGCACGTTGCATTTGCATTGGGAGGTGTTGAGGCGTTTGAAAGAGATACCATAGCTGTAAAGTAGATGAGTCGCGAAGATCTAGAAATCACGTACCTACGTCGTATGCATTTCAGAGGTCACCTTTTGCTGAGGCCTTCGTCGCTGCCATCCAGAGCGTTCCATCCCTCCCAGAGCGTCGCCTCTCTCCTGTTCCAGCACGATATTTTCTCCACATCTGCGACTGATCTGATCTCAATCAGAAAGACATACTTGGTGACTTTGGCACTCCCTTCTCTGGCCGCGCGGTCCCCTTGGCCGTATATCGTATTCTCGGTGGCCCGCGCACTACCGTATCGCCGGCGCGTCGCTGCCGACGTCAACCTCACCGACTTCCCAATCTTACCCAACCCCACGCAAGATGCACCTCGCCAAGGAAAGACTATGGCCCTGAAGCGCAGAGATGTAGTCCTCGCCGCCGTCGCCACATTCATCGCCTGGGGATACCTCACCCACTGGCAGCCGAAGCTGCACTACCTGCCCTATGCCTTCGTCGCCGGCGCATTGGCTACGCTGGCCGCAGGAGCTTGGCTGACCTTCACCACTGCCTGGAGTAAGGAGTTACACTACACAGAGACTGGGTATGGAGCTCGGCATGCTGCGTTCATCAGGCCAGAGCGATGGGCGGCGGAGGTGGCTGCGCTCAACAAGCGCAACGAGTACATGATGGAGCCCATATACCCCGCCTCGTTCGTACTGTCGGACAGCCTGGACGTACTGATAGGCTTGATACTACGGGACTTCGTCAAGGGCTGGTACGGCAGTATCAGCAAAAGCCCAACCTTCGTCAACGAGGTCGACCGAGCGATTCGCGGCGCGCTTGGCGAGATCCGAGACCACATTCTCGCAGTAGACGTGGTCGAGATGGTCGTGTCACGCATCATACCTATAATCACCGACCACTTGCGCGCGTCGTACGAAGCCGAGCAAATCGTGCGCGGACGAAAGTTGATGCGCAATGTCACTGAGAGCGAGGAGCTGGACCTTGCGATTGCGGCCAAGTACAAGGATGGCCGTCTACATCCAGCTGCATCGCTAGCATATTCGAACACGAAGCCGATTCAACAGCAACATCTACGCAGCCTCATCTCCCGTATACTGCCGAAGATCATGTCGCCCAGCATGATGACTAGTCCGGCGGTCACCGTCCTGATCAAGGAGCTAGTGTCCTGCGCCGTCTTGTCGCCTATCATGCAGATGGTCGCTGATCCAGACATGTGGAACCAGCTGATGGAGGGTTATGTAAGTTGAAATATGCCTACACAATAGCAGGCGCTCATTACTGCAGGGTCGCACACTGCTCCAAGAGCGTAAGACAGTCCGCAAACTTCGCGCCGCTCTTGATCAGCAGACGCCGCCCTCGCCCAAGATTCCCAGAAATGTGCAGTTTCCAAAGCTTGCGCCTGGTGACAACGAACGGCGCTTCGAGAAGTTCATACGCGCAATCCGACAGACAAATACCCTGGCCGATGCCCGTCGATTCCGCAGCGAGATCTCGAGTCAGTTGCGAAAAGACTCACAAATTGAGGGGCAGGATGCGGTGTATCTGCGGCGTCTTGAGACGGCGCGCAGTATACTGGATCAAAAGGTCGCAAACTTGAGTGCTGGCGGCTCGGTGCGAGCTAAAGTGGCAGCCAAGGAGAAGCCCAAACATAAGCGCACATCGTCCAGATTCGCCAATGCATCCCTTCGGGAAGTGCTGTACGATGCTTCTGGCCTATCTTGCTTCATGGAGTTCATGGATCAAGCAGACTTGATGCGGCTGGTGCAGTTCTGGATCGTTGTCGATGGGTTTCGTAATCCACTTGAGGACGAATTGGACGAGGAGGCTGATAAGATTAACGGCCCATTGCCGTCTTGGACGGATTCAGACCGTGCCGATATTGCGCAGATTCATGACGCGTATCTTTCAAAAGCAGAGATGAAGATACTACCCGAAGCTAAAGAGGCGGTCTTGAAATTTCTCAAAGCCGGACGCGTGGCCACTCCGCAGCAGTATCACGATGCACGACGCTCCCTACTCCGGGCCCAGACTGATGCCTACGATCAGCTGCAGGAGCCGTACTTTAGACGGTTCAAGAGGTCGAATCTGTACTACAAATGGCTCGCGATGGACGAGGCTGCGAATCCTAGCAGAAACATCGGCACTCAATCAATCGCGCAAACTCTGGACAATCCTTCTACCGCAGCGCCTGCAATGATGAGGTCGCAGTCATCGCAAAGACCCATGCTCAAGCTTCCGACAGGAGACCTTCGGCGTGCCGTAGCTTCATCATCTGACCTCAAGAGCCAGAACATGATGAAGGATTTCGAACCGCCGCTCAGACGGTCGCTAGACATGCAATCCCCCAACACACTCCGTTCTCCACTGTTCGACGATGACTACGACACTGATACGATGGCACAGTCGACTGCAAGCTTAGACTCTGACTATGGTCAGACCCATACCAACGGTAACAATAGTCAGGTTGTGGATGCTATGCATGCTGCATTGACAGATATCATGGACGAACCTGAAGGCTCACTTTTTCATGATCCAAATTTGAAATCACCTCAAGACATTGGCTCCCGAAAAGGATCAGTTGAAATACCAAGAGCCTTTTCGCCACGACCACAGATGCAAAATAGAAAGGAAAGCGAGAAGCCGAGTATAGCATCGCTGGGACTTGTTGGTGCACCACGGACGCGCGGTGTCTTCAACGACGATCTTTTTGGCGATGAGGAAAAATTTCTTGAAGACGAGGTTGAAGACCCGACCTCTATCGCTGTCAAGACAGATGAAGAAGACATCCATGAGGCTGCTCCCGGAGACCTGGGCCTTGCAGAAGCAATTGATGCACTGACCGCGGACATTGAGCGGTTAGTGACACAAGAGTCAATCGTAGACTCGCTCACCAGCAAGGCGGAATTGACGAATAATGCTGCGGAGTTGAGGATCCTGAGAAAGAGCAAGGCCAGTTTGCATAGAGAGATACAGAGAAAAGAGCTGCAGCGGCAACAGTACATTGTTCAGGAGAGCGATAATAGTTTGTACGGACGCGCTACGGTGTTCATACAGTCTATCATGGTGGGCACTGAAGAGGATGGCAAGGAGTATGCTATGTGTAAGTCAATTTCCACCGTAGCTCGTCAAAGTGTATTGAACCTAACCCAAACAGATGTCATCGAGGTCAAACGCAGAGCAGGTGACCAGATGCCGGCTGCAACATGGGTGATCTCCCGTCGCTACAGCGAGTTTCACGAGTTGCAGAAAAATCTTCGCGCCAAATTCCCGCAAGTCAGACACCTTGAATTCCCCCGCCGCCAGATGATGCTCAAGCTTCAAAAAGACTTTCTGCACAAGCGCCGCCTAGGCCTTGAGAAGTACCTTCGAGAGCTCCTTCAGATACCATCTGTGTGCCGATCACGCGAACTTCGCTCCTTCTTATCGGCATCCGCAATCAACCCAGCAGACACCCTGAAGAACCCTGTGGAAACTAATGATTTCGTCTCTCGCATCTACAGTTCGGTAGCTGATGGCATGGAAGAGTTTCTGGGCAATATTCCAGTCCTAGACCAGTTATCAGTCGCGGGCCAAAACCTCATATCAGCAGCCACAACACAACTCGCAGCAAACAATCAGCCTGGCGATCCCACCGCTCCGCCAGGCTTCGAAGCAGGTCTCGGTGTGGGAGATGCAGAAGCCGAGGCAGAACTGTTGGCCTTCGAGAGTAAAGAGTTTGAGCCGCTGGTAAAACCAATCTGCGACCTGTTCCTCGAGGTGTTCAATTTGAACGCACAGAATAACTGGCTCCGAGGACGCGCAGTTGTCGTGGTTCTACACCAGCTACTCGGAGGCACTATCGAGCGCAAGGTTCGCGAGTCCTTCACCTCCTTCACCTCTGGGAACGCCATCGCAGGGTACGTGGACAAGCTCGCCGATACGATGTGGCCTGGTGGCCGCATGAAGCAGCCTGACCCCAATGCGCAGCCTCGCACGCAGAAAGACAAAGATAAGAGCAGAAGAGAAGCCAAGGCGGTACTTGAGACTCTTATCCCGGAGCTGGCGAGTAGTGTGGTCGGAAGGGGCAATGCGGTCACGGCGGCTCGAAGGCTGGAAGGGATGATCAACAATGAAAGGTTGAATACACATTTAGTGTTCACGATTGTGGATGAGGTTGTGGGGGTGTTGTTCCCCGATGCGTAGTACAACAGCTGTAAGGCAAATCGAAGCTGACACTATCAACCTATGAGAACTAGACTAGATCGTTCTAAAGCGATGCAGGGATGCCTGACCCCTCATCTTGTAGCTGACGAGTCTTGGCTTGTTTCTTTTCTTGTTCTATTGTCTCGCCTTGTTCTTGTTTAACATTTCCTCGACACACCAGACCACGTTCGCATATTCATAGACGCCTCCATATACCATGTGGGCTCTTGTGCCACCACCGAATTTAACGGTACTGGGGCTTGCGATCGCACTTGTCGTATTTCTTAAATATGCGCTTCGATTCAACATTCATCCACAAGAGCCACCTGTCGTCTATCCCAGGATTCCCTTGGTTGGGCACATCATCGGCATGCTCACCGCCGGAGCCACCTATTTCGGGGAGCTGTAGTCAGTGCGCCGTGTTTATTCCAAGATTGTTACTGATAGATAACCATAGTGAGATGCACGGGTATCCAATCTTCACGCTACCTATGTTCACGGGTCGGACCTATATCGTGACGTCACCAGAACTAGCTTCGGCTGTGCAAAAGGCGCCCTCGAGTCTGGAACTCGACCCAATCTTCGAAGAAATCGTTCCTCGTCTGGCCGTCCTAAACAGACACACGACGTTGATCATGAGAGGCACCGCTGCTGGGCGGAAGGAAGGAGTTAGCATCAACAAGCTCTCACACAAGATCTTGACATGGCAATCCATTTCACGTGGCTCGCATGCGCAACTGGGCTTCCTTGGAGAACTCATCAACAATGTTGAGGACTATCGCGATGTTGATCTTTTCCGTTTTGTTCGTGAGACTGTCTGTGAGGCATCCAACAGAACATTTTTCGGCCCCCAAAATCCGTTCGAAAAGGATCCTAGTCTCCTAGACAGTTTCTGGGATTGGGAGAACGGCCTCACAGTTCTAATGATGGGTATTTTCCCCAGCATCACGGCTCGCAAATCATATCGGGGCTTCATGAGATGCGCCAGAGCCTTTGCAGCATACATCGAAGCAGGCGGGTACGAAAACGCCCATGAAATCGTGCAAGCTCGCAACGAAATGCACCTACAGCACGGCATCTTTGATGTGCTGGAAAGAGGAAAACTCGACGTCGCGATGCAATTAGCTACGAACGTAAACGCCAGTATAATCACATTCTGGTTGCTAAGTAATGTTTTCAGTCGTCCGGACCTCTTAGCGCGGCTACGCGACGAGATCACAGAGAACGCTCTTGTAGGTCCTGCCACACTATCGCTCGAGTTCCTTCGCCAGTCGTGTCCTACCCTGGTCTCAGTTTTTCGCGAGATTCTCCGCCTGTATGCCCCACTGAGCAGTGTACGGTACATCGGCGCCGACACCATGCTAGCAAACACCTACCTCGTCAAGAAGGGCGCTATTATTCAAGTCGCCGGCAGCGTGATGCACAAAGACAAAAGCCACTGGGGACCGGACGCAGCGTCGTTCAACCCCGATCGCTTCCTGTATAGTACTAGCGGCACGCGAGTAGGCAGTGATGGCCGCGTCTCAGAGGACAAGTCTAGTAATCTGCATCCAGCGACGTTTCGAAGCTTTGGCGGTGGGACGAGTATGTGTCCCGGACGCAACTTTGCTCAAGCAGAAATCCTCAGTCTCTCCGCAGTCTTACTGCTGGGATTTGATATGAAGGCGCACGATGAGCTTGCTTGGAATCCGCCACCGGATACCAAGAGACCCCTCATCTCTGCCATGAAGCCGGTGAAGGAAGTTAAGGTAACGATACGAAGGCGCAAGGAGTTCAAGGGTGTGAAGTGGGAGTTGAAATTGTGAATTAGAAAAGTTCGATAATCCGACGAAAGGTTGATTCTTTTGGATGGACCTCGCTGTTGGTCGCGGGTTGCACAGATGATCGTGCGTGTAGGTAAGATAAGATCTATACTGCAAGCCTTATGTAGGTCGATCTGAACCTCAAGTTGTTGCCGCGACAAGAGCACTCGTATATCCAGAATACCATGGACTTTTCATAGTGCCTTTTTCGCACTCAAGGCATCCAATCGCCTTCCGATCTCGACCATCTCCTGATTGGGAATGACGGGTGTTTTCGACCCATTGACAGCCAACTCCGCCACAGCCGTTCCCAGCTCTTCACCTCGAATGACGAACCAGCTTGTAAATACAAATTGTGCAACCTTGTTCACGAAGGTATCCCCGCCCATGAGCACTCCACCGGGTTTGATGACAATGGCTCTCAAAGTGTCGCTGTGTTGGTGTGCGAACGTGAGTATCTCGGTCTGCAATAGACCTTTCATGTGCCGTTGGGCGGGGAGGAACCACAACCACTGCGATTGGTTGGTCTCAGTGAATGCGCCACCTAGAAGAATGAATTGTATCTTCGTCGTCTTGCCATCGCGTATATTTGAACGCTGTACAAGGTGCCGTTGGAATTGCAGGGGGTAAGTGAAATTGACGTCTTCGTTCAAGGTGTATGTGCCCATCGCCCAGACCAGCGTGTCGGCGTCTCGTATTGACGACCATGTCGCGTCTGAGAGGTCATCCAGGTTACCGAAGTCTTCGATAATAGCATTATGTACTCGTGGGTCCGTTGACGGTAATGGTTTTCGCGTTATCGTGACAATGCTATCAACGTCGTCACGTTGAAGAGTCTGCTGCAAGATGATGCTTCCAATAGATCCGGTTGCGCCAACAATTGCTATCTTCATTTTTGATCGAGATGATAACCAAAGTAATAAAGATAGCCCGATTCCATGGTTGTAGTGATGCTGTCGATTTATAGTCGACAACCTGTGGAGCTGGCGGACGAATAGTCGAGAGTCAGTCCGTTATCGCGGAAGGAGTTAAGAGGTAGGGAGACTGACTCGTCCGCATGAACGTATGCGGCGGGGTGGCGATTAGTCCGTGAAAAGTTAAGCGAGCTCACTGCTTCCGGACTTGGGGAGGATAAAACGCTTCGCATGGCACAATGCACCTGCAAAACAAGAGTCAGTACAGTAAGTTGACCTCACTTTCCTGGTATATCTATAGAGTCCTTTGTTATCCTGGTACCCTTAGGCAGGGCATGGTGGACAGATGGCAGCCCGGTGTCGAACACAAAACTCTCATCGTCGAGTTGATCCGGATGAACACCAAACCATATCATCAATGCGTAGGTCGCGGGTACTGATAGCCTTATTCGATCAACGCGATCGAGACCTGACATGTTGAGAGCTTTCTGAAGTGACCACCAAGTCGAAATCCCAATCCATGTCTCGGTCCCCACATCGAAGATCTGTATGGCCGTTGACAAAAGTATGGTGGTCGCAGTCTGTTTGCGATGGTGAGCAATGAGTCTGATCTCGAAAGGTTCTGCTGCAGGTTTGTCCAAAGGGTGTGCGATAGCATGTATACAGCCATGGTCCGTCGGATCATCTGACTGTGTGTTGGTGCAGAGAAGAAGATCATCGCGCGTGAACTTCAAACGTGGAGCCCCCTTGCAACCACTGAAGCTGCATTTCACGCTTCCTCGCATACGAGGTATGATCGAATTTGTGGGCATGACTCGGCGGATAGGGATGCGCACGCGAGTATCTGGTTTATGTCTGACCGATTGAACAAGAGCCCAGGGGTTGACGACTGTTCGAGTCTGTTGCAGTTGATCGCCGGCATCTTCTTCCAGCAAGGCTACTTTCAAGATGTCCACTAGTTCTGGTGAGTCCCCAGCGTTGAAATGTTCGCTGACTCGCCAGAACAAATCTGCGACGCTCTCGTCGTAATTCACCAGAAACCTGTGATGTCCTTCAATGAGCCCCAGTAAGCTGTAGATTCTGTCGCGTTTGTCGGTACAGTCTGCGTTTTTGTGCATGTGCATCAGTGACCAGAATGAGAAGAGCTCGGTCTGGGTCGAATTTGTGGGCCCTCTAGTGGAACGCTTGCTCGTCCATTTATCATCCCAAAATGTCCAGAGATGAGCCGCGTGCTCATCTTGCAACTGATGCAAATTTCCAGATCTTGCGATGGCATTGCCAAGTATGGCCCACTCGATCTTCAAGCCTCCAAGAACGACTGTCACTCTCTTTGCCAACAGTATCTCTTGTTTAATCCAGGCTCGCTGCCAATAGGGGTTGAAACGGACTGTGTCCCATTGCTGGCGCAAATGGGCAGGACACTCGCGGCTATGCGCCATGCGCAGCCAGTTATGGAAAGCATCGACCAGCTTACCCTGGCTGCCGAGCCACACGAATACCTCTTGTGCGTTCGAGTAGATCGTACCCATCCGCTGAACCTGGTGTCCACGCTCCACGATGCAACTCTGATCGATGCATATCGCATCAATCCAGAGTGGTTGGTTGAAGCCACGCTGCGCCCAAATCTGTACTTCTTGTAAGAACTTGTGGAGGTTCTCGCTAATGAGCAAGGCCTGACCACCTATAAGTACTTTGTGCTGACGCGAAAGCGAACCCCATTGATATGAAACGCATTGGTACTGAGCAGTAAAGACGCTGTGCCACAGAGCCAACTGAAGATAGCCACGCTCGGACCGTTCCGGGAGTACCCTAATCAGACGGATCGAATCATGGGTCAAATCCAAGGATTGATATTTGAAGTCGCTTTCGTCGGGTCTGTGCGCGCTCTCGACATCCGTAAACATCAGCGACATCTAACCAAGGAACGGATGTATGAAGTCAACAGGAACAAATGAGACTGTGGTGTAAGATACGAGTGCCGGCATTGACATTATGTCATTCGGCTGCGCCCCATGCATCCTGCTGCAGCTCTTCTGTAAGCGACATGGGCCAGGCAGGCTATGTACACTTGGCAAACCATCAAGTATCGCCAATGTCACCGAGACATGTCCAAAGAGCCTTTGAACCGAGCATACTGCTCTTAGGCACGTCCGGACAGCCGGCGTCTTCATTTCATTCGATTGCTATCGTTCTAGCGAGTGTAATTAGGTACTGCAGAGGTAGATGTCTTCGCTACTTCTCATCACATTTGTCGGTGGCTCCCCAATACTGTACGAGCTCATCATGTATTATCGCCGTGTTGAGGCGAAACTTGAAAACTGCATTCCCTCACAAATTGATCACGGGTGCAGTCGTACCTGGCGCAATCTGTATGTTGATGTCTGGGTCTGAGATGAACACAACCATTACAGCTGAGAACCTGCGTTTTGTCAAAATTGTTTTTCAATGCGAATGCCCGACGGCAGTGAAACTTACGCAGCAGTAGCGGCAAAGATTTCTGTTCTTGAACTCGTTCCTTGTGTTAAAAAGATGAGTCCCGCAGCAAAGACAATAGCAAAACCACTGATGCACAGGAGCAAATCTCGGGTACGAGAGAGCTGCTTGAGCACAACAATGGCAACGACAGGGATCAAGCAAGCAACGATTGTTGACAGGCTTGAAGTCAGGCGCAGCGCAGCTCCCTCTGACATCCGCTCGACGGTGTTACGATCTGGCTGTTCATTCTCTTCCTGCTCTTTTGGCTGTTTCTCTTCGTCCGACTGCCCTCGCCGATAGTCCCGTAACGACCACCAGTAGGGGAATAGATAGTATACCGTCCACTTGGTCAGTCCATCTATCTTAGATTCCGGATGTGTGACAACGAGATCAGGGTCGCTCTTTGGTGGCGGCTTAGCCCACAGCAGTGCGCTTAACACTGTTCGAAGATCGCCTTTGTGCTGTGTATCGTTCGCATCACCCCATGCGTTCACTGTACTGCCTTTCTTACGGATCCTTCCTTGGCCGTAATTGCTGCTCGAGATCCAGGAACGGAGAGATCGCATATTGTACTCTTCCGGGTCTTTTAGCGCGGAAACTTGTGACAACTGTAGCAATGCCTCGTCTGTGGTGCTTGAATGTCAGCTGCACGTCACTTATAACAAACCCTCGAGCGATAGGACATACTGTACTCTCGCAACAAGCCCCTCAACTTGATTAAAGAGTCATGGTAGGCCGAGTTGCCTTTTTTAACGATTGTATCATAACGTTCGATGTTCAAACTTTCATCCAATTCCTGCATCTCAATCTGGTGGTGCAAAAGTTCCAATTCTACCTGGTAGTAGAGTAAGTTTTTCATGTTGAGCTCTCGAAAGCGAGGGAAGGCTGCGAATTCTGGCACCTTCGACATGACCTCTGCAAGGCGCGGCCAGCCAGGACGATCTTTCCAGTGATGGGATTCATTAGCTGTGAACATTTCGAGGGGAGAATGCTCTTGCAGTGCAATCTCCGGTTTTGGTGCAGCCGTATCTGACGATGTTCGCCGCTCGCCATGGCCTTCCAGCCGGTGCTTTGGACTTGGTGGTGCCGAATGATCGAATGCCGTGGATTGATTTGACTGATGGCTTGCCATTGAATCGCATGACGATCTCATCTCTACTGACTCCATTGTTTCGCAGGCAGCAATAGCTGGCGAGCTCGAACATTGGCTGGCAACCCAGTTATAAGACCTGGAGTACTAGCACAGCCTCAAAGATTCTGCAGTAGGAGCACATGTCAGCTGCCCGTCTCTTGCAGCATAGCCCGGATGATACATGCTTCAAGAGAGGGGTTTGCAGCCAGCCTGCATGCAAACATAATGTTCAGCCTCGTGCGATCCAATAGCATGTCGATGATAAAACCCTGGCTTACATATTGAATGCGCTTGCGCACATCTCATGTATGTTATCGGTGTCGCAACGGTAGAGATATCATGACGGGTTTCGGTGAGGCGATACTGAGTCCATGCAGCTGCACGGCTTTGACTGCTGTTTACAGGAAGGGGTTGCCTTCTGGATGCCCACGAGCATAAATAATCTGGGTTGCCTCGCGACTGGTGTTGGCATCGACCTGGATCCAAACGAGACAGTGTGAACAACCTTTCAAGGGCAGCTCCAGGCCTATTTCTGCCATGAAACCCGTGACACTATACTTACGGCACCTGTGCACGTCCGATCAGCCACTTGGCACTTTTGTAGGAATCAACCAACCTTCATGGCAGCTGATAAGCTACAGAACTACAGTGAAATACCTCCGTTCATCGTAAAAAGAAAGTGTTTTCTTTCCTGATGCTACATCTTGCCAAGTAGCCGATCGGACGTGCCCGGGTACAGTACTGTGATGGGGCTGTTATTGATGAGATCTGAGACAGGTGAGTGCTACCTAGGCATTCTCACAGCCCGAGTGATGCTCTAGATATTCTGCGTTACGATCGTTCCCAGGGTAGTTTGTGATACGAAAATGCTGTATGTAAAGGCGAAAATGATGTCAGTGAATCCGCGGGATAAAGCGAGCGTCATGGAGCCAGGCGCTTGTGGAAGCGGGGGAGCCCACGCTAGCGCAATCCTCGTGAGTCCTTTTCATGTGCGCAGGCCATGACTGTTTCTGATGTTATTTGACTTAGGGAAAATTCGAAGTCCAAACTGTTCGGGAAAGCCCTGAGCCTAGATTGTCGGTTACTGTCAGCTAGACAACTACTCACCGGTTGCACAAGGATCCTCGATACGTGCTGCGTCTTGCTGACCACCCAAAGCGCCTCGTTACGCTAGGCGGCAGTCAGCTCAGCAATTTGCCTTGCTGCCTCTTCTGACAGTGCATGCTACGTTTGCCTGTCAGATCTTCGCGTCAGTCACACTACTCGATGGGTGAAGTACCCGCTCGTCGTGACAAAGGTCCAGCCTGTGCCCAACCATTACAGGCCACTCAGCTCGTTGTGCGCCTGTGTCCGGGCGGACATGACCGAAGAGAAAGCAGCAAATTTGACTTGCGCTGGACAGATGTAGAGGGGGTGCAAGAATGCGTTACTGTTGCGTTTTCTATTTGGGCGCGAAGATTCGGCTTACAGATACAGCCTCTAGATGCACACTACCCAACTAACTATACTTCTAGAATAAACGGGCGTTTAGAGATCGAATGTTGAGCTGGTGATTGGCACACAAGGCTTTGGATTGAAGGACAACTCGCCATGGAGGCAATTTCAAGCCCCGGACCCCATCACTCGCACAGCCCGAGCACAAGGATTATTTCGTTATCACGCACATCTCGTCGCCGAAGACCTTCTTTTGGGCCCCCACACAGGATTATCGGAGTTTCGGACGAACCATCCCCTACAGTCGGTGAACTACATCTGGGTTCCTTGTGACCGAGACCGCACACTTCCGTCCCAGCCATTGTTGGTGGTTGCGCACGAGGTCAAAAGGCTGAACGAAACCGTACCTGCGGCCGAACGCCAACTTCACGTCTGAGCCACTACTTATATTGGATTTGGGGGCTTCGACTGTGCTTATAAGACACGCAATCCTAGCTGTGTTGTCTGTCGCTTCGTATACGCCTCATTTGGGCGCTTCACACCAGAATTGTCGAGTCATTTTTCAACAACTTACTTTATTACGATGGCTGAGGAAGACATACGGGGTAGGTTCAGCCAGCTCAACCAAGCTCAAATTCCAATAATCGAGAACCAGATACGAGGGCTTCAACCCCTCCATCAGACCAGTTTCTTGCTGCACCTGTTATCAACGTTGGTCGTGGTCGTTCTTCGTCTGCCGCTCCTTCGTTTCGATCATTTCAGTCACACATAACCACTTTCGAGGAGAAAGAAGACATCCAAAGTGTTGACAGTCTGCACTCCAACGGAATACAAGTGCAGCGGCAGCAGACATTCAAGATTGGACGCAGTGTGAGCCTCATGGATCGTGTCAAGGGCGTTTTTTTCCCGAGCACTCTGATGGCGAAGATCGAGAACTCCATCGAAGTGGTGAAGTCTGATGTTCCAAATGATGAAGTAAATATCCAACTAAGTATTCTTGTGTACATAGCGCTGACTTTGCAGATGTTCCATCGCCAGCCATCGCCCTGGATAGTGGATGTGCATGTCTCGCGAAAAGCCAACAGCAGGGATCACCACAAGACGCTGTGCCTTCTAGATACAGGTTGTTTGCATGGTAACATTGTATCGAAGGAGCTTGTAGAGACTCTTGGCTTCACAGAGACTGACTATCAAGAGCTTAGCGAATTGGAGCGCCAGGGCGGAGTCACAATGTCTGGCGAGCCTTTTCTTGTTGAAGCTGCCATCTTTCTCTCGTGGCATCACAACTCGAGTCTCAAAAGATTCCATCGGATGCGGTTCTTGGTAGCATCCCATGGGAAGAATTTCGACATGATCATTGGCGCGCAGACCATATGCAAGTACGAGCTCATGTCACGCCCAGTGTTCGGCCTGGACAACGGCATTGTCAAATCTAGTGGCAGCGGTAAGCATTGGAATCGATATTTCACGGCGCCTCTGAGAAACTGACCTATCTAGCAAACAAGGCTGAAACCGTGCTGACGAATGAGAGAGGCACGTTGCAAAGCGATGTCGAAGATTTGCAAGAGTTGATAGACGAAGAGAAGAGTCTAGAAAAGCTGTCGCAGCTCAAGGCTGAATTATCTCAGTTGAAGCATCTCTTGAGTCTCAAAGAAACCGAACTCAGCCGGGAGCAGGCCAAGAAAGTGAATAAGCATACGTTCGATGTGGAGATTGAAAAACAGACCAAGGCTTGGGATGATAGCCACCCGAAGAACAGCACTACGAAGGAGATCAAATCTCGCTACAAGGCTGCTCAGGAAAAGAAGACCACATCCAGCGACCCAGGCAAATCCAAAGCGGTCAATGTCAAGCAGACCAAGCCCAGCAGTCTGCTCGATCCAAAAACGGCCAGTAGCAGCTCGAAAGGAGTCAAAAGATCCCAAGGCTCCACTAGGGGCAGACGCTCTAGCAAACCTTAGCTTTTATGCTCAGCCAACTACAGGTATAGCGCAATTGTTAAGGGAAGCACTATGAGCCGTTCCGGCGTGAATCTTTGCGAATTTCATACTTGATCTGCTTTTGAACCATCTATGAATGGCTTTTCGCTCTTTGATATGCGAATGTCTTTCGTTGAGAGACCACGTTATTTGAAGTTTTATTAAGGAGTTCAAGAAGAGTACGTCGCAAGACACTTGTTTTGCTTTGTTGGAATATGAATAGCTACCTTTGTAGCGCATAATTTGACTACGTCTACAACTGAACGTGTGCCCAAAGCAAACAAGAATCAGTGACAGCCTTTGATCCTAGCTCTGCCATCCTGAAACAGCGAGAACTTGTCGAAATTGCAAGCTTAGTGAAGCACAAAACTAAATGTTCAATAGTAATAGGCATTCGCCAGTTCCGACAGTGATACAGGCATATGCGGACCTTTTGCTTTCCTTTTTTGAACAGCAACTCCTCAGGCCTTTCACACAATGAAAACTAAGTGAAAGTTGCAGGGACAGCGAGATTTAGACCGAGCTGTATATCTGGCAATAGACTCAGCGCTCATATCCGCTTCCGAGGCCCCAAGGATTCGAGAGGTCGAGGTTCGGATGCTATCGATAATCAAATGGGATTCCTTCTTACTTAGCCTACTTAGCCTGCTGCCTACGACATCTGCCGAGCTTGTTCTATGGATCAAAGGAGATATCTGAATCTATTCAAAGATGCCTACGGAACTATGATCCGTATCACGCACCTGGGTCACACGACTGACTGACCTATTCTTTTCAATTTATCATAACAAATTCCTCGGCTAGGTCTGTATGCATGCATCAATTGTGCAGTTGAGCACATGCCTGAAATCCACTGCACTTGACCGCACTTAAGACGTTCAGACCCTGGAGGTGCGCGGGAGCTGATAGACGCGATTCCTGTAGTCACTACTGTGAGTGCACAAACATTGAGTTACTGAGAGAAGTACCCGAGCATCTCAAAGCTTGTGACTTTAAAACGGCATCCGTCGCTTAAAAAAGATGTGCTATTTATAGATCCTGGTTGCCTTATACCCTTGGCACGCCCCTTACCAGGTGTGTCCAGTCTTGGTTCCTTCACGATAACATCACAAGCACGTCGATAATCCAACGAGGGAGCCACGCTCAAAACCAAAGAAATCGGGCCTCCACGTTTGTCGGCACGTTCAGATTCCCGACGAAACTGCTCGGACCCTTCAATTGCAAGCCAACCGACGTTGTCTGTTCTCATTTCGTACTGGATCCAAGATGGCCATAACAGACCTGACGCATCACTACCAGAGCCAGCACTTGCGCCCGCTCCCTCACTATCGCACCTACTTCCCTGCCTTAGTCCAATCCTGCAACCCCTTCGTCAGATCTATTGCGCTTAGCCCACGCCGCATCGTCTTCCTGCTCATCTTCCTCATGCGCACCGTACAAACGAGCTACTACCTTTTGCTTTCAGTCATGAGTCTTACCAGTGGCCATGGGGTCTGGCTGCTCGTATCTATCTGCTTCGTCGCATTTACCTTGGAGCTCTGGAACTTGCACCTTATTGTTGAAGCCGAGGGAGATGGATTGGTGTTCGGTAAACGGATCCCTGCCGGTGCTTTCAGTCTGTTTTTGTTCTGGATGGCGGTTTGGCACGTGTGGATAGTGCCACTGGAAGTGAGCGGTATAGCATTTTACGTTGGTGCCAAAGAGACGCTGATAGTGGAGGGCTTTTGGATTGCAGTTGTCGGCTGTGTGGCGCACGTTGCAAATAACGCACGGGATGCAGAAAGAGTAATTAACCTAGTATAGATTTGCTATACAAAAGTAAATATAGTTGTAACAGTCTAGGAAACTACAGAGAAGTTTGTAGCTGTGATAAAGTAGTCCCGTTGCATTCACAATTGTTACTGCTTTGATTACCTAGCAGGCTGATTGATCGGGCAGAGAAGGTCACTGTAGCACAAGTGGCAAGATCGATCTTTGTCTGTACGTTTGGTCACAATCTATACTTTACACAGCTTGCCTTTACATGCTAGGCCATTAACAATCAGCGCAGCCTTGTATACAAAATATAATAGGTTCAGTCGTTGCAAGGTGCATTAAATTGCATAACTCTATCATCTCGCACACCCTGCCTCAAGCCAAAGTTAGGTGCAGCTGGTTCGCCGCGCACTCTTTGACTCCATCCTGACCAGGCCTCGATATTGAACTTGACGATGACCTTAGAGCTTTTTCACACAGCATCAACATCGTTATCCCTAAAGCCCATCAGCACTTAGCCTCTATTCTGTGTCCCATCAGCGTTATAACTCCTAATGAACTACAGCTGAATATATCAGAAGCTATAGATGGGTGTGAGGATCTCGTCTCGCTGTATAGAGGCGCAGGGCGTGACCGTACCCTGATGGTCACGTCTACAATCAAACTAACCATCAAGTGTGCCTTGTGTGTGATGTGTTTAATAAGCTCCGCTACGGTCTATCAAGTCAAACAAATTGGTTATTAACGCAATGCACCCTGGGTCTATAATAAAGACAGGCTTATTACGCAGGACTAGAGAGTCGTAAAGTACACGGGGAAAGATTTGAGGCAGATCATACTGATTTGATAGAGTTAGTTACAAAAAATCACCAAAGGCTGCAAGATTTACCCGCGTGTTTATTTCAGACAAGATATTCCGCGCGTTATCAGTACACTTTTCTCCTGGGTGCTTGAACCCCAAAATGACGCATCGTAGGCGATAACACTTCGTCCGTCTGCCCTCACTTGAAGGACTTCGGCATTATAGTCTTGAATCTTATCAACCGGCTTATGTACATCCTGCTCCCGTCTCCGACCCCCTAAGCATATGAAAATCAATATACAGTCTGATAGAGACACCGGATACCCTCATCAATAGAGCTGCAGGAAAGACGATCAGCTCAGATGCAAGAGAAATGGCTGTGATCTACATCGACGACCAGACTGGGCTCACGATGGTCTCGCTGTGGATTGATCTGACCACTTTCTACCCTAGCTCTTTTGAACATGGTGCAAGTCTTACGGAAAGAAGATTTTGATTGCTTTCTCGGATTATTAGCAGGTTCTAGTGTTCTTTAAAGATGGTGGTTGTTCCTGGTGAACGTCAGCGACTACCAAACCACGAAGTGTTGCGTTCGTTGTTATAATGATGAAGCATGGCCCGCCATCATAGAGCGAGGCTGCAAGTCCGCGCAGCGTGTGCCCCTGCTTTCATTGTAATGATGAAGCACGGCCACTTCCGTGCATGTTTATAACTACTGATTTGATGTTGAACGTCCGCGCAGCACGTGCAGTAGATGAAGCCCCGCGATGCGGCCATCGCCGGATATATAGAGGTGTACGCATAGTAAACAGAGAGCAAAGCAAGCTATGTGGAGATATAGTTAGGTAGAGATCAACATACAACAGCCGGGGTATGCGGCAATGCGCCGAGTGACAATCTAATTATAAGTCCGTAGAAGTGGAGCCCAATCAAAATCCAGGGGTCTTTAATAACTCAGGTACGAGATACTTAGCAACGCATTAAAAGAAGAAGAGTTTGTTGAATCTGTTCTAGGATCCAAACGTCTTCTGTTGTTCCTACATTTCCTTCTCTTTACATAGAGTAAGGTTGTAAACTAGCTGTCGGGAGCGCAGTCATCTCCAGCACCCACATTCGTTTTCTTCTAGCATTTAACCATGCGGAACTACACTCGTTATATGCATTTTGCATTTTCCTTGTTATTAATATCTGTACCTCAGACCTCTGCTTCGCAACAATCTGTTTCTTACGAGCGCACGACTAATATTCAACCAAACTCCCCTCCAAAATTTCTCACCGAGGACCCGAGAAGCCTTTCCAAACGCCAGAGCAATGGAACGGGTAACTCGCCAGTTTTCTTCAGAGACAACAATGTCTGGTATCGAGATACGAGTGGACAGGAGAGTCAGATGTCAACGACGGGAACGGAAGATAATCCCTTCAGCAACATAACGTACCCTTCACCAGACAACAAATTCGTCGTTGTATTCCAATCTAGGCCGTCCCAGGAGCGCATCGTGTACGAAGTAGAGTCGAGTCCATACGACCAGCTGCAACCTCGCTTGCATCAAATCCAGTACCTGAAGCCTGGTGACAACGTAACCATTGATCGGCCTCGCATGTTCGATCTGACCAACAAACGCGAGGTTTCCACAGACAACACACTATTCGAGAACCCGTACCAACTTTATTCACTGGATGGTGGGTGGAATCCCGAGGGCACCGAGTTCCGTTTCATATACAACCAAAGAGGACACCAAGTCGTGCGCGTGGTCGGCATGAGTACTAAGGGAGATGTGCGCGCCGTTGTCGAGGAAAAAAGCGATACCTTTGTTGACTACTCGCAAAAGCTGTACTACAGAGAGCTCCGAGGGTCGAATTCGAGTGCAAACTCGAATCAATTGATCTGGGCAAGCGAACGTGACGGTTGGAACCATCTCTATCTCTACGATCTGGTCAGCGGAGAAGTAGTGAACCAAATCACGAAAGGAGAATGGGTGGTGCGTTCCGTGGACTATGTGGATGTGATGAAACGGCAAATCTGGATTAAGGTTCTTGGCGCTGTGCCTGGCCAGGATCCCTACTACGCCCACCTGGCGCGAGTGAACTTTGATGGCTCGGACTTCAGGATCCTTACCGAGGGCGATGGCGACCATTACTGGGATTTCAGCGAAGACAGATCGACCTTCACGGATACATGGTCTCGCATGGACATGGCCGAGAAGACCGTCGTACGTGACGCCGAGACTGGAAACAAGACTGCCGATGTATCGGAGAACAATCTGGACTGGGTCCTATGGCCCATTCCTGAGCGCTTCGCAGCGCCAGGCAGAGATAATTCCACACTTATGTACGGCCTCGTGTTCCGTCCTTACCAGATGGACAATGCCACGAAATACCCCGTCATCGAAAAGATCTACGCCGGTCCACATGACTTCCATGTACCGAAAGCATACATGAGTCACTACGAGGCCCATCAAATTGCAAACCAGGGGTTCGTTGTTGTCCTCATCGACGGTATGGGAACCAACTGGCGCTCCAAGGCTTTCCATGACGTTTGCCACAAGAATCTCAAGGATGCAGGATTCCCCGATCGCATTGCATGGATGAAAGCGGCGGCTTCGACCCGCCCTTGGATGGATATCAGCCGCGTTGGAGTATTTGGCGGCTCTGCTGGTGGTCAAAATGCCATGGCTGCTCTCCTCTTTCACAACGATTTCTACAGTGTGGCTGCCGCAGACTGTGGATGTCACGACAACCGCATGGACAAGCTATGGTGGAACGAAGCATGGATGGGGTACCCTGTCGACCAGAGCTACGCGGACAGCTCCAATGTTGTGAATGCAGGAAAATTGGAAGGCAGTCTCCTACTTACAGTTGGCGAACTCGACTCGAACGTAGATCCGGCAAGCACAATGCAGGTTGTGAACGCGCTCACTCGAGCAGACAAAGACTTTGACTTGGTAGTCATTCCGGGAGGCGAGCATGGTGTGGCAACTACAGACTCATATGCGTTGAGAAGAACAAGAGATTTCTTATATCGGAAGTTGAAGGGGACAGAACCACCTAAGCTCTAGATCTCCAGTCAGATATAATCTAACGTACTCGCATGCTACAATAGATAATGTTACAACATACCTTGTAAAAACAATAGCTAGATTGTGTGAAATTCTCTGTACTAATTCAGATTATCCAGCATGTGTCGTCGAAAGTAGAGTTACTTTAAGCCGGGCTTGCTGCCCTGCGTATGAAGCGACGCCAAAACGAGAGAGCCTTTGGAAGCAATGCGACAGGTAGCTAGATCTGCAACAGCATTAGGAGGATCATTGAGGTGCGAGCTTAGAGAGAGGAAGAGAGATAGAAAGAAAATAAAGTTTGTCATAGCCACAGAGAAGAGCAAGGCTAAGAGCGAGTGTTGTAAAAGGCAGCATAATCTCGGAATTTTTACTGCCCTGCGAAAGGCACTCGTATTTCTGGGCAGGTGCACATAGCTATGGATACGCTGCGCAGAGACGTCTGAACGACACCGGCAAAGTTTATCACCAGCTCAGAGTTTCGTTAGCAGGTCCGGAGTTGCCGTGATCCACTGAGATGCGTCGTGGATATTGTAATGCTTGCTTTGCGTGAGAACCCAAGTTCACATGCGAGCGGGGAGCACTGACCAATCGGATGACATCATTCAGGCCGCGCTGTTAGCTGCCCTGACAACGCATGAGAGGCTGGGCGCGTAACAACACCCGCTCGGGCGCAGTCGAGGTGGTTGACGACACTGCATCGAGTGAGAGACCCTGTCGCAGCCACGAGCAATTGGTGCTACGTCAAATCATATCGCCTCAATTTTGTCTGCGCTGTCCATATCGTCGCTTGTGATTGTTTACCCCACACCTCCACTGCACCTGCCGCCCGGTACCTGAGCATTCCACGGCGCATCCACATTCCACGTCTACGTTATCGAGGCTCAATTGAGACACTCATCCACCATGCGCAACGTCTTCGCGCCTCTTCTCCTCGTGTCGCTGGCCCTTGCAGCGCCCGACACACTCGCCGCCTTCGAGCCCGCGCTTGAGCCGCTCGACCAGCTCGTCACCTCCAACAACGACACCAGCCTTATCGACAACGTCGCCGAGCTCCTCAAGCGCCAAAACAATGTCTGCGGGAGCAGCAACTACCAGTGCAGCAACGCCCCCAGCCTCTGCTGCCCGCGCACCGCCATCTGCTCTGCCGACAGCAACAACATTGTCGGCTGCTGTCCGCAGGGCAAGGCATGCACTGGCACCCTCGGCGCATCTGTCACCGGCATAGCCACAGCATCAACAACTCTCCCCATCGTGAGCGCCTCCACGACATCCGGCCCCTTCGTCCAGACCACGACTGCCGCCGGCGGCGCTTCAACGGTATCCAACGCCTTCTACCCCTTCCCCTACATCGCCACGACTTACGACAACGCAGCTGCCTGCTCCAGCGCTTATACGCGCTGTCAAAGCGATGCTGCAAGCTGTACGAACGCGCTAGTCGGCGGCGCGCAGGGCGTCACAATCAGTGCGCCCAACGGCGGCGCGACCATCACCGCAGTGCCGAGCTTGGGCACGCAGAGTGCAAGCAGCATCTGCGCGAGCCTGAGCCAGGAGGCGTGCTACGGGCTGCAGGTCGCGGCCTGCCAGGCGTTCGGGAACGCAGCGCCCACGCGGTGCGCGGGGTACATGGGGGCCGTGGGCGTTGCACTGGGAGTTGCCGGGCAGCTGCTATAATACGGGACGAGCAGACACCAGGCGGAGAGTATCAAGCGGAAATTACGAGATTGGGGTTTTCATTGTCGATATTCCAGCGCGAAAACGGGCGCGCTTGGCCTCGGCCAGCGCGCACTTGCACTTGCACTTGCACATGCACACGGGCGTTAATGTTTCACGCCTCCCCACGAAGTTGATAGAACGAACAAGTCACGAACTGCCACTTAGCCTTGCATATGTACGCACTTCCCTAGCCCCGTCTCCCGCACCCGCTAGTGCGGCTCACCCTAGCGCCGCCCCAACCGTTGAAATCCACATTCCTCGCCCACAATTCCACCGACATCCTCGCCATATGTTCAATCCTTTCTCGCGCACGCCCCGCGGCGGCGCCGCCTGGTTCAATGCAGGCCCTGTGTCCGCGTACCCGCTGCTGACGGCCGATGATGGGCGCCTCGCGCAGCAGCACTTGTGCGAGGGCGCGTGGGTGGCGGGGTGCAGGGTGTTTCACGTACCTAAAGAGGATGCGGGGGGTGCAGTGCAGGTGGTGATTGATGAGTGGAAGGAGGGCGGGGGAGACACGAAGGAGCAGGTGATGGTGTTTAGGTATGAGGGGAAATGGGTTGCTGTGAACCATGTATGTATGTTTATTTGTGGTCTTTGAGCAGTCTTGTTGCTGCCGAAATTTCCTTCTGTGCTGGCTGGTTCCTTGTCTAAATTTGTTTGTTGCGTTTCCACGTGCAGTCTGGCCCGGAGCGCCTTCCAATTCGTGATGGGACCCAATGCTGATGTTTGGCAGGAATGCCCACACTCCTCGTATCCACTCAGTAACGGCACACCATTCGATATCGAGGATTTTGGAGTAAAGCTCAGCGCGGGCATTTCGTGTCCGAAGCATGACTGGAGTTTTGATCTATTCACTGGGAGGAGCGACAGGGGGAGTTATCGACTGCAGGTTTGGGAGACAGAAGTGAGGAAGAGTGGGAGTGGGGAGGAGGAGATTTGGGTCCGGAGAAAGCAGAAAATTGGGTAGTTTGGTTGCGAGATCGGTATTTGAAGCAAACATGGCGATTCTCGAATTGATTATGTGCTAGATCAATCTAAACTCTCGCATCTCAGCGGAACGGCCCACTAGTTTCCACTTGGACGCATACAAAGGTACGATAGCAATTCCAACAAAGGAGTGGCCACCTTCCCTAGCACGCAGAATTGCGAGGAAATTCGATGTCCGGTGAGAACCCTCAAGCACCACAAGCTGGTCATCAACGCGCACCGCTGTCGGACCCCAGCCAAGGTGGCCCTGTCGCGTTAGGAACATCGACCGGCCCTTCCACAAGTCATTTCTGGCGAATCTCTCGTATTCCTTAGTTCCGGATAGGTGGTGGTTTGACTTAAAAGAGAGCAACATATTTCTCACCAACAAGGGATTTGCGACATGTGCAGCTAACAAGCCTTCCTATCAACGCTGACCTTAAAATCTCCTCATACTTTGGGTACATTCTGCTACAGAGCAGTTTCCTCAACTCCTCCCCACCCTCTCTCTAAGACATCTCTCACTGTAAGAACCTTGATGTCGGGGAAAATCTGATTGAGGGTCTTCTCCGGGCTAAGGTTGAACAAGCCGTCGTGGAAAAACCGGCCAAAGAGTGACATGAGGCCCTGAGCATCTTCTTTCGGCATCACAGGGTAGATGGCGGAATGACAGGGAAGCTCAGTCACCTTCCCTGTGCTTAGGAATTCGAGTGAGTCGTGGGTGACTTTGAACTTTTTGCCTGTTTGAGCATATGTCAGTCCTGTTTCAACACTCCTTTCGAGAAGGTACATACCTTTTACTTCTTCCGCAATCTTCACGAATTCACTCCAAGTAACCTTCTCACCAAGGATGTAGCTCTGCTCGTCCCACTTTGGAAGATCCAAGCTCGCTGCAACGAATTTGGCGATATCGGAAGAGTGCACAAACGAGACCGGGGTGTTCCCCGAGCCTGGAAGAGCTGCTACCCTCGTTTTCAATATCGATAGCCATGATCATAGGAGTCTGATACGTGGGTACGCGAGGATAACCCCAGTAATCCAAGAAGAAGCCCATGTAAAAACGTGTGTGCTCAAGAGACGTTTTCTTCAGGACCTCCAGTCCTTCAAGCTTGACCTGGCCGATCACAAAACCAGTAGCTTGCCTACAGGTTACGCACAATATTAGCGTTTTGTAATCAGACGGAGCTTTGAAGCTTTCAAAACAGTTGCCAGAAGATCGGACTCACTCTGGGGTTATCGGAACGCCCCAAATGCTTGGAACGAAGCGCCTTGTCACCTTTGAGGCGTCCGCAGCGAGAGCAAGGTTGTTCTGAGGCGTGGCTGAAGTCGTGAGAAATATGGTGGATATCACCGTGTCGATCTTGTTATCCTCCAAGATCTTCGTCATACTCTCGATGTTGTCATAGTCCACAGGAATTATTTCGCAGCCAATCTCGGCTGCAAGCTTAGGATTTGACTTCTTGCGTTAGTACAAGAGTTTTCCTAAGATAGAAATAGTTTCTGTTTACCGATCTGCTGAGAATCTTTACTTGGTGCTTGCGTTGGCGGATAACAACTTCCGCAATAGTGCGACCTAAACCACCTGCACCACCGGCAATGGCGATAACAACCATAGTAGAATACTTCGGTGAGATATGAAGGAGCTTTTGATGAGGGCGCTGCAGTGACAACGACTTGAAGGACTTAAGAGGCGTTGAAACAATGCTTTATATGCCAATTAGAATGGCCGACGAACGAGTTAGAGATATAACGGACGTGATAACTCGGACAAAAGCTAGATTATTCTATAATCCAGCACTGATCTTTACCTAGAAAAGATTTGGTAGGTTTATAAGCGTTTACCTTGTGTACATGTATTTAATCTTTAGTCTTATTATTATTCGTTTGTTTTATAATAGAACTCGCTCTAACGTTACATTTTGGTACAGGCTTTTTAGATATGGCATCATGAATGCACAACCTCAACGCACGTTGAGCATGTAGGCAAACAGGATAGCTAGATAGCGAAGTGAATATGCGAACTATATAGCTTCAAGTTCTATCTATGCAAAAAAGATGAAGGCGCGCAGGCTAAACTCCTCAGTTACAGCTTAGTTTTATTACTGACTACACGTAACAAAACATTAAGACTTTGATTGTAAATGACACTATATGACTTTAGTAATCCAGAACTACGCTTTTAGCAATCGGCAGAGTATAGTGCTTCTGTTGAGCATTGAAGATATGCTATCCGGACGAGCGAATTGCACGCAAGTGTTGTTACAGTAGAAGGTTGGGTAAGGTATCGGCATTTAAGAAGCACCGGCGGCCTAAATGACAGCCCGTGTCACCCAAAAAGAAAGTGTTCGTTACCGTAGTGAAGCCGACTTAAAGCTGGCCCACGTCTTAGATCGGCAAGCGGACAAAAAGAGCTTGATTAATAAACACCCAATCCCTGCACACGTCTCCAAGTATAAGGCTTTTGCTAGTAACCACAGTAAGGGGATTAGCAACCTTTGCTAGCAGCCCTTCATTTAGCCAAAGTAATAACGCAGTCCTTGTGCGACGCCTTTCCCGAATTTTCACGGCCCTTGCCTTTATCAGTGGGCTTCTTGCCGGCTCTGCTAGCATCTGCGTCGGCAAGCTCGTCGTCGGTTTCAGGAATTCCTAATTCCTCGTGCTCCTGGCTTAGTGTGGTGACGAACAGACAGGTGACCTGGGCAGGACTCATCAAGTATAACGGTTGCATGTAGATAGTACCAGACAATGGAAATTTCGGCTCACTGAAGTTGAATTGTTCGAATCAAGTCTCTTTTCTAGATAGTGTGCGGAGAGGGAGGGCTGACTGTGAAGCCGTTATGCTATATAGTCATTTAAAGAAGTATTATGCGGGTCCTTCTATACACATCTCACTGTAACGAGCTTAGTCTATTGCAACAGGTAGTCTGAAATGAATGCAATGTTAGCGAGGGAGGGCTCCTTACTAACAAATTACAATAGGAGAAGTTGTAAAAGTATGAAAGTAGTTAGAAGCACACCCTGTAGAAGCAAGATACTTTAATTTTATACCTTGCTTCTCTTTAGAAGAACTCTCGCAGTAGTTTAACTTAAGAACAAGCGATCTAGCCGCTTTTGTTTGATTTCTGTTTGACAAAACAAACACTTTCTACTTAGGTTCACATGATCCTTCCTCGACTATTTTTGTCCACTCATGAACTGTCTTTACTTGGTCTGCGATGATAGGCCAGATCAGGTTGGTTGCGGCATCCTTGTGCGCAGTTGAGAAGCCGGCTGTTGCATCGGTCCTATAATGAAGCTATGTTAGCGCAACAGAAGCAGTTCTAAAGTAGTTGTGAGACGTACAACAGAGTTACATGATATCCACTGTTGCAAGCAAAGTTAGCATTTTGGTCACTAGACTAAATCTGGACAGATAAAGCGAAGACTTACAGCTCACGGGCATATCTTGCAGTAGATTCAAGACAAGTGTTGGCGATCATTCCTGCCATGATCAAATGAGTAACCTCGCGCTGGTGTAATTGATAATCTAGATCAGTGTTGGCGAATCCACTGAGTATCGAGTTTCTTATGTTAGCGCAAGAACAGTGTGATGGCCACTTTTCCCGTATGAGAAATAGCATATCCGTACTCACCTGCTGTTCCAGTGCTTGCTGACAATCACATCGTTGTTGCCCAAAACATCTGGCTCTAGGCCTGGGAAGATTTCCGCTCCCCAGCTTCCTTCCTCAAGAGCTCTAGATTCACCGAGTCCTGTAGTGGTGGCGTTCATGTGTTTCCATCCCTCATAGTTTCCTGGCCGCCAGTTCTGATGCAATGCATAGTAAATAGGGATACGAAATTTGCGGGCCACATTGACAACGTCCCTTAGGTGCTGTATAGTATTGGACGCTGTCATTGATTCGCTGACAAAGCTGTTGATTTTACCCTCAGGGTGAAGGAATTCGTTGTAGACATCGACAAGGACTACGGCGGTCTTGCCGGAAACAAAGCCTGAAGGCAAGGACGGGATAGGAGTTGTCATTTTTTACGCTTTCTTCTTGCATAGATCTTTCGGGTTGTGTTGAACTCTTAAATACGGGAAGAGTCTCGGCACTCATGTCAAAGTTGCATACAGATGCCTGGTATCCATGTTTGGTCAACATCAGTGCACAACGGAGTCGGGCCAACACACACACCTTCAACGCTAGGGCAATACTGAAAGGTCCGCTGTAATGCCCTTTGCCTGCTGCGCGGAGGTGAAGTTCTGCCGAGATCCGTATCTTATGACGTTGGCGAAAGCTGACGACATAAGATACGGATCATGATCACTAAACATTTTCACCAAACACACATGTAGCGAACGATGGAGAGAGTAGCTTCAACTGTTTAATCCGAAAAAAAACCCTACTGGTACTCCAGATACAAGTTAAACGAGCGGGACAGCTTTATCCACAATCCCTGCGCTTGATTGCCTGTATATCCAGTCGGCGACCACAATGTAGACACCACCTCTTGTTATGGTCATAGCCAATTAATTGTTTTGATGTACCAACCTCTTCAAGTGGTACATTTATCCCGGTTTGCTGATAATCTCATCCCAAATTTCTATTGCTATTGATTGATATGCTCGCCGATCGGATCGTTGCTAGATATACAGAGCCGCACGAAGTGTGAGTGTCGGAGATGATCGATAGCTACATGCAGACCAATTTGGGACTAAGGGTAATTGGATCTATTCGGCTATGTGCTCTGCACGAGGAAGCGGACTAGCGTCAATCGTGACCCGTACTGTGCTATACCATCTACAATTGTCTGTAGTGCTGCATCGTTAGAGAGCGGCGAGACTTTAAGTATGTCAAGCTCAATCCCTCTCTCGCTGAGGATCCCGGTCCAGTGGTCGACTGCGGCCGAGTATAGATTTTCGACCTGGGGCTGCAGAGACATGCCTCCAAGATTACTATGTTTAATAAGCTGATTGAATTGGCTAGTATATCCCCATCTCGTAATCAGTTTACCGTAACCCGAAGTCCCTTTGAGTCGAGTCTTGGAAGTGCTAGGATAAAGTCGTGCGCCCGAACAACGTCACTCTCGTCGGTCTCGAACAGCTGTAGAGCTGGACCGTCAGGTCTGAATAGCATGGCAAGGACCAGATACAGCTCAGCCAACCCAAGGCTATGGCATTTTAGTGAGACGCTTAGTGAACTTGACATAAGACGTACTATTGACCTAAACAGTTCCGCGATCCTCGCCCAAAAGGCACGTAGTTGCGAAGCATTTCCGGAGTGACGTTAGTCATCCATCGCTCAGGTCTGAATTCCAACGGATTGGGGAAAACATCTGGATCGGTGTGCATGAAGTAGTTGGACATGCCGACTGGGATGCCTGGAGGTATAGTGTATTGTCGGTACTGTATTGGTACATCAGGCGAGATACGCGGAAGACGATGCATCACACCGTATGAGAGACTGGCGTTGTCAACAATGATGGGTCTGGAGTGAGCATCTCTAACCTACCGAAGTGATTCTTTGATAATTGCAGTCAGAAAGGGAAGCTTCTCAAGCTCAGCCTGTGGAGGAACGTAGGAAGGCCATCTTGCCATAGGCAGCAGCAACTCTTCTTTTAGCTTCTGTCTGAGCTCCGAGCGAGACAATACATAGCAACAGGCAAATCTGTCAGTGTGAGATGTGAAATATTTGAGGTCGATCTTGAAAGTCAGGGCACTCACGCGAGGGTGTGCGACGTGGTCGCAGTGCCGCCAGCAAGCAGTACTTGAGCTTCTTTCAGCAGCCGCTCGGGTGCCTTTTCGCTTGCAGGCATATCGCTGTTTGCTAAATGAAGAAATATAGAACCCCGGTCCTCCGTTCTGACACCCTTGAGGTCGTTTTCTTCTTTCAACCTGATAGCCTTAAGGATAGACTCAAGTGAGAATTTGCGAAAGTCCGCAAAGACTTTTCCAGAAGGAATTATCTTGAGTATAACATCTATGGGAACCAGATTGATAATTTGAATGATCCAAGGAAAGCCAGTGAATAGTGGTAGGGACGTTATCATGGTGTTGAGACAATTGAACCACTCGGGGGAGAAGTCTGGATGACTGAGAAAATCAGAACGAGGTTCCTCGTTGGGGCCATCGGCTAGACAGAGACGGCACATGACATCGCTACTGAATGCGCTGAAGGCGTGGTCCAGTCGTATTACTTGGTGTGATCGTTCGTAGTCTCGAATCCGGCTTTCCAGTTTCAGGACCATCTCTTCTAGCATGCTCTTCAGACGTTGTACCCCAATCCTGGAAAAAAATGGATCAAGGGGTTTACGTCGCCGCCGATGCAAGTCATGATCGCGCGTGAGTATGTGAGAGCCTACGCATGTCAAGTTAGAAGGGCAAACTTGCGAACATGACTAGATCAAACTACCCTCAAAGTCAATGCCACTGGCAAATGCGTCATAGTGCTCAGAACGACGCTGGTTGCCAGTCACGTAGAGTTCGTTATAAAACATCGAGTCGCGGATCGATATCTCATCCGGATTGACTCGAATGATTGGGCCTAGATCACGTAACATATTCTGTTTAGCAAAGTAGACTCCGGTGTGTTCAAACAGTGCTCACCGTACAAAGCGTGCATTCGCTCGATTTCAAACGTGTATTTCCCTCGTTTCCAAAAGTCGAAGTAAAACTCGTACCATCCTGTTGCTGCAGCCAGCTTGGACCCTGGGAATTTGGCCAAGGGGGAACAGAATAGACGCCAAAAAACCAGGTACAGGTACTGTGTAAGCCAAAGAATAGCAAAGATGCAAAGAGCTGGCCAGCAGCCAATCATCGTGCTCATAGCGCGTGTGCTTGAGGGTTCGTTCAAGATGACGGGAGGCTTCAGAAGAGGCTATCAAAACTGCAATTTCCCTATAGCTATTGATGTTATGATTCTAGGACTAGATGTTGGGCCGACGCGAAGGATTGTAGCTCTTTTAGCGCATGCAGTAAGACGGCATCTGAACGAGATTACATGCCGGTGTGCCCACAAGAGAACACGAGCCGATAGAGCCGACTCATGTTCGGCGCTGACGGAGAGATCTTTGAGAGTGAAGCCAGATTTTAGGTAGTACCTGAAAGACTGATACTGTAGGAGATGCCAAATGAACACGAAGTACATACAGGACGGATCGCGGGCAGACATGGTCGCAGTTGTATGTAGTGGGGTGGCGGCGGCGGCCCATGAGCCCCGCCTCATTTCTGTACATTGCAACGATACATATCAGCTTGGGCACTAACGAGGAAAACAGCGCGTTCTAAACCTGCTTTGCGGGCTCTCTATGTAGGGATGACTGCATTGCGCTGTTCCCCGGGCGGCACAGAGGGCTCTGATTGCAGACAGTCCCGGCTGCCTCGCCGATATAGCCAAGTTCCGCAATACTATCAGCTGAGTGCATTAGTCGGACGAATTCCCTTGTAAGACGGTGCGCAGAGGATTCGCCATACCTGTCGCAGAAAGCGTTCGTGACTGTACACAGCATAGCTATACTGTGGTACAGGGCATAAGTAGAGGGCATGGTCAAAGCGGCAGCACAGATCACCACTCACCAATCGGACAACGTGCCCTTTGCCCGAGCACTGACCAATGCCCTCTACTTATGCCTTGTACCATATGTTCTTGTAATGGATCCAATCTTTTTCCCTCGAATTGCCGACGCACTGTCAGTCCGGGGGCTAAAAAAAGCCCGATGGTTTGATAAAGGATACAATTACGGCACGATTCAACAATATGACGGTTTTTCCGCCCTTTTCCTCACAGAATATGCTCATCGACTGCTCGGGTACGATCTGTTTCACTCAATTCTGTTCCACTATAGTCTTCTTTAATTACGGTCACAGATGCTCTCCCGCTACTCTGACGTTGTAGAGCGCAGCTCATATCGAGATGATGGATTGTCAAATGGTATCGAGCTCCGTGTTCATCGGTCTCAGTATATGGAGATAATTGGCTCGCTACATGCACAACGCGATTGGAGTGATCTCGTCAGCCCGGTAGTCAGATACCACGGTGGCCTAGGGGATAGGTTCAATTTTGTCAGTGTTACCATTCCGGACTGCTTGCCAGAGCGACTGGAAATCATAGCCTACGCGAATGAGTATGCTTTCCTCTATGACGGTAGGTTGCTATATGCTGCATGTTTCAACGCGAGTCAGATGTATTAACAAACATTTAAGATCAACTGGAACGACTAGATCTGAAGCAGGTGTGTGTATACGACTCTAGATGTTAGTTTAAAGTGCTGACTTCCCAATGACTAGTTTAAAGAGGGCCGTGACGCCATATTGCAAGTCTTTTCCGAAGATGCACTTGCGCCGACTACTTCGACCGAGGGTGCAGCCTCAAGGCCAGAGAAAGATATCCAATTGCAGATCTTCACTCGAATGAAGGCCATCGATCTTGACCGCGCAGTCACCACAATGGTAGCATGGGCAGATTTTGTAAATCTTGCCTCAAGAACACGGATGAAACCTTTCAAGACCCTGGACCAGTACCTGCCGAGCAGAGCGATCGATGCTGGCGAGCTGTGAGTCTATTTGTATCCATGACACTACCTTACACTTACTCGAACTCACTAGGTTCTGGTTCGGCATGCTCACTTTCGCTCAAGGCTTGACAATACCGACTTTCGAGGTTGAAACATGCATGCGCCTGGCCCGCCCTGGCTATGAAGCTATCAGTCTCGTCAATGACGTCTACTCGTGGCCGAAAGAAAGAGTTGAAGCCGATGAGGCCGGTCAAGACTACGTCTTCAATGCTGTATGGGTGGTCATGGGAGAAAGGCGCTGTGATGAAGAAGCGGCTTTGTGTATCTGCCGCGAAAAGATACAAACACTAATTGAGCAGTTCGAGCTGAACTTGGAGCATTCGGAAGACCTTAACTTGTCAATCCAGAGCCAGCAGTATCTTGCATGTGTTAGGCAAAGTTATGTTGGGAACCTGATCTGGAGTATATATTGCCCACGATACCAAGATGCTAGTGTTTAGGAATTGTTTACTATTTGGCTTGTGCTCCACCGTAAAACACTTCTGTACATCTGACGTAATCTTACTTATAACTTTACCACCATGGCTCGGGGCTGCAGAGACGATAGTACAGAAGCCACGGCAGCTCTGACCGCAACAGTAACAATCTATCACTGTCACCCAAGTTACAGTTGAGCAAAGACACTGTGATAACTTTGTCACGGCTTTTCGCGGCACCACTTTGAGTGACTAATGTACCGCCTAAAGATCATGGAGACGCTCACGATCAAGCCCAACGGCTTCCACAAGCGTGCTCGACCACGGTGCTGGGCTGCGCTGCCGGTGCTTCTGCGTACAGCAACCATCACTAGCACTGCGTATTCTTCAAGCACCGCACCGACTAGAGGGCACAAGTACTCAAGACTATGATTAACATCTACTATAGCTCTAATACAAACACATACAAGTAGCTTACTAGATAGCTTGTTAAATACGGAGTAGACTATATATAGCTCTACTATTAGCGCATATCAGCTCCTGCACGACCCAAATGCGTTCGAACCACTGTATTTCCTCCAATTCCGCTCTGATACTGTTTTTCCAGCGACGCCCATGGTAACACCTGAAGAACAGCGAGAAGGTCCTCGCAGCTTTGTTATCAACGTCCAGACCTAACCAGATCAGAACGCCTTCTGCACTAGAGTAGACCCGCCCCATATTCTTGGCCTGGTGGCCTTTTTCCCGGATGTCAGTCTGATTGATACACACCGCATCAGCCCACAGATTGCGAGGCTGGTCACTATGGCGGGTCTGGCGCAGCGCCTGCCCCAAGTTCGTCGTAATCGAGATCTCACCATGCGGCGTTGATATAGTCTGTGTATAGATCTGGTCGCCCCAAACGTAAGAGATGGCTTCGAATGGAATCCAGGGTTTGCGACGAGACTCTCTACTCTGCAGGTCTTGGGCGCCGAATGCACAGAACGTGTCGCGTAGATCTTGGAGGAGCCCGTGTCCGCCTTCGTCTCTTGGTTCAGAGTTGTTCAAATCGGTAAACAAAATCTGCCCGTGCAATGGCTCGTCGCCTTCACCAGGCTCGAGCCTGAGAATCCGGATAGTTGTGAGTGTTTCGAGGCTTTGATAAACATATGATTCTGATGGCGGTGGTACTATTGCCGCTCGGTTTCTATCTCCGGGGGTGAGTGTTGCAGCCTCTGCCTTCCCTTTCACTCTGTGTTCCGTCACAACCTCTCCTCCAAGGCTATTGCCGCGGGAATTTGTTGTACCTTTGGAGTCTGTCTTCGAGGTGCTAGCCATGATGGATAAGCAGCTTGGGAAAGACTTGTCTCATGTTGCCGTCTGCGGTCTTGTCCTACAAGGCTGAGCTCGATTCTGAGGTACTGCCCCGCAATTACTGGTGTGAGCGAGGTTGTGCACAGGTCGGTCGCCTGACCAATCACGAACATGCGCTAATCTCATTTTGTAGACTTGCACCATCCCATAATGATCTACACTTGAACTGAGCCTATTTGTATGAATATCGTAGGGTTTGTGCTGAAGTGCTGGCTAAATCTTGTCGTAAGTATTCAACGTTTGATGGGTCACACAGTGTGTCACGCTTTCTTCAGACTACCTTGGAGCTGTGATATCCCGTCCGGTGGTACAGACGGCGCAACACTCGGTCGAACTATCCAGTACTTCGTGTAAGAGACAAACCGTAGTGCACCTATGCTCGCCGTAGTCTGTTCAGCTACGCCAATCTCGCCCAGTGAAGTGCACATTAACCTGTCGACAGACTTCCGAGAACGACTTCAAATGCAATAATTATGTCCACCACCACTATTAACGAGCTGCAACTAGTCGAAGATGCGATCGCCTTAGGCAGCCGACCAAGGGCAGTGTGTTGAGACGCCTCTACCGCATCTGAGATTCTTAATCAGATCGAGCGACGCAACCAGCCCCCCTCCCAGCGGAAGCAAGCAAGCATAGCCCCTCATCGCGACATCCAGTGTCTAGAGCCCCGAACAACGCTTGCGGCACCGCGAACGTGGGCCAAGCATTCCCGCTTCTTTATTTACATACCACGGCCCCAGCCCGCAGCACCATCATCAATACCCACAATTTTACGTCAACAATACACTCCGAGGAGTCGTGAACTGTAGAGCGCGCTTGAGCGGCACTGAATAGCGTACCTGGGTAGGACCCGCATTTGCTTCTAGCGGAGCCTCGAGACTGACTGGAACACACACAGTTCGGATGCTACGGCAGTGACAACGCGTGCCAGCAACACAGCACCGCACCAAGCATAGCCTGCGCCTGCGGTCACTATGCGAGCCCTGCTCGCGCTCTTCGTGGGGCTCCTGATAGTCGCAGCGTGCAAGACCTGCGCAGCACTCATCACTGGTCGACGGTACTGCGGCCACCGCCTGCTAGATTGGGGTACGCTGCTCTTCCCATCCACTGCATGTGGAACTGTCCAGTATCGCAGCACTAACGAGCCAAAGGATTTCCCTACGACCAACTGCGAACCGAGTTGCGGTGGTGGAACGCGTGCGACTCGCCTTCAGGAGTCAACGAGGCGCTATTCCGCGTTTACGAGACGTGGTTCGGGGACTGGATGGTTTCGCTCGATGATCCGTGTTGCATGGGGTGTAATGGTAATCGCACGAGGACGTGGGAGGATGGGTGTTTGCCGCGGGTTGTGAATGCTACGTGTACGTTTGTATGCGACTGAGGACTGGATATCCTTATCGGAGCGATTTTTGGCGGCCAAGCTATAGCTTGCTCGGATAATGGGTGGGAGTAGGTAGTGGGTGTTGATATATACAGCCTCATAATACATTTAAAACCATGTGGCTGACCTAGGCTCGGCCAGGCCCTCCTACGTGGGGGCTTGGTGCAGAAGTAGATAGGCCGCTAATACGTCTGTTTTAGTACAACGAAACCCAATACTCGGTTTCTGTCTTGGATACTAATGACTCGCGGTTAACAAAACAGATATTGGGGTCCAACCCTTTCCCCATCTTAGAGTTTTGACGTAGCTCTTCTCAACATACGGCCACTGTTCACCCATTACCGTAATAGAAACTGTCCACATGACCTTACCAGCACCCCAACAAGCTAATGCATGTACAAATACAACCTCTGAGCAGTGTGTCAAAATGTCACATACCTCACAGTTGCCAGACTTGTAATCAGACAACCTCGTATGTTCGCAACTACGTTCCGGCCTATCTACATCTACGGAACTGGCGCTGTCAACGTCTACTCTAATTCGCACATCAGCCACCATCGACCCCTCCCCTCTTCACACCTCAAACCCCATCCCCGCCAACCTCTCCCTCCAAAACCCCAATCTCGCCGCATCACACTCCAGCCCCCCACCCCGCTTCTCCCACATATCCCCTCTCCCAGTCTGCTCCCGCCCCTCTTTACAAACCTCATCGATCTCCTTCCCTGCAATGCGCAGCCACTGCGCCGCAGCAGGCGCATGCAACTCCGCGTTCTTCCCAAGCCACGTCTCACCCGACCACTCGAGCGCCATGGCCAGCGTGCGCAGGCCAAGTGTGATGTGGCGCGCGAGAGCCGGGATATCGTTTACCCTGGGATCGATAGTCTTAAGCGCGAGATACGTGTTGACATTGCTCCAGGCCTGAGCTGCTTGTGCGGGGGTGTAGGGTTCGACGAGGCGGTGGAGATACTGCTCAGGGCCCTGGAAGGACTCGGACAGGTTCCAGGAGTACTCTGGGAGCCCGCTCCAGAGCGTGCCGCCGTCCAGCTCGATCCGTTGGCCCGGTTCGATTGTTTCGCGGCCAAGTGCTGTTTCGATGGTCTTCGGGCCAGGGCCCGAAGTGATGGCGTCGGGGAGGCTGGCGAGTTCGATAAGGTAGGCTGCGAGGAGGCGGAGGGTTTCCTCGTCGGAGAAGTTTTGGACGGCGTGCAGGTGCATGCCGACGTGGTTGGACCAGGGCGTGCTGATGTCTTCCTCAGACAAGATGTGGGACGCTGTTTGCGCGGCGGCGTCTCTGGGCGAGATGTTTTGCAGTAGGAGGCCTTCTAGTACATTGAGAATTCGTGCTTGTATGGAATCAGGCGGTAAAACACGATTGTCGTCGTCTTCGCCGGTGCCGTAGAGCCGACAGAGCCAGCCTTCACGTTGAGATCTCGCCCAGTCGCTTGCCATCTCTTAGTGTAAAGACTGAGAGGCCAGTGTAGACAGAATTAACCACATGCAAACAAATTCTGGAATGGACTAAGTAGAGAATTATAGTTGGTATGTTGCGCCCTTTTTTGGTAGAAAGGCGGCAACCTATAAGTAGCCTCGACTGTTACGTCATAAGAGTGGCGCTCTCGATACATCAATTGCAAGTTGCGTGGACAGACTCTATAGAAATGCAAGTGGAATTCTTTTAAATTCTTCGAGCTAGAGCTACAGGTCTTGTAACTGAAGTATCGCACTACAATACTTGAGAAAGCTAAAGGTTGCAAAATACATACTCATTGCTACTATAGCAATGCTAGTGCGGAACAGCCCTTTGTTAAAAACAATGCTGAAGTGCACTTATACAAGACTACTATGTACAGAATGTTAATGTATAGTAGTTAGGTAGAATCACGTACGGTCACAGTGTGTTTTATGTCGTGGACCGCTAGAGCTAATTCTTCCTCCTCTTCTTCATTCTCTACCCTACTAGAAAGAATAGATAGGATCATAGACCTGTGTAAAGAACACTACTATACGTGTGAGAAAAATTACTATATGTAGAGTCATCCTCTGCGCGGTGCTCTTAAGGTACTTTCTTCTGTGTTTGTTACACGTCAAAGCTCAGTACTTTTCCCGATTTTGCACCTCAGTGAATTCCAAAGATAGCGACATCCTTTTACATTGGACTTCGCCATGGCTTCCGCCCTTGAAAAACCATATCATGCCTCAAGGCCGACGCGCATTGTCCGAACTGACTGAACAAAAATCTGTCTCAAACGAGAATGATATCCCTTGGCTCTTGCTTGAGGAAGACGCCGCTATGTCGAATGTACGCCCAACCTCTCCTGCGATACGTACTCTCCTCTCCGTCAACCGGAGCTACGATCAAGGCACCGGTCAATCTATCGGATTCATCGTCGTTGCATCCGTTGCACCATTGGACACAAAATATAGTTCCTCCTTCTTTGGGCAACGCATCCAGCAATGTATCAAACGTGAGCCAGAATTTATGACCCGATGTGTTTGACTCGATCGTGTAATCATGAGAAGAGAATTTGTAAGGGTTGGTTTTCAGGCCAGCGGCTTTGATCGCCGTCGACCTCGTCACGACTAAATTCCCAACACAGGCATGAGCTCTTATCTGGCGCTCGCTCATAGAAATTTTGGTGGGAAGAAACTTTAAACTGAGTTTCTTGTATGGCACGAAGCGTACAGGTTGATTCGATGTTGCCCACGACCAAGAAGGTACACCCGGTAAGCGTTGCCCTGGTGTCTCCGAAATATCGGATACATGCCAAGCTAGTTCTCTGTGAATGGATTGCTCGAAAACGCCAGCACTGTGGTTTCTTCCAGAAACTCCAGCAAGATTTGTTGCTAAACCTGTAATTGCCGGTAATCTATCTGTAGCAACCGTCAGGCTTTTTTCGGTGAACTTTCCTACAAGTTTAGTCCACAGTTCATCTTCATCGCCCCCCTTGAAACTCTGGACAAGCTCCTGCATTGTTGGATAATCGGGGAACATAGAATTTTTCACCAGTAACCCGTATTCAGAAGTCTTGAGCTCATTACACTGCCAAAAAACACCTTCATCTGTGAAGAACAGTGACCGTGAGGCAGACATGCGTTCTTGCAACACCCAGCCGCGCCTGGACAAGGCTGAACCCTCCACTGCTATATTCCAATTCGGTTGCGTAGCTTCCATGATCAAGCCACCATCACCGCCCAGTGAAAGCGACCCGCCTGAAAGACAGTTGTCCTTTACTGGCCAGCGGGCAGGTTCAATCCGAGAGTAGAGACCGACACTACTATTCTCAGCCCCACTTGCAGCGATCGTGAATAAAGAATATTTGTATATCTTCCCCATATTGGTCAGCTCCCTTTGCCAGTCGTCGTTCACTCCACTCGTAACCTGGATGATACAAAGAGCATCGACCCAAAGATATCGGATGCCAAGAGAGCGAGTCACCTCAACTGCGTCTTGTATTGTTTGAGGCAACGACTCCACCGGGATGGCTTCCAGTCGTTCGGTCAAGTTTGCTTTCGTAGTACGAGCTGCGTTTTCCGGATTTCCCCAGCAGTAACTGAGAGTGGCGTACTGCATCTCTTGTGTCTCGTCTGAATGGACAAGGCGGATAGATCTCTGTCCTGGAATTCCGATATCTAGCAATCTCGTCGGAAGAAATCGCTTTCCATCATCACTCAAGGGTTCGCAATGCTTGTGCTGGGTGCAGCACGTTGTTAACCATTCACGGCCCATATCCTGAATATGTTCTGGGGTCTCGCTTGCTCTTCGAGTCTCGACAACCTTTCGAGATCCGCTTCCAAACTTCCGAAAGTATCCATAATACTCTTCGCCAAAAATGAGCTGCCAATATAAGGGGACTCGTTCTTTACCAGGGAGTCGTAGGACAATGCTACGATCAGCATCCTCAAAATGAGGTCGAAAGATGTAGCAATCATTGTCATAACAATAGAACCAGAGCTCACGGCAAAGGTATCTGCACATCTCGCAACAGCTATCTGCACAGGACGATAGCTCGGCGTAGTTCTCGTGTATCACGAACAGCTCTCCTGAGGATTCTGCAATCGGCTCGGGACTAAACACTCCGTCCCTGAACTTTTGACATCCTGAGCACAAGGCCATTGTAGAGTCGGGCTATGGACGCCCCTTCGAATGTTGACTGATGGAGAGACGTCGAACGGGCAGACAACGATTGTAGTGATGAGAAGAAGTCTACCATTTCGGTGAATCCGATACGTCTGGTAAGATTGACTACTGCCTCACTCAGCCACACACGCAGCCTTGTCGTCTGGAGGCAGTGCAATGGAAAGCCGAGTGACGAGATTCACCGGCACCAACGTTTATACAGCCGAGGATACTTGCTGCCGTCAAAATCAAGGCAACTGGGGATGGGCGAATGTGGTGGGAGGGTGTGGTGGAAGAGTGATCAGACAAGGAACGGGTGCGGTGGGGTGTTCATGCAAGTCAGATGCGGCAAGTGCGAACATGACAACCACAAACCACCACAGAATGCAAAGTCCCGCGGGGCACCAAGTCCATCGACTGTCCCGGGGACAGCTGAGAGGGGGGAGTGTTGTTTCAGTTGGGTTGTGTGTGATTGACTGGTCACTTGATGTGCAGGATACTCACTCATTCGTACTCTAGCATCTGGCGTTACAGTAGATGGCGCAGAACGGATAGCACAAACCGGACTCGCCACTGTATACACTGCGAATTTACTTTCTCACCACATTTCACACGCGTACTCAGACATGATGACACATTCGTCATGCCTGCATCTGACTCGTGAAGAAGTGATGTCGTGCGGCCAATCTCGCGATTCAGCCACAGGCCAACCAGCCTTGCCCGCACGCACCACACCCGCAATTTCCGACCCACGACACGCTCCGGCATGATCCCCACGTCGGACCATCGCTATCGATATCGACATCAGCATCGGTTGGCAATCGTATGTACATTCGCGGTGACGTCGGGCATGCGCTGGAAGACATGTGTGCGCCACAGCATGTACCCTGCGCCACCAGCGCCTTTCTCCGCACGTCGGTGCTGCAAGGCGGTCTGGAACAGGTTGCGCAGGGCAACGATCAACGAGCGCGCTCCGACGCAACAAAGCGCCTTCGACCTCGCTGACCGCCGAGCAAACAGGTCGACCTGTGCAGCTACTACTACCTTTCTATATTGCATCTTGAAACTCTGCTACTTTGTTTGTTCGTTCGTGCAGCCTTGTTCGCGTTCCCATTACAGCGGGTAAACAGTGAAGTGGAGTAATAAACAGACAGCGCTGATGCAGCCAACGCATTGGGTGGCCGACGGCGCTGGCTCGCCGGGCCCCGGTGCATATGTCTCGCCGCTGCAGATGAGTATGCAGTTCGATCTTGCAGGCGCTGCAGGAGCTGGCTGACGTGGTGTAGAGAATTATGCGAATGAGCTCCGCAGCCGCCCTGCGCGTCCCACTGGCTCGCGTCCCACTGGCTCGCGGCCGCCGCCAGCGCACTTCAAGACGTGGGCAAGCAGGGAGATTCCGACGTTTGACGCGCTGCATAAGAAGAATGGGGGAGAGGATATACGGACGGCTTCACCACGGGCGAGGGAGGCTGGGGAGACGGCGGGCAAGGCGCTGGTGCAGCCGCCCCGGGCCACAGAGGCTGCAGATCCGGACGTCGCGGCGAGCCTGGACCTGCAGGCCGAGGAGACGCTGTACGCGGCGGCGCGCGACGAGGCGGCGGAGATCGTCTGGAAGCACCGCAACCCGAACGCGCCGCAGAGCAGCCCCCACGCGCCCTACGCGTATCCTGCGCCGGACCGCAAGATGCTGCAGCGCCCGAAGCTGCAGCGCACGCGCAGCCGCAGCGTGGGGCCCACCGACGACGCCGAGCACGACCTGCAGCGCGCCAACTCGACGCTGCGCAAGCGACACTCATTCACCAGCTCCGCCGGCAGCAGGTCCAGCAGCCTGCAGGACCCCGTGCCCGCGAGCCCCGAGGACTCGCCCACGCCCAGCCCGCTCTTCAGCTCGTCGCCGTCCAAGGCCTTCGACCTCGAGGTCCAGCAAGCCGCGTCCGACCCCAGCCTCTCCGACCTCAGCACCTCCGACCTCAAGATCCGCAAAGCCGCGTCCGACCTGCCGCCGCAGCGCAAGACCAGCGGCTCGCACCGCAAGCCCAGCGGCACGCTCTTCCAGAACCCCAACGACCACATCTACGAAGAGACGGACGAGGAAGCGCCCCCGGCCCCCGCACCGACCCCCATGGCAGCCGAGCCCCCCGCGCCTGCTCCGCTACCCCTGGGCATGCGCCGCAACCCCTTCACGCGCTTCCAGTCTGTCAAGAGCAGCGCCCCCGGCATGCCGCGCAGCACCACCGCTCCCGTCGTCAGCATGCGCCGCTTCGACAAGTACGAGATCCACCGCAACGAGCCCACCCAGTCGCGCAACGCGGGGTACACGCTGAATGCGGGCAAGTCGAAGCTCAGAGATGTGAGCCAGGCGGATGTCGAGAACGCGCCGGTGAGCGTCGAGGACCGCCAGGTGAGGGCCGAGAACAAGCCGGCGCGCGTCACGGATAGGAAGGAGGCCAGAAGCGAGGAGCGGTTCGATAAGTACGAGATCCACCGCAACGAGCCCACGCAATCGCGCAACGCCGGCTACACGCTGAACACGGGCAAGCCGAAGCCCAGCCAGCCCGATGTCGAGGACGAGCCCGTGCGCATCAAGGACGGCAAGGAGGTCAGGAGCGACGAGTTGCGCGCCGCCACGGGCTTCAGTCTGAAGAACCGCAGCCCGAAGCTGCCCACGCCGACCATGGTGTCCGATGCCCCGGGGCGCCCAATTGTGTCGTTCCAGAAGGACTACAACGTCATCGAGCTCAAGGAGGAGAAGTCGATTCTGCCCGCCGACCCGAAGCCCGAGCCCGCGCCCGCGCCCGCGCCCGCGCCGCCAAAGCTGGTCGAGAAGTCGGTCACAGAGCCAACGCTGCCGACGAGAAAAAGCCTCTTCGAGCGGCCGACCAGCAGAACCGGCGCAGCCCCGAGTCCGTACGAGCGGCCCGCCAGCCGGTCCGCGAGCCCGTTTGACCGTCCAGCCAGCCGGTCGTCGACAGCCTCGCCCGCGCCCCTGAAGGAGATCGCGCCGTCCAGCGCGCCTGCGTCGGGTGGCATGCGCCCGTCGACGCCAAAGGGGCCGTTTGCGAATCGCAGTCCGCTGGGGCGATTCAATACGGCCTCGGCCTCGGCCCCGTCGACGCCGCTGGCGAACCGTGTGCCCCCCGTCCCGGCGGATCCGTATGCGCTTCCGCCCAAGTCGACGACGCCTCCGCTGCCGGCGGATCCGTATGCACTCCCAGCGGACCCTTATGCTCTTCCCGCCCCACTCCCCGCGGATCCGTACGCACTCCCCGCGGATCCATACGCACTGCCACCCCCTTCAGCCCGGCCAGGCACTGCGGTGAGCCCGTCGCGCCCGGCGAGCAGGAGCAGGTTCGGCAGACCGCAGTCCGTGTCGACAGTCCCCACCATCTCCGTGAGCGAGTCGCCGACGAGACACGGGCGCGCGGGCAGTATTCCTGCGATTGGCGTCACGCCGCCCATTCCCACAATATCCGTAGGCGACGCCCCCGCTGCGTCTCCTGCGTTTCCTGCGTCTCCTGCGTCGCCTGCGCGCGGCCGCTTCACCAGGGGAGCCACCACCCAGGCTGTTCCCAGCATCTCCGTCGCCGAGCCGCCCAGCGTGGTCAGAGGCCACAGCTTCAACGCGCCTGCCGTCAACCTTCCCGCGGACGTCCCCTCGATATCCATCAATGAGCCTTCCAGACCTCTCCCCTCGGTCATCCCCGCCATCAACATCCCCCCCTCCCCCTCCACCCGTCCCCTCCCCAACCCCCGCAACTACAGCGCCAAACCCCTCCCCGCCCCCGCTCCCCAACCCACCACCGCCCGCTCTCACTTCACCCCGACCCCCGTCCGCACAAACGCCCAGTGCACCGCCTGCGCCCTCCCCATCTCCGGCCGCATCGTGTCCGCCGGCGGCCACCGCTTCCACCCGACCTGCTTCGCGTGCTACCAGTGCGGCGAGAAACTCGAGTGCGTGGCCTTCTACCCGGAACCCGCCGCCAAGCACGCCGCCCGCGTGAGCCGCATCCGCGCGCGCGCCGCCGGCGAGACCCCCGTGCTGCCGGGCTGGGACACGCCGGAGAAGATCCGCGCCCTCGAGGACCAGGACGGGCACGACGAGGCCACGCGGTTCTACTGCCACCTCGACTTCCACGAGTGCTTCAGCCCGCGCTGCAAGTCGTGCAAGACGCCGATCGAGGGCGAAGTCGTCGTCGCGTGCGGCGCCGAGTGGCACCCGGGCCACTTCTTCTGCGCGCAGTGCGGCGATCCGTTTTCCTCGGCCACCCCCTTTGTCGAGAAGGACGGGTACGCGTGGTGCGTCGGGTGCCATGCGAATCGGTTCAGTGCCAAGTGTCGCGGGTGCAGGAAGCCGGTGGTGGATACGGTTGTTAAGGCGCTGGGGAGTGAGTGGCATCAGGGGTGTTTTTGCTGTGTGGTGAGTGCTTTTTCTCCGTTTTCTGGGTGGTGTGTGGAGTGTGCTAATGCAAACTAGGAGTGTCAGGGCCCCTTCGATGATGGGCGGTATTTCTTGCGCGGCGAGAGTCAGGATCCGGTGTGTGTGAGGTGCGAGGAGCGGCGGCTGAAGGCGTGAGTGTGGGCGTGTGCGTGCTGGACGCCCTATTCAGGGTCGTGTTGGAGCGCGGCGACACAGGAGCGTGACGATGCAGGAGACAGAGAAGAAGGAGACGGGCATGTGGACACATGCAGATGTCGAGATACGCAGACAGCAACGCGTATCACCCGTTGGCTGTCCGAGACGTATAAGACGCACGACACAGCACGTCCACCAGGCGGATAAAAGATGGCACGCAAAAGATGGTGGGCTGGACACGTCGGATACGTCCCCCAGCGTCACTTGGGACTTCTCACTCCTCCACCCTCGCCGCTCGACCCCCGCCATGTACGAGTACGAGTACAAATGAGAGTAGGAGTAGGAGTAGCAAAGAACGGCAAGGTGCTCTGGCGTCGCTGCAGGCGTCGGTATTGGCGTAGGACTGGCGTAGGACTGGCGTAGGACTGGCGTTGGGACTGGCGTTAAAACTTGGTGTAGGAGTTTAGCGTAGCATAAGTAGCAAACACATCATAATACATGTATCAGGTACTGCGTAGTGCCATCTTACAGGCCACCTCATCGTGTTGTTTCGTGTCGGTTTGGGTGGTCTGTGGTTGTTAACTAGGCTGTGCTATGTTATAGATGGATGGGTTATGGAGATGCGACTTTGTAGGGGCTGTGGGATGTTGGTGGGCATGTTGGGTGTCGATCCTTGGTGTTGGTTCTTGGTGTTGGTCCTTGGTGTAATCCTTGGTGTTGGCCCTTGGTGTTGGTCCCTGGTGTTCGTCCTTGGTATCGCACCCTTGGTGTCGGCCCACTCGGCGTCGTTCCCCACACCCTCCTCTCCCCGCCCTCTACTATCCTCCATACTCCACACTCCACACTCCACACCAGCGTCGTTGCGCCCGCTCTCCGAGTCCCCTCCCTGCTCCGCGCATTACGCATATTACGTCAGTTCATATATCGTTGCGTCATGTCATCGTCGCGGTACACTACAGTGTAGGCAGCTTGCCGCCATGCCGTGGAGACGTGGGTTGACCATCGAGGCTGCGGTGTTGCCACGACGCCTCAGTAGCAGTGGACGCTGCTCCTGCGTGCGGCCTCAAACGCCTGCGTGCTCGGAATGCGGTGGCTTGGAAGGTAAGGTTCTCGCTGTCGGGGTTTTGGCTTCAGCTGTCGGTGTTTTGGCTTCAGCTGTCGGTCTTTTCACTTCAGCTGTCGGTCTTTTCACTCCAGCGCTCGGCGTTTTCGTGACATGTTTTGTTCCTTGACCGACGGGCGCGCAGCTCGGGCCCGACACGTCTCGACGGGCCCGATACGCCTCTACGGGCCCGGTCGTGGTGAAGCGGTATATCCGCTTTGGGCTTGGTGGGTCAGACCGCGAGACTATACAAGCACGACGAGGGGGCCAAGGCAACTGGTGTATTGCATCACGCAACTACCTCATTGTCTAAGGCAACCGGTGTATCACATCGCGCAACTACCTCATTGTCCAAGTCAACCAGTATATCACATCACGCACTACCTCAATCCACAACAACCTTTCAACACCCCGTCAGATCCGCACCGCAACTATGATCAACGCAGCAGTCATTTCAACCTGGGGTGAAACCCCCAAGTACTCGCCAATCGAGCTTCCCGAGCCGACGCCTTCTCAGGTCCGTATCAAGGTGCTTGCGGCTGGCCTGCACACGCTCGTCCGGTCTCGTGCCGCGGGAAAGCACTTCTCAGTTGCGAACACGTCCCCGCCCCATGTCCCCGGCACAGACGGCGTCGGGACGCTCATCCCGTCTGGCGAGTTGGTGTACTTCAACTGCCTGACCGCGGCAAGTGGTTCTTTTGCAGACGAGATCAACGTCGAGGCCGCAGACGTGTTCACGCTGCCCCTCGGCGCGGACCCGGATGCTGTGGCCGTCCTGGGCAATCCGGCGATGAGCAGCTGGATGGCGCTTGTCGCCCGCGCCGGGGTCGACCCCAAACAAGAGCAAGACTTCAGTGTTGCCATCGTCGGCGCGACGGGCGTGAGCGGCCAAGCGGCAGTGCAGATCGCGGCCGCCATGGGCGCGACGCGCATCGTCGCCATCGGCCGCGCGGGGCCCAAACTCGACGCGACACGCGAGTTGGGAGCCACAGCGTGCATCGAGCTGCGGCAGCCTCTCGCGGCGACGGATTTCTCAGCCGCTGCAGACGTCGACATCGTCCTCGACTATCTCTGGGGCGACGTCATGCTCGCCGCGCTCTCCGGCATTGCCGCGAAGAGGGCGATCAAGACGCGCCGTCTGACCTGGGTTGAGATAGGCGCGTTAGCTGGGAACGAGGTCGCGGTCTCAGCGGCGCTGCTTAGGAAGGCGAATATCTGTCTCCTCGGCTGTGGACCGGGGAGCTGGTCGTATGGCGAGTTGCACGCGCAGATCCCCGCCATCCTGGCTGCCATCGCCGACGGAGGGATGACGACGTCTTTTGTGGTCAGGGGCCTTTCGGAGGTGGAGGACTGGTGGGGCGAGAGGGGCGAGGCTAGAGTCCTGGTTAAGCCTTGATGGGGGCCGACTGGTACCGTGAGTCTGTGTCGAAGGCGACGAGAAGCAGTGGTCGTATCTCAATAGAACCGCCTTTTCTATACCGTGTGATTCAAGGCAAAGCATGTTATCTACCTACTAGATGTACTATGTTCTGTCCTTTTCCACTTCTTAACCACCCTTCAGCTCACTACTGCAACCCTAGCCCCTGAATCTTTAACTGTTAGTGCTTTAACTGTTAGTGCTTTAACAAGGTCTTTCGCTTAGAACTAAGTGGTTGTAGCTTCACATGCAGCTTCTGTATGTCTGTGTGTCTATATATCTATAAGATAGAAGCTACTAGAGAAACTAACAGGTCTATACATTTCAAGGACAATCATATCTTATTTTAAATCTTTAAATAAGATAGACAATGCTGCTTTCTATACTTGCAAGTCCGGGGTCTTGTGTATAGTACATGATGCCGTCAATAAAGCATTCCCCTTCAAGAGTAAACAGACGTCTTTGCTGATAACGTTTGGAATCTTTGCTCGGCTTTATTCGCACTTCCGAGTGTTCTCTAATCAAGAATGGAACCTTTGCTCCAGAAGCGACGAAAATCTTGTCACCAACGCAGGCATGTCCTGGAACTATCCCTACATAGTTCTTCTCGGTTTGGCAAGCAGTCGCAGACGGAATTCTTCCCAAGAAGTTGCAAGCAGTCTGCCAAAATGCATTGATATGACTTTGAGCCTCGGGTGACTTGTTCATCAGCTCTCGGCCATCCACGCCGGGCTTTGCAGAAAGCACATGTTCTTTGAGATCCTGTGGCCACGCTTCCGAGCTTTCCATATTCATCGTCTCGGAGAATGGTAGGGGCGATTTTGATTGTGGGCCTCCGGCGTCTCCTACAAAGAACCTCATCAGCAGCTTTTCCTTCCAATCCTTGCTTTTTACATCGGTCATTGGTGAAATGTATCGTTCGAAATCTGCTAAGGCCTCACTAGGATGAATGACAGTACCATCAGGGCTGATTTTGAGCGGTCGACAGCTGCGTATACAGTCGAAAATTTTGCCTTTGATGGCGAGCATTGGTACGTCATGGTCGCTTTTGTAGTGTTGAAAGACGGTCGAACAGATGCGGATCTGCGGATCAGGCGCATGAAACATCCCAGCACCAGCAGAAAACCCGTGCGAGGAGCCTGAACCGGTTGCCGGCCATGTCGAGATTGTGGGAGCGTAACGATCTGTTCTCCTATGATTCATAAGATCAGGAATCCAGGAGCAAAATCTGCTTCCCCTCTCGCTCCCGGCGCGGTACAATAAGTCCAGTGCATGGCCCGATTTCACAAATTGACTTGCATATCTGCTTAGAATGACCTGGGCGCTTGATTCGTAATCCGGGATAAACGCGTCGTGATTCTCCGTGTCGCATGCCATGTTTATCAAAGCGAAAAGTTTGTCGCGGTGCCTTGAGGATCTGGTGTAGAAGAACATTTCAAGGATTTCCAAGAACTCGTGCTTGTAACGATTGCTTGTTTCCTTCTGACCACGGCCTTGATAGAGCTTTCGTATACGATCCAAGGTAAGGACAGGGCCAAGATTCTGGAGAACATATCTGCTGCTCCTCCTGTCTTGGGCTTGATCGGATTGCGAATACTGCACATACTTTTTGAGCCGACCTATGAAGTTATCCCATTTGATTTGAGAGTCTCCAAGCATAACAACGACATCCGAGCCAAAGACCAGTTCTTGGATTGTCCAAGTGCGTCTGAACCAAGGCCTTTGAAGAAATGCGTCAATATCGGCTCCAGACAGATGCTCTAGATCTTCAGAACCATTGTTTGATATCCTAACCTGGTCTCGAATGCTTCGTTTGTTCGCGAGCAAATCAATGACGCGACAGTCTTTGTCCTTGTTGTTCCCCATCCAGATGATGACCTTCTTGGCTCTGCTGTATAGGGTTCCCATACGTCTGACTTGTATGCTCTTTTCGACAGCGTCGTTCTGATCTATGCAAACAGCGTCTGCCCAAAGTAAGTCCTGGCAAGCACCTCGCCTAAGGCAATGGAGACATGTCCATAGCGACTCGGTAATTGAGATTGTTGTCCCATTTACTTCAAGTAGAAACGGTGAAAGCCGCGACGGCCTCGGACCCCAGACATAGGAGATTGCTGTGAAATCGGTTTCGTTGAGCTTGTACCGTGAGAGGGTGCATCTCAGGGGCGCGTTCTCATCAGCGTTGGATACGAGCCTCATCAAACGGAAACGGTCACCGTTAATTGCAAGACCTTTATAGATCTTATTTGGCCCTACAGATGGTTTCTCGTTGGCGGAGGTTTCCTCCAACATTGCTTGTGCTCTTTCCGAGATGCTAGCCTGATATGTGCTGGCCGAGTCAAGACGGAGTAGTCCCTCGAGATGGAGTCGCCAAGGATCTACGTACAAGGCGATCCCTGGATCATATTTGACTTTGTACACACGTGCCAAGATGAATACGTCTTTGATTGTTGTTTCGGTGGCATGGAACATCGATTTTGCCTAGACGCGCTCTGAGTCAATTTCATCGTGCAAACCCGGCATGATTTCTCTTAGCTTGGTTTAGCGTACCTTCAAGTACTGGCTGTTGGATAATCTGAACGAGGAGTGTAGACCATTATTGGTTGCACAGACTTCGATGTGAAAGGTACACTGTTGATCAAGTGTCGAATCGTTTATCCGACAAGCTCGTACCACTGCCTGCCTGAGTTCCCCACGCTCTTGAATAATAGTGAAGGCAGAGAAATGATCATCTCCCGGTCTGGCTGTAAATGGTTCGTGACCATTCCTTGAGCGCATGGGGCTTGTCCAGTGTTTGTTGGGCTGATATGTTCCCTTCGCTAAGCGCGAACTGAGGAACTGTGACATCTTCAAACATCTGTGAATTTACATACGTAAGGGGACGATGGGAGTCAAACTTACATATAGCTCTCCGAAGTATCGGGTTTCGTTGGTCTCCTTGGCGATGAACATGGTAGAAGGTGGAACGCTGAATGTCGCCCAATTGTTCATGTTCATGAAGTCAAGATCTGACTGTGGTGCCGCTCGTGGTAAGATATCATCGAGCGCCTGTCTGTCGTATTGTGGAACAACGCTCCAGCCCTCGAAAGGTACTGCGTTACGCAAGTCATGGCCGACGCCGACATCTGACCGAGCTTTTTCGCTCTCTGTGTTCAAGGCCCGCTCTCCAAAATTAGGTATTCCTGATGCCGTTCTACTGTGCTTTACAGCACTGCCAGAATGCCTTCCGATATCTGGTAGAGATGTACTTATTTGACGCGATTCCTCTGTCTCGTCTTGGTATACAGGCAAACGAGTTATGTCCATGTCCTGTCCGAGAATTCGCTCGATACCATAGCCCCGCCTCTTCAAATCCGCCAAGTCTGATCGTAGAATTGTCTCAAGTGTTAGGAAGTCGACAGGCTTTGGAAACTTGAGAATGAGCTTTACCAGCTCACGGCTCAGCTCGAATGCCTCAAATTTGCCTTCAATCATCCACAAGATGGGATTTGATCCATGTATTTCCGCAAAAGCATTAGTCTGTCCCGCTTTTTGTACACCTTTGTATGTACAACGCATGTCGATTTGGTTGACAAAGTTGATCTGGAGGTTATTCCTGAGCATCTCCCAGGATAGTCTGACACGACGAACATCCAGACAAGTCATGAAGACTCGCAACTGATCGAGTAGACGATGCTTGCGTGGCGTATAATCTTGTGAATCCGCTGTTTGACGTGGAATACACACTGTTTTCACCGCAGCACTCAGTCTCTTGCACCCTAGACTCAGGCAAAACTGCTCAACTTCGTCTTTCTGTGGTACGATATGCAAGGCATCGCTGAACAACTCAGATAGATGAATATCGTCGTGAACCACAGCCGTATCAGGTTTTGTTAGTACAAAACTCTGCTGGTTGTTGGTGTACCTGATGGTGGGTATGAAGGCATTTTCTTTCGTGCGCTCAATCAAGTCACGACATATTCGACCTTTTTTGTACTGCTCACCTAACCACACAAACCATCTGATGTAGGTCGCTGGGTCTTTGTTCAGAACCCTCATCACTTCCCCTGGGGTCTCCATGAATCTTTCGGCAACAACGTATGCCGATGGCGTAGCGGCCGCGCCACAATGAGCCAGAAACAATCTTGCCCTCTCAACGCGTATGTACACAAAAAGGCCACTCAGCTCTTCGAAATCCTCAGTGAAAGGGCCAACATAACAATCATGTGGATGCACATAAACGGGATCTCCGTTTCTGTTGTTGACATTGCTTGTAGTGCCGTTACGAATCAACCCTGTGGGTACAGGTACGAAGCTCGAAGATTTCAGGCGGGACTTACACGCGTCATCCAAAGTTCCGAGTGAGCTGATGTACTCGAAAATGTCTGCAGCTCTCTCCATGGTGGTTGGTCTTTCGTCCAGCAGTCGATCAATGCATTGTTGTAACGGCGGATCAGACTGTACGCCTAGCTTCATAGAGAAAGGGTGAAAACGTTCCGCCAAGATGTCAAGATTGAGCAGGGTGACTTTCTTATTGGTAAAGCAAGCATTCGGGGCGGCGTGTTGCGATTCGCTTCTTTCGATCGGAAGGATTTTACTCGTCACATTTGTGAGGTCGTGGGCCTTATAGTCGCCGTTGTTCTCAAAGTTGTCGATGAAATAGCGCAACGCACGATCCCGAAGCACATAATCGGATTCGGAAATCGCTTTTTCCACAATGTCAAAAAGCTCAGGTACGGAAGGATGCTGTTTCAACCCTAACAGGCGAAAAAGGTTGCCCATCGGACTGTCCGGTCGATACGTCTGAGGTAAAAATAGGGTCGGCAGTAGTAGCTTCTGCGTTGCAGCCGAGGGCTCGAAAAGCTCGTCTAGTTTGTACTTTTTACCTTTTCTGTGTCCATTTTGGTTCGGCTCTTCTGCATACCAAACCCGTGCAACACATAAAATTTTCTTATCTTCTTCAGAGGGAGGCTGATGCATTTCGATCAGGTATGAGACATACGCTCCGAGTGTCGAGAAGTCGTCCTGTACGGAGTCTAGATGCTTTACAACCTCATTCATCTCAACGGTGCTACGCACTCCCATCTTTTCCAGCAGGGCCCTAGAGACTCCTGGCATCTCCCGAACATAAGAAAGATGGCTTAGATTCTCGAATGGCGTGTCAATACGGAAATACGACGTTTCAGGGGTACGCAGCCCCCCTTTCGTTATTGGAACCTTTGGTAAATACTTGACCACAAACTCGTATTCGTTTTCTGGTAGATTTGAGGAGACCATGGCTAGAATTTTCTCTGCCGTCGCTTCATCCTCTATGACATCTTGCAACCTCGGGTGCAAGCGGCGAATCCACTCCACAATAGGCAATGACTTCCATCCAATCCTCCGAAGCTGCGTCCTAGACACGTGCTCGCGAAGATCAGAATATGCAATGGTGTTCCACGGTACAAGTCCCTCGGGGATTTCATATTCGGAAAAATATTTCACATCCTTCAGTGCGATATTAGTTCTTCCTGGTAGGTTTATCGTTGCGGCCTTCATGACTTGTATGATCGACTCCAAAGATTGCTTGTCAGCGGAGAATCCCCAGTCGAGCAGGCGATGGAACTGAGCCGTGCTGAGAATGTTCTTTTTGAGCTCGTCATGGATGTCTTTCGTACTAACGTTACTGATGAGGCGCCTGGTGTGAAGTGCCGTGACGAATACCTTGAATGTCTTGGCGAGACGGCGTGGCAAAGTGGGAAAGCTAGTTATGAACCCCGATATTCTGGGGTCTGCAAGTCGAACATCGTCACTTTTCCGGACGCCTTGTGTTGAAATGATTTTGATGGAGTTGCTGGCCCTCCAGAAGTAGTCCTGAATGATGCAACCTACGGCGGTATCTGGCACTGAGTCTTTGAAGTAAAATAGTCTGAACATCCGCGTAGCACCAGCCAGTTGACTTTCTCGCTTTTTGGGTACAAGTGCTTCTCTCTGCAGATACAAGTCCACCGGAGAGGGATTAGACTTCTCCATGAGGTTTACAGTTTCCATCCTCTGCGTCCAAATCACACGGCTTACGATCCCCGCAATCTGAAGCAGCTCCTGGTTCCACACTTGGACATGCTTAGTGGTTAGGTCTATGAGTCCACGATGCATATCGAGAATTGCCGGTATGAGAATATGAGCCTGGATGCCAGTAGATTGCAGAGTCGGAAGTCCGGTGATAATTCTTCCAGGCTCTGATTCTGATGGTGCAACGAGCTTGAACAACGAACAGGATCTTGAGTTGTCTTCGCAAGACGTTACGATGGAGACTGAGAATTTATTGGGTACCTCCTTTCTCATCACCGTTTTCAACTCTGATGAGAGCTGAATCAGATTGTGAGTAGACACAGTTGCTTCTGTGATGTGAACAGACATCGTAGCATTTAGGACTGATTCAGACATGCCTCCTGCCTCGCACGAGTGCCCTTGGTGGAGCAGTTGTTCAACAGGTGACTGATATGTGCGAACATAGCATCTAAACCTGTCTCGCAGACTACAGACAAGCCTCTTCCAATGGCCTGCACGCCTTGCAGACAGGTCGCTGGCTGGTGAGCATGGGATCCGAAGTTCCGGTGATTGTGGGTTAAAACTCGGGAAGGGGCCGTTGAATTCCTCAAAACGGGTCGTGACTAGGGGTTCCGCTAGTTTTGATCGTGACACTGGTGGTGAAGACACAATTTCATCGAGTATGCCGTCCAACCAGGTGGCATGCAGATGTAGCATTTTCTGCTTAATTGCATTGATACTCATGTGATCTGTTACAGTCCGAATGTCTGTCAAAGGTAAATCTGAAGTGGTATCGGTACTTTTACTGAGAGCCAGGATTTTCCAGTCGTCTAGCCAGAGCTCCATATTCGACAGGTTTACGAAGGCAAGGCTGCACGCCAGAAACTGACCGAGTTCAGATAAGTTAGGGACTTTTGCAGTGACATCCTTGTACTTCATTATGACCTGGGTTTCCTGTATACAACTCTCCGGCGGAAGTTTCACATGCTTGTGATGGAGCATGTCACCCATCCATTGGAAAGCTACAGCCTCTGCACGAGAAACAATGATCGGCTCGTCCGTTAGTTCGAAGACGCTGTAGAAGCCCAACCCGAACATTCCGATGGTGTTAATGTTTGGGTTCCCTTTCCCAATCTTCGTGAGGCGATCCCAGTCATCTGGGCCGAAAAACTTCCCATTGTTGTGCACAACAACCTCACGAACGACGTTGTGCAGTCTAACAAGATCCGGAGATGATGCTGGTGGAACGTTTGGGTTGGATGGTGTTCTTGGCGATGTTGTGATTTGTATCTTGACCGTTGTCGCTGCTGCATCTGCAGCGTTGCTGATTAGTTCGCGGAAGGCTGCACTGCTCCAGACATCGGGTCAGACTACAATCTCTCGTTGACTTGGGGCTTATCAAGACAGCATACAATTTGGTAGAATATCGTGCTAACACTGTGTTTATCAGAGCTCTTTGGTCTACTGAAACTGCTGCGCTGTACTCATTGGTTTCGAAAAGACGTCGAATTTGATTGCTCTTCGCACCCGCCATTCCTCAGTTCGAACAATTTTCTGGAAAAAGCGAGAACGAGGCCGCACGGATCGATAAATTGATGCGCCGTGGCGATGATAAAGGGTTGTGCTGGCTGTGCTGCCGTCTATACGTGTCGTACACTGGTTGGCTGCGGATCATCCGATAAGGTATAATCCCGGTATGACACGGGTAAACTAATGCGTCGTGGTCTTTGGCACAGCCTCATTAGGCTCTCGTGTAGACTACTCATGGTAACCACAAGTTTAAGAGTCACGTTATTTGCCACTAGATGTTATTAGTTCGATCTTAAGGCGCAGCTTCACAACGCTTGTTGATTGGTGGAGAAGAGCAGCAGCCCAACATGATTCTTGGACTTGTGGTCTCCACTACGGGACACATGAGTAGTACTTCTATTCGAGAATTCTTGTTCTGCATTGACACACGAAAGTACAATTTTCTGGCAATACTTACAACAACCTCCAGCTCTCTTACCCCCCTTCCACACAGAACCCTCCCCCCAACCCCCAACCCCAGACACTCTCTACACCTTCCGAAGCTCCCACCCCTCCAAATCCCTCTCATCCGTATACTGCCCCAAATCAATCATATGCGTATACCTCCCCCCGCCCCTCCCAAACTCCTGACTCGTGAAATTCAGTATCGTCGCCGCATTCCCGCCCTCCACCGCACGGCCCGGAAACCGCTCATCCAGCAACCTGTAAATCTCTTCGGGGGTATAGGAGTCCGGGCCCTTGGCCTGCACCTCCGCGGCAAAGAACTCCACGTACGTGCGCGTGTACTCCAGATCCGAAGTGCCGGCGAAGTCAGTGTTGGACAGCGCGTGGCCGGGCACGATGGTGCGTGGTCCGAGGTCCGCGATCAGTGAGAGGGTCGCGAGCCACGCGGATGTGAGTGCGGGCGTGGCTTGGTCCGCGAGCCAGAGGTGGAAGGAGGAGGCGAAGACGGTGTCGCCTGCGATGAGCGTTTTGGTGGACGGAAGCCAGAACAGCGTTTGGTCGACGGTGTCGCCGGCGAAGGGGTGCAGGAGGTGGATGGGCGTGTGTTCGTTGCCGGGGAGCGTGAAGAGTGTGCTGTTGAAGGGGGTGGGGACTATGGGGTGAGAGGCTATGTTCTGCGGGCCAAAGGCCGTGGACCAGTTTTGTGCCTGGGGTACACGTTAGCCATCAACTTCACACACAATGTGGACATGAAAAGGAGAGGAGATGTACCTGGTACTCAAACTCCGTCTTGATGTGCTCCACAGCCTCTGGAATCGCGTAAAACGGTGTCCCAGGGAATTGTTCTAAAAAGCTCGCGCCGCTGAGATAGTGATCTGGATGGTAGTGCGTGGTGAATGCACCGACGAGCGGCTTATCGGTCGTGTTGCGGACCCAGGAGGCCAGTGTCAGGGCTTGGGGGATGGCGAGGGGAAGGTCGACGATGACTGCTGCTTCAGCACCGATGATCAGAGACGATACCATGTTGAGAGACTGGTCCTTGTTGACGAACGTCTCGACGCGGAGGTGGGGTGTCGTTGTATTTCTGAAGTTGGTGCGCTCGTGAGGGAACGCGACGGCGGCACTGATGCTGGTGGCATACCAGAGCAAAGTTTGTTTCAGCATCTTGGGTGATCAGGTTGAGAATACCAAATCGAGTGGTCGTTGAAGCTGGGCTGTTCAGATTGATGATCTCTCGGTGTGCGACCGCCAAACCTCTTATACAGTGGCATTCTCACCATCTCAACATCGTCTTCCATCTGTCGTGATTACCACGCGAGCTGACAAAGGAAGGGGATTGTTCCGATGAGTAGGCCCGGTTGCTCAAGCTTTTACAAGCACGGTACCTAAAGCTTGAGCCTCAATCTCGCGTGTTGCGCGTAGTCCATCGGAACTGGAATGTACGTTCCATGTCTCGTAGCAATGAGCTTGAATTCAAGTGTTGTCTTCACACCGTAACGTACATGCAGCCGACCACTAAGAAATCCTAGCATGTGAACTTGCATGCACCTATTGCATCTGCACTTAGCCTTTTGATCTTTCCAAGCTCTCTTGCCAATGCTATGCCCTAATTACCATGCTATGTACTACAACCTATCGCCGTAAATCATCATCGAGACATGCATCTGCGCCCACCATAGCCCTGCCCTCCTGCTCCACCCAGCCGAGCACCTGAACCACTCCATCGCGTGCTTGTTGATATCGCACCCTAAAGCTGACAAACTCAGCGGAATTGTTGTGACGGAAAGCCATTGGCACTTGCGCTAGGGCCCCCTGATCTACACACAGTGTGTCAGCGGCCTAGTCGGCCCTTCCTGCAGCCTCGTTGCAAGCTTTTGCTAGGTATCGAGCACAGAGTGTGACAAAGCAAGAAACTTGCGGTTTTATTGATATGGAAGCACAAAAAGAGGACGGTGACTATCGAGTATACCCCTGTGCATATGTGTGATAAAAAAGCAAAGTCGTATTGTCCTGTATACGGAGCAGTGAATCCGAACGCCGTTTCCACGCCACAACGCCAGATGCCCAGAGTGCAAACGAGCGGGTATCCTGCACACCAAGTGGCCAACCCATCAAACACATATAACCAAAAAAAACCACCCTCCCCCTTCCAGCCCTCCTCAGCACACCCCATCCCCTTCCACACTCCCTCCACCCTCACATCACCTCTCCCGCCGCGACCCAGGCACATCGACGTTCGCCCCGTGCGGCGTCCCCAGCACATCCCACCCCATCGGCACCCCATCCATAACCGTCTCGAGCATGTTATTCCACGTGCCCGGCGTCATCCCCGCGTCCATGTCCGCGCCCAACCCCATCTCGCCGCCCATGCTCATCTCGGCCCCCATGCCGCTGAACTCCCAGTCGAAGCCGTTGTCGTACGCGCCGTTGTGGATTGCGTCCGAGGGGTACGCGCTCATGTGCAGATCGTTGTTGTTGCTGCTCATGGCATTGTTTGCGGCGTACAAGGGCGCGAGCGACGCGGTCGAAGCCTGCATGTGAGACTGCAGTTGGGATGGCGTCTGCGAGGGCGTGAAGTGCGGTGAGGCGCGGTAGGGGAGGTGGTGTTCTTGCTGGGCGGGGGAGTACGAGGATTGCGAGGTCGAGCCGCCGCGGGACTGCGAGTTGATGGTGGACGGGCTGGGCTGGTCGCCCGTGAGGTCCATGTCGGTGGTTGTATGCTCGTTGAAGATAAACGCAGTGCCGCCTGTGCTGCGCTGGGGGGAGAAGTCTTGGGATAGGTCTTGGAGGTTGCGGACGGGCATGAATTGGACGGTTTGGGGCGCGGTGTCGATGACGGATGCGCCAAAGAGCGGTGGTGGTTGATGGTTGTCCAGCGGCTGCTGATGGTTGCCCGGGAACTGGGGTGTTGCACTTGTGGAGCTGGGCCTGCCGGCAAACTGGTTGATGGGTGCGTTTTGGTTTTGAGTCTCGCGGATCTCGTAAATTGAATTGCAGCCCACAGGGTCGGTGTTGACGGGTATGACTGAGTTCTTTTTCTCGAGGGGCATGTACGGCCTCTGGATGCCAGCGCCCTCGAGGTCAAGATCCAGCTGAACCAGGAAAGACTCCGTCAGTGGGTTCTTGCGGCGCAGGGCCTGCATCGCCTGGAGGAGGAACTGAAGCGACGAGTTCATCTGCTGGTCGTTGGGCCGTGTCTTGATGTACTGAACAAATACCCTTGCCGCTACATAGACACAGAACGCTATAAACGGGTTCATCTACTCGCATTAGAATTGACCAGACCTGTTTGGTGGGTAGCTTACCGCTGATAGATCCATGTGGCTGATCGTGCGCATGATAGACGCAATCTCTGCGGCTGCAGTCACGCACCGCACTTTGCTCTCGTTGCCAACGCTCGCGGGCAACTGATACTTGTCGGCTTTGAAGATCGATGCTTGATGGAGGCAAATGGTGGAAGTGTGTATGCACATGTTTGTGAAGACCACGTTTGGATCGTCGCGCCCACCTGGCAGGCGCATATGATCAGGCAGGTGGAGAGAAGTCTGGAGCAGAATCTGCTCAAGCTGACGATGACGCGTCCAGAAGGCACCATTGAGATCGCTGTCATTGTCTTCTGCTGTCGGCCGATGTAGGTGCAGGAGGTTACGGCCAAACATTGCTGCCGTCAAGACGATGCCGCCCATTGACTCGAGCTTTGTTGCGCCCATAGGGTTGCAAGCTTGGTCAAGAGAACCAGTGGCCATTGGCTTACTCCTGTCAAACGCATCGTCGCTTGCAGGAAGGTTTGTCAAAACCTGACAGTGTTAGTGAAACGATTTCTTCTGCTAGAAACTCGACCTACGTCTCGTTCATCGATGGTCATGGGCCAGCCTGTCCCAATACTGGCGTAGCGGTCGACCGCAAAGCACATCCAGAACGTCCGTCGCCGCTCTTCTCTCTCAGTCCAGTCTTTAGGCGGCGGCAGGCACTGCTTGACATCCAATCCAGCTCCGTCCAGGCGGTGCAGCTGCATCATCAGAGCCAGCCGGCTCGCGCGGCCAGAAGACAGCCATGCTCTCGGGAAGTACAGATTCTTAAACTCGTAGCTGCCCAGTAGCGTCCACGCCTGACAGTGCGCAACTGTGATGGTCGACTCTCCGTGACCTCGCATCTCGTCAAGCTGAGCGTACTTCCGAGCGCGGTGGTAGAAGTGCTCCTGCAGCTCAAGATATTTGTCCGTCACAGAAGCCGCCATTGTCCACATGCTGTATCGCAGACATACTGGTGGTCGCATGTGAGGGGCAAGATTTAGCGCTGCCATGAACCGTGGTCGATGGATGACTGGCATCGAGGGGTGCATCTTTGCAAAGTAGATCTCATATCTGTATGTCGTCAGGTCATCGCTCGCTCGCTTCTACGGCTGAACTCACAGCTCGTCCATGACATCTTGAGGCGGCAGTGGCTCCTCCAGACCTAGACCAATCAATTCCCATTGAAAGTCGTTATCGCCGGGGACTGCAGCGTCATTTCGGTTTGCGGGTACCGACGCAGTCCTCGAGTCCAGGAGATTCGAGGATTGTGTCCGTGTCGAAGATGCCCCTTGTTGTATGGTATTTGCGACATAAGCGGCGGTCGAGTCTTGTCGAGTTGTGTCCTTGGTCGAGTCGGTCGAGTCCTGGCTCTTGAGCAGTGTTTCGACTTGTTCTGAGAAAGAGTCAGCACAGTTCGATGGTGCATAGCATCGGCTTACGCAGTCGCTGTTCTAGCAGCTTCACATAACCTCTCTTTGGTCCACTCTTCTTGCGCACTTCGTCGTACGCGCAGTCATGCGATAAGCGTTTGCATGTTGCGCAGGTCGGCCGAGCGCCGTCGCATCGCAGTTTCCTCTTGCGACACAAGACACACGCGATCCTCTTCTGTTTGGCCGCGTTGTCGTTGACCGCATCTTGGCTGTTGGCTTGAGTCGGCGATTGTTCGTCACAGTTGGCGTCTGGAGCTTGCTGGGTCAGATCGTTGAAGTAGGATTCTTCCGGCGACTCGGAATCCCGCGCAGGCATCGTTGCGCCTTCGTTATCCGTGTGGGTACCTAAAGAAGTCGCGGTGTTCGTGTGCGGGTGCCCCGCGTAAGCAATGCAGGTCAAAGGATCTTCGACCGGTGCCGAGAAGCTGGAGGTAATCAGACAGCTACCGAGCGCGTAAAGATGGTGTACGAGGTAAGCCTGGGTCGAGCAGGATGGACTACGAGGGCTGACGCTGGGGTAACCCGTTCACTACAGAGCAATCAGGCATCACTATTCTTGAGAGGGTACGATGTTGTTGCAAGCTGAGACGAGGGTTCAGAGAAGTGTTGCGAGTGTAAGCGGACAGTCAAGAGGTCATTGTCAAGGCTCAGGGTGCACTGTTGGCGTGGTTCATCTGCAGCTGCATCCACCAGGCGTCCACTTTGGCGCGTGTCATCGAAGCCATCCTGGACAAATAATCGCGGACCCGCGACACCGAGCGATCGGAGGCCCCACAACGGCGCTGAGGCCGCATTTGAATAATGACAGGCCTCTACTGTCGGTGTATACTAAACAGCTATTCGGCTCAATCAGAAGCACATACAGCTGTTCACAGCATCTTGTTCGTTCACCTTAACGCCGACCTCCGACGTTGGGGCGGGGATTAGCGCCGATGCTGGAAATAGCTAGCCATGCGACGATGGACAGGGGTCCTTTGTCGCTCAATCGCGCTCATAACCACATATGAAGAGGCCAGATATTGATTGTACAGGTGGAAGTTCTCGAGGGAATTGTATTAAGACTTTAAGTAGTCGGTGTCGCAGGGAGTTCAGTGTGACATTTGACTCGAAGATGTCATTGCTTCATCGGCATTGCACCACGAAGCTTGTCTTCTGATGCATCACCATTGGCGACGGTCTCGTATTCAGCAGACGGCACGCCAGGCCACCACAATATAGACTAAAGAAAGTGTTCCAAACATCTCAATCAAGTTCGTATCATGTGATATGATGCTGCCGTCTCAAATCAGCCATGTGTTTAGGCGCATCTCAAAACGGACTCCTGCTTTGGCACTAAAATATGCCTGATCTTGAAAGACATTGATAATGTTTGGTATATTCAGGGGCAGCTGATGATGCAGCCATGTGATATATAGTACAGGTTCGACGGACAGGTAGTAATACACAGCGCGCACGGCTGGCTTATCTCGGCTTGCGCTTGCCCTGGTTGCGTGGTCGGTCCTGGACCAAGAATGTGTGCTTGTTCCTCTTGGCTCGTGTCTTAAAGCCACCCTTGGCCGGAGTGCCCCAAGGACTGACTGGGTGCACGTTACCCTTCGATTTACCTCGACCACCACCGTGAGGGTGATCAGCTGAGTGGGGTTAGTCTTTGAGATTTCAGAGAGTGACAGGTACTGACCTGCGTTCATGGCAAGACCACGGACTTCTGGTCGCTTTCCGAGCCATCGAGCGCGTCCGGCTTTCCCGAGCTGTTCGAAATGCTTCTGGATGTTGCTAGCTACACCAATTGTGCAGCATGCTTGCGGGTCGACTTTGCGGATCTCGCCACTCTGTAGGCGGATAATCACACTCTTAATGTCAACACCCTTGGCCTTCTCCACTTCCTCCTTGTTCACAATAATGGCGTAGGTGCCTGCACTACGACAGAATACACCTCCACCCTTGGCCTTGGACCCAACATTGAACACCTGCGAGCCGAGGGGCACCATGTGGATAGGCAAGCAGTTTCCCCGCGAAGCTGTCTTCGCAGCGAGCATACCAGGATCGATGACTCCACCCATGCTAGCAATCAGGTCCTTGGGGACACCGGTCCTATAGCTCTCAACCTCGTCTCCCGCGCGCATGCCGTCTGCAGCAACCACATATGATTTTTCGCCCGTCTCGACTCGTGTGAGAAGGGCCAAATGTGCGCTTCGGTTGGGATCGTATTCTATCCGGTCTACGATGTGCTTGCCAGGCAGGTACCGCTTGTAGTCGACGATGCGAATGCGCCTCTTGTGTCCTCCGCCCCTGTGTCGCACTGTGACTCGTCCGGTGTTGTTCCTTCCTCCCAGATGCTGTCCCTTGCGTGCGATGGTGAGCTTGAGAAACGGCCGCCCCTTCCACAGATGGTCGTTCACGGCACGCTTGAGATGACGTAGACCGGGCGTGCGAGGCTTGTATGTGCGCAGTGGTGTGAATTTATCCTTCCGGGGGCCCTCGGTGGTGAGCACACTGCCATCAGCAGATGCAGTGGGCGCATAGGCCGGCTTGATGAGCTGCTCGAAGCCCTGCGAGTAGCTGCGGGCGCTCAGCAGCGACTTGCCCAAGCGCGAGGGCTGGAATCGACATATCCGGGGCTGCAGCATTATGTCGAGATGTGCCCGGAGGCGTGACGATGGGCGCGGCGGTGCAATGGGCTGCAATGGCCGGCGGCGATGGCGTGTCGTTGGAGGAGATGGTGGAAAGAAAATCAGGCTGCGCCGGATGCAGCCTAGCGCCTTAGTGGCTAAATGGAAGGCACGTTGCTGGGCCAGTCGCCGCTTCCTGGTCGCTCCCTCTCGAAACTGCCCTTCACCAGCATCCTGGTGCACCTGCAATCGCGCTGCAACTTCTTCCACACTGCTTCGCGACCTTCTCTCGCCCTCTCCAGCTCGCTCTGCTCAGCACCCCGCATCTATTACGCGTGAGTTTTGGGCCTTTTGCAGGTAAGACACTTTCCTACGCGCTCTGGCGTTCGGGTGGGTCCCGCACTGGGCACGCCAGCCTCAGAGTTCACGTCGCCCGCGCGTTGTTGGCGCAAAATCGAACACGTGACTTACCGCACACCAAAACAAACCAGCGGCTACCTCTGCTTCCATCAACACAAACCTTGGTGCAGCCCCGACTCGATCTCACCATCCTCCCCCGCACCGCACTCCACACCTGTGCAGATTGGAGCTGGACTTCTCGCGTCTCTGTCCTCCTCCCTGGCGCTGCCATCCAAGGGTTCGTCGCACTCAATTCCACCCGTCACATCATCGCTGCCGCCCGCCATATACCGTGCTTGGCCTGCCAGTGCTTGCAAACACCGGCCTGGAGTGTGTTCAGCAGACTCTGTGACACGTCTCTCCGCGTATCTGGTGCTCCTGCAGTACTGTCAGCCTTCACCGTCGACGCGTCTCCTGCATGCTCTTGCTGTCGACTCCATGCTAATGCCTCCAAATAGTGCATCACAACACGACCTCTACTCCACATCTCACCCTACGACATACCCAGTCTTCCTCGATACCACTCTAGCCTTGATCAGCATATCTAGTATTGCTCGCAATGCCTACCGTACGTTGCCCTCGACCTTCACCTCCATGTTTCGTCCCAAAACGTCATAGCGGGGACCCACGAACCACGCACGACCCACGCGTCACGGCTTACTAACACGTTCCATCAGGTCAGAGCAACACGACAGCGTGCTGTCACGAACGAGAACGATGAAAACGCCGGTCCTACGCGTATGACGCGTGCTAAGGCTGCCGGCCTGAGCGCGACTGAACACGCTGGTGACGTGCCTAAGAAGACCCTGGCCACCAAGAAGTCCACTGCCACACTGAATGGAGCTGCAAGGACACGAACAACGCGTGCCGCCCTCGGCGATGTCAGCAACACCATCAAGGTTGAGGGTCTCGCTGCCGGCGTGAAGGATGGCAAGAAGCCTGCCGCCGCCAAGGGTGCTGTCGCCAAGGCTGCACGTCCCACTGGTGTTCAGAAGGCATCTCAGGCCGAGAAGGCGCGTCCTGCCCTGGCTTCTAAGCCGCCCAATAAGCGCATTGCCCCTGCCGATGCCAACAAGCCCGCCGGAAAGAAGCTGAAGCCACCCCCAGTGGTGGTGGAGCAGGACACAGAAGAGGAGGAGGAGAATGTTGTACCAAAGGAAGAGGAGAAGCCCACCAAGTCGAAGAAGGAGGTCGCTGCTGCCAAGGTCGAGGTTGTCGAGGAGGAGCTCAAGACTAAGCGCGAGGAGATCGTCGAGGTCTTCGAGGAGGAAGTCGTTGACCTGGACAAGGAAGATGTCGACGACCCATTGATGGTCTCGGAGTACGTCGTCGAAATCTTCGAGTACCTGAAAGAGCTCGAGATTGCTACCATGGCAAACCCCGACTACATGGACAGCCAAAGCGAGCTTGAGTGGAAGATGCGTGGTATTCTGGTCGACTGGTTGCTCGAGGTCCACACTCGTTTCCGTCTCCTGCCTGAGACTCTCTTCCTTGCCGTCAACATCATCGACCGCTTCCTGTCCAGCAAGATTGTTCAGCTCGACCGCCTGCAGCTGGTTGGTGTCACCGCCATGTTCATCGCCTCCAAGTACGAGGAGGTCCTCTCGCCCCACGTTCAGAACTTCCGCCACGTTGCCGACGACGGCTTCACTGAGGAGGAGATTCTCAGTGCCGAACGCTTCGTCCTCTCCGCTTTGAACTACGATTTGAGCTACCCCAACCCCATGAACTTCCTCCGCAGGATTTCCAAGGCCGATAACTACGACATCCAGACCCGTACCCTCGGCAAGTACTTGCTCGAGATTGGTTGCCTTGACCATCGCTTCCTTGCCCACCCTCCCAGCCAGGTTGCTGCCGCCGCCATGTACCTTGCCCGCCTGGTACTTGAGCGTGGGCCTTGGGACGCTACTCTCGTACATTACTCTGGCTACAGTGAGGAGGAGATCCAGCCTGTCCTGCACCTCATGATCGACTACCTGTCCGGTCCTGTTCTCCACGAGGCATTCTTCAAGAAGTACGCCAGCAAGAAGTTCCTGAAGGGTAAGTCATGTTTCCGCAGTCTTGTTATAACACCTTTGCTAATTCTCCGCAGCATCCATTGTCCTTCGCAAGTGGGCCAAGGAATACGTTGTCGAATATGGTAACGTCCTGCAAGAAGAGTCCTCGCAGCCCCGTAGCAAGCGCTAAGAGATTTTTTCTTAACAGGCAAACCTGGTCGTGTTCCCAGCATCCACAGCTTCTATCCATCCTACGGTCTTGACGGTTTTTACCTTCTCGATGGCTACAGATGATGGCAGGATGGGAAGGTCACACCGGCAAGCCACTTGCACTCGACTACTTCTTCATGTTTGCATCTCGGTCTTCAGGACCTACCATGTTTCGATCGGCGTTAATAAAAGGCGATGTTGGTTATTCCACCATCTGTTCTTGGCTTCTTATTGCAGCGGAGTCCCGGCGTCATTTCATTGCGGCGGCGTTCTCGATTTCAGCACTTTTATCATCATTTCTCTGATAGCGACTCTGGATACTCGCTCATAGCACTAGCGACTGGTATACCATGATGGTGACATACGAAAGCTATTGCTTGGTGGATACGTGCGGCGTGTGGGTACATTGGCAGAGGCAACATGAGATATCACACGCGGCTGTATGATTAGCGCTTTGCGTCGCAGGCGCAATTGATGTTTTTAAAGTTCAAATCCGTTCCCAGACGTGCATTGTCATCTTTTCGGATACGTGATGCTCGTGATTTGAGCTTTCCGACGAAACCAGCCTCAGCCTTGTAGTCGCGTCGCGCTTCACGCTTCACGCTTCACGCGCCGATCGGTGATACGTCATGCACGATCGCGTCATTTAGTCGCGGTCCCACGATCGGGTCGCGAACACGGACGCGACTCGAACACAGGGCTTGCTGATGCATCACATATCGCCCAGCCTCCAGCCTCCCAATCCGCTGATCGATCCATCGTGCCCAGTCCTTGACCTCGGCAACATCAACCCCAGCGCTAGCCGCATCGGTGCACGATATCGACCACACCCCATCGCAACACCCGTCTAGCCACCATCCCATCACCAGCTCTCCTCCCAGATCCCGAGCTCTCGCAACAAAAACAGAAAGAGCAGGAACAGCAGTCTCCTCGGTTATGTAAACCCGCCCGCACAGCATGCAGGAAACCGATCTTCACTACCCGCCCGAGGCGTGTCCGTTCTGTGGCATTGCGGCGGCGTATCCGATGCGCGACACGGGGCTGTGGCGGAAGGAGGAGGAGGTGGCGGATGCGGTGCCCGGGGAGGAGGAGTGTGGGGTGGAGAAGACGAGTCCGAGTAGCTTTTTGGTGATGCGGACGAGGGACGTTGTGGCGTTTTTGGATATTCTGCCGATGACTGGTGGTGAGTGTTTCGTTTTCTGTTGCATGCGGATGATTCGTGTGGGTTGGCTGAAGTGAGTGCGTGATGGAAGGCTGAGGGTATTCTTGGAAGTCGTGTCTATCACTTGTGGTCGTGAGGCTTAATGCAACTCGCGGGGGTCTGCTGCACAAGGCGTAGTGCGTGTAACGGTGTTGCAGACCGGTGTGCTGACATACGGGGTGTAGGACATTTGCTGGTCGCAACACGGAATCACAGGGTCAAAGTCGCAGACATGGAGGCGCAGGAAAGTCGAGAAATCGGTGAGCCACACCGGTCCAGCGTATGTGGGGTATAAGCTAATTGGCAGGCTTCTGGCTACCGTTACTCGCGAGGACTGTGGCCAAGGTTACAGGTGTGACTGATTACAACATTGTACAGAACAATGGAGCGCGAGCCGCGCAGGTGGTTCCACATGTACATTTCCACATAATACCTCGACCAGCGACGAAGCCGGAGATCAAGAGCAGGAGTTGGACGATGTTTGGGAGAGGGCAACGCGATGACCTGGATGACGAGGAAGGCGCACAGATGGCGAGCGAGATGAGGAAGGTGTTGAGGCAGGAGATTGAGAAGTTGGGTAAGAGCAGTCCAAGATTGTAAATGTTTTGCAGCTATATCCCTGAGCAATCTGCTATAAATATGACAAGGCGTGAAGATGCGGCGCAAGGTATAACTGTATGCTTGAAGCAGGCTTCGCGCCAATGAGCTCGAGGTCCTGCGCCAGCCCAAAAGAGTTGCAATCTGCATGTCAGAGCGATGCAGCCCAACTAGACATAGTAAGCAATCAAATGCATTCTACCATTGGAAGATAACAGGATTGGCTGCTAATTTCGTTGAGAGGCAACAGTAAACGCCATGGATGATGCAGTCTCACCGTATTCGTTTCAGCCTTGCGGGCGGGTATGTGTATTTAAGACCATGGGATACAGCCCACTCAGTAGAGTCTTCTTCGGTCGTACGTTTCTCTCCAAGCTCATTACCTAGCCTGGAACCAGGCTATCCAATCCTCATTACGACTATGGCTACCCAGGCCGCTGTCCCTCTCCCGGACTATACCTTTCAGAGTTCCGACGAGGCTGAAATGATGTCTCTAACGTCGCCAGAATGGATCTTAACGCCTCTAGAGAGTGACACTGTCGAGCCACCATTCGTACCTATCAATATGAACCTACAGTATGCCAACGAAGCTGAGAGTGTCACTCTGGCCCCAACACCGCCACCAGAACAGCACCCGATGCTCGACCGGGTGGATTCGATCAAATCTGTGCCTCCACGATCTACTATCAAGCTGGTTTTCTCCGTCTGGCTAGTCGAAATCACATGCACTTTCATCTCACTTGGAGTCCTCACGGCTGTTGCTTCTATTCTTGGAGTCAACAACGGTCGCCCTAATCCGGAATGGAGCGGCGGCATTACACTCAACACGATCGTCTCTTTTGGCTCAATGTTCTTCCGCATCAGTTTGATGGTACCTGTTGCCAGCTGCATCAGCCAATTGACATGGATTTGGTTCGCTCAAGCTCGGAGGCCGCTTCTCGATGTGGTTCGATTCGACCATGCAAGCCGGAGCATAAGTGGCAGCTTGAGTCTCATTTACACCCACCACTTCATGTAGGTATATCTGCAGCTAATTAATCAGGGCTTAGTCTAATACTGTATCAGGACTGTTGCTTTCATTGGCGCCATTATCACTGTAGCCGGTCTTGGAATTGGCCCTTTCCTCCAGCAAACCTTGGTCTTCTATAGTTCATCTGTACTAGACACAAGTGTTACATCTTATACATCATCTGAGGTCCATATAACTTTGTATGCTGGTCTGGCGGAAGAACGGCTTACTTATTACATATATGCTGCAGTAAACAATGGTTATATATCACTCGGATCCCTAACATCTCCAAAGCCGACCTTCTCATGTCCGTCTGGTAACTGTACTTGGGAAATATTTCCTACACTAGCCATGTGTTTAAGATGCAGGGATGCTCCTGAAGTATCCCGCCTGTATTGCACAGACTACGAAATCAGTAAAGGAATCAGTCTACCGAAATGCAGCATTGTTGCAAAGGGTGAGCAAGAAGACCTGGGCTATTTCAGTCTCTCCAAGCAGCTGGATGTCGAAAACCGCTCTCGAGGTCAATATCGTCCTTCGTTCCACATGGCTGCAGAACTGCGACCCTCCTACTTGTTCACGGCGTCCATAGGAATAAACTGGACTCGGGCTAATGATCTTTCTTTCAATCATGGGTTTTCTTATATCTCACCCAACAGTACTTTGGAGTCAAAGCAGTGCGAGATTTATAACTGCATCCACGTCATCAAGGCCGAGGTGAAGAATGGCGTGTATAGTGAGAGCATAGTCGAGGAAATAATTGTTCCAGCCGCGAGTGAGGATAATGACTACAACCAAACGTGGGCGTATACTCAAAGCAATGGGACCACGGTCAATCTGACTATCGAAACAATCCGACAAGTAGGCATAATAGCAGAGCTATTACACCCTTTCCCGAACAGCATGATCGTCACCGCAAACGGGGAGACCATATATGGAAACGTCACCGCGGTGAATAGAGAAGTCCTCTGGGGACCCAGAATTCTGCAACAGATATACATGGCTTCGAATGTCACAGAAACCATTGTCTCTGTCGTACAAAACGTCAACATCGCACTACGTACTTTCCGCACCTTACAAGCCCGGATCTCCGACTCCAATTTGCCGCCAGATTTCATCTCAGAACGACATCGAGTGGCTGGCTCCGTGTGGAGAGACACGATCCATGTCAGAGTTCGCTGGATATGGCTCGCATTGCCCGCTAGCCTTCTAGTTCTTACGATAATACTCTTGATAGCCACGATCTGCCTCTCGAGGGCCGAGAAAGTGGGCATCTGGAAGGATAGCTCACTTGCCCTGTTACTGTTCAGTCGCTGGAACGATCAGGAAAAGCCATCAATGGGAGTTGCACAGACCCAAGAGGATATTCGGGAAGCGGTGAAAGGCATGCGAGCTCAGTTAGCCAAGGATGTTGATGTGCATGGGAGCGATTTGAAGGGGACCATGTTGATCGAGCGGATTCCAAAATCGCGCAAATGATGGTCTGAATCTGTGGTTGGGAAGTGGTGTTGAGAAGACAAGTCATGATGTACTTTTTCCCATTGAACCTGCAACACAATCTGTTATTTCGCGCCCCATCAGCAGGCAAAGATACTTGTCGACTACCAATTCTGAATCTCATTGTGTACCTAGAAGCTGTCTTCACAGTATACTCCAGAAACATTTGCCCTCTGACTTCTTCCGAGAGGTCAGCTTAAGCAACATGTGAAGGTACAATATGCTTCACCAGAAACGCACCGTTCCACCTACACTAGCATCACAGAGCCCCTCCCCACCCCCAACCTGGCCTCCCAGCCAGCTCTAGACTCCAGAGAACCCCATAGAAAATAGTGAGCATAAAATCGTCACTTTGAGCCTCAGCTCGGCCATGCACAAACCCGTCGGAAACCCATATTGATATCGCTGTCTGGGCGGAGCAGTGAGTCCCAAACAGCAATTTGCACGTGCAAATCAAGCATAAACCCCAAGCGTGAAACCCAAGCATAAATCCCAAATCCGGGGACCAAGAGACCGGAAACGTGAAGAGAGAAGTGCGAAGAGAGAGGGAAGAAGCAAGAAGAAACATATCCCAAAGGCTCACAACTTACAACTTATGATCACTACCGCCAACCACTACCTAATTGACATGTAACTGACATCCACGAACAATATCATGATCATATCTAATTCAAGAACCAAAACTCTCGACTCTCGACTCAGTAACCAAGACTCGAAAGCTTCGCGCACACACCGAGAAAACGTGCAGAGTCCCCCACAGTCCTCAAGAGCGCAGCAACAGTGAACTGGAAAAGCACTGGGTCTGTGAGTGTTACGGACTCGAGCGCCAGAACGCAGGGAAAAAAAGGGGCGATGGAGATAGGGAATGAGCCACGCGTGCAGCAGAACACCTGAACGACGGGAACAGCAAGTGTATACACGCACAGCAAGCCCCTTAGGCGAAGAAGGAGAATCCGAGTCATTCAATGTTTAATCATCAGCGCGTCAAGTTCTCCTATGCAGTCGCCCCGTCTTATATCCATGCCCTGCGTATCATACACCACCCCACCCCCCCGTTAAACATTTACCTCCAGCCTAATACTCAAAGTCATCATCAGCACTAGGCCCCTTACTCTTCCCCACACTCTCCTGCCTCTGATACATCTCCGCAATCGCCCTGGCCGTCGTCGCCTGATCCGGCTTCTTATCCTCCCTCTCCTTGACGAAGCGCGGAAACCTCAGACTCACGCCTTTCCCGCCGCCGGAGACCTCTGCCGCGGCTGCCCGGTAGCGGGGTGACAGTGTGAGGTCGGCGGTTTTCACCTCCCACACGAAGCGCGGCTCGAACCACACGTCGGGCTGGTCTTTGTTGCCGGGGCTGTGGGTGTAGAAGGGCTTGGGGCGGTCGATGACGATGGCAGAGAGTTGGGTGTGGAGGCTCTCGAGCAGAGCTTCCGAGAAGCCGGTGCCGATGTTGCAGACGGATTCGTATTTTTCGGTAGACGGGTTGTAGCAGGCTAGCAGGAAGGCGCCGTACCAGCTTGTGCGCTTGCCTTTGCCGTAGTAGGCACCGAGGACGACGAGGTCGAGGGAGTCGCCCACGCCCGCGAGGTAGTCCTTTTTGACTTTGAGCCAGTTCTGCGAGCGTTTGGAGGGCTCGTAGTATGACTCTGGGCCGTCCAGCATCTTGACCATGAGGCCTTCGCAGCCTTCCTTGACGGAATCTTCGAGCAGTGTCTGGATGGCGTCGAGCTCGTTGGTGTTGCCGAACTTCGCAAGTGCGAATTCGCCTTCGACGGGGATGAACGCGCTGTTGAGGGCTTCTCGACGTTCGCGGAAGGACTTCGTCACGAGGGCCTGAGAGTGTTAGCAGAAATATTTGATAGGGATTAGCAAGAGACATACCTCGCCGTTCAGGTACAGGATGTCGAAGGCAAAGACGCAGACCTTGACTGTCACATCCTCGACCTTGACATCCTTCCTCTTCCTTGTCATAAGCTGCTGGAAGGGCAAGACTTTCTTCTCCACCACGTCCCAGGCCACGGTCTCGCAGTCGAGAACAAAGCTCTTCGTCCCCTCCTTGACCCATGAGGGCAGCTTCGCAAGGATATCTGGGTATTTCTTCGACAAATCTTCAGAGTTTCGAGAGAAGATGTTGGACACACCGCGGTCACTCTTGCCAGGCATAGGAGCTGCCGTCGCCATGTCTATCGTCGTGTCGTGTGCAACAAAATGGATCTGCGCTCGCTCGCCGTCATACTTGTACTCGCATGTGAAATCCTTGCCTTCGAAACGGTCGAGTACTTCAGTAATTGACTTTGTCGGCTTCGCAAGCATAGGCTTCAGCGGCACACCAGGTTGCAGGTTGCAATTCTCGCGCAGCTTTGATAACCCGTGTTCAAGCATAGCAGGAACAATAACCTCGTAGCTGGGAAGCTCGCTGTTTGTATGTTAGTATAACCACTGGGTACGAACAATCACTATGCGTACCTGTAGACAGTCTTCAGCGTGGCCTCGGCTTCAGCCAAGTCTGCTGTAGACGGCGTCTTCCCACTCTGTGACATCTCGTGAAACTTCACTGCTTGTGCAAGCGAAACCACAACACTTCTCTCCGCGAGCCCTAAGCGGAGCTTGCCTTCAAGTGTTCGAACAATGAACTTGGCCTCACTTGCACCGCCCTTGTTCTCTTCTATGTCGACGTGCTTCCCAGCGTTGTGGGCATCGGCGGACGACAACAATTTCTTGATGCCGTCGACCTTTCGCCCTTGAGCGCCCTGCCCTTCGGTGGTAGTCGCAATAGCCATCAAACCTTTGTGAACACCTGCGACAGTCAGAGGCTTTGGCTTGAACATAGTAGGCTGCTTCGATCGACTCTTTGCTGCCACCAGTCCAAGGTCTCCGATTTCCTGTTGGTCGCTCTTGATGTGTTGCAGAGTCCGCCCAGTACTCTCTGAAATAGCCTTCATGATCAGAGACTCGCCAATACCAAGTTCGATGCCAGCATAATCTGCAGCGAGTTTGTTGATCATGAGCATGACTGTCGGTAGGAGGTCTGAGGGTGTCAGACGCATCACTTGACGCAGGAAAAGTGAACAGTGGGCCATAATCTCAAGTCGCTTTGTCGTCATCTCAATCTTGGAAAACGTTGTGCAGAGCGCAGCGTAAGGCACTGGCTCACCAGGCTTCCAATCCGGGTACAGATCGTTCGTCTTTGAGGTAAGTGTACTTTGGACTTGCTTGCGAGCCTTGACTTTGACCTCCTCGGGTTCTTCACCTGAGCTTAGCAGGTCTTCGTCCTCTTTTTCCTCAGACACGGCGTCGTCCTCCGCAACTGGTGTTGGCGATTTTTGTGTCTCCTTCTTGCCTTTTGTAGCTTTCTTTGGCTTGGGAGCCTCGTCCCCTTCGTCTACTTCGTCCTCCGCCTCCTTCGTTGTGGCAGCCGCCTTCTTCGGCGACGCAGCGGGTTTGTCAACTTTCTTCGCCGCTGGCTTAGCCTTCTTCGCCTCAGTCTCTTTTGCCGGTTTCCGTCGCTGTCGCTTAGTAGGGGGCTCGTCTTCTGAGTCTTCCTCTTCCTCTTTGACCTGTCTCTTCTTGCCAGCCTCAGCAGACGCACTGTCGACTTCCATTGCCTCGCCACTTGTGTCGGCCTCAATCTTCACGCTCGCCTCTGCTGTTCCATTGGGCTCGGATTTGACGTCTGCCGGCGACGATTCGGGCTCTTCTTTTGGTTCGGCATCTTTCTTTTCGGGTTTGGTCTTGGTGGAGAAGGCCAGCTTCGACTGCTGTTTCGCTGGTGCGCCGTTCTTGCCAAAGAACTTTCTGTAGCACACATATTAGCACCAATATTTACAAACGAATGCAATCCTAGCTTCATCGCACCCAAGTGTAGTCTGAGAGGGCTTGACATACCCCAGAGTAGCCTGCTTAGGAGCCATGGTCGCTGCACTACAGAGCTGCGAGCTCTCACGCTGGTGGCGGCGAATAGTTGCTGAGGAGAGCAATTGCAGTCGAATTGGCCGCAGTGTGCGACAAGCCAGGCGAAGTGGAAGTATTGTGCAGCTCAGAGCGCTGTGAACGGGCATGCTCTGTTTTACAGTACGCCCAAGATTAGGCTGCGACACGAGGAAAGGCGCGTCGGACGCGACTGCCTCGCGCGCTCGGAACGTGCGCAGGCAGCGCGGAAAGTGCTGACATCACTCCGAGGCACGCATCACCATCTCAGCTGCTGCACTTGCACGACACAGCAGCCCTACCTAATAACCTCTGCACATCTTGAGCACCTGGAACCGCCGTAATCCTGGCTCAATATTTCTGGAAACCCACTCCCCCCTCGACACCCTCCCCGCCCCCGCCCACCATGTCGCAACCCTCGCCAGCGCCAGGCCTCACGCCACAATTCTGCTTCAACCAAACCGCCCTGCGAGGTCAGCCACCCCACCGCTCTCCAAGCCGCTCACTAACTAATCCAAGCCCACTGACAGACTTCCTCCGGATCTCGCGCTCCACGATCGACGACTCGATCACCCAGAACCTAAACGCCCTGCTCACGCCGGCCCAACGCGGCTTCGATCCCGCCTCGACGTCGACACGCCAGCTGGGTGCACCTGCGCGCTCGCTCACGCCCGCGCACTGCGACGAGTTCAAGACCCGCGTGCTGTTCCCCAGCTGGGCGGTGCGGTCAGATGTGCTGGACTACTGCGCGGGTGTCGCCACCAGCCCGGACCCCGACGACCCGGACAGCGTGCTGAGGCAGATTGAGGACTCGAAGGCGCGCGAGAGGGTGGTTGATGAGCGGCTCGATCCGTACTCTGCGCGCTACTTTCCGCAGGAGGCGCGGACGGAGAGTCTGGCGATGCTGATGCGGAATGAGAGGGCGGTGGAGAAGATTATTCGGATGAGGACGTGGGGATTGATTGCGGAGAGGTGTGGGAGTGAGAGTGCTGATGCGGATAAGGCGTTTGAGCAGTGGCGGAAGCAGCAGTGATTACGGCGCTGAGGCAATGACTGACATGATTGCGAGGTCGCGGCGTGAATGGCTGTCATAAGGTTGAGCACAAGCATGCTGGCGTTGCGGGAGCATAGCGTTTGACTTGTGTTGACATTTTTCTTGTAAATATATATAAACATACTCAACTCTGAACATCTGAGCACGCGTTCATCGCTCACTCGTGATGCTGGACACATGCTGTAGCAGCGTGGTTGGACAAGCAAAGGCTCCGTCCTGAGCGCAGAGCGACAAACCGACAGCATGAAACGCTGTGACAGCGTTAAGCTCATGAAGACCATGCTTGGAGCGCGCCGAGAACAAATACACTATCGCAACGCGTTGGAGAACTCCGTGACTCCAACCCTCCGCCTCAACACACCAAAAAACCCCTCACCCATCAAAACCATCCTCAAGCGCAGCACACGTGCCACTCCCAATGATAGCCAGCGCACACTGCGCCTCTATACCTCCAGCAGCACCTACTGCCAACCCAAAAACCTCTTCTCCAAACAAAAGTATGTCCCACACCATCCCACAACCAGCATCCATCTTTTCACGGACAGCCGCTTGGTAGGAAGACGGTCGGATTCGCTCTACGGGGCCGGGAACGGAGGACTGCCCACAGAGAAGTGAGAGTAGCCCTCAGCAAGCCGCTTGCGCGGAGCCACGGTATAAGTAACTTAGGAAGTTACCTACTGATGTAGGAGGAAGGAGAGAGGGGGACGGGGGACGGCGGCGTTTTATGCTGGTGCGCACGGGCCGGGCTTGGCGGAAGTTTTTTGGGAGGGAAATTTTTGGGTGGGGCGAACAAGCTCAGCGGAGTGGTTGGGTGAGGTACACGACGGGTTTGATGGGAGGGCACAATGGGGCTGGTGGGGTGGCTCTGGGTAGGGGTATGTGTGTTGCCATTCGTCGCGTTCAGTTTGCAGCATTGAGGTACTTGTAGGCATTTAGACATTCTCGCGACATGCTACATCCCATCATATCATTCACGGTATAGAAAGTGGAAACATTGTTGACGGGTTCACATATGCCATTTAAAGCTACATTACTCCGTCATTCATCCTCGAGATCGTGATTCCGTAGATCGTTACCGCAGCAGCTGTCCCAAACGGCCAGCCCGCCGCAGCGTGATATGACGAACCCAACAACCCAGACGACAACGCTCTAGTACAGGCGCTTGGGGGGGCTCATGGTGGCCTTGATGGTCAGGGAGCCCACGTTCTGCCAGCCCTTCTTCAGGAGGGAGACGAGGTAGTTGATGGCCAACATGATGTTACCGATCAGCTCATCCTCGGTCATGCCGACGTTGCCGACAGCGACACCCATGCAGAGAACCTTCTTCAGCTGGAACTTGATGGTGGACTTGACCTCGGTCATCTTGTTGGCGAGGTCCTCAGCGTGGGAGACGGGTGTGGGGAACTTTCCGGCCTTGGACAGACCGGGACCCAAGAGACGGGGAATCTGCTTGATCAAGGCGTCGGAAGCCATGAAAGCATCGTACTTGCGTGCGAGCTTCTTGATGAGCTTCTTGTTCTTGTTCAGCTTCTTCAAGTCCTCGGTGGACATGGCATCGACGCCGTGGTGCTTGGCACGATCGATATCGTGCTGGTCACCGAGAACGCAGATGGCCATACCTGGGTCTGTCAGTCGCTGCTCCTCGTAGTCGATGCGCGCAACTTACGGGGACGGGGAACGGTGGGGAGCTTGACGGTTCCAGAGAAACGCTTGTCACGCTGGGGGTCGTAGTTCTTGAGGCCGATCTGGAGCTCGACGGTCTCGACGAAGTTCCTCTTCTTGGTCTCGTTGGAGTACTCGAGGAGCTGCTGGACGTTCGTGCGAACGCCGGCGACAGAGATTTTCGACATGTTGGCTGATTGTCTCCCAAGGGAATGTTCCTTTGGTGGCTCTGGCGATGGTGGTTGAAGAAGAAGAGGCGGGCGGCGGTAGCGGCGAAATGCAAAGTGCACGAAATTCGCCTAACGCGCGCTAGGCTGTAGCTAGCCGCTGATTGGCTTGCCGCCGCAATGCCGACAGCAACAAGGCGACATAAAAACTGCGGGTTGTAGTCGCATCTTGCTCATCGCATTCGCAAGAGACGCGCGAATTAATACCTGTCAATAGTCCTAAAAATCCTCGTGGATCACCACCATTCAAGTCAAGACTGATGAAGCATGTCATATATTGCTCCAGCTAACCGTAGCTGTCCAAATATTATACATATAGCTTTTGTCCCCCATAATACGAACCAAAATACCACGCCGTGCAATGCCCGAAACTCCTCGCCATGACAGTCGTCCCATAAAGATGATAAGATGCTGCAGAGACACGTCGTCAACTGTCCCCACGGGTATCGCATCGGAAAGATCCCAACGCCAGTACCATACCATATCCTGGTTAAAGTGATAGATACCCGAACCGGCCCCTATGCATGCCGCCGCGCTGAATGAAGTCAAAGGCCGAAGCCCATAAATTACACAAAGATCGAAGTGAGGATATCGTGCTGAACCGGAAGTGTGTGCTAGCTGCCACCTAGGCTCGGAGAGCGCTTCAGTGCATCAGCTGCTGGTTGTTGGCCGCATCAACGACGTTATCAGAAAGGTTGATCAGGAGCTGGGCAAGACAGCGCTTGGTCGCCGCATCATCACGGAGGACTGACGAGAAGGTCGCATCTCTGAGTGGCTCGGGAAGGCACTGGCGTAGAGCCTCGCGAGCGCGGGCGTTGTCACTCAGACTGTTCGTGTTAGCTATGCAGCGTGCAGGTGGTAAAAGAACGTACCGAAGGAAGCAGCGCACAACATGCTTCAGAAGACGGACCGTCTGCTGCTCAACAAGCTGGTTGACCATGTTGCTCAGAACAGTGCCAACCGCGTAGAAGCGCTCGTAAGTCTGGCAGATGTATGCCAGACCAATGTCGTCGAGCAGAATCTTCTGCACAATGAAGATAGCCACAGTCTTGCTGAGCTCCGAACCTGTCTCCATAATACGGAGGCAAAGGGGAATGATCTCGGTAGTGAGAAGGAAGTTGATGACTTCAGAAGAGTCGTTCTTGACGAGGGCACCAATCACGCCGAGGGAAGTCAGGCGGAGGTACTCGAAAGGACGCGACTTGGACGTAGTGTTGAGGAAGGGATAGAGGAAAAGCGGGATGTGGGCTGTCATTGTGTTAGGAATGCGCGCTGAAGAGGCTGTCAGACTAACCGCTCAGGAAGAGGCCACGGGTCTCAGTGTGGGAGGCCACGCATTGGAGGAGTGCAAGCGCATTGCACACGCGATTTGAAGCGGCAGCCGTCAGCTGCGACGGATTCAGCAGCGGGTAAACGGAGATGATCTCTTGAAGAAGGGATGCCATGACGCCTGTATCTGTTAGCCTTCGCGTGCTGACGTTTGATCTGCGCGCGTACCGAAGGAGTGCCAGAGGATCAATGCAAGCTCGGGCACCTGCTCGCGCTTCTTGCTCAGCTCCAGCAGGGCCGACTCGCGCGTCGCGGGCTTCATAAGCTGCGCGATCCAGTCAAGCACGCGCCTGTTCTCTTCCGTCATGCCGATCTCGCTGTTGGCTTGCATGTCGTTCGCGGGGCCGCGGGGCACGATGCCGTTACCAGGGACAGCCGTCCCGTTGTTGCCCGCGATCCTCTGGTAGTGCTGCTGCTGGGCTTGCGCGGCGGCGGCTGCGGCGGCAGCAGCTTGCGCTTGGGCTTGCGCAGCCTGCGCCTGCGCCTGGAGCTGGCCGTGCTGCGCTACATGGTGGTTGGGGTGCTGGTGGTGGCCCTGTGACCACTCGCCCGGGTAGTGCTGCTGCTGCGTGAAGAGGTGTTGCATTTGCTGCATCTGTCGCTGTGGTCGGCGGTTTTGGGTGGGTTTGGTGTTGGGAACGGATGCTCTGGATCGATAGAAGTAATAGACCGGTGAAGCTCGCTGATGCCTGCGGTGGTGGCTGGAAGGCGGTGAACGGCGCAGATTGTGGGTGAGAGTTCAGTCGGTACCAGAGCGATGAGGTTCGCGATCCCCCACGTTGATTCTTGGCGGCGCGGGAGCTCGAGCTTTTACGGATCGGCGCCGTCCAGATCAACGGAGTACAGTGCAGTTAGAGCGCTAGGCACCGAGCAAGTGATATCACGCACGTTACGATGAACCTCAGATCAGTGGTGAAATTAAGTTTGTACAGCTTGTAACAATGAATCTCGACGCCGAACACGGCTGAAATCGATCAGATCCGAATCCATCTACCACGGCCCAGATGTTGCACAATCCACACATTATGTCGACTAACAAACTGTCTCCGCCCTTCTTCATGTATAAGTAATAGAAGAGCCCCACCCAAAACGCCGTACCCAGAGCCCATCAACTACAACCGCAGATTCTCTAGAATGCGCTGCGCCATGCTCTTATACTGCCAGGTTCCGCCGTCCACCTTCTTAAACTGCAGGCCGTGTAGCTGCAGAAGTGGTACTTTGACAATCAGAACCTCGAAGACAAGAGGCGAAAAGTCGCCTAGGTCGCTTTGCACGTGTGTAGTTGTCTCTCCAGCAGCCAGTGCGCGACCCGCCCGTGGTCTTCGTTCGTCTCTCTCGTCGCTGTCATCAGACTCGTCGGTGTTAGTGAAGCTGTGATCTGCTGGAGAAGGTCGAGATCGTGACTTTGGTGTATTGGGGACGCGATTTTGGTCTCTGAACTCCTCCCGCTCCTTTTCACGATCGCCGCCCATCAGCCCTCCGAAACTGATCTTCCGCTTATGGCCGCCGCTGGGAGGAGACAGGGGCATATCAGGAGTCCTGTTCTGGTCGACGCTGGCAGCATGTCGACATTTGAAGCCTCCTTTGATAGGCTGGAAAGTAACTCCAAGCTGGTGGAGCACACGTATCAGATCGTTCTGTATGTATGTAACCGGCTTGCTGCTGGTAGTCGATACACTGAAAAGACCCTTGAGGAATACGGGCTTCACGGCGTCCGGGCTTCTGGCTTCCTCTGCTTCAGCTTCAGCCGCAGACTCAGCCAGCTCAGCATCAGTCTCTTCGGGCACGTTGGACTCCCTGGTAAGCTCTCGTTTGGCTCGCCTAGCCTGTATGCTTTCCCTTCGTGCGTGACCCAGAGATTTCGCACGAGAAGTTTGGTTCTTGCGAGGGCTTGCGGAGATTTCATCAGCTCCAGCATCGTAGCTCGGTCGAGGCTGCTGGGTGCTGAGGTCCGATCTGTCAGAGCCACTGGTTTGTGGAGGGTCGCGATCACCCGTGTTTTCGGTCGACCTCCCGCGTCTACTCAGACGTCGACGGAAATCAGCAGAGTTGACGCTAGTGGATCGTCCAAGTGCTTTGAGCTTGCGTGTCGCGCTGTTGGTACTGCCAGGAGGCGACAACAGCTCGGGTTGATTCGCAGGCAATTGAGACGAGGACCCCGTATCCCTATCCCGGGGTCTGCGGATGCTAAAGCTCTTTCTAGGAACATTGGCTGGAACTTGAGGGACAGGTGGAGGCGGCTCCGATGGACTCGAAATTGCGACTGCTGGTGTAGGTGGCGTAGGCGGTATGTCTTGCTGACTTCTGTCCTGACGATACTTGCGGGTGCTGAAGCGTCGTAGCAATCCTCCAACAGCGCCTTCCCGTTTGGGTTGCTCCACCGGCGGGGATAGTGCTGGTGACACAGAACCAGGAGGCTTGTTGAGGTCCACTCTCTTCAAGCTATCTGTCACTTCGTCCTCACCGTGTGTTCTTGCTCTGGGTCGTGACCGGCCACCGGTTGGTTTCTCGCCCGCCATTTCGTAGGCGGCAGCATTTGTGTATGCTGGTGGTGGTGCAGGAAGATCGGGCAGCTTCAACGGCTGTTCGCCGGGGCTTTGCGGCATGGTCACAGCACCTGGTACTGTGCCCGCGTTCTCTTCGGCTCGTTCCCGATCCCGCTTCTCTCTAACGAGGTAGTACACTGAGATGAGCGGACTATAAGCATTGACAGGGTCAAGACCCCGCGATACCTCTTCAGAGGAAGAGGCTGTCAGCTGCTCTCGGCTCGATATCGAGTTACGTCGCTTGTAGAAGTCAAACATGCCGCGCTTTCGTTCGGCTTCCGGAGTCTGTGATGTAGTCCTTCGCGCAGCAAGTCGTACAGTACGTTGATACTCGTCGGACTGTATGACATTAGTCAGCTGTGCTGTGATGTACTCAGCCGTGCCAAAGTCGAAGCCAGTCATCTTATCAACAATCTCGGGGTCAAGAGGAAGCTGCAGGGGTTCACGGTGCGGCAGGTAGTTTTCCGGTGGGCTGTTGAATCCTTTGGTGATCCATGGATGGTTCATGATCTCAGAAAGCGTCATGCGTTGCGTGGGATCGGTCTGCAACATACGGTGGATCAGCTGTCGGCATTCTGTACGATGTCAGTATGTGGTGTGAGAATTGACATCACAAGCCTTACCAGCAGACAACCATGGAGGGTAATCGACCACTCCCTTCTTGATCTTGGCGTGCAGCTGCGGCATGCTCTGGTCATCGAACGGAACTTTGCCGCAGACCAGGACGTAGAGAACGATGCCGAAACTCCAGACGTCTACTTCAGGGCCGGTGTACTGCTTTGCTTGCAGCAGCTCCGGTGCGGCAAAGTACAGACTGCCGCAGAATGTCTTCAACTGGCTTCGCGGCGAGAACAGATTGCTTAGACCGAAGTCGATGATCTTGATATCTCCGGTCTTGCTGATGAGGATGTTCTCGATCTTCAAGTCACGGTGGACGATGCTGTTCCTGTGGCAGTAGTCCAGCGCGCTGGCGATCTGACGGGCAAACTTGCGGGCCTGCTTCTCCTTGAGGCGGCCGTGGGAGATGATGTAGTCGAGCATCTGGCCGCCGTTCACAAACTCGAAGAGCATGTACCAGTGATAGTTGGTGCGGACGACGTCCCGCATGCCGCAGATATAGGGGTGGTTCAGCAGGCTGACGATAGCAGCCTCTCGCGCAGTGCGGACTTCCTTGGAGTGGTCGGCTCGCTCGCGGTCGGCGGCGCTCTGGTGCTGGTCCTGGGACAGTCGAGGCACTATCTTGACGGCCACCTGCGGCGTGTTAGCGACTGCGCGGCCTCGCGTGCGGGAGGCGGGGCGGACATACCTGCTCACCACTCTCGTTGTGCTTCGCCAGCTTCACCTTGCCCATGCTGCCCGCGCCGATGGTCTTGCCGAGGGCCCAGGTGCCCGTGGCGGGCGCGGTGATGGTGGTCCTGCGCTTTGCGGGCACGGGCTGGCCGCCCCTGGCATTGTCGGTGGCTACACCGTTGGTAGGCATGGCGCTGGCTGTCGAGGCGTCTGAAGCATACCGCGAATGGCGCCTGGTCTGCTCGGTGCGCGGGGGGGCTTCCCGTGATTCGCTGTGGCGGGACGGGGAGTAAGCCGCCACGTTGGGCTGCTCGTAGTCGCGGCGGGCGACGTCTTTCAACTGCTGCGGGGGCCCGCTGGGCCGCGTGGTGGTGCTTTGCGAGCGGGTCGGGCGGTCGGTGTGCGGTGGGCGACGAACGACAGGCGACGCTGGGGCTGGGGCCGACATGGCTGCGCGCAAGGGCAGCGGGCGCCCTGAGAATGGCCGACTGCGAGCGACTTGGGCGGCGGTGGGGACGGCGGTCGCTCAACGCGCGCAGGCTCGGCAGTGGTTGCAGCGCTCGCACGGGGTGATGGAGAGTCGACGGCCTGGACGAAGCCGCGGCGCGAGCCGTCGTGAATGCGACCAAACTTGGCAGGGCCGGCGGCCGAATGCGTGCTGAGTGCTGAGCGGCGGCCGTGCAGCACAGCTCTCGGGTCACAACACGCAGGCGCAGCAGTGAGGGGGCAGGCAGCGCTGATCACGGTGCGCAGGTTCTCATGGCTCTGACTACGGCTGGGCTTGGGTCTTGGATCCCGTATTGGAGGCTGGTGCGATAGCTACCAGCAGCCCGTCACTAGCAGTCTAGCACCACCCAATGCGGAGGCGCGACGTTATTGGGCTGCGTCGTGGGGTACCACCTCAGCCTGCGTCCGCCGTCGCACACGGCTGCCAGCTGTCTGGCTGTCTGCGCCGTTGCGCCCATTCGCCGGCGCAATTGGCCGCCCGCTGCACCAGCGCGACTGTTTCGAACACTCCCACCGATCCGCAGGGTCTCCAGTCCCCAACGCGAGCGACGGCCGCCGCGTGAACGGCATACATCATAGGCCCACTTTGTATGCACGCTAGCTTGCAACGGGAGCCGGCCGTACAAGACGATTTTCAGGAACGGCAGGTCCAAGTCCAGCATGCAGCACGCAGCGTGTGAAGTGTGCGCGCCTATCATCGCCTTGCATCATGGCCACCAGTCTCGACAAATGACCACCACGCTGAGGTTCTGCATGGTTGCACACTGAATTGCGTTTTCCAGGTAGCTTCGTCACGTGCACCGAATAGTCGTCGCCATAGGCAGACCTCACTTCACCGTACCACAACTATTCCAACAACATGGCGTACAAGCGCCCGCGCGCGACGTCGCCTTCCAACGCATCGAAGCGTATTCGAGGGGGCTTGAACTATGTCACCCTGGGCACCGAGCTGCCCGAAGACAAGGACGACGGCGAATTCGTGCCAGTATGGAAGCAGACGGTGACGGACGACCGAGGGCGCAGACGACTGCACGGTGCATTCACCGGGGGCTTTAGTGCAGGGTAAGCTTCAGAATCCTCTTGCCTGGACGCAAGGCTTCTTGACTATGCTAAGATACTTTAACTCAGTTGGATCTAAAGAAGGATGGACGCCCAAGACATTTGTTTCCTCGCGGTCGAACCGCAACAAAGACCAGGCGGATGTCGCGCAACGTGCAGAAGACTTCATGGACGAGGAAGACCTAGCTGAGGCGGCAGAAGTACGCCAGCTTGAGACAGCTCAGCAGTTCGCAGGTATCGGAGGCGCAGACGACGCTGGCGATGGGTTCTTTGGTCTTTTCATGAATCAAGAAGAGACAATGGGTGTCAAGCTGGCGCAGAAGATGGGCTGGCGGCGTGACCAGGGTATTGGTCGCAAGGTCAGTCGGGCTGCTCGCTATGAAGAAGGCAGCAGTGTTGGCAAAGATCCGGCCAGTTACACGTTCGCCCCAGAAGATACCCGAGCCATGCCGATTCCACGAGAAGAAGTGCGCCGCAAAGGCTTGGGCTATCAGTCAGAAGCCCGTTTGGGCGTAGTGGAAGAAAAGACCGCAAACCAGGCATCGCCGCTAGACTTCCTCTTCACCGAAAGCTCGAGGAAGGCCCCTGTCGTAAAGAAGCCAGCAGGCAAGAAGTCGTCGTTCGGCGTGGGTGTGCTGAACGACACCGGTTCTGACGACGAGGACCCATACGAGCTTGGCCCAAAAATATCCTTCAACAAGACGATTGGGAAGGATAAGAAAGCAAAGAAGCCAAGCAAATTCGCAAAAGCTGGAGCGGGCGAAGGCCCTGTATTCGTCTCGAAGAAGTCATCAACAAAGGCATTGGCTGTGCTGAACCGACCATCGATGGACGGACGACCTACATTGACGGGATTCGTCCTCGCTGCTGACATCGCCGACTTGACGAGCAGACCCAAGTACCCGCCGCCCAAAATCCCTCCTGGTTGGAAGTCCTCGAAGTCGGTCTCAGTCAATGGCGCTCAAGAGTACCAATCCGTGGCAGACGCTGCCAAAGCCTCCACACTGGACGCCAAGGGTCGTTCTGCGCTGTTAGGCGAGAAGGAATTACCTGGCAAGTCAATTTTTGACTTCATCCCCAAGGGTGCTCGCGACCGCCTCGCAGGTCTATCTGGCAGAGCGGATCTGCCTCAGGGTCGAGGAGAGTCGGGTCCGGAGGGACATCTGCCCGCAGCCAAAGCGCAACCAAAGGATCTCTGGAGTCTCGTGCCGCCCCTTGACAAAAGCACTGCTGCTGCAGCATTGGCAAAGGGCGCTACCGGGTGGATGCCATACGCAGAAGATCTGCCTAAGCGTGCACGATACATAGGCTTCCTCGAAATCCGTGCAGGGTTGAAAGACGACTTGCCAGACCGCAGCAGTACTGTTTCGACCTCTGACTGGGCCAAGGAGCTTCAGGAGTTTGCCCACGCCGCTCAAGTCTTCAAGCCTTCCACCGGCATCATGGCATCGCGATTCACCTCCTCCTCCTCGTCAACACTGGCCGGCAGCACAGGCAGCAGCACAGACGAAGTCCTTCTACGACAGGCAGCCACCAAGCCCGAGGATCCCGCCGAACAGGCCGCGAAGATGAACATGTACGGAGCCATGACGAGAACCAACTTCCCCTTCCACCCCTCCCGCCTGCTATGCAAGCGCTTCAACGTCAAGCCGCCACCAGACATGCCCCACAGCACCGACGCTGACGCCGACGACGGCTTCAAGCCAAAGACCGAGGAGGTCGTTTCCAAGGCCGCCATGGACAAGATGCTGCACGAGGTGCTGACGAATGGCCCGGCGCTGCAGCGCCCGGCGTGGATGGGCGAGTTGCCGCAGGGCGCTGCAGCTGCAGCTTCTGCACCGCGCGAGACGGGGCATGCGACGGTGGATGTAGAGAATAACGAGGCGCTGGCGAGTGAGCGGGCTCCGGAAGATGTGTTCAGGTCCATTTTTGGCGACGACGACGATGACGAAGAATAGTCTGCTTATTCGAATTATGCTATTTATGTCTTATTTCGCGTCTTTAAAATCGCCAGCATCCCCTCACAGTCTCCCGTTTCTCGTGTCCCTTGATGCTAGGCGATCGAGAGCTTCGTTGCGGAATGAAGCAAGGGACAACTGCTCGTTAGTGTTCCCGGCATTGTCGGACGATTCTAACCTTTGTTGCATTGTCAATACCGTAACAATGTATGCTTCTTCAGCTGACGTTGTTTCCATGCCCTGATCTTGGTCTGACCCTCTAGTACGGTATCATCTAGGTGCTCTAGGAGACATGCTAGGAGATTGCCTTCCAGTGATACTGAATCACACTTCCGACCTATTCCGCAGAAGAGCGACACATGCATGTGTCAAGCATCCAGGCATCAGGTTCTTGTATGTAGGATAGACGGACCAGGCTGACACAATTGTGGAGCCAGCCACACAAAGAAAGCGCAGCGGGAAGCGGCACGTGCCTTGCCTGAACAACACACAGGCTCACCCACCGTGACAACAACAACAACTCCGCCGCACCATCGATATTTTTGCTGTCAGTCTATTGGTATTCTTGGATGAGATACGACTTACATATCGGCGGGCGTTGACCGCTTCCAACGATCCGAGTAAGACACGCCCTGCAGCGCAGCTTTTTCAACCCCGTAGTAGCATAGCCGAGCACTTGAACTCCCAGAATCAAGTGAAATGGATGATTCAGGAAACATCGTCTGTTACCTGCAGATCACCCGAGACAGGGGTGAAGGTCATTGGAAAATACATAATCTGGATGAAACAACGCCCTTTCACAAAATCTCCCCAAGCACGTTGTCTCGGATTGATTCTGGGTTCATAAAGTTATCCTCTGGCAGTCGATAGAGACCCGCGCATACAACCAGCCCATTCCAGCCCTTCCCGAAGGAAGTCGTCAACGTCAGCTCGGTCGGAATCGTCGTTTCTAAACTAACGCATCCAGAATGGATCCTTTCCGTTACCGCAAGGCGTATGCAGCAATGCTACAGGCCACACAGCTCATTGAACAACGGCTTCAACAGGGGGTTGATGCTAAGCCTGAGCAGTCTGCACAGCATGATGTATCGGGTGCCGCATTCCAGGACCAGGACCCGGACAGTATGGACTGGACTCCTACGGGGAGCCGGACGCCTAGTGTAGCTGCAGAGTGTGGACCACCACCCTCATTGTCCGAGAAGCTGCGGCCGCTTCTGCCTCCTGGCGGGAATGATGATGCGCAAGCTACGGACCACGGGGACGCTATCCTCCTACGCAAGTTGAAGGAGGGTAAGCTGGTGGATGCATGCATCGACAAGCTTGTTCAGGATCTGCCGGATGCGCTGAGCTATAATAACTCTACATCATTCACACCTTCTTCGATAGAGGTGCCTAAAGACTTTGGGCTGCAGCTGTCCATCTCGATCAACCACCATATGGCACAGATAGCAGACCGGAAAGCGCTGGAGAAGTACCGACGGCTGTTGGGCCATCGCAAAACTGCGGCAAAGCGCAGACCTGTCAAACTTGGGTTTGATCCAGTCGAGTTGATCAAGAAGCAAGCTGTCACGTTCCCTGAGAGCGTACTCTCTCCAGCGTGCACGCTTGATAACGAAGTCCATCCTATCTTCCGTCCAGAAAACTGGCACGGGTGCCCTGACAATATCTACGAAGTACTCAAGCCAGGCATGCAGCTTGCGACGCAACTTTTAACGTCTCGAGCGACTGCCCACTACTGGCATACGCTCGTTTTTGGCGACCGAGTACCATGCGTCGCAACTTCAGAAGCCTATGGCCAGCCGTGTCATCGCATAAGAAGCGATGTGCCTTGGTCAGAAGAGCGCCATGTTGCTTTCAACAACTTTTTGAGCAATCAACTGGACACGTTGTACTTTTGCTTCCACAACAACCCTCTGCCGCCAGAGACCGTCTACGCGTCTATGGGGTTGGTGAGAGACTACAAAAACGGCCTGGTGCGCAAGATGAACGGCAAGTGCCATTCGTCTCGCATTTGCTTGCACTCGGACTTCTACACTACTGCGAAGAAGCTAAGCCTTCTGCGCTATCGCGAGCCGGCAATGGTCCTGCGCTTCAACCTATTCTTGGCTATCTGCCTCAGCCATGAGATTGCACACTTCTGCGAGGTATCAGGCCCGCATCACGACCATCCATTACTATCAGCCCCTGAAGTTTTCTGGGGCGACAACATGTGGACGGAAAGCGGGATCGCATTTGAGACGAAGATCTTCGGCGGCCGTATACACCCACTGTCGAGCCGGATAGACTGCAGTCTTGGACTAGCATGCCTGGACTATCCACTCAAGGAGCTCTACGACAAGGACGAAAACGTGCTCTACGCGTTGCCGATGGACTACATTCTCAAGCTGCAGCAGAGCGAGACATGGCAGCAAGACTTCAGCAAAAGCAGGACCGACGTCTTCTTCGTCCCTCGAAACGGCAGCAGGTCGGTCGAAATCAACGGCGCGAATCTGATGATCTGGGAAGACGAGAATGACGCCGACATCTCTGATCATATTGATGGGGAGGAGACGGAGTGGAAACGCATGGACGACGGGTCGATTGCCAAAAACCCCAACTCGAACAACCGTAGGGCCCAGCGACCACCTGTCGTTCAGCGCTGGAGCCCCTACGGTCATAAGAGAAAGAACACAGTGGAGGATGCATCGTGTGTAGAAGCAGAAGTCGTCGATGATGCTGAAGTCATTGCGCCAGCAGCGAGCGAGCCGGAGGGGAAAGCAGCGAAGGAGGAAGGCGTAGAAGAGTCGAGGAAAACGCCAGATCAGGACATGGCCTGAGTTGGAACAAAGAGGCCTGCTTTAGGTACAGACGGCCGCGGTGAACTGTTGCATATGCATCTAGCATTGGCGTTTGGGTACTCAAGGCATAGTTGCTCTGGATTCTTGCACTAGCATAGCGAGCATTTACGAACTATTCTTATGCATTTCAGCCATATTATACAATCCAACGTTTATTGAGTGGTTGACTCCCGATGCAATGAGATCGCTAGCGCGGCGGTCGCGCACAGTAACTCTTGGCGACAATTCTCTCTCTCGCACCGTCAACACCGCCAACGCCGCAGCCCCGCCACTCGCAACTCGCAGCCACGGTCCCGCACAACACCGACAACATGGCGGAAATCACAAAAGAACTGACCTTCAAGGCGGTCCAAATCGATGCCCTCGTACGTGCGCCCTGGTCGCAGAACCCCCGCGGACGCCCCGCTATTTCCCGAGGAGACTCTTTGGCAGCCGTGTGGATGAGGCTGACAGCGGACAGGTGGCCATCAAGCTCGCTACGGCCAGCGGAAAGTCGTTTCCCAGCGTCGCCACGGGCAGCCTTGTAGGCATGGAGAAGAACGGCGTGCTCGAGATCACCAACTCGTTCCCCTTCCCGGAGACAGCAGCAGCGGCCCACGACGGCCAGAGCGACTCGTCGAGCAACACAGCGGCGTCGGCCCCCCGCGCCAAGCAGAACATTGCGTACAGCAACGAGATGATCAAGTTCCTGCGCGAGGTCAACGTGGACGCGAACAACGTCGGCTGGTACACGAGCACCAGCATGGGCAACTTTGTCAACCTGCAGACGATTGAGAACCAGTACTTCTACCAGAACGCGCCCAACGAGAAGACGGTGGCGCTCGTGTACGACGTCAGCCGCAGCTCCGAGGGCGCGGCGAACCTGCGGGCGTACAGGCTGTCCCCGGCGTTCATGACGGCGTACAAGGAGGGCAAGTTCACAACAGAGAGGTACGATATGATGCTCGCGCGCGAAGAGCCCCGCTAACCGGCGCAGCCTCCAGAAGAACGGACTGCGCTACTCGGACGTGCTCGTGGAGCTGCCCGTCACGATCCGCAACTCGCACCTCCTCACGTCGCTGCTGCACCAGCTGCCGACGCAGGCCCCCAGGGAGGAGCTCGCGTTCCCGCCGAACCTGTCGGCGCTGCTGCAGGACCGCAACACGCCGCAGCCGCCGCTGTACCCCAACTACGACTCGCTGGACCTCTCCATCGACCCGTTCCTCGAGAAGACGTGCGACCTGCTGCTGGAGAGCATCGAGACGCACCACACGGAGCTCAACAACTACCAGTACTACCAGCGGTCGCTCGCGCGCGAGCAGACCAAGATCACGGCGTGGCAGACGAAGCGCAAGGCGGAGAACGCGGCGCGGGCGGCGTCCAAGCAGGCGCTGCTGCCCGAGGACGAGTGGCAGCGGCTGTTCAAGCTGCCGCAGGAGCCCAGCCGGCTGGAGACGCTGCTCAACTCGCGACAGGTGGAGCAGTACTCGCGACAGGTGGACGGGTTCACGGCAGGGGTCACGGCCAAGATGTTTGCGGTCAAGTCGAACCTGCTGCCCGGGGATGCGTGAGGTGTGTTTTATGATAATGCTTCTCTTGGTCAGGGCATGGCACGGCGTTCGGGACATTCAGGGCTCCAGTTGGAGCGCAGCGGCCAGGGCGGGCTGCGGAATGTGGTTCTTCGGCAGTGCTGGTAGTGCTGGTAGCTAGATGGCGGGCTGGTAGCGACAGCCGACGGATTCAGCGGCGCGATGCTGGATCAGACAAAGAAGCCAAGTTAACCACATGCGTCGACGTGACGAGCTCCGACGGTGCTGCAGTGATGAAAGCGATGCCGCCCTAATTATGAGCAGGTGCTGCCCCCGCGCCGCGAGTTCCGCTTTTTTGGATCTGATCCACCCATGCACGCATCGCTCGGCCTGCCTGTGGCTCCCCAGTTAGCGCCATGCAGCAGCCACGGAACCTCACGAGCCTGCAGCAGCTCGCCCTGCAGCAGGCCGACGGCTCGCTGCTCGACGCGCAGCCGCTGCCGGTCGACCCGCACGACCTGCACGCGCTCGAGCTGTTCCACGCCCAGCGCGCGCCACAGTTTGCGCGGACGCCCGCCCCACTTGACCTGCTGCACGCGCCGCACGTCTACGATCCGCTGTTCTACGGGGTGCAGCAGCAGCAGCAGCAGCAGGTACCGCACCAGCAGCAACAACATCCTCAGCAGCAACACCCTCAGCAGCAGCAGCATCCGCAGCACATCCAGCCCCAGCCGCACCCTCACCACCCCCACCACCCCCACCATGGCAGCTCGCCGTTCGGCCTCGCGCCCGCCCTCACGCCCGCCCTCGCCGCCCTGCCCGCCCACACCCCGCTGCACACCCCGCGCATCGCCCAGCGCGCGCTCGACCCGCCCTTCGACGCCCGCTCGCTCCCGCGCCAGTCGCCGCAGCAGTACAGCTCGCCGCTCGGCAGCGCGCCCGACGATGCCACGCTCTCGCACGGCCAGTTCCAGGGCCTCAAGCTCATCGCGCACCCGCCCGACCTGCAGCGCTGGCGCCAGCGCCTGTTCGACGTCGACGACACCATCACCCTGACCGAGGACCAGTTCCAGACCTACTTCCCGCACATCGACAACGTCTACTCGCACCGCTCCACCCAGCGCCACAAGCGCAAGAGCTTCGTCTCGCACTACTGGGACTGCCGCCTCAAGGGCCGTCCGCCGGGCACCAAAAAGTCGACCGACCCCGACAAGAAGAAGCGCAAGCGCGTCGCCCGCGAGCGCGACCTGTGCGACGTCAAGATCAAGATCACCGAGTTCCCCGACGCCCACGAGTACGAGGACCAGATGGGGCACCCGCCGGTGGTGGAAGACGGCCCGCGCACCGCACCCGCGCCCGACCCGGCCCTGTTCTTCGGCCAGCCGCTGCCGCACACCGTCACCCCGTGGGGCATGCAGCCGCACCTGCTGCAGCCGGGCATGAGCATGTTCGCGCCGCCGCCGCCGCCGCTGCCCGGGCCCCCGCGCAAGTTCTACACCTTCCAGCGCGTCAACGGGAACGGCGGGAACGGGAAAGGCGACGGCGTGGCTGGGCCGCACAAGCACTCGCTGGAGGAGAGCGACCGCGTGAAGAAGAACATTGTTATTCGGACCCTGGCCAAGGGCGAGAAAGACGGCAGGAAAGTGCAGGTAAGCTCTTCTCTTTCATATGTTGGTATGACATCATCTGCGGTGCGTGCAATGGGTTTGCCAGGGGCTGTGCATCGCTCGATCTCGTGCGTTGGATAGCTCAAGGCGCTCTACCCTCCATCTTGCATTGGATCAACTCAAAGTCCCTCCTACCTCCAGCTCACCTCCAACCCCACCATTCCACATGACCAACACCAGCCAGGCCGAATCCTCCAAGAAGCCCCAGCTCGAGCGCGCCACCGGCAGCGCCCTCGCACCCCCCCAAGCCCACCCCAAAGACGAAGACCTCAAGCTCCACGGCAGCAGCACCTGGTACGCCTCCCCCACCCCCGCTCTACTCAAACCAAAACTAACCCCCCAGCCCCTTCACCCAACGCGTCCGCATCGCCCTCGCCCTCAAATCCCTCCCCTACCAATTCCTCCCCGCCCCGCCCTCGCCCACCCCCTCGCTCGCCCCCGCCCAGCCCCCCACCCTCCGCCACGGCCCCTGGTCCACCCCCGACTCCACCGTCATCCTCGAGTACCTCGACGACCTGCCCCTCCCGCAGGCCCCGCGCCTCCTCCCCTCCGCCCCGCAAAGCCGCGCCACATCGCGTCTGTGGACACTGCACATCAATACCCGCCTCGTCCCCGCGTTCGACGCGCTGCAGCAGTGTCCGCCGTCCGACCGCGCGGCACGCGAGCAGGAGCTGCAACGCTGTGTTAAGACGCTGGTGGCTGCGGCGCACCCGCAAGGGCCTTTTTTCGGCGGTGAGGGGATAGGGTTCGTGGATGTTGTTGTTGCGCCGTGGGCGGTGAGGTTGGGGCGGGGGGTTGGGGGAGAGAGGTGGGGGAGGTGGGTCGGGGCGTTGGAGGGGGCGGGGTGTGTTAGGGCGGTGTTGGGGGAGGGGGTCGGTGGGGGCGAGGGGTGAAGGGGGGGAGGGTGGGGTAAGGGTGTAGATGTGCGCGGGGCGGCTGGTATGGAGGGATAGAGGCGGCGTGTTATACCCATTGATTTTCAACCCTGAGCATTTCGATGTGTGTGTGTGTGTGTGTGCTAGTACAAAGAAAGCGTTCCAGAGACACACAGACCTACCTCCCTCCCCCTGCTTAAGTGCGCCAAGGAAAAGAGATACAGTGAGGGTTTATGACTAATGCAGGAGTGCAGTCGACGTCCTGCAAGATACGAACGTGGGGAGTGATGAATAACAGCGTCGCTGCTCCAATGGTACTATAGTACGGAGCTGTATTATGCAATCTATCCCGTGGTTATAGCGGTCTACATGTATCGTCGACGGTTACGACAACACTAGGCTGGGATAAAATGGGAAGCGTGGTTGCTTACTCTGAGCTTGGTTGGTGATGTTGTATATACTCCTCTTCTCTAGTCCGGATAATGGAGCTGTGTCTATGTCTGCGTCTACTAATCTTGTAATATCGAGTGCTATCTACAATCTTCTATCTTGCCCACTTCTATTCTCTACAACAAGTCTGTTAGAGGGGTCTGTAGATACTACCAACAGTTTAAAAACACCCGGGCTAGAACAGTGTGTGAAGTGTGTTGCCCACTCCGGGCTTGGATATCGATATCATACATACTTCTCTCCCCTAGTCCAGCTAACGGAGCTGTGTCTACGTCTGCGTCTACTAATCCTACAACATCCAGTGCTACCTCCAATCCCCCACTCCATCCCCCTCTTCGTCTTCACATCCAGGATACACCCTCCCCGCGCCATACCCCATGACCACAAACGCGGCCCAGAACCGCTCCTCGCGCCACACCCGCGCATCCGTCGCCCGCAACTCCCGCAGCAAGAACGCCTGGCCCACCACAAACCCCTTCGCCCTCACGCCCCCACACTCCAGCACATCCACAATCTCATTCAGCCCCTGCGGCGTCAGATTCTGCATCCCGCGCTGCGCCTCCCACAGCGCCTCCGCAACCCCCTTGCCGCCGCGCAACGCGCCGTAGAACAGCACCATTAACAAGAGCGTAGCCCGGTCGTCGACCCGCCACAAGCTGCCCACGAAACACGCACTCCCCGTGCCGAGCAGGGCGTGCGCAAACCCAATCGTCGCGCCGGAGTCGTACGCGCGCGAGTACGCCGACAGACACGCACTAAACACGACCAGCGGCGCCGCGATGCGCAGCGCGGGCCAGTGGCGGATGCTCAGCGGCGGGGCGGCGAGGTCGAGCGCGGACGCGAGCGGCGCGGACGGGTCGAACGACGAGTGCGCGGCGATGTGCAGCACGGTGGCGCCGTGGGCGTGCGCGGCGAGCGCGGCGTGCGGGGCGTTGTCGGCCAGGAACGGGGTCGTGCTGTGGGTGCGCGCCAGGTACAGCGCTTCGATGCGGGAGAAGGGGATGTTGCGCAGGGAGCCGGGGAGGTGGGCGGCGGCTTTTGCGGCGTCGACGGGCGCGGTGCTGATGGCGCACAGCTTGGGGGAGGGAGGGGGCGAGGCGGACTGGGATTGCAGGCGTGTCCAGATTTCGAGGCTGGGGACGACGGTCGTGGGGAGGTCGAAGAAGATGCGCCAGGGCACGTGGGCGAGGTCGCCCGAGGGGATGATGATGAGGTTTTTCTTGTCCTTGAGGTGCGGTTCGACGGGGGCGACTGCGTATTTGCGGAGGAGGTCGTCGAGGCGCTCTTGGTAGAGGGTGGAGTCGCGGCGGTTTAGGGTAGGTGTGAGAGGAGCCTCAGGGGAGCCTGGCTGGCTTGTGCGGTCGTCGAATGTCTGCATGGAGTCCCGCAGGTTGCGGATGCATCTGCGGATCTCTTCGGTGTTTGTTTCTGTCCACTCCACGGCCTTGACCCCATCCGTTGCGGCGATGATCACCATGATGCCGCAGGGTGCGCGTGAAGCGAGGGCGAATTCTACCACGAGCGTGTCCGACGGGATGCGGGACCGCAGGTCTTCGATGCTGCTGGACGAGCCAACCTGTCCCTGAGTGAGAACCCCCAGCAGACACCTCCGCCAGTTCATCTGCACTCGCAGACGGGAGTTCTCCTCTTTAGTCAACGTGGGCGTTGGCGCAGCCGGCGAAGCAGGCAGCGAGGACGTTGTCGAGTTGGATAAGTTGCTAGTCGCCAAAGTCAACGACTGTCTGACAGTGTGTGAGTGATCTGGCTGCACGAACGAGTCGGCGCGACTGTGGCCATGATTCCGTCGAGTGAAGTCCAGCTTCGTGAGCATAGGCAGCTGGGATACCGGGACGCCCGCAGAGACCGAAGGGACCCTGGAGCTGTAGGTCGACGACATGGCGGAGCCACGCTGCCGGAGGACTTTGACCGCTGCTTCGGTGAGCAACAAAATATTGTTCTTGATCAGTCGACGCCGCACATCGTTGACTACGCGGCCCCGGTTGATCGAGTCAAGCAGAGCCCTGGCCCTGCCTTGCTCCAGGAAGTGGAGTGCTTGATCTTTCCAGTCCTGACACGTCAGATTCGGACCCTTGCAGCTGAACAATCTCGGGCTGATGCGGTAGCCTATGGAGTCGAAGTGGTGGCAGACCCGCGCCGCGGAGAAGAAGATATTGGCGCAGTCGGAATGGTCGAAGCCCGACACCGTAGCTTCGCTAGTGTTGAAGAACTCGTTGAAGACCTTCGATGTGTAGCAGCCGTGGTTGTAGATTTCCAGTGCTTTCATGAGGTGGAGACAGCCGGTCTGGGGATCGCTAGCCTGTTTGTATTTGGCTTCCTGCAGCATGCCTGCGTTGAGGATGCGGCGGACTTGGCCAAAGCGATCCATCGGCTTATCCAGATCGAAGTAGCTGGGGTCGATGCCATGCAACGCTTGAGCAACTTCTCGCACCTTGTCCCAATCTTCTGCCCTCCGACAAAGATCAAGCTCTTCCTCAACTTGCGCAACTTGGGCCATCTCCATCATCTTTGCATACTCAACATCTGAGGCTGTGCCTTGATGGTCAGGGGAGTCTGACACGTTGCGGGTGGGACTCGCGACGTTGGAAAGGACTGCTCGGGCTTCCTGTCTCCGCCCCTGGTCGATCAGAATCTCGGCCATGGAGACCTTCCATGGTGTCGCGTCGACGTGCTTCTGCTTCTCCAGCTGGTTGTTTAATTCAGCGAGAGCGTCTTCAAGCAATTTACAGGCGCCTTCCGCATCACCACGACTGATAAACTCTAGCGCTTGGTCTCGAGTGGTCTCGACAATCTTGCGGGGAAGGTAGCGATCCAAGCCTTCAAGGTCTGCCTCTGTGAACTGGGCGTCATCTCGCACAGCAGCAAAGATGTCTTTTAGCTTGGTAGCTACAAAATCGGAGTCTCGCTCGTTTGTCCGCGCCCTTCGCTTCCGGAGTCCTTTTCTACCTTCGGGGTTACTGAGATCCTGTGTTGATTCTTCTGTTGCTTCCTGAGCTGTATCCGCCTTGGCTCTAACATCGTCCCAAAGTTCGTTGAACTCGTTAGGACTCAGGGTCGGACTGACTAGACCGCCCTCTTGGGTGTGCGACTTTGCGTCCTCGATGAGTATGCGGATACCCAGGTTATTCTGCAAGGCAGACTTTGATACTGACGAGATGGAGCAGCCTTTCGACATCTTCTCAGAACATAGCTCAAGACTTCTCGAGTCTGCGGTGTCAGATCTGAGAGGCGTGCGTACGGGTAGCAGGGGTGAGAGGTGCGAGGCTGAGGTGTCGAGTGCAATGTCGGACAAAGTCCTCTTCAGGCAACGTAATGAAGCGTGACGAGTAACGGGTGCTGTGAGAGGGCCTGACTATTGCTGAGAAATGCTGCGCATCACGGATTCCGGTGTGGGTATATACCAGGCCCCATCGACCTCAATGACGGCCTGAGGGTCCTGCATGCGGCTCTAGCGGAGCACCCATGTCAAGGCCAGAAACAGCGCTGCACTGCCGATTGACCATGCGGAAGCCTGAAGGGCACTAGGGTGGGCGGCTACGACGTGTGAGTCGGTGTGACACTCTGAACGTGGACAGGCTGTCCTTCAGCTCTAAGCCATGATCGCCAACACTCGCCCTTTGCGGTCCGCGTCATGATTGACTGCAGCCAAAGACGCCTCAGATGATGCGCCTGGGGCGAAGAGGCTCTGATGGTGCCCCGTGATGGATAGCATACTTTGTACGTGGCTGAGACTCGCTTGGGGGCCAAATACTGCGGGGCCGCTCGCCGTCCTCGGCGGATCAAGGATGTAAGTCTAGTGACTCAAATCCACAGTGCGACAATGTCAGGATTCCTAGGATGCAATATAAAAAGGGTTGACATAGATACTAGCTTTACTTATTAGTTTAGCTATAAGTCAAGTATTAAGTTACTTAGTTTAGAGGTTACATATTAACTATCTATTCTAGGAAATAAAAGTACTCTTTATTATATAGTATCTAATACATATAGTAACAACCAAAGATCTAATAGCTACATTATGATAGCTACTAGGTAGAATCTGCGTGTCTACGCTGCGACCCTCTAAGGGAAAGCGCGTTGACCTAGACAATGACGTGCTAACTGCTGCCCTAGACAACACACTAGCATAAACTGTCGGCCAAAATGCAAACTCGCATACACAATCCCATCGTTACACGTGCGCAGGCAGCCTATACCTTGCAAAACCAGAAATGGCAACCCCTCTCATTCTCGACGGTGGCATGTCGCGCGAACTCATGCGTTTGAATGCGCCATTTCGACAACCCGAATGGTCAGCCCTTGCGCTCATCGAAGCTCCACACCTGGTGAAACAAGTCCATCACGACTTCATCGCAGCCGGAGCCGACATCATCACCACAAACTCATACGCACTTGTCCCCTTTCACATTGGCGAAGAGCGCTTCTGGAAACAAGGTGCCGAGCTCGCCGTTCTTGCGGGTCGCTTGGCACGTGAAGCAGCCGATGCTGAGAGTACCGCAACTGGGCGCAAGATTCTGGTTGCAGGCAGCCTGCCGCCGATATTTGGCTCGTACGAGCCTCAAAAGTTCGACAATGGCCGCGTGAAGGAGTACCTTGGCGTGCTCGTTGCTTCGTTGGCGCCGTACGTGGATGTCTGGTTGGCAGAGACGCTGAGCTTGATCGCTGAGGCTGTCGCGGCGCGGCAGGCGACAAAGGCCACGGGAAAGCCTTTCTGGGCTGCGTTCTGCCCGGACGATGCACAGGATGCGAGTCCGAGTGCAGTTCGCCTCCGCTCTGGCGAGACGGTGGAGCAGGTCACACAATGGGCAATTGCAAGTCACATTGATGCATTGCTGTTCAATTGTGCTCGCCCGGCCTACGTGGAGGGGGCCGTCAGAATCGCAAAGGATACGATGGAACGGTCCACAGAGCAATCTCAATGTGTACTTGGGGTCTACGCGAATGCCTTCGCTCCTAAATCAAACGAATCCGCAGCCAACGAGAGCATCTCTGCTGTGGATGAGGCGCTCGATCCGGAAGCATATGGTCAGCATGCAGCGAAATGGGTCTCAGACGGAGTCAGTATCGTTGGCGGCTGTTGTGGAGTTGGCCACGAGCATATTCGTCAGCTAAAAGTAGTTGCGTCTTGAAATGCGATGTGTTAGATGCCAATAGCTATGATGTATCTAAACTATACGTAGTAGATGCTCTATAGAAAGACTACAATGTCTTATAGGTGTATTATTATAATATAAAAAACAGAATCTTATATTATAAAACTATATATAGCTATTATACATAGCTTATAACTTTATAAAATAGGAAAATAGTATTATCTTTTCTCTTCTCTTTTTGTTAATTGTTTTATCTATACACTAGGTGCAACACAACTATAGTGGTAAAAAGGTAGGGGTTGGGTAGGGGTTGTGTACGTCACGTGATGTGCCCAGACCCTACCTAAGGTCCGTGCAGACCCTACCTCAACCCTGCCCTACCGTACCCCGTACCTTTTCACCATCGTAGACACAACAGGCTAGCAAAGACAGATTCGCGAAGTAGAGTTTACGGCCGCAGCAGAGCTGAAAAAGAAGCGAGATGCGACAGCTGCCTGGACCTGTGGCGATGCAGTCTTACAAAAGCGCACAGCCACAGTGGCCGACCTGCGCCCCCAGGTGTGCATGACAATATAAGCGTGCAGCAACCCAGTTTTAGAAGCCGTTTTTATCCTCCCACATCGTGACTCGATCTCTGTGTACCATAGTCCTCCGTTTCGTTAGCGTATTTCCGCATCATGGCACTTGAAGGCCTCCAGAAACGCACGTTTCTGCCTTACCTTCGCGGTGTGTTCCCAGAGGAACTACGGCTCGGCAGCCTCTACATCAACCCCTTGGAACCAACAGATGGCCTTGCTTCCCTCAGATGGGAGTTTATGGGCGACGAGGATGACCAGGATGTCTACGAAAAGGTAGTGAGCAAATGGACACGGAAACGAGCTGAAATCGACCAACCCTTCTCCATCGAATTCGAAGCCTCAAAAGCCCGATCTCTGGGCTTCAATTTCACCGACTTCCTCGGCCTGAACGCGACAAAGACTAAGGAAAGCATGGTGAAGATCCATGGCCAATCGGGGCGACGCATGAAAATCAAAAAGTATGTTCCCTCCCCCACCCTTTATACATGCCCAATACTGACCGAACCCAGCCCAGAGAAGTTCCTGGAGGAAGTCATGCAGCAGCCAGGCGTCCAGGAGTGGATCCGCGAACACGCCTCCATAGAGCACAAGAGCAAATACGGCCGCCACATCTGGCGCGCGCCCAAGATCTGGATGGTCACGGGCGTCCAACACGTCACCGGCGGCGCCATCGACAGCACCAGCACGCGCTCCACGACCCTCGGCGGCGCCGCAGGCCTCGACCCGAGCGCCGCCGCCCACGCGCCCCCGGGCACCCTGAAGCTCGGCGCCAACGTCGACTTCACGGACGCCCACGGCGCGACGACGAACTTCGGGCACGCCGACGAGCGCGTCTGGGCCGCGCAGTTCATGCCCGTGTCGATTGTGTTCGGGCCGGACGAGGACCGCGAGTTGTCCGCCAAAGAACACGCGTTCCTGCCCAAGACGATTGCGCACTTCCGGCTCGACGACGTGCCGGATCTGGAGATGAAGGGGATTCGGGAAGTGGATAGGCGCGGGAGCGGGCCTATTCCGAAGCTCATTGGGCGTGTTACTGTGCAGGGCAGAGCTGATGAGGAGGAGGACGGAGGGGATGAGGATGACTTTGTGATTGATGATGCGCCGTATGTGGAGAATAGGAGGGAGACGGATTGGGAGCAGTATGATAAGTATAAGAGGTGGTTGAAAGAGGTGGATGAGGATGAGTAGACGTAACATATATATACCTTGGTGTAGCGTTTGTTGTACATAGCCTGGCGTTTGGGTAGACTTTCATTGTTAATCGGGGATATCTGTTTTGCGCCCGTGCGAGTACCCATCGGAGTAGTATTCTCGAGTCGTAATTACGAAGCAGCAACATAATATAATACGTTGAAGGGTCAAGAAGAGAGTCAAGAAGACCAAGTATGAAGATTAAGATAGTCATATTCCGGACTGATATATACAAGAAAAACGTGACGCTATGCAACCTCCCACATGAAAACACCGCTTTTACAAACTCGCCCGCTCGCCCCCAAGCTTCTTCCCCGTCACAGCACCAAAGTACGCATTCAGCGCATCCGCCGTCCCACTGCCCTCCTCCAGCTTCACAACAGCGCTCACATACCCGTCGGGCCTCACAACCACCACCCCGCCCTTGTCCTCGTCAAGCCCCATCTTCGCGTGCGCCGCGGCCTTTGCGTCGGGCACGCGCACATCCCACACGTCGTCGGCATACACGTGGTCCGCGTAGCGCGCCAGGACCGCGGGCAGCTGCTCGTCGATGTGGATCTTGGCGCGTGGCGCGTTGAGGATGATGGCGAGCGAGAGGAGCGAGGTGTGCGGGTTGTGTTTCTCGTGGTAGCGGTCTGCGGTGTCGACGTCCTTGTACAGGAAGTGCGAGAAGAAGGATGCGGGGGCGGACATGTGGGCGGCGAGGTCCTTGAGGGCGGTTGCGGTGTGGGCGAGGGCGCCGCCGAAGACGAAGACGCGGTAGGAGCCGTTGAGGGGGATTTCCTGCTCGAGGTGCACCACGTTGGCGTCGACGACGCGGGTGACGGTTGCGGGGATGAGGATGCGGCCGGTGCGCAGGTTGGTGCCCTTCTGGTACTCCAGCATCAAGGGGTGCTGGGCGGGGTGCTCGGGGCCCCAGTTGATCGAGTTCGGGTTGTATGCGACGCCGTAGCCGGATGTGAATTCGCAGCTCGCCTTGAAGGTCTTGATGAACTCGTTCTCATCGGCCTCGCCAGAAGATGCACCGGCGACTTCGCCAGCGGAGGGGATGCGTGCGGAGAAGAGCTTTGCGTATCGCGCGTCAAAGTCGAGTAATGTCTCGGCGATCAGCTGGCGTTCGGACTCGTAGGTGGACAGACTGGAGCGGGGCGCCCATCCCGATTCGACGTGGTGGATCTTCCAGGCAAGGTTGACGGCATCGAGGAAGGCTGTGTTCATACCCTGGCCAGCCTTGGGGGAGTGTGTGTGGCAGGCATCTCCTCCCATGAAGACACGCTCGTCGAGGGTGTACTTCTCGGCGATACCCTGACCGATGGGATATACAGAGAACCATTCGATGCGATCCCACGTGATCTCATAGGGCTTCAGAATTGCCTTGGCCTTCTCCTGTACCTCTTCTGCGGTAGCCTGTTTGCGTGGGTTCCAGTCCTTGTCTGTGGAGCTGGCAACCTGGATGTACAGACGGACCATGTTGTCCTCACGGGGAATAATCATGATGGATCCAGCATCTGAGTGGATTGTGCATTTCATCTACACTTGGTTAGTATCGCATACTCAGTTGCTTGGCATATCGACCGACGTACCTTGATATCAGGGAAGTTGGTCCTGACAACACCGTCCATAACACCCCAAACATACGCGATAGGATCCTTGTATCTGATCTTAATACCAAGCTGCTCCCTCACGAAGCTCCGCGCACCCTCTCCGCTGAAGAGGTACTTCGCTCGCACGGTCTCAGTCGATGATCCATCAACATGGGCAAGCTTGACCTCGACAGGGTACGTAGCATCCTTGCCGTCATTCTCGAACCCAGTAATCGTCCACGGCCGCTGAACCGTGTTTCCATTCTTCTCAATATCCTGGATAAACACTCTCTCAATCATACCCTGGTGCAGCAGCGTTGTGAAGGGGTATCGCGCGTCGATGAATTTCGGGCAACTAGCCCACGTGCCCGTCTGCACGATGCCGCCCTTGGCGCTCGGATCCCAGAACGCAACTTCGTACACCTTTGCCGGCTCGTACTCCATGATCTTGCGCTTCAGGCCCATGTTGCGCAGAAGGTCTAGCGACCGCGGCTGGATGCCGTCGGCGCGTCCCGTGGGTGTGGGCTCAGGCCGGTTGTCGATGTGCTTGATCTTGTAGCCCCATCTTGACAGACAGGTGGAGAGGCAGAGGCCGACGGGCCCGGCACCGACGATGACGATGTCGTAGTTTTCGACAGCCATTGTACTGGTACTGTGTGCGATGTGCAGGGAGAATGGGTACGAGGCAGTCAATAAAGAAGCGCTCGTGGGTATCAATTGGCAGAATAGTATACAGTGCTGTCCATCTTCAAAGCAGCGGCTTCGACAGCTTTAAGAGACGTCCAGTCCGGACGCCGCTAGTGCCAGATAGCATCATGGCAAGAAACACGGGACTGGAATCTGTCCGGCAATAAAATCGGTTGTAAAGATCGCGAAGCTGGACGCCCCGACTAGGGCTGCCGTCATGTTGCGGGGACCACAGGCGGAATCGCTGCACGGCACTTTGCTGCCAAGAAAGCGGTTGCGCTGGTCCGCTTCGAGCTCAAGTGCAACCGGATGAGGCATGGTCGCTGTGTAAGACAGCCGAATCTCTGGACAAGTCATTCTGTATCGCTAAACCAGCCAACGCTCGTGCTTCAGAAGCCATCCGGTTACGCTGCCGCGCGGATTTAGCTCGCTCTTCAAGCCTCATCTAGACCCCACATTCCGACGCTGAGTTTCCCGTAGATAGCTCCCATGGGGTTGGCCATGGCGCACAGAGCTTGTTTGAGCATGTCTCGTACGAAGCTCGGATTCCGGCGTCAAAAAGGACATCAAGAAGCTGCCGTATTTTGAGGCCGTGAGAAGTGGGTCGCAGCGAAATTGTTCCGTGGCATTACGTTGACGTTGTGAGCATGTCCGTATTAGCCGTTCGACGATGCCGCTGTTTTGGTATTGATGGTCGATAACAGACCTTGGCAAAAAGTGTGGACAAAGTCCACGTGATGCAAAAGAGCCTCCATCACCCCAGAGGCAAGATGATGGCATGGATTGCGTGCAGGAAGCAAAAAGAGACTGGTCACTACGAGGGTCGAACTCGCGACCTTGGCGTATCAAGGTATAATCTATTAGCACCACGCTCTAACCAACTGAGCTAAGCGACCGTTGCTTCTTGTATGGATGTTTCCAGCTTTGCAACATTCATATTGTTGATTCAACTGCGTTGCAAGGCTCGATCCGTGGGAAGCAGAGACTCAATGTTGCAAAATGAGTCAGGGGGCTGATAGCGATGGATCCCAGTGAGGCGGGGCTGACTAGGACTGGCGCACCGCCTCGCTAGAAACTCAGGCCTCACCACCAGATCAACCCTACTCACCAAGCAAGGCATCAACAGATCTCGTCAGCCCTAACGCCCCGCACACCCAACCCGCGCTCCACAGCCACATCAGCACCGCTCCGCGACACCCCCGGCGCCAGAGCTGTCAGACCAGGATCCCACGGCCGCGCGAGTATTTGGAACGGCTTACACGCAGCACCCCCAGCGCCAATCACCCCCTAGCCCGTGTGTAACGCACGCCCGCATTTGGCTGGCCAGCTGGCGCCTCAGGGTCGCACGAAGGCGGGACGCCCACAGACGACAGGTTGCAAGCTGTGTAGTGCGGGCGGCGCGCAGCCGACGGGCTCGGCTGGGGCGCGGGGTGGTTGGACGGTGGACAGCGGTGAGGCGGCGGGCACCGGGAGAGTGGATATTCTCCGAGCGGGTGCTGTGTGACGTGACGGCGACGTGGGTGCGGCCGATTGCTCAGGTTTCGGGGGCAGGGAGGCAGGTACCGCCTGGGCGAGTGATTTGAATTAACTGCAGGCGCTGGATGGGCCACTGGGTGAGTTGTCGAGCCTTGCTCCTGGATGTCGAGAGTTCACGCGGTGCCGATTCGACCGCAGACCGGCTGGTCACACTGGAGTGGCGGTGAATCGATCAATCTCCAGGATCCACTAGAGCAAGGCAACAGCATACTGGTTTCGTGTTCATTGCGATCCAGAGTGCTGGACCTGTTTAGGTAACAATAGTGTCGCAGAGTAAGATAATCACCTGAGTTGTGCTTAAGCGTTAATCGAACCGAAATGGGTATTGTTGTACGTGCCATTCTGCCAGAACCACCAGCTCCCTCGCTATATGCAAGTATTTAGGTCGAACAAAACAATAGGGGATAAGGGGTTATAGTCGACGAAATGATGGCCAAAGTGGCGTAGCGAATGCGAAAGAAGAACATGGGGGGATATAATGACCGCATAAGCGGCATGCATACAACAACGTAAAACAATGTTCCGACCGCTAGTGGTACAGATACAGTCTGAGCAGTAGTCAGGCCTACGACACCGATTGGGCGGACTGTGTTCGGATTGGATGGAGATTTCATCTTAGCTCTACGGGCTTCTCGCCACGGCCCATGACAACATTGCCATGTCGCAGATGCGGGCCAAGACTTGCTGAGAACCTGCACGACTCTCATGGCTGATGAAGGACATGGCAACGTGAAGTTTACTCAAATCGCTGTCCTCGTGCGGGTCCATTAGTTGTGGGAGCGCGTTCGGGAAGCCTCCTATCCGCGCTCCGTAGTGCCTGGCGACGGCTATCGAGTATATTGCGTCACGCACTTCCTGTACGCGCAGCACCGTGCGCATTGTACCGAGTGACATGTCAGCAGCGTTGGGCGGCGCGCGGTCGTCGCCGTCATAGCGGACAAAGTCTCCAAGATTAAGCCAGAAGTCCACCTCGTGCCTCTTCTCCTCGTGGATGTCTTCAGGATAGGTGAGCTCGCGGAGGGGGTTCGACTCGAGGTTTGAATTTGTCAGTAAAGCCTCCAGGACGTCGAAGCGCGCGCGGCATTCCCTGAGTGGCAGGTCCTCGGACTCTGCAAGATGGGCGCTGCCGTCTTCAGGCTTGACGCCGTTGGTAGCAGGTGTGGGGAGTTTGCACGACCCCAGCAAGTGCCAAATCAGGCGCGCTTCTTGGCTGAACACACTTGACATGTCGGCAGAGCTGTTCTGCGTCTTGATCGTCTCGGTGAAGAAGGCGGCCTCTTCGTGCAGAGCCTGGCTGGTGAAGATGCGGTGCAGGGCGTTGTTGTCTTTGGAGAACCACGTGGTCTGCAGCATGTAGTCGAGGCCTTGGACGTAGTCGTTGACGAAGATCTGCGAGAACTGCTCGTCAATTTCCTGCGCCGGTGGAGCAGTCCGTGGCGGGACGTCGGGCGGGCTGTGGTTGCAGATGCCAAAGATGTCGGCCACGTCGAGTTGCTTGCCCTTGAGCGGACTGGGCGGGGGCGGGGGATGCGCGTAGCCTTGCTGTCTCATGGCGGGGTCCATGGGCAGGCCGTTGTACTGCGGTTGGCCTGGATGCATGCCCGGGGCGGCGGCGGCAGCGAGAGCAGGGTCGATGGCGTTGAAGGCTTGCGGGTCGTGCGGGGCGCTGGGGGCGGCGGCGGCCGGGGCGTAGCCTGCTGAAGAGGCCGGGGCGTAGCCCTGGGGGACCTGGCTCTGGTAGCTGGCGGGCGGCGGCGGGGCCTGGGCGGGCACGGGTGGAGTTGAGGAGTGCGGCGTCGGGGCAGAGTTAGGCGCGGGCTGGATCTGGGCCGGGCCGGGCTGCTGCTTGAAGATGGGATCGTAGCCCAGACACTCGCGCTTGCTCTTCTGGCAGTTGCGGCAGGTGGGGTGCGCCTCGTCACACTGGGGAGGTCAGCGGGGAACGGGAGTGTGGTGGGCGGGCAATGGCAGTGTAGTCAGCGGGCAATGGAGCGGTGTAACGAAAGCAATGGAGAAAGTGGATGTGATGGGGGTGATGAAGGGCAATGGCGGGCAATGCAGTGGAGGTGTCCAGTCGAGGCGCGTCACGTCTCGGCTGCGCGCGTCGCGCGCCAAGCAGGGCGGCAGCAGGGCGGCACTCACCTTGATTCTACGCTTGCGACACGTCAAGCACCCCGTCTTGGTGCGGCGCTTGATCTCCTTCTTGTGGCGGCCGCCGGACAGCACGCGCTGGTCGGGCTGCGGCGGCAGCTGGTAGCGCATCGCGTTGTACTGGGCGGGCCCCATGTTCATGGGCTGCTGCGGGTGCGCATAGCCCGGCGGCGGGTAGTGCTGCTGCATGGCGTGCGGCGGCGGCGGCAGCGGCGAGCCCATGGCGGGCTGCGGGTGCGGCGGGTGCTGGTGGTGGGCGTGCTGGTGGTGCTGCTGCTGTTGCGGCGGCTGGCCGTCGGGCAGGCGCATGGGCGGCAGGTTCAGCGGCGGCAGCGACATATTCGCGCCCGGCGGCGAGCCACGATACGGCTCGCCGGCGGGCTGGCCGGGCGGCGGGTACGAGTACGTGGGCTGCATCGACGTGGGTGACGGATAGGCGTGCGGCGAGGCATAGGCAGCGGGCGGCGGCTGCTGCTGCTGCGGCGCGGGCATGCTGGCCTGCGAAAAGTGCGACGGGGCGGGCGAGTGCGGGTTGGCCTGCGCGGGCACAGAAAACTCGTGCGACATGGGCGGGCACGGCGATGCCACCTGCCAGCAGTCGACGGACGTCGCTCGAGGCCGCAGCTCGCTTGAAAGCTTAGGGCCCGTCCGAAGAGGGACGGTCGACGGGGGGGGGGGGCGTGGGCAAGGCCGGATGGGGCAGCTGTTCACAGGGCAGGGGTGCCTCGGCAGCGTTCTGCACGTCCGCGACCTGCGTCGCAAGATTAGCACAAGTCGTGTCGCCGCCCGTCCTATCAGCCCGCCACGCAGCGCAGCGCCCCCCGCCAGCGCGCGACGAGCGTCCTCCCAGCTCGTCGTGCGCAAGACAGCGTGCTGCTCGCCCGGCGCGCCCACGCTGGCGGTGGAGATGGGCGCGGCGCGCAGGCTGCTGGATGCGAGGTGCTCGAAACTTACAGATGGTGCTAGGCTCGCCAAATCTTCGCTTGAATCTTCGCTTGAGGCCCTGTTTCCCGCTGCGACGCTGACTGGCCGCAACTCGCGTTCCAGACGTTCGCGAGCTAGGTTGCGTTGGTAGCGAGAACGCGAACAGTGCGGCGCCGGCGACGACGGGTGCGATGCTTGGGCAGGTGCGCTGGTGAAAATCGAAATGCGCGGCAGACAGCAGCAACAGCTTGCGCTAATGACGGCCCCCGTCACGTGCTGCCCTGAAGTTCATCCGTCAATCAAGTCCACCCGCAGCGCCGCGCGCTGGTACCTGGTGGGCCGGAATGCACCGCCGCCCGCCCTGCCAGGCCTGCCAGCATTGGCCTCGCTTCTGCTGCGCGTGCAGCCTGCAGAAGCGACCTCACGCCGATGCTGCCAGCGCGAGACGACCGCCGTGACCGCCGCCCGCTGCGTCACCAGCCAGGCCGGGCTGCGCGATTTGATACAGGGCTGAACACGGCAACACACGCCGCCGCCGACCAAGGCGTGCAGCGAGCTTCAACCGCACCACCCATCACCACTTGCACACGTCTTGCACGCAGCCGCTTTGATGCTGACCGGTCGCCGGCTGATCTCGCTCGGCCCGGCGACCCTACTGGAAACGGTCGGCGCCATGCCCATTACCCATCTCACAGCGTGCTGCATCGATGCAGGGTCATCTCGCTCGTCTTTAGCCGCCACAGCCTCACTCGCAGCCACTGCAACCACAGCGCTCAAGACTGCTACCTCACCACCAGTCAAGGCGCTAGCCGCAGTCTCTATTGGCAGCGACGCCGTGTCACCAGCGCAGCCGACGGATATCTTCCGCAATTGCGCCGTTGAAGCCGTTGTTGGCAGCGCTGACGGTGACAGTTGCACGGAGGCCCAGTGCTGGCCCCCAACCCACGCCAGCATTCTGCACTGCGCGTCCACGATAAGTGACAAGGGTTGAGACTGCCAACCACCCGTTCTTCGTATTCGACATTGGCGCTCGTTCCTTCGCCGGGACATGGGATCCTGCTCGCTTCCAGCATTGTCCACGTCTTATCGCCCTGTTGCACGAGCAATGGCCCTGTTTGCACCAAGACGCCCTGTGGAACGCGAGCCCGCAGCTGAACATCATGCTGGCCATTTCACACCCCCCGTCACGCTCCCTGCAGCAGGCAGCCTTCCGCCGTGAGCCTGCTTGAAGTCGCAGATCGCGTTGCGTGCCGGCCCAGGTGTTCCTCGCCAGCAACACGAGTTCAAGGGTCGTCTCGTTAACCGACCGCATGGAAGCTTTCTCGAACAAACTTTGTGCCGCCAACCGAGCAGCATGTGCGTCTTCCGTCACCCCGCGTTCAGGAACCTCCGACTAGCGGCATGCGCACGCTCGTCTGTTGACGTGTCTCCATCCGCTGCGCCGGTCCGTCTCAGTCACAGACACCGCAACACATCCCGCATTTCCAGAACGAGACTGCAACACCCGGCCGTGCTTTAGATTGGCTGCCGGCCCGACATGCGAGTGCGCTGCCGGGTGTTGACATGTCGCAGCGTAGTCCTTGTGCGGATCAGCGCGCTGCAGATCGATTGCCCGCAGATCCACGACACACTCCGACACACTCCATGCCATGGCCAGAGCCTGGCGCCGTGCCCTCCGACGTGACAATGCTGCTGACTGAGCGCCGCCCAAATGCCCTACACACTCCCGCTTGTGTACAACCTCACACAACCCCTGTCCCACCCACCTCCACCCCCGTTTTGACAATTTCCCTCCAGCGCTCGGGTGCTAGGTAGCGAACCGGTGGGGTGCGGACCACCGCCGCTGTAGATGTATTTGTCAGTGCTGCATTCTGCCTCAGCCGCAACATCCCCTGGCTTGTCTCTCACGTTGCAGAATAACCGGCGAACTGAGAATATAGGCCAAGTACACCACATGACATTAAGGTAGGGAAAACACTAAAACACTCTATAGAACACTTCTTTACCTACAATATAGGTAATATTTAACTGAATTCCAACTTTAGGTATTATGATAGCTACAAGTTAGGTATTCTGTAGAGTTGGTAAGCTTAGGGTCTTCTCCGCCATTTTTCTGAAACTTGAGAGCTTGTGTCGCTGTACGCGATGTTCACAACATAGTAGTGTTCACAGCATAGTGTTCGCATTACAATAGCGAAAGCAGCCTTGCCGGCGAAGTAGCATGCACATGTCGTTACCATGCACTGAATAGCCAGTCAAGGAGTGCTCTCGAGTGCCCCCTCTGTCGTCAACCTGGCATGTGTACACAGTCCATCCACGAGATCCACAAGCTACCCGACAAGGATCCCCTGAATCCACAACAAGCCAGTGCCGAACCTCACCTCACCTCGCCATAGCAAACCGACATAACCCCCGCACTGCTTTCACCCATTCCAGCAACACAGACCCAGATACCCAGTCTCCGATACGAAGCATACACCCGAGATTCTCGAGCACCCACACCCTCCCCCAGAACCGCGTGCAGGCCCCAGCAACAGCACAACTCCATCGCAGCTCAAACACCTCAGACGCCTCAAACCACCCTCGCGGGCGCTGGCCCCTCGCGGCCTTGTCCGCGCCGTGCAGCCCTCGAGTACAAAAGCACTGTGGGCGGGTCTGAAGGGCTCGGGGAAACGGACGAGTGCGCTGGTGGGCTGGGCTAGGTCTCCGCTGGCGTGGATGCGATGCTGCGCTTCTGGCAAGGTGGACGGGTGTAGAAGCCGGTGGGCGGCGGGATGCTGGGTGTTTGTAGTGGCGGAATCATATCTATGGCGGGAGACCCGACGTCGTGGGGTCTTGGTGCTTGGTATGCTTCTGGCATCTCGTTTCCGTGCTTCGTTTCCAGCTGAGGGACCTCGTGTGAGACGCACTTGCTATACCACAGACAACACAGCGGTGTGTAGAACCCGCATTCAACGACACAACTCCCCCGCCCGCGCCCCCGTTTCCTCATGCCAGGTACCTAGATATTCGTGTATGACTCACTCTGTCGCTGAGAAATACACTCCGCGATCGAGTAAGCACGCAAGGCCCATATCAACATTTCCAATGAGGGTTTCCGCGTCAAAGACCCACCGCCAACGGCGAATGTGCAGAACCAGCGCCCTCGATGCGCTGCAGATCGCACCTCGCATTTTCTCGCCCCCGCGAGTCTAGCCTTGCGATCCGCGCTGCGAGATTACCAACACCGCCCTTTTTCCACTGAAACGTGATTATAGCGAGGAGTTGTTGAGGTTGCAGCAGCATGAGCAAGCACCACGAGTCCCGAGCGCGCGTCTGATCGAGTTACTGCAGGCCATGCGGCGAGGAACTGCGTAGCGAACTGCGAAAGAACCGTGCGAACTGCATGTCGGACCGACATACCGCGCGCAGTAGCGACGACGTGCCGGGCCGGAACGGGCAACGCGCGATGCGGGGAACCCCTCGCTTCGTCTCCGCACGTCTTAGCGAGCTGGTCCCGCGCGTCTGGGAGCGCACGTCTGACGTCTGACGCACCGGGGATAAAAGAGGGAGCTTTCCTGGTGCAGTGTTTAAGAGTCATAGGCGCGAAAGGGCGTGTCAGAGTCTGTGCAGTGGGCCTGGAGAAACGGGGAAACCTTGCAGAGCGCTTCAGAGCGGTTTCCCGCTGCTTTTCCGCTGCTGAGGAGTGGTGAGCTACCTAGGGCTATAAGAGCTTCGACGTCGCTTTCTCTGCATCCACGGCCTGGCACACACTCACTGTTGCTCTACGCCACGGCCTCTCGACTCCGCCGCCATGACACTGCACCACAACGGCGGCTCCTCGACCTGCGTCGTCGCGCCCGTCGAACTCTCGCCGTACCCCCAGAAACCGGACACCGCGAAGACCCCCAGCCTCAGAATCGACCAGACGAGCCGCGATGCCGACCCAGTCGAAACCCTGCCCTCGCCCACCACCCAGCCCGCCGCCAAACTTGAGCGCTGGAACGAGTCTCCCACGAACCTGTGCCGCACGGCCGCCGCGTTCTGGAGCTTCGTCGTCATGGGCAGCAACGACGCCGCCTACGGCGCGCTGATCCCCTACGTACCCTCCCCCCGTACCCGTACTGGTGCACCCCGCTAACCGACCCAGCTGCAAGAATACTACAGCCTCAGCTTCATCGTCATCTCGCTCGTCTTCCTCTCCCCGCTGGTCGGCTACACCGCCTCCGCGCTGCTCAACAACACGATCCACCTGCGCTGGGGCCAGCGCGGCGTCGGGCTCCTCGCGCCGACGTGCCACCTCGTCCCGTACATCGTCATCGCCCTCCATCCCCCCTACCCCGTGCTGGTGGTCATCTTCATGCTGGCGGGCTTCGGCAACGGGCTCGCCGACGCCGCGTGGAACGCCTGGATGGGCGCCATGGCGAACCCCAACGAGGTGCTCGGGTTCCTGCACGCGTTCTACGGCGTCGGCGCCGTGCTGGCCCCGCTCATCGCCACCACCATGATCACCCGCGCCCACCTGCCCTGGTTCGCGTTCTACTACGTGATGATCGGCATGGCGGTGCTGGAGCTGGGCAGCAGCGGCGCGGCGTTCTGGCGCGCCGACGCGCGGGCGTTTCGCGATGCGAATCCGCGCACGGGTGAGGGCAAGGATAATCGCATGAAGGAGGCGGTCATGCGGCTGCCGTATGCGCGCGTGACGTGGTGCTGCGCGCTGTTTTTCCTGGGGTACGTGGGCGTCGAGGTCGCGCTGGGGGGCTGGATAGTCAAGTTCATGCTGGAGGTGCGGGAAGGGGGCGCTTTTGCGAGCGGGATGACGGCGACGGGGTTCTGGATGGGGATCACGGTGGGGCGGGTGGTGCTGGGGTTTGTGACGCCGCGGATTGGCGAGAAGCTGGCGATTGCGGTGGGTTTCCTGGCTCCCGTGCTGTGGAGATGCAATGGCTCGGTCACTGACATGTGCAGATCTACCTCCCCCTCACCATGGCCCTGGAGCTCGTCTTCTGGCTCGTCCCGCAGTTCTACGTCTCGGCCGTCGCCGTCGCCCTGCAAGGCTTCTTCCTGGGCCCTCTGTTCCCTGCCGCCGTGGTGGCCGCCACCAAGCTGCTGCCACGGCACCTGCATGTCAGCGCGATCGGCTTCGCGGCGGCGATTGGCGGGTCCGGGGCTGCCATCTTCCCGTTCGCGGTCGGTGCGATTGCGCAGGCCAAGGGCGTGCAGGTGCTGCAGCCGGTGATTCTGGCGCTGCTGGGCTGCATTCTGGGGATCTGGCTGTGTTTGCCGCGGTTTCATAAGAAGCAGGAGTAGGGATTTGAAGGAGTGGTCGTGGAGTGGTCGTGGAGTGAACGTGGAGTGGACGTGGAGTGGACGTGGAGTGGACGTGGGAATAGACCGTGGGAATGAACCGTGAAAATGAACCATGAAAATGAACCATGAAGGCAAACCATGGAAACGAATCGTAGAGAAATTAGCACCCCTACGATTCCCCACATAACCCCCCTCACATGCGTAGAAACAGTAGTACCCAGCAGCCACATACACATCCCTCTCGCAGCACCCCTCAGGACATGAAGCAAACACCCACACCAGCAGCAAACCAGCCACACAAAACACAAACCCCACTCCCAAAACACCACCATCCCATCCAGACCCCGTCCTATCCGCGGCCCCGCAACCCCGGCCCCAGCTCCAGCCCCAGCTGCAGCCCCAGCGATGCCAACTAACAGCCACATCTCGCCCACGCCCCTCGTACGACGCCGCCGAGCCTAGACCCGCCCGCCATCGACACTTGCGGGAGTTGCCTTTTCGAGACCGTGTGCAGGTGCATGTATACACACACACACATACATGCGTGACGTGCGTCAGATAAGCGCTTAGCGCAGCACCGTACTTACCTTCAGTGCTGTTAGCGAACTGTCAGTGATGAGTGTACAAGCCCGGCTCCCCAACCCTAACCGCAACCGCAACCGCAACCGCGATGACCGGCGGGGACCGGCGACGAGCGCTGGAACGGGGGTGGAAGGGGTGGATGGTGGATGGTGGATGGTGCTAGGGAGCAGGAAAGGGGGGGACTCGGGTGTTCGGTGGATGGGGGGCTTGTAGGCGGGATGGTGGATGCTGGACGGTGGATGGAATGGGATGCTGGATGGGATGCTGGACAGGGACGGAATGGGATACCAAATGCTGGATGCAGCGTGCCATACAGTGCCATGCCGTAACGTTGGGTACACGACGCGGTGAGCCATATCCATAATGCACGACAACGGCTCTGGCTCTGGCTTTGGCTTTGGCGGCGCGCACACGCGTGAGACACAGCGACGGCGGTGGTACGGGGGTGTAAAGGCACTGTCTGGCACTGGGCTGTGATAGGGCTGTCTGGAGGGGAACTGTGCAAAGCAGCGTGTGCAGGATAACTGTCTGCAAAAGCACTGTCGGGAGGAGCACTGTCTGCAGGAGAAATCTCTGGAGGGATACTGTGCAAAAGCACCGCGTGCAAAAGTACATATGCATTCATCCCACGCTGCGTGGTGCTCGTGTACGCCCATCCATCGGGCCCCCGGCCAAAGCCCACAACGCCAGACACCTGGAGCGCGTGGCTCAACGGGTGCTATGCAAGTCGCGCCGTTCGCTAATAGCACGTGTCGCGCAGAGGCGCGTCGCATGTGTCCCTGGTATCTCCCTATATGCCTGTATGCCAGCCCCCGTGTCCCAGTCCCAGTACCCTGTATCCTATACGCTGTGTCCTAGATCACCACTGCCGCTCGCGCATCACATCGCACCGCATCACACCGCATCGCTCGCTCGCTCGCTCGTACCCCGGACGCCGTGCAAGCTTTTGCAGCATCGCGGGCGTCCGCACTCATGACACTCCCGGCGTGCGCGGGCTCAAGAGTCAGCGGCGACGGGCACGTCGGTGTCGCTGGCGTCGGGCGGCGGGGGCTCAGCGGTGCCCTCCATGATGCGCAGCTCGTCGAGCGAGATGCCCATTTTGGCAGCGAGCCGCTCCTCCTCCTTGCGGGCGCGGGCGAGCTCCGTCTCGCGGCGCATCGTCTCGAGGTTCCACTCGGCGTCGCCCTCGTCGTCGCTGTCGGCGTCGCTGCCGGCCCAGTCGCCCTTCTCGAACATCATGCGGCCTGTGGCGTCCTTGCGCGCCTTGGCTTCCTCCTCGGCGGCCTTCTTGTCCAGGCGGTCCTTCTTCCACTTTGCGAATGTCTCGACGGTGACTGGGGTGAGGGTGCCGGTGAGCTTGTGGCGCTCCGACTCGAGGAAGTCTTCGAGCGTGAGGGCGTTGCGGGGGTCGTTGGCCGCGAGCGCCTTCTCGGCTTGTCGCTGTTCGCGGGTCTTGATGACGAAACTGGAGGGGTCAGTCGTGTGGTGCACGGAGATGTAGAAAAACGTACCCAGGCGGCAGCGAGTGCTTGTACATGCACTTGTCGCCTCCGTTCGGACATGTCCAGAACCAGCCGTACTTCTGGTCCTCGATTGCCTGGATGAAGAACTTGCACACCTTGTCTGTTGTCGTCTTGGGGTTGCCGTGCTTGCTGAGCACGACGTTGCGCAGCTTCTCCTCGTCCCAGTCATCCATGTTGTCCTTCTTCTTGCGTTCCTCCTCCTCCTCCTTCTCCTGGTCGCGGCTGTCGGTGTACAAGCTGCGCTTCTCCGTCTTGCGCTCGACGTTGAGGTCGTGCGAGAACTTGCAGCGCCGGCCCTTCTCGCAGTTGCCCTTCTTGAAAAACTGGCACAGCACCGTCTTGGGATCGACGCCAAATGGCACTTTCTGCACCTGGACCGGCTTGAAGAGTTCGGCCATCTCCCGCTTGGCGTCCTCCTCGGCCTTCTTCTCTTTCTCTTTCTGCAGCTTCTCGGCGGCCTTGCGCTTCTCGTCGGGCGTTCCTCCCGACGCATGGGTGGCATTGATCTGCTTGATGGCCTTCTGCGCGGCTCCTCCCTTTTTGTTCTTCATGCCAAACGTCTTGTCGACGGCGACCTTCTTCACCTTGGGCGGCTCGCCCTTTCCCTTGGGAGGCATGATGGGTGGTTGTGAATGTAGCGGATGGAAAGACTGTGAGAGCGCCCTCGTGGACTTTGGCAGCGAGCTTTGCGTGTGGGCACCAAGCGACGCGGCTCAGCACTTGTCTTGGTGGGTAAAAGTGAGAATGACGATGTGTGGGGTGGACTCTCAATTTCAGGTGGGTGGCGCCGCACGGACCGGCCAGCCGCCGCCGCGGACCTGCTGGAGCTCAAGGTGGCCTTGACATGGCCACAACCATTGACCTCCGCCCGCGCCTCGACATTCCCGCCTTCGCGTCCCACGGGTCCAGAACCACCGCCCTCGGCTCCGGTATGCTTCGCAGAGCCCGTCGACCCTGATTGCGCCCTCTAATCACTCCGCAGCAGCTCCACCCGCTCCTTGACTTCTCCGACGCGCGTCAACCGACAACATGATCACAGACGCCCAACTCTACTCGCTGGCCATCTTCCTCGGAAGCGCCGCCATGCTCCTCATCGTCCTCTACCACTTCCTCGAAGTCAACTCCGAAGAGCACGCCGAGCTCCAGAAGCCCAAGCCCGCAGCCAAGGTCAAGGCGTAGGACCAAGTACAGAATGCTTGCCTATACGAGACGGGGGAATGAGACGCGCAGCGGAGACTTTGATACCATGGTCAAGACTAGGTGGGAGGGACCAAGCGATCGGCGAAGCATCACGGCGTTTGGGCGCATAGCTATATGAACTTTCGGCCCATGTGAGGCATTGAATCTATCCAAGCTTAGTATGGTCCTCAGTCCTCTGCGTCGACGTATTCCTCTTCTGCTCCGTCGCTGTCAACGAGCCCTCGCCTGCGCTTGTCGTTGACAAGAGTGGCGCCTCCACGGTCCATGCCCGGCCCTCCCATGCGCCTCTTCTGTGACACCAATCGATCCTGTGCATCACGAGCCTCTTGCTGCTGCGCGTCTTTCGCCGGCCGACCGCGGTCGCATGGCATTGATCCAGAGAGTACTGAAGTTATGCTTTCATAATCTGCGGGGCTGGCTGTAATGCGTGGTGTCACACGACGCCCTTGAGCATCGCTGAGATATGCTTCAGAATCATGTGCATCTGGCCAGTTAGTCAGGGTTCCAGTGTCTACCCACACGGCCACTCAATCTTCCGTACCGGAGAGCCCACCAGCGGGTCCATCGCCTTGCTCCCACGACAAAGGGTCAAAGTGGCTCTGCTGCAGGTGCTCGCGCCATGTAGTCTCCCCCGCGAACGCAAGTGGCACGTGGCGCTCGAGGCTCATGTTACTCATGGGGTCGAAACTGGTGACATGCTTGCCACAGCCGTCCCACAAACACTCCAGAGTACTGCGTAGGGGATCCTTCTTGTGCACCTTGAAGACGTGTAGCTGGAGTGTCTCAAGGTTGTGCAGTTCTGCCTTGCAGTTTTGCCACTTGCACTTGAACGATTGGTACTGGGCATGGTTTGCGACGCTTGGTGAGCGAGAACTGATAAGGATGGGATCCTCGCCGGTGCTTACGTTGCGCAGCGTACTTGGCTGTTCAGGCCCGTACTTGCCTGCATGACCGTTGCTTGCCGAACGTTGCTGTGCAGCCGCAGAGCCATGTATCGCTTTGCGCCAGCCGACTGGACGACCCTTCTTCTTCGGCAGCGGATTGCCATCAGGCCCAACCTCGCGGAATGCAGAGTATCCAGTGCCAGAAGCCGCAGGTCGCGGAGCGGTTGCGCTCATTTTCGCAGAGCTTGCCTGTCGTTTCGGGGTTGACGGCGTTGTTGTGTTGGGGAGAGAATGACGTGGGGGTCGACCGCGTTGCTTTTGTTTGATGAATGGGTTGGTCGCCTCGGGAAGAGCTTGGGCCCTCGCGTCCGCGTGTGACGATCCCCAACGCGTCATGTCTTCATCTTCAGAGTCGTCCTCGTCGTCTGCATCCTCGGTCAGAGCCTGCGTGCTAGCCTTGAAATACCCAGGCGGTGGGCTACCAGGATCGATCAAACCCCATTTTATCGTACTCAGATCCGCTTCATACGTTATCTGTGGGATGTTGACCTTGAGTATATCAAGATGCTGGTTGAGATGGCGCTCAGAAGGATGTCTCCCACAGGCAAGTAACACATCTCGAGCGATTGTGGCTGGATTGTAGGTGTTGCGTCGAAGTGCCTTTTTCTTGTCCAGAGGCTCGACGATTGCTCTGTACCGTAGCTCGGTTGCTGGTATGGGCACGACAGCGCGAAACGTTGGTTCGTTCGCTACAGGTGCGGGCGTGCTTGCAGTCGGGAAGTTACCGGTGGGCGCAGACATACCCGCTGTTGGGAAATTGCTGACCGGTGCTACATCGACGTCCATAGCGTCATTAATGTGTGGATGTGGCGAGCCGTATGTGTACATCGGGCCTGTGTTGAATCTCTTCAGCGGCGGCCCCATGTCTTCTTCGTCGTCAAGCTGTGTCAGATCAACCAGGTCACTCAAGTTACGTTTTCTTGCTGCTTGCTCTTTGTTGGCTGGTGGCTTCAACTCTGGCTTGATGGGAACCATCTCGGCGACAGGTATTTGCGATGGTGCTGCCATGGCATCATCATCAGGGAATGAAGGGTATGAAGGTCTGTTCATCGGAGACGCGGTCGCAGCTGCGTAGCGTGGACTGGGTGCCACTGGAGTTGCAAGGCGGTTCTTCATAACCGCTGGAGGCGCAGGGTGCTTCATTACTGCAGGCGGAGCTGGGATCTTGGATGCAGCAGCCGGAGGCACCTGTAGAGCTGTTTTGCGAGACGCCGAGTTTACATCCGGCACAGCTGAGAGCAGGCTCTTTGCGAAGATCGAACGATTCAGTTGAAACCCCATCTGTTCGAGTTGCTCGCACAACTCAACATACGAGGGATTCCCGTCAAGCATCTGAATGACTTGCTCGCCTTCGATTGGACGATCTGGGTTATGGGTGGTGAGGTAGTGCGCCGCAGCTCTCGCAAGCTCAAGCTTCTTCTCGGCGGGCCAAATTGTGGTTCCCCCGGCTCGCACGGTTGCTGCTGCAGGTGCACTCATGGGTACTGCTTGGACTGGAGCAGGAGTGACAGGCTTTGCAGTTGGCGTACTGAACGAATCCCGTGGGGTGGCTTTCTTCCTCTGATTCGCAATTGGAGGAGTGGGTACTTGCACAGGAGGGACGACCACTGGTTGAGGAGCCGGTTTCGTGGTGATTGTGGGTGACTTATTGATCGGGGCCTTTGCCTTTCTCTCCTCTTCCCAAATGCGCGCAAGCATTTGCGGGTCCTTGCTGTTGAGCTCGCGCATCTTAGCCATCATAGCACGGATTTCTGCTTCCAAATCCGAAGCAGCAGCTGAAGACCCTGAAGCTTCGGCTGGAGGGGCGACAGGAGCTGGCGTCTGCTGCTTCTGGGCCTTCTTAGTCCTTGGCTTTGGTTGGCTGGCCGTGAGCTGCGCCTGTCGAGCCTGTTCATCTGTTTCCTTCCGCTTCCGCTCCTCCTCTTCAACGCGCTCCTCCTCCAGGCGGACCTCCTCTTCCTTCCTCTCTTTTTCAGCGCGCTCTGCATCTTTGATGGCTCGCTGTCGTTGGTACTCGGGCCAGGGATCGTACACAGCGGTGGGATCTACCGTTGTGCTTGGGCCTGTGTATGGCTCAGGCATAGCTGATACTGGCGGTTGGACGATTGGCACAGGTAATCGAGGCGTGTAGGAGTTTGAGTGCGGCGCGGTGTGCGAGGATCGGGAAGCATCTGTCTCAGGGAGGTGTCGGTGGCTATAGTCACCGTAAGATTGCGACGTCCCCGCTGCAGCCATTCCGGCGGGTCTGCTTGAAGCTGTTGCACTGTTCTGACCGTACTGGACTTGAGAGGGACTGGCTGTGCGCTGCTGCTGCTGAGGGTAATGCGCCGCCGCGCGTTGTGAAGGATATCCAGCAGCAGTTGCTGGCGACGAGAGGCCTCTGCTTGCGGACGATTGCGCTTGCTTAGTATTGATGCTGCGCGGACGAGCTTGTGTTTGACCGTAAGCAGCGTGGGAGCCCTGTGGAGGTTGCGCCTGCACTTGTGGCGAACGTCCGGAGGTGTAGTGTGCGGAAGCGGCATTGGCAGCAGTGAAGCCAGATTGGCTCGGCGCTGATGTTGTCGCCGCATAACCCGTATTGCTCATGTTGCGCAAAACCTCAGCAGCCCGGCTGCCATTGTCCCTTGCCGTACCGTAATCGCTGGGGCTGCCACTCCAGTTGTCTTGGGCAGCGCCATATCCTGTACTCGACGTCCCGTACGACGGACCAGAATATGACATGTAGTCGGCAGTTTGGCTTGGTGCTGCCGAGGGTGCTTTCTGGTACTGGCGCGTCGACTTCGTAGTGGGGTTCGTGGGCGGCGCAGTTTGATGCGACGAGTACTGCTGGGCGGAGCTCTGTTGGTAGGGGTAGTTGTAGGAGTAATTACTTGATGACATGGCGACGGAGGCTTGGGTAAAGTTTCTACGAACGCCACGCAATCAAGTCGTCCTGGACAGTAACATCGAAAGCTGCTGAAGCGCAACTGGGTCAAGGTGTTTGTGTTGGACCATGAAGCGCACTTGGTGGCAATGACGCGCTAAACGCAAGAAACAAGCTGCGAAATAACCCCAATATATACACTGCGCAACCACTAAACACGCGAGAGAAGAGAAGACGCGTCGACGTCGTGACGTTGCCGGGATGGCGAGGCAAGCTTCCGTGCGCACGCTCGTTGGTCGCGCCTGCCCGACCGACAACGCCAAGACGCTACAATGCACGTCCGTCCGTGCCCTCGCTTCGCAGCTAGGCCACTCCACTCAATATTCGCAGATTCGCAGAACTTCCTGCCAGCGCCGAACTCTTCTCTTCTCGTTCAACTAACCCATCTCTCGCAAATCCAGCAGCAATGGCCAAGATCGTGTCCAGCTCTCGCCGCAACTCGCGAAAGGCGCACTTCAGTGCGCCGAGTAGTGTGCGCCGGGTCATTATGAGCGTATGAGGAATTGCTTGAACATCCAAGTTTATGTTCTAACAATCTTCAGGCGCCTCTGAGTAAGGAGCTTCGCGAAAAGTACGGTGTGCGCTCGATCCCCATCCGCAAGGATGTAAGTACAGCTGATTCTGCGCCTCTGTCAAGGTTTGCTAACTTTTCGCAGGACGAGATCACCGTCGTCCGTGGCTCCAACAAGGGCCGTGAGGGCAAGGTCAACTCCGTCTACCGCCTGAAGTACTGCATCCACGTCAACGGCAGTACGTAGCCCTTTCCGACCGAGTCACGCGATCGCTGCTAACCACCGTCTCAGTCGTCCGCGAGAAGTCCAACGGCCAGTCGGTCCCCGTCCCCCTCGCCACCTCCAAGGTCGTCATCACCAAGCTCAAGCTCGACAAGGACCGTGAGCAGATCCTCGAGCGCAAGGGCGCCGGCCGCGCCGCCAAGAAGGAGAAGAAGGAGAACTCCGCATAAGCGTTTCACCACCTTTTGTACTTGACGACACATTATGGCTGCGATGCCCCGAAGCGACGGCGCGGGGTGTCCCATTCCTTTCGAGCGGGATGGATTAAAAGTCGGTTCATACCACTTGGGCTGCAAGAACATGGGCGTTATACCGGCTTCTAGCTCGAACAATGGATTTGCCGAACACTCGGCCCTGTCGACGCTTTCTTCTGCAATGATACCACGAAGGATTTGGAGTACGACGACGACGAATAGAGAATTGTTGATCCAGCCTTCGGTCAAGTGACGCCGTGATGTTCCCTCCTTTCTTCCACGCTAGAATATCTGGTCATCAGCTCAAACATCATAGCTGCTTGTACTTATACGACTAGCGAAGAACAAACCCCGATGGCTTAGCCATTGCTCGCCTGCAGACCGCCTTCGAGACGACAATGAAGGAGGTGGTTTGATGGTGACCGACAAATCACTGCTCAATATGAATTATTGCATCTATTTTCTGTCCATACCGCCAAGCTTCTCGGCTTTTGATCCACGAACATTCTATTCAGATGTGTTGAAGGGCACTAGTGACGACTTTCTCATGTACATCTACCGGTCTTGCTATAGTACAAGCATTGGACCATGTCATACTGAGACAATGACACATAAAAGCGGCGAGCATGTCAAAACAAGGCCAATTCACAAACATCAGGCTCCCGCATAAAATCTACTTTCGTGGTCCTAAATACACTCCCCTGGACGCCCCTGAACAACCGTTCTCGGAGCCTTGGTATCGCCAGTAAGCTTTGCGTGCGACCCTGGACCGACAGCTTTACTTGCTACACAGCTATGTATCGTGAGACACTGGCGTTCGGTTCTTCAGTAGCAGCTCTCTGCAGCACGTGGTAGATCATAGGATTGTTGATGTGCTTCATGTTCACTTGCCGTGATTAGACTTGTTCTGTTCTCGAGAGACGACAGGCTGCCGGCTCTACGTTGAAAAACAAAAAGTAGATGAAAACGCAGGAGGCCGTCACAAAGTCATGAACAGCAAGCATAGAAGCAGATGTGTGTATCGAATACAAGTATCGAAATCTATCACCAGCACCTCTACGAGTCCCTCTACAGAGGCAATCCACACCCGTCCATGCATGCAAACCCGCTCCATTCCCATCCATTACTCCAAACTCCACCGAACCCCACTTCCTCTAGTTAACCACCCTCTTCATCTGCGCCGCCTGCCTCGGCTCAATGAACAGCGCCTCCGCCTCCGTCAGCACAACCGGCTTCTCCCCCTCGGCCTTGGGCAGCGTCTCCAGCCGCCCCTTGACCCACGCCTTGCGGCCCTCGACCTTTGTCGTCTCCGCCACCAGCACCACAATCTGGTTCGCCATGCACGGCGCCTTGTACGTGATATTCAGACTCGCGGTGACGCCGACCTTGTTGGGCAGCGCGGGGAAGCAGCAGCGCGCCAGGCCCTCGTCGAGCAGCGTGCCCAGCAGCCCGCCGTGCACGATGCCCGGGTGCCCGCACAGCGCGGACCCGAGATACTGGACCGAGACGAACTTGCTGCCGTCCGCGGTGCTGAATTGCAGCGGCGGCACCGCGATCTTGTCGGCGCCGAGCAGTGTACCGCCCGTCAGGTTCTGGGCGCGCAGTTGCTCGGGGATCTTGAGGTGCGGCCGCGAGGCAATGTATGTGGGGTCTTCGAGCAGGCTCTTGGTGAAGGCGTGTGTGAAGATGCTCTTCTCGATGTCGGCGATTTCAGCAGACGAGGGGGTGAAGAGGGTGAGTGTTTCTTCGTCGCTGGGCGGTTCGGCGAGAGCCCGTATGGATTCAATTGCGGGTGCGCCGGCCATGGTGAAGCCTGCTGCGAAAGTGAAGAGAGTGAGGACGAGAGCGATTGGAAGCCGGATGTAGAGGGGTCGTTTGGTGGCAGTAGGTGGTGTGGGGATCTGGGTGTTGGTTTGAGTTTCCTGTGCTGGTGTGTGTCAGCTATGTTGGTGCAATTGTACAGCAATCTCGACGTCAAGACTGAAGGAAACCCTCTAGTACTCACCAACGCTACTTTGATACCGTGTCTGGCCCACACGTTTTGGGGTTATCTCTCTTATACACTTTGCACCTCCACGGCCGATCTCGCCCCGTGCAGGCGCAAGCGGAATTATGCCACATGGAACCCGGAGTCCCACATATCTCGATACGGCGAACCTTGCGGCGGGATACATGGCTACGTGCGCCTAGAAGAAAATTGCCGGCCGCTAGCAGTGTTGCGCGTTGAGTCGGTGAGTGGTTCTGCGACTGTTAGATGGCGCTCGGGGCAAGGGTCAAGATTGCCGAGGCCCGCAGGAGTAGTTTGGTTGGAGAAGAGGCCGCCAAGAGCGTTGAGCCTCCAAACTAGGAGGATGACTCGGCCGACGGAGTGATGGAAGATTATTCACATGGTATTCATGCGCCAGTCGTCCGTTCTGTGTTCTTTGGGCACATCTAGACGGTAGAGCGTGCAAACCACTCAGGAAGGAGCTTTCGATCGACAAATCTCATCATTACTATTGTTCGTCCATCTTGGACGCATTGCTGCGACATAAAGCAGCATCTACTAGCTACGTACAGAACACCTGCCTCCCTCCTACGACTCTTCAACTCTCGGACAAGGAAAGGTGTACTCGTATGCACAGGAAAACGGAATGCGGTTGAAGCAAACAAGAGAAGAAAAAGTGGTGCTCAACGAGGGTCGAGAAGCTGTGGAGAGTATTTACAGATACGGGGTGGTGGTGGGTGGTCAGGGTTGTTGACGCAAGAAGGTACTGCGTCGGGTATCTGTATGACCAGTGAGTGGTCGTGAAGCGTAAGCTTCGGCGGTGCGAGAAATTCAAACGAAAGCAGACGCCCAGCGCTAAGAATGCGTGCTCGATCAATGAAGAGAACAGCAAGTTGTACAATCAAGAGGAGATCCGCTGCTGACTGATGGTGATGCTTTTCCAGATCCGTTTATGTATATGCGTAGTGCCTTTCGAGATAGGCAGACAGTAAGAGAATGTCAGTTTACTTGCTAGCCCCAAGGTTGAGCCATGACATGTTGTCACCCTCTTTTTGGTTTGGAGCACCAGGTCCTCCCGGTGGCCCTGCTGGTCCTGGGAACATTGTGACTGTGCTCTCATGGCCGATCCTGGGAACACCTGGGTGGAATGAGTTGAATGTTGGGCTCGGCATGTGGTCCATGTGAGCTGCCTGAGGCTGATGTGGACCCGGGAACACGGTCACGGTGCTTCCCCGGTCTTGTGGCGCCAGACCAAGACGAGGTGGAACAGGGTACATAGAGCTGAACTTGCTCTTAGGCATCTCATCTGTAGGAGCAGCTGGTGCTCGATCTGCGCCCGAAGGGAACATGGTGAATGTGCTACCCCGAGCATCGGGCACGTCAAGTGAGTTGAAGCCTTGGCCAGGGTAGAATGAACTGATGTTGCTCTTTGGGTAGAAGGAGTTGCCATCATCAGGGTAATACGAGCTAGCGCCATCGTACTTGTGCGTGTCCCTGGGCTCGATGATCATGCTACCAGTGTATGCGCTGCTAGGCGGTCGACCGTCGTCACCAACTGGTGTCCAGCTCTCAACAGGGTTGCGGAAGAAGTGTTCCTCGTGTCCGCTAAGTCCAGATCTCGTACTACCGTTGGAATTGGCACGGCTAAGCTCGGCTTGCATGGGTTGATGTGGAAGAGACTGGCTCTGGACGCTACCAAGTGTTGGACTTCCACTGGCTACTCGGCTGAGACGTTGGCCATCGAACTTAGGGATCTCAAGCGGTGGAACGTATGTCGAAGGGTGCTGACTCGGCATCCGCGAGTTGGTGTACTGAGATTGGCTCATCATGCTACTTCTGTCCGAAGCAAACGTGGATCGGTTGTCGTTGTTAGCCGGCATAGCAAGGTTGGTGGCTTCGTTGTTAGCGAAGTAGCGGCTCCATCCAGAGCTTCTACTTCGGCCGTTGGCCTCTTTTGCCGGTGGCTGACGACTAGAGTTTTGTCGCACCATGTGTACAGGCTCAGGCTTCAAGTCGAATTTGGACAGCTCGTATGGCTCTTGCGAGTAACCAAGCGGGCTAGGCTTCTTGACGAGACCTGCCGTGCTAGCATCGCTTGCCGTGTTCTTCTTGTGACCGTTACCCCCCCTCGGCCCTGGATGATGGCGAGTGATGTAACTGAGTCGTTGGCTTGTGGGAGGTTGTAGGTTGCTACTGACCCGCCAGCCTCCTTCATGAAGTCTGCGCCACGGTCGGCAAAGCTCATGCGGTCCTTCTCACGCTCCACATATCCAGTTTGCTGAGCCTTCTTGACCTTGTTCTTCCTGTACTTGAGGCAGAACAAAATCAAGATCAGGACCGCGGCAATACCGAAGATGGTGCCAAGAGTCGCACCCAGAACGGTCAGCATTTTCGACTTGTTGTCTGGGGCTGGGGCTGCTGCTGCTGGAGAGCCTGTGGTAGAGGCAGAGGCACTGGGGAACGCGGTCAATGAGGCAGTACCTGTAGGGCGACTGCTCGAAATTGAAGACGTCCCCGACGCAGACAACACTTGTTGTCCACCGAAGAAGGTTGTCGCATTCACCCATGCGTTCTCCTTCGCATTGAATAAGCACAATGGGTCTTGTGCATTTCCTCCGAGAGCAACGGTCATACCATCGTCGCCCTGAGCTAGGGTGAAACCTGATCGTGTATACGGGGGAGCGGCAGTCTCGTTATAAGTCGGCCAGTCGGCAATGGTGTTTCGCTTAGGTTTGTCTCCAACAGTCTTACCGGCAGGCTTGTCTCCAACAGTCGTACCGGCCTTGGCCACAATGCCGCCTTCATCCAAAAGTACGATGCGCTCGACTGTGTTAGGAGAGACGCCCATGTCGAACTTTTGCAGAACTCGGCTTCCATCTGTTCCAATGACAACCGAACACTGAACAGATTCTTGGTTCACAATACCGGAGGTCAATGAAACGCCCAGGTCCTTCCATCCTTTGTCTTCACTGAACGTCCAAGCGGCGGCATTGTTGGCGCCACCCCCGATCATCAAAGCAGAAGTCGTATCCCACGCCATGAGCATAGGCTTTACAGATGGTGGGACGCCGTTCGAAGGGAAACTCTGGACGGAGTACGGCTCCTGAGTAGAGAAGAGAAAGGTCTCCGGCGAAGCGCCCATGTCTCCCGCCTTCTGAGAGCCCGAGTAGACAAGAATCTTCTTCTGGTTGGCGAGATATGTAGCGCCGTGGTTTTGTCGGTTTTGCGTGTTCCAGCTTTCCGATCGTTGCCAATCCCATTTCTTTGTCGCGAACGTGTAGTGCATCAGTCCAGGATAATTCCAGTCGGCGGCCGTTGCGTTAGGTGACCCTCCCACGATGTAAAGCCTGTCCCCTGCCTTCACACATTGCGCTCCCGTCAACGAAATGTCCATTGGCATCTTTTGCCATTTTGCCCCCTCTTTCAACGCCAGTGACTGGAATCCGGCGGCGGAGTATGCGTAAACTGTGTTGTCGAATATAATCGAGCAATGTCCGGCAAGGTCATACACAGGCTCGGGGTGGCCGTGCTTCACCGTGCTGCCGTCCTTCATATCCATATTGCGAGCGGTGTATTACTGTATCCAAAAGGCGACGAGGCAGAAGTAAGGGTCAATTACCCAAGTACAAAGTCAAGACAGCAGCGATAGCGAACGGTAACCGGCTAGTATTCGGACAGGCTGCGCATATCGAAGGAAAGGATCAAAGAGTGGGTTTGGTGGAAGTGTCGAGCACGCGTAGACTGTATGCGAGGCAACAGTAGGCAGTGCTAATCGCGAGTGGTGACAGGGTCGAACAATGAGGCGATGAGAGTCGACAGCGAGGTATCAGGTCGATTGGTAGACGTGAGGGTTCGAGAACAGATGCGGTGATCTGATCGTGTATCAAGGGCCGGCAGCTAGGTAAGCTGCAGCAAGACGCGAAGTTAGTGTTGTTGGTTCAGGCCGGATTGCGATAGACGTACTCGAATCGAAGACAAGTATCAGAGCAGCGCGCGACAGTGAGGTTCAAACGAGTGTCGGCCTGAAACAAGGCAGCTGGAAGAATGCGATAGGTTCTCTGTCAAAGAGAGCACGTGTGTTGAGCGAGCGAGGTGCGAAAAGGAGGGGAAGCAGCACAGCTCAGCGGTGTGCGGTGGTGTGCGGTGGTATGCCGTCAAAGGTGAGGCTATTCAGGCACTGGTCTGCAGCGGCTGGGGAAGAGACGTGAGCCTAAACGACGGCGAGGAGTCCGCAGAGGCCTCACCAGGGGTCCGTCCGCACTCATGGTTGTGCAAGGGTGGCTGTAGTGGACATCCCTTTAAACAGGCTAGCAGGCGGACCATTCAGGGGTAAACAGTGAGACAGTCCAATGGAAGTCCGGCAGCCCCTGCCCTGCCCGGCCTACCGCTTAGCTGCGTCTCCTCGCCCTGCAGGAACAGACTCCAGCACCCACCATCGACTGACGGGACGTCTCCCTGGGCCAGCTGTGATGACATTGGCACAATTGACTTTGTTGAACCATTCAGCCGCGGGGTCAACGGCGAGATACGTCTGTGACGCTGTGCACCGGACCTGTGTAGCTGCAGCTATCGCGAAGTTTTGTTTGGATCTGTCGTTTCCTGTCCGATTCGTGCCCCAGCCGTCGTGAAACTTCGACACGAATGCGTGTGCAAGGATGTTTATCACCTTCCGCTCCTTCCAAGAGTTCACGAATCAGCACAAACGGGCTCGACGCTCTGCTTGAATCCGCAGCCGCCTTGCCCCAACAGGCATGGAGCGCAGTGGCATCTTGGACACACTGACAGAAGCACTGTTGAAACTATGTATTCGCATGCATATCGATAAGTTCCTCTCGGCGGCGTTGGTCAGGCTGCGCAACTGAGAGCCGAAGGATGCACCCAAGCGGAGGGGGGGCGAATGCTCCCTTGGTGCGTACTGGTGCCATCTGACCTTCGAGCGTGGTTCACTTTGTCGCACGGCGAGTCGCTCTTGCCCAAAGTACTCAGTTGTCGTCACATTCGCAATCACACTGCGTTCCAAGCGATTCGCGGGCGATGAACGGATAACAGGATGATTGCAATGTCGGAGGCGCGCGCTCAGACAGTGGGCGCTGGTGCTGGGTGGAGCGCGGAGTTTGCTGCTGGCCTTGACATTGAAACACCCACGCCGATTGGCGCAAGCACCACATCGAGCTGACCTGGGTGCGGCCGCCACTCCACTCAGCTTCTCTTCACGATCTCCAGCATCACCGCGTCTCTTTGCAAATTGGGATGGTCATCTTGCGCGACATCGTCACTTGTCCATCAACGGGTTGATGCGTCCTAAAATTAATACTTACACGAGCCAGTGGGCATCGCCACCATCGTATTGGACCCAACGCAACACGGCTTCGCCGGCGACTCGCCTTACGGCATCTCTCCGTCCCGGACAGTCAGTATTAAGACTAGTCTAGTAGAGAACGAGAAGGCGGTGACTTCCTCAATGCATGGCATGATCATGAGATGGCAACGTTCACTGTTCATTAATTTGAGGCGTAGCCTGGGCTTGTGGCGTTTGGAGGACATGGGATCCTCTTCTACGAGAACAATCACCATCGACTGGGGTCAACCCTTTCATAAATCTGCCACGAGGGTCTATCGCATTCTTGATGATATTGAACAAGACACTGAACCACATCCCTTCGATTGCCAATTCAACGTAAAGTGATTTGCGAAGATCACCTGGGCAGTTCGACCGTTTGTTTCCTCCCGCTGTCCGTTCGTCAATCCACAATTGTGAAACGAGGAAGATTACCTCATGCAAGAAGGTATGACCGATTCCTTGATACATTCGGTTTGACATCCGCACACAACAAGGATCCGCTTCCTGTTAAGCGTGTCAATGTCATTGGTACTCCCGCAATCGTTATGCGTGTCAACGCTCCCAACTGGGGAAACAGGTGGAATATCACAATCGCTGAACGAGATTGTATGTGCAGTTCAGGGCCACCTGAGTACCGCACAAATGGTCATTGGATAGGGATCGATGTCGACATGGTTCCATGCATCTGGGCAAGATGGTTCCGTACATTTGGGCAATCGATCACGATCAAGTCGTCGATTTACTTGCCCAAGTGAAGGCATAGCTCTATCCCATCTCGCCGAGAAAGACGCCATAACCAGACGACTCGTCTGCGGCCGCGTCGCTTCCTCTCCACAATATTGTTTGTTGTACGTACCTAACGACGTCCTCAATCCCCCTCTCACGGACTGGTTCGCCAGACTCACGCCTGCTGCCCTACATTATCTTCCGTGTTTCATCCGCCGAGTGTTGACGGCCCAGAGAGGAACAGATCAGAGCATCTTAGCTTCTGAATCATATCCAGAACTTACCTCAGTCTGACAGAACTACCACAAGCATTCACGCATTCACGCCTGAACCCTGTACTACCCAATCCCACATAGCGCAATAAGCCAGACAATGTCCCCCCCACGTGTTTTCACATACGGTTACTGTGATCACAACGCAAAGCCCGTCCTATCTAACAAGAAGCAAAGCCACCTCCATACAGCACGTCCCGAACCCAACAACCAATACTGCGACCTCAACACGCAAAAACCAGATGATCACATCAACCATACGTAGCACAGCAGCTTACAGCGCAGACGATCCGAAGAGACATCGAACTGGCACTCTCAATCACGGCTCTGCGTCCGATATGAAGGGATACCCGGCCCCATCCCAGGACGCGGTGCTGTGGAGCCGGGGTGAAACTCCGATATTAGACGAAGTCCTCGCTTAAACCGGAGGACCTGGTGATAATCAGGAGAGACGTGCGAAGAATATTCTGGTTGCGGAGATACGCTGGGTTGAGTGCGGTGGTCGTTCGGAATATGATGTCAACATCACATGAGCTGTGAGACGGATTGTAGTTTCGTGTCTCGCACGAGGAGAATGCTCGGTTTGTCTGATGGTAGGAGTATTCCTGTTGGGCGGGCGGTGGAGAAAAGTAAGAACTGCGTCCTTCATCAATACGTTAGTCGTAAATACATTGTCTCAGTACATACAATTATACGTTTCTTGTCTACCCCAGTGTAAAGAAGAGTGAAGAATTCCAGTCGATGAATTTTGTGCCATCTCGTCCGCGACTCTATCTGAGGATAGCAGAATGCTGCCACCAAATGAATACTAAATGGTCTCATATCATGTGGCCCATGATGAACGTAGTTGGTGGTGTCAAGAACTTCATCTGTCGAGCGATTGCTGTCCTCTTGATCCATGATGTAGTCGTGCGGAGTAAAGGGTAGTGTCGCTTGTAGATACAAAGAAGGATTGATAAGTTCCCCTCATACAGAATGCCTGATGCAGATGTTGCCCGTAAAACGATTCGACGAAAGATCGTGATTATCACGTCTTTGACAAGCTTCGAGTAGACAATGCCGGCCTTCGAGGTCCTAGAGCCCAAGAAGCAGGGCTGTAATTGAAGGAAGGGAGGGGACAGCGCACTTCTGGCTCAGTGAAATAGAGCCGTGTGAAAGTTGGGCCGTGATTTATATGCTGATACAGACACCACCATACCTGTGCAAGAACTGCGGCTGAACCTCTTCTGTTGCAAGACTTGATCAGGAATTGAAGGCCACAACGCCGGGCTATGCTGATATTCAAAATTGATATAGATAATACATCTTGATCCTGACAAGGACAAGCCAGCATGACGGGTGCGTGCTTTCTACTCGTCGTCTTCGTCATCATCCACAACTCGTCTCCGTTTTATCCGATGGGCGGGAACCACCTCCGCATCGTCATCGTCATCGTGGCCGCCGCCGCGCCTCTTAGGGCTTGGAGCGATACCTTCATCCGGGTCGTCATCATCTTCGACAATCTCCGGCTCCTCGTCACTGGCCGCGATAAAATCGTCTTCTTCGTCGTAATCGTCTTCGCGGTTCCTGCCGGGACCACGGCCGTAGTCTTCGTCGTCGCTCCAGTCTCGTCGTAAGCCCGACTTCGGACGGGGCTTCTTCGATCGGGGGGCGCCATCACCGTCTTCAAGGTCGTCAATGCTGAGACCTGCTGAGCGCGCGCCACGATGACCCCCTACGCCACGGTTTGCGCGCTCGGCTTGTCGCTCAGCGTGCTTTTCCTTCGCCCTCAGTTGTCGCTGCTTTTCTTTGAATGTAGCCTCCTCACGTTGCCTGATGAGGTCAGGGTCTTCGTCGACTTTGACGAACGAAATTGCCTGATCAGCTTCGTCTCGGCCACGGGTGGCTGCAGCTGCCAAGTCGTTCTGCAGCTTCTCGAGCGCAGCATCCTTCAAATTTGCGGCAGGCACAACACTCAGGGCAGTGGTGAACTTGTTTGTCACGCGCATAATCTGAGCCTCCTCATAGGGGGCAACGAGATATGTGTAGCTCTCCTTGTCACTTTTCAGGCCATGCTTCGAGGAAGTAGGTGTAGGAATCCTGGGGTTGATTTGTGGCGGGGCAAGTGTGTTTGCATCAATGTCGAACTGTGTGGTCGGATTGCTGGCGAACTGCAGAGTCAATGAACCGTCAGACCAGCGCAGGATACGCGCATTAGACTGTAGCTCTGCCTGATTTGAGGGCGACCGTCGCCAGCGAATTGTCGACATGGCGGTATCGTATGCGGAGAAATGCTCGGAGGCACCAAACTTCGAGTGGTGATCTGTTGTTGGCGCCTGGAATGTCTTGTGGTTGAACACAGTTGGCTCGAATGCCAAAAATCGCGGCACCTTCAAAGCATACAGCTCGCCATCGGTAGGCTCTGGGACAGCATGTCGTGCGAGGTCTGTCTCCATGAAAGACAGTGTCTGCTGCTCTTGTTCGTATTCAACAGCTTGGGGTGCCCGGTCGTCGCGTGCCTCGTCGTCGCCAGAGTCGAGCTCCTCATCTTCGAGCTTGCGCTGCGATCTTTGGGTTTGTTAGAAAGTGAGAGGTTCCCCTACGGTAGCTGCAACCTACTCTGCTGGCTCTTCCTCCGCGTCACCCCCCATCACCGAACAGATCGTCCTCATCGTCTAGGCCATTCTCTTCGACTGTGTCACGCGGTGTCCCCCCAATTTCGCTCTCTGCTGGCGCGACAGCAGCTCCGGCCTCGTTGTCTGAGAGACCCTTCGCGGCATCACTGCCGGCGTCAGACATGGTCGCCGTTGATGAAGCGCTTCAATGCGCAATTCGGAATTTCTCTGCTGGATTAGCGCGAAATTGATTCCGCGACCGGGGCAATGTAGCGCCTGAAATGCGAAGGGAGTCGAAGGTCGAATTACGCGTCGCTGACTTGATGGCTTGAGGTGAACAAAGTTCAGAGCTCAGGGCGACGACGAGAGTCGCGCTTGCCCAAAGCGACTAGCGCGTCGGCCCCTTCTGATGCTGCGGGCCCAAAAAGCTGGCCGCTCGAGACAACGATACGTGTATCACCACAGTCAACGCCCCTCGATCTTCTGCATAACGCACTTATCTGCCCGTCAGCCCACTAAGGACAACCCCACACGCTCTCAGGCTCACAGCACGCCCCTCCGTCGTTGAACATGGCGTCCTTTTTCTCCAGCGTGTAAGTTCTTGGCGTAGCTCCCTTCCCCAAATGCTCCTGGACCCCCCCATATCTGGGGCTCATATGCCGTATCTGATACAGGCACCTATGTGCTTATGTTTCACAATCGCCGTTAATTCCGCATGCCCATCTCCTGCTATCTCTTCTTATTGTCTTATTATATACGTCCGGCCTCGGAGTTGTTGGTTCCTCTTCTAACGTACCACCAGACGCCAAGGGCTAGCTGGTCGATCCAACAAGAGCAATCAGCAACAACAACCAGGCAAAAGCGGCACACCTCCACCCACTGGACAGTACTCTCAGTCGCCTACATCACAGCAGGCTCCCCAACCTCCTATGCCCCATTCCCCTGCAATGTCGGCCTCCATGTCGTTTGAAGCTGGTGCGGAAAGTCCCGCCCAATCTGGCAACCGCAGACCGCCTTTCTTCTTCCGTGAGGAGTACTCCAACTTGATTGTCAAGGGTAACTTCATGACCTTGGCCGCGAAGCCAAAGCTTGTCGAGGAGGGTGAATGGCTTGCACATCAAGGTTCGTGTTGCATGTCAAGTATCCTGCTGCAATTAGTTGACCACGTGACCAGTTGTTGAACAGTACAGACTACTCGAACAGATGATTGAAGTCATCAAGGTTATCGATGACCGAACAGGCAAGCCAGTCTGTAATCCAGATGTTTGCCCAACCATGTCGGCCAGCGGGTAAGTCTACTTGTCGTCACATCCCTGGTATTTATCTAACACAATCAGACACACATACACATGGCTCGATAACAACAAGAAGCCCATCAAAATTCCTGCCATCCAATACATCAACCTAGTTCAAAAATGGATCGTCGGCAAGATCAACGACCCTTCCATCTTCCCCACAGATACTACTCCCATGATCCTCAACCCCTCCTCTGGCAACCCAGCTTCTCCATCCTCCGGGCAAAACTGGCTCGGTAAATCCTCCGGGTTCCCTGAGACCTTCGAGGGCGACATCAAGAGCATCTACCGCCAAATGATGCGATGCTACGCACACATCTACCACGGCCACTGGCTGGAGCCGTTCTGGAACGTCAACGCGTACAAGGAGCTTAACACGTGCTTCATCCACTTCATCAACGTCGGGCGCCTGTACGGCCTGATCGGCGATAAGGAGATCGAGCCCATGCAGCCGCTGATCGATCTGTGGACAGAGAAGGGCCTCTTGCCTGCGCCTACGCAGCCGGGCGCTCAGATCGCGGCTCCTGCTCCTGCTGCTTGAACAGCGATGAAGCGGGCTAGTGGAGAAGCGTTGGCCATTTGACATGGCGGACCTGGGGTCTGTGACCGTGGGCATGGTGGGCTGCGAGTGTACGGCGGTGCCGAGGGTTTGGTTGGCGTTCGGGGATCATATAGGCATGCACAGCATAGAACAATGAAGGAATATGGATTCACAAGCGTGGCTGCATGCACCTGCAACATGTCTCTACGCGCTTCTTGATGCAGCTTAAGCAATTACGTGATTGCGGCTCAACTGACCAGGTCCTCCTTGTAGCGCCGAGACCCTATAACTAGTGCGGGGAACATTTCAGTTCTTGCTGACGCTGGGTGTCGTCAGCTCTGATTGCCCTGCAAATGCTCGAGGGACATCACAATTGCTGTTGGTCACCAGTGGTCTATAGTAAATGAGGCTCAAATTGGATAGTAACACGTAAAGTAACCAGAGAGACTGTTTCCGTTTGACACCACCAACGATCCGCGAGACGCAAAACAGATCCGTATCGCATTGCGTTGCATGTCACACAAACTCCAATGGTGTAAAAGAAGTGCGTCCGCTCCACCACCATTTCGTTAAACATCAATGCACGCATTCCTGAGAGAAGCCATGATCGAGACCGGCTTGGTCACGATCATGACAGAGGTACTATTTGGGGTATGTCCGGACTGGCAGGCGTTGACATTATCGCGTCGCCACGTAGGAGTGGCACGGTCTTAGTTGTGTCCGGCCTTGCGGAGAGAGTTGGACAGCCACTCGAGACCCTCGTACAAACCGTCACCGGATGTGGCGCAAGTGGACTGGATGTACTGTAGATCTTATTAGCGCTAGCTCAGGGGAGCATTTTCGAAGTCGACTTACCCAGGCGCGTTGTCGGAGGCTGTGGAGACCAAGCTTGTCAGTGATCTCGGCAGCGTTCATGGCGTTCTAGTTTGTGGTGTGAGCAAAATTCTTGCAGGCGATACTGAGCAGGGGCGTGTGCTTACGGGCAAATCCTGCTTGTTGGCAAAGACAAGGAGAAGAGCGTCCCTCAGCTCGTCCTCGTTCAACATCCTCTGGAGTTCCTCACGGGCCTCAACAACACGATCGCGATCGTTGCTGTCGACGACGAAGATGATACCCTGGGTGTTCTGGAAGTAATGCCTCCAGAGAGGGCGAATCTTGTCCTGACCACCGACATCCCACACGGTGAAGGAAATGTTCTTGTACTCGACTGTCTCGACGTTGAAACCTGGTATGCCTGTCAGCGCATTGTTCGTAGTCGCGCTAAGGCTCGCAATAACGCACCGATGGTGGGAATCGTGGTGACGATTTCACCGAGCTTGAGCTTGTAGAGGATTGTGGTCTTTCCGGCAGCGTCGAGACCAACCATCAGAATGCGCATCTCCTTCTTTCCCCATAGCTTATCGAAAAGCTTCGAGAATGTGAGACCCATGTTGGCGGCGGGGGTGTGGTGTAAGGGGAAGGTGTAGAGGCGGTGAAAAGACTCTCGAACCTATGGCGCAAGCAAGTTAGATTCTAGTACCAATATGTAGGCGGTCGAAGTCGCGGAGGGCGACAGGGGCGAGCGCAGGACGGTATTGAGCAGCTGATGCGGGTTGCAGCGTCGTTCCCGCCTGAAGTCGCCGAGGTGTGCTGCGGAGGTATACAAAGACCGCGGGGCGGCGCGGGGCGGCAGCGATTGACTTACGGACGATGTTCAAGAGAGCCTGTGCGTGTTGGTGATGGCGTGGGTGGGTTGACGATGCAGTCTAATTGATGCACAGGAAAGGGCTGGGTTGATGAGACGTGTGTGGACTTGCTTGGAGAAAGCCCGTGCGGCGCCACTGACACGTGACAAAGTTAGCAGAACGGCTTATCGGAGTCGATGTAAGAGCCGCGGTGGGAAAGTTAAACTTGTCCATTCCGCTGCGTTTGCAATCTTCTTATGGACATTCATCGTAATATTGACACGTTGTGGTTCCCCTTGACGCGGAAGCTGGAACCCACACAGCCCTGAAGGCAGCCATCGATTGTCTCGGACGATCGACCCCAGTATCCACTTGGGCAGTGCCTGAGTTGGAGGCTCCACAACCGTGCGCGCCATTGGTTGAGCCAAGGCGAGTGGTGGTGAGGAGAGTGTGTCTAAGAAAAACCTCTTCTTACTCATGTATCAATGTCGTGAACTGGACATTCCATACGCCCAGTGAGTTTGACTCTCATCGTATTTGCCGATGCACACCTTCTAGAGGCAGTATACGTGTAAGCATGCAGTCAGGCGCCCGGATCAGCACCTCCATCAGGCAGCAGTTTTCGCTGGCCAGCATCACGACTGGATACTTAGCCTGGGAACAAACCGTGTCCTTTGTGTGAGATTAACGTATACGACTTGTTCCAATCGTCTGCTTATTGATGCGTGCTACAAATACACCATCCCAACCAGATCAGTTCGACCCGGGATTGCGCCGGACGCCGTGCTGCTCAATACATCTAGTTCAAGACAGTCCACGCGCCTATTCATGCTTTTGACAAAACTCCCAAGGAAACGCTAAAAGAACGCCAGCGGAGGTGACAAGTGAGGGTTGGGTTGGTTTAAAGATCCGTGACCATAGCCTCGTCCTGCTGCTGGTTCTCGTGAACAATACCGAGGAGCCGTGCATACGGTACAGTGATGCGCTGGAGGTCGCGATGTTTACCTCGTGGAATGTTAGTCAAAGACAAGAGAAGCAACGTAGGGAACTTACCAAGGATCAACACCGCTTCCTTCAGGAGGTCCTCTTTCTTCCAGCCGCAGATGGTATCGCTCGCCTGCTCGCTGTCTTGGTCGACATCTTCATCCTCGGCAATCAGGTCGCTTGCGAAACTTCTGAGTAGCTCTTCAATCTTGCCCTTCAGCCCCTCTGCTCCAATGCGCTTAACATACATTGAAAGATATATCTTGAACTCCTCCTTTGCACCCAACGTCTTGGCAGCAGCGACCCGGTTCTCGAGGTGGGCCACGCTGACACAGCTCTCGAAGGTTTCGTAGCCTTCAGCCGAGATGAGCGCTTTAATAAGACGCTGCAGGTAAAACGCTCGACCCTGTAGCAAGAACTGATTCGTTGTGTTGCGTTCCAGCGAGGGAATGATACCTGCTGATATGTTCTCCGGCGAGACCTGATCGTCCCTCTCTTTTGGTGTCTTCTTGTCCTGTGATGATCTAATATTGCCCAGAGATGAGTCTGTGGTATTCCAATACTGGCTTCCGACTGCAAACCAGGGTTCTGAAATCCGTTGCCAAATATACATGTTAGGGTTGTAGGTGTAGCCATCGCCATTTGACACAGCCACAACGATCCTGCCTTCGGTGTTGAGGCGTGCAAACACAATGCCAGGTGACTTGGTGAGATGCGGACCTTGGGCGTACGCCGCAACGTCCAGAATTGGTGCGACAGAGATGGGTGGATGAGGAGCGGACATTGTCTTGAGGTTCCATACATAGCACATACCGACGGCTGAGATAGCCATCAGCCACCATCCGCGACAGTCCATGATGACGGGTTGCGCTTCCAAAATCATGGCATTGAGTGTGCGTCGGCCTGCTGGTGACCAGGCATAGACAGAACCATCCTCGCATGCTGCTGCAAAGAAGTTCGTATTGCCAGTCACTAAGAGAACAGCTTTCGGTAGGTAGTCTTGCCAAAGCGCTTGGCCCTTCTTTGTGCAGGTTATCCTAACAGGATCATGGTCTTGGAACCGGCCTGTTCGCGAAGGGCCAGTAGCGTTGCGTGCTTCCAGCAGAACAGTATCCGAGAGCTCTGCTTTTCCGGTATTGGGATCGACACTGTTCTGATGCGGCGGTTCACTGCCATCCATTGTGCGGACGATGACACTCCTAACCTTAGGTACAGCTAGCCGCACCTGGCTTACGCTGAGTGACGGGTTAACAATTGCAGGGCGCAGGACCTTTGCGGGTTCCTGCCCATTGGCCTTTGAGGTAGCAGCAGCAGGCGGCACAAGACCATTCTCACTGTTCAACACGATAGCAGCGCCACCAGGTCGGACTGTAGCGGCAAGTCTTCGCTCTACCTGTCGATCGTCGTCGCCTTCGATCTCTGCAAATTTCCTCTTGTTGCCAACCAGCATCGATGCAAGACCGCCTTTGGGAAACCCATCGTAAGGCTTCGACAGATCAAGGATGTTGTGTGGATTGTCGCTCCTCCCAACGGATGTAGATGCAGAGATCAGTTGGGTCTGTGGTAAAGATGATGCACCGACTCCTGACGATGAGGAAACAAGCATAGGTGCTATGCGCTTCTTTCCCTCCTTTGTGACAGTCACCCGCTGCTTGAGCTTCTCGACACGCTGATCCGCTGGAGGCTCGGCTGGTGCTACTGGTGTGGTAGTTCCGTTCGTGACATTTGCCGACGTTGCTGACGTCGTTACTCCATTGGTGCCATTCGTGATGATTGTCGGGGCTTGTACCGCGCCGCCATCACCCATGAGAGCTCCCATGCGACCCTGGACACCCTTCAGCTCTCCACTCTTGGCGCTTTCTTCCAAGAGCAGTGCGTCCGTGCCTTCAACGATCCCAACTCTTCGACCAGCACCGAATTTTGAGAGTGTCTTATCGTTCTCGTCCAATGATGCCGGGTAGCCAAGTTCCCCTGGCTCGAACACAAGAGTGAGAATACTGCCGTCGAGACTTGTGGCGTACAAAACCTCTCCTCCAGGCGACCATGCCAAGTCTGAAATCGACTTTCCAGCCAATTCTTGCGAGATCATGAATGGTCTAGGGTAGCTTGTGTTCCAAACGCTCAGACACTTGTCTTGACCAGCGCATGCAACAATGGTCACTGTTGGTTGATAGACATTCCCGTCTATCTCTTTTGGCGGATCCTTGTAAAACAGTCGAGGGGAGAAAGCAGCGACCTCCACTGGCCCTTCGTGACCGACCAGACTGATGTGACCGTCCCATGATCCACGCGCGATAATGGCGACAGAGCTGACAGGCCCATTCGTTGCATTGGCAGCGGCGATATGAGCTCCATCTGGAGACCACGAGCAACGGCGGAAGTATGTGGTGAGCGGCGAGGTCTGGAAGGGCGCATTTATGGTGTGCTCGAGCATGAAGTTGTTGACCTGATCCTGCTGCGTAGCGTTCGCCGGCGGCGAATTGAAGCGATAGACCTTGACGGTACGGTCGTCGCTCGCAGTCGCGAAGTATTTGTTTGCGGGGTCAAAGGTAATTCCCTTGACATGGCTCTGGTGGTTTGACAATGTCTTTAGCTTTTCAAACGAGTGCCCTGACCAGACAACTACTTTCGAGTCCAATCCTACTGACACCAGGATGGACGAATCATATGACCAGCCAATGTCCTGCACGTCGTTGTCATGACCTATGAGACGGCGTATCACGCGCCAGTTCTCAACAGGAGGCGCCTCATTAGAACCTGTACCTGTTGTTAGCAGTGCCTTCTAGCCTTCCAATATCTCTCCACCCACCAAAAGCAGCATGCGTTGGCGCATTGGGGTCCAGCGCGTACACACAAACAATCTTGTCGTCTGCGCCGGAAGCCAAGTACTTGTTGTTCGAAGAGAATCGCACCGCGTGGATCGTGCCTGAATGGTGGCTGACAGCCGCGAGCTGCTTCGGCTTGGTGTACTCGGGATTATTCGAGTTTACGATCGCTTCAGTAGACCATATTCGTACGTATCCATCTATGCCTCGCAATTAGTCATGCTAGTCAGGTCTGCGCAATGTGTACGCGCTGCGCATCCAAAGAAGGGTGTACGGACCTCCGGCGGCAGTGACAAGGCGCTTCCCATCAGGGGAAACGTGACAGCTGTAGACCTCGTGGTCCTTGAGATCGCCTGTGATGCGCGAATTCAGTCAGCGGAGTCTTCAGGCATGCATCGAGAGCTCTATGTAGCTTCTGGATACAGAGGTCGGCTCACCTGAATGGGTCAGCCACTGCGGCTTGATCAGATGCATGGTTGCGTTTGAGTTTCCACCAGATTCAGCATGCTATTGCGCAACCATGAACGTGGCGACAGAGGTGGTTTGGGATGAGTGAGGCGCGTGGTCGGTGCTGTGTACGGCTTGGGCTTGTCGCGACAGCTGTGCTGGCGACGCGAAGTTCAAGGTTCACGCGGGTTTGGCGCACGTTGAACAGGGGTCCATTAAGGTTTAGGTGCATGCGCCGATCATCCAAGTGCGCTCCTCGTTTACATGTTAGTATCAAACTTCGTGAGGCACGCTGATATGTACTATATTATGTTGATGTTATTGTAGCATTGATACTTGTTCTATCGCTGCCATCTCATGGGTCTGCGGTCAAACAGCCCTGCAATACCCTCCTTCTCCAGCACTTTGCTATGCTAACAGACATTCTAGGACATGACGTGAATGTTGCAAATAACGCAGTGCGACTGCGGTCTTTGTGCAATGTGCTGTCCGCGTATCCTCGACCCCGTTGAATAAGCATGAGTCGTTCGGCATTTGGCGAGTCTGGAGTCCTGGTGTCGCCGGTGGTGTGTTTGTGTGAATACTCAACGTAGTCTCTCAGTATTATTGCCTTCACACCTTGATCTTCTTCCTCTTCTTGAACACCACGGCAGGTGCAGCAGGTGCAACAGGTGCGTCTTCCTCCTGTTTGACCGGCGCATCGGCGGCATCTGTTGCTGCGTCATCTGCCGTGGGTATGTCATGCAGAGGGTTTGTGTCCTCTTCATGCTTGACTAGCTCCTCGGTCTTCACCTTCTCTTCCACCTCCTCCATCTTAAGCTCTGGAGTCTTCTTCGCTCCGAAAAGTGCTTCTATATCGTCGTCGTCGTTGTCCTTGCTTCCTGGGAATGTTTTGTACGTCTGGCCCCAACCCTTCTTCTTCGTGATCATGCCTTCTGCTGCTATCCGATCTTCCTCTGCCTCATCGATCTTCCTTTTATGTACACCCTTATTCAGCTGTTTCTCTTCGAACTGTCCCTGCTCGTTGACCTCTCCGACTAGTTTCTTTGTCACCACTTTCCAATCTCCTGCCATACCCATATCCTGTCGCGCTTCTTCAGGCAGCGCAACGCCCAGAGCCGCCAGCTGCTCCCATTGTCTCTTCCTGTCTTCTACTGTGGCCTTCTTTTGCGGTTCCTTCTTTGCGAATGTAGCTTTGTCGCCGACTCCGGCTGCAACCGAGGGCCCTGCGCCGTTTGCTCCAGGGACCAGGCCATTGAGGCGCGCAACTTCGGCTTTCGCTTGCGCTTGTTTGCGGGCTTCAATTTCCTGTTCGCGGTGTAGCCCCTTGAGAGAGCGCCGGATACCGCCCTGGTGGCGACCGGTGGCTTCGTGTTGCTGCTTCTCAAACTTGGTGTCTTTCACGAAGACTTCGCAGTATTTGCACCAATATTTCGGCTAGAACATTGTCAGTTCGGTATTTTCGCACCACGTACGCGAACTCACTGTCGACTTCCAGTACTCTGACATCTTGCCGGTGCACGTCGAAGATGACGCAGGCGGGCGAAAGATTGGAGACGCTGACCCGGAGCTAGGCAGAATGAGGCGGTGAGCTTCATGCAGGGCTGATTGCGGAGAAGTCGCGTCGATCGGTAGCTTCCCCGGGTGATTGGAGCTCAAGCTCCCCCCTCATTAACAGGGTGCTCTGGACTTCTTCGCTACATTCCACACCTCTCACCAAACCTTCTACTTTGAGCATTGAACCCACCCAACGGTCAATCTACACGACGTTCCAGAGCAACTCATCGAACATGGCTTCTGTCGCAGTGGGCCTCGACCGCACTAGGCTCTTGAAGCCGCTTATTGTATTGGCTGGGTGGACCTTTGTGCAGGAGGTATGCTGGCCAGGGATTACTCTATGACCATGGCACTGCTGATACCGTGAAAGGCCTGGATGTACGCCACACGTCTTCCCGCCATCTCCAAGTATGGTGTCAAACCTGATCAGGAGACCATCAGCGAGGAGATGAAGACAAAGATCCCCGTTGAGGTCCGCCGCATTGCCGACAACTTCAACCATCTGCACGAGCAGCCAACCGTATTCTACTCTGTTGCAATTGCTCTCACACTCCTGGGCGACAACCACGAGTACACATACCTCGCTGCGTGGGGCTACACAGGACTGAGAATCGTGCACTCTCTTTTCCAGAGCTTGGTCAACAAAGTGTTCACGAGGTTCTATATTTTCGTCACCAGTTCGTTCGTTCTTGCCGGTCTGACTGGCCGTGCTGCGACACTGCTTTTCTGAGCAGATCGTAACGAGTTCAGAACGTGAGTTATGGGTTTACTTTTTGGCGACGCCCAAGAAATTGCCGTCTTCTGACACTGCGTCACTAAGGCTATAGGAGCCCGGTCGTGTATGGTATACCAGCAGCCTATAATGTAATGCAAACATTCTCCAGGTGCTAGCTGACTCTCTCACGTTCGACCGTCTTCAAATAGCAAAACAATGACCACTGGTGTTTCCATCGCTGTTCGCACCGAAAAACTGCGAACATGTTGCAGCATTCGGTTACCTAGACCCTTTGGGCGATACTAGATGAAGACGTCCACGGTTCACCTAGAAGGGTGTGCAGAATATTAAGCAGGGCAAACAGGGTCCAATAGTCTTCAGGCAGTGTCGCATCGTAACTCCCTCTCCTTTCAAATCCTCATCTTTCGGCAGTACAATACCATTCTACAAATTTGAGATGCCCTCGTCCCCAAGACAGCTTGCAACCCAAAGCAAATCACAAAGTCGGAAATATTCTTTAAGTATACATCACCTCGCACCCAGCATGCAGAATGTGAACCATCTCGTCCTCACATGGTATTGCATGCTCTATACTGTCTTGACGTCTTTGTCCTCATTCACCACACGTCTCGTTGAATTCATCGTGCGAGGATCCTTCAGTGCTAAATATATGCAGCTCTCGTCTAGAGCCATATCGTAATCGTGTGTCCTTCTGGAAGGCCAATTGGCTGTCAGACTGCCACATTAGATCGCATCTTCACGCTCAACCCTCAAGAGTATTGCGCTGTAGCTGCTGTGTCAGATAAGCGACAGTGATAGATCATCCAGCTGCGCGGAGGTCTCGCAGATGTTTCGCCTAAAATCTATGAAGAGAATCATGGAAGACTGCAAATAGAACTTGATCCTTGGAAGTCGTGACTTGACGAGATCTATCTTGGTAGTAGGAAGATAGTCGTATTTCATGGTCTTACCTCAGCCGCTCAGTGGAAGATGAGCCGAATTGTGGCATTTAGCTGTCTACAGTAAGAAGTGACAATGAATCAAGTTCGTGTGATACGGTGGAGAGACCATCAGGTAGGCTTCAGGGACGTGGATCTATCAGTGAAGAGGATGAACGCACAGGTGCCAAGCAATAATCATGAACATGTAGGCAGACCTTCATCTAGGATGAATGAATGCGAAGTGGATAGAGCCCAACCTGAGCACGTACTCCTTGTAGAACTGTCTTTCCATCTGTTTCAAACCACACAAATTCTCTTCAGTACGTCACTGATGTTATCCTGCTATACCTGTTTAGACGAACCACGAGAAGTATTCACCATGAACATACTGGAATCGACGGTGCAGCTGATACTCGTCAAGCTGGTATTCGTAAAGATAACATAGACTTGTGAGACCTCCATAGTTGACAGCGTATTATGATGGTAGTAATGGAAACGTAGAAGTACATTGCCTACGAAGTAGTTCACAAGGACTAAAAGATAGTAGCGGCTTCAAATCTAGCTGATGGCGTCGGTGCTTTACCGAGTTAATTGTAAAACAACAACCACAGCAGCCGTACTGCTTGGTTTTCGAGAACCTCTCAGATTTTATCTACCGTAGTCAATGTGATGACCTCCTACGCTCTTTGTGGGTTCCGAAACGAAACGAGCAGCCCGACTCGGTAGCGATTTACCTCCTGCCAATAATGGACGAGAAACGAGGAAGACTTACCATTTTGGTCATCGTCGTCCTTGGACAGATCTACCCGCAGTGGACCTGCTCCAGTGTAGATAACACTAAGTCAAGACGAGATGCCCAGGTAAATGTTCCTGGAAGTGGACGAGTCAGGTACTAACCATCAATATCTCAGATATACACAGTACACGAGCGTCCTTCCACCATCACATACGACATCGGCGATAACAATAATGCGAGCTTTTGACCGACCCGTAGGTGGTATAGGCGCTACTCAGGTATGGCTGAGCGGATCGAGCACGTACGTGTGCATTGATGAGCCTTTGGACCGATAAGACTTGATTCGCTATGTTCGAGTGAACATGGGTTACCTGCAGGAACGTGCCACCACAAGGAAAACATCTGTAACTTCGTCCTGACCAATCCAACTAAATCAGCAGGGTGGTGTCAGAGGCTCAGCCGTTTGACGGCGCCGGAACCAGATCGGCTTTCCGTTTCCGACGGATATATATCCGGACATTAATTCCCAACAGCGTCAAGATCCACAGCTTCTTGGTTCTAGTGCAGGGTTGTTTATTGGGGCTTGAAAGCCATGGATACTTGCTCGTGCAACTTCTCGAATTTCTCGCCCGCGGAATGGTTTGCCTACACACATGCTGCAGTGCGAGCTTAGGTACACGTGCGAACCCTGGAGAAAGTCGGGAGAACGCTACCCAATGACGTCTGCAAGCTCGAGATATTTTGAATCACCAGGCGTCCATGCTTTGTGTGAGACCTGACAAAATTTTGTGTCCTGCAGAGTGATCGGATCGAGCAATGCAACGTCGGTCATGGTCCGTTCACACGCGCGCGTATTGGTAGTGCGACTGCTATTCGTGACACCTAGTCACTAAGCCGGGGGTTTCCGCGGATGGACTCGAGAAGAATGCTGTCAGATGTAAGATATCAGATCCAGAAGACAAAAAGGCTGCATAGCTCGCATCGAGTCGAACGTGGTGGCATGGAGAAGACCCTTGTTTGTGATGTCAAGTTTGAGGTGATTCGTCACAATGGTCGAGTCATCAATACCCAACGTGCCGGTGCGGTCTTGCAAAGCCACAACGTGGAAAGTCAAGACTAGGTACCGAACGGACCCTCCGACTGCACGTCACAGGACTTGTCGGTGATCGGAGTGCGGAGTGCGACTCCGAGCATGGGAAATGCTGTTTCGATCATTGAGGAGGGGCTTAATTGTCAGCTTCACGTGTTTCATCATGTTGTGAGACTGCCCAAATTCGGCGAGCCAAGTAACGATGGGCACTCGCCCGCTGATCGATCGACAGCGTATGCTGTGCAGCTGTGCTGAGCTTAGACCTTTCAGGGCCTGCTTTCAGTCTAGGTTCGTGAAGAGAGAAGTTTTCCGAGCGAAAGCCGAAACGGTAAGCGTCCATGTACTGTGGGCTTTTGAAGTGTGGACGTAAGTGTGTAAATGTGGAGGCTTGGCTTGGCTTGCCCCTGACCATCTCCCCCGCATATTTCGTGCGGGTGACTTGACGTTTAGCACCGCCATCTAGTCCTGCGTTCTCGTAACGGGTCCGACCGCCCAGACCTCACGATCTGTCAAATACCGCCGATATTGAGCCTCTTGCCAGGCAGCGTCTGGCTGGACTCCGACTACAGCATGAAGCGGTCAGCAATCATCAAAGGGAAACGGCATCCACCTAATCCACCGCTGAACGCTAATGTCCGGGGCGCAGTGCTTCGGGGGAGTGGATCCCTCCGATCGTATGCTCAGCGCTGCGAACAAAAAGCCGCAATTTTCACGACGCAAGCCGTGTTGGTGCGTCACGTGTCTGGAACACCGGCCTCGAGGTCGGCTGTCTGGTCCAGAGACGTCTAGTCTGTCCGTTGGCATTCCGCGTTTCTGACACCAATCATGTTACAGCAGGGAACCCATTTCCGCTTTTTCACCAGTGAAGATCAGCTCCAGACTCGAACGACTCGAGCTATCCAAACTCGCCATGCGTGAATCGATCACGTAGGCTACCCCACAGCCCGCTTGACTCGCTCCTCCGAGTCGAAACATCAAAATCACCAAGAGACCAGTTTTGGTGAGATTAATGAGCCGCGGCATCTTTTCTGTGTGTTCAAATGTGGAAGCTGCTGACGACTCAGAGCGCGTCTCGCTCTCAGGCGTGTGCTTTGTCCCGAGGCCATCCGAGAAGCACCGGCGGTTTCCAAGCGCCAAGGATGAGCGCCGGCCATCCGCATCTGGGGACTGGGGTACTCACTAACGATCCCCGGTGGAGACGTACCAGGCGTCATGAGGGTCAAGGGCACTATGATGAATCGCGGCTTGTCCGCACGCCCTGAGCACACGACTAGCCCAGGTATGGAATCCACTTTTGCGGAATTCGGAGTACATAATCGTAGCCTTTCCCCAGACCCCTTCGCGCGCGGATAGTCGTGATTTTCCCACCTTCTACCAAAAACTGCATTGACAGACGTCAAGTGTTGACATTTGACTGCAGCCATGTCCGACTATTCCGGCTCACCGTCCGACCACATGGAGTCCCAGCCACCGAAACGGAAAGCGAACACAGCCGGATTAGATGGAAACACAACTGGACGTTCAGTAAAACGAAGAGCTTCGAAAGCGTGCCAATGTTGTCGGGCTCGAAAAGTTCGGTGCAACGTCACAGAGCATGGCGCACCCTGCACGAACTGCCGATTGGACGAAGTTGATTGCATTGTTTCTGAGAGCAGGCGCAAGAAGTCAGTCACCCACCCCGTGCAGCATCCGACAGCCCCTCCCACAAAGCACATTTCCACAACATTGCACTTGATGAAGGGATATCTCCGCACCTTTGTTGCTTGTTGACAGCCGACACTTGATTTGGTGTTCGCTCCTGCTGAACTAGCCACTTGCGGATTGCACTCCAACCCATTCCATTCATCCAGCCTTTTAGCCTCCACAGCACAATCTCGATCTCAGCCGTGAGCGAACCGCATGCTGATTCATGTAGGAAATGGAACAAAGACGACGATGCACAGACAGAGACAACCGCCACAACAACGAATGTAACTCGTAAAATAGCGTCCCGCGATGTCCTCGATGGCGCTCAGTCGCTGAATGCTGCTTCGTCGCGGTCATCGCAAGATGCGGAGAGTCGCATTAATGAGCATGTTCCTCATTCTATATGTGCGTAGCGTTGATATTTGATTTGGTCATGTACGCTGACAGACGGGCAGATCAAATCCATGGACATCGCAATTTCTCCGTTCCCAATATTCCAGAAGTACACCGCCGCATGTCTGTCACTTCACAAATCAATGGCCTCCCAACTTTCCCATTCACACCTTTCTCCAATGATGAGGGGAAACCTTTTTTCTCTAATTTCGGCCAGAAGCTTCCCTCGGGTCAACTTCCTCGTTACATCAAACCACTACCGGCCAAGATTGGACCCGAGGAGATATCTTACCTTGAAAAGAAGGGCGCTTTGACCGTGCCGAAAGGGGCACTTCGCAGCGAGATGCTGCGTGCTTACATCGAATTCGTCCACCCATATATGCCACTTTTGGATCTGCACGATTTCCTGACTGTAGTCGACCGTTCAGATGGAAGCAAAGGAAAAGTCAGCCTAATTCTTTTCCAAGCAGTCATGTTCGCAGGATCGGCATTTGTCGACATGTCGCATCTTCGTTCTGCAGGCTACGCTACGCGGAAAGAGGCTCGCAAGGACTTCTTCCAGAAGACTAGAGTAGGTGAACCTTCTTGGCAACATTTTTTGAATCTCCGCTGTTCGGCCGAGGTTGGGTCTCGGACCTCCGACGATCCTGACCACATGTTAGCATGTGAAATCGTTCTGAGTGCTTTATCGTTCATTCGACGAATAGACCGCTAACAATGAGGACAGATATTGTACGACTTCGATTACGAATCTGACAGGGTTTCACTGGTCCAGGCCCTGCTTCTTCTGACCTACTATTACGAAACCCCAGATGACCAGAAAGACACATGGCACTGGATGGGCGTGGCTACGTCCGTAGCGCACACTATTGGTCTCCACCGCAACCCAGATAATACCAACTTGGACAGTAAACGTGTCAAGCTGTGGAAACGCATCTGGTGGTCCACCTACATGCGAGATCGTCTCATCGCCCTTGGCATGCGGAGACCTACACGCATAAAGTCCGAAGACTTCGATGTTCCCATGCTGACGCTGGATGACTTCGAGATAGCAGCAATCCCCGAGTCAATCACATGCATCCCAGCTGACTGTAAAGTCGCAAGAGATGTAGAGAGTCAGCGCCAGCTAGCTGTCATGTGCATCGAGAAAGCGCGACTGTGTCTCTGCATTTCCCACGTCCTGTCAAAACAATACTGTGTATTGAACAACAACCACGGTCTTCAGAATGATCGTACGACGATGATGTTGCTTCCGAAGAAGCTTGACCCTGCAACTAGCGAGGTCAAGACTTGCGATGAAGAATTGCAAAAGTGGGTGAATGATTTACCTGAAGAGGCGAAATACACAGACAAACCTTCAGGCGAGGCAGCCATTGATCTAGCGCGCTCTTTGCTACACATGGTTTTCTTCACAACGTTGTCAGCCTTGCATCGTCCGCAAGTCCTACCTAACTCCCATGGCGGTCCGGCCAGTGCACCATCCAAGAACGACGTAGAGTCCGACATTCTCGATGCCTCACGACGCAACGTTCGCCGCGCTGCGTCCGCAATCACGTCGATAGCACAACGTCTTGACTCGGGCGGACTGGTCAAGTATTTACCTACCACTGGTGTTACAGTCCTTCTGCCAGCCATCATCATCCATCTTCTCGACATCAAGGCACCTGAAGAAGAGACGCGCCGCAGCTCTCTCCGTGGTTTCTGCCAATGCATGGCTGTGATGGGCAAACTTCGTGACCTCTACGCCGCAGCTGACTACTCTGTGGCCTTCCTCGAAGCTGCTATCCGTAAAGCCGGTATTCATGTGGCACCCGACTCCGTTCAGACCTCACCAATGCCTAAGACTAGCCCCGTAACCTCTGTTGAAGATCTTGTCGATGCCGGTCGCCGTCTCGATATGGTCAATGCAACCACCGCCTCCCACCAACAACAGCGCTCCACCCTTACTCCTCCGCCCGACACTGGCACGACAAACATGGCAACTCTCGAGAAACTGCCTGGCCAACAGCCGAATGTTACCGATGAAGAGGTTGCTCGCCGCCTCGAGACTTTCCTCGCATCCACGCCACCGGACTCGGATCACGAGCATCACGACCACACAATGACTTCTATCACGATCTCACAAGACACCCCTGTTACTGTCGCCACTGCTCCCGAAAGCATGTCCTTACAAGATCACCATTCTATCGATGCGCTGAACAAGTGGAGCATGATGGGCCTGAACGAGAACCCGTTCTCCAACATCAACCTCCACCAAGACAATGAGAACCTGTTCTCCAGCCTACCACTTAACAACGAATTCGATGATGGCGACTTCGACTCCCTTCTGAACCTGGACGCTGTGGGTGAGACGTTTACTTTCGATGAAGGAGCGCTGGACCACGGCGCGGGGCTGACCGCAGAGTTGGGGGACGTTGACTGGCTCGGAACGACACATGGACTGGCAGTTGACGCGTAAGCACTTGACGAATTACGACTTTCATGGGCGTTTGGGTAAGAATGGAATTGGAAAAGTTGGTCTCTTGCGCAACATTTTGGTTGCAAGACTGCTTCAGTGCGATGATATCCACGTAATTTCAGATGTGTACACGTTTACGACACGGTCTATATCTTTATTGTGCGATTGTAGCGACTAGGAAACGATATCTTTGACAACAGTAAAGAAAAGTGCAATCATCAGTGCAACGTGATACACATGCTACATATTCTGGCCGGCTTACACACTGTCAGCTTTTGTGTGATCTTGATTCATAAATCAGACCAATGTGACATCCTGCCATACCCCGCCACTCTTCTCCATCTCATCGACTGCTTCTCCATCCATGATGCCGTGGACGTAAGCATCACCGATCAGCCGGTATCCCCCATTTCCAGTCTCCCGTAGAACGAACGGCACGGTTCCACCAGCAAGTACTGCGATGACGTCGCCTTTCTGACACCCTCGAGGACACCACGCCAATCGGCCTCTTTGAGTAATGACAAAGTCTCTACTGAAATTCAGACAAAATGACATCATGAATTCCATTATGCTTTCGTGGTCCCTGTACGATTCATACGTGTCTTCTTCACTTGCGTCTACTATCCACACCTTTAATTTTTTTAGTCAACTCTAGTATCTCTGTTCCGTCCGGCGTAAGACGATACCAGGTCGGAGTCTTGCTCTCCTTTGATTCCAAAAGCATATGGATGGAGGCAGTGAGGGCGAGCCAGATGTCTACATCTTGGAAACGCGATATTTCTGTTTTATTGGAGTTGTGCAGTCCCAACATCGACAGCAATTCCTGGAGATAAGTGACGGGGTCAAAATCAAAGTGTGAGCCCACGGCGGATGGAACTGGGCCGCTGGGTATTGATGGCTCGCATATGTCAAGGACTTCGTCAACGAAAATGCCCTTCAGTCGGAGACTACCGGGTGCAGAAGCAATGTCGACGGCCCACACGTCCCTGCATGCTTTGTACAAACGCAATACGCGTAATCGGGCCATCCGACTGCTGAATGCCTTGTCTTCGTAGATTGAAGTGTAGTTTGGGACGAACGAGGGCAGGTCCAGTTGTAAGCCTGTTTCTTCTGCAGTGGCGTTGTGGACGACCTCTGTCTCAATACCGATATTCTCTCCTCCAATGCCAACGTGACTCAATATCTCGAGCCAACAAGTCGCCTTAATTATCTGGAATGTGGCGTTCTCAAGCACCATCTCGATTGGCTGTGTATAGTCCACAGTGATTGCGTGCTCGTATCTATCACAGGCAAGGCCGAGCATCCCATAGATCTTGTCGCGTGGATCAGTAGCATTACGTGTGTTTCTGAAATGACTGAGTATGTATACCAGAGAACGAGTCTTGTCTGCACCATCCGTCCTGACCAGCGGCTGAATGAAGCTCAACACTCGGCGGGACTCAGGTGAATTCAGGAATTCTTTGCAACAGCTGGCGTTTGCTACGTGTATACTGTAGTGTAGTATGGCTCGTCGCACAGCTCTGTTATCGATTTGCCGGTGTCCATGCTGGAAGACTGCATGCTGAGATTTCAGCCATTCTTGAACGGTCCACACACGCGACCACCATGGATCGCGGAAGAAGAGCTCGACCGCGTCCAGAACTGCGGGAGACAGGATGCTCTTGCCTTCCACCTCTGCATATGGGCCCAATCCGGGGATGAAATGCAGGGTTTCATCACTACCAAGACATTCTAAATAGTCCATGGCCAGAGAGTACTCTTCACGTATATCTGGGCCCAGCCAGAGTATTGTTTTGGTAGCTCCCGCATAAATTCGACGCATCAGAGGGACCTGATGCGTACGCTCGACCAGATTTCCCTGATCGATGCAAAGTGCATCGATCCACACAATTTTTGCTTGATGAGAATGGCGTAGATGCTTCAGGGCTTGGTACAAGTTCACAGTCACTGTTCGTGGCTGATCATCCACGTAGATGGGAGTGTCCTGATAGTCCTTCCCCCAGACGTAAGAGAGGGCCTCATAATCGAGTCTTTGGTCATCTGTATCATCGACGTCGAATGAGGTTACGCTCAAGCTGCAGCATATAGGCTGGGTCGGAAGCAAGGCTGGCTGAATACAAAGAAGCCTGATCTCTGCTCGAGCAGTGTTCAGAGTTTGATAGGTCGATGCAGGCTTCAATTGACCGGCCGATGTAACCTTTATTTCGCAGTCCTTGTTTTGGTTGGTCAAATGCATCGTTCGAGCTTGGAAGGATGTGTAGGTGGATGTTTCTAACATATCCTGAGATGTGCTGCGTCTGAGGTCCGCCATCGATTACCTAACCGAGTTACATGCATAGGGGCGGTGCTGCTTACCTATCGGTGTCGCTTCTTGTCAATCCTTGCAAATAGGTATTACCATTCCAGATCCTTTCCGATCGCTTGGTAACCTGTCCGATGGTAGGATTTACCTGACTCCAGTGCGCACCAATGATAATTCGAACTGCAGGCCACAACTCTTGTTTGCGCCGAAGTAGTGTCACAAGCAGAGGTGTGAATTTTGAACGCTCGCAATCAGATAACGCTGGGATGCGTATGAGTTTGCATGTGAATAAATGTGTAACCTGGTGCCTTCAAACGCTGCCCGGCAGGAATGATTGACTGAGTAGGGGGGCCCAATGTGGAGGACAACGACGACGAATCCAAGAAGGCCTGCGGGTATGAGTGACAAAGCTGCTTGTGTTTGTATTACTTAGATGTACTATTAATATGAGAAGGTGAGGAGTGCCCCTCTGATGAAGTGGGCACGGTATGCATGGCATCTAGCGCCTTATCTGAACATGTTGAATCGCTCGCTTGCTCCCAACGCCAATTTAATCAGTGTTTCCATCTCGAATCGTTTACTCCTCCTTAGCCCAGATTCGTTCCCGTTCTGGCATGGCCTCTCCCGACTTTTCTCGCTCACCGCTGACCTCTCGTTTCCATGCAAAATACTCCCCGAGCCGGACCTCAGCGTAGTCTGCGTAGTCAAAGTCGATCAGCGAGATTTGTGCCTGGATCAGCGCCCAGATACCCCAGTAGAAGCCCGGCACCCCGCGAAACCTGTCGACCTGCTCAAACAGTTCCTCAACTTCTGCCTCAGTGTGCGATCGATTCAAATGTATGCTGGCGCTGCGGAGGTACTCGCGGAGGAAGGAGCGGCGTACGCTACGTGAAGGTAAGACGTTGTAGTCGCATTCGAAACCACCCCACTCGGCGAAATGGTTTGCAATGTCAAAGGCGGCGGGCGCAGGTGTAGAATATTCGTAGTCGATGAAGGACACTGGTGCCGCCGCCGTCTCAGGCTCCTCTGACCCGTTGGAGGAACTAGAACGACGTGAGTTCGATGCGGACGATGGTGAAAGCTCGATGATCACGTTGCCGGAGAGGAGATCGCAATGAGCGAAGATGAATGGGTTTGAGCCACCAACACCAGGCGTGTCACCCAGCAGGTTGGTCAAGGAAGCGAGTTCGGCAGTAAGTTGCTCTCGGCGTGTCGTTTGCGCGGTGGTGCTTGTTGGGAGCGCATCGATCCATTTCTGCATAGTTGTCCACACGTTCGGAACAGGCTTGCCGGGCGTGAGCTGGGCCATAGCAACCAAGGAAGCACGCTTGTTGCTGGGAGCAAGTTGAGAAGGAGCTGGGCACGTGCTGCTGATACTGGAAATTGGTAATGTGGCATGCCATTCTCCAAGCCTCTGAGCTACTCCACGCCATACATCTGGTCGTCGCAGGTCAGCAGGTGAGCACACGCTGCCTGGAACGAATTTGTAAAGAAGACCGTTCTCAAACCGGGCGTAGAGCGGGGGTGCGAGGCCATGGCGAGCAAGGAGGCAGTGCGACCGTGTCTCTTCTGCGTGCTTGTCAGTCTACATTCCATGCTACGAGTCGTGCGTAGGACTTACTCTCACGGTCTATGAGCACATCAGTGCCCTTGCCATATGCTCGCAGCAGTATCGCATCCTCATCCACCTCTGCTGTCGACAGACCTGGCAGCTTGTTCACCGCCTTCAGCAGCGTATTCGTGATCCCGTCTGTAAACCGCACAAACTCGATTGTATCCTTGGTCTCCCGCCAGTCGGGTCGCAGTGTAAGAATGAGGTGAAGCGCCGAATTGTGCGAGTTTGAGTTGTCGTAATACTCAGCAATACGCGGAAGCGTGTCATATGGCGACTGCGACTTATTCATGGTGCTATTTCTGAGGGTCGTCAGGAAGTGTTTTCAACGATGGCGGTGTGCAAATTAACAAGACAGAGGGAAATTGGCGCCTCGAAGCATGTGACAAATGAGGTGCTAGGTTGTCGTGATAGACACACAATGTCAATTGGAGCACTCACAGCACAGTTGGACTGTCGCAGATATTTCAAATCAGAAAAAAGGCAGTGAAGAGAAAGACAGGAGTACAGCACAGTGCAGACAGAAACACCGCGGCCCTGTCGCGTGGCACCTTCCCCCTGCGCGCGCTACAGCCCCGCACACGAGCCACACCAGACCCTGATTGCGCTACAATCACAGTCTTTTCCCTCGACCTCTGACGTTGTCCCCTCCCGGCCTTGCGCCTTTGTGCAACACCGCCTCGACAAGCCAGTCCATTTGTCCACGCGGCAAGACCGGCTTTGCCACTGCTGTGGCTTGTCATGCGCACTCACACGACCTGCAGAGCGTCGTCACCGCTCGAGCTTCGATTTATGCATGTTGACTTGCCGATTGGCTCGGTAGCCCCTGGCACGTGACAATGAACATTCAAGGTGGACACGGGTAATGACGGCAGTGGCTCTTTCAGATTCGTCCAAGACATTTGCAAGGGTCACATCAACGGACTGTGGGTGATCGCCAACTGTGCCTTGTGGCATACAATTCATCCACCCATATACTACATTACGAAGACAAAACATGCTCCAAACATCCGCCAGAAAGTGCGAGTCTAGGAATAAATGACTCGATGGTATAGAGCGAACGCAACGCTAAGAGGAATGAAGCAGTAGCTAGGGACTGGACTCATTACGCGCGATGAGCCCAGTCAGCAAGCTGGTTCCCAGAGTCCATTGACCCCTGGTTCTTCTCGTGGTGGCTTGTGATTGCCATGCCAGCACCGCTGTGGTGCAGTGAGTGCATCGACATGCCCTCGTCCACGTCATCTTGAACCTTCAGTTCACGGGTGAGCTCAACGTAATCATACGCGAATTCACCGATCTCGACATCATCGATACCGAGGGCCTCCTCTTCTTCTGTAGCGCGCAGGCGGAGCGCAGGCACGAATTTGCCAATGAAGTCAAGTGCACCGAGGATCAGACAGGTACCGACGAATGAGTATGCGCCGCCAGCGAGCGAATCGGCAAGCTGGTAACCGAGTTGCACCCAGTTGTGGTTCAGCCAGCCACCGGGGATGACAGTGTAGCCGTCGAGATGAGCTATGTAATCACTGGGAGCCATTAGTCATGCGTATAGAGCGAGAAGAATAGCAACTTACGCAGCAAAGAAGGCGGTGAGGATGTTGCCGATAAAACCACCAACACCATGGACGGCGAAGATGTCAAGAGCGTCGTCGGCGCGAAGGAAGTACTTCAGCTTAGTTGCGTAGTTGCAAGCAACGCCACCAACAGCACCGAAGACAACTGCTGCCCAAGGAGGTACGTATCCAGAGCCAGGTGTAATCGCGACCAAACCAGCGATCACACCCGAGCAGAAGCCGACTGTCGACCACTTGCGTTCCAGACGGTAGTCGACTAGGCACCATGTAATGCCGCCCACGCAGGCAGCGAGGTTTGTGCACACAGCCGCCATTATGGCGCGCAAGTTCGCAGAAAGCGCCGAACCAGCATTGAAACCGAACCAGCCGACCCACAGGAAGACAGTGCCGATAACAATATGGGTGACGTTGTGGGGACGGTAGTTCAGCTCCTGAGTTCCGTGACCGCTACGCTTACCCAACATGTATGAGTAGGCGAGAGCGGCAGTACCAGAGGCAATATGGACAGGTGTGCCACCAGCGAAGTCAAGGCCGCCCAATTGGAAGACCCAACCAGAAGAGTTCCAGGTCCAGCAGGCAATGGGATCGTAGATAAGAGTTGACCAGACGAACATGTAGATGATGCAAGGAAGCATGCGACCACGTTCTGCTACGGCACCAACAGCAAGGGCAACACTGTGAACATAATTAGTAGGCGTCCAATATGCAACGAGAAAGGAATCAACGTACGTGATAGCAGCAAACATGCCCTGGTAGATGCAGAACATCAGGTCGGGAATTCTCGAACTTCCAATAGACGGAGCACCAAGCACGTCCTTCAATCCGACATTATCAAGGTTACCGATGTACTTTCCCGCTGTGTGCGAGAAAGCCAACGAATAACCCCAAAGAAACCATTGGAAGCTGATAACCGCCGTAGCCATGACACTCAGCCATAGCAAACTGAGGGCGGACTTTCGTCTCGCGAGTCCAGAATAGAAGAAGCTACCACTGCGTCAGCCCAAACGTGCCAAAATCATTGGCGGTGAAACATACCCAACTCCCGGAATCATGAGCAGCACCAACGCCGTAGACGTGAGCATCCAAGCGATATCGCCCGCCTAGTCGCATTAGCCCCACATCCAGCAGTCCCATCACACGATCAACTCACATCGTAAAAGACATTGAGGTTGTACAACCTGCTATCGCCTCCGGTAGCAATGGTCGCATTGTTAAATACCTCCAGGGGCGTAGTGGGGTCCGCGCCAGAGGAAACAGGGTCCATGATGGCGATCCTTTATAGTAGTCGTGACTCTGTTCAGTATGCGGGGGATCCGAGCAGGCGGTTGTGGAGCCAACGAGATGAGGGGCGGAGAGCTGAAAAGTAGTGCACGAGGGCCTACACAATATGTACAAATTACGGGCGTCGAGAGAGAGAACGGAGTGGGTAGACGCGTGCTGAAGGTCTGCGCCGGCTGATCTCCAATCGTGCTGGGATCTCGGAGAAAGTGGCGCGTGCCGGCCGTACAGCGAAAAGCAAAGATGGACAATGCGAACCCGGCTGAATATCAGCGGCTTCAAGAGAATAAGAACGAAAGACTGGTAGATAAGGAACTGCTGACGACGGATCGCGCCTGGGCATGTTAGAAGGGGCGTGATAAGTATATAACTATAACTACAATGGCTCTCGCTCCTGTCATTCCGCCTTCATGCATCTGGCTATGTCCCGCGAAGCTCGGACGCGGTCGAGAGAACAAGCATCGACCCCAGAAGACGCCAGAAGCCACGCGGTGGGGTGTCAGATAGTGAGGGAAGGCAGCCAATGTGCGTTAGTAATGCGGTTGGTATCACGGAGGGCGTGCCGCTAGCCAACTTCGTGGGATGCGCCTTCACAGGGCTCGGAGCTCGCCAAGGGCCACTCAGAGCAGATGTGCTCTAGTACATTTAATTCTAACATTGCCGGAATGAAGGCTGCAGCAGCTCACGCAGGTGCAGACAGAAAATGACAAGCGCGTTGGCAGAGCACAATGCTCGAATTTGGTCAGCCAATGAGGTGCACGAATTCCTTATCTTTCGCCCGCCTCGAATGATGTTCCGAGGCGACATGGGGACAATTGGGACAGGGGTCATATCTCTGGGCGCGCCTCTTTTGGACGACGATCGAAACAGCCTTTGAGTATATGAAAGATGTACTTCAGTCTCGAGCACCCATTGCATCGTTTTGTGAAGATCTTGAACTGCCCAGAGGCTTGGACGTTCCCTTCACCATGGCAAGTACCTAATTCGAGGCGAGCATGATGGCCGACGGCCTTCGCAGAGGCTTATCAGCACCGTCGACATGTTTCAGTCCCCAATACTCCTTTCCGGATGCGAACCTCCAAGCCACCCCGCGGACGGACCGCAACTTCAACGGGCAAGCAAGCGAGCTCATAGGCCCCCCGTTGCTCTCATATGCTCATGCCTTCACCAGGATACGTGCTGCAGGACGAGCGCACGGAGGCGGTGTTAGAAACATCCAAGAAGGTTTGCTTTTTTGGGTCGCCTCCGACATTGTCGAATCTAACGTGCTTACGACCTGAGCACTTGCTTCAGGGGCCCATCAAGCAGGAGATATCTTGCCGTGTCTGCATCCTAAACATCCGCAGCACATTTCGACACCCGATCTTTTGAAATATTGAATCGTAGTGCCTTAGTATCCGGATGGACCGGAAGCGCTGCTTACTGTTGAGCTTTGAATTGAAAGGGCGATCAATTCTGTGATTCACTGCACACAGGCACGTCCAACCAGCCACTTGGTAAGACACAGGGGCTCTATGTCATTAGAGCGCTTCTATGCACTTGAATGGAGCATGTCAATTGTGATTCTGCAGTTCAACCGATAAGCATGGACTGGACCCTACGAGAGTGCCAAGTGGCCTGGGTGCAGCGTGTACCCACGTGTGAAAGATCCTCACGTGTCACGGGCCACTGCACTTGAACTCCTTGAACCAAAAGCCACGGTGAGAGAAGGATATCATGATCACGAGATATGGAAACTTTCTGATATAGGTGTGTGCGCCGCTGAAGCTCATCGAAGGTTCCACACACTCTGCAGTACCGAAATGATAGAGCCTGTGCTCGTGTAATGGTTTGATCCTGTAGCGGCTTTGTCATAGCCATAAGGTCGTCCGATGAAGGACATGCTCCTTTCCGGCTCGATACTTCGGGTGTTCACTCGCCTTCATCTGAATAGCGATGTATCGTGCGCAGATGTTACAGCGTAGCCTGATCCTGGATCCAACGCGATGGAACCAGTGTCTGTACTGTGCTTACACCTGTGAAGATCTCATGAAACGGCATAGCATGAGGCGCAGTGCGCAGGTGCCGTGCCTAAGAGAACCTGAGCTTTGACCCGCGACGAAGGGGGCCAGAGCAATCTAAACGCTGCTTTCCACTCAGGCATTATACATACGACGTATACCATTACGATATCTTCAAGGGTGTAACGGTGTGTTTGATCCTGCAGGTGTGCTTCCTCCAGGGGTAGCAGTGTCAGTCCCAACCTTTCTCTTCTTTTTCTTCTTCTTGGGTATCAGAGCAGGCGGATTAGTCAGTGCGGCGCGTAACGACAGATATGACCCGCAAGTGAGGCATAGATTGTCTGGTAGGTTGGGGTTGCAGAAAACTGCGTACTGTTAGTTGGTAGGTCGGCACAGAGGAACCCGATCACTTACTGCTCAAGCACACACTGCAAACAAAGCCAATATCGACAACGTTCCTGTGGCAAAAGCAAGCTGCTCGGAAGTCGACGCCGCCAGCGCTTGGGACCACCAGGCTTGCACGTGCTGTTACGTCTGGTAGAAATGCCATCATGAGATACTGTAGCAGACCTTCTGGCCGCTCAGGCTTCATATATACGCCGCCTGTTGCATCACTAGCCTGCTGCAATAGGACTGTATCACCAGCTAACTTCAAGATGTCGATTGGGATCTTCTTCCGTTGTGCAGCGAAGATCGAGTTCATGACTGGGATGTATTGGTTGGCGAGATCTCCAGATACCGAGACGATGAGTATGCGAGATGTGAGAGACACACGATCGACGTGAATGTTTTCAGCGTCTGCAAGGGCCGCCATGGCATTCTCGGTACCCGAGGCGACTGGCGCATGTAGAAGGGTGGACTTCGAGATGTATGTGAGGGCGAGTGACAGCGCACCACCAATAAGGGTCGTTGGTGTCGCGGCCAGATGACTCTCGTTTGTCTTATCCAAGAGCTTCGCGAAATTCTGCAAGATAGTACTCTCCACAACGGCAAAGGGTCGGTACTTATTGGGGCTGTCCTGATATGACCCCCCAGCCGCGCTGCCGTTCACATTCGTGTTTCCGTTGGTTTCGCCATTCGGTATGGATCGTGCATCGGATTTCGTTGGGTACAGAAAGCTTGTCTTGTGCGAGTGTGCCGCTATGACAGCTACCTCGTTTGCGTTTCCGGACGCCAAGTGTGCGTTGATGAAGATGAGTATGTTGGCCAGGGCGGCTGAGAGGGAGAGCGTCGATGTTAGATGTGCCCATGCGTGGGGATTTGTATCGAGTACGATCGCGAGCAGAGAGGGAGGTGGCGCTGTTTACAGTCAGCTAAAGAACTGCACGAGGCCTAGGATAGTTCGACCTTCTTCGGTCTTCAAATGACGATCTGAGCCGTCGATGTTATTCATCTTGACCTTTCAAAGATTATCAGCTCGAGGACTTGGACAACGAGCGACTACAGAGTGGTCAGAAGCATGACACCTGGCAATTTATTGCGCCAACGTTTGTGTAGTTGATCTGTTGTTTGAACAGTTGCTGGTGCTTTGTCTGACATGAGGAAGTCGCGACTGAGCTACACTTTCTGGCCGTGCGCGCCTGCATGACGCGCCGGCATGTGGAAACGCATTTCGAATTGAGAGCCATTAAGCTTGATTTCGCATGGATGCCAGTATAGTAGCTTCACGTGCTGATGCTCCCTCGTCTAAAGAAGCTATTTGCAGAACACCAACGTCTCGCTGTGTAAGCGATTCTCACAACGGTGGAAGGTCAGGAGGACCAGTGTACCATCATCTTACTGGAACGTCAAAGCCACATAAGCGCTATGGTATCTCGCAAGCTCGTCTAGACAGTTGCGACGCGACGTTCCGGAGGTGTTCGGTATTTCATAATGGTGGTAGCACTGCACATCTGCTCAGCGTGCAGTTCCGTCAAGTTGTCTCCAGAGATGCTTGCATCGGGACATGGCCAATGACGATCGGCCCTCGGGCCCAGACATCCGAACTTTAGGTTGCTCGTTAGTAAGAGGAGTAGAGTCAGGAGATGTGGTCGATGCGAGATGGATCACTCGTTGCAACCGAGGCATCATCTACGCGTCTCCTCACGGTGGACCCTGAGCGACGTCGATCGCACCGCCGTTAACATGCCTAAGTCTCTCCACCCATCTGACATCAGCAATAGGTACAGTGTCACAGACGTTTGGTCCTGCAGGTTCTCCATAGTTTACTAGACAGTCCGTCGTCCTGCGTTACTGTCCTTACTTCCTTGACTGGATTCTTTGAACCACACTTCACCTCCAAGCGTATCAATTATCTTACTGCAGAGAACGATATGAAATCGGAAACCATCCGCCGTGTCAACGGTTACGAGCACGATGCATACACGTACTATCCGGTCGTGATTATCGGTGCCGGAGCCTCTGGCATTGCCATGGCTTGTCAGCTGAAGCAGCAGCTTGGATTCGACCAGTTCCGTGTATTTGACAGACAAGCAGGAATTGGAGGCACTTGGTGGATCAACAGATATCCTGGAATTGCTTGGTAAGTCTTCAATTATACGATTACAACCAACGACGTCTTCAGCCATCAAGGGGAGGCATTGCTGCTAGCCCTCCAAAGACATTATCGACTGATCATCCACCACGAGTGATCGTTGCTAACCTCCGATAGCGACGTGCCAGCGATGTTCTACTCGTTCTCGTTTGCACAAAATTCTGAGTGGCGCTCGTTCTACCCACCTGGGCGTGAGATCGTGAAATACTACCACGAAGTATGCGAGAATTACCGCATTACTGACAAGATCGAATGCAACACCGACGTCGCAGGCTGCAGATGGCTGGAAGACGAGAAGCTGTGGGAGGTCACACTACGTCGCATGACAGCAGGCATGGGCGACCTCTCGTACAAGGACCGCGCAAAGGTCGTGCAAGAAAAAGGTGAACACGCCGTGTATTCTGAGACGGAGATTGTCAAGTCAAAGATTGTCATCAGCTGTGTGGGTGGTCTTGTCGAACCCAGAGGCTGGCCCGACGAGATTCCTGGCCTAGACAGGTTCAAAGGGAAAGTTTTCCATTCCGCAAGATGGGACGAGACCGTCGACCTGCAGGACAAGAACGTAGTCGTCGTCGGTACGGGGTGCAGTTCTGCGCAAATCGTCCCGAGGCTCCCTCATGCCCCGTACAACGCGAAGTCCGTCACTCAGCTTATGCGATCGCCGCCCTGGGTCGTGCCTTCGGTAACCCCGCCTGGTGGTGATGAATGGTGGGAGAAGAATAGCTCTAAGGTTTTGGGCTCTATTCCTGGGCTAAGAGGATTCCTTCGATTCATGATTTTTCTTGGTGCTGAGGGAAGCTTTCTCAAGCTCTTCCCAAACACTCCGTATGCGGAAAAACACCGCAAGCTCTATGAAGCCAATACTCTAGCGTGGATGAAGAAGACCGTACCTGAAAAGTACCACGAGATTTTGACACCAGACTATGGGGTTGGCTGCAAGAGGAGAATCTTCGATAAGCGCTGGCTGAAGAGCCTCAATGACTCCAAGATCGAGTTGACAACAATGCCACTGACGCGCTTGACAGAGAGCGGCGTCATTCTTGGGCCTGGCGCAACCTACCCTAAGGATGCAAAGAAGGAAGACTACCCTGAGCGAGAAGTCCCTGCTGATGTGGTCGTGCTTGCGAACGGCTTCGACACCACTCGATGGCTGCACCCTATTCGTGTGGCAGGAAAGGAAGGCAAAGACCTGGTCGAGGTCATGGAGGAGCGAGGTGGAGCGCAGGCCTACCAAGGAACAGCAATGGATGGCTTCCCCAACTTCTTCCTTATCTTCGGCCCCAACACAGCAACTGGTCACTCTTCTGTTGTAATGGCCAGCGAGAACATGGTCAACTACAGCTTGAACTTCATCAAGCTTATTCTTAACGGCGAAGCAAGCACTGTGGACGTTAAGAAGGAAGCCGAGATGAGTTATACGAGAGAGCTGCAGGGAGCTCTCAAGAACACTGTTTGGCAAAGCGGCTGCTCATCATGGTACTACACCAAGGACGGCTGGAACTCGACTGTGTATCCATACACTCAGATCGATTTCTGGCGACGATGTGCTTTTCCCAAGTACGGCGACTGGAACATCGCATACACAAGTAGGGGCACGTCGAGAATTAGACGGACAAGAGCATTGCGCCTGCTCAGTATGACCCTCGCCATCGTGGGTGTGTACCGCTGGCGCAAGCATGGGATGGAAGTCAAGGACATCAGAGCGGTATTGTTGAATGCTCTCCAGGGCTTGCTCGCGACTGCAGCACGTGCCTGGGCATTGCTGAAGGACCAGGCGCATCTGTAAGGATATGTATTGAGATATCGTAGTGCGTTCCCACAAGATCTTGGTACTTGAAACATGCCAGTGACATCCACGCCTCATAATCACAGCAACAACCCTACGCACTCTATACGAAGTATGCACAGCGTGTTTCTGGAGTGAGGCGTGTTTCGGAGGCAGTCACGATTCTTACGTGACACCAAACCAGGCTGATCGGACATGATTTGTCGGAAACAGGGGCGGAACGCCTAGCTCACAGCTCCGCATGGGAGGCGAAGGCCTTCATTCACCAGGTTCCCCACTCGCAGCCGACCTCGGGAACTGCTGCACGCATCAGCAGGACCCTGACTTTGACACGACGCTGCACATACCGAGACATCACAGCCAGCACAACACAACGACATCTTGCCCGCGCGCATCGCACGCTGCGCCTATCGACACGATTGACACAAGGTAGTGGATCACCGGACCCACTGCGGAATCAACAGCCGTGCGTCTCAAGGACGTCATTTGAAAAGGGACTTGCCTAGCATTTAGCATTTGCCCTGCACGACCACAATCATGCCGGAAGCCACACGCAGACTGTTATACCAACTAAACAGACGCTGGGTCTTTGGCAAGATAGTGAGCAGCTTCCCTTCCCTTCCCTTGTCGCCCGTGATGTTCAGCTGTCCTCGCGCGTACGCCTCTGCGCATTCTTGCCCTTATCGCTCGTCTTCGCCAACTGCTAATAATCCCCCGTAGCCGCTCCTGCACTCGATCGTCTTCCTCGTCCAGATCATGGCTGTCTCGCTCATTGCCCGCAAGTACAACAGCTACTATGCGCAGCGCCCGGTGCTTACCACCATGATCACCAACGCGGTATGTGTCCTCAGCCAGCACCGCTTGCAGACCGCATCGTGCACCCTATATAACCATATACATCGTGCAAAGCCTGATACTCTCGTAGATTCTGGGTGGTATCGCAGATACGGTAGCCCAAACCTTGACTGCTGTCCGTGAACGCGCCAATCGCAAAGGCGGCGCCGGCAAGGACGACTTCCTCGCGATCGAGATCCATGATCTCGACCGCCGCAATCCGTGGCCCGATCACGACATCATTCCAGACTCCAAGAAGCTGCCGCCTCCCTTCGACTTCGAGCGCACGATTCGCTTCATGTCCTACGGTTTCCTTATGTCACCTATCCAACACCGCTGGTTCGGCTTCCTGTCCAAGACATTCCCTATCACAAAGATCGGCAGTCCGTGGGTCCCAGCGCTCAAGCGTGTTGCGTTCGATCAATTCCTGTTCGCCCCGGCCGGTCTTGCAGCCTTCTTCACATACATGACCATCGCCGAGGGCGGTGGAAAGCGCGCGGTGCAGCGCAAGTTCCAGGATGTGTACGTCCCTGCGCTGAAGGCCAACTTCCTGATTTGGCCTACTGTGCAGATCATCAACTTCAGGGTCATGCCCATCCAGTTCCAGATTGTACGCTCTATGCCCCTTTCTCGCAATCTTCGCTAACGCTTCTATAGCCCTTTGTTTCCACCGTTGGTATCGCCTGGACTGCGTACCTCTCGCTCACCAACTCTGCCGAGGAGGCGTAAACGGATCCTCCATCGAACGGCTTCCTTGTATATGTATCCCTGGTTCGCATACGGTCGGGTCATGGTTGCGGCATTGTGGGATACCCCTGAACTTCTGCTCTGAGCGCTTCTGCATAGGAATGGTTGGGTCAAAACTGTTTGGCGTTGACGGCATTTTATGCGGCGTTCTGTCTATTCGCTCCTCGGAGATGCTTACTCGTATGCTCCCAGGTCTTTGTTGCTAGAGCGCAATCACATCACATTAAGAACACTCGGCATCGCAATTGTCATGCTAAAATAGAATTGAACAGAATAGCTTGAGCGCACAAGCTTAAGTTTTGTGGTGGTCGTTGTTTGACATGTGCCTAATTCCCACATATCGACAGTGATATCATGAGACACTATTGCCGTGTTCATGTAAGTCACTTCGAGTCACATTGCTGTGACGGCGACAGTGGAATTTTCGTCCGATACGTGGGTTTCACTGACACAATCCCGGGGGAGACGAGCAATAATTAGCGCTTCTAGGAGGTCTGTAAGACTCGCTGTTTCCTCAAGCACCGTTTGCTGTTCACAATCGCGCAGCTCGCCACTTCACCTCACCCCACGCCTCAGCCTCACCCCTAACAAATCTCTACAAAGCCGCCCATCCCCAAAGTTCACATCCACAACCATGCCATACACTGTGACAGATGGGCTACCCCAAGAAGACCTTGCTAAAGCTGAAGAAATCGCAACCAACATAGTACCAACCCCCACCCACCCAGCAACACCTCTCACTAACCCACCCCAGATCTCACACATGCAAGGCCAAGTCGCCGAGCAGACGGGCGTAGGCGTCCAGCAGCCCTACGCGTGCGGTAGATTCGACGTCGAGCATTCCAAGGACGGGTGCATGTTCGTCGCGCAGCTGATGTTCTATCCTTCGTCAACGGACGGTGGCGGGAGTGCTAAGCCGAGGGTGCTGGAGAAGGGGAAGAGCGAGGTGGATGTCGTGGATGCGTTGAAGGTGCTGAGGCATTTTGTCGATCCGACAAGGTTGGAGTATCTGTTTGCGTGAGAGGTGGTGACAGCATGTGCTTGGGCTGAGTGGCTTCAAAGTTCTTATTCAAAAGCCCTACTCTTTCGCCGGTGTACAATATAGTCAGATGGTTTGTTTTCTGGTCTGTCTTATCTCGTTTGGTTGACGCTTCTGAGGCTTCAGTGGCTCCATCCTTCTTCATTTACATAGCGAATATGCAATGAGTTGGTATGTACTACAGGGCCGTTGATACTCATAATACAGCAACGAGATAACGAGGTAAGTAGCCCATTAATCTCGGCCACTTCATATGATGATGGTTACGAATAAGGTAAGAGCAAAAAAGCCTCTGCTGTGAAACTGGGCAAGCAACAGTCAGGGATCAGCAATGAGGATCGTGCAGAGCCTCATACGGGTCCACACGGGCCCAGAACTTGCTCACAGGTGATGAGCAGAAAGTCACATTTTCTCGGCCGCGGGAATGCTGTTTTGGCCAAGCTACTCGCCGGTTTCGTAAATCTTGAGAGCCCCTCATCAGGTAGGGCCGTCACCCCACTAAACGTCACTAGCTCTCAGAGGGGTCGCGCTCAACAACAAATACTCAGCCTGAGCCCGCAGGTTAAGCTTCCTACACTTCACCTGTCAAATTGTGAGTATTTCTCAAGTCTTCGGTGTTCGAGGACTGCTTTCAGTTGTTCCCGCTCGTTCAATCGATACTTCAAAGCTATAGAACAGCTTCGCTGACCTCGCCGCGATCACAGTACTCACATAACAACCATGTCTCTCTCCAACAAGCTCTCTATCGCCGATGTCGACCTCAAGGGCAAGCGCGTCTTGATCCGTGTAAGTAGAAGCCAGCTCTGAAGCTCAATGCCAGCGCAGTCACTAACGGAGAGCTATGCAGGTCGACTTCAACGTCCCGCTCGACTCGGACAAGAACATCACCAACAACCAGCGCATTGTCGGTGCTCTCCCCACCATCAAGCATGCCATTGAGAACGGCGCCAAGGCCGTCATTCTCATGTCCCACCTCGGCCGCCCGGATGGCAAGCCGAACGCAAAGTACAGTCTCAAGCCGGTTGTTTCCGAGCTCGAGAAGCTGCTCGGTAAGAGCGTGACCTTCACGGACGACTGTGTCGGCAAGCAGGTTGAGGAGACCGTCAACGGCGCCAAGGACGGCCAGGTCATTCTTCTCGAGAACCTGCGCTTCCACGCTGAGGAGGAGGGCAGCTACAAGGATGAGGAGGGCAAGAAGCAGAAGGTCGACAAGGCTAAGGTTGAGGAGTTCCGCAAGGGACTCACTGCTCTTGGTGATGTCTACATCAGTGAGTGCTGCCGCGCCATATGACTATGGAGTTTCTTTGCTAATAGTCCACAGACGATGCTTTCGGTACTGCACACCGTGCTCACAGCTCCATGGTCGGCGTCGACCTGCCCCAGAAGGCATCCGGCTTCCTCGTCAAGAAGGAGCTCGACTACTTCGCCAAGGCCCTCGAGGAGCCCAAGAGGCCCTTCCTCGCCATCCTTGGTGGCGCCAAGGTCTCTGACAAGATCCAGCTCATTGACAACCTGCTCGGCAAGGTCGACAGCCTGATCATCTGCGGTGGTATGTCTTTCACATTCAAGAAGACCCTCGAGGGCGTCAAGATTGGTGACTCCCTGTTCGACGAGGCCGGCAGCAAGACTGTCAAGGACCTTGTTGAGAAGGCCAAGAAGAACAACGTCAAGATTGTCCTGCCCGTTGACTACATCACCGCCGACAAGTTCGACAAGGATGCCAACACAGGGTACGCTGAGGACAAGGATGGCATTCCCGATGGCTGGATGGGTCTTGACTGCGGAGAGAAGTCGATCAAGCTCTACAAGGAGGCTATCGGCGAGGCTCAGACCATTCTGTGGAACGGCCCCGCCGGTGTCTTCGAGTTCGAGAAGTTCGCTGCTGGCACAAAGGCCACACTCGACGCCGCCGTCGAGGCCGCACAGAGCGGCAAGATTGTCATCATTGGTGGAGGTGACACAGCCACAGTTGCCGCCAAGTACGGCGTAGAGGACAAGCTGTCCCACGTCTCGACTGGTGGTGGTGCGTCGCTCGAGCTGCTCGAGGGCAAGGACCTGCCCGGTGTTTCTGCTCTGTCAAGTAAGTAAGCCACTTGCTGCAGGGAAACCAAGGCTCAAAATCGGAAGGTATATCCCCGAAGTTATGATTGATGTAGTTTAATTTATTTCCATCTCGAGACAAGCTCATTGTCCGTCGTTGACTTCTGGTTCATGACCTATGATTATGATGCTCGTGATGCCACAGATTCACTCTGCGCAAACATGATGATCATCCGTTGTCCCACAGCACTTCGCGCGCTCTTTGCACGGCCCGCGGGCTATCGTTTGTCTTGCCGTCGTGTTTGAACGCTTCATTTGCCCAGCTTCTTCAACTCATCCCTGTCAAACATTAGCCCTCGCCTCCCAAAAAGCAGCCATCAGCCCTCAAACTCACCTCAGCTGGTTAGCAAAGTCCTCGGTGGTGTCATCATCGTCCCAGCTCTCCTCCCACAGATGTGTCTTGTCGCCGTGGGTCTGTGTCTCGTCCTCGCCCCAATCTGTACCTAGTCAGCTGCCGCTCTCCTCAAGCTTCCGCTTCTCGGTGCTTCTTACCCTCGACCGGGAAGTCCTCGAACTCGTCGTCTTCCTCAAGCTGAGGCGCTGGCTTGGCGGCGGCGGCCGGTTGCCCGTTCGGTGCGTCGCTGGCGGCGGCTTTTGTTGTGGAAGCTCCGGCTTGTGGTGCGCCAGACATATTTGCGTGTGTGGGGGTTGAATGTGCGGTTGGTGGTGGGGGTGGGTGCGGGCGAGGTTGTTCGGCGGACGTCGGTGCTGTGAGACGGCGATGTTGAATGATGCGGCTCCAACGCGCCCACTGGCGCGAGTCACGTGCGCGGGGGTTGCTCACTGGTCGCCCGGCAGCGCGTGCTGCTTTGACCGCCGATCAGTGCAAGCATTCGCTGACGTGTGGATTTCGCCTTGTTGCCGTTGTGAAACTGTTCGCGGTGCCCATGGCTTCGCTTTGGCCGCGGGATTATCCATCCATGACGAGCGTCATCGGCTGCCGCGAGTTCTACTTAGCTCGGTGACAGTCAGCTTCATCCGTCAGCTCCGCTTTCTCCATAGGCGGCGCATTTACGCTCGCTATCTTTAGTCCCGCTCCGCCTTGACCGGAGTTTTGAATACAATCGAGTGCTTTAACTTCCGCTCCACTTTCCTTCCTTTCCTTCCTTTCCTTCTTGCGTGCTTCACCTTTGTGTAGTAGCATATTTGTCCGCACACTGAGTAGTCAGTATGGTTCTCGGATGGCTCGGTGGCAAGGGCAAGGTGGCGCCTACCCATAGCAGAAGCTTGACGGCGATTGATGAGCTTGCTCAAAGTGCGTACGGCGAACGATTTTGGCAGACTGACACTGACATAAGACAGTTCAAGATGCCATGAGCGGTACGATAGCCGCAATTTAAGACCATGAACATAGACTGATGGCACGCGAGCAGCTGTCACCCACATCATGGCCGATGACATCGACAGCGCAAAGGAGCATCTTCAAAAAGGGCACTCGCCATTTCACCAGGTGTGCAATATCCACGAGGTGTTACTTGTGCATAGATGTGGAAACTCACAGAGTCATAGCTGGGAGTTGGTGTTTGCATGTTCATGCGAGCAACGTTGGGCTTCGAGCAAGATGTTATGCGTGAAGGTCTGAATGTCAAAGCTGGGGAACCGGGAAGCATTTGTGCTGACATGGTGTAGCCAACGACATGCTTTACGCTGCAGAGAACGGCGCATACGACAGCCAGCGACGAGTCGCCAAAGACGTAAACGCATTCCGTTCGAGCATCTACCCGCCAGGAACCGAATATGCGGTATGCCAGGCGGAGGCACAGTTGATGAGCGCTGTTGTCGGCGTGTTGAACGAAAGCTTGACCGAAGCCTTGAAAAGTTTCTATAAGCTGCGGAAGGCGTACATAACCTTGGAGTCAGTGATGGAGGCGGAACGGACGTTTCTGCGTACAAAGAGTACAAGCAGTCTGAATTCTTCGGCGACGTCTCGCGCATCGTCGAAGCCAGCGTCAATTCGATCTACGGGGGGCAGCACCTTGAAGAAGCCGTTGTCGAAGACTGGCTCGCTTCGCAAGTCTGCCAATTCGTCGACCACAAGTTTGAAGAAGACTGAAATACCAGCCGTACCAGCGGATGCGAAGAAGAAGACTGGCGATAGCGATGACGATTTAGCTTTCGTCGACGCTGAGCAAGAGCGAGGTGCTCAGACTCCTCTGGAATACACTGGCCATCTCAACCTACCCGTTCAGGAGGGATCGATTGCTCTGGACAGCACGCAAAAAGATGTGAACATCAATGCCAGCACCGCACCAGGTCTCCCTACTGGCAATCCACAAGACACGTCTGTCCCTGATGTAATTGCCGATTTCGAGAACTTGGTGTTGAAGGCCGACAATGGGCAAGCCAGTGTATCCGAGTTCACTGATCACCCGATAGACGAGTTTATTATCTCCGGAGCTAGCTTCTGCTTTGGTATGTTGCTGGTCATCTTATCCATGGTTCCACCAGCCTTCGCATCTGTGCTCAAGGTCATCGGCTTCAAGGGCGACAAAGATCGTGGTCTGCGAATGCTCTGGCAGGCGACGAAGTTCAACAACATCCACGGTGCCATGGCCGGTGTCGTTCTGATGGGATACTTCAACGGCTTCGTTGGCTTTTGCGACATCATTCCACAGACCGGCGAGGGTGCGTACCCTGAAAGGAGATGCAAGGCGCTCATGGCGGAGATGAGGAGAAGATATCCTAAGAGTCATCTGTGGCTGCTTGAGGAGGCTCGCATGATGTCGAGAGAAAAGCAGCTGGAAACTTCTGTCGAGTACTTGGAACACCTTGCCGTATCGCCGTTCAAGCAGCTTGAGGCACTGAGCTGGTTCGAGCGAGCCCTGGATCTCATGTACTTGCATGACTACACCAAGACCAGTACAGCTTTCCAGACCTGTATCACGCTCAACAACTGGAGTCACGGACTGTACCATTACATCTGCGGAGCTTCCTATGTTGAGCTATACCGACGCGCCAAGGTCACAGATCCGGATGCTGCAAAGACCTACGCAAACAAGGCGAACGAGTTCTTCAAGCAGGTCATTCCTAACATTGGCAAGAAAAAGTTCATGGGTCGCCAGCTACCCTTCGACACCTTTGTTCACCGCAAGATCTCGAGGTGGGAGGCACGAGCAAAGGAGTGGAACTGCGACTTCATAGACGCCATCGGTGTTTCGCCCATCGAAGAAATGATCTACTTCTGGAATGGGTACAAGCGCATGCGCCCAGAGCATCTGCAGCACTCGCTTGAAAATCTCGCGTGGAGCGAATCGTCAGCAAACCCGCATTGGGCGAAGGAAGACCTGAACGAGAAAGCCATTCTTTCCACGCTCCGCGCCGTCACATTGCGATCTCTTGGTCAGACGGCCGAAGCCAAGGAGATGTTGCAGAAGGAGGTCATCAGTCATGACGCCACTGCGTTTGCGGGTACTTTGAAGGACGACTGGATGCCGCCAGTCGCGCGGTACGAGATGGCGGCGTGCATGTGGCAAGAGGCCGATGCCGATGGCAACCCGCAGGCACACCAGGATGAGTTGAATCAGTGCAAGACCTGGCTCGAGGCTGCAGGAAGCTGGGGCAGCTATGCTCTAGATGCAAGGTAAGGTTCGCTTATTTTTGTATCATGCAAAAACTGACAGAAAACAACAGAATCGGCATGAAAATCACAACAGGCAAGGGGACGTTGAGGAGATACGGCATCCAGATTTGAGCATAGCGTTCAACAATACATCATCATGGTGGATGCAATTGGTTGGATAGGAACATGCTCACTGCAAAACGAAGCAATGGAAGAACACGAACTAGAAGAAACCCAAAGTACAAAGGAAATAAAGCCGATTTTGAAGACTTCACAGCGCGGCTACACCATGCTGAAAACATCAAACTTTCGTCTACAGCCTACACAGCCTACACACTATACTTCCTATCATCTTCTTGCTTCCCTGTCTCCTTATACTTCTTAACGTCAACCCATTCCCCATCCCCATTCCCCTTCCCCTCCCCCTCCGCCTCACTGTCACACCCCGCATACACCTTGCCCTTCTTCTTCACCAACCACAGACCCATAGTCCTCTTGCTCTTCAGCGCCTGCTCCCTGGCCCTTCTTATCCCATCACTCTCACACGACTCATCCCACATCGGGAACGTCTCGCGCACAATCGGCACCTCTTTGCGCACCACCGGCTGCGGGGGCGGCGCGGCGACACGGAGCTTGTCCACCCAGGAGGCGGGCGCGCGGTTTGCGGTGATGCGTGATTCATCGGCGGCGATGCGCGACGGGAAGTGCCACATTGTGAAGTCTGTGGTGCTGCGCTCGCTGCGGTGGTGGATTACGCCGGGTGTGGTGTCGTTGTTACGGAGGATGGCTGGGAGCGGGGCGCGGCGGTACGATCTGTGGATGGGGAGGGGGGGCGAGACGGTATGGGGCGGCTGGGGCGCCATTGTGTAAGTGGTGTGGGAGGATGTCGTGGGTGCTGGAGGCAGTTTGTTAGTTTTGTGAGAGTGTTTACTGGTGGCTGGAAGCTCTTGATAGACGGTGTGGTAAAGTGTGTCAAGAAGCAGTAGGGGCTTGAGGGGTACATACTGGTGGTGTTTGAGGGCGGGAAGTTTTCAGTAGACTGTGTGGTATGGTGGTATTGTGGTATTGTGGGTGCTGGTGCGAGACCGGTATGTGTGGAGTGAGTCGAGTGACTTTGAAGGATAGAATAGAAGCCGCTGGGGTTTTATAATGTGTACAACAATTCAGTAGAGCTTGTAACATGGTTCACGAATTTGAGAAACAGAGATGAGGTGCCAATATAATTTTTGAACTGTGGTTGAGGGCTGCGAGGGTCATATGTCAACCATGGATGACCTTATCATGACTAACAACGAATCCGCTTCAAACATCCCTTCGCTCGATAGCAGCGTTCTTTTGGTCGGGGTTGACCGTGTATTCCTCGTGCTCGATCTGCCTCTTCTCGAGTTGGGCTCCACCATCGACGTGGTTCGCTCCACCGAACATGGCATCCATCTCCTCGAGGGCAACCTGCTTGGTCTCCGGGAGGAAGAACCAAACAAAGGCAGCCAACAGGATGTTGATTCCAGCGAACATGTAGAAGGCGTAGAAGCCCTCGTTCTGAAGGAAGAGTGGGAAGAACTGCTGGACGATCGAGTTGGCAACGTTCTGGGTCTGCGAGCACATGCCGACGGCCTGGGCGCGCACGTTCATAGAGAAAATCTCGGCGGTGTAGATCCAGACGGTAGCACCCCATGAAGGCTTGTCTGTTGATGTATTAGTAAGGGCTTCAGTGGAATCGGACATGTGATGACTTACAGAAGAAAGCGAACAGGAACATGAGGAAGACAATCGCAATACCGACGGGTTGCGACTTAGCTCCATCGTAGGAAGGTGTCTGGGTCTCGACCGAGGCGGCGATGACCATGCAAACACCCATACCGATACCACCGACAATGAACAAGAACTTGCGGCCGAAGCGGTCAACAGTCCAGGTAGCGTTGAGGGTGAAGATGATTCCGAATGTGGCATTGAGAGCGTTGATGAGAGCGATAGTGTCGGCGGCCTTGAAGACCTTCTTGTAGATGATGGTGGAGTAAGAGTTGAGAGTACCCTGTCCAGTAATCTGCTGACCGGCGTTGATGATCATAGCAAGGTACATGCGCTTGCGGACAGACTTGTCCTTCCAGAGAGCAGAGTAGCCGCTGGAGATGGCCTCAGACTCGAACTCAATAGCCTCGCGGATGGTGACGATCTCGTCATCGACCTCCTGCTCGGTGTCGCGCACACGCATCAGAGACGCCTTAGCACCCTCGTAGTTCTTGTTCTTCTGGATGTGCCAGCGGGGCGACTCGGGGATGAAGAAGACCTGAGACAGGATGATGATGGGCATAAGGATCTGGAATATGACAACCTGCAATGCGTTAGCGTTGGTACGTTTGTTGTCAGGAGCTACTTACCATGCGCCAGTCCCATTCACCGAGCTTCTTGGGGTGCTTGGAGCACGCGAAGTTGACCCAGTACGCGATGAAGGATCCGACAGAGTAGAACATCTGCCAGAACGACATGATCATACCACGAATCTCAGGAGGTGCGAGTTCACCGATGTAGATAGGACCAGCAGCTAGAAGGGTATTAGGTTGAGATACCATAGTCAATGAATCGAAACTTACTCAGTGCAAGACCTTGACCCAGACCGATGATGACACGACCAGCAATGAAGACACCGATGTTGCCACGGGGCGCGAAAGCTTGCATGAAAGTAGCGATGATGACGAGAACAGATCCAGTGGCCATGCCAACACGACGGCCGGCGTAATCAGCAAGAGGACCACCGATGAAGAAACCAGCTACAACAGCTCCGACAGTGTAGGCAGTGTTGATAGCTCCGATGGTGTTGGCATTGGGGTGGTTGAAGTAGGCGACCCAGTTCTTGGACCCTTGGACAGCGTTGAAGACTGAAGCATCGTATCCGTAGAGCACCATGCAGGATGCTGCGACAAGAGATACATACCTGGTGAATGTTAGACTCAACGTCTAAAGAGGAGTAGTGCTCGTAGCTTACCAGTTGTATGCTCTCTTGGAGGACACCATGGTTGCGGTTGTTGTCCTGATATGGAAGGGTTCGAAGTGATGACTCTTGTCAAGGTAGCTGTCGACGAGAACTCCGCAAAGGTCACAGCGAGGGTTCGTGGTGTCAGGGAGGTGGACAGTCTCTATGCAATATATACAACACTGCAGCACGGAACATGCTGCAGCCGCCCCATGTCAACCCCATAAACTGAGTACGCCTTCACCGTGTACTAAGGCCCTGACGCCCCCAGCATTGTACCACGAATCACAGTGCCAATGCTGCCACAAAAGCTTGCCCTAGAGGCCCCTTAGCCACAGGACCCGTACCGAGTGAATCTGGGGCCCCATCCTATGCTCTTCTTATCAGCCAATACTCCACATATCGGAAGGAAATCCTGTTGTTTGTTCTTCCACGAATGAGACTCTGGGCTAGGGGCCTGGGAAGCGGTAGCTGCAGGCATGTCCTGTGCTGATGTAACTCCGAAGCGACGTCTAGTATAGCGGCTAACCGAAAAATGGCTAGAGAGTACGGAAAAGTGTCCCCGATGGAGCAGTAATTCCACTCTGCCGCTCCCACACAAGCCTTGCCAGGTCCTGGAAGCAGTGGAAGAAAGCTTTTGGCGGATGTCTGGGCCTCTTGTTTCCAGTTCTCAACGCCACGAAACCTCTCGTCTTCGTTGGCATGAAGACATATTTTGCCGTGTGCTTCTCGCCGTACGCGACATTCTCTAGCCACAGACCATCTACTGGAAGGGTGAACCTTGGACACGATGTAGGAGCACTCCAAAAGTGGAGCCTCCCGGTAAACTGGGGCGTTGAGGCGTTGATATCGTGGAGAGAGGCCTCGTGCGCCAATCCCTCAACGTGTTGGACAAGCCGGGCACCGGCACTAGATGAGCACATGCTGATGCACACAACCGAAGACTGCAACGCGGCGGAACAACTGACAACCACTGGGAAAGTACCAGTACCGAATGGTCGACGACACGCGCCGAATGCCGAAATGAACCTTCCGGGGGAGGCTCACCTGCATGAACTGCGAATTACACTCATCTAAACAACAATCCGCATCAATGGAGCCTTTATCAGTGACATTCGGCCATAATGACGTTCGGTCATAACGACATGCGGCCGCTTCCTGCGCACAGGTGAGGTCCACCGACGAGGTCCACAGATGAGGTCCACACGCACCTCTTGTCAAAGCTTACTCTCCATGATCACGTGACGCTCCGCCCCGCAGGCCGGGCTTTTCCTTCGAGACCCCTCAGAGAATCTCACCGCCCGCCACCGACTAGCCCCATCCACGCCGCTGCAAAATAATCGCCCTTGACCCAAACGCCAAAGCCGACGCGCCCAGCACATATCCAAGATGCCTTCAGGACAGGGAGGTGAGTTCGCCGCACATAGCTGCTGCCGTTGCAACGCACTGCGTTGCAAGCCACTGCGAGTCCGAGTGTGGGCTGACATCAGGCAGCGGGTACAAACCCCATCCACAACAAGAAGCCCAAGAAGAAGCCCGCCGCGGAGCTCGACGACGAGGACGTTGCGTTCAAGGCCAAGCAGCAAGCCGGTGCGTCCACGATCTCTATCCTGTGCCCCGCTGTCACACGTGCGGCTCAGCCTTGCGGGCTGCGAGACTGCAACAAAGAATCGAATGTGAGGGACGTGTGCTGACTGCGAGACAGACAAGAAGGCGCGCGAGGACATGGCCAAGAAGGCTGGCGGCAAGGGCCCCATGAACACCGGGCAGCAGGGCATCAAGAAGTCGGGCAAGAAATAAGCGCGCCGTCCTGCGTTGATGAGATACCAAGGGATGAGAGTTGGAGTAGGGGTTTCTGAGCACACACCGAGCGTATAGACAGTCACGAATGCACGGGCAACGATCATACGGCCAAATCTCTTGTCTACTGTGGTATGTGTGAGGCAGTGTTACTTACATTAGGGATGAGAAGGGCGAGCATGGGAGACTACGCGATTATTACATGCTGCCCAGGGTATGCGAGCGTCTTCTTGTTGGCGCTGTATGCTTTCAGGCTCTTCAGCTTGAACAGCTGCTCTGCGTTCTTCCACGCCAGACAGTCCCACTCTTCGTCCGTTAAGAACTCGCTTTCTTTTAGCTCCGTCATCAGCTCCCGACCTCGCTCTTCAAGCGGATAGTTGCTTGCGTAGAGTACCCGGTCCATGGGGATCTGCTCCAATAGCGTGCGCATGCTTGACAGGTCCAGGACGTCGACTGTCGTGAGGTAGATGTTGTGCTGCCAGACGTCGAGGAAGCTGCGTTTCGGCTTGTCGTCGGTAGGAAAGCTATCAAGGACTGTCTCGATGCGCAGGAGCAGTGAAGGTAGTGTGCCTGGATGCGCGATCACTAGTCGCAGGTGCGGATACCGATCGAAGACGCCGTTGAAGTAGAGGCGTAGAACGAGCATGGGCGATGCAGCGTGCGAGTTGTGCAAGTTCATGACGAGCGGAGCAACGACGCTGGCAGGCAGGTCGTGCGTATACTCTGCGATCTGCACACGTCAACTCCACGTCGTCGACTACGAGATACCTCCTCCCACGGCAGATTCGCGACGAACCTGATTTCCACTCGGCCACCCTTCTCGCAACATAATCGGCGCCTCAAGTCTCTGCGCCATGGCCCACACCTCGTCGTACCCTGCGTCCTCCAGCCCACTACCGGCTGCGACAACACCGCCCACGAATTTCGACTTGACGACACACCTCTGCAGTTCTCGCGCTGCATCTGCCCCCTCGCCATGTCCGCTAGATAGCAGTGCCAGCGGCACTATCTTGTCGTCCTGTATCCGTGTGCCAACATCCAGCGCATCGTTGAGTCTCATACACGTCTGCAGTGTAGCTGCGACAGGGATATGCGAGATCACCTGTGTGGAGTGGCCGAGGGTGCGCATGTTTCGGATGCGAGGGCGACCGAGGTTATTCAATTTGACAACGGTAGATTGTGATAAGAGCTCGAGCGCTGGCAGGGACGGTGAAGATGGAATCTTGAGGGCTGGTGAGAGGAAGGACTCGACGCATGCGATGAGAGGGAAGGGTGCAGCTGGCTGGTTGCTCATTTCAGTTGTGACTCTAGGTGATGATAAGAATAAGTTTAACCGAGGGGGAGAAGACTTGTGCAGGATGCTCGTCGGAGTCTGAAGTGCGAACGCTGTAGGCATCAACGTGTGAGGTGTATATTCGCCATGGCGTGGTCAACATGTGCAGCTGGAGGCAGAGGGAAGGCGCGAACTGAGCAAGGTAAGAACAAGGTACAGCAAGCATTGTGCCTTGTATGAAACGATTGAATTCGCAGTATGTATGTCATGAAAGTTGATAAACCCTCGTTGCACATCTACTCCAGATTACCGCTCTGTCGAACAAAAGATCAAGCCGTATTTGCTCGTCAGTGTTCCTCCTCTTCTTGCGCCATGATGCTTCGTCGCGCCAGCGATACCAGCGCGGCAGCAAAGTGTGGCGCATGCTCAGTAGTAACGTCAACGGACCCTAACAGGTCCTAATAAGAATGTGCGAAACTCTTCCAACGCTTGGTCAAGTAATCGCGAATTGAAGTTGCTCGCTGGCATAGTGTCGTAACTGTCATAAAAGTCGTAACATGTGGCGCAGTTGATGCGCCTCAGCCTTCCCCTGCTCAGCTTACGCGACGGACCTTCTTGCTTCCAAGCGTGAAGGCACGACGTCTGATCGAGCCTAGATGACTCTCGTGCTGGGTGGGGCTTGTTGGGCTTTGGGTACTTTCGCTCCCGGAACGGGCGTTGCTGTTGGAGGACTCGGAGGATTGGGACGAGGACCTCTTACGCCCTTCCTCAGCAAGAATGTCGTCCAGGCTGACGTTGAGGTGCGGGTGTGTGATTGGGACCTCTTCAAGGTTCTCGACGAATTTGGAGGCCATTGCCGGGGAAGTTTGTTGGTAAAAGATGAAGTGGCGATAGTAAGAGTGTCGTGGTGATTTGGGAGGTATCTTGGTAATTCGAGGATTATAGTAAAGTTGACAAGCAAGGGACTTGATGTACTTTAACTATGTCACTGTAGCGTTGTGGTAGGATGCTTTCAGGGGTAATGTAGTGCAGTGGTCCAGACTCCGTGGAGTTGCGTGAAGGCAATAAGGTGCAGTAGTACAAGACTATAAGGCTTGCAACGGTATGAAGGGTTCGAGCGAACGACTGATGGAGCGAACGGATGTAGCTTTATTGGAATTCACCAAAAACAAAGCTTCGCACGACCGGGGCGGCGCAGACTTTTTAAAGTTGCCTGGCACGCGGCATGCTCAGACACAGAACATGCGGACGCAATGTGCAGACGCTTGAACCGGGTATCCGAGCGCGGATCGCTCAGGTCTCGATGCCTAACGGGTTAAGCTAAGTGCAGGGATGACGACGGCGGGGTCCTTTGAAGGGCCCAGACGACCTGCATTGCCGGAAACGTTGCAGCAGCGATTCGTGCGGACCCTGCCGCGGCACACGTTGAGTGCCCGAAATAGCTGCGAACACATGTCCGAGACTGTTGTGCTCAGTCTTCTTCGCCTCCAGGGCGTTCTGCGGACGTCCGCATAGTCGGAGACCGAGCCCAACGCAGTAGCCCGTTACGCAAAGGGCTTGGATAGACGTGATCACCCGTTCGGCTGCCAACGGGTGGATGAATTGCAAAGCACACGCGCAAGCCTGTCGCCACCATCTGGTGAGTCAACCCCAGGGCGGTGGTGGCACATGTACAGGATCAGCGCGATCAACGCCTTCTCCGCAAAAACACCAATGCTCGTTTGCCTTTGCTTTATCAGAGTGCAGATTCCATATCTAATGCGTTCCACACCGTTCCCCGCACTCACGCATGGTGTTTGATTCGCTCTTTCTCACAGTTGCCGCTGGCTACGAGGTCAGTCTCGTGTTCGACAGCCATGACGTAAGTCACTTCACAGCCTCCACACATCTTGGCCGTTCCAATATTGAAGTCTCGGTCTAAAAGTTGCGGTCTGCCGGCGTCCATTGCCAGCAACTGAATGAGCGCCAAATCTGCGATAAGCGACCGAGGCTGGGCGTGCGATTACGGTTGTCGCCCATACCTTGCAGCATCGTGGCCGGCAGCAAGCCGAGAAATGATATCATCGTCAGGGCCTTAATCCTTCGCGCAGACCCTGAACCCACAAAAGTAAACTCAAACAGCGCCTTCCGTCATGTCAAGATGCAGCGGGACGATAAAACTCGAGCTGTGGGGTCGCTACCGCGCACTAGCCACGTACGCTGCGCAAGGCTCGGTTTTCTGTCTGAGACGTGAACGCAAATGGAGTCCCAAGAGGATGTGTAGCAAGGTTTGTAAGATTGAGTCGCTGTCAGCGTTCGAGCCCGTTACCAGCGGCCGCGACCGCGCCCTCTTCCACCGTGACCACGACCGCGTCCGCCGCCGCGTCCACCACCACGGCCTCTGTGTCCGCCTCTGCTTCCGCCTCTTCCGCCTCTACCAGATCGTTGTTCCTCTGGCCTGGGACCTGCTTGCAAGCGTTGGGCGCGTTCCTCCTGTGACGCGTGGAAGGCGTTAGGGATCTGCAGCAAGTCGCAGAACGCTTGCGTGTGTGGGTTGTCGTATTCTTGCGGCTCTTCTTGGACGTGGATGCCTTGAGATGGGTCGTACACGGGCGCGGTCTGTGCAAAGTCATGCGGTATAATCATCTTCCCAGGCTTGACTACGTTCTCCTCGACCCAAGTGATCTGCTCTTCAATAAGCGGCCGGTAATAGGCATCACCCTTGTCGGCAGGTACTTGCGCGTCTGCATCGCCAACTTGCAAGTCGCCAGCGAAGACACGTGTAATAGCCAGCCACTCCGTGTCGTATTCCAGTTGTAGTGGCCTTTGCAGATCAGCCGGCGATTGGGGCGTGATTTCTAATAGCTGCAGGAAGTTTCTCTTTGGTAAGCACTTATCGAGTGCCAGAAACTTGGTCGTCTTGTTCGTAATTTCTGCAGGGAACGGCAGTGTCTCTGCTTTTTGAAAGTTGGATCGTGCAAAGGAGGCTGGGAGCAAATCTCGCACTTCATCAGGGACAACTGCTTGCCCGTTGGTCTTTTCTAGAGGTTCAGATTTCGCTGGCGCAGCGACTGGAGCTGGCGCAGGCTCATCAGCGTCGTCCATATCAAGATCGATCTCGGCGTCGTTCTTGGGCGCTTCTGTTGGAGTATCGTCCTCGATGTCAAGGTCAATCTCACCATCGTTCTTTACACCAGCAGGAGACTTGCTGGCAGTGGCTTCGGGCACTGCTGGCTCTGACCCACCTTCGTGTTGCCAAACACCACTGAACTTGCAATGCATGTGTGCACTAAACCAATGCGGTGGTCGTAGATGCTCAAGGACTGTTGTAGCTGCAACACTTCCAAGCGTGCCGTCTTTGGCTTCTTGCTCGAAGTCTGGCTTCCACTTGAACAGCTGCCGGTGGTTGCCTTTCCATTCCATGCTGCGTGGCCAGTCATGACTCAAACCAACATCGACTTGTGTCCTGATCTGCAGGAGCTTGCGCACATCCAGTTCACGAACGTGGTAGATGCTCCTTACATCGTCACTGTTGTACGGCACACGCTCGTAATGTGGCTTCTTGTAGTTGTATCCTTTCCAAATACCTGACAGACCAGCGATTCGTAGGGGTCCAAGCTGGACGACATTCGCAGCACCCATGTAATATATCTTGGGTGCTGCCCAGCCGCCGTAGTACAGCTCCCACATATAGTTGCTCGCTTCATGGTTTCCCCCAATGAACAAGGTCAGATACGGTGCGGTGCGAGCACCTGAGTAGTATTCGTGGAAGTCGTGCATAGCGTAGTATTTGGAGGGCATAGAGACAGCTTTCAAGTCAGACGCGTTGCGAACAGCCTATTTCGTCAGTTCAGGTATGGCAAAGATGCAATGGCACATACCTGGAAATCACCCCCAATGATGAGCAGATCGACATCTGGCCAGCCCTTCAGTTCGCAGGCTTTTCCGACCGAAGCATAGATCTCATGTAGCACTCCATGACCACAGCCCTCTATCGCAATGCGCAGGCCTTGCTGCTTGAGCAGTGTTAGCTCAGCCATGGTGACGCTGCCACACGCTTTTGTATCTAGCAATTAGTATTGGTGAGCTGACTACGATGTCGTCAATCGACTGCACAATGGTAGTGCAAGAGTTGCGACTGAGGTGCAGTCGCGAGCAGGGAAAGCTTGAGGGTCACTAGCGCCGGAAGTCTTCATGAAGTCCGCACGCGAGTGAGACCTTGATGGCCCACCAACAGCTCTTTGTGTCCATCCCTTAACAACAGTCGACTACAGCCATGGAACTGCCAGATCTCGTAGACCGTAGAGCGAATTTTCTTCGGGAGGCCGCGCACTTGCTTGCGGTTTCATCACCCACGACCTCGGCATTCCTGGGTGCAGCGCAAGACAGGCTCATTGCAGATGCAGAAGTAGGCCTGCAGCCGAAAGAAGTCGATGCACTTCGAAGAGCTTTTTGCGGTGCCTGTGGTCACCCGATGATCCCAGGATGGTCTTGTAAGGTTGCGCACCAGACTGCAACTATGAGGGTGCGAAAACAGAAGCCTTCAAAAGACTCCATCCGGCCAGTTAAACGGATTGTATACACGTGCCTGAGATGCGAGCGACAGACAGTACAGTCTTTGCAGACCCGACCTTCAAAACATGTCAGGAAATCGACAGCTCAGAAAGCCTCGCAGCCGTTGCCGGAGCCTAAACAGCCGGTTCCCGAAGTGAGCAAAGCAGTCAAATCAGTCAACGCAAGCAGCAAGGAAAGAAAGAAGGCTCGCAAGGGGGGTCTTGCGGCGATGCTCGAGAAGAGCAAAACCCAGGGTTCTAATCAGGGCGGATTCGATTTGATGGATTTTGGCATGTAAGCTATCCATAGGGCTGAAGAAGGTTCCAGGTACCCCGCCACTGCCGGCCAGAATTTCTGAGAAGAATTTCGTCACTACCGCCCCGCGCCGACTGCAACTTTAACAACATTTACCAACACAACCTCCCTTTTTGTACATACCCCACGCACTTCAATATGGCCGAACAAAAGAGTCTCGCGAAGGATCTTTTCGAGGATATGGGCCGCAAGGTCGCCGAAGCCAGCGGACAGCAAGACGAGGACGACTCCAAGGTCGTAGACGAGATCGAGAGCTTGTGCATGAACTGCCACGAGAATGTGAGTCTAATCACTGTAGCATGTTTGACACTCCGCTGATTATCTCCAGGGTACCACACGCCTCCTTCTGACAAGAATCCCCTTCTTCCGCGAGATCGTCATTATGTCCTTCGAATGCCCACACTGCCACTTCCGAAACTCTGAGATCCAACCTGCCGGTGAGATCCAGCAGCGTGGCATCAAGTTCACAGTCCGCATCGATAACACAGACGATCTCAACAAGCAGGTCATCAAGAGCGACACTGCCGTGTTCAGGGTTGAGGACATTGATTTGGAGATTCCTCGTGGTCGCGGACAGCTCACGAACATTGAGGGCATTCTCTCCATGGTCGCGCAAGATCTGGAACAGAAGCAGGACGAGAGGAGAGAGAAGATGCCAGAGGTTGCGCCGCAGATCCAGAACGTTATCGATACTCTCAAGGCGATGGCGGCTGGTGAGAAGATGCCTTTCAAGGTCACAATCGACGACCCTGCGGGCAACTCCTCGATCGAACCTCCCAACCAGCTTTCTGCCGGAAAATACTCTCGCCATGAGTACGCACGAAGCGCCGCGCAGAACGAGGCGCTCGGCCTGGGCGATACCAGTGCGCAAGAGGAGGCACCCCTCAATGTCGAGGCACCAGAGACCGAGATCCGTCCGGAGTACCGCGCCAGACAGATGTACCCTGAGATGCCGTCTGCTAACAAGCCTATGGTGAACAACATCGATGACGACGATATTGTCGAGAACCAAGTCTACTCGTTCCCGGCAAGCTGCCCAGGATGCACCATGTCGTGCGCGACCAACATGAAGATGGTCAACATTCCCCACTTCAAGCAGGTCATTCTTATGTCCACCGTCTGCGATCACTGCGGATACCGAAGCAACGAGGTCAAGACCGGCGGCGAGGTGCCTGAGAAGGGGCGTCGCATCACAGTAAACATCCAGACCAAAGAGGACATGTCGCGTGACATCCTCAAGTCCGAGTCATGTGCCTTGTCTTGCCCCGAGCTGAACCTCAGCGTCGAGCCTGGGACACTGGGCGGCAGGTTCACCACGGTTGAGGGTCTGCTGACCCAAGTGCGCGACGACCTGCGCTCCTCCATCTTCGACGTGGGCGACGGCGGCGACTCGATGGACACATCGTCGAAGAGCAAGTGGAACGTCTTCTTCGACCAGCTGGGCTCCGCAATTGACGGCAACGAGAAGTTCACGGTGATCCTCGAGGACCCTCTTGCCAGCAGCTACATCCAGAGCTTCACTGCTCCCGAGCCCGACCCACAGATCAAGGTTGAGGAGTACGACCGCACGGAGGAGGAAGAGGAGGAGCTCGGACTGAGGGACATGAAGACGGAGGGGTACGAGGAGGGGCATGCGGCGGACCAGGCGGCTGCCGCAGCTGCCAATGGCGCATAGGCTGCTGGTTGAAAAGTTTTAGATTTCTGCTCTTCTGCTGCATTTGGGACGGGGCATGCTTAGATACCAGGGCTTCGCCAGCCACATGAAAAATGACCTTGACCATGCTTTCCTCTAGATGATGTTTTTTCCTTTTGCCATTCCGCCTTGCGCCTTGAAGGCTAGCGTTGACAGCTTTCATTTATCCAAAAACGTATCCATGCCTACCCAGCAAGCGGGTTTGCGTGGATGGTGACCTTCTCAATCACAATTTTCTCCTGCGGGCGCGACTTCTTATCGACAGGCACCTTTTCAATGTCGTCGAGCACGTCCTGCCCCTCCAAGACCTTGCCAAAGACGGTGTTCTTGCCGTCGAGGTGCGGCGCAGGCGCAAAGGTGATGAAGAACTGGCTGCCATTCATGTTGGGGCCCTTGTTCGCCATGCTCAGGATGCCGCGGGCATTGTGGCGCAGGGCGGGCGAGAACTCGTCGTCGAAGAGGCCGCCGTCGTTGAAGATGGAGGTGCTGGTCTTGGACTTGGGGTCCGCGGCGGGCGCGCCGGCCTGCACCATGAAATTGGGGATCAGGCGGTGGAAGGGCGAGCCGTCGTAGAAGGACGAGGCGCACAGGGCGAGGAAGTTCTCGGCCGTGGTGGGGGCGGCTTCGCAGAAGAGCTCGAGCTTGATGGCGCCCTTGGACGTGTGCAGCTGGGCGCGTTAGTCAGCGTGCAGCAGCAGCAGCAGCAGCACCGGCGACAGCAGCGCAGGGGAGCGGGTCAGCCGGGGCAGCAGGGCAGGGCAGCACTCACGGTGACGGCCATGGTGGGTGGCCCTGGGGCGGCGCTGGGCGGCGGGCGGCAGAGCTGATGCGGCAAGCGTGCTCAGCTTCAGACCCCACAGTGCTGGGCGGCAGGTGCCAATGGATTGCAACGCGGTCGACTGCGCCGCTTACCTGCACGCTGCCTGTGCTGGCTGAGCCATTGTCGACGACGCGCACTGAAGTTCGCCTGGACCCCGCGACGCCTGCCGCGCCCGTGTCCTGTTGCCCGCAGCCCGGCGCGAGTCAAGCAGCCCAGCTAGCCCGCTCGGTGGACCCTCGCCGTCACCAGCAGCCCTACGCTGGCCTCGACGCCTCGACATCACCGCGCTCCTCGCTGCCTGCCCGCCGCCGCACCGCAATCGCCGCCCGCTGCGTCGCCCGCCGCGTCGCCCTCCTCGCGCCGCCGCGCCCGCCCCCGCCGGCCACGCCCCCGGAGTCTGCGTCGCCCGTGAGCTTCCCTCGCCAGCCTCCCGCCCGCGCCGTGCGCCCGTCGAGCGCCCCAGCAGCCGCCGCCCCGCCGCCGCCCGCCCATGCGGCGCCTGTCTCGCTGCCAGGCCCGCGCTGCATGCTAGAGAGATGGCGGCCTTTGTCCGGGTGTCGGGCCCGCCCAACTCCAACTTCCTGGTCGGCTACCCAGGCATCTCGGCCACGCTGCCGCGCATCGAGGGCAAGGTCGAGGTGCGCCCGCTGCTGGGCGTCTCGGCCCCCGTCAACGTGTCGCTCGTCACCATTGCCCTGCACCGCCGCGAGACCATCCACCCGTCCGCCGACTCGGTCACCAAGAAGCACCTGGCCGCCCCGCGCAAGGACATCACCGACCTGGTCGGCAAGGAGATGCTGCTGTTCCGCTGCTCCGCCAGCCGCGAGCACGACAGCATCCTGTGCATGGACCTGCCCTTTGTCATCTTCATCCCCTACGGCCGCGGCGGCGAGGAGGTCGCGCGCCGCGTGCCGCCCGCCAGCCTGCAGCTGCCCTCGCGCACCGCCGAGACCTTCTACGAGCTCGTCGTCACCGTCCAGCAGGGCCACAGCGACCAGCGCAAGTACGCCTTCCCCGTGCCCATCCAGCGCTACGACACCCTGTCGACCTTTGGCATGTACAACCGCCCCGAGAGCGCCGAGCGCGTCACCGACCACCTCGTGACCCTGGGCATCAGCCTGCCGCGCTGGAGCTACGGGCCGCTGGACCCCGTGTCCGTGTACATCAAACTGAGCCCCAATCCGGACTGGCTGAGCAAGGCGAAGAAGGTTACAATCAAACAAATCACCGTGGGGATAGACGAGGAGATCATCTTCAACCACGAGGGCGACGAGCCGACGCGCAAAGTCAAGACATTAGCAAAGACCACCCAGGCCGTGGGCGTCAAGATGCCCGAGGCCGGCTACTTCACAAACCTGGGGCTGGTATTCCCGGCCAAGGACCTGCGCGACAGCGACGGCATTGTCCCGCGCGGCAAGAAGGAATTCCCCATGTACGCCGTCAACGGCTTCACGACGACCGGTACTCTGTATAAGATCGAGTACTACCTGACCGTCAAGGTACGTCACCCCGTTTTTACTCAACACGTCCACTGCTAACTACCCACAGGCCCAAATGAGCTCCGCCCGCGACATCCTCCTGCGCCAGCCCATCGTCGTCTGCCCCTTCGACCACGCCGGCTGCAAGGAGGAAATGGAAGCCATCGAGCAGGCCGCCAAGGACGCCGCCCACGTCGCCCCCGACAACCCCATGCTGCCCGCCAGCCACATCGTGCGCGCCAACGACCCCAACGGCCTGGCCGCCCTCGGCATCGCCATCGTTGGCGGCGTCCGAAAACCCCTCATCGAATGAGCCGCGCCGCCCGCTTTGTGACAGCCCCCCACTGCCCCACCGCAGCACAGTCTGCCCGCGACTCCCCCCGCCGTCACCGCCAGCGACGCTCCTCCACCCCCGCGCGCGAAGCTCCGGGACCCCCCGTTCCCCGAGCTCGCCGCACTGCGCACCCGGTCCCAAACGCGACCCAGGGCGCTGGGGCGCGGCGTCGTCGCCGCAGGGAGGAGCGCGGGATGCCGCGCGTCGCTTTTTTTTTTCAGTTCTAAGTAGTATATGTCGTTTGTAGAATGTAGATTGTAGAGTTTTGACCCGGGGGGTTGGAGACGGAAGGGGGAGGGGGAGGGGTAACATGTTGGGCTGAATAATTGGGTAGATGGGCTGCGGAGTATTGAGGGGGGTGGAGGAGGTGTGCAGGGACATGCAGGTGTGGAGGGGAGGGGAGGGGGTCGTAAGTCGTAGGTCGTAGGTCGTAGGTTGCCAGGATACGGAGGCAGAAGGGACGTAGTCGAGGATATACCCATCAAGCTTGTTATTACTCACCTGTCTGTCTACGCCTGTTTTCTGTCCGCGGATCTGCGGTGTCGCTGACTGTGGTCTAAGCGTGTTGTCTCGCAATGCTCTGTACAGAGAGTAGTTCTCATGCTCAGGCAGCATCGCCCGGTGACATGGCCGCGTGCGGCGCGCTGGGCGCTGTTGCGTTTTGTATAACGGGGAAGGTGGATGTGGAAAGAGCGGATATCGAACGAGAGAATATCGGAAGGAGCAATCACCCAAACAATCAAACACCCAAACGAGAACTTTCCGAGAACCGATGGAATAATGGCGACAGCAAACAAGCTATCAGACAAACGAAAAGGGGTTTAGCCAGTGACTGCATCTGTCAAGCTAGGTTCACACAGCGAGAAAAGAACTTGACTTCATGGTACCTGTGTGATTGCCGACACAAGTAGATCACCGAGTCGCTGGAAATGGCTATTAGAGCCGAACCTCTTTTGACGTGTCTCAGCCTGGACGACTGTCTCCGAGTCGGAACTACGACGTCGAGAAGACTGCGGTGGGTGGTGGTTCGCTGGTCTCGACTACATGATGTGTGAGCTCCGACACGCGTTTTGGAGCTACTCGTGAATTCTCGGAGGCTTGGAGATATGGTTTCTGGATGTCTTGCTTTAAGGAGGGATTGGAGGGTAGATGGCATATCACGGGTGCCATGTTGCGGGGGATTTTGATGGGATATGCTGCGTAGGTCCGTCGCGAGAAGAGCAAAGTCCGCAAACAGATCCTGAAGACCTCTATGCTCTGCGCCGTAGACCAGTGCTCTCAGCCGTCGCGCTCAGCTTGTGGTCAGGGATGGAATAACATAATGGTTTTCAAGCCGCTTCGAAAATGTATTTTTACTCTTTCGTAGTTGGCGTCTTCATTCCTACACGTTTTTTGCTAAACAGCACTTCAACATGCACAAAGTGATTTAAACCTCAATCTATCCTCTCGAAAAGTCCTCGCTCAAGCACCCACAAGTTCCCGTCATGGAAGTAGCATCGGGGCAATCGCAACACAAAGACGATGTCCCCGTCGACGTGACGTTGCCGACCGCCGACGCCAGATCGGCACACATGCACCCCGGCACGGCATCCACACAGACCGGCGATCAAGACTCCATCGACGCCGCAACTTAGCATTTATTGTATTAACTGTAAATCAATGCATCGTGACTCTAGAAACAGCCTTCTGGACCACCAGATCTACAAGCCCCGCTGGTGCCAATGACCGCCAACGGCGTCAGAAGCTCCGCACTGTCCGCGGCCAATACTGCGGATCGCTGGCTTTCGATAAAGGTTAATCGCCAGTGGGGCGCGTCGGCGGGAGTCTGGGCGGGATGGGGTCCGCTTGGCTGAAGGGTTTTCGCGCACTGCGGCACGCCTCGCCACCCAATCTCTCCATATTCAATATCGAAATGATAGTGTTTCATCGCGTGTCGCCCATTGTAGCCCGTGATTATATATACTATAACATATCAATCTTTCATCAATGGTGAGGTGGCCGAGTTGGTTATGGCGCCAGGTTAAGGTCTCTCCTTAGCATCTGCTGAGCAATCAGCTTCCTGGTCACGAAAGTGGCGCGGGTTCGAGTCCCGTCCTCATCAGCCTTCGTTCGGCAGTTGTCGAGCACTCCAGGATAACTTTTTTTGCGTTGGTGGCGGTGTAGGGCGAGTTGGGCGGCGGAGTGTGCTACTAGCGCGCAACGCATGGTCAGAACGCCATGATTTTTGGCGTGCAGAGGGAGGAGGGTGTGGCGAATGCTGTCGCTGTTTTTGGGGGCGATTGGATGGTTGGGGGGGGGGGGGGGGGTGATTGGGGTGAATTTTGTCTATTCATCCACACGACTCCGCGAGATGTATTCGTTTCGGGTCAGGAAGACATGTGCGCTCTCTCATATCGCCGTGTAGTCTACACCAGATTCCGTCGATCGCGAACGAGACAAAGGGGAGGCGAGAGTACTGCCGATCTCAGTGCTTTGTTACACAATATCGACTGGTCAAATTTGGCTGCAAAGACTTCCTCAGCACCAACGGGATCACATGTATTGTCTAGTAGTCTGGGTTAAAAAAAAGGCTTGCGTTGATCAAGCAGATCATCGCAGTGATGACGAAAGCACTCCACGCACCGCACAAATGAAATCGACTACACGCTGAAGCGATGCAACTAGTACCAGACCACTATTAGTAGATACCTAAGCAGTGCTACGCTTCCGAGACCAGCGCAAGAAGGTAAAAAACCTTCGTTGTGATATCAAAAGCCTCGCATCCAAAGACCGTGATGGAACCCAGCACCACAAAACAAGAAGGAACTTGATCCAAAGGTCTCTACATCTTACCATCGTCTGACGCAATCGAGGTTCTGTGTTGCGGTGGACGCAGTCACCGTGGGCTGTGAACGGATGCGCTATAGCGAGCGGATCGGAAACAAGGCTGTGGAGGCTGTCACGGAGCTCGGCGTAGTTCGCTCGCCATCAGTGTTTGTTTATTGCCGGCTCCGCTGCTGTCTAGTGTTCTGAGTTCAATATCGAAGACCGGAACCGTTTAAATATCTATATTGTGTCGTTACTACTTCCTTGAGACGATGCGTGTTTCCATCTTGACATTAAATGTTAGCGTTATGTAAAGTCTTCAAAGATCAGAAATTGGCATAGATTTCATATTTTGAAGTATAGAGAAATATAACCTAGAAGTGTTGAACCTAGTTATTGGATCATCGCAGCTTTGAGGTGCATTTCGCTATACAGGCAAGTCTGCGCAGCGTGACGTTAATTCGGGAAGGTCACGGTTCTATTGAAAGGCGAAATGTGCTCACGTTCTCGTGTCACAGTCCAAGAAGACGAAGCAGCTCTGGGACAAGCAGTAACACAAGCGACGATCCCATTCACACATAAGACAGCGGATGACATTTAACTTTTCAATTATGCAGGCCGTACTCTATGCCATGCTACTAGCTCCCACCCAACCGTCTAGAGAGGAGTGGTATATCCGGGTATTTTACAGAACGATCAGCTGCCGAAAAACCATCGCGCGCGTGTGCTCATGTATGCCCGAGAAACACCATCGCCAATATACAGTACCAGCACCCAAGCCATGACAGCAGCGCCGTCGCAGCCAGACGCCTTTCCTCCGCCCTAGGTATCTCTTCCGGAATCAATGACAACGCCGCGCTTGCAAAAGACAAGCAATTCGAGAACAAATGTGTATATGGTGCCCAGCCACGCCCGGGTAAGGGCGAGGGGCATTTTGGAAGGTATAAGGCCGTTGCGAAGAGAATAAAGGCTTTTGTTCTGAACCGGGCCCGTTCAGGGCAAAGAAATGAAGAAACACTAACAGCTCGTGCAGGACGGCTTACGCCGCCATCTCAGACTGCCTGCCGCCGCCGACAAGCTCGAGGATCTTGCCGGCAACTGCTGCTGGGTACCCGCGCGACAAGCCCTCGTTGACGACGGACATCGCAGCAGCACGGTTCTCAACAGCCATGTAGGCGCGCGTCATCGCCTCGTAGGTACTAGGCTCGCGCCTTGTCTCTGGAACAGACTCGTAGATCGCCTTCGCCTTGTCAATATTCTGCGCCAGTGCCCAACCGTGGATCAGGCTGTTGGCAATGTACGGCGTCATCTCGACACGGCGGGACTGCATGTGCGCAAGGACTTCGTCGGTGTCGGCGATCTGGTGGTTGGCGACCATGGACTCGAAGAGCGCTTGGTACAGACACGCCTGGGGACGGATGCGGGCGTCGGAGATGACAGTGTCGAACAGACGACGGGCACCCTCCATATCATGCGCGACACAACCCTTGGCGTGGATGAGCGAAGAATAGTGTACTGCTTCTGGCACAGCGCCGGCAATGCGGATCTGCTCCAGAACAGACTCGGCGGCGTCCATGTCGACTGGCTCAAGCGTGGCAAAGGTGTCAATCAACAGCTTGTAGGTGTGGGTAGTGGGCTCGATGCGCTTGGAGCGCATACGCTCGTAGTAGGCAAGGACCTTGCTGCGATCGCGCTTGGTGGTCAGGAAGAACTGCATCATGCTGTGGTACGGCGCCGGACGAGGCTTGTAGTTGGGCATGTTCTCCATCTCCTCGAACAGCTCCTCAGCAAACTTCTCATCACTGACGCGGCAGAGGGCGTTGACAATGGTGCCGTATGTTACGGACGTAGGTCGAATGCCGAGGTTGCGCATCTCAGAGAAGTAGAAAAGACAGTCATCAATACGACGCGCCTTTCCGAGCTTGCCGATAAGAGCGTTGTAGAGGAAAGATGAGGGCTCGACACCTTCAGTCTTGGCTCGTAGGAAGATCTTGACAGCCTCGGTGGCCTCGTCAAAGGTCTTTGTGGACTCCTTGAGTGTGGTGATGTAGAGGCCGAAAGTGTTGGCAGTAGGCGCAGCGCCCATGTCAAGCAGATCCTGGTGGTAACGGCCAGCAAGGTCGCGCTGACCGCAAGTAAGACAGGCTGCGACCATGGCGTCGAGGATAGTCACCCAACCGTAACGCACAATGCGGTACTGGGGGAGAAGGGGAACGTCCTGCTTGGCCAGGTTGAGAATGTCGTGAGACAAGGTCAAGCGGTCCTCCTTCGCAGCAGCACTGATGAGCTTAGCGTAGGTGAAGAACCTAGGGTGGCGGCCAGCCCGACGCATGTTCTTGAACTTCATCAGAGCCTCATTGAGGTGAGATGCGGTGCGACCGTGAGTCTTCTCGAGCAACTCGGTGATAGCAACAGAGCCCTTGTTATCGGTAGACGCAGCATACGGATCGTACTGGTCCTCGAATGTAGGAGCTGCAGGCGCCGGTGCAGGGTAAGCAGCAAACGGAGCAGGAGAGTACATCGACTCGGGAGCTGGGTGTTTGTAGCTATACCATCGGTGCTGAAGGTCGCCACGGTCAAGCGCGGCAAGCGCTTTCTCGACAAGACCTGAGGTGGTCTTATTGACAGGCGTGCCGACAGAGGTGATGACCTCGAGGAGATGAGCGAACCGAGCAGCGTGAGCAGCATCGACTTCCGCACTCTGGAGGATTATTCCAGATTGGACCTGCATCAGAAGCGTGACGTCGTCGAAGTTGAGTTGAGCGATAGCCTCAGGTCCCATTCCAGATAATAAATGGTGAGCAACTGGGGTGACTAGGCCACCGTTCTCAATCATCGTCCACATCAGCTCCATGCTGGCCCGCGGCGGAAGGAAGATGCCACGCTTCATCATGAACTGACCCATAACCTCAATGGCCTCGTCGATGTGCTCGACGACCTCCATCTTTGCCTGAGAGCCTGACACTGTGTCCCGAATGCGATCAAACATCTGGCGGCCTTGACGGAGACCGCGCTCAGCTTGACCGCTGCCGATGAGAGCAATGCTATGCATAGTAGTGGCCTCAATGAAATTGGGCTTGGTCGGCGAGAGTTCGAGCATCCTCCAGAAGATCTCAGCAGCCTCAATGTTTCCATTGCGGGTGTGCATAGCGCCCATGGCCATCGCTGGCCTGGCAAGATCGGCTTCTGCAGGAAGTGCATCGAAAGCCTCTGTAGCAATATCCATGGCATCGCGGTCTGCAGCCTTGATGCAGATTGCAGCCATGGCGATGTGCTGTGCCTGGGGGCTCAGGACTTCGGTGGCGTGGGCGAATGCCTCCTTGAAGGAACCGTTCTTCAACCAGTTCGGCAGGAGCGCTTTAAGACCGACGATATCACGAAGGGATGTGATGTCCTCAGGGTTGACAAGTGCGGCCTCAACCTTGCTCAGAAACTTCTGACCTCCATCCATACGATCGCAGGTGGCGTAAGCTTTGATCAGAGCGGCGTACACATCCTTGTCTTTTCGGACGAGTTGCAGACCACTGTTGTCGTTGGCTACCGCAAGGGCTTTGTATTCATCGAAGCACTCGACAGCGCTCCTCAGATCGCCGAACTTGCCAAAGGCATGGATCATGGGCACAAACATGTCCGCAGCTGGTGTCACTTTACGCGACTCCATGTGGGAGTAGATGCGGACCATGTCCTCCACGCGCTCGCCCTCAGCGCAAGCTGTAACGAGGAGGCGGTAAGTCTTCTCAGAAAACTTCTGGCCAGCCTCGACCTTGATAGCTGCATCAAAAAGCTTGACAGCAACAGAGAGCGAGCCGTCTTCGGTGAGAATGGCGAAGTCGGTTTCATTCGACTGCAGCATGAACTTGCCCTCCTCCTCAAGACCGCCGTAACGGAGGCGCTTCTCCTCGTAGACTTGGCTCATTGAGACAACCTCGAGTGAGCGTACCGAAAGTAGCTCAATAAGAGCTGTGTAAGTCGCGGTGTCAGGAGCGACACGTCGGCGGAGCATGTCAGAGTAGACATCAAGAGCCTTGGGGACAACCTGGTGCCTCGGGCGCGGAAGGTTGATCGCAGCAGATAGAAGATAGTTGTACGCAGTGACAGATGGCTTGACCCCATCAAGGAGCATAGACTCGAAGACAGCTGGGATCTCAGCATACTTGCGGGTCGCAGCAAGCTTTTCAAGCTGTGCCGTATACTCCTCAATCTCGTCGAACGGGCTAGGAAGCAGCGACGATGGAGGAGTGTAAACGCCACCAGTCGATTTCGAGAGTTCCAAGACTGGCGTTTCTGGCCGCCTCTCTAGGACCGGCGAGAGTTGCTCCTTGAGTGCTTCGTTAATCGCCTTGATCTTTAGTGCTTCCTGCGCAATCGCTTCATCAACCTGTGCAAGCGCAATCTCCTCAGCCTGCTCATCGCCGACCGCCTTCTTGAAGTCCTCTACCTGGCTCGTGCTGTACGCGCGATTAACGCCAGCGTGAGCAGGGCTGGGCCCCAACGCCTCTTGATCCGCGACATCCGCCTCTTTCGCTTCGGCAGCTTCCTTCGATGCGTGTTGTGGATCGTACTCGATAAGCTTACGGAACTGGTATTGTGACCATTCCTTGTTTTCTGTCTTTTGCGTCTTTTGCCATGCTGAGTAGTACGCGGCTAACCCGGAATCTTGGTGTTCGTGTGCGCGTGCGGCATCGAGTGCCTTTATAGCACTTGTGGTAGAGTTCGAGGCGAAAGCATACTGCTGCTTGTGACCTTTGCGAAAGCGGTCGTGCTGGAGTGTGGCGAGAGGGTTGTTCTGGGAAACACCAGCAACTACCGACTGGGCGTAACCGTGTGTGAAGCCTTTCGCAAGACTCGAACGCGCGAGGGAGAAGCTCTTAAAGACCATTTAGGAGATGGAGCAACCCTTCAGATGGAAAGGGCGAGACTAACAAAGTCAGTGCATGCAACTGAGATGAAAGTCAATTTCGAAAGAGTCGTGACTGAGCTCGCGTGTATCGCCAAAGTTGCCAAAGTTATGGTAGCTAGGCAACAATAATGGCTCGCGTGCTCATTCCAATCACAAACAATGCAGGCAACGTACTGGTATCCTCAATATCGCCCGGCGATGTTGCAGGTTCATTTGACGATGACCGCCAAACAAACGCGCTCCAGAGAGAGTTTAAGGAGTGTGTGTGGTGTGGACTGGGTAAAGCTCACTCGCTCTACTGCAGACCCGTATCGAATGTGTCGAAGACAATCAGTTAATTGGATGTAATGGAAGAGCAATCAATGAGACGCTCAGAAGGGAGTAATATCGGCCACGAAGGCAAGTCGTTAGCGGGAGTCACAAGCAGACTCGAAGATTCGAACATCCAGATCGTACTCGTCATGGGAGGACGAGAAAGGCCGACGCGACAACGCGCTAATATCCCTAACTTTTCTCGTGCAGTAGCACGCTGTACCATGTCCGGTCAAGCGGATCCTGTGGCTCAGCTCGAAAGTCCTAACGTGGTCCGTGACGGGGAGGCGAAGGAAGCCTCCGGACGAATAGGGAAGCGTGCCATACACATGTCGGTAGCGGCGTCTCTCCTGTCACCGAGCCGTCCAGCAGCGCACGGTGAGTCAGTCAGCACGACGAGAAAGCAACGGCAGCGCAGCGGCACTGAACGGCTGCACCCCGCCCCAGCCTTGCACGCAACGGGAAAGGAAGCAGAAGGGACCGGCACCTGATGTGCAGTCCTTGCAGAGATCCGGAATGCGATGAACGTGTCGAATCTTGCTGCCTGGCAGATCGAGCGCAGCGCACGTGACATTACAAATTCAAGTCGTGATGCATATGAGTGCAGATCGAAGCCCAGGGTTTGCATGTGTCGGTGAGGCTTCAGCTGCAGAGTCATTTTGGCTGCATACCTATCTGAGGCTTCGTGGCCAGCGGACGCGACCCACAAGGTGCAGTTCTGCGCGCAGCTCGCCTGCGATTACACTCTTCGCACAGATCACAGTCACCACCACAATTAGCCCCTCCGTCCCGCGCTCGCTCTTCCTCGAATTAACATCCTTACAAATCCATCTGCGCCCACATTTCACTTCCACATGAGTGCTGAAGCCAGCTCCTCCCGCATGGAGGCGTTATTGACCCCAACCGCTGTCTCGTGTCCGGCAAAGGTGCTAGTTGCCGGGGGCTATCTCGTGCTCGATCGCAACTATACCGGCTTGGTATTTGGCCTGGATGCAAGAATTCACTGTGTTGTGGAGCCGATAAAGTCGACGTCTGGAGTGTCAATCAGTGAGATTGTCGTGAAGAGCCCGCAGTTCCGTGATGCCATCTGGGAGTACGGCTACCGTGCAAAGGAGAACGACGGCGGAATGACGGTGCACACATTGAGCGTGTAAGTACTCGATGTTGTTCTATGTCGTTCAATTACTTCTTTGGTTCGATGACGTTGGTTGCTCTTTACACGGTTCTACACTTTCCTTCCCAATGCGGTGATCACCCGTCTACTCTGCCCAATCACGTCAGGGTCGACCAAGCTGGTGAGACATTGTATGTCTGCAGAATGAAGATTGTATCGATGGTGCTACGGCGTTGATGATGCAAGGAGCTCACCTTTGTTGTTGCACGTTTTTACTCCCAGTCAGTCGCGTGTTCATCCTCATACAAGACCTCGATCACTCAAAAAGAGACATGGTTACCTTTTAGTCTAGCTTCTCCTGTTACCCTGGCCTGCATGGGCTACTCAATTGTCCTTTGAGTATTCTTCGCCGTAGACTCGTACATGTCTACGCACATATTCTCTCAAACCACCCACCATCATTGTGAATCGTACTGACACACAACAGCGGCCACAACCAAGTCATCTCCCGCAACCCCTTCATCGAAACCGCCCTCACCTACGCCCTCACCTACATCTGGGAGTTGACCCCTAATCGCATTCTCGCACCGTCCTCTATCCGAATTCTCGCAGACCAAGCCTACTACTCCAACACTGGCACTTCCATTTCCTCTTCACGCTTCCTCGACTTCGGCGTCTCGCTCAAAGAAGCGCATAAGACCGGTCTCGGCTCCTCCGCCGCCCTCGTAACCAGCTTCACCGCCGCAGTCCTCTCCTTCTACCTGCCCAAAGACCTATTCGACGTCGAAACCGAAAGGGGCCTGACGATCTTGCACAACCTCGCGCAGGCCTCGCACTCGCACGCCCAGGGTAAAGTAGGCTCCGGATTCGACATTGCGTCTGCCGTCTTCGGATCATGCCTGTACAAGCGCTTCTCGCCGTCGCTACTCAGCGGCCTCCCATCCCCCGGCGAGGCCGGCTTCGGCGTCAAGCTGCGCGAGCTGGTGGAAGGCGAATGGGACACTGAGATCGCGCGGTCGCTCATCAAGATGCCGCGCGGTCTGCGGCTGGTCATGTGCGATGTCGACTGCGGCTCCGAGACGCCTGGCATGGTGAAGCAGGTCCTGGCCTGGCGCGCCGCGAACAAGACGGATGCTGAGGGTATCTGGCAGCGCCTGCAGGGTGGTAATGAGGCGCTTGCCAAGGAACTCACGAGGCTTGCTGAGGAGGGCGCGGAAGAGCCTGATGGTCAGGGACGCTTCGCCAAGCTTGCCGTTATCATTGAGGAGAACAGGGTTGCCATCCGGGATATGGGCGTGCAAAGTGGTGTGCCTATCGAACCGCCCCAGCAGACTGCGCTGCTGGACTATTGCACCAAGCTTGATGGTGTGGTGGGCGGCGTGGTGCCCGGCGCGGGCGGCTTCGATGCGATTGTGCTGCTTGTGGAGAACAACGAAGCGGTGATGGCGGATCTGAAGCAAAAGCTGAGCGAGTACAAGGCTGATGATGTTGCGGTCGAGGGCCCGAAGATCGGGCGAGTGGGCATCGTGAATGTTAGGGAGGAGATGGTGGGTGTCAAGCGGGAAGAGCTGAGTCTGTACAAGGAGTGGACGACTTAGTGCTTGGGATGGGAAGTGAGGTCATCAACGGCAAAAGCGCGTTGAGTGTTGGGGCAATTATCTGGAATGTTTCGTAGATAGTGTGACGATTCGGCGTTAAGCGTTGAAATATCTGTATATGCAATCGTATTCACGTATATACAGCATTCGTGGGCGTACTTGGGTACAGGCATCCATTTATCTAACATACTGCTTCAAGTCTAGTGAGCTTGTTAGTAGTGACGAACGAATCACTTCATGAAACGAAAATCAGCAACATTGTCCTCTCCGGCCACGCTGATGTCATTTACGTCTGAAGTAGGTTGGGATGGTTCGAGTGAGCAACAATGGCAAACGCTAAAAGTAGTAGCCGTGCTGGGGTTGCGTCTTGCGTGATTATAGCATGGAATGAGTAGCTGCTCTGGTAGCGTGATTCCCAAACAAAAATTGTAGTAGGGCGTAATTCGGTGCGGTCGTGACCCAATTGCTGACAGACGTGCACGACGTGGCTCCAAGACAAATGCGTGAAGACCGGGTATACCATCGATTCAGTTCTGTCATACTTCGTCACAGACCATTCCATTCATTGTCTGAACTTTTTGATTCATATTGATCTTGACATGGACGCCCCCATTTCCGTTGAAGATCGCTCCGTCCATCCCTGACCTGCCACATCACCTCCCTTGCCCCTGGTAGATGGTGACTAAAGGTACATTGGTGTGTTGCTAGCTGGAAAAGCCCCGGCAATGCAATGCTTCGTGATAGACAAATGAAGAAAGGAAAACACCACCGCTTAGCACATTTATGCCTTGACGGCGTACTTGCGCTGAGGGAAGTGGATGTTCTTCTTCTTCTGCTTCTCGGTGACGAGCGACGACTCGTGCTTGGTGAGCCTTCGGCGGATGGCACGGGTCTGCTTGGATCGGAGGTCGAGGGGAAGGTACCTGCAGGCTGTTAGAGGTTTCGGAGTGTGAGCAGATTCCGGTTTAGACGCACTTCTTGCCCTTGTAGAAGAGCCTCAGCTGGGCGCGCTGGTTGGCGTTGATGACGGTCAGGACCTTGGCGATTCCCTTGCGGACATCATGGATGCGGGTGAGCTTGGTGGAGGAGCCTCCGGCAACCTTGGCGGTCCTGAGCTGGATCAACTCCCTGGTGCCTGTCAGCATCCTGTCCCGTGGTGTGCATATGCGAGCGTTGCGACGTACGACTTGAGCTCAGAGAGCTGGGTCGCAAGGTCGTCCTTGGACTTGTTCCAGAGCTGGGCGGTCTTCTGCAACGGTTGTAAGTATGCGGGCGGGCGATGCGAATAGTGCGAACGGTGCGTGCGAGCGCGAGCGTGAGCGTGAGGGTGTACGTACGACCTTGGACTGAGACTGCAGCGTATGTTAGCAGAGCTTCTTCAATTCGACATGCTGCGACAGCAAATTTGCGACACGCCCGGCGGGATGCCATTGCAGAGCCTCTCTCCATCTATTCCTCCTTTTTCGCAGGGCGTGTGCCGGGTATCCTCCAGAAATCGAGAGTGTCCACGTACCATTTTGACTGTGTCGTTAGTATGACCGGGTGTGGTTGATGGGGTCTCGCGTGTCGTCAAGTTCGATTTTCGAGCAGAAGGAGCGACCAGTGTGCCCTTGGCGAGTGTCGGAAAGACTAAGGCCCGACCGGGTTAGCGCCACAAGCCCGTGCGACACCGCGGCTATGATGCCAGAACACTGCGATCTCCATCCCAGCTCCAGTAATATCGTGTGTTCAGATACAAGAAAACCCCGGTGTATAGCACTTGGACGAGTCGCCTATCTGGATCCACTATTTCGACACAACCACCGCCCGTGCATTCTTTGCATCCTCGTCCTAGATAGCTCGTCTAGGCCTCCAAGTCCGACAGTACCATGGCCTCCACCGGCGCAGGGTGGGCGCAAGTGCGCCAGCAAGCGCGTGCGCTCGAGCAACAGGTGGGCGATTCTTCACAACCGTCTTCTCCAGTGCTGACAACCATACCAGACCGAGACGCTGTTCCACACATACTCCCAATTCGCCGCGCCACCAAACATCCCCCAAAAGCCCTCCGAAGACGAGCTGACGACCGAAACGAAACTGCAAGAGCTGCTGGAAAAGAGGGAAGCACTGGTTGCTCAGCTATCAAGGCTGTTGGACTCGGAAGCATCGTCCTCCGCCGTCAAGCTCAATAACCTCGCCCGGCACCGTGAGGTTCTGTCAGACCACCGCCGCGAGCTGTCGCGAATCAAATCGACCATCTCTGATGCACGCAATCGAGCGAATCTTCTCTCCAACGTCAGAGACGACATCGACCAGTACCGATCCGCAAATCCAGAGGCCGACTACATGTTGGATGAACGAAGTCGCATTGATAATTCGCACAACGTGGCCGACTCGGTACTAAGCCAGGCTTATGCTGTAAATGAAAACTTTAGAGTGCAGAGGGAGACATTGGCAAACGTCCAGAGGAGGATAGTGGGCGCTGCCAGCCAGGTTCCAGGTATCAACAGCTTAATGGCAAGGATTGGGTCGAAGAAGCGGAGGGATGGTATCATATTAGGGAGCTTCATTGCGTTCTGCTTTCTGATGCTCATGTGGTTCTGGTAATCAAAGAGACGGCACAAGTTTTACTGGCGTTCAGGCGGCGCGGATATCCATGATTCTGCGCACAGCGCATTTGGCATACAAGCCTGTATAATGACAAGGCTCTGTGCCTATGATGTACAACTATGTTTACAGTTCCGTGGGATCATTCCGTCTTTTTGTCCACGCTTCATACTAGCGTCTTCCTCGCCTCAATCAACTTCTTGAATCCCTTGTTCATATCCTGCATCTCCGTCCCCTCAGCATCTCCGCTGCCCGCCCACCTGATCCTGCATTCCTCATCCACAATATACACATAACCTACCCTGCCATTCAGCAGCCCAATTGTCTCCCTGATCTTCTCACTGACGCCCTTCCTGACGACAAAGTACCTCCCCCACTCCTCCTGCTTCCTCTTTGCCTTGAGCTGCCACTTGAACAGCGCGATGATCCACGCCTTCAAACTGTTCTCCTCGATATTAACATCCACCATCTGCGCCACGCCCTGATTCGCGTTCAAAATCTCCTGCAGCTCCGGATTCTCCTTGACGCCCGTGAAACTGCGCGCCTGCGTCTCACCCCATTGGCTGGAATACACATTGACCACCGTGACCTTGCCCTGCAGCACATCCGTCGTGTCGGCATGCGGCGCCGCTAGCGTCTCGCCGTGCAGGTTGGGGAAGTACAGCGCAGCCTCGGCCTTGAAGACGCGTGGGTTCGCCATGAAGGTCTTGCCCGACCGGTACTTGCGGATGTTCTTGAAGTCGCGGAAGTAGTTTGTGCCCCATTTCTCGACGAGTTCGGTGCGTTTGGCCAGGTTGCGTTGCGACATCGTCATGCCTTTGTAGTCTCTCTTGACTTTGATGATGTCGGTGTTTTCGCCAGCTTGCGGGGGGTCGGGAAAGCCGATGGGGCGGCCGAGAGGCTTGGGGACGAAGACATCATCTTCTTTTGTAGGAGGCGGCGATTGTGATTTTGTGGGCGGCGGTGCGGTTGGTTTGGCGGATTGCTTTGGGTCGCGTGAAGTGGTGAGGCTTCGGGAAAATTGGTCTGCGAAAGGACGGAATGCGCTGCGGGTTTCGCATCGAAGACAAACGATTGCTGGGTTCACGAGTACCCGCCGTAGAGGCGCCGATATTCTGGGTTGCAACATGGTGATGTGGAGTGAATTACGCTCAATTGGAACTTCACGAATAGTGAAAGTGAGCTTGCGGCTAGTGCTCAATGCGGGATAAAGTGTCACGTGCTGACGTGCCATCGTGGTTAGGTGACCGCGGACGCGCAGCTACATTTTACTTTCACCAACATCATAAACTCGAAATGTTACCAACATACACTTTTCTCCGCAGTTCACCTTGCAACTCGATATCTTGAACCAAACTAACAACAAAGCCACAACATCACACCATGTCAGACGCAGAGCTGGCAGCTAAGCAAGCATACTTCGAAGAGCAGAAGCTACTAGACATCTCAGACGACGAACGCGATTGTGACGATGCAGCCGCTGAGAGGATCGGGCGTGCGATGACCCAAATGCCATGGCGCAAACCACCAAAGCTTGCGCGGCGGACAAGCAGCTTCCTAGGCCCCACACCCAAAGAAGTGAAAGCCGAGTTCGAAGCTCACATGATGCGGCGGCGTGCAGCTGCACGAGATGAAGCTGAAGCTGAAGCTCTGAATCGTCCATCGACAGCTCCTGAGGTGGAATCAACACCAAGTCTTCCCGTTACAAAGCTACGAGCGCGGAAATCAAGAGGTACTGAAGGCAATGATAACGGCAAAACGAGGCGCGTCACATCTCTGCCTACTATGCCTGTGGTCGACACGACGCCCTTCTATCACCGAATGGGTGAGATACCGCGTGAGCTCAAGAACGGAAAAAACGTCAAGCCAGCAAGGCATATCAAACTCGAACCTGAGCGCAAGCAATTGTTACGAGGCAAGATTGTTTACTTCTATCCCAACGATGACATAAGTATGGTTCGACGGACACGCATTCATATGCTGATCCGACTCGGGGCAGCGTGGGTCAAGGAGTGGAGAGATGATGTCTCGTACGTCCTAGTTGACGATGCGAGCTGTACATATGCGCAGTTACTGCGAAATTTGAATCGAGCAGGACTTCCGGTCCGTCTCCGTTTCGAGTGTATTATCGTCTGGCTAACGAAAAGCAGAGGAAGGTAGTCCTGGCGAGATTCGATACATATATAACACAGTCGATAGAATTCGGCGCGTTGCAAGACCCATCAGCAGCACGCTACGCTGTCCGAGGTGCACCACAGCAGATTGAAGCAAGACCTCACACGCCTAATATACCGGCACCTACTCCTGGGTCGTTGGGCGAATCACAGACATCACTGCAGATCAAACCGACAAGGAAGCAGAAGGACGCCATGTCCTCTCAGACAAGGAATTCGATGCCGAAAGAAGGTATCCCAAGTCAGTCCGCGGTCGATCCAACATATGGCCATGGCGGAGAGCCAGCTGAGGCCACTGTCCCAGATGCGTCGTTTGGAGCGGAGCTTTTACAGGCTATACAGGAGACGAAAGCGATTGCGCATCTGCCAATCGACGACGACGACGGCGACGACTCAGCATCTCCTACTCCGAGCGTCTTTACAACGGATGACGATGATTCAGGAACCGACGAGGAGCCTGAACAAGCACCTACGAAGGTCGGGAAGAAGCCAATCACTCGGGCCTCGAAGAAAGTCTTCGATCAGAGTGGATTTCAGTGCATGGATCCAGGCACCAGCGGCTATTCACAGAATCCGAATGCCCGCACCATCCAGATCCTCGAGGAGATGGGCAGACACTACGATCAAATGCAAGATCAGTGGCGTACACTGGCATACCGGCGTGCTGTCACAACATTGAAGAAGCAAACCGTGAAGATCAGAACCGCAAAGCAGGCTGCAGCACTGCCATTCATCGGCACACGACTAGCCAACAAGATCGAGGAGATTGTACTTACGAACCGCTTGCGTAGGCTCGACGCTACTAAAGATGACCCTCTTGATCAGGTCTTCCGTCTTTTCCTGGGCGTGTATGGTGCCGGCCTCGTACGAGCGGGCAAATGGGTCCAAGCTGGCCACCGTACGCTGGCCGACCTACAGGCCCACGCGACCCTCACTGCGAGCCAAAAAGTCGGCGTCGAGCACCATGCGGACTTCAACGCACGCATCCCCCGCGCCGAGGTCGCCGCCCACGGCGCCCTCATCTCGACCGCGCTGCATGCGATCGACCCCGAGTGTGTGGCAACAGTCATGGGCAGTTACCGCCGTGGCGCCGCGCACTCGGGGGACATCGACATGCTGATCACACGCCCCGGCACGCCGCTGTCCCAACTGCGGACTATCGTGTTCGAGACCCTCGTGCCCAACCTGTTCGCGTCCGGCGTGCTGAAGGTTGCGCTCGCGACTATGCGCTCTGGAGATGCGAGCGGGACAAAGTGGCACGGGGCGGCGTGTCTGCCGGGGAGTGCGGTGTGGCGGCGGCTGGACTTGTTGATTGTTCCCGAGGGCGAGATGGGGGCCGCGTTGATGTATTTCACCGGCAATGACATCTTCAACCGAAGTGTGAGGTTGCTGGCGAGGAAGAAGGGGATGCGGCTAAACCAGAAGGGTCTATACAAGGACGTTAAGCGGGGGAGAAGGGGGGAGAAGCTAAATGAGGGGACCTTGGTGGAGGGCCGGTCCGAGAGGAAAATTTATGAGGCGCTGGGTGTACCGTGGCGGGAGCCACACGAGAGGATTTGCTAGAAGGAGGCTATAGATATCATCACTTGCTCTGAGGGACTGGCACGCGGCAACGAGTCCAAGGATCGAAGTTGAATAATTTGTAATTCAATACTGGTGAGATGCTTTTCCATCATGGTATCGTGTACATCAAAAGATGCTCTAATCGCAAAGGATGCTCAGTCGCCAATGTTGCCAATGTCGCCAGCAAATGCTATCAACTCATCACCCAACCGACCCTCTCCCCTTTCTCCGACTCAACTTGCCCTGAGCTTCATCCCCATTCCGCCTGTGCCAGTCATCGATCTCCCTGCGCACACTCTCCCTGTACGATTTATACTCGTCGCTCGTCTCAATCAGCAGCTCAGAACAATGGCCCGAGCGGCGCAGATGCCGTTTGAGGTTCTCCCAGCGGCAGTCGGGCTTGAACGTGCAGTTCACGTGAGGGCAGCGGTAGGGGCGCAGTGTCTGGGGCATGTTAGCTCAGGCTGCAGCGAAGGGGGTAGTGGGTGGAGGGACATACCTGGTGTGTTCTCTCGTGCTTGCTCAGGTTACTGCTGTCTGCGCATGTGAAGTCGCAGAACCGGCACTTGTGTGGCTTCTTGCCCTCGTGCAGCGCACTGATGTGTGTCTGCAGTTGCGTGTGCGTCGTTGTTGTGTAGCCACAGCGATCGCACACGTATGGCCGCTCGCCGGTGTGCGTGCGTTCGTGGTTGTCTTTGGCTTGGTTTGTGGCGAAGGTTTTGTCACAACCGGTGTAGCTGCATGCATACGGTCGGTAACCTGCGTGTCCGAGCAGATGGCGGGACAGCTTAGAACGCTGCTTGAAGTCTTTCGAAGATGCGTCGCAGCCTTCCCATTGGCAGAAGCAGGATGCACAGTTGTCGACGTGGGCTGTCTTGATGTGCTTGTGGAGTGCGGAGGCAGTGGGAAACACGGCATGGCAGAGTAGGCCGGGAGCGTGCTGCCACTTGCAAATGCAGTTCGCTTCGCTAGATGGGGTGCTGGGGTTTGTTGGGGTGTCGAGGACTGAAGCAGCATCTCTCGCAGATGCGGCAGCGAGAGAGTTCATAGGATTCATAATCTCCTGCTGGATTGCTGAGGCCAGGAAGTCAAGTTTACTGGTGCCCATGGTATGCGAGAAGTTGTTTTCGAAAGAAGGGCCAGGGAGCATCCAATTGTTATCACTGAACCCCATCATCGAGTTGCTGTATTGGCTGTTGAACATATCTCCGTTTGACATGCCACCCATGGTGACTGGTGAGGTAGGGTGACTGTTGAGGCCGAAGGTCATGAAGCCGTTCGACAGTCCGTTGCCTTGGGCTATAGAATTATTCCAAAGATCGAGGTTCTGCTGAGATGCAGCTGGATAATCTCCACATGCTCTTCTCGTTCCATGGCAACATGAGTTGTCAATGTGGCAGTGATCTCCACTGATGTTGAGGAAACAGCTGTTGATGAAGGAGCCGTGCCCAGGAGCTGGAGAAGCTTCGCTGGTAAAGGCGCTTTCCAGAGATGTGTAATTGCTGGGCGACAGCAGAGGTGTAGGCGCGGTGGAGGCGTGTGTTGAGGCAGTGTCTCCGTGGAGATGTGTGTGAGCTTGAGAGAAGCATGGATAGGTTTCGTAGGCGGCAAGCGGCCCAGTGTGGGCAGGATACTGGTCCTGAAAGTGGCAAGGGGCGTTGTCGTAACAGTAAATCGTGCCAGCGCCAGTAGGTGCTGAGTGGGCGAAGTGACAGTCGTTGTCGGGGTCACCTAGAGGGCAAGGGAGGGCATCGCACTTCTGGCAGAAGCACGGCTGGTCTGGACACGACAGCTTGGTGCACTCTGGGTCAATACAGCCGTCCGCGCATTCTTGCGGGCTCTGTGAGCAGTGTGGGTCGAAGCAGGCATCATCCGGCGTGCAGACAGTATCACAGGCGTCGTCGCCAGGACACGCCAGATCGCAGTTAGGCGGGCAAGCAGCATCCAAGTTGCACTCCTGGCAGAATTTCTCGAAGCAATCGTCTGGAAACTGCTGGTCCGTGCCAATCGGTGGGTGCGACTCTGCCGTAAGATTGTGAAACTCGCCAACCTTGTGCGCTGAAGCCCTGCGCTTGGACGGGCGCACTTCCGGGCAGTGACTGCAACACAGAGCCTGTGGATTGACGTGTTCAGCCAGGTACTCTCCCTGGCTCGTACCTATCGCTTGAGATAGCGATTGGCTTGGGAGTTCATCGCCGCTCAGAACGGCCGCATCTCGCTTTGATCCAGCGAGCGGGGCGGCTAGGGATGTAAACATGGAATCAAAGAAGCCCTCGTCAAGATCAGGGTCTACAGAACCGTTAGTCGGAGCCATGGTGGCGCGCGGAGGATTGTCGGGGACCTACGTTGTTATGAAAAGGTGATATCTCAGTCCTTCACGTGCCAAGACTTGTGACATTTGAGGACATTCGGGTACTCAGCTGTAAATATACGCTCCGCCCGTTCGGTAGAAGAAGAGGGGCATAAACGTCAGTGGCGAAGTAGCGGGGTGAGTGCAGTCACAGCATTGAGCACAGCGTCTTGTTGAGGGCGCCTCTAGGCCAGCAGCAGCTCGAGAGTTGTTCCGGCGCAAAAAGAGCCATGTGCTCAGAAGAGTGAATAGCGTGGTGATGGCGATCCACTCTGTAAGCGATTCTGCCGCCTTCTCATTGGCTCCGTCCCTGGTCGTGCTCCCAGGTAGAGCTCGTTGGCCGAACTGAACAGCTGCAGATGCAACCACGATTAAGTTCAAACGGCCGATAAGTGCGGCAGAGAGATTCTGTGAAGAGTCTCTGGTCTACCGCCCGGTCAAAGATCTGCGCACGTGACTGAGGGGCACAAAGGCGCAAAGCTTGAGCGCTGTTAAACAGCCAACGTCAAACATCACACAACCGTCTCACTGAACAGATGTTCGCAATCATGTATCGACCCCAACAATGCAACCAGAGTTCCGGCCAAACACGTCTCTCAGCCGGAGCCCTCCTGCTATCCTGACCATGGTAGAATCTGGCGCTTGGCACCCTCTTCCCGGCTCGCGGCACGCACAGCCACTCCCCCCACCGAGGGTCTTCGAGGCTGGTCTCCGCATTCCGCCATCTCTCCATTTGCCGCATCTCCACACTTCCACCTCGAATAAATCTCCCATTCACGTCGAGCCATCTCTGCGACACAAATGGGCAATCTTTGTGGCAAGGAGTCCAAAGACGCCTTCGACGGCCCCGGCCGAACCCTAGGCTCTGCTCCCGCGCCAGCAACGAAGGCCTCGGTCCCTGCGACTGCGAACTCAAAGTCGGCGAAGCCTGTTGTTGGAGGTCCACCGAGGACTCTGGGCGACAGTAATTCGAGCGACAAACCCCAAGTGGCGGCAGGCGCTGCTGCAGAGGTGCGTACATTGCAGAAGAGTCGGGAGAGGAGGACGGTGTTGATGAGGGCATACATGTGATTGGGCGTCAGCAAAGGTGCGCTGCAGGTCATCGGCTTTTCTCTCGATTCGGCACAACGATGTTCAGATGGTAGACCGAATATCTGCGCCGAGTCGTGTGCGGGAGCTGGTGTCCTGTAGTGCCTACGCTTGCGCTGACGCTGCCGACGTTTGAAGAAAAAGCGCATGGCTGATATTCATGATACAGGCTCGAGCAAACAAGACCTCAACTGGCGGCCTTCAGAAGAATCTCGACGCATTAAAAAAACAGACAGACCGCAATCTGCTAATAGCAGTCTCAAAGAAGAATCAGAAGGAGCGAGAGGCTGACGCGAATACTGCGATTATGAGGCACGACTGAGAGGACTTGATTGAATTAACTGCAACATGATGATCATAGCTATGGTAGAGCAAGTATTGTAGGTGGGCCGGTAATCGTGCTAGAGCGGTGTTTTGATTTGTCGTTTTCTGCGCATAGAGCATGGCGTTTTGGAGTCCATCCACAGCCTCCAGCTTTTGCCGTGCAGGTCTGCGCTGCATGTGTTTGGATACCGACCACACAATGTTGTATCTGATGGGTCGTGAACATAATTCATGAGTTCCTTCACGTGCGTCCGAATCATGATGCACTTTTTCTCAAAGCCGAATAAACGCCCATCAACCATTACTCCAATGGTGAGGGATTTATCAATATGCAAGTGGTTTCATCCTTTCGATTACACCCCAATCCCGACCTCAATAAGCTGAGAGCATCCTGAAGCATATTACGAGGCATTGAGTGTGTGTTGACTGTACATCATCATGAAAATCCATGGAAATACCCGGCATGATGTGTAGCGCAAAGCAAGGAGTCGCTCTCTGCTGGTGGTAAGCATGCACTTTTTGAGATTATTCTGGGTAAAGCATGCACCACCAACGGTGATACATCAACTAATGTTCATCGCAGCCTTGCTCTAGCTCCTTGCTCCACGACCTCAAGGTCTCTCTAAACCCGAACATTTCTCCGCTGTCTGGCGTGTACACTCTATCAAATGTCTCACAGCACTTCCCCATCAGCTCGATAGCCTCCTTGAGGCGACCTTGTGCCTCGTACGTCCATGCGAGAGATCTCATACAACTTAGTGTGTTCGGACTATCAGGCCCCGATACCTCCGTCATCTTGGTCAGAGTCTCTTTGTGTAGCGTTTCAGCCTCCGAGAGGCGTCCTTGATGCTTATACGTCATCGCCAGATTACTTTGCATTGTAAGTGTGAATGGGTGAAGTTCTCCATCTGTCCTGATGTGGTATTCAAGGACTTCTAACTGCAATGCCTCGGCCTCACGGTAGAGCCTCCGACACAAGTAGGTTTCTGCGAGGTTGTTTTTACTGTCCACTGTCATCAGGTGGTCTTCTCCTAAATTGATCCTGCGGAGCTCGAGAGTCTGTATATCCAACGCTTGGGCTTGTTCGAGTTTCCCTGCTTGCCAGTATGTTGTGCCTAGGTTAGCCATGCGGGTCATGGTAACCATGTGGTCGGGCCCCAGCGTTTCCTTGCTGGTTTGCAGGACCTGTACTCCCAGTGCTTCGGCGTCGTCAAAACGGTGCTGTGATCTGTATGTTTGGGCCAAGCTGGCTTTGTATCCTAACAGTTCTAGCTCTGTCCCGTTTCCTGCCGTGCAGCTTTCGATAATCTGAAGCTGTACGGCTTCAGCTTCTTTCAAGCGGCCCAGACATCTGTAAGTGTGAGCCAGGTTCTCCTTCGTTGCCAGCGTCGAAGGAGCCTCTGGACCCAGCTGCGTCTCGACAACCTTCAAAATCCGAACACTGAGATTCGCAGCATCTGTCCATCGTCCTTGATCTCGGTAGATATTCGTTAGGAGATTCAGAGCATTCAATGCTAGGGGGTGACTTTGATTCATCCCTGCATCATCCAATGTCTGTATCACTTCCTTAGTACGCTTTTCGGCTTCGGTCCATTGCTGTTGGTCGTTATATATTGAAGCCAGATTGATACTAGAGGTGATCGTGGCCAGATCGGATGTTCCAAATGTACTTTCATATGCATTTACCACTTTTTGGAGTTCAGTCTTTGCTTCTTCGTATCGGCCTAGCATTTTCAATGATAACCCGAGGCTATTCAAACATTTGAGTGTTGACGGATCCTCAGGACCGCATAGTATCTCATAGACGACGAAAGCAGTCTTGATAAGCTTGTATGACTGTTTGTCGTCGCCCATCACACCCAGGTATCGACCCACTTGTAGTGACAGAAGTGCCCAGAACTCTAAGGCCACTGCACTAACAGGGAGTATGTCCAGAGCAGCTAGAGCATGCGGGAGCAGAGATTGTTGGATGGGCCAATTCTCGCGTCCCTGTTCGGCATAGTCCTCGCAGATAAGTGCAATACAGGTTCCCTTCCAGTGCTCGAGCTCATCCTGCATTTCAAGCCATCTCCTCATAGAGTACTGTACGAGTCCGTGCATCTCAAAACTTGCTTTGCCAGCTTGTTTGACGAGACAGAGACTGGTCAGCATATACATGTCAGAATCAAAATCTGCTTCGCCAAGTCCCTCTTCAGCATACTGACGCAGAAGGAGCGACGCTGGAATTCCCTGTCGGTCGAAAAAACTCATGAGCGATAGCAGTCTAGCAGCCGACGGAGAGCGTTTGCGGAGATACTCGAACGAAATTTGCCACGTCGTCATGATTGAGTTTGAACCCTGATCATCCCTGCGAATATCCACTACGTTCTTGTTCAACAGGTATATATCGTCCCCACAGATGTCGTCCAGATACCTTGCGACACTCATGCGGGGAGTCCGGTTGATGAAAGCCGCCGCCTGAGTGAGAGCGAGTGGCATGTTTCCGAGGAGACTGATCAACTGATCAGCCTCATCTTGTCGAGCGTTGCCAGTAAGTTTCTTTCTAAGTAGGGTGTTGGCATCCTGGTAATCCATTGGCCCGACTTCAACGATATTGCTGGCGTCCCCAGTGAGCCTGCAGGCAACCTCGCGACTTCGAGAGGTAACAAGCATGGATCCATTAGAATTATGTGGCAGAAACCACGATAAAGGCGGCTTCTCGGGTGTCTGGTTGGCTCCATCGGTCGCACAAGATACTGGAGTATCGTCAAACAGCACGCCCACATCATCGGCGCTGTCAAGTATCATCAACCATGGTCCGTTCGCTTCATTACGTAGCCAAACGCTCACAAGTTGAAGGATATCTGCCTGAGGATCATCCCAACCATTCAGTTTAGTCTTCTTAGCAATTGCATAGTATGACTCTTTGAATCTTGACTGAGTTTCTGCGTGCACCCAGAACACCCATGTATCGGGCCTCTCTTCGAGCATCTGGTAGGCATACTCAATGGCAATCTGAGACTTTCTGGTATCTAGTCAATGGTGTGTAGATCGCCAATGGTCTAGATACTTACCCAACACCACCTAAACCGACAAGGGCTGCGTGAATCCCAGGCTTTGTGCACAGTCGATGCACCGCACTCAGACTGGCCCGAGTCACAAAGTCGCTATCGCGTCCGAACGGTATGGTTGATCTCGATTTTTGTGCCTTCAAAGTTTCTTGCTCATCAGGGACAGCGTAGATTTTTTCGAGAAGCCGTCTTAAAGCCCTGTCATACCCTTCGTCGTATATGAAAGGCAATGTAATGTCGAAAATGCCAAGTAGTGCGTACACCTCATCCTCTTCTCGAGTGGTTTCACGTTCTGTTGCCCAAGATAGTTTTTCGTCCACACTAAATTGATCCAAAGGAACTCCAGATAGAGCTGTTAAAGGGATATCCGTGATGTCGTGAATCACTTCTTTCAGATCGAGGCGATTACCCAAGTGCACACCTTCCTTTGAATAGAACTCTACCGAAGCTGGAGCGAGTAGTTCTTGAAGAGTCCAGCCACGACGGAACCAACGACTCTCTCGAAAAGCAGATTGCCATGAGGCCGAATCGATGGCCCGGCTTTTGCTGGCTGCTGACACGTCTGACAAGTAGACGTAGCATTTAGCTGCATCTCGATACCAACAGAACATAGAATTGATCGCAGTCTGTAATTCCAGCGTGTTTTTCTTGTTAATGCAACAAGTGTCTACCCAGAAATAGCGAAAACCATCACGTACGGCCTGCTGCGCACAAAATCGAAGCTTGTTGTAGCCTCGTTTACCGGAATGTAGTCGTAATCGTAAGGAGGCGTGTAGCTTGCTGTACCTGCTTTTGTTGTCTTTGACTATGTCCTCAAAGATCACTTCCTGATCTGCATCCCATGTATGGGATAGTATAGCGTATGGAGGCACCTGGTCATCGCCACCAAACTCTTTCGTCAGGTTGTACGTGCGGCCGTCGATCGTCTCTAGGAGCCTCATCTTTCGATTGGAGGCCCCCAATGTTGTATCATAGGAATCGGAAAACACAGGTTGTAGGTCAACGAATATCAAATGATCGTGTTTGTTGCAGAATTCGCAGCCCTCGGGGGCTGTTAATCAAAACATAAGGCTTTGCCAGCGGAGAGAGCATGCCACGACGGACTCAGCCTTGAATCACAGCATTGGAAGGATCCGGGCGGCTCTCGCAGTTCAACCGCAGCAAGGCGGCAATACTGCGCCACTGATTGGATGCACGGACAATGTCCTCGCCATGATGTTCCCAGAATAACGATCAATGTCAACACCGGGGCAAACATGCTGCTCCAGGTTCGACTCATCCAAGATTCCCCGCGCTCCTGCCATACCTCGTGTGTCGACGTGTTCGAACGAGTGGTGCGCACGGACATGTTTTCACAACCTTGACTTTGCGCTCGTATCGAATGTGAGTATGGCGGCGCTTCGGGCTTTCTCAGACAGAAGGCGATGCCTTCGACTCGAGAGTTCTCATGGCGGTGGACGGCAATACATACATAGACGACACTTGTCGTCCACCGGTGCTTGGCGCAAAATGCATTGTGTCTCATTTCGGCCCGGCTCGAAAAACTCGACCCGTACTTGTATAGGCTGGGGTATCTGAAGTCTGGGTCAGACGTCGACAAGACGTTGCGATGTTCACGCATCGCATGAATGCATGGATGTTGGTTGTGCTCGTAGTGCTGGCATAAAGTTTGGCTCAGGGACCAGTGCGTCTTGGCACGGAACATCAGGGAGGCGCCGTTTTGCTGTCACGACGTCGTAACACTGGACAGGCAGAACAACAGATGCTGGGACGGATCTAATCGCTAACAGCTCTGTGCAACAAGCTACAGGCACACATAGCGTCTTTCCGACCGCTCGCATGGCTGTTGTACGCGTCTGTGCGAAGCTAGGAGGTCCAGAGACGCGTCGCTGCTCGGGGATGTACCTATGCAAGGCACCATGCAACCTCATCCTTCCAGGAACACCGGCAGTTACGGCAATGCAAGGCCGTTGTTCAGGTTCTGAAGACATATACCATCACTATTATGTTTGATGTGAGATGAAGCCGATGGGGTCTCTGAACGCGTCTCATCAGACGCAACGCCATGCAGTTTCTCGCGACCACGGCAACGGGAATCGATAGTGGAAGACGGCCAAGAAGGGTTCGCCTGAAGTGGGCAGGTGCTTCGATGGATAAGGGCAAGCTGTGTCTTGCTCGCTACCATGGTCTGTGTAGCGCACGCATCAGCAAGGACAGCTGCCTGCTCCCGAAGCGAAGTGACACAGATCCACGCACTGCAACTCCAGAGTTCATCATCGATTGACAGCTGTCCATCATCCCGCATGAAGAGCCTCAATCGACGCAGCAGTAGCGATCAATGGCAACGTGAGACGAGTCTGAGATTATTTTGGCTGGACCTCATTTCGGCGCGCATGGGTCTGTCCAATCACGCTCTGGCTGGCAGAGAGACCTAGTCCCTGCACGAATCGCTAGTGGGCCGTAGCCGTGCAATGCCTCTCGCGCGGACTGCTCCCCATGCTGTTCCTCTTCCTTCAAGGCTCACGCCCGTCGCAGCTCCCCACTCCATACGCTCTTTCTCTGTTGCGGTAGGGCCCAGCTCTTTCCCTTCGTAGACTTCGTGATCGTCAATTCCCGCGGCGTCTAATTTAATAATCTACTTTGCATACACATTAGAGCCGTACAGCCTTACTACGCTACTTCGGATGGACCTGTGAAGCAGCGCGTCCGCTCTCTCCAAACATCGTCGCCGTCAACACACCGCAGCCCACGGCCCCAGATCTGCCTCGCGCCGTCAAGTGGGCGGACACGCGACGATAGCTTGACATGTCTCACAGCCACCGCGGCCACGCTCCACCATGTCCAGCGACGCAAGAGTCTCGCCAATCGACCCAGATACCCTGTCGACCAAAGCAACTGCGCACTGCGTCTGGCGCTGTTGCGCTGCTGGCCCTCGCCGCATCTGTACCAAGGACAATGGCTCAGGCCAACTGCATCTCGCTGCAGGGCTCATCGACATGTCCGGCCTTCAGTGCGGCATCAATTAGTACGAATCTGACCGGCGATTTGTATGTTAAGACCCGGACAGTTTTAGATTGCCTATCAATTAACGTGTTGTAGCTCGTTCCTGTCGTTCGTGTCAGACGTACAGTCCTTTGACAACCAGTTGCGTTCTTACATCTCAACCACTTACACGCAACGACAGTAAGTTGGACCCTTCAGATCTCTATATGTCAATGAGAGACTTGATGCTGATAGCTGCATAGGTACCAGAATATTCTAGGCTGCTCAAACGTCGATCTTAGTAACACCACCGACCTATATGCACGTTACACGACTACAGTTCTTTGCAATGCCATCGTACAGAACTCAAGAGAGCCATGTGGTCTGAGCGACGCTAATTCGACACCACTCTGTGCAAGCGCTTGTGTATGTCTATCTATTTCCATGCTTATGTCATGGCAGACCTAACATCGTACAGGCGGATTTTGCGATTAGCGAGCAGGAAGTAGTGTCTACCCCGGAACTGTGTGGAACCCCTGGTAGCAACGCCAACTCTCAGATACGAGCCGATTTCACCCGCTGCTCTTTACCGGCCAATTCACTCAGTGGTAGCTGTATCGAAGCAGTACGCAACGAGCCTACAGAATGCGGATACAATTCAAACTTGCAGGGACTGTGCGCTCATTGCGCTGACAGCACCGTCAATTCGACTAGCACGTGTTGCATCAACTCGAATGTTGAATCGCGTTGTGTAGGTGTTGTGCTGCCAACAACGGTGTCAATGCCGCCGCTGTTCCCCAGTAGTACTTCAACTGGTGCTCCGACTGCGTCAAACGGAGCCGCGGCTAACGGGTCTCGTTCTGGACTTTCTGGAGGTGCTATTGCGGGTATTGCTGTGGGTGCTGTCGTAGGTGCTGCACTAATCCTAGCAGCCCTTATTTTCTTCTGTCTGCGTCTACGCAGGAGGAAACAAGGCCAAGCCGGCAGCATCCTGAACACACCGTCGCCATCACGACATTCCGCGAAAGCACCGCCAATGAGTTACGGTGGCGATGGCCATTTCCCGCCTGCTGTCGTACCTGGTGCTCGTGTGCAACGCATGTCCGCTCTGGAAGGCTCGTCGTCTTCAGATAATCACAGCGATCGAGGGATGGCTATGACTGCTTTTGGCGGCTCTCATAGCGCATACGATTCCCCAGATTCGAGACATCACCCCTTTGCCGGTGCCGCAGCTTTCCCCAAACGGCAAGGCTCTCTCTCGAGTCGCTCGGCCCTCGAGTCCAGTACGAATTCTCCACACTCGGGATCGGACGGACGCAACTTCTCGAGCCCGGATGGCGTCGCCTCCGGACAGTCTGAACAGCTGCAATTTTTCAAGGACTACTATTCCCAAGACGACATTCACCCTAATGACACCGTCGCCACCCTCTGGGCCTATCAACCACGCGCTGGGGACGAGTTCGAGTTGGAGCGCGGAGACATGCTCAAGGTTGTCGGTATCTGGGACGACGGTTGGGCGACGGGTGTCAGGCTAGCTGAATCAGCAGAACAATGGGAAGCAAGGAAGGCCGAACAACGCGACTCGGGTGTTAGCAACGGCAGCCGACGACGATCGCAGACTGAGATCGATAGCGACATCAAGGCCTTCCCGCTCGTCTGCGTGTGCTTACCAGAGCATTGGCGCAAAACGATAGATGGTGACAGCACGGGTAGTGGACATGGTCTTGGAGGTGACCGATGACCTTCCAGCCCCGGACCGTTTTGCTCCAAGCAGCTCATTGACTCCTTTTAGCCCCGTCATCCTTCTCTGCATCTCAAACATTCTTCTCGTCTCCGCTTAGGATCTCAACCCCGCCGAATCGATACGGCTGCAACGGCCCTAGCGTCAGTGTCTCAGCGGTGAGGTCATCAATATTCTCGAAAGCGAAAAAGAAGACTTCGATACCACGACCATCTTACGTGCGAACTCCAGGCAAGAAGTCTTCAGGTTCGAGCACGCTAATCAACACATCCCCCGAGAGACCGTAACGCCGCCACGACAACGGCTTCATATCCTGGAAATCGACACGATCTCAGTTCTCATATGCGACCTTTGATACCCATTCGGCCTTTTCGCTTACGTTCAACACAACACCGACATCCATACCGTCTCACTTCTCAGACAGGTATCACCACTCCAGCATCCTTCATGATTTGACGGCCGAAGCCTAGTGTCTAATACGCTCCTTTGCTACGCTTCTCACCGTGGTTCCACGAACCCATCCAACAACTACGAGTACATTTTGACTCGCACGTTGACCGACGATTCCTGTTCTATACCCTGTCGCGCTTCAATCGTGACTGACTTTCTTCTCTTCTTATTTGCAGCGGGGGCGGAAGGGCGGTATTGTACATAATCGGTGTGCCGCGCCTTTCCAGGGGATAGTTAATCTTATTATATAGCATCACGCAGTGTTTGTCCTCATTGGATACAGTGCTTGGGGGAGGTTTGAGGCTCGAACGTTGCATCTTCCATGACGGGTTGGGGTATGGGGGTGCAGGACCGGCGGAGCAATGTTGTATGAAGGATAGGTATTAATGGAAATGCACATTCGAATATCTCGGTACTCACTGTCTTTGCAATATCTGACGTCACAATCCAAGGCACTCACTTCACAGCGTCATATGTAAAGCAAGGTTGGGTGATTATGAAGAGACCTTGTGTATATTCCCCGCAGTCTTGATACTTTAGTCTTGGTATCACTGCGCCATTACGCCAAAGCACCATTCGTGCTCGTAGGAGCGGGTATTGAATGCCCAGAAGGAAGATCGAGAACCGTGAAGACCTTACGCGCCGTGAATACCGTAAACGCCTTGAATGCCACCATCTGTCGGTACTATGGGATGTCCACTAAGGCGAAGAGAAGGCTCCCATCGAGACATCTCAACCGTATCGGTTGCCGGAGCGGGCCTTGCGGTCGGCTTGTAGCTCCTCCTTGATCCGAGCTGGGGACCAAATGTTCTCGACGGGGACCTTGACGCAAGCCATCGGGTGCACGTTCTGATCGCACTTCTCCGCGACAAGCTTGACCGAGGTGATGGTTGAGTATTTGTCGCACTGCACCTGGATGTTCCAGTACTGGGGATGACCGGTGGTCAGCTAAAGATGAAGTTAGCTTGAGGTAGACACGTGCAGCGAGAGAAGACTTACAGTGCGAAGCTGCAGGCGGAAATTGCCATCCTCGTGGATGCACTTCTTGTCGTCGCCGAAGCCGCCCAGAAGCTTGTCTTCCGGAATCGCGTCGATAAACTCACGTGCTGCGAGGTACGTCTGCTTACTCATTTTGGCGACTGGGAGTGTGATCGGTTATAAATCTTTGTTGGTGAGCTACGAAGCTGCGAAGTTGCAGGAAAGACGGAGGAGTGAAAGGGTTTATATATAACAGGCTATTTCTAGGCACCGACTAAAGCTGTAGTGAAGGGTTCAAGTGAAGGGTTCAAGTGAAGGTCCGGGTGAAGGGTCAAACGAAGGCCCAGGTGAAGGAGGCCCTCAGTGACGGAAGGCTCCAATCGCAGCCTCAATGAAGAGACAGATACTAGCTATCAGGATATATGAAAGCTCGACTTGAATTCGTGCGAAGCGGGGCGACAGCTTTGTTTCATGTAGCCTGGCCTACTGCTGCATGGCATCGGATCTCGTCCGCTGCAACTCATAGACACATGTATTCGGTATTTGAATGAGCTATATATCTTAAAGGCCTCTAACGTTGCACAATAGAATGTTAATTTCAAGGTTTTACAATAGCAAATTTGTCAGCGTTGCCTAGACCTGACGTCAAGTGAAAGCGTGTCTCGCAAGCGTTTGTTGTTGCCAGCGCCTTCCACACCGACTTGAAATTACACCTGCCTCCAGCAAGCCTTTTGTTACTCACCAAAATCGCATACGCAACCATACAGCATGACCTCCACACGCGACGTTTGCCAACCCGGATTGAAGTGGGAGAACAATCTTTTCGGCACCAAGCCCACATGGACAGCGGAACCTTCCATCGCTGTCATCAAGAAACTGGTACAAGAGGCGCTGGGTGCCGAGTCCGACGTCGCATTTCTCGCACAAGGTGCATTCAACAAAATCTACAGCGTCAACTGCTGTGTGGGGGACTTTGTTCTTAGGGTAGCTTTACCCGTCGCTCCGAAGGTCAAGACGCTGAGCGAAGTCGCGACGATCGCATTCATCCGCTCAAGGACAAACCTGCCTATTCCACGGGTTCTCGCATACAATGCGGACTTCAACAACAAGCTCGGGTTTGAATGGCTTCTCATGGACCGTGTGCACGGGCGTTCACTGCGCAGCTGCTGGAATGAAATTTCGTGGCTCAAGAAGGGTTTGCTCGTCCAAAAGATGGCAGAGTTCGTATCTGAGATGTTTCACATCAAGCTCTCTAGCATTGGGAGCCTGTATGAGTATCATCTCAACAGCCATCCGGATAGCAATGACGCTGCTGTGGAACACGCTCTCGGAGAGGTAGTATCGCCGACGTTCTTCGTGGGCAGCCATATCCGTCAAATCTTCCACCGTGGACCATATCGAACCAGTGCTGAGTATGTACTCGCTCATATGCAACTCTTGCTCCAGGACATTCAGTCTTGGCGCATATCTGACAACGAAGACGATCGAGATCAGGCTGAAGAAGCGCAAATCATCTACGAAAAGCTCCAGCTCATCATTCCCAAGCTCTTCCTGGATGTTGGCCTGGAAACGACGAGCGTCTTACATCAAGATCTGAGCTCCAACAACATCCTTGTAGACGACAAGGGAGACCTCGTTGGTATCATCGATTGGGAGTGTGCCGTTGCTGCACCTCACTGGCAGGCTTGTCGAGTGCCTCAGTTCCTCGATTATGGAAAACAAGAGAACTGCGCACCCGAACCTCTGACAGAAAATGAGCAGAAGGACGAAGACGTAGTTGAGTATCACCATGCTCTGGTGCATGATTATGAGGTCACGCAGCTGAACAGATTCTTCCTCGAGGAAATGGAGCGTCTAAATCCGCAATGGGTTCAGATCCACAACGAAGGAACAACTTGTCGCGAGATCATGGTTGCTCTTGAGTTTACGTCTAGTGGAATGTACGCACACCAAGTTGAGGGTTGGTTGGATTGTCTTCTGGAAGGAAAGAAACCACGACTGACTCTCTCCGAGTCAATCTTCGATCCTTACAAGTACGATGCTTGAACGAGAGATAGCTGAGTTACGTTGTGTCTGGGAGTACCCCGAAAGATCGTCAGCGCGCACACCTAATAACAGGTCATACAATGTTTCCAAATAAGAAAGTAGAGTCTGATTTCAATCTGAACATGAACTCGAGACTTCTTTCCTCCTGCAAGTGACATGAAAGGCATTGTATTTACCTTGTTCACCATATTGTGTCCTCATTACAAGCCAGTGCATATGTTCCATTGATACAATGAAGAAGCTCGCTATGTAACATCTTGGTCTCGAACAGGAGCCCGAGATCTCGTACTTCGCGGGTGGTGCTCTCAACAGACTGTACGCTTTCGACTGCATGAAAGGCCACTATCTCATGCATGTCTACTTACCGGCTGCACCAAAGGTGAAAACGGAGAGCGAGGTCGCCACTCTCGCCTTCATCCGCGACGGGACCAGCATCCCAGTGCCGCGGGTATATGCTCACAACTCCGATCTGAAGGGCGAGCTTGGTTTTGAATGAATGATCATGGAGCGCATCGATGCGCAGCCATTGCTCGAAGTGTGGCACGGACTGTCCTGGCTCAAGAAACAGACTCTCGTTCAGCAGGTCGCTGCTTTCTAGGTAGAGCTGTTCAATCTCCCTTTGTCTAGAGTTGGCAGTGTCTACTCATCTACCGAACAAGACGCGCGACAAAGTAAACTTGATGGCCAAGGATACGAAATCGGCTAGATCGTTCACCCACGCTACTTCATCGACGATAGAATCCAGCTCGACATCGATCGAGGTCCGTCCAATAGCCGAGTAGGTGAAAACCATCTACCGCGAGCGGTTCCATCACAATATCTCTCTGGCAGTTGATAGATCCTTGGATGACATTTGTATTAAATGGGTTAAAGCCTGGCTTAAAGCACTGATGCGAGTAACCGATCAATCGAAGACAAGCTTGAGGGACATCAAAGTGGCGAAGCTCGTAAGAATGCATATTGGACCTGGAGCTGAAAGTGCGCAAGTACCCCTATCACAAGACATATTTCATCGCATGGAGGCACATTGGTGAATAGGTAATGTCTCACCGTTAGATGACTAGACAGCACCTAAGATTAAGAATTGCGCCACACTGTTTCAACTGCATGTGCACTGAGCTTCAATGATCGATGACCTTCCACCATTCAAGCATTTATCTCTCTCCAGAAGACGACAGTTATCCATGCTTTTTCGTTCGTTTGTTCCGCTACTTTTGTACTCGTTTGCTCTTTCCCTCGTTTGCTCGTTTGCTCCTAGGACGCACGTGGAAGTCTAGGCGCGTCGTTTGTCCCTATGCACGCACGTGAAATATGAGACGCGTTATTCGCTTAGCAATCCATATTGCGACCAATAGTTTAGGAAATATACTGTTTCCGGAAACCCAAGCTTTACCACAGTTCGCAGTTCACAGTTGGCAGCAGATACCTGCCTATCTACCTACCTCACCCTCATCATGCCGCCTCTGCGCAACATCCCTCAGCCTGGACTGGAGTGGGATACTATCGGTATCAAAGCGACCCAATTTTTACAATTGAACCATCCATCGACGTTATCAAAAAACTCGCGATTCTGCATATGAGCGTCACAGGAGATTGTCACGTTGCTGAGATCGAAAGTATAAGCGATTGTTCAAAGTTGTACCATGTCAAATGTGACCAAGGGGTCTTCACGTTCAAGGTTTGCCTTCCGCTTGCACCGAAGGTTCGAACATTGAGTGAAGTTGCGACAATTTCTTTCATCGAGAACAACACCACGATACCAGCGCCCAAGGTCATGGCATATGATGCAAACTTGAACAATGAGCTGGGATTTGAGTGGATCTTGTTCAAGCACGCCAGCGGTCATTCATTGCTAAACCGCTGGCATGAGATGTCATGGCTCAAGAAAGAACTGATTGTTCGTAAGATCATGGACTACATGGTCCAGCTCTCTCGTATCGAACTCTCTGGCATCGGCAGCATGTTTCGATACAGTCTCAGCAGTGGAAACAGCGAAGGCTTCCATCATAAAATCGGCGAGTATGTCGCGGCATATTTCTTCAGGAACGAGCACATCCAACTGGAGATCCCACGTGGGCCATACACTACCAGCTCTGAATGGCTTGCAGCCCACATGGAAATCATCTCTCACAACATTACGATGTGGCACGAATCGGGTGGAGACGACCGAGGGCTTGCTGTCGAAGCACAGAAGATCTTTGAAGATCTCCAACGGGTTCTGCTTAAGTTTTTCCCAAGCTTTGACCCAGAACCTACTTTTCTCGATCAACACCGCTTTGACGAGTACAGCATCTTGGTGGATGATTCAGGCGACCTTGTCTGTATTCTAGACTGGTCGAGCATCAATGCTGTTCCACGCTGGGAAGCATATCAAATCCCGAGGTTTCTCTATTCAACCTGTGTCAAATACATTCCTGAGCCTCCGACTGAAGAAGACAAGCAAGATGAAGAATTTTACGAGGAATACAAATACAAGATTCAGAACTATGAGACGTGGCGATTGCGCACATTCTTCTTGGAGAAAATGCAGCGTATTGCACCCGAATGGGTGAGGACTTTCAAGAAAGAGACGACCAAAAGGGATATTCTCATGGCGATTGAGTGCCTCGATCATAGTTTGCACACGATGAGGGTCCAGCGTTGGTTAAACTGCGTGCTAGAAGACAGGATCCCGCAGAAGTCGCTTACAGATGCGGTTTCATTTCCTTGGTTGAGGGATTATGCGGACGACATGCCATGTCAGCGCCACGTGAAGGTGGAAGACCCTGATGAGGAGGCGACGTGAAAAACGAGTGGCTGAAATGAGGAGGGGAAAGTGCAGTTGCCAATCTATTTTCAACGGAAACAGTTCTGGGAAGCTGTGTCATGCCTTTGTACAGACAAAGCGAACATGTGAACGTTTGAAGTGATAACTATGTAAAAGTATGCCCTCGTGTGTTTGTCAATAATTGTTGTAAACAACGGGGTACGTCACGTGATCTAAAACCCATGACGTCAGATTCAGCCGCATCACAGCTACACCTCTTCAACACTTTAGAGGGCAAAGTTATCACTTGCCCTCTCGTATCACGTACCCTCGACTTGCCCTTCAGGACGCGTGACTGGCGTGCCCCTCCACATGACTACGCGCCGCTTGGCGACCACGTCGACACTTGGCGCACTCGCGCCTTTCCCACTCTATCCTGCATATGGGCGATTATTGTATATTCCGATTGCGGTATGCATCCTGTTGTGAAGTCCCGCAGGACGGCGACGCGTGTAGCTCATGACTCAACCATTCACGCGCCAGCCATGGGGTATTGCATCGATGGCATGTCGCGTATGCCCTTCGCCGTCCCTGGAGGCATATTATTTGGGTTTCCAAGCACCCCAGGGGCGATGGAGGCACATGCGTTGTGGAGCAGTTGCAACAAATTTCTAGCCCTTCAACGCCCCTCTACATCCCCAGACTTCCTTCATGTGTATTGTGCTAGTGCCCCTTACGCTTCTGCTGCCAGATTGTCTCCGTCATATAAGCCATCTCCATCCGACGACACATCCGTCTTCCGTATCTGTACCCTCCACTATCTTGAGTCATCTGCAATCCATCCCAGTCTTTATCATAATCTTCAGCCTCTTTGTACTTGAACCACGGACCTTTTGTGAGCCTTCCTCAAGCGAATACTCAGCGTGATCATTCTGATTTGAGCCCAGGCCCACACAAAACTCCGCGATGACTGATCATGGCCAATTCTCTCGCACTCGCTCAAGCGAGTCAGGTGCAATGGTCTCACAACTGTACACACAACCAAGCACTGACCGAACTCATACTCAAGTAAGCAAGGGCTAGATGACTTATCTTGATAGGAGCCAATCTGATGATTGCAGGCTTCTCATTATGACAATCAAGTCTATTCTAGCTCGACCCCACGTTACGATTCTACGGTAGACAGCCACACGCAGCAAATTCACTATGAGAAACGAGGGGGTGAGCATTATCACAATGTGCCCCGACCATGGACGTTAGATGATCCGTCAATCAACCGAGTGATCAATGACTCGACATTGAATTACAGTACCAACCAAGACAGTCAAAGCCCGTACCACCGCTCTGGATATGACTCCCATGTGTCATATACTCACCATTCATTACCAACAACCTCATCATCCAACCACGGCGCCAGCAAACACTTCAAAACCTCCGATCTGACGAGCCATGATGCAACACCGAGTCGATTAGCAACATGGGCGCAGGAGAGTCCGCGTGATGGCCCGTGGAATGTTGCTGGAGGAGTGGGGAAGGAGTCCGACTACAGACCATTTAACACAAAGTTGTGAAGCGACTTGTGCATTCGGACTGGAAGAAGACTCGGGTGCATCTGATACTTTCTATAAAGCGCCGGCATGCCTTCTTATAGCTGTACGTGTCAGTCCAAGAGGCTCGGTGTATGTGGGGGCAGAATGGGAAGGCTATGCGGGAAGTAATAGCGCATGGGGTAGGCTGTGCTATGTGCAGGCGTCAACATAGGTAGGATTGGCGGCGCCGTCCTTGAAAACTCGGCGTTTTGGTCCGGTTCTTTGTATTCCACTGCACCAGCTTCGAGGCTGGATCCATTAGTTGTTGAAACTTTGGCTCCATTTCGGTGGTATGTATGAGCTTTGTTCAATTTGAAAAAAAATTGTGCTCTGTCAAGCTCACAAGAGCATTCAATTTGTATTTACGAAAAAAGATATTTGTCACAGAGAACGAAAATACTACAGTACCTTTTCCACAAACTGCAATACGGCTTTGTACAGCTGTGACATTCACCATCTCCAAGGAATGATAAGGTTTTCGAGGTGGGCGTCAGAGAAACCCGGAAGATTCATCGCTGCGGCTCTACAGACGCAGGTCCCCCCTCAGCTCACCGGTCAGGTCACTCAAGCCTGCGCCAAGGCAAGGCCGCGTACTCTGGACACGAAACACATATTAATCTCGCTTTTGGTAGCAATCGAAGCTTGGATAGCCAGTAGTCTAGCAGAGAACGCTTTTGTCGCACTCAAATGCAGCAACGCGGTGTCAAAAGAGGGCGAATTTGACCCATGACAGTGTCGCTCTGACGGTGTTAAGCGCCGGCATCGGAAACCTCCGGTATAAGGCGGAAAGGCAAGGCGTTGAGGCAGGGCGAGAAGGGCAATGCGGCTCTGCGAGCCTGATGATGTTCAGGGTTCCAGGCAGAACCCAGAACTGAGTCTTGATTTAGATGTAACCAGACAAGTCAGAACAAAGGCCACATTGATAGCTCAGGCTTGCCTCACCGTACGGTCTTGGTCTGGACCATGTTATAGCTTCGTTTCTGCGATCGAAACACGGAGTTAAGCGTGAAGTGGCCATGCGAACATGTATGTTCGGTCGTTGTTAGCGGAAGGTGGGGTAGGTGCCTAGCGCGGCGGGGCAAGCACGTTCTGTCAACATCAACTCACCAACTGACACTCGCAACAGCAATTTGTGCAGAAGCATTTCCCTCATGAATATAGAACAAGGAACCGCGTGTAGAAATTTGGTAGTACTACACAAAACGAATGCCATTGCGCTCTGGCAACCGCACACATGCTTCATCTCGCTTCACCGGTTTTGCAGGATCGCTAGCGGCTAGCATTAGTGTCAAGTCCTGGAGGAATACCTACGTGGGCTGGCACCCTCCAGATCCCTCAAGCCAACTAGCGTCATACTTGTCTGTGTGTTGACGCGTTGCCCACCATCTGCATTGCCTCGAAACGGGAACATTTGCGAAGTGGGCTTGTTCCACAAGTATCGGTCACGCCGGACCAGTCGGCTATCAACAGGCATTATTGATACGTCTGGAATTGAACACTATCTCAATTCCACTAACGCAATCTGCCTTGTGTATGTCTGGTATTGATGGTGATTCGGCCCCCAAACGAGGGATCGTGTCACGGCACAGTGCTGAGTTGTAAGAATAGCATCTACACTTCAAACTTCGGTACATCCATCAGAGTTTGTTAGATCTCAAAATAGATCACTGAAGATATCAGATGGCGATGCCTCCTTCAAGTCAAGAAAGAAGTTTCGGCAAACGTACATCTATAACATCACAACATTGAACGCGATACCTGCACACCACGCGGCGATTGTGCAGACTGTTCAACATGGCTTGTCTTTGCCTTTGGCCCCCGACGGCTAGCTTCGACAGTATAGAACAGTCCTTCAGAACTTTACAGTAGACTTTTCGACAACGCAACCGCGACTTCCGCGCTGCTGGCCTGGCTGCTAACATTCACGGTCTGCCAAGCAAACTGCGTCCTGGATGTCGCTTTTACCGGTCACCACCTCAGTCTCCGGATTTACTAAGCATGCACAACTTAGACCCACGAAGACGCCGGTGAGGGATCGTCACACACACTGCCTATCATGGAAAGGTCACTTTACTACATGTGACCGCAACGCTTCTTTATCCTAACACCGAAGTATGCCTTACCACATGTTTTCTTAGTCTTTCGCAAAAGCTAACAGAACCAGAAATTATTGAGCTGGGGTCAGAGAAGTGTTTTTCAGACCCTACCAATGATACTGCCAGCCTGGGATACGCAATACCAAGCGATGTGGTTGCCTTCTTTTCGACACCCTCAATCTCAGGTCTCTTGCCAGACAGTAGCCGAGCTATTGAAGACCTGCAGTGACTCAATAAAGTCTTCAGCCAATAGGTTTACGCCAATACCGTTTGCCTTCTCTGGCCTATGCCGTTCATGCAGCCAGAGTTGCATGACAACGTTGCCAAATGGCCCGCATCGTACGGTGCCAGGTCCTAGTACTGCCCAGGGCGTCGTTCAGCAGTTTCAAGTCGCATTCCTTCAGTGCGTTCCACAAGTTCCTGGAGGACATACCGCCCTCCAAAATGACGCGCGTTGCGTATGATCGTGGGTTGCCATGATAAAACTCGCGCGTTTTCGTTCGCCTTGGGGGCATCACCTTCCATTTGAACACCAATAAGTGGCAACATGCGACTTTTGATAGAATCACGCAAGCTGACCATTGAGTGAGTGGGTACTCCTTCGTTTCTTTACTCTGTATTCAAGATTGACGACTGACCGTTATAGATTGGCATCGACCAAGCATATTGCGGTCGATCGTGCAGGCGCAGAAACGTTCGTTCCACAAGGTGCAAAGGAAGACCCTCACATTGATCACTTCGACGATATCAAGTCATCCCAATCTTCGACGGATAACAAGCCATCTTCCGAAACCTCGGATACGAGCGTCTTCCGCTACACGCAGCTTTCACGTCGCAAAAGCATTCACAAACGCATCGGTCGTGTCCTATTACGTATATCCAGAATGTGCTCGGACGCTCAATGTAGTGTGTACGCCTACCAGTATGGAAGTGGAGCCTCGGAACTGCCCGCGGGAGAGTCACCAGGTGAAGGCACTGCTTCACTTTACGAGATGCCCGGATCATTTCCCCGAGTCGAACTCGAGAGCCAGGATGTGGAGAAGCGATCTGTCCCTCCCTATTCGACAAGTATGGCATACGCTCAGGCCGCACCAGAACATCTTCAGGGCTATTACAAGAAGAACCAAAACGCCACACTTCGGAGGGCTGCACCTATGTCGGTTGCAAACCTCTCGCATCTACCACGTCTCGAAGTGCCGCAATCACAATACCGTGTGCCAAGATTGATCTCGGATCACTCTCCACTCACGCCATCGCCCATATCTCCCATAACACCAGTAATAGACACAAATAGTGGCTACAGTGGGGCGCCAAATCTTGGTCAATATCTGGATGTGATCTCTCCTTGTACTATTCCTAAGCAAAGCCAGATATTTGCTTGCTATGGTAACTGGAGTCATCATGGGCAACAATCCCCAGCTACGCCATCTACATCCGACTCATATGACCATAGCCTATCGTACACGACGACGCCACTTTCTGCGTATTCTCACTCTTCTTATCCGCCGTCGGCACATTCACCTTATCCGTATTCAGCTCATTCTTCTCATCAGCCATGGCCGCAGCCACAGATTGAGCGACAACCACCGATGCAGGCGCAGACCTACTCTCCCATGCATTGCAGCCAATCCTCGAACCAAACTCACCTTGCGGGCGCAAACTTTTGGGCAAGCAATGTCCGAGCTCAGACAGGAGATGTTAACAATGGTTTTCCGCTCTTCCAGTCACAAGACTGGCAATCAGAAATTTCTGTTGCATCTCGACCTCATGGCCCAACTTCGCAGGCACAAAGCTACTTCGAGAAACAGGGCCATGATTCCTCAGACCAGCTCCTTTTCCCACACCTATCGATGAGCCACACATTTGAGGATGTGCCACCAGCATACAGTCCAGTCGCTTCAGAGCCGCAACCTACCATTAGGAACACACAACAGCGCTACCAGCCAGCGGTATGCCAGCACTGCGGAAAAATCTTCACGGGGAAGTATGGGTCAGGAAACTGTAAGAGACATGTTCAGCAAACACATGCGTCGATCTTCGACCGAGCGATACACATGTGCAAGATGTGTATGAAGACATACAATCGTGCAGATGCATTACGAAAGCACCAGTGGAAGAAACACCGCATGGCAGATGCAAAGCCGAATAAGAGGAGAGAACGAGGGTCGTAACGCACGTCCAGACAGCTTTTAGTATTCGTTCACGTTTTGTACATAAGATACCCGCCGAATTGGCAAGATAGTAATTTCGTAACATGAACAAGAACCGTCTCATATTGCATACTTTACTTCTCCACACCATATCTCCACCTATGACGTCCAATGGTCAGGGGAAACTCTGTCGTGGAGAATGCAACGAAATCCTCGTGCTGGACTACCAGGCAGCAGTGGCTGACTATGCCGAGTGGCAAATCTCACAATACAGCCTCAGCATTCGTGCCGCGCCTGCCGGAGGGGCAAATCGTGATGCAGGGCTTGATGGGTCACACCGCTTCATTGCCACTCCTCTGTGAGAGGGCGAAGGGCGTGAGTGATTCCGGGCACGGCTCGTGGTCACTGAGTGCCAGGCGACCAGATTAGAATCAGGGAGAGGCGAGAGAGAGGTCGGATCGCCTGGGCACGTTTTCAGATTTGCCAATAGGCTGAGGTGGAATCACCTTCCGGAGGGCAGTGTTTCAAGCAGCGTCTCTAGAGTGAGAACAAGAGGCTATGGAGGCACGGCGGTGACACGTGTGACCTCACAAGCTACGGCTTTGGGCTCAGCGTTGCTTGGTCTGCCTTCTTAGTGCCGAATCTTGCGGCTCTGCTGCATTGACTAAAAGAGGCGCAGCTTTTAATCCAGCTATGGTATGCGGTAGGCTTCGCGGAAGGCTTAGCTAGTCACGGAACCTCTGCATGGATGTAAGCTGAATTCCAAACTAGACTATTCAGTCTTTTAGGGATGTATTGTGCGAGACTGATCTCCTTTGAGCGTGAGTTTCTCGACTGAGCCTCGTTCGCCAACCTATTGACGTAGGGAAAGGTTACTCGGCGTCATGCGGTGTGCAATCCTAGGGGCACTTCTTTTTAGAAATGGCAGTGTATTAGCTCCCTTGCAAGCGTAGATTACACCGCTGTCATGTGGTCAGGTACCATGGATCTCCGCATTTGTTGACATGCAGCGGAGCCGCACTGTCCACATGCGATAAGCTAGCCTTCGTGTCACGAACAAATGGCAGAAGAGCAGGGCTTCTTGGCTGACGGTGGACCATAGCGGGCAATGAACGTTGTTCCGGGCAAGCTATCGGAAGCGTTGCGGTCTGATGTGAACTGAGCATCCATTGCCCAACGTTGTGGCAGTGCTCATGTTTGTATTACACTACGCGTCCTATCATTGATCAGATGCGATGTCGCCGGGTCCTTGACTGGATACTCCAGTGTCTGATATGAACGGTATCGCTGGCAGCCAGCACAGCACGTACCTTCGTCCACTTACATACAGTGATGCATGAATGTGCGCGAGGAAAGCATCAGTGCTATCTGTCTCAGGGTCATATGTATTGATGTTGCAAGCTGCCAGATTTCGTCATGCGTGGACAATAGCTGGCAGGTCTAGACATACTGTGGCTGTCTACGAGAGATTGGCCTGGCTTCATTTGCCAGATTTTAGGACACTATGCCCCAGGTACATTTGGGCCCACTGGTTCTGGTCCTGCTAGAACTAATGATGCCGATTCAAGCCCATACGATTTTCTAGTGTCGTACACGTGAGATAGAAGCTTTCGGCGTACGGACGTTGCGTTCGTTCACTGGACGGCTTACACTCCCGCCAGCCCGGCGCATAGAACGTAGATGGATGCGGAGCCAACGACACTGCTTCTTTTTCGACTCTTCGGTGTAGCCCTTCACCCGCGTGAAGTATGCAAATTGTTTGGGCAGAACTCATCGCCATTGGCGGGGTTTCGCAATCGCAATTGCCAATGCAGTGTTGAAGCTCCATGCCTCGTTAACTGCAATTCTGAATAGGTACACAAGCTAACTCCGCAGGTTGTGTGGTGTGTGGGCGAGTCTCGATCGACCGGGTTAGTGGAGTTGTTCTTGTCGAATGGCCCCGCTCCAAAATAGATGCTGTGCATGACAGGGTTCTACTACACCGCCTTAACGCATGTGCTGTCGCAAACCCGTGGATTTAAACTGCGTATATGCACAAGTTCACTGCAGTATGCTTGCACGTACAGTATCCACCTGCGTCGGCTTGTTGCATCGAGGGTGGCACCGGTGCGTCCCAAACAAGCCAGACCCTTGAGGAAACGGAACGCTGTTGCTGATTGATGTACGCACCAGCTCCACGAATCAGCTCGAAATGAGTTGACATTGCCCTCGGTCGTGTCCTGACTCGAAGGTGCTGATGTTGCAATTGGTAGATCCGGGCAGTCGACTTAGTCAAGCGGGTGTCCTTAAGCGTGGTACTGCAGCCGCTGTGTCTGATCTGACATCTGTGCCCTCATGATTCACTGAAGATCATCCCGCACGGTTTCCGACGTCATTATGTTTGATTCGCTTGCTGTGGTGCATGCTCGCCCTATTCTGCATTGGCACAGCCTCCCCTTTGTGGTCCACAGTCGGAATGCCTTCGCGGGGCCCCGGCTTCTATCATCCGTACGCGGTCGCAGCTGGTGACACGATTTGCCGCGGGCGATAGGACACATCCTGGAAAGTAGATTTAAAAATGCTCCTTGTAGGGATGCACCGCGCTGTGCTGCTGAAGTGCAGCTTTGCCTTACAGCCCCGTATGGTTTGTGGCACGCCGTCTTATTCGTAGCGTCATGGTATCCTCCGATTCGATGATCTGTCTGCTGCTGGCAAAAGATCCCGTGTCTGCGCATCTAATTCGTCTAGATAGGAGACCAGTCGGGGATTGCTGAGTCCTTCTCTTGGTATGTAAGTACGCCCAAGACTTAGCGCATGCTTCACGAGCGCAATAAATCGTTCCTCGCCTCAACTTCGACTTTTTGGTCAAACCCTTCAGCTGTCATACTTGTCGTGACAAGCAGCCAACCGCACCGTGTAGGCCCGCTACCCGCGCTTTAACGTTGTGGCTGCAGACCGCTAATCGCAAATAGGCGCCAGCTGCAGACACGCTTCGCGTGAGATCGAAAGCCTCGTGTTTACCGTCGTCCTGAATCTCCATGGTGGCGTGTGACCTTCAGTATCGATTTTCTGTCCGTGTCAAAGCCTTGACATCATAGTGAAATACCGTTTTTCGAGACGGATCCAACCTCCTGCACCCACAGTTGTTCAGCCGGTGACACTCAATCGTGTCAAACCATCTACAAACTCTCCACAATCTTGTCTTGCGCGTTGCTTTGATCGTGTTGCCCTGCCTGCTTCGAGCTCGATCGCGCCACCGACTGTTTTGAGAAGCCTTTGCCATACCGCTTTGGGATCTGAGTGTACACTTGCACCAAGTCGGAAAACACAATTTCGGACTGCTCACCTCTTCTGTGTGTTTGTTCAAAGTACCCACCAGGCCAGCCGACACATTGGAATCCCAAGCGGCAGAACCGTCCTAGCCTCTACAACAGAGACTTGAACATGAGTTATCGACCGTCTTGCTGGACTGCAGGTTCCGAGATTCCCGAGATCGAAGGGCCGGATGACCGGGATATGGAATGCGACTTCGATACGACGATGATAGATCAAGACCAGAACGAAACACAACTAGAATCTCGTCATCACTTTGATATTTCCAGCAGCTCAGACACTGTTGATCAGGCGGATCACGCTCATTCCATCAGGTCGGGTTTAGGACTCCATTCGGAGACTACAACTTTTCCCGATCAAGTGTCGCGGGACACATTTGGTCTGGGCGCCCATTCGATGGAGCAAGCTAGCCCATGCTTTGAGGAAAGCGAAGGACCTGCTATCCGAGCAAACGATCTTGCCCACAGCAGTGTGGACGGGTGTGAATGGAACCAACCATGGCGTGTCTATCAGCAGGACACCGTATCGGATGATCACATCGACCCATGCCTGTTAGAAACCAGTGTAGACTCCATGCTACCGAGAGGCACAAGGCAGTACCATGATCTGCCGATCATAGAACCAAGATTCGTTCCAGGAGGCGATGACGGAGCGTTTTGGGATGCAGGAATCATGGGTCAGTCTCAATGGCAAGCCTCAACATCCTTGCCCCTCGAAAATCCAGAAGACCAGTATGCGGCAGCATTCCCATACTCAAACATCTCTGCACCGCCTGCTCGTATGTTGGATGCCCATTCCTCAGAAATGCAGGAAATTGTCTCTGAGAGAATGCACACACCGACACAACGTCATGTTTCCACCGAGGGGGCAACTGCCAGTAATCGTAGGTATTGTTACTCCTCATCGTCGGCGCCTGGTCCTACGGTGTCATCGGGCACTTCTCCCCCCTCCAACTTCATGGCGATACCAGGGCAAGACGTACCTTCTGCTTCCATATGGAAGTATCAAACCCAAAGGACGAGTACGAGTGGAGCGGCGGGCAGAGACCAGATCCATCTACAAGTCCCAAGAGATCCTCAACATTGTTACCACCTGAAGACAACAAACTCAGTCTCCGGTATCGTCGATGTTGATGAAAGCCACCAGGGCGCAGCCATGAGAAGGCAAGTTTGAGTTGGTGATATTGTCCAAGGTAGTACTGACATGAAAGCCACAGGTCATCCAGCAGCCATCTTTCCGTTCCCGACAACATTATGCAGAGATACAATGCTCCCTCGCCTACCATTTCGGACATGAGCACTTCGTCTTCAATGGTGCCAGATGACTTGATATGTCGAATTGAAGGTTGCCAGGTCCGTTTTACCGGTCGATATCGAAAAGGAAATTTGCGGCGCCATGAACGCCTTGTCCATAACGAGACCAAGTATCTCTGCGGTGTGGGTGATTGCGACAAGTCGTTCAACCGCAAGGACGCCCGTCTGAAACATTATCGTAAGCAGCATCCTGCCGATTTGCCGTACATTAAGCCACCGGCGCTGCGAGGCCCTCGACAAACGATCTGATCTTGATAGCGTAGACACGCGTGCCTCACTTATGTGGCACCAGTCCGCTGGAAGACACAATATGCCACACCGACTGGTCACCCTTCTCTCTATCTGCTATTGGGCTTCCTTGCTCTTTCTCTGTTGTGTTTCAAAGCTTGTACCACATTGCGCTCGTTGAATTATTTCTTTTCATCATGTATTTCCTGGGAAGTCTTCACCCAACGCCCAACACTCATCATGTCCCGTCACCGGAGAACATGTTCGTCGTCATAGCAGGGTCGAGGGTCTCGTACGTTTCTCCGACCGGGGGCGGTTAGTCATCCATGAACAAGGGAGAGTGCTTCGAAGGTTGACTGATGCGCAGGTTTCGTGGATTGTGTCGTGTGTGTATGTGTAAGATGAGGTGACATCGGTGAAGGACCGGCAGTTTGGCGGGAGGTATCGACGGCGGCCCGTGCAATGGCTCATGGTCACGTGCAACCTTCGAAAGAGACGACGGAGACAAAGACAACGACGATGTTGACATGATGGATGCCCACACGCGATGGATATCTTCATTTGTTAGCGACATGGATCTTACCGTTAATGATCGCCAGTGACAGCTTCACTTTAGCGATTGGCTGCAGCCTATAGATGGTCGACAAGGAAGATCCCAATGACCGAGTCAGGCTTCGAGGAGGATCGCTATGGAGTGGTCAAGATACAACACAGGCTATCAGCCTCACGAGCTCACTCCAAGTCTGACTGCCGATCCAACCGGTGGACCCACATAGTACATGTTACCTGAGGTTCTTGGAACTTGGATACTGACGGCGACTTTCGACGACATAAGGGCGACTTTCGACGACATAAGGGCGACTTTCGACGACATAAGGGCGACTTTCGACGAAATAAGGGACCTTGGTGAATGGAGACGACAGGCTGGTGTATGGTCATCATAGTTGCAGCCGTCCAGTATCGATATGATGTGTTGGAGATAGTGTGTCTGGCATGTTCGGTATGTTCTGCACAATGTAGTCCGGGTATCTCTTGTGCTGTCTGGCTGACTTTCCAGATTTGAGAGTGCCGATGTACATCGTTGACTTAGGTATGATCGTTGGTATCTGGCATCAAGGGCTGGAAGAACTGGGAGGGAGGCTGACTTTATACACACTGGCCCGCAAGGTCTGGACTAGCCGGTACGACGCTGGCGCCTGTTAGTAATCAAGTCCTACTGGCTCATATCCGCCTTGTCAGCTTGCTCTTCGACTCTTGCTGCTCTTCTGCCTTATCAGTGGACAGTCAAACACGACCTACTGACACACTAGTCAAGCCAGCCACCAGCTGAGACCGCATGGAACAGAGTCTTCACTGCCTTTTCATTTCCTCTCTCATGCTCTCCATCACCCGGTATCCCCTTGCTACTGCTTCCTATACTTGACAAAATTGAGGGTCGCTGCCCAATTGGGCAGGGTGTTCCCAAGCCAGTATGTCCTGGAGTGGGAAGAATCAAAATCATTGGTAAATGATGCCACTTGTGATAGACAGGCTTGCTGATTCCCAGGGATAGTTTTCGTGAAAGCTCACCTGTAAGTGGTGATGACGAAGACGTGAGGCAATTTTTGAGCACAGCCACTCAGCCGTATGCGAGCTGCACGCTTCAGGGTCTATCTGCTTCGGACACCCCGAATGACATTGTTGCCACTGCGATTTATACAAAGCGTGAGAACAGTCTCAAAAGGCATACCATCAGGTCCGGCTGCTTGAGCCTCATCACGGTGGTGAGTGAGCAAGGCTGGCATTGGCATGCAGGGTGGCTGGGCTTTGAATGCGTACCTCACCAATCAGAACCCTTAACCAATCCGTGAAAGGACTCCCTACGACCTATAATTGCACAATCACGTCTGTGATTTTCACGCCTCAATGACTCCTGCTGTGGATCATATCTTTGTGACAAACCAATCGAGGTCCTTCGCACATCTACACTTGTTAGCCGAAAGAACCTGCAGGCAGATCCGGTCAAAGATCAGGTTGCCCTTCTCTCACAGCAGGGTCCACATCTGATCTTGGTGCTGCCCAATGCTTTGCAGCAATGTGCAGGACTGCAGTTATTCTTGTTTGTTCCAAGTGTGCTCAAGCAGGCTCGAGTTACACCGCGGTCCACGAGCCAATATGTGGTTTTCGTTCAACACTGAAGCCCAATGCATTCCATGTCGACCGCATCATGTCGAAGGTGAGCATGTGCATAGCCATAAAATTTGCCAGAGGGCTTTCATATGAGCAGATGTTTCGCAAAGATCTGTGTTGTATGATGATCTATTCCAAGCTCTTCTGGTACCGTCGCGTGGATTTCGGCAGTTGCTGCAGCACCGGAGTCTCGTGCGACTCACAAAGTATCGAAACAGACACCTCTCTCTGTTTTGGTATCTCGCAGGCAGAGCCTGCGAAAGTTTGAAGAACATCCTTGAGCGTTCGAAGAGCTCATCGCTAAAGGTTGTGTTTGTGAGTGAAACAGAGGCGTAAGAGAGTGTGTAGCTCATATGTTAGGAAGAGATACACTCCCACAGCGAAGATTTGGCACAGCGAAGATTCGGAGAACACCATGTGCGTAGGCCCCATCAACTACTCGCAGTGTTTTGATGCGACCAAGAGAGTCTTGTTTGCTGCAGTCGATTCCTTACCAGAAGTATCGAACGTCGCTCTCTGCGGTGTGCTGTGTGTGTCAGGGTCCGACAGCGCACACGTCGGAACTCTTGTCGCAATAGCATATGTGAGGAAGGCGATGCGATTCCAGTCCCAATGTCTAGAGAACATAACTTCGGTGCTCACTCAAGACGTCCTAGCGCGAATCTCGGTTCTGCCATTCGTGGCTCATCAAAGCGTTCAGGTCCGGCCCGTTCCTAGCGAAACAGAACATCGCGATATGATCAATTTCCCGAGTCATGAAAAAGTTGGTGGCTGATTCTAGTTCATTCGGGATTCGGAGCTGTCATTAATTGAGCCAGATGACGCTGATCGTGCGATCTTATCGGCTGGTGCACCCGAGGGCTGAAGGCACGGGAGAACAACTGCTGATTGTTGCAGGTAGCTGACGAACGCCCTATGTTGGTGAAGGATGGTGGTGGGTGCCATGCAGCAACAGGTGGGGTTCATGCAAGCGCGAAATTGGCAGGCGCCTCCAAGCCTCGCAAACGTGATTGAGAGCCAAACCACTGCAAGTGACACGCCATCGCTGTACTTATCAACGTATGTAGTGCTGTTGCGGCCCGGCTCGGGCGCTTGCTGGTGCTACTGTTGACAGAGAGTCTTCGGCTTCTCGTTTATTGCTGCTAAAGCAGGCAAGGTCACACGCCACTTCAGCCTCTCGAGAGGTCGTGCCTCGTAGCTCGGTCATAATGCATTCCGAGCGACTATCATCTGCCTCTAGTCGAGTTGCCGGCATTTGAACCATGCATTCTACGCCAACGAGAAGCAGTAGCTGCGAACGACCCATCGATCCTAATTTGTGATATGCCGCTTGACCCGTATAGGAAAACGCTGGATCATCGATGCAGAGCCGTCGTTTTATGTGCCTCTGTTTGGTGGGAGAATACAAGGCGTATGTTGGTTGACCGTATTTGCTCTTGGACGAGAACAGAACAGGCTTAGTTCATGAGAGTCTTGCTTCCTACGACTCGAGGGTACGTGGATTGCACGTATAGTTATTAGTCGATATGCGATACTCCTACAGTCGTGATCGTTTGGTATGACTAATAGGTGTTGCCATCATGTTGACGCCCAGGTCGCGCAATTGCCGCTGAGCTGCAGGTCACCCGCCCACAGAGACGCTGGTGGCTTTGCCGATACCGAGAGCACCATGATCTTCCCACCATGTGGGTAAATCGGTATGCAAGCAGCAAGCCCTTGCTTGGAGTTCATGCCACGAAAAATAGATCAGCTGTTTGCCATTAAGTAGAGTCCGTAGCCCCTCTGAGAGAAGAGTTTAGGCCCCCATGACAGATTGCGAGCCCTATACGTTTCAATCTCTCTATCAGCACACTGAACGCTGTCTTTAGCTGCGTGAAAGTGTACGATACTGTACCCCTTTTTTGGTGTTCTTCCGCCTTCTACGCCGCTGTGACTCTCGAGAAAGCATGTGTCGCGGCCAACCTTCATCATGGCCTAGCTCTTGCTTGCTGCCACGAGCCCCACGTAGGGAAATGATAGGTCGAGGTCCAGCTCCTGCTCAATGATCCCCGGTATAAGTCTGACATTGTCGAACTCTTTACTGTGTTATCGAGCTTGACTTTCTCCAGCTGTATTTGGCTGGTACCAGCTCGAGACGATGCTGACACATGCAAAGGCGCGGTGGCTTTGACGGCTCGATCGCAGGCGCCCGCAGCTTGTCTACCGGCAGCTATCCGACCTCGACTGCATGTTGCATCAAACGAACGCATGTCGAGTACGCACACTTGAATAACGCAACACATCATCTCCAGTGCATCGCACTCAACGTTGTCCTGTCGTGTGGTTGGGCATAGACCATGCCCAGCTCCGCCACACCTAGTCTGAGTCCTCTTTCTCGCCCTCTCTCGACGCTGCCTGGTAGTCGTAACGCGAGAAAGACACCGACACTCTGCTCTGTCATCGTCTTCCTCTCACCATCTGCAGGATTCCATCCATCTTCATCTCGGTGCGGAATCTCCAGAAGCTTGACAGCCTTGTCGGACCAGTCTAGGTCCACGCCTCAAACATCGAAGGACTAGCGTGTATCCCCGCATCCCAGGAGTTGAGCTTGTAAAGAGTGCTGGCCAACGCGAGCTTTGAACAGCCCCAAAAAGCTCAAGGTACGTGTAGAAATTTCGGCCAGTATCCCTCCAGCAGCTTACTACCCCAGTGGTGCAACTTCAAGAAACGCGTTGTGCTTGAGCTTGCTCTATCACCGCGGCGCAAGAAAGTCGAGACCTCGTCTGCTTGTGACTCCGCACCGGTGCGTGAATAAGCGCTCCAAGCCTTCCAAAGGGTGCGACCCGGTGGTCTCAAAGCTCCTGGCTCTTTACACACCTCGTTGCTCCTCTCTCAGTCCTAGCATCGTCACCGTCGCCAACCCCGCTTTTAGCCCTGACCTAGAGGCTGAGAGGGTCTTTCTCACGCACTTTCTTGGACGTTATCCATATCCCGACCATCTCTTCCAGGGAGCAGGCAGGAGGCCAGCGACTGGCCTTCGCATTCTGGTTCTCGTCCGATCTGCATCTGAGTCCGCCCAGTCTGAATTCTGCAGCTGGAAATGGGCAGTCACCACCAAGACATCCACTCTCTAAGGCGATCCGTCGAGGATCCTTTTCAGCTGTTGATGGATACCAATAGCCACCACCCTGTTCTTTATTCCGAAAACGCTGAACCCCACATCTGGTCGCGTGAGACCTCGAGCCAGAATCACGCCTCCACAACAGACGACGCCATAGAAACCACTACTCAGATGCAGGCCCACGGATACCATACTCTCTATGGTTCCGACACCGCTCCATCATGGAGCCATGGAGCGCAATCTCTGTCTTTGCCAGTGTATGCGTACGCCATCCTCGATCCCAACTTGGCCGTAACAGCGTCCCTTGGTCCATCACACCCAGTCATCAACCAGAGTGCGGCCTCATTCTCGGGTCCAGAGGAGCTATCATTTCAAGAGCAGATTGAATTGGAATGCTTAGAAGGGACGTGGCGTAGTCAAGAGACGTTCGACCAGACACAATCTGACCCTGGAGTACTAGATGTGCTGTTTCAACCGCCAGCTACTCAGGTCTCTGCGGCAGGCGATGGATATGTTCCTGTAGGGTTTGATCAGCAGGCAACACCTGCAACCTATCTCTCACTTGATAGGCCGCAGTATGACACTGCCTACATACCCAACGTTCAACCTACCGGCGACGTTCCCTGGTCACTGTACAGTCTCCGTCAGAATGGACAAAGCTCGCAGGCCGCGAATCCGCAGGTCATCGAATGGCAGTCGACCGGCACAAGTGTTGGACTTTATGAAAACTCGGTCCCAGATGGAGTTCCTACTGTGTCGCAGACGATCAACGATGAGAATGACCAGATGATGGGCGAGACTTTTAACCTCGATGAGAGTTTGCCAGACTCTTCCCAGATACAGCGGCTGACGGAGCCAGACGCAACTCCGCTTATGCAAGTGTCAACTTCCCCATGGCACAGAATCCAGTTCCTGGTAACGGGTAGTACACCACACCAAGACCCATCTGACAATGACCAGATCCAGGATACAACGTAAGTAACCTATCAGCTGGAAAGACGGGCATAAGTCTGATTATTTGTAGGCACAATCTGCATCCGAACGCCTTGTCCGTGCCTACGGATTCAAGCTCCTCCTTGGAGCCGTCGTCTCCTGCGAGCAGTTTCTCACTGACGAGTGCTGCATCATCCCCATATAGCGTCACTTCGCCATCGGTACCACCAGACCTGTTTTGTGACAAGTCAGGCTGTTGTTCCACTTTTAGTGGGAAATATCGCAAAGGCAATCTGGCGCGTCATACGCGGCTGGTCCACGGTGTGCTCAAATACCCTTGCAAAGGTGTTCACTGCCTGCGGTCTTTCAATCGGTCGGATGCGCGACTCAAGCACTACAGGACGCACCACCCATCTCTTGCTCCTAACCCGATCGAACGTCGTTCGACTCAGGATCGTGCTCGTAGGAGCGTTTCGTGAAGTTCCCGGGTCATATGAGAGCGATCGCAGTATTCCGATCAGGATAGGTGAGACAGTCGCATGGTTACAGGGTCGCTATGGCGCAACGCGATCTGTAATCCGCTGTTGCACTGCCCGTTGCGTGGAGTCTTTCCATTTCGGTCTATCAGAAACAGATTGTTATAGGTCCTGAGTAATTTCTTGTGGCATTTTGTATGTCTTGCTGCCCTTTCCAGTCTCTCCTCGCTGTTGCCTATTCAATGATGTTCAGGAAGGTGGCTTGTTGGCAGATGTTACGTGGTGCAGATCATGTCTTTCTCTTCTTTCCTATTATTTCGTTTCATGGAGTTCGTTTCGTGGCGTTTGCGTTTGTTATACGTTATACGTTATGAGATGCTTCATATTTCCGAGCCACCGCAGGTCGAGGTGGTTGTGGTTGTGCAGACGCCAAGGTTGCTGCCACCGCCGGCCGCCACGTGCGAGAGAGCCTGGGCGAGGCAGGCGACATGGCCTTCTCAAGTATACGGGTAGAGCGCACCCTGGAGTCGGTCGATGGAGATGAAGAAAGAGTCGAGATAAAGACGTTCGAGGTGGGGAGAACTAGACGGTTTCAGCAAGGTGCCGATGCATAGCGTACCACTGTACTAAAGACGGACGAACCCTGATCCCTGGACGACCGACGACAACGCCCTCGATGGGCATGTCTCCAAGTCGCCCAAGCCGTTGTGTTATTAGGTCATCTGGGTGACTGTTGAAGAGTCTCGAATGAGGCACGATGCCACCAGTCACAGCGACAACGAGGCGACAGCTTGATGGCCCCCATCACGACTGTCTGGGAGGCTTCAGATCTCGAGAGGAGTGGTGGGAGGAGGGAGAGCAGACAGCGTTTTTCCAAACGATGAATTGTGTTGCAGTGGGTCTGAGAACTCCTGTGTGTCCGAACGGCCTCGAAACGTTAAGGCAGCAGCAAGCCTCGCTTAGCGCTACGCCTTGAAGAAGCAATGAGACATCATCTGCAACCATCATCAACCACTGTACAACGATTCGGTACTTCTTGCAACAACGTCTATATATCGTTCGGGTGCGTCTCGTGGATCCAGTATTTGTAAGCTGTAGTGGATGTGGAAGTGACTGGAAGCTTACTCATGGTTTGTTAGGATGATAGAAGAATCGAAGGTCAGACTCCGACAGGGGATGGTGAACTGATTACTCTTGACGAAATATACACTACGAGTGGCGTTACTGAGTCATATGATCAAATCATATGTATAGACACTATACGCCACCCATAAACATGACACTCTTCCTTAAGCCAAATGTGTGCGCTGTTCGTCATACATGCTGTATACTGCAGGCTGGCAACTGTGCTAAAAATGTCAACGCGTGGGCCAAGGGATCCTTCTCATACTTCTACCTAGCAGGCACAGGCATCAGTGGTCAACCGTACAACCGCCATCGACATGTGGCATTATGTTCACAGAACCTACTGCCCTATCAACTCACATACCCCAACTCCAGCTCGTAGCCATCTCACTCAAACGAGAAAGTCAAACGCATTCTCAGCTACGACTGCCCTTGCACTACAGCTCGCCATGAGTCTCACTACACAGCTGAGCACGCGTACTCGCCGACACATCCAACGCGTGGCCTCTCACCTCACTCATCAGCAAGATATGTACCTCCTTCAAAATGACTTAATACGGGAATCCCTTCGCCGCGCTGCACAGCCACACTCATCAAACATATGTCAGCTCTCGCCGCGCAACCCTCCGCGTATGTCCGTACGGACCACACTCGCCACCCCATCATCCATAGCATCACCCACCCTCTCCATCGCATCGCCTACCTATCTCGCACCCTTCGCCGTCGTGGCATTATCAAACCGTGGAGTTGCGCATTGCACAGCCGAGCTAGTCCAGCTTCGTCGCTGCAGTCCAACATCACGACCAATCACCTTCAGGGCCGCGAACTTGAGGCGAGAAAGCGAGTTGCGACGCTGCTCGATGAAGTGATGGGGAGCAGCGAAGTGCTGGGTCCCGGGATGAGAGTGAGGAATGACGGGTCGATGATGTCGGGTTGTTAGGCGTTGCTGCCTTAGATGGCACGTAGCTGCATTACACTACGTGGGCATGGACGCCACGCGCACGATAACGGTGCGCAGGTGCTGGGTCTAGGGATGCAGTTCCATGTCGCGACTCGTCGCATGTTGTCAGGAGATGAGGTTGGCTTGTGGGCACTGCTCACACGTTGGCATTGTTTATTCGCTGATGTTGGGTAGGTCATGAGACTCCTATCTTTGAACGTTGCACAGCAGGAACAGCGTCTTCACAAGTCAGTCACGCTACTAATCTGATGTTGAACGCCAGTCGTAGCGCGAAGGCGACTGGAATATCGTGCCTTGGAATTGTAGTCTGCTTGCTCTACAGGGTCTAGTCCTGCGCGCCCTTTCCATCGTCTCCAGGGACCCAGACTTCCACTTTGCCCTTGTCCTGCTTCAGTCCTTCCGTGGCCTGCACGCGTAGCGTCTTGTTGAAGTATCTATCGATGACCTTCAGGTTCGGCGAGATCCAGACGCCCTTCTCCGCCGGCAGGATGTTGTAGCGCACAGTCTGCCTGCTCATGGGCAGCAAATGCACGACTTTGAGCTTTGGGCCGCTGAAGCCGAACTCCTCACTGGCTTCCATGTTGAACTCGAACGTCAAAAAGTGCATCGTCGGGTTCTCGAGCGTGTAGTCCATGTGCAGGATGTCTGGGACGGTAGTGGAGACTTGTGAGGATGCAAGAACGCGAGGTTCACTCGAAGGAATTTGGATGCGAGGTATAGGCAGAGACGATACTACAGGGTCAGTATCTGGAGACGATGTACGCTGCCATGTGATGTTCAGCGTTGTGTCGAGGGCTGTAGAGCGGCGCTCCTCGAGATTGTTCTTGCGGATATCGAGGCTGAACGTCCAGTTGTGTAACTCTTGAAGGTTCATGGATGTATCGGTGGGTGCAGACTCCTTGACAACGTCACATGTTGCGCCGCCGTGGATGCTGTGCACCTCGACTACGAGGTCTTTTACAATGAGCGGTTCATCTGCAAACGAGGCAACCTTGGCGCGCAATCCCCATTTCTGGGCGATACCGAAGGCATCTGTGGACTCAGCATTGTGATTGCTCTCAGCTTCTTGCAGCTCGAAATAGCTGGGCCAAGCATCAGGATGCACACGAGCATTCAGGTCGTAACTAGCTTCGAAAGGAGAGTTGAAGACCAGATCAGCGATCATGATTTTCGAGATGGGCGTCTCGCGGTCGCTGAGAAGATGGTAGAGAACTTTCACCTCCAGAGCATAGTCTGCTGGATCTGCAGGGGCAGTGAAGCGTATCTTTTCGGTTGTTTTGGCGCCTTGTGAAAGTCTGCCAACGACATGGCCCGGCAGGTCAACGTCTGTTGATCCATCGAGCACCGGCGGAATTTCTTTCATGGGCGAGGACGCTGGACGATCGACCCAGGTGTAAGCCAGTGTGTCTTTGGAGCGACCCAATAGCCGTACTTCAAGCACAGCTTCTGTCTCTTCCTCTTCCTGGTTTGAAATCTCTATCGCTAGTGTAACAGGCTCATCTGTGAAATACTGCTCACGTACGTCTGGCAGTCTAATCTCCATTTTCGGTGGTTTTGGCAAGATATGTGTTGTGATGCCGGACAGTCGTTTCACTTTGCGTGGTCTTACCCCAGACTCGGCCTTGATCCACCAGTTTGAATGAGGCTCTGTCTGAAGGTTATTATTCGAGCATATCAGATTGAACCGGTCTGTGTCAATCTCAAACACATAAGCTGTTGCCTCGACGTCACCCGCTTCGCGAAAAATGAGGGGAAAGTTGAACACCTTGGTCTGACCAGGTTTCAGCGTTAAGTCCAATGAGCCGGTCCACTTCGGCTTCTCCGGTGGCGCAGAGCTCTCTTGCAAAGTGCAGTCAAAGAAATCAGACGATGCACCCTCATCGGTGACATGATTCAGGCGCACTTCGTTGAGGCCACCCTTGAACTGCACATACAGAGATGATAGCGTAATGGGAGCAGAGCCTGGTCGTGCTGTGGAAGTGACAATGATTTGCGACCGAAGAGGCTCGCCTATGTTACCTTCGCTACCAAGCAGAGCGAGATGTACAGACACTGCACGGTTAGTATCAGGCCATTGTCTGTTTAGGTCAAACTTACAGCAAGAGAGATAGTCCTTGGTATCGAGACTGACGGTAACCTTCTCGGAAGATGGTCCGCTAGGAAAAGCGTCCAGACATGACATAAGATCGTACTTGTACCGACTTTTGCCGATCACAGCTTATTAAGATTAGCATAATGTGTGCCAGCTTGCAACAGATATGCCCTAACCTTGATCGAACAGCTCCCACTCAGTGGCAATGTATGTCTCCTTGTCTTGGACACGTAACGCACACTCATGGAGGGCCCAAAGAACCTCTGAAGCAAGGATCCACCAGCCTTCTCTTCTCCAAGACATCGAAGCCCATAAAGGCCGCAGCACTCTAAATGCATGATCGAATTTCTTGACGTGCAACAGAGTCCTGGCGACCTCCAACTGCAGCTGCTCCACTTTACGATGCTGTCCGCGAGTTTTGAAGTCTTTGATAGCGGCATTCAGTTTAGAAGTGATATCGTCCCAGTGCTGAAAGCCTTCGCCGCCACTGTTTGGTAGGGGCAGCTCTTCGTGAGGCTGTGGGACCAGGAAGTGGTCATACACCTGGTTGCGCGTTGAAACTTTTGTCGCAGGTGACATACCAGGAGGAGTTCGGTCTTCTTCAGCCATCTCACGCGCTAAGACATACCGCTTCTTTGCATGGTCTGCAGACAACTTGTGCCAATACCCTGCATGGTGAAGTAATTCCCAGGGTGGAATCCGTTCTCCCAGAAGAAACTGCTTCTCTGGCGGTGCATAGATCAACCCTGTATCTTCATTTGAAGCATCACCATCTGCACGAAAGACGGGCAATTCTGTTCGTTGAATGAGCTGCGCCATCATCTGGGCCCATCTCGACTCCCAGGCCTGCCACCCATAGTTTGAAGTTCCTTTACTTCTGCGATCGAGGACATCTTGAAGTCTCGCCTTGTATTTTAGCCATGTTTGGGCTGCCGAGGTTAATTGATAATTCCATAACTGACAGCGGATGTATCGAAAGGCAATTGTGTCGGCCAACAGGCGAATCTCGTCCCACCTGGGTGACCAGCTTGCTGTTGTCTCAAAGATGCCCTCTGGGCCGAAGAGGGCATCGAGGGCAGCATTGTAATGCCTCTGCGCGGCATCCATCTCCTGTCTGAACTCTGCAAAGACACCCAGCTTGAAATCATAGCGCACGCCCCAACCAGGATAAGACAGAGTTTGTGACGTGCCGCGGGTTGGTGGTGCCGTTGGAGGAGGGACAGAGCCTCTGCCCTTCTTCCTTCGTGCATGCTTCGTCAGATCTCGATAGTACTCTACGCAAATAGGGTGCAATGTAGTGAGTACAGTTGTGACAAATGCTCGTAGTTCGACCTGCGATGTATTTGGCGGGAGAAAGAACAACGAGTTCTTAGGGTCAAGACCCGTCGCGCGTCGAATAACAGCCAGCCGCTCCTCGATATCCGGAGCCTCCAGAATCGTCTTGTTACTCAGCAGTACAACGACATATCTTGTGCGGTACTCAGATTTCTGTATCTGACCCTTGATCTTGTTGATCTCCGTCTTCAGCTGGTTATCGTGCAGGCTGTTGGTAATAGGGTCGGTGGTAAAGTCGAAGAACGATATAAAGACAGAAGGTATGTAGTCCTGGTGCTTCGCAACCCAGGTAGGTGCGATGACACCGTCAGGGAAGATCGAGGCTCCTGGCGATAGAGGAGAGATGGGCGAATGAAGGATCCACGATGTGGCGGCAGCGATCGTGGGACTGCCAGGCGGAGTAGTCTCTGAGGTCGAGGGCGCATCGGCTTTCTTCGGGGGCAGCACATAGTTCTATATTTGATCAGCATTTGCCTGCTGCCAGCTGTACCGCATAAGGCGCCTAACCTACCCTCCCTATAGCCCTGATCTTGAATCCATGCGCTAATTCCTTGCGACCTAATCCTCGTGCGTTCCATGGCGCATCACTGCCATCGGCACTCAGGAAGTCTTGCAACAGCTGGTCTGCGCGCTCTCCCGTCACTGAAGGTATCTCTGAGCTGGTCTTAACAGCACCCCTCCCTGGGAGCACATCGTGGACGGGGGGTGGCGATTCGAGCTCATTTTGGGATCCCAGACCAGATAGAACAATGAAAGGAAGGTTGTGCTGCACGTATGCTGCTGGATATGCCTCCATTGGTATCGTCGAGCGCTACCTGTCCATGAAGGTGGAGGCTGTGGAATGAGATGCGGGCAGGGACAGGACTCCCGATATCGACTCGCCGACTGCGTAACACAGATTGCGCGGGTCCTAGACAGACAGTACGGAATGCGCGTGCTGGGACGGCTGTAGTGGGTCGAGAGTTTGCTCCTGTAGCTTGCACAGCTCATGCGCGTTGACATCGCGGGACCTTTCATCAACCGCCGACGCGCTAGTTACCGTCGGCAATTCCAGGGTTCTCGGCGCCCTCCAAACGCTCTCTACGCACACTCGCAGCTGCGCGCAGATCTTCGCAGGCGCCGAACACCCCCGCCGCTCCCGCCGCCTTCTTACTTACCTCGGGCTGTCCGCGCACAAGCTGCTGTACAGGGCGACAGACGTGCCGTCATTCACACCACCCACCGATTCTCGTTCGAGCTGACCAGGAGGTCGTCGGCGCAATGGCAGGCCAGCAGCAGCAGATCATAGACACCATCTTCTCTATGAAGAGGAAACTACTACGTGGAAACGACTGTACGTCATCATCTGCCTCAGGACCAGTATTGTACAGCGACTCATGTATGCAGCCGACTTGGAAGAAGCAGACTCGCCGTTCGCAAACTACAGACAGGACCTGAAGCGCAAGTCGCAGTATGCGCGCGCCAGCGATCCAGATTTCCTCTCAGACCCTCGACCCTACAAGAAGGTCTGTCTCGTATGTATGCGCTGCCTCGGCACCGACTGACGATGCATAGCGCGTTGAGCACGGCGGCTATCGCAGGTACATTCTGCAGCGCAATCCTCCACGATACGACCCCGACGGCGACATTGTTGAGCCGTCAGACGAGTACGAAGACGAGGACGATCTCGAAGCAGTGGAAGAAAATCCGTACGCAGATATACGCCTAGAAAGTGCGTAGGCATCGTTGTCCAAGCGCAGATTGCAGAGACGCTGACAAGCTATGCAGGGCTACTCAGACCGCTGACATCTGCCGCGGACCTACCAACCCATCGATCTCTGAGCGTTCCATACACCTCCAAGCACCTGACCAATCTGGCGAACGAAGCTGGCGCGCTCTGGCGGAGGGAGCAGATCACAATTGCACGAGCAAAACAGTTGTTTGTGAAGCTGCAAGGAGACTCGGACTTTGCGCCCGCAGCTTTGGCGGCTATGGCGGATGCGCCCCTAGGGAGCTCTTCGTCGAACGGCACGGCGCAAAGAGTCCTCAATGGTGGTGCGCAGCCTACGGCGCACGATGAGGCGCGCGACATGTTGGATGGTGCTCAAGACATTGATATGGAAGACGCGAGACAACTCAATGGACTTGAGGATGACGAGGCCAGACTTGAAACCGGCGCAGAAACGGTCAACGGTACAGCGACGAACGGCACAGCCCACGAAGCAGGCACAGATGGTGCACACCAGCACGACGAAGAAGCACGGTCTGCAGCTGGCGACGATGCCTCTGATGATACATCGCAAGCTGCGCACCGCATGACCACACGCGCGCGAGCTCAAGCAGCGTCAACCCCTTCGCCGCCACATTCACCCTCGAGTCTCGCCGGTCAAATTCACCCATTGTTTCTCTTCTCAACCGATTCGCTTCCCGACCGCGACTTTGGCCTTCCACCGAATGAAGCTGAGGAGACGCGCATGCTGCTGATGGCGTATGTGCAAAAGCAAGAGGAAATCTCGCGTGCGACCTCGGATCTATACCACGGCTTGATGCAGGCAGATAGCATGCGACAGGACGTCTTCACATGGTGCAAAGCAGAGGCTCATATAGGCGAGATGAGTGATGGCGAGGACTGGTGTGATAATGAATACTGGGGTCTTGATCATGACTTGGTCAAAGGTCGTGACGAAGAGGAGGACGAGACGGCAAACACAGGGAAGAAGAGCACAAGACAGAGAAGAAAGCCTGACAAGGAAGACAGATAATGTGGTTCAAGCTTTCGAGGGAGCCGCGCCAACGTCCGGCCTGTCAGTCAGCGACATCGGCGGTCTAATTCAGCAGTAAAAGAGCCGTCTTCTCAATTTTGCCTAACGAAGCGATATACCACGATACCAAGATTTGGAATGCATTTTGTAACTTTAAAGTTTCATCCTCCACAAAGTGCTCCTGCCACATCGACGCATCCCACGTGTCGACGCGCCTTAGCGCGAAGGGGCTGCCCTTTCATTTATGCAACCTCCGTCTCTCCTACCTCAGCTCAAACCAGATGGATTTCGTGCTCAGATGCAACGACCTCAAGTGTCGGACGCAGCTGCATGAGCGTGCCGTTGTCACTACTTGCAGGTATATGCCTTACCCTCGCTTTGCGCCGACCGACTGCTAACAGCTTGGAGCCATGTCTTCTGTACGCAATGCGCGGACACGACTGGCTTGTCGAGATCACAGAGTGCGCACAGAGTCTGCCCAGCATGTGGTGCAGAATTGCAAAACCCAGACGATGTGGTTGTTGCAGGTCTCAACCCATCAGAAGACTACAAGACAAGCGTGTTGAGCGGTCTCAGCCCAACCCTCATCATGGAGTGTGCAAGCCGTAGTTTGGCTTTTCACAGCTACCAAACATCGCAAGAGATCGTCTACCAAGAGCATCTGGCGAAAGGGCTGACGGAGAAGTATAACGTGCTCAGTCAGCAAATGGACCAGCTCATTCACGACGCCAACACTCAAATCAAACTGCTTCAGGATAAGGTGCAAGGCGAGGATCCGTCTATGGATGTCAATCTAGCTCATAGCTGACTCGCGTACAGCCCAGCAAGTAGAAGAAGATAAGCTCTTAGCACAGAACACCGATCTTAGCAACGGATACAGGGACAAGGCTAGAGCGCTACAACGTCAGAAGAAGCAGTACGACTCGCTGAAGGGACAGGTGATGGCGTCTCACGTTGCCAGCGCCGCCGGTGACCAAGCAGAGTTGACACTCCAAACCGCACGCGGCAAGCGCTTCATTGATCGTATGCCGGGTGCGAGATCTGGTAGTGGTGCATACAGTCAGCTAAATGGTGCTGTTCAAATGCCTTCAGGCAGCAGGCCGCACGACAGGCAAGGCAGTGGGAGCTCTGGTAGCAGTGGGCTGCAGCGGGGAGGGGCCGGTGTTGGTCCAGCACCTACTTATGCTTCGCACTTGCAAGGGCGTGGTTTAGGTGGTCGAGCTCACCCTGGTCGTAAGTTCAAGCACTCGCATAGACCTACACTGGGGTTGAATCGTGTCTGACCGTCTTGCAGAATCCGCATCCATCAGCACGCCACGACAGAGTCATCTTCCAGTACTCGGTGGGACACGTCAAGGTCCTATTCTCAATGCGAACATCGGTTCACCCTACCAGGCTTCTCCTATGATGCAGCGTCAGACAGTAGGAGGCAACAGACCAGCCAACGGTCTCGGGAATTCTATGCTCGGTATCCCGCGAGCGTCACGGAGAACTACCGGGCCTTTACAAAGATAGAGAACAAAGCCCAAGATGGTCTTCGTGTGGGCTGCAGTGTTTCGGGTGGTAAGTTGTGCTTGTAAGGCGCCAACACATGAAGGGCGCTAAACGGGTACCTAAGCGTAAGGCCGTGCAATCAGGTGCACCCACAGTCATCATGACGGCCCAACATTGTAGAAATAGGACGAAAACAGATTGTCCAGTGAGACACTGTAAACCTTAATCCAACGTTCATGCCCAGATATCAGATTCACACACAGCCACCCGGAAATCTGTGTATACCCAACTTGGGCTCTACGTGTCTGCCTGAGTGAGAACCCACGCAGCTGTGACGTGCACGTCGTCAACAGCTGCGCGCCGTGACTCTACTTTGAGTGATGCTGTCCTCAGAAGGAGTGCCATGTGGTCTGCTGTCAGCCACGGCGGAGATGGGTGGTTGTCAGGGCCTCAGAGGAGATGTTTGGTGGAGTATTTGGCGTCAGGTAAACCAAGATCCCGTCTCAATGCAGTTGGTTTTGACAAGCGTATGCTCGGGAGTAGTGGCATACTTTTTCGTCTGTGGGTCTTGTGGCTTGAGATGCATACGATGCCTGTTGCACGTGAGACGCATATGCTGCCAGCACTCGCACTCGCTGGCGAGTTCTCAAACTCTAGATCCTGCTTGCTCGATATCATGGTCGAGGTCCACGTACGGGTACTGTCTACCTATCACCACAGCATCCTTCGCAAACAGGGTTATATCGCGCATGATATTGCTCACCGTGTGCTGCAACGAGCGCCCTGTCCGAAGCCTGCAGGCGGCGCAGTATTGGGGACTCGCTCAGGCGGCGTAGCGTTCGCCTCAGGGGCATCCCTGGGTCAACAGGGTTCTCCGTGCTGTTTCAGTGTCTCTGCATATTCTTGTATGTTTTTGGGCGTTCTCGTGTGCGAAGGTTTGCGTTGTCTTTTTTGTCGGCTTCAAGTTTTGAGCGGTGCAGAATGATTGGTCGATGCTCCGCTGCCGTCTGCAAGGTCTCTCCAAGCCTGCAGTAGTGTCAGAGCTTCGTTCTTGACGACGTGCGTAGCTCCGCTATTAAAAATTTGTTTGCTAGGGCAATGGTATGCTTTGGTGTTGGAGTTGCCTCTCATCGCTCATCCCGAGTCAATGTCCTGACGGATGGCAAATTGGGGCTGAGCTCATTGCCACCGCGATGACATGCCATTTATCATCGAGTGTTGGGATGTTGGGTTACTTCATATGATGCCTGTGCTGCAGGTCTTTACCGCTCATCCTGGGATGTGTGTACAACAACCGCTCCGATTCCTGGACTGGAGGATGTCCATTGGCTTGTCTTAAGCGAAGCTACTCCTTCCTATACAGTATGTGGCTTCGAGTGCTGACGCTGTGCTTCGGTCTGTCTTCCAGTAGACTCTTGCAGCACGCTGTGCAGAGTACCTACTTCAGTCCAGTTGTGGCAAGAGGTCGCTACGGCCGCCTGCTGAGCCTCCATGTGATATGACTCCCATCCAATGAGCTGCTAAAAGCTTTCTCCTCAATGCTGATGGGCTTATGAATGTGATCCTGGAGAGACGCGTCTACCCTCTGGGTTGCCCTTGATTCTGAACTGGTTGCCTGGCGGTCGAACCCTACCATGCCAGCTCTGAGTCCTATCGTCAGTAGGCCTGCAATAATGAGTTCCCGAGTCTAGCTATAGAGGTGTGAGGTTTGGCTGAATGTCGAGTAAGGTAGCTGCATAAGTACAGTGGGTGCTACCTAGGTACGGAAGGATAGACCCGACCCGCATGGGTCCGCACAAATGGGAGGTAAAGTGGGTGGGACCCCGTTGAATATTCACCGAAATCTAAGCATCGTCCACTTTCTATCCCACTTTCACGCAAAAAATAACAGAGGCATCACCCAAGGCGAAGATATCGCGTGAAGAGTTGGATAGCGCCTACCCTGCTTTGTTTGACTCGGTACGCTAATGGCGCTATTGCAAACGAACACCGTGCTGGACTCACTCCAGCACTTCCACGTGTGTGGACAACGAGTTTCATACCCTCGAGAGGTATGAGACACATGGTATTGCTTCAGAATATCGTACGACAGCAGCTCAGACTGCCATCGGCCCCTCTTCTTGTGCACAGCCGATGAACCTCAACGTCGACACATCGCGAGCTTGCCTCCGGACCCATCGATAACCGCAATGCTTCCATGGCAGCGACGCATCAAGACTCGGTCACCGGAATATGATCTTTATCCCCGTTCATACAGCAACGTCGGGCTCTTTTGACTGGCTGCCGGCGGAATCGTTCGTCTGGGATCGGCGTGAGGCGAACAAGCCTTGGCCCACGAAGCATAGGCCACAGGCAAGATCAACCCATCTGCCGAAGTGAATTGGGCCTCAATCTCCGCTTGCCCGACAGGCCGTCATGCGATCACATGACAAATGTGCCCGACAAGGCGAAGAGTCGCCTGCCTCGTGCTGATGCTGCCTGGGCTACAACTGCCTTGCAGAGCTTCCGGCCTCCTGTCCCCTCTCTATTCCCACAACAATATAAATCTTACATCGACACCAAGCCTTCGTTGAACGTATCCCGCAACCAAAAAAACACCGGAACTCCTGACATTTTTTTCGTTTTGGACGTTGAACGAAACCAAAGAAAAGCGCAACAAAGGAAAGACTCGACGACATAAGAACGAACGTGGATCCAAGTCTTCTCCATGATATCATGCCAGCCAAGTAGCCCGAAGTCTGAAGGCAGTCGCCGAAGTTGCATGACAACATGATTTAGAAGAACATGGAGAAGACACATAGAGACTGTGCTCAGATACCTGGACAAAAGGAAGAAAGATAAACGAATGACTTGTTGCGGGATAAGCCAGATGTCGGAGCGAGGTTGTACCTCACGGAGCGTTGAGCCGAGTTAGCTGTTCGATCAGCATCAACCGTTGAATCAAAAGGGGGACCCGTTCTGGCAATATCCAGTGCTGTCAATGATGGAGAAGGTATCATCGATTCCACGACTGTCGCATGGTGACAACTGACTGTGGCCCCTCGATGAGTCCCCAACTTCCTCCCAACTTCCAAGGCCAGTCGATATTGAGCTCCTGGGTCGCAACACAGGGTCTTGCGCCAAAGACGAATGTCTTTTGCGATAATGCTTCAGCCGGGCATCTGATCTCTTGAACACCGAGATGCAACCAGCAGCCTTGCACGGGTATGTCCTTCCACCGTTCTGGTGCTTTGACCTGTCATGTCTGGCGAGATTGGTCTTCTTCCATTTCCCTGTAAACTGCCTAGGACAATCGGAACAGTAAAGGACGTCATTACTCGCAACCGAGGTTGATGATAGGGAAGCGCGTCTCGGCGACTGAAGGTCGTTCGGGGACTGGAGGAGTGCGTTCGACGTGAGCCTGCAACGTGTCAGCTTGCTTTACAATCCTGACACGCATCCATGGACACTTACGCATCTGAGAAACCGACCATCTCCTGACTAACAGGGTCCATGGGGCTTACGACAATGTCTGGTAAAGCAACAGTTGTCAACCCATCGTTGTTCCAGGCGCCTGATTGCTGAGATGATGAACAAGCTGTGAACGTCTGAGGAGGCCCCCTCGGCGTATGGCTATAATCAAGAGCTGGATCCACAGATGAGGTGGTATCAAAAGAACCTCCCTGCGAGCCGGGATACGACGTTATCATTCGGGCCAAATTAGCATCATGGCCAGGCATCCTTCCGAAGCTAGTCATCAGGACACTTTGCTGCTCGACGTGGCCTGGCTGCTGTTGTCTGATTCTTTCTTCAGAGAAGTCGATGGCATAGTTGAAGTCAGATTCGGAAGGAGCCCAGGATCCAAAGTGGGTAAGGCCAGCTTGTGCAGCGCCAGTCCCGTAGTAAAGAGCATGCTGCATATTTCTAGCGACGCTATACGGGCCTTGGGGAGCGTGCGTCTGCTGCACAACGCCGGCCGGCGTGCAGAACCAGCCACTGACCTCAGGGGCATTGCCATCTGATCGATGCGAGCTGTTCGAGTAACCCTGATGGTTTCTGTTGCTTGGTGCGCCATACTGCGCGTATTCCTGAGGACGGCTGTACTCAGAATCATCATGCGGGTGGCCTGGGGAGATCTCAGGGTTGACCGTCGTATTGGGCTCCATATACACGTCGTCTGGATAGACGTAGAGGTGTTCAGTGTCAGATCCGACCTCGCTTGGAAAGTCGTCATTGTTCACTGACAGGTATCCGTGATCCGCGTAGTTGGCCATACTTCGACGGTCTGCCGCGGCGGTGAGAAAGGTTATGCGTGCGTCAGCCTACGATTTGGCCGGCGACGCTCCTTTATTTTTTGGTGTGAGAAGCGTTCGGATAAGATACTTGATGAATATTGTGAGTGGTTTGCGTGCGTAGGGCTGTTTGCTGTAGATGCGATGCTTTCCAGATGACAGCTATCAAGAGCCTTGCAGAACGGCTTGTAGATGTGATAAGGGGTAGCAAGAGATGGGATGGTACGATATAAGAGACGAGCGGTGAGCAGTGTGCCAGGAAAGGAAGAGAGGATCGAGTTGTGCGTGGTGACGAGCGAGCGAGTGAGGAGGGTTACTGTAACAGGAGGACTGCGGGCTGCGGCACGAACACCAAAAACAACACTTGGACGGAGTAAAATGTCCTGACTCAACAATACCACGGACGTTGGCAGCAGCGAGAAATAAACGCGACTTTCGGGCAGAACGGTTGTCGGTTCACTGCAGCAGGCAGCACTGTCTCATCAATGCGCACGCACCTACCACGGACGAGGACCTGGCAACATGGAAGTTGAAGCGCTGCTTGACCACAATGAGACGATGGTTTCGATTCTCCTGCCCTTCGGCTCTATGGCCAGCTCCGCGCGTGGCTGTGTACTCGAATCTCTTCACTGGAACCGACGTCAACGTCGAGATCGAGATACCAGTATACAGCAGAGCCGCATCGTCACGCGGGCCGCGTGACAGCAGAGATGCCGCAAAGATCCCAACAGCAGCCGGAAGATGACAGCGCGTACACACAGCCATGGCAAGTACCGTCTAATTGCCACGGCGCAATGTAGCGGTGTGAGTGCCATCCAGGCTTGCTGTACCGAATGCGGGCCGGTGCAATCAGGCGCGCGATGGGACTTCCCCGCCTAGGCGTTGCGACGCCGAACCCAGTCTATCTGTATCATCGTACGAGCAAAGATCTACGGGTACTCATCTGAAGATAGTGGCTGCGTTATGCGCAGTGTCTGATTTGGCATTGCCTCTTTTCCCCGTTCAACACAGCCTGCGCCGCACTTCGCATGGGAAGCTCTGTGGACTGGTCGCTGCGAACACCTGTAGCCTCACTTGTGGCCATGACACGTGGTGACAAGGCGTTTCGCGACGAGTACACGGCTGACTGCTTAGGTTGCCGAGTGGGCCCCAGTCGCTAAGGAAAGTAGTGACGGTGCGCCCTTCGTCAAGACAGCAAAGAGATGGCGACGGATTGTCCGGAACTGAATCGGTCACTGGCAGAATTGGCGAAAGAGGAGAAACTTGACATCGACCGGGAACAATCATCTTTAAGTCACCTCAGCTCACGGCACAGTAGATTCCAAATGTGCGATCCATTGTATGCGCGATGCAGCTCTTTTCCCGGCTGTTAAAGCTTGGGCGAATCAGCATGCAGGACAGGCCCAACATGGCCACCCCTTTGTGCCCGCGAAGCGTCAGATAATTCTCCCTGTCTGTAGCCTTCTGTCGGACAGCCTGTTTCCACAAAGGATCGTCCTATACATACGCACGTATACCCCTTCCACGCTCTTCAGCGGTCGAAGAAGCCCAGGCACAAATGGATATAATGCTGGAAGCTCATGGTCTCTGGTGGAGCCGCCCGCAGCCACTTTCGTACGGCCAATGAGTTTTCGGGATCAAGTCAACCAGGATCGTTCATCCGCGGCACCAGAAAGCGCGCGCCTCGACAGTATCGATTGCTCGCATTCGGAAGCGTCATCACATCCATCTCAGACATCGGGTAGTGGGGCAGCGCAAGCAGATCGGCCGAAATCCGACTCAGCTAATACAGCAAACCACACTTTTTGGGCTTGGAATCTCATGTGAAAGCGCCTTGGGCGGCTTTCATACGTCTAAGATCATGCCCCAAGTTTCCCCGCTTTCTCGAGGAACTGGCGCGTCAGTGATTCTGTATTGAGTCGTCACAATCTTTGGACCTCACAATCCGGCCATTCCTGTTTCAACAAAGCGTCAATACTGTATCAATCCTCGATCGTGTACATGCATCCGTCGTAGCGATCATCGAATCGCTTGGTCTCCGCAAAGTCATCACTCAGTGAAATTCTATGCGGTTTGGGCCATTACAACTCCTTATGTGGTCAACAGTGCTAAACACCATCTCGAGTCTGACTCGAGAATTGCGAAGCCAACGTGGTTACCCGTCGCGGGCCGCCTCGATAGAAGACATTTGTGGTAGAATAAACGGACGGCGCCAGCAAGTAATCTCCACATGGCACGTGCGACTCCACTTTCCAGCGATCATGCGAGTCATGTAACACTTCCACGTTCTACCGTTCGGCTCAACGCTCGCACGAAGCCAAATACATCCAGCATCTTATCATTGCTCCGATGTGTATCTGAAGAATTCACCGCACAGCCACAGTCAAAGCTTCGGGTGGTGCAAATGAAAATTCCGAGCTGTCAGCTGGTAATCGCGCCAGTGCCGCCCTCGTCCTCGTCACTGGATCCGTATAGATAAGCGCTCAAGACTATTGTCCAAGGATCAGCATGAAACGCCATCGAGATCAGATCGTTTGCGCAATTTGCAGGCATCATTGCTATGAATTCTTCCTTGCATCCGGATCTGAGGAGAAGCATCTGTCCGTTCTAGCCTGGTCCAATGGGCAGGGGTCGGACACCTATCGGGCTGGCTCCCCGCCAGCCTCGTGATATCCCTTGACTCGCCCGGGATTTACTCTTATCACCTTAAGCACACCGGCGGCGTTGTGCGACTGTGTTCGGCCAAGCTTTCTGCGAAGCAGATTAAATGGGACGTAGGTGCAGGACTCTCGCTGCACGCGCCTGGCACCCTGTTTGTATATGCAGCACATCCTTTGCCAGGCGAAGATACGGTGTCAATACGCCCAGTTCATCATCAGTATCTCAGTGCTGTACGGTTCCTCATTCGCAAACTGGGACCAAGACATGCAGGTGCTTCTCCAGGACCGAACTTGCTCAACCTGGTCGGACAGGGTTACCCCTGGCCGCAGTCCTGCGTTGTCTTGTGCCCCTTTGAGGCCGCCCTCTCTGAACCAGGGCAAATCCGCGTCGCTTCCGGCGCATTCTCCATAGGCTCGCATCAAGGCATCACTGCGATCTTGCGGTGTATCATGGAGTGAACGAAGAAAGTTGAGGCTTTGATTGTTAAGCTACATTGGTCACTGGATACGATATTTGCCCCTGCCATACCTTCCATCTCCGTCCAGACTGTGGTCAGGGGAGAAGACAGAATGCACCAATACCGACACTGCCCCATGGTCAGGCAACATCAATATGCCTGAGAGGAGTTGTGCCGCAGCAACATCAGCTATGATCTAGATCTTGGTATGGCAACTGCGCGTTGCAATCGCGGGTGCTTCAGACGCTCATGATTGCGCAGAGCATCACTTCGATGGTAGGTGTTCTTGCAAACGAGGCAAGGGTACTCTTTCCGCGACTCGTTTACATGCTCCAACCGGAAGTGGCGTTGCATGTTGCCTGTTCCGTACCGGCCCGTGTAAGCCTTGCCGCAGACTTCGCATTGGGCTGGGGGGTACACCGCCTTCGTCGCAGAGCTTGTCTTTGCCTTACATGCGGTGTTGTCTGGTTCGTCAAATGCATCTGTGCCGCCGCTTCCGCCGTACGCCGCGTCAAATGCATCGAGCGTCGGGGTGAACTCATCGTCACAAGGTGTCCAGGTCAAGTCCTCGTTCATTTGCCAAGTCACACCCAATGTGTCGACGTGTTGGCGAGACCGGTTCTTGGGTGCTGGCCAATGTGGCGGTGCTGCGATCGCCTGCTGCGAGCCTAGTTCTGACACGACCAAAAGAGGGTCTTCCCAGGCCTGTTCCTGGCTTGTGCCAAGCCAGCTGTCGGTCACTGTTGTCACTTCGAGACCATTAGAGGGGACTGAGAAGTCTAGACCCCTGAGCGACTGGTCTATCGTCGTGCGGGAGTCAAAGTGCCCTAGACCACCAACTCGGTCGCTCGGGGGGACGAGGTACTCGTTCGAGTATACAGCATCATTGGGTGACAAGAATCTTTGTCTTGTTGAGGAAGAGATATTGTCGGATGTGTCAGGCGTGAATGGCGGATTAATCGAGGACCTCCGCGAGGTGTTATGTGATGATAAGCCCGGATCAGCGTATGTGAAGCCCTCGGCCAGCGTACTTGTAGAAGAGTATTGGGTAGGTATTGGCTGAGTAAGCCGCGAGGGGTTGTTGCCGTTCCAATGCTGACTGTTCGCATGTTGAGGTTGAGAGTAGTGTCTTCCAGCCTTCTTCGATAATCGATATGAGCCATGCGGCTCGGTGCTTAGAAACTCTTCTTCATACGCTGGCTGTCGAACGAGAAGGTCGGTCCCACTTGGCTCGTACCAGAAGTTCATGTCGTCAACGCCCATGTACTCTCGATGTCGCAGTTGAGGGGCTTTTCGGAACATCCGACAAAAGTAACACTATGCTTCTTGGGAAGAGTTACTTGTGGAAGTAGCTATGTTGGAAGTCCTGCACAGCTGATGCAGGTTTTAGATCTTCGACCTATGACTCTGGTCCCGGGCAGAGTGCAAGTAAGATGTTCTTTGATCAATTGTATCCTCCGCGTCCCATCTCGGGTTTGAATTCTTTGACGTGGTCGGTCTCGAAGTGTGCCTGGTCTGGTACAACAAAAGGAGGTCGGGCGTCTGCACGTAGTCAGTCAGTGTCCAAGTAGGTGGAGGATCGACTAGCGTATATGGACTTACTCTACTCGTACTCTCAATTCGTCGGATTGTAGGTGAATACTGCACTCGTTCATCTTCGCGAGAGGAGAACCGAGTATAATACACCAGATGGATGCAGCAACACAGGACTCGCACAGACTTCGACTGCCATTGAAACGATGCGGGGTCACAAACTATGCAATCTGCAGACGTCCTAAAGGAAGAGTCCGTTAGGAATATGGGACTACCTCTGGAGGTCTGGAGTGGCGACGAACCACCAGCGTGTGCACGGGCTTGGCAAGAGGGACCTTTGTGCTTGACGCGCCATACCAGTGTGCTATTCGTCGCGCGGTCTGGGATACTTCGGTCGGTTTCAAAGAAGGCAAACAGGTACCCCAGCTTGTGCAGTGCACGAGGGACAATGTTTTCATGAAAGTGATCCGAAAGAAGCCTCCAGATTGGTGCCAGAGCTCAGTGCTTCGATCCATAGGTCCAGAGGTTGCAGGGAACATGTTGGGGAATCTGATGGTTCAACTGGCGTGATTTCAGTCGAGCTAGAGTCCTACACATCAGCATGGGAACTGTTCGTCCGAGGTCACATCAGTCGCGAACTCTTGGCGGGCCGGTGCTGGATTCTTGTGCCACGGTGTGAGGAGGTGACCAGGCTGAGGACCGGTGAAGAGAATGTCCGGCCGGACACCTCGGAAGAGCAGAGCGCCTGCCTCCTACAGGCATCGTTACGAGTGGCGATAAATTGTGGCTTGCTTTTGATTTGTGGTCTCTTGGGCGATGCAGTTGCGCTCTCAAAGTCCTGGCAAAGGTGTGCGATGGTTCGTCTGTCCTTGCAGGGCACGGAGCCAATGAGCGTAGTTATCGAGTAGGCAAGCAGCGTCCATACGAAAATTGCGACTGGCATCTTGAGTGCAACATTTGGTGCGCGGCTTAACCAAAATTCTTTCTATCTGCCATCTGGGGATTGGAGCTGATATAATGCTTCCAGCAAGGCCCAGGTGGAAGCCTTTGCACCGACTATCCTACAAACTCTGGTATTGTCTGTTTGGCGGTGTATTTGGTACAAGTATGTCAGACAAAGTGCTGACTATCGCCCGAATTCGGCGAAGGTGTGAATGTCTAACACTGCAGCCTTGCTACGACTGGTCCAAAGTTTCAATGTGGCACGTACCGGACGCATGTACATCAGTGTGTAGACCGCTCTTCGGACACGGGAGGACAGCAGCGATTGTGCAGGGGGGGCGGGGACGCGCAATGGAAGAGAGGCAAATCGAGGAATCGTGCAATTGTGTGGTCGTACACTCTCAAGTTTCTGCGCCACCCTGGTAGAAGGACTACTTGCCAATCTGTATCCTGCAAGGACTCGGGCCTAGTTCAAGGACTTCAACCAGCATGCAGCGAGGCAACCTGTTGCCTTTTGCCCCTCACTCCCCACATTCCAATGGCTTCATGACATCGAAAAAGAAAGCGGCACAAGATGAGCTGAAACTGGACTTCAGCCCATGTCGTAGTCTGATACGACACATCAGGAGGTAGAGGTATGCATGTCGGGGTATTGTTCAGCTCGACCAGCATTGGAACAGCGACGCCATGACGTCATGGTTCTTCATGAATGGGAAGTCACATTCAAGACATGAGCAAACCCCTACAGCTTTCGTGATTATTCCCTGAGAATGCGGCTCCCGGACACAACGAGGCTACATTACTCCTCTATGGCGTCACTAATGTCGACGCTCACGACCTCACATGTACCTCCAACTCAAACGAGTATTCAAAGTATGTTGTAGGACTCGCGGCTGCATAATCTTGCAGCTATCGGGTCTAGATTACTCGGTCCTGCAGTCCTGCGCGCACGATCGTCAGTGTTTGTCACACGTCGCATCTGCATATCAACCTCGAGTCCTGCACTTCCACTAGCAACTTTTGAGTCGGAAAGCGCAACCCTATTGAAAGTCCTGCGTTGGCGTGTCAAACAACTGGATGCAACAACCTTTGGGCCGTTACATTCACCAAGATGCGTTTTTGCCACCCTCTTATTGCATGCCAGCGTTGTATGTGTCACAGTTGGCCACAGCAGCACAGCTGTAGCAAGGCGGCCTCATCTTCACCGGCTGTGAACGCCAGTATGAACTAATTGAGAGCTGTGGGTCTAGCAGCTAACACAGCCAAAGCCCTCCGATACCGAACATCCAAGGTACATCTTGCTTTCGTACGATTGAACCGGATGAACGATTACATATCTTTTATGACTTTTCCTAATATTTGTCGATTTACTGAATGTAAACGAACACTCAGCAGGAGATGGCGCCCCACATTGCCGTGGGCTGGCACATGATTTGTAACTCACCTGCGTGTAAATTTAGCATGATGGCCTGGTCTCTGAACATCCACTATCGCCAACTGTCACGATAATTCGCAGTGGAGTTCCGACTGTGTAGAGTTGCTGACCATTCATAGGACGGAGGTTTGTACCGCGGCAGCGCCGATCCACCGCTGTTCGGGCACACGCGGACTTTGAATCTATGTTCAAGAACGTCATACAAATTCACCAACAAAGCTTCTTGCAAAGCATTGCAGCACCCGCTCACCTTCTTCCACCTTGTTCCTACACCCTCATGATGCTGCGCATAGCACCGAGTACAACAGTATAATAATACATATATTGACAGCGCGGCAATGTCAGATGGCGGGAAGTCGCGCTCGTCGTCTTCATGTGCGTTTCCGTATCGAGCTCTCAGCTCCTTCCACCCATGAACCACCACCAAACCTAGAGAACTGCTGCTGATCCCCCGATAAGTTCATTTCTTCGCAGGCCTGAGCTCAGGCATTCTCTCGGCCGTACTCCTCCAACCCGCCGATCTGCTCAAAACCCGTGTGCAGCAGTCGCGCTCAAGTACACTTCTCGGTACGATTCGCTCCATCGCCAGTGGTCCAAATCCCATACGCCAGTTCTGGCGCGGCACTCTACCTTCCACACTTCGAACAGGATGCGGTTCAGCGTTATATTTCTCATCGCTCAACGCTCTGCGGCGCCGCGCAGCCTTGCTGGCAGCTGGTCGCGCTGATGTAACGATCGTCACTGGAGACCACTCGTCTTCTCTTCCCAAATTGAGCAACACCGCAAACCTAGCTACGGGAGCCGCAGCACGAACATGGGCAGGCTTTATGATGATGCCGATCACGGTGCTGAAGGTCCGGTATGAAAGCAGCTTATACGCATACACAAGCTTGATGGGCGCGTCGAAAGACATATACCGTACTACAGGCCTCAAAGGCTTCTTTGCTGGCTTCGGCGCAACAGCTGTGCGAGACGCGCCCTACGCAGGTCTTTACGTGCTGTTCTACGAACAGTCGAAGCGCCGTCTGTCCGCCCTCGCGACCAAGATCGAGTCTACCGATCCTTCTTCGAATGCGAAACTATCTACGACCACGAGCGCCGGCATCAACTTTGTCTCTGGAGTCGCCGCTGCTGGCCTCGGTACTACGTTCACGAACCCCTTCGATGCGATCAAGACGAGGATTCAGCTCATGCCGGATACGTATACGAATTTGATACAAGCGGGGAAGAAGATGCTCGCTGAAGAGGGACCGAGGAGTCTGCTTGACGGGCTGGGTATCAGAATAGCGAGGAAGGCGATCAGCAGTGCGCTTGCGTGGACTGTGTACGAGGAATTGATTCGCAGGGCAGAGAGAGGCTGGCAGGAAGTCGAGACCGTCTCCTCTGCGAAGGTTGAGGGCAAGGTATAAGGGTGTCACGATATGTACAGTATCATGTTTGCATGGAAATAGGTGTTCGCAGGCAGTTGCATGGAAAGCGATACCTCTACACTCTCCCACACGGTTGGTCGGGCACGAGAAAATTACATACTATTCCAAGGCGTCACCTATCTTTTGTTACTTCATCGAACCTGTCATGCTGCACATTCGAGAAGGGCCGGCGTTGGGCTCTTGTCTCATCGGCCGAGCACGGGTGCCTGACAGACGTCAAGTGCGAATGCTTGCAGGCCATATCCTCGCAGACCAAGTGAGGTCGACTGACCAATCACGCGAGCTTTGCACGCGGTCTCACTGCTCCCCTGTCAGGTTGCACTGGCATCGTCATCAAGTCGCTAATCTGGCAGCAGAGAGGGCGAAGCAAGCCCGGCTCCTCAGAACGTATTCTGGCTGCGCCGGCGCCTAGTGAGCTCGTGAGGCTCTGCGAGCTGAAGAACTAAGCAAAGGTCAAGCACCGTGTCAACGTCCAAGTGCCAGACCGGTCAGCGCCGCTGAGGGGTAGTGCGCGCGGCGAGTGAGCACGCGGTGAAGGAAAAGGGTTCGCATCAACGGGCGGTGCAGGTGACTTTGGCTACACACTCTGACCGGCGCAGCTCACCGATGGTTCGCAGGGGCTGTCCGCCCCCAAGGCGCAAACTTGATGTGAGTTGGGCGCTGTGCTTCGGCCTTGCTACAACCTGCAGGCGATGACGTAGCGCTACTGCCAAACGACAGTGGGACGGACCACCCCAGCCTGCAGGTGAAGTAATGCTTTGGTATCCGCGCCACTCGTAGTCTCTCTACTCACAACGTTTAACCCTGAGAAGACTGTTCGGCCAAGACAAGCGGACACACGCACAGTCATCCACGCCTTGGACCTTCCCGTTGTGCCGCTGCCCGCATTCGCGATAAATACGACAGGACAGCCCCGCCGCACCCGACCTGGTCTCTGATCACCTCCCCTACCCATTTTGTCCTGTTCTTCGCCGGCCCCTTGTATTCTTGATTGCGACTGCCTCACCACACTTGCCTGAGCACGACGCTCTTCGGTACGCTATGTCTGCCTACCCGCTCTCTTCCGCGTGCTGACATCAAGCTTTGCTTAGCCCGACCGAACAGCCCCGAGGACCCTGAACAGCTGCGCAGAGAGAGCCAGAGTACCCACCATGAGCGAGTACAGCTATGCGCCGCGGCGACACCGCGAGCCTGAGTACGTCACTGAAACGACGTACATCGAGCGCGGCGGCCGAGGCAGCGGACCAGTGCGCGACCTCGTCTACCGCCCCGCGCGGGAAGACAGCATCGAAGACATTCCGCGTGACTTCCCTCCAGGCACCGAGTACCGTCAGACAAAGTACCGCGAGGAGTATGCCCCGCGTCGCACCCGCTCCGTGAACCGCGGCTACGATGATGACCCGTACGACGATCGCCGCCGCCGCGACCGCTACGACGACCGCGACTCGTACGTAGACTCGTATGCTGGCGACCGTCCCAAGCCCCAGCGCCGCAAGTCCATTGTCGACCGCGCCAAAGATCTCGGCGAAGCTGCCGGCCTGGGTGGCGTCATTGCTGCAGTCACTGGCCGTTCGCGGTCGCGGTCGCGCTCCAGAACCCGACGTCACGACCGCGGCTATGACAGCGATCGCCGCTACGATGAGTACGACCGCCGCAGCAGCCGGTACGACTCGCGATCGCGCAGCCGCGACCGGAACCGCAAGTCGGAGAAGTGGGAGCAGGCTGCTAAAGCTGCCTTGGTGGCCGGTGCCGTCGAGGCCTTCCGTAGCCGCAAGGTTCCGGGAGCCTGGACTGGAGCCAAGGGCCAGCGTGTCGCAACTGCTGCACTCGGTGCTGCCGGTATCGACAGCCTCATCGACCGCAACCCCGAGCAGCACGAGAAGCGTCATGTCGCGGAATCTGCTCTCGGTGGCCTGCTAGCCAACCGTGCTGTCAATGGCTCTCGCTCCCGATCTCGCGCCCCTCGTGACGAGTCGCCCGGTGGTCGCTCCCGCTCGCGGTCAAGGTCCATCTTCAGTCGTTCGCGCTCCCGTGGTCGCTCTCGCTCTGCGTCTCGCGACAAGGAGGGAAATCCCATTGCGAAGATCGCCGGTACTGGCGCTGTCATCGCCGCAGGAAAGGCTCTCTACGACCGCGTGCGATCCAAGTCCCGTGGTGGTGGACGCTCTCGCTCCAGGTCTCGCTCGCGCAACAGGCGTGACCGCTCGCGTTCGTCCAGCGCAGACAGCTACGTTCCTTCTCGCAGGGGGAACCGTCGCTCATACAGCCGCGGCCGCAGTATGGATAATGGACACCAGTCGAATGACCCTTCTCGGGCTAACCCAGATCGCAGATTAGCGGCAGCAGGCGCAGGTGCAGGAGCCGGCGCGCTTGCTACTCAGGGAGCACACAGGAGCGTAGCTTCTCAGCGCGGCGGTGGCAGAGATGCTTCCAGCGATTCGTCTAGCACTACGGACATGGAGGAGCAGCGCAAAAAGCTTCGAGGTAAGGAACTCCTGACCGCGGGTCTCGCGACCGTGGCAACCATCCACGCAGCACACGGTGTCTACTCGTCCATGGTCGCCTCTGAGAAACGGCGCAAGCTTGTCGGTGAGGGCGAAATGACGCCCGAGGAAGCACGGAAACGCAAGTCAAAGAACATGCTCCAGGACGCAGCAGCCGTCGGCATTGCTGCCCTCGGTATCAAGTCTGCGTACAGCGAGTGGAAGGAGATGAACGAGCAAAGACACAGCGTGAAAGAGCTCGAGAGCCGCCGACGAAAGAGGAGAAAGCAGCGAGAGCGCCGTGAACGAGAGGCCCGCGAGAATGCCTTCTACGGCATGCAGAACCCCCAGATGAATGGTGCTAATCCGTACGCGTACCCTGTAGCTGCGCAACCGTATCCTACGACCAGCTATGCAGATGCGAATCCCTACGGCAGCATGCCGCCGCCGCCCATGGGCGCGCGGTACTGATGTCTTCCTTTGGCCACGCACATGAGATCCAAACGATTATTGCTAGGGCGGTGGTTTGCGACGATTGCACGGCTTTATACCTGGGCCCGTCTGAGGACCGGCTTTTCTTTTACTTTTTTTCGGTACTTTTTCTTTGACAAAGGATAATGAATGGATGCAGCGACGAGGCTGGGCGATGCTTAACGACACGACATTACGACTTGAACGATGCCATAGATACAAACATGCATTTCTCTGCGATCGATCCCACGTGCTGCGTTCCTGTGACTTGATGTGTGCGTATGAATCAGTTTTGCTGTTGCGATTGCGATTGCCCACCGCGCACTCTCCTTACTAAGTCACACGAATCTGCAGCACGCATATCTGGCCAGGTATCCCGCAGCGCTCCCTCCCTCCTCATCCGCCCCTCCCCAGACCCCGTGTCGCAGCCGCAAGTCCTCCCTGGACCCTGCGCGCAGACCCTAACCCTGCCTGACCCTGTGCGCGCCAAACTTCCGCGTCAGGTAAGAAGTGGCGGGGTGTGGGAAATAGGCGTGTAGGACCCTGACGGGGCGTGTAGGACCCTGACGGGGCCTTGACGGGTCTCGACGGGTTTTTTTTGGCGGGACCCTGGATCGGGGGGTGGGGGGTGGTGATCGGATCGGATTGGATTATAACTCTTTGACGACGAGGGCGGGTGTGTGTGTGTGCGTGTCAGCGCACGTGTGTGTGGGTTTGGAGGGTGGAGATTGAAGGTTGGAGATATAGAGACAAGGCGCTGGTGCGTGGACCGCGGGCGTGGTATTGCGGACTAAGTCTATGTGTCGGGATGGGCGGGTCTATGGGGTGTGTTCTATATGGCATCTTGCAAAGCGGTATTCTTTCAGATCTTCTCGTGTCGTCGTCTCATCATCCCTCATCTTCGAGGAGTCGCGTCGAGTCGACGCCTACCACCCCCCGCCTACAGTCACCGCCAGCCCGGCAACCCTCTCCATGTCGCTCACCTTCTTGCCCACGTCGCTCTCCACCTTCCGGTAGCTCGTGTACAGCAGCCTCCCGGCGTCAACGCCCGTGATGCGCGCCCAGTGCGCAACCACGTCCCTGACGCGGCGCCGGTCCACGCCATTCACGATGTCGATCAGCGCATCGGGCGCGTCCACCGCAGCGGCGGCGTCTGCATGCACGCGCTCCTCATCCGACTCCGAGTCCGACGCGGAGAAATACGCCTCGTCGACCCGAGCCAGCCACTCCTTCTGCTCCGCGGGCCCGGGCTTGACGGGCTCGCTGTCCGCGAGCAGCGCAGGCTCCTGCGTCTCGCGCGCCCGCAGCTCCGCGACCTCCGTGAGCTTGACCTGGCCGCCGCCGTTGGTGCAGCCGCCGGGACACGCCATGACCTCGACGTAGGCATAGTCCTTGGTCTCCGGGGCGGCCTTGCCGGGCGGGCGGCGCACGGCGCCCGTCTTGCCGCCGGGGAGGCGGCTCGCCTTTGCGGGCTTGAGGCGCCGCACCAGGTTCTGGATGTTGCGGAAGCCGTAGAAGCGGGCGGTGCGCAGGAGCGTGTCGGCGCCCAGCGTCAGCGTGTATTCGACGACGTCGGCGTTGCGGCCGCGCGAGACGGAGATTGTGGAGCCGGGGTGGGCGGTTTGGTAGGTTTGCAGGATGTGATAGAGGTAGCCGCCTGAGGTGCCCGCGTCTTGGGACTGGGTTTTCGGGTGGGATGGCGGGAAAAGGAAGGCGTCGAGGGTGGGGTCGGGGAAGGGGGTTCGGTGGGCGAGGGGTGTGCGGGGGAGCGAGGTGAAGGAGATGTTGCGGGCGGAGGCGAGAGAGAGGAGCTCGCGCGCGGTGATTACGCAGTCGACGTCGCGGACGGGCTCTGAGGGGTCGTGGCTGGGTAGCCACGCGGTGGATGTGAGTTCGCTGCGGCTGGCCTCGAGTTTCTTGTCGAAGCAGGGCATGATGGCAAGATGCCATATCTGCGAGGGTGCAATGTTGTATCGCTGACTGAGGACGGATTTGATGAGGGTGCCGGTGAGGGCTTGTGGTGACTTGAGGCGCGAGAGGTATGGGAGGACGTATGGATGTGTCTTCTCGGCGTAGCATATCCAGCCAGGACATGCTGATGTGAGGATCGGACCTTTCGGCGTGGTATCAATGGCGCCTTCGCTCCCGGGCTTCGCGATTGTCTTTGAGGTTTCTGGCGAGAGAGCCGTTGCTACTTCGTCTGCGGCCGCGACCAGACATGCTTCGCGCACCACGTCTGTGTCAATGACCCATGTAAATCCACTGCCCTGATTCCCCCCAGCCTTCACCCCAGAAGGCCCGCTCAGGAGTTGTGTAATCATATTCCCAGCTTCAGCCTCGCTCACATTGAAGACAGCCGCCAGACTTGCGCGCGCCTGAGGCGACACACTAGCAACGAACAACCTCCCCTCAGCATGGTGCCCGTTGCAGCCGTTGGTATGTGTGTGTCCATTTGCAACTCCATTTATTCCGTTCGTCCCGTTCTGCGCCAGCCACGGTGTGTCCAGCGACTTGTACGTATCCAGGGTAGACAGAACCTCGTTGTGCGACTGCAGCTGCACCAGCACAGCCTCGGCACTCGTCACGCACCCTGAGCACGCGAGGCAGTCTGTGAGCGATATCTGTGCGGGTGGCGGTGGTTCGGCGGCCGCGGCCTTCTCTTCGGTGGTGACTTCGTACGGGTTCTGGCGGCTGTCAGTATGCGCCGGGCGCAATTTGAGTGGCTCGTCGTACGGCGCTATTTTCCTCTTTCACCGGCAGTGTCTCGATGGGTTTTATGCACGCGACACCGGGCGATATGAAGTCATTGAGGTCGTCGGCGGAGAGAATCGCGCTCATGGTCGCGGGTAGGCGGGGGAGGGGTGGCGACGAGTTCCAGGATGCGACCGGCGCGGCTTCGCAGATGCTGTGCAGCAGAACACCCAGACAGCAGTGTTAATCCAAACACACAGGCTGGAACGGCAGGAAAAGAAAATTAGCACTCTGAACGTTGATATGTCATCCACGCCGAAGCGCGGAGAAGCCCAACTATTTCGCAGTCACGTAACCGTGTCTATCGATAAGGAAGGCCATTTCACGCCGCGGCTTTTGGCCTTTTTCCGCCACACTTCCCCGACACTGACCAATCGAAGGGCCGGCATTTGTTGGCACCTCACGTGCTCCCCCGACGCCTCTCCGCTCATGTGCTCGTTCCGACTTGCGCAATCGAGAGCTGGCGGATTGCTGTCGGACTGTCGGGCTTGCATGTGCTGTGATGAGCCAAAAGCCCCTCGCCCTCCAAGACAGTGCTGCTCGGCACTCTAATCACCGGCAGTCTACTGAATGCTGCACGAGAGGCTGACGGCCAGCGCGGGTAGTCTAGCAATCGCTCAACCTCAAGAACCCGTATCCCGCAGCTGACTGGACGGCCTCAAGACTCCAACTCCGGTACCCTACGCCCAAAGCGACAAGCCATCTCAATTCCCACCGGACCTCACGCAGCCCTGGATCTACATGCATGCAGCGGCCCGTCGCCCGTTGTGCAACCTTAGCCGAACCACACGCCCGACGTCAGCTCCCCGTCGCTGCCCAGACGGGGGCATCATGTAGGACCGCAAAACAGCGTGGAGCATCAGGCCTCGAAACCTTACTGCTGCCTCACTCCGGCGCTGCCGTGCCATTGTGTCCGTCCGAGTCGGCTGTATCCCGAAATTCTTGACTTTGGCCTCGCAGCCCATGGCAGGGGCACGGCATGCGCAAGCCCTCAGATCTGCGGCCGCCGTGCTACACCAGCCCCGCAGGCATCCCCATGGCGCGCGGCGCTCGCGGTGCGTCCAACACCACCGGCTTGCGTACGTGGACACATCAGGGTCCGAAGCGGGAGCACCGAGGCACGCCCGGATCCGCACCGTGAGCCACGATGCCGTTGTAGAGAGCTGGGCATCAATGAGCCCGGAGGAGTGAGGGGATCCTCGCCTTGCGAGGCTGGCCAGCCTCGCCGGCCATGCCATGCAGCCGGTGGGGCCCTGTCCATGCTCGCAGATGGCCACCCGGTGCTTGCCGGTTTCCGAGCCAGTCTGTGCTGGTGCGAGTGATGTGTCTGTGGCGTGCCTGTTCGCATGAAGTCATGAACCCATGTTGCCCTGTGTGACCTGGCGGTGAATGGATGGCTGATCAGGGAGGGGTTGTGGAGGGCCTCGGGCTTGGGTACGAATGGAGGGCCGTCCATGGAGGGGTCATGGCAGGTGCGTGGTGCGTTGTTCACGTACTGGCGTGGTTGGACACGCGTACAGCATTAACTTCAAAAGTGAATAGTGGCGAGTGCATCTCGTGATCACAAGACATTGGTTTGTGAAAGCTGGAGTTGGTTGGTGCCGCAATGCGTGCACCTTGAGTTGATTGATCTACTACAAAGGAAATTGGTTATGAACGGTCCAGCCGAGTTTCGACAAGACAGCGCAGTGGTATCAATCCAAATTCATCCGCCTGGAGATTCATCTGCCTCCGAGGAACTACCCAAAAATATACAGGGACCAGCCGGCGGTCGAGGAAGTAGTGTGTTGTCGCGCGAAGCGACATTAGGTGATTACAAGGAATGTCCAAGTTCCTCCGGGCGAGTAGTGGCAAAAAGACAAGAAACGAGAACCTGATTCTATAAACATGGAGTGTATGGTTGCCCGAAACGCAAGGAGAAGGTGGGGAAAGAAATGGAGTTGATCGCTCAACAGGACTAGCTATCTATGAACAACACCACAGACCCATCCGTGCACCGGTGGGACAGAACAAGGTACACCGTGATTCCCATCCTACCCAAAAACAAAAATGGAGATTGCGGGGGCGACAGTTTTGATGTAGTCGCCAAATGCAAAGTGGGTATCCGCCAGGAACAACGAAATGAAGCTGACAAGGAGAATATGCGCTGAACGGTCTAGCGAGGTATCTTTGACGAAAATGTTGCCCAGGTAAAACAGGGTGTAGAAGTGAGTGTCGGGATCCCAAAATTACCCCTAACCAAAACTGAGAAAACGACGATTTTATGCCGGTATGATACGATAATGTCCTCGCTAGATGAAATCAGAAATGCCGCCAAGGTATAGTATCCGATATAAACAGATGTAATGGTGTACACAACGGTTGTGCTAAGAGTGAGATGAGGCAATTCTGCGAGATGTGGAAAGCTGCCCTGTGGCGGAGGTGCCGCCACTTTTTGGCCTGTTGTGCACCGTTCCAGACGGCGACCGAAGCTCAATGTCGTGCGGTCGTAACCGAGGAGAGTGGTGACTGACGCAAGCAAATGCAAGCGATGGAATGTAGGCCGTTAATTACACTTGATATGTGATCCAAGGGGTTGAGAACGAAGCGAAAGATTTGCAAGTCGGAGGAACTACCGGTAGAGCGATTGCGTTGCCATCAGGCTCGCTGCTACATTGCTAGCCCAGTCAGAATCGTCCGGCGGTGTGGGCCATTTCGCGACGTTGTCGTTGTGAGTTGGTTGAGGTTTGGAGATGTCCATGGGCTTACTAGGTGTAACATGGTTGTTCTGGTTGAACGCACTGTTGCGATTGGCGGAAGGCGATGGAGTCAGATAAGACGCCGTAGGCTCAGTGTGAGAGTGGGCGTGGTGTGGTGTCTTCTGCGGGTTGTCCATCTTCTTCACGGCCGTGTGGGCAGAAGCGAGCACTTCACTGAGAAGCTCTTCCTCCTCGTTGGGGGTTTCGTACTTGTTGGGAGGGTTCGAAGGGTTCGACTTGCTTTGCACCGCGCGCCTGGTCCTGCTGGAGATGGGCTCAGCATGATGGGGCACGGAGTGGTGCCTCTTAAGTACCGGATTAGGTGCAACTCGCTGCTTTGCCGCGTTGTTCTCGACGGTACACCTCACGTGCTCGAGGGCCTTGTCCAACTCAGAATAGTCATGATTCGAGGTCGGACCTGCGGGGAGTGGTTGGTCAACGACCAAGGATGACCTAGCAGAGCCGGCCCATGGTGCACAGCCCACGTTGGCCTCGACATCGTCTGAGTTAGGCGACATGGGGGTTGGATAGCGTCCCGATAGGCGTCGTGCACGTTTGCGGAGGTGTGAAAAGAAGCTCTCCTTGTGGCCGCTTGCCGGAGACGCCAGTCCTGACTTACCCTCCAATGCTCGCTCTGCTTCCTGGCGATGAGCGTCTGCGTAGTGGTTGCCATGCGACGCGAGTGATAGCTGGCGTCCAATCTTAACTTTTCCCTCTTTATCGGCGGCGCGTACACTTGCTTGGGCATTGACTTCTGCGTGTAAAGGGGACACGGGCCGAATCGAAGGCAAGATGGGAATGGGAGCACCGTTGTTGGGCACTCCATTTGTCCACGTAGCTCGTTTAGCTGGATTTGGGCGTTGCTTGATCGATCCGCTGGGCTCGCTTGTGTTGGGCTGCGGTGATGGGCGAGGTGACATCTGCTGCACCGGGGTGACGTGCTGAGGAACTGCCGGGGCACTCTCGCGAGCAACCAGGGATCGACGCAGCCACGACGAAGTCTTTGATGTGATGCTGGGAGAGGCGTCGGGGGAGTCTTTGGTCGACAAGTCTGACTGCTTGCGACCTAGCAGGCGCGAAGACGATGACTTGAGACGGAGAGGGTCGACGGCGTTCTGAAAGTACTCGTGGGCGAGAGCCTGGGTTGACGTCGGCCTGTTCTTCGGGTCCCATAGCAGACACCATGTGACGAATTTCGCCAGACTGGCAGGCCACTGCGGTGTCTGCAGGATTGTGTCGATCGAGTGCGGAGCCATCTTGGGGAACGAGAAGCCCAGCTTCTGCGCAAGTCTGACACCATCCTTCCATTCACCGCCGCCGACAGGTTGTCCGTGCTTGTTGACCCAGCCGCCTGGGCTGCCCATGATCTCGCATACTCTCCAGACTTGATCCACCTCGTTACCACCAGGGAAAAGCGGCTTCAGGGTTGCGATCTCAACTGCCATAGCACCAACTGCCCAGATGTCGACAGGAGCCGAGTACTCACCGGCGCGTAGAAGGACTTCGGGTGCACGGTACCATCGTGTCGATACGTATGTTGTGTAGGGGAGCTTGGAGTGTGTCTCTCTTGCGAGTCCAAAATCGGCAATCTTGATGGTGTATGCCGGAGGTGTCGATGGAGGAGTCATCATTGCTGAGTATCGTCGGAAAGGATGCGACGAGTCGTTCTGTTGCGATGTCGAGACGAGGATGTTCTCCGGCTTGATGTCGCGATGGAAGAACTCGCGGGCGTGGATGTGCTCGAGACCAGCGAGAATCTGGAAAAGGATGCTCTGTACACTTGAGGCATCTAGCGGCTTGTGGTCCCTCGCCTTCATCAGCTGGTAGAGGTTACCATCCATGTACTCCATGGCAATGTGAAGTCGTCTGCTGTAGGGGTCCAGGAATATGTCAAGAGCAGGCACTAGGTGAGGGTGCGGAGGGAGTGATCTGAGGAAGATGACTTCTCGCAGTTCCAGACAGCTTGAGAAAGAGTCGAAGGTCTTCTTCATTGTTTTGATCGCGACCTTTGACGCGTCAGTTGGCTGTCAACATGGATTGCATGCGCAATGCAGCACTTACCAATGTGCCTCGACGTGCGATGTGAGCGCCGGCAGTTCGGACGCGTGCGAGAGCAACGCTGCCAAAGCTACCGTCACCAATCTCTTTCATCACTTCATACCTCTCCTCGAGAGAGGCCCACCCATGGGGTAGTTCTCGCGACTCTGCGTGCATTGTGAATGTGCTGTGAGTCGTTCAACGATTCTGTGATACACAGGACTGTGACGCGTTAGACAGATGCTTTGTGAAGACAACTGATGAGCTCACCAAAGGGTAGTCCTGGAATGGTTGACTGGATCGATCGATATGGTCTAGTTCATCTCATGCAGAGGGTCGTAGTATCGGTGGTGGCTTAAGGTGGTCGACTTGGGTCGAGGTCGAGTTTCGATGGAGGGGGAGGGGGAGTCCAGTGCGTATCAGAGGGTTTGGAGGGCAACAGCAGCAGGTGTAAGGGTCCAGGTGATGCAGGTGCGGGAATGTCGAAGAAATGAGGGACGACGGTTGGAAAAGGGCTGTGGAGACACGCCCGGGACCACGGTAGGCGGGTAGTATTCCGTGAGTTAGGATGTTCTAGTGAGCTTGATCAGGTATGACTTTGTGACCATAGCGCAAATGGCTTCGTGATCAGTCAGGGAAGGTTGGGTTGATCAAAGCTTCGGGGGCTAGAGGGAAGTGGATTTGGCCGACGAGTGAAGCTCATGAAAGGGTGGCCTGGTCCAGTGGTTGCGATCGGGGTGGTTGACGGCGAGGCGGGCTAACGCGAGACAGGCGTGATTGACGGGAGGTGACAACACGAGCAGAAATGCGCCGGCAGCGGGAGCCTTCTGTGATTGATGGACCGTTCTTTTTAATGAGAGACAGGAAGGGTGCGAAAATGGGCCTTTGCACGAATCGTCGAGCTAGGCCAGACGGGAAATTAGGGTGGAAGGGGCGCTCGGGGAGCGTTGCGAGGCGTAATAATGAAGATCAGAGCACCCAGTCAGGCAAAGCCCGGTTCAAGGCCAGGAGCCGGTCTGTTGCTGTGGTGAAGGCGGTCGCAGATGCGTGCGCTGGCAGCCAGTTCTTCGCGGCCCAGATGAAGTGGGTTGACGCGGACGGCTAGCGAGCGAAACACTGGTAAGTGGCGGCAAGGGCAGGGTGAGCGGTGAAGTGCAGAAGCATGGCGAGGGCACAACAGTGTTTTGGTGATTCTGGCAGAGCAAGATGCAAGTGTGGCGGCCAGCAGATTGAATCGCGCGAAATGAGAGCAGGACCGTCTTGAGACGGGGGCTGACTGTCAACAGGCTCGGGCGTGTAAGGGAAGGCGCGATGAAAGTTGCAGGGGCGCTCGGTTCACTCGGTGCTCGTTTCGGCAAGGCGCTTTCGAGTGCCAAATCGAACGCGTCCGACGCCAGCACGCATACCTCCTAGGCTCTGCGCGCGGCGACCATTGGCCCCCTACGCGGCGGGCCGCCCCCTTTTGCAACATTGTCACGATCCTCATAGGTTGGGCAGCTGTGCGGGCTGCTTAATTCTCTCGACATTTATGTGTCAGCACGTGACGTTCCTCGTCGCCGATGCAGCCAAAATTATCCACTCCAGCATATGCATTAGCACGCACACGTCTTATGTACGCCCACGACTCTCGCTCACCGCACGAAACATAGCCTCACCCCCAGCTCACGACCCGCGCCGCCAGCAGATCGCGCGCCCTGCCACCAGGATAGCACGCGGCTCGCCTTGCCTGTGTTTGTTCTTGTGCGCCGAAGCAGAACCTGGCCGTCGTAACCCCCCACGATTGGCCTCTGTCGGGCATGCGCATGAAGGTCAGGCTGTCATTTCGCTGGGGCAACCACGTTTCGTCACGCTGCCGGCCCCTTTTCCGTTTCCTGACTTGCACCGACAGCCACTAGGCCCTGTTTTGAGGCAGGTTCCTGAGCATCCTGCAGCCTTACCCCATTGGCCGTCACCTCTAGCGCCGTCAACTATTGGCGAAGAGGCTTTATCGGCACCGTCAACGTGGTTTCGCTGTCGCGGCGTGCTTCTAGCGCACCCGCGGCATCCCGGAACGGCCTGGTGAGAGAGCGACGTGCATTCTGCCAGAGCTTGGATCATGGAGTGGGGAGATGGGATATTGCGACCGCCGCCGATGTGTCCATCATGGGCATACAGAAGTTCACCCGTCCAACACCATGATCATGGGGTTTGTTTGATCGCTAGGAATCCTTGAGCGGACGACGCCGTTGTCGTCATGCTGGGCTGAAAGTCGGCTGAAGATGCAGGGCAAACGGGGAGTGGAGAGCCTGACGTGCCGTGTTACCACGCCGCGATCGACGAAACGATAGCAAGCTCAAGGGCCAACTCTATACCGCAGCAGCATCGAGCATCTGTCCATACGGCAAAGTTGCTCCAAAAACACTGTCAACATAGTGCCCCAAACGGACCGCGCACGGCGAGCAGAGTTTTTGCAAATCCACCTCGCCAGGCGCGCCGAATTGTGCTCTGCCGGGCGCAAGTGATGCCGTGTGATGGGCCGTCCGCCTTCCGCTGTCACCATCAGACCTTTGCGGAAGACTCCGAGATGCCGACGTTCCATTGATCAAGCCCATACAGCCAGCGACAGGCGTCTGCTATAATGTCGGGTGAACTATTCAATTAAAGGTTTACCTAATTGATCCCCTGATGCCACTCATCTTCCAGAAGGTTTCTCCCGCGTTGGAACCCCGTCACAGACCATCTAAATTGATTGCCGGCCCACTGTCACGACACCCACGGAAGCGCACAGGTATGTAAGCCCTGAAAGTACTCAAATCATCTCGGAGTTTGCAGTGGAGATCGGCTGTCGCAGCATCCTCGGTGCTAACATGGTGAACTTGACGCTTCTTGCGAAACCATCGGAGATACGGCTCCACAAAGGTTGACTCCTGTCACCGTGCAACGTCGATGTCCCACAGAACGACCTCTGAACGCTCGATATCAAGCACGACCCCGGATCTGCCAACCTCCCAACCGTCCCGGTGCATATAGCCAGGTCGGGCACCGATACCCGCCCAACGGGCCTATCATGGCCAATTCATCCAGTCAAAGCACTCCCTTGGTCCCAACATTGCCCTGAGTTGCTGCGCAAATCACCACCCGCGTTTGAAGAGGAAGTTACGCGGTAACATGGTCTCTCCCAATCTTGTTTTGCATCCTTGCTTGATGTCGTAGGCTGGCCTTTGCACATGACGATCACGTTTCTCCTCCACCAACCGCAATTTCCGTGGCTTCACAAGACGCACAGATGACCGAGCCACGCGCCACGATCTGGACCAGTGCTGTCACCCTTTAGAAAAACAGACACGACACACCCTCAGTAGTCCCTTGTCGGTCACGCGCCTACAACAACGGGACGGCGCAAGGTTCGGCCTCGGACTCGAAGGCTGCCTTGCACACCCCAAGTTATCAAAGCCAAGCACCAACAGTAGCGTCCTCGCGTCTCAAGAGATAGTCACACAGCCTCAGCGGCGGAGCAAGCTCGAGCAGAAGTCGATATTCTTAGCGGTACTGGGCACAAGGGCGGTAAGGCAAAAGCAAGTAGGTAGCTTTTGTGCGACCACGGTGCATGACAGTTGTCGTTCGAGCTATCCGCTCTGCCGATAACGGTTATATACACCGTGGCGCAGTAGCACCACCCGCGCGCGTTGCTTTTAGATGCTCGTCTTGTTTGTGATACGTCCGCACAACAGCAAATTAGCCGTATGTGACTCTAATTGGCCAGGATAGATAATTTCAATACTTATTCCTGACGCATCTGGCTCCATGCTGGCAGCGAATGACTTGCTCCCCCTTCATGATCCACTTCACCTGTATTTGTGACAGGCAGGTACTCCACTATCGACGTCCACATCAGCAATGGAAGACCTGGATGACTGCTTGCTCATCAATTACCAACATGCACGTCAGCCTCACCCACATCTACCCAGCCTTGCATCCAAACCGGTATGTCCGAATTGATACAGCACGCCGTCAGCAGTATTACCCGTACCTAAACACAGGCATGAGCACCAAAGCAGCGGAGACAAAGTGCTGGAGCGGACCGACGCTGGCGCTTACTGCATCTTGACCTTGCATCTGGCAATGCGCCCATTCTCAGCTCCCCCGCGTCAGCTCGTCACACACGGCAATACGCAAAAACCCCTATGCGGAGTACACATCACGTATCGATAGATCGTACATGGGCCTAATGCAGACGGCCCTCAGCACCTGTCGTCCCCGCACACGAAGCCCGCCGCCCACCAGCGACTGCAGCACGGCGAGCCCCGGCCGCTGGCAAGACAATACGCCGCATCGCCGCAGGCCCCGAGCGATACCTAGCCACTGCACTGCTCTGCACGGCGTGCGTCGCTCCAGCTCCACCGCGGCTCTGGTTCGCATCGCAAGCGACCGAAAAGCAAACCTCGCCTCCGACCCCACCGTGCTATCGATTCCTGCCTACCGACTGTGCTGTGCTGTGCGCATCCCGCCGCGTCGCCTCACCGCCGCGAACCCCCCCCCTCGTCTCCTGCCAGCCCTCGTCCCACTCCAGAGCACCCGCAGCGCGCTCCGTTGGCAGTCCCACCCGGCGCCGCCGCGCTCCGGGTGCCAGTTCACGCACCCCCACTGCACCACGTCACGGACACTGTGATGCGCGCGCGCTCGTGCTCGTGGCGACGTGGAGCCGGCGCAAGCGCGGTGCTCGCAGGCCGCGCTGGTCGCACGCCGCGCGGATCGCGGTGCGCTGTGTTTGTTGTGATGTGCGCCGACCAGACGCCCTTGTCTGTGCCTGTGCGTGGCTGAGATCGATCGCCGGGGGATGTGCGTGGCTTACCGCTTTCTCGGTGCTGGCTGCGCTGCTTGGACGCTGACCGGCTGGTATGGTATGGGATGCTGGGTATCTAGGTATTGCTAGGTACCTATTGCTAGGTATTGCTAGTTTGCTAGGCTCCGGTCAGAGACGGGCAGCAGAGAGCGGTGGGCGCGCATGCAGCGCAGTGCCCGAGGGAGAGGTTGGGAAACGCCCGTTCATGCGTCGTCGTGCTGTGCTGGTTGACCGCTCTTGTGAAGTCGAGTGCGCTAGCTCTCCCGAGGTGCCCCACTGAGCGCTGTCGAGCGTTGAGGAGCCGCAGTGGGGAACAACAAACAAAGGCAGGTGGGTAAGTGATAGTGCGGTGGAGGAGGCTGGTGACAGCAATGCAGGTGGGGCAAGGATTGAAGCGGTGATGATTGACACGTTCATGTACACTTGATCGAAAAGGTTTAGATGGTAAAACTCGAAGCAATTCATTGACTATATACACTACAACAAAGCTCGACGGTCCCACTCGTGTATGCGTAATCACTGTGGAGTCATCTGATAGAAGTCAGCAAGCCGGTCATGAAAAGGGCATGTTGACAAGAATTGGATGATTCGGGTGTCAGGTCTCCAAAGTGATGTGATGTTCTTCAAGGGGTATGCAGAAGATATACAGCAGTACATTGTCTTCCTCATGTAGGTGGGCGAAGGGAGCAGGCGTGTAGAATTGACTTACAAATGGTACAGCATGTCACGTGGGTGATCGTAAAAGTTCCCTGGGGTCATGTCGTCAGCGTAAGCTCGAACGAAAAGACTCGTCATTCTGTCGAATGAAAGATAAAAGTCCATCAAATGTTTCAGTCTGGATTGTGTTAGCCGGCGTTGTCTTCGAAAATGACGAGTGTGACATACCTCATTAAATCAGATTTGTTTAAGTGATCAGGGCGACGGCAACCGTTACGAAGCCGCCGCGTCACACAGTGTGAATATCAAATAATCATCATATAAATGATGGACCGTGGAAGAAAACAAGAGTGTCATACCTGCGAGATGGACGTTAGCAGATGTTTCGCAGCGGAGCGTCTCGCAATATAAGCACAGGGTCATGTGCAATGTAATCAGTGATGCTGTGTCAACAAGTACTTCTCCTTCCGACACCCACAGGTTTGTACGCCTGCTTTTTACGGATGCCGGTCAAAGAGTACGATCTGTCCGCCCGACGCATCGGTGGTCTCATCAGGAAAGGAATATGGGTTCGAGAAGGGACTTGGAGTCCGATAGGGAGTATGTACCTGAAGAGAACATGTCAGCTTCGAGTCTCAAATCGGATGTTATAAAACGGTGAATTTGAGCATAATCAGACAAGGCTGAAACTTAATTGCGTGATAAGATCGACATTGTATATTCAGGTCGAGGAATGCCTTTCCGAGTCACAGTATCATCACTATGCTTAGGGTTGTGGAGGGGGATTGCGAAGTGGGGAAGTCGTACCTTTTAAAAGAGAGATGCGAACTGCGCTGCGGGGAGTCTAAAAGCAACAAGAAGCTGAGACACAGTTAGTTGGTTGATCAGATGCGTAAATATGAGCAAAAGTAGCGCTGTGCTGTGTGCATCATGGTAAAATTGTATAAATGGTAGTCCTTCATGATTGATAGGAATTGGATTGTTCGTGTTTGGAAATCTTCTGCGGGCGCAACTGGAGGGAGTAGCTTACCATGTACTACAGTCGAGAACGCATGGCTGCGTTAGTGAGAACCAACCAACAAGAACGCGCGCATGCAAAGCGCGTTGTGTTCGTGTTGGTGGTTGTGGTGAGCGTTGGTTGCAGCTGCCGAAAATTTGGGCTTGAGCAAGAAGCGGGCCGTTCATTTCGCCGCGGACGCTTACGTAACGCAGCTTCCAGCAGCAGCAAGATGGTCACCCAAACCTCGACTGTGAGATTTGACTTGCAGTTATCCTTTGCATGGTAACTTCATTCGCATAATTAAACTGCCTGTATCCACATGATGGTCATTTCAGACGTCTACCCATCGCGAATGCATGAAAATAATCACTGTCAACTACATTGTCACAGCAAGCAGTTGGAGGTCACTTATAGGCGCCAACTCATCAAGGTTTGAACACATTTGGCCTCACTTTGGCAAACAAGTTTAGTGTATCGTGCTTGCAGCGTTTCCACGCCCAACACTTCATAAATCATCATTCATCTAAACAACACCGGCCAGTACCCACCTCCCCTACTGCGCCAGCTTCAACAACCCCTTCTTCTCCAGGTACTGTGTAATCTCAGCCACCGCCTCCTCGACGCTCTTCTGGTCGCTCCGGATGTAAATCTCCGGGTTCTCGGGCGCCTCGTAGGGGCTGCTGATACCCGTGAACTCCGGGATCTTGCCTGCGCGCGCCAGCTTGTACAGGCCCTTGGGGTCGCGCGCCTCGGCGACTTCGAGCGGCAGGTCGACGAAGACCTCGATGAACTCGAGCGGCGCGTCGTCGCCCTTGACTTCGGCGTGCAGGGCGCGTGCGGTGGCGCGGTCCGCCGCGAAGGGCGAGATGAAGGAGGTGATGGCGATGGTCGAGGAGTCGGCGAAGAGCTTTGCGACCTGGGGACGGGATTAGTGGGTGCGCTTTGACTGGCTTTGGTGTGAGAGGTGCTGCTGTGGGCGGGAACTCACCTCCGCGATGCGCCTGATGTTCTCGTTCCTGTCCTTCTCGCTGAAGCCGAGGTCCTTGTTCAGGCCGAAGCGCACGTTGTCGCCGTCGAGACGGTAGGATGCGAAGCCCAGGTGCAGCAGGTGCTGCTCGAGCGCTGTGGCAATGGTCGACTTTCCAGACGCAGAGAGACCGGTGAACCAGATGGTGAAGCCAGGCTGCTTGCGGAGTGTGTTGCGCTCAGCGCGCGAGAGCGAAGGGTGCCAGGTGATGTTGCTGTTGGCGTTCAGTATATTTCTACTTCCGTTTTGGGCCGAAGCATGAAATGGTGGGGGTTTGGCGGGGTACTCACGTCGCCATTTTGCTGAGCTTACGGTTGGGAAATTAACGGGGAAGATGTTGAAAGTAGATTGAACAAGACAGAATGCAAAGGAGCTTTGAGCTTTTAGTCAATGCCAGTCCTGATCACGCTGATTGCATGCGTACCCAAATTCTCGGTCTCTAGTGCAGATGACGTGCCCGCGCCGACCCGCCATTGATCGCCGGTGATGCGACAGCCCGTACCTTTTCGTCTCTCGCCCGACAGTATGTGGAAAAGTCGCACCGCGTACAGCCAAACTTCTTCGTGCGGCTCTGACAAACAAACGCGGTTGAACGAGTATGTACACATGACAGATATCACAAAGACGAATTGCCACCAGTGCTGTGAGCTGTCAACCAGGCCCAACAGCCTCATAAAGCGACTCAAAGTGGATGCAATATAGGTGTAAACAAAATCGATTCTTCAAATGCTATCGTCATGTGACCGTGCTACTAGAGCAGTGCCATGCCGTCGTGTACTTCATCAATGCCTTCGAAAAGATTAGAGCATATGTCAAGTCTGTCCCTCCTCCACGAATTATGTCGTATCCGGACTATCTCCTCCCACCAAACATTGTATACATTAAGAAGTAAAGCGGGTATGGGGTATGGGGTACGCAGACGCGCAAAAATGCAAATGCAAAATAATGGAACAAAAAAGTACTTGAAGAGGGGGTATGTGGCGAGTATGTTTGACTCTTACATGACCCCAAGGGAGAAGTTGGGCAAAGTAGAAGACCCAATTGGAAAGAAGCATCCAGAACATGTCATCCATCTCAAAACTAAGTCGACATGGTGACGGAAAAAAAGTGTATCAGGGTATGAAACGCCATATACCAATGCGCAGCAAAGTGAAAATATACGACATGAACTGTGCTGCAACCTCAACGAGCTTAGAAGCAGTTCAAGGTGCCCTTCTTCTTATTCTTCTTGTTGGCGTCGTTGAGGGCAGCCATACGAGCCTCAAGGTGTGCGCGCTCTGCCTCAACGCGTAGACGAGCGTTGCGCTCTTCTTCGACAGCCTGGAGAGAGTGTCGTGTAGCGACCCGCTCTTTGCGCATGGCGTTAATCTCTTCCTCTAGGCTAGCACACTTCTTCCTGTACTGATCCAAATCGCCCTTGGTCTTTTGACTGGACGATTCAAGGTCGGTCAGTGCGTCTTCGAGAGTAGCTGTCAGCTGCTTCTCGGCAAACAAGTGCTTTTCAATAGTGCGGATCCGAGCTTCTTGATCCTCCACCAGCTGAGCATGTGCGATGTCCTTACTCTGGTGACGCGAGGACGGCGGGGAGGGAGCGTGTGTTTGATGGGGAGGAGGACTGTTGGGCGGAAGAGGAGGCAGCGGGATGGCCGGAGGTGGGGAGGGTAGAGACATGTTCAAGCTCTTACGACCGTTAGAGTTGTTAGAGTCGGATCTCTGCAGATCTTCACGAGGATCCATGGACATTCGAGCAGAGTTTCGCTTGGCTGCGACTTGCGACTGTAGACTGTTAGTTGCGATCCACGTCATGAAGAGAAAAACTTACTTCAAGGAGGACAATCTTGGCCCGAGAATCCTCAAGATCCTTTTCAAGTTGTTCGCGATGGACCACAACATCCTGAAACTCACGACTGCGCTCTGTCTGAAGAGCAGACAGACGATTGTTGGCAGCTTCATGCTGATCCCAGTTTTGATTGAGTTGATCCTCCAACTCTTGAACCAAACGGGAGCTCTTGCGTTCTTTGTCACTGACACGCTCGAGCTCCTTGATGGTCTCGGCGTTAAGGGTCTCGAACTCCTTCATGTTGTCCCTCAGAGTTTGAGTCATCGTCTTCGACTCTAACAACTCGACTTTAGCTGCCTCGAGATCATCAAGAGCTTGGTCCATGCGTGCTGTGAGCGATTTACGGGCCTCGACTAAAGCCTCAACTTGTGACTGCACTTGATCAACCTCGACTTCTTGATTCAAAGCGCTAGCGACACCCCGCAGAAGGGTCTCCAAATCGTTTTTGGCTTTGGACAGATCGGTTTGGAGTATAGTGTTCGACTCTTGGTGAGTTGTGAGCTCGGAGGTCAACTTCTCGAGCTCGGCTGCATGAGACTTTTGCAAGGAGTCCATGCCCTGCTGGTGGTACTCAATGGCAGACTTGTGCTCCTCAATCTGATGCTCAAGGTTGGCAACGAGGGACTTGTGAGTATCGAGCTCTTTCTCAGTCAATGCCCTAGCCTCGGAGTCTTCCTCCACCTGCTTGATGATGTTCGCATGCGAATGTTCGAGCTCAGCTAGACGGGCTGCATTACTACCTGCGGTCGCTTTGTGCTCGTCAACCTGGTTCTGCAAAGCAGCCACAAGCTCTGCATGCCTAGTCCGCTCTTGTTCGAGTGCAGCCGATGCTTCAACACCCTTGGCATCTTCTAACTCGGTCAGTCGAGCAGTGTGATTTGCCTGGAGCTGTTCCATGGCAGACTCTAATTCTCGAACGGTGCTAAGATGTTGCTTTTCGGACGCTTTGGTGGCTTCGATCGCCTCAAGGTGCTTTGATTGCCATTGGGCAGCCTCATTAGATAGGCTGATCAGCTGTCGATGACGCGTCTCATTGTCGGTCGCAACAGCATCACCCTCAGCAGCGTCAGGTAGTTCGCGAGAAGACGGCGCTTCGCTCGAAGACTCCGGCGATCTTGCCGAGGCCGTGAGGAGGGCCACCTGCTCCCGCAAGGCAGACTCTCGCTGGGCATGCAGATTCTTTAATTCTTGCATCTGCTCTTCGTTTTGCTTGATCTGATCTTGCATGGTAGCAACGATAGATATGTCCAGGGGGGTGGAGGCCTTGAGGCTGGACCTCTCCTTCGTCAAGCCACTGATCAGGGTCATCTTACCCTCCATCTCCTTTCGTACTGAGGCAACTTCAGACTCGAGCTCTTGAACCCTCTCAGATCTGGTGTTGAGTTCTGACAGGATTGTACTCAGGTTGTTCTCGAAAGCAAGGCCAGGTTCTTCATCGAGCTTGTCCAATGCCAGATTGCGGAGAGAATTGACAGCACGGTTAGAGCGGTCGTTTGAAAGCAATGCTTGACTTGACTTGCGGCGGATCATGTGGACTGACGGAGAGCTGGGGCGCGCAGTCAAATGAGCCCTGGTCACTTCGGATTTCAGCTCCTCAACATAATCCAATGCGTCCTGGTGCTGCTCTTGCAGGTCCGAGTAATCCCGCTTGAGCTCAGCGACACGCTCTTCCTTCTCGCCATGAAGTAACTTCAATGCCTGCAGCTCCTGGACAAGCAGTGCTTTAGGAACGGAGGTTCCACTGTCAGTGGAAGCGATCGACGGCCGGCGAACGTCAGCCTCAGTGGCATCCTCAGGCGTAGTATCGTTGCCAGACTCTGCTGACAATAACTCCGAGGACAATGCACGCGACGACAAAGACTGTTCGAGCTCCTTGTTGAGGTCGTTGGTTGCGACGTTGCCTAAAAAAGTTGACGAACGGGAGGATCCATGGCGCGCTTCGTCTACGGTATCTTGAAGGGAAGCCAGGGTACGTAGGGCTTCTTGATATTTGCTCGCGAGCTTCTCGTAATCTTGCAATGTTCCCTCATGTTCGACTCGGAGATCGAAAAGCTCTTGCGTGACAGAGTCGAGCTTGTCATGAACGAACCTGGATTGTGCAGGGCTTGACGGCTCTTCCAGGCCGCCATCTGCAGCAAGGCCTTGGACCGAGATACTTCGAATCGAGCGGCCATCCTCCTGAACTGCCAACTCGCTCTTGCCGCTTGTGGCTCCTGCTGTAGTAGGGCGTTCGGAATCGTCTTCCTCGGCAATGGCATCCACCGTAGAGCTGAAGTGACGAGCACCTTCAAGGGTGAATTGTCCACCACCAGACACTCGCTTCTCGATGAAGGGGTCGCTGGGGCCTCTGCTGTGACCGTTCGTCGAGACTTCCTCTGGTTTGGCGTCCAGTTGGCGGACGGTATCAAGCTCGTACAGAAGATTATCCAGCTTGCCAATGCTCCGCTGCCTCTCGACGACGTGCTTAAGGCGCTCGATCTCACGAGTCATGACTTCCACTTCTTGCTCATTCTCAGCAAGGCGCTCTTCCAAGGTAGATATGTAATCCTCGCAGCTAGACTCGTTCTCTCTGGCCTTCTGTAACTTATCGCGCAGGTCCGTGATAGTGGTGTCAGTCCTCTCTACACCGGTGACAGAGTTGTCAATCTGTCGCTCGAGTGATTTGACGTATTCCTCGTTGCTAGCATCACGTTCCATGGCCTTCTGCATACGGGACTGCAGCTGGTGATTGTGGCTTTCGAGCAGCGAGATGCGAGCCTCTCGCTCTAGGAGTTCGCTTTCTTGTCCAGACATAGAGGTTCGCGTGTTCGAAAGAGAGGATTCTAATGCTTGGATCGTCTTTTCGTACTCCAAAACTACATCTTCAACGGCGTCTGCGAAAGAATTGGACCTCTTCAGACGCTCGAGCGCAGTATCACCAACAGTGCCCCGGAGTATGGGGGTGTCTGCAGCATCATCGTCCCTTACTCTAGAGATCTCGGCAATCAGCTTTGAGTGACGGAGACTAAGAGCGGTGTAATTTTCCTGGAAATCGAGCAGCTGATTTTGGAGTTCCATCTCGCGCTCGTACTGTTGACTGGCGCGTTCGCTCGGATCCGGGTTCGTTCGGCTGGTGTTTTGGGAGAGCCTCATCTGGTCCCTCAAGAACTGAACCTCATTTCTGAGTCGCTCAATCGTCGCCTGCTTGTCGCTATCGTCGTGGATCTGCTGGATCTGTGGCTTGATCTGGATCGCACGAGCACGCTGAGCATACTGTACTGTGTTCAGCGATTCGCTGAGATGGAATTCTGCCGGGTTTATGCAAGCAATCATGTATGTGATGGCGTTGCCACCCAAGGAATCCTGGAGCAGTCGTGTGAGGCGCGAATCTCGATAAGAGATGTGAGCATTGTGGTGACGCGAGGAGAGCTGGGAAATGACCTTGCCCAAGCTTGCTAATCCAGCGTTGATGGAAATGCCCTCTCTTGCCCTTTCCCCAGAAGCTTGTGTGTTCTTCAGCCTTTCGCTTCCCGCAAGATCCACAAAGTGCAGCTTGCTGTCAATCGTGACCAGGCTCTCGCCTGAGCCGGACATGGCTTCGAGAGGCACGGATCGGCGCTTGTCATGTTTCGCGGTGGGCGTGGACGAGGTCTTCTTTTGGACAAGGTTCAAGCTGAAGACAGCGTGGGAGCGCGAGGATTTTGCATTTTGCGCGGTCGCGTCAGTCTGGCGGATGGAAGAGCCAAAGTTGAGTGCGTTCAACAGATCGTCTACTGAGTTGATGGTGACCTGTGTGAGACCAGCGAGTATGATTCGACCCCCCGGCTCTTCACGGATAGCCACCTCAGGGCGTTGGGCGTGCGGCACTGTATCGGGGAGCAGGAGATCACGTAGCTGCTCGTTGTAGATCTGCACTTGTCAGCACCGCCGGTCTCTTGGTTGGTGGAGTGGGGCTTACCTCAACGTAGGTCGCGGTGAGCTGCCAGTTCTTCTTGGTGGAAGACTTGCTGGAGAAGTTGACTGAGCCCATGCTCGAAACACGCGAGTTGGGCGGGCGAATGCCTGATCCCGGCGGGCGAATGCTGGGTCCCTCGAGGGTTTCGTAGAGCAGTGCGGCTGCGCGGGGGATGATGCCCATGACCTGCGGGTTGTTCTGGTCGCTGGGCCCGGTGGTGCCCATGGTGTAGGACTTGCCGGCGCCGGACTGGCCGTATGCCAGGATGGACACATTGTAGCCCTCAATGAAAGAATTGACGCTCTCGGTCACGTACTCGAAGACGCCCTCCTGGTCTACGTCCTCACTGAAGACGCGGTCAAAGACGAAGACCTTGCGGCCGCCCGCAGCTGGATCGACGGCGAGACTCGAGGGCGAGGTGACGTGGCAGCGGGCGGAGCGGAAGCGCTGTGGGATGAGGTCGTACCCCGGGTCCTCCTGCTTCAGTTGGGGGCGCACGCGGACGGCTGTAGTGGCTGGTTAGCGGTGTCTCTGGCGGCGGTTCGGGGGAGGCGCTGGCCACATACCGACTTTGACGGCCGTCTTGGTGTCGTCGTCCGAGGCGCGGCTCCCGCCCATCTTGCTGCTCATGCTCAGGCGACTCGAGCTGCGGTTGGGGCGGATCATGGCGCTCGCCGGGCGTTTGCCGCGGGCGGCGGGCGACGTGGGCGGCGACTCCATTGCGGCCACGGCAGCGCCGGTCGTCGGGGGCGGGCGTGGTGTTGCGGTGCAACACAGCGGCGGCGCGGTTGCGTGGCGACAGGGGCAGGTGCAGCAGCGCCGGTCGCAGGGTCACGGTGGGGCCAGACAGCTCGCGGTCGCATGGGACAGGTGAAGGGGCGCGCAATGGTCCCAGGCGGTGCAGCAACGCGCAACTCAACTGCAGTCGACAGTGACGCACGAGCTTCAGCACAAGAAGAGCGCGGGAAGAACGAGCAATCGAGGCTGGGAGCCAGAATTATTTCTCGAACCAGCGCCGCGCACCAGATCCAATTGCACCCCTGGCCATGGCGGCATGTAGTCTCCCAGGGGAAGGCACCTGCACCGACTCTTTCAGGCGCACCTTCCCTGTCTCATGCAGGGCCAATTTCGCGCTTAGGGCATCTCGAATAAGCCACACCCACGCTTCGTGATGCTGCCCACCGCGCACCACCCGCTATGACCGTCCTGGCCGCCGTCGCCGTTGTGCAGCACGCGCCCTGGCCTTTGCACGCGCATCTTTGCTTCTTTCCTGGGGCAACGTCGCTTCACCCACCAGCTGCCGGCGTGGTGCGTGTGCGGCTCGACGTGTCTGCACCACTGTGCATGCCTGTACACGACTGTCCCGCCGCAGCTGCGCTGACCGTGGGCAGCTGTGGCACGCATCCTGTTTGGCCAAAACTATGCCTCTCTCGTCATCTGGCGTCGGCTGGCTGGCAGACGTTCGCCTTTGAGTTCTCATCTGCGCACCGTGCCTGCCACTTCGTGAAGATCCCAACGCCAGTCTCGGCGCTAGGCTATGTGTGCCGGAGGCGGCTAGACGGTGATCGTGTTTCAGAACTACCTTTGCTGGTGAGCCGAATCTCCTATTCATGCACAGCAAAGCTGCCGATATCCTGCTTCCATCATACAACGACTCCTGTCAGGGGCGCCGGGAAGATGTGACACAGCATACCTACGCGCTGCGCTGTCCAGCTTCTCAGCTGTCCGCTCAGCTGGCCCTGTCTGGCGCGTCAGTCCAAGTATGTCACCAAGCATATCCTGGCATTGCGCGTCGGACAAATCACACGTGTTGCCATGCGGAGAGATGGATTTCTGCTGCTGTGATTGGCTGTTGCCCAAACGGCGCCGCTTTCTATCCGGACGTGGTCAGACATCGGCGAAATAAGACCACTCTGTCGTTCACTAAGCTTTGCATCGCGAAGCCATTGCTCAACTTCAGGTCGCCCAGTCTGACATGTCGTTCCAAGTACGTATAATTTGTGCGTTTCGTACTATCGAAGCCAAAAACACGAGGACTGATACTGTCCAGTCGCTGTGACCCGAGCCACGTATTGCCTCACTACGACCGCCGAGAACACATCTTTCTCCAATCCGTGGAGGAGAATGCCACCTTCCCGTGTGTGGTGGTTCAAGGTTCGCTACCGAGTATATCGGAGTATAGTGCGGTGTACCGTGGTCATTGTATCGGCTGATCCAGTAACTTCCAGCCTAGCTTGTGTCTACGACACTTCCAGGTAAGACTGTTGTTGACATCCGCGTGGACCATCAAAAGCCCCCGGGGATCGCGGATCACTCGTCCAACCCCGCCATCGACAGCATGGTAGCAACGGAATGCTGTTTGATCCACCCGACCCGTAGACGTCACTCTTCAACGTCTCGCCTGAAATGGACCACAGCAACACCATTGCTATGGGCCGAGATGGAGAGCCAATTTCTGTCGACCTTCCAATCCTTTGCTTGAGACTTTCGATCGGAGTATTTTATGGTGAGGGGTAGCTATCCTACTTCAAACCCTATCATCGGCACCGGCCTCGGGGAGCGCGGAAGATTGTTGACACCAGGTGACGACTTCGCATGTCGTGCAGCAGGCACAAGTCAAATCTTCCGTGCCGCTTCCGCGGGGTCATTTGGCTCCGTACATACATATAACGTTCGAACGCTGCAGTAGTCGCTGATCCAGGTCCAACTGTCGGCAGTACCAGGCCACCCCACAGAATAAGATATGGTTTCCAAACTAATATCTGACTCATCTAGGTATTCCAGTACTGCTTGGACGTTGACATCGTGTGCGGCATCTTTCCCCTGGTGATTGTGTGCTACAAGCGCGCGACAATCCAGCTTATGATACACTTGACTATCCCGTCCATGTACCCAACCAGTAAACACTCAGCACTCACGAGTATGGTTTGCGGTGATAATGCCCGCAACGCTTGAACGGAGCGATTACCTGCACCAATATGTGGTCGAACTCGAAGAACTTCCCAACTCGAGCTTGAGGTCAAACCTTAGCATTCCAAAAGCCTTCCATGGGCTCCGCTTATACAACCACGAGAACCTACCTGATTCCATCTCTATACCCGTGCACTGCCGACAAGACAGAGTTTGCATGATTATAGCCCATATTGCAAACAGCTCCCTGTAATAGCAAATTTCCCGAGACGTACTACCACGAGCCACGGTCATGCTGGACATGCTGGTATCTTATAGCCTTGAGGCCCAATTGACCATAGAACCACGGAAGCGTTACGTATCAGTCTGTAAAGCAGCAAGGAGCACGTATGCTTGGTAAGCAACCAGAGTGCCGGCCTATATCTGCTCCCAGCGTTCATGTAGTGGATGAAGAAACGACAGTGTGCACTAGCCCGCTGGTTCCGTGACAACACTCGGTGCCTCCAATGTATGAAGAACAACAAGTCAGGACGTATGCATACATCTTTGAATAGCAGAATCAGCACATACACAACTCCGCTATGCAGCTTCAATCCTTCATAGTCCTGCACCAACCCCATCATACGAGAAAATTCCCCCTCCCTAACTCCCTTACGACAACAACTTCACACCCAGCCGGCCAGGATCCAGTAACACCGCAGCGCCGCAAAAGCACGCAACGATATCCATTACGCCCCACCCACCCTAACCCCATCCCCTCTCCCACACCACCCCACCCGAATCCTCCCAGCTTGTATACCAACTCAGCAACTGCACCGCACCGCGAGGCGCCTTGTAGCCAGCAGCCTCGCAGCCCCAGCCGTCGCAGCCCCCGCCGCCGCAGCCCAACCATCCGCCTCGTCGTCACGCCCTGTCTCAGCCGCAGAGGCGTGTCCTGAAAACCCCCCGATCGCCGCCGCCCGAATGTCCCGCTATAATCTCCGAGCCAATAGATGCGCGACCGAGCCCGGCGCGACGGGGGCGTCTGCTGTAGCGCCGACATGAAGGGGGGGAGGGAAGCGCGCGGGAGCCAGCGGGCGCGAGATTGCAGGACGCAGTGCGACGTATACACAGTACAGTGCGCGCGGGCGCTGCAGCGCGAGCACACAAGACACGAGCACGAACAACGGACATCCCGTGAAGAAAGGACAGTGTCTGCGGGGACGGAAATATGGTATTATACTAACAACGACTCGCTAAGATAAGATACATAAGAAGAACGTGTGCGAGCGCGCGCGCTCTGCGGCGCGGCGGCGCGGCGGTGCATCGTGGGGTGCTGCGTGGCGCAGCGGAAGGGAAATGGCCGTACACAAGAAGAAGGTCGTAGTGGGCGCCGGGCATGGGGGAGCGTGGGGTCGCTCCTGGAGACGCCGACGCCACGCCCAACGAGAGGCGGAATGCAATGGGGTGGCTGCGAGGCCGGAGTGCCTGGAGGCGGGGCCCGGAGGCGGGTGCAAGTGCTGTTGCGGTTGCGGTGTGGGTGCGAGGCTAATTGAGCCAGCTGAGGGATCTTCGTACATAAGCCGTGCGGGTCTACCGCGCATTCTGCCGCGAGCTTTGTCGCGAGCGGTGCATGGGGGTGGCGTACTTGGAGACGGGGAGGTCGGCGTACGAGTTGTTGTCGTCGAAGGACTCGTCCTCGACGATGCGCGTGGGCACGTCGGGGATGTCGTGGCTGCGATGATGCAGACTGGACCTGTCGGGTGTTGTCGACGCGCTGGCCATGGACATGGATGTGCTTGATCGGTGCGTCAGATCGGGGGTAGGGGGGATGCTGGACCCGCGACCGGGGCGCAGCATGTCCTCGTCGCCGTACTCGCTGCCGATTGTCGACTGCGTGCGGCCGTCGATTGTGGATTGCTGGCCCATGCTGGCGCGGCGCTCGCTGTGGTTGTCGCCGTCTTCGGTGTCAGCGCGCTGGGCGAGCTGGAGGCCCTCGACGGCGGCGGCGCACTGCTCGGAGATGTTGCGGATGATGTAGGCAATCGCATCAGTCTTGTCGCGGAGGACACGATCAGCAACATCGACCATGGACTGGTTAGAGAATCGCTTCGAGTTGCGCGCTGGAGAGTTGTGTAAGCGGTGCTCCATGTCGGGTGTGACGTCCTCGCCGTCGAAATGCGTACCATTAGCAGTGCTTGACCTTGAACCAGCTGGGCTGTCACGGCCGCCCACGCCTCGAATGGTGCCAACTTCGGACCTGTCCTTCCTGGGAGTCTGAGGGACCTCAGAGTCGTGGAACTCCTGCTCTTCCTCATCCTCCTCCTCGACCGACTCAAAGCCCTCGGCCATGTAGTTGTGCATGTCATCCTGGTTCAGAGACTTGACAATGTGCTCCATGTGGTGAGTCTGACCCTCGATAAGAGCGCGCAGATGCAGGACCACGCGCTGAGTCTCATCACGTTGTCGGATGATGGCAGTGTTGGTGTGCTGCAGAGCTGACAGATCCTTCTTGTTCCTCTTCCTCTCCCGCTCGAGCTCTTCAGCGATCTCTTGCTGGAGGACAAGTGCCTCCAGCGCATCATCACGCTGCTTCTCGGTTCCAGAGAGGCGGATGGTAAGACGGGCGGCATCATCCTTCTGCTGGTCAATGAGGCCAGTAAGACGACGGTTTTCACGCTTGTGGTTCTCGATCTTGACCTTAAGGTCCTGGGTCTCCTTGGTGAGCTGCTCAGCGAAGGTCTGGAACTTGAGGAATTGCTGCTTCCAGCTCTCGAGTTCTTCGACCAAGAAGTTGTTGCGCTTGGAGACCTTGGACAGCTCCGTGTCCATGCGGCCCTTGAGGTTGATGAAGTCCTGCCAAGCTTCCTGAGCATCACGGGAGTACTGGTTGCGCTCACGGACAATCTCGTTGAGATGGCGCATAGAAACCTTGGTCATCAACGGCTTCTTGACGGCTCCACCGAAGATTGCCTTCATTCCACTGTTGCGGCCCTACAATACGTCGTTAGCGTCAGTCACAGGGTTAGTTCAGTCGGCTGGACTTACGAGCTTATCGCACACGTGATCCATAACGGCCATGACAGCATCCTGGTTCCACCAGTCTGGATCCTGGATACTCTCAACCTCACCGCGCATGACGATGATCTGGCCCGCAGGGATCAGCTTTCCGCCACCGTACGCAGAACGCAGATGCTGTGGGACACCAGTCGGCGACACTTCGCCGTTGAGAGCTTGTGTGAGACGCTGAATCATCTTCGTCCTCTGTCCAGCAGTCAGGGCGGACGGAGGGCTCGAAGTCAGCACGAAGTTTCGGTCCAAGTCGACCACAAGGGCGTCGGTGGGAGCGGTGAACAGCGATCGGCATTCCGATGTTACACCAAGAATGTACGGGCCGGGTTCTTGTACAAGGTCCTTGACGTGACGCGCATGCACGACAGGGACGTACAGACCGCTCCACTCGTACACCCGAACACAATATCGCACCGTTTCAGCTGCAATAGTGAGGACTGCGGGGTAGTGACTCGTGAAGATGATTCGTCGTGTTGGCGATACTGCAGCCTCAACCACACCAACAATGTTGGGAATAGAGAGACAGGTGAACAGCGGCCACATGGCGAAGTTCTGGAAACCGGTTGGCGATGAGGGGAACTGGTAGCACAACGCGTAATCCTTCATATCAATGCGGACTAGATCGTTCAGACGGGGCGCAGGGAAGCTCAGTATTCGAGACACCTCTTCGGCGTGGAACAGATTCGTGGCCTTGTTCCAGTGGATCCACATCCCTCGCAGATAGTCGCCAAGCAAGTTGTACAAGGGATACCTCGAAAGGAAACTCAGGCAGTACGGGATCCAGTAGGTCTCGTCCGGGTTGTCGTAGAAGTCCGGTTCGATGCGCTTGCGCAGGTCGCGGATCGTCTCGGCTCTCTTCTCATCAGCGCGGGACCATACGCGCAGGGCGATACCATAGAGAGTGTGAGAGGAATCCTGCTGGAGAACAAACGAATGGTGCACGCAGTGTGGCTGGCTCCGTCCGGTACAGATCTCGACATCGTGAGGAAAGCAGGCCTGTGCCATGATTAGAACATGCTCTTCCAACAGGACAAAGCATACATACCCGCATAGCGGCGTGGAGCGACCTCGCAATCTCATTATCTTGCTCCAGTCTGGGACTGCTGCCCAAGATCTCCGGCAGCCAGAAGGTGCCGACCGCACCCTTCATGTGCCCAATCTTGCCCTGAGCTGGTGCTGGGGCCTTCACCCATTGCGACGGTTCCCGGCCAACACCACATACCATATACGCATGGGTCAATGTCTTGGGGCTGCGAGCACCCTGTTTGACGTTCAAGGTCGACGGCAGGGGCTGGGTGATGCGCGAGTGCAGCGAGGACGTCCGGCTGGGGATGATGAGACTGTGGTCGGTGTTGTCCCTCGTGGGAGGGCGGTCATCGCGAGTGCGAGGCCGAAGGGTCAGAGACGGTGCCATTGTTGGAATGCGTAACGTTGGTACCGAGTCGATCGCGCGAAAAGTCCCTGGGTGACGTCCGGAGGGTCCAAGACTGGTAGTACTATAATGACAGAGAGAACATTCGAAATATTGAAGAGCTTCGGGAGGGCATGCGATGGGCTTGGAGCACAATGACAGCAATTGACCAACTCTACAGTCTGCCGAAAGCTCCGAGTCACCTTGCTGCGTAATTGCAGTGAGGAGGGCTGCGGCAAGGGGAACTTGATGAGGCGGCTGGCTTCTTTTGGGGACCTGCGCCGCCCTCGAAGCTCGGGCTGGAGCTTGGGGAAGAACCGCCCGAGCACTAGCATGGGTGGGCTTCACAAGTCTCGGTTGAGGAAATGAGGACAAGCTCCCTGCCAATCCGCATGCGCCCTCAGAACATGGTGTGTCAGGGGCGTGCGCGCCGCTCAAGCAATGGGCTTTCTTCTTCCGTGAGAAGCAACGGTTCCCTGTGCGGCACAGTGCACACGCATGCGACCAGCAGAAGTGTGTCGCAAACTGCAGCGCGCGCCCTTCAGTGCCTTAGAGCTCTCGCCACCTCACGAGGGTGTCATGCAGCTTGAAAAGCCAATTCTGAGCATGGCGATATCGAACGGTCAGAATCCCCGCCTTAAGTGGCAATAGCGTACGGCACGGTCTCATGCTCAGGTCCGTTTCGGGGTGGGATTGAATCGTTGTAGCTTTGTGCACAGCGCGTGGGCCATCTGCAGCATCAGAAACGTGCATGACAAGCTACGGCGGCTTCCCGCAGTGCGGGCTCTGCTCTCGGCGAATAAGAAGGCGGGAAATTTCGAGCTTTCCCCTGACGGTCAGCAGAAGGCTCCAAGGACTCTGGCAAGCGATAATTGATCGTCCGAGTGCGTGAACCATGTGAGACAGCTGCTTCCGACAGGAATTCCGACCGGGCTGCAAGTCGCGAGCACACCAACGTTGATCGCAGGCGTCGCGCAAGCACAGTCCGGTCTTATTGGCTGAGAAGAAATAATAGTGTCAGTCAGTTCCATGGTTGTTCGACTGCAGCGGAGTCGTGGGACGTGGAGAAGATCATGAAGCTGAAACACTGGCCAACGTTGCTCAATTGTCAAATCGGGGAGATTCGCCCACGTTCTTTGCAGCCCGTGGCTTGCAGAAGACTTGATTCTGGGCTGACTCTGGGCGATATTCGTCAGATCCATACGCAATCGCTTCGACTGGTACCAGGCGGACTGCGACGGAGGAAAGGCCCGGTTTGGTACCCGCACCTGGTATATCTTATCGCGGGCAAAGGCCTGCAACGGTGTTAGCTCTAGGCACGCCAACCTCCTCTTCTTGATGCTTGGTCGCGCTGTGAGGAGTAAGTTCCAGGTCTGAAGCAGCTGCTCAGATGTCGAGATTGGACGTTGCCAAAGCATGTTGACAGGCTAACGTCAGCCACTCAAACTTTGACCTGGCTAGCCTGCAGCATCTGCTGATTGATGCGCATGTTAGAACACTGTCTGAACCTTCGAGCGTATAGCGCAATATCCCTGGATCTTGCAGTACGCAACATTGTGCACTACTGGACGGTTGGCTGGGACTGCACCGCACGGACAACAAATATTTCACCAGCTGCCAAGCTATCGCAGCTCATCTACAACCACCAGCACCATTGTTACCATCTCAAATTGCCAATTTCGTCCGAAAGCCCTACACTGCTTTTTGGGCTAGCGACGATCCGCATCTCCGAACCGTTCGTAGAGACCGTTGGCTAGAAATTGACGTTGGGCTACCGAGATTTCGATGCTACATACCATCGCGGTACTGGCGTCTATACTCGACTAACATGTCAAGCCAAACCCTTCTGAGCAGCTTATGCAGCGTCTGGTATGTCCCGCATATGCGCTGAGCTTCCGAGCACAACCGTCATTTTGCACACCTGGTGGCCTGAAGGAAATCTGCGCTGTTCTGGACTGACGCAGGCAGTAACGTCAATGAGTCGAAGTACAAATGCCCAGGTTGTTCTGCACGTACATGCTCTCTGCCGTGCGTTAAGCGCCACAAGCAATGGGCCCAATGCTCGGGTAAACGAGATCCGACAAAATATGTAAAGAAGTCCGAGCTGGCCACACCGGCTGGTATCGATCATGACTACAATTTTCTGTCTGGCATCGAACGTGATCTTGAGAGGTCGGAAGCATCCGTGACAGAGAAAGGTCTGGATGTTGGTCTCAATACTAGGCCCAAGGGCGACCAGGCCCAGGCAATGGGCTTTCACTTTGCAGCGGCCGGCGTCAATATGCTACGGGCACCCAAAGGCATGAGCCGGTCGAAAGAGAACAAGACCCATCGGTCAAAGTCTGGGTAGAATATCACTAATCTGCACTACGCTCAGAGACTGACCTGTCATAGTAACAAGAACATCATCTGGACAGTGGAGTGGATTGGGGAAGATAAATCCCGAACACTCACGCAGTGCTCAGCTGTGGAACCAATCTACAGGCTACACCCTCTTCACGAGAGCCCATCTTCAAAGAAGAAAAGGAAGAGAGATGCTGAAGCACCGATTTCTACAGACCCTGCGCCGCCTCAGTCTGAGGGGATCCTGGAGACATCGACACCCACGCCTTCAGCAACAGAAAACACCACTGGAAGCACAGATCCACAATCGACACAGCCAGACGCCGCAAAACCTGAAGCTCCAAAAGAGAGATTCAGCTTCTACCTCTTGCGGCCACGGACGAGCACAAATCGACGTGTGCTGATCCCTGTGGCATCCTCCGACACACTTGGAAACGCACTGCGCGGTTGCACGGTTGAGGAGTTTCCGACGGTGTACTATTTCCCCGAGACAACGACAGAGCTGCCTGAGCAATTCATGCTCGACGAGGTCTACCGCAAAGAAGAGGGTGAACAGCAGAGAGAGTTCGAAGAGCTGATGAAAGACGTCGACCCCGAGATTCTGAAAAGGCTCAAAGATGACGGCACACGCAGCAAGACCGACGAGGAGGTGGACAGTAAGCGTATCCTTGACGTTCTGAAGCAAGACTTGGGCGGGCTGTAGTGGAGAATCCATCGTCACATGGCCATGCTGTGCCTGGCAGTTGTTTTTCGCTCCGAGCCAGCGGCACGTTTGACGTTGTGCACCGTCCCGTCCCTAGGCTGAGCATTGCTTTTCAAGTCAAGAGCAATCTCGCTCACGTACCCCACTTTGCTTTTCCACAAAACCTTCTGTTCGTGTCACAATGCTCGTCGACTTCGCACTCGGACGATTGCAGCGGAGTCCTCTGCCGCGACCCCACTTGTTCCTGACTGCAGCTGCCCCATCCCTGCTCGACCCCTACCGCGCAAGCGAGCCCAGAATCCACACCTCATGCTGCAGAAATCTCCGCAGAAAGGAATGCACCAGCAAATGCACTAACATCTTGATTTGCCACACTAAGATCTAGATCCTACCCGCAGCAGCGACACGTCCGCAGCGCTGTGCCGAGCTGCGCGTCGGACGGAGATGGAGAGCGCGCTCAGTGAAGCTCACATGCTTGAATCATGACCACTATATTCCGAGCAGCGCCTCCTGTTCCTGGCATTTATGGCGTAATTATGGGGATGGGTGGCCTGTTTACCGATACTCGACTTATCGGGTGGTGGGGCCTTGAAAAGCAACACCTCGTCGGCGCGCAAGACCTGCTATCGCGCTTCAGCGACCCACCGCAAACAATTGTTTCTGCATCCTTCGTGTCTGCGCCCGGCGGCATGGGTAGGTCGGCCATCCGCTTCCACGGCGGCTGGTCGGTGTGCGCGTCAGCGTCAGAGTGCCCTGGACCCCGTTGCTGTGCGCCGAGTCACGCTGCAGAGACTCTCCCTCCGAGGGACAAGGTTTATTGTTAGGCAGCCTGGCGCGTTAGTGCGCGGAAACGCACTCCGTGCTGGCTGCATCGGAGGTGATGTGCTCTTTCACTGTCCGCGCCCCGTTGACGTCTGGCACCATCATGTGTCATCGCGGCTCGATACGTTTACATGGGACAGCGACACGCGCGCGAGATATCCGCGAGTCAACCAGGAGCACGAGGGCCCGCCTCGTGTACGCGTCAGTGTAACTTGATCTCGGATGTTTTTGCCTCGAGACGCTTGTCGGGCGAACACATGCAGCGCATCATGACTATGGCCTGGACCAGGATTGCACGGGGTTTGGCTGTGCTGGAGGATAGTAGAGTGGCCGACACCGAGTGAAGAAACACCGAGACAAACATACTCCAGACATGTCCAACCACACTTGCTACTGTAGGATCCAAGCATTTTTGTCCGCCAACAAGTCGCAGACCTACCATCAAACTACTCCGCCTAAGCGCAACTACAATAAGAAGCATCCTGCCTACCTGACGCTGCACGGTGCCAAGTAGCTGGTCGGACACGCCTGGGTACCGTCTCGAGACGCCTATACACCGAGACTCCACACCGAGATAACCAAGTCTCCAGACCACGCACCACTCACAAGCGCAAGCACAAGCACAAGCACAAGCCCAAGCCCAAGCACGCCCTCAAACCACACCACTCTCAAGCACATCCCCTCCCAGCCTCTACCCCATACCCACACCCCCCAAAACCTACCCCCCAAACCCCCGTCCCAGCTTATCCACGCCCTTACCACAGAACCCCAAACACGATGGTTCGGCACCATCCGGATACCGCAAAGCGCAGCGCGTCGAGAGCTCTGGGATACCGGCGCAAGTGTCCTACATGGGACGACTGTCAGTGAGCCAGTATGCGGCCGCCGGGTACCGAGTCCTATAACGACGATGTGACTCGAGTGGTTTCTGTGGAGGAAAGGAAAGTCGGGGGGCTGGCGCGGGTACTGCACTGTGTGCTGGTGCTTGCTGGGAGGGCTGTGGTGGGATGGGGGGTGTTGTGGGGGGTGGGTTGGGGGGATGCTGGTGTACTGGTGTACTGGTATGCTGGTACACTGCTGTAGTGGTACACTGCCACACTGCTACACCACCACACAATCTCCCGCACCGCCCCGTACTGTCCTGCACTGTTCCGCACTCCCAGCCACGCCCTTCCACACCTCCTCTTGCAGTAACCAGCCACCACCCAACCCCCAGCCCGCGCCTAGCATATCTCGACGGCGTAGAACAGCGACCAGCACAGCACTGCCAAATGAATCCCCGCAGTCTGCACAGGTAGTCCGCAACCTCGGACAGCACGCTTGCTGTGTGCCGGCACCACTTGCGTGGGAGTATTTCCTGTCACTACAACTCGCCGGTCTGGTGCTGGAGTGTGTCTACGCCATCTCGTATTGTGCTGTCTACATTGTCTCGACACTGTTCTTGCACTATCCCACACCACCTCATCCCGGTCCGACATTTTCTGCGAACCAGCCTGGCGCGCCATCAGCTTAGCCGGCGTCCGGGTGCATCTCACGCCTGTGACATAAAGCACGCAGTCCCGCGCGCGAGGGGGACGCGTGGTAGCCCCGGTCTCCTGGTGTTGTACCTAGGTAGCATACGGTTATCTCAATGCACACGCAGCAGCTGCGGCGAACTGTAAAGTCCTGGTGCATACTTGCTTAGTCCCTCGGTACGTGTCTAGGTACGTTGGTCATGCACTCTGCACCACGCACTGCGCTGCAAGCATGCCCGAGCACGAGCACCCGGGCATATGCGCCGAGGGCCTGGATACTTGGTTGCTGGCTGCTGACGGCCAACGACCGACCGCTCGCAACTGACTACCTACACACTACTTCCTACTGCCTGGGTATGGGTATCACGCCGGATGTCGGGCTGGATGTTGGGCTGGACATGGGGCTGGACATGGGGCTGGAAATGGGGCCTGGGTCTCGCGTGGTTGCCGTTGCGGTCGTGGATGTAGGCGCAGGCGCACTGCTGGGCTGCTGTGCTGGGGTGGTGGGCTATGATGGTAGATAGTGAACAGTAAATAGTAGATGCTAGATGCTAGATGCTAGACGCCATCAACGCTTGCAAGAACATACAGACCCCCACAACCCCGGAACAGAGATGTAACTGTCAGGTAGCCAGGGCCTCTCCCTAACCCTAATCCTAACCCTAACCAAATTATCGCAACAGGCAGCAATTGTAGTAGTTGTATTACAACTATCGCAATATATAGCACGCGCAGCATACACGAATTGCAGAACAGTTTTCACAGCATACACTGTCGCAACTTGCAGTAGTTGCAGCAGTCAGACCATAGTCGTCACAGTATGCAGCAGTCGCAGCATGCAGTCGTTGCAGCATACAGTAGTTGCAGGACTATAAGCTTTGCCTCGTCATTTGTTGCTGAGCAGGCGTAGCATCAGCATTCACTCCAGGTACCCTGGCCTCAAGGGATGCTGACGCTGTGCACGCTAATAGCGGTAGTGCAAAAGCAGAGAAAGGCAGTCCCTTTGCACGGAAAATTTAGCGAGATTCTTTAACAGCTCTAGATCTACTTATTGGTTAGTTAATATAGTAACTAAAATACACTTGTTTACTATTACTTGCTGCTAAGCATATTAGCATACTTGAGAAATTGCTGTTGTTTATAGTGTCTTAGCTAAAGCATCCTACTTAATAATATATTCACTTTAATTGTTACTTTCTATGCTTACCTCCTGCTGAAACTCCTGCCAAATCTGGCTTCTTTTACACACCTCGTTCTCTGTCTGCCATGGTTGTTCTTCTCTTAACTTCTCTACCCATGCTTGCCGGATTCCTCTCTGCTGCTCTGCCCCTGCTACTTGCCATTCCTTACATATCTCCTCGACGTCTTGTCTAATCGTCTTACCCTTCTCCGCCAACATCAACCTACGCTTCTCAAAATCACTTCTTGTTACCTGCGGCAGCATAGTAAGACTCTCATCTCCCATCCAATCTTGATTATGCAACTCTGCTGCGTGGACTGTCCACTCCCCTGCTTTCTGAAAGTACCCGTTGCACCCAGCTAACAGACACGAGAAAACAGACACGAGAAGGACTTGCTCCGTCCTTCATCAAAGTGATAGCGGTCCAAGGCCTCTACTAGGATTGGCCATAGCCCATCTTCTTCTAGCATAAGAAGCAAACCTCTCCGCTGGCACTCCTGGAAGCGTCCTACCAGGCCTGAAAGTGGTTTTGCTGGCACAAGAACTGTCTTCCAGTCTCGGCCCAATTTGACTTTCTCCCACAAGCTGCCTGCACCTGGTTGGTACACTGCTCTTTGCCACTTGTAGGCTGATAGCGCGCTTGCACTTGAACCTACAAGAGACTCTGCCTCTTCAGCAATGAACGCAAATGCTGCAATCTTTGGGGGACAAGACCGAATCAGGAGCTCCAGCGCCTCTGGTACACGCTGAGTTGTTTCCCCCCTTGTTTGAGATGTCCAAGACTGGTTTACTACTGCTTGTTTTGCTTTAGGGCACCTTTTTGTAAATGTTGTCCAGAAGTGAGCAATTTGATCTGGTTGAACCTTGACTACTCCGTCGCGCAACGGGCAAATGATATCCTCTGCGTCAACTCTATACTCAATCTGCACGTTTTGTACGTTGGCTAAGAATGCCAGATCGGTGTAGGTATGGCTGGGGTAGCCACCGTCAAGGAGCCACCGCGCCTCAATAAGGAAGCAGGCGTCTGAATGAGCCCAAAAGAGCTTGCTAGCTTCTGTGCGGAGCATAGACGACACTCGCATAAGCTGAAAGAGAGTAGAGGCAGGGCAAAAGGTAAGGATGCGAAACTGAAGCTCGGGCGGCAGCATACTGAAACGCGAGAGTGAGGTCGTTTGGCAGAAGGAGCCTGTCCTAGTAGGGCTAGATTGGACGTAGAGAGAGAACGGTGTTTGTTCTTCTCCCTCTACTGTCATGTAAAGGTCGCGCCTCAATGCTGTTGTCCAGGGTGGGTGCGCAAGTGTCGCAAGGAAATTGCAAGCAAACTCTGGCAGCATGTTTACGCAGTTGAGCAGGAGGCGTAGACAAGAGCTTTCTCTTGTGTGTCGGGCTTGGGCCAGTGGGCTGTGCTGACTGTGAGAGGCACTAATCGCGGCGTAAACGTTCTGTTTGTCCCTGGGTTGCCAAGACGCTAGGTAACTGGCTCTAGGAGTCCAGTTGGACGTCCTGCAGGGCAATAACGTAGGAATTCAACCAATGATGGGATGATGTGTTACTTGCTACTATAGTACGTACTGTACCTGCATCTTGTAGTCTGTTCCTTGGTTGGAGGGGTCTGCACAAATCGCCAACGATTATAGATGGCAGATGGCACCTACGTAGATGCTAAGATCCAACACAGCAACCCGCACCCCTTAGGGAGTCTATAGCTACCCGGACACGTAGAAATGGGGCGGTTTACTGGCCAGTATATGACTGCTATTGGCGCTGCTGTTGGCATCGCTGTTGGCGCTGAAGATGGACGGTGTGGATGGATGCTGTAGATAGATAGCGTGGATGTATGCTGGAGACAAATACTGTACATACACACTGCAAATCCACACTGCAAAAACATACCACACCCAGCCCCCCCCAGAAATCACCCCAAGAACCCACAGACCCAGACCCGCCAACGGGACTGCGCTGGGCGTGTTGATCGCAAGCACGTCTCCTCAGCACGCAAAGGCGCAGTGCAGAAGTGTGGGCACGGTGGGAGTATGGGGGTGTTACTAGGCATATGGCAGTGTATAAAAACATCACTGCATTACTATAGGATACCTACGGGGGGGGGGGGGAAGCCTAAACTGAGGTTCAAATACTTCCACCCAGCCCGATGCATGCACCTAGCCTGACCCATCCACCTACCAAAACCCTCGACTACCCAACACACCATCTTACAGACAGAGGGTGCATTCGCACTCCCCGTCGTAGAAGCCGTCACGCCGTCGGGCTCCAGTGCTCCAATCCCATTCCTCCCCCGGCCTCGCAACCAGCGCATCCCCACACCCCCCTAGTCCTCCTCGATCTCGCCCTCCTCGCTGCCACTCCGCATCGCACGATCCTCATCCTCCTTCTTAACAACCGGACTCTTCTCCCTCGCCGTCTCAGGCCGGGGCGAGAAGCGCGGGCGCTGGGGGTCGTCAGCCTGTGCTCTGAACACGGTGTGGCGCGCGTCAACCGCAGAGGCGGAAAGTGAGTCGTCAGAGGCGGAAAGCGTGTCCTGAACCCGCTGCGGCGAGAACACAGGACGATGGAGAGGAGAAAAAAGAGAATTACGAATACGAACCTTGACATCGCGGCGCGACACGCTGACCTCGCTGTCGCGGCGGCGCCGCGCCGTGCGCCCCGCGCCGTCGCCGTAGTCCAGGCTCGCGGAGCCTTCGCGCGGGTCGGCGCGGCTGAGCGGGTCGGGGCGGTAGGAGCGGTCGTCTGGGCGGGCGCGCGGGTAGTGGTCGGTGGAGGAACGGCGGGGCGGCTCGTAGCGGTCGTCGTCGCGGTAGGCGCGGCGCGGCGGGGGCGAGAGGGCGGCTCGCTCGGTGTCGCGGTAGCGCGCCTCGCGGTCCTGCTGGGCGCGGCGGCGCTCTGCGGCGTACGTGTCGTGCTCGGGCGAGCGGGTGCGGGTGCGGCGGTCGCGGCGCGGGTTGTCGGAGGGCCGGTAGGAATGGTCTCTGTCGGTGCCGCGGCGGTCGCGGCTGCGTGGGCGTGAGTCGCGGCGGCGGTCGCTGCGGTCGCGGCGCTCCGTGTCTTTGTCTTTTAGGCGCTGCATGTGTTTGTCGAAGGCGGACTCGCGGAGGGCATCTGTCTTCAGCGCGCGGTATTCGTCGGTCTTTTCGACTCGGGGACGTACCGCTTCCCATGTGTCCGCAAGCTCCACGGGGGGGTCCAGGCGCTTGATGATGGAGCGCAAGCGGTCGACGGCGTGGCGCTCGTCCGACTCCTCGAGCTTGCGCTCGTCATCCTCGCGCTTCTTGACCTTCTCGAGGATGTACGTGTAGATATCGTGCATCGACTGCTCGTCAATGTTAGCGGTGCGAGAATCTTTGCGCATGACACTCAGGAACTCTTCGACTGGGGTCGCCGTGGTGACCTCGAACCGCTGGTGCTCCAGCACGTCCAGCGCGTAGCGACGCAGCGTTCGGAATTTGCCCGTCTCCTCCTCCAACGCATCCCAGAACAGGTCCAGGGGCGACGAGCCGCCCTGCCCGAGCATGGCGGTATAGCGCGGCTCGTGCTCGATCAGCGGGTGGATTTCCTTCCACTTGGTGCCGTAGCGGAGCTTGCCGCTGGCGCGGAGCTCGTCCAGCAGCTTCGTGAAGGCGTCGCGGTTGGTGCGCTCGACGCGGTGCTTGGCGCGGCGCTCGGCCTGCACGCGTTCGTTGTGGTCGCGCTGCAGCTGGCGGATGTGCTTCTCGAACTGGTTGAGGACGTCGATGCGGGTCAGCGACTGGAACTTCTCGCTCTTGAACTCATCTTTCTGCTCCAGCTTGGCCTCGGCGGCCTGCCAGCGGGTGAAGGGCTCGAGGTCGAGGCTCTGCATCAGGCCCAGCACCTCTTCCAGCGCCGACTTGCGGCTCTCGGCCTCGTGCTCCTCGTGCGCCTTCTTGAGGGTGACGATGTACTCCTCAAACAGCTGGCGGCGCTCGCCGTCGTCGCGGGCGGAGCGGAAGATGCTCTCGTCTTCGATAAAAGACAGCGCGGTCCGCCAGCGCGTGTAGTACTTGATCTCCGGGTGTGAGCGCAGCATAGCGGTGAAGTCGGAGCGCAGCTTGGCCTGGCGGTCCTGCTCCTTGGTCTTCTCCTGGGCGCGCAGCTGCTCGCAGTACTGCTTGAAGGCCTCCTCGCGCTTCTCGGGCTCGGGGATGGCGCGCCAGTTGGGGTCCTTGATGCCGGCGCGCACCGCCTGCGACCACTCCCAGTCGGGCTGGACCTTCATCTGCTTCAGCACCTTGGCGAAGGCGGCCTCGGCGTCCTGCGTGGAGCTGAACGACAGCTCGTTGCCGCCGGCGAACTCTACACGCGGCCGGTCGCCGCCAAAGCCCTCGCGCTCGCGGTCGAAGTCGCGCTCACGGTCGCGGCGCTCGGGGCGGTACTCGTCGCGCTCCCGGCGGAAGTCGTTCGACGGCGGCACGCTCGCAGGGCCCGCGGCCCACCCAGCTGGCCCGGGCGGGGGGCGCTGCGGCGGCTGGTTCGACTGCGCCAGGTCCACCTTCCGCTGGACTTCTTCGGGGATGGCCCAGGTGGTGTCGCGAGTTTCCTTGTGGTAGTAGTACACCTTTCCCTCTGGGGTGAACTGCCGCGCCCATCCTGTGCCTTCGATCGCACGCTGCTGAAGTTAGTGCTGCCATTGCCATCGCGTGACCACGTACCTCGACGTCGTCCTTCAACTCGTCTGGCTTCTCCCACGTCGTTGCATTCGTCGCCGCATTGTGGTAATATTCCTTCCCATCGGCCGTCTTCACGGCGCGCCAGGCCGGCGCAGGCATGCCCATTGCAGGCGGGTAGCCGTTCATCGTGACTACGTGATGTGGTCGGTGATGTTTACGAAGCAGTCTGCCAGCGACTGGAAGTTTTGGGACGCGACCGCACAGACCACATCCACACATCCCTGCAGGCTCCACTCCAGGAGCGGCCGCACGTGAACTTCACCCTGACACCAGCTCGGCCCGTTCTCGTCTGGCAGCTACGGAAAGTGATGGGCTCGGAAGAACAGCCGCGGGCCAGCTTCGACTTTGCCGAGAGCTCCCTCTTGGAGGCAATTGCCCCTGCTGCGTCGGACATTGACATCGAAGACGCCTTCAACTCGTGGGACGGCTCGGTCGAGGACGAGGACGCTTCGGTGGTTCCCTTTGTGAAGCAGAGACATGTCTTGTTATTCGGTAGGTGTGGTTGATATAAATTCCCAGGCAAGCTCTTACTCATGCGTAGGCTAGATGAACTGCTCCCGGTGTATGTCGTCTTCCGGACGCCGTTGCTGGAGGACGAAGCACTAAAGACATATCTGGATCGCCTGGCTGTCCACCTCGACGTGTATGCTTTCGGCACAGCGCCAGGCCCCGACCAGGAGACCAAGCCTCTACCAAAGGAGCTGCTCTTTGCGGAGACAATTCAAGACACCAACGAACCCACCATCGTGCTTCACGAGAGCGGAGACGCAAAGCATGCATATGTTTTTTGGAAGGTCAACGTGTCCTTGGGTAGGCTTGAACTTATTGCGTATCAGCTCTGACTGACTCTACACAGCTCGGCCACAGGGCAGGTTCCACAAGCCGGCCATCTACTTCCAGCCCAGTGCTTCTCTCAAGCCAGGCGTGACAGCAAAGAGGGACGAGGTTCAGGATGACTACCTCCCCAGTCGAGTGCCTCCTGCGCTCAACCTTCTCCAGTCGTTTGAGCACGACCCAGCGCTGGCCGGCATCCACCCCCGGCTGTCAGCCATGAGAATCAGCAAGATTGCGCCGTCCGCACCTCTTGCCCGCGAGACGGCGCGGCCTATCAAGACGGGCCAGCGCCCGCTGTTCCGTGTGGTCCCGCCCCTCATGTGGAGGACGAGGTTTGCCAAGGTGCATACATCGCTGGCAGACCTGTCGCTGATGGCGTCGCTGGACATTGAAGTCGCCCAGTACACATCCTACAAGGTCCGAATCACAAAGGTCGAGCTGCTGCTCAAGGGCGGCGAGATCAAGGCGCTGACCAGCCTCGACCCCTCGACCGCCTACAGCCCCGGCGACCAACTAGGCTACCTGTACAAAGCCACCCCGGACCTCAGCGCCGACGGCGCCCCAGCCCTCGGAAGCAAAGGCCACATCCTCACCGTGAACATCTCCGCCGACGTCTTGATATCTGCAACCTGCCAGCCCCACGTCGCCATCCAGTGGAAAACCACCGTCGACTTCGCCACCGACCACCAACCGGCCCTGCTCAAGGCCGCGCACAGACTCAGCAGCGCCTCCCTCGCCGGCAGCATCAAGAGCCCGGACGCCCTGCCCGCCCACGACACCCACGACCCGGCCGCGCCCGATAACGCAATCAGCCTGACGCTCACTATCTCCGGGCCGCCGCGCGTCCGCGTCGGCGCGCTGTTTACCTGGACCGTGTTCGTGGTCAATCGCTCGAATAAGCCGCGCCGGCTCGCCGTCACGGTGGTCCCGCAGCGGCCGCGCGACGCGGCGCGCCCGCAGTCCTCGGCGTCGACGGGCGATCATGGCGCCAGCCACAGCGTCAGTCACGGTGCAACCCACAGCGCCAGCCATAGCGTCAATCACAGCGCAAAACCCCCCCTCCTCGCCCCCGCCGTCCTCGACGACCACATCATATACGGGCGCCACAAGAGCGCGCAGCCGCACCCCACGCGGCTGGTGTGTCTAACAACAGATATCCGACTCGGCGCGCTGGGGCCCGGGGCGTGCTACACGGCGGAGCTGCAGTTTGTGGCGCTGGCGGCGGGGGCGCTGGCGGTGGAGGCGGTAAGGGTGGTGGATTTGGCGTCGGGGGAGGTTGCAGATGTTAGGGAGTTGCCGGGGGGTGTTGCGGTGGGGGGTGGGGGTGGTGAGTAGTTGGGAGTCAAGTGGGTAGGTGAATGCAGGGATGCGATGCTTTACTTTAGCAAAGTTGGTAGTCAGTGTGTAGAAGAATCATGTGATGCATTACTCTAGCAACGTCAGAGGTGTTGGCTGGCAGTGTTGATTGTGATTACTTGGTGGATAGGCAATGCAGTGTATAATAATCACGTGCTGCATCACTCTAGCAAAGTCAGAGGTGTTAACCAGCAGTTGATAGTGATTACTACGACATGCAGCCGGGGTGCGCACCGAGCCAATGAGTGCCGGCGAAAGCTGCCGACCCTGGCTTCCCCGCAAAATAGGTCCGATCATGGACCCGCCGGGCCGCATTCGTACATGACCCACGACTCCCGCAATCTCGCGACGGGCGGCGGACGGGGACGCGGCCACCGACGCGAGCACCACCGACGCGCACCGCGGCGACACCCCAGCCCAGCATGAGCCCGCGACGCACGCCCGGCGGCGAGGGCAGCGACACGACGAGCCCGCCCAACGAGGGCGCGGCGAAGCGCAAGGGCGACGAGGCCGCGCAGCCGCGGGCCAAGCGCAACCGCTACATCAGCATCGCGTGCAACGAGTGCAAGCGGCGCAAGATCAAGTGCAACGGCCAGACGCCGTGCCAGCGCTGCGGCAACCTGAGCCTGGAGTGCCTGTACGCCCCCAACTGCTGCAACAACTTCAAGGAGAGCGACGAGTTCAAGCAGATGACGGCCCACATCGCCAGCCTGCAGCACCAGGTCGACGACCTCTTCCACAGCCTGCGCGCCCTGCGCCCGGACCCGCCCAGCGCCTCGCTGCCCGACCTGGGCACGCCCTTCGCCGACTACCCGCCCATGCTGCCGCCGCCCGCCGCCCGCCCGCGCACCCGCTCGGCCAGCAAGCACCCGCGCTTCCACGGCCCGACCGCGAATGCCTTCAACCTGGGCGTCGCCCGCTCCAGCCTCAAGACCATGGGCATCACCGCCGACCCGGACCCAGACCCGGACGACGACGCCGCGGCGCGCGCGCCCTCCCCGCGCGCCTCGCCGCCCTTCGCCGCCGCCCCGCTCGCCCTGCACGCCGACAAGGACCCCATCTGGGCCATCTCCAAGCAGGAGGCGCTGCGGCTGGTGCACGTGTGGCACGAGGAGCAGGGCATCATGTACCCGATCCTGGACCTGGACAAGGTGCTGCGCTACACGGAGCTGCTGTTTTCGTTTGTCGAGGCCGCCGCGCGGTCTGGGCTGATGCAGGGCGCCATGCCCGGCGCGGACTCTATCATGGACGATCAGACGAGCGTGCTGAAGCTGGTGCTGGCTATTACGCTGGTTATGGAGGGTGGTGGTACGCATCCGCTGGGTGAGAGGCTGTTTGATAATGTGCATGGCGTTATTGAGCGCATTTTGTCTGAGCCTGTCAGTTTGCAGAGCGTCAGCCTGCTGACCCTGGCCGTGAGTCTCTTGATTTCCCATGCTTTGCATATCATATTGCTATCCCATGCTTGCATATCATCTTGTTATATCTTGTCTTCTCCCCCAGTCTTGCTTACTCACCCCCCAGGGCATGTACCACTTCACCCGCGACGACGAGGGCCTCGCCTGGCGCATCATCGGCCTCGCCGCCCGCCACTGCCTCGAGCTGGGCCTGCACCGCCGCGAGACCTACTCGACCCTCTTCCCCGACCCCGACGAGCAGGCCTCGGCCATCCGCATCTTCTGGTCCGTCTACGTGCTCGACCGCCGCTGGAGCCTGGGCACCGGCATGCCCTTTGCCCTGCAGGACGCCGACCTGGACCACAACCTGCCCAAGCCCGTGAGTCCCTCCCGCCCGCTGCCCGCCTCGCTAACGCCCCAGGACGTCTCCACGCACACCTCCACCCCCTACCTCAACGCCATGATCGCCTACTCGGCCATCGGCAGCAAGGTCTGGAAATCCATCGCCTCGACCCCGCCCTCCGACCCCGCCATCAGCAAGGAAGACATCTCGTTCCTCGACTTCCAGGTCCTCTCCTGGCACCGCGCCATCCCCGCCCCGCTGAAATTCACCCACCCGGACGCCGCGCCCGCGCACCCGCCGCACCCGCCGCCCCCGCGCGCCCTGCTGCGCCTGCAGATCCTGCTCTACCTGCGCGCAAACCAGATGCGCATCCTCATCTACCGCCCCGTCCTGCACACCGCGACCACCATCATGACGCACCTCCCCTTCGCCCACACCGTCGTCAAAGTCGCCAAAGACTCGATCCGCATACTCACCCACGTCAACCAGACCAGCGACATCTACCGCTGCCAGCAGACCATGTTCAACTACTTCCTGATCTCGGGACTCGCGGTGCTGTTTCTCGCTGTTGCGCATGCGCCAGCCGAGTTCTCGGCCACGTGTAGAGATGAGTTTTACATGGCGCTCGAGCTCGTGCGCGGGTTGAGTGGGAAGAGCTATGTGAGCCGCAGATTATGGCGCACGGTGCGCGCGCTGAAGGAGGTCGGGCCGCGGCTGGGGCTGGTGAGTGCCGAGGAGGGCATGGCCGGGTGGGCGGGCGGGAGACACGACGACACCCAGTCTCAGTCCTTCGATACCCGTCTCCACACCCACCACCCCGCAAACCTCGACGCCGCGCACCCCGCGAACCTCGATACGCCCCAGCACATCGCTCTCGACCTGACCACGCTGTTCGAGGCCGCGGGCGGCACGTTCAACTTGCACGGCTTCGATGGGTTGGGGGATGGGTATAGTGGCTCGCAGAGCCAGAATCAAAGCCAGAGCCAGGGACAGGGCCAGGGACAAGGGCAGGGACAAGGACAAGGGCAGGGGCAGGGGCCGGTGTACGGGACTGAGAATGATGAGTTGGCGAGGATTATGGGGGGGTTGTTTTAGGGTTTGTGAAGGGTTGGGGTTGGGGATGAGAGGAAGAGGGGGGAGAGGAGAGGGGGGGGAGAGAGATAGGGGGGAGAGAGAGGGGAGAGAGAGAGAGAGGGAGAGAGAGAGAGAGGGAGAGAGAGAGAGAGGGAGAGAGAGAGAGAGAGAGAGAAAGCAGTCATTAGAGGGTATCTGCGAGCATGTAATCAGCGCTTGCACGCGAGCGCGGAGTGATGTTGTATATACTGTTTGAATATTGAATATCGAATGTCGGGTTGCTATTCACTGGCCCTTGTTTCTTGTCCCCCCCTGCGGTTACTATGTACTATTGATAGGATACTTTGGGTGGGATACTATGGATGGGATACTATGGATGGGATACTATGGATGGGATAATATGGATGGGATACTATGGATGGGGTACTGCGTTGACGCGTACTGTGTATGACAGACACTTGACAGAGACGCTTGAGCAGAGACACCTGGCAGAGACACTTGACAGAGACACTTGACAGAGACACTTGACGGAGATACTTGTCATAGTAGCAGCGCGGACAGAGACTTGGGCAGAGACGTACGCTTTAACAGAGACCCTTGAGGAGAGACTCCTGCAGACACTCTCGAACCGAGTCTTTGAACAGAGACCTACTGTTGAACGTTGGCCTACTATTAAACAGACACCGTCATCTTCTACGCCAGACTGCGACATAACATAATGCTATCATACAACACGCTACAACACAGCACCTTGAAGGGACACTTATAACCTTACTAGTCTATTTCTTACTACAAACAGACAGCTAGAACAGACATAGTAACAGAATAGGCTCAGGGATCTAGGTTCCAATCCCAAGAGGAAGACGGGGACAGGAAGAGAGATGGGCAAGAGAGGCACATAGTTGGTGTAGAGATGGGGAAAATAGAACGTAGATAGGTAGAATGGTAAGGTAGTGTTGATATATACTAGATCGCAGCGCCTAGCAAGACTAGACAATAAAGTGTAAAACTCGTAGAAAGTTTGTTATAAGTAGTGCCAAAGTTAGCTTGTAAGTAGAAGTAACTAGGTAAGCATGTGTATATACACGGATATAGATACATACACACACATATATATGTATATATATATACATATCTATATATATAGTACACACATCCAAACCAACACCCTATAAACCACGCACCACAAACCAAGCACCACGCACGAAGCACCACCCAGCACCCACCAAGCCCACACAGTGCATAGTAAACAGCAAAGCACCAACCCGCAAACCTAGCACAGCCTCAGAACCGCACCCCCAGCGCGTCGAAAGCGCATGCCCAGCGCAGAAGCAAGACGCGGGTGTAGTAGACCAACGGTATGTAATATAGTAGACAGCGCTAATCCATGCAATACAGTAGACAGCGCCGAGCGATGCAGGGAGGAGGTGGTGCGGGACGTGGACGTGGGTGGGGTGTGGACGGGATGGGGGGGGGGGAGGGTGGTATAGTAAACTACAAGACAAACCGCCACCACTATCACACAGTACCAAAGCGCGGCACTAGAAACCACGAAACACACCACTAACACAGTATCGCACAGCACCAGAGCTCTGCACAGGGCAGTAGTTAGTACTACACGATGTAGACATAATCAGTGGGAATACACATAGCGGAGATAAACAGACACGATACACGCACGGCAACGAGCACAGGGATGTATAAATGCCGCTTGTGCGCGCAGATGGGATGCTGTGTTGCCGTTGTCTGGGCGGGGCTTGATTTCTGCCTGTGTGCGGAGATGGGGTGTAGGAGAGGGGGGGGGGGGGGGGGGTTGTGGTATGTATGTGTGTGGATGTGTGTGGTGTATATAGCATATATGATGAGCAGTAGGTCGAGCAGTCCGGGAGTTTGCGTTGCGTAACTGCGGGCCTTTGTTAAAACAGACCGACCAAGCACTCCCGTAGACTGATTCATGTGTAGAGCACTCGTGTGAGCAACCTCGCGTGAGCGCCTGGTTCGCTATCATTGAACGTACAACTGCAACTGCATATTTGATCTGGTATCCTCGTGTGCACCCCTACCATCTTCGCTTCATCCACCCGCGCTAACCAGCCGCCGCCTCGACGGCAACGCCATTCGCATCGACGGCGCCCTCGGGCAGCGGCGCGCCGTTCGCCGGCCGCCGTCTTGTGCGCGCCTGTTTCCGTGTGCGGTTCGCGGGCGCCCCGGGCTTGCCGTCGGCGACGTCGACCATATTCATGTCGTCCTCGTCGGGCCGGTCGTCGTCGTCGGCGCGGTCGTCCCAGTAGCGGCGGGTCTCGTCGAGCTCGGTGATGTCGGCGGGCCGCATGCGCAGCCACTTCATGCGCGGGCCGGAGCGGGCGCGCTCGCTGACGCGGAAGCCGTAGATGCGCGGCTCGTAGATGGAGCCGACGCCGAGGCCGGGCGCGAGGTTGTTGGGCGCGACGCCGTTGATGAGCGTGACGTTCGCCGGGGTCGTGTTGTTGCGCGCCTTGGCTTCCGAGTTCTGGGCCTGCAGCTGCGCGAGCGCGTCGACGGTGGCGGATGTGCTCGTGCGCAGGCCGCCGCTGATGTCGAGGTCTGTGAAGGTCATGAAGAAGAGGGAGGGGAATGTGGTGCCGAAGAAGGCGCCGTCGACGGTCTGGAAGCGCGAGTTGGGCGGCGTGTAGACGTCGAGGCACGACGGGCAGAAGAGCTTGACCGTCTCGTGGCCGGGGCTGTCGTTCAGGCCGACGGGCAGCACTTTGCACGAGTTGCAGTTCACGCGCGGGCAGGTGCCAAAGTGCTGCAGCTCGTACTTCTCGGCCATCTGCTGGATGCCCGGTCTGGAGGTGATGTAGCGCTGGTGTATCAGGCCGTAGAGGAGCTCGGCCGAGCTTTCTATTACGCTCAGATCTGAAGCTATCCGCAGATGTCGTCGGTCGCTCGCCCGGCGGTAGGCGCCCCGCTCGTCGCCCAGGACCTCGTCGTCGTCGTCGTCGTCCTCTTCTTCCTCTTCGTCCTCGTCGTCGTCCTCAGGCTCGACGTCCAAGATCATCTCCAGCGCCTCCTTGTACATGGGCACCTGCGACTGCAGGCCCGTAAGGTTGAAGTCATCCTCGATGAAATCCTCCGACACCTCGGCGAAGTACTCGTGCCCGAGCAAGCCGCAGAAGGACGCGACCCACGACTCGGTGACTTGCGACGACGACGACATGTTGAGACGTGCGCCGCGGTGTTTGGCAGCCTAGGGCAAGGCGCAATTCCAGTCCGCGCGTGCCGGACCACGAGGTCAAATTTGTAGATGAGGGGTGGTGAGTCGGTCTCACGCAAATGCGCGATTCTGGTGCCGACAGAAGCCTTGCCGAGATTGGCACACTTCACAAGCGTGCTGTCGGGCGTCTTATCGCGTGTCGTGTGGTGCGCGCAGGAGCGACTGTGGGGCTCGGCGTGGTGATGCGAGGCAGTCCAGGCGGGGTAGCAATCGACGGGCGGGTATGGTGAGGCTTGAGGTCCGTCGCGTGAGGGACGTCTTTACATCCAATAGTACTGCTAGGATCGTTCAGCAGAGGTCGCTCGAGAGCTGCCGTGACGGAGTGTCGTCGTCGCTTCCTGGAGCCAGCCTTGGCTCTCGCACGTGATTGAAGCGGCGTTCCAAGGTTGTAGAACTCCAACTGGATGACTGACTCACGACAAAGACAAAAACGCTAGGTCACAAGTTTAGATTCTTTTATAAACTCTACACTGCGGCTCATGTACGATTAAGATGAAGCAAGCCGCCCGCGTAACGCCGCGCTGAAAATGGCCCAAGCCCTGTGATCCTGAACGCCGTATAAGGAGTGAATGCTCAGAGAGCTCTTCGGTCCGTCCCTCGCCTCCCTCGCACCCTGTAACCACCGAGGTCAATGTCATGGCCTCCACTCTGCACCGTCATGCCATCGAAGAGCTCCTTGCCGATCGTGATGATCTTCACAGTGTTGCCAAATCCCACTGCCACACTCCGCTTGGCCAGTCTTGTTATGGGGCCCGGCGCCACTACGAAAAGATCGTCTTCGACGTCGTCTTCCAGCTCGTTGTGGTCGTCAGATCGCAACGATCGCGCACGGAAGTCGCCGGTCGAGGACAATGACCAGGCTTCCCATAAATCAGCCTCGTCGGTCGGTGTGTAAGTGTGTCGACGGTCGGTGGTGAAAGCGCTGGTGATCCTGGACGAGACGAGCGCGCTTTCTGGCTTGCTGGCACGCTGTCTTATGGCTGAAGTAGGGGTTATCGAATTCGGCACATCCTCCTCATCATCTGATGTGACGGATGAAGCACCAGCGGATGGTGTGCGCCTGCGCACACCCACCACGCTGGAGGCCCCTGTTGACTCCCATACACCGGCGGAGTCGACACAGAGAACAGCCTCTGCGGCACTATCAAGCCCTCGGCAAGCGTGTTTTGCTCTGTCCAGTGGCTTCCCGAGACAGATCTGGGATGTCAAAGAGTCTTCGGGGCTGAAAGTCTGCATTATCATATGTTGTCGGTCTTGCTCAGCATACACAACTGACAGCGTCTGTACAGCCGGTGCACCACACGGACATTGGCGCCGTGCAGAATGCATAACCCGGATAGAATGTTGCTTTAGGTGACCGATCTCGAAGGCATGTATCAGAGCCTTGCTACTGAAATCGAAAATCTCCGCTCTCTCATCGCGGAGCGCAAAAATCAACCCGAGACTGGGTACAGCATGGAGACATTGGATCTTGGAGGGATTGCTGTCAGGCGGCGGTCCGGGATCCAGACTAGCAACAACCTCAGACGAGGTATTGTTAGGTTCCTGCAGCGACAAGACATGTACTTCGCCTGGTTTGCACACGAACACCAGGCTCGCTTCGCCTCTGGCACCGACGTAGATCTCAGCACAGAGTATGGCAGTAGCGCTAATGCGCTTGGTCCGGTGTATGCCAGTCCGTGCCTCGAGTTCGGTGAGATAGCCGTCTGGGCTGAGGATTACGACATACGGCCTCTCGTTGTCATGGCGCATGATGCTGACGAAAGAGAATAGCGCTGGGACCTGTCCCCGAAAGTCGACGTTCGGGAACATGACGAATCGAGAAGTAGGCAGACTCCACATACCAATACGTCCTGCGTCAGTAGCAATGGCGAGGAAGGTGCCGCTCTCGTCCATCGCACTTGCTACAATCGGCCATAGCTTTGGCTTCATGCAGGCCGTCTGCAAGGTTGTAGGCATGTAGCCTGTCCGTCCAGTCATCCAGATCGAGGTCGTTCTATCCAAGCTGATGCCCACCAGGTAGCCTTTGGGGCAAGCCGACATGTGAACAATGTCGAGCGTTTGTTGTGAGGGTAGGGTCTTGACAGAGAAGGAGGCTTCATTGTCCTCTTCCTCATCTGTGACCTCAGGGAGACCGGTCCATAAGAGGTAGTTCATCAGCAGCGTGACGCCAGCTATGAGGAATACTGCCATGAGAGCTGCTGGGAAAGTGTGGCCTTGCGCGAACCGCCGAAGATGGCCTATCAGTGTAGTGGGTACTTGCGGTTTGTCTCGTCCTTGCGCTCCCTTTCTGACGACAAGTATTGGGTCGTAGATGCGAGCGATGAAGCTGTAAGCCCCAGGCTTAATGAGCGCGAACAGTTCCTTTGCCGTGTTGTGATCTTGCAGCTTCAGCCACTCAGCTGGTGTTCTTGCCTGGTTGATTGGGGGAGACGCCCATTGAGCTCCAGTGCTCCGGCGTTGTTTTTTAGCCATGAAGTTCTTGCGTACGGTAGCGAAAGATAATTGCTGGTCACTAAAGTCAAAAAAATGCAAGTTGATGGCCAAGATGATGGAAAAAATGGCGACCGTGCCAGCGAAACGTGTGCTCAGCGGCGTGGTGCCTTCCATCAGTGCCGCGAACCACGACTGTCGTTCTGGGCGCCTTTTAGAGCCATGGGCTTGTCCGATTGAATCAGAGAGCTCCATGCGCTGTACGTCCACACTCAAGACAGCCACAAAGAACGTGAGGTGGTAGACAAAGTCGAAGACGAGCGTTACTGCCGCAAAGACACAGAAGTCAGCCACCCAGGGCGACACGAATCGTGAGCACAGGTAGATCAGGGCCAGATTCTGGAAAGCAACTGCCAGGGACAAATGGCCCACTTCGCCCAGGGCATTCCCGATGCGCTGGTGCGGAGGCATTTCTGGCGGTGTTTCCAGCACGGCGTTGATCAGCCGAAATATGTTCCCCAGCCCGTAGCAGAACACCACGGAGGGAAACCAGGGTCTCGGTATCCGCGCCAGATCGATTCCGAGCCATGTGCACAAGGAGAAGCTGGCGATGATGCAGATGGCCATCTTGACGCCGATGGTGATGAGTAGCCCGAACCAACTCTTGACGGCGCGTAGCTGCATCATCTTCCAGATGACGTAGACTGAGGTAGCCATGTACGAGGCGGCAAGGAACAAGTCGTCCAATCTCGACATTGGCTTCAGACGAAACTCGTATAGACTGTTCCGTAGGGTTTGCCCGTCTTGAGGAAACATGACCCAGTCGGATTCAAGCGTCTGTGCCAGCGCTCTTGCGCGTGCAGTCCACATGTCCTCGACATCGGCGTTTTCGGTGCGGTCGAACAGAGACACAACTAGCGCGTCGGCGGCTTGCAGCTCCGTATTGATGAAGCGCTTGCCTGCGAAGACTGTGCTCGGCCGCAGCGTAAGGTTCATAGGCGTCTGGTCCCTGCTGCGCGCATTGATGGTCGCCAGGATGTTGTTGTCGCTATCCAGCGCCTCCTGCGAGCAGGCCCAGTACATCAGCGGCGACTGCCAGCCCCAGCGCTCCCCGCGGCCCGGCACGACGCAGCCAAGATGGTCGGGCACCAACATGGTGGCCGGCCTAGGGTTCTTGGCGTCGAAGCCGCCGTTGATGAGGGCATGCTGGACGTGCAGTGCCTTGCGCAGCACGCTCTGGTTGAGAGCGCCCATGTAGTCGCCGTGCACCCAGGCCTGGCGCACTACGACATCGGCCGGGCGATCGCCCTCGACTTCCGTCGTCGAGGTCCAGACATGCTGCGGGAGGTTGCGCAGGCCGGCAGCAGCGGGGCTGTGGGCCTGGAAAACGGCCGGAAAGCAGAGCAGCACCGAGACGCTGATGGTAACGACGAGGGATAGCTGCCAGTGCTGCGCGGTGGCGGTGCCGTGAGCGTGGAAGGCGCGGCGGATCGGGTGGGCGGGCGAGAGTTTGGGCGGTTCGGTCGTCCTGGGTGGTGTTGAGCTTGTGCCTCTGCTGCGCACGCGTAGGCCTCGAGTGCAGATGCCTCGCGGCTTCGGGGACTTACCCTCGCAGCGGATAAAGAAGAAACCAAATCATCTACAATTCCTCCCCGGGGCTTGCCCCAGCCTGCAGAGATGTCGACCTTCGCGATCTCAGCTGAAGGTTTGGAACGCACGCGCGCTCGACTGCAGCAACAAGAGACGTCGCGGGGTGATGCCGGACTGAATCATGGAAGGTGCGGAGCAGCAACGCTAGACGTCCAAGTCAAGTCAAACCACTCGGCGGACGACGGCGCAGCTCGAATGGCGGGACTTGTGGAGATCGAAGGGCGGTAGCGAAACGCATCATTGTCTTTTCGTGGCGTTCGGGCGCGCACGTCGAGCATCCAGTTCGCCAAGAGGCGATCACAGTGGGTTTACGGATGGGGGCTTGGTGTTACACACTGGGTGCGGGCGCGCCAATGGCCAGCACTTCTGGCGGGCAGGCCGTGCAGGAGTGTCTCAATGCAGTTACAGCGACAACAGAGGCCTGGCACTGCTTCGCGGCGTGGTTCAAGGCATGCCGTGGATGGTGCCTGCATCGGCCATTTCAGCGAGCCTCCACCACGGACAACAAAAGCAAAGAGTAAGACCCGACAACTTGGAATTGACTGTCTGTGGCTACATCCGCGACGACGTACAATTGCAGATCACAAGTTACATACAGCGAGTACCCCAGTGCCGAGCCTGCCCAGCGGGTCACGGCATGCAGGACCTGTGATACAGGTGCTCAATTCTCCGGAGAGCCTCAAGCACCGTCCGCTTTGGGACTTCCACAAAGCCTGTAGCACCGGGCTGTTACTGACAGGGACCGCGAAGGTGCTTATTGCGTTCTGTGAGCAATGGAATGTCACCAGCAGGGCGAGCCGAATACTACACCCCCTGCAGTCAGCAGCAACCATTCTGCGTTCAGAGTGTGCGTGCATTGCAGGTTAGACCATAGCTGAGTGCATATGGAAGAGGCGTCTAGCGTCTGGCGGCTGGCGTCTGGCGTCTGGCAGCCGTCTGCGCCTTCCTTCTGGAACCAGCTTCAGCACCTACTAATCCCGAAGCTGCAGCCTCAAGCACCCTCCATCTCTTCGTCGTCATCTTCACCGCCCTCATCGTCTGACCACTCATCTTCCTCGCCCTCAACAGCCGGGCCCAGCGTGTCGTTCAGCTCCTTGAGTAGCTCCTCGGAATGCTCCTTCAGCCGCTCGTCTTCGTATTCCAGCATGCCGTACAACTTGAGGCAGTTGACAAGCCACTCGCGACTAGCCTTCAGCAGCGACGTAACGGTCTTCACATTATCTCCTTCTTTTGCTTTTTGCTTGCCAGCAAGTAGATGCAGGCACCAGCCGCCCAGGTACCACGCCTCAACACTGCCGTCGTTTATGTTGACGAGTCGTTCGAGTACGTCAATGGCGTCGTCTTCCATGTCAGCCTCCATCAGCAGTCGTGCTAAGCTAATCAAGGTTGGGAACTCGGGCATTTTCGGGTCGTCTGGCTCCAGATCTTTCCATAGCTCGATGCTCCTTGTCAGTGCTGCCTGTGCATCCTCCTGTCTGAGTTGAGATATCCGTATGGAGGCCAACGTCTGCAATGGCTCTGCGTTGTTTGGCGCAACCATGAGAGCTTCTGTGACTGCTGCCTCGCACCGTGCTTCGGCATCTGCCTCCCAGGACAGATCCGTCATGTAGACCTCTGCGATACCGCACAGCGAGTTTGCAATCTTCATCTTTTTCTCCTCCAGCAGGTCCTCGACCTCGGCCTTCTTGCCCAATCTTTCTCCCAGCTCGTCGATCTCCCGCCTCAAGACTTCAATGCCCTTCTCAAACCACCGTACTGACTCGGCCCCGCCATCCTCGTTGAGTTGTGCCAGCCAAAGGAACTTCTCGGCGCCGTCATGCGCACCCTCGGGGTCAAGAAGTATGGCGACTTGGAAGGCTTCGCGCGCAGAGTCGGGGTCGCCCAGTTCGATGTTGATTTCACCGAGAAGGTTGAGTGCAGGAAGGGCGGCTGTTGTGGGCTTTGAGGTCGGCTGAAGGATGTTGAGAGCTCTTCTCGCTGCGACGAGGGCTTCCTCTGGCTGCGAGGTCTGGAGGAGGAGAGCGGCTTGTGTGAGAAGCTCTTCCGCTGAGGCTTTCGACTTTTTCGAGTCACCGGATTTGGACTTCTTTTTCGCGTCGCCAGCGCGGTTCGACGGTTTTGTTTTCGCCATGTTGCAGGGTGGTATGAGTTTCTGAGGTGTGTTGCGAAAAGATGTCCGACCAGAAAATAAATTCAAGACCAATGACGGGGGCCGCCGCGCTAGTCCCCGCCATCCACCAGAACCCTACCCACCTGTAAGCTGCTACAACACAGTTTCTGTAATAGCAGTTGCGCAATGGGTGTCGAAGATCAGCAAGAAGAGAGGGAAGTCCTCGAGTCGATCTTCCCAGACGAAATCACGGGTACCGCACACACCCCATGCGTCTTCACACCATGCTCACACGCTTCCGCAGATGTTTCCGAGACAGAATTCCGAGTCGCGATAGTCCTCGAGGTCACACCAGGCGAGGAAGATGCAAAGGACCTCGAAGGACGTACGCATTGCTGGCCCTGAAGCATCTTTCGGCACTGATCATCCCCAGCAACAATAATCCTCAATGTGCAATACCCGCCCGCCTACCCCGACGAAGCGCCCCGCCTCGACATAACACAGCCCCCGAATGCGCCGAAGCACCCGTATCTGGACATTCAAGATGATAAACAGCGGTTGTTGGACTCGCTGTCAGACACGATTGAAGAAAGCTTGGGCATGGCCATGGTATTCACGCTGGTGACGGTGCTCAAGGACTCGGCGGAGCTGCTGATCAGCGAGCGCCAGAACGCAAAGCAGGCGCTCGCAGACATGGAGGCTGCGAAGGCAGAGGAAGAAGAGAACCGCAAGTTCCAGGGCCAGGTGGTGACGCGCGAGTCCTTCCTCAAGTGGAGCGCGGAGTTCAAGGCTGAGATGGACGAGAAGAAGCGCGTGGCGGAGGAGGAGAAGGAGGCCGAGGATAAGAAGAAGCGCGTGGCCAAGGAGGAGAAGAAACTCACAGGGAAAGAGCTGTGGCAGCAGGGTCTTGTGGGCAAGGGTGACGACGAGGATGAGGGTGATGATCTACAGGCCTTGAAGGACCTGAACGTCTCTGCGACGTGAGGTAGTCGCAGGCGTATATACCCCTTTGCCAAACAAAAATTCACACATCACTGCGCAAGACACCCATGCATCAAGGCTTGAGCACTCGTATTGGCGCCTTCTTCCGCCCCCTCACAACCTCCTGCCCCTCCTTCAGCGCCAACCGCGTCTCCTCGTCCACAATCCACTGCATCTTCCTAATCACCTCCCTATCCCTCGCCATCTCCGCCTCATACATCATCCCATTCTCCCGCTCCGCCTCGACCACGACATCCGCCCACCCCCCCTCCGTGCCCTCAATCCCCTGCGACCCCATAAGCGCGTCCCACTCGTCCTCCTGCCGCGCTAGCGGCAGCCAGTAGTGCTGCAGCTCGACCCGCTGGTGGAAGTGCTCGATGCGTCGCGCGAGCTTCTGCCGCAGCACGCGGCTCAGCGAGGCGGGCTGGGGTTTTGTAAGGCGCAGGAAGGGGACGCCGTTGGCGGTGGCGATGACGGGGACTTTGCGTGCGCCGGTAACGTGGGCGTAGGGGCGCACGTTCAGGACGGCGCGGTCGGGGGGGAGGGTCGCGAGGGGGTGTTTGCCGGAGGGGTGCGGGGCGGGTGCGGGGGTGGGTGGGCGGCGCGTGGGTGGGCCGCGGGTTAGGCCGCGCGGAAGGGTGGTTATGAGGTGGGCGAGGGTGCTTGCTGCAGCTGTGTTGGGTGCGGTTGCGGCATCGAGTTGGTCGACGGTCTGAGGAGGGTTAGTAGTGAGGCGCGGAGGGTGGAGTCGGGGCAGTACCTCGAAGCCGAGCTTGAAGCTTAGTCCGAGCTGGTAAGGGCTTTGAATCTTCCTGTTCTGACGGAATTTGTTGCGGATCGCGTTGCTCAGCGATTTGCGTTCGTCATCTGGGAGGGCCGCGGAGGAGCATCCTGAGAGCAGTGCTCTGTACAGAGCAATCGCTGGCACGCCAATCAGCGAGTGGAGTGCACATATGCGCAATTCACGGACCTGCGACACGATGTTCTGTCGACTTGATCGGTTGAAGATACCTGGGCATGCATGGAACGGCTTGGTGGTGTTGGGTTGAAAGTTCCGAGCTGTTCTCAGAACGCGACAAATCACATAGTCACGTGTCGTCGAGCAACTGCGTCCACGCTGAGCTGCTCGCAGACTTTGGATAGTATTCAAGTTTCATTTGTACTTCCTAATATCCTTCGAGCCCTCAAATTCGATATGAGCGGCCAAAACTCCATACATATGCACGTTGGTCAATCCGCGCTTGGATCAATGTTCGCTTTCGTGTCGTTCGTCGGTGTGCTTCGTTGCCTTAGAAGGTGGAGCCCTCTGGAGGCTGGGGCAGCTTCTTGTTCTGGGGCAGAGCCATGTATCTGCGAAGCTCAATCAGGATGGTCTCCATTGTGAACTCCCTCCTCCACTGTGCCAGGCACGGTAGCTTGGAAGCATCGACCTAAGTGCTGTTAGTCGATGCCTTGCCATGGAGCCTCAGCCTTGCTTACCTGGCCATTCTGCGCATTGACGCAGGGCAGGTTTATCTTGGATGTGAACTTGATCTCAGGCGGCTGATCGGGGTAGTTTGGGCCGCAATGAAGGGAAACGCTGTAAATGCGGTTCTCGTGGACGCTCTATTCGAAAAGTTTAGTACGCAGTCGCCAGATGAGTATGCACAGAACATACGTGGGGCGGGCCGAGAATCGTGCCATTCCAGTCAGACATCAACAGATCGTCGCCGTTGTCTAGTCCATACGAGCATGCCTCTGTCTGCGTTCAGTATTGTCTCGCGCCTGACTGTAATAGTGCTCATACCAGCGCCGAGACCCTTCTCTCCCTTCTCAAGCTCCTCCAGCAGGCGAAAGTTGCGCGGTACTTTGGCACCCATGATTGTTGTTGTGTGGTTGTGCGGTGAGGGCGCAGTGGAGTGGGATGTTTGCCCCGCTATTGAGCTGGTGGTGATAGTTGTCGCGCGTGTACGCGAAAGCGATTCGTGCTTGCGAGTGGTTGGACTGAGATAGTGGGTCTCGTGTCAAGGAAGTAGAAATAGCAAGGCTAGAACACGCACATCTGCTGCGGCGCTCAGTTTGGCTGTCATGGATCTTGGCCTATGACGACGCGGAAGGAGCTCGTGGGTCGACAAGGGTCCTGCGGCTGGTGCGTTGACCGCCTTCCGTAACCGCAAGCTTCACCTGACAGGACAAGTTACCTTTCAACATTGGCTGATACAAGGTTCGCTTTCTATAATTCTGCCTTGCTGTTATCCATGGACAGCATCTGCATACTTCTGTTGGTTCTCCGCGCAGCATGACAGCCCAGCTTCTGGCGGCGGAGTTAGGGAATTTGATCTCGGATTCGAAGCGCAAGAACACAGAGCTTCGAACGGCGGCAGAGAAAGCCTTACAAGATCTCAAATCGCTTTCCAACACTTCCGAGGCTCAGCTCTCTGCAGGCAAGCGATCATCACGTGAAAGTGGTTGGAATCGATGCTAACTGAAGGGAAAGATCTCTCAAGACGACCTCAATTCTGTACACCATTCTTGATCGCCTGCAGTACTCAAAATGCAAAATTCACTTCTACTGCTGTCTCTTGCCTACAGCGTTTAAGCGTGTCCCGAGCGTTGCCTAGAGACCGGCTACCAGAGGTTCTCGAAGCCTTTAGGCAGTCTGCAACATCGGGTATGGTTTGCGAGCAAGTGAGGCAGGAGAAATGCTAACATGTCCAGGACATGACGTTCAGCTGAAAATACTGCAGGCTCTGCCTTCACTGCTACAGAATTACCCAAATGAGATACGTGGAGAACCTCTCTCCACAATACTGCAGATATGCTCCGGCTTGCAGAACATCAAGAGCCCAGCAGTCAGCAACACCGCCGCTGCTACCCTGCAGCAGCTTGTCATAGCAATATTCGACCGAGTTGCCATCGAAGATGGTACGTACTCGCTAAGTTACATCGTGGACTATTCTAACTGGGTTTCAAGGGAAAGCTCTCGAGATTCCAGCAGTCACTGAAGTAAAAGGAGACGATGGTCCTGTTCCCGTCAGACCAGCAGCATATGATGCATACAAAGTTTGTGATGTGTTCGTCGATGTATTCTTCGCTGACAGTGCTAGGTGTTCAACGACCTTAACCTTCTGGTGACAGGGGAAAAGCCAGCGTTCATTCGCTTCTCAACAATCCCGCCTGCCTCAATACTTGAACTGATCGAAGCAGTTCTATCGAACTACGGTCAAATCATGGTTGAGCACCCAGAACAGGTCTATATACTGCGAAACCTTCTCATGCCTCTAATCATACGGTCGCTATCAGATCGTCTATCTTTCCCGGTCGTCGTGCGTGTCATTCGGATTCTGAACCTGATCATACGCAACTACCTGACGGTCCTCCCATCAGAGTGTGAGATTGCACTTGGGCTACTCAATCACATGCTCGACCCGCAAGCATCACAACTGTGGAAGCGTGCCCTCTGCCTTGAGGTTTTTCGAGGCATATACGCTGACTCGCGGCTTCTTCTGGCCATCTATCATCAGTTCGATGCTCAAGAAGGGAAGAAAAAGATCTTCGGTGACAACTTGGCATCCTTTGTCCGACTAGCGACTGAGAAACCTGCTTTGATTGGTCTAGGCCAGCAATCTACTGCTCCAGCTGTCTATGCCGACGACAGCATCGCAGGATCTGATCAAGCAGCAGCCGCTGCAGGAGCGATGGCAGGCGATATCGGCGGGCCTGTCAGCGACCGCAGCAGCAGCCGTCCGACTGGAATAAGTGCGCAGTGGAGCTCCATGAAAACGCCATGCATCGATCATCTCGATAAGACAGACCCCCCTGCCCTACCAGAAACTTACATATATAGCCTTGTCTTGACTTGTATTACCAATATCAGTGAAAGCCTGGCTAGGTTCGTTTTGCCCCTGACAGTACATCACGAGAGCAAAAGCCGGAAAAAGACCAAGACAGATGACACAGCTATTCAAGAAGGAGAAGAGCTACCATCAAATCAAGTCGTACAGCGACTATCGAGGACACAATCTTTCCGGAAGAAGACCATACCCGTCAACCCGCTTGACCTCAGTGATCATCCCGGATATGCCTACATAGAGACGTCATCGATGCTTGTCACAGAGTGCTGGCCTGCCATTCTAGCAACCTGCTCGACGTTTCTCAACGCATCTCTAGACGTAGACTATTATCGCGCTCTGGTTCGCGCAATCCAAAAATTCACCCAAGTTGCGGGTCTGCTCAGAATGGCGACACCTCGCGACGCATTCCTGACCACTATGGGCAAAGCGGCTGTTCCCTCAAATCTGCTGGTCGCGAACGTGGCCTCTCCCAAGGCAGCCACGTCAGATCAAAATGGGATGTTCAACAACGCAAAGGGCTTGCTAAGTGTCGACAGCCTGGTAAGCCAGGCATCCTCGGTCTCCGCAGACAACAGCAGACACCCATCGGACACACATATACCCTCGCTAGGTCCCCGTAATCTACTCTGCTTGCGAGCTTTACTCAACCTCGCAATTGCTCTGGGGCCAACTCTTCAGTCCGCGTGGTCGATAGTCTTTGAGACTCTGCAAGTCGCTGATCTTGTCCTGTCGTTGTCACACCAAAGCGGCAATCGAGGCTCATCCCAATTCGCTGGATCAGAGAGCGCCGCAGAGAAGATCGAAGCAGAGACCTCAGCAGTGCAAGCTGCTGCCCGCAGACTATTTGAAAGCACGGTAGATTTCCCGAACGAATCCTTCATTGAGGTGCTGCAAGCACTTTGCGCTCTGCTCAGTGACCCTGCTCCAACTGAGAGCGGTCAAATGACACCTATAGTAGCAGGCCGGCCACAAGTTCTTCGCCAGCGGAGGCTTGGTAGTGTGTCCAGGATCTCGTTAAACACTGACACTAGTTCTCGCGATGCAGCGTTTGCCTTGAACAAGATTGGCGAACTGGCCGCATTGAATGAGGCTAGATTGTCACAGTATGACCCCGCGGAGAGCGGTTGGGATACACTCGTCCATGAGGTTGTCCGCTTCTCCGCCGATAACCGCAAAGCGTCAGCATCTAGACTGCTTGCAGCTGACATCTTGTCGAGAACCGTCAGGGAAATCGCTGAGATCTCCATGTACGATGAACAGCGTGAGCAAATCCAAGCGCGGATACTAGCGACTTTGCAGCGGCAGATCTCAGTGCTTCTTCTAAACGACATCAAGACAAAAGGTGATTACAGCGACACAGACGTTCGAGTACACCAGATAGCACTTGACGCTTTGAAAAATGTCATTGAGCAGTGTGGCGAATCACTCGTTGCAGGGTGGGCATCAGTGCTTGATAGCCTGCTGAGCGTCTTCCTACCCAGCGACAACATACCGGAAGAGGAGGAGGAGGGCGGATTGCGTAAGTCGGTATCACAAACTCGGGTGATCTCAAGACCGCTGGCCCGATCTGCGTTCGCGACAATTCAGCTCATCTGCTCTGACTTTCTGGCATCTGTCCCTGATATTTGCCTCTCAACATTGCTAGAGCTTCTACTCAACTTCTGTGGGCAGCAAGATGACCTGAATATGTCTCTCACTGTAAGATCATTTACTGGAGACCGTTTTGGCAGGGCTAATCGCAACAGGCAATTACGTTCTTTTGGAATGTGTCGGACTTCTTGCAGTCGCGCAGCGACATTGCTTCGCTCCCCAGTGTGATTGGAGACGCCCAGCAATTTGACGAGATTCAGGCCTTGGTGAAGTCAAACTCAGAAGGAGGCCATACGCCTTCTCTATGGCTTCAGGTGTTACTGAATCTGTGCTCTACTACCACAGACAGGCGCGCTGAAGTGCGAAATTCAGCGGTTCAAACGATCCAACGAATCTTCGAGAACTACACTGATCAACTGTCCTCAGATGCATGGATGCTTTGCCTTCGCGCGGTGCTGTTGGAAGCAATATCAGCAAATCTTGCTTCACAGAGTGCTGTACGACACGGCCCTCGCAATACTGCTGCTGACATTGCGAGTTGGAATGAGACTACAAAAGTCCTATTGCATAGTGTCAGCACACTCATTACCATGCGGCTACAAAAGGTTGATGACATTGCTACCTTTGGTGGATCATGGTCAAATATACTAGACCGTCTGCAGCAGTATTTCGCCTTTGGCTCGCACGCCATTGGTTCCTGCGTCTTTACAACTATCACGACTGTCCTGTCACATCTGTCTGACACAAAAGCATTGGGCGAATCGTCTCTGCATGAGACAGCTATGGTTTGGAAAAGCTACCTTGATACCCACAACACGGATCCTGGGGATAATCAAGAAGCGTTCGTGGCTTATGCGGACGCGTTCAAGGCAATCTATCGGTTGGCTGGTCAGAGCATTGACTCGGACCTTCCCTCGATGTTGTCCCACCTGGAGACCTGCATCATCGAGTCCAATGTCATTGCTTACTCAACGGACGTCGATACCATGACACCACTCCAAATTAGGATCCTTGAGTGCTTGTCACTCATCGACACCACAGGACCAAACCTTCCGTCACACGTAATTGGGCTGCTAGGTCGCTTCAGTGTGTTACCATACACATCGGTAGCACATCAATCAGAGAGACAAGGGCCCACCTTTGTTGCGCTTGCCAAAGCGTCGATGACCATGCTTGAAGAGGTGGCCATTAGGCACATCGAACGCAAACAAATATACACGGATGGATCCTTCAACACCGCCCTGTCACATCTAGCCCGGCCGATTAAAGAAAAATATGCATGGCAAAAGGAAGGAAAGTCTCCGACACTCTGGCAGAAAGCCACGACCACTGCTATAGCCATGCTACAAGTAGGTCTTTCACAAGCACAGGCCCGCGGCATCAGCGGTGATCCGTTGAACGACATATGGTCCACAGTGGTCGACATAGCTCATCAGATCACATGTGCTCAACATCTCGATCCGGAGAACCCCCCACTTTCTCTAGAGACAGACCAAGACTTCGACATCCAATGTTTTACAGAATTACGCGATCTGATCACCGTGCGGCTCAACTCTGCCTCTTTACCCGACTCCCTCCGCAGAACGTACACGCGAAACCTCTTCTCCATCTCCCTCGTCCACAGTCCTCTGCAAGGTGAACTTCCGGATCTTGCGACCTCCCCACTTGACGATCTCTACAAAACTAGACTTGGTCAAACCGCTGTTCTGCCCGCCAATCTCCGGTCAAAGATGAGCTATGCATGCACTTCCGAACTCTTCACACTCGTCACTGCACACTCGGATGGGACCTCACACACCAAGCTCGCCCAGGCAGCAGCGCCCTACCTCATTTTGCGCGCCGCTGTGCCGCTCAAGACGTACATTGCGGATCATCCGCTTCGCGGACGCATGCCTGCTCCGGACTCGCAACGCAAGGAGCTCCTGCATGTGCTCGCCAGACTCGAAGAATTGGAGAGCGAGCCCAAAGCCATCCCGGATGCACCAGGGGTTAAGTCAAAGCATAGGAAGCATCTACATCGGCTATATCCGCTGCTTGTGAAGGCTACGAGAGCGGCACGTCAGGACTCGGTGGTGTTTGAGCGCTTGCTGAAGCTGACGGACATGGTCGGAGAGGAGTTCGACGAGCATGATGAGAATGATGAGTAGGGACTAGTGCGTATTTGGAACCACACTCGAGGACTGGTGGGTTGAATAGAAGCTGGAGCATGTAGGCTTAGTCCATTGTGGCGGATACGTGTGTAATGACTCGAGCGACCGAGTCAACGTTGGAATGTTCATAGTCTAGGAGCAGGATAGATGAAATACATCTTTATACTACCTTGTCTGCTTGTACCTAGCTACTTTTCGAATTTAGAAGCATTGCCTTTGCTGTTGGACCACCTCTGAATTACGGAATGCAACTTGGTGCCAATTAAGCCTCAGCTTGTCAAAAGCGTCACACGTTACAATATCAAATGCATCCAATTCAACAGTGTTTGGTTTGTCTGTGATTCGGTCACTCTGAGTCCGAAACTCCAATTAGATATGATTATGAATGCGTGAACGCTGCGTCCCACGTACGGCGTGCGATTCGTCGATCCCGGCAAACCTCGGTCCAAAAGCTTACCCCAGATTCGACTCTCCACCCCCACAGCCGACTACTTTATAGCCGCGCGACACCTTCACAATGCAGGCCTTCACCGAGCTTCACTACAGTTACTCTCGCCATGTCTTCTACAGCTTACGTCCCGTTCTCTGAACCGGGCTACATCACCGGCCTGCCCTCCCCATACTACCAGGAAACGCATCTGCGATGGCAGAAAGCGTGCCGCGAGTTCGTCGACAAGCATCTGATTGAGAAGGGCCTCGAATGGGACACAGAGGAGACAGTGCCGCCGCACGTCTTCGAGACGTTTGCGAAGGCGAACATGCTGCTCCCAACGCTGCCCGCGCCGCTGCCTGTCGAGTGGCTCAAGAAGCTGGGTATTACCGACATCCTCGGTGCCGTCAAGGTCGACGAATGGGACTACATCCACACCATGATCTACGCGGACGAGGTACGCCCTCTCACTCCTCCATATCGTAAGACTCGCAGCTGACATACTACAGATGGCGCGCACCGGCCTCGCAGGCCCCAGCGGCAGCCTCACAACCGGCATGGCCTTCGGCGTACCCCCAATCATCAAATACGGCTCCCAGCAGCTGCAAGAGCGCTTCCTCCCCGACCTCCTGACCGGCCGCAAGCGCACCTGCATCGCCATCACCGAGCCCGAGGCCGGCTCCGACGTCGCCAACATCACGACCACGGCCGTCAAGACCCCCGACGGGAAACACTACATCGTCAACGGCTCCAAGAAATGGATTACCAACGGCATCTGGTCCGAGTACAGCTCCATGGCAGTGCGCACGGGCGGCCCCGGCCCGGCCGGCCTGTCGATGCTCGTGGTCCCGCTGAAGGGCAATCCGGGCGTCAACATGCGGCGGCTCAAGGTCGGCGGGCAGGTCAGCGCGGGGACCACGTTCATCGAGCTCGACGACGTCAAGGTGCCGGTCGAGAACCTGATTGGCGAGGAGGGCATGGGCATGAAGTACATCATGACCAACTTCAACCACGAGCGCCTCACGATCGCGATTGGGGCGACACGACAGGCACGTGTTGCGCTGGGCGCGGCCATGGAGTACGTGCTCAAGCGCGAGGCGTTCGGCAAGCCGCTCGTGGACCAGCCTGTTGTGCGCCACCGGCTGGCGAAGGCGGGTGCCCTGCTCGAGAGCCAGTGGGCGTGGGTCGAGCAGTTCGTGTACCAGATGACGAAGCTGCCGAAGGCGACGGCGGACATTGAGCTCGGCGGCTTGACGGCCATGGTCAAGGCACAGTCGGGTATTGTGCTGAACGAGTGTGCGCAAACGGCACAGTTGCTCTTCGGCGGGAACGGGTACACAAAGAGCGGGCAGGGCGAGCTCATTGAGCGCATCTACCGCGAGGTACCTGGTATTCGGATTCCCGGTGGGAGTGAGGACGTCATGCTCGACCTAGGTGTGAGACAGCTTGTTAAGAACTTCAAGAGCAAGACGAAGGCTATGGAGAGACCTAAGGGCTCGTCGAAGTTGTAGGTTGGAAGCACTTGATCATATGATCAAGACGTGATTCGTTCATCTATTTGTGCCTGAAGCTTCTTCACCGTTGATCGTGTGTGGTATCCCGTGTCCCTCTCGATATCCTTCAACACGTTCCATACCCGCGCCTTCTGTGATATGGTTTTAATGTGCTTAGCAGCTGCCCGAGGTCAGCGGAATCAAGAACATGGAGCTGATATACCATCTTACCATAGTAGAGCCCATGTGTTGAAAACACTTTCAAAGCCGCCGGAAAGTCCGAAATAGTGATGTTTGTAATCTTCATTGCCTGGTCCTGAATCAGTGGTATATAACTCTCATCCTGCAACACCGGCTCCGTATACAGCAGGATATGAGCGATATGATACCAGAAGGCCGCCGCCGCCGCCGCCGTTACCGTAAAGTATACCTTGCAGAACCCATCATCATCCGCCTCGCCATACGGAATCCCAATAAAGCACGGCGCCAGCCCCGCCCGCCAGGTCTCCAGCTCCTCCAACAGCGCTTCTCGCGCCGGCCTACTCGACGCTGCCGCGCCCTCCGCCCCAAACACAAGATTGATAATCCGCGCCAGCATCCACATCATCTGGTTCCCGAGCACATCCTCGCGGCCCTCGCCCTCGCGCCAGGCCACCGCCCACTCCTCCGGATCCAGCACCAGCCTGCGCTCATTCGCCAGCGCCACGGCTATCTCATGGCGGCAGTAGATCCAGAAATTGGCTCTGTCGGTACCGCGCGACTGCGCCGTGATGCCGTGCGCCTTGATCAGCATCGTGAGCCCGAGGAAGTGGCGGCGGTAGTCCGCCGAGCGGATCGCGCCGTGCACTTCGTAGCTGAGTAGCAGCATGCTGCCCGTCATGGCGGTCTCGCTGAACGGCGTGCTCAGCGCGTCGATTAGGAGGCGTAGCGCCAGCCCGTAGTGCCGCACGGCGACGAGCTTCCAGGACGCGTTGAGACTGGTGTTGGAGAGTGCGAGGTGGTTGGCGGTGAAGGCGCAGATGCAGTGGAAGAGCAGCGGGGAGGCGAGGGCCAGGGGCGGGACGCGGAGTTGGTAGGTTAGCGAGTGGTCGAAGAGGTCCATCCAGGTGGCGACGGTTTTGACATAGGTCTGGAGGAGAAAGGCGCCTTCGGAGGTGATTGTCGTTCGGTCTGTTGAGATGCTGCTTGGTGTTGTTGTTGGGGGGGTGACGGTGGTTGCTGTTGCTGGCCCGATGCCCGGGGGGCTGACTTCGATCAGCTCATCGAGGTCGTCTAGATGCGATCTGAATATGTCCAATGTGGAGCTTGGTCCTTCGGGATGGGAATCGGGACTCTCTTGCTGGCGTGGCTGTGGTTCACGCGAAGGATGGTCTTGTGTGCCGTTGACTTTCCATGCACTATCATCTCGTTTGCAATCGAGGTCTAAGCGTGCACAGTTGCCACAAATGGGTTTGGTCTCATCACAGCGAATGTGCCGACTTTTGCAAGTATCACTATACACAGTCAGTTGAAGAGTAGGTTAGTTCTGCGTTACACGTACCATCCTGACTGAATTAGCATATGACTTGTGATGATTGCTGTTTTCTACTTGCCTGTTCTTCTTCTTGGACCCCCCCTTCGCTTTTTCTTTGACCGCGGCGTGTCTGCCATATCGACAAGAAACTTATTTTGTCGAGATATTTGTTCCAAGTTTGGTTCACAGGTGACAAAGCAAGAAGGGTTAGGCGGCGACAAAGCGCCTCTCGTAATGCCCGGGCGTCATCCTACGTCAAGGCAAGCAGTGTGAACATCGAATCTAAATTCGATCAAGCCAATGGTGTCAGATAGAGCTCCTAATTCAATTAAGGTACTGTCTAGGCTTTCTGAGGTCCTGGTGATGTTACGAGAGGTTTAGGGTACAACCCATCTTATCAGCCCCACCTTCGTCCACCGGTACCTATCGCGGGGTAGCCAGCTGCCGCGATCGTGATGCGTGCTTGACATCCTCATTATCCACGCTTGGTCTTCTTTGAATGAGCTCAGAGTCAACAATTGTTGTTTTGGTGAGATCAACGCAGCTTCTGTATCCCCGCAACCACGTCAATGGCGCCTCTTGCAGTCACACCACCACTCTTGAATTCCGCAAATCCATGGTGCACTACGCTCGAACAACTCCAAGAGTTGTATGACTGTGCTTACACCGGCGCTATCACTACGCGGACATCTCTGCTGAACGGCTTTCCAAATGACCCCGCGGTCCACCAGTTCGCTTTCTATGATCCCACTCGCCATACTGCATCTTCTCCAAATGTCGACCAAGGAGGAAACCCGAACGAGACAGGGAGCCTGAATACACTGGGCTATAGTCCGATACTTCTGGAAGAGTACCTAGGTTTCATCAAAACCATAAGCCAAGGTCTCCCACCACACCCAGCAGGAGGAAAAGAACACTTTAAACCTGTCATCATCTCTGTGACAGGTTCTGCGGAGGATGTAGTTGCCTGTTACAAGCTCATCACGTCGTATCAACGCGACGTGCGGATGGTACTCGCGATGGAGATTAACCTCTCGTGTCCAAACATTCCAGGGAAACCTCCACCAGCCTACGATGCCTCTTCTCTGTCGACGTACCTTGATGCACTAAAGGTTGAGATCGATCGACAGATATCAGAAGATGGCACATCAGCCCATCCGCATACAGGCCACACTCATGTCCCGATTGGTATCAAGACGCCTCCGTATACTTACCAGGACCAGTACAATGGCTTGATCAAAGCGTTGAAGGACTCTGCCTTGGCACAGCCGGCGCACCTGCCTTGTCCCATCACGTTCATCACTTCCTGCAATACGCTCGGATCCTCGCTTCTCTTGGCGCCTCAACTCGAGAGCTCCTCAGATGGACATTCGCATGAAGTATATCACCGCACACTGGAGTCGGCGACAGGAACGGGTATCGGAGGGCTCGCGGGTGCCCCACTACATCCGCTTGCGTTGGGGAATGTGTATACCATCAAAGGATTACTTTTCCAGCACAAAGAACTCGAGCATATCCAGATCATTGGGGTAGGCGGTGTGGATGATGCAGCTGGCTACAGGAGGATGCGAGCGGTTGGTGCCGCTGCCGTTGGTGTGGGTACTGCACTGGGCAGACATGGTGTTAAGATCTTCGGTGAGATCGAGAAAGGGGTCTCCACCAAATAGTGGACACATGGAAGAGGAAAGTATTGTACCTATTGTACGTTTGATTCGAAACTATCGCGGTGATAAGGCTGCAGTTGCTCGGTCAGAGTCGGGGAATAGACCAAACCGCTTTGAAACGACCGAGATGTCATGACGCGTTGATGAAGTCTTATGCACCCAACAAAATGCCTCTCAACCTGTAAAAGGAGACGTGAGGCCAGTCGAAAGAACCGCACTCCAGCAGCCGTTCAGATGGCTACCATCCGGCGTTGGGAGGGTGGAAGCCAACAATGTGCTCAGCGCAGCTATCAGGAGATCACTCTGTACAAAACTGCTAGTAGTGTCGTGCATACTGTAGGGTCGTGCATGTCAGGGTCTTCTTAGTGACGAATCACAACTGCCGTACGGGCGGTGAGGTGGCAGAAAAAGGTGCATGGCGGGTTGCCCCGCGCCTCAGCATAGAAAAACCTCGTTGTCCCGCGGTCTGCCATCTCACCACTCCCACTCTTTCCTCCCTCAATTCACCCTCCAAAACACACTTCAATATGTCTGCTCCCGCCCACAAGTTCAAGGTCGCCGACATCTCGCTGGCCGCTTTCGGTCGCCGGTACGCAGTCCTCCAGCCATGTTTGGCAGACAATACTAACCCAAAGACAGAGAGATCGAGCTCGCCGAGAATGAGATGCCCGGTCTCATGGAGACTCGCGCCAAGTACGCTGAGGACCAGCCCTTGAAGGGTGCCCGCATCGCTGGTTGCCTTCACATGACCATCCAGACCGCCGTCCTTATCGAGACCCTCACAGCCCTCGGCGCCGAGGTCACCTGGTCGTCCTGCAACATCTTCTCCACCCAGGACCACGCCGCTGCTGCCATCGCTGGCGCCGGTGTCCCCGTCTTCGCCTGGAAGGGCGAGACCGAGGAGGAGTACGAGTGGTGCCTCGAGCAGCAGCTTGTTGCTTTCAAGGACGGCAAGTCCCTGAACTTGATCCTCGACGACGGTGGTGACCTTACCGCTCTCGTCCACAAGAAGTACCCTGAGATGCTCAAGGACTGCTACGGTGTCTCTGAGGAGACCACCACTGGTGTGCACCACCTGTACCGCATGCTCAAGGGCAAGGGTCTCCTCATCCCCGCCATCAACGTCAACGACTCCGTCACCAAGTCCAAGTTCGACAACCTTTACGGCTGCCGTGAGTCTCTCGTCGATGGTATCAAGCGTGCCACCGATGTCATGATTGCCGGTAAGGTCGCTGTCGTCGCCGGTTTCGGTGATGTCGGTAAGGGTTGCGCCCAGGCTCTCCACTCCATGGGTGCCCGCGTCATCGTTACTGAGATCGATCCCATCAACGCCCTCCAGGCTGCCGTCTCTGGCTTCCAGGTCACCACCATGGAGAAGGCTGCTTCCCAGGGTCAGATCTTTGTCACCACCACTGGCTGCCGTGACATTCTTACTGGCGAGCACTTCGAGCAGATGCCCAACGACGCCATCGTCTGCAACATCGGTCACTTCGATATCGAAATCGATGTTGCCTGGTTGAAGAAGAACGCCCAGTCGGTCACCAGCATCAAGCCCCAGGTCGACCGCTACCTCATGAAGAGCGGCCGCCACATCATCCTCCTCGCTGAGGGTCGTCTCGTCAACTTGGGATGCGCCACTGGCCACTCCTCGTTCGTCATGTCCTGCTCTTTCACCAACCAGGTCCTTGCCCAGATCATGCTGTACAAGGCCGCTGATGAGGAGTTCGGCAACAAGTACATCGAGTTCGGCAAGACCGGCAAGCTCGACGTCGGTGTCTACGTTCTCCCCAAGATCCTCGACGAGCAGGTCGCCCTCCTCCACTTGGCCCACGTCAACGTTGAGCTCTCCAAGCTCACCGAGGTCCAGGCTGAGTACCTTGGTCTCCCCGTTGAGGGTCCCTTCAAGAGCGACATCTACCGCTACTAGATTTCTTTTATTATGTTTGAGTTTGAGCAGTTTCAACACGACGTTATGAACTGGGATGATACCACTTGGAAAAGTTCTTTGTCTTCAACGGCATAGCATCTCAAGAGTCAGGGACTCTTTGGTCGTTCAAAAGGCGTTGTTTGCATATCATCTTCTTGACCCTTCAACCACGGTCAAGGATAGAGGTGATACACTGTTAGAGTGCGATATGGATTAAGACAGCGCGTCTCCACACGCAAGCGATATGTAGTAATGGCACAGCAGCACAAGCTGCTGTTCTGAATGAAGAGATTTGGTCAGCCTTCACCGGCATGACATCAACAAAGCTGGCCTCCCCTTGCCTCACCGCATACCCTCAACCTTGTTGCAAGACGTACCTATTATTGTCTGCAAGCCCCATCACATTCTTCCGCAACACAGCATACCACAACCTGCCGCCGTCGGCCATTCTGGCAGCACTGACGTGTCTCTGACACAACCGCCTCCGCCCCACAGCTCACCGCGTCTGCCGTGCCCATCAACCCTCTTCAGCTGCCGTACCCGCGCATTCCCATTGTCTCATCCGCCTTGCATCGCTCCCTGCCCGCCGCCATTGTCAACCCCACCGACCCTCCTTACCGATCTATTCTCGTCTTCGCGCGCATACCTCGCGTCCACCCCAGACGCCCTCGCATCCGCCCCAGGCACCCTCGCGTCCGCCCAGCAACGCCCCCAAAAACGCAGTGCACCCGTTGAGCCTCCCCCATCGCACAGCAGACACGAGCCCCACGGCGTACATACGGTCCGCAACGACAGGGACCAGGGCTGCGCTCGAGGCCGCGCGCCGGGGTGCGCGTCGGCGCTCAAAGGCACTGCGTTCCCGGTCCCTGGGTCACAGCAGGTGGCTGGTGTTTCGAAACAGGGGCGCGGGGGCTGGGAAAAGGAATATGGTACCTGCGTGCGTGGAGCGAGGGGGACTGGGCGCGCGCGGTAGTACGGGGGATGTGGTGAGATGGTGGGTGGGGTTTGGGGACGGGGGTGGCGTGGTGGTGGTGGTGGTAAGCAGTGCAGTGGTGGAGGAGAGGGATCTGCGAGTGCCCACGAGCGGAGATGAGCACGGTGTCTAGTCCAGCTGTCCTGCCTGCGCGTGAGAAGTCTGTACTGTAGGCACCGGACGCCGCTGGAATAGCGTTTCGCATCCGCTGCCTACATGCAGCGCGAGAGACGAGTCCGCCATGGCCGCCGCAAAACAGTGGATCCTGTACGACCACGCCGCCAGCATCTCAACACGACGGCCGTAGCAACGGCCCACACATCCAAGCTCCCCAGATGCCTGTCCGTCAGGCGAGCCGCGCAGTAAGCCAGACGATCACCGCGGGCGGGGCCCCAGCCTCCGCGGGCGAGTCGCGAGCCACATAAACGACCTCGGAGCACTCTGCTGAGCGACATGCTGGCATTGCGTGCATGCACGCCGTCACCGCAAGAGGAGCTGTAACTCGGCTAGAGAAGCACAGCGAGCAGCGGGGAGGCGAGCAGGCACACGGAGGCAGCGCAGACGGATACTAGACTGCGTCCGGGGCGCAGATGTCAATCGGGAAGTTAACGCTGCGGGGGGCAGGGATGCTGCATATCAACAGCTTCAGCGTTCGTAGATCCCCTCGGGTCGAAAGCGGCCTGACGAGATGTGCCCGTCAATGCAGATGTGCATGTCACTCCGGGTGATTTGAGAAGCGGAGTGTAGATCGACTACTGCAACGCGGCACAGTAGGCCTGGAGATGCATATAGACGTTGCATGGATGGCTGTCGAAGCCGAGAAGGCTGTAGAAGCCGACGAGCTCTGGCTTTCGGGTAGCGTCATTGAGGGGCTCGTACCGACGACTCCAAACATGAGCGGGATGAAGTCCGGGGTACGTTAGATTACTGAACATTGCCAAAACGGAGAGAATTCCGTCGAATGATCGAAAGAGATGATTGGATTATTAGAATACAAAGCGCAGTTGAAACTTTATATCGCAATTGCCAAGCAAGCATATGTACTGAGCCACTTGCACTGCGGCAAACAATATGTGAACCTATGCCAACGCTCGCTATGGATGACGACATCTGCCTATCTGTGGTATTAGACAACGCAGAGAGGTATCAGAACAGTAAAGACGAGACAGAGCCGCTAACTATGCCCCTCGACGGAACCCACAAAGCCACTCGCGCTTTTCTGGTAAGGGAGCAAGGCGGTCATGCCGAAAAGGAGCAGTGGGCGAAAACACTGCTAGAGACACAAATGAAACAGTGTTGATAGCTGATTAACGCAGGCCAATGACGCTCTGCCGATTGTTAGTGAATGTTACGGGTCAGTATGTCGGAGCCAACGTACCATCTCAAGCGTCCAAACCCTTCGTATCCAGACCTTAAGCTTGCCTTCTACACCTCTGACGTTGTCAAGCTCTACACCTTCCCACCAGCATCGGCGCGCGGGTTTCCTCCAAAACAACAATAGCTTCTGGGCCATACCGACAGCGTTGCTGTTTGCGACATCGTTGCCCTTGATGTCAGTCCTGAGGCGCGCGAGAGCAATGCTGCAGATGACAGCCTTGTTGGGCTCTCCGGCACGGTGGCCCCAGTGATCATCGTGGTTGAAGCCGCTACGCTTGTCAATAATCATCATGAATTTTGCATGAGATAGCTTACCCTGCAGTCAGCATCTCAATCAGATGCTGTTCTGTAGTACCGGGCTCCTCACTTTTCCTGAGTCCTGAGAAGATACCCTCTTGCCTCAACAACGCCTCCCCTGCCGCGCGTTTGACCTCAATCATCTCTGGTTGGGCAATATCGCGATGCGGTGGGATAACATAGAAGTCAAGATCCTCGCGGAGAACAATGATGCCAGCGCGGTCTTGCAGCATGTCTCTTGCGGAACCATGCATGGGCTCAATGGGCACTGCCTCAGCGGCGTGATCGGAGGCGGCAGTCGGCGAGGGAGGCGACGCAGGTATGGTTTGGGCTACATCGCGGAAGAACTCGAGCATGTACTGGAGGGAGTTGGGGTCGTACTGCGAGGGATAAAGATTGTCAGATAAGTATATCGCGGGATTGGAGAGGTGGTACATGATCTTGGCTAGTGTGCCCATGGGGAGGTGGGGGGGAGGGGAGGGGTCGGGGTTACCCACGTCGACTGGATACACATCGCCATCATGGTACGAGTTCATATGGCCATCGGGAAGGAGACCATTGGGGAACAGGGAGAGGAGGACGAATTCGGGCAGAGTCAGGAGCTCATCGCGCGACAAGGTGAATCGTGTTCCTCTGCAAGGACTGTCAGCACATGGTACACATGGTGTTCAAAAAACAGTCACCTCAGCTCCAGAGTAATGTTCTCGTCCGAGCCTCCACCCAGCTGGTTGATCGGGGGCGCTGGGCCTGTCTGCGAGACCTGAGTGATGATACTCGCGGGACCTCCTGCTGAAGCCATAACGTAGGTGAACGAGTCGAGCGGGCTGGTTCCTTCTGTGTAGGGCGGCGGCGGTTCTCCGTCGTCGATATCCTTGCTGCTAGAGCTGCCTTTGGTGTCGCGCGGTAGGACGGCTTTGGTTGCTGCGACGGCGGCGGAGGAAGCAGAGTCGGTGAACGGAGGAGCCGGTGCAAATGCAGGCGGTGACTCGCTTGTGGGCTCGTTGGGCTTGATGCGCGCCTCAACGGAGTCCTCGGACGGGAAGAAGAGGGACGAGAAGGACGGGGGTAGTGGTGATTCGCCGGCGGTGGTCAAGACGGAAGCGTCCCTCGCGGGTGCTGTGACTGTGTACGGTGGACGAGGCGTGGTGCCGTCGCTGGGACTCGGGGACAAAAGAGTGGACACGGACAAGCCGTCTGACCTGGAAGGCTGCGTTCGCGACAAGGTGCCGGTGTGCTGTGTGTGTTGACGCAAATGAGGCCTCGAAGGGGCAAGGGCGCTAACCGCCGCGGGAGTCAGTTATCAATCGCGTGCGTGTGCTAATCACCGGGTGGCAGGGCGCATTGAGCGGCGACGCAGTCGAGAGAATTGCAAGCCGTTTCGAGGCGGACAGGAGGTGGTCGTCTCTGGGCGCGTGTCGTGAGGTAGGCATGGCCTGGAGCTTGCATGAGCGTCATTGGTTTGGGCCTAGCGCCACTGCTAATTACCTGTCGCGGGAGGCACCATGAGAGGTCACAGCACTATATCCAAGCTTCACAAAGAGCAATTGCCACTATAAGGACGCAGATTCGGGTCGACAAAGGATCGATTAATTCACATCGTGCCTGCTATGACCCGTTCCTCCCGTGCTCAGTGCTTTGCAACAACGCCGGACTCGTTGGCCTGTGCTGTGATTCGGCGCTTGTACGCCTGCACGGAGCCGTCAAAGTGCTCGATCGTGCCGTTATCACACACCCACAAGCTCTTGCATACGTTTTGCAGCATTGTGACATCGTGACTGACCATCAGCACACCGCCCTGGAACCTCTGCAGCGCCTCTGACAGTGCGTCCATGGCTTCGATGTCCAAGTGGTTAGAAGGCTCGTCCAGGACGAGAATATGTGGGTTGGTCAGAGCCAAGCACGCGAAAGCCACACGCGACTTCTGACCTCCAGACAGCAGCTCCATCTTCTGCAGACCTGTCATACCGGTGATACCGAATGCACCCAAATGACGACGGTACTCCTCGTCGGGCTTGCCCGGGTATTGCTTGGCCATGAACCCTACGGCACTGTTGTTCAGGTCCAGGGCATCCACGTGATGCTGCGCGAAGAAGCCTACTCGGAGTCGGGGGTTCTGCGAGATCAGACCAGCTGAAGGCTGCAAGGCACCAATAAGCAGCTTCAAAGCTGTCGTCTTGCCAGCACCGTTTGGACCAACGATTCCGATACGTGAATCGAGCTGCACATCGAGATCCACATTCTTCAGTAGAATCTTGTCCGGGCTGTAACCGAATGAGACGCCGCTCATCTGGATAATAGGAGGAGACAGCTTCTCCACTTCGGGGAACTTGAAGTGGACAGTGTACTCCGCTTCGGGCGCATGAAGGATCGGCATGCGCTCCAGCTTCTTGATTCGAGACTGAGCCTCCGAGGACTTGGCGGCATTGTATCTGAACTTGTCGATGAAAGCTTGCAGATGGGCACGTTCGCCCATCTGCTTCTCGTATTCGCGCTTTGCAGTCTTGCGTCGCTCTTCCTTGGTGGCATAGAAGGAATCGAAATTGCCACCCTTGTAGTAGTCGAGGCGCTCCGAGTGCTGGTGAATAATGTCGGTGGCAACTTCGTTGAGGAAAGCTCTGTCGTGAGATACAACCAGCACCGTGCTGGGGTAATCCTGAAGGTAGTTCGCCAAGAAGGTGATGGATGGGACGTCCAACATGTTAGACGGCTCGTCAAGCAACAACAGATCAGGCTCGCAGAACAAGGCTCGCGCCAATGCCAAACGCATTCTCCATCCACCAGAGAATGTCTTTGTGGCAAACTGTTGACGCTCTGTTGAGAAACCAAGACCAGCAAGGATACTGGCCGCCCTGGGCTCTGCCTTGTCAGATTCCATCTCCGCAAGCTTGGAATGAACATCACTAAGGGTAGTATCTAGGCCCTCGCGCTGCTTGTCAAGCCTTTCAGCATCTGCAGAGGTGTCTGCCAAAGATGCGCGCTCTGCTTCCAATACGTTAAGTTCCTGGGTAATCTTCTCTTGTTCCCTCAGAAGATGCTTTCGCCAGACGTCTGCATCCAAGACGGCTTGGAGGGCAGGCGTGTCATCACCAGTAATCTGAAACAGTGTCAGACCACAAACCCTGCATAATAAGCACGGCGTAGACTTACTTCTTGCTCCACGTGGAGAATAGAGATATGCGTGGGAATCGAAACTTCACGCCGAGCAAGGGCTCGGAGCAATGTAGATTTGCCAATACCATTCTGTCCAACCAGACCATATCGTCGACCGTAAGCCAATGTCAAGGAAGCATCTGTGAGAATGCGTAGACCCGGCATAGAGACATCAAAGCTATCAATCTTGATGTCTTTGCTCTTGTTCGAGGAATCAGAGCCCAGCTGCAGAGGGTTAACAGCCATGTAGAAGTCTTCATAGCTCTGTGCTTCGTTGGGGATATCAAGCAGTTTGGACGCTTCGTATTCGACGTTTTTGAACTCTTTACGGTCTTGCTTGGCACGAAGTTTACGCTCGGCCTTCTCAAGCTTCTTTCGATCAACCCTGGACTCTACCTTACGGGTGTTGGCTGACTCAAGATCAACAGTGCCGCCAGACAGACCCAAGGTCGCAGACATGTTCTTTGAGGAGCCCACGTGGACGGCCTGATCTAACCTCTTCGCTGAGGGGGCCATCTGGCGGCGTTCGCCATCAGAGCCATTCGCCGCATTCAGACGTGAGACGAACTTGTCAACAAGATTCGTAATAGTTGTCTCATTGTCCTTTGACAAATTGCCAGAAGCAGAGAGAAGCAGGGCAGCGACAGTAGCGGCAGCCTCCTCGAGCGGGGAAGGGGCGTTAGGATCCGAGTCGGAAGAGAATGAATTGGCAGCATGGGTCAGGTACCCCACCGAGTACTCTGACAAGATGGGGTCGATGCTAGGGATCTGGCTTCTGATTTCAGCCTCCATGGCTGTTGGCTGGCGTAGAGATACGAAAGTCCTTGTCCCACAGGCGAGTGCCGTCTGAAGTCAAAATCCCAACGGAGGCGCTGGCAGGGTCGGGGGGACACAACAGCACGTCTCGCTTTGTTCAGTCTGATGCCGGTGTATTGGCGGAGCGGGACAGTGTTTCTGCGTCGATATTGGTGCCACCGCAGGTCGTCCAGCTCTTTGGCAGTCTGTGAAGAAAGCCAAAGTGGCGTTGGCGGTAAAATCAGCGGTGGCCAATCGCGGGGCAGGCGCAAAGAGCAACGTCAAACCGCGGCGCTCGCGTTTTTCGCGCGAAGCCCACCGGACCTGCACGACCACCTGGGCAGTCTGGGTCACGCCTCTGGCTGCTAGTCAATCGCCGGCCAGGATTTCCCGGCTGCGCGCATCCTCTGCCGCGTCTCTGTGTTTCCGCTGGACATCATTGATCGTAGCGTAACCTCATGCGGGCTCTGAGCCGCTCGCCCAAGCAGCCGGCCTCCAGAAAGAATGATACCTGCCGTCGCCGCTCCCCCAGAATGATTGACACAGCGCCGCCTCCACTGTTGATCAGAGCGGGCAGGCCTATGACGGCCAGGCCAAGCCTAATTCACAACGTCGTTCACGACGCACCTGTGCCCTTGAGCTGCGTTCATGGCTTTTCGAGCAACAGCCGGCCACTCTCGTCGTGACATGTGCCATGGGAAGCTTGCCTCCAGCTGTGATTTTGCTGGGCTGAGGCGTCGCCGCGTCCCGCCATACCCTCAATTCCTGGTATCCTTGCTTGGCTGTCCCGTTCTCTAGTTCCCCATCCTAGGGCTGACGTGCTCTCTGTTTTGGCTGCTGAGGCTGCTTCCGGGGTGCCCTGGGCTAAGTGTGTCATTGGCGAGCCTCTGCATGCCGAAACAGCGATACCCACGAGGAATCATGCATTCGTGCCTTGATGTTCTCCATCCACATTCCTTCGGCCGCCTCCAGCGTCACACCGTCACGCTGAGTCCAGCACCAACCCACCGTTTGCCGGAATGGTCTTGGATGAAGTGGCCTGGTGCGCCGTGGCGGAGGCAGCTAAGGCACCATCTACCGGATTGCCACACTACCAGTGCAAGCCTACAGAAACCGGCTGATATGTACGTACATGAGCGCCGCAACGATACGATCAGCAAACAATCTCCACTCGCTTGCAGGGAACTGCTGCCGGACGTGCAGGCGGGCGCTCGCGAATCACTGCGCAGCGTTACAAGTGCCTGGGATGCCATCGTGGGTCCCAAAATAGTTGGCTCTTAGCAGCGCGAGGGGTGTTCTCCTCCGTGGACTGGCTGGCCCGCTGTACCAGCGTCTGCACAGCGTCCCTGAGCGTCGTTGACGTTACTCGGCGCTATCGCTAGCTGTCTGCGCTCGCACGTCGTAGTACCGCGCGCGCTGTAGAACGGCGGATCACGGCCTGAGATGCACGCAGATGCAGCGTGGACGGGTTGAACGGCGCTGCTTCCAGTAGCGGAGCTATGGCAACATGGACGGTGCTCAGCGAGGCATGAGGTCTGTGTCGACTCCGTGTTGTTTCGACATGCCGCTACCAGCCCATTTCATCGGCGACATCTCGCTAATCCCCAAGCGCGCTGGGTAACCCTGTCCGTCGATCCAGAGCAACAAGCAAGCAAGCCAGCGGATTTCTTCAGCCCTCAGTCCGCTCTCCCTCGAAGCTCCACCTCTCTGCTTCAGGCCGCTGCCGGGAGCACTTGCCGTCCCCTCGTCGCTTTGTTCTGTGATGCCGTCCTGTTTCCTGGCGTCTAATTGAGCTCTCCATTCCTTCCCCCGTATACCCGCTGTGCATCTGCGATCCATGGTTCACTGAGGCTTGACGTGCCAGAATGCTCGCGTCGTCCCAAGTGCTTCGCCGAGCGATTCTTCCCCGGCGGTGCGGTTTCTAACGAGAATGAAAACGGTTCCAACGGTAAATATCCCGCCATCTCTTCCGTCTGCAAGGCGCCGATGTTGCGTCTGCATGGCGACATGCACCCTCACCTAAGGCCCTTGCTTGTTTTGATATGTCTCGACGCCTCGTCTGCTTCTGAGCACGGCTGCTTGCCTGTTTCGCGCAACTATCTTCTGCGTCCGAGTCGCACTGAAGGCAATGACTGACGCATCTTCGTCCACACAGCTTTGTGCTACTGCCACTGTCGTTGGTGCATCTGCCGTCGGCCTGTCTTTTGGACGCGGCTCCCCCCTCGACCCCTCGAACTCGAACAAGAGGAAAGCCACCCCAGCACAAGAGCTGGGACACGGCTCGATGCCTACCACTACCCAAACCTCCTCTGCGACAACGACCACGGTCGCCCCCTTCAGTACCCCTATACCGTTCGCCCCTACATCACGCATCCCAATCGCGACTCGGCCCCAGGATGGTCGTCCCCAGAGACGGCCAATGATGAGAAGCATGACGAGCAGCGACGCGCACACGCGACCGCCAAGTTCTGTGATCAATGGCTTTGCCGCCAGTGAACACGGCGCAAACGAGTCGGACGTCGGCACCCACGTGTCGTCGAGAAGGGCCTCGTGGGTGAAGCGCCTCTCGGCCATCTCAGTCTCGCAACACTCGAGTAAAAACCCCAGCCCTGCGCAATTGTCTCCGGCCGTGTCGTGCTCGAATGGTTCTGTAGCTTTGTCTCACGACGGCGCAACTGTGCCGATGACGGGCAGGCCCCAGCTACCACCAAACAAGCTCGTCAAACGGACCTCGTCAGCGCGTGCGCCGCGTGACATACAGTCTGCCCACGGTTCTGGTTCCGTTCGTCCCTCGTTTCGCCGCCCTGCAACCAGCCATCAACGGTCTGCGACCCTGCAGAACTTCCGCTCCTTGCTGCCGGTGACAAGAGAGTCGCCATCGCTGGACCTTAAGCCATCTTCGGCGAGCACTGATAGTGAGGCGGAGTACACGCATTTCTTCACCGCGACATCGTTTCGAGGCAGAAGACTGTCAAAGCGCTTCCAGTCCAACCCAACAAAGTTCAAGCGCATCTTTCCAGACGAGAAGCATCGACCTACGTTGGTTCTGGCAAGAGCGGTCACGGCTGCCGAGGAGCTGGAAGACACGGCAAGCGAAGCAGGTGAAAGCGTGTTTTACGTGAGCAGGCCAGGCACCCCACTGAGCTACACAGCGGCTGTCGCAGCACCCGCTCCGTACTTCACCGAGAACACACACACACGCCCCGATACTGCTGTGTCTTCTACTGCTGTTTCTGGGGATGCCTCGGGGCGCAGGCGCTCTTTCTCTCTTGCTGACCTCCTCCCCACTGGATTAAGTGCCAAGAAACAGCGGCTCGCCAAACAACCTGGTATGAAACTCACCCGTGGGTCAAGCCAGCGCATCCGATCTGATCCCGTAATACCAACGATGGGCAAGCGCTCCAATGCCGCGTCCGCCGATCTGCCAGCGCGACGCAATTTGACAGACCCGGCGCCTCCCAGACGTGACATTTTCGCGTCTCCCGAGTTAAGTGAACCCAACTTTAATCGCGATGGGGCGATTGGAGGCTCCCCAATGTCGCCAATGTCCGCGCTACCGCCGCTCCGTCGCGCGATGACAGTCCCTGGAAACAGGTTGGCGTCAATGCCTCAGCTAGAGGCTATTGCCTCAGCCGCGCCAGCCACCAATCAGACCCCACCATCGCCCTCGGCCTTAGCGCAAGCGGGCGTTCGCCCGTCGCGTCATTCCACGGCTCCCTCTGAACAAGCTTCAACATTGGTCGGCTCTTCCGATATTGAGGTTCGCGAAGACGACGCTGATCTTCGAAGCGAAACTCTTTATGATTCGCTGCGCACCGGCGCAACTAGGAGTGTGTCTGGCGGTGCTCGAGGACCTCGCATTGAGACCATATTTGACGAGTCTCCCCCTGCCAAGCTCAGAGTTACAGCCCTTCGCGACTTGCTACCCTCGGGTACCTTCAAAGACGACTTCACAAATGGTTCTTCTGACGAACGCAGCATTGCCCAGGACGATGAAAGCTTCGCGACTCCAGTGCGCACCACAGAACGACCAGAGCACCACCTTCAGGAAGCTGCCAGCTTTTCGCGACCGTCCAGCACATCTGCTTTTCCTAGCCTGATGCCAACGTCGCCCCCGAGCATGCCCAAGCCGCTGTCTCTTGGGACGCTCGAATGGGATTCTACAGTGGGCGACGACGACAGGAGTAGTAGGTGGTCACTAGATGAACAGGAAAGTGAAGACCCTTGGGTTGACCATCCACCAGTCAGCCACCTCGCAACACCAATCACCCTGCGGCGCTCCAACCCGCGCTTCCTTGCTTCGCTTCCAAACTCGAAGCCATCGACTCCACAACTCGCCGCGCATGATCACATCGATCGCGATGCTCGCAGCAGCATTTTCGATTGGTCCGAACAGCAGCCTGCCGATAAGAGTTCGGGCAATCGTACACCGCCACGTCCTCGAACCGTTCACGGCAAGAAGGATGCGAATCGAAGAGACAGTCGATCAGTTGGTAGGCGTGTTCCAAGCGGGTTGCATGCACGTAGCCAGAGTGTGCCTGTGGTTCCAGATGTGGTAGGTAAGCGTAACACGGTTGTCACGAACAAGTTTGGCACCTGGGGTATTGGCAGCAAAGGTGTCACAGAAGACTGGAACGACGACTTTGATTTCTCCGAACTCCCCGAGGAACCCACCCCCAAGACCGTAGCCGGATCGCAACGCATCGACAGCGGTTCAGCCATGGTTGTGCCTAAGAGCATACAAGAGCAGCAGAACAACGTGCTGGCAAATATCAGTCTCTTGCGCGAATGGGGCCTTCTCATCGAAGAACTCAAGGAGCACAGAATTCGTGCTATTTCGCTTGGTATTGTCGAAGGGCCGCACATTGGAGTGTGGGAGGAGGTCGATGCTATGATTGATCTTGCTGATCAAGAAGCGGAACCCGAAGAGTTGCCGGCATCTCCCCCTTCCTCGCCAGAGTTCGACGATGATGGCTTCGACGAGATTTCTACAAGTCCAAACGTGAGTCGCGGAAGGCGCAAATCGGGGTCACCGAACGACGAACTCAGCAAGCCACAAACCGTGCGCCCCAGGAAATCCATCCTACCGCCAAACGACCGAATCTTTGGGCCCCACACTTCTCCGGTACCACCGAAGCCGAAATACGAAGCGCCAGCCACACCTGAATCAAGACCTATTGTTACGCGCCCTCGCAAAGACTCGGAGGCCAAAGCACGTTCGGTCATCGAAGCACTGCAGTCCAGGAAAGGTGTTTTCGAATCTCCCGCAAATGCACCTCCTACACCGTCGCCCAAGAAAGTACCCTTCGACACCGCGACACTGCGACGCATTGTTCCCTATGTCAGCACACTGACACGCAAAGTCAAGGATAGTATCAGGGATGCAGAGGGTCTCTATTACAGTCCAAACACAAGCCCACACCACGAAGAGCCTCCGTTTGCTATGAGCCCTTTCCAACAAGACGCGGAGCTCGCATCGCACATGAAACTAATGACAGTAATGTAAAGTCACAGTCTTCGATGATGTTACGGTTTTACGAGCATACTGGCTATACGCCCAGCACCGCTTGATAAACGACGGACCTAGATCGCAAATCACGATCAGCGATACCGTTCATGCGGAAGCAAAAGATTTCTTCCAGATATTTTCCACCTTTGGATCAGAGCGTTCGAGCGATTTCGAATCCACCATGGATTCAACACCTGTAATTTTTATGTCACTATTGGCTACAGACTCCTGGCCAGCGTTTTGCATTTGGAGCGAAGCCGCATATTCCCTATTTCTCTTTTGCATAGGATGCAGCATATCCTGGGATACACAAGGACGAAGAGCACGGAGCGCTTGTGAATCAAGAGTATGGTCGGCATTTTGAGTGAAGCAGATCTTCTTGCTGGTCACACGGGAGCATATTAACAGGGCTTCAGCAGGATTGGCCCGGGGAAACCTTGCTGCGCATCTCGCGAGCAGCTTTATTCTGCCCTCACGGAGTTTGAAGGATCATGTACAAAAGCGGACTGGGTTTCTGTTTCTGTCTTGCTCTTCTCAAGTTGGGTTGAATCACCGCAAGTGCCTCGGAATCTGTATCGATATTCGACGGCCGACATCTGTCTTGCAAAACCTGAATACACAACATTAAACATGTCTTACCCGCTATCCCTTGGCTTTCTCGTGATAATCCTAGGTAGTCTCCGCACTGACACGGCCGGAGCAGGAAGGCAAGGATTCCTGCGACAGACCACACCTACTACTATTAACCGTGCACATATAGTAATGCACACGTCAGAATTGCGTGAATCTGTGACTGGCTGAACTCGAAGCCGATTAACTCAGAATAAGCAAGGCCATCCACGTCTCCACTCAGTACATTTCAACAGTTCTTAGTGACTCTCGCTGGCTTCAATCAGCTGTGTCAATCCTCGTGCTTGCTATCTTACCATGCGCTAGCTGTGGCGTTGACGGCATCTGCTAGATCTGCTAGCCTAAAGCCATCAGATCATTTGTCTGGCACCGGCGCGCAAAGGTACCATAGAGTAAGCGACTGGTCGACTCTAGCTTATCGTGAGATCCCAAATGCACAAAAGTAAACCATGGATCACCTTTGCCGTAATTTCCGCGATATGAAAGCGGTCGCGATCTCACGTTAACGAGCAAGGTTGCTGTTTGTTTTGCGATCCTGGCGGCAATAAACAAATGACCTTTCCCAGCCACATTGCCGACGCTACCTCGCGCCGGCTCTTTTCGCTGCAAACTACTCCCCACTTGCATATACCTGTTTCCACAGATCCCACCTTGATTCTTAGTTCTCGGTTGTCCGTTATGGGAATTTGAAGCTCGTTTGCGGCCTGGCAGCTTCGCCTCTCGGCGGATAGTTACTATCCGTTGAAAGAGACCCCGCAACCCTCCCGTCCCTCGGTCTCGGCACGTCACCGAGCGGCGGGCGCGCCAGTCATAACGAACAAGTCATGTAGACCATGAGACCAGTGACTCCCGCCCCGTCGTCTATGTGCTACATGCCTCTGTCTCAGCTGTAAAGGATTGACAAGCCCGCTGACCCATATTGTCACCTTCTACATGATGACGTTCGGCCGTCTTGGAAGCCAAGCAGCTAGGTACCTACCGCACTGGGAATGGATGCCAGGACGAAATCTATAGCACTCAGGAATTGCCACTGAGGGGTACAAATCGGTTGCATTCCTTTCAAATATCAAACGATCTGACTGCCTTTGACAAATGACCTCTCATTGTCTGACTCTCAGCGACCGAACGATCTGACCCGTTCCGTGGGCCGTACCTGCATAGTCCCACTTCGTACCCCGTCGCCTCTCACGTCAGCCTTACTGTCCCGCTCCTAGATCGTACCTCAATTCTGCAAGATGGCATTGAGGCGTCTAGCAACCCTGTTTTCGGTCGCCTACACCGCCAGTGCGCAGTCTACTGCACCCAGTGCCTGCTCGAGCACTATTGCTCCACAGAATGCGGCTCCCTCAGTGGCGCCAGGATTCCGTGTCGAGGTCGTCGCTAACAATCTGCGCCGCCCCCGGAGTATCCACTTTGATTCGGAAGGTGGTTTGTTGGTGGTAGAGCAAAGCCAAGGAATCAAGAGAATCAGATTGACTGGCGATGGGAGTTGTGTCCGGCAAGACGGCGAGGCTCAGAACGTGACTGTCAACACGAATGTGAGTTTAGATCTGCTTGCCCGTACAAGTCTTGTCACATGCAAGGGATTGACGATTGTCAGCTGAACCATGGCCTCGCTCTTTCCGAAGACGGCCAAACGCTCTACGCATCGTCGCGAAGTGCTGTCTTCGCATGGGACTATGATGCCGCTCAAGGCCAAACGACATCTGATTCTCGCGAAGTCATAGGTGACTTTGGACCTACAGATGGTCACGTGTCGCGCACACTTATGATGAGCCAAAAAGTCCCTGGCATGCTGCTGGTTAGTAGAGGTAGTGGACCCAACGTTGATCTTCGTGCTCTTGACAAGTCCACGGCAATCTCCACAATCAAAGCTTTCAACGTTACCAACGCCACCTCGGAAAGCTACAGCTACATCAACGACGGCCTGCTGCTTGGATGGGGCCTCAGAAACAGCGTTGGTGTTGGCGAGGAGCCAGTGAACGGCGGCATTTATTCAGTCGAGAACAGCGTCGACAATTTCCAGCGAGGTGATGTACTAATCAACGAAAACAATCCTGGAGAAGAGATGAACTTCCATGGGTATCTTAATGGAACCCAGTACGCGCTGCAAGGTAGTAACTACGGCTACCCAACGTGCTACGCAGCTTGGAATGTATCTGAGATTCCAGATAACGAAGGTATCAGTGTCGGTTCACAATTTGCCATTGGCAATCAGAATGAAACCGTCAATGACGAGAACTGTCGGGGCGAGCACACCGCTCCGGCGGTGACCTTCCAGGCTCACATGGCTCCTCTCGACATCAAGTTCAACACTAATGGTACTGGTGCGTGGGTAACATTCCACGGATCATGGTGAGCTTCCATCTGTGACATGTGCAAGACTATCACTGATTTTTTAGGAATCGCGAGAACCCCATCGGCTACAAAGTCAGCTTTATTGAGTTCGACGGCAATGGTTCGCCGACTGCAGGACCAAATAGCACTACTGCAGCAATTGACATCGTCTCCAACCCGGATCTGTCGCAGTGCGCCAGCAACTGTTTCCGCCCTGCAGGTTTGGCTTGGGATAGTCAAGGACGCTTGTTCTTCACCAGCGATGCGACTGGAGAAATATATGTCATCACCAGAGAAGATGGTAGTGGTGTCAACAGCGTCGGCCAGGTAGGTACCCAAACCAACAATACGAACCCGGCCACTGAAACTTCGGCAGCTGCGTCAGTAAACAGCTGCCAAGACGCAGGTCTGTTCATTGTCAGCGCTTTAGCTTTGATTTTGGCGCTGTAGTTGCTCTTCAGTACGCGTGCAAAGACTGCCACAAAAAGCATCTCAGCTTCGGACGCGATTATATTCGTAGGTGCGATTCATTAGTTCATGTCACGTTCGCTCCGCGAATTAATTGTTTCATATCTGTCCACAGGAAGGTACAAACGCGCGTGACGAAGGTGCAGCACGTTGTGGGAGTTGCCCGTTTGCACTGGATTAGCCAATCTCTCCTTCGTTACTGCACACTCCTTGAACGCTAGCCAGATTACAACACTTTGGTTCTTGACCTTACACACTCTGTGCTGTCGTTTCGCATTTCTCCGCCTTACAGCTGCGATCAGCGCTGCCCCAGCTGAGACTTGCAGACATCAATTAATGCCTTCCACCTTGAACCCTCGTATACTCAGGTTAAGGACCCTGTTGGGACACTGCGCTTCCTGAACCCAGCTTTAGTCAAAGCAACCAACCGCTGCTTCACTTTACCTCCGTGTCTCACACCTCAGAAACCGACCCGCCATCAATCGCCTTCACTCTCATTAGTGAGCGCGGGGGCCACCACCTTCACCGACAACGTGCTTGAGAGAGAGAGAATCTTACCCTTAACTTGACCCCACCACTCAGACTGGCGCTCCTTTTGTTGACCAACTCGCTCGTGCACTAGACCTCGCCCTGAATAGTTACTACATACAGAATACAACATGTCTCTATGCGCACGGTCTTCGAGCACAGCGTTCAACAGGCTCCCAATCGAGGTGAGCAATCATCGCCCGTCGTACCTCTTGGACATACTGACTTTCAATAGCTCAACAAGGCCATAGCTCAATATCTAGATACAGACAAGGATATTGTATCCTTCCGCTTAGTCTGCCGGGGCACCAACGATGCTATCGATGCCGACTATGGTTCTTTCTGGCGCTACATGTTCCGCGAGAAGTATGCCTTTAAAGAGGGTCCGACCAACAAGGAGTTGAGGAGAGCGTACCAGCGGCGCAGCAAGATGCTTCGACGAGGCACGGGCTACGATTTCTTTCGAGGATACAAGAAGCGTGAGCAGGATGTCATCGAGGTGCTCAGGGATCTGATAGTTGGTAAGCATCTCTTTGTTCGGTGCAATGCGATACATAGCACTCCATCGCTCCCATCAGAATATCCCGAGTGGTAAGAACTGACCTTGTATCCTACAGAATCCTTCCAGGGTCTCGTTGATGAGGATGGGTATGGTCGACCTCGATGCAAGAACCAGGATCGCCTGCTGGGGTTCATCTTGAACTCCAAGATACTCCTAAACGACCGCCGCGCACCAGATGTACGAACGAGATCGGAGACGCTCGAAAAGAAGGAGATCAACCCTATGCTTGCTGCTGTCAAGATCATGTGCTCTTCTCTCTTGTTCGGATACGAAGGCCTTAAGTACCACGTGTTCGCTATCGAACAACTGCAGCGCGCTGCATACGCCGCGACAAACAAAGCCCCCATATACGAAGGCCTAAACCAAACCGAGATCAACATGGAATGGGTCATGAAATGTCTCGACTTCTTCCGCTATCACATGATGAACACGGAGACGGTGACTCTGGGCGATGCTATGGAGGATCTGTCTGTTTTGCAGAAGCCAACAGCCTGGCAACAGTCACTGAAGAACGGTACTGTTCCACTTAGCAGACACTGGAAGGGCACATACTCGTTCCTGGATCCTAATGAACAGCGCAAGCTTCGATGTCTGTCTGATGACGACGACAGTGACGTGTACTTCAGCGACAAGAATATCGACGAGGGCAAAATTCAGGTACGTCGAGGTCGATGTACTTCATCCAGTCACGGTTCACTGACATGGCTAGTCTCTCGAGCTCAACTTCGATCCAGAACGCCAACTAAAGTGGCCGAAATTGTTCGAAGAACGCCTGAACTCACTGCGCGGGGCTAATGAGTCGGACCTCCCCTCCAAAATACAAGGCCGCAGCAAGCCAAAGAACCTCTCAAAGACCAATCTGCAGTTCACGGGTACCGGTATGGATCTTGAAGATGATTTCCAGGCCATAGGATGGCTCAACGCCCTGCCAGATCAGTGTGGCATACCAGGTTGGCAACGTATCACGTTCATGAAGCACTTCGCCGAAGATCTTGACGACGTCGACTCTGACAACCTCTGGGCTTATGAGGGCGTTGTTCTGCCGGGAGGTCGCATCATCGTTGGCCGTTGGTGGTTTGCATCGGAGGCGGTCGATTTCAACGTAAGTGCCAACCTCATGTGTCTGGTTTAAGAAGATGCACTACTGATTCTCCCAGCGCGATTATAACGGGCCCTTCATCTTATGGGCTTCCGAGCCTGATGAGTTCGACAGCACTTTCGGCAGCGACTCAAACGAGTAGGAGGACAATTTGGCGCTTTGAATATCGAAGAACGCTCATTGCAAACATCTATCATGGCATATCAGCATTTGAGTCATTGACACTTGACAGTCACACATGCTTGGAGTTTTGACATCTCACGTAGCTTATTCCGACCCATGGATCGAACACATAGCACATTTGATTATCTCAAAATGCGGGAGCCCGTACATAGTCATACAATCATTTCCAATATATCCAAAAGTTTTACTCGTGCGAGCTTCTACATAAGGTACTTCGTCCTCTCTTCGCTCTCTCTGATCCACTGATCCAGCTTCTTACGATCCCTTGGCTTGAAGCCGACCTTGAAGTACTTTGGCTCCATAGTCAGACTCGTAGGGAGGTCGTTTGCATCCAAGCAATCCATGATCGCCTCATCCCTCGGATCTTTGGGCGGTGTAAACTCAAACGCACTTATAAGCCTCACAAACGCCGTGAACAGCTCCCGATTTGCCAGGTGACTGCCCACACACATTCGACTTCCAGCACCATACCCGTAGTGCGGTGTCCCCGCACCATCCGGCACGTTCAAGTAGCGCTCCGGATCGAACACACCCGGGTCCTTGAAGTGCTCCGCATCGTAGTCGGCAGCGTACGCATTCATGTAGAACGTGGTGCCCGGCGGAATCACCACGCCGTTCCACTCAATCGGCTTGATCGACACGCGCGGCAGGCAGATGGGGATGACGGTCCAGTAGCGCAGGATTTCCTTGTACAGCGCGGTGATGTACGGGATCTTCTCTTCGTGCAGGCACTGCGTCCACGCGTCGCCGGAGGGGTACGCGGACATGATTTCGGCGTGGGCGCGCGCTTGGATCTTTTGGCCTGCGGGGGTCGCGAGGTAGGCGATGCCCATTATTAGGTTGCCGGGGACGGTGTCTAGGCCTGCGGAGACCATGGTCAGGCAGATTGATTTTATTTCGGCTGCATGGGGTTAGTGGTCGGAGGGGGAGGGAGGGAGGAGGAGGGAAGGGAACGTACCTCTGTTGAGCTTCGCCTCGGGATCTTTGATGATGTTGCCGGTGATGCAGGGCTTGTCTGTGCCTTTCTCGATCTTGTCCTCCAGCGTGGCGAGTAGCCGGTCCATGTACACATCGCGCCTATTCTTGAACTTGATAGCCTCGTTGCTCTGGCTGGGGAACAGGCGGAGCAGCGGGACGTAGTCTTGCCAGTTGTTGCTTGTGGAGCGGAAGTTGCCCACCCCGCGCTCGACGTCAACAATCTCCTTCAGCAGCGGCGCATCTTTGTTGCCGTCAATGCGGTAGCCGTAGTTCAGGGTCAGTGAGGTGTTGAGGGCGTAACGTTGCCAGTATGCGCGGGGGTCGAGGTCGATTTCACCGCCCTTGCTGTCGGAGAGAAGTTCCTTGATCGAGACAGTGGATTCGAGGTCGATGAGTGGCATATAAGATTGCACAGCAGGCCGGTTGAGGGCGGTGGCAGCGGCTTTGCGGCGGTTCTTGCACGACTCGTCCCAAGGGGATGTGCCGATGGTGAATCCCTGGGATGAGGAGACGACTTTGTGGAAAGTGTGCAACATGGGACGCGAGATGAGAGCAGATTGGTTTGTGATCCAGAGATGTCGGACAGAGTCGAAGGAATTAGCGAAGACGATTCTCTGTGGAACATGTGAGCTTGCAGTTCTTCCAAAGGGATACAAAGGTCCTCACCTTATTGCCCATTCGAACCTGGAACACTGGCCCGTACTTCTTTGCCCATCCTTGTGCTACTTTTGCGTGGTTCGTCCCAAGCTCGTACAAGCTACCGAACACAGGTAGGCCAGGCACTTCAGGCAGACCTTTGATGTGTGGTGTGTCGGTCCCATACATAAACCTGTACAGGAATATACCGACAACAACAGCACCAGCGACGTAGATAGGAATCGACATGTTGCTGACTGCCCGAACTGTCGACTGCAAAGATGAATTCTGGGAGGACAAGCTGTAGAGGAGGCAGCCACACTTATACCGACACTCGTCCTCGCTTCGCGATCCAACGTGGTTCACTCAAGAATCAAGGCCTAACCACATTCTAAACGCCTGTCTCAGCGGGAATGCGCGCCGCATCACTGGATGCACGATCCGACGTAGTTACCGCATGCTGCACGCAGTAAAGTGGGGCGTTAGCGCGGTGTCGTCAAAGTAGCAGTCGTTAAAAGACGGGTCTGCGGAATTGGCCCGCTAGTGTCGCTGCACATTTGGAGATGCGATACCTAGCGCGGTGCGGGGGACCAGCGCTGTGGGGGGTGAATCAAATAGTGTAGGCTAGCTGTGTCGGCAAGGCCATCACTTCAAGCATCACACGGAGATTTGTATTGGATGTCGACTCAACGGCTGATAGAGTCGGGCTCCACAATGTATGTCAGAACAATGCATGTTTCGTACGCTGTGGAATCCAGACCTGTGCATGGCGGAACACTTCCTCCCCATGGTGGACCAGGCTCTTGAAGCAGTCGTTGATTCGTTGATTCGTGTGTTCTATGTTTCGGTGTATGATGTGCCGAGATATTAAGGCGATAAAAACTCTGGTAGTACTTACCTATTTCCATAGCCTCCTATCATTGGCGTGACTGACTGCACGTTAGTAAAAGCCGCCAAGTACGAGCCGCCAAGTACGAACTGCGACACAGGTACTTACTCACTAAAGAGTGTCGGGTTCGTAGCGTGCCTCAAGTCGCTGCTTGAAACTTCCAATTTGCTTCCATGGTGCGGTGTTAACTTGGGGTGAATAGAATCAAGTCACCTGGTATGATTCACATATCAGAATCTAAGTTCGTGCAGTGTTCACCGATCAATCCGTCTATGCTTTTCGTGAAATATCTCAGTCGAACTTGAGCTCTAGGGCAGGCTCGATCTTCCCTACACATTCACCAAACCCTACCAATGCTTCCTCATCTTGACCGCAGACACCCTTGATGGTAATCTCATCACCGTCCTCCAAGAATGTCCTCATCTCTCCACCGCTTAGTCTGATAGGTTCCTTGCCGTTCTGGCTCTGTTCTATGAAGCTTCCATATTCAGCTGGAGAGTCCCCGCTTATGGTTCCAGAGCCGAGCAGATCACCAGGTTGGAAAGGGCAACCGGTAATTGTGTGGTGTGCAAGCATCTGAGGGAATGACCACAGGAGGTTTCGTGCGTTGACTTTCGATATTGTCGTGTTTTGACCGGATGACGCTGAACATGTTTAGTAACTATAAGGCGAAGGGGAAAGTATTGAACTTACTCTTTACGTCTACCTGGAGATTGATATCGTATACAGATTTCTCGTCCTTCTCTTTGAGGTATGGCAACACGTCGGCATCGTTTTCTAGACCCTTAACCTTGAAAGGTGCCAGTGCATCTGCGAGAACAACCCATGTACTGATAGTTGTGCCAAAGTTCTTTGCGTTGAATGGTCCAAGCGGCACGTACTCCCAAGCCTGGATGTCTCTCGCTGACCAGTCATTCATCAGGACGACACCGAATAGATTGTCGGCGGCCTTGTCAACCGATATCGGCGTTCCTTGTTCGTTGGAGCCGCATACGAATGCGCCCAACTCCAGCTCAATATCGAGTTTCTTGCATGGTGAGAAAGTTGGTTCTTTCTTCTCAGCGGCCGGGTTGAGAAGGATTTGGCCGTTGGGTCGTCGAATCGGTGTTCCTGAGGGCACGATTGACGACGCTCGCCCATGGTAGCCAACAGGAAGGTGCTTGTAGTTGGGCTGCAGCGCGTTCTGTGGCCCACGAAAGATAACTCCGCAATTGTAGGCGTGGTTCATGCCGGCGAAAAAGTCGGTGTAGTCACCAATCTTGAAGGGCAAGTGCTTCTTCACATCATGCAACGGAATCAAGACTCGCTTCTGCAACGACTCATTGTTCTTCAGCACATCTGGGAACTCAGTGTTCTCGGTGAACACACTTTGGATGTACTTGCGCACAACGGAGTGTATGGGCCGTCCGAGCGCAGCAAAGGCGTTTAGTGACGGCTGTGAAAAAACAGCCTGGTGTGGTTGTATCGTAGACAATCCTGAGAAGCCATTGTCCGCCGCAAAAGCCTCCAGGTCTAATGCGTGGTCGCCAATTGCAACAGCCACTCGCGGCGTCGTCGAAGAAGTCGTGGAGATGATGCCAAAAGGAATGTTCGCTAGTGAAAAGTGAGATCCTCGAGGTATGCTAAACCACGATCGCAGGGAGGTCATGTTGGGCGATGGTTTGATTGCTGCTGCTTGCTCTGAGGGCCTGATATTGCCGCACCTTGTAGAATCGCGGGATGCAAAGCTCGTCAAGAACAAAGGTGGTGTGATGCTGACTTGATAAGATCGCGATATTCTCCAGTTCCGAGCAAGTGCTCGAGAATCAGCAAACTCGGAAACCGCGTTCCGATCGCGTCGCTGCCCGCCATGTCGTGATTGCAGAAACGTGACGGCTACTCATGGCGAGGATGACGACGGAGTGCGGCCTCTATTCCGCAAGAAAGCGGATGCAGGCGCAGACTGTGGGGTAAGCCGAAGACTATACCACTTTGGGAGGGCAGGAGCTCCCCGCCGTCGCTCAGGCCCCGAGCACCGAACCCAACGACGGAATTTCAAGCCGCCCATTACCGCACTGCTAAGCAGTAATGTCCAGACAGGTCTTGTCACATGCCGTGTTTCCCTTGGACTTCTCCGGGTCATTCCAGGAGCTTGCTGCATATATTCGAGCGTACGACGTTCAGAATTGCCTTTTGTCTTTGATCGATACCGGTCTACAGAAATTAATACCCAGCTGTTCCTGGTACTGATTCGGCTCACTAACCGTTACCATGCCCTCGACACAATTCAGCTTCAAGGAAAAGTACAGATACCAAAATGGATTTGCTTCCTACCATGAGTACGCTACACTGACATGATGTGACCATACATCGCTCACAAAGTATTAGGACAGAAGCAGTAGAGGGTGCATTGCCAATTGCCGCCAACTCACCACAGAAGCCTCCCCTTGGTCTCTATGCAGAGAAGCTTTCCGGAACAGCATTCACAGCCCCACGACACAAGAACCAGCAATCATGGCTCTACCGCATACTACCCTCCTGCGGCCACAGCAACTTTGAGGCGCGAGAATCAAGTACATTCAACACAAACCCCGAGAACAAGCCCTGGGAGAAGATTCATTTCATCCCGAATCAGCTGAGATGGGACCCCTTCGACCTTGATGAGACAGTAGACTGGGTGCACTCGCTGCACCTCGTTGCTGGCGCTGGAGATCCCACTATGAAGACTGGTGTTGGTTATTTCATCTACGCAGCGGGCAAGGATATGGCAGCGAACGAAGCCTTCTACTCCGCAGACGGCGACTTCCTCATCGTCCCGCAGCACGGCGCGCTCGACATCCAGACCGAGCTGGGCCGCATCCTGGTCCGCCCCAACGAGATCTGCGTGATCCCTCGCGGCATCAGATACCGGGTCACCCTCCCCGAAGGACCCGTCCGAGGCTATATCCTCGAGCTGTACGAGGGTCACTTTGAGCTGCCCGAACTGGGCCCCATCGGATCCAACTGCCTGGCCAACGCACGCGACTTTCAAGCACCCGTCGCCGACTTCGATGAGGACACAAGTAGCTCATGGACCATCCTCGCCAAATTTGCTGGCCACCTATACGCCGCAAAACAGGACCACACACCCTTTGATGTCGTTGCCTGGCACGGCCTATACTATCCGTACAAGTACGACCTGGGCCGCTTCAACACAATAGGCAGCGTGTCCTTCGACCACCCCGACCCGTCCATCTACACCGTCCTGACATGCCAAAGTGCATCCCCAGGGACAGCAATCGCCGATTTCGTCATCTTCCCGCCGCGCTGGCTCGTCGCCGAAGACACCTTCCGCCCGCCATGGTACCACCGCAACACCATGTCCGAATTCATGGGTCTGATCCACGGCCAATACGACGCCAAAACAGGCGGCGGCTTCCAGCCCGCCGGCGCCTCGCTGCACAACGTGATGAGCGGCCACGGCCCCGACGCGGCCACCCACGAGAAGGCGTCGAATGCGCCGCTGGCGCCCCACAAGGTCGGCGAGGGCAGCATGGCGTTCATGTTCGAGAGCTGCCTGATGATCGGCGTCACCGACTGGGGGCTGCAGAAGTGCCAGAAGGTGCAAGAGGACTACAACGCCGAGAGCTGGGAGCCGCTGAAGCCGCACTTCAGGCTCAAGCCCGGGCAGAAGATTAGTAATGGGGTGAGCGCTGTGGCGGGCGCGGCGGAGGGCGATACGGCCCAGGTGCCGCACTATACGTGATGGGTGGGAGGGTGGTATGCAAATAACATATTCACACCATGCCCGGCATATAATTATTTGATATCTGCTAAAAAAATGGAACTTATGGACTCTTCTCCACCGCTCCTGTGTCGCATGTGCGGCGCACGCGTAATCGCTCTGTGACAGTCTGACCATCGCTCCAGCGCAGTTATAACATGGGCACATAACACGCGCTCACGCACTAGTGAAACAGTGCATGCACGAAACCAAAAACCAGGACCCCTCACCCCTCACAGCCACAGTCACGATCACAGCTCACAGCGCAAGACCAGTAGAACAGGAGCATTGGGGTTTTCATAATTAAATTACTGCCGCGGCGGCGCATCAAGCGCGCCGCAGTCTCGTATCTGGGGTATCTGCGGACATCAGGACCCGTTCCACTCTGCCTCCTACTTCGACAAACGCTCTGGAAAAACATCTACAGAAAGGAAAAGGTCTCGGGGGGCGACAGCGGGCGGGGCGCACATTAACTTGGCGCGTGTGCGACCGCGACACGCTTCGTTGTCTTTGTCTTTGTTTCTGCGGGGTTTGAAGGAAGGGCGTCTATGAGGGCTGGATGACGGAGGGGCCGGCCAGGACTTGGTCGTCGGCGATGGACTCGGTCTTGGTGATCATCATGTAGACTTCGCCCTGGAGGTTCTGGGGGACCATGCAGTTGCCGTTCTCGATCTTGGAGAACTGATTGCCGCCGCTGTGATGTGTTAGTTTTGATGTTATGAGTTGAAGTGATAATGGAGTGACTTACGGAGCGACGAAGGCGCAGAAGGAGGCACCGGCCGGGCTTGCGGGGTCGGCGAGCTTCAGGTTCTGTCCAACGGTGGCCTTCTCGGGGTTCTGGAGCGCGATGGCGGGGAAGGCCTGGATGTTCAGGTTGGAGCCCTGGGGGCACGACTTGATGAATTGCGCGGCCAGAGTGAAGACAGCGCGGGGCTGGAGGGCGGTGTCGAAGGCAGCGGGAACGGGCTCAGCGCCGGAGGCAACACGGATGAAAGCCTGGTGACGGGCCTCGACAGTGACGATGGAGGCGGCGGCGGCGAGAACGTTGGACGAGTTGACCATGGGGGCGGCGCCGAGGTAGGCGGAGACACCGACGGCCTCGAGCACACGCGCGGTCTTGACCATGGAGTCGGCACTTGCGAGAGCGGCATCGAAGTTGTAGTCGCAGGGCTCGACGGGCTTAGCACCGGCGCCGGTAATGGCAGACATCAGTGTGGTAACGTGGATAGCCTCAGTCTGACCAACACCCATGAGGGACTTGATCTGGCCGTCGTTGAGACCAAGAGCCTTGAAGTCGCTCATCGGGAACTTCGCGAAACCCTGCTTGTAGAATGTCGACTCGAGGTGCTCAGCTGTCAAAGCACTAAACGGTCAGCTCTTGCATTTCAAACATTGCACATTTGCACTTACAACTGGAGGATGTCAACATCGCTCAGAGTGGCCTTCGCTGCTGGCGCAGCCGATGTTGTCGACGCCGAAGCAGAAGCAGCGGGTGAAGACGAGGCCTGGCGAGCGACGATAGGAGCAGGAGCGGCAGCCACGAGAGGCGCCAGGGCGAAGAGGCCCTTGAGGATTGTTGATACGCTCGGCATATTGGCTAATTAAGTAGTCGTTGTCGTTGAGGGGATGATTTCGTAAGGATTGACGGCCAGCAAAGTCTCGCTTTGAATTCGAATATTAAGTATATCTCTAAAGTCCAGCCAGGGACGAGGTAGAAGAAGACCGTAAGGAATGTCGTGAAGTATTAGGTACAGAGTTATGGAAGGAAGCCTTGCAGTTGATGTCCAACAGAAACGTTCGGTATAAACAGAGATGGGCAGCGAATGACCCTTATACACGACTCCGCAGCTCCTAGGAAACCTGAGACACCATGGTAATTCGGAGGACGGATGCAAGGCTCGAGGCAGAGGGGCGGACTGAGCGATCCCGTCCACAGGTTGGAGCAACTTACCGGATCCGTAACCATCAAGCTTTCAGCCTTGGCCCGTCGACCCATCGATCGCCAGGGAACTGCTTGCTCGCAGTGTAGCAACCGCTGAATTTTTCCGCATGGCTGCGTTGGGGCTGGTGTTGGACGCGTGAGGTGTTGCAAGTCTGGGGCCTGCGACGCGAAGTTGTCGCGATGAAACTGTACAAGTACCAACATCACACACTTGGCTGCACGGAGGCGATAGAGCCGCCCAAGACTGGTTCTGGATGCAGCTAGCAGTGCATAGCCATCAGCGGCGGCGAGTAACCCATCCGATGGGGTTCATGTGTGGCTCACCAGCGATTACATGAGGCACTCAATCTTTCGACGACGACGCGATTCGTGCTGCGTCAGTGATAACGCCCTTGAAACGCGTTTCAAAACGTGCTTTCGACACATTTTAAAGACTCGAGGATTTCAGAAAACAACTTGCGCACTCAAAGCGATCGATATGTGCGGACTGTGATGCTGTGCGAAAGCTGCTGAAGAGGCGAAGTTGGTGGAGAAGGATGGCTGAGCGCCGCGCGCATGGCCAAAACACCACAAGACGACTGCCAAGCATTAGTGACGACCCTGTCATAACGGCGTTCACGCCTCAGGCAATGCCTTCGTCGGAAGAAACGATTGCCAGCACAAGCTTTACGGGTAAAAATTAGCAAGGATCTCCGTTCCCAAAGAGTTGCATCAGTTCGGGCAAGTTCCACCAATTCTATCAACGTGAGGCGCAGATGCCGGCAGTGTCAAACCCAGCAGCCAAATGTGGCACTCGCCCTACATAGGATGTCAAAGATCCCGGAGGCTGCAGAATATCCGCGTCGTTTCACTTCAGTAAGGCCATTGGACTGTCAGCTATCAAACACCTCTATCACGGTCCGTAAGGTGTCAGCCTGTGTGGTGTTTACTGATACATACTGCACCATCATATTCGACTCTATACACGGCGCGATCAAACAATACATTAACACAATACTAAGATAGCCGACTAGTCCTACTGTATGTATTCCGTGATCCGGTCGTGTACCCCATACACATGAACAATACACATTCGTCATCCATCTGATTTTGCACCAACACAACTTAAAATATATCCACGCTATGCAAATTCCCTTCAAGCAGTGTTGACAGCAATGCGAGGCTGCCTTAGCAATACAGTGGCATTCACGCTGCCGACGAAGCTACCATACAGGCGTTCTCCCAAGTATCGATGGAGTCGTGGACTTGCGCTTACAAAGCGTACGGGTTCAGCGAGCGGATAGTCAAGCAACTACAGGTAATGTTAGTAAAGTGTAATACGTGAAAGACGGTATGCAACTTACGGAGGACTCTTGGTCAGATCCGTCTTAAGGATTACAGGCACGCGTGCCATCTCCCGCACATCCTGGATGTAGTCGCCGTTCTCCTCACGTAGGGCGAACCAGCTGAGGTACTTCTCCTTGTTCGACAGCTTGGCCTCGGGCGCCTCGCTGGCGCTCTTGGACAGCTTCGAGTCCGAGTTCGTACGCTGCGGAGCTTGGCCAGAAAGCCCCCTGGTCGGCGAGGGAGGCATGCTTTGGGTCGGTCGATCAGCACCAGTTGGGTTCAACGACACGCCGGCCATGGTGGAGTTCAGATCGCTCGAGTCATCGTCGTCATCATCGAACAGAGCGTCAACTTCGTTAGTCGACATGGTTCCTGTGTCCATCTGGCGGCGCTGGGCCTCTTCCTGTTCCTTGGCACGCTGCTTAGCCGCCTCAGCGTGACGCGCAGCAGCCGCGGCGTTGGACGCCCGGATAGAACCGTGCTTCGGCCGCTCATCCTCGGGGACGAAAGCAGAAGAGGGAACACCCTTCTCCCAGTAAAGCTCCAGGAGACGCTTGTTCTTATCGAACTCTGCCTTCTTGAGAGGAAGCTGATCACAGTGGACTCGCTTCTCAAAGCCCCATTCAGGGATCAACACATCAAACGCTGATTCGTACACGCAGATGACAATGCCCTCAGCAATCAAGTCGCCGCCAATTTCTTGGCTGATCCTGTCCATCTTGCGGCAGGCCTCGATATGGACGCTCTGCTCCTGAGCAGCATGTGCGGAATCTTTCTTTGTGTTGCACATCTCGGCAGTCTTAGCCAGTACCTCAATGTCCTCAGTGAACTCGATGGCGCCGTTCGAAAGAGCAGCTTCAAGTTGGCGGTGCACAACAATATCGGCGTAGCGGCGGGATGGGTTCATGAAGTGAGTGTACAGCGAGAGATTGAGGGCGTAGTGGGCGTATTGGTCCTCCGGTACCTTGCCAGCGACAAAGTACTTGGCGCGGGGCATAGACTTGATGACGAGCGTCTCCATACCCTTACGGATGTCGCTATCTTCGACCTGGAACAAGCTGTTTTGGAGAGTGCCACTGCTCTCGTCGTCAATGCTGTAGCCAATCGCACCCATCCGCTCGGCGATGGTGTTCAAGCGACGGGGGTTGGGAGGAGCTTGGCGACGAAGGAGAGCCTTTTCTGGCAGAGCAGCATGGATCTTCTTTGCGACAAAGCTGTTCGCAAGATGGCTGAGCTCCTCGATGCACTCGTGAGCTGGCGAAGAGTCAAAGATGTTGGCCTCAACGGGAACATTCTCGTCGTCAAGCTGGTACATGAGACGCAGAGGCTGGATGTCAGCAGTGCGATCGCCAAAACGAGCCTGGCGGAAACGCTGCGTGATTTGGTGGAGCGTCTTGATGTCCTTAGCACGAGCCGCCGTCACCTCCCCGTCGCGTCCGCTAATAACAGAGTCGACCTCTTCGTACGACAGTTTGCCGGAGCTCTTGATGACAGACTTTCCGACCCAGGTCTCGTCGTCTGATACACGGCCGGTCTTGGGATCGACCTTGAAGATCACACTGACAGTGTAGCGATCCTCACCAGGGCTGAGACAGCAGATGTCGTTGGACAGACGTGGAGGAAGCATGTTGACAGAGCGATCCATGAGGTAGACACCTGTGCCGCGCTTCTTTGCCTCACGGTCGACAAGAGAGTTTGGCTTGATGAAGTGCGCGACGTCAGCAACGTGAACACCGATTTCGACGCGGCCATCATCAAGGTACTTGAAGTGGATAGCATCATCGAGCTCCTTGCTGCCGTTGGGGTCGATGGTGAAAGTCTCCTCGCTGCGAAGGTCACGACGTGCCTTGATCGCCTCCTCGCCATCGTTTGCGACCGACCAGTCCTCGAAGCCAACGTTCTTGATGACTGCATCGGAGAAATCATCAGGGCCGAAGTTGTTGTCACGCAACAGAGCGTCGGTCTCAACCTTGGGGTCGCCCATGACACCAAGCTGTTCAACCAGGGTACCAAAGGGATGCAGCGAGGTGATGGGCCATCGCTTGATGCATGCAACAAAAATGCGATCAGCGTACTCTTGGTGCTTCTCAACAAAGTCCCTGGGCGCCTGCTCTGTCGGAATGGCGATCAAAGGCACACGCTTGTCGGTAGGCTTGAACCATACAATCTTGGGCTTATCTTGACGCTCGGGCTGGGGACGGCTGTTGCTGCCCTCACGAGCCTGGCGCTCAGCCTCCTGCTTCTCCTTAGTGGCCTGGCTGCTAGGGCGCAGAAGACCAAGGGAGCCAGAGAACATCTGACCGGCAACACGCTCAATGACAGCAACGACGTGACCGGCGTACAGAGGCTTGAGCTCATCGTTGATCTCCTCTTCTTCCATAAGGAGCAAGCTTTGGCCTTCGACTTCGACATCATCGTTCTTCTTCTGGGTAGGTCGCTGACGCAGACTTCCACGTCGACGAATGCCGCCCTCGCCAGCCGTCTCAGGCTGGGTCGTAGCGTCGTTCACGGCGATGCTACCGCCACGAGGATCAGCATTGTCCTTCCTCTTCTTCTTCTCTTCCTTCTCGCGCTTCTGACCCCAAACCTCATCGACGTCCAGAAGTTCGATGGCGACCAGGTCACCTTCCAAAGCACGGTTCCTGTCCTTGCTACCGCAAATGAAGATATCGGCATCAAGATCGGTTGTGGTGACATACGCGTCGCTTCGGTTCTTCTTGTTGACACGGAGAATACCGGCGACAAGCTGACCGTCGCCAAGTAGTGCAGGCAAAGTAGCCTGGGGGAGGTAAGGAGTGAACAAGGTCTTGCGTTGCTGCTGCTGCTGCATGCCCATCTGGGGCTGAGCGTGCTGGCTAACGCCGAGGCCTCCGAAACCACCGCCCTGCAGCTGCTGCGCCTGCAGCGCCTGAAGGTGGGCAATCTGAAGAGGGTTGAGACCTTGGGCAAGCATCTGTTGCGGGACGAGGACCTGTCCCTGGGGTAGTTGAACCAGTTGAGGTTGGCCCGGGTACTGGAAGTTGCCGAGAGAGCCAACAGACTGGTTGACCGAACCGCGAGTGCGGTGTCCGGGCTGGAAAGGAGCGGCATTGGCAGTCTGGTTCATGTTGAAGTTACCCATGTTCTGGGACTGGTTCTCCTGAGCAGACTGCTGCGGGGGGTTGTTCTGGGGCTGCCTCCAGTTGCCCTCGAAGTTGCGCGATGCGCTTCGGCCGTGGCCTGCGCTACCGCGGCGCTGGAAATCAGACTGGCCGCCCTGGGTGTTGTTGTTGGTAGTGTTGTTGTTGCTCGATGTGCTCGAGTCGGCGGGCACCTGTGGGAAGGAGAAAGCTGGTCCACCACGGCCGGCGCTGCCACCACCACGACCGACAGCCATACTTTGGCTGCGTCCATGGCCGCCGCGACCGCCACGCGTGGAGGTTTGCTCGCCAGAGCTAGCACCACTGGGACTTGCGTCTCGGTTGGCGCTGCCACCGGCAGAAGGTAGCGGAAACTGGAAGCCCGAAGTCTTTCTCTTCGACTCTGCCAGCTCTGCCGCCTTCTTAGCATCAGAAAGTGCTAAAGAGTGTCTTCTTGTGTGTCCGGAGCCAGCGGCACCGCCGCCACGGCCGCGAGGGTTCACGTTCTCGCGGCCCTGGTTGCCCTGCTGACCGAACTCGCCGAAGCCAGATGCGCCGGAGGAAGGAGCTGGGGGCGGGCCTCCCATACCAACATTGGGAAGGGCGGACTGGTTGCGGCGGTGGGGGGTGGGCCCGGCGGGTGCGTGCATGGGAACACCGAGGTGCTGCTGTCCCATCTGCTGCTGGAACTGGTAGTTGTTCACCTGCGGTGATAGGTTTGCCATCTGGCCGGGCTGCATCTGGAAGTTGCCCAGCTGCTGCTGGGGCTGGATCATGCCCATGTTCACGTACTGCTGGTGCGTCGCGGCGATCTGCTGCTGTTGCTGCTGGAGCACCTCGATCTGCTGTGCGATGGCAAGCTGTTCCACTGCATGGTGTGTCAGCCAGGTCTGGGAACAGTGTGGGGGCACAAACTCATCAGCGGCGTCAGCTCGGACGGGCTGCGGCGGTGTGCAATGTGCAGGCGGCGGCCGGCAGGGCCCATTGGCCCCTGCTGGCCCTGCTGCTGCGGCGGCTGCTGCTGCTGCTGGTCCATGGCTAAATGTGTGGTGTAAGTGGCTCGGGGCCTGGTGTTATGTACTGTTCACAGAAGTGACGGTCGAGCCAGTCGAGGCCGTAGAGGACACGATTGGGTTTCGCAGAAGTATTCGGGGGTAGTCTGGCACGCGTCAATATTCAGCGCGGCATGACGAGGCGAGCGGTGATGGCAGAGGCTGCAGGCGACATGGTGGGGAGCGCTGGGCGATGCAGGGTCGAATGCTTGAGAGCTAGCGGGGACACTTACAAGCTGGGTGCGGGCGGAGAGCGGGGCGCGGCAATGCAATGCTTCGAGTAGGCGATGCTGGCGGGCGGGCGAGCTCTGCAGAGACTGACAGAGGCTGCGGTTGATGTGGGCAGTGTGCAGGTACAGGTGCAGTGCAGACAAGCCTGGCCGACTGGTGATAAGGATCGAGATGCAGGGGCGTCGGGTTCAAGGAGCGCGGTTTCCCTGGGGCTGGGCCGTCTGTCACGAGTGACGCAAATGGGAGGAGTGAATGCTCGAAGGAAGGAGCGAGCGGGCGCAGAGGGAAAGAGAGGGTTGCAGAAGAGGTGTGAGACGCGGCGGAGGGTGAGGGCTATGGCGGACAGCTGGGGCCAGTCCCGAATGGAAGCGATCGGCTTGTTCAGTCCGCAAACGAGTGCTAACACGGACGTACGTCACGTCACCTGCGCAATCCAGCAGCGCCGAGGAGCAACACTTGGAAGCAGATGAAGGGAGCGGGAGGAGTCGTCGCCCACAGACGCGTCGCCGCCGGCGCTCTATATAGCCACCCGGTGCGGTCGTCGCAGGACGGTGATGTGAAGCACCGCCGTGGTGTTCATGTTTCAAAGGCAGCCAAGCGGAGCTGTCACGCACACAACCAACTTGAACCAAGCCACACCACGCCGCCGACACAATCCTAGGGACTCAGAACGTTCGTGTCTGCGCTGCTCGGTCCGGCGCGGCGCAGCCACGTCGCCTCGCTGCGACACCACGGCCGAGCGGCATCAAGTGAAATGTTATCAACGCAGGCTCTCTGGCTCTTGAACCGTGCGGCTGCACGTTCGACGTGGTGGATGGATCGATGAAACTGCCCAAGCATCTGCAGTCGCTTCAACCTGCCCATGACACCGACGACGGAACACGTCCAAAGCTAGCGAAATCCCAATGGATGACTCGTCTGCATCGCGCCGTCTCACCAGCTGCCCTGAGCCTCGATCCTTCGAGCTTCGCTGGCACGTGCTGAGCATGTCCAGCGCCAGCTTGCGACAATGTCGTGTCCTCTGCCTGCGCGATGCCATTGTGACTGTGAATGCTGCCAGACGCATGCGTGCATGTATGAGGGTTCCACAAGGCAGTGCATAACAGCGGAACCCGGCCATAGAAACAATGAACGTTCGATTGCGGACGCGGGCCGCTTTGTTGGCCTACGGGTACAAGCAGGGGTACGCCTAGTCACGTGCTTCGGGGAATCTTTGGCCGTCTTTCACAGGACCAACCACGTCTTTTACGTGCCCCGTCCGTTTTGAGACCTCGACCCCCGCACGCGCAATGCCCGCCAGATCGGGCACGTCATCCTCGAGCATGCACACCCGCGCGTCCTTTGGTTCTAGCATCATTGAAAGCTCCCCCATACGGCAATCGCCTACGCGAAATGGCTCCCGCAACCACCGGGCAGCAGCCGCACGCGATCCATACGAGAGTCCCTCTCGGCAGATGCAGCTCGAGTTCAACCTGAAGCTCAGCATATCTGACCGCAACTTCAATGACCAGCTCGACCAGGCTGCCGCAGAGCGCGCACGGCTACACGAAGAACAGCTTGCACAGGCTGCGGAGGAGCATGCTAAAGTGCGGAGGGGCGCAGAGCTCGAGCTGCAGAGGCTGACCCTCGAGGAGGAAAAGGCACGCCTGCGAAGTCAAGAGGAACAACAGCGCGCTATTGAGCAGCTGCAGAAGGAGAAGGCTCAGCAGCAAGCAGAGGCGCAGAGGCGGCAACTCGAAGCACAACGGCGGGAAGAAGAAACCGCGAAGCAGGCATTGGAGCATCAGAGAAAACTTCAGGAGGCTGAGGCACGCCAGAAAGCGCAAAAGGAGCAGGAGGCTGCCGCAGAAAGACAACGGAAAGAGAAGGAAGAGGCAGATCGGAGAGCCAAAGAGGCTGCAGAGAAAACTCGAGCAGAGCAAGCAACGCAGCAAGCCGCCCAACAGGTTACACAGCAACTGCAAGCACCCGCTGCTGCCGCCCAACAGCCAGCCGCTGCGAAGACTCCCGCCGCAACGCAAGCGCCTAACGATGCTATTAACAATATACATACAAAATATCTGGAACTGCACAAGCGGATGAAGGAGTTTCGAGTCGCATTCTGGAATGAGAATAAAAGGGCTGGTCAACCGCTTAAGGAGCCTATCGGCAATGCGCGACGCAACCTGCGCCTCAAGCTCGGCCAGATCAACGTCGCTCGCGCAACCAGTCAGGCATCAATCAAGAGTCTGCGAGCCGACTCTTTCGACATTGCACTCAACACCCCAGGGCCGATGATCGACATCCGCCCCTTTCTAGTCGGCCAGACAATACCGCCCCTCGCCAACGAAGCAGAGGCACAGTACCCTGCCTTCTTGTTATATATGTGGATCATGTTTGAGAAATTCTTGCTCAAGCAATTCGAGAAGGAAGCCGCGAATGAGGATGGGCGCATCATTCAGGAACTCGGTCTGATCGCTGCCAGTCTCTTCGCCGACCAAAAGTACATGTGGAGGGGCATCACCCTCGTCGACGTCCTCCTCGCAAAGATGCACCACATCTGCCCCATCATGTTCGGCGTCCGCGGCAACATGAACACTGTCCAAGGCCAGAAGCGCCTGGGCTGGATGCCCATCGACAAGCAGCCCGCGACCGGCGAAATCTACATGCAGCGCATCCGCGGTCTGTCCGCCGGCTTCGCCGCCATGTCGCTGCGCACCTTCAAGGCGGCCCCTGCGATCCCTGTCTCCGCGTACTGGCGCTGCATCGTCCAGGTCTGCAACACCCCGCAACAAGACCTGTACCCCGGCCACTTTGCCATTCTCAACGGCCTGCTGCGCGACTTCCACAAGAAGTTCCTCGGCTTCTACGGCGTCCACGCCATGGCCGTTCTCAGACGCGCTGTCGTCGACGTCCCCGCCCGCGCGCCCGACCGGTGCAAGGACGCGGCTGGCACCATCAGCGTGTTCCCCGAGAAATGGAAGAGGCGGGAACTCGACGAGAAGGCGGCAGCGGCGGAGAAGGCGTAAACGACGAGAGAGTATCCGACGAAGCGCCTATCGCCGACGGAGTGCCCGATGTTGGAGTAATCATCGAAGATCCCGCCACCGCACACCCAGAAATCTAAGTCACACAGCAAGGAACAAATCTGTACCTAAACCACCCAAGCCCTCGCGCAGCATAGACCGGTTGGATTTGGGAATTGGGAATTGGAACCCCAGGCACAAGCCCCCGCGGGCCATGGCATCTCTGTCCATAGCATTCATAGCATCTTGGCGTTCGCGCATTGCATGTTGCCGTACGTATTGTGGGACGCTGCTGAGCAGGTAGTCGTTTGCGTGGAAAAGTAATTGAATATCGCGCATCTTGTATCGCATGGAAAGTCTCTTGCCGTGGCTCTGTGGTTTCTGAATAAGTCGTCTGTGGTGATGCATGGGTCTGATGGCAGGTTACAGTGAAGCTTTGGAGGCACAGTGGATTGGGAAGGGGCAGGTTGTCACGAGTCAAGTCGAACCATGATGTAGTAAAGTCTTTCAATTCGCTGACTGTGGCCTTCGGCTTGGATCAGAAATCCTTCTGCGGATTTTTAGTCCACCGTACAGTCTACATGCCCACCTAACGCCATGCCATGATCATGAGAATGAGGGTATAAAACTCCAATAGAAACCATGACCCGTGAAACTCCGCCAATGATGCTTGAATGTGATGCCAAATGAAAAGATGAATGAATGGAATATTCACCTAGACGACCACATCATCTAGGAAAGGAGAATGATGATTAAGTTCTTTTTGGCCTTGGCCTTGGCCTTACCCTTGCCCTTGACAGTCTCTAGCTCCTCCTCTTCTTCGAGATTGCCGTCGGGGCCAGGACGGCCAATTTCGAAGCCAGTGACGGTTGACTTGAGCGCTTCCTTGATCTCTTGTGGAGTATATATATCCTTGACTAATACAAGGGCCTGTAGAACGATAGTTGGTATAATGCAGATTTAACGGGCACGGAAAAAGCCATCTATAGCTGGAAGTGAATAAAGGAGGTAATTACAATATATAACAGAACAGCAGACAAGGAGCCGATAAGGGACAGAAACGGCGACCCCTTTGTACAAGTAAGGAGCAATCAAGAGAGTAGCTTGCTTGAACAAGCTAGAAGGTCAAACAACTGAAAACTCACTTACTACACCTAGCATTGGCTAGGTCGAACATGATGCTCAATCTACTTGTCACGGCCTTAACAGATTACTCCCTGGGAGCAAGACATGGCAGCTCATGACTGTAGACAGTAGCATCTAGTTATCGAGCTGGCATGCAACAGCTGTCCTGATAACCGACACGAACCATATTCGCTGTTTAACGAAGGCTTTGACGTGACCAGTACACTACTCACCTCTTCATTATGCCCATTTCAACCGACTATCTCCTAGGACCACCAATGATATTGACAACCACCCACTTCTCGATCCTGTTCAGAACTTTCCCATGAACAAGCGTACCACACAGATCCGTCTCTTCCACCCAGTCCCCACCTAACCCTGAATTAGGAACTTGCGTGCAACAAAGCACCCGACCCAAGCCCTCGCACATCCTCGTTTCCCCCTTCCATCTCCGTGAGGCGAGCAGTGAAGTCCAAAAAAGCACGCCCCAGCGTCCAAACAGCCCAAGCGAACCAATCACACGCGCGCGCTGCCCGCGCTAGTGCCGTTTTCACCTGCCCGCTGTGACTCCATCGTGAGCGTGCGAGTTTGGGGTGACCGACTTCTCGGCTAGCGACTCCGTGGACGACTTACTGGCGCGGGAATACTGGGCCCTGGATTTCTGCGCGGTGTACTGGGTCTCTGCATTATTGCGTTGGTGTTTTTTGGATACCGAGTTTCTGAACCTCTGAACTTCTGGACTTCTGGACCGTTGAACTTCTGGATTCTTGCGTACCCCCATCTGGATTTCTGCATATCTGGGTACTGGACTTCTGGGTGCTCCGATACGTTGACTTCTGGACACTTCGAGTTGCACACTTCTGGACACCGACCGCCACCTACTGCCGCCGCGATGCCAACCTACCTCGTGCGCCTAGCGCAGATTCATGAGAGCTTCCGGCTGGCGGAGTTGCATGCGCTAGCTGAGCTCGCGGGGGTCGACAAGGAGATGGAGATCTTGCGGTATGATGATGATGTAGGTTGTCCACCCTCTGTTCTGTTTGCTGTCTGAACTTCATTGTTGTTTCAGCATCGCCTTGTTTGTTAGATATCCTTGTCTGCTCTTCGTTGTTCTGTCTCATTATTTATCGGGGCTGGAAGTTTGAGGGCACTGATGCACTATCACAAGAAGATCGTATGCTTGGGAATGGTGTGATATCTTTGCTATCTTTCCCCGTCCGATCTCGTCTCACACTCTCCCCTCTTCTTTTGTCACTTGCTCATATCGCACAGTCACCCTACTGCCTCATCTCCCTCCCTTCCGACACTGCCGCCACCCAAATCGCCACCCGCGCCATGCTCATCCAAGGTATCTACGAACTCTGGGGCGAAGGCCCCGACTACGCCGCCCTGCACGCCAACATCAAGACCACAACATCTCACCAATGGGACCGCTACGCCAACTCAACCTTCAGCTTCCGCGTCGAGCGCTACCGCGGGCTGCAACCGCCCGCGGCCCAAATCGCCGCCACCATCAACTCGTTCGCGTACCTGGGCTTCAAAGGCAAAGTCCAGATGAAAGACCCCGAAGCCAAGTTCCGCGTCTTCGAGTTCTACACCCTCGACGGCAAGGAGCCCACGTACGTGTACCTGGGCCGCCGCGTCGCCGAGTCCGGCCGCGACGCGAAGAGCACGTACGACCTCAAGAAGCGGCACTACATCAGCACCACCAGCATGGACGCCGAGCTCGCGCTGCTGACGGCCAACATCGCGCTCGCGGGCCCGGGCAAGCTGTTCTACGACCCGTTCATGGGGACCGGCGGGTTCCCGCTGGCGTGCGCGCACTACGGGGCCGTGGTCACGGGGTCCGATATCGACGGGCGCAGTATCCGGGGGTCGGGCGGGAGTGCGCGGCGCGGGCAGACGGGGCCGAAGAACGTGGGCATGAATTTCGAGCAGTATGGCACGCAGGGGCTGTATCTGGGCGGGTTTGTGTCGGATCTGACGAACACGCCGCTGCGGCTGCACGGGCCGGCGGCGGGCGACGGACAGGCGGGCAGAAATGCAGAGGTGGCGCCGTATCTCGACGGCATTGTGTGCGACCCGCCGTACGGGATCCGCGAGGGCCTCAAGGTGCTGGGCACGCGCGACCCGCTGCAGCCCGAAGAGCGCGCAAACCACGCCGCGACGTGGCAGACCGCGGGGTATCTCCCGCCCAAGCGGCCGTACAGTTTCACCGCGCTGCTCGACGACATCCTCGCCTTCGCGGTGCTCACCCTGGTCCCCGGCGGTCGGCTCAGCATGTGGCTCCCGACCGCGAACGACGCAGACGTCGCGCTGATCATCCCTTCGCACCCGTGCCTCGAGCTGAAGAGCGTGTGTGTGCAGCCGTTCAACAAGTGGTCGCGGCGGCTGCTGACGTACCGACGGCTCGCGGACGCGGAGGTGGATCAAGAAGCTCTCGCGGCGCTGAAGGCGGCGCAAAGGGAGTACGAGACGGGGACGCGGGCGAGTGACTTGAACGAGTTCCGGCGCAAGTACTTTGATGGGTTTCGCGGGTTTGAGGATATGAAGAAGGAGTTTGTCCGGATGAAGGTGGATGCGGGGATTAAGCAGGCGGAGGCGGAGGCGGAGGCAGAACTCATTGCGGAGACACAGGAATCGGCGGGGGAGAAGGCGCAGACGGCGAAGCAGGAGGTGGAGGATGCAGTAAAAGCTGAGGAGGCTGCAGCGGCGAAGGCGGAGGAGCTGAATAAGCGTTTTGGAGTTGAGGGGGCGACGTGAGACAGTCAGAAGAGGGTGTTCAGCGGAGTTGTATTGTGCAGCACGACTGGTCTAGTAGGTATACCCATATATTCCAACAAAAAAGCTCCATGTCCGAATCCAATATCCACAGAAAGTATTACGCCGCCATGCTAACTCCGCGGTAGATCACGCACCACATCATCCCCTGAGGTCGGCGCGATAGCATCGTCGAGCTGCTCGGGCGCCTCGGCCGCCAAATCCAACAGCGGTGTTTCTTCATCAGGCTCGTCGCGGGGCCCCTCGACCAGATCTTCGACCGGTAGGCTGTCTTCGGGCGGCAGCATGACATCCTGGAGCTCCTGCGCAGGGCTGTCGATGGTACCGTTCGTCTCGACACTGTCATGCGTCTGTTGCTCGACAGCTGCAGGCCCAACAGCCGTACCATTCACAGCCGCACCATTTGGCCCCAAACCCTTCCTCCTGCCCTCACCAATCCCCAAGTCCCTCACAGCGCGCCTCATACTCTCCAGGCGCGCGCGCTCAGTGACAACCATCCTCCGCGCCAAGTCCCGCAGCGCCTTGCGCCCCATCTCCACCCTACTCTCCTGCCAGCTAGCCAGTTCGCTCGCGACGACCTGCTGCGTGTATCTGAGCTCCCTACCGAGGTCTGCAAACTCGGCTTTGCTCTTGTCCATCTTTTCCTGCGCGTCGCGCTGCACCCTGCTGCGTGCGTCGTCGAGCAGGCCAAGTGGCCAGCGATCTGAGCGCCGCACGGACAGGTCGTGTCGATCAATGGCTTTCTGGGTGCTGGACATGCTGTTTATGAGATTGGATGGCCGGGTGAGCGAGGTCAGGACGGCGGTTATGGTGGAGCTTATGGCGTGCATGCTGTAGTAGAAGCCCGCGATGGGGCTTGCCTCGCTTGCTGCGACTGTCTTGGTGTAGCGCTCGAAAGCGCGGAGATGAGCCGCAGGGAGGAAGGTGAGTGAGTGAACGGCGGTGTTTGAGAGTTTCGCAGCATCGTTGAGGTCGGTGGCCGACATTCGTAGCTTGTTTGTGCGGCGCAGGACGGATTTTGATGCGTGGTGGAGGGACCGTACGTTTTCGCGGGCGTGCTGTACGAAGAGCTCGACTTCACGTACGTCGAAGATTGGCACAAACTCCTCGCGAAGACGCTCGACGCGCAATTCCGCCTTGCGGGCGGAGCGCTGTGCAAGCATCGTCGAGTCAATGTCCGGCACGAGGAAGAACTCCCAGACCATCTCGTGCATCGAGAATGTGGGGTGTCGGAGGAGGATCTTGAGGAAAGAGTCAAGACGGAGCTGCAGGTCGCGCAACACAGATCGAGACGGCCTGGACGGGATGAGGTACGGCGAGGCCATGTTGGCGATGACCGGGAGCCACGACGCTGGGTTCTCCTGAGCAAGCCACTTCCCGAGGTTCTCGAAGTCGTGTGATGACCGGCGACATGTGGTCACGGTAATGCTGCCGTTGGCGTTCGGTGCCCCAGATTTGAGCACTAGTCGAACAGTACCATCTTCCACGAAGAACGACCGAACCACAGTCGTAATGCGTCCGTCAGCACCAGGTTCGTTGGACAGCAGTACCAAATCGTCGATGCGATTGCGAACGTCGTCGTCCTTGGCAAGCTCAACAGCCGTCAATCCACGGGCATCTCTTACTGACAAGTCAACCCTTGGGTCCTGGAACAGCACCCGCACCATATCCGTACGACCGTACTTGCTAGCGACCATCAGTGGTGTGAAGTGCTTGTCGTTGGTAGCATTCGCATCCGAATCGCAGCGGTAGAGCAGCTTGTTTGCGAGCTGGGGGTCGGTGATGATATGCAGCAGACTGTTGCCTTTGCCGTCCACATGCTCATCAAGATGCAGCGGCTGTCCGTCATCTTGTGCATAGGTGGCGGCTAGTAAGCCCTGGTCGACCATAGTGTGGTACTCATCGTGGTCGTAAGATCTGCAAAGTGCGAACACAGGCGTTTGCCCGTTCTTGTCCTTTAGCCGCCAGGGGATGAGGTGTCCGATGCGCTGAATCAGACGGGGTTGGTTGAAGAGATAGTGTGCCATGCATCTCCCCTTCGAATCTTGTTTTGCAAAGTAGGCTGATAGCGCTTCCGGACTGCTACTTGTCTCCAAAATGTATGACAGAAGAGTGTCAGTCGATTTGCTGTGGGCCAACTGCACTGCCAGGCTTAACAGGGTTGTCCCCTCATTGTTGCAGTCCTCAGCCACGAATGTCGGTGTGTAGTAGTCAGTAAGACTCAATAGATACTGCAACGCCTTGTCCTGCTTGCTCTCGATGGCCATCATCAAAACCGACTCGCCGTCCGAGCCTTGTGTCATTACAAGCTTCTCGATAGATGTGTCGCCTTCAATAGCGCTATACCGAGAGTCCATCGTTGTGCGAGATCTGAATGACCGTGCTGAACAGCTTGATGTACTTCGTGTCTCGTAAGAGACCGTCTTCTTCAGTTTCGGTCGCTCCGGTAGCGTTGGTGTCTGAGCACGTTGGAACGGGAAGATGTGTGCCAATGGCCCATCCTCGTCCCTTTCTCTGCTGCCAGAGGGACTACGCCGCCGTCTCCTCCGAGGTTCATAGTCTCCATTCGTTGAGGAGCCAGCTACTGAGTGTAAGTCTGAGAAGCTCGCGAACCGAACCGGGTGGTGCCGCTCCGGCAGTTCGTCATCGCTCGAAGTGTCATCCATGGCTTCGTGGAACGACCGATCTGGCTCGAGAATGCCTTGCATTGTCGCTAGATCGCCTGATTTGGTCGCTTGCCATAGCTTTCGATTCCGCCGGCTCGCCTTTCGCAGGCCGCCCGAGTCGTTCTGTAGATAAGACAACACAGCTTCGAACGTGCTTAACGCGTATCCCATCTCACCGGTCTCTACGTCGTCGATGAAGATGTAGTGGCGCATGTAGGAGAGGCGCGCCTGTAGATGTCGCACAGGGGCGCGTATCACGACAATAAGCAGCAGAGAAACCAGGGTGTCTGCATTGATGGTGAGAAGATGATCGTGCTTCTCTGAGAGTTGCTGTCCGTTCAGTGTAGCCTGGGCTTTGGGATCATTCGCGACAAATGACGCGTCCGGCATTGTGATGTGTTTTGTTACAGCCAAAACAATCTCCAGCATCTCCTGCGGACTCCCGGCGACGCCCATCTTCTTGAACATATCGACAGCTTTGGAGAGGCGTATGGCGAGCTCCTGCTTGCCCTTGCGCCCGTTGCCAATGTCAATGCCAACCTGCGAGATGTCGATATCTTGCATCTGGCGCGTCTGGCGCTCGAGGTCCAGGTCTTCGAGGCGGCGTATGTCGCATATCCGTGCGAAGAGGAGGGTGTGGTGCACCTGCTCGGCGATGTAGCGCTCGATCATGCGCTCCACGATAGGACCGGTAAGGTCTGTCGTCGCGCCCAGCAACGATAGCTGCTGTTTGTCCACCATCTGGAAAAGATCAATGGCGGCCGTCACAGCCGTCTCGAGCGAATTGCGCATGGCGTCTTCCTCGTCGCCAATCTCGAGTGTCGATATGAAGCCATTCGGCCCCTGAGAGGCGCTGCTGTGCATTGACAAGGGGCGCGACCCGGCGGTCTCAACCGACGACACGGATCCGCGCCGTCGAGAACTCTGAGACGACCTCCGCGACCGTGTCGACGGCGTTGGAGGTAGCGGCTTCTCCAGCTCTTGCGCAAACTCTTTGAACAGCCGCTCCAAGCCCGGCTGCATCTGGCGCGCGATCATGGGGAAGTGGTTCAGCAGGTCGCCAAAGGACTTGACCTCCTTCTTGCGCGGCATGGACGAGCTGCTGGCCGCCGACGAGCTCCCTGCAGCGGGAACTGGCGCTTTCTTGACATCTTGTCTGATTGCCAGCGTCGCGGGTATGATGGCCGTGGCCTCGTAGGTGCCGATCAGGGGGCGCGAGATGAAGTAGACGAGCCACGGCTGGGCGTCGAAGGCATCGGGGTAGAATATGGTGTCGCCGAGAAGCTGCGCCTGGTTGAGTGTCTTGAAGCCTGGATTGTGTCAGCAAGAGACGGATGCCGATCAGCGCGCCACGTACCCTTGTTGCTGTAGATGAAGGCATCCTTGACGATCACGGTGCGGCCGTTCGCGGTGGTGAACTGCTTCGCCTTGCCGCGCGTTTCGCGAAAGCTGCTGGTGTCCTTGACTTGGTTGTTGGGGCCCACGCCGCCCGGCACGCGCAGGACATGGCTGGCGAGGAACTCTTCGGAGCCGCTGAGGTCGGCGTAGGCGGTGCCCGAGTCTTTGTCGCGCGCGCTGAGCAGCACGTCGGTCGTGGGGACGAGGAGGACCTGCGGGCGCTTAGTCAGCTCTCGTCCTGGCCGTGGGCGGGCGACGTACGTGGTGCTGGGCGGGCGAGCACTGGCTGGGCAGCGCACTGCGGAAGAAGGCGCGCAGGAAGGGGTTCAGCACGGGAGGCATTCAATCGACATGAACTGGACGCAGGAGGCTCGGGGTGCGAGGCGCATCTGGCCTGGGGACGGGAACCGGACGGCCGGCGAGGAGAGGCAGAGCTGCAATCGTGGATGGGCGGTGCCTGGCGAGCTCGATGCGAAGGTGGCCGGTGGAGCTATGACGTGGGATCGCTGGTTCGGTGATGCGTTGCGTCTGGTCCAGCTTGGGCGAGTCCAACGGCGGCGGCGGCGGTGCGACGGGCGGTACAGCAACAGGGCGACGTGGTGGTGCTGATGCAGAGATACCGGATTAGCTTGTGAAGGTACACACGCACCATCCCTGCCATTTCAGCCAGCCGCCCTTAGCTTTGAGACGGTCCATGACGGCAGCGCCGCGTCTTCCCCGTACCACTCCGCAGAGCCTGAAACACGGCAGCACCGCCGCTGCAGTGCGCCCACCAGCTGCACGTCTGCTGGCACGTATATAGTGCTGCCGTCGCGACCGCTCCGCAATGACATCCTGGCACCACCATCACCTGACCACACAATGGCACGGACAAAGTATACCACACTTGCAATCGATGAGCCAGTCTGGTCGTGCCAGTCGCGCTTTTACTGCTGTATTTTCGTCTCACGTCTGCATCGACTAACTGAACCAGCCTCAAGCCTTCTTGCACAGCTTCCTCCCATAGTCGATCACGTTCCACTTCTCCGTGCCTGGCGTCGTTTGCGTATAGAATACGCCCTTGGGGTCCCACTTCTGCCTGATCTTCAGGAGCCTGGGGTAGTTTGAGCCCCAGTATGCCTCCTGCCAGTCCGGCTCGTATAAATCGCCCTGCCTCGTTAGCCAGGATCCCTGAAATCCACATGTTGTGTACGCGACTCACCTCATTGACATAGCTCGCCCCGTATGGCCCCGCCTCTCTCAACGCCTGGCCCACAACCTCCGTGTTGTACTTCTCCCTCTCCTTCTTGACGCTCCACGGCTCCGTGCCTGTCATAAACACGTTCGTGATGACAAAGGTACTCGCATTGCGCCACTTGGGATGAATCGCATTGTCCACCACCGGCGTGCCCACCCCCGGATTGACAATGTGTCCAATGTTGATTCCTGTGTCTCCGGCCATGAGCAGCGCGTCCGACACCTTCTCGTTGTTCTCCGCGATATCACGCTGCGTGAACAGACGGCCACCGACGATCGATTGGGCCGACGGCGACTCGTCCTCAAACATGTCAATATAGAACTCGAAGAACGTGGGGAACGCACGGAAGTGCGTGTCGTACGGCACTTTTGCCGCGTCGAGCTGCGTGAAAAGAGGCTCGACAGCCGCTTTGAGCTGCGTCAGGCCCATGTTAGGGCCGACGATGGGCGCGACATGCAGGCGGGGTCCAGGGCCCTGCTCGAAGTAGACGAACATGCCGAGATTGCTGAGGTGGTTTGACTGGCCGTTGAAGATTTGGAAACCCGTTCTGAAGAGTGCCGTGTCGTTGGTATGGGTCGAGTTGATGTTGATGGTGACGCCGGCGGTAGGCACTTCAGGGAATGTCTTCACAGTGATGGATGTGACGACTGCGAAGGTACCTGGACCACCTCCCTTCAGTGCCCAGTAGAGGTCCGAGTTCTCTTTGGCATTGGCCGTCACGAACTTTCCTTCGGCTGTGATGGCGTCGAAGGAGAGAACATTATCGGCGCCCATGCCGTAGATGCCGCTCAATGGGCCATGGCCTCCTCCCTGGACGTATCCGCCACCCCAACCAACAGTCTGAAGCTTGTCAGTTTTGCTCAAAATCAGTCGCCATCAGACGTACCGGGCATTCTCCGCCGACAATCACTTGCTTTGGTGACTGCGCAAAAGCATGGCGATACAGCTCACGTCCTTGGACACCAGCGCCCACAACAGCCGCGGAGCCTTTCCAAGCCCCCGGACCGGTGTACTGCTTGATGAACTTGACATCTTTGAAACTGTGAGTGTTCACGACAAGTGCGCCATATCCAGTCGATCGGCCCCTATACTTGTCAGCCTCTTCTCGAACACCTCGTGGCATACTAACATAAAGTCATGTCCCGTATTCCGAATGATAAGCCTCAAGTTTCGCTCTCTTGCGAAATCAACGGCACTCTGGATGTGCTCCTTCTTCGTGGCAAGCACTACATAAACCCCCATAAAGCCGCGCGTACACGGCGTCGTCGGATCCGTGGTCGGGAGACAGGTACTGTTGCTCATAAACGGCCAGAGCTGCGCAATCGGGTGGTCCGTCCTGTCAATATTAGCCTCCTCTCCTCAATCCAACATACGAAGGGGTACAAACATCCACTGCTCGCTTCCACTCATCTTCTGAGTCGCGTCCGCGCACTTCGCTGCATCATACGTGTTAAACGTATAATTCTCAAACCTGTTATGGCACGAAACCGCTGGCGGAAGCGCAAGCTGCAACGCGCCGCCCAGCGTCCTATTGAACGACGTCCACTCTGCGCCCGTCGGCCAGCACGCGTTATCAGCATAGCATTTACACTGATACTGAACGCCGTCCTCGGTCCTTGTCTCACCAACCCACGCCGCACTCGAGCCGCCCAGTATCAGCGCCGCAAACAACGCAATTGCAGAAACCATTGTCATGGGGATAGCAGTCCCGTCACCCCACCGGGTCGTCGTTCTTTATACACACGCCCGCCCCAGCGCACCTAACGCCTTCCAACACACCCGCATCGGAGCGTTCACACCGTCCTTGCCAAGAATGCGTGCATACACCCCTGCGTCCTCGCTCAGCTCGCATTGGGCCATGCAGGGTCTGCAACTCCCGCGCTCGCAGACGTATCGCGCGCCCTGGAATTCCTCCGCACTGTTCCCTCGGCAGATAGACAGCTGTATGCGGCTGCGATATTACTATGTAGGTGTGATGTACCCTTGTCATTGTGAGCCCCGATGCATCATTATTGACCGGCGTGCGCGTGGCCTGAGTCAGCCGTCTGTGGAGGCTTCATATGGAATTTGCCGGCAAAAGACACCGCGGCATTGCAAGTTGAAAAGGGACTGTCGGCTTGAATCGGGTGTGCTATTCTTGCTGGAGTGGGTAGGTGTCGTAGGATCAATACTATTGGCACATTGGGATCGGAGTGTGTATTTGCCGCACCGCACAGATACTGCAGAACATGCTGGGCAGTGTAGAATCTTGGCCGTACGCAAACAATAGTCTTGGCAGTGTTGAGTAGGTACCTATCGCCCAGGCACGTCCAGCCCACCCCTCGTCAGCACAGCCAATCAGACACTCAAACACCAGGTCTAGCAGTTCGGCAGTCGATTCTTCATACATACCGGGCTAGGTACTTGGACATCAGACCCACGTTTTACCAAATGTTTGTGGTCGTGCCTTGCAGTATCGCGGGAGGTATTGCACAGACTCGCAGCCGAACCGTTCTCGCCCCAGTTGATTAATACATATGGGGTGTTAGCGGCGGGGAGGGCGGCCTGACGGGCTGGGGTGGAGCGGCGGGGGCGGAGGCGGGACGACGCGGATGCTGGAAACTGTGGCGAGGAGAAGTGCAGCGGGTGTAATGCTCGCTGCTAGACTGTTAATGATTACCTACTATCTCCCCTTTGTCGTGAAGAAAAGTGAACTGTCAGCTGTGTGAAGAGATAAAGATTTTGGCCTGTGCCCCGGCCGCACTCGGGCATAACCATTCTCTCACCTGGCGATGTAGTAATCATTGTACACGGATACGGAGCCGGGCGATGCAGGGTCCATAATCCCCAGGGACCAGACAAGCAGGCGCTACACATACTCGCCACAACCAGGTTTACTAGATCTTATGAGTCGCCGGATTAGCTAGATCGCCATAATCATGACAGGATCTCGCTCGCTATAGGACCATGCTCGTCCGACCTGACTAGATTAGACCAGACCAGACCAGGCCACACCAGAAGGCCAAGGCTCAAGTTAGGGTATAATCTATATGTGTAAGCAAAGAGGCTGAAGATGCGTTGTCTTTCCCATCGTTTTCTCCGGAGAAGTGCCGATCTTCTCGCCATTTTTTGCCCATAGCGTCTCGATGTTGTTCATCGAGTGAAAGTGGAAGAATCAGAGTGATTAGTATAGAGATCGTTGAAAGTTTCTGCTCTTGTGATTAGTTTATAAGAGTGGTACGGTTGATAGCTGAGCCTGTGTCGCCGTGGAGATAGTAGAACAATGTGTCTGAATCGCCTTAGTGGAGTATCTATAATACTCAGCACTCTTTCACCTTCCTTACCAGTGGAACCTCCCTAGTACCACTACCACACACTCTCCCGGCAGTCCATGAATCGTGCATGTCACTGAATGAGCACGTCAAGCCTTCCCTAGTCTAGCTGAGGGGGCATGCAGCGACTGGTTTCCGCGATGGACAGGAAGTGAGCCCGATGTTCAATACCCAAGGCGAGGCAAAGAAACATTCTATCCGTGTGTTATCCATAGCTGCAGCACTCGCCTACCACCCATTACAAGGCAAGACTCGGAGGTGAAATCGTTGAACACTGCTTCCTAAGGTGTCTTGTTCTTGCGCCGAACCCACGTTTCGCTCAGCAACAATTGAAGCGATGGCAGAATCCAGCGCGAACACGACGGTCAGTACGCTGACCAGTACTGTTTGGCAATGCCCTGGGATGATGATGTCCATGCTGGACATAGAGGTTGTAAAGAGTAGCGGCGAAACCATGTATTACACCGTATGAGCAATCCACAGCATCTAGTGGCGTAGGTACTCACGACAGTCGTTGAGGTCAGGGTACCGATACCTTCGCCCTGCGCGGTTGCGGCGTTGGTCTGCTTCTCGATGATGGTGGCTTGGGCATGGTTGAGGCTGGTGACGGTGTGGATATGTGTCACGTTGACGGGCCGTCTACAGGATGATTTTGGTGGTGCTGATAGTATAATCAGTTCGGTGGTTTTCGTCAGTCCTCCGGAAACGGCTGGTGGGGCGCTCGGTCAAGGAAGGCGCAATATAAGGGAAGGTGCAAGAAGTCAGGCGACGCGCCCTTTTCCGGTTCCAATCTGAATCACTTCCTCTTCGTCTCAAGACGTCTATGTAGGCGAAGAAGCCCAAGATCGCATTCGTGAGCATTCCTTGAGTACGGGAGGATCACTATATAGCGCAAGGAGTGACGTTGTAAATTGACGCATGAGGCTTTCACATGCAGGGCCAAGTCGGGTGGCTCGCTTGCATGTACTGGTGGGTAGCTGCAGATGGTGGAGAATACCTGTCTCCGCATGACAGCAACGCTCGAACACCCGATACGACGATGCAGTCGCAAGTTCCACAGAGTAGCACGTGCGATCTACGGCGAGACCTTTTCGAGGTGAGCCCGTTATTGATGGACTGTTGAGCGTTGATTGATGCATGAAGGAGTCTCAGATATGTTTCGATCTGAAGCTGCAAAGACCGCCGACAGTCCCAAACCATGACCATGTGCAACGAGGTTCAATGGTGTGGTATTGCGTGAGTTATCAAGCCTATTATTGGAGCTGTAGACTGACATGTGTTGACAGTGCACATGTGGAGACGGACCAATGGAAACATCATACATTTCATCTTGCCACAGCTGCCAGCATCTCATGTATTCGAATTGCAGCGTGGAATCGGTGGACGAATGTGTATCGAGCTCAGAGCTAGGGCGCACTTGTTTGACCATATCCGTCGGTCGATGGTGAGAAGGAATCTCTTTGACTTAGTAGTGCCATCATCGTTATACTTGCAAACACGGCCAGTGCGGTTCGCAAGGACTTTAGTGCGTAATTGACAAGGAGAACCGTAGAGTGTCTTGTGCTGCAGTAATGCTCAACTTGCTTGTGTACATACCAGTACCTGTACAATATCTATACACATTGCCCAACCAATGCAAATGCTCCCTTGTGTTGTACAATACAAACTCTTACTCTTTCTTCTCCTCGCCCTCGGTCTTCTCCTCCTCTTTCTTAGGGTTCTCCTTCTCGTCCATATCCATCCGTCTGCTCTCGACTGTGAAGTACAGGCTTCTACTCGCGCCCTCCAGCGCACTTGTAATGCTACCGCCAATACCCTGGAGCATCTGGACAAGCGATGCGCGCAGGCCGTCGATACCACCAGGGATGCTGCCAACCCACTTCGTGCCCTCAATGTCGAAGATCTTGCCCTCGACTCGCGCACCAAGCAGCATCAGCTTCTGCAAGCCAGTCTGTACGGAGAGCTCGTAGTAGTCGGGGTTCGCCTTGCGTTTTGGCGCAGGGAAGGCGGGCGCCATGGGCGAGAGAATGGAGATGACGGTCTTGAGATGTTGCGGCGACACGGTGGGGAATGTGACGAGAGCGAGGGGTCCAGAGAGCAGGGGCTCGAGGTCGTGCTTGAGTTTCTTGTTGCTGGCGACTTCGTAGGCGTGTCTCGAGAGACCGTGTGTGAAACGTTCATCGTCGACCTTGTTGCCGGTCAAGGGTATGCGGGCGCTCGTTGGTGTGCGAGGATCGGTGGGGTGGTCGGTGGGAAGTTCTGAGGGCTTGAAGAATTCGACAACCTTCAGCGCGCTGGCGAAGATGTTGGTCTGAATCACTTGGAACTTGATCTGGTCGGCGATGGGTTCATGGCCGGCAGCGACGCGCTCGGCATCGATCTTGCGCAGAGCAACTGCCAATTCCCTCCTTATGCTCATCCATTCTACAGCCTTGACGTTGTTGTGTTGGAAGATAAGCATGAGCGGCGACGACTTGAGCAGCGACTGGTATTGCCTGTGCAACTGCGTCTTGCGCTCTTCGGGGCGCTTGTGGGAAGGAGGCTGTGTCGCGGGGTAGAGAACGATTGGCGCTGCCGGTCGGTCACCTCTTTCGAAAGCAGGCGCAGGGACTGGCTTCACCTGTGCCACCGATGCATAGCTGGCGGTCGCAACTCGAGAGACGGGGGTGGTGGAGCCCGGTGTGCGGAGGCGAAGGGCCCGCGGCCTGATGTGTATTCTCGGAGGCATGCTAGACAATGTCAGATATAATCCAGGGTAGCAATGTATGTGTACAGTTGGCGTAGACTTACGTGATGTGTGGTTGCGGCGCAATCGTGACATCGCCCGCTCAATCGAAAGATTTCCAGAGCGCGCTTTGGAAATCGTCCGTGCACATCCTCGACACGTCCGGCAGCCCACCCGATGCTCATCAACGGCATCTTCACAGTTTCTGATAGCGCACTTTACCAATTACTCTAATCCTTGGGGGTGTACGAGTTTGCTTTGCTGTTCCAGTGATTGTACGACCAATTCTCAATGGCGTTGCATCTATTGAGAGCTGCACCTCGAGCGCGTGTGCTAAGTCCATCCATATGGAGTAACGGAGGTGCAAGATGCATATCGGTAAGCTCCGAATAATGTTCGAACGACATTTTACACAGTCATGATACGAATAACTAATACAAAGTAGACTGACCGAAGAAATCGACTGTCAAAATTCTGGACTCCAACCGGAGGCTTGAACGCCCAAGATGGAGAGCAAGATGAATCACATGCTCTGCTGGTCCGTGGCGGCTACCTCAGACAAGCTCACTCTGGAGTTTTCCATCTTCTACCACTAGGTTTGCGTGTTCAGAACAAACTGGAGGCTCTCATCGACAAACACATGGAATCAATTGGCGCATCGAAAACATCACTATCCTCAATCAGCACAGAGGAGCTATGGAAACAGTCTGGACGCTACTCATCCAACTCAGAACTTCTTCGACTTAAGGATCGCAAAGACTCTGGCTTCCTATTATCGCCTACCCATGAGGAGGAGATCACGTCTCTGGTAGCCTCGATGGTCCACTCCTACAAGGATCTTCCACTCAGACTCTATCAGACAGGTCGCAAGTACCGCGACGAACGACGACCAAGACAAGGCCTTCTCCGTGCAAAGGAGTTTATGATGAAGGATCTCTACACCTTTGACTCGACGGTTGAAGCTGGACTTGAGACCTACAAGTCTGTCCGTGAAGCGTACAAAAACCTCTTCGACGAACTCAAACTCCCCTACCTTGTCGCAGACGCCGACTCAGGCAACATGGGCGGCAAGCTAAGCCACGAATACCACTTCGCCTCCCCTAAAGGCGAAGACAACGTCTGGTCCTGCTCCTCGTGCTCATACGTCGCCAATGAAGAACTAGTCGAGAAAAAGACCTCCGACGTCTCATCCGACAACCCTCTCACATTCACCGGCATCAGCGTAGACCGCAAGACCGCCATCACAATCACCATCCCGCGACCTGCAGACCTCGCACCCTCCGCCGCCCCAACCTGGGACCAAATCTCCGCACACGCAAATCTACATGCCCTCAAGAAAGCTACCCCCTCCCCCACAGAACTCGACACCGGCATTGAATCCGCAACCCTCACCACCCTCCTTCCCAACACCACCTCCCAACTCACCATCACCGACCGCGCCCTCTCCTCCGCCCCGGACGCCCTAGATCTAACCCCCACGCACGACGGCGCCGCCTGTCCACACTGCGCATCCGGCACCCTGAGCACCCAGAAAGCCATCGAAGTAGCCCACACCTTCCACCTGGGCACACGCTACTCCGAGCCCCTCAACGCCGTGGTCTCGCTCCCCTCGGCATCTAAAGACACCCAGTGGGTGCCCATGCAGATGGGCTGCCACGGCATCGGCGTGTCGCGACTGATCGGAGCGATCGCGTCGCTGCTCGCAGACGGCACGGGACTGCAGTGGCCACGCGCAGTGGCGCCGTTCGAGGTCGCGGTTGTGGCGGGGCCGCAGGGCAGCGAGGCGGAGAGCGAGAGCGTGTACGATGTGCTGCGTGCGGGCGAGGGGGATGTGGTGCTGGATGATCGCGCGAAGGGGCTGGGGTGGAAGTTGAAGGATGCGGATCTGATTGGGTATCCGGTTGTAGTGGTGATGGGGCGGGGCTGGAAGGACCGTAGGGTGCTGGAAGTGCAGTGTCGTAGACTAGGGGTCAAGAAGGATGTCGAGCTTTCTGCATTGAAGGAGGAGGTGGAAGCGCTGCTGGGGCAGTTGTAGGTTTGCTGGTGTGTATCAATATGTACATCTCTGTATTATAGTCAGGAGGAAGCATATCAAAGCTGTCTTATCGTTGGCGATTTGTTGAGATCCCTACAACTATCGGACAGATCGCGTGATCGGCTACGTACTGTACCAAGGTAGCAATAGACAAGTCACTTGTAATCATTGTTACCCTGCAGGACGTCAAACCAGATGTCTCAACTAGCCAGTCAGAGGCCTTCACTTGGTGGAAGAGGGGAGAGTCCGCACGTTCTCACAAGCACCAATATGAACACTGTAGCAAAGGCCCCAATGTGTAGTAATTTTACTTTTGATTCATTTTGTATCTGGACTCGTATCGTGTCGAAATCCACGGGTATCATGAGGGACGATCTCCCAAATATGCACAAGCACCGTATCATCTCAAGGCGACTGACTAAGATCAGGCCAAGGAGCGGGCTAAAAGCAATCGCACCGAAAGCTGACGAATTCGAGGTTGATGGAAAAAAACAATATCGCGACAAGTAATCGATCTGCTGACGCCAATGTACCCATATGTGTTTGTAGGAATGATTCATACCTGCATCGCTGCGCATTAAAGGTGAAGTAAAAGTTGTGTGGTTGTGCTGGGGCGTGGCGTTTGGTAATCGTATCGGCCGTCGTTCTGGTAGCCCGCCCAGCGTGGTATAAGGTCTGTTCTCGTGACCCGTTTTTCTTGTGAACGTAGAATGGAAAATATCGAACGCGCCCGGGTAACGCCTGCTCGAGAATTCAAAATCCCCTCTAGAATGACGAATGTGCGAAAAATTAGGATCAAATGTTGTGTCACCGCCGCACACCGCCCACTTCGACTGAATGTGCTGTTCGTTCAAATTGTGTCTTCCGCCTCTTAAAGCCCCCTCGTGCGCCATCTTCGCCTGTCGAGTCTGTTGCAAAGTCGTCGCCGTAGCCTTCGCTGTAGCCTTGGTAGGAGTCTTCGTTGTACTGCCGTTTCGAGCCTGACCTCTCCGGTCGTCGCGGTAACCCATGGGTGTTGCTTGGCGTCGGCGCTGATGACGGAAGCGGTGTCCGAGCCTGAACATCGGCAGCAGGCTTTGGGCGGAGAGTGTCGTCTGTGCCAATATATGCTTTGTACTTGGAGGCATCTGAAGCCGGAAGCGCACCAGGGCCCATGCCTCCAAAGGCACTGTCAAGAAGACTGCTGAAGTCGGGCTCTAGGGCAGTCCGCTCAGTGTTCAGTTTTCTCCAAGGCTCCTTTCCAGCATTGACTGCATCCCAATGTTCGTCTGGCAGGCCCATAGTGGCGCTGAAAACTTCATCCATCTTCACCGCCTTCGGCTTGCCCGCAATCTGCAGCGTCTTGATGTGGCCTTCATAGGACTTGCGGAGCTTATTAATCTTCTCGCCCGTCGTGGGGTCCACTCGTGCAACAGACTTTGCTAGTCTTTCTAGACCGTACAGTCGGAAAAGATTTTGCGTGCCGTGCGGTCGCGACTGGTGGTAAGTGTCGTCATCACTCAGAAACAGCAGACTGCCGCTGATTCCCTCTGCAGCCTTCAAGCCTCCCTTTTCCGAGAACAGCGCCTGCCCTTGCCGATCGTGGTTCGACTGTGTACTGATTCCTAGGCCGCGTGCAGTCTCTTCTGCGCCGTCCTCCATCATCGCGTCGCCGTCGCTGTCGATGTTTGTCGAGTAAGAGTGGCCTGTGGTGCTCGCGGGAGTGGGAAACGGGTGCTGGGCCGAGGCCGATGTCGCCGCCTGCGAGGCCGACTGGGACAGGGTCGCAGACGGTGGCGGGGTCTTGGCCGGGGTCGCCGCGGTCGCAGTCACGGCAGAGCGGCCATTGAACTGCGAATTCATTGAGGCACAAGGAGGCGAGGTCGGGGTGCGCGGTTGGGTGGGCTTTGTCGTTTGGCCGCTCGCCTTGGCAGCGACGTCAAAGGGCGGGGAGGCCGGCGAATATCTTCCAGAGTTGTCCAGGCGTTGGCGTTTCGCGCTGTGATCCGACATGAAGACCGTGTAGGAAGGGAGTAGAGCGGCAGCGAAGGGCTCGTAGGCGGCAGGGTGAGGCTGGTGGTGAGAGCGCAGCTCGTAAGAGGCTTGGCGCTCCACGCGGACTAAACCGCTAAAGTGAGGGTGGGCGGCGCTTCAGGCGATGCGCATTCGAAGGTGTCGTCGGACGGTGTGGCTGCTGGTGAGTGCGCAGGATTTGCAGGGCGCGGGCGGCGGGCGGGGTGTGGTGAGGTGAGTGACGGCGTTGACCTGCAGACGGAAGGAAGGAGCGCCCACGGGTGGTCGGTCCTTGCGTCACGTGCAAGCGCGAAGGCGTCGAGCATCGCCCGTTTCACCGTTCACGCTCAAACAATCGCAAGCGCTCCGCCAGCCTTGGCTTCCCGTGCGCTCGCGCCCAATGCCCGCGCCGCTCGGCCAGTATGGATGACCGCACCGCCCGCGCTGGCGACGCCGCCCGCAGTGCCAGCACCACAACGGGCCCTGCAGCGCGTCCCTTGCCCTCGACCACCGCGAACCCCAGCGCGCCGAAAGTGGTGCAGCCGAAGCCGCAAGCCCTGCCCTCGCGCTCAGGCCCCAGCTCCATCCTTGTTTCGCCGCGCCAAAAGGGCAATCCAATCTTAAACAACGTCAAGTCGACCGCCTGGGAGTACTCAGACATCCCAGCCGATTATGTTCTGGGTGCCACAACGTGCGCGCTGTTCTTGTCGCTCAAGTACCACCGCCTGCACCCCGAGTACATCTACAACCGCATCCGCGACCTGAAGGGTCAGTATGACCTGCGCATCATCCTGACCATGGTCGACGTGGAGAACCATGAGGATTCGCTGCGAGAGCTGTCGAAAACGTCGCTGGTTAACAACGTCACCATCATGCTGTGTTGGAGTGCACAGGAGGCGGGCCGCTATCTGGAGCTGTTCAAGACGTTCGAACATGCTGCGCCCACGAGCATCCGCGCTAAGCAGTCGTCTACCTACGCAGAGAATATGGTCGAATTCATCACAGTGCCACGCGGCATCAACAAGACAGACGCCGTGGGCTTAGTGTCCAATTTTGGCAGCATTCGGACTGCAATTAACGCAGGACCAGAAGAGATCGGCTTGATCGCTGGTTGGGGTGACAAGAAGGTGCAGCGCTGGTGCAACGCAGTCAAAGAGCCCTTCAGGGTCAAGAAGGCTGCGAAAAGAGGCCTGACTCGGGAGAGCACTCAAGTAGACCTTTCGAGAGACACTTCCATGGCACAAGGTGAGAGCCAAATGCCAGGAGAGCCTGATGTTCAGGCAATGGCACGTCAGAGACTCGACGATGCAGTACCAGTAGCTCTTGAGATGCAGCAGGCTACAGCGACGTCAGCCGCAAACGCAGGCGCAGACGCAGACAGGCGGCCTGACCACCGGCCGGCTGAAGTCTTGAATGATTTCGAAGACGACGAAGACGCTCTTCAAGAGATCGACCGTGCACCTGAACCTGCTACTGCTAGACCTGCGAAGCGCAAGCAGGCTGAGGAGGACGTCAGCGAGGGTGTCATGGCAGCGCTAAGCAAACTGAGAAAACAATGACAAGTTCTGCGCATCATCAATGCACGACCAGATAGTTCACACTCCTGCAGTCGTTCAGACCTTTCACCTTCACACCCTATGCTCACACTGCGCAAAACCTGACTAGCGCCACCACTATCAGTTAGCGTGCTTCCCCACACTTGAACAGCTGGCAGCTGCCTGCCTGACGTCTTCCACCTAACAAACATTGCTGAGCAGCAACTTGCGTCTGGCTTATTGAAATCGACATGCCTTTTGAATCGTTACCCTCAGAAATTCAGATCGAGATCTTTAGTTATCTTCGAGGCTCAAACCTGAAGGCTGTACGTGGGGTTTGTCGTGCCTTTCGAGACAATGCTGAGCCTACTCTGTTCCGATATGTCATTGCGACAGCACGGTACCAATCGCTTGGAGCCTTCCAAAAGATATCATTGTTTACGGTGTTTCAAAAGCATGTTAGGGAAATCATCTTTGACGGTTCTGTGTACGACCAACTACTCGCGAGACATGAACCATCCTACCACGCACACGCTGCTAGGGTACCTAGCCTTGAACAAGGCTTTACTTATCACAAGCATGGTCGGTACGTACCGCAACTCCTGGGAACCCTGACTACATACTGAGTGGTGCTAGATGGAAAAGATATGCTCAACTCTACAAGGAACAAGAAGAGATGAAGAGCGACGGCGTGCTCGTCCAAACCATCTCTCGGGCCTTAGAGTGGATGCCAAACATCACATGTATTACTTACTCACCACACCCTCACCATCTTCGCACTGAGCTGAAGGAAACGCAAGACTTGGTCCCGAGAGGTGTCACAACCTCATCCACGACCAACTACACGTCTTCTGAACACCCTTTTCGCCAACTCATTGCTGCACTGTACATGTCCCAGTTCACTGGAATCCGCGAGTTTAGAACAGAAGCCATTGGCAAAGAACCTGGCACCGAGTTCGCTCTCGACATCTTCAATCTCGATGACAATGAGATGGTAGCTGCTAAGTTTCTCTTTCAGCACCTTGAGAAGCTTGTGCTCAGTATGGCGCTTTGGGTGTCCAAAGACGATAAGTGTGGCGAGATTATGGACAAATTTGCTACGTTGGTGCGTACTTCTACAGAACTGCGATATCTCCACTTCCACCCTACGCATTGGAAGCCAGAAATGGGCGTTCGGCCTCTCTTCGCTAACCTTGGACTGCAAACAACGTGGCACAAACTGCAATCTTTGAGCTTGAAGTATGTCCTTGCGGACGATGATGAGTTCCTAGGGATCATAAAGCGTCACAAGAAAACCCTGGTCTCCGTCAGGCTCAGCAATTGTAGTCTTTCCAAGGGCCTATGGGCTGATATTGTTGACGAGGTCGTTTACGGCACCAAGATCGATCAATTCATCTTGCACCGCGTGAGCGAGAGAGATGTGCCCAACATCCCTCACTTGTCGCTGGGCGCATCAGAGAAGGAGCTTTGGAAGTACGAAGGCCATCTTACAATGACGAAAGATGGCGACCGCAATTTTGTATGTCGAACACAAATATGCCGCGATAGGGCTGACCTTCTCAGATCGACAGCAACGCTGCGAAGAAGTCTGTATACGAATCACGAGAATAATGCCCAACTTTCATGAAAGATACAAGTTAATAAGCGAACGGACTCGACAACCGTACAATTGGTATTGATTCTCATTGAATTACGAGATTCCTTTGGAAGCTTGGTAGAGCGCTGAACCCACAACGCTCGAAAACAGAAAACCGGGTAGAATTGTGGCAACAACAATGCAATGAAGCGCACTTGTATAACAAACTTCTAGTCGAGCTGCAGCGTCTCTTGCCAGAGTATGTGGCTAGCTTCCAAAACAGCTGGCTTCGACGTGACATCTCTTGCGCAGCTGAGTGAATCACTGCATGGTTGAGGATGATTGTAGAGGCAGGTGAACAGAGCATCAGCTTGACTTATGCGATGACAAGTCGCAAGCTTATAAGAGATTGCAGGTTAGTTGTCAGCTTGGCATTGGTGAAAGCTAGTGAAGTGAGGTTGCTGTGCGACCGTTTGTTGGCAGCCTACTTCGTAAACTATCTCTAGACTTTTCCAAACAAACGATTTTTTGTCTCATCTTCCACAACCATACTGGACAGATTCGCGATGCCATCCCTACGCAATATACCCCAGCCTGGCCTGTTCTGGGAATATGCTTCGAATTCCCCGCACAAACAGCCGATGTGGACGACTGAGCCGTGCATCGATACCATCCGAAACCTCGCAATTGAACATCTGGGTATCGACGGCGAATGCAAGGTCACCCCGATGGAAGAAAAGCGCGATGACATAAGGAGCAAGAAACTTTTCCGGATCGAATGCGAGCGAGGCAGCTTCATCTTCAAAGCCATGCTTCCTCTTGCGCCTCAGTCAAAGACTTTGAGTGAAGTAGCGACGCTCTCATTCGTTCAAGGGAAAACCAGCATTCCTGTTCCTAAAGTCATCGCTTACGATGCGAACCTGAACAATAGCCTAGGCTTCGAGTGGGTCCTACTAGGAGGTGTCGACAACTTTCACCGCCGACTGGACGATTCCTGGCGCGAGCTTTCTCGGCTCCAAAAGCATCAACTCATCGGTCAGATCGCAGACTATGTTGTGCAGCTAATGCAAGTCGAGCTTTCAGGCATCGGTAGTGTGTTTCGCTACAACCTGAGAAGCCACAGTTCCGAAGCCCCAGAAGACTTCACCTACGTCACTGGCGAAGTAGTCTCACCTGAGTTCTTCAGAGAGAACCGTATTCAGCTCGCCCTCCATCGCGGTCCATACCAAACCAGCTCTGAGTACATCGCCGCCCACATGGAGTTTCTGATGCACGAAAACGCTGCCATGCGCACTTCCAGCAACGCCGCGGTCCAAGCACAAGCAACCCGCACCCTCAGGATCGCGCACAAGATCAACATGGTGGTAGAAAAACTCTTTCCTTCCTTTGACGCAGAACCTACCTTCATTAAGCCGAACCTTGATAAGTGCAATATCTACATCGACGCGTCCGACAGCCTCGCCGGCATCCTGGACCGGTCCTCCGTTACCGCAGTTCCACTGTGGGCCTTTTGCGACACGCCCTGCTTCCTCGACGGCGCGGCGTTGAACCCCTATCTCGAGCTCGTTATCGAGCTTCTGCTCCCTGTTGAGGAGCGGAGGCAAGTGGAGCGAGTCGAGGAGCACGAGAACGAGCAGCTTCGCAGCCTCTTCGTGCAGCAAATGCGGGAACTTGCGCCGAAGTGGGCAGCGTCGTATGAGAAGGATAATTTGGAGAGGGATGTGCTTGTTGCGGTTGATTATGCGGATGAGGGAATGTATGGAAGGCGGGTGATGGGGTGGTTGAATTGTGTGTTGGAGGGCAGGGTGCCGAGGAGGGGACTAGCGGCTGCGATTAGCAATCCGTTTCCGAGGAATCAAGAGGATACTGAGGCGTATCAAAGGGGCGAGGAGCTGGTAGAGGCTGCAGATGTGGAGTAGCGGAGGAGTGGGCGCGGGAAGTGGTTCTTTGCTTCTTACATGGTCAACAGTACGACTTCGCGCCTATGAGGCCGACTCTTTAAAAACATACAAAAATATGATTTTAAATCATGAGTCGTTCTCTGAGTATTGTATGGCTTAATTTGCTGTGGTTATGCATGTATGTTAATATGTCCAACACTGCGACACTACTAACGGTATTGGTGCTTGCCACAAAGGCTCGTGACTGGCTATACATATTTGGTTTGATAGATGTCACAGTCTGAGAGACACATCTGACAGTCTGGCAGTAACGTGGAGTCTAACGAATCACAAGCTACATACCTGTCTTCAGTACCACGGTTCGCACTCTGCTATGCCACACTAAGGGTTCGCGCTTGTGGCAAGCGTTATCAGCAATATACAGAAATACCAGCGTAAACCACAAAGTCCTTCTCATACTTAGTCTCGTACTGCTTACTTTTCTGTGGCTATGCATGCACGTCAACGCTGCGACTCCACCAACAGTCTACACACGACAAGCCTTGCGCTGCCGACCCAACCGCCTGGTCATTTCCCCAGGTCTTAGATGCGAGGCCCAGATGCGCTTAGCCTTGGGTCCAGGGTACCGAGTCCAAAGTCCAACAGCGCAAAGCGCTGCGTATAATTCGGAAGTATTGCGCACTCGGTCTCGGATTTAGTCCTTGCGGGCGCGCTATAGTTACTTGCTCTCCAGCGCGAGGAAATTGTCTGGGTCGCCTCAATCGCGCGAGGCCACTTGCTCGTATATAGCGGAGTTTGCGAGTGAGGTGGCAGCGGATGCGTCACTACCCGCTGCATGTTTCAGGCGAGACATTTGGGGGCCGTTTGCCGTCAGACGGGGGCCTGACAACGCCGATTCGGAACGGGGGCATGCTCCAGGGGAACAACGGCTACAGCGACAAAGACGTGGAAGGCATAGGATCAACAAATGCGCTTTATTGTACTGTACAAGCTGAGATGCGTTTGTGCATCGTGGAAGCGAATGGGTATAACGATGAAAGCAAAATAAATCTGGATCGGGAGGGAATAGGGGACCGGCTGCACATCCACGGTACTCCATCACCACCAGTCTCTGTCCTTAGTCTGATGTTGTGCGAACGATTTTCGGGACCGGTATTGTGGTGTCGATGGGCGTGACTGCGTAGTAGCGGACACTTGACGCACTCGTGCTCCGCGGCCTCGTCACTCGCGAGCTGTCCGAGGCCGGGCTTAGCATCATTGTGGCGAGTGAATTGTTGCTGTTCCTGCTCATCGCGCTGACACCGCTGCCTACGCTTGCGACAGGAGCTGGGGACTGGGTGGTGACATGCAGAGACGGGAGTTGTGCAGGCTCAGGGTTGGCGCCCTGGTATGCTGTGTCGTGGTCTGTGTGGTCGACGTACACCGTGACGCTGCTGGCGCGCTCGCGGCTGAACATGCTCGATTTGCGCTCGTCGCCTTCCAGGAGACTCTCTTTCGCGGGGATCGACTGGACCATCTTCTTCTTTTGTCGGTGCTTGTAGACCATGAAGGCTATCACACCAATGACGACTCCCAGAGCGAGGACACTGGCAACGACCGTGAACGCGATGTTTCCGGGCTTCCAGTAGTTCCCATCGGATTTTGACGTCGCTGAAGGCTCAGCGGTGAGGCTGTTGTTCACTGGTGTAGGAGCCATAGCAGGAGATGAGAATGATGAGAGTATCGGTCCAAAGAGAATGCTGGTGCAGGAAGGTCGAAGTCCGAAGTACTGTTATGCGACGTATATACTGGAGGCTGAATGGCTTGCTTTATGGAACACAAGATATAAAATATAGCATGCGGAGCTGAAACGCCTTCGAAGTCCGGTACTGGGATCAACTTATCGTTGCTGCTTTCGGGTTCTTGTTGAAGAGTAAGTAAATGCTCGGCCGTCAGGCTAGAGTTATAACTTTCCACAAGATGAGACAGATCGTGCATCAACCCGTTGCCTCCTAGTTGTGGTGGTGCACTTCTAGGCAGGCGTCCAACTTTGCTCATCTTAGACTGGAAGAACGAATGCTCAGCCTCAGCCATTGTGGGGGAATGGGCCGTCCGACTCATGACAGCTCGAACGCCATTTGCGCCCCTGCTCTGTTTCCATGTGGGCTGCGAGGAGCCAAGAGAACGTGGACAAATAAGCAGAGACATTCAATCGAATAAGCGACGGACTTGGTGCAGATGCAGGATATGGAGCCTACCAGATAGCAGTGGCACAGACCATTGTAATGGAGGAAGGCTCTAGCACTGAGTCTATCTTGCAGAACGCGAACTTGCATGCGTCTGGACCAGTCACAGTGTCTTACGGATACGCGTGCGAGCCACAGCTATTGCGTTTGCCGAATCCAGCTGGCCGGCTGAGTGTCCGTTCAGCTCGTGATACCGTGATGTCAAATCGGCTGTCACTGCGAAAGCTCCTCTTGTGTAGTCCTCAACTCCCTCCGAGAGACAATTGAATCCGTCTATCCGGGGTATGCTTGCTACGACACAAACTCTGCTTGAGCGTTGTGAAATGGCCCACAGTGAACGTGCGCACAGCCACATGCACTAAACGAAATGACAGAAGCAACATGATTCGACGGAGGTGGCAGTTAGCCTTACGATGTCAGGCTACTACTCTGAATCTGCCTGATGAAATGGGTTTTGGCAGGCCTGATTGACCGTTTGTGCAAAATGTGAAATCCGTCATGCCAAAACCGCTCTGGTGAAGCAGCAGCTCGGCGAGACGGGTGACGGAAGGCCAGATCCTGCAGCCACGTTTTGTGTTGACCGCATGAGTGGCCTGCTCTTCGATGCATCAACCTGCCGGCGGCTCTGCGGTCATGAGTGGCGATGCAGCATGTGCTGGTTGGTGCTGTGAGGGCCAACGAAAATGGTGTTGGAGTGAGGCCCGCAGCACCCGTCATGTCGTTGTTTGGTACCCTTGCTCCTTCGCGTCGATCCGCCCCCACTTTGGGCAAGCTATTTTTGTACCTCCACACCGCAATCCGCAGTCACGACGGCTCGCTCAAGCAACGACAAGGCTTCCAAGAACCATTGAGGTGGTGACGGAAGTGAGAAGTCTATTCTGGTATCTTCATCTAGACTACCGGCAGCCAGGCGGCTGGCTCGCTAATGAGGCTGCACAACGACGTCTTCCATTACTCCACCACCTACTCTTTCGTCACCTCTGCATCTTTAGTCTTCCGACCTTTGGACGATGCTAGCTCGTAATCCAAAAGCTCTTGCTCATATTCATGGAGCATATCCCCAATGCCAGGAGCGGCACCATGTTCTTCCATTGTATCCAGCCATTCATCGATGATACTAGCGTTCGACTTGTCATTGAGGGCTGCAACGACTTCTTCGAAGGTAGCTTTCAACTTGCTGTTTTGGTATACCTCAACCCATTCTGGGCACTCGCGTTGCATCTGCTCCAGGAAGAAAACTCGTAGTCGCGTCTTCTCGTACTCTACCAAGTGTTCGTAGTACATGACGTTGAGCTCTTCTGTGCCATCATCCAGGACCTCCTTCATGTACTTATCAGGGTCAGGACATACGTGCCGATTGAGCTCCGTTTGCAAGAACTTCGGAAACTCGCACGCAGCCCAGAGCGGTACGGTTGATATGCACTCCCAGTCGATGATGCCGGAGAGTTCGTGGTCGTCTCCCATGAATATGTTTTTCGCGTGTAGGTCATGGTGGTGCAACACGAATGCTTCAGGTCCATCGGCAGGAAAAGTCGCAGGCAACAAATCCATGAGACGCTGAACTCGATGCTTGATGGCTGCTGGGGTATTTTCGGGATCTGGCTTATCATCCGAGTTGTCTGAATCTGAGTCGTTGTCTGAATCCGACATGACTGCCACGGGATCGTCTACAGCCAGGGAGTGCAGGCGAAGGACTGTACGGAGCCAATCTTGGCTGCTGCTGAAAGGACCTCGATCCACATCAAGCTTTAGGTTGTTGCCCCAGAAGAATGGCATCTGAATAACACTCCCCAGGCAGAACTCGTTATCAAGACTGAAGCAGTCATGACCACAGTCAAGCACGATAGCTTCAGCGGCGTATGTCGGGCCTAGTCGCTGCAAGTCTGCAGTCTTATACAAGCTTCCCATACGACTGAAGCGTTTGCCAAAGAGTTGCACAAGACCCAAAACGATCCTCCGTACCAGGAGTTCCTTCTCAAGCCAGGACATCGATCCCCACTGCGCATCAAGCTCTGAGCCAGCAACATAGTCCACAAGCATCCATTCAAACCCCAGCCTACCCCCGCCCAACGCATCGAAGCCCAGGACCCCAGGAACCGGGATATCGGTGTACAGCCGCACGTACTGCACAGTCGCAACCTCGCTCAGCGTCTTGCGCTGCGGTTGGACAGGGACAGGGACGCGCATGACGCAGCGCGTGTCCGGGCCACACTGCACAGTGTACACCTTGTTGAGCGCGCCGGCGGCCAGAAACGCGACGGAGCAGGAAAATGCGTCGGCGATGTTGAGCTCGCGACGAGCGATGTGCGCCATGATCTCGGTGTCTGGCTCCCGAGCCCAGACTATTCTCAGGTTGCCGAGCCAATCGTACACCCATCCAAGAGCAGCCTGTACGTCCATGGCAACAGAGGCTGGTACTCTGACGGCCTCTTGTTGACTCTGTGGGGAGAGGTCTGGCATCGCGGTTTCGGTGTTGGGTGCTGGCGTGTAGGTGAGCAGAGTGAGAATGAGTGAAAAGTTAGAGACAGGGAAATGTGCGTGGTCTGCGCGCGAGACAAACGGCGAAAGCGGCATGGTGACCAGAAGCGCTGACGAGACTTAAAATGGCTTGTTCACTACTTTGCACGTATTGTGAGGACACTGTAAGTTCCTCACCACCATATCTTTCAAAATTCACGAAGATTGTAAGTAGTGTGTGATACCTATTCTATTATTTGGTAGAGGATACTGTCTATCAGTTGGCTACAAAAGTGTACGTGGTACTGATCATTTGGGTACGACTGTCCCTCGAGAACGAGCACAGCCGTACAGCAAATTCCTTCAGGTACCATCCCCCATGAACACACTTAAGCAACGTGCTCACGCCTGACCCATCCAAGCTCGGAAAGGAAGGGGCTCCCGATCGTATTTGATGTGCTTCAACCACAGATCAAAGTCGTAGGTCCCACCTTCCGGAACAATGTCGATGGCGAAGTCGAAGTCAGCCTTGACCGCTCCCGCCTCGTGTGCCTGGATCCACTCAGGACAGACCCTCCCCATCTCCTCCAGGAAGAACTTTCGAAGCTGCAACTTCTCGTACTGTGCGATGCGATGCCAATAGTCTCTCTCGTAGCTGTCGTCTTCGAATTCAGTCCTGAAATCAGGTGGCTTGCGCTGGTCTTCACCGAGTAGGAACTTGGGTATTTGACAGCCAAGCCACACGGGTACCGTGTGCACGCACTCCCAGTCAATGATGCCGGAAATGTTGTGGTCCGAGTCAACGAGGATGTTGCTCATGTGAAGGTCACCGTGGTGAAGCATGTACTCTTCGGGCTCCTCTTTGGGGAACACCTTCGGTAGCAGATCGATCATACGCTGAATGCGAGAGTATCTGAACGTCTTGGTGACCAACAGATGTTGATCGGTTTCTAGTATGTCACTTTCGTCGTCGGACTCATCAGAGTCGTTTTCTTCGTCTTCGCTAGAGGTCACTTCAACATTGGTCTCCATTCTCTTTTCCTCGTTATCTGACAGCTGCTTTTCGTCGCCTACTGCTTCTTTCGTCTCGTCTTCGTCTTCGCCTTCATCATCGCTCCAGGCAGGCGCATTGTCGACCTGCGCGACAGCAATCTGAAGGCGAGCCGCAAGCCAATCCTGGCTATGTCTATATGGACCGCGAGCAACATCCAGCTTCCAATTGTCATGGTAGAAAAGCGGAATAGACACAGTCTGACCAAGAGAGTACTGCGTCGAGCCATCTTAATGTTCGTTGCCCAGTAGCGTCGTATCAGGAATATCTTTTGTTGGCAAAGCCTGGAGCCGGCTGGTCAGGTAAAGATTACCGAGTCGAGGAAAACGCTTGTGGAAGAGTTGCACCTGGTGCTCGATGACCTTGCGTACCAAGAGCTCCTTCTTCATCCAGCTCATGTGACGCCACTGGTCGCTCAGCTTAGAGCCCGGGACGCGTTGCATGATCATCCACTCAAAACCAAGGTCGTTGTCATTTCTGGCTTCGCTTGCGAAGACTTGAGGCGCTGGCAGCTCGGTGTGCTGGCGAATGTAGTTGATAGTGGCGTGCTCGCTCAAGGTCTTTAGTCGCGGCTGCACTGGAAGTGACACACGCATGATGCAGTCTTCTTTGCCATTGCAATGTACTGCGTACACTTTATTGAACGTTCCCTGGGCTAGGAACTTAACTGAGCACGCGGAGCTGTCTGGAACCTGTAATTTTCGACGAACGATCTTGGTGATGGCGTCGACGCTCGGCTCGATCACCCATTGTGGGCGCATCTCTTCCCAGAACCCTTCTGGCTTCCAAGTTAGCCCGGCACGGTCGTCCATCGTAGGTGAAACAGGAGGCGTCGCTTTGGAGGTTCTTCTCAGGTATGGCGGTTGGTTTACTGCACGTCGGTCGTTTGAGTGAATGGGTGTTTGCTGGGAACACGTAGAGCAAACTCTGAGTATCAAGTAGAGTGATTGTCACCAAGCGTAGACATAAAGACCCCCACAGACCCAAGACATCCAAGTCGTTAATCGAGCGTAGACACAAGTGACTACCCAAACATCCCCACTATCCACAGCGACCTGTGATACTCACGTCGCCACGGCGTATATACACACTGTTGCGCGCCACGGTGACTCCAGGCTTTATGTCTGCTTCGTAGTCTCGCAGACTCGTGGGCTGTGGACACCGTAACACTGTCGTGTCGCGACAGTGATCACACGAACGAGCGTGGTAGGGTGGTGCTGGGTTCCAGTCAAGCGTTTCTTGCGCTTGCCGGCAGCAGGCACCGGACTGCTTCGAGACGACGAGTGTATAATATACGCTCCGGGGCCGCGCTGTGAGATAATGCGGTGAAGTACTGCGGTGTTTGGGGCTGGGGTTGTGTGTGCGAAATGCAATGATGCTGTCTATGCTACGGGATGGCCTGCTACAATATATACATATACATAATCCTACACCATCATACCATACTCTCACACTTCCCGTCTCCCACTCTCTGCTCCGACTCTCCAATCCATTCACTTACCCACCTTCCCAACCGCCTCCCCAACCTCCTTCACCGGCGCCGCAACATCCACCTTCGGCGCCTCCCCACCGGGACCTTGCCTCCCCAGCGCCCCCGTAGCCCTCAAATACCCCGCCGTCGCGAACCCAACCGCCATGCCGCCAAAATGACTCGCATTATCCGCGGTGCCAACGCCCTTCCTGAGCGCATTCCGGATCTCCAGCAGTACGAAGGCAGCGAGCAGCATCTTGGGCCAGAAGCTGACCTCCTGGTCTTTGACGAAGGGGATTTTAATAACTTCGGCATCGGTGCAGAGACAGAACAGGGACGCCACGCCCCAGATAGCCGCGGACGCGCCGACGGAGTGCGCGGTGATGACACCGCGACCGACGTTGGCCCAGTACAGCGACGCGAGCGTGCCGATGGCGCCCGCGCTCATGTACGTGCCGACAAACACGCCCCGGCCGACGAGGTCGTGGCACGCGGGCGTCACGAGCGCCAGGAACAGCATGTTGCCGAGGAAGTGCTCGTACTGGACGTGCGAGAAGACGTTGAGCAGGGCCTGGACGGCGCGCGGGGCGCCGGGGACGTGCATGAAGTAGCGGGTGAGCAGGGGCCAGAGGGGCATGACGCGCCAGGCAAGGAAGACGGCGGTGTTGGCGGCGAGCAGGGCGGCGAGGGTCGCGGTCGAGGGGGAGATGTCGGGGAAGAGGCGGTAGGCGGGCGACGGCGGGTTGTAGTAGTGTGCGAAGCCCCAGCTGAGGAGGGTGACGAGGAGCACGAAGGCGGTCATGGGGTAGAGGCGTTGGGCCTGGGGGGGTCAGTGTTGGAAGGTCAGAGTGGAGGTCAGAGTGAAAGGGCAGAGTCGAAGGGGTCAGAGTGAAAGGGCAAAGTCGAAGGGGTCAGAGTGATAAGAGGAGGGGGAGAAGACTTACGAGGGTGGTCGAGGACAGCATCTCCTGCTCGCTCTTAAAGGGCGTAGCGGCCTGGGCCTGGTAGCGTTCGCGCTCCTCACTGCGGCGGCTGACCTGCTCGTTGCCAAAGACGTCGACGTAGGTGGTCTGGTGCGGCTTCATGAGCTGCTTGCCGCTCGGGGTCTTGACCCACTCGCCGGTGGCCAGCTGGGCCTCCATGTCCTTCTCGCGCTGCTCCTTGAGCTCGGCCTTGCGCGTAGCCTCGGCCAGGCGCGCGCGGCGCTTCTCCTCGATGTTGCGCTCGAACTGGCTCTTGCCGACGTGCAGGATGCCGATCTTCTGGTCGTCGAAGCCGGCCTGCTGGCGCTCGGCCTCCTCCTGGGCCAGCTTCTCGCGGAAGGCGCGCGCGGGGTCCTTGTACTTGGACTCGGTCTCCGGGTCGGCGAGCCACAGCTCGTAGGCGATGCGGTTGGCCTCCTTCTCGGCCCACTGCTCGGCGGCGACGGCCTCGTCGACGGGGTGCTTCTCGCGCAGGTACTCCAGGCCCTTGAGCGCCAGCGCGCGCGTCACGTGGGCGTACTGCGCGCCCAGGTTGTCGACGCCGTAGTCGGCCAGCGAGCCGGCGGTGCGGCGGTGGTGCAGGATGCGCAGCACGTTGTTGCCCTCGGCGGGCGTGAGGCGCCGCCCGAATATGCGCCGCACCGTGTCGTCAGGCACGCGGCCGCCCGGCAGCGGTCCGATCTTGACGGTGCGCGCGGGGTGCTTCTGCTGGCGTGGGTTGGTCGGGCTCTGCGGCGTGTCGACAATCTTCGCGGCGAGCCGCGGCGTGTGCGAGAGGGCGCGGCATTGCGGGCGGGCCGCGGCGTGTCGCTGCAGCAGCGCGAGGATGGGCGAGCGGGTGGTGGTTGCTTGCGCAGCACACAGGCGCTGTGTGATGGCGCATGAGGGGCGGAGGAGAGACATCGGGTCCGTCTGCGCAGGCCGGCGCGGTCTGACGTGGGTCGCTTGCTGGCTTCTACCTCCGTGACGGCTTCGTCAAATGCCTCCGCATGCACATCGCTCGCAGCCACTGGAGCTTGTGGAGCGGCGATGGCGTCGTTGCCAAAAAGTGTTCGGCATCTCGGAGGTGCGCATTGGCCAGCTCCGCCCTGTGGAGTGCATCGCTCGTTTCATCTGGACTCCACACCATGACTATTCATCTTCGTCCGAATACAGCCAAGCAAGATATACTAGATGTAAGATTTACCAAGGCGTGTATTAACAGTTGCCCGTATCAAGTGTATAGACACAGTATGGAGTACACCTGCATCGCTCTTTCCATCCTGACTTTCACACCATGAGTGCTCTTTCCATCTTGACCTCCACACCACAACCACTCATAACACAGACATCACCGCTGCCCCTCCCTCACCTTCAGCAGCACCCCCATATTCATCCCCACAATCAGCCTGACCAAATCCCAATCCCCGCCCTCCCCCACAACATCCATAACCACCACCCCCGTCCCCCCATCCCCCTCCTTCCTCCCCCTCACGCCCTCTCCCTCTCCCACGCTCCTCCCCGGCTCCCCCGGCTCCGTCCCCGGCTCCCTCAAATGATGCCCCGCACACAGCCACTCCTCCATGCGGCGATTCACCACCAGCGCAATCTTCTCGGGCCAGCACGCGCGCCTCCAGAAATTGCTGCCGGAGAGGAAATTCAGGAACAGCGGGCCGGGCGGCACGGGGTTCTTCTCATCCGTCGTGACGCCGGGGATATGGTGCACGGCCGCAGCCGCGCGCACGAGGTGCTCGTTCGCGTACTGCGCCTTCAGCGCAATGGCCGCGGGCTCCAGCACCTCGCAGAAGTCCTGCAGGTGGAAGGCGGGCGCGGCGCGCGGGAAGAGCGCGGCGGTGCTGTTGTACGGCCACGCGGTTGCGTCGAGGCCGCTGCCGGACGAGTACATGGATGTCGAGGCCGCGGGGGTGTGGTAGCGGCGCACGAGCACGCATTTGCCGCGCACGGCGGCCAGGTAGGGGATGTTGGGCTCCGTGTACCATTTCGATGCGCTGGGGCCGATGTAGTGGTCCTGTAGGATGCGGGCGAAGTGCTCGTCGGTGGCGGAGCCAACGCCTTCGCGTTTCAGCGAGACGAGGATTGTTTCCGAGGGGTGCGTGGCTAGGAACGCGTAGCAGGTTTCTAGGATCGGGGCGAGGTACTTGGGGCCGGTGAGGCTGATGGGGAACGCGCCGTGGACGAGGTACATGTGCTTCTTGCCGGGGTCGGACGCGTGTGTTGGCTGGGCGCGGATGTCGAGGAAACGGATTCCGTTCTCGAGCTGCGTTTTGATATCTACCGACTGGCACTTCACCGAAGGAAGCGCCTTGTAGTAGGTGTGTGAGTTGTGCGTGCCTGGGATGGAGATAGCAGACAGTGGCAGCGTGTCTGGTATCTCCTGCATCCATTTCGAGTAATCTATGGCATCGTTCGCGTGAATGACCAAGTGTGGAACGGGCTGAGAGGGATGAAACAGCGCAGTGAACGTCTTCGCAGGATTTGGCAACAGCGGCGTGAATCTATGAGCAGACTTCTGCGTGTACGACGGGTTGGTATCCACACGATGACGTTCCCCGTCAGCCAGCTCTATCGTGAGCCGTAGTGTGGAATTGGAATACACCGCCTTGTCCTCATCGTGCGCTCCCGGTGCGCGGAGAGTGTACGCTTCCCAAGGCCCCAACTCGACATCCAGATCCCTGTGGTTGAACGTCTGAGCATGTTCGCCTAACTCTGGTGCCGAAGGAGATACCGAAGTCGCATTACTCGCCCCGAAGAAGTAACCCCCAGCTTTGCTCTTGGAGGTGTTTGGATCTTCAAAGCGCTCGACGCGGTTGATCGAGATTTTGTGGAGCGTCAGGTTCCGTATGGTTATCATGACTAATCGAAGCAACAGATGACTGAAAAAAGACGTGGGCTTTGCATTCGAAAGACGATATCTCTTTCCCTGTTGATCCGCGCTGTGGCTTGATAGGCGTGATGAAGTTGATGAGGAGCTGGTGAGGATGTGGTAGCCCGATCTTTTCTTCCGATCCAATGAAACCGATGCAAAGGTCGATTTGTACTCCGAATTCGTTTATATGGCGACGAATGGAGATGATGGGTTGATGTTGTCGTGAGGTTGAAGCGAGTGCCAAGCTCCGAGTCGTGCAGCCTCGTACGCGTACGAGGTACGTATGGCGGTCGTACGTAACCCTTTATATCGACACCGCGTCGAGCAACAATCAAACGAGTTCACGCAAAAATAGTCCACAGACGAGGAGAACAATAAATATCATTTGCCATGTAAAAAGCCGAAGCTAACATGGCTGCAGGAAACTACTCTGCGTCTACAAACTCCAACAGCCATCTTCCAGAAGCCCTGTACTAGTGACCAGGGCTACCCGGGTATCATGCACCTATACGATGCTGGAAGATCAATGCTCCAGGCCCTACTCATACACCCCATGACCCATGTCATCGATAAGTGCGCCGCATATGCAACCGTCTCCGTCACCTGGAGAATCCGCTAAGATAGACCCCAAACCCAATAACTCCGTCAAATGCATTTGTTCAGCATAGCAGGTTGCCCATACTATTGGGCACCGAGTCGGGCCTCACAATGTCGTTCCTCTGCGAACTAGACGAGCTAGGACGAGAGTCAGTGTTTGGTGACACAACAAATGGGCGAGCAAGCTCTTCGTAGATCTGCTCACAAGGCGTGCGGTCTTTGACTGGCGTAAACACCTCGATCTCGGGACGCACTGGCGACTGGTTGTTGCGGCGATCCGACTCCGATACTGGCTGCATCACCAGCCCTGACCTGAACTTGGTGACTCGAGCGCCTCGTGGTGTCGAGGGCGTCTCGCGCGTCGCTACTGCAGTGACCTCGGTGAGCTTCTTGGCCGGGCCTGGTTGTGTCTTCGACTTCGATGGGGGAGCAAGCTTAACGGGCGCGTCCTGCAGCTTCTTGGCTGGCTTGCCCGCAGTCTTTGTGGTCGCCTTCGAGGCCTTGAATATGCTGTTGAGCGCAGGTCCTTCCTTCTTCGTCTCTCTCTTGGCTTTGCCCTTCGCTCCTGTAGCCTTCTTCGGCGCTTGTGCTCTCTTTGCGGGACCCTTCGTTGCCAGTTGACCAAGGAGATCCATTTGCGCGCCAGACTTCCGCTTCGTGCCCTTCTTCGATGGCGTACCCGGCTCCTGCTTGACAGCGTTCTTGGGCAGCATGCGAGGACTTTGACCGGGCGTCAGCTGGCCTGCGTTGCGGAACACACCAGGCTTCTTAGGAGTGCCGACAACCACCTCAATCCTATTGCTCTCCTTAGCCTTGAACAACTCCTCGTCACTAATCTCTTTGAACTCCATCGGGTCATCCCATTTACGCATCGCAGCGTGGCGAGCAACTTCATCACATGGTCCGGTGACGACTAAATCCCACGCGTTCTTCAGATCCACACCAAGAGGTTCTGGGTCGTTGTTGATCCATACGGCGACACCGTCTTTCCTGTCGCGTACGGTGTTGCACATCTCACGGGCGATGCGGCGGATTCCAGGGACCTTGAGCGTGGTGCCGGCCACGATGACTGCATCTGGTCGCATGCGAAGATCCGTAGCAGCACAAGAGCCGATCGCTTCGTCGTCGGGGTTTTGCTCATTGTAGAGAACCATGCGAGGACGTAGACATCCAATTCCGTGAGTGCGCTTCTCTGCAGCCTGACGGACCATGTCAATCTCCACACAGCTGGGGCATGGCGGCGCGGTGGGTCCGTCAAATAGCGCGGCATCAAAAGGGTATAGCTTGTGGCATTTTGAGCAGACCATGTGATCAAGGCCTCCATGCACCTGGACGGTCTTGGGCCAAGGTCCCTTCTTTGGCAGAGGTGCCTCGGTCTTCAGAGGAGGCATTGATGTATCGATCCCGTCGACGTTCTGAGTGTAGAGCCTCATCAGACGGCCCTCCTGCGCTAACGTTGCAATGAGGTGGTGGAATGCTGTGGGTTGTGCGTTCTTTGTCTCGGTGGACAAACCGCGCACCATGGCGTGGAATGTAGCGGTGGACTGATTGTCCTGGTAGACAGACGCGTCGAAGAGATCTTTGCCAGATGACTTGAGCCCATGCTCTTTCTTGAGCGTAGTGAACAAGCCTGTCGCGGACCGAAAGTCAGGAATGCCCGCAGACACTGAGATTCCGGCACCAGCAATTACTACAATCTTGCGCTTCTTGTGCAGTACAGCGAGCAGACGCTGGAGCTGTGGCTTGTCCTCGTCGGTGATGTCTTGTGTCAGGTCAAGATAGTGGGTTGTGCGCCCGTTAGCATCTGTTGTGGGCGCGAGCTTCCTCCTCTTTGCCGGGCGCAGGTCTTCATCGCAGCTGGAAGGTGGAGACGGCATGTCCTCGGGTGCGGGGGTTGTCTTGGCCGAAGAGCGGCGCGACGAGGACGGCGAGGGCAACGATCGTGCGTGGAATTCTGGAGGTGGTGAAGGGGAGCGTGTGAGGACGGTGAGCTCAGATTCGCAGTCGGAGGGTGGGTCGGTCAGCGGCGAGCTCGGCCCGCCGTTGAATATAAAAGGCGCCATTGTGAAGGCAGGCGTTATGGTTGTGTTTGTGTTTGTGGCAGCCGGACGCGTTTGGTAGCGGCGATCGGGGGATCGTGCAGCGGGAGCCGCGAACAACGTGAACCTCAGGGATACCGCGGCACACGCTACAGTTCTATACAACACGCACGACAATAGTAGCGACAGAGTTGCGCATGGAACGATGGCAGCTCTGTACTAGTTGAAGCACTGCGGAGCCTGGGGCGTGATGGATGGGTGAGGCGCTCAGGGCGAGGTGGATGGCTGCCGTCACCGCTGGGCGTGCGGGAGGTACCGGTCGTGCAGGGCTCAAAGTCGCGGAGCGACACTAAATCATAGCGATTATTCGGAATAGCGCGAGAAAGATAGGGATGGTGCGCGCAGACGCGCTGTGGCGGTGGAGCCGGCCGTTGGCGAGGAAATGGGGTGGTTGGAGGTCGAGGTGCGATGAACGAAGAACAGAACGGGCACCGGGAGTCCTCTGAACCCGCCAAGACCTCGAACAGCACTTGAGCACGCTCCAGGGCCAAAACAAACCGAGCAAGACGGGTACGCTAGCAGGTCGACCGATTGCAGCTTTGGAAAGTCGCGGTCCAGGGCAGAGAGGTCTCGGGGGCGGGAAGCGAAGTTGGAGCATGCCCGCTGGTACTTGTTCAGCCCAACGGCAACAATGAGCCCTCGCCTCCCTTTGACTGCGCATTCAAGTGCCATTGACACGCCAGCTGACATCGTCATCGTGCGTGACAGCCAGCAGCGAAGCGGTGACATTCGCTTCGACTGACATTTATTTTGGAGAATCATCACGGCAAATTGAAGATAGGGCTTGCTTTTGTCACTATACGCATTCCTCAGTGCGCAGATGCGTGAGGGATGCCGTTTTGAAGGGTGAGTCTGGCGTGTGCAGTTCGTGAGAGCTTCGTGATGCAGGTCTCCGAGCCGACGAGGCTGCGACCCACCTCGCGTTTCGCTTACCGGCCTAGCGTTGACCCACCCTTGTCGAGTCAAACCGACGAACTCCAGCTCAGTCTTCACCCAATCGCAGCCCTGATACATTTCCTATGTTCTTTGCGTTATACCCGGCGATTGCATCGCCATAAAGTTGTTGTTTTAATAGTCGCAGGGGCATCGTCTCTTTTCATTTACTGCCACCAGCCCGCTACGTTGGCACCGTGGAGATGGACCCCAACTACAGCATGGATGTGGATGATCTCTTTGGAGACTCTGAACATGTCAGCCTACAGAACATCACCGCAGTGCCACCGGTGATAGGTCTTGCTCGCAGAGTTGATGAGCTTGGTGCGAGTGGATGCTCCCAGTAAGCTCTCAACGCAGACATCAGACCTCATCTTAACAACCAACAGGAAGATCGCATGGTCCAAAAACGGCTGCGTGGCTTACATTACGCCAGATGGCGCTGCAGTCTACCTGAAAGTCTTTTCTCGTGAGGACGAGAGTGGGAAATGGGATCTAGGCAAAGACATTGCCTTAGAATTTCCCCAAGGCCGCGAACACTTCCCCTTTGTCCACTTGTCGTGGAGCCACTTGGGGAACGACATCGCTGTTGTTGATGCAGCAGGACGTGTGCTAAATTTCTCGTGTGTGATGGCTTTAGACAGGATGCACTACATCAAGGCCGAGCTAGCACATCCAGAAGCTGAAGCAGATGGTGTGGTTGGCCTGCATTGGCTAGCGATCTATCCGTACGAGCAGAAGGTGAGAACTCCTGGATGTGTTTGTATCATGACTGACGATGAAACAGAATCATATCGCATGGTCAGCGGAGAGAGAGGGGGAGAAGTGGAAATGGAACGTTCGTTCGCACGTGTTTCACGACGCACATCACCCAATCCCTAGCAAAGCCTCGCTCATCTATCTGAAGAGGCACGGAGAGCTTATGTTGCGCTTCCAACAGAACGACAACGCCTGGCAAGAGTCATCCACCCTGCTAGGACCTATGATATCCACGCAGGAGTCGTTCACCCATGCGGCTTTTGCGTCTAACAACGGTACCTTTTGCGCTTCGATGAACGACACATTCGCTAACTTTGCACAGACGATAGCCTACTGATGGCAGCTTATGATGTCAAACGGTGTCTGTATCTTTATCGGATAGAGACCGCGTGGCAAGTTCCGCAGGAGAAGCACAACCAAAATGCCGGTCACTTCGACAAACCCAGCCTGCAAGTCTCGTTGATCGCTATCGAAGAGAACTGCGGGCCTGTCAATATGATTACAGGCAACCTCGATAACGGCGCTGAAGCGAGAGGAACAGCTCCTGCACAACTCACGCATCTCAGCTTTTTGCCCGTCACGCCTGATCCGAGTGATGACTCATTGCCTACCGTCCAAGCCATCTACTGCAGGCCTCCAAACTTGGTTCCGGTGGATCATCTCCAGCCTCAAGAGACTCCACACAGTGTTGTAGTCAGGTGGGAGGTGCATCAGCTGCAGCAAAATCAGCTGCACCCGAGCCTTGACCATGTAACGTCAAAGAAGAAGACCATCGGCTCTGTGACGGCACGAACCGTTTCGCAGCTCAAGCGAGCCGCAGACTTTCCCATGCACGCAGTCGTACTGTCGTGCGTTCCTGTGTGGTACCACATGCTCTTGGCCTTCCACTACAGCGATGGTACGATCGAGTTTCGAAAGCGGATGACTATGGAGACTCTCGTCAACGACGGCAACACGGACATGGTCACGTCGCTCTATCAAGCCGGTTTTGCCTTCCCACACGGCGAGCCATCCCTGCACATGGCCCTCTCCCCGAACTACTGCATCTCAGCCTGCATGCAGCAAGACTCCAACATCAAACTCCGCTCACTCGAGTACCAGCGCGGCACGCTCGCCCTCTCCGACGACGACCCGCGCAATCCCGCCGCCATCGCCGCCCTGATCCTCCAATCCGCCTCCTCCGCCAACCAATACTTCTCCAGCGACGACATCTTCAGCGTCATGGGCACGCTCTCCGACAAGCGCAAGAACGAATTCACCTCGCTCCTCTTCGAAGCGCTGCAAGTCAACATCGACTGCGGCGTCGACGACATGAACAACAACTACCTCATGCTTCTCGGCCGCTCGCCCTTCTTCGTCAAAACCCTCTCCGCCATGCACCTCCTCGGCCTGCGGTCCCCGACCGACCGCGACCTCAGCAGCAAAATGGCCTGGATCGTCCTCAACATCAAATACGTCACCCAGATCCTCACAAGCATCACCCGCATGCACGGCCACATCGACAAGACCCTCCTCCGCCCAGAGGTCGTGCCCCAGTTCATCGGCATCTGCCGCTGGATCATGCACTTCATCGCATACACCATGGACTCGCTCTTCGCGCTCGGCCGCGCCTTACTCGACGCCCCCGCCCCGCCCACGCCCGCCTCCCTCGCCGCCCTCTTCGCGCACCACAACAACCCCGCGGTCCTGCTCCTGCTGTCCGCGTTCCCGCGGCACATGATGAAACTGTGGTCGCAGCCGCTGGCCTGGGTCAAGCGCAGCGCCGACTCGTTCACGAACCCCGCGGCGCCCGTGCAGGCGCCGGAGATCCGCCGCCTGTACGCGCCCCTCGCGGCCGCGCTGAGCGAGATCCCGTTCGACTGGCGCTGGTTCGAGCGGCTGGTCAGCGAGACGCACGACGCGGCGCGGGCGGCGTGCAAGGCGGCGCGGCTCGACGACGGCGCGCGCAATGCGCTCGAGCAGGAGCTGCTGGTGGGCCGTGTGCCGGCTGTGTATGCGCCGCTCGCGGCCCGGCTGCTGACCACGCAGCTCTGGGACTCCGGGGCCCCGGGCGGGTGTCTGGCGGATAAGCTGGATGCAGGCCGGTTGATGTTCTTCGACACGGTGTGGTTGGGGCTGCAGGGGGGAAGGCGCGCGAAGGCGTGGCATGCTGCGCACACGGTGGATGTGTGTCAGAAGATGGTGGTGAGGGGGGTGGGCACGCAGGAGCATCCTGTGACGGGGGCGACGCAGATGGGGCGGCGCGAGGGGGAGAAGAGGCTGAGGCGGTGTGTGCGGTGTGGGAGTTGCATGGAGGATGTGACGGTCAATCAGGTGGGGTATACGCCGCATCATTTGAATTGGCTGATGGGGATTGCAAAGCATTGCGTCTGCGGGAACAGCTGGATGCTGGCACCGGAGAAGAAGGAGAAGTAGAACATGTAACCGACATATACAAAATCACTGATATAGGATTCAAGACAGAGGCTCAGTAGTTGTAAACATTTCTTCATTCATTGTCGCAGATTTTCCGCTTTTCATGTGACGCGTAAAAGGGTATAGTTTTTATCATACCCAGGACGCGCTCGTCCAGATCCCACCATCGCTCTATGACTTAGCCGCACCGGCCTTGAAGAGCACGATGTCACCATCCTCAACAATGTACTCCTTGCCCTTAGTCATGATCTTGCCCTGTGCCTTAACCGAAGCTTCATCGCCGAACTCCTTCAGCGTGGTGTAGTTGTAGACAATGCACTGGATGAACGTCTTCTCGAAGTCACCGTGAATGACGCCAGCAGCCTTGGGCGCCTTGGTGCCGTTGCGCAATGTCCATTGCCTGACCTCATCGGCGCCGGTTGTGAAGAAGCTGCCGAGGTTGAGAGCCTTGCGCATAGTGATGATGACCTTGGGGAGGGCCGACTTGGTGCCGAGGGTCTTGCACTCCTCGGTCATCTCCGCGTCAGACATGACCGCCAGGCGCTCCTCGAGCTGAACAGAGATGGGGATGACGGGGTCGCCGGTGGCGTTTGTCTTCACCCACTCAGCGATCTTGGGCAGATGCTTGTTCTTCTGGCGGATGTAGTCCTTCTCGCTCAAGTTGACGAGGTAGACAACAGGCTTGGCTGAGAGAAGGAAGAGAGGGTTGATGGTCTCGACCTGATGAATGGTTAGCAGGGCCCAGTAAGATGCTTTCCATGTAGAGAAGAGGATGTAAGGTGATCAGACAAGGACTTCTTTTCAGAACGTTCCGGCGTTACGGGAACATCAAAGAGCTGGGATTATAGAGCAATCGCTCTTTGTCATCTTGTGACGGGGAGGGAGAAAAAAGCATGCACGTACCTCCTTGGGGCCCCAGTTGCCCTTGCGGACGTCCTTGCCATCCTTCAGCATGGCGAGGATCTTCTCCACGGTAGCCTGCTCCTCCTTGAGCTTCTTCATCTCAAGCGACTGACCACCACGTCTTGTCTGCTTGACGAGGTTCTCAAGCGCCTTCTCGGTGAACTCAATGTCCTTGAGGCGGAGCTCCTCGCTGATGATGTCCAAGTCACGGATGGGGTCAACGTCACCCTCGACGTGGATAATCTCAGCGTCGTCGAAGCATCGCACGACCTGGAAGATGGCATCGACAGCGCGGATGTGCGACAAGAAGGCGTTACCCAGACCAGCACCAGTCGAGGCACCGCGGGTAAGACCAGCGATGTCGTAGACGGTCAGGTCGGCGGGGACCCTCGACTTGGGGTTGTACATCTTGCAGAGGTCATCGAAGCGGTCATCGGGGACAATGACGCGCGCCTCCTCGGGGTCAATGGTGGCGTAGGGGAAGTTGGCGGGGTTACCAAGCGAGCACTTGGTGATGGCCTGGAAGAGAGTGGATTTACCAACGTTGGCAAGGCCGACCTGGCGTTCACTGTTAACACGTGAGATGACGTTGACAGCGAGACAGGGCTCTCACTTACGATACCGCTCTTCAGACTGTTGCCAGGCCTGCCGAGCAGGAGCTTCTCCTCGACGACGGCTTTCTTGGGAGGCATCTTCTTTTTCTTGGGTGCACTTGCGTAGCCGCGAGTGCAGGGTGGGAGGATGAAAAATTTGAGTGGTGTGGGAGCCGAGAAAAAGCGTGAGGAAAATTGGCGGGCAGTACTTGCGGCCGGCCGGTGAAAAGTGGGTATCGAAGAAGAGAAAAGAAAGGTGAGAAGATTGGCGGAAGGTATTGTGTACTATGTAATGAGGGGCAGAGAGCTCTGCAGCCCTCCTCCTTGATGTGTGGTAGGTAGGTTGAAAAAAGCTGCAGCTCGCTTCCAAGGCTGCCTCTTATTCGTGTTAGAGCTATTGGATTAGAGCTCCCCAGAGTTATTGGCACACTCAGCCCCGTGAAAGCCAATCAACGTCTTCACGCACTGTGCCAAGTATTTTGTCACAGCCTCCACTCGCAAGGGTCTCAACCATTCATACCGTGTGCAAACTGGGGTGCTGAGTACGGTTCAGACACGCCAATCCACGCTAGGCCGTGGTGAACCCGTTTGCGCGGCGCCCGAAATGGCAAGCGCCAGGCGAGCATGGTACGCGTTCGGCAGGCGTGACGCCAGTGGTGTATCGCATGCTTGTGATCCTGCACGCTCGACTCGAAGGCCTACACCCAGGGCTGGTCCCGCATTTCCTACCGTAACCTGTCCTCTCCTGTAGTGCTACCCCATAATATATCTGCGCCGTAGTCCGCCGGCGCCCAAGATCTCCTGTGCAGACACCCCGGCTGCATCGCATCTTATCTCTAACCCACAATGTCCTCCACCCGCCCCAAGCCAGCGCGCAAGAGCTCGGGCCAGAACCACCGCAGCACACTTTCGCTGCAGCGAGCCGAGATCGTCATCAACGTCTACGATCTGCTGCCGCCGGGCAAGATCGCATCCGTGCTCTGGACCATAGGCAGCTCCCTACTGCACTCCGGCGTTGTCATCGGCGACAGGGAATATGCATACGGCGGCCACGACCGGCGGGGCCTGACCGGCGTGTACTGGACGAAGCCCGCGCAGGAGCCGCCGGGTGGGACATTCAGACAGTCTATCCTGCACGGCTTCTCGTTCCGCCCGGCAGAGGAGCTGGATGCCATCATACACCAGGTACGGAGTCGCAGCAGTCGCAGTCGCGCAAGAACGCAGCTAACAAGCTAGGCTTCGGAGGAGTTCCAGGGCACGTCCTACAACCTCCTCACCAAGAACTGCAACCACTTCACATCCTACCTCTGCGAGAAACTCACGGGCCGATCGGCACCGGGCTGGGTCAACCGCGCAGCGAGCATAGGCGTAGCTCTTCCATGCGTTGTGCCACGGGAATGGATTGCGCCACCGGATTATGATACTGCGGATGGAGAGCTCCTTGACGAGGACTTTGACGAAAGATCGTCTATGCTGCAGCACGGCGAGAGCCAGGGACGGTACCGCACTGCCTCCGAGGAGGCGCAGCGGCAGGACGCGCGAGCTGCTGGTAGCAGTAGTCGTGGTGAGCAGGGAGGCCCAAGAGGGAATAATTGGCATCCGTCCTCAGAGCATGCCCCCCGGGTGGTCAACCTCAAGGAAACCGACAGCAGCGGCCATAAGATACCGGCAGCGGAGAGAGCGCCGCTGCCAAAGAATTTGATGTGACTCGTCCTATCACTTACACGCACACTGATGTACAGCTCCCCCGTCTTCCCCATGTGATGTGTAGTCTCCCAATGCTGCCTCCCAATGCTGACGTCTAGTCTCCCATTGCCATACTGTACACGTGACTGCTCCTGCTATAACCACACGCCGTCCGCCGTCCCTGCCACTCTAGCCCAGTCTCCTGGGCTTCTTGCCCCTCACACCTCCAAACTTCAGTCGTGTCGAGTCGGACAGCCTGACAATCAGCGGCCTGATTTGCTTCCCTTCCGAGCCCAAGATGGCCTTTGTGACAGCCTCGCGCCCTGGGCCAAACCCGCGGTAGATGAGCTCCAGCTTCTGAATCTGTGGCAGCAGGCCCTTGTCCCTGATTCTGCTCATGACGAAGGCGGCCAGCTGGTAGCCCGCATCGTACGTGCCGCGTCCGGCCTTGCGGAAGCCAATGTTGCCGCACGACACGGAGATGAGGGCGTCGCGGTTCGGCTTGGCGAATGTGAGGTGCGTGTTGTGCTTGGTGGAGTAGATGGTGAGCTTGTGACGGTCGTCCTCCTCCCACTCGCGGATGATTGAGTTTCCAAACTCGGAGCCGGGGATGATGCTCGAGTAGCCCGCGCTCTTGAAGTTGCTGTCGACGTTGCCCATAACGGCATCGAAGTCGAAGGGCAGCCCGGCGTCTCGGGGGCCGGCGAGCGCGGGCGCCGTGTGCGAGAAGGGTCGCCGGCAGACCGTCGAGGCCAGCGAGCGGAAGGCGCGCAGCCCTGTTCTGGAAGTGGCGGCCATGCTGGATGTGCGGTGCTGTCGCAATGCCAGCCTTCCGCCGTGATGGTCGAGGCCGAACCAAACTTCGGATGGCCCGTGCGCGGGATCAGAAATATGTACGGGTATCCGCCGCATGCCCACGCCCAACCGCCGCCCAGATCCTGACTTGACATCTCCCGGGCAGATTCCATCCCGGCTCCCGTCACCGCATCTCATACACATCCGCCAGCCAGATGAGGCCGCACACCGCCACCACGCTCGCCGCCAGGGCGCGAGGCAGCATACAACCGAGCACATACGGGCGCGCAGTCGCTCACCGACGGATATCAACAGCGCCCCTGGCGTCGCGGCCGTCGGTAGCACAGTCCGCTGATGCATCGCGCCTGCCATTCCTGCGCAGCAACTTCCTGCCCCAGGACGTTCTCTTCCGCGCCGCCGCCACACATGCGCGCCAGTTCTCCTCCCAGTCTGCGCTCCACCAGCAGGCACAGAAGAAGAAGAAGGCCGTGAGCGAGGAGGCCGCCGAGCCGCCCAAGCCAGAGAAGACGGCCGAGGAGATCTACGAGGAGGAGAAGGCCAAGGCCGAGAAGGACGGCGAGGCGGCCGGCGAGAAGAAGGACGGCGAGCAGAAGGAGGGTGAGGAGAAGGAAGGCGAGGAGGGCAAGAAGGAGAAGAAGGGCGACAAGCCCCCGCCGCCCCCCCACGGCGACAAGACCCCGTGGCAAGTCTTCACGGAGACACTGCAGCAGGAGTTCCAGGCCTCGAAGGAGTGGAACGAGGGCACAAAGCAGCTGTCTGGCTCTGTCCACGACTTCACAAACGACCCCCGCGTGCAGAGGGCAAGAGAGGCGTCGGAAGCTGCAAAGACAAAGACCACGGCCGCGCTGAAGGCCACCGCGTCAGCTGTCGGTCAGGGTGCTGCTTGGACATGGGACACAATGCCCGTGAAGGGCGTGCGCGCTGCTGCCAGGGTCACCGGTACCGGTCTTGACTACGCCACGCGACCCGTGCGCCAGACCAAGGCCTTCCAGGCTGTGAAGGAGACCATCGACGATGGCAGCTCCTCGCGCTACGGTGGCTGGGTTGAGAAAGAAGAGCGCCGGAAGCTGCGAGAACTGCGCGAGCTGAACGAGCTCAAGCGTGTCGGCGGACGCCCCACTGGCCCCATGGAAGAAGACATCGAGTAAGAAACCTAGACAACACTCCAAAATAACACGCTAACCCACCCCCAGAGCCGGCACGAACATCACCCTCCACAAAGACGCCAAATACAAAGAAGTCTGGCGCGACTGGAAAGACAACTCCAAGATCGCCCAGGGCTTCTTCAGCATGAAGCAAGTCTACGGCGAATCCGACAACGCCATCATCACCACCGCCCGCTCCATCACCGACCGCATCACCGGCTTCTTCGCCGAAAACGAGACCGCCATGGTCATCAAGAAGTTCCGCGAGATCGACCCCAACTTCCAGATGGAGCCGTTCCTGACCGAGATGCGCGAGTACATCCTCCCCGAGGTGCTCGATGCGTACGTCAAGGGCGACACCGAGACGCTCAAGCAGTGGCTCAGCGCCGCGCAGTACAGCGTCTACGCCGCGCTAATGGCACAATACAAGACCGCAGGCCTCGTCTCGGACGGCAAGATCGTGGACATCCGCGGCGTCGACGTGCTCAACGCGAAGCTGCTCGAGCCCGGGGAGATTCCCGTGTTTATCCTCACCGCGCGCACGCAGGAGGTGCACGTGTACCGCAACGCCAAGTCGGGCGAGCTGGCGTCCGGCATGGACGATAAGGTGCAGCAGGTGACGTACGCGATCGGCGTCACGCGGATCCCCGAGGACGTGATGAATCCCGAGACGCGGGGGTGGCGGCTCATCGAGCTGCAGAAGAGCGCGCGCGACTACTACTGAGCGCGAGCGCCCAAGTTTCGACTGAGCGTACCCGCGTACGACTGAGCGGGGCGGCTGTACTTCCGCTGTACTTCTACTGTTTGTCACATTCTGTTTTCGAGCTGGCATTCTCGGCGTCTAAAAGGTCCACTCTGTCGTTTATGGCGGGCTTTGCTGGACGAGGTTTTCTCGGTCTTGGGTGGGAGGGTGGATGAGTGGCGTGGCGTTTGGCTTGACGACTCGGGTCGCTTCTCTGCTCTGTATGTGTATGTGTATAATATCTGATGAGATGACAAGGGGGGACATAGGAGGGAGGAGGTGGGGTGTGTATAGGTGTGGACTAGATTGGGGCCATTGAATGAGGAAGATTGATGATGATGCTGGTTGCAATGGTAGTGGAGGGGCGGTGGTGAAGTGACAACATGCGCCACAACCCCCCCCCCCCCCCCTCTCACGACCTCTTGGATAGTGGTGATGCTTCGTTGACTCCGGATATTCGTCACTGATATGCTCGATGCTTGCAAGAAAGCCCTCGCTACGGATTTAAAGTATTGTTGAGATGATAACTTCAAAAAGGAAATTTCATGTGCTGATGTCCTCCGCTAGTTTACATGAGTAAGGAAGGATCTCTCACTACAAGTGAGAGCAATCTGTTCGCCGCTTCTTGACGTATGTGTTGTGGATACCTGCGTTCGATTATCAGAGACATGGATGCATCAAGACTGACTTTGAAATTAGAAGATGAAAAGACTTTAAGACACGGAGCATACGCCTGTGAACGAAGACCAGTCCCAGACACAACCCACGACATACAATTCATTGGTTTTCGGCCAAGATGGACTGAACGTCGTGAAGGACATCGGATGCCGGATGGCGCCGCGCTTACCTTCTTTCCACAAAGTGCAACCACGAAGCGAGAACGCCCTCACGTCACCGCAACAACACCTCTTCGAACCTCACAAACCACACATCAGAAGCACCGCTCCAACCACTTACCTTGCCTCGCGGTTGACACATTGTGTCACCTCGGCACACCCACTCCGAGCCCTCCGTCATAGTGTACAAAAATAGCTCGCTGCAGCTCGGCAGCCAGCGCCGGGACACCACCATGTGGAGCCACGCAGTGTCACAGCCTTGATGTCAGGAACGTACAGCCTGGCTTCTGGGTGGGGATACGGGGTGGTGCGCTAGGGGCTGGGCTCGTGTGGTGTTTATATCGATCGTCGCTGCTCGTGAATTCATGTCCTTTCTCGCGCCCACACACACCGTTTACAACTAAGCTTGACTGTCTAGTTTGACGACGCCTGCTGTATAGCCAACACATATCGCTGCATACACTCCTACCTCACGTACTTCTACCCACACGCAACCGCCAAAATGTCCGCCGCCTCGCTCTCCACCGCCGTCTCCTCCCTCCTCTCCTCCGCCCTCGCAACCCAAACACCCCCCAGCGCCTCCTGCTCAACCGCAGACTTCACCCGGGTACCCCCCCCCCCCTCCCCCCCAAAAATGCACACCCCCAATCTAACCCCCCTCAGTTCCCCACCCCAGACGTCGCCTGCGCAATCGGCAGCACCACGTCCTCCCTCCCGAGCAACGCCTCCGCGGTGCTCGCGCACTGCTGCAAGTCCGCGCCCGTCGAGCGCTTCAACGGCGACTGCGGCTTCTACTGCCTGTCTGTCGCGCAGTCCGTGGCGGATCTGCAGGGCTGCTTTATGCAGGAGGGGATTAAGCCGCAGGTTATTTTTTGTAATGGGACGAATAGTGCGACGGCAACGGGGTCGCCGAGTGGGGGTGTGAGGGAGACGGGGGGTGCGAGTGGGACTGCGAGTGCGAGTGCCAGTGGGACTGCGAGTGCAGCGGCGAGTGGGAGTCCCGGGGTGGCGGCGGGCGTGGTGGTGCCGCGGGTTGGGACGGCGGGGTTCGGGGTGTTGGTTACGGTTGTGCTGTCGGTGTTTGCGGGGGCTATGTTGTAAGGGGTTGGCTCTGGGGTAAGGGATTGAGGGCTTTGGTGTGGTTGCTGGGGGATGGATGCGTATGATAACTTACCCTCCTATATCATCGGCATATACAGTTCACATCATACTCCCCAAAACTTGAAATGAGAGTGCGTTCCCAGAGCTGGCCTTGCAGTGGATTAAGATTATCGTAGTACAGGTGGTATATACAAGGTGTCTACGGCGCCTCTAATCGCTCAAGTCTATGTACAGTCTACAACCCCAACAACATCTAATGAGCAGTGCCGTTCTTCTGCGACAAATCGTACTCGGCGGCCGCGTACATGAACGGCCCGGCGCCCTTGCCGTCGTTCAAGCTCAGCGGCACAGTGGTGTAGTACTCATACGACGCATCGCCCTTCAAGCTGCCGACCTCGACGGTGCCGTTCCACGACAGCGTGCCGTTCTTCTCGTAGACAATGAAGTCGTCGATCATCAGCCCGTACGCCTTGTTCGCGACCGCCAGGTACGCCGGGTCCAGCAGCCCCGTGCGCACGCCCTTGAAGTACGTGTACGTGAACAGCGCAGTCGCGCTGGACTCGATGTAGTTGCCCTCTTTGCCCGCGAGCTCCGGGTCCATCAGGAGCCACCAGCCGCCGTCGACGTCCTGGACGTTCTTGATGCCCTCGGCCAGCGTGGTGAGGTAGGTTGCCAGCTTGGCGTAGCCGGGCAGTGTCTTGGGGTACACCTGCAGCACCTCGACGAGCGCCACGAAGTACCAGCCCACCGCGCGGTCCCAGACGAAGGGCGACGCGCCGGTCTCCGGGTCCGCCCACACGGCCTTCTTGGCTTCGTCGTAGCCGTGGTATAGCAGGTTGGTGGTGTGGTTGCGGGTGTGCTCCTCGATCAGGTCGAACTGGAGCTCGATGTCCTCCCAGGCGGTGACGTTGTCGTTGTCGAAGTAGGAGGTGTAGGTGGCGTAGAAGGTGTCGGCCATGTAGATGCCGTCGAGCCACATCTGGTCGGCGTAGGTGGGGGCGCGGTGCCAGAAGCCACCGGTGGGGGTACGGGGCCAGCGATTCAGCTGGGCACGGTACCTGTGGGCGGCGATTTCGTAGCGGGACTCGTTGCGGCCGCCTGCGTTCCACCAGTACAGGACGTTGTTGCCCATGCGGATGTCGTCGAGGGTGTAGTAGGTGTCGTTGTAGTTTGTGACGGTGCCGTTGGCGGAGACGAGCGAGGAGACGGAGCTACGGGCGTACTCGAGGAGCTCGGCATTGTTGTTGGCGGAGGCGACCTGCTGGATGCCCTCAAGGGTAACGGCGGGGACGTAGGTGTGGCGGATTGGCGTCTTCTTAGAGATGAACGACGTGGCCATCCACTGACCGAACCTGGTCTCGTTGGATGCGGCGAGGGTGGTGCCTGCGCACGAGAGCGCGGCGAGACTGAGATCGGTGAAACGCATGTTGAAATGAGTGGCAAGTAGACCGGGGTCTTTGGAAAGTGCAGAACAAGACCTTGAAAGAGACTCGAGGCTTGATGGATATAGGACAGGGTCACAGATGTGGTTTATATACTCCACGAGTTCTGGTCCGGGATGTCCTCGCCATCCATCGACTTACCATCGCGCCGTTTGTTAATCTGAATCCCTGGTGCTTACATCCTTACAAGTGCTCGGGATCACCCATCATGCCACTCGCTCTAATTTCCGCCACCGGCGATGTGCTTGAATGCGAACAAAGTGGGAAGGAGAGGGATGGGGTGTGGATACCGTTGCCAAGCCTTGGAGCTCTTGGCATTATTTTAGAACGCGATGTCGACGGAGAAATTGGGGATTGGATGGGACAATCAGGGCGGACAGCCACCAAGGCGGCTTACTCGGAACTGCTGGTTGCACACTCGCCCTCTCGTCCGGGTCCGACTGAGATTCGATCGACAGCCGCATAAAACCAACTTACCCATATTGATCTAGCAGTCAAGAGATTGAAACGCATCAATCAAGAATCTTTGACGTGCTTAGTATAGCTTGACAGAGCGGGCCGTCTCCACAGCCCCTTCTGCCCCGCCGCCCAATCCAACGCGTTTCACACCACGCCCAAACAACCAATGGCGCCCCAGCACCCTGTCGACGAATCATCGCTTCCGTCCATTTTCCAGTCGCGCTGGGCTTCCAATCCAGATCCTACCGCACTGCCATTTCCGCGCGACAACCCGCCCTTCGCACTCACCGCAGTCGACTGGGAGCAGCTCCGCCTCAGCGATGACGAGTACAGGCCGCACGACTGGGGGAACTTTCGCTCGTTGATTCTAGCCGGGGAGCTGGAGAGTCTGACGAGATGGCCGAGCCAGCTGAAGGCGTACCTGGCGTGGACGGCGCACGTGAAGGAGAAGTTTGGGACAGCGACTACGTACCTGCTCACCCAGCGGCTGTTCTGGGAGCCCATTGAGGATCCGGCCGGTGCAATGGCGTTCGATGTGAGGAACGTGGTGCCCTTTGCGGATCCAGAGGACTTCCAGATTCTCAGGAATGACTGGCCGTATGGGCACGAGGAAGGCGTTCGTCACATCTGCGTCTGGCTGAAGCAACGTCTGCCTGTCGACGAGAACGGAGCCTTGTCTGACAAGGGCAGGGAGATGGTTGAGAAGTTTGTTGATGAGGAGTTCAGGGCCAAGGCCGGGGAGGACCAGAGAGATACCAAGATTCTGTGGTTCAAGAACTCGACCAACCTGCAAAGCGTTAGGAGTTTGGAGCATCTGCATGTACTGGTCCAAGATGTGGACGACACGATATTGAAGCAGTGGCTGAACTAAGTCTTTGAACTTCATAGTCATTCTAGTTTTCTAGCGCTGATAGACAGGCATAGAGCGAATATAGACTTAGATCCTATCTTGCTTGATGTGAACAGTCCGGGGTGCCGCCATTGTGTAGCTTTCCATGTCCGGCACCTTTTGTCTGGTCTCCTCGTCTTCTATGTTGACATCCAACTCCTGCTTACTCGAGGCAACAGTGCCTCTGAACAAGGCAAATAAGTAAACACCGTACATGACGTATCCCCTCGTTGCCTTCTGCTGAGGCTGTCCTTTCTTTGCCTCTTGCTCAACTTTGCCAATCCAGACATTACCTAGAAAGATCGAGGCAATGACTGACAAGCCCACAAATGGAAGCACGGAGATCAAAGCCCACATGACTGATCTCGCTGCTGCATTATGCACTGCTTCTCTCACGGGTCCTGAGAGGTCTTGCAGCGTGGCAAGATCCCTAGCCCCGTTGTATCCGGGAATGCCAGAGGAATAGTGGCTGAGCTTGTTCGTGAAGACAGCCCCCATGATGGAGATGCCGATGGTTTCGCCGAGAGGAAGTGTGAATGAGAGCAATGACTGCATGGCTGGACCTCGCGTCGACCAGGTTCCAGCAGCGTGCAATACGACTGGCATGAAGCGAAGTCCAGTGCCGGCGCCAGCAATGGCAAGGAATACGTTGACCAATGTGCCGTGTCGAATAGACACAGCGTACGTAAGCACAGCAAGGCCGACGGCTTCTACAATCGACCCAATGAACAGTGGAATGAACGTCTGTGCCGGTCGGACATTGCACATATACATTGCGGCGTAGACACCAACGCCGAGTCCCGGAGTGTAGTACAGAAGCTGAACACCGGCTTTGGAGGGCGTGTAGCCCTCTGCGAGCTGCCAGTAGTACGAGATGAAGTAGAAAGCGCTAACCAGCGAGATGCCTGCTGAGAAGTTGATGATCATGAGGAGGGAGGTATCCTTCTTCCTGAACAGAGTTGACGGAATCATCGGGACTTGACGAGGTAGGAGACGAGCAGTGAATCGTCCAGGGCCCATGAGATATTCATGGACAAAAAAGGCGACGACAAGTACGCCTCCGATGACGAAAGGAGCAATGGACGCTGCCGAGTTCCAAGCATATTGAGTACCGCCCCATTGCACAGCAAGGACAATCAAACCGACGCCAGATATGAAGAGAAAGACGCCCAGCCAATCGATACTGAAGAAACCGGCGATGTAGTTGGTGCGACGGGACGCTCCGTTGTTGCCAGCTTGTCGGGCTGCGTGACCCTTGACTAATTCTTTACGCATGAGGACGACGATGAGGATGTGCGATAGAACGGCGAGACCGACAGGGAGAACGAAGCAGTATCGCCAGCTTGCATCTGCAAGGTAGCCGCCAACGACTGGACCAATACCATAACTCGAGGATTGTTAGTGTTCATCGAAGATAGCGATTGCCATTTGACTAACCTGACTCCACTGATCAGTGAGAGCGTCGAGTTGTTCCTTGCAATCTGAGCCAGCGTTGCTCCATTGTCGGCCAAGATGATGCGAGAGAGGTTCATGATACCTGCAGCACCGAGACCTTGAAGCGCCCTTCCCACGAGAAGCATGCCCCAAGTCTGTGCACCCGCACACAGTGCACTTCCAATCATGATCCAGAACATCTGGAAGTGCAGTGTTGAATGCCGACCAAAAGCCTCCGCAAATTGACCGGTCACGGGCACGAAGGTGGTGAATGTCAAGGTGTAAGCAGCAACAATCCAGTTGAAGCTACCGGAAAGTCGGTCTGGAATCGAGTCAGTATCCACACCTTCTCATGGGTTGATCTAACGTACTGAAATCAGATGAGATGAGTGGGATGGCCGGCGCAACAATGGTAACGTCCACTGCAGCGAGGAAGTTGGGCAAGACCAAACCAAGCAAGAGCTTCCATTGTATTATGTTCCGTCGACGAGCATCCGCCTTCTCTTGTGCACTCTCTTTAGTGTGTTCGGTGATACTTTGGCTGGCTCTTGGAGAATTCAGAGCGATGCCATTCTCACTGCTGTGTTGTTGATGTGATGATATTGTCTCCGGTACAAGATGTGAGGATTCAGTGGTAGGCACTATCTTCTTTGCCTGATGCTCACGGATGGCACCTCGTGCCTGTCTGTACAACCAGATAGCCATGTGGAGTGTTAGTGAGCAGTCGAGAGGGATGGATGAGGAAAGTTATGATCTGTGCGAAGCTCAATGTGACCTGAATCATAACGAGACGTCTGACGCTTTATGCAAAGCCTCGTCGCCCGCGATGCTCGCCATGAAAGGAAAAGCATGCGTGGATACTGGTCCCAGTTCGTGGCGCACAGGATACGTAGAGCAGCAACCAATACCGTTCAACGTCGCATCCTGATACCCTACGCAGCAAGCCTATTGTCCCTAATCTATGGCTGTGCAAAGCAGCAGTCTCCATTCAAGCCACCAGTGCGAGCCAATCGCAACTCCCCAGACCTTACCTAACCGAGCATGCTCTGCGATGAGCCAATCGCATCTTAGGCGAGGGAATGCAACGCTCGCTAGCGTAAGTCGTCGATATCGTCGCTGTCAGCGCTGTCACCGTTGCGCCCGGCACGATATGCTCTGTCCGGCTAATATCATCTTTGTTGGGTCTTCTACACATCAACTGTTGTAGGGAGGAGAGTTGCTGAGAGGCCCAAATCTTGGTGTCCCGCTGCAAAGCTTCAGTCATGCCTCGCTGCCGCAACCTCACCTCCTTGAACATAGACTGGTCGCACAAGAGGTCTGGACATTGAATCCTGGTGAGGGACGACTTGAGTCGAAGCATACCCAAGCTTTGACAAGCATCTCTTAGCTCCTGCAGATCCTTGTGAATGAGTTTTGATGTCACCATGTGCTCGGATAATGTCGTTGGGCCTGCGCGTAATACGCTTATTGTGGCTGAAGCAGTGCTTACTGTCGAACCATGTTGAGATCCTTCGCTTCGCACTTCCTCAAGATGTCTGTCACAAAGCAGCACCTGGGCGGCCTTACGATTCCCCTGCGCATGCAGGACGAGTCTCAAAAGGTTAGACGTCAGTATGTTAGTACTCAACTGATCAGGGCCGATAACAGACGTGCGGAAGGGCAACTGAAAAAAAGAACAATGCAACGCGATTTCGCATTGGAAATATGACAGACGCGAGGTTAAGAGATCTGTGGGATTCAGATTCGAATGAGGTAGGTGCCAAGGAAGCGACGTTGTCGACCGTCCAGAGTTCGAGCGTGGTTTCCTTCTGACGCTTGTGACGCAACCCCACGAGTTCCAAACACCACCGAGCGCTCTGAACACCCCGCATCCACGATGAAGCCTGAGATTGCAGTCCCACTTATAGCTGGGCTTGTATACCGCGCCTGGTCGCACAAGTCCCTTACGCCTGCTGGCATTGCTACAGCAATCGTAACTGCAGTGGTGCACGCCATACATCCATGGAGTGCGTTCTTCTTATTACTCGCGGTTTTCTTCCTCGCTGGTAGTGCTGTGACAAAGGTAGGGACGCTCCAATTGTTGTACTTCAGCTTCGCTAAGGATTACAGGTCAAGCACGATGTGAAGGCGAAGCTCACACAATCGGCCACGGGTGCATCTGGTGGAGAAGGGACGCGCAACCACGTTCAAGTCATCGCGAACTCCGGCATTGCTTCCGTACTGATACTGCTTCACTACTGGCAGTTGAAGAAGGAGGGGAGGTTTGAGAGCAAAGATCTGTGCTTCCACAAGAGAAGCGACATCCTGGTGGTTGGCATCATTGCGTTAGTCAAGCGATATTGTTGCTGCTACTTCAGCACTGACACTATACAGAAACTATGCTGCCGTAGCCGCCGATACCTTTTCCTCCGAGCTCGGCATCCTGTCTAAAGGCAAGCCCGTCCTCATCACCGCACCATGGCGCAGCGTTCCTCCGGGTACAAACGGTGGTGTAACAGGTACAGGGCTCGCTGCTGGCATGTACGGGTCACTGGGTATCTCGCTGGTAGCGCTCTTCTTCATGCCTTTTTGCAGAGAGTGGGATTCGCGGGAGTCCTTCAGATTTGCAATTTCGATGACAATGGCTGGTATAGCCGGTACACTTCTCGACTCACTGCTTGGTGCGCTTTTGCAAGCAAGCGTAGTGGACGTACAGTCAGGCAGAATTATCGAAGGCGAAGGCGGCAGGAAGGTCCTAGTCCGCAGCAAGAACCCGCTCTCTCAGAAAAAGGATGGGAGTGATGCGAAGAGCAGCAGTGTCGAGCAGGTCGGGTCCACACAGGCGGTGAGGACCATGAATAAAGCAGGAGCTGATGCCAAAGTTGTCGCCGACGGACAACATGAAAGCCGCAAGGTCGAAGTGGGGACTGATTTGCTCGACAACAATGCCGTCAACATCCTGATGGCCGCGTCGATAAGCTTTGGAAGCATGTTGATAGCATGCTACATTTGGGAAATGCCCTACAGCAGCGCTATTGGTCTGTAGGCATGGCATCCAGTCGTTACCCTAGATAGCTTATTCCAGCAATGGATATGTATAGTTTGATATGCAAATGCAATTATAGCGATTATGTATACTGCGTAGAAGGTGGAGCTCGGTGATGCCAAGATAAGCCGCACTAGCGGCGCGTCACCTACAGCCTGGAGCTTCACGACCTCCACCTTGGACAGCCCATTTAGAACAGCAACAGCACGCCACACTCTGAGCTGTTTTCTCAAAGCAACGGACGCCACGATATACACGCACTTCCTCTGCATCGTCAAAGCACTACCGTCAACATCTAGTCGTCACTTCACACAACATGGTACGGTGGCACCGCTACAGCAGCTTCTATGAAGAGCTGGCAGGCTGATACATCTACAGTCTCTCCGCTTCGTCCCGCCCAAGGCTCACGCCGCCTCGACCCAGCTCGAGACTTCCGCGCCCTCTGCTCCCGGTGTTCACGACAACCTCCGTTCCCGCCTTGCGCAAACATCAGCTGCACCTTCTTCAGCGAAGCCTGTTGAGCTTCAATCCGCACATCCTCTCGAGGCTCGTCTCGTACAGTGGCGTGAGACACAAGACCGTCTGAAGATGGAGATGCTGAGGCGACAGTTCGGCATCGCTGAGCCGGTGAGGAGGGGTATGGAGCTCAAGATTGCGTCTGCGGGTGAGTGGCGGCCAGCTGCGCTCGGCGGATCGAGCGGAGTGCACAAGGACATCTTGGAAGGTCGCGACTGCGAGATTGGCTGGGAGGATGTGTACACCGGTAAGTTGGACTCAGAACATGGCACCAACCATGATTTTAGCAGCTGCGGCATACAGGATAGCTAACTGAACGGTTACAGGCTCCGTGCTTCGCCAAGTGCCCGACTTCCACACCGAGATCGAGCACAAGATGAAGATGAACTGGTAGGGGAGCTGTTTGCCCCGTGCGGTATTGTGATGCCTGACAGTGAGTGATCAAAGCAAGCACAGTTTGCTCAGGATCTCATCTTGTCCTTCAGTACGGCTGCAGCATGCGATTGCCAGAGCGTGCGGCGTTGGTCTAGACAATGGCACAAATGAACGAACGAATGCAATGACAAACACGATACAGACACCGCTACCTTTCCTTGTTCCTGCGTAGGGGGAGCTCCTAGCGCCCTGATCTTACTTGCATTACCATAGCTTCGATCCTTGTACTACAACTCTTTGAAAGTCGCAGCGTTAATCGCAGGCACTTGTGACATGCCGGATAATTACCTATGTGCCTCTGCAAAGATGATCACGTGACATATTCGACGGAGCGACAACTACAATGGGTCCTCTGGAAGGATCAGCGGCCGGTGTCTCAAAGATCCGTGTCTCAGATCCTATCCGTTGCTACGGCCGCCAGCAATGTGGTGTTCTCAGACAGACAACAGCGAAGCCTGCATGTGCAACCGTGCTCTGCCGATGGTTGAATTACAGGGGCATGCAGGGGCAATACCTGGACGCGCCAGGATGGGGCCATTGCATGTGCACATCCGGCAGGCAAACTTGCACTGGGCTCCGCTCGTTCCGCATTTGCATTCGTAAGGTCGGCGATGCTGTTGTCCTGTGAGGCAGCAGACTGTCAGATCTAGACGCAGCGTAGTCCCGGCTGCGGGCCTGGGAACCGTACTTTGGGGTAGTTCGGTGTGGAGCCAGCGGATCGCTCTTGCCGTTTTCACGATTGCGGAGGGCCCAGCGCAACTGCCCGCGAGCACGGGCAACGCTGCACCTTTCCTCCATCGGTCGCTCAGCTTCGCACTTCCAATAGCACCGCCGTCCCCCACCCACACTCGCTGCAGAAACACCGCGTTTTCTCGCAGGTCGTCTACCTCACCATTCGTCGCTTCGCCACCATCCACTCGCTTGGCGTGGTCTTGCCATCCTTATCTCCGATTACGTTGCGCAAGCAGGCTCCTCTCGGCCGACCATGACGACTCCTTCACTGGACCCGCCGTCGACGACTGCGCAGGACATTCCCCAGCCTGCCGCGTCTGCATCGCAAGCAGCACCCGCCCACGACACGCTCTCATCGAGCGCCGTAGAGATGAAGACGCTCCAATCACCCGCCAGCGCAACCGCGCCTACAGACACTGCGACGAGCAGCTCCGGAGCTCCTCAAATTGCCCCAGTCGAGTTCACAAATGTCAACGAGATCAACTTGTCAGAGAGCGCACCACCCGCCGCATCCTCGTCGGCCGCGCCTCCCGCCCGTAACGACTTGAACCGGACGGAAACTGAGGCCGCCTTGGGACCCTCCACAGATGGGCCAGCAGCAAACCCCGACAACAGCAATGGACCGACTGTAGTCATCATGCTGCTGCTTACGACGGGCGCGAGGCACCCCTATAAGATTGACGAGAAGTATCTCAAGAAGCGCAATGTCACAGTGGAAGAGATGGACCCGTACAATATCAGCGTGTACACGTTGAAAGAGCTGATATGGCGAGACTGGCGAGAAGGTACGTTCTGGAGAGCATCCACATGCGCCCTCTTCTGTGCTCGACACGTTTCGAGCGATTCATGTGCCATCCCCTCATTCACGCTATCGATTGCGCAACGGCACAAGATCAGATGATCTGCCTTGTCCGCATCGTATTGCTACGCTCGGCGCATATGTACTTCTACACAGCCACCACCGCTTCACCGGCATCCTGCACAGTATTGCTAACCCGATTCGGCAGAATGGGAACCAAGGCCGACCTCACCAAGCTCAATAAGGCTGATCCATTTCGGTCGCATGCTGGATGACAAGTCCCCCCTGAAAGGTACGAATCTAATCTCTACACTATCTGACCGGGAGCCATTCCAGCCGCTTTGTTAACTGGGCTGGTATTGGCCCGGCACCTGCCGCGAACCCGCTTCAGAACTCCCAGTAACATGGCTGACCTTGTGCGCAGACTGCCGATTCCAGACGGAAGCCCCGAACGTTGTTCATATGACTATCAAACCTCAGGAGGTGGTTGACGACGAAGAAAATGCAAAGACAGGGAAAACCTCAAAGACAAGAGACGATGGAGAGGAGCCGACAGCTGGGTGTCGTTGTGTGATTCTGTAAACGCACTGCTGAAGAAGCTGGCGTTACACCTCAGTCCGTGCCCTTGCGGATGCCGTCCAGAGACTATCACCAACCGCGCGAGATCCTACGCGCTTCGCGTGTGAGTATGGCAGACGACAACTGAGTCGTGGCTCTGCAGGCTTTGCTCTTTCTTTTTACATGTCCTGTTCTTGGCCGTTCCCGTTACTCGGGTGTGTCAGAGAGGAGATATGGCATACTTTCAGCACCGACCGCACGAGCACACGGTAGAGAGCGGTTCCAAGAGATGATGTATCTGGCGTTCAATCGGCGTTCCTTTGTTGAGCATTTCGAGGCCGGGCAAGTGTGTTTCGTCCCATTTTGTACAGACATTGCTAGGAGATCTAGCGACATATCTGCGCCAGACAGCAGTTTGGCAGCACCCATAGACTATTATACACTTCAACGGTCACCACCACGCTTGTGTGAATGCGATCAACGGCGTCCAACCTCCTAAAGCTAGTTGCTGTTCGTAGCACGCATCATGCATGTGGAGTGGAGCTCGGACCGGTTGGCGCTTTTGCATGAGGTCATGTCGAGCTTGAGCCACTCTCCACTGGAGCTCTTCCAACCGCCGTGTCGCAGCACAACCGCAGCAGTCCTCAACATGGTGCTCCAAGATGTTGACAATCAAGCTCAGGACAGCTTCTCAGACAACCCCAATCCCTCCGACATCGATCCGTATGCCTCGTCTTCCGCGCCGGGCCGCGCTGGCGGCGAGCGCTTCGACGCCTCCAGCCTGCCACGCCCAATTCCCATAATCGGGCCATTCATTGGCTTCTCCGAGCGAGCGCTCCGCTTCAAAACCGACACAGCAGTACGATATGCCGAGAAGAAGATCGGACGGTCGCTGCGTTCGGAGGAATCTCAAGCCCTCGCATTCCACCTCTACAAGCTCGAGAAGATGAAGAGCTATTACACCGCGGCTGGCGCATCGGCAGGTGCATATAGATGGTGGGCCACCAGGAGCACGAACCAGTACCCGTTTTACAAGCCCAAACCCGAGAGCATCGACCCGAACAAATTTGGTCCGATCAGAGGGCCCGCCGCGAACCTGGCTCGACAGTCATGGCGCTGTGGATTGTATCTGCTAGTTGCGGGCCAGATGGGAGATATCATTGGACAGATCATATCACAGCCTATTGTTGCGTACGAGACGTCTGTAGACCCCAAACTGGAGGAGTTTGCCAAGGATCTCAAAGCCGCGACTGGGCGGGACGACAAGGCGAATGGCGAGCGCGCTAGGATGATAGAGGAGCGCAAGAAGGATTTTGAGGCGAGGAGGCGCCAGGAGGGCACGGGTGGAATGGTGCCGCCGTACGGTGGTAGGCAAGAGCGGAAACAAGCACCGCCGCCCGCAGGGGACGATGATATGAGTCCGACAGCCGGAAGCGAGCCTTGGGGGACGTCGAGTTCGAGTTCTTGGGGCGACTTTGCGAGCGAGGAGCAGCCGCAGCCTCAGCCTGAGCAGCAGTCCACCGACGTGCGCGCAAGAGAATCAGCCCGTCAGCCCGCTCAGCCTACTCAATCCGCATCGTCCCCCTTCGACTACGATGCGTCTCCAACAGGCGGCCTCTTCCAGTCCGAATCTTCTCAGCCTACTGCGCAACCGGCCTCTCGTCCTGGCGAGTCGTCATGGGAACGTCTGCGCCGCGGTGCAGCTGCGCCTCCACAGCAGGGCGCCTCGCAGCAAGAACGGGTCCAGCGTTTTGCGTCTTCTCGTCAGAGCAATGGTAGTGCCGAGGGTTCGACGGCGAGTGACAGCTACCAGGAAGCGCGAGACGCGGAGCGGGAGCGAGCGCAGCGCGAGTTTGACGAACGGCTCGAGAGGGAGAGGCAAGGCGGGGATTTCAACGAAGGAAGGGAAAAGAAGTGGTAAAGAAAAGAAGCATTTGAGGAGAGTAGGTGGAAGTGTATACTGCAATCAATGTTGACACCAGTTGCACACCAAGGCCGAGTTCCCGTCGAGATCAACGGAGCAACGTTTGACTGACATGCCTCTTCGCAGTGAAGCCAGCGTGCTGCTTCCAGACCTCTTTTGCTTTGCTCTAGCGGCCGCCGCGTCTCTCACTCTCACCGATATAATCCACAGTAAATACCCAGCCCCAAAGCTGTCACACCACAACGGCCACCAATTTCCTCACACTCTCAACACACCGCGCACTGCACTGCACTGCGCACTACATCGTGCACTACCTGCACGTACTATACACAAGTAAGCCCTCGCATTTACACAAACTTTAGTTCGTTTTCCACTGCAACTACCCGCCTGCGGCCCTACTGCACTGCAACAGCACATAATCTCGCACCCGGGCCTCTTCACATCAAGCAAACTGTACGCAGCTGCATACCCGACTGACGCAAGTGTCTCAGACAAGTTAACACTCAGCCGACGCGCGACATACACGGACCTCCAATGGATCAGGGAGCTGACATCGCGTCGGACATGACGCGCCTGAGCTGGAGCGGGCGCGACTTGGAAAAGCAAGGTGAGCGTTTCCCTTTGTTTTTGACAGCTTCGAGTGCGGCGTTGCACTGTGCTTACTCCCTGTCTTTGGCAATTTGTTTGCTCTGTCGGCTTGTGGTTCCACCATGGCGAGCGGTTCCTGGTGGGGTATGACTGCACGGGCTGGCACTCCGGTGAAAGACAGTGTATCAACCTCTGGCCACGTTGTAATTATATCTGGTTTCTCCCATAGATATCGACAGCTGAACAAGTACTTACGCGACAGCTCACTAACACAGCTACTGTAGAGCAACTCACGCCAGACCGTAGCGTCCCCATCCAAGCACCCGAAGACTGGCTCCCGACCTACACCCGTCTGCGTATCAGCGCCATCGCACGCTCCATGGAACGCTTCGACTACACCCTCTTCATGAAGCTTCCCCGCGAAGTCCGCGACAACATCTACGCCCACGTGCTCACCTCCCCGGCCCCCATCCTCCCGGAACTCTGCACGCCTGCGCCCCTCCTCTCCTCCCCAACCTTCCACGACGCCAACTCGCCCTCCCACGCCTCCCTCTCGCTCCTCACCCGCCTCACCCGCGCCTCCAAGACCCTCCGCCAGGAGTCCCTGCCCATCTTCTACGCAGCCAACACCTTCGCCGCCGGCACCGACACCGCCCTCTACTTCGCCTTCCTCGCGCACGCCGGCCGCCTCCCCTGGATCCAGCGCGTGACGCTCACGATCCGCTGCGGACCCGCCGACCGCGCAGCCTGGATCCTGCGAAGCGTGGCGCAGTTCGACGGGGCCAGCAGCTCCAACGACACCCTCGGTCTGCGCAGCCCCAGTGCGTCCAGCACCCCCGCCGCCCGCGTCACCCGCAGCGCGTCCCGCGCCGCCGCGCTCCAGCCCTCGGCCCAGGCTCTCGCCGCCCATCCGCTCTACCTCGCCGCCGGGTTCCCAGACCTCGGGCTCGCGCTGCTGCTGCGTGTGCTCAGCACGCCGGTCCCGGGGTCCGCGCGCCGCATCGTGCTGCCCATGCCCACGGAAGCATTTGAGACCGACGCCAGCCTGCGCTGGTTTGGCGAGCTGGCGCGGGGTCTGGGTCTGGAGCTGCATGTCGTTGCGCGTGCCGGGGCGGCCACGATGCACGAGGGCTTTGTGGTTGTGCGGTGGGAGCGGCGGTTTCAGGGCGAAGGGGTGGGGAGTGCGTGCGAGGACGGTGAGGGAAGGGTGGAGTTGGAGCTGGGGGGAGAAGGGGCGGTGATGGGACGGGCGTTGGCGTTGTATCCCGAGCTGGAGGAGATGCGGAGGCCGGAGAAGATGTGTTATTATCGCGCGGGATGTGGAGATGGGGTTGTGAGGTGGTTTAATCTGGCGACGTTGGGGGGTGGGAAGCGAGGCGTTTGACGGGAGCAGGGTTTGACGGGGACTGAAGGGGGTGCAGGGAATGGAGGGAATGGAGGGAAATAATGGTTGAACTGCATCGTAAGATACGAGTACGCTGCAAGGCTGGCTCGGCTTGAGCATCGCGCCGAAAGATACACGACGCAAGCTCAAAGGAAGGCGTTTACATGTTCAAAGACGCAGACTAAAAGTTTTCCACACCACAAGACGATCTTGACTGGATACAGTAGATCCGTTCATACAGCATCGAATCATTTATGCAACACGAAGGCACAGCGAGGTTTTAGTCTACATACACAAAACCATTCTAGTCTTCAGACACAGAGGCGTCGTGCACCATCTATTCCCTCCCCTCAACGCCCATGACACCCCTCCCAAACCACTCACTAATGACCGCAAACCCGTCCTTGCTCCTCCGCAGTGCCTCCGAGAACAGATCGTGCCTCTCCGCGCTCTCGATCTGCGCGCGCCGAATCGCCTTCACCGTCGCGTTCTGGCCGCTGCAAACCGGGCACTGGACCTCTGGATCCCTGACATCCTCATCGGTGCTGAGACAACTCTGGTGGAAACTATGTTTACACAAAAAGTGCACTACAGGGAGCTCGAGCGCCTTGTTGCACACCCTGCAGCGCGCGGCCTGGAACACGACGGGTTTAGAATTCAAGTTCTGGAGCTCTGTTTTCTTGCTCGCGGTGTCGGAGCGAAAGGTCTCGATGGTGCGGCGGTTGGAGGCGATTTCGACGCGCTCGCGCTCGATGGTGGTGCTGAGGTAGGACTTGATCATGCCCATTGTGGCGACGCCGTTGGTGGACAGGGTTTGGATGACCTGGAGGGGCGCCATGAGGCCGTCGTCGTCGATTTTCTGCAGGACCGAGTCGAGTTCGTCGCCAGCTTCGGCGAGGACTTCGGGCGAGGAGGTGAAGTAGGCGAGGGCGGCGGGGTAGAGGGCGGGCTCCTCGGGGCCGTATTTGCGTAGGGCGCGGATGGCGCCTTGGGTGTCGTTGGCGGCGGTGAAGCTGCGGAAGATGTCGAAGTGGAGGCCTTGTTGTTCACGGACGAGGATTGCGCCGTCTCGGAAGTTGGAGAGATGAGAGAGCAGCAAAACGTTTGATGTGTCGATGGGAATGTCCTTGCCCTCGACGAGCTTCTTTGCCTTGTTCTCCCATACTTGTCGATCTTCGTCTTTCTTCGAAGACGCAGTATGCAAATACATCTCGAATAAGGTCGTGTAGAGATCAACCTTGTCATCCTCTCGTAGGTTATCTGATTTGATGCACGCTTCAAGAAACATGACGAACTCCTGTGGATGATCCACAAAAGCTGAAAAAGCCGTTCGGGGCTTGGGCACCTTGTACTCAGGAGCAGGTTCATCCGAGGTTTGCTCGATGATTTGTGCTTGACTCATCGTGCTCCTCTGATCGCCTGCGGGTGGTGAAGCGAGTGCGTTAGTATTCATGTACGGCAATGGCAATAATGCAGCCAGGTTCTGCACTGCACTTGAGGCCACACCAAGACCCATGCCTATTCCGCCGCCAGATGAAGGAGCATTTGGGATGACAATAGCATCCTTTTTAGGTCGAAAAGCTGCCGTGTAGTAGTCGATGAACAACTGTGTGGTATCCTTAGGTATTTGCTGGAGTAGGACTGTAGCATACTTCATAAAATTGAAGTAGGCAACCTCAGGCTCCAGCCGCCAAATGTAAGCCAACGCTTCGGCGAACCGTTTCGAGTCTTCAATGAGGACATCGACTACAAGCTCGTGTTCACCGTGCTTGCGGGCTAGGAAGGCAGCCTGATCATAATATCCTCCTTGACGGCACATGGAGATGGCCGTATCAAGATCGAACTTCAGGTCGTCTGGGGACTTGATGAACTCTTCCAGTTTAGCAACATCCTTGAGCTTCGCATAACAGTTCAGTAGTAGCGTTGTGTGGTCTGAGGTGGCTTTGTGATGATCATGAAGCTCCTCCAGATACTCGATTAAGTTGTGTATCCTTTGAGTATCCAGAAACTATCTGAGAGTTAGGGCAAGCACAGATCCAAAAGAACCCAACATACCTTTCGAATGACCTGGGAAGGCTCAGTGTTGTCGATGGCTTTTAGATACTGCTGCATGGCTGTGTCGTAGTCCTGCTTCGAATACAGGTAGTCGCCAAACTTTCTAAGTATGACATTCTGCTGCGAGGCGTCCAGGCCAGCTTTCTGAGCGAGATTTATTGCTAGAACATAGAGATTTCGCTGATAGAGGATATCAAGCTTCTGTGCAAAAGGCTTCTCGTGGTATCTGTAGATCTATTCAATGTCAACATGCGCGTTGAGAATATATGAGAGGCGCTTACCTTGCCATCAATTGTGAAGACGAAGAGATCACCCCACTCGGAGACAACGTGCTGCACCTCAGATGACAACTGTTCCTGATGTGCTACATATCGCAGCTCAGTATTCAGTAGAGTGAAGGTTGACGTGTTGAAAGCATCGTCGGCACTACCGATACCGAAAGCCCTGAGGGGATTAGATCTTGGCATTGCATTCGACTTTGGTGGTGCCACAATCACAACGTAGTCCTTGAATGTCGAGACCATCTTCTTCTCGCCTTCGTACGTATATGGAGGGCCTCGGCCGTGCTGACCATAGTAGTATATGGCATCGTTTCTCCCAACAACAACATCTTGTGTGTTCTTGTCCACGGCAATACAGTCTTTTGCGCAACCGTATTCGTCCAAGGATTTGGCAGGCTGGCCCTGCCCCCGACCTGATATCACAAGCGTCATGATTCGTGCAGTCGTTGCAATGTACAGTGTTGTGATGCTCCCCTCTCTGAACTCGATACCAGTGATGGGCTCGTCGGATTCGAAGACGGTTCGCTGCCGTGCTCCACGGTCGTGGATAAGGTCGCCCCTAACAACTGTAACAGCACCGTTTGCGAAGCCTACGGCAAGCTGCGATAGATCGTCGAGAGCCGCGAAGGCGGATATAGGAAACAGCTTGCGCCCATTCTGGATCTGAAGTGTGCTCTGACAGCGAGGAATGCCGGTCTTCTTCTCCAATTTATCCAAGGCCCACACCTTCAGCACGGGCTCGCTGGACAGGTCTTCTGCTATTGTAACGAGCAGCGCCGTGCCCTCGACCTGCTTCATGTACGTGACCGCGCCGACATCGTGGGCCTGAAACGTGCGCACGACCTTGAAGGCCTGCGACAGGATGCGCACGACACCATCGGCGCTACCGACGAAGATGCTCTCGGATCCAGAGACGACGCAGGTGGTGTTCCCGGGCTACAATGGGTGAGAGGGGCTTTGTTCAAGGTGGGCGCAGGTGGCATACCTCGGCGAGGAACGCGCTCTCGTCGTCCGGGAGCTTCACTTGCGCGACGTCGAAGAACTTGAACTGCCACTTTCCCAGAGTCAGCTTCGCCACAGTGCGCGCATTGCTTTGGTTCGCTCACCGGAGTCACAGCCATTCTGCTACCGGTCCATTGTGCTGCTTTGATGTGGAGGGTGCTATTGTCGTCACTCTAGGCTGAGCTATGGCCAGGCAGGCGCGACCATCAGGGATCCACCGGGGCGCAGCTGCTTGTTGTGAGGTGAAGTCCGAGCGCCTGCCGCGCCAAGGCTGCGCTGGCTCTCCCTTTTGCCTGCTCCCCTTCCATCGCCGTCTCCGTCACTCCACCCACTCCGCCAAAGCAATATTCAGCAACCTCCACTTTGCACACTCCCTCCGCTGCGCCCAAGCTTAGACGCGCGCCCGCGACAACTGTCCTCCAACCAGCTGCTACGCGCCCTGCCCAACACCGCGACTCAAGCCCCGTCGCGTCGCTGCATCAACTCAGCGCATCCTCCAACCCGTCGCATCGACATCGCCCTCTCTCACAATGTCTGAGTCACGTCTGGACCAGTCCCTCGAGTCGATCATCAGCTCGAGGAAGCAGTCGGCGCGCAAGGGCCGCGGCGGCCGTCGCCCTGATGCTGGTCGCCCTGCCGCACCTGCCACTCCCGTCGGTGGTGTCAAGAAGTCTACGAAGCAGGCCAAGCAACCCAAGGCAGCTCCTACTGGCCCCGCGCCTTCTGGTGGCGAGAGCAAGATCATGATCTCCAACTTGGTATGCAGTCCTCCAAGAGAACGCGTCAAACGCCGCTAACCGCAAACAGCCGTTGGACGTTGAGCAAGGTCAACTTCAGGTATGTAAGACCGTTGCAGGTCTTTGAGCCTAGTTTTGTCGCATTTCGCACGAACGCGTCCGAACGACGAACCCGAATTTCCTTGAGCCCTCGGTACGGTCGTTGAGTCATGTCTTGCAGAAGTCACGTCAGAAGTTGTGCTTGGCAGACACATCTGGCATAAGACTAGCAGCATGCGAACACCACGAGGTGCTTCCGCGACGAAAGTTGGGAATTCCAGGGCAAGCAGTTTGAGAAGCAGACACTGAAGTGCGCCAGCGGCTCAGCCATGGCAGGGCTTGTGCTCTTTAGCAAGCCCCCAAGCACTGAGAGAAGGAGCCATTCCACAGAAGAGACAGTTCCGAAAACCAAGGGCAAGGCAATGCACTCTCAGGAATGGCTCCCACCGCGTCACCCACGCATTTCTCCACTGCTTAGCGTCTGCTCTAGCATTCGCGAGGTATTGTCTGAACCGAAAGGTCTTCTCACTGCGCCCAGATATGGATCCCAGCTTTCCGAGCGTTGCCGTGCGACTGCCGAATATGGATTCGAGGACGATTAGGAACGCCGGCCCTGGACACGCGCGTCATGCATTGCTACGAGATACCTATCCTACTACGACGACTAATACGCCCTTTAGGAATACTTTGCGTCTGCAGTCGGCGTCGGCAGGCCCAAGAAGATCCTGATGCAGTACGGACCGAACGGCAAGAGCCTTGGAAGTGCGACCGTTATCTTCAACAGGCCCGACCAGGCCTCCAAAGCCACCACTGCCCTCAACGGCGTCAAGATTGACAACCGCCCCATTCGCGTTGATTTGCTCGTCAGCGCAGCGAACGTACCCGCCTCAACTAAGCAGTCTTCCCTTGCAGACCGCGTAACGTAAGTCCACACTTATTGTATTAGTTGGAAGAATGCTTACAAGTTTAGACAACCGAAGAAAGACAAGCCCAAGCCAGCAACCGCTGGCAAGGCCGCTCCTGCCGCTGGCAAGGGACGCGGTGAGGCTACTCGTGGCCGCGGTGGTCGCGCTGGTCGCGAGCGTCAGAAGAAGAAGACTGTTGAGGAGCTCGATGCAGAGATGGCTGATTACTTCCCCACCGCCGATGGTGGCAACGACGCCATGGCTACAAACGGTGCCGCGGCCGTCTCAGCTCCCGCAGGAGGCGACACCGCCATGGACGATGAGATGCTCTAAGCAGTCTCGATCATCCAGCAATCCTGACGCCTGGTTTCCCATTTCATGTTTTCTCCGACCTCGAGCGACGACTTATTCACTCCTCGAAGCGGCCTGTTTCCTATTCCGCTCTTTTCCTTCGAAAACATTCTTCTAAAAGGCAAACGAAATGACCTCCCAAATTGCGAATGAGACCCGGTTGATATGGTTTACGGTTCGGTTTTGTACAATATATCGGAAGCAGTTGCTTTACTGGCTCCTGGTCTTTCAGGTAGCCAATACAGGAATATCAGTTAGTACATGCACGCTAATTACTCCCAAGATCATAAAATCGCGTGAACTATACCGCGTTCCGGGCCTACATTCTGCTACCCAGATCTGCTATTGCAGAATCGGTACGCTAGCACTGTAAACACGGCTTGTCTATGAAAGAAAGCTACTCGCACCTGTTTGCAAGTCGTCGGCAACACGCGCTTCGACACGTTCAGCGTCCAGAGTACGCTAGTATGCACAGGCTCGGAGATACGGCTATAAGACAGTGCCGGACCGGTACGGAGTGTAACGGAACGCTCCAGCGGAGCAAGTCGCAAGCCGGATGTGCAATTCCAATGGAGACTATGGCATGGTTAACTGATAGCAGGCTGAAACAAGACTGTTTCAAGACTGCTTGAGTTGACTTCCATGGTCTACACCAGCGAATCCGCACGTGCGGAACGATGCCGCAGCACCCACACCTTACAGACTGCTTACAAACACTGTCTGCCGGGTTTGTAGTGGCAAGCCTGCGCTCCCTTTTACGTCTAGGTTGGGCAATCGTGAACAACGCCCTCCAGTCCAGGGTTTGGAATGGTGATGGTGTTCCGGCTACCAGGACGCCAGACTGTCATTCGTGTCTGTATAGCCTTTGGTGCGGAGATATGTCACGCCATCGTCATTAGTCCCTACGCCTCCCAGCTTGTTCCCCGCGACGCCAATTGCGGGAAGCATGCGGCGGTGGGTAGCTCTGACCTGTCATGACAGCTTGCTGGGGTAATGAAGCGTTCATCCGGTGCAGCCACTTCGGGTCGGATAGGCTCGACCTAGAACTCCTGACGCTGAATGTAGACCGACTTCAGTATTCTAATCACGGCTGAGTTGACGCGAGCGCACCCTTTTAAAAAAAATCTACCGTCCAGACCTACCCACTAAAACTTGCCGATGAGGCGGGCTGTTGCCCCACTCCAGCGCACTCGGCTTCCTTTCGAGCGAGAGACCGAGCATGGAGAGCGCGCAGCGTCTTGTCGCGATTGTGCAACGCCGAAAGGATGTTGTAGCATGCGCAGGAACGATCAGCAACGAATCTATGGTCAGGCATTTCTATTCCAAATTGGTAAGATCAATTGGGTGTGGTTACCAACGGAACATGACAGAGACGCACGATTGCGGGGGAGGGGTGCGGGGCAGAAGCTGGCCACGAGCCACTCGACGCGCGCGAGCTTTGCAACGATAGGCCGCCAGGACCCTCAAGACGGGCTCCTGACGGCCGAGGCTGTCTGGGCGATCCTCCATTTTGGTGCTCGTCCGGTGGATACTTCCTTTCGTGCTGTCGTAGTGGCGAGTACTTAAGATAACCTTACCCCTCTTCAGCTCAATCAGTCCTCAATCACATTTTGTTTTCCTGATACCCAATTTCGTGACTCTAAATCATGTCTGAGCTATCCGTAAAGATCAAGACTCCTCAGTTGGAGTATGACCAGCCTACTGGTCTGTAAGTTCGCCCATGTCGACTTTTCCATTGCGATTCCTGACACAAGGAACAGCTTCATCAACAACGAGTTTGTCAAGTCTGTTGATGGCAAGACCTTCGAGGTCATCAACCCCTCCACAGAGGAGGTAATCACACACGTCCAGGAGGCGAGCGAGAAGGATGTCGATATCGCCGTAGAGGCTGCCCGCACGGCTTTCAACGGCCCCTGGAGGAAGGAGACACCTGAGAACCGTGGAAAGCTTCTTGTCAAGCTGGCCGACCTGTTCCTCGAGAACGCCGACCTTCTTGCCGCCGTTGAGGCGGTCGATAACGGCAAGGCCTTCAGCATGGCCAAGAACGTCGATGTACCAGGTGCCGCAGCCTGCCTGAGGTACTACGGAGGATGGGCCGACAAGATCGAGGGTAAGGTCGTCGACACAGCACCTGACACATTCAACTACATCCGCAAGGAGCCTGTAAGTTTCTCAATCGTGACCGATTGAACACTATTAACCATCACAGGTTGGTGTTTGTGGTCAAATCATTCCCTGGAACTTCCCCATTCTTATGTGGGCGTGGAAGATTGGCCCTGCCATTGCCACCGGTAACACTATTGTCCTGAAGACCGCTGAGCAAACCCCTCTCTCGGCTTACGTCGCCTGTACACTCATCCAGAAGGCTGGTTTCCCCCCTGGTGTCATCAACGTCATTACCGGTTTCGGTAAGATCGCTGGTGCTGCTATGTCCTCGCACATGGGCATTGACAAGATCGCCTTCACTGGTTCCACCGTTGTCGGTCGCCAGATCATGAAGGCTGCTGCTGGCTCCAACTTGAAGAAGGTCAGCCTCGAGCTTGGTGGCAAGAGCCCTAACATCGTCTTCGCCGATGCCGACATCGACGAGGCGATCAACTGGGTCAACTTCGGTATCTACTTCAATCACGGCCAGTGCTGCTGCGCCGGTTCGCGTATCTACGTCCAAGAGGAGATCTACGACACGTTCCTTGAGAAGTTCAGGGCGCGCGCTGCTGCGAACGCTGTTGGTGACCCATTCAAGGAGGACACCTTCCAGGGTCCCCAGGTTTCTCAACTGCAGTTTGACCGCATCATGTCTTACATTGATGACGGCAAGAAGGCTGGTGCCACTGTTGAGACCGGCGGTAAGCGCGCGGGCGACAAGGGCTACTTCATTGAGCCCACTGTCTTCTCGAACGTCACCGAGGATATGAAGATCCAGCAGGAGGAGATCTTTGGCCCCGTCTGCACAATCTCCAAGTTCAAGACCAAGGCCGAGGTCATCAAGATGGGCAACAGCTCCAACTACGGTCTGGCCGCCGCTGTTCACACCACCAACCTCAACACCGCCATCGAGGTTGCCAATGCACTCCGCGCTGGTACAGTCTGGGTCAACACATACAACACTCTCCACACAGCTTTGCCCTTCGGCGGCTATAAGGAGTCCGGAATTGGACGGGAGCTTGGTGAGGCTGCTCTGGACAACTACCTGCAGACCAAGACAGTTTCGATCCGTCTGGGCGATGTTTTGTTCGGTTAAGCGCATTTTGACATGAAGAAAATGAAAACACGGCCTTGTACATAGTCTATAGTTACGAGAATCAAACAAAGTAAAAGATTTACCCTATCGCTGCCATTTCATGATGCGGTGGTCGTTGGTGTTGCGTTGCGCATCTTGCCCCGGAATCTCGGCTACCACGCGCGGAACCCACGTGCGGAAACCATGCGCGCGGAACCCACGTGCGAAAACCACGTGCGGCGGAATGGAAGTAGCCGCGCCATAGGCTGCGTCCAGTCTTCATACTCTTATTAATAAAAGATTGAGGTGTTGAGAAGCAGGCAGGCTCTCACGTTGCAAAATAGTCGGTGGACTGCCCTTTGCAGTTACTCTTGCCTAATCTTTTCCTAACACCTCAGCAAAGCGTATGTTAATTTCGTGAGCCTCATCGACCACCGTCGTAATTGCAGCGTCCAGCTCATTCCGTTCCCAAACCATCGAACTTTTTGCACTTGGACACTCGATAGCAAAAGGTGTTTGGCCGAGTGAGTGTCTGGGAAACACAACTCGCCGAGGCACTGTCAGAAGCCGCTGCCAGACCTGTGATCGCCTCTTCAACACTCACGAAGCTTGCTTTCGCACAACATCAGCGAGATTCATCTATCCACAACCAAATCGTCCACTGCCAGACATGCGATCTATCCTTCGGTAGCAACGGACGTGCTTGGCCTATCTTCCGCGATGTTCCAATCTCGGAAATGACCGATCGTTCAAGAGACTTTATATCCTTTGTGGAGGACCATAGTGACTACTGTATTATGTGGTTACTCGTGTCTGCTATAGACTACCGGAAGTGCGGGCTATGAGCCCTAAGGATGCCGAGACCAGCAACCCACCCAATGCAACGCAATGCTCAAGCTCAAGCTCGATGTCAAGGGGAGGAGCTCGATCCCACTCCTCCGCTGCGGCGACAGATAGGGCCATGGAGCGGTGTTTTGTGATGCTCAGGTGAGGAATAAAATGGTGACTCTGAAAGCTGGAACAGGGCGTGGAGTGTGGCTGCCTACATTTTTTACATAGGTGCATGTGTGTGCTGCGCTCGTCAACGGTTTGTCAAAGATATAGAGCCCCAGACTTACACGCGAAGAGTATAGGAACACAGTGCTCAAACCTACCGCAGCAGAAACTGTTCTACACAGCGTCCATCCACCAGCTAGACGCTCAAAACTACAACAGCCCGGCATGAAACTCGCGGGCAGAGCTCACGGATCAGCATAGTCTGAGTCTACAGGTGTTTGTCTAAAGCAGCCTCGCCAGGTTCCTAGCCTACACCTGACTCTTTGCACCATTAAAGCTTAGGCCATATCTAAAGATATACTTGTATAGGCCTTAACTTATTCTCACAATTACGACATCGCTGCTGCCGGATGATTGATCGCATGCATGGCAGTGGAAGGCTGTTGTGGACAAATGAATCTCGCTTATGTTGAGTGAAAGCTTCGTGCTGAAGAGGCGATTGCATGCCCGGCAGTGGAAGGTATCTCACTGATGCTGTGCGAAAGCTTCGTGGGTGTTGAAGAAGCTAATGAACTTCAATTTGTGGTGGCATTTGCTCAATTCGTGCCGTCTACCGCAGGTCAGAGAAACGGACGCGCCTGCCTTGACGCGCCTGCCTTGACGCGCCTGCCTTGACGCGCCTGCCTTGACGCGCCTGCCTTGACGTGCCTGCCTTGACGTACCTGCCTTGACGTCTGCCAGTGTTTACCTCACCACCAAGACTTCACTTTCCACTCCCACACCGAAATCCAAATTGTTCTGCAACAATCTACAAAGCCCTTTTAAGTTTCAAACTTCATTCAACCTTCCAATTCCGGACATAATCAATATGCCCGCACAAATGACCTCTCCTCTTCGCCGCAGGCTCGAGCGGATTTACCCCGGGCAAAATGACTCGATCAACACCTATCGAGTTCTCTCACACAGCAACGAGAACAAGGTCGATGAGTACGACGAGATTTACGAGCCCGAGGCTCGACCCGACCACACGGCCCCACGACAGGCTTTGAGGGAGAGGCCTCAAAGTCTGGTCAACTTGCCTCGATGTGGCCGACCACTGGGTGAAATCATCAGTGGGTCCAGCACCGCAGCTGGACAGAATACCCGGCGAAGTGTTCGTGTGGCAGCGAGGGCCACAAAGTCGACGCCTGCTCAGCTGCTGCACCAGGCTGGAGCAGTTTCTTCACCAACGGTGCCGAAAGCTGCTCAACATGGCAGCTTACTTAATCCCCTCGACCATGTTGAGGAGGAGAAGGAGGAAGAGGATCTTCCATTGGACCCTCAAGATGTGACTATCTTCGAGGATGAACCCTACGCCGAGGAACAAAACGACGAAGAGGAAAACGAGTCGGGCCTCGGAACAGGGGAACAGCAAGTCAGTCGAGGTCACGAAAGCCAGACGCGCAAGCCAAGAAAGTCAAACCGTCCATGTGAGCCAGACACTTTCGCTTGTCTTCACCAAGGTTCTACATCAATACCTTTAGTTGAGAGTCACCTAAATTGTAGGCAACAAAGTATTCTATGGAGTTTTTTAGCATGTTCCCTGGTCTGCTGTCGTGTGGTGTACTTTACATCCTCAGTCCAGACTTCGCCGTTTCTTCTGCAACATGAGAGTCTGCCTGCTTCTCAACACCTTGATCCTTTCTTGATAGAAGTCTGAAGGCTGAAAGTAGCCTATAGCGCCTCTCAAGTTTCACAAACGACAGCGGGCATGACCTCCAAGCTTACCAATTTTTATGTATAACTTGTAGCTAGCATAATACCTAGAGATATAATTTAATCAAGGATTGCCTACATCGTAGGCAAAAAAGTATTCCATGGAGCTTTTTGGTATCTTCCCTACTTTACTGTCGTGTGGTGTTCCGCACGCTGCTGAAGGTTAAGAAATGGCAACTCAGCTATTTGGATGCGACTAAACCAGGCTACCATGTCCAAATGTCGAAGGCTCTTGCGGCAGGCAACCATCTACGTATTGCCAAGCGAGAATCCTTACAAGAGCTGAAATCATACATCACCACCCGACACGGTGCTCGAGCGAAATTGACAGCCGACACAAATCTTGGTGATGTGTCTCGTGGCAATGAGTGGATCATCTACAACGAGTTTCACAGCGACGGCATCTCTAAACACACTATACGTCTCGTGTCAGCAATCTTACCCGATCTCTTCATATCTGCACGACCTGAGTATTGGTGGGACACAGAATTTCTGCCAAGTCAAGTTCAAGACCAACTGGTTAGCATCATCGCTGGCATGATCGACTGGTAAGACCGAGAACTTCATTCGTGGAGGCATGCCAAAGAACCCTGCAGGCGAACAATCCTAACATCAAACGACTACACCTGCTACTAATTCAGCTCCTTGGCTTTCTCTTCGCATGGTGTTGATTCAGTTCTCTGGTTTTCTCTTTACATGGTATTGATTCAGTTCTATACCTTTCCTTTTACCCGCGTTTGATTAATTTCCCTCGCTTCTCTCAGTTAGTTACTCTCAATTCGATTGCTGTTGAGACCGACTTACTCTAGCGCGCGATACGGCTCGCGAGCTTTTCAAGAAGCGCTAGTAGTAGTTTCTACTGACTTATTTGTAGGGAAGATATTGTTTAGTTGACAGACTCCGTCAAATCAGTTCTCTAATCTCCTGTTCTGACAGCAGTACTGAAAGTTGTTAACCGCAACCACCCACTCTACACCGCAGATCCTCGAACGCATCAGCAATCGCCCGATGGGTGCCCGTCACGGCCGAAATGACTCTGCATCTTTGGAGTAGAGCTTGCTCACAAGAGCCAAGGCGAAGGCATCGGCGTTTCAGTACTCGCAGCTCACCAAGGTTAGCGATGTGACATCGTGGAGGTGAATGCTTACTTACCCAGAACGGACTTGAGCGCCGATGCCCTTGATCTTGGTGAGGAACGACTTGGGTTGCTTGAGCAGATCTTCTGGTCCAGCGATGCGAGCAGTCTCGCCCAGATGATCATCGTCCATGTCGACATCGTCCATCAACACCAACGTCGACCGCATCACCTGATATAAGGACCACACATCCACAAACAGTCAACAAGGCCGCACCTCAACTCCAAAAAGAGACACGAGAGGTCTTGGAATTCCCCGATCTCCATCCAAGGACCGCAGCGGCAGTCTCCCCAGGCATCTCTTCCATTTGGTTCAACGACGGCGGAAACGAGAATATTCAACCCACGTCATGGGCAAGTTCACATGCGCCAACCCGCCTGCATCAAGCAGTCTTGGACCAGCAGGAAATTCTCCATCGAGATCCGAGGATACAATAACAACGGCTACGCTGCGACAGTGTACGACCAGCGATGCAAGGTGTTCCCTTTCAGGCATACCCAGGTATCCACGGCGACTGATAATGACGGCGGTGGAACACAAGGATAAAGGATGGATATTGGCTGATCTGGTGTGATGATACCGTTCACTGGGAACCCCAAGGTTGAGTGGGACATCTCACAGGCTGTGAAGTCATGGTCTGTCATGGACATGATACAGCTCCGGCGCAGGGTCTAATACATCATCGCGATATCGTTCACTGTCCAATGCAGCTATGGACAGGAGCGGTCTGAAAGGGCCGGGTTTAGGGTCAGTAAGACAGAGGATGGTGGCTTAGGTGGGAAGTAAGCTTTCTTAGGGGTGGATAGGCTGGCGAAGCATTGCCATAGCATCAGACACCTTTGGAATTTGATGGGATATCGCGCTGGTTAGGACTCCGCTAGACACAAGGACATTGCAGTGCATCACTATGCGTGTTTAGACGCCATCTGGACATTTTGGGGCATCTGGAGATTTGAGCTTAATTGATTCTAGACCACATACTTAGTGAGATTCAAACCTGTTGCACCCAAGACCTTGATAGGCTAGAAATTATCCTTTACCAATCACATCCAACATCCAACATCCAACTATTGGTATTGTTCTAAGATTTCGTAATGCTAAGGATTGAGGATTCCAACTTCATGTTGCATAAGTACACTACTGTTGTACAGAAGAGCTACACATATTGTGCTCGCGCTTCTCCTGCGTCGGCCAAGCCGTCATTCATACCAGAGAACATCTTTGTGCTTTCTGGCCGGCGACAGCGTCGTATCCAATGGAGCAGTGCTCCCACTCCTCGTCATCAAACTATATACATGAATTGCTCATTGTGAGTATGTGAAGCAGAAAACGTATCCTCTCCTTGTGTTATCGCCGAAACCTCCTCTTCTACGTCGTTGGTAGCCTACCGCAAGCGTTTGACGGTGGCGAATATCGATGAAGGTGTGTGCGGGTGAGCGGTTGTCAACAGTGCGGTGCTGATGAAGGAAAACGCCATCAGAGTAGTGCTGTCAGAGTCTTATTTGATCATAGATGGCCCGTCGTACTTAGTCACGTCACTATGGGCCTCTGTATTGCTTTTCGAGTCTCCAGCAACACAACAGTAACCGTCAAAGTTGCTGTTGGGTACCAATGCCAGCGCATACAAGAGGATCTTTCGTGCTCCTTCGAGCGACTGCCACAGCGACTGCCATAGACGATAGGGACCAGGCTTCCGCTTGTTGCGGTTGTTCCTGTGGAACTTCTCCAACGCTGCCTCGGCGCCGACGAGGTAATAGTATGGCTCCCAAGTTAGCTCGTTGAGGCATCCTTCCCACGGAATGTGGTACTTCAGCATAGGTTCACTGGTCAGTTTGTCTTCCTCGTCTGTATCGTAAGCTGGCTTGATTGCTTTGGCGATTGTGAAGCGTCCCGAGGACCACCGAAGAGATCCTGATCAGTCGCCGTCCGCTTGTGAGTAACGTGGGATGACGTGCTTTCCTACTTACTTGAACCTAGGCTTTTATTCTTCTATCTTGCTTATCTAGGGTTTTAGACTTGCTACACAAAGTAGATACAAATAGGTAGAAGCACACTAAACTTTAAAGAAATCTAGCTATAAGGAAAGCTTCTCTAAAGGCCTAAGGCAGGGCCTAAAGGGGCATTAAAACCCTAACTATAACTAGTAAAACCTTAGCTAAGAGAAACCGTGCTTTCCTAAAAAATCAGAGTAAAGACGCCCTACAAGCATTTTGCGAGCAGAGAATGCACATTAGGGAACGCGTGCAAGCTCAATCACCATCCTAACCTACCTGGATCCCGCACTCCACCAAAGTAGATCGCACGCATATGACGTACCTAATGTACTGGGTGTTGCGTGCGTGAGATGCGTACAGCGGCTTAGAGAGGCCTTATTGAGGGATCCCTGATCGACGATGGTTATGGCACGATTTCTTCCGTCAGTTCGGTCACAACCAGACGCCTGGAAAAGTTCTGCAAGTCTGTTCACGTTTGCCCCGTCTATTTCGTGTCGAAAGTCAAGCACATTGATGTTGACACTCGTGGATCACACATGTTTCCTACTTCTCTCAAGAGCTAGGTGCTTTTGCTGGTCGATGAAAGCTGCACCGCCCGTCTTCTTTACTGGAGAGTGTCGCTCCTTTTCTGAACAACGGGAGGTCCTAAGATCAAACGGTCTCGAGGATGTAGGGCCTTGAGAGCAAACGGTCCACAGAACGGGGGCCGGTCCTTACCTACATTGTAGGCAAAAAGCATTCTATAGAGTTTTTTTAGTAGGTATTTCCCTACTTTATTGTCGTAAGGTGTATTTGGCTCACATCCTCCCCCTCCCTAGAAAGGTGCCCATATGCCCTTCTGCACTTCGTAATAGAACCAGGAGCTGGACTCTGTTGCCCTTATGTTGAGTTCATTGGTCCAAGAGGCACGTGCAGTGTGCTGCTCTTCCCCACGAATCGACGAGCTTTCTGAGGCTGCGCCTCAAGATCGAACGAATCAAGTGGCGAATAACGTGACTCTTGCGATTCTGAACAGCATGAGTAGTGTTTCAAGTGTAGACATAAGCACACGCGCCGCTTACAGTCTTCAGATTCTTATCGATAAAGGATTAAGGTGTTGAGAAGCAGGCAGGGATGGCCCAGATGCACATGCTCAGGCGTCACTTTTAGCGAGTCGGTTGCGTCAGTGCTTCTGTGACTTCAGGATACACGCGCGCCGAATGCACGCATGCCCCAGGCTTCCATCTTTGACCTGTCGATGACTTGCCTTCCCCACACATCATGAGGACACGTTCCATACCTGTGCGTGGCGAAATAACATGACCACAGCCCCGGAATAGCGTGTTCCCACGACGGCCATCCGCGAGTAGACCGCCATTACCATGGGCGAAAGAGAGCCAGCCATGTCCTCCCACGCGAACCAGTACATTCGCGAAGTCCTCCACTCAGCTGAGGCTCCGGCCGAAATACCCGTTCGCTATTTTTACACGTCGCCGCTCGCTATCGACGATCCGCTGTCCCCAATACCTCCGCCTGTGACGGGTGCAGCAGCGGCCGCGAAGAAGCAGTTGCCTCGCCCGTTCTCCGAGTACGACAACGGCGCCGTCAACAGGTCATGGCTAGATCTGAGGAAGAAGATACTGCAGCACAATGAGGAGCTGGGGGAGAAGAGAGACGGGCAGGAGCCAGGCACACCGACAAACCCAGCCTTCACCCGTCTGAAGCGGAGAAGAGCCGGTAGTGCACCAAGGGAAGGAGGCGGCCCACAAGGCAGAGATATACCTTTGGGAAGGTCGAACAGCAGCGGACAGTACTCCCGATCTGCGGAGCTGTTCTCGAGTGGACGTGCCAGCTCGAGTGGGGGTAGCCAGGCTGCAATGCTTGTGCAATCTATGAAGGCTCTCGATCCAAGCCAGGCGTCGCCCACGTCGGGTTCTGCCACTACAGGCACGCCCTTCATTCGAGCACCCTCGCGTACCAACGTTACCAAAGCATGGAAGCCTTCGCTGGGAGACGGTGGCAGTCGACCGACCATCCATGAAGTGGACAGCTATAGGTGGGACGATGAGATGGAACCAGCATTGTCAACCGGCAAAGACAAGGGCCCGGCGAGAAGGTCTTCCAAACCTCAGGCAGGGCCATCAGTCAAGGTACCTGTCGGCATGTCGAGGCTGCACCACGTCGTTATGGATGCGGAATCTATACGCATGGAGCCGATCTATTGGTCGCCCCTCAGCGACATCTCTCGGATAATACGAGGAACTTGGTTCTACAAGGACTCGATGATGCCTGTAGAGGTCGAAGTTGCAAACATGCTCGAGGCAGGATACATAGAGCTGCAGCCGTGGACGCAGACCTGGAAGGATGAGCTCGACAGCGCGGTCGAGGTTGGCGCGCTTGGTGAGATGAAAATTGTCCACAAACTATGGCCAGACAAGCCGGCAGCTCCAGACAGTCGACCTTCCACTTCACAGCAGATGCAGACGACAGGCCTAGTCCAGAGTACTCTGCCAGAGGAACAGGGAAGTCCGGAAGAGGAGCGACTGGACATAGTCGAGAACGCCTGTGACCAAATCGACATCTCAAATGGCCCAGATGGGCCAGACAACAAAGCAGCGGGAGATCTAGAGTACGGCGCTGCAGGATATAAGCAGCTCTATCTCAAAGCTGGCATCATCTATGCAACTGAAAAGGAGGCGTACATCTTAAAGCCGACTCTACAGCCATCAAATTATTATGGTAGGCGTCCGCTCGCGAACTACATCCGTAAGGGTAGAAGTATTGGAGTATGTGTCGTTCGGGGCTTCGATCAAGCAATATGGGACAAGCTGCATCCTACCAAGCTGGATTCGGTTTCTCAGAAGGCATATCAGGGCGCATCTGCTGCACAAGCCGGAGTGTCAACAAATCGGAGGCTGAAGTCTGATCCCGAGCTTGCCATGTCTGAACGTCCTCGAGTGACTGATCTCGTGCTGGTGATTCACGGTATTGGGCAGAAACTGTCTGAACGCATGGAAACGTTCCACTTCACACATGCAATGAACTCTTTTCGACGTGAAGTGAACGTTGAGCTTGGAACACCGGATGTCAAGCGTCATCTGCGCAGAGATATGGGTGGGGTCATGGTATTGCCGGTGAGTCGCTAAATGTACCGAGCTAGTAACGAACAGCATACTTACGTCTTTTAGGTAAACTGGCGTCAACGGGTGTCGCTCGAGACTGGTGGCGATCAAGCGGAGGCAGAGCATCCTGCAGCCAACAAGTACACTCTCAAGGATATCACCCCAGTCACACTGCCTTCGATCCGAGGCGTCATTAGCGACGTTATGCTGGATGTCCCTTACTATCTTTCGCCGCAGCACAATCCCACGATGGTTGCCGCGTGTATCCAAGAGGCAAATCGTATCTACAAACTGTGGTGCGCTAACAACCCAGGTTTCCAAGACTACGGCAGGGTTCACCTCGTCGCACACTCTCTGGGATCAGTAATGGCTGTCGATATCCTCAGCAACCAGCCCAGCCACGTCGATTTCAGCGCAATCGATCCCACCACTCCTGCCTCGGAGCTCCCCAAAGACCACTTCATCTTCAACACGACCGACCTCTTCGTCTGCGGCAGCCCAGCCGCCCTCTTCCTCCTAATGAAAGACGCAACTCTCCTTCCCCGCCGCGACAAAGAGAAACCCGGCGCCGATGCCTACGCCGCGCCCGGTGTCGCCGGCTCCCAGGGCACCTACGGCTGCATCGCCGTCGACAATATCTATAACATCATCAACCCCTACGACCCCGTCGCTATGCGCCTTAACGCCACCGTCGATGCCTCCTACGCCGAAATGCTCAAGCCCGCCACCATCCCGTCCGCCTCCACCAGCTACTTCTCGCTCGCCAACCCCTTCCGGCGCACTGACAGTACCACCGCGCTGCAGAAACCCGCCACTGTCCGCCTGCCGTCCAACGTCGAGCTTGAAACGCACAACTTCACGCGCGAGGAGATCGCCGAGAAGCGCGCGTACCTGCTTAATGATAACGGCCAGATCGACTTTTTCATGAAGTACGGGGGTGGTGCGCTTGAGATCCAGTATCTTACTATGTTGGGTGCGCACAGTAGTTACTGGCTCAGTAGGGATTTTGTCAGGATGATCGTGCTGGAGGTGGGAAGGGAGATGGGGAGGGAGGGCACGATTGAGAGGATGCGGGCGGTGAAGAAGAAGATGCATGTTGGGGGCGTGTAGAGGTGTGGGAGTGGGGGCGAGAGTTGTGTGGTGCATTAGACTAGATTAGATTTTATCTTATACCCCTTTGTTGCGAGTATGGGAGCTACTTTTGTTATGCTATCCTTCTCCACTACTGTCCTCCTACGTCCACCCGCTACCGAACCGGATCTCCATAAAGTGCTGCTGCGTTGTGTCACTTTGCGTACCGTGTTGATGTGTGTGTTGACTTACTCCACGCGCAGTCTTTCCTCGCTTGATCTGCTCCACGTCGCCGCTGCTTGCCGCGTGCAAGCTTGAACAGCATTCCGTTCGACCAGAATCTTTTGCTTTCCGCGTGCGAAGCGCTGTGTATATTAGTCTGCAACCCAGGTTAACGCGTGGAATTGACTTACTCCGCGCGCAGTCTTGAAGCCCGTGGCCTCACCACCCCAGTCACCGGCGCTGTTGTTCCTATTCTGAGCGTCTTCTTCGTCTTTCTCTGCTTGCTGAAGGGCACAATGAGCCTTGGAGTTCTTGTGCACAGGCCAATCCCGAGTGTTGATGGTGCGGTCACAGAGCTCGCCCAGAGTCTTCTGCGGAACTGGCGCCTTCATGCCATTTTAAGAATTGATTGAACGCCATACCTGGCTGCAGGTGCAGCATTTGACTGCGACCCATGGTTGTGAGAATACTTGACCAGTCGTCGTTCGACCAGTCCTCGGTCAACTAGTCCTCGTACGATGAGAGGAGAGCAGAACATGTAGCACTTGTGGGCAAATTCGTGATGGGAGATGGTGGATTTAGATGGGAGGCGCGAAGGTACATACCAGCGCACCAGCGAAGTCGAGTCGAAAACCGGGGCAGCCTCACAATGATTGTAGCATGACGTTGACGACTGCATCGATGCAGGCAGAAGTATCTACCTTCATAGTCGATCGTGAAGGTAGCCACAAGGATGTTCAGTTAGTTGAAAGTCAGCTTTAAGCGCGGCTGCGAGTTTAGGGAACGCACCATTCCCATGTAGAAAGATAAGGACTGCAGCTGAATGCAATCAGAAGCTGTTGACATTAGTAAACTTGCTCTGCTCCAGCGTGACGACAGTCTTCTGTGGGCTCTAACAAACGCCAAAAAGTAAGCATCTTTCTACTGCACAGGCTGCTATAATATAAGTTGAATAATTTTATAGAGCTACAGTATAGTAGCGCTACACCTACCAGTCACGTCTACCGTCCATTTAAGTCTTAACCTCCACCACAACCATACGAGCGTACCTAATCTTCTCACCGTAGCGTAGCTAGAGCAAGCTGCACAGGACGTACTGAATCTCATCAGAGACGCAAGGCTTGCCGCGGAGTATAAATCACGACTGATGATCCATCTCCTGTAGGGCTTTGAGGGCGCTGGGCAGCGCTTTACCGTTCGCATTTAATTTACGGTTTGCTTTGACTGAGCTTGGGTGTCTTGCCGTGGGGTGCAAACCAACATGTCCTATCTTCTGCAGGACTCTGGTGGTACTGGGAGGTGCTTTGCGGTTTGTGTATTTACACTGCGGTCCAAATCGTCAACATCATAGGGTGCCGGCACATCCAGTAGGTGGAGATTAGCGTTGGGGGCCGCGATGTTCGAGATACACATACACTTCTGGAAACGTTCGCGAGCCGTATCGCGCGGAAGTGACGGAGATACAAGCCCACGCTACTTGACGACGTCGCTCTGGCTTCACATCTGGACGTAAATCGGGAAGAGGCACAGTACGTCAGGCCTCCACACCCAGAACTTGACAGTAACTGCAGATCTGTCGTTCGCCGACGTGATCCAGGAAGAAGTGGACCGGAAAGATGTGATACCCCAGCCGTTGAGGTTGTTGGGACATAGTCGGTGTCCAATGGGATCAAGTACCGCCGTGACAGTGTCGACGGCGCTGGTGAACTCGTTCATCACGCCGCCGGCAACGACATCGGTTGTTCTGGCAGTGTACCCCAGAATCCGGCCACATTCTGGACCCGCGCCAGCTCGATGACGGGGAGCTGATGAAGCACCATCGGGGCCGGCGTGGTGTTGCGGGTCGTGGACTGTCGGCAGGGGACCCAACGAGCGACTTCGGGTCGATTCCGCCCAAGTACGCGTCGAGTGCACGCCTGTAAATAAACAGATGGCAGATGGATATGGAATCGAGTTCGGTAAGCACGCTACTGCATGCGTAAGCGCGTCCCAACGGCCACCTCGCTGAAGCGGGGAAATCGGCTCAGTCGGTGGTGAGTAGCATCCTGGGTCTAAATCCTCTGGCGGTCTTGTCTTCGTATGGCCAGCTTACACCGTAGGTGTGGTGGAATGCTGACAGGGTCCGCCGCATGTCATAGGTGGTACCTGCGTGCGCCTGGCCATGCTGTGCTCAAACGGGACAAGAAATTTCCCCGATCGCACCGCAGAGTCAACGAGCTGACGTATCTCGCTGTTTGTGGCTTCCACGATACAGAGGGGCGCGAGCTGACGGCGGACGATTGGCAAGTGGTGCCGGGATGGGACGTCACGAAGGCCAGATGTGGTCCGTGGGAAGCGTGGAAGAGGCCTGCGTATCGGGCATAATTGTTGCCACAGAGTAGTGGAGACTTCAGGCGCTTCCCCATAGCCCGCTTCCGCCATCGCTTCGTCCGCTTTGGGTGGATATCACATCGAAGAGCAATGCTGCAATGCAACTCGTTGCACGAAGTGGACCGGTCCCTGGGATCGTCCTGCCCCACATTTGATTGGCCGGGTCCCGAGGTGCTATGCCGGAAGTGGCAAACTCGAAAACTTCCCGCACGAGGACCAGGGTTGTTAACGGCGTCCCACGCGACAGACGCGTTACGCTGTGCGCTCAAGACTGTGTTGTTGAGCGAAATGGTCAAGCTGGGTCGCGCCTCTTTTAGTCACCCATAGTATCGGCTCATCAGTAGCTCCCCTAATCACGTTGCGTGTGAGGCAGTGCCCGGCGTCTCGAAGCGGAACGGACCTCAGCTCAACCCTGTCTACACCGCCTCATTGGCCAACGCATCATCAATCCAGGCCAGCATTCTGTCCAACGACAGTCGGCATCAACGACGCTGCCTGTACCTGGCTCTCTTTGGACCCACTGCAGCTCGCCTTGTACTGGCTAGAAGTCTGACTGAGATTTCGTACTGGCAAGTCACGGCGCTCGCGTGCTGAAGGCGAAATTCTGGTACCTGGACCCCTGCGGGCGGAGCGGCTTGTCATCCAGTACCCGTAGCGGAGCGCTCCATGGCTGCCATGCGAGTGATCCAGTCGTACCTCACAGAGCCCCGTCTGCAATGCCCCATAAGCCATGGCAAATACGTAGTGGATCAATCCTCGTACGGCGTAGCTGAATATGGCTTGAGTACAGACTCGCCCTGGACTCGAGCTGGATATATCTGTCCTGCATATCCCGTGCTGCAACATGTGGTGATGCTCCGTTTTCATTCATACCCTGGCCTCGACTGAAGTGCACCACACTCAGTGCTTCAGACCTCCCACCTCTTCGTCGTCATGAGGTCCGCACCACCTGAGGTCATGGCCACATGGCCCAAGCCGAACTACGTCGACCCCGTCACCCGGGGGCCCGCGTTGATGGTCGTCGAACTGACGCTGCTGCCCGTCGCCATGATCATTGTCTTCTTGAGACTGTACGTCCGGATAGGGTGGCTGAAGAAGAGCTGGTGGGACGACTACCTCATGGTCGCTGCTATGGTACGTACCGAGCGTCGGGGCCACCGAGTGGCGATGCCAACGAACAACAGGTCTTTTCCATCGGAACCACAGTGCTGGTGATCATGGCTACACAGATGTACGGCTGGGATAAGCATGTGTGGGACCTGAAGCTCCCTGAACTATCGACTGGAAGAAAGGTACGACTCTGTGCGACGTGTGCAACCGAACTGGTGTTCTAACGGTTTTGCAGGCGTCCATGGCCGGTCAGACCTTGTTTGTCCTTGCTTCAAGCACGGTCAAGATGTCTATCCTCGTTTCGTATTTCCGCATCGCACCAGAGAAGTCGCTCTTCCGTAAGCTCGTGTGGGGTACCTTCGCCCTCGTATTCGCGGCATTTGTTGTCTTCCTCGTGGCACTGTGGGTACAGTGCATGTACGTAGCTCATGTCCCGTCAACGTCGCTCAGGTGCTGACCATTACAGACCAATTTCCAGCTATTGGAAGCTTACTGCCGACCACCGAGACTGTATCCCAGAAGGGCCGCCCTTGATGGTACAGAGCACCCTAAACGTAGTCACTGACTTCATGATCTACACCTTACCAATTCCGACCCTTTTCAGCCTTTCGCTACCCTGGAACCAGCGCATCGGTCTTGTGGTCCTGTTCTCTGTTGGAGGTATCATCGTCGTGGCTGGCAGCTTCCGAGCGTACTGGATCCACTACACACTATTCGAGACATACGATGCCACTTGGGGGGGCTACAACATCTGGATCTGGACTGCCATCGAGACTAACGTCGGCGTCATCTGCGGCTGTATACCTGCTCTCAAGCCACTGCTGTTCCGCACCCGTGCAAAGGCGCAAGCTTCAAAGTACGGCAATGGCTCCGACCACAGCAGAAGAAGGGAGAAGTTCACACCCATCGTGGATCAAGTCGAGATGGACAACCGCAGACCGGCACCCCAACTCGACATCGAATCGCGGCCTGGTACAGCAGTCCCACTGCAGTACAGCAGCCCGTTGTCTGAGCGACCGATGAGTGGCTCAACCGACAAAAGCCGTTTCGATATGGACATTGAACAACAAAAGTCTTACATGTACTGATCGTCAGTACTTCCAATCTTTCTCTCTTTGGAAGGACATTCACGTCCAGTCTTGTAGACAGTAGAGTTTCCTCAATCGCTCCTCTCCTTGACACACCCGCTCTCAACTTCTATTTTTTGTAATGACTCGCATTGGGAATACCACGGCTGGCGGTTGTTTTCTTTCAGCGATTTCCTTTACTTTCAGGCAACAGCGCACGTCGTTGTTTGCCCTCACTACCAGTCAAGGCAGTGGAGTCGATAGCTTCAATGATATATCGCCTCGTCTACAACCTCGATTGCGCCGTATTGTTTGCGTGCAAGGTGCAGGTGAGTTCTTGGGATACAGCGTTATGTGCTCAAGGAGGTAGGCGCGTTTGAGCACACACCCACAACATTGGACCTGACTCAATATTCACGATACTTCGCCATGCGACGTCCTTCGATGACGGTGAAGATCGCCACGGCATTGACAACATCTCCGGCGTTGCCACCTCCTTCAAGGTAGGTCGACGAAGCGGTCTGAGCATGGCAGTGCATCCCTTTATTTTCATTCGGTCTTTCCGGTTTGCTCTTTCGTCCGTGCGCTTCTGATGTCATTTTTTCTTGCGATTCACCAACCTCGTTGTTTCAAACAGCACATCTTGTCGCCGTCGTCGTTTGTCGTCGCAGGGCTTGCCAATTGTGTCGCGTCTTCGCCGAGCCGATGAGTTGTCAGGCTCGCTGGGTGGCCAGCGCAGACTGGCCTTCAGCTCAGCATGACGCCTCGCTTGATTACGGATCCCCGGATCGAAGCGCGTTTGCAAGGCTGCTCCCAGCAAGGCGTGTCGTCAAACGAAATCCAATGCGTCCTGGGACTTGACTTCATTTTTTCCTTGCGATTTTGTAAGGGGCGCGCAACTTTTGAAGAGGCAGGAACCAGCCATTCGGCGTGAGTGTGGAGAGCTCAAACACGACCGTGGCGTGGGGCCTTAAGGCTGTGGCTCGGCACCAATTGACCGGGCGCGCGCTAGCTATGCAATGCAAGCTGCAATGCAAACGCAGCATGACATCTGCAGTCAGGTCCTAACAGTACCGGATCGCGCACTCCATTCGATAGCGTTGTCGATTACAGGGCCATGTATAGATGCCCTTGCCTTAGACGCGTTGCGGGGCTGTTCGATGTGAAGGAATTTGGCCAGTGCTGTTACAACCGTCTCCCAGACTACAGGAGCATTCTAGGGCGAAATTACTCGAGACTTACCAGTGACTTCGTACCTTGTCCTAAACGTCATACTAGACGCACAAAGCTTCGACGCACGACCGTAAGTCGTTCGGCTTAGCCTTTTCGGTCAGGATTCCGCGCTTCCTTTGAGCTTCAAACGATCTGGCGTGTTGAGGCGGCAACCCGACCTTGCTAATCCGAGTAGCTGCCAACGCACCGTGCAGCCGAAGGCCTCACCGTCTAGAGGAAGACTCGTAAGGTTTTCTTACTACTATTATAAGCTGCAGGTACTCTGCCTCTTTCCCTCTGCTCTCAATTGACAACTTACACCATGAAAGGCACAACAACCTGGGCGCTGCTTCTACAACTTCTCTCACTTACAGTTGTGGCTTGGCCCCAACCTCGTCATGAAAAGCCTCCAGTATGCATTATCGGCGCCGGGCCATCAGGCTTAGCTGCAGCGGGTAAGCTGGAAGAGAAAGGCATCAAAGCCATGATATTCGACAAACAAGAAGAAGTTGGCGGTAAATGTCAGGCATGGTATGACGAGCAGTAAGTGTTGCACAGCATTGAAAACGCCCAAACGCGGCTGATCACACCACACAGAGACATCTTCCATCCGCTTGGCGCCGCCTTCTTCTCGAACGCGACCTACACGGAAACCATCAAGATCCTCAACACGACCAATGTTACGTCCGAGTCCTTCGCGCTGGCGGGCGCGCGTGAGATGTTTCGTTACAACTACACAAACGGCGCAATTGAAGCGAATCCGGCGTTGATACCGCAGTTCCTGGCATCACTGTCTGCGGAGATTCCGCGTTACGTGACGTTGTGGAATCAAAGGTTTCGACCATACAGCGTTCCTAATTACAAGGTACGATATGGGCACTGCGCACAGCGTTGTACGATGACACCTAACAAGTTGCAGAACGGCACACCGGACGAGTTCACTGTCTCTGGCTCACAATGGTTTCGACAGAATAATTTCACTGCTCTACCGATCCTGCTTGTAAACCCAGTGGCGCTGTATGGATACGGCGACATCAACATTGTCCCGGCGGTATGTCACAGTCCCTTCTGCATAAAACCTGCAGGGATGATGCATGCATATGCTGACACGTGATACAGCTCTACATCTTGCAATACTTCACTCCGGACATTTTGACCGCGTTCATCGGACTGCACGAGGTGTATTACATGGACTTCCACAAGATGTTTGTGCAGTACTCTGAGTCACAGCTGTGCAACACACCCATCAAGACCTCCGCAGAGGTTCGTTGTATCGATCGTTCCGGAAAGAATCCAGTTATCAAGTACACCGAGCCGTGCGACAACTTTTACAAATGGCGCAAGCAGGAGTGCAGCTCGATCATCTTCGCATTCCCACCAAACATAGAGAACCTCGAAAGGGCCGGGCTGGACATGACGGAAGAGGAGTACGATGTGTTCGCGAACGTTTCGACGATCCAGTATTACTCTTCGGCGGTCGAGATTGGGCTTCCTTTCGGCGTGTCCTACATTGCGAACACCTCGTCACCGGCACGTCCTCCGCCAAACGACGGCGAACCCGTTGCTGTCTTGCGTCTAAACCAACAATCGAATGTTTCCGTGGCCTGGTCTTGGGGCCCATACGAATTCCAGACTGAAGAGGCCGCACGTCGCCTCCTCATCGAGAGCATGTCCGACATTAACAAGGACCCTCGAAATGCCACTGCACTGCCAGAACCTTTCACTGACAGTAACGTGAAGGCATTTCGAAAGTGGGACTACTTCCCTCACTTTGATTCTCAGCCTCTCAGGGACGGCGCGTACGATAAATTAAACCGCCTCCAAGGCCACAAGAAAAGCTACTGGGCGAGCGGGCTCAGTGGTATGGAGATTGTAGAACTGGCCGTTCGCGGCGGCCAGGATGTTGTGGAGTCTTACTTCTAGAGACCTGCGCTATACCGAAGCGGTAGCCTAGTACACATTGTGCACAAGAGGAGGGATCCACACTACAGGAAGTGGACTTGATTTTGCTTTACGATTTTCCTTTCTACACTACAGGCATTACGACTACCTGGACGACTTTATGCCTATTTAGAGATGATACCTTCGCCTTCAATGAGCGTCACGATCACGTCCTTACGATTACGGCTTTTTCACGGCTGCACTGGGAGGACACCTCACGATCTGGACGGACTCGAATTTAATGATAATGCTAGCTGTATATAGCATGGATGGATAGATACGATATTTATGTAGATACACAAAGAAGCTCATATCGAGACAGAACAACTGCAACATCTTGTTTACATTGTGCCAGAGTTTTCCTCGGTCCGTGACGGCTATGACGGCGGATTCAACTTCCATCGAGTGATAGGATCGCTGGGCGTCTTAAGGCCAAGCGCAAAGACTTCACGATGCATGTGCCGGAACTGGAGAAATGAAGTCACGGACTCAACTTCGGCTGACAGTTACCCGCAATCAAATTGCGATAAGCGCTGTCACTTGTCAATTCAATCCTACGGAGTATTGAATGACACCTTGGGTAGACCCTTAAAATGGTTCGGTATACCTTAGCTTCCTGAGGACTTTCTCCTTTCCTAGCAACAGCCAGCGGCAATCACAACCACTCACGGCACGGGGCTCACTCCTCACGGCGAGGCTGCGGATCATGCACCTGACCTGGCCTTGCAGCGAGTTTGCCCTGGAAACCGACCTCCCGGACCGTGTGAGCTTAAAAAGTGGAAATGACAGACCGTCACTAAAGGCCTTGTGAGCATCGCTGATTGGTGCACTAGTCGGGCACCTCCGCGCTTGCTGTTTAATGAGCATGACTCGAGCTCGATGGCAGCAGCCGGAGGATTCAAGAAGCGGGATGAGCTGTAACGCTGCACGATGAAGCAGTTGAAGATTCTGAAGACGCTGCGGAGCTGGCGCAGAGCTGTGTTGCACTGCGTCGAGGGTTCCACAGCCCCTGAGTACAGTAGCTCCACGAAAACACACGGCAGAAGCGTGGCGAACCAGCGATTCGGCATTTCGCTTGCGCGGGATTCATTTCTGACCCAACGTTGTCATTTGAGCGTCTTCTCGCCGCAATCTTAAATCAAAGCGAGGAGTCGCTCTTGGGCCCTTGGTGGTTAGCCTACAGTGATTCGTTAGCCGCCCCGGCATGGCATCGTGAGTATGTCGTGCCGCGAGCCAGTTTCATATACAGCCTTGAGGATCCCCAGAGTGTCTCCCTTTTCATCTCAATCCTGTCGCTCGTTGTTTGCTGCTCTGTTATCGCTCGCTGCGCAAGAACTGCCCGTCTCCCCGAACGCGTGGGAGTTTGAGACGTTCTCCACATTCATTTAAATCTCTACACAACCTGAAGATCGTCATACGAGATGCAGCTCACGTTCCTAGCTGGGTTGGCTGCGGTGGCTGTGGGTGTGGGCGCTCAGACTTCAATCAGGTACGACTTCTCCACCACAGCGCAAAGCAAACATGCAACTAACATGTCTGATATAGTCCTGAGCAGGCGTCATCGGTGCTGATGGTCCTCGCGACTGCACTGCCGGCCGATGTGCGCAGCTACGCCATCGCGTCGCAGTCGGCCTTTGCGGCCGAAATGAGCTCTTCGCTCGCCGCTGGCAACCTTCCAGGGTGGTATCAATCCATGCCTGCCGACGTCAAGAGCATCTTGCCTCTGCTGTACCCTGCTGCTGCCGAAGCTACGACCACGCCTGTCGTCACTTCGACCACTGTCTCGAGCGCTGTCGCATCCGCCAGCGCTGCGCCCACCGGCTCCAACAGCACCTCTATTTCTGCGGTCCACTCCGCTACCCTGTCCGGCACCCAGACGACCCCTACTGGCGTTACCCCTCCCGAGTCCACTGGCGCCGCGTCGCACGCAAAGGCTGCCGTCGGCGCCGGCCTTGCTGGTGTCGCTGGGTTCCTCGCGCTGCTGGCCTTGTAATCGCGTCGCGCCATGCGACAGCCAACCTCCCAGTATATGGCCATGATACGAATCAGACGGCTCAGCTTCGGCGTCTTTAGCGGGCGGCGCTCCGGATTCGAATGTTCTTCACGACGCAATGTTGTTATTCTTTTGGGGGCTCATGGGAGCATTTGCATTATACCTGTTTGACTTTGACGGAGGATTGGGGATATTGATGGCTCTGGCTGTAATGTTTAGCATGTGTGACGCATAGCGGATTTGATGGATGTTTGCTGATGGCGATGATCGTAGCATATCAATAATCTATAATCAGTTGGTACGCGAAATGGTATTGTAGCGACATGTTGATGCGAGTAGATGCTCAGAGGGATGTGCGTCGGCATGATGCAAGGGTGTAATGTCAAGATATTCTTGCTACCTACTTGCTCCCCTCCTAACACCACCCACATAAACTTGGTGATCCTTCTCACCAATTTTGACTGAGAAAGGTTGTTCACACATATTAGTCTTCCTCGACCAATACTTATAGTCTTTCTCTGTAACGTCCTTACACTCACCCAATTCCTCACTGCTTAGGTTGTCGAGTAGTCAAGCGAGCAAGACGCTGCAGTAAACCCCACCACCACTGGCTTTGCTGTCCATGGGAAAATCCGTGGTAATAACAACGCCGTTGTATTGGTCGGCGTGTAAAAATGCAGCAAGAGACCAAGGCAATTATTGCTTACTGAGATGTATGGAGGTAGGAGGTGTGCTATAGAAAGATTGCATAGATCTATTGGGTATCGTAGGGGCGATCAATGCCGCTCTCATGCATAGAAGGTAAAGTACAAGTCCACATAGTTGACTTTCCCAGCCCTTTTACTGTTCTCTTCTCAGAGGTTCAATCACTGGCCCAGGTCTCCCAGGTACTTCTCAACTTCGTCGTTCCCGTAGAACATCCTCTGCAACTTATCATGCTTCCTCTTTTCCACCTTTGCCAGCTTCTGTATCTTGCCAGCGTCTAACCTGATCTCTCCAGGCTTTGCGATTCCTCTTCCATTCATAAGCCCTTTCCTCCTCTCCTCGGTCTTTTGATCAATGCCTAGCCCCAGTTTGTCTCTCTTCTCCTTCGGAACGATTGGAAACAACATGCCGTCGCCTCGCGCGCCCAGCCCCATCCTAGCGTCCACGTCCCAGCCATAGTTCTGCATGTATTTCAGCCCCATCCGAGTGCGATCGATTGCTGAGGGTGTTGGCGTTCGTGGTAGAGCGGCTTGGTGCGCAGCACTCAGGAAGTGGATGCGGTGGTCTACTTCTTTGACAGGCTCGCCGCAGATGCCGCAGAGAGGGTATGTGTCCACGTTTGGCGTCGGTTGACCGTTGGGAAACACAATGGCGAGGTACTTTTGCGCCATCGACTGCCCATCTACCGCATTCGAGGCTGCAGGCTTGACATTAGGCGCGGCGGGAACGAAGGCGATAGGGTTCTTCCACAGGCCGCGGCCATAGGCGGTGTGCGAGGCGAAGGGCGCTGTAGAGATATCGGCATCGTCGTAGCGAGGGTCGTCGTCGTCATGCTTTTCTTCCTGCTCTGGTCCTATTGTCGGTTGCATGGTGTTGGCTCTTCTTCGAACGATTTTCTTTTCTTCAAGTGATAGCTAATAACACCTTTGCTGCAGACGACCCTGGCGACAAACCTAAAGCCATATCTCTACAAGCGCAGATGTGGGGACTCAATAACGAGTAGAGCAAAGTTTCGTGGTATTGTGAAGTTTAGGCGTCGATGCGCGTGATCACATGCTATGACGCTACGCGGTTGCTTAGCGATGTGGCCCTTGGTTCCGAACATTGAACCCCTTCCGAAGCTAACCAGCTCCCATCATGCCTATTGGAATCCTCCACCAAGGCTTCACCGAGGGCTTGGACTCGATACCCTATGGCCAGCCCATACTGAAGATCGTCTCCGTCATTGCAGTGCTCTACTTGTTCAAATGGTACTTCAATGGCGCAGTCAACACCTCAGAGCGCAATATGCACTCCAAGGTGGTCATGGTTACTGTAGGCTTATCCACGCTGCTCTTACACACCGACTAACACTTCTCAGGGAGGTACAGCCGGTATAGGCGCTGAGGTAGTCAGAGGCCTTGCATCGCGTGGCGCCCAAATCGTCCTCCTGGTCCAACAACCCCTCTCTGACCCCTTTCTCGTCGACTACATCGAAGACCTGCGAGAACAGACAGGCAACGAGCTCATCACTGCCGAACATGTCGACCTCACATCCCTGCACAGCATACGAGTCTTTGCAACGAAATGGGTTGACAATGCCCCTCCACGCCGTCTTGACACGATCGTCCTCTGCGCAAATACAATGACACCTATGGGCGGCAAAGCAGCTATAACTGAGGATGGTCTGGAATCTACATGGGGACTGAACTACGTGGCAAACTTCCACCTTCTCAGTATCCTCAGTCCCGCACTCCGCGCCCAGCCGGCCGACCGGGACGTTCGCATCGTCTTCGCTACATGTGGCGCATATGTCGCAGGCAAGATGCCAGACTTCAGTGCAAAGCCAAATCCAAAGAAGGCAAAGGGCGAGACTGTGCCAACTGAATTTGAGGCTGGTAGCGTCTATGCCACATCGAAGCTGGCACTTATGACCTTCGCCGTCGCTTTCCAGAAGCACCTGAACGCTTATGTCCGCCCTGATAAGAAGCCCAATAACGCTCGCGTCATCATGGTCGATCCCGGCTGGACCCGTACACCCGGCATGCGGCGCCACCTCTCCTTGGGCACACTATGGGGTCTTGCGCTCTACCTCATCATGTGGCCCGTGTGGTGGCTCGTCTTGAAGAGCGCCGAACAGGGCGCACAGACCTTCCTCCATGCCGTAATGGAAGCAGAGTGGGGTCGAGGCGAGGGAGGATATTTCTTGAAAGAGTGCAGGAAGGTGGGCTGGTCGCGACACGAGATCAGCGACGAAGATCTCCAGAAGAAGCTCTGGACGAGCAGTGAGCAGACAATTGAGGTGCTGGAGAAGGAGGGTGCGAAGCGAAGGGCAGCCGAGAAGAAGGAGAGCGAAAAAGCGGAGAAGAAGGAGGCCAAGAGTACAGCGAAGGAGGCGAACAGCGAGGCGAAACAGAGGAAGGGCAAATGAGAGGGCTCGTGGGCCTGCAACAAAAGCAACCTTGCAGACAACACATTTCAGTACACGACCGTCAGATCTCTCGACTCTCGTTGTGGCTCGTGCTGTCATCTCGGATTGGGTCCGGTCGATGTGATCACCTCAGCCGGGTGACAGTGGACGGACACTAAGCTTGCGTAAAGCAATCTTGTTGATAACAATTGGAGGCTACAGTCCTCCAGCAACAAAAGATACAACAGCTTTCAACGTGCAGTCGGCGATCACCGAGATATAAGAGCGTGGCAACGAGGGGTCCGCCTGACTCGACATCAGATCTTTGCAGATGACATGATTTTGGTGGAAGTAAAATCTCTCAGTGGCTCAAGATGTGGCATTATAGACTTTACTGTTGTGATTCTCTTCATCGAAACAACCAAATGGTCGCTTAGCTCAGTTGGTTAGAGCGTGGTGCTAATAGATTATACCTTGATACGCCAAGGTCGCGAGTTCGACCCTCGTAGTGACCATCTTTTTGCTCCTTCTCCACACTTCTCTCGCATCCTTATTTGATAGAATGCAGCATGAGAGGTTGGAGAGAATGTTTTTGAGAGCGCGGTGGGGGATGTCAGGGGCTGGTTTTTGGGTCGTGCGACTACTGTGCGGCGACCTGAACATCAGCGCAGGCTTTGCGTGTACGCTTCTCGAAACATGACATTTCTTGGGCAATGATGCAGTGCTCATAGAAACGAGGAAAGACGTGGCTTATGGTTGAGTCTCTTGATACGGTTGATATCAATATCGTACATTGCTGTGGTAGATGTTTATATGCACGGTATCTGCCTCGGACACATTCGCATCCGCAGCATCGACCTACACCCATCATCACTGCTCCTGATTCCACTGCACTTTCGCCCGTCGAGACTTCGCCACATCTCTCCTCTGCCAGAATCGCGTGAACGCACGCCAGACACGCTTGCGCCTGCAAATCGTTAGCACACGCACCCTCACCCATCACCGACTTGGACTTACATCAACACCAACACCATGGTCCCTGTCACCGGCACACACAACCACCAGAAATACATATCGCTGTTCTCCAACACCGGCATGTCTTCAAAATTCATCCCAAAGTACCCGACTAAGAACGTCATGGGCAAGAACAGAATCGTGACAAACGTTAGTTGCTTCATGCTCTCGTTCTGATACGCGCCCATCGTGTTGAAGATCAAGTTGATCATGCGGTCCGCGCTACGCCGCATGCGCTCCAGCGACTCGGTGACGGTGATGCAGTGGTCCTCGACGTCGCTGAAGTAGGTGTGGGATAGCGCGGTGATGGTGATGGATGCCGTGGCGGGGTCTTTGGGGGCGAATGGGGGTGGGGAGTCCGCGATGGGAGATGAGGATGTGTTGTGCGAGGAGTTGCTGCTTTGCATCAGGGCGTTTGCGTTGTGTTGACGCAGCGCGTTGACAAGGCTGGTGATGGGGGCGATTTGGGAGCGCAGAAGGGAGAGCTCGGAGGTGAGGATGTAGCTAGGGGTGTTAGCAAGAGGGAGTGGAGGGGAGAGGGTAACGCACAGGGCTTTTGAGTGCGCGATGGTGGGGCCGGTGAGCACGTCGAGTTCGAGCTCGGCGATACTGTCTTCGTAGGCGGTGGTGATGGGGATCGCGAGGTCGACGATGCCGTCGATGATGGCGTGCATGACCATGCTGGCGTCGCCGCTTTGGCGGAGGACGGTTTCTGATGACTGGAGGCGCTTAAGGATCGGCTCTTCGATTACGTCGGCGGAGTGTTCAAAGAACGAGACTATGGTGTTGTCGCTTTGTAGGAAGATGGATACTTGCTCCACAGATACCATGAGGCCCTTGGAGTTGAGTGTGGAGTGCTCTTCCATGTAGCGTGTTCGTTCTGGGTCTGCGTCAATCCGATATGCTTGCAGCGTCTTGACAGCCTGTCGGTATTCGGCGGGTACATGCTTCTCCCGATATGCCGGGCTATTGGTGCTAACATGCCTCGGACGAAGGGGTTTGGGTGTTCCTCCATCTGTTGGGTTTGTCGCCTTGCGAACGAGCCGCTGCAAAGTCAGAAGAACTAGCTATCGATCAGCATTGCAGCCGCAAGTCACCATGAGGACTTACCGAAGATATGCTCCGGATACCAGTCCGCCTTGGTGCGATTTCTTGTATGCAGGAGGTCTTCGATGGCCAGAGTGTGCAATTTCTGCTTCTCACCCAACAACCGGACCACATCCCAACTGAGTCCATTGACTGTAGCAATATCAGCGATCATTCTAGACACCGTTCCACAGGCAGTCACTCACCATTTATCCATCGACAAGTGACCCAGTCCTCGCGTGGTTTCGCAAGGAACTCCCGAAGTGTCGTGTTGTCCAGCTCATACTTCTCGATTCTGTCCTTAGAAAAGTCCACGGCGGTAATCTGGGATTGCACCTTCTGGCGCCACTGGGGCCATGCATCATCGTTTGTGATGTCGATGCCAGGCTCGCTTCCTGCAGTCGGCTCACGCGGGGCCTCAATGCTCACATGCCTTGCGCCGATTGTTCTGCGACCATTACGCAGACACAACGTTCGTGACGGGGCACATAACGTCAAGGCCGAAGGCCGCAGCACTGACACTGGACATTGCGTTGCAAGACAGGATGTTGTTAGTGCCCTTGCGATGCCGACAGGGCATCTAGAGAGACGCGTCGCAGTCGACTCCGCAACATGACGTAGACGCGGCACAGAAAACATCTCAAGCTGCTACCTATGCATCACTACACCGATAGAGAGATGGAATGCCACGAATCGATTCGGTGCTTCCGTTGATGGAAGCTCGGGAAGCCGAACGATGGTGCTGCGGTCGTAAACAAGGCAGGTGCACACGATGACGATTCATCTACGCGAGCACGCGTGTGGGGCCAGGACCCGAGATAGTTGCACCCAGCTTGCTGTGAACATCGACGTTGTCTCTTTTGTTAAGGCGCGTAATAATACATCGTACTTTTCAAGGCTCTATGTAAAGATTTCGTTAATGACTCTGTCGTTTGCCCCTGTTGTACCACTGTAGCTGTATGATTTACTTTGCGGCAAGTGAATGCCCTGAAGCTCACCAACGGCATATCGAATAATGGCATAAATCACGTTGTTTGCCGACAGCAATGCTGACCGAGCCGAGATATCCGCTCCATTGTAGGGTGACAAGACATGTCTCATAGTTGTTGGGCTAGGTAGACCGGCAATGGTATCCAGAAGTATGGTGCTTGATTTTTAGACAAATGTCTAGAACAAATATAGTGATCTACGCCAAATATGCAGTTATGTACCAAACCCTCAAATGCCTCAAATCTACAACTCGCAACTATGCAACAATGATCTAGCACCTGAGCGAGAACTTGGTCTTCCTGTCCGCGGTCATAGCACCCCACGCAGTCTCGTCAGCAGCCTTGCCGTTGTCACCAATGGAGGCAGGCTTCCAGGGCTCGTCGAAAGCCTCGAAGTAGAAAGCGTTGAAGCCCCAGTCGAGAAGGGCGCAGAATCCGTGCTGGTAGAAGTGCTCGGCGTTGCTCAGTCCACCCTTGGCCTCGTCGTAGTCGGTGCCCTCGGCGGTGGGCCATCCGGTCTCGCCGGTCCAGACCTCAGGTGCCTTGTCTACGCCGCCAGCGATCTTCTCGATGTGGGTGATGGCCTGGTACATATCGTCCATTACAACGTGAGTCGCCTGTACTTTGTCAGAATGTTTCTATTACGTCATAGGAGAAGGTTTCACGTACGTTGTCGCGGCTGGCACCCTGCCAGAAAGCAAAGGCGTTGACCATGATGATGTCGGCGGTACCAATGATAGCATCACCGGTGCCATCGGCAAACTTGTTCCAGGAGTCGGCAGTTCCGACCTTGATGCCCTTTGGCAGCTTGCTCTTGACGGTGCTAATCTTGTCGGCCAGCTCGGAGCCGGTGAAGTTGCCGCGGTAGAGGGTCTCGGAGCCGACGGTGACGGCGTAGATGGAGTCGGCGTAGGTGCTGGCGACGTCGGTGATGGCCTTGAGGTCCTTCTGGAAAGAGTCCTCGACATCGGGCCTGGATGGAGATTAGTCCCAAGACTCTCATACTTAATATGAGTACATACCAGATACCAAGCACAACCTTGAAGCCCTTGCTCTTCGCAGCGGGCAGGATGTTTTTGGCAGAGTTGCAGTCCGAAGCAGAGTATCCTCGAACGATAGTAGCACCAGAGTTGCTCTTGATGGCGTCGAAGTCGGCCTCATAATCGGCCACGGTCTTGCATTCTCCGGAAGGCTCCTTGGTACCGAGCGCGAAACCAGCAGTGCCCTTGGCGGCAGCGACAATGGCAGGGCTGGCCGCGAGAGCGGTAGCAGCAACGGCGGAGAAACGCATGGTGGTGTGAGGTTCGAGGAAGTGTGAACAGGGGTCGATGCGGAGTGGCGGAAGGAGTGTTGGGGATAAAGATGGGTCTTCTAAAGAATGACTTGATTAAGAATAAAGACACACAAACGAGTGACTGTACAGCGACTGTACCGGCGTAGAGATGGAGGACAAGAAGTGGTGAGGGTTCCTGGAAGCTTATTCAAGGAGAAGGCGCGCTAGGCCATCCGCTGTTACCAATTCAGGAACACCAATCAATGAGTTGCACAAGAACAAGTGGGTCTGCGGAGTGCATTGCCCGGCTTTAATACGCACGAGGTGACCCCTGTAAGGGTCTACAAATGTTGTGTACCGGTTGACTTGCATAATACAGATTTGATCGCTGTAACTACGACACTCTCGATAGCCGAAACGGATGCGCCTCGGTGGTCAGCACAAAATCATCCAAACTGATAAGGTCTGTGTCTGCGAAGCACAAATAGAAGTACTTGAGTGTCTCCGCCGTCCAGAAGCTTTCCATATAGTCTTCCTTCTTACCACCACCAGGCGCGTTGACGTCCATGACTGCTGCGTTCGCATACACGGTGTCGGTTGCCTTCGCCACAGCCTGGAACATATCCCAAGCTGTTTCGCGAAACGAAGGATCGCCGGTGATGCGCCAGAGGATGAAAACCGACTCTATGGCCTCAGGGCGGAGGATGTATCGCGGATCCTTGGCTGTCGTGAAGCCTTTTGGAAGGTCTGATTTGTATTCTAGGCGTTTTTCGGCTTCGGCAGCAAAAGCAGCTTCGTCCCAAGCGCAGCCTTGCCTGTGGTTCTCGCCGGGACAGAGAGCCATGTTGTAGCGCTCTGGCATGATGCCTGTAGGGAAGGATTTGTATGCGTACGCGCATCCACGAGCTAGCTTGACTCCTGCTTCTAGATACTCATTGTCGTTGAAAAGACGACCACCTAGCGCGTATAACCCACCGATAAAGCATGACAGGTGCTCGCTCTCTGGATCAAGGCGTGGACCTTCCGGCATGACATCGCAATTGCCAGAGATGAGGATGTCTTCACCTCCCGGAATCATGGGCCTGAAGAAGAGGTTCTTCATTGCCGTGTCCATGAAGGAGCGAGACATAATCTCGTACTTCTTAGAACTAGGATCTGTAGAGCCAAGCAGCGCGTGTGCCTTGGGCAGATACTCGTACAACGAGTCTGCGTTACCTCCAATTGTATACTGATAGCCAGTTACAACGTCTTTCTTGTTCATCGACACCATCATCGGCCACATGCCTGGTAAACTCGTCTCGTTCTGGTGCTGGTGGAACAGGTCCATAACCTGCGATACCGCTGCATAGTACTTGCTGTTACCCGTGAGCTGACTCAGCCTACTGAACTCCAGCGTGATTGTTCCCGGACTCGCACTGACTACCTGGCTCTCCACCAGCAGACCAGTTCCCTCTTTTGCCGTCTCGAAGTTGATGAAGTCCACGGGCATCCCATTCTCCGTGTTAAAACCAGCATATAGTAGATCTCCTACTTCAACAGCCTTTTGCAACAGAACCTGGTGTCCGCTCAGATCATACGCCGCAATGAGTCCGCCAAGGTAGCGAATGCATGTTTCAAACATATTGACCGTACCTGCAGTGCTCTTCCCAAAGTCGATCGTAGCGACAGCTTCCACGGCCTCGTAGAACTCATCCCTCATGCCCGTTATCCACAAAGTATCCAGACTGTCCACCAGCGTGGCAGCCCAGCCCGAAAACTGGTCCACGTACTGTCCGCTTATGGGCTTGAGCGCATCCTTCATCCAAGCCTTGTCTTTGTAGCTTGCCCAGCTCTTCTGAAGAACACGTTTCACCTCCAAGCGCCTCTGTTCCTGTACTGCAGCGACATCTGCGCGATCCGGCTTGAACCGGTGTTGTATGCGGGGTCGATGGGTGACGGGCGGAGGCAACGTAGGCGTCAACAGAGGAGGATGGGCGAATCGAACAGAGCTCCAATCGAAGCTGCTCTTCTTGGCGACGATGTCAGGGACGTGGGCCGGGTCGTTCATGTACTGCGCAAGCGCATGCGTTCCGGTCCGAGACGATGAGCCATAACTAAAATGCGGGAGATAGGATGTCGAGTCGTCTCTAGGCAGGAAGAAAAAGATCGCTAGGAAGAGGATGGCGCATAAGGCAATGTGTCGTGTGCGGAGTCGAGCCATGATCGCCAGCGAGTTCAGCTATAGGTGTACAATGAACGAGTGACAGCGGTACTCATTGCTCCGCAATGACGCATTGACCGCTGGATGACATGAACGGACCTTCGATTGAAGGTGAGCATGTCGAAGGGCCGACGGACGTGCGATGTGTCTTAAGACAGTGCGTGCAACGGTACTAGTGGGCATGCTTGCGGAAGTTGAAACATCCATATTGCCTATTTAGTCAGCAACATGGCAGATCACCATCACAGTTACGACTTCCTTGTAGCATTTACAATTTGAGAACTTTTGATCGTGATTTGAATGTATGCAACTTTTGAGTATTATAAACTATATGCGGATCGGAGGGTATCAGATATCATGCTAATCGTCCCACCGAATGCGATGCGATCGTAAATGCGAGAACGCTCAATCAAACCAGACAACGTGCAAGACACCATCTACTTCATCGACTTCTTGCTTTTGGTGCTGTTGGACCTCCCACGGCCCACAAAGCTCTCTCGTGTGTGGACACGGTCGATCTCGTACGGGTTGTCATAGTAATCCTCAGCGGGGTTGATCGACTTGCGGCTTCGTGTTGATCGCCCTGTCGCGACCTTCTTGAGAGGGTTATCGGTCTCTTTCTCCGTCTTCATCTCGGCAAATTGAGGCGAAGCGTTGTGCTCGGCCTCCTCTTCCTCCTCAACAGCGATAGTGGCGGCACGAGAGGTGTCTTGAGATTCACCTCCAGCAGCGGCGACCTGGGCCCGAGCAGCCGCTTGGCCACGCATCTTCTCCATAAAAGCCTCGGACTGTGCGGCGTACTTGCACTTCTGACGAATCGACGCTCCGTACTTATAGAACAGGAATGGCAGCGGGATGCAAGCGACAGCGAGGAAAGCGGGGACCGAGGATGCCCAATGGATGCCAATGCCGTCGTACATCTGCTTGGTGAACAGGGGGAAGGCGGCGCCAAAGACGGATCGAATGATGCCGTTACCAGCCAAGACAGAGGCGGCGAAGATGGTGTAGGAATCGATGAGGTAGTTCATGATGGAAAGGAAGATGAGCACCATGCCGAAGCCGAAGGGAATGGCGGCGCAAACGCTGGCAGCCCAGGGGAGGTCGGGCGAATTGGTCCATGCGAACCCTACATGCACGTTAGCAGATGAATTTACGAAATACTCGTTCGTTGTAGAACTTACAGAAGAGACCAATGGGCAGAACAACACCGCCAACCAGACACATGGGCAGGCGTGCCTCAGGGGTAGTGTATCCTTTGCCGGATGCCTGAACCTTCTTCATGTATTGCTTGTTGTCAACAAGAATGACATACATGATGGCAGAGATGACACCAATGGCCACTGCGACGAAGGGAAGGCCGCTGACGCCCTCGTTCCAGCCACGGCCCACACGGTAGACGATAGGGAAAGCACCGAACAGCATGTAGAGGATACCGTAAATGATGGCGTGGTACAGCGACAGGAGCAGGACGATCGGCTCGCAGAACAGGAGGATCCAGGGACGCTTGAGGCCAGTAGCGAACGCTTCGCTGAGAGAAATCTTGCCCTGGTCAATGTCGGTGCGGGACCTGTAGACCTTTCCGGTGATCTTGGAAAGCTTCTCGGCGCGCTTGCGGAGCAGGACGGGGGGATAGGTCTCCGGTACGATGCAGGCGGTGACGATGAGGAGAACACCAGCCCAGATAGCCATCAGGCCGTTGACCCAGCGCCATCCCTCAGTCATACCCAGGAAACCGCCGATGATAGGACCAAGAACGGGACCCATGAAAGGCGCCGCCGAGAAGAGACTCATGGCCAGACCACGCTCGTTCGCAGTGAACAAATCAGCGATGACACCTCCGGCGTTGGTAAGAGGACTGGAGCCAAAGGCAGCCGCGAAGAACCGGAGAATCAGAACGGAGTAGATGTTTTGACTACCAGCAACCGCGGCGTTGAAGGCCATGAAGCAAAGGTAGGTACCGGCGAAGACAATCTGTCGTCCGTACATCTCGGAGAAGGGAGCCCAAAGCAGAGGTCCAAGGGCGAATCCCAAGACGAAGAGCGACACACCAAGCGTGACAATCTCCTGGCTGACGCTAAACTCTATCATGATCTGCTGAATACCTCCAGAGAATGCCGACGAGCAGAATGACACGACCAGTACTGAGTTGGCGACGGCGAGAGCCATGAGCCACTTCTTGGTCTTCGGGAATGTCATGGGATTCCTAGGGTCGTTCGGTAACCATTCGACAGCATAGGGATCCTCCTCTGTCCCAGAACCCTCATATTCCCAGTTCACGATATCATTGGTGACGACACCCTGGTCGAGGATCATCTGCCAATGTGTAATGCCTTCTCTTCCTGACTCCACGTCCATAGTGGACCTCTGCGGCTCGGCCGCTTTCTCAGACATGTTTGCTATGTTGCTTTATCCGATGTTGTGTTGAGCTGTTATGATGCGTGTATGTTGAAGCGTATGGATGAATGTCGAAAATGGATGACGAGTAGTATTAGTAGGTAGTAGTAGGGAAAGTACAGCGCAAAGATAACAGACTTGTGACGATCACGGCGGGACACGCCACATATAAACCCACACACGCACGAAAAGTCGTACCCGTTGGGCACGCGCCATGCGGGCGATTCTCCTATTCCCAGCAACAGAACACCGCTGTAGGTCCGACGTCCATAACACGATGACACCATGCAAGACGCTCGGCCAAAAGTCTTCACATTGCTCGGCCGAGGAGTAAGACTAGACCGTATTGTGCACCCCTGTCACACATTCTGATCTCTAAACATTGCAGCGCCAGCCAATGAGAAAGGAGACTGCTCGAGATAGCCACTGAGAAAACTGGATCCCAAAGCTGTTTCTCAAGCGTTGCTGAGGCGTCGCAGCCCAGGCGCTGATCGAAGGCCGTGCGTCATAGGGCTTTTCCTTCTAGCGCAGCCAAAGCGTGATCCTGTACCGAGATACCGAGGCAGCGCGACTCGAGGATCGGTAATTGTATCGAGCGTTTCACACAAACTGACTAGTCTCTAGCAGCGGAGGATCGGACTTTGATGGCAAGTGTTGAGAATCGTGGGGAGCCATTGCTTATTACACTATGGGGCGTCGTACGTTGCTGACAAGTCAACACCAGAATTACGGTGAGTTTCGATGGGAATGCAAAAAGCTTGGCGCCGTCGGACGGTGATCTCGGACACAAAATGCTGTTCCGATACCGATCGCAAGCATGATGATAAGAATGCCGGACATTCACACAGTCCGAGAGAAATACCCACGGACTATTGACATAGACATTTGGCCGATCTAGTTTTGAAGCTGTCTCGACTTGCACACTGGCGAAACTTTGACTCGAAGCTTATCAACCACTTGTTAAATCCTTCAAGACTTAGGAAGGCGGCTCAAATAAGGTCCGCCACAAGTGAACGGGGCTCCCGTTGCGGGTGGAGCCTAAAGCGACTCTGTGCGTTCAGGCAGACGCGTCCAGCCGTATCATAAAATTGCCAATTCCAGAACAATATCTGTGCCGAGGCTCCGTAACGACCTGTTCATTACATATTTGTAAGAGTGTGTGATGTGTTTGGCGAGCTATGTAGTGATTGCTCCCCTCTCATTTCATCCAATACATACATATCTTGCTTAAAGCTTTTGTGAATATCGTCAACCGTAGATGCCGTGCAGATGAACCCAAACGCCCGAAATGCTAATCCCTTTGAAACCCTCCTAAATGCGCCATAGGTAACATCAAAACGTGTTCTTACTGTCCGAACATTTTACACCTCGTTGCTGGGGTACTGGACCTTCTCGGTAGGAACAAACTCCTCCTTGATCGACCTCATGTTGACAAAGCGGGATAGCAGGGTAGCGCTACCAGCTTTGTCGTTGGTGCCACTGGCCCTCGAGCCACCGAATGGCTGCTGACCAACAACGGCTCCAGTGCACTTGCAGTTGAGGTAGAAGTTACCGGCTGCGTTCCTGAGCTTGTTCTCTGCGAAATTGAGGTCCTTCCTCTCCTTAGCGAAGACAGCTCCGGTCAGAGCGTACTCGGATGTCTCGTCGATCTGCTTGATGATGTTCGCGAAGGCGTCAGGGGCAGCGTCGTCGTAAACGTAGGCAACGAGGACCGGGCCAAACAGCTCACGGGACAGCAGAGGGTGGTTAGGGTTGGAGGTCTTGTAGATCGTAGGGTGGATGTAGTAGCCCTTGCTGCTGTCGTACTTGCCACCAACGAGAAGCTCAAGCTCGCTGTCCTTCTTGGCCTCATCTATAACACCAGAAAGCTTCTTGAAGCTGGCCTCGTGAATGACAGGGCCAATGAAGTTGTCAAACTTAGACGGGTCGCCAATCTTAAGCGCCTTGGTCTCTGCAACCATCTTCTTCTGGAACTCAGGCCACACAGACTTGGGAACGTACAGGCGCGAGCAAGCACTGCACTTTTGACCCTGGTACTCGAAAGCACCACGAACAGTCTGGATGGCGGCGTTGTTCACATCAACGTTGGGGTGGACCAAGTGGAAGTTCTTGCCTCCAGTCTCGCCAACGATGCGAGGGTAGCTCTGGTACTTGCCTTCGGCAACACCGTTGGCAATCGTACCATACAGTTGACGGAAGACCGCTGTGCTGCCTGTGTAGTGGAGAGCAGCGAACTGCTTGTGAGAGAGGACCTCCTTGGTGACTTCGACCGCATCGCCAGGAACCCATTGGATGACATTTGGAGGGAGACCAGCTTCAATGAGGATCTGGTACAAGAGCCAGTTCGAGGCGATGGCGGACGGAGATGGCTTCCAAACAACAACGTTACCCATCAGAGCCGGTGCAGCAGGAAGGTTACCGCCAATAGCTGTGAAGTTGAAGGGCGACACAGCGTAAACGAAACCCTCGAGAGGACGGTACTCCACGCGATTCCAGACGCCGGGTGAGTTGTGTACAGGCTGGTGACCGTATGTGTCCTCGGCGTACTTGACGTTGAACCTCAAGAAATCGCACAATTCGGCTGCTGAATCAATCTCGGCCTGCCATGCGTTCTTGCCCTGGCCTAGCATAGTCGCTGCCATAATCTCGTATCGGTATTTTCCAGCCACCAAGTCGGCGGCCTTGAGGAAGATTGAGGCACGATCGGCGAAAGGGAGAGCCTCCCAATCTTCTTTGGCCTCGAGTGCCGAACTGATAGCCTTCTTCACATCTGCTGTGCTGGCGTTGGAGTATTTGGCGACTACGTCGGCGTGGGAAGAAGGATCGTGCTGGGTCAGGATGGAGGAGTTGTTGATCTGGATTTCGTCAGTACTGAAGCTCAATGGCCCGATATAGTCGCAATACTTACGTGCTCGCCACCAATGGCCAGAGGAACCTGGACGGCGCCCTTCTTCTTAAGAGCTGAAAGTGCATCCTGGAGCTTCTTCCTGTCTACGGAGCCCTTGGTGTAGTGTTGCTGTAGCCAAAGGTTAGCTTCAATTGCCTGAAGACATGATTCTCATCTCAGTACTTACGTTAGGCTCGTTGTTGATAGTCGGGATCTTGAAGTTTGCAATGGTTCCTGCATGCCTCCTCGACGCGACCTGCGCACCAGCGTACGCAGCTGGAAGCGCCTTGAAAGTCTTGGAGACCGGGCGAATGGACTGAAGACCCCTGGAAGAACTCATTGTGACAGTTAATTGAGACACTGCTGCTGTAATGTGGGCGGCTTTGGAATTTGTATGTCAAGCTGTCAAGCTCCAGTGACGATGGTCAGTAGCGCAACCGCATCTAACCGCAGTGTGGAGCAGCGGGAGGAACAGCGGGGAGCGGAACACATGCCCTGAGCCATTGCAATCGCACCATGACACCCAAAAATTTGCGAAGCTTGTCCGATGTCGCAGAAGATGGCACGCGGTCAGTATCGGATGAAGTTCTGTAACTATTTTAGTGGTCTGAGGTATGATCGCGCAAACTTCTCACGTGACGCTTAAGCCCTGCAGTGTGCACACATGAAATGGGACGTGCGGCGAGTAACTATGATCGACCTTAGGAACAACATGCATTGGTATCGTCGTGATATTATCAATGAGATCCTGACCCAGCAAATGCGTGAAGGTCTATCAATGTCAAACGCCGTTTCGCCATGATACCTTTTCCGTCCGAAATACTTCACTCCTCCATAGTATCATCGGCCTGTGGCTCGTCGCCCCAGAGACCATCCAGCTTAAACTCAGCGGCCCATTCCTTGACAATTTCCTTCTGATCTCCAACAAGACCAGCTGTCTTCAGAGCAGGCGCTGTCTTGTTGGTTGTTGTTGGCTCAGCAGGCTTGTACTTGGACGGATCTGTCCAGCCCTGGATGCGTCCATCTCTCCAGTCGTTGATCACAGTCTGTGCCGCGCTGTGAAGGTTTGGAACACCGCCCCTACCAAGCCTTCCCCTCTTCCGGGCAACTTGGATCAGAAAGTCTGTGGTCTTCTCCTTACCTGCACCGTTAAGCGCAGGCAGATCGTACACCTCCATAAGCTTCCCAAACAGCTCCTCTGATCCCGAAAGCCTCTTGAGCAGAAGAGTCACGGCTGGTACAGGGTCTGAGATTTCTTTGGGTGGAACAGCGTTCAGCAAGATGCGTCGAGCTTGCTGCTGTATCTTGTTCTCTTTTGTGCCTTCGTTGTCATTGGGGAAAACAATTCCAGGAGAGTCAAGCAGCTTCAGCTTATTGTCTAGCTTGACCTCTCTCAAGCTCGTGGTAACACCAGCTTCTGCACCAGTGGGGCAAGCACCGACTCGTCCGCCCATTCTTTGAGCCAACGCGTTGATGACCGAAGATTTACCAACGTTGGGATATCCAATAATTCCAACCTTGACAGAGCGCTTAAGTTGGCGAGACTCGGCAAATGTCTTGAGGGCCTTGAACAGCGTCTCGGAGGTGCCCTTCATGGTAAGGTCCTTGTGTTCGAAAGTCTTCGCATTTGGCGCAGGCTTCGAGGCGCGCAGAGGCAGTGTGGGGAACGATCGTCGTAGGTTAATGAGCCACTGACGAAGAACTGGAGGCGGTACCAAATCGATCTTGTTCAGAATGAAGATCAAACGTTTGCTTCCACCGTCCGCCGACATGATCAGTTGCTCGACGTCCTTCGAGCGTGTGCCGATGGGGTCTCGGGCATCCAACACGTAGAGGACGACGTCCGCGGAGTCGACCACTTGCTTGTAAATTTTGTCGAACTGCTTCCTTGATGAGTCCTTGCGAACGTCCTCCTCTTCCGAGTCGTCGTCCATAGCGTCTTCGTCGTTTCCGTTCTTGGATTCAAATTCAGCAGCGCGAGCCTTTGCAGATGCAAGCAAAGCAGCCATAGGGTTTGCGTCCACTTCCATGTCGTCGCTATCCTCGGCTAGAAGCTCGTCACCCTCGGCGTCGAACTCCTCGAACTCCTCATCATTGTCCTCCATAGCATCTGCAGCATCTGCAGACGCTCCTCCGTTCGCCCTCTGCTCCTTGGCCAACTGGCGGCGACGTGCAACATCTTCTACTTTTTGTCTGCGCTGCTCTTCGACCTCTGCGAGAATCTTATCCTTGTATGGGAACAGGTTTGGGATACCGGGGTCCTTCTTCGTTTTCGAGCGCCATTCTGGGTTCTGCAGTATGTCAGATATGTCCAGCAGCGTATGCGCGGCGAGCTTACCTTCTTCGCTAGCTTCTTTGCCTTCTTCTGCTTTTGCACAGAAGCCTTCTCGATCTTGTGTCGCAGGCGCACGGGCTGGCGCTTCGACTTTGGCTCTGGAAATAATGTCAGATAAGCTCTGAGCGTGCAGTGCAAATTTTACACATACTTCCGATCTTCATTGTGTGTTGCTGTTGTTGTTGCAGTATGCCACTTCCTGCGCCCGATATTTTAGAATTTCCAACGCTAGCAGAAATACTGCCACAGTGTACCGCCTTTCTGAAATCGTTCTGCCCTCGACTTCTGGAAGTAGCAGCCTTGCTTTAGCCTCGAACTCCACTTTTGCCGGATCTCACACCGAAAGGTATTTGCACATAGCAGGACGCAAGAGTACGTTCATCGGATCGCCAACCCGATTCTGACACTGAATTCCATTGACTGCAGCCTCTCTCAGTCTCTCGATCGGAGTTACTTTTGATTGGTTGACGTTGGCAAGCTCGTGGACGGCTTCCCCTTTTCGGTTAGTCTACTTGCTTTTACAGTCGCCATCTGACCCTCATACGAAGTACAACAATATATATCGAGGCCACAACGCTCTTCTATCATCGAATAGTTATTCATACTTTTACTAGTTCAATCACCATGACCGTCGCTGAAGCTAACTTCTCTGCGCCTGCGCAAACCATTGACTGCCATGGACTGGTGAGTACCGGGATGTTTCCATCTAGACAAGAAGTCCACTAATGCAAATCTAGTTGTTCGATATGGAGTATGTGCTTCTTATCGACTGGTCGATTGTGAAGTAATGGCTGACTTGAACAGTGGGACCATCATCGATTCAACACCAGCCATTGTGAAGCACTGGCAGAAGTAGGTGCCCCAAGATGTCACTGTTGCAACACGGATTGAGATCAGCAGGATCGGAAAGGAAATCGGTGTCGACCCTGAGGTGATTCTTGCTACGTCACACGGCAGACGCTCGATCGATGTTCTCCAGATATACGAACCAAAGCTGGCCAATTGGGAGTGTGAGTTGTCACCCAACTATACTGGGAGAACCAAATCTGACCAGTAACAACAGACATCAGCCACGCTGAAGGCCGGATACCCATTGAATACGGATCAGACGCTGTGGAGATTCTCGGTTCTCGCGCCATGCTGGATCGACTCGAAGAGCAGTCTGCTCCATGGGCGATAGGTGAGCTATTGATACATTTCACTGGAGGAGCCTACTAAAATCTTTCAAGTCACCTCTGGCACAAGACCGCTGGTTACTGGTTGGCTGGATGTCATGAAGTTGGCGCATCCTAAGAACATCGTCACCGCCGAAGACGTGCCGAATGGTAAACCAGACCCGGCGTGCTACGAGATGGGCGCGAAGAAGTTGCTTCTCCAGCAGCAGAACCCGTCTATTGTCGTCTTCGAAGATGCTCCAGCCGGTGTCCGATCAGGCAAAGCGGCTGGCTTTACTGTCATCGCGCTTCACACTACACATTCTTTGGAACAGCTCATAGAAGCCGGGGCTGACTATATTGTCAAAGACATGCGAGACGTGAGTCTGGAGTTTTGGGATCAGACCACGGGCAGCGGAAGGCTCGAAATTACCAACGCCCTGGTGTAGGGGTGTCTTAGCTGTCAGAATGGACTTGTTGCATCACGTTCTACCTGTCATCCATGCGAGCATGAGCGATTGGAGTTTCCTGGGCCGGCTGTCGACACCCTTGCATGCATTTAGGTTAGTCAGCTCCAGTCAAATGCCAGACAAGCAACCTCGACGGCGATGCCGTATTGGTGTTCGCGTGTGCGGCGAGACAAGGACGTCTAGACCAACAAAATTCTCAACATCTGTTCAGCTCGACACTGTCATAGATGCACCAAGTACTGGCCCGGTGAATTTTCGCTTTGGCTTGCGAAGTGAGACGACTGCTAATCGTGAAATGGTATCGTGTGCCGCATGGCAGCACAGTGGGATGCCCATGCCGTCGGAATGACCCTGTTTCTAGAAGGTTGCAGGCGGTGCACGCAGATGTGTCAGCTCTTAGTGTTCCCTGATAGCGCTCTTTGTTCGTGGGGCACCGTCGCTGTGGTGCGACCCTAGACTGCTTGGTATGTGGTGCGGTCAGGAAAAAACCAGTGACATTTGTACGGGGCGGCGGGCTACGAGGGGCACTGGGCAGAGTCGCCAGAATGACGGAGGAAGGCCTCCCTTGCTGGTGCATTGAGCTCAGCTTTGAGCAGTGGTGTGGATACAGGCGCGCATCATACTTCATGACTGAGTTTAGATCAACGTTACGCCAAGCTAGCTACCACCAGACCTCGTGGGACGAAGCGGGCCTATTTGAGTTCTTTGTGTTGCACGGCGGGCAGCAGCGACTCAGCGCTGCAAGGTACAGTCAGGAACAAGCTGCGCGGCTTTCGAGAAGCGGACACAAGGCGCACGATGCCTCCTGGGACATGCAGATTCGCGGGCGCTGTGCAGCAGACACGTCGCACAGGTGCGAATCAGGCACCAGAAGCAGGTGCTGGTAGGGGTGCGCTCGGCGACTCGTGAGAGGTGAGGGCTCGGGGCAGCAGACGCCAGAGGTGGCGAGCTCCATGCTCAGTAGGTACAGAACCTCGAGGTGACGAGCGGAGCCAGCTGGGGCGCGGACTCGCTAGCGGCGCGCTTCGCCAGCGTGATGGATCGGAAGCAAAAAGGGGCGGCCGAATTGGCGCCCGCCCAGCAGCCTTACGCTCGCGAGCTCGGCAGCACGCTCAGCGACGCGCCGGCGCAGACGGCCGCACGGGGGAGCAGCGCTGCGGGCAGCCAGGCAGCCAGGCAGCGAGGCGCGGCCACTGGACTCTGGAGTCGCCTCGAACTGGAGGCCCAGGCGACGGCCTCGTGCGTGCACAGTCGCCGGGATCGCGATGCCCGTTGCCGTCGGCAGGAGACGTGCTTCCACACGTTCCTACGTTAGGAGCAGGCCAAGCTTCGCGCGGACGGCGGGCTGCACGCCGGGCCCAATGGCGTTGCGCGCAGCGCCGCCGTGCCAGCGCAGGCAGCGTTGCAGACGTTGAGCGGCACAGTGGCCAGCCGTCGTGAGCGGCTGTCATGGGCCGTCATGGGCCGTCATGGGTGGCCGCGGTGGGCGGCAGAGTGACAGCTCGAACATGCGTCCAGGCGCTATCGAGGGCGAGTGCGCGCTGAGGACGACCAGTGTCACAGCATGCAGGCCTATTTTTGTGCCCGGGATGTGGCTTAGCGGTCGAGAGGGGACCGCGCTGCGATTCGCTGCGGCTGCCTCATCGGTCGGCCGCTCCCTCCCACACCTCGTTACCTCGTTGTGCCTCACGCCTCAGGGGACCGCAGCTCCATCCGCTGCACACCGCGCTCGCCCACACTCGTTTTTTGGTTTGCGCCCGGCTCGCCTCTTCACTCGCTCCCGCCCGTCTCCGCAGCACTGCAGCATATCCCGACCCTCTAATATCTCCGTGCCGGCCTTCATCTCGGTGCAGCCCGAGGCCCCGTGCTCGACCGACCACCCTGGACACTGCGCCCGCCCTCACGCTCGACGCTCGCTCGCCGCCCGACGACACCTGTTCCACCCGTTCCACCTGTTGCACCTGTTCCTCGCGACTGCGCGCCTGCACTGTGCTGAGCAGCCTCTCGCGCCTGCCGTCTGATCCCGCCTCGCACGCCAGCCTCGCCGTCTCGCGAGCATGGACCCTCACGGCCCCAGCATGCAGCACCCCTACACAGCCAGCGGCACTGAGCCCGACAGCGCAGCGGCTGGCCCGAAGCCTGGCGGCGACGTGAAGCCGCGCCTGACCAAGGACCAGCACGACATCCTCGAGCAGCACTTCCAGCAGCAGCACAAGCCGACCACCGGCGTCAAGAAGGCCTTCGCCGACCGCCTAGGGGTGCCCCTCGACAAGATCAACGTCAGTCTGCACCCGACGCCCCCTCGACACGGCTAACAGTGCGCAGAACTGGTTCCAGAACCGCCGCGCAAAGGTCAAGCAGGACCGCAAGAAGGCTCTGAACCAGTACAACATGCAGCTGGGCATGGGCATGTACGGCCAGCAGGTGCCAGTCATGGCCGGCCAGCACTTTGCCCATCCAGACATGTACCAGCAGCACCAGCAGCACCAGCTCCAGCAGCACCAGCTCCAACAGCAACAAGCACAGCTCCAGCAGCAACAGCACCAGCAGCAACAGCAGCAACAGCATCAGCAGCAGCAACAGCAGCAACAGCACCAGCAACAGCAACTCCAGCACCAGCAGCACGTCCCACAGCATCCGCCCCACATGCCCATGCCGCAAGAGTTCCGCCCCGTGACTGCTGACATCAGCCCTGCCAGCCTACCCGTGCAACGCGTGGATGGTCCCTCAACTCTGGACCTGGGGCCGCAGCCCTCAATGCACCAGCCATTCGACATGCAACAGTACAATCTGCGGACCATCTCCGAGGCCGACCGCTCGACCAACTACCCCCCACATATGATGATGCACTCAGCACTCATGGCTGCGACAGCTGGTCAAAGCTATTTGCAGGAGAGCATGCCCAGCGATGCACCAGACCAGACCTATCCCTACAGCAGCTCTTACACCAACAACATCGCCTTCACTATGCCCACAACGCTGCCTAACGAACCAGCGTTGCAACAAGACACATTCAACAGTTTCACTGACTTTGGTGCATTGGACTACAGCGCGTTGGCAGCGGCGCAGCCCGACCAATCCGGCCGAGCTGATGCGCAGAACAGCACAAGCACAGGTTCCAACGGACAGTCACCGTACTCGGGCAATCAATCCACAGCGACTCCTCAGTCTTCCAATGGTCCCACGCCTCCAGTTGCGTCCATTACATCCATGTACTCGGGCTGGAAAGAAGACCCTGCCTCAGAAGCACACCTAGAGCAAACCAACGACACCAACGACTTCGCGGCAGCTTTCAACTTTGATGAAAGCACACCTTCTGAAAACACCATACCCTTCTGGGATCCGAACGGCGGTGTCCCATCGTTCCAGCAAGCCAATTTCTATCAACAACTCAATACTTCATCTCAAGCCATTCTTTCGTCGCCTGGACAGGGTCTGACCCGAAAGCACAGTGCAGCCGCGTCTGACTTTGAGGTCCCTCAAATTTTTGGCGAAGATGCATTCAGGCGCAGGAACTCTTCGACCAGCAACCTTGCAAACAATATGGACGCAATCCAGATTCGGAATGGAACGCCTGACGACTTCAAGCAACTCACTCAAACTTCTAGCATTGCCGTAAGGAGACAGAAGCGACCTGTCGCATTGAATTCGAGTGCGATGAGGAGCGCTTCTTACACGCCAGGCATGCCATCACCGGCTACCAACCCCGATCACACCCTTAGAAGGATCCGATCGACGGGCATTGCTAACGCCGGAGGACGTGTACAGAAATCGAGACCAGGCTCAGCACAACCTTCGCCCATGGTCTCGAGCTTTTCAGAGGCTGCTGCATCTCCAAAGTTTGCAAGGACATTCTCATCCTCCAGCATAACGACCATGGGCAACAATGGAAGTCTAGCGCCACCGACACCCCTCACTCCTCAAGAAATGGGCTACTACTGGCAGCCCCCCGGCTCGGTGAGGGCTCACGGCATGCCTGAGCACAGTAGCCCGGAGAGTCTAAACACAAATTGGTCTTCTGAGCCTTTTGCTACAAATCTAAATGTCGTCAAGAGTGGCTCGCCACCGTCAACACCACTGGATCTACAGCGACTCACTCAGGCCCGTCTTGCCCAGGACAGCATCTACCGCGACACACCACCGCAGTCAGCCCCACCAACGCAACAAAACTTTGCTCGCAACGGCTACATGCAGCCGCCACAGATCCGCACTGGGTTTCATTCGTCAACGGACCTGACCCTGGCACAGCCAAAACCCTCGCATTTCCGGAGACCCTCGCTGCCGGCTGATACTGCTCAGAACCAAGGTGAAGAAGCCGTCCTTGAATATCCTTACGGAGGAGGCTTTGGCTACAACGAGATATCCTTGCAGGGCATTACGCATAATGTCCCCTTTGCGCCTCCTGTTTCCTCGATGCCAGAATTTCTGGTTCACCAGTACACGCCCTCGCAGGGCACAACTGACATGCATGGCAACACAATTCGACGTATGGACCAACCAAAGAGTTACGTTTTTGCCAACCAAAGTGCTAGCGACTTCAAGTCGTAGACGAATGAGCGTCGTGCACAAGTATCGTTGGTTTTTCGTTTCAGTGTTCAAAAATCTCTGTCAGGTTGAATACTCAAGTATGACGATGTTGAGGCAGAATCACAGCGTTTGCATCCATTTTCTTTTTCATTTCATTGTTTCCATTCAGCACCTCTACTGTGTCAGCCGTACACTTGCGTGTTCACTGGCCATTATTGTGCCACTAATACTAATATTGGTCGTTGTATTATTGTTCTTCTTTTTGCACGGCGCCGGCGTTGCCCCACAAGGGGTAGCAACACAGGATCAACGCAAGGCTTTGGCCTCATCACGAACTTTTCTACGTACATTGTTATGGGCTGGATCTGTCTCACTTTTCATAATGGTCTATGGGGCAGAACTTTGATTTCTTGCCCTTCATTTCTTAATGGTTGTGCCCGCTTATCTGGCTCAGAGGTTGAGAACCTGTAGAAGAAGCAGTGTAACGCATCTTTCGTCCCAATGGAAGGGACGACGCGTACACGCAAATACAAAACGGCAATCATTGCCTGGCTTACGACATTTCTCGTCCGTCCCGAAGTGCAGTGTTTGGAGCCCCTGGCATTACACGTACTGTGTGACCAACTCAACCCTTTCGATCGTAGTTCTCGTGATCAACAGCCGTTTCTCAACCACTTACCCATGTCGGGTTTTACTTTTTCTGTCTCAAGCAGTGTCTGTGACGCTCATAACGTTTGTGGCTGGCTGACTGGCTGGTCGCCATACTGTTGTTTTTCACCGGTCCGCCTTGGTGTGCATAAGTATGGACGTAATGGGCCCCTGGGCCCTGCAGCAACCAAGTCGCCCAAACTATGTAAGTTCCTCAAGATCCATCTCCTCCAACTACAATCTACTAGAAAGCCAATCGGAGCCCGACTATAGAACCGTTGAATCACCAAAAGCGCCGCTAGGAGTACATGTTCCTGGGATTGAACACCGACTTCGCTGCAGGTGCTAGCAACACTCGCCTATCGCGCCTCAAAGTCGATACGAGGGTTCCATCGCTCCAGCGTCCTAGTGGCTGCGGAGGCCCATTCGACGCAGCAGTGTGGATGCCAGCTAACGCAGGTACGCGAAGACTCGGGGCGGCGCCGCGCACCGCCACAGCGCCGCCCACCGGCGCTCAGCAAACACGAGTCTGCGCTTTCCCCTCCCCCTCAGCCCAGCGTCCAGAGCTTGCCGCCTGCCTCGCGGTGCAACAGCTGGCCATTGCGCGCGTCAGCCGGCCTGATAACGTGCGCGGAGCGTCCCGCCGCCGCGCGTGCTGCACTGTGATTATGTGAGCTCAACAAATGCGCGGCCAGGCTGCTTTGAGCAGCGTAGGTTTGGGCATGCGCTATTGAGGGCTGCGAGTCATTGGGGGCGCCGCTGCGAGGTGGAGAGGTACCCACTGCACCGCTGTGGGCCGGCGTGGACTGCAGACGCGTCCGGACATGGCGCCGGAGGGTTGGGGTGCAGATGGGGCGCGAGAGTCGGAAGCAAATCAAAGTGTGAGTGAGCGAGCGTGTGTGGCGTTGCGGTATTTGATATCTTTTGATGGTGTTTGCTGGGTGTGGCGGTTGTCTACTGCAAGCCCGTGGGCTGGCAGTGGATGTAGTACTTCGTAGCTGAGTGACCTCGGCTTCTAGTTCAAGCTGTCCACGGGGACACGAGATCAAGCTGAGGGCTTGAATCGTGATGAACACAGTGCGTGTAGATCGAAGCGTCGGACAGAACAAAATTTGGTCGTCTATACTTTCGTATTCGATCATGCATGAAGATGACGTCAACATGATTTTAACATGTCTGCAACCTCTCATGGACATCCTTGTCTGACCACTGATCAGAACAAGGTCTCCTGGAGCCTCGTAATAGTGATGGCCCGCGCTTGATGTACCTAGGTACCGGCCCAAAGCACGGCACTGCAGTTCGCACGTTGGCTCGTCATCTGCAGATCTGGCGGCTGTGCTAATATTGTACGGCCGGACGTTGGTGCCGAACTCCATCTGCAATCCCTGCCTGCAAACTGCTTTTGTCTTTTAGTGTGCTGTGACAATTCAAGGTGTTTGACAGTGGCACTCTACGTGTATAAGCTGCTGGTTGGACTGCCAGTCTACATCTCGCAACGCAGGCACATCCAATGCCCCTCTCACACAGTTCTGCACAATCAACCTTAGATACCATACAAGCGCAAGTATGCCGCGGCAGCACACCCTGGTATATCAAATGCATATAGACATGGGCCAACGGATGGAAGCAGCCAAGCAAGTCGCCATATCACGCGGGGAATTAGGCACTCGTACAAGAACCTTACCCTTCCTTCGTACAATCGCCACACGGCACAAAAGTGAGATAGAGATCACCCCACGAAAGAGCAGAAGAAGAAGCTGAGCGGCATCACAGCCGCAGCCGCAGACATGACCTAGCAAGGCGGCCAGCTGAGTAAGCAGGACACGGGAAGAGCACAGTGGGCACAGTGAGCAGTGTCGTCACCCGCGCCTACCTACACAGCCCCGTGGAATGGGTGTACGGGGAATTGTCGTTGCGCGGCGAAGCCTCTACAAGCTGGCTGATTGGCGGCCTGGTTGGCTCGTTTCGGACCGTGCGGCCGCCGCTAGGGCGCGGAGGGGTGGTGATCGGCACGGGGTTGGGTGGAGGTAACTGGTTTGGACGGGAGGGAGGCAATTGTGGGATTGTTTGGGATGGGCTGTGGTGTGGTGGCGGTGAGGTGCGTGGAGTGGTGTGCGAGAGTGGAAGGGTTTTATACACTGCGTGTAAGACAATTTGGTATACATACAAGTCATCGAGATCTTGATCTTTGGCACAGTCACCATTCAAACAAACGGGAGATTGAGCTCGATACTCCAATATGATACAATCGATACCAAACCACCATGCCGACGGGCTTTCCAACACTACACACGATGTCAAGTCGGACTCGCAACAACAAACAACAAGTTCACCGGATATCGTGCAACGTCTCAAACAGCTCGATGAGGAGGCGAAGATAAAGGATCCAGAGAGGCAGGCTAGGATTGAAAGAGGCAAGAAGAGGAGGACCTATGGATTCGGAAGGTTTGCTTGCTTTTGTCTGAGTGGAGGAAATGGTGCGGGCTGATAGACAGAGACTCGGAGGGGACACTGTTTTGACTATGCATGTTCAATGAGACGAGACGGAGTGGTACAAAGGCCAGTGGTGATCAGGGTCACGGATATGTTTACGTAGATGGCACCAAAGGACGCGAATCCTGAATAGATGTGGTCATCTACGCAGTAACGAATCATTGTGTTTCAATCGATGAACAACCACATCTATACATCCGGCGCGGTGAACCAATTCAACATGGAAAATATGAAGTTCTATCTGCCATCCTGTCGTCGTGCTCTATATACTTTGGCGCCTTTCCGGGATCTTTCGCTCACTGCCACTCGTTCCATATACTCCGACTCGACAAGCATCAAAATCATGTTGAGTCAAGCAGATGTCTGTTCTCTCTGTGCCCGGCTGGGCCGGATCTTGTGGACCCACCAAATTTACCGCCTCCTGGAGTGGCATGGTGGACGATGCTGTCGATCCATCCGAGCCGCAACCTATGTTGTCTTCCAACTCCAAGTTCATCAGCCACTGCCAAAGTGTGGTTCCGCCTCCTTCACTGGCACTGCACGACTCCTCTTCATCTTCGGTGATACAAATGTTGCGGGGGTACAATTCATCCTGACCCATTCGCTGAACGGTTTCGTTCTCCGACTCGGCAGAGAGTCTATCATGGGTGTCTTGTATGAGTGGCAACCAGACGAGCTTGAGATATGACAGAAAAGTCCCAGAAAATCCGGTCCAGGCTCGTTCAAGCTCAGCCATCAACGCTTCAAGAGCCTCAAGATCTTTGGCCTCGCTAAAACGGATTGCTTCGATGTCTTCTGGGTCTTGTTTCAAGACGTGTAGTCCCTCGAACCAAGCATCCCTCCGGCCTATGAATCTTCTACAGCAGGTGTGTGTGAGGCCGAGCTCGTCGAAGGTCAGTACTCGAAGGACTGCGAGCGCGAATTGGACGATCTCCGTTGGTTTCCGATCTACCATGTCGCATATTGTCATGAATCGGGATAAACAGAACTGGTCGTCATCCCCGGTGCTCGTCATCCCGCCTGTCGCACATCCGATCGGCAAGCATCCGCTTGAAGAGCAGGCGCACGAACAGCTATCGAAATGCTCACACGATAGCGCCTGCATCAATAGTGGAGAATATATCTTCCCAATTTTATGGAATCTTTTGTTGAGACCTAAGCCGATCAAGTGTGCTGGTGTAGTACGAAGCTCGGGCTGTTCCCACTCCAGTCTGGCTCCATGGTTGACCATCAACCCCAGTAGCCCCCAATCGAGGGACCAGGGATAATTTCCGAGGACCACCTGGAAGGCATGTATCCACGAAGGGGTTCCAAAATGCGATGTTGAACCAACTCTGACATACATGGACTCATCGCCGTACACGAAGCCAGCCTCCAGCAGTAGGAGCATGCTCATAAAGTTAAGGGTTGGAACGTGGAAGTAAGAAGGTGAAGTAGTTTCTTCACACGATTCAGAATGTTCTAGAATCGTCGTCGCTTCTTCAGAAACCAATTGATCGTGCATGGTGTGAAGAAAGTCATGGAGATACCCAGGATCCGCTTTGTGGCACATGTGATTAAGTGCAAGCCAGTACACACGAGGATTCGTTTGTGCCAGAGTGTGCAGACTATCCCAATTCGCTTCTCTGACGAGGAGAGATACCAGCCTGTTCACCAAGCCGTCACCAGGGAGTTTGTAGGTTAATCTGCAAGCATGTGACTGTGAAAGGGATAGAAGAATCTTAAGACCATCTGGCCAATGTCGAGCAGCGAGATAAAATTGCCAAGTTTCACCCTCTGACAAACAAAATTCACGCAGTTTCCGATTATGCATGGAGATCGCTTCATGCAGGGCGACGTTGGACCTTTGATGAAACGCTGTCAGCAGCGTACAGGACTGCTCGAATTCTGTACTTCTTAGCCCAAAAAAAAGAGACGTTTTCTGGTCTGTTCAAGCTTACTGGAGAAGTTTTCTTCTGAGCGAAGTAGTTGATGTTTAAACGCGGAGGTGGCAGGATACTCTGAGTGGCCATCATCCACCCATGAATCTGCAATTGAAATGCGGTGAGAATAAACGACATAGGCGTCTTGCAGGATAGATTTATCCTCGTGAATAAACCACGCCGTCTCAAACCCAAATTTCACATTGGTTAATTCCCTGATCTACGTCAACAGCATTCTTTCGGGTTTTAGGTGAGGACTACCTGTGATGCAGGAAGTGACCGCCATGAACGAACTTATTAAGGAGCTTGGTCGCTGTAAGACTGTCTAAGTGACCTAAGTCTATCATATGGAGAGCCAGATCATACGCAAGCTGCAGCCAATCAATTACTTGGTGTTGTGCATGAACTCTAGCGATACTCACGTTTAACACAGATACGCCTCTCTCGGTCGTATCGTAGGGAGAAGCCGTTCCATCATGAAAGCTTTGAATAGCCTCGTTCAGTGCTGTCTGTAAGAGTGAGGGTGCTGCCGCAGCTGTACCGCACCACCTGCAATAGAGATCCTCCCGTCGACATGTGCAGCCCATCTTGTTTTTAATCCCGTAGAGAGGAGCAAAAGAAGGTGATGTCATTGGCACTATAGGCCTGACAGTCAACATCGGCTGCATGCTGTAACAACCCGACATTCGCATATATGAGACACCCGCTCTTATCTCAAGATTCAACAACCGCGTCAACGACTTGCAGTCAGCCTGAAACGTGAAGGTAGTGTTGCCGTATCGAGATAACTGGCAAGTTGGACTGTGTTCCGTCTCTCTTGTAGTTTCCAGGTCGAACAGACCCCACCACCACCGTTGTGTTTGACGCGTCTTGCGGCATGTGCATCTTGATGATATTCTCCGAGCTTGAGAGGCGCAGGGTTTGGTGGGAGACTGAGTGTGGTATACATTGTCAACGACCAGCAACATGTCCAGCTTCTTTTCCATGTTTGCGAGTTGGGAGCACATCTGCTTGGATTCGTCCAGGAGTTTCACGGCTTCGTTGCTGCTCATACGACCTTGGGAAAGATCAGTGAACCCTTGCTGCATGGTCGTCAAGGCTTGGACCTGAAAGTGCTCAACCCGGGTAATACTGGTTTCTAGCGACTGTTGTCCTCGATAGTTTGTTTCACTTCCCATCACAATGAGTACAGTGGTTTTTCATAGATTGAATATGGTGGGATACTCACATACCCAGGAGCTGCACAGCCGACTGTACGTTTGCTTGCAGTCCATCTAAGGTGTTAATCATGCTGGCGACTGTTTCCTGTTTGAATGGCCACATCAATCGCTTTTTGAGAGCTCTTCTTTTGTCTTGTGCTGTAGTTGGAATCTCGGTTTCACCGCACTTCTCCGCCATTTTTCGCAGATCCAAGAGCCCTGTTGCACACGCTTCGATGGCCTGCTGGAGCTAACCTGACACTGCATTGCCAGGAATCTCGACACTAGGCCGCAAGGATTCGAGTGTCTCCAAAGTTCGCCCAAGCCCATCCAATCGGTTGATGATTGCGCTGATATCGTCGTCGAACGTTCGGAAGTGAGAGTAGTACTGGCTAAGCGCCTGGCACGCCTGTATGCCCAAGGACGTAACGCCGACCGCTGTGCCTAGAATCGACGCGGGATCTGCCATCGTTAGAAGTTGGTTATGAGTTTGATGTCAACTGGGAAAGGCTGGGAGAGGGCGGAAGTAAGATTCGTGGTTCTCAGCCGGATGTCGCAAGGCTGAGCAGGTGGCGATGCATGCGTTGGCATCTACAGCGAATCAGGATGGACATTACATGCAAAGCAGAACCAGCCGAGTTCGCCTCGCGCGGGGGTATGTGTGGCTATGGCAAAGTGATCATAAGCAGATCACATATGCTTTCCATATCAAATCCCCAAAACGATGCTCACCACGAGGAATCAATAAACGGGCCTACTACATCGATCAACATTAATCCTATCCAGTTCTCCCCAGATAACATATCATAGCAAGCAAGCTGTCCAAGTCACGAGTGATCTAGATCTTGATGCTTCGAAAAGCGTTGTTCGGTTTGTTGACGCTTGTGTGCTGATGTTATTATTCGCATGTTGATTTATAGCATTTATACAATCATCTCAAGCACAAATCAGTTGGTTTTATTGGGCCTTGGGGTACCTGAAGTACACCTGTATAGAGTCGTGTTAGTCTGTGATTATAGAGTAATGGCATAGTAGATGGATTTCCGCTCGCCTGCAGCAATATACATTTGACCAGGGTCATCGTCACTGAAGAAGTCAGCTTGCTCCGAGGCATGTTGTCCAGGATTATGGACTTCTGCGAGAATTTGGTGTCTGTTTCTGTTACGTCCAGATGTAGTGGAAGCGACGAGAGGCAAGAAAGCCCCAGTGCAAATTGCCTGATGCTAGAGTTACTGTGAGGAAAGGCGTGTTAAGCCAAATAGCAGAGGGTGATACCGGCTGTGACCTGAGTGATGTAGTCTCTCTGTCTCCCGTTCTTTTTTTGGATGAGCTCGCTTTCGTGTGATCCTACGTCTATGTCAACTATACCTTCGTCAAACAACCCCCAGATACCGCTCTCATCATGAAACTTGATGGCTGCGAGCAAGCTGTTGCCACTTACGTCGTTATAATCGTATAGTCAAATTTAGTGACCAACTGAAGATCTTTCATGTTCGAAGATCTTCCATATTGATGTCGTGCGCCAACAAATGCTGCGGGCTCACATAGGTACAGCTTGTACAGCTTGTACAGCTTTGTTCGATGTTCGTTGCATTATGGCGGTTCGGATCGTCTATGACTATGTTTCGTATGTTGGTGAAGCAGGTGCTTGAATCTTGATCCACTACGCAGTTCTGAATTGTGGCATTCTGTCGGTCAGGGCTCCTCTTTATTAAACAACGTGCAATTGTCCACTTTACTTGTCGTTGCACTAAATTTTCTTGAATATGTCAGGTACAGTTACTCGACTGTGGATCTAGTTCAATGCCTTTGAACAGCCTCCAACTCCTGACAGATGACATTGCAGCCCTGAGAATAGGTGCCCGGTGTGTATCCAGGGCCAGATAGACGACACACAGCAGGAGGGGTGTCCAAGTGTGTTTGTATCAAGCAGTGTAATCGGAGCTACTGCTGCAGAGTGTGAGGTATTGTGTCATTGTAACCCGAACTTGACGTGTAGACAGGCAAGCTGCTAGAGACGCTGGGAAATGATCGTAACAGCCTCGCGTTTGATGACGCCAACATTCCCAAATCGCCACCTAGCTACAATTTGATGATTGATGGGATAGTAGGCTGGCAGACCCTGTGTACTGCTCTCAGCTCTGAGAGGCACATGTTGTTAGACCTACGTTCAGCCTCCATCAGTTCACCAAGAGCCCAAATCACCAAAGAACTTCGCAGCCAGACTAGCATACAGAATGGCTACACATGTATGGCAATAAAGATATGATGTGTACTCTGAAGCTAAAATGTGGTGTTGAGCGAGTGAAGAAGGAAGGTGCTCCACGAGGAGGTTGATGACGCACTTTTGGTAGCGTCGTGCACGAGCCCCTCGCGCTTTCGCGACTCCAGAACGCGTACAGTACTGAGGCGGGCAACATTTGAGAATCAACAACGCACGTTCGGCAACTTTCACGCTCAAGACCGCCATGTACAGCTTATATGTCGACCTACGTATTGCAAACGAAGACAATGCTTAGCTTCGTATCAGACAAATCCGAACAACCCCTTGGCCTTACTGCGACGCGCGACGAGTCGAGAGCACAGTTGCCCTCAAAGCGTAAGAGGGACTATCTTAGCGGCCTCGGATCTTTCACCACACCCTTCACAATCGAACCGTACCAGGACTCTCCATACGACAAGTCTGCCACGTTCAGGCCGATCCGAATTACGAGCCGTTCGCAATTGCCGCTCAACTTCCTCGACACCAGTGTTGACGAGCAAACCCCGCCCAATAGCCTCTTCACGGCACGGATAGACGTTTTGGAAAATTATGGGGAAGCTACAGAGCAAGGGGTGGCGAGCTCAAAAGTGCTCATCGCACAACACGAGACGAACCGAACACTGTTTGCGGTTGAGCGAGTCCAAGACCGAATTTACAGCATATGCAAGCTTGCCCCGTGGTTGAAGGAAAAGGATGTCACATACCTTTGGGATCCGACTATCATTCCGGTCTGTCTTGCATCCGCAGAGCCCAATGTGTCTCGTGCCACTGGAGGGCCATGGTGGCAGCATGCTATAGTGGAGACACAGCCAGTCTTACGGGCAGTGAAGCGTGCGAAGATATCGATGGTCCGACGGCCAGTGGAGATAGTGCACACCAAGCAGGGGTCTCAACAGGATTTCAGTCACACGACAACACCACCACCGATTGGGCTGGAAGGTACTTTGTCACATGGACTTCTCCAGGAGCCTGTCGCAGAAGTACCAACCGCACAAGAGCAGCTCGAATCGTTGGTACAGCAGTACCTCGACGCGGTCTACACGTCGAAGACATCATTAGCATATTTCGCCAAAGGGCCCATAACACGAATCCGCAACACTTTCACTTCGCCTGATGAAGGTGCGCCACCGACACATGACCTGGTCACATTTCTCAGGTCCATGCTATTGAGTCCGAAAGCTGGCGAAAAGAAGTACTATGAGAAACTGCCATCTGTCATCAAGGCCATACCTGTGGGTATCGTCTCGGACGAGGAAGCGACCTCAAAACCCAGTAAGATCAAGAAGTCCAAGAAGAAGACAAAGCTCAGTCGCGACGGCATCTACCCTTTGGAGGATGCCTTTGTCAAGAAATGGTGGAGGTCTGAGATGCCAAGTGCGGAGAATGCTGGCCAGGAAACAATCGAGACACGCATCAGGCGGCGGATTGGTGATTTACGAGTTCGCGAAACGCTTGCACAATTGATACTCATGCTCGAGATCACTGCACTTGAATCGCTGGCTACATACAAGGGCCCTGCAGACGACGAGCATGCGCAGGACGAGTCCCAGACGCAACCAAAGAAACGTAAAAAGAAGCTCGATGATATTGCGTTGCAGTTAGATCTGTTACTGGACAAATTAAGCATTTGGCACGCAACAGAAGAGGCTGGTATTTTGGATTTCGATAACAAAGCAGCGAAACAGCAGGATAACGCCAATGGAGATGGAAAGAGTGGCAGTGACCGGCTGCATAGTTTCTGTGTGGAAGTGATTGTCCCTTTCTACATGAGTCGATTGCCGGAGCAAGCTCTTAGCATTAACAAGAAGCTCGGAGGGCCTGCCATCGCATCTACAAAACGGAAAGCGATGAGACCGCCGCTCACCTCCAAGAAGTCCGGGGAGGCTAAAGAGCCAGAGACGAAGAGATCCCGTCGGTCGTTGGCAAGAGTGGCCACCGACACTACCGGAAAAACTGGTGATAGGAGACCGCCATCTTTAGCTCGTTCTGCTACGGACACTGCGCTGCTGAGACAGCAGAGCATCAAACGAGAAACAAGCGAAGCACCACTATCGGCAATACCGTTCAAACGCAGCCCCTCACGAGCCAGACAATCCATGTCGCAGTTGAGACATCTTCAAGGCCGTGAAATGGATCTAACGGCTACTTCGGCTGCCGCCGCCGCCAAGCTGAAGCACAAAGCGCGTGTAGAGGATGATCTCAAAGAGGCTATCGCTACCCTTAAAAAACCGAACCGCGACCTTGCTGCTGGCTCCTACATGGCTGATGTTGAAAGGCGCGGACTCGGATCAGCAAATCGCTCAAGAAAGCCCGCCAACCCGGTGCGAAAGGTGGTGAAGGATGTACAAGTCACTGCGACACCTCGCGCTGCCCGGAGAACAAAGAATGTGGTTGAACAAACTCCAGTTCACTATCATCAGAACCCCTTCGCTAGGCCAACTGCCACTGAGCCCGCCCCGCTGAGCGATCTCTGCATTCCATCTTCGGGCGTACGTCGACCATCCTCTGTTGTGCCGGGTACGATTCAGCGTAGTGTAACGGTCCGAGAGCTAGCGCAGCCAGGAATCGCCGAAACGCCATCCAAAGCGCCCATCACGAAGGTTTTTACTTCCGGTGCAGCTCGCAGGACGATCTTCGCAACCCCTGTTAAGAGCGCGACACGACTTTTTCCAGAAGACCCTCACCCAACTTCAGATGTTTTTGAGACTCCAATCAAAGCTGCAGGCAGCCCACCGCCAGCTCATAAGCACACGACCCCACCCATTGTCGTATCTACACCACTCAAGGAGGCTGTGTTAGACGTAGACGTTGCACCAATCTCGTTCGAAACCCCAGTAAAGCGGACTGAAGAGGCTTCAATATATGATGTGTTAGGCTGGAATGATGACGATGATGACTTTGCCTGAGAGAACACAGTTGTGTCTTAATTTTAGCATAGCGAGCATGGAATGGAGTTTATATTGTCACGTTGCATCAGGACTCTCTACATCGACGTGCTGTGAGCACAGCGTGTCATGAACGATGTGGAGTGCCGTTGTGGTTTTGTCAGGACATGGCAGAGGTATGCTGCCAATCTCGATCTTAAGATTAGTCTCCCATCACAGGCAGTGGCTTAGAACTTGCTAGCATGGCACTGTCTCTTAGAACGTATGTTATAGCCGTCTGAGTAACAGTGTGCACCTACCCAAGTCGATGACCGTTGAATGTACGAAGTGCCGCTAGACGTGGATTTCGAGGCAATCTTGTAAATGAACTAACATTGCGTCTCATTTCCACAAACCGTCTCTTGACGGGTGCGGGACAACGGGCTGTACTTCGTGGTGAGGTGCAGATCTGACGATAGTGCAAGTCGATAGCTGCGCAGTAGGCCAACTCTGGCGCGTGTTTGCTGCAGCTCCGGTTGCCCAGCTAGCTTACAGTCCCACACCCGCAGATTTGCGGCCGAGTCAGGCTGACGTTGAGGAGCGGTTCGCAGTACAGCGGTACCTTGCAGGTTTGCGCGGCACAGTCCACGGCAGTCTGCATCGAGTCGAGCGGGGACGCACAATTCTATGCAAGACACACCAACAGGTACTCGGCGCCCCCAGAACCTGGACGACGTCTGAGGCTGAACAGCCCGCGGCCGACCACGAACGTTGGGCCTTCCCGATCTCAAAGGCGGCAGGCGCAGGCAGGCGTTGAAGCCATTGGTCAGTTGCACAAATGGCCCCTTGCACCAGTGAATTAAACTCCAGTCTGCCACGCCCTGCCAGCAAATCAGCGCGTCGGGACCGCATGAAGGCTTTCACAATTCGCCGGGGCTGTTGATCCTCCCGGCGCTATCATCCCCTAAAGCACGCGTGCAAGAGACCGATGGCCAGTGCAGCCGTGTTCGCAGAGCCTAATGGAGCTGAATTAATGACAGTCGAACGCGTGTGCGTGGTGTCTCTGCTCTTGTTCGAGTCCTGTTTCACTCCCAGACACTCCTCTGCGACTTGACGTCGCGGGCAGGATCACGTTGTACTCAGCGGCCGCCAGATCATGTTCAGATCCCCCAGGAAGCTAATATAACCGAAATCCCTACCCTCGCCAACATGGCTGTCGCGGCCAAGCAGCGCATGCCGTCGAGCCAGCGCAGCCCGACGCTTTCAGACGCGGGCATGATTCTGCCGGGCTCTGAGGCCGACCACGCGCGCAGCACATCGCTCGTCTTCGAGCGCCCGCCATCCGTGTCTGAGCTGTACGGGGTCTATCAGAGCCCCAGGCTAGGATTCCCGCCCCAAAACCGGCGCCGCGCCTCACAACAAAAGCAGTCGCCTCCGCTCTCCGCACAGTCCTCGCGCTCGACACTGCGCGACATGGGCGATTCAGCCGCCCCCGTTAAAGGGTCGTCTCCGCGCCCCGATACACTCGCCTCCTCGCCCACCTTCGACGCCAATGGGCTTCGGAGTCAGCCTGTTGGCAATTGGGAGGAGCAGGAGCAGCGCCGGTTCAGCACTGCAAGCTCGATGCTGAGCGAGGACTTTGAGAACTGGCCAGGGTTCGACAGCCACGGGAACTTCGACGACAGCGGTGTGGACCTCGACGAACAGGGAAAGCGCGCGCGATTTCCCCGCCGCGCCGCCAAAGACGGCGACGACATGGACAGCGAGCCGTGGATGAACGGGCGGACGAGCGGCAGCGACGAGGACGACATCGACGACCCCCAGTCTTCGGCAGCGCTGAGCAGGAGGGCCGAGCTGATCCTAGCCAATGCGAAGAAGCGACTGAACGTATGCGCAGCCACACGCGGACTCCCGACTGGACGACTGCTGACGATGACAGGTCATGGAGGGGAACCTCAGAGGCGCCCGAGAGTCGCTGGTCGTGTCTCCAACGTACACCACAACCAGGAGCACTTCTGAGCTGTCACAACACATTGCGACAACACGCGAACGCGACCGGAGGCTGTATGCAGGAATTGGACCAATCCCGCCTCGAACACCCTCGTATCATCGAAATTCATTGCTCTACTCCAACAATACCAATAGCCAGGGCCACGCACGGGGCGCAAGCGAGACGTCCATACCGCTATCGTTCACGCCATCTTACGCATCGAGAATGAGCACGGGCAAGCGCGCATCGAGTGCAATGGGGGCTGCAAGCGGCCCGTGGTCACCAGAGGGGTTCGGACATGGACGATTTCCGATCAAGGAATCTCGCAGTCACGAAGTAATGCGCGATCCACGAGGTACTTGGAATTCTACCGATTATCAGACCCCCGGAAGGTCGACTTCTAGAAGCTCCCGATCGCCTCCTGGTCTGGAAACTTTGCAAGAAGATGACAACGGGCGCACATTGCAGCGATCTGCGTCCGCAACTAGTGGACTTCGTGGTCAAATGAACGACCTGAAGGGCAGGATTTCGAGCCTCAAACTCAGAGCGCAAGAAGACAACATGCGACGTCGGAGTCTCCAGAGCCTGCGTACGCCAAGTCCATTCACTTCGTCAGAGCTCTGGTACCAAGGAAAGGACGGCTACCAAGCCGGCACATCACCGATCACTCAGAATGCAGGATTGGGTATCAAGACCGAATCTCCAGCAAGAAAAATATTCTATGATGAGGGCGACTCGCCAACAACAACTTTCTCTCAACTGGAAGGAGAGAGATTGCTTGCTCCTAAAGACTACAGTCCGAAAGGCCTGGGCATTCACCAGACAGGTGTTAATCCACCGAGTACAATTGATGAGGTTACAGAAAGGTCTGACTCGACGCGCGGTATCGAGGATGTTGACTTCGTTGCTATGGATGGGGAGGAGCTAAGGGCCGGAGCAGATAGCGTCTACGAAGACGCTGTCTACGAAATGCCTGTGACTGAGCGACACGAGGACCGCCTTGACGCATTCGACTACGAACACTTCTTCTTGCACAGCGCAATGGGAACGTACCGCCAGGAGGACCGCCGATCCAGTACCAGCTCTGGCAGCTCCACCGCCACCACCCGCCCGGTGACCGCCATGCAGGACAACGATGAACTAAGCAACGCTGAAAAACGCATTTCCATGCATCAAAGAAATCCTAGCGTTGATTCCATCTCGAGTGTCGCGACATTCGCCACTGCTGCTTCGCATCAGTCCGACGAAGATGACGAAGAAAACGAACAGATGGACCAATTTTCCCAGCAGATCATTTCCCACAACCAAAAACTTGCCTCTCAACGCCCTTCCCTTACGTCCCTTCGCTCCGACTCAGCCATCAACATGCGCCGCGGCAACGGCATGGGCATCTCACCTACGCAAACAGCGATTTCCCGAGGATCGTCTCGTACCTCTTCATCCTCGGGATCTATGGCCAGCGGACTGCAGACAAGCAAGATCTACTCGATCCTCACAGAGAGCACGAGCAACGAGCCGCGTCTAGCACTCAACGAAGACGAGAAGCAGCTGATCTACAGTCTAGCTGCAAGCTTCCAGAGCGTATGCGCGAACCTGCAGGATACATTTGGAGAGCAGCATGACCGCAAGGCGTGGCGCCGACGCCTCGATGACGCCCGCAAAGTTTTAGCTGGAGAGGTCGAAGACGACCCGTCCTTCTAAACGACACGCACACACGTATACATAATGTGTATTAGTACCACCAACCAGCGCTTCGGCGCTGCTTCCCTGTACGATCTAGAGACTATGATCTCGCTATACGACATCGACACCGACATAATTTCCTATATTTCCACGACTACAATGAGCTCCACGCCATCATAGTACCTTTTCAGTATTTTACTGTAATTAGCTTCGGCTGCTTTCTCGCCATACTCTGTGCTACCTACCTTCCTTTCGACTTGTGCAGATATTTTTCATAGACGTTGTATTGATACCCTGGAGGATGGTGGAGATGGGCGCTCCGGTGTGGGTGGGCTTGTAGTCTAGACTGAGCGTGTAGCTGTATTATAGCTGCTACCTACATACTCGAGCACCAATGATAGCGAATGTGTATGATCATTCAACACTCGACTGAATCGTCTGTCTTGTGGTCATTATATCGAGATCCTGGCTCGAGTTACTTCTTGAGGCGTGTTCCGATTTATCGATTTGTATTCTGCACTAACAAATGACAGTACATCAACGCTACTTCAGCATCGACACGTATTCGAGTTCCGCTTTTTCTACGCACCACTTCACGCCGATGTCCATAGTATGAGGCTCACTGCTGGAAGCACACAAGTATTTCGAGAGGGAAGGTTACCATCGGTTTGCCACTCACGGCTCAATGATGTTGAAAGCCTTATTGCCTGGCTCGAGCAAAGCAGCAAGACGGTCTAGAGCAGTCGCGTCACCTTCAACATCAATCCCCGCTTCCGCCAGCGCCTGCGGATCGAATCCCTTCACAATTGCTGGTAAATTACCCGTCGTCGTGGTCAGCGTCACGTCCGCATCCGCCCCCTCACCCACCTGCGTATACACCAGCGCGGCGTTAGATAACCACAAGCGATAGCGCGGGCCGTCCGTGAGCACGACCTTGATGGAAAGCTGCTGTTCCCACGCCTTGGGCCCGTTGATCTGGATCGCGAATGAATCGAACAGCATCTCGGGCGTGAGCTGGGCGATGATATCTGCGGACGCGGTCTGCGTTGGGGTGCCGAAGTTCGGGCCGCGCAGCTCGGTGGTCCCAGAGATGAAGAAGTTGCGCCAGGGCCCGTTCTCCGCGCCGTAGCCCAGCTGCTCGTAGACGTCTGCGAGGAGCCCGCGCGCCACGCTGTTGGACGGCGAGGCGAACACGGCGTGGTTCAGGACTTCGGCTGCCCAGCGGAAGTCGCCCGCCTTGAAGGCCGATCGGCCGGCCTCTATGAGCTTCAACATGCCGCCTGCTAGGTCAACGTAGCGCTTCGCTCGCTCGACGGGGATGTGTTCCCAGAGGTGAGCTGGGTTGCCGTCAAACCAGCCCATATAGCGCTGGTAGATGGCCTTGACGTTGTGGCTGATGGAGCCATAGTAGCCACGTGCATTCCACGCCTGGTCGAGGGCAGGCGGGAGGCTCATCTGTTCGGCGATCTCCGGGCCGTTGAGACCTTGGTTGATGAGACGCAGGGTCTGGTCGTGGACGTATGCATACAGGTCACGCTGGAGAGTGAGGAAGTTGACGACCTCGTCGTACCCCCAAGTAGGCCAGTGATGAGAAGCGAACACGACCTTGGCCCTTCCCCCAAACATGTCAATTGCGTCTGTAAGTGCGCGAGCCCATACATGTGGGTCTCTGACAACGGCACCACGCAAAGTCAGTATGTTATGGAACGTGTGCGTGGCGTCTTCCGCAGCGCAAAGGGCTTTGAAGCCCGGGAAGTAGATGAGCATCTCAGCCGGCGCCTCGGTGCCTGGCGCCATCTGAAACACCATCTTGACTCCATCGACTGTTTCTGTATGTCCAGTCTCACTGATATAGTCCGTGGGCTTGATCAGCGTGATTGTGCCTGTCGAGACTGTCTGGCCCAACCCCGCGCCAATCTGACCTTGCGGGTTGCGATCAAGCGCAGCACCGTACATGTATGCGGCCCTACGAGCCATTGCGGTGCCCGCATACACGTTCTCGGAGACCGCGTGTTCGAGGAACCCTTCAGGTGCGAAGATGCGCACGGCTCCCGAGTCGACTTCTGCCTGGGACACGAAACCTTTGACGCCACCGAAATGGTCGACATGCGAGTGTGTGTATATAATCGCCTTTACAGGTTTGTCGCCACGGTACTGCTTGTACAGCTGATACGCAGCTTCGCCTGTCTCAGACGAGGTCAGGAGGTCGATGACAATGAGGCCTTCGTGTCCTTCGATGATAGTCGTATTGGAGAGATCGAGGCCGCGGACCTGATAGATGCCCTCGACGACTTCGAAGAGCCCATCAATGCTGGCGAGGTTCGATTGACGCCAGAGACTCGGGTTGACTGTAGGCGGAGCATCCTCCTGTTCTTTGAGGAAGTTGTATTTGTCGTTGTCCCAGATGGTCACACCATCTGCGTTAGTGACGGCGTTGGGTTCACGACGGCCCAAAAGTCCATATTGCGCTCTGTCGAAATCCGATGTATCGGAGAAGGGAAGACTGTCTCGGATCTGGTTCTGCTGCTCAACGATCGTATCGGTGGCTGGCTTTGGAGATTCCATTATGTAAGATGGGAGGTCTTGTAGAGATGACTTGAAGATGAAATTATGTTCTTTGAGAAGTCCATGCATCCTGGATTATATATACATCGCGTCATAGCAGCTTCACTCATGACACTGACTGATACCTTCCTTTCCTGCTTCGAGCGGAATGCTGTGCTCCGTATTTGCTGTCACCACTTTCACGCACATCTGCTGTACGAATGGTCTCAACAAAACCTCTGCATCAGGAGTGGGGCGAGGAACACTTGGGACCATGATCACGATCGCGATCTACTTAACGACAACCAAGATCCGTCGTCGAACCGCCCGGCTAACGCGAACGCGCATATGCGAGACTCTCGTATAACGGTCAACGTCGTTAAAGAATTCTACATCAAGAAACAAGCACTAGTCGTAAGCCAACATGTTCGTGACATGTGACATTTGGCAGCGTATGTCGTGTAAACGATACTATCAAAATAGGAAACCCCATGCATACCCCTCAGTAGCTACAGCAGCTTCACGGATAAATCATAGTTCGATTCGAGGGAGTGTGTGGGCGATTGGTCTGAGAAGGCTGTTCGATCTTGACTGTTGCAATGCTTACGAGTATGCATTGGCCCAAGAATGTCAGACCCCAGCTTGAGCCGCTGAGGTAAGCAATTCAAAAGGTATCACGACTCACGTTGGTAGTGAGTCGCCACTCAGAACAGTGTTATATTACCTTCCTACCTCAAGTCATATGGGATGGAACCTGACGGGTATATAAAACTCAAAAGTTAGTGCTTCATGTCTTGGTAGGTAGTTCTCAATACCATGTCGCACAACCGCAGACAAGGGCAATCCACACGACTTTCAAGCACTGTGGTACAGACGCATACGAACACAGAAGCAATGCATATGCATTGCTGTCAGAAGCCAGTCAGTATCTCATCCCGCGTCCCCGGAAAACAGAGATCAACCACTCACAAGCTCACCGAGCATCTCCAGAACATAGATCGCTGATGTGATGCATTGCATGCGACGTTGTGCATGAACCGTTGCGTAAGAGGCCTCGTACGCAGGATGTGATGTTGGGATCCATCGCGCAATTGGGGGAAGACACCTATGCGTGACTACCTACTCTCCAACCGCACGCCTTCAAGATCGAGGTCCTCGGCGCCAGTTGTGGTATCGTGATCGCAGCTCGGACTGCTACATACGTCGTGAAAGAGGAGAGTATAAGTAGGTGTGTGTTCGTCCATCTCAAGTCTACACACCAACAGTCGAGCACCAGTCAGCTTTTGTGACTTCTACTGCATTCCATCAGCTATGTCTTTCAACAAAGTCACTACGTAAGCCATCGATTACTCACTGTCGATACATCACCCGCTAACACGACCTCATTACAGCGAGGCGGCGCTCCGGAAAGCGCTTGCGGAGAACAAGTCTGCTGTCGTTGTCTTTGGGGCGGAGTGGTCGCCTATCTCCAAGGTTACCAAGCAGACCTTCGAGAAGTAAGTTCACCCAGACTGTTCCCTTACCACTCTACCCGTCATGCGTCACAGACGCCTGACACCTCACTGATTCTGTGTGCAGGAATTTGGGCAAATACAGCTCAACTCACTTTGTCTGGATTGATATCGATGAGGCGCCACCGCTTCAGAAGGCATACACGATTGAAGCCATTCCCACTACTCTGGGTTACAAGGGCAAATCTGAAGTGAACAAATACATTGGTCCCATGAATACGGATTCGCAGCTTGACACCTTTGTCAAGAAGACTCTTTGAGTTAAGGGTAGAGCAGGTGCTTACCTAGGTAGGCATGCTTGGATTGGATGTTTTCAGCAAGTGTTAGCAACTGTTAGGCAGAATGAATAGCGAGTGGTGTATGATCGCGTGCTCGGTTGCTTCTGAGACGGGTCATGGTGTGCTGTTCTTCGGTTCTCATCTATGCACAGTGAGTGACGTCTGATGTCGGCAAGTGCTAAGCAGACCCTGGAAACGTCACATGACGTCTAGCTAGAACTTCCAACAACTTCGGCCGGAACTTCAACCTGCATGACCGCCTCATCCTTAGGTAAGCTATACAATAGGCCTGCCATCTCTTTGGCGATAAGGTACCAGAGCGTGGCCTACCGTTCTTTGCGCCGATATGGCGGCTTGTCCGCAAATTTCCCTTGCGGAGCTCCCAGATAGTTCTAAGCCACACATGGACTTCCTCGATTCAACATGGTTCAAGACTCATGGCCAAACACGAGACTTCCCAAAACCTGAGCACTTACGATCTCTCTGCAAGCCGCACCAGCTTCCATATCCGGTGAAATTCGAGGACCTGGGCCTTGTCGTCAAATTCGGGTTACATGTATCTACAACGGAGGCGGTCAATCTATGGGCCATTCGCCGAGCCTTCCAAGATATGCTTCCAGTGCCTGAAGTGTATGGGTGGAGAGTAATCGAGCAGGACGGCAAGTCCGAGGTCTTCATCTACATGCAGCTTATCCAGGGGCCCACGCTCCAACAACAGTGGTCTGATATGTCTGCAATGGACAAACACACAATCTGTGGCGATCTCCGTGATAAAATGTCTTGTCTTCGCAGTCTCCGGGACAGCGAAGTACAGCAAGTTATTGGTAATCCTTCTATGAAGACAGGTAATACGTTGCTCAGTTCGTGTAGGACCTATATGTCATGGGCCTGCGATAGATATCAGCCTGGAGCAGTTCCCTCTGCTAAGGCCGTTTCCCTCTCGAGGTGTCCTCCACGACTGGCTTTCCTGGCTATGGTGACGACATGTTCCCGATCCACAGAGCATTGAAGATCCATGGAGAGACTTGCTCCCAGACAACGGACCCATCGTTTTCACACATGGTGATCTGCGTCCAGCAAACATTATTGTCACTGCTACAAGTCCTGTCAAGATTGTTGCAATTCTTGACTGGGAGCAGGCAGGTTGGTATCCAGACTACTGGGAGGACTGTAAAGCCAGGTTCACAGCATCATATGAGGGAGAATGGCGTGGCTGGATCGGTCAGTTTCTGGATCCACATACTGAAGCTGTGGAGGCCGTCGATTTCTACACGTGCACACTCGGTCGATTTTAGATTCTTCGGGGCGAAGTTTGGCTTAGATAGCATGTCAATCTATCTGGTGGCACACGTATTTAACTGCGACAACTGTGTCTCGTCATATCTTACTATTGAAAAACTCTCCAGAGGACCTAGCATCCTTCCCTTTGGATTTTTCAGGCCCAAAGCTACCCACAAGTACACTGTCCGACCAGAATGGGGGTCTCTCAGCGCATGCGTAGGTGTTGTCACCATATACAGACACTGATGTCCAAGAGTTGGAATAAGACACAGAAAACATCAACGATATATCGTCTTATCACATACTTCCTTCTCATACCCATCATGATCATTTATAGTAAGCCTCCATGCTCTCCTCTCATAAGCTATACTAACATTACATGGCAACGGCTTGGGCTTGGTGGCTCAGTGCTATTTGGTCTAGGCGTCTCCAGCATCTCCGTTCAAGGAGAGACAATACACTCAAGTGGTTCTGCGTACAGTGCTCATGCACCCACGGCTGCACCGATGACCTCTCCTCCAACAACAGAAAAGCCGCCACCGCCACCACCACGTCCTCGTCGCGCGGTTTTCGCGGCATTTATCTGAACCATTGCAGGCGCTGTCAAAGGACGGTACATGCCTTACTAGCGCCGCACCAGCAACGAGAAGGCACCGGCAACGAGAAGCATGACTGCGTGCGTTGTCTCAGCGCTGCGTTCTCGATGTTACGCACAGCCACCGAAAGCGGCAGCTCTAATGCACGCTCGACTGGTGTGCAGGGCCGATTATTGCGGCTGCGTGTCATTGGGCAAGAGCCGATGGTTGCGGACTGGCGGTGAAGCTTCACGCCTCCAGCCACGACGGGCGGTTCGTATGTGTGGGCGTGGAGGGCCAATTGGGGGGTGCTCTGTGGAGCACGTCGCTCGCTGGCAGGGCATGATAGATGAGCTAGGCACCGAAGAGCGGTGTTTGGTGCAGCAGGCTGAGTGTTAGCAGCATGGCACTCCCGCGGCGACCACATGATGGGCGAGATCCCCCATCTCCCAGCAGCTCTCCCGAGGGCCTCATGCAATGCACTCACGGCCGCTAACTGGATCAGACTTTTCGTGGGCGGAAGGGTCTCTCCCTTAATGGACTGCAGTGCACATCTCGTCTCCCTGCATTGAAGAGCTGCATTGTTGACACTTGACGTCTCACGCGGCCACGACTCATACATTGTCGCCCTGCACCCGGCGCGCGCCCGCCTTTGTACACTCGCCCCTCCAAGGCAAGGCCTCCACGCGCATCTAATTACCCCTCGATTGCACCCTCGCACCCCTCATTTTTGGATCCCGCGATCCCGCCAGCTGGTCTGGGCGTGAGTGTGACGAGTTGAATGAGGCAGCAAGTGCACGCCTCTGCCGGCTAAGAGAGCGCAACGAGACCGCGCCGCACGCGATTGGCGTCTCGGAGAGCTCTGCTGGAGCGCACCTGGGCAGCACATTTTGCGCCCTGTGACCACTCAGGCTGCACGCATCGGCTGCGCTCTGCTCGGATCTGACGCTCCACGGGCCTGCGCCCCTGCATCACCCTGCATCGCCCGCTGTTTCCGCAACCTCAGGGCCGCTGTCGACATTCGCTGTGCGCGCGCATTTGAGTTTGCGAGCGCCGCTGCCGTTTCGCGTGCCAGACTTGCGCCGGAACGCATCGCCAGATTAGCTTCTTGCGCGCTGCCGTGCGGGAGCTTCTGCCCGTGTGCCACCGCCGCTGCTCAGGCGCACGCTTTCCGACGAGACCTGCAGACCAAGTCACACCCCGCGATACCGCCCGCAACGCACCCGCGACACCGCCCGCACCGCAACGCACCGCCCGCCACCGCCCGCCCTCGCCCTCTGCCCCCCGCCGCGCGATTCCTGCGCTTCCTGCGCGCGCCCATGTGCCCGTCTACGCCGTACTCTCTCTGTTTGCGCATCTCGAGACACCCGCACCATGCCCGCGACCACAGCACCGCGCGCGCCCGCCGCGCAGTCGCCGAGGCAAAGGGCCCGGCCGCCCACGAGGACTGGTTCGGCTGAGGGCCGCAAGAGCCGGACAGTGGAGGCGCGCTGCCTGAAGGACGGGGCTGCCCGCAGTGGCACGTCGGCGGACCTGGCAGCGTGGGCGTCTGAGAACGACGAGCCCGTGGCCGGGCTGATGGACGAGGTAGTCTGCGCGCTAGAGCGGCTGGAATGCCGCAGCGCTGCACGCAACAAAGGAACTCACGGTGACGCTCGCTCGGTACGGCACGCTTCATTTGGTCGCTCTTTCCCCGGCTTTGGTTCCGTCTGCCGCCGGCCCAGCCTGACATTACTCCTGCCAATTGTCCCTGACATCACCTCTACCAATTGTCCCTGACATCACCTCTACCAATCGTTTCGTCCACCTCTGCTAAGCTCCGCATCTAACGCCCTCCAGTTCCACAACTCTGGGACCCAGCGCTCACGGCTGCTCCCTCCCGCACCAGACTCCACCCCCGATCTCTGGATCGAACCGTCGTTGCGTAACGATGCATTGCCGCCGCCTTCTTACCATGACAGCGTGGCAGATCTGCCGCCCGACTACACATACACCGATGCGCTAGCTGCAGCGCACACGCCCGAATACACTCCGTTTCCTTCTCTCAACGCTTCTCTCTGCTCTGACGTGCCAAACTGCCTGCGTATAAGTTGCAACACGTCGCCTGCGTCCTCTTTGTTCATAGACGAGAAATCGCTACATGCCCATGTAGATTTTGGGTTCACCGACGACGGGGTCAGGTCTCATGCAAAGGGCGCAAAGAAGAAGAATAAACCGCCTCAGAAAAGCAACCAAAACACATCCAGTGCAAACAAAGACCCAACTCCGCCGCCAGAAGAGCCTCCTACACCGCCTGAAGAGCCTCCGCCACCAGCGGATGGAGCCGGCTCAGGTGGCGATGGTGGAGACGGAGGCGACGACGACAAGGACAAAGATAAGGACAAGGCAGATGGCGAGTGGGGCGAGTGGGGCGACGCCGTTCCGGCGAAGAAGAAGAAAAAGAGCAAGAAGCAGGCGCAGGAGGAGGAGGCAGAGCGTTTAAAGAAAGAGGAAGAGGACGCTGCGGCTGCGAAAGCGGCCGAAGAGGACGCAGAGCGAATCAAAAAAGAGGAGGACGCTGCGGCTGCTGCCGCCGCCGCGGAAGCCGAGAAGGCAGCAGCCGAGCAGGCGGCAGCCGCACCAGATTTAAGCTGGGCGAATGACCCACCTGCTGATGATTGGGCTTTTGGTGCCACAACCACCAAGAAGAAGAAGGGCAAAAAGGGGAAGGTTCGTCGATCTGGCTGCTTTGTTCATGACATATAGCAGGGCGCTAACTAATGCAGGCGGCCGAGGCATCGCCTCTCCCTCCTCCCGACCCACCAGCTGCGGAAACCTTCAGCGATGTGGCTCTCGACGACGGCGTACCCAAAATCGACATGAACTTTGGTAGTTCCGGAGATAAACCAGACCTGCTTGGCGGAGGCGGGTGGTCATCGGGCTGGGGCACGTCCAAAGGGTCTTCAGGGTGGGGCTTCGATTCGACGCCACTGGGTGGTTCCAAGGACGCGTCGAACGACAACCCCTGGGGCTCGGACAAGAAGAAGCAAGACGACGGGTTCGATTTCCAATTCGATGCTTTCAAGAGTCCACCTGCGGCAGCGGAGCCGGTAACCGAGGACAGCGCATGGGGATTTGGCACGTCAAAGTCGAAGAAGAACAAAGGTAGTGCTGCTCTGCTTGATGATTCCGTCCCTGAACCAACCGACGTGCCGAAGGCTGAAGATGACTGGAACTTCACCTTCGGTGACAAAAAGAAGAAGGGCAAGAAGGGAGATGTCGAAGAGCCAGCTGCACCGGAGCCTGTCCCTGAGCCACCGGCTGAGCCTATTCCGGAGGTACCAGCAGTCGATCCCTTTGCCGGCCTCAGCAAGTCGCAAAAGAAGAAACTTGAGAAGAAGATGAAGGATGAGGCAGCGGCGAAGGAGAAAGAAGATGCTGCGGCGAAGGAGAAGGAAGAGGCTGAGAGAGAAGAGGCTGAGCGGAAGGCCATCGAGGAACAGGAAGCTGAGCTCAAGCGAATGGAGGAAGAGGAGGCTGAAGCTAAGCGACTCGAAGATGAGGAGCTTGAGCGCCAACGTGTTGAGGCCGAGGAAGTCGCTGCCGCTGCTGCCGCTGCTGCCGTCGAGGCTGAAAAGAAGAAGGCTGACGCTGCTACTGATGATTGGGGCACTCCCGTTACCACAACTTCGAAAAAGAAGAAGAAAAAGAAGGGTGCTGCAGTTGAAGAGGAGCCTCCTCCTCCGCCTCCGCCTGAACCAGAAGCTGAACCAGAGCCTGAGCCTGAGCCTGAGCCAGAGCCTGAACCGATCGTCGTTGTTCCTTCACCCGTGAAGGAGGAAGAGGACCCTTGGGGTGGCGGCTGGGGTGCAGCTGTTGGCAAGGAAAAGAAGAAAAAGAAGAAGAAAGGTGTTATCGAGGAAGAGGCACCGCCACCGCCACCTCCGCCACCACCGCCAGCTCCACCAGAGGTTGAAATCATTGCGGACCCCATCGAGGTAGTGTCACCACCTGCTGACGATAATTGGGGCGATGACTGGGGATTGCCCTCAACTACGAAGAAGAAGAAAAGCAAAAAGGGTGCCGCTGTTGAAGTTCTCGAACCTGACCCAATTGTTGTTCTACCTGCGGAGGAAGCCATCCTAGATCTCGAGCCAGACCCGGTTGTTGTTATCGAGGAGAAGAAGGAGAAGAAGAAAGAGAGCAGCAGTGACTGGGGGTTCAGCTCAATCTGGGGCGGCGGCAGCAAGAAGGAGAAGAAGAAGAAGAGCAGCAAAACAGTCGAGCCGGAACTGGAAATCGAACCAGTCGTGCTGCCTGATATCCAGGAGCCTGTTGCAGTAGAAGAGCCTGCAGCCGACGAAGAGGATGACTGGGGGGCACCATCATGGAGCAAGGGTAAGAGGAGCTCTAAAGCTGATGTGGCTGTCGAAGTCGTAGAAGACTCGACACATCCTGTGCAGAAACCGGACGAAGATGATCCATGGGGTAGCGCAGCCTTCAACATCGGCAAGAAAGTCAAAAAGAGCAAAAAGGGTGCGCTTGGAGCGCCGACATCCCCTGAACCTGAGCTTCCGCCGCCTCTCGAAATCGAAGCACCTCCGCCAGCGCTTACCAAGATCACTTCGAAAGACTCTGCAACCAGATCTGCCACTGAAGACTTACTTGGGCTTGATGATCCTCCTCCAGAGGTCGTGGAGGAGGCGCCTATCGAGGACAAGAAGGATAAGAAGGACAAGAAGAAAGAGTCAAAGTCCTCTAGCATGTGGGGCGGGTTCTCATCGTCGTCAACTAAGAAAGAGATCTCTTCTGAGAAGAAAAAGCGCGAAAAGAAGGAGGCTAAAGAGGCTGAGGAGGCTGCAGAGAAGGCGCGTCTGGATCAAGAGGAGGCCGATCGCCTTGCTGCTGAAGCTGCCGAGGCTGAGGCTGTCGCCGCTGCCGCCGCTGCCGCTGAGGAGCAGGCCCGAATCGACGAGGAAGCCGAGCTTGTTCGCATTGCGACTGAAGAGGAAGAGAGAAAGAAGAAAGAAGCTGAGGAAGAGGCGGCTAAGAGCTCTGGCTGGGGCAGCAGTCTATGGGGTACCTCGAAGAAGAAAGAGACCACCAAAGAGCGAAAAGCCCGTGAGAAAAGGGAGGCTGATGAGGCCACAGAGAAAGCACGCCTTGAACAAGAGGAAGCCGACCGTCTTGTTTCCGAAGCGGCAGAGGCGGCACGGCTGCAGCAAGAAGAGGCTGATCGCGCTGCACAAGAGGAGAAGGATCTGCTCCAAAGTGATGCGAAAGCAGCAGCAGAGGCAGCAATCGCCGCCGACGAAGCCCGACTTGACGCTGAGGATGCTGTCCGAATGCTCAGAGAAGACTTCGAAACGACTTCGGGACCTCCCAAGAAGGAAATTGCGAAAGCTAAGAAAGAGCGCGAGGCCAAGGAGAAGAAGATGAAGAAGCAGATCGCCAAGCTAGAGCAAGAAGCTGCTGATGCTGCTGATGCTGCGGCGAAAGCTCAGGCGGACGCCGACAATCTCGAGGCCGAATGCGTTGTAGCTGGCATTGACACGGCGTTCTTGATGGAATTCAAGCAGCCCGGTCCGGCTGCTGAAGAGGTACCTCCTCCGCCACCTGAAGTCCCTGCCGAAGAGGAGCCAGCGCCTGCTCCAACTGCAGACGATGACATCTGGAATGCGGTCAAGGATATTCCTGAAGATGAGCTCCTTGCCGAGCTTGGTGAGACAAAGACCACTCTGCCAGTCAAGAAAAAGGAGGACAGTGGTGGATGGGGAAGCGCCTGGGGCATTTCACTTCGTAAGACTAAGAAGGAACCTGAACCTGAGGTCATACCCGAAGCAGTCGCTGAACCAGAACCAGAACCAGAACCAGAGCCTGTGGCTGAGCCCGAGCCCGAGCCGGAACCAATTGTCATCGTTGAGGAGCCTGTCTTATCTGCCAAAGAGTTAAAGAAACTCGAAAAGGCGAAGAAGAAGAAAGGCAAGGTCGTCGAGCCTGAACCTGAACCGGTCATTGTTCCTGAAATCATTCCTGATGAGGTTATCCCTGAGCCTGAGCCTGAGCCGGAGCCGGAACCAGTCTTCGAGGACGCTCCGGAACCTCCACCTCCACCTCCTCCGCCAATTGAGATTGTCGAGGCCACGCCGAAGAAGGAAAAGAAGTCCAAGAAGTCCAAGAAGTCTAAAGCTGTGGACGAATTCGTTGACTTCGAAGAGCCTATCGTTGTGCCACCGCCCCCTGCTGCCAGAAGGTCGCCTATTCCAGGTGGATTCCCGATGGATGATGACATGTTAATCGACATGTCTGGGCCGCCTCCTCCGCCGCCGTTTGAACCTGAAGCCCTGGAGCCCGAAGCAGCACTCGAGCCCGAAGTAGTACTCGAACCCGAGGTAGCACCTGAGCCTGAGCCAATTCCGGAAGATATCCCCGAACCCGTCCCGGTCGTCGTCTCTGAGAAGAAATCCAAGAAGCTAAAGAAGAGCAGCAAATCATCAAGATCAGTACCGGTCGTAGAAGCTCCACCGCCTCTACCACCGCCGCCGCCTCCAGCTGATGAGCCTGAATTTGTTGATGCCGAAGCAGAGCCAGCAGAGCCAGCAGAGCCAGAAGACATTGTGGTCCTAGACAGTCTGCCTGTTGACCGTGAGCTGCTATTGGATGACGATTTGCTGGACGTTGAAGACGCTCCGCCCAAGCCCCCCACTCCACCTATTGAGCTCGACCCAGAGCCATTTGAGGAGTCACCAAAGTCATCAAAGAAGCAGCGCGCAAAAGTCGTTCGCGGGCAATCTGGTTCATGGGGGATTTGGGGTGCAGCACCGCCATCCAAGTCAAGAGAGAGCAGGAAGAAATCTCGTGACGACGGTGCAAGTACTGCGAAGGCCGAAGTGACCCGTTCAAAGTCTGTGCGGACTTCGTCGACAAGGGATCGAGACGTCATGTCCAAGTCATCCGGGTCTGACAAGATGTCGAAGACCCCTTCTGCAAGCCGAACCAGACCTCAACGGGCGTCAACAGGCATTGGCTCGCTCTTTGGCGCCTCGCCTTTCGGCACGGCACCAGCGCATCCTACAATGTCTCGATCCAAGTCGCATCGCACGTCTGCGACCCCCAAGATGCTTTCTCGGCGGAACTCTGTAGATCGCGACGCTGCAATGATGTCACCGCCGCAAACCGACACAGACATGAAGTACTCATCAAAAGCTGCCAAAGTATTGGGCAGGGAGAAGCCCTCGCGAAGGTCGAGCACTAGGGACAAGGGCAAGTCTAGAGGTAAGCATGTCACTAGCAGGTTGGGCCCCATTGGTCGGCCCGCCGCAAACAACGGTTGGACGGAACTAACCGAGTGCTCAGCTGTGCCCGACCCGTACCCTCTCGAAGACGACCCCGTGATGCTCGATGACTCTCCCACACCAGTGCAGGAGCGACCAGAGACAAAGCGCCGCAAGTCGAAGCGCGGATCCGTGCAACCCGAAGAGCCCATCACTGCGCCGCCTAGCGCCGACGACCCTGTAATTGTGGATCCGATGGATGTGGAGCCAGCCCCAGTTGAGCCGGAGCGCAGGCCCCGCCGCGACCGCGAGCGCGAACACTCACGACGCGAACGAGCACCGTCCATGGCGAAAGACGCGCTGCCCACGATGGCTGGCGTCGCTGGTACTGCTGCCGCCGTCAGCGGCCTCAAGAGCATGTTCGCCTTCGGCCGTAAGAAGAGCGCGCCGACGCCTCCCGAGGACCCGCGCGACCGCCGCAGGGCCTACGAGACGGAAGACGAACGCCGACGGCGCAAGCGATCGACAATGCGCGGCGATATTGATGAAGAAGAGGCCAGCCGGCTGCGACGCGAGCGCCGCAGCGTTCGTCGCGAGCGCGAGGAGCCGGACTACATGGCCTCGGGCGCAAACGGCAACGGCAGCACCGAGTACGATGCCGAGCGCGAGGCACGACGGGCTGAGCGCAGATCGCGTCGCGAACGTGATGGAGACAAGGGCTCTCGCCGCGCTGAGATGGACGAGGTCGATTCAAAGGCCGAGAGGCGTCGCGAGCGTGAGCGCGAGAATGAGGCCGCCATCCTTGCGCAGAAGAAGGCGCGCCAGATGGCCGAGCTCGAGCGACGCAATAAGCAGGCCGAGGAGGAGCTGCGACGTATGGCCGAGAAGGAGGAGCGCAAGCGCGTTCGCGCTGAGCGCAAGATGAGCACTGATGACCAGCACCGCTCGTTCCGCCGCAAGGACAGCCACCGCGAGCAACGCGAGCAGCGCGAGCCCGCCCGACCGCACAACGAGCGTCGCCGCTCACATCAAGCTGAAACAGAGGACGAGCGTCGTCGCCGCCACGATGAGCGCCGTGCAGCCCGACGTGCCTCCGAACACCCGACGCCCGTCAACGGCGAGCCCATTGCCGACTATTTTGATTCGCGCAATGCCGACGCTGCCGGGTCCAGCCGCTCGAGACAGCGCCCTTCACGCCGCGGTGCCGATGAAGAACAGAACCGGCCGTACCTGAACAAGGGCCCCGACAAGACATCCTCGTGGGTGCAGTCGCTCTCCGATGACAACCCGCTGCCAGTCCCCATCGCGGAGACGATCCTCGATCCTCCCCCCGGCAGCCGCGACGCCGAACTACTCGACGAAGAGACACCCAGCCAAGACGAAGACGTCCGCCTGCGCATCGCCGGCCGCCGCGGCCCCAAGCGCGACAAAGAGCGCGCAGAGCGCCACGCCGAGCGCGACCGCGAGCGTGAATCTGAGCGCGACCGCAAGCAGCACCGCCGCCGCTCGTACTTCGAGGAAGACGAGGAGCCGCGCTCCTCGAAGAGAGACTCCCGTCGCAAGACGTACGACCAGTACGCCGACCAGCCGGTGCGCACCTGGGACGGTCGCCCTGAGGAGACGCCCAGGGGCGTCAAGAGGGGCAGCTGGCTGAAGAAGATTGCCGGTCTGGCGTGAGCTGCTGCGTTGATCCTGATTGCCTTTTTTGCGTCTGCATTTGGCGTCCTGGTACTGTACTGCATCGCGCGGCGTTTCTTGTTTCTGTGTTTTGGATACCGGGTATGCTGCCCATACACCCACCCACCCATCTGCACAGCACTTGTTCGCACTGGCATTTGCATTCGCACTCGTACTCGCATTGCGTGGGCCGGGGTTTTGTCATCGGTGTCAGCGTACGTGCTGCGTGCTGCGCATCACGGTTTCGGGATTGCTGCTGCATTGTCCTGTTCTGTACCTACTGTTTTGTGTTGCTTTGCTTTACTTTGCTTTGCTTCTCTTTGATTTTGTTTGCAGCGTTTCTGCGGTTCACGACGTTATGTATGTATTGCACGAGAGGGACGCGGAATGGGATGGATGGATACACGGAATGGAATAGGATAGGAGTGAGATAGATACCCCTTCGAATTACACGACTTTCTTCTTGCGCGCGAGTGTACTTTGTATGTACGTACACACTGGGTGCTGGCTAGTCACTGCCGGGCCGCGATGTGTTGTTGGGCGCCGTTTGGGGGGGTTGTCGTGGGCGTCTGCTGTTGGCTCTTCGAGACCGGGTGTCATGCAGCTCTGTCCGTTTCTGGCGGCACGGTGTTGATCAACACGGATGTCTCGCACGCAAAGCGCAATCGCTGGTGCTGATCCATGGCGTGTAGATGATGCATTGTAATATTGTGTCAAGCCGGCCAATTCAGCCAGTACGCCTATCGCCTGCCCAATGCTGGATGCTCCCGGCCCTTCCGTCCCGTCTCGTGATATCTAAAATGCCAGGCCGGCCCGTGGTGCCCTGAGTGCTATTCGCGCGGTACCTGAAACCCCTCGCCGCCCTCCATCTCCTCGTCCTCTTCGTCGTCCTCGTCCAGCTCCTCGTCCTCCTCCTCGAACCCTGTCTCGATCTTCAGCGTCTTCAGCCGGTCCTTCATTGCGTCTCGCTGGTCGCCCTGCCATCGCGACAGCGCCGCGGCGGCGTGCACTTTGAAGCCGAACACGCGCGGCTCGTAGCGTCGTTGTGTCTTGGGGGGCAGCATCGCAGGGTAGACCTGGAAGAGGATGTTGTGGAAGGAGGTGCCGAAGTAGGCGCCGTCGATGACGGCGTGTCGCGAGGACTTTGGGTTGTAGAGGTCTTCGCAGCGCGAGCAGTACAGCTTGACGGGCGACGTGTTGGCGACGTCGGACTGGCCCATGGGCAGGAGCGGTTGGGATTCGCACATGACGCGTGGACATTTGCCGAAATCTGACTTCTTGAACTTCTCGAGCTGTGTCTCCGGTCAGCGGTGTGCCTGGGCGGGTCCCACGGAGGTCCCTACCATCTTTGCCAACCCCCTTGTTGTTACAATATATCGTGCGTGTACCAGGCCGTAGAGGTGTCGCGCCGACTTCTCAATCTGTTCGCGCATCTCATCGTCGCAGTCGAAGTCGAAGACGTCTGTGACTAGGTCGAGGGCATATTGGTAGTATTGGACCTCTGTGTTCAGCCCCGTGAGGTTGAAGCGGTCGGTGAGGTACTCTTCATCGATTTCGCAGAAGTACTCGTTCCCTCGTGACGATATAAACTGGGCGAACATTAGCCTCTCTTCGGCCATGACTGTATTCCGCGGTGCCCGCTGTAAAATGCGTGTTGTAGCCAGAGCAGTATCTTGCGAGATAAGAGCAGGACAGCGTGGGGCCAGGAGAATGTAGCCTGATTGAGAGCCTTGCAATCGAAAGGTCTAGGCGACATCTGCTTAAGGCGCTTGCTGCCGGTGCTCGAGTGGGGAGCAGGCTGCACGTACCCGGTGTTCACGGGTCGCGGCGTAGAAAAGATTCGCGTGTGATCAGGTCGAAGGGCCAACATAATCGCAGAAAGCAGCCACAAATGCACGAGAGTATAGAGGCAAGGTACCTACCCAGTCGCGCCAGTAACTTGTGTAGTCGCTGTCGGTGTCACTGTTGAAGTCGTCCATGGCGCGCTGCGGCGCTGCGTCGGGCAGGTGGTGGTGCTAAAGTGTGGGAGCGTCCTATGCGACCGAAGTGTCAGGGTGCGTACGTCGTGGAGTCTTCTCCCTGGCGCGGGCCGCGGTTGCTGTGAATTGACAATGAGGTCTCAGGTGCGCCTGCCCTGCGCGGGGTCTTGCAGGCCAGCCTGACGTTCGCTTCGCTTGTCCGCGGACGGCGCTAGCTGCATCCGGACACTAGCCTTGCTCTCATCTTCCAGGCCTTGCCTATCCATGGGCTGCCTTAGACCGTCATGCCTTCCATGCACGTTGTAGCCCTACGGTGTGCTCCATCTGTTCTACCAATGAGCTTGACTGCAACCTGCGATCTCTCGTCATCCCGAAGGCTGAACACCAGATCGGCAGGCTGAAGCTCCGCAAGCTGATAGTTTTGCCGCTTAACCAGGTTTCAGACAAGGCAATCACTAAACGGTAGGTATGGACGTATGGACTTGAGATCCTACCCCCAATTGAGTCAGACGACGATTACAAAAGTAGGGCGCAACCCTGTTGCCCTTTCGCCGATGTCAATTAGTATCATGCATGGCGCCTTCAACGTTTGTACTATACAAGATCACCATCGATTGCCGCAGTTCAAGCGCTAGCGGTTGTATACGCAGCAAATCGTTGCCAGCGGGCTCCCTCCGCCCGCATATTCTCCGAATTACCACGCCCAGTATCAGCTTCTGAGTTTCAGTAGACATCTGCGCGGATGTAGACGCGACTGGTACCTGCGTTCGACATGTATGATATATCTTTTGTAGGTTGTTGCAATCTGGTTGACGGTGCTTGTTGAAGCAAGTCTACGGCAAGATGACCTCCTTCACCGAAGCGGGGAACGACATCAGCTTCCTCTTCCTGAATTAGGCACGCGACCGACCGGGGCACTTTTTTGGTCTGCTGCTCGTCAGGCGTTCCTTGATATGTGGTGCAATCCGTGGTCCATTTTCTCCAGATTCGAACTCTAGCGACACCAACTAACGAATAGCTCGGTCTACCTGCAGCAATATGCGGGTCTATTCCCATCATGCAGCCCCAAGACTATAATCGCGGGTCGTTCACGCGCGTCATTTAGCATGTAGTTGGTCGCCGCGATTCGTCGAGTGGAGAATTTTGCCCATCTACCACTCGACAGGAGATTTGCGGCCAGGATTCGTGCCATTCCGCTCCCGCTCCCGAATCGTACCATGGACGAAGACGTGAGCGAGGCCCTCAAGGACGGCTACATGGTGCGCTCTCTTCCGCGCATAGACTCGGCAAGCGAACCAGATGACTTTGACGACACACCTTCGCTCGACGAAGCTGAGGATACTGGATATAACTTGATGAAGATCAATCGTCAGTCTACCGACTTGGAACATGCCTTTGACCTCAGTCCGCCACCTCCCGCAAAGACAGACAAACGAGCCGAGATCGTTGCGGAGCGCCTGTTCTCAGTCGAGCATCTGGATGTCATTCTCAAAGACAATGCCCAGCTGCAGCGGTTCACTACATTCCTCATGCGATACCGCGCGCACTGCGTCCCGACTCTGGTGCGATATCTTGACTCGAAGAAAGCCTTGAAAGCGATACAGTACGCCAATGCACTGGCAGACCAAATCACGCAACAACCGAGCTGGCCAACAAAAGCCGCTGCCGCGTCTCTCGATCCGAAATTCGAGGAGCTTTCTCAGCGCGCACTGGATGAGCTTGTCGCAGAGGCTCTACCTGCATATATTACCTTTAATGTGGTGGACGTGGTAACAGAACTGCTCAACCAGGAGATCATTGGCAGGATTACACCAGTCATGCGCGAGCTGGTCCATGGTTTGGCAGAAGTGTACTGTCTGAGCGATCCGACGCAAGAAGGCAACCCTATCGTTTTTGCCTCAGATGGTGAGTGCGGTAGCAGCGTGACTATCTTGATGATTGAGAGGTCTAACCACAGTGCCAGAGTTCTACAACACGACTCAGTACGGCAGCGGATATGCGATCGGGAAATCCTGTCGCTTCCTTCATGGACCAAATACCGACAAGCGCGCCATCGAGAGACTGGACAAGGCCGTCGAGGAGCAAGAAGAGGTCAACGAGACTGTGGTGCAATAGTGAGTATCAGGCGTTCAAGCGTTTGCGCGGATACTTACGACACGCAGTCGACAAGATGGCACTCCATTTCTGGCACTTGTATGTTGCTAACTCCTATTCTTCGGGCAATGCTAAATTTGGCAGGTAATGTTTGCGCCTCTGAAAGACAACAAGGGTGTTCTCCGCTACTTCATCGGCGCGCGAATTGATGTGACCCAACTGGTAGAGGGCGGCAAGACGATCGACTCCTTCCATCAGCTACTCACTGGAGACCGCCCTGAAACACCTATTGCGGACCCGCTAGAGAACAGACCTACACTCAAAGCTCTGCGGGAATTCAGGGATATGTTGAATGATGAAGAAAAGGGATCAATAAGGGAAAGCGACTCACTGCGCACCGATTCTAGACCTAGCTCACCGTGGCCACCCCAGAGCCCCACACAGCGCCGCTTCGTGGGCATCGAGGAGCGGATCTCTCAAGAAGGTCTTCGATCTCGTTTTGCTGGACAAGTACCAGGAGTATACCGAAACGTACATACCCCGTCTTTACACTACTACCATCGCTAACACACCCAGTACATGCTCGTCCGTCCCTACCCTTCGCTCCGCATAATCTTCACCTCTCCCTCCCTCCGTATCCCCGGCCTCTGCCAATCCAAACTGCAAGACCACATCGGCGGCCCCGAGCACGTCCGCGACTCCTTCATCCAAGCCCTCGCGCAAGGCATCGGCGTCACCGCCAAAATCTCCTGGCTAACCCGCGTCACCCGCCCCGGCACACACCTCGACGTCCCCTTTGTCGACGACAACGCCAGCATCCTCACCAGCGACCTGGAAGCCATCGAGGGCAAGGCGCGCTGGATCCACTGCACGCCGCTGACCGGCTCCGACGCCAAAGTCGGCGTCATCATGATCATCATGGTCGACAAAGAAGACGCGGCCCACAACCTGTCGAACATGGGCAGCTTATCTGCGCCCAGCCCCGCCCGCCCGCGCGACTCCGCCGCGCCCCACGCCCGCGCAAAGAGCTACAACAGCTTCCGCGGCTTCGAGTACACGCCCGAGCGCTACCAGCACCGCTCGAGCCCCACGAGCACCGCGACGAGCACCACTCCGTCGGTGCGCGGCGACAACGTCCGCAAGGCGTCGCTGCGGTCGATGGGCGGGAGCAGGCTGTATGCGGACTATATGCGGGATATCCAGGGGGCGCAGAAGCGGGGGGATTCGTTTGGGAGTCGGTCGCGCGAGCACGAGGAGCGCTCTAATGGGCTGGGGTCGATGGCTACGGCGGTCGCGGTTAAGAGTGTGAATGGGCGGGGGAGAACGCGGAAGGTTGGGGGCACGCTTTGAGGACTGTGGATTGTGGATTATGGTCTGTGGTTTGTATTGTATAACATGGTGATTATAGGTCTTGAGTATGAACGATGATGAGTATGTGTAATGTCCGCTTACGAGATCAATGTTGGTATTACAGTGTATTATCAGTCGTTCCTATCGATGAATTTGCACCGGGGATAGCAATATGCTCATGTGTCGTAGAATAAGGCCTACTTGAAGTATGTAATTAGGGTTCCAAGCACAGGTGTATTTGCCTCTCCCTGGTCGTCACAATGTATGCGTTGTTCCATTCGACATCAGGGACATGCTGATCCTGAGTTCGAAAGTTGAATCTTACCGTGCACATTGATGTCCTTTGTTGCGGGTCTGGGGGCTTGATTGAACGAGAAGGGCTGCGATTTCATCGTACTTTAGATCTTTGTTTACAGCGCAGAAATAGATCAATTTCAGCTACCTCGATGCTGCCACGGGCAACATCAAATCGATTAAATCATGTAGTGGCATTCTAGTGTTTTTTCAGCGGTGACGAAAGTCCCTGAAGATTGTTGAGATGTCGCTTGAGCGTTTGGGCGCCATGAGGCGTCACGGAAGCGTTCGGTCTGTGATCCAACATGAGACATCGCCGACATGTGCTCCAGCAGTGTAGCGACCATGTATACGGGTGCGACAGCGGCAGTCGTATTGCGGCGCTGTCCTCCACGGAATTCCCTACCGTTGGTGTGATGCTGTTGAGGTTCTTCGCGCTGGCAAGCTTGTCGCCCAATGCATGTCGCCGTATGGTCATGCCAGCCGGACTCTACTGGTGGAACGAAGGGTTGTCCTGCTCCAAGCCTCTGCGAGCGCGAAAGGGTGATCCTGGGAGCGGATGCGGTATCACCTCGAGTATTTGAACCCTCGCCCGAGCGCGCGTCCTGCTCACCGCTGGTGTTCGTGGCTGCGTCGCACGGCATGGCCAAGCGGTTGCAGGGACGTAAGCACAACGTCGAATTCCCGCTGCACGCACCCAAGTGGCTCAAAAGCGGATATCGAAAGTAGCGAGGTGGAAATTGTGTCGGTACACTGAAGGTCGTGTCTCTGGCCTGCAGGGCGCCGTGTGTAGCATTGGTGTGAGCGGCTGGGATCTGATCAAGACATGTTACAGACACGCGCCGGGTTGCCACGAGAATATCCAGGCATCTGGATAGGGTTCTAGAAGTGCTACGGTAACAGAAGAATCGAATTTTGGAGCCCACCCGAATGCTGAGTACGCATAGTTGGTGATGTGTAGGCCGCGTGGCCTGTTTTGTAGGTGGGGTCTCAGGAGAAGGGCGTAATGAAGCGTTAACCAGCAGCAGTGATAGCATGCAGCAGCATCTCGATATCGTGATGGCCGACCGCTGAGGCTTGTTCATTCATATGTTGACCTTGGCGCATCTGTCAGGCACACCAACCTCACGGAAGCGACTCACCTCACCGCCCACTTTGTCGTTTGACAGATGCAGCAACCAGCATCTGGTAGAGTCGGCGCTGGACCTGGACCTGGTAGACGAGGTTTCCAATTGCGCGCATGTATCGAACTACCGAACGGCAGCCGTGCAACGGAGTTTGACGGATAACGGTCGCAGGGTGCATTGTCAATCTATTCTGCTCGCCATGTCGATCGCCCCAGGCTGATGCAGCGTCATCTAGCGGCTGGAAGAGTCTGCCAGCCGCATAGAGGTGTGGTTGCGCAGCATACGCGTTCTGCAGGGGATTGTGTGAGTCGAAAGGTTGTCGGTGCAGTAGGAAGGTCGGTTTAGGAGCTCTCTGATGGAGAAAGCACGACCAGACACGACAGTCGATGTAGACAGCGACGACCGGTACGAACATCTTCAGGGACGCTTTGCTAAAAAGCAAGCAACTTTGACATCGCCGAAAGAGAAAGCGAAGAAGAACGTTGCTTTTTATGTCTGCTTTTGCAACGTGAACTTATCGTGAACAGCTGCCTCATGTAGCCAACATTTCTTCTTGCATCTTCGGCGCACCTCGCTAATCGAGCTCAACGTCTCGCCGTTACTTCCTCATCAAGAGTGTGATGATCGACAAAAGCAAAATTCTTCTGTGCTTTTGTTCATAGGATGAACTGCAATGTACACGCGCATCACCCCACCACGTCGGCTTGATACATGTGCCGCTGCGGCATGTACCAGCAAGTCAGGACCTCTAGATGGACGTTACGCTGATTTAGATTGGCCAAATCTTGCTGTATGCATGCCGCGCCGGCATCTTGTGACGTACCAACGTGAGTCGTTTTGGTATGCGTTCAGCCTGGACTGCATGAGAGGGCTCGCTGGGTTGCCTCAATTCTCAGGCTGTCCGGTGCGTCAGATAGACGAAATGATCTACAAACAGGTGCCGGGAAGTCACATGGAAGTTGCCTGCTGCGTTGCTTTTACGGGAGCCGAGACAACGGATTTTGATGGTCAGGGATACAGGCACGGTTACTGACGAACTCACCGGACAGGCACGGCATACCATACGCTAGAGTCGTATATCCATGCTCGAGTCAGGAGTAAGGTTTGATGAACAGCTACGATGTTGATTTTCCAGGTTCGAGGCTCGAGCATGGTCGTTGCGCGATGCCAGTCTCTCTCGAACCATGACGGGTTGGCGACTTAACGCTGGGCAGATATACATCCATTTCAAACTTCGGCATGCGGAGTTTTGGATTAACATACCCACGGGGATATGCATCCGAGCACAATTGAGGGGGGGTCTGCTTCGTCTGCTCTCAAGTTGACCAACTTTTGCACCCGGGCTGTTGCTGGAACACGATGTGATTTGTCGAGAGTATCGGAATATCCTCCTGGACATTGTCAACGAAAGAGCGGACCCTTGAACACCAACAGAACGAGGTTGTTAGAACAGCAGATCTTAGCGGCTGGAGTGTTTCAGCTTTGCGATGGTGGGGACGCGGCCGGCAGCGGTACTTAGGGCGGTCGCTTAGGCTGGATAGATCCTCACGGAATATGTCAATGCCGAGCTAAAAAAAATAAGGCATCCATGTTAGCACAATAGTCAACAGTCCAGAGCCGAATACAGGCGCGCGGTTGCTTGAAGATGGAACGTAGATGGGTACGTGTGGCCCGCCACCTATTGTTTGGATTGATATCAATCTGTACAGTATACAGGCAACATCCTTGCCAAGTAGCTTAGAGCTTTCGCAAAACCTTCTCAAGCCTGGGATCTGTAGGATCATTTGGTTTGATGGTCAAACTGCTCAACTCCCGGTTTGAACTCTTGGAGCCGATCCTTTCGTGGCGCCAGGAAGAGGTGCCGCTTCTGATCGATGACGCATCGTTCTTATGATCGCCATTAAGGCGATCCGCAATATCTTGCCCAGCTCTGACGAACCAAGGGTCTCGACCACCTGGTCTAACTAAAAGCAGGCATTAGTACCAAAGATACGGTCAAAGCAATGGAGACTTACGAGACCAGTACTCCCGGGCATCTGCATCGTCAGGAACGATACGGCCACCAGAGATAAGCTGAGTGAGGTATGCCATGCCGTTGAGCGCGGTATAGATCAAGAGGCCAGCAATCAGCCCGTAAGCTGCACTGTAGCTGAACGGGATGAACATGAGCGTAACGAAAGCGGGAATTGCATCTCCAATGTACCGCCAATTGATGCTCGTTACTTGTCGCATCATCAAGCATCCAACCTGTGTGTGTGTTAGAGCAGGTAACAAAAGCGTTGATAGTATACTCACGATGACAAGCGTACATCCGGTTGCCCACGGAGGGATGGATGCGAAAATGGGGGCAAAGAACATCGAAACGAGAAAGCAGAGACCGGCTACTATTGCAGTCAGGCCTGTCTTGCCGCCTTCTGCAATACCAGCGCCGGATTCAATGTAAGCTGTAACAGGTGAAACACCAAGAAGAGCGCCCACAGAGATACAGAATGCATCTGTACAGTAGGCTAGAGTAGATCGTGGAAAATCGCCAGACTCATGATCTACAGCACAACAGAAGCGAGCCATCGAGTATAGTGTAGCCGTGCAGTCGATAATATCAACGTAAAGAAAAGTGAAAAGAGCGAGAACGAAGTGGGAAGTGTTCTGACTGACATTCCAGTCCAAAGTGTTGAGAGTGCTGTCGATGGGCTGGAAAAAAGCAACTTTCTTGAAGTAGTCCCATCGGTCGTTGCCGATGGAAGTATTAGGGAAATAGGTGATGTTTGTACCTCGTCTGCAGACATGTGAGTTCATGATTTCGACGTAAAATTCTTGTTGACTTACGGCCATGCGGTTATCGACACTATCAAAATTCCGATAATCATCGCACTCTTGACCTTGAAAATCATTAAATAGGACGTTACTATCCCTCCGCAAGTAAGACCAATCCACAGCTGAGTTTTCATGTCAGTCATTTTCCTCTCGCTATATCTGCTCACAACTCACTGTTGGCGAAGTCATCTTGTGACTCGTACATATACCTAAGTCGTCTTTGTACTCATCAGCACAGCCTGCGAGTTGCAGCGGTGTATCCCTGGCTCCGCTGATCGCACCAATACCGGTACTATTGCTCAGACCGATCAATGCTAGGAAAAGTCCGATACCACAGGCTGTGGCGATTTTGAGTGAGTTCGGAATGACTTTGACGAGCCATTGTCGCATTCCGACCAACGAAAGTCCGATGAAGATGAAGCCCTCAATGAAGACAGCCGTTAGCGCAAGATTGTACGATATGATCCCTCTGCCATGGAAACCGACGACCTGATAGGCGAAGTACGCATTCAGGCCCATGCCAGGTGCAAGGGCAACTGGCATATTGGTGAGAAAACCGAACAAGATTGAGCTGAAACCTGAAATAGCTGCCGTTGCAGTAACGAGTGACCGCCTGAGATCTAGGGTATCGTGAGCTACGTGGAGCTGCAAACATCTGACAGACTGACCTTGAACGCAGACCGCGTATTCTACGTTGTTCATACATAGAGGGTCGACCGCATCATTGCAGACGCAATTGCCGCCTGTATCGGACAGAATGGAGGCCTTGTATTGTCAGTCATAATTCTCGTCTTGTTGGAGAAGTGGGTACATACATTGACGGATATGACGTAAGCCATAGTGAAGAAAGTTGTCAGACCAGCTCGGATCTCCGTGGTGAACCTCGAGTTGATAATCTCTTTCTCCTGCGTCTATGATCAGCTGATATCTCTGGCGCAAAGAAATAGTCCATACATGTCCGCAACCTTCAAGTCGAAAGACTCGACCAAATGTTGAAGTCCCGAGGAAGCTGTTGACCCCATCACGGTACATACGAAGTGCCTCCATTGTGTGAACGATGCCTTTGGAGAACGAAGAGTAAGAGGCCGGAAAGAAGTAAATTAAGGTTCCGTAGCAAGACCGTGACTTATGCTTGACCGCGACCGTGCGTTGCTAACGGCTGGAGGGAGGTTGAATCATAGGAGGATTCAACGACAGTTGTACCCAGGCGACAATGTGGGTCAAAGGACGGGAATAGACCCTCACACGGGAGCAGCTCCTGGGGTGGTTCAAGGCCAAAACGCCTTCTATCTTTCAAATGAATGTTGCAGGTGGGGCAAGAGTGCAGGCACGTACGCAACAGATACCAGGTAGCAGCAGCAAGCGCTAAGAGACCGTCATCTGCAAATGACAGCACGGCCGCAGCGCGAGGCGCGCATTCGGACATTCTACAAGGGATGCTTTGTTGGACTAGCGTTGTGTCGCAGTGGAGATGCTGGAGGTCGAACTGGGATTGGTGAGCTAGCGCTGTGCTCTTGTGGCTTGTCGAACCGAGTCAGGGGTCGTCCAGGCGCCCTAGTCTTTATGTTCAGGAACAGCTAACGCAGATCAGAGCTGTACTCTTAGTGGTGGGCGATAGATCGCCTCCATGTCAGTCGCTCCGCAAATGCATCTGTTGCGAAACGAGCAACCCGGTGAACCTTCGACGTCCCCTGCCAGAACTCTGTCCGACTCCCCGGCCCTACCGCGGAGCCCACGACTTGCAGCTGTTGCCCCCCATCCCGCATTTGTGTTGCGATTGTGAATGGCCTGATCCTTGAATTTTATCGGCAAAGACAAACCTTGTGGGAATGTCGACGGCACGATCGACCGCCACAGTTGCCCATCTGGCTGGCTTTGGAGTCTGACAGTATCAAGTTAACTTCCTCATGTCTTGTGACGGCTGCCCGAACGGTTGCATTCCCGGCCCAACTACGTCTTCTGTAGGTCAAGGGGTAGCCACCGAAAACAGTGGCAACCTGGAACATGGCGTCGTAGCGCAGATAAGCTAGCCACCTGTCTCCGCCGTATGACATGGGCGTTTTCCTTTTCCGACAAACGTCTTGTCGGTGCGAGAGTTTGAACACGCGCTTACCACGTGTGGATCACAACCCCAGCGACATGGTCAGCATCCCGAGGCCTTCCACGGTCCACCCGTCGGTCTGCGCGCTAGTGTTCTGGTACGACTGACTGTGCAGAAGGTGGCTCCTACTCAACCTGAACTTGATGACCTTCATTGTTCTGGTAGATTGGACCAATGAGACCTCGCCGCCGATCGCGTCTCTTAGCGTGCTCGGCATGGTGAAGGGCCTGTTGCGCAATCCGCTGGGAAGTCCTCTCCCGACAACCCTGCTTTATGTCTTACCACAAAGTCGTGCCCTGACGTGCGATCGTCACAACTTATGATACTTCTTCGCTCGTTCTCCCTCAGATCTGGTGGAGTCTAGCTTATTGATGCCCCAGTACATGCTCTTCTAGGACGATTGACAATGTTCGCGGCCGATCTCTCGTGGCAGATCGGAGAAAGCGTAGGGCAGCGGAAAGAACGGAAAGCTCGCGAACATGCGTCAGGAACGCCCTCAGTTAGGACCTCAGTAACGTCCAGGAGTTCCAGCTCGACCGATCGACAAGAATGGTGGACGTCCGGGCTCAAGAAGATCAAGGCTAGGACTTCTTCCAAATCTTCATCCAAAGGAAGGCCATCGACAAGTCCGAATTCGAGACCCCAGGCAATAATAGACCCGCGATCACTTCAGCCTGTCTGCGAAGCGGTAGCGAAAGACTTTCCTAATTGGGAACTCGAGCTTCCACATCATCTGAGAGATCATGTGCAAAAGCCAACATACACGGTCTCGAAGTCGCTATCGCCAACACTGCCATCTGGAGGGTCTATGGACCTGTCGGAGTGCGACGTCCCAGAGCTCGAAGGTGACATCTCCTCCCGCTACACGCATTCCATCGTATCTATATCTTCACGTGAGTACAATGATTTATGAGAGATGACTTCACAGAGCTAATTGGTGGTTTAGGCGACCATCATTGGGATGTGAAATTACCTCCAACCGAAGCGTTGAATGGAATTGATGGACCACACGGATGCGATCCGTACACTATTGCTCCTGTCCACACGCGGACAAGCTTTGGGTCTCGTGAGCAGCAAGAACACGCAATAGTCTCAAGAGCGGATGTACTCAACAGAGCAAAGCGGTCGGTAACCCAAAAACGTCTCGTCACCTTGTACTGACCTATCATAGGAGAACCAATGTGCCACAGATCGAGACTCGTATGGAAGGAGAGATCCACCCCCAGGAAGCGTCAGCCCCAGAGATCGAAAAGCAACCCGAGTTAAACACAGATGTGAACGCATTCAGACCATTGGCTCAGTGGGACAGTCTTTCTCCCATGGTGGTACCTAGAGATTTTCGCAAATCGGCAGTATCTCAACCCATCCAATCCGCTGCTGTGCAGAACAAGCCTGCTGGTGTGGGGAACAGCACTTTCGTTCGAACAAGGTTTCAGCGATTTATCCAAAGATTGGAAAGTGCAGGCCCACAGCTTGTTTTGGACAGACTTAAGGAGTCCCTGCAGGATCCTGCAGATTCGGAAGAAGAATTGCTCGAACAGCAACTGTGGTTGTTAACCGGGTTCCAGCTGCAGGTCTTAGGCAAGGCACGGATGGTTCCGAAACCGCAGTGTGACACGGGTAGGATCCTGGAACTCTATGGTAACCTCTGTAAGTGGATGCTGTGCTCGAGCTGCAATGTTGTGTATCGTCTAACAGTGATGTCAGCTGAGGTCTACCAGTCATCTGCAATGCACCCAGGCCAAACGGTGCACTTCCTTACGACCAAACCGCAGCGCTCACTAAGCCTTCCCAGCAATGTGTCTTACTTGACAGTACGAGAATTCGGCACGGTGCCTTTGCCATACCCAGAGGACTTTTTCACCCATATACGCGCATCAACTTTACCGTCTTTGGTCCCATCTGCGAAGCTGCCAGAGCTATTTCGCGAATGCTATAAGCTACTTGCTCCAGGCGGTCTATTCGAGATCAGAATCATGGATGCTGCTCCTGTGCGCAGAACTGCTGGCCCCATGATGCGGATGTGGATAGACGACAGACTATCTGTGAACCTTGAGAAACTCTTTCGATGCTCGAAACCATGTTCGCTAGTTCCTAGCTGGTTGGCGGAGGCAGGCTTTGAGTTGAGCACGGAGAACGAGATGGGACTGACACTGCCATGTGTTCTTGACAGCACCTCTGATGATGTGGATCAAGAGCTCTCAGCCTTAATTGGCCAAGCTCTTTGGAAGGACACTTGGGGTCCATTCGTCGAGGATCTTCCCGATGAGCCAAAATGGTGGTGGGAAGAGGATATCATTGTGCAAGAGTGCTTGAAAAGGAAAACCGTGCTGGAATGTCGCTCCTTGTATGCGTACAAGAGGTGATTCTGCTGGTCTGCGATGGACGAACGTTGTTGGGCGGTTGACTTGCTATTCCCGGATACCCTTTTTTGCGTCGACATCTACTGTCTAAACTTAATCTGAAGACAAACGAAGCTGCCTAGACTCCTCAGCACCTTATCCTTACGAAGTTGTGCTGTACATATGTATGGTCGTGTGCAATTCTTAGTGTACCAATCACGAAGTAGGCGTTCCGTCATCTCCACGTCGCCTAGCGCATTTCCACCTAGGGCCCCTCCGCATCGACATGGCACGAGAACACAACATGGACAATCCATTCCTCGAAACACATCAGTCTTGAGACTATGGAGAAGCTTCACATCCAGATTGTCACAACTTCGGTCGGTACACGTTCGAATGTTTCCAGATGTCTAGCCCTCGCGTCCGTGCGACAGCCCCCGTTTCAATGCGCTGCACGCTCCTGACGCCTCCTCGCTACGCCTTAAATGTGAGCTTCCTCCAAAGCCTTCGGCAATTTTGGTTCCTTGTCGGTTCTCCCGAAGCCTCGTCAGCTAGCCACATATTCCACTTTCGCTCTTGCGAACCTCGCGCCCTAGCTTCGTATAAACGAGCCCGTTCGTCTAGCCATGCTTAGCAAATTCACAACACAAATCGCATTGCGGAAAGCCGGACTGGGCGGCGTAAAGATCCCGGATCCATTCGCTGCCAGCGACTCGAAGAGCTCGAAAGGCGCCCAGGATTCAGAAGGAGGAGGCATTTCGAACCCATTCGCCAACGTTCAATGGGGTGCGCCAAAAGCCTTCGCTTCTTGGACGACACCGCCCCCAACTCAGAATCCAGTGCGATCAGCGCCGATTGCAGGCGACAGGGCGCAAACTAGTGTGAAGCTACGGTTCCCTGCAGTCGATGGGAGGCCTTGTGTGGTGTTGTTCCTGAGATATTGTGGCTGTCCTTGTAGGCAACACCTGTTGTATTCATCCACCAACGACTAATGTGGTGCAGTCACAGAGAAGCTGTTCCTTCAGCTGCGATCGTTAGCCAACCGACATACCTCCATACACTTCGTCGTCGTATCACATTGCACACAAGCTGCGACCAACGAATGGCTGAAAAGGATGGGTGGACCGTGGATGACCGATATCATAGTGGATGAAAAGAGGGGATTGTATGCTCTGTGGGGGCTGGGGATTTCGAATTGGGGCCATCTACTCAATCCGAGGAATGGATACAACCAGTATATGCTGGGTAAGAAGGAAGGCGTCTGGGGACAACAAGTCGGAGAAGGAGGTTGCAGATGGCAGACAGGAGGTGCATACGCCATTGACGGAAGGGGTATTGTGAAATGGGCATACCCTATGAAGAGTGTGGACGATCAGATACCCATCGAAGACGGTATCAAAGAGCTTGGTTTCAATCGTTGAGAAGATACCCAATAAGAATGTTTCAACTGCTCAATCACGTTGTGGTTGAGTTGAGCAATGCATACTAATCGAATACTCACATAACATTAATTAAGACCAGCCTAGCATTATCGCCTCTCCCTCCTCAGATTCAGGCTCCACCAAGACACGAATTGGGTCACTCACTATTGGCTCTTTTTTGCAGTCGCCTCTTCGGCCGGTACGAACCGCTTCCTTACCGCCTTCACCATCTGACTGAACCAGTAAACATTCAGAATACTCAACGCAGTGTTTCCCACCAGGTAGATCGTTACTAGCCACATCGGCAAATCGGTTATCTCACAGCTGACGGGTCCTCCGTATGCCTTGCTGCTGGCGTTACGTCCACACATGTCGTCACCCGGCAAGAGGCTTGTCAACTGAGATGCCGGTGTCGTCAGGGCCTTGTAGATATCCGAATAAATCATGATCGACTGGTAGGTTCCCCAAACAACTCGGCAAGCAAAGAATGTGAAGAGTAGCGCCACACCGTTGTAGAGCTGGAGCTTAGATCCAGTAAGGCCTAGTTTGTCGCAAAACCAGTGGATGTTCAGGAATGGTGTAGATAGTTCGTAAAGGATGAACGATAGACCGTAGTAGTTTCCAAAGGGTTTCTACAATCGAATTAGCACGTACTCGAGCAATCATGTACGTATGCATACAAAACCAATGCATGTAATAGCAAGAGCACCTATGGCGTGCACCAAAGCACCCACGCCACAGATGCTAAAGTGCTGTAGACAAACTTGGAGATCCCACAAGAAGTAGCCAGCAGCGAAGCCCTGAACCATGCCACTCGCTGGCGTATATCCCCACAGCCTGCCTTTCCAGTCCATCTCCTTTCTCTCGGGATCCGTGAAGATCACGTACAGAGCCGCACCATTAATAAATAGTGCTTGTATCATGGAAACCCAGTGCACATCCCAGTTCAGTTGTGTGCGCCTGTTGAAGCCTGCGTATGTCTTTGGGCACACGAGTTTGGACAGAGCTGGCGAGACTACGTGTAAGATGAGATGATACGCAAGGAAGCCTATCAGGATCTCATGAACGTGGTAAGGCATTGTCTTTAGGCCCAGCTTGTCAGCCAGAGGCTGAGTGAGCTGGACCAGCATCGTTGGTGGGGGTATTGGGTCCCGCATGGCGTGGAAGGTTGGAAGTAAGAAGGCAGACATCGCGAAAGTAAACTGGTTGGAATGGAGGGAACACTAGCAACGGCGGTAACCACATGTTTAATAGATCTCTACAGGTCTCGGGAGGGCCGCCCTACCGGCCGTAAGCTTTCCTCGTGAGTAGCAGAAAACCGCTCGGAAACGTTCGATGCCGCAGTCGCGCCTGATCCGTGAGACAGATGGTGTCCTGGTGGGGTTAGAGGCGCAGTGGAGGGGCCTGAAGATCGGCACACTGTGCTCAGGAACACGAGGGCTGCCGCTCTTGCCCTAAACGTCGGACCGAGCTCGTTCATCAACCACGCGCCTAACGTCAACGAAGCTACACAACCACATCGCGACTTGCTGCTACTACACGCATATTGAAGATCATCGCTACATCTCCAGAAGCGCTGTGTAGGTTCACCCGCGCCCTCGAGATGGCGATATTCAAGGGCGAGCCCTTTCGAGAGACTAACGAGGGCCATCTCAAACAGCGGCCCTGATCACACTTCTGGAGGCCAACACATCCTGAAACCAACGACTAAAGGGTCTATTCGTCTTCCAGGGGTCCAGGAAGATCAAAAATCGTTAGCACTGTCGACAGCCACGCCGCCTAGCTCACCGCCAAACTTTTCTGCCACAACAAACGAGCTCGAAGCTGTCTCCCTCCATCGTAGGCAAACGCACCACAACGACACCGCAGCAAGTTACTGCCCAACTTCGAAGAGCCGCCAGCACCTGCGCCTTACCTCGTTACACGCAGAGGCAGGCAGACAACGCGTCCAGAGTCCCTGGCTGCCAAGCGACCTTTCGATCTGGTACTATACAGTTCCTTCCACGGACCTTCTCCCCACCGTTTGCGCAGTGACTTGATCAAAATTGCGCCAGGAACTTTCACTTCACCTTACTTTTGATAGATCTTGCCTCAAACATGGCGCACGAGATCGTCGAGAACCCTCTGACCGAGGCTGACTTGGTTAACTCTGAGACCCCCATGAACGTACAGCCTGACACCGCCAGCCTGAAGCGCAAAGCCGTACAGGAACCTGATGTAGGTTGCACCCAAGTGAACTACTGAATCCGCTAATGTAAACAACAGGCGAGCAAGAAGCCGCGAGTTCAAGAAAACCGTGCAGTCTACGTTAGCAACCTTCCGCGCGACACCAATGAGTACGAGATCGAAGAAGCGTTCAAGAAATACGGCATCATCGACCAGGGTGCTGACGGCAACAAGCGCATCAAGATGTACAAGGACGATGAGGGTAACTTCAACGGCGACTGCCTGATCGTATACTTCAAGAAGGACTCGGTGGATCTGGCAATCCAGATGATGGACGATTACTACCTGAACATCGAAGACCAGTCACACGGTACGATCCACGTGAAAGAGGCAGATTATTCCTACAAAAAGTACACGGATAGCGACACGATCGCATCAAAGCTAACACGCAAGGACAAGAAGGCCTCTGAGCGCAACAGGGCTGAGCTCAATCGGTATGTCCAAACTCTCCGCCTCGCGAAGACACAATGCAAGTCACTAACACACACAGCAAACTCGCAGAATGGTCAGACAACGAAGAAGAAGTGGCCCAAGCCTTTGTACCCAAGAAAAACAAATGGGCTAAGGTATGCATCCTGCGCTACGCTTTCACGCTAAGTGAACTCGACGAAGACCCGGGTGCAATCCTCGATATCAAGGAAGACATCCGCGATGAAGCGGAGAAATATGGCGATGTCACCAATGTTACGCTGTATGACAAAGAAGAAGACGGCATTATTGCGATCCGCTTCAAGGAGTTCGACAGCGCCGAGAAATTCAAGGCCGCCAACAGTGGCAGAATGTTCGCTTATCGAAAGCTGGAGATCACGCTTGCCGAGGACAAGCCCAGGTTCAAGAAGAGCGCGCGTGGCGAGGAGCCAGATAGCGACGAGGAAGAGCGCAACCTCGACAAAATCGCGAGGCAGCAGTAGGTTTCATGACCGTGACAGGCATGAAAGACACCAGATGAGACACAAAGAGGCAACAGGATTTTCTCATGACCGGGACGGGCATGAGAGATATCAGATGGGGCACAACACGAGTAGAAGAGGGCATTCATGACATGACATGCATGTAAGATACTGGAAAGGCCCACGATGCGGGCAGCAGGAGGTGTTTATGACCATGACAGGCATACAAACACACTAGATGAGACAGAGTACAAAAGCTCTCGCCGGCTGTAGTATTTCCTCGAGCATCCGGCAATAGGCAGGATGAAATTACAAGTCGAACTCCTTATTTCATATGACGTTGAAGATGTACGTGCTAGAAGAGTCATCACCGCAGAGCTCTGCAGGAGGGAGAGAAGCCGCCGAAAGGAACGGCTCGAAGAAGAAGAGGCAGAAGAGCGCGAGATCCCGGAGAGACTGCGTCTTGAGCGTGAAGTTTTGCATCGATATGAGCAAAAGAGGCGACTCCGCATGGATTGTGCTTTCGCCCGTCTGGGCAAGCCAGAATATGCACCGCTTAGGACGACGTTTCAGGGCACCCAAAGCTGGCTGAACTATGAAAAGTCGGTGTGCGGGAAAGTTGTAGACCGATTCCCGTGAGAAAGTGATTGCATGGTTGAGCAGGTGAGTCTTCAAATAACAGGGAGCGATCAAGTGAATGACAACAGTCAGTATGCGCTAGTCCGACGGTTTCAGCTGACTATGACACCAAGCAGTCAATGCTGGTAGTGACTCGGGTTTCTAACGGTTCAAGGCTGCCATTGCTACTTCTCAAACGCTGTTATATAGGTTCAAGTGCTTGTGGAAGGAGAAAAGAAATAAGCCAAGCCAAAGAAATATTCGACAATGACTTGACTCTTTGGAGAAGTGGCTAACAGTAACACATATTCACCTAGAGACCATCCGAGACAACACACCCGCATCACTAAAGGTATCCAGGATGGTCCTTATCGGCACCAAACGATCTACTTGTACCACACACCAGACTGGCGCTCAAACAGAGTTGTAAACAGCCACCCAGTCAACATACAGCGGCACTCCCGGCACCGTTGCCGGAATAGGCGTCGCACTTCCACGCTGATTGTTCGGAAAAGCACCCCCAATTGCCAGATTTAGCAGAACAAAATGACCATGGTGTACAGCCTGCGCCCACGTTGCAGCACCAACATCGTTTTCAGTCACAGTGTGGAAATTGACGCCATCAACGCTCCAAGTGAGCCTCTCGGGAGTCGCGCCACGGTCAACCTCGAGAGTGTAAACGTGCCAGTTCCCCTGGCACGGTGTCCCGGGGCACTGAATGTTGCCTGGTAGACCGTCAGTCTCGCGGCATGGGCCGCCGGGGTTGACACCGCAGTGCAGAACACCCCAGACGCGATTGATACCGTTGACGTTCTCCATGATATCGTACTCGCCCACAGAGGGCCAGTTCTGATAGTTTCCGCGGTAATTGTTGCCGAGTGTCCAGAAGGCTGGCCAGTAGCCAACAGCAGCTTCTCCCGTGATGTCGGGCATGATAATGCGGGCTGAGATGCGCATCTTCCCGCCGTCACGGGCTTGGAAGTCGGTGCGCTGGGTTTCGATGCGGGCGGATGTCCACTGGTTACTCGCGTCGCGGAGAGGAGTGATCTGGAGCACGCCGTCGCCGGTGAGCTTCAGGTTCTGGGGACGGCTTGTGTAGGTCTGGATCTCGCCGGTGCCCCAATTGGCTGGACCGCCAGGATATGAAGTACCAGTGTCCACGATCCAGTTGGCAGGGTTGGGCAGACTGTTGGCAGTGCCAATAAAGTCGTCACTCCAGGTCAGCGCGAAGCCTGGGACCGTTGGTGGAGCTGATCGAACGAGCGAGATCCCGGCCAGGATCAAGGCAATGCTTTTCGTCGCCATCTTGAGGTCTGGACGTGTGAGTATATTGAAATCTGCTTTGGGGGAGGCAAAATTACAAGTCGTGCACCTCAGGCTCTTTTGAAAGCTGTTGACAAATGAGTCTATCCAAAATTGTTTGCTAAGGTGGGTGATGAGGCGACTGGAGGCCACTGAAAATCTTCTCTGCTATTTCCCCTACAAAACTGCAGGTGTAAACCACTGAGACTTTTATATGTAAACTGTCTAGGATGTCAATGAAATCGCGCTGCTATCCTTTGGGAAACATTCCCGTTCCTAGGTCAGCCGATGAGTTTGCACTGTAATTCTTAGATGAATTGACATTATCAGTACCTTGGTACAGCTACCATTATGACCTTGCCAAGTTAATTCGATACAGCTACATGGAAGCCCACCTCCTTACGGCATAGCCGATAGTCGTGATCAGGCTGGCTCTCAAGTCTGTATACATGAGACGAATAGCTAAGTGTTAGCACTGACTGTTTGTATCAGTTTGGTGGAGCGGATGGGTGTGAATGGTGCTTAGAGACAAAGGACAGTGAAGTGAAGAGCGTGTTAGCCCTCTTCGTATGTTCACGCTGGCAGGAATCAGAAAGCGAGACTGTTGAGAATGTGCAGTTCATAGTCACATGTCCACACCCCATATTGAGCGACTCTGCACTCTAAACTCAAACAGTGATAGCAGAACAGCACCCAATCGACAATCTTAGCATGAGTTTCGTGTCTGGCAATTTTGACGGTCAGTCTCTCCGATCATCGTGTCAAATCGACTGCCTGGAAGCACAGTCATTAGCCAATGAGTGACACTTGGGTAGTCTTGTAAATCTCGATTTTACTTTACTTCCTCCGCAAAAGCTGCCATGAGGCCGATGTAGTTCCATAGCATAAAATTCAAGGTATTGAGTACAATCTCAAGATTCGAGTTATGTTTGAGTTACACAGGTGATCATGTCCTTTTGAGAAGCAGTGGCATTCATTGGTTGTAGCGACGGCGCATCGTGAGCCAAACAAGAAAGAAGGTCCGGGCCAAGGAAGGCGCACTCGCTCCAAAAGTGGAAAGAAGAAGGTGTTTGTTTAAGCGAGCATTTCGGCTCAGTCTGGACGCGATCTAGGGGATCAATCATGTGAAAAATCCCCCGCATTTCGTGGTGTTCGCACGATCCGTTGCAATCTCGGTAGGAATATCTCTATGATCCCTGTAGATGAGATTAATATACGACGTTATAAGCACACACGCCCAAGCAAAAGTTTCCGATGCCCACTAGGCTCCTGTCTGTCCACGTGGTACCTCACTATGTCGCTTCTGCCTCTGCTCCGGCCTCTGCTCCTGATGGACTTGTGAATCCTGACACCCTAAGATCACATTTCAGCCCTTGACAGGATGTCAAGCTCAAACAGAGTTGCGGACATTTTGTACTGTTGTTTTGTTAGAAGTTGATATGTTTGAGTACCGATGTTGTCCATCCTTCGAGTACCCTTGGGTCGCGCATACAGTAGCTACTACACCACATGTTGAGGCACAGTGTACAGCCCCGCGACCCAAAAGTGTGAGACGGCCAGGGTACGACGTTGCGACCCTGCATACCAGATATGCTTCTGTAAGATGCACCGTTATGTGCGCGCGCCTTCCAGATCAGCTACCGACAATCGATACACCAAAATAAGTACACGCGAAGGGTTATAACATAGCGCACCTAGAAGGAGGCACTCACGCTGCATCGATGAGAGTGAGCGATAGCACAGTAATGATGGTCACACTGATGGACACAAATCAACCCACGGCTACCAAGTGTCGAAAACCTTCGCATCGATGCCACTTCCTTCTCAGTCCACTCTAACCTACAAAAAGCAGTCAGATCGATGATTTCATGAGAGCTGTCATGCATGCAACTTCGCTTTTAGAAATCTGTCGCTTACAACAGCGTTGACACAAGCTTGGCATTGTGAACCATCAATCACAGAGATCATTGGGGAAAGATTGGCAAATGTTCAACACGTGCCCTTGAGCCCCACCACTATGGCAGGTGGGGCAGTCTTACCCTCAATCAGCCTTGAGGTTCAGGGTCCGGGGATGATTGCGGGGAACTGGAGGCGTTACCTAGCACCAACTAGAATACGAAGTACGTCAAGTTCAAAAATGTCGAGAAGCCACCAAACAAGGCATAACGCTGGTCCCTGAGATTGAGATATTTAGCATTGTTTTCCACGCAGATTTAATGACCCTAACGCCCTTGAAAGCACCATCAAGTATTTAGTTCCACAACTAACAGCCTCCCCGTACCTGAGCATCGAAGTCACTCACCCGTACCATCTCCTGTCTTCCCTCGCGATGGGTGATTACAGCTCTCAACCAAAAGCCTTCACTATCAAGGATGAGCCCATTGAGAACCAGCGCCCGATGAGGGTGATTGTTATCGGTGCAGGCTTTTCCGGCATCTACACCACGATCAGACTATCTCAGCGACTCCGAAATGTCTCCATCCAGGTATACGAGCAGAACGAGGAAGTTTCCGGTGTTTGGTAGGTCCAACAGCATCTTGTGGGTTCGACGCAATGTTGACTCTGATTTCCAGGTGGATGAACAGATATCCTGGCCTAGCTTGCGACGTGCCCTGTACGTGGCTCCAGAGCCGAGTAACCAAATAAGAAGGCTACTGACATAAGGTCACGCACAGCCTACTCTTACCAGTTTTCCTTCGCTCCTAGTCCGTACTGGTCTTCACTGTACGCTCCCGGGCCTGAGATCCGGAAATACATGCAGGGTGTCGCGGAGAGATATGGAGCAATGCGCTTCATCAAGGTATCTCACGCTGTTCAGTCCTGTACTTGGGACGGGGGTCAGCGAAATTGGTTTGTACTACCTAAGATACATCGACGTGATGATCCAGCACTACAAAATGTAGAGTACTAATAAGTCGTGAAGGAATGTTAAAGTCAAGAACCTCAAAACAGGCGAAACCTTAGAGGACACAGCCGATGTTATTATATCCGCAAAGGGCGGGCTCAACCAGATTATGTGGCCCAAGATTAAGAACCTGGAGAGTTACCAGGGAAAACTCGTCCATTCGGGCGCATGGGATGATAAGTACGTTAGAACCCATTGATCACTGAATGAGCCAATATCTAATCACCACCACAGCTTGAATCTCACACACAAACGAATCGGCGTCATTGGAAATGGGTCCAGCGCGATTCAGATTGTTCCGACGATTCAAAAACTGGAAGGTACTAAGGTATGGAACTTCGCACGAAGTCCAACTTGGGTGTCAACCTCCTTTGGTGATGCTGCTATGATCAAGCTCGGGCTGGATCCGAGCGACACTAATTGTAAGTATTTTCAAGCTCTGAACGGGCTGTTCTGTGTGATCATTTCGGCATTAGCTGACCTAATCTCGTCGCTAGTTTCCCGTAGCCAACAGGAATATATGGCAACAAACCCCGATCACTTCCACAAGATGCGTAAAACGCTGGAGAATGAGGCCAGCAGCAAGTACCTCTTCTCGCTCAAGAATTCGCAAAGTCAGGAAATTGCACTCATCAAGTTCCAGGATCATATGAAGCAGCGCCTTGCAAGTCGCCCCGACTTGTTCGAAGCGATCATTCCCACCTTTGCGCCAGGCTGCCGCCGCCTCACTCCTGGTCCTGGATATCTCGAGTCACTCCAGAAGGGCAATGTGACATTCTGTAATACGGCCATCCAAGAGTTCAACAGTACAGGACTTATACTCGAAACTGGAGAGCAAGTTGATCTCGATGTTGTCATCTGTGCCACTGGCTATGACGTTCAAGCTCCTCCAACCTTCACGGTGACGGGGCGCAACGGTACAACACTCGAGGAAAGGTGGAAGCCTCTGCCCGAGTCCTACCTGGCAGTTACAGTGGACGGATTTCCCAACTTTTTCATGATAGGTGGACCAAACTCAAATCTCGGGTCTGGAAGTCTCCTCAGCGTGTTTGAGGCACAAGGAGACTACGCAGTCAAGCTCGTTAGAAAGCTTCAGAAAGAAAGCTACAAGACGTTTGAAGTACGAGCGGAACGCGTAGCCGATTTCAGCAATTACATCGACGAATACTTCAAGCTGACCGTCTATACGGACGAGTGCTCATCGTGGTATCGTGCGCACGGCAACAGCGACAGGATCATTGCCCTTTGGCCTGGTTCATCATTGCATTGCCTTGAGGCCCTGAGATCACCGCGTTGGGAAGACTACATTTGGGAGTCTGCAGAGCCTTCAGGCAATCTATTGCGTTGGTTGGGCAACGGCAACACTTTGGTTTTAACTGAGGGCGACTCTTCGTGGTTCTTAGAGGAAAGGTACTTAGACATGCCGAAGGAAGAGAGGCCTGAGGAAACCGAGATCTATCAGCGGCGTCCGTTCTCACATTAGATGTTTCAGATCAAGATTTGGGTTCGTTCATATCTGCCAGATTCGAATGTACTCATCACGTTCCACCCATCCATTGACTGCAACATGATGAAGCTCGTTCTTTTCAATAGTGAAGTGACACTGACATAAAATATCAGACCATTTAATGGCCTCTCGGAACACGTCAAATACGGTCTAGGGCGCTTGGGGGGGTGCGACGACCTACAGATAACTCAACTGATGATAAGGGGGCGGGATGACTGCATAGTAGATTAGCCGTGAGACATGCTCTCATTTCCAATCAGCCCTGGCGCTCTGTGCCAAGTCTGGCCCCAAAACACTAGACTGGGACCCTCTTCCCCGGCCCCAACTGTCACACATTAAAACAAGCTTCCCCCACATCCCCGCACTATTTGACGGGGTAGTGAGGGGGTGGGGCTACAGTGAACCGACTTGACTAGCTAACTCGTAACCTCCCAAGACCATGGGCTTACTCGTAGGTTACACAAGCGCCAACGCCTAGAACTACCTCAGCTGCATATTCAGCCGTAACAGCACCGATGCGGCAGTTGCGATAAAAGCACCGACGCCGCAGTTGTGATAAAATCCCAGCGCTCCTCGCATCTTTCGAGAGACAAAGGCGACCTGGACTCGAAAGTAGTCTATTGTATCACACCACCTTTTGTACTGTTGCTAAGCACGCTTTCCGTTACAATGGCCAGGGATGTTGAACACTCTCAGTACCCTGGGCACAGTTCGCAGGCACTCGTCGGGTTCGAGGATGATCCTCATCGCGCAGCACTCGAGGACAATCCTGAGCACATTGCCGTCAACTCTAGGTCTTGGATTGCGATCTTCGTAAGAATTCCTCCTGAACCATCAGATCTAAGGACCGGGTAGCTATTACTGACAACTGACAGTGCATGGCTTTTTCGTTCGGCCCTGCTGTAGCCCTCGGCTTCACCTCCATTGCCTCCATCGTTGTCCCGGTCACCAATGATCTTGGAGCAGATGTCGATTTTGCCTGGGTTGTCGGCGCTTGGTCTCTGGCGTCAGCATGCTCCTTCTCACTCGCTGGTCCTCTCAGCGATATTCTCGGCCGCAGGGAACTCATCCTCGGAGGTCAATTCGTTGTTATGATCGGCTGCATCGTGTCAGGAGTCGGGAAGAACGTAGCAACCCTGGTTGCGGGCGAGACCCTTATCGGCTTAGGCACCGGATTTGTTTTCGTCTCGTACGCCGGCGTTCCGGAGATGCTGCCAAACAAGTGGCGTGCTGTGGGCGTAGGAATTCTAGAAGGCGGCATCATGGTTCCTTGGTATGTTCAGACTGAACCCCCCTCAAGCACCTGATCATGATTCGAAACGCTTGACATCAAACCTGGTCCGGGCATTTGCAGTAAATATGAGCTAACAGGTGATTCAACTTGGTAGGGGAATGGCTGGTGCTCTCTTTGCGGCTGTAATGTTAACAAAGGCTTCCTGGCGCTGGCTCTTCTACATTGGCGCTATTGTTGAAGCCCTTGCTCTTATCGGAACAGCTGTTTTTTACTGGCCAACATCTCGACCCCGCGGTGACTTTGATAAGTCACGACGGCAGCAACTCCAGGAGGTTGACTGGATTGGCCTCAGCATGTTCACCCTCGGCCTGGCGACCGCTCTCGTCGGGCTCACCTGGGGCGGGAGCCCGAATTATCCATGGGACAGCGCTGGCGCGCTTGCTCCAATTTTCGTCGGATTGGCAGTTGTGGCTCTCGGCTTCGTCTACGACTTCAACATCGCCACGTCTCCGCTCTTTCCCTTGAAGCTGTTTAAAATGTGGCGCGGCTTCGTCGTGCTGCTTATCGGACTATTCATCTCGGGCATGAACTTTCACGCTATGTCTCCTCTTTTGCCACAGGGATCTCTTTTCATGTTCACTACCAACCCTATTGAGGTCGGCCTGCTCTCGCTCCCGATGAATATCGTTACCCTCGTTGTGGGATCTATCATTCCCATCCTGGCGCACAAAATAGGACATATCAAATGGCTCTACGTGATCGGCATGGCCTTGCAAGCCATCTTCCTCGGCGCCAGTGCCGGTGCCGTCAATCCCAACAAAATGTGGGTGTGGGCTTTTGTTCCTGCCTTTGGTGTCCCGATGTTTGTCATGGTTACCATTCTAGGCTATGCCATCGCAAGTCTGCACGTTCCACATTCACAACTTGGCGTGGCTATGGGACTGCTAGGCACATTTCGCTCGGCTGGTGGTGCCGTTGGAAATGCCATCTTCAACACCGTCTTCCAGGACAGATTCCGCAAGTACGCCGCGGAAGAAATTCCAAAAGCAGCTCTGGCCAGTGGACTGAACCCTGCCGATCTTGGACTCATCATCCCAGGAGCCATCACCCACAATCTCGGCATTCCGCATACCCTCGATGGCATTCAAGGCATGACCCCTGCAATTGAGGCGACTCTCCGCACAGCAGTGCGTCTTGCATATGGCCGTGCGTTTCAAATCGTCTTCTACGTCACAATTCCGTTCAGCGTGGTCGCTCTAATCTGCTCCTTCTGGGTTGAAGATCCCACTCCCTACATGACCAATCACACGGCCGCAGCTATGGATCACAACGTCGACGAGAAGTTCAGCGCGAAGGATATCTCCACCGACGAAAGAATTGAAGACATAGACACATACACTACTCAGGAACCCAAGACTATTGGTTGACTATTCAGGCAGAGTCATTACAGACGAGAAAATAAATGCACAGTTGTAAATTGAAGTATTCATGGAGATTGGGACTCCAAGTCGAAGCGTCGAGTAGCAGTGAAGGTTATTTGAGCTTTGGCTGCACAATAATGCTTCTAGTAACCAATTTTAAGACTTTTGTCTATTTTCGAATGATACTGGCTGTTAGCCTCGTGAGACAAAGAAAGTTCTAGCAAGTAGAGGCCATGTGGGTTGCTTTGTCAGGCTGATGTAAACCTCTTCGATACGAGGCTAAGCCCGTGTGCTTATGCGACGGTGATATACGCCCCTTGCAATCACTACATACAACTGATCCCAGGATCCAAATCGACCATAAGTGAGCCTGAAAACCATGCCTTCACAGTGTATTTACAATATGACTACTATCTGACCTAATATCTGACCTCATCACTCAGTGCTAATACCGCGTCTACCATTTGGGTACTGGCACCCAAATAGTTCTTTGGGTCGCACAGCTCCTGTAACTTGCTTTCGCCAAGCAGTGATACCAAGTCGCTATCTCTCACAAGAACTTGGTGCAGCGTCTGTTTGGTCTCTATGGCGACTTTGCAGGCTTCATATATCCTGTCGTGGCTCTGTTGGCGACCAAGATGCGGAGCGAGACCCATCATGACAGCTTCAGCAACAATGAGGCCCCCTGTGGAGTCTAGATTTTGCATCAGACGCTCACGGTCTACCTTGAGCCCTGAAAGAACAAATTCGGCTTGGTGCAAGGAACCGACGGCAAGAACGAAGCTCTCCGGAACGGCCATCCATTCCAGGTGCCATGGCCCGGAGGCTCTTTCAAAATCAGCCACCATAGCATCAAGACCGAGGCCAGCCTGGGCCCGAAGAGCTTTTGATGCAGCCAAAATGAGCTCGCTCGAGATAGGGTTCCTCTTCTGCGGCATAGTAGACGAAGCTCCTCTGTGCGGCACAAATGGTTCCGCTACTTCGCCAACCTCGTTAGACGACATGATGATCAGATCCAAGGCAACCTTCCCAAGGGAGCCGCCGATGAGGGCGAGGGTGTTGATGATTTCAGCGACGCCATCCCTCGCGACGTGCCAGGTCATAGAGGGATCGTTGAGGCCGATCTCAGCGGCCAGCTGTTTTCGAACCAAAATACCATCACTCCCATTTCCAAGAGAGGCGAGGGTGCCAGCGGCGCCGCCGTATTGGACAAGCAAGCAACGGGGACGTAATTGCTGCAACCTTTCCCTGTGTCGGAGGAATCCGCTGAGCCAGGCAGCGCACTTGTACCCGAACGTAATAGGTAGTGCATGCTGAAGATGAGTACGGCCAGCCATGGGAGCGTCGCGATGCTCTTTGGCAAGTGATGTAAGCGCTCGGATGACTCCGTCCAATTTTTCTTCAACCAAATCCAATCCCGCCTTCATTTGGAGCATGGATGCCGTATCCATGATGTCCTGTGTAGTTGCACCCCAGTGTAGGTATTTACCGGCTTCACCGCACTGCTCTGAAAGTTGTCGTACCACAGGCAAGATGGGATATCCAACAATTTCTGTCTCATCGGCCAGTCTCTTGATGTCGAGGGAAGATGCGTCTGCTTTGGCGGTGATGGTTGCGGCCGCATCTTTCGGGATAACGTTGCATTGCGCTTGCGCTCTGGCTAAAGCCGTTTCGACAGTGACGCAATGTCTGATATAACTTTCATCGCTGAATATCTAAACGTTGAGTAATTGTGATCAGCTGTTTGAACTTCTACTGCACTTGCGCACAGGACTAAGACGAAATAGAAAAGTCAATACCTTCCTGACTTCACCTGTACCGAACATGTTTCGGTAAAGTACAGAGTCTATAGCGCTGGTGCTGCCAATGAAGCGTCTCGACATTGCAGATGCGTTTTGTGGCGTTTTTGCAACAGGCCGTACCACGCATCGGCCAATAATTCGAAGAGCGGTCATTGTAGACATTGATGGGAAGGCACAATGTGAGGCGTACGTGAAGGGTAGGTATGAACGATTCCAAGGTTGCCAAAAAATTGCAACCCTTGTCCCCTGGGTATAGCACAGATCGTGTTGGAGCAGAGTTGTCAGTTGCCCTACTATTCTAGATTACTCAGAATATGAAACATTGGCCAAACCACAGCCAATTCCAACCTAAAAGATCGTGGGGCATCTGGGGTGCAGTCTTGGCTTGGGGCAGTGATGGTGGGGCTTCGGACCTGCCACACCCCCACAATTTCCCCACAATTTCCCCACAGAAGGCCCTTGCCACCAACGATCGAAACATGTACCGAGCGAGTGTGATGGTTGTGCCCCAGAGGGTGGATTCGATATGTTCGGCAAGCAGAAGCCGCTGTCAATGGCCCCACCCGGCCAATGCCCAGGTCAACATGATCTTCCCTTCAAGTCGGCAGATGTGATTTGCAAAACGTCAGTAGTGTGGGCGTTAGCAATTTACGCAGCTGCTGCGTTGATTCCCTGCATATGACCCAAGCATATAGTAAGGCCAAATCGTCTATTGACTGTTTAAGTTCCACCTTGACCATCACGGAAACTCCAACAGCCTGAAAACGTAAGTCTGTCTGTATACACAGAATTCCTGTGCAACGAAAGGGAAGAGAAGCCGCTGAAGTTATTTGTAAGAACCGAGCAAGACTCTAAAAAGCGAATATCAGAACTCGCAAGCTCAATGACTTTCAACGACGGTGGCCCGGGAGCTATAAGCGCCACATCTGTTGAAGATGTAGCCCATCAGCAGACACTAGAGAAGCATACTCCTACCATCGCTGAACCGACTCCCCAAGAACGTGTCCCAGCCACGGACCCGCAAAAAGTGTTCCATTATACAGACCTCCAACGAACTAAGCCGACCAGAGCCAATGACCCGTACGAGTATCTCGTTGGCTTCGGTAACAGTCACCAGTCCGAAGTCATCCCAGGAGCTCTCCCCATAGCTCAAAACAATCCGCAAGACCGTGGTTTTGGGCTGTACACAGAAGGCCTAACATACTCTTTCTTTGCAGCGCCGAGGCATTGCAACATGAACGCATACATGTATCGTGCGCGACCATCCGCAGCCCACCGTGGCTACAGACCAGTCAACAGCAAATCTAACATCGAGAACTGCTTCCTGTCGCTGAACCCAAAAGTCAAAACAATCCCAGCCCAGGCCGAGTGGTCGCCCTTCCCTCTTCCGGCCGCTGGCGCAGAAATAGATTTCACCGACGGACTGCAGACGCTGGGCGGGAGCGGCGATCCGAATCTGCGTGAGGGCGTAGCGCTCTACATCTACGCCTTCAACAAGAACATGGATGGCAAGGCATACTGCAACACAGATGGCGACTTTCTCATCGTAGCTCAGCTGGGCAATCTGGACATTCAGACGGAGATGGGCAGGCTGTTCCTCCAGCCTGGCGAAATCTGCGTTGTTCAGCGCGGTATCCGGTTCCGCGTCGATTTGGGTCCGGACGTGCCTGTCGCTCGTGGCTACATCATCGAGGTCTGGGGCTCGACGTGGGAACTGCCTGAACTAGGCCCCATTGGCGGTCATGGGTTGGCCAATCCGCGCGACTTTCTCTTCCCCAAGGCCTACATAGACGAACAGCTTCACCAAGACTTTACTATCGTCGTCAAGAACAACGGTGAACACCTAGCTATTGACCAGGACCACAGCCCGTTCGATGTTGTGGCATGGCATGGGAACGCTGTTCCGTACAAGGTGAGACGATTGCACTCGAGTAGAGAGAGCGACTTGGAGAACGCCGATCTGACTAGATCTCGCAGTACGATTTGACCAAGTTTGTGTCGCAGAACGCCACATCCGTCGACCACACTGACCCGTGCATCAACACTGTTCTGACCGCCCGGTCGCGGGATCCCAACACGTCACTCGTCGACTTCCTCTGGTTCGGTCCCCGCTGGGACGTTGCGTCTAACAGTTTCCGCCCTCCCTATTTTCACCGCAATGCCGCCTCCGAGTTTCTCGCTTGCTTGTACGGCAAAGGCCTGGGTCGTTCGGACGATTTCCGGCCTGGCGGTGGTAGCTACGAAGGGGGAAACACACCCCACGGAGGCTTTGATGACAGCTATATTATGACTTCTTCGAAGCCGACGGTCAACCAACCGCAGCGCATCTTGGAGGGTACGTCATCAGTCACACTTTGTGCTCCAATGACCCATATTCGCCGATGCTAATTACTATCACGCAGAGCAAATGACGATCATGATCGAGACCAGTAGGACGCTACTGTTTACCGAATACGCACGCGAATCCTGCGGCGTGTTCCAGGCGCAAGGCACGGATCCGGCAGTGTGGGACAGGCTACCGGTAAGTGAAACTACATCAAGCTTGCTCAAACGTTGTTTGACTAACTCATCTTCTCCACCTACAGGACAACTTCTCTGCAAACCCTAGGGTGAGAGAGATGCTGAAGCGAGCCAAAGAAGACGAGGCTACGGAACGTGATCGAATTGACTATTACCACAACGTAGACCTTTGGGACAGAAGCTAGGTGGCAGAAGCCGAGTGTTGGCGATGGTTGTAGTCGTGTTTTGAAAGTATCGTAGTCGTATGAATACATAATAATTTTGGATTATCACTCCAGTTCCACCATGCTGTCGGCCATGACACGTAAAATATGTCGAAACTTGAGCCAATTCCACCGGCCTACTTCTTCCAATAGACCTACATAACTGAGAAGAATGCGGCGGGAAGACATGTACCCCCCATGGCAGACCATCTTATTGAAGGAGATGGGTCCGCCCTTGCTGATAAATCTGCTGGCCGCATTGGTGGAGTTCTGTAACGGGCTCCAGCCAGGAAGACCTTCATCGCCGATCTGACTCCAGTCGACTTGGTCCAGTAGTTCAAGAGGGGGCTCACTGCCTCCTTGGAGTGTAGAGGGTGATGCGTACACGTACAAGCCGACCACGAGGGCGGCGTTGAAAAGGGCGACCTCGGACATGAACATGGTTCCGTCCGTGATCCTCCTCTTCATCATACAGACGTACACCTGCGCCGCATGGAGGCAGGCGCGTCTTGATTGAGGGCTGTGCGCCCACACGAGAATATTCTCGAGTGCGACCTTGGCTACCTTGATCCCCTCTCGGCCGGCTGCTAACTCGAATAGATTGAGATTGGCCGACATGTTCATACACATGTTGTGCCACAGTACGGTGGCATTCGGATCGGCAGCTAACAGTCCCTCGCCGTGATAGGTGTAGATGCCCCGGAGAAGTCGCGTGATGGCCGGTCCAGCGGCACTATTCTGGAAGGTTTCTGCAGGGTAGAGGATGTTTTTCTTGGGATCATTGTCATGCATGAGATTGCTGACTTTTAGGTCGGCGATACAGAGCGAAGATGCTGAGAGCAGGGTGTGAATGGCGACGGTGTTGGCGATTGACAGACCCTGAAAGTCAGAAATGCACGAGTCCACATCCGTCATGTTGATTGCTGAGGCGAAATTTTCCCAACCATTCACGTTGGGCGTATTGAATAGATGATTTGAGCAAGGGGCGTATATGTTTAATCGGTCGACATGTATGATGGGTTTCGAACCCATTCTGGTTGTGTAGAGCGAGTCTGTGGCGATAAGACATGCTGTCAGCCTGTTTCACCGCGTAATTAGCTACTGACAGGAATGTATAAGGGCCATGCTGAGGGTGTTGAACCTTTTGGCAGACTCGATCTTCGCCCACCCCTCCCAGAAAAGTTCGTCCATCTGCTCATGCGGTAAGACCTCAGCAAGAGGAGGGCCTCGTGAGACGTCGAACAGACCGCTCTGAAGAGCCACCTAGATGAGTTCGAGTCATTCAGCCGTATCTTGAGATCAGTGCGATTCCAACCTACCGTAAGCGCTCTGACATACAGATTGTACGTCTGTTCCGAGTGAGTACATTCCTAAAGACTTTTTAACGGTGGTTCCAAAGGTTGGAACGCCTGCTACTTTATGTAGGAAGGTTCGATGGGGGAGTAGGACGCACCTCCAAGATTGAAGCATAATTGAGCAGCAGGACTGCTGCCCCAAGGACGGTAACTAGGACCGCCCAATCGGGCCTTTCCCATGTTTTAGACAATGCAACAGTGCATTTCTCGATGGTTCTCTACATGCCGCCGCTACACGTCAGCATGTGGCGGATGAATAGCGTTTGCTTGGGCCGCAGGCTGCCGAGAAGAACACTTGCCAGTATCTGATTTGCGACAAAATGGCGGGTAGTACTGGGGTCGAGAAGGTGAAGTCCAATAAGACACATCGGTGCCAGCATAATGTTAGGTGTCTGTTTCGCGGAGAAAGTTGGCTCGTGTACGAAGGGGAACAGTGGGTGGAATCTCTGGAAGTAGAGGTCGATGCACACGGCAAGCGTGTCGACGGTGGGGAAACGCGAGTTGCGTGAATACTCATAGTCTCCTCCCTGCAGACGAATTAGTGGGTGGTTGGAGAGGAATAGCCAACAAGAAAGAATGGGAACGACTTACAGTTCCAAGATTTGGGAGCATAAATTGGATAAGCGACATGCGTCTGGCGTCGTCTAGGTCTCTCTGGGGTCTGTTACTAGGTAAAGAGGGTAGACTGTCGTCTTCGTCGTTATCGGCGTTTTGTGGAGAACACTCAGAGAATAGGTTCATGCCCTTGTAGCAAGCGGCATCGGTCCAGAGAGTCCGGATTAGGGACCATTGTGGCTCTCTCTTTTTAGGCCACAACCTGGCCAACTTTGTGAAGCGCTCGTCTGGTATATCGGAGCCGAGGCTGTGCTTCCGCGAGAGGATGCTTGCGGCGTCCGGAGGCACAGGCGAGCCAATGGTGAGGAAGAAGGCGTCCCAGGGATTTGAGAGGCCCGAGGGTGATAGCACGGCTGGACCAAGGGTGGACAGCCAGGCTGTGTTGGCTGCGGAGTAGCGCCTTTCTTCGGAGCGATCGGCTGATACCACGCTGGCGGGGGTATGAGACAGACCCAGCACGGTGGAGAAATCACCAATGCCCATACCCTGCTGTTGGGTCATGTTCGGGGTGAGGACGCCAGGGAAAATGCGGCCGTCTAAGTCCATGCGCAGGCACGAGACATCAAGTGAGGCTGACGGATGGTTTCCATTCAGGTCCGGGGCGGAGCTGGGGCCATCCAACTGGATCGACAGGCGTGGGGAGACAGCGGCAGCTCCGGGTGCTTGGGCAGAGACAAGTGTGGCCGTTTGCAGGTACGGGTGCAGAGGGTCGTGGTCACCATTATTCTCGAGGGATGCACGGTCCGCAGCGGCCATGAACTGGCCAGGCTCGCTGTGGTGGCCGGCGAGAGCGTCGTTGCGTTGCGGGGACCGCGGCGTCGAGCGTCGTCGAGAGGGAAAAGCGCGGCTGGGTGGACGCGGACCGTCGTTGTAGTTGTCTTCGTCTTCTTCTTCGTTGTCGTCCTGGGCTGTGTGACTGCGAACGTGTCTCTTGAGGACATCGCTGCGCGGCGTGAGCATTTGGTCATCATCGCTCAGTGCCCACTGTCGAAGTGCGTGACTACATACCCGCGCGCAAACTGCTTGCTGCAAAACCGACACGTGTACGGCTTCTCACCAGTGTCTAGCTATGTGATCGTGGTCAGAGAAACATCCTAATGCTTGCTTTGCACCCGTGAGATGCCGGCCGCTGTACTCCACCTGCTTGGGCTGTCTTACGTGTTCGCTCGTGTCGCTTCAGGTGCTCAGATTTGGAAAAGCTGACATCACAGTACGAGCACCTCCGGAGAGGCATGAGCAGAAAGTAAATAGGTCGAACGTTGTCGAGCGAGCTATACTAAGCTACAGTTACATGAGGAGGTGCACGGGGACGTGCATGAGCGTATGTCATTTGGTTCACCTTTCGGCTTTGTATTCGGTGTGTCATGGCACGTGGTCCCGCCAGGCCCGTTACTTCTTGCACCAATCTCTCCATGGTCTTGTCGTGATCGATGTTCAGGAGTGGCCTGGTAAGATCAACCGCTACCTACTAGCGCGTCTCCCCACATTTTGGTGGCTTACGCTCTTCCAGAAACTGTTAGTCCCCTTAGATGCCCCACTTACCCCCTGCACCACTTGGCGCTATCCCTGACTTCACTGCTGTCAGCATACACTGACACCACCATACATTAACTTGAAATCAGACATAATCGAACCCAACTAGGCCTCTCCTATGAAATCTCGCGCCACCATTCCATCTCGTTACTCTCGGATCAAAAGGGATGCCACTCCGAGGCCGGTGCTGTACATTTCGACCGTCGAATTAGCTTGGTTCCGTATGTTTGTTCACATGGTCACGTAGTCCAAAAACAATGAGAGCCTCCTACCTCGCACACATGCTGATCACACCGAGCTCGTGATCAGACCGCTGCATCTCAGCCAGCAGAGTCGCCGCTTGGCGTGCTCCCGTTGCGCCTGTTGGGTGGCCCAGCGCAATGGCACCTCCGTTTGGATTCACCTTGGCGACGTCGAGATGGAGTGTGCGCACACAGTAGACCATCTGACTAGCGAACGCCTCGTTAATCTCAAAGATCCCAACGTCGTTCTGCCCTACCCCTGTGTACTTGTAAAGCGCCGGAATCGCCAGGGCTGGGCCTACGCCCATCTCATCCGGCTCGCATCCGCTCACCTGTGTGCCTGCAAAACGCCCAATGGGTTTCAGTCCACGATCTTCTGCCCACGACCTTCGAGCAAGTATCACTGAAGAGGCGCCGTCGGATATCTGTGATCTTGGCCGTTTCAGTACAGTGAATAACACAGCCATGCACAAATACAGGCGACTGAACAGACTCACGAGTTGCCTGCGGTGCTTCTTCCTTGCTTGCCAAAAACTGGCTCAAGATTTCCAAGCTTCTCTCTGCTCACGTTAGGTCGGATGCCATCATCCTCTGTCACGGTCAAGGTTGTCAGTCGACCTTCCCTGTCCGCTTCGCTTGGAGCCTGGTAGGTAACTGGGACTACCTCTGACGCAAATTTTCCTGCAGCTCTAGCCATCAGTGCCCTCTGATGACTCTGAAAAGCAAAGTCATCCTGCTCTTTGCGTGAGATGCTGTAGCGTTGAGCAACGCGCTCCGAAGTCTCACCCATGGCCAAGAGACAGTCGGTGGCCTGCTTCACGTTGGATGCTCGGAGAGAGGGAGACACATCCGTGGGACGGCCGCGAGAACCGTAGTTACGTGTCATGCTCTCCACCCCACCGGCCAAGGCGACGTCGAATTGACCAGCCATTATTGCATGCGCCTGGTGCGTGATGGCCTGTAGACTACTGGAGCACTGCCTGTTGACTGTGTGAAAGGTCGTACTGGGAGGGAAGCCGCAATCGAGGAGCGCCATTCTTCCTGTCTTGGCGAAACCCAGTTCAGCGAGGACATTGCCGATGAGGACGTCCTTCACGTCATCTGTCTCGATCTTCGCTCTAACGACTGCCTCTCTCATCACCTAGGACGAGCCAAAACTTCTCGTCAGCGCTATTTGGTGGGTCGTGACCAACAGAGTCTGCTGAGAGACAGGGAGCTTACAGGTCGAAGTATGTCCTCTGGCCAGGCGTCTTTGAAGCCTCCCTTGAACGCCCTTGTGATGGGACTTCGCACAGCCGAAAGAATAACGACATCAGATGGACTCTTCTGCAGGATGCTTCTTCCGACGGCACGAACCGACATTTTGAGATCTCTGGGCAAGCGTGTATAAAGGTACTATTTTCTTCCCGAGAAATAAAAAAAATGGCGGTAGGTCGTAGGCTATGCAAAGCCTTGGCTCTTGTGGGTTCATCTGACATGAGGGTCGATCACGTGGCTAGAATGGAAGCTGAATACCCCACATCGCTAGTTGGGAGTATGCCAGGGTTCGGGTGATACTGCAGTAAACATCCACTGATGTGGGTTTCAAATGTGGAAAATCAGAGCCCCCACCGTTGCGGGGAAGCTAGTTCGCTCAGCGGAACTCAATTCTCATCCCGCCCTATTGGCTCCCACCATCGAGCTTGGTAGAACTTACAGACAGCCAATATCACCTTACACCTCACCAAAACCTCATCACAGTCAACATGGCCGCCTGGTTTGCCGATGTTGAGACTTGTCGACCTGCCTTTGATGTGAAATCCACACCTCGCATCACCCACGGCCTGCGATTCCCCGATGCATGCGCTCAACACATCAATGGCGATTTGGCTTGTAATTCAGTCTTTGTTATCGCCTCGGCAAGCCTGTCACGCAACACCGATGCACTCGACAGACTGACTGATGCTCTGGGAGACAAGGTGGCTGGTGTTCATGTCGGCGTCAGTTCACATACCCCCATTGACGAGGTCGCCGCCATTGTGGCCAAAGTAAAGGACCTACATATCGACTGTCTCGTCTGCTTGGGTGCCGGAAGTATCACGGATGCCGCCAAAGTAATTCGCTTTGCCCTCGCAAACACCGCCTTCACAGTAGCTGACATCCGTACCCTGCGGGGCGCCCGGCCACACAAACACAACTTGCCGAGTATTACGCTTGTTTGTATCCCGACGACGTTGTCTGGAGGCGAATATCAAGGCATAGCCGGGGTCACGGATAATGAGACACGAGAAAAGATGCTTTTTGATCCCATTCGTGACCCGGATCTGGTCATACAGGATCCCGAGCTCTGCTCAACAACACCGCAACGAATATGGCTAAGCACGGGCATACGATCAGTCGATCATTGCGTCGAAACATTGTGCTCATTACAAAGCAATGACACGGCCGACGACTACGCTCGCCGCGGGCTACCCAGGCTAGTCGAAGCATTGATTCACTGCAAAGAAGACGCGCGAAATCTCGAGGCCATTCACCAATGCCAAGTTGCCGTCACCGACGCCATGCGTGCAGTCTCGTGCGGTGTACCCATGGGCGCGAGCCATGCAGTTGGTCATCAGCTTGGCCCCCTCGGTGTGCCCCATGGCGAGACCAGCTGTATCATGCTACCAGCAGTATGCTCTTTTAACACGCAAGAGCCTGCCAATTTGCAGAAACAGGCCCAGATTGTTCGAATACTCCTAGACACGCCTGCGATTTCAGGCCTCTTGAAAACCAAGGGGGTTGATCCAGCAAATGCGCAGCTTGCGGAGATACTGGACATTTTTCTACGTCACCTAGGCATGCCGCGCACCCTGAAAGAAGTCGGTATCGAGGGAGGCGAGAAGCTGCGGCAGTTGGCCAAGAACAGCTTACAAGATCACTGGATCAAGACGAATGCGATTCCCATCACCGAAGAAAGCCAGATGATGGAGTTGTTGGCACTGGTTACCTAGCTTATCCATCTAAACAACATACCCATACACAGATTTAGAGTTACACGTTGGCAATCCACAGGTACTGAAAGAACCGTGTTCAATTAGCTACCCAGACGAAAGTTGCCTCTTCATGTGACCCACCCAGGCTTCCCACCGAGATGTACAAGGTCAACTTGGTTTCGCGCCACATTGATCAAGAGCCGGAACATTGTGGCTTGTTACTTTGCATGATTCTGGACGTGCTGTGGGACATGTGGGTGAGGTGGAGCATGCGGGTTTGGCGGAGACGCGGGGAAGGTGGGACATGTGGGTCAGTTGTCGTACCAAGCCGGACTACGTCCCGTCTTAATTCATTGATTGACGGTGGTCTCAGACTGTTGTGGATGCGTAGCATGTATCTCGGCAGTTAATCGTCTATCAGTAACGATGACAATGACACCGGGAGCGGGGAAGGGTACGATTCCTCGCAAGGTTGACAATAGTCTACTAGGGCCTTCACGACATCCGTAAGAGACAAAGCTACCTAGGTAGGACTGATTCAAGCTATAATCGGCTTTAGAAACCCTTAGGCAGTCTCATACCCAAAAGCCTCGTCGTTAATAGGCTGGTCTACTACGAAGCCGCCAAATGAAATGTCGTCCACATCATCACCAACAATCGAACACCCGTTCCTGGGTAGAATCAAGGGAGTCCTTTTGGAAAACGACACCATAGTGCAATTCCGAGGAATTCCTTTCGGAACTATTCCCACGAGATGGGCTGATCCCGTTCTAGTAAGTGGAAAACTCAGCCAGGATACTTTCGACGCAACTCGTTTCGGGCCATCCTGCCCCCAAGGCGCTGGAGGACAAGAGTTCGATGTTTCGCTGATAGGCAACATGCAACTCCAAGCGGAGCCGGTGATACAAGACGAGGCTGATTGCCTCAACCTGGTGATTACCTGCCCGACAGGGCTTGCTGTGGGTACTAAGGTCCCGGTGATGGTCTGGTTAGTGCCTGGTCTAGGGGAATTTCAATCGACTGTACATGACTGACACTGGTGACTTAGGGTTCATGGGTCAGTCTATTCATTTCTAATGACCATAATTGTTTGTTACAGTCGCAGATGTATCTCTCCCGTCTTTTGCTAAATCGAGTTCAGAGGCGCTTTCTGTGTGGGTAGCAATGCATGGCCTCAGTACGGTAAGTGGCTTTCCTGTCACATTATTCCAAGCATGATCAAAGATTCGTCTTTAAGAAGCTCATGATCTCCAGATCTCGCCAAATTTGTACAGTGTTCTTCAAGCCAGGGCAAACCGATCATCTGCGTCTCCATCAAGTAAGTATCCAATTCCTCGTAGAGACAGGTCACTGTAGAAATAGCTGCAGACCTATCTAATCTCGAGATAGTTACCGAGTCGGTATATTTGGCTTCCTAGCTTCTGAAAAAGGAGGTATCAGTGGGAATTTTGGCTTGAAAGATCAGGTTTGTGCTTTCCAGTGGGTACGTACTCGTGAAAATGAACAGTCTCGATTCCTTGCGACATGACATCTGATAATCATGTTCAGATCAAACAACACATCGAGGGATTCGGAGGATGTCCTGACTCTGTCACTGCTTTTGGGGAGTCGGCTGGCGCAAGTGAGTTCCAAACTCTCACACTAATTACGATCGCTAAACTGAGAACTATCTAGTCAGCCTGTCTACGCTCCTTGCAACAACTGAGCCGCTCTTTTCTCGGGTCATTTTGATGTCGGGTGATGTATCGCTACGGAGGCCGCGCACAGTCGCATGGCAAGAAGCCATGCTCTGTGAAAATCTCCAGTATCTGGGCCTGGGAGATCTCCAACTATCGGATGCTATCGAGAAGCTCCGTGCGATACCAGCTGCAGAAATTGTTCAGATCATTTCTCTCGTCCAACACTGGAGCCCGACTCTGGATGATGGGTTCCTCACCGGTTTCCGAGAAAGAGACTTTTATATCGAGAATTCATGGTGCCAACACGTTATGATGGGTGACATGGCCCATGATGTAAGTCCCTCCGGTCATGTCCGTGCGGTGACGAAACCCGCTGACAGATGCTTTATAGGGTACAATTTTGCGTTCACGGTATCTGGATATTCCGCAAGCCTTCGAAAAGACGATACTTGCCTGTGATGATCTCTTAGAAGCGAGCCAATCTCGTCAAATTCAAGAGGCGTATGGTCTTGGTGCTGATGAAAAGCAACCGGGTATGTTGAAGCTAATCTCCGAGCTTCGATTCTATCTACCCGCAATAGCAGCAGCTAGGGGGCTCAGATTTCCGGGGAGCGTTCGGGTGCAAGAGTATCATATGGATCAGGTCAGTTGTTCAGTTCCATGACTGTACCATCAGTCTGTTGCCCCGACTTGCGTTAATTGTGACCGGCAGACCAATCCTTTCGAAGGCAACTATCACGGATTTGCGTCTCATGCGCTTGACCTGGGATACTTGCTTCGCAACTTTGATCCCTGGCTTAGTGAAGCCGGTCTCAATTTCGGTAAAAGAATGCTTGGGATATGGGTGGGCTTCGCATATGCGGAGGATTCGAGGAGCGAAGCCCTTGCACTTGGGCCAGACCACGAGATAATCTACAGCAGTCCTGAAAAGTATGACCAGCGGAATCGTCAAGGAAGAGCCAAACTGCTTCTTGAAATTGGTCTAGCTAAATCTGTTGTTTTGGGAGAGCGGCTTCAAGGTGTTCCAAACCCCACATTATGAGCGTGAACGGCAGTTTCTCGTGAGCCGCCATTTGATAGTATTGCTCAATTACTGTCGGGGTGACAAGACGAACGACTAGAGTACCTAGTGAAAATAACGATCGTATCAATGTTGACGAAATCTCATGATCCAAATCTTCAAATGATTGCTCTCTCAAACTGTCCTCGCTGAAAGGGGTTAGCTCACAGAGCCCCACGGAAGGTGGTACCTCGACTCCATGTGGGTTCCCCACAAAGCACGGTCTCGTCACGTCGGCTCACGGTGGATGCTGGGCTTGAACAAAGATTCTATTAAGAGACATGGAGTTCGATCTTACTAAGATAGCGCAGCCCACAGATACATGTTGGCACTCTCGAGATGGCCAACATAACATGCAGAAGCCTTGGAGCGGTACGCTCGATGAGGAGAGTGTTAATGCCCAAGAACAGCACAACGCCGGCCTCCCGTGGTGTTGCCACAAGCACAGCGGCGACAAAGTTACCCCTGGATGGCATACGAGTACTTGACTTGACCAGAGTCCTGGCCGGAGTGAGTCTGCCATACGTTACAGGGGCGTTTTTGCCATGAGTGCAGCTGACTTACATTATTGATTCGTAGCCGTACTGCACGCAGATTCTCGGTGATATGGGGTATGATTTCACCCCAAGTTACTCATGCTTCTCGTGGAATTTCCAACTAATAAAGGCAGAGCCGACATCTTGAAAGTGGAGCATCCGGTCAGGGGCGACGACACACGATCATGGGGCCCGCCGTATGCACCGCGTCTTGACAACGCCGACTCGGCGATTGCTGCAGGCGAAAGCGCTTACTATCTCTCCGTAGGGACTCACTGCTGAATTTCTGCAACAATCATCGTTAATAGCCAGTTCAGGTCAATCGCAACAAGAAGTCACTTGCATTATCTTTTAAGGACGAGAGAGGAGCAGAGATACTGCGTAAACTTTCTAAAAAGGTAGATGTAGTCATCGAGAACTACCTGCCTGGCTCGTTGAAGAAGTACGGCTTGGACTATGAGACGCTGAGCAAAATTAACCCTCGACTGATCTACGCGAGCATCACCGGTTATGGTCAGTTTGGTCCGTACAGCAATCGAGCTGGCTACGATGTCATGGTTGAAGCGTAAGGTCTCCTTGCTAGTAGTATATCACTGGAACATCAAAAGCTAACTTGAGCACTTCAGTGAGATGGGACTGATGCATATCACCGGCCCTCGTGATGGGCCACCAGTCAAAGTCGGCTGCGCCGTGACCGATCTTACGACTGGCATGTATGCAACTACTAGCATCCTTGCTTCCTTGATTGAGCGGAGCTCTTCAGACCTGGGACAGCATCTAGATATTTGTCTCAGCGACTGTCAGGTTGCAACACTGTCGAACATGGCCCAGTCTGTACTGGTAACGAAACAAAAAGATACTGGTCGCTGGGGTACCGCGCATCGTGAGTACACATTCCTGTTACCAGTGCCGACGTACCTAGACACTAAATCTTTCCAGCATCGGTGGTCCCGTATCGAGCATTCAAGTCATCTGACGGTGATGTGTTGTTCGGTGGAGGCAACGATCGCCTGTTTGGCATCTTGTGCGAAGGATTGGGCCGACCCGAATGGGCTACCGATGAACGCTTCTCTACAAACACCGCGCGAGTTCAGCACCGCGATGTGCTAGAGAAACAGATAGAAGACATCACAGTCACGAAGACTACAGAAGAGTGGCTCAAGATCTTCGACAACACCGGACTACCGTATGCGAAAGTAAACGATCTCAGGGACACGATGAATCATGACCACGGTAAGATGAACCTCGCACTTGCCTTCAAGACATACTTCTGCCACTAACCTGTATATCAGTGAGGGCCAGGAATATGGTTGTAGAAATAGATCACCCTTCCTGCGGGCCAATGGAGCTGATCAACTCGCCGGTCAAATACTCACGTTCGCAACCAACCATCCGAGCAGCACCGCCGCTGTTAGGACAGCACACTGACGAGATTCTAAGAAAGGAGCTAGATCTAGACGACGCCACCATCGCCTTGTTGAGGAACGAACAGGTTATCAGATAGATGTTATAAGGTACATTGACACCGGCTGGTCAGCCCTCAGAAGCAACTCAGTGATAGGTTGAGTCTTACAAGCTGCCGGTATACATTCTCCACAGACCGCAAGACTATTGTATCTTAATCTTTCAATCTCTGTACTTCGTAGATGCGTGAGCAGGATAGGTATGTAAGCAAGGGTAGAGACTAGATAGAGCTGCGTGCGCCGGCTTATTACTAGAAAATAGAATGAGCTTCTACACTAGTTGCGATAGCCATTACTTCGCAGGTTCACAAAAGACCTATTGAAGGTTGAATCGTTGTTCAATTTAGCATCTACGTTTCATCTCCATTACACAATCCCCCAAATTATTGTAATCGAAAATGAACAATGTACAAGAAAAGTGCCCGTAACGCAGGCCTGCCATGTAGAAGAAAGGAGCTTACCCAGCTCAGTGGTATCGATGATAATCCCAGAACGCCAAAATGCACAGTCGAGCTCCATCGAGACATTAAGTTCTCGAGGTGCCACAGTCAATATACCCCAAGTCAGACAATGTCCGTGTGGCACGTCACTCAGAGTAGCAGAACAGCGGCAACAGCGACGATAGCGCCGGCAGCACCACTAACCAGCTTGGGTGCAGCGTCTGTGAAGGCGGGTGCGGAGCTAGAGGCTGCGCTAGGCGAGATTGGGATCGCGGTGGTGGGAGTTGCAGTGCCAGATGGCGTGGATGGAGTAGTGCTGTTGTAACCAACGCTGCTGTTACCACCGCTGCCAGTTGGGATTGCATAACCGGATGAGATGCCAGTGCTCAGGTTGATGCTGGAGGTGGGGTACTCAGCGGGCTCGCCGGGCGAAAGTTGTGTGAAGTTGGCGCAGGCAATGCGAGTCTTGTTGGACAAGTGAACTACGACAGAGAGGTTGCCGAAGTAGGAGTTGATATCCGGGCGAGTGGACGAGTACAGGTCAACATATCTGCACCATCGTTAGCGTGTCTCTCTTAATGACGGGGAATCACAGCTTACTCTTGCGACCACTCCTGTGCAGTGATGTTGCCAAACTTGCCGCTCAAGTCACCAGTCTGGCAAGTCTCAGGCTTGCTAGCATCGCAGATGGGGACCTCGCCACGCTTGTAGGGGTCAAGATGAGCGCCAGTGCCGGTGCAGTTGCCGTCGGAAGGAACGGGCTTCTCGTGAAGGTGGTACATGAAGGGACCGCCCTCGGCAGGAAGACCAGAGATCGAGACTGTGAACTTGACGCCGGTGCCATCCTCAGCGGAGACTGCAGCAACAGAGCCGCGAACAGTGTACTTCTGCTGCTCAGGCAGAGTAGCAACGTATGATGCACCCTTCGTGTTGCCGGTGACTACAGGAGCAGCGACAATGGTGGAGGACTGGGCGGCGACAGCCGATGTCGCAGCAATGAGCGAGAGGATTTGTGTACGCATAGTGAGAGCAAGTGGTGAGTGATGTGTGAAGAGCGAGGTACTGCCAAATTGTTTAGCAAGCGAAGGTAGATAAAGCGGCCGAGGCTGGGTGCGAAGGTTTTCAGGTACACAAAGCAAGGGTTCACCAAACGAAATGAAAGTGAAGGGGAAGGCGCGATTCTTACCTGTTGGTCGATCAGAGTATGACGCTGTCGATCGTTCGTGAAAGGTAAAGCGCAACCACAGTTGTATGCAAACGGTCAAAGGACTTGTAATAGAAGACAGAAGTGGCCTCACGTCCTAAGCGGACGCGCCCCCGACTATATACATTGCAGGCGCGGTGACCCGAAAAGAGCGAAGAGGCTGGAGCTACACAACTCTGCCACCAACCCGCGCCGCTACTCCTGTGCAAACCTTACCGCGGTGCCACAAAGCCCGAGCAGGCTACTCAATTTTGGTGGATCACTCGATCAATCTCAAGCCTGTCATTGGATTTTCGAGAGAGGAACTACACCTCAAACTCCCTGCTTTGTTTCCTAGATTGGAAGGACGGGGTTGTCGCACGTCGTTCGGCGCCCGAAGGTAAGCTGCGCGCACGGCTTCAGCGCTGTTTTGAAACGCCCAGCCATGTTGGCGGTTGGCGTCCAATCAGTGTGATGTTTGGCGCAGGAACGCAACCATGGCGTAGCCAATAAAGAGGCCTGGGCGCATAAACTCTGAGGTGCGCAAGTGACAGGTGGGGAGGGAGGCTGGTGAACAGTAGGCCACGAGCTTTTGGCGCTGCGGTGTACCTTCGCCACATGGCTGCAGATGCATCACAGTACAGCACGGCGCATCGTGGAGCAATGGAGACACCCACGATCCCCTGTGGGTCGTCCCAAGCGCGGTGTTGGTCCTTGAGACTACTGAAGCGAAAACATCGGACTCCCGCAGCAAAGTGCTAAGCTTCGGCTAAATGGGTTCCAAAAATACTACGGGCGGGCCGCTGGTGCTGGTTCACGCGCTTTGTTTCCCTAGGACAAAGGTAAAACCAAGACGGTTGACAGTAAACAAACCAACATGTCTAACGTGTCAATGCAAATATTAACAGCAAACATACTCCCGTGTCGGTGCAAAGGCCTGAACCGTTGTTTCGAATACAGGACGCAAATAGACGCCATTCTTGCGCTCGCTGAGCCGCGCGAACTCCAGTCATCGGGTACCAGCAGCCGTGCAGAGAGGATGCACTGAGGCACGGGTGCAAAGAGAAGGGAATGGGAAATAAGTGTAAGACAGATAGATTGAACTAACATTAAAAGCGGCGTTGAAACAGGGCATGCGCACCAATGTGATGCAAAGGCAATCTTTCAACAGTTGTGCCACCTGCGAGAAGCAACGCGTAGCATTCTTGGCTAACGCTCATCACAATATCGCAGCTTTCGGATCACACTGCCGGATGACCGCGAGATTGCGTGTGTGACTATGTTTGCAATCAGCGGGTCTCGTTGCGCACTTTGTAGCTTACTCTCGCCCTGCACCAGCCAATATTAGTTGCGACACCAGCATCCACCAAGTCCTGACCCACAGCTTGGACATCCTTATACGCATCAGGAGCCTCTTCGAACACCAAGTCCTTCTCGTCGCAGATCACCCAGGTACCTTCGGCCTCTCCAGCTCTTGGTTGCAGAATATTCTGACCTCTGTACTTCTGGGACAGAGACGACAGTGCTTTCGCTCGAGACATGCTTCGCCCAGCACCGTGAGCCAAAGATAACGCATTCTTGAGTCCCCATGACGTAGCTTCCGAGAAAGAAGGCTGGAGAATGAGGGTCGGTGTTCCTCGAGATCCCGGAAGAGGCAGAAGGGCGAGTGGCAGGTGCGTCCTTGGGTCGTAGGTAGGTGCGGCACCTTTGCGATGGATGTAGACGTACTCCTGGGTGCGTTCATTTTCTTTAAGTGAAAGGTTGCTTGTAACCTCTGCCAAGCCTGATGCGGAAGATGGTAGTGCTGAAGGAGGCCACTGTACCCGTTCGACGTTGTTGTGCCAGATGTCGACCACCTTCCGTGCTTGCAGGGCCAACTTGCTTTCCTCAATCATCGTAAGATGAATGTCAGTCGAGCTATCAGGATCAGAGACTCCTAATTGCCAGTTCTCGTTACCAGGCTCAAGGCAAGCCAGGAAGCGTAGAGCGATCAGGTCCCTGTTCGCCTTTGCCCATCGACATGCCTTGTCGTGCTCTTCCAGGTATGCAATTGCTTCAGGGCTTCCCTCCTCTAGGCTGGCTTGTGAATCAGCTGTATATTTCTTAAGCACGCTGCCACCGTAGCCGCGTGAACCTGAGTGGACCAGTAACACAACATCGTTTTGGCGGATACCCTCATGGGAGGGGTTGGACGACTCTTCCACTACCTGTATCTCTGCGAAGTGGTTGCCTGCACCGATGGTTCCTAGCGAGCTATCCCACTCTTCGCCTGCGGAGCAGCTGCCTTCCCGGTCTTGCAGCCATAATTCTCGATTCTCTTGTGTGCGCCATGGCCCTTCGAGTCCACGCAGTTTCTCGGCGACCTTCTTGCCCTTGTCGCCATCGACTTGACTTCTGGATAAGGCAAGCCTATACCACGCCATACCACATCCGATGTCCCCACCGATGAGTGGTGGGTGAATCCATTTTTTCGAAGCAAAGACGGCGCCTATGGGAAACTTGGTGCCTGGATGCAGATCTGGTTGGCCCACGGCATGAATGATTCCGGGAAGAGTGTGAGCTGTAGTATCAAGCTGTGTTATGGCGAGCGACTCGACTTCTGCATTAGATGCGAGAATTTCGACGGGACAACTGGAGTTTACATCCTCTGGGAGAAGTTAGTAGTCGTGATGTTTGTGTAGCACGCAGGGGCCAATATGCGCTCAAATGTGCTCAAAAGGGTGCACTTACCATGAACCACTGTTTCCTTTCCAACACCAACATACTCTTCTCCGCTAGATACAAGCAGCACGATATCATTGCTCATGCTGCTCTTCCAGTCTTGCTCGTTGACTAGCTCATATCCGGTCTGCTTGACGAAGACCCGTGACGGCTTCTTCACTTTTAATTTGGACTGTGCAGTTTTGAAGACCAGTGCGCGTACAGAACTCGCGGCTGCAGGGTCTGTCGTGAGGGACGCAGGAATCACTAGTGGAGTCTTTTGCGACTGCTTCGCGTTGTTCGCAACTGTGACGCGCGTTGCCATTGTGCGAACGTCAGCAGGAGCAAGATGTGTTGAAAGTAGCAGCGTCTTTCGAGCAGGATACGAAATGAAGCTGTATTAGCAGGTGGCTGATCGTCAACAACAACTAGGACTGGGGTTGGCTGCCGTGGAAGCGCAGGTGGTATTTGTACTGCGCGGTGAGAGATCACTAGCGCGATTCGACTCATCTTCACCCATTCAGCATCGCACTTTCACTGCAGCTTTCGGAGTGATGTATGTACAAATTTTAGTTATATTGCATGTATATCTGATAGCCTTGGAATTGATTGTCACGCAGTGGCTGACAAAGTTTTCATCAACGTGTCTCACACTCAGTGTCGCTACGAAGCGGCGGACTGGACTCGCTGACGTAGAGTGAAGTCCTGCTACATTCATGTTGTACCGTGCATGGCCTCTTTTCTCGCATGCAGCTCTTGCAGTTTGAGGATTTGTTGTCTCTCAAGTTCCGACAATTCTTCTAAGCCGGGTGACGCCAGTAGTCTCCGTCTTGTTCATTGTCTGGTATCGGTATTTGTTGTTCACCAATACCACTGTTGATCGATGTTGTAGTTTCGGAACTGACCGATTTCATTAGCCATCGGTGCTTCACCTGATGGGAGATCTATCAGGAGAGGTCTCATACGTTTCGTAGTAAGCTGGCAGCTCAAGATCGGTGGCTGCGTGATCGAGAATGTTGGGGTCTATGCCAGGGATTGACGTTGCTGTGTTCGCTGGTCCAAGGCCTGGCTGAGTTGAAGACAGCTGCCCTGTACTGTGAGATGTACTCGGAACTTGGTCGCTGACCTCCACCATTTTATCGCCTTCCACTCGCACCTCTCGATCGCGGAGTCGTCGCATGAGTTCGAGGAACTGCGAATTCTGAAACTTCTCGCTTGTGTTGTCCGCAACTCGCTCCAACAAACGCCCAGCGGTCGCTGCCATCTCGTCATCGTCGTTCATCTTTGGCTGCTCCGCTTGCTGCTCAGGCTCTTGCTCTGCTAGTTCATTTTGCGGTGTCCTCATAAAACCAGCCTCATCCAATTCCTGCCATATCCGCTCTTGGCTCATAGGAACTCGAGCGCCCATCGGGTATTGTGACATTATCCTTTGATTGATAGCAGCAACCAATCCCTCAGCGCGTAGCTTCACCTCCTGCGGCGCTCCGCGGTTCACGATACGTTGTAACGAGTCGATGATCCATCGAGCTTCGTTCGCATCTTGTACAAGGTCGCCATTTCTCTCGAGAGTGCCCATGCTGTCCAGATATGACACAGCTTCTTCGGTGCGGCCGAGGCCCATTTCGCTCCAGACTTGGATCGCCGAGTAGACAGCTACAATTGTGTTAGAAGACATTGCACGGCTACATGATACTACACACCTGGCCGTGTTTCCCGTATCCGTATAAGAAGAGGATCCTCACTTGGCCGGTCCATGCCCATCACCTCGGGGTTCATTGCGCGAGAATGCGCTCGCTTCTGCTCTGCGACTGCCTCGTCGAGTGCATCTTGTTGCGCCTGAGCGAAGGCCTGTTCAAAGGCTGCCTCGTTGAATGCCGGCTCTTGCGCCGCCTGCTTCCCTTGCGCTACCTGCGACATCTGGGAGCTAGGTTGAAAGGCTGGCGATTGCATGTATGTAGGCGCAGCGTATCCGCTGATGCCGTAATTTGACACACCACCAAATCCGCTTTGTTGTTGCGCCAGTGCCGGGGCAGCCGGGGACTGTTGCCTCATGAAGTCCTGATGCCATGCTGACGCCGCATTTGCTGCCTGAGGGCGCTGTTGCTGGAAAACTGGCGCCGGCTGGTTCGTGATATTCAGTCGCTGGAAGTCTGATGCCCAGCCAGGCGCTTGTGGAGCCTGTGAAAACTGTGGTGGAGGTGTTGCGAATTGCGGCGGGAAGTGCTGGAAGTCAGGCTGCGGCACGCCTGGACGACCTTGCTGGAAAGCATCAAACTCGGAATCTAGTGCTGCGTTTGGGCCTTGCGAAGATCTAAAGCCCTGAATGTTGTGTGAGTTTGTGTCTCGTTCCGTGTAACGTGTCGACTGACCTGTGCTGGAGAATTACGGCCGACCAAACGATCTTGCTGCAAGGTCCGATCAACGGAGGTATGCTTCTGGAAGTTCTGCAGCGCATTTGACGGGCCGCAAAGTGCGTCCGCCATAGCTGCTGAAGAACAAGGGGTATCACCGCAAAATCGCAAAAGACAAGAAAGTAGAAGGAAACGTGATACTGTGCGGCGAATGCGTCAGGACTTCCGAATGTCGCGCGTTGGTGGAAGCCGAGGCTTGCTCGAAAGGAAGCGGGCCGAATTGCCATGTGCAGTTCGGCACCAAGCACGTGTCACACCCTTCACCTGGTGGGCTCGAGTAGCCCCACATGTAGTCACAAGACCGCAGAACTGGCCGTTACTTTTTGGCAGACTGCTCGCTAGAGTTTAGCTGCCCAGCGTCGAAGGTCGCTCGCTCTTTGACTGACCTGGTCATCTTGTCAGCGAGTGGCGACTGCTGATGGTGACACACGACCGGTGAACAGCTGAGAAACTGTTGAGAAGGGACCTTGACATCACTGCCATGTAGACATGCAAGATTATAGAGCCACTTAGGAATCCTGCTTGCAATACCTGTATATTGTAAGGAGACTGTCTCCCCTATGTGGAGCTAACCTGAGTGATTGGGAGAATGGTATACGCGGTACGCCAAGCGAGAAAACAATGCTTAAACTCGAACGCCAAGTCAACATCATGATCCTTCTCTATCTGCTGAAAAGCATGTCGCCAAGGGTCACATTCCTGGCTGGACGAGAGACATCGCTGCGGGACCTTGACCTAGACTTCTTGCGCACAAAAGCGTACTCCTTCCTGCCGCGACGATCGCGACCGTCAGCCTCGATAAACAGGCGGTCTCCGTGGTTAGTGCGGAGTCGTCGTGTGTGTTCGAAGAGAATATCTGTCTCCTTCTGGCTCATCTCGCGGAGCACGATAATGTAGTTGGGGTCCTGTGTTCGTTAGCAGGAAAGAGACATAGTGGGATGGTCATTTCTTACAGCATCGTATTCGTAGGGAATGTCGTAGTAATGCAGCGTCTCGATGTCGAGGTACTCCCTCCTGATCTTTGCATAAGTGGGTTGCGGCGCAATGCGCAACGGGTTGTGCGGTGTCAGCCCAACCTGCTGCTCCAGCTTCTTCTGCTGCTCAGGGTGCACCATGGCCTGGATTTGATTCTCCTGGAATCCGAACTGAGCCAGCCGTTTGCGCATCGATTCTTCGAGTTCTTTCTCTTCCTTGTCACGTTTGGCTTTCTCGCTAGCCTTCTTCTCCTCCTGTTTGCGTATGAAGGCCTCATATTCCTCCTTGTCCTTCTTCTCTTGCGCCTTCTTTTCTAACTCAATCTTGAGAAGTAGCTCCTCACGTTGCTTCTTCTCTTTGGCTGCGTCCAAATCCTTCTGTCGTTCGTACTCATAGACAATACGCTCACGCTCAGCCTTTGCCTTTGCCTCCTCGGAGGCCTTCCGTTTGTTGTATGCATCTACCGCGGCCTGTTCAGCGGCCTCCGCCTCCCGCTTCTTCTTCTCGCGCTTAGCTTCAGCTTCTGCAACAATTCTCTTTGCCTCTTCTTCCCTATCTTTAGCATCCTGTTCGCGTTTGCGGGCCTCCTTCTCAAACTGTGCCTTTTGCTCTTCAATAAGACGCTTACGCTTCGCCTCTTCCTCCCTGTGCTCCCTGTCGGCCTCCGATAAGATTCGATCGCGCTCTTCCTTCTTCTTGCGATGCTCTGCCTCTGCTTTGGCTCTGCTATCTGCGAGGATTCGCTCCTTCTTCTCTTCTTCGTCTCGCGATCTAAGCTCACGCGCTCGCTCTTCCCTCTCTCGCTTGAGGTCCCAATCCATCCGAAGCCTCTCTTCCTGACGCTTGATGCGCTCCTCTTCGTCTTCGCGCTCTTGGCGGTCCTTGATGTATTTCAGTTCAAGCTTCCTCTTCGTGATCTCCTCTCGTCTCCCGGCTTCCTCATCGCGCCTTTCAGCATCAAGTCTCGCCTCAGCCTCCCTCAACTTCTGCTCGGCCAATGACAGCTTCAGCTTGTCTTCGTAGGAGCGGTCTGGTGAGTGGCTATGGTGGCGGTGGTGCTGGTTAAGCTTTGCTTCAGCTTGTTTCAATTTGTACTCGGCCATTGTCAGCTTCAGCTTGTCTTCGTAAGAGCGGTCTGGCGAGTGGCCGTGGTGGTAGTGGTGTTCGCCTCGGGAACGAGATCGCGCCAAACGGTCCCTGGTAATTTGTAACTTCAACTCCTCGACGTCGTCTTCAAGACCCCATTCGCCAGGCATTCTCCGAGGGCGGCCGCGACCATCAGAGCTAGGTTCTCGACTTCTTTGGTCGGTCGTGGTGCGTACGTTGGGGCTGCTCTCGTTGTCCATGCGCGTTGTGTTATAGATGGTCACATTCGGAGTGACACTGTGACCTTGGGACTTCGTTCGGTGAAGACCACTTGTGTAGTGAACCTCGGGGTTCAAGTGTTCAGAGGTACGGCGGCCGTGGCTCTCACGGATATGCGGTCTGGGAACATGGCGGGCGCTGCTGTAAACGTCCTTGCGATACCATTCGTCTTCTTCTGAGTAGTCATCGTAGAGGCGCGACATCTTGAACGGAAGTAGTGAAAGACAGCGGTTAATGAGGGATATGTGTAGAGCGAGGAAACTTGGAGTCCTTGCAATAAATACAATCACGAGCAAACAGCGCTCAAGGTGTGAGTTCAGGTGTCAGCTGCAAAAGTGGGGCGGTGGTGATGGCTTGCACGGGGGCGGCACAAGCTGACTGACACAGCACACAAATGCAACAGACAAGCAGGTGGCGTGAGAGTGTAGGAAGGATCTGGACGAAGTGCGGACGGGTGAGAATTTGAAGGAAATTAAGCAGCCGTGATTTTGGGGGCCGAAAGCACTACACTGCACCACGATGCAGCTAGTCATCAGGCAGACAGCTGCATCTTGGGGCTGAAGCGGCGCACTTGTGCATTGGTCTGGTGCCCGCCAGGCTGCATCAACGCGAACGAGCGGGTGATTGGACACCTGACCAGATCGACGTATCCTTCAAATGTTTGCTATAAAGGATGTCAGTAGCCTGGAACGTTTGCGACTCGTTTGTACATTCGTGATGGCTTCTAAGCGCGCCCTCTTCCGCGACTGATGGAGGGGTACAACAATCTATATTTGTCGCTAACGCCGGGCAGCAACGCGCTTGACCAGGAGGGGCGGTGGGGGCGGCTCGAAGAGCACTCAAGTGCTGTCAGCCTCGTCAACCAAATGGTTTCGACCGAAACAGGATCCGATGGTTACTGTCGCACTGTCGCGGCCACTCATCCTGGTCTCTCTCGATGTTTTGGCAGCATGGGAGCGCTTCCTGAAACACTGCACTCGTGTACGTCGCTTCGAGCTCGTGACCATTTGCTGTTCTGGACAAGCTTTCATGCGCCTGACAGGCGAAGTCGGCTGTACCGCAGCCACCCCACCAATGTGCATTCAAGCCCAGCCACCCCTCATCGCGGCATCCTGTTAATGCGATTACACTCATAGTAGTATACGTACATGTAGATATGGGATCAAGTAGTGAGAAATTACAGCGCTGACACGTGGCAGACCTGCCCTGGCAGACCGTCATCTAGGAAGCTGACGGGCTGCTTGACTATGCCCCGTCATGTGACCTACTACGTACCAGCCAGCCTATTCGGCCTTGTCTATTATGCCTTCCCCCCTCCCCTCTCTTTTGTCTGTATGTCTGTGTCCCACAATGTCCTATTGCGATCTCTGCAATGGTCTTACGATCGAAGAGCTGTTCCCGCCTAGTATCTACCGTCACGCAAAATCACTTGCTGCCCTCAAGCAATCAAGCCAGAATTGCAGCCTGTGTATGTTGCTCTATCGTTGTATCACTGCGTCAGGGTCCGAATACTCTGAATATAATCCCCAGCCGCTGGGCGATCATTCAAACCTCCCACGGCTAGTCGGGTATCTTGTTGGTCAGCCCGCCTGTGACGTAGGTGTGTTCAATGATAGCACGAAAGACGAAGATGCAACCGTAGCACGAGAGGACATTCAAAGTTGCGACGATGACAGCATCCGCGACGAAGATAGCACGAGCGACGTAGGGGCTTACGGTGGAGATAGCGAAGGTACTACGAGCGACGATGTCTGTGTCAAGCTTCAGATCATTGAAGAAACTGAGCGCCACAGCTCGTCCATCAACCTTGACGGCTTCACGCACATAGGTGTCTGGATCAAACCAAAGCGGATGTTGACGAGCTTAACATTGGCCGTGCAAGAGGGTAAGAATCGATAGCCCATCTCGCCTGACATCAGTAGCTAACTTCTACCGCATGCGACGCATTGGGATCACGAGCATTCACTCGGGACGGTCGCGATAGGTTTATCTCTGGGCGTGTTCTCACGAGTGAATACCCACCCGATGCCTACTTTCAGGTCATCCAACGTTGGTTCAAGACTTGCGAGCATGCACACTCGAATTGTGGCAGTGATTCGACACCTGACTCCAAACTGCCCGATAGAGTCATCGATGTGGCTCTTCTCGGCGGACATCCACGCCTAGTTGATGGGAGTGGGCTGACTTCTCGATATGCGACACTGAGTCACTGTTGGGGAAGGGTTATACCTGGCATGAGAACCCTGGTCTGCAACCTGGAACAGAGAAAAATCCGTATGCACTTGGAAGAATTTCCAAAAACCTTCCGTGAAGCCATAACCATATGTCGACAATTGATGATACCCTATCTCTGGATTGACAGCATTTGTATCGTCCAAGACTCTCTTGAGGACTGGGAGACACAATCAAGCAAGATGCATTCGATCTACCACGATAGTACCATTACGTTAGCGGCTTTGGATGCCACCAACTCGTCAGAAGGATTGTTCCTGCCGAAGCGCCCATTCATCGATGTTTTCCCGCTTGCTTACCCCTTTGGAGGCGATATTGGTCAGGCATACGTCGGGGTTCCTACTTGGAATAAATTCACCCACTGTCCCTTGCCGACTTACGACAAACTCCAGTTCCACACCCAAATACTGCAGAACCTATTTGGCAACATTGCATACATCAAGTCAGGTCTACTGGATACTCGAGCATGGGCTATGCAAGAGATGCGACTATCCCGTCGCTTACTGTATTTCTTCCACGGCGAAGTGATGTGGAGGTGTACCGAAGGAATTTGGCGTCAGAACGGCTGCCGCCAGTCTCCAAAGAAGACGCACCACCTGCATACAGCACTTGCAAAGTATGAAAAAGAACTTAAACTTGTCCGGAAGACGGCGGAGTTTGATCGTATGATGTCAGGTTGCCAGGAACAGTCGGCCACGTCAAGCGTCGGTGGTGATAACGAGTCCGAGGGCCGTGCCGGAGACACGAAGGGCGAAAGTCCTGAGAGCTGCAGTCATGTAAATAGTACTGCGGCCGAGGATCAGAATGAAGTCCCAGCAGCTTTGATCGGAGCAAGAAGGTTGCCTAAGGGCGGTAATGACTTGACTGACAGCGAAGATGATTCCGAATTGGAGGACGCCCTTACCGGAATTTCCCATCTAACAGAGTCGGATTTCAGTGGACTACTGGAGTCAGAAGTAATCAGTATCCAGAAGACTTGGTATGACCTTGTCGATGATTACAGCTCATGTCAGTTGACATTTGCGGAAGACAAATTACCGGCCTTGTCTGGTATGGCTTCTCGCTTCCATGCCATTACCAGAGACCAGTATATTGCGGGCCACTGGAAGACTGACATTGAGAAATCGTTGTTCTGGGGCTCCTACCAGGGTGGCTTTCGAGTGAAGCCTTATAGAGCTCCCACCTGGAGCTGGGCGAGTATGGACGGTATAATTAAATGGGTCGAGGACGAGGAATTCCTGACGGGAGAAAACAGTGCCCAAGATCACTTTCGAATATTAGACGCTTGCGTTCAGGTCGTTGGCAAAAATCCTTTTGGGCGTGTCATGTCTGGCAAGCTTGTGATCAGAGCTAGTTCCATGGAAGCCCATTGGAACTCTGATCGGCGAGGCTGGATATCATCAAGCAGCCCTTGCCCTTATAAGGGGTATGCTGATCAAAGGCTAGCGATCCTCGACTACAATGGTGGTCGAATAGGCTGTTGGAACTACGACGAGAAATTGTATGGCATGTGGCCTGGTTCGCTCTTAACAGTCAACGCAACCGAACCTGATTTAAGGGCAAGACTGATAAATACATTCGGCGCGATCCCCACATTAGAAGTCCTAAGGTCGGACACCAGATACGCCCCAGAGTCCCTGTTACTAGTCCGGGGACCAGACCGGGGACCGGACCAGGATGACGAAGAATATCAGGTACTTGTTCTCAAGCGTAAAGATGGATATGGGGAAGAGTATGAACGTGTTGGAATTGGAGAATTATCAAGCTGGGATGAAGACATCGCAACCGTTGGAACTATAACAGTGGTATGAATGTTCTTGAAGTGCCCCGAGATAGACAGTAGGATCTTGTGTACACCAATGTATGTCTGTGCTTGTGTTCTGGACGAACAACACAGTCGTACCTTCACACTCGACCAGTGCCCTCTGTTGCGAATTTGATTGCTTCCTCTGGAAACAAACATGTGATCATGCGCTTCTATAGAAACGGCAAATGGGTATTCGCGGACTACGCACGCTACCATAAGTGATACCGGAAACGCCTATTGGGCATTCTGCCTAAATTTGGGCATGCCCTCTTTCTTACCCCATCCCCAGACCTTACCGTCGAGATCGGGTACCATGAACAACCACGCAATGGACACGATGCCTGCCATGAAGGTATCGACGACGATGTTGTTCCTTTGACTGCTACCCAGCGATCCCAAGCGTAGAATGTCCATCAGCCAGTTTGTTGTAGGCATATAGCTACCACCCTCAAGCCCTTTCACAGCGGCGGTTGCAGCCTCAATCTCAGTTTGCCTAGGGTCAGACGATTCAAGCAGACGTGTGACTGGATGCTTGGTCTTCTCCTCGTTCGCGAACCCTGCCGAGAGTATTGTGCCTGGGATGACAGCGTGTACGTTGACGTCGAAGGGTGCAGGTTCCTGCCCGGTAGCAACCTTTGAGCGACGGGCACCGTTGTATAACAGGGCCTCAGAGCGCAGACCATCTGCCAGTGATCGCAATGCAGCTTTAGCAGGTGCGTATGGTGTGTAACCCGCCAGGCCTACCAGCGCCGCTCCTGAGGACGTGATGATAAAGTGTCTTGTTCCTTGCGGCACAGCACCCTGTGCCTGTGACGAATATGGTGTGTCAGGGTACCACCAGGCCTTCAGCGTTTTGTGTGCCAGATACGCTGCTGCGAAGTAGTTCAGATCCATCTGCCTGCGCAAGGTTTCGGTGCTAGTCTCCACGTAAAGCCCAGGTGTCGAAGCACCGGCGATGGCCCATACGACTTCAGGCATGACGCCGTTGTTCCAGGCGGTGGCATCAGTAAGGATGCGTTCGTTTTCGGTCTCCGAGGTCACATCCGCGGAGATGTAGTGGAACCGTTGTGCTGAGGGGTTCTTTGCGTGCGATCGCGCGTACTCCACAGCGGATTCGAGATTCTTTGTGGTTCGGGCGACTAGGACGAGATTCGCGCCACGGGCGGAGAGCAGTTTGGCAACCTCTTTGCCCATTCCTTGAGAGGCGCCGGTGAGTAGGACTGTCTATTTTGACATGTTAGTGGTGCTCAACTTGGTGTATCGAGTGTGCCTACCTTGCCCTCCACTGGGAATTGGTTCCCCTTCCAGAATGCGAAGCCCATAATGTCCAGACTAACAATTGCGACAAGTGCGAGGACGAGGACTGTCGCAGCCAGAAGCAATTGAGACATCTGGAAGAAGGCCCTTCAAGGCTTACAGTCCGAGGGATGTCAGACACGAAAAGAGAAGGACAAGGATCTTGTAAGCACTACAACAGTGAACAGTTGCAGGTAACTCGGACTGGAGGGGCACCTTGCTTGTTGTAGATTAGCGCGGACCCTAGCGGGACAGTGGGTCGTGCTTTCCCGCGGCGAAATCGTGGAAACTTTTTTGGATTCTTCTGCACATCATCGGTCCAGCGCCAACGTAGCCAACGACAACAAAAATGGCCAAGAAGAGGAAGGCTGGTGGTAGCGCATATGGCGACTCCAAGGCGCCTAAAGAGGACGATTCAAAACTCGCCATCAACTCGTGGGAAGATGTTGCCGATTCGGAAGATGAGTTCCTCTTAAATCGCGAAAAGGTCCTGCTCGATGAAGGGCCGGCGGCAAAGAGACTGAGAAAGTATCAGGAGGAGGGTACGTTCTTCCATCCAATGCATCAACGCACGATGGCTAACTTTCAGAAGACAAATTCCTCGACAACTCCGAAGAGGAGATCCTGGGCGACAATCTCAGTGACAGCGACGAAGACGACGAGGACGAAGACGAGGCCAGCGATGCTGCCGAATCAGATGACCAGGCGCCAGAAGATGAGGACGAAGAAATGGACGAGGCTTGGGGTGCCTCGAGAAAAGATTACTACAATGCCGATGCGATTGAGACCGAACAGGACGCTCTTGACGAAGAGAAGGAAGCACGCAGATTGCAGAAAAAGCAGCTTCAGAGCATGTCAGAAGCAGCCTTTGGCTTTGATGAGGACGAGTGGCTCGGCCAGAACGAAGAGGAGGATGCAGAGGGCGGCGCAAGAGTTACAGAGGTGTTGCCTCAACTGCAGATCACGGACAGCATGTCTGAGGAAGAACGACTCAAGATTATGAAGACACGATACCCAGAGTTCGAGCACATTTCGAGAGAATATCTGCGCCTGCAACCGCTGCACGATGAATTGGCCGCAGCCGCTAACGCCGCCGAACGCCTACTCAAGTCCCGCGCTACCAAATCGAGCAAGAGCACACAGACAACTCCTATCGCCGTCACGAAGTACCGAGCTTGCGCCGCATACCTCGCCGCTATGGCCATGTACTTCGCCATTTTGGGGTCAACTGCGAAAGAGGACGGCTCGTCAGTCATCGCGATGGATCCAAAGGAGCTGCATGAACACCCTGTCATGGAAAGCCTGCTGAAGACACAGATGTTGTGGACAAAGATCGAGAGCTTACCAGTTGCCGATCCCATGGTTGAAACGGACGCCGATGAACTATCAGTCATTGACGAGGCCAGCGCTCTGTCGGGCGCAGAACTCGAGCAGGCACCCAAGAAGAAGGCACAGAAGCAGAAGAAGACCAAAGCAGAACGCGCAGCAGAGACGGCTCGTGCTGAGGCAAAGGCTCGCCGCGCCGAGAAGCTGCTGCAGACTGAGCAAGATCTTGGATCGCTTTCGGCACTCACAGACAAGGCTGCCCTCAAAAAGGCGTCGAAGAAGAAGAAGGCACCGGAGGGCAAGATTAACCTGCTCAACCCTGACGATTCAGACTTTGGCGAAGAGACCGACCTTACTGCACACGAGTTGGCTGAGAAGGCACGCAAGAAGAAGTCATTGCGCTTCTACACATCACAGATCGCTCAAAAGGCCAACAAGCGCGACGCTGCCGGCAAAGATTACGGTGGCGACGCAGACGTTCCGCATCGCGAGCGTCTCAAGGATAGACAAGCGCGCCTGCAGGCGGAGGCCGAGAAGCGCGGTCAGCACAAGGACAACGGCCCTGGTGTTGCCCTTGGCGAGGGTCCAGAGAGCTCCGGCGACGAAGCGGAGCCCTTCCGCCCAGAGGATAACGACTTCGAAGACGAGGATGGCTACTACGACATGGTCGCAGCACGCAGCAACTCGAAGAAGCAAGATAAGACTGATCGCGCTGCTGCATATGCGGAAGCTGCCAAACAGGGTGCTCAGGTTATTGAAGAGGAGACCTTTGGCGATGACGGGCGCAGGCAAATCACTTACCAGATTTCGAAGAACAAGGGTCTTACACCGCATCGCAAGAAGAGCGTCAGAAATCCGCGTGTCAAGAAGAAGGAGAAGTACAAGGAGAAGCTCAAGAAGGAGAAGAGCATGCGGCCGGTCTTCGATAAGGCCAAGGCTGCGTCAGGGCATGCGAACTACGGAGGTGAACTTACGGGTATTAAGAAGGGTATGGTCAGGAGTAGAAAGTTGTAGTTTCATGCATATAGATGTTGTTCAAGAATATCATACCCGAGATGAGTCTCATTCACAGATACTTAATCGTCTTTGCAGACATGCATGTCCATAGGAGGGTCCCACCCGTGTCTGAAGTTTGTTCTGCATCCAGGCCTCTCGTCGGTATGAAGACGTCTTGACCAAAGCCTTATCCACTGCCAGCTCAGAATCTATATCCTATCACGGACAAGCTGGAGTTTGATCGACACACCGCACAGCCTCCTCATGACCCTGAGTGTGCCCCACCACCCCTCAATTTGGCAGGAGCGGCCAGAAGCGGGTGACGTCATACCCAAACACTGCATGTCCTATGACCGCAGCCTACGATCTCGACCGACGAACGCGCTTCGACCAAGTAATCCTCGCCGCTGACTAGGGTTCGTTATCGACATATATACCCATGCCAGACCCCGCTCAACACTCACATACCACAGACCAAACCACAAACTCCAACCCACAGCCACCATTCTCCAACGCATCCTCCGACGCCACTTCACCACCACACACCACACCAAAATGCCTCTCGTAGTCCCCGGTATTCAGTCCACGGACGGCAAGGGCGAGGACTGGACCGCCAAGCTGATGGGCAAGTCGCTCGGCGACTCGCACAGCGAGACCGTACGTTCTACATTTCCGCTGCTGCCTACAGCCTGCCCTCTCTACCCGTTCCCCTGCTCGTGTCAGAAGTGCCGCACAAGGGACACGTATGCTGATTCCAGGCACAGACCTTCGCGAAGCAGGACCTCCCCAAAGAGCACCGCGTGCTCAAGCCCGACAGCATGAGCACCATGGACCTCAAGCCTAGCAGGCTGAACATCCATGTTGGCGAGGACGGCACCGTGCAGAACGTTCGCTACGGTTAGATGGGGTTGCTGCTGCTACGATGCAGAGTGGGATATACATAATGAATTATGAAGTTATTGAATGAACACATCTTGGCCGTGCCCTTGTACGAGCTGACACCACCCTTGCCACCTACATCCATTCGTCAAGACTCACGTGTTGAAGATAAAGTGACTGACGTATGCAATTGCTGTGTAGTACATATCCAACCACGATGCATACCACAAACTCCCATACAATACAGGCGCAAGTATATACACGAACAGACAAGCTGACTATGTGGGCCTCAGGCACCCTCCCTCAGCCTTGCCGTAAGACCCACATCGGAGACGCCGAACACCTCGCCACACCGGGGAAGCTTAATCCAACGTCTCCCTCCTGACTCGATTCGAGCAGGAGAACCCTTCCACGGTGCCCTCAAACCCTCCTCTTCTTCGCCGGCGCCGCGCCGTCCCTCCCCACAGACCCGCCAGCAATGTCCCGCGCACTCGACGCGCCCGCCAGCCCCAGCGCTTCGATCAGCTGGCCCATCCGCAGCATCGTCGCGTTGGTAGCCTCAGGGTGCTCGAAGCATAGGAGTATGCTGGCACGCATCGAGAGTCCCGAGTACCACCGCTTGAGCACCATGTCTTCGCTCTTGTGGCTTGCGGCGCCGATGGTCAGGCCGATCCACAGGAGCACGCCGGCCATGTCTTGCCAGCACTCCGACATGTTGGAGTTGTCGAGGACGGCTTTGAGGTCCTTGAGGAGGGTGGTTTCGTTTTGAGCGGCGGCTGTGGATTGGGGGAAGAGGCTGTAGTCGGAAGGGTAGGATGTTGTTGTGGACAATTTCGGGCGCGAGGTTGTCGGGTATGGTACTGTTGATGAGGATAGGGACGAATGTGATGTTGCGATTGATGAAAACGACGGGTGGGATACTGATGAGGAGATGGACGGATTGGAGGTCCGGATCGAAGAAAATGAGGATCGTGCCGGGTCGAAGTATGGGTTCGCTGCTTCTTCGGGAGCAAGACTACTTGCGTATAGGCTTGCTGTAGAGTCATGGCGTAGGTTTGTCGGTGAAGCTGGTGATGCTGGAGGGAAGTCCGAACCGGATGTTGGTGGGAAGTTGTACAAAGGCCATGAGTTTTTTGGCCCTGTGTTTATCCCCCGAGAAAGAGCGCTCGACAATGGGATGCGATTCATGATCGCCGTGGCCTGAAGGATGGCTGTGATACGGACTGCTTCGTATCTGTAGTCACTGCGTGTCGTACCCTGCGCTCGGGATATGGGTGGGTAGTTGGTAAGGATGTCATTGTACAGACTGAGGAGAGTCTTCGAGTCTCGTCGAAGAGATCTGCTTGGATTGAGGAAGAGTTCGATCATGACGTGGACGTCGTCGAGAAGGTCTAGGGTCTGCTTTGTGCAAGATCTCGACCTCTTGAGGGTTTCGAATTGGGGCCGTGGGCGGTAGATTGGCGACTCTGGAATGGTTGCGGTCACCGGATAGGCTGGGTACCTTGTTGAATGCGCAGTACCATACTCCAAGTACACCTCCTCAGGCTTGCTCTCTGACAGAATCGCTGACTCGAGCATGGTCCACGTGATTGTGGATGCAAGGTAACCATTTAGACCCAGCTGGCTCAGACCACCGCGTTGTTCAAACATGGCTCGGATACCTTTGGCGTGGAACTTCAGCGCGATTTCACGCCGCCCAATCACTTCGCTCACGATGAGCTGGGTCAACGCGGTGATGTTGAGATCGTCCACCTGCTTGTTTGGATACAGTATGTTTCGATCAATGAGATGCATCACTTCGTGCCGAAGAGCTAGTGTCTCGGGACTTTCTGTGCTTCGCTCGAGAATGACGTCCAGATGCGCGGAGGCGCAGACCAAGGTGCTCAGATAAGTGTGTGGTGCGCTTAGCACAGTGGGTATCCATCTCTGCCCCATGGCGTATGTGCCAAAGAATCTTGCGCACAGGAACTTCATTCTTTCCACAGAAACCACTTTGTAGGTTGACTGGAACATTGTCCTGAATGGGTCGATGTTCTTGCCCAGGGACACGAACAGTGGTGCCTCTGTGCGATCGTACGGCAACCTCTCGCCATGGTCGCTAGTCCTCACAGGGATGACCATAGGCGCCGGTCCGAGTATTAGCATTGAAGACATCTGAGTGTCTGGAGTCGATGAGTGCTGAATGGGTTGCGATGCTGTCGGTACTGTTGATATAATTGTAGAGCTTTGCGACACTCCGCCTTCACCCCCGACATATCCCTCATTTACAGTTGTTGCAACATCCCGATTTGGAGTGCTTGCGTTCGAACGAGTGGAACTCACACTAAGGCGGAGTTGGTGGTCGACTGGGTTCTTGGTCTTCCTGGGGTCCTTGCTGTTCGTTTCCAAGAACGCCCTCATCGCTCTCTTGCGCACTGTGGTCATGTTCTTCTTCGATCGCATCTCCTGGGGGTTATTGCCAACAACCCAAGATAAACTGGGCCCCGCATTGTCGTTGCTTGTCGCTTTTGCTGGAGCATTTGTGGCGGTTGTGCGTGGGCTGATAGATCTGCGCTGTTGAGAAGCTACAAGGAGCTGGTGTTAGTGAACTGATGAGTTAGAATTGGACCGAAAAGGAACAGGAGCTGCCGAGGTTGCGACATTGCTACAACAAGCACACGGGAAGTTGTGGGAGAGATTCATTGTATAGCCGAGCTAAAGAAGCAATTGCATTCTACGCGCCCAACATCAAACTACAATGAAGCCAAAGAGACTGGCATGCTCACCATTTGGCCTTAGATTTGCGTTCGGATGTTGCTCCTCCATACGGGGCGCCATATTCCAAGAGAAGCTTGAGTCAGAAACGGTGGCCGTGGAAGGTGTAAGATAGACGGGTACGGCTTGCGGTTGGGGATCGGGGAAGAGGAGGGGTATGCCCGTCGCGGCCATGATCTAGAGCTCACGATCTAGGGAAGTAATGTGATAGTGACGACGACACCACACTTTTATGCAAGGCTTGTCGCATGAGATCAAGTGCAGCAGCGATCGGCGAGTTGACTATATAGGGCTGAGGAAGTGGGTCGATGATTTATATTTCACCGTATCTGCGACTGCACGGGGTTATCTAGAATATTTGTTCTACCGTCTCTATGCTAGAGACGACTGACGGAAGGATCCTGCGTCATGCAGCAAGCGAATATGCGCAGCACCCGTCAGTACGGTGAAATATCGTTGTGGATTCCATGGGGCGGGTTGAGGGTTGTGGCAGTGCCGCCAGAAGACGCACAAGTGGTTTGGTCGCAACAGGGGCCGAGGCCTACTAGCTCTAAGCCAGTCCGCCATACATCTAGCGGTTGTTGTGCAGGCGCCATCAGTGCAGCCAAGCGTCATTAGCGACGCCCTGGAATGGGATGTTGTGCGAACCTATGGTCTGTTCAAGAAGATAAACATGCTGTATCACGACGGTCAAAGGAAGCACAGCGGGACAGACCTCGGGAGCCGCGGCTCTGGCACGATTCCATCACAATCGTCCTGCGGAAGTGGTCGAGGACAGGGCATAGAGTTCTTGCGGTGTCGTTTGCGGCTTCGCAGAACTCGGTAGGATGGCTCCCGCCGAAACACGTGCAATGCTGACCAGGAATCTCACCGCCGGCCCAACTCCCCACCTCTCCTGCTTAGCCCTGTCAGGTCGCATCTATCGTGCCAGCGACCAATCAACAGCGTCTGGGGTCGTACGAAGCGGCGGTGTTGACGGATCAAAGAGGGGCGCCGCACAGCTGCGCTGGCTTCGTCGCTACACCACCCCGTCGACGTGCGCTAGCCTAGGATCAAGCTACCAGACAATCTGCTCGTTGTGCTCCTACGAGGCGGATTGAAGCCCACAACATGACCCCCGATACCGCATTGAGCGACATGCTGATTAAGTTTTACATGTGCCCAGGACAATGCGTTTGTTGGGCGAGTTCACGTTTGAGCTTGTGTGTGCAGGTCTAGAATCCTTACGATGTTTGAGTCTGCCACGAGCATCCTGCACATGTTCGATTTTGAGTTTTGCCATCCTACGAATCGAGTTTGAGGATAAGCGAATATTTGTGACCAGATGAGGTTGCATCTGTAGTACCTAACTATTGCCGCCCAAGCGGACTCCCCAAGCCAACGCCGAAGTAGTCGCTTGGTTCTTGTGCGATAGTGTCCCTGCGGCCGGTCGCTTGTCCGGGACTGATGCTGCTTCCTGCCGAGCTCCTACTCCCCCCACTGGAGTCATCGCGGTCCTTGCCATATCCATTGGTGCCGGCTCGGCCTCCCGGAGGGATGCTCAAACGAGTCGTCTCAAAAGTGAAGTGGGACTCTCCATATCCTGGCTCTGCTGACGGCGATTTCAGCTCGACGAGCTCAAGGGTCCGCTGCAAGGTCGCACCCGACTCATCAAGCGCCATGAGGAAGCGAGCAAGCTCCTTGCACAGGTCCCAATCTTGCTCTTGCTTTGCGCGATGCAGTAAGCGGACTACCTGGTCGCCAGTGGATCGCAATTCCTCAAACGTATGAAGTACAAGCAGATAGCCACCTGCAGTCTTCAAGTTGCCCTTTTGAAGCGACTCTTCAAACAGTTCTTCTGGTGGTGGGAGGTTTGCGAACAGCGTCCGCCAAGAGCGAACTTCTGTCTTGCGCGTACATTGCACGACAATGTCGAGGTACTGCGGGAATGAGCTCAGGAACGACAAGACGCTTGGTAGAAGCGCTTGCTCTGGCGGTGGCTGAGTATCCACTTCTTCGTCCAGGACCTCATGTAATAAGATCTCGAGGGCGTGTGGAAAGTACAGTAGATGCTGGTAGTGGTGGCTGAGGTGTAAGGCTGCAGGGTGGTTGTACTGCGCTAAGTGATACCGTAGCGTCGCGGGTAGGAAGAGATGGGTCTGCAATGCATGTCAGCAAGTAGTCGCTCGGCAACGTCAGTGAACTAGGATAACAACGTACCCTTGTCCCAAATCGCAGGTAGGCGAAGCTGGTGTCCCTGCGCTGAACTATTTCTGACTCCACACCAAAGATGATTGCCTTATTGAGGAGAGCAGACAAAGGATAGAAGTCAACGGGAATCTGGACAGGTGTAGGCAGGTCCCTCCCAAGTTCTGGGGATGCAGACGCAAGCACGTCTTGCATCTCGATCCACACTTTCATATCCTGACCGTCAAAATACCATAACGAGTCTCGCAAGTCGTGGCCATGGCCGTGCACACCGTTGATGGTCAATCCGACCGAAGGACTGGGTGGAAGGGAGTCCTCGTGGGATTCTAGCGCAAAAGCGGGATGATCACGCATCAATGCGTAAGTTTCCACATTGTGTGCGATGACCCGCATCTCATACTTGAGTTCACCGCCTCCCGTTGTCGTAGGCTGGAGCAGCACAAGCTTTCCATCCACGAGGAAGAGAATCGTGGCGACAGAAACGTCTTGAGAGGGATCTCCATGATCTAGCCGGAGTCAGAGGGGTCATCATTGCAGAATTCTGTAGGGCTTACGGATCTGGTCTTCTGGTAGAATCCAGCTAAGTGCTCTGACACGCGTGGGCGCACGAATGATGCCATGTAAGGCAATCTGACCGACCTGTATTAAAGTGACCGTTGCATTGGAAACGCTCATGACGTAGTGATAGAGGATGTTCTCGTAGGTGTAGACAAGTAGGGAGTCCTCTCCTGACGGTGCAATGAGTACGATTGGAGCTGGCAGCTTTTGCACATGCATGATGTGGCTGTTGTCGAGTGCTGATTCTCTCGAATAGATTCGAACCTAAGAAGTTACCGTTAGGATGCTGTCCGGAAATGATACAAGACTCCTTACCTCGTGAGAGTTTTGCGATTCGACTGCCGCGATGAGCACATGCTGAAACCAACACATGCCTCCACGAACAGTGAACTCATTCTCGACAAAAGGATCATCGAACGTTTTCCACCTCCCGCTGTTGACGCTGTAATGTGCGAGCCCTCTTCTGCCGGCAATTGCGACGTATCTCCCGTCATTCGATATGACCACGCTCTTAATGGGCCACTGGTCTACCAGGTAATGGGGCGGCACCTGCACGTGGTGCCATAGAGATAGTTCCGCAGATATCGTCGTCAGATCAGGCAGGTCGTAGCCGCGATAGATCATGAAGCCTGTGCTCGTCTGCATCAAAGATCTCGACACATTCGCTGAAGAGAAACACCCGGTTACAGCACTCCTGGCCATCTCAACAACGAATAATCGGTTATCGTTGTTGCCCAGTATCAAGAGTTCTGCGCCTCCACCGATCCAGAAGGCATCCTTCACGCCGAGTAGCCATCCCTCGCCGTTGGTCTCTGAGATGGCACGGTCGGTCGTGAAGCTGGTAGCGCCTGGTTTTCCGTATACACTCCACATAGCCCAACCATTCTCGTAGCCTGCGAACAGGCAATACCCATCAGGGGAGTATGTCAGAGTGTTTAGCTTGCCTGGCGAGGAAGTATTGGGTTGGAGCTTGTGAGAGATAGGAATGTTTCCAGTATAATCCCGGACAGTGTAGACATAGATCTCACTGTTTTTGCACCCAATAGCCAGTAGCGAAAACCGCGCATTGATAGCGGCCTTCACGCCATATTCGCCGTCTTTTTCTGGAGTGTGGAAGCCATATCCTCGGAAAAGGTTTTGCGGCGCGCTTCCCTCTTGCTTCGCATCTAGCTTCGACCTTTGAACAGCGAAGGCACGACCTTCTCCGGTGATCCAGCACGACAGGTTCATGGGTCGATCATGTGTCATATCAACAAGAGTCGGCTTCTTCCCAAGCCAGCTCATCTTGGTGAGGACCTCAGTGCTCGTTTGGCTTCCTTGGTTGTCTGGCGCCCATCGTATGCACTGCATCGCTGCAGGCTTCGCCGTAGCCACTACAAGCTCATCGTCCAGAGCCAAAGCTTTCACAATCCCAGCGTCGACGCGTATGACCATGCGGAAGCGCAGGCTGAGCTCTTTGAACCCGCTGCCTTCTCCAGGCCCGGCATTGGTGTCGTGCTGACGCTGTATTTTGAAGCCAACAGCGCTACTTCTCCTCGAGTGCGTTCCATGTGTATCCGTGAATTGCGACTTGTAAACGCGGGACGAATGGTCGGTCGCGAGAGAATATGTGATGAGGAAACCGAGGGTGGTCTGGATCACGAAGATCTGAGAGTCAGGTCTGAGGAGGACGTCTGCGTTCGGGCCATATGTCTTCAACGAGTTCTGCGAGCGGAGGACTGAGGCTAGGATGACGCTGGGCTTGACTTTGATCAGCAACACTCAAGTGCAAGAGGGCAGTCTAGCTACCTTCGTCTGCCAAATGGTCAGAGTTGTCCGAGTCAGTGTTGCAAACAACTGTCCGCTCCGAGTCACCCGAATAGCAACGACCTCTCCGTGTACATCTTCTTCCACGAACTGCTCAGGGTTATTTATTTGCTGCGCATCCTGCTCTGGCTGTTTCTCCTTCACTCCTCCAGAGTCTCCTTTCGACGAAACATCGTCGCTATCGCTCGTGAGTTCGGCCTCGGACGAGCTAACTCCGCTACTTTGCGAAGCTTGATCGGTGCCGTCATGGGATACAGGTGTGCGCTCGAGATTCGTGTTCTTAGTAGCCGCAAAAACGGAGGGCGAGGATATGGGCCAGTACGTCATGGCGGTCTACGGACAATTGATTGCTTCATTTGCGCGGACCCGTCTCTCTGCAGGGCGTGAGATCATTCACGATGCGCGTGCAGGTGGAGCTCTGCGGTGCGGTGTTGGAACGCGGGAGCTGCGCAGCGCTAGCCCAAGCTTCCTGTCCTGTGAGCGGGACGTTTGAACGTGCTACCTGGCGCGATGATTGCTTGTTTGCATAGTCATGAATGCAAACGTGTCACAGGAGTAGGCTGATATGTAATCCGTTGTAATTCGCTGCGTACCCTTACGCCTCCACAGCTTGCGCATGCGTATACTTGTACCTGACCCACATTACGTGTCACGTTTCTCAATGCTCGCCTTCCAAACGGCCTCATTCATTGAATATACATTAGAACATATAGAGTTGCAAATCACAGACTACCCGTATAGAGTAATTCTTGGAATTACGTATTTCTGAGCACCACCGTCAAATGCCAAGACAATCCGTCACGAAGCTCACCCATCAACCTGCCATCTCGAGTTTCCACTAACGACATCACCGTCCTCGCGCTTCTTCTCGCCTCGCTCGTAAAGTGCGACCGTTATAACGTCACCCTCCGCGTGATCCGGGAATTTGCGATAAACATCTCAGTGACGATGGCTTTCTTTGGCACGGTGCTCAACACCGTTGGCGCATTGTTCCTCACACATGCGTATGTTCAATCCAGGCTTCCCAGCAGCAAGGGAGACACTCGCAGGGTATAGCTGCTAACGCTATGGCAGTGTCTACTCTGCCCACGAACACACGACAGCGTTCGCCAACACCCCGCTTCCCCTCGACATCACTCTCGAGCTGCTCGTCGGCGTTTTCCTCCTCTCTACCGGCATTGTGGTTTCTGCCGACAAGCTGAAGCCCATCCAATACACCAAGTGGGCAGGTCAGATCTCTCGGGAGGGCAGGCATGGAGAGGGCAAGTACACAAGAGAGGGAGAGGAGATCCTGAGCGAAGGAGACCCTTACGCTTTCTTGGGGCTGGACGGCGGCATCAACGGAAAGGGCGAAGGCCGCCGCGGATTCTGGGACGTTAAGGGCAAGAGGAAGGAGTATGACGAGTGGGTCCGCGGGAAGCAGTGAGAACGGGACCGTAGCCGACAAACAATCACCTGTTTCTCTTTTGCTTCAGGGAACCACCGCGCATGAGAGGCCCACGTGGTTTTGCTAAAGCAAAAGAGCAACAGGGAATGCTCAGGTATGATTGATGTGTATCGAATATTTCCTTGGTTTCAGGGCAATACCACGCATGAGAGGCCATGGGGTCATGCTGAAGCGAAAGAGAAGCAGGAAATTGCTCAGACATGATTGATATATATCGGAAGTTTTTGGAGAGCAAATGGCTCAGAAGGTCAACGCCTGCTCATATACCCAGAACGCCAAAAATCCGCTAGAACGCAAGCAATGCCTCTTACAATGCACCACAACAATCACGAGTCTTTTCATCGACCTCCCGCTTCCTATGCATGTCCAGTCATTTTCTCGAGTCCGCCAGCACCGCACGCATGAGCTTGGCAAGCCCAGCAATCATTCTCTTGCATCGCCTGGCCAATCGCAGCAACATCAGCACTCCTCCTCTTCCCTCCCGCCGCAGCGTCCGCATTGACATCGACTCCACTGACCCACCAGGTACTCGCCGCCACAATTTGCATGACAACACGTAGGTCCTTCTCCGTCCGCGGCGCATAGATCAGCACAAACTCCCGCGGCACGAACCTCCGAAACCAGCCGCCTTTCGCAAGCGGATGCCGCTCGCCCCAGCCCTTCTCCATCATGATCTTCGCATCCGCAGGGTGCAGCGTGAGATGCAGCGAGCCGTCCGAGGGGTGCGCGTGGCAGATCTCGCCGCCGCACGTGCGCGTGATGGGCACGGATGCGAACAGTCCGGAGCTGTATTTCTCGAAGCAGCTCGTGCGTTCGAGCAGCATGTTTGCCGGGTCCGAGGCGTAGGCGCGCATGCGCTCGACTAGCTTGGCGTACATCTTCTCGTCGCTTTTCTGGGTTTGCTGGCGCTGTGGGGCGATGCCTTGCACGAGTGGCCGCTCTCCAGGGCGAGCTGGAAGGGCGTCAAAGTAGCCTTTTTGGGGCCGGAAGTGTGGCGGGATGGGGAGTGGGCGGAGGGGATCGCTGAGGGAGAAGAGACCGAGAGATTTGACTTTTAGGTAGCCCATTGGTGTTGAGGGTGTGCCTCCAGGACCGAGGGACAGGAATGCCTTGTAGTCATGGTAGATGTAGATAGCGGTCAGGATTGGTAGAGTGAGGACCAGTATAGTAGTTAGGATATGGAAGAAGCCCTCTGATATGAGAAGGCTGTTGATGAACTCGGCCTCCATCGTTGCGTGGATGGTAGAATGATACGTTCAAGTCCAATTGAGTCCGTAGTGAGGAGGTCGCGTGGTGACCTAGAACAAGCTCCAGCAACAGCTTGAGCACCGAGCAGAGCAAGATAACTCCGCAGACAATGACACAAGAGTTACAACAGACACAATGGTATCAGTATATTGTGGAACGACGATATCAAAAATCAGCATCCAGACACCACAGCCCTGACCTCACCCCCTCAGCTCCCCCAACGCTTATATACCTCCGCACACGACGTGCCAATGTCCTCCGCAACGTCAAAGGGTCGTTACGCAGGTACCACGTGCCATGCCTGTTGCGCGCTAGCCCGCGCGCTGATTCGCTCGGATGCGACCCTGTGACGAGCTAGCGCGGCGATCCGGGGCCTGAGCGGAGGGCTGTTTTGCGCGGCCACGACGCTGCTGCTATGTCACGATGCGTTTCTCGCGAGGGCCAATCGCGGGTGTTTCGGGCGGGCGGTCACGGGGGCTGTGTTGCTACGGAATAGCTATCTGCACAGGCAGGGTAGGCAATGGGCGCCGTTGACTCCCGTCGTAGCAGCGGCTTCAACGCTGGATGCTGTGATGTACTGTCAGGTTTCTAGGAGAGGTGCTCCGGTGGCGAGCCTCGTGGTGTGATAACGCGGGTTCGCTCTGCGAATCACTGCGTTCCACGATCCTGCGGCGTGCATGCTGAACCCGCATCCGCGTGCGAGGTAAGGCGGGCGGTGCTGGACTTGTCGTGGCAGGCTGTCACGCGCTGCGTTACCCAGTCCTGAAGATGACCTTCGAATGTGCATAATTTTTTCCTCTTTCGTCGCTCGGTTAATGCTGCTAGTCTGAGGGTTTGTTGGTTGGCCAATTGGGTTTGTGCCGATCAGGAATGGTTGCTATGGTCTACGGCGGGTTTGGCATACTTAGGGTTCGGGTCTCCAAGTGTTGTTGCTGCTTAGGTACTACGACCGTCTGGTTCGTTGAGCAGGCGAGACGCTACAGAGTGCTCATAAGACATGTCGATGGCCTTACTTCTACACGTGAGTCTCAAACTTAATGTCAGCACTTTCAGGCTTCGTCGATGCAGATGAAAACGGCTTCTGATGTCCTACATTAACAGTTCACACACAGCCCAAGATTCAAAACGAGAGACAGGATTTGGATTATGACCTCCTGAAAAATTTCAAATGTAGTGGTCAATCGACGATGATGATCAAGTTACAAGTTGGATTTTAGATATTGACTCTGTCTAGCCATATCGAAGAGCTCTCCGTTGCGTGTTGCTACGCATATATGTAGTGCAGTGGATCTTACTTCGCGTAGACCAAGGTCATGCTACAGTGCTCGATATGCTCTTCAGTTGCAAGACTCGTCGCTTCCCTAAGATCAGCGCCACTCAGTGTGCGGAACTTCTCATACATTCACTCGTTTTCAACGACGAAGGGGACGGTCTTTGTGCACCTGATGACCCGCTCGCTCAAATTTTTCCAAAGGTCCTCAAGCGCACCGACAACTCCGAGGTCGCTGGTTCCGCTAATAGGAACGGAACGGGCAACCAATGCCTGCCATTCACTTCCACCTGACTGGCGTTCGTCTTGAAATATGCCAGCAGTTGCGACGTATTCGGTAGTTGTGATTGAATGTTGAATACTGAAACTATGGTCCGGAAGGCGACGCTGACCATACATAGTCTCCAACTGCGCTAGAACGATCAGTTGCGAGTCCATCGCATACAAGGACAAGACGTACCAATGATCATGTCTTGGAGGGCGTTGGCCATAACGGCCTGCTCCAGAGTGAGACTACCCATATTTTCGTCGCTGCTGTGTTCTCGTGTTGCTCTTATGTGTCCAGGTGGTTGGAAGGGGGAAGAGCAGCTACAGGGGACTGGAAAGAAGAGGATATCAGACCGAGCGCAGCTCTTATATGTCAAGGAGACAAGCAGCTTTCTCTTTCCAAAAAGGGAGTTACTCATTCCCCGTAAGCAAACCGAATTGTTCTGCCGAAATGAAAGCAGCTCGAGCGCAGACGGTAAATCGCAAAACCACTGTCAAGCGCTCGACATGGAAACGTTCCCATCTAGTCACTGAGAAGCGAACATAATGAGCTCTAAGAGCTCGAAATAGCCTGTAGATTCGTCGTTTTCCACGAATCAACCCACTGACACCGTACTGTACCTGCTGAACTCCTGTTCTAAAGCTCATACGTTCAACGCCATATCTTACCAGCTCAGATACTTCGTAGCTTACCATTGTCATCTTCAGTCTTGCCCCTGACAATCTAATTGCTACCTACCTAGGTACGTGACCATTGTTTGCCCGCCTGTACCTCGTTCCCAACACAACCCTGCGCGCCTTCACGAACACTCCAAGCCACCACATAAAAACCCACCAGAGGTACCCAAACCAAGACCTAACTCTAGTTCGTCAGTTCCACCTCCCGAGCAACAACTCACTTCAGCACACTATCACGGCTAACTGCCAGCTATGACTGACACCTTACTCCTCACATCCACCACGCTCATCAAAGAGCTCAAAGCCGAGATCATAGGTATGTGTATCATCCCCCACCACGTACCACTCATTTAATATAGCTGATCCATACGATCAGGCCAAGCTCGCGCCTTGTTCCGCCCCAAGATCGCAGCGGGCGAGATCCGCCCAGCCGGCCGAGTCATCGACGTTATCGTCTTGAAGAATGTCGGTGTTACAGATCATGAGGATGATAACTACTACGGGGCTCGTGTGATTTTGTACATAAGGAAGGACCAGGAGGAGGACGAGGACGACGAGGACGACAAGGAGGAGGATGAGTTCGCGAAATGGATTGTGCTGGCGCGCACGGAAAGTGGTCATGAAAGTCCGATTGAAGCATTGCTGGATTTAATGGATGAGATGTATAGGCAGGCTGGGAAGGTGGTGTGGAACTTGGAGTATACCGAGTATGAGAAGTTGGACCCAAAAAAGAGCAAGGCAGGTGGTTATCGAAAGCTGTCTGTTCCTCGAAGGAGGGACACTGAAGAAGTGTATGACGGGATTTGGCGAGAAATTTGAGCCGGGGGGCTATGGAGGACAGACGCGTATTGCAGTGATCGAGGTAGTATCGCCATCGAGACTGCGGTTCGCTCCCGAGCCTGGTACTCAGGTATCTGAATAGCCCGAGGCTGTCCCAATAGCCTTGTTCCAAGGACCGTGTTTGTGTCCTCTACCTTCCTAATCCCTCCTCATGTGTCTCTGTCGACTTGTATACTCCCCCGCCCATCTACTACCAGCTTCCTGCTCGTATGCACTAGAGCGACCGCAGCTGGTCGCAGATCACCGACCTTCTTTAAGAGGTACCACCATTTCCCTCGATCTCACATCAAATAACGGCAGGACGCGTAGTCTAATGGTAATATACCCACACCCTGCGATCCACTTCTTGAGACTGGGGTTCCCAAACAGAAGTTGTGTCTCTGGCCTGTGTGCTGAGAGAGATATGGTTTTCAGCTAGCGGAGAGGCCGAGGACGCTCGTGCTGGGTGATGTGGGAGTTGCGCGTTCGAGTCGTGCCGCGCTGTTTTCTTGTGTAAGATGTGTGCTTGATTGTGGTTGTGGTCAATGTCATGGTCGTGGTCTAAGCCATCATCATGGTCGTGGGCTGGTGGCGGGTGCGAGGTGTGAAAGTGAAGCCGCGCGGTACGGAAACAGAACCAACAGCGTCTATGCGGGGCTAATTGATGTCATCAGATCTGATAGAGGTGTGTGAGCGAGCTAACAGTGAGTGTCGAGTGTAATAGAGCGTACAACGAAGGGGAAAGGCGCGACAGAGACACAACAGCACTTAGTTCCCCACCCTGCCTCATTTAATCTTGTTATATATACAAACACGTCCTTCCATATCTCATCAAAACATGGGACGCGTAGTTCAACGGTAGAACGCCCACACCCAACGACCCACTCCAGCCTCAAGTAGAGTGCTGCTGACAGTACTCCATCACCAAACCAGGTGCTGGACGAAAGTACAAAGAAACTTTCGCAAACCGCGAAAGATGAAGGTACGGGGACGCTCGTGCCGGGTGATGTGGGAGATGCGCGTTCGATTCGCGCCGCGTCTGATTCTTTTTGCGTGCCCGTTGGCCATCACTTTCTGTGGTGTCTGTCAATCGCGTTGTGAATGTGTGGTAAACTTGACTATTTTGCTTGTAGCTCTTGCAAACACGTTTCTGCCAAGAGGTGACTGGGGAGATAGATGCACACGGTAAGTCTTGGTCTGTATTTGGCTGTGCGGGTAGGTATACGGCTTATCTGCTGGTCTGCGCGGCACCTCTCTCTCACAGCGCCTTTCCAGACACCTGCGCCGCGCAGAGGCATCCTGTTGAACACCGTACTAGTCCTGGTATTGCTTGCGTGACTCGTCGATGTCCTGGAACTCGATAGAGGGGTTGGGGGCGAGTTAAGAGCACAGAGGGATAGTGGCATGATAGCGAAGCGTGGCGCGCGAGCCTCTGGATATCCAGCCTATACACCAGTATCTGCAAACAAGAGACATGTGCCACACTCACGTTTAGCAGTATCACTCACTACATACCCTCCCATACCTCACAGTTCTCCATGAAGCAACACCGGGACGTGTAGTTTAATGGTAAAACACCCACACCCAACAACCCACACTCTTCCTCAGAGGGGACTCTGAGTGAGGACGTTGCAAAGGAGGCGCATACGCTCTCGGGCTGTGGTGATGTGGCGATGTGGGAGTTGCGCGTTCGAGTCGCGTCGCGTCTGTCTTTTTGGTGCTGGGTGGCTTCTACTTATGGAAGGGGCGACTTCCTTCTCGGGAAACGTGGGTGGTGTGATTTGTAGGGAGAGAAACAGCGTGTATTGCTCGTCTTGTATGTAAAGAGCTGGTCATTAGGTTTGGTGGACGGCTTTCGATCTACTATTGTCTCCCTACGCTTGACCTCCACCAAAGTTGATGATAATGCCCGACTGCAGACTGCCGGTGCGCGAGTAGGAGCAGGATTAAGAGATTCAGATCGTTCGGCTGCGCGAGATGCTTGTAGGGAGAGTGAGAGATGGTCCGTCCTCTGACAGAAGACGAGTTTGTGGGTAGAGCAGGTTACTATGCATCGAATTACTTGAGGATCCTACCTTCCTGGAAGCGTAACCGCGAGCGAGAAAGCCTGCAGATATGGCTATTACTATTCTAGCTTTTACTGCCCCGATTCCAGGGCCATGGCTCTTTATAGGTGAGTGTCGCCGGCTTGATGCAAACGTCCACGGAGCAGATCGTGTGTGATTCACGTTGTGATCTTGGCTATATCGACTTCGATATAGCCAGCCGGTAGATTACCTACCATCTCGATTTGTCTGGCATCAACGGTTGGATATTCAGAGTGCTCAGCGGGGTCGCAGGGTTCGTGGGTCGGCGCGTCTGAAGAGGTGGTCTTCTTTGCCCGGAATCATCGCTACTACACACGGACTCGAGCTGCCGTCTTATTGACGACCTCACTAGGTCAGATAGGTTCTCGGCCGGCTTTGTCCCTACTTCGTATGCATTTCGTCCGGTGTCAGACTGACGTCATAGTGCTCAACACCGAAGCCACTCGAATGGATGCTTTTGCGATCCCTCAACATCTCAGCCATGTGCTGACAGTGTTTCGGGGTATGTGTCCCACTCGAGCATGCTGAAAGGGTGCTTGTGAGACACCTTCACCGTCACGGGGTGAAGACGTCGGAAGGAATTTCAATTGGCGTCGTTTCCAGGCAACTAAGAGTATGGTCAGGGGCGTCCAGAGAACAATCGAGGCGATGGACCTCGTGGCAGTAGCACCGGAACAAGGACGGGCGGACTACCCTGGCGTGAGCACGAGGCTGGCGGATTCAGGGTCTAACCCGAACAGCCGGTTAGGCCCCAGGTGGCGCACTCCACACGTCTGAGGGGGACCCCACCGATCGTGCCACGGCGGCGGGTGAGCGCTGTGTTCTGTTGAAGAAGCAATGTGCAGGCCACATGTTCTGTGTCGCAGGGTGCACCGCCAGCAATGACGTAGTGCAGCGCCGAGCGCAACAACAAGCGGCCGTTGGTGATCTGCGTGCGCTGCTCAGTCCCCACCATGTCATCTTTTAGCGATCCGTCGCTAGCGGGCGCGGAGGTGCTCCTGCTACGGACGGGGGACTTGGCCATGACCCGTTCGGCCTCGACCTCATCTCGACCCCGAGACCTGCACTCCCACCTCACTGCCGTCCCATGCGGAGACGAGATTAAGCGCAGGGTATGGCAAGAAGCGCGCGCAAGCGCATCAGCTATGGTGGGTGCGACCCGTGCATTGGGTCGCCGGTCGCCGCGGCCGAGCACCTTCACCGTCGCCAGTGCTAACGTGTGCAGTGCTGCCGCTGGCCAACTCGGCGGGCGGTCACCGGCTCGGCGTCAATGGGCTGGCCGTCGACCCGCAGAGTGCGACGCTGTAGGTACCCGGCTGCCGTCTGCGCGCACAGCTAACACGCAGCAGCTACTCGGGCGGGCGCGACGGCGTGATATGCGCCTGGGACCTGGGGCTCGACCTCCGCGCCGCCGACGAAGAGCTCGACCCGTTCGCGGACCACCACGCCGCCGACTACAAGCCGCCGCCGACGCAGTTCCGCTCGCAGGTGCAGGCGCACACCCACTGGATCAACGACCTCGTGCTGGCCAATGCCGGCGCCGCCCTCGTCTCGGCCTCGTCCGACATCACCGTCAAAGTCTGGCGCCCGGCCGCCCACGATTCGGCGCCCCCCGCGACCATTGGCCTGCACACCGACTACGTCAAGCGCGTTGCGTCGCCCGGCCAGGCCGAGAGCTGGGTCGCGTCGGGCGGCCTGGACAGGAAGATCAGCCTGTGGGACCTCAATGGCGGCGGCCGGCGGCTGGAGATTGACGTGGGCGAGGAGGACAACACCTCGGCCAAGGGCTCTGTCTATGCCCTGGCTGCGTCGCCCAGCATCATCGCCAGCGGCGGGCCCGAGAGCGTCGTGCGCGTGTGGGACTCGCGCACCGGCAAGCGCATCACCAAGTTCGTCGGCCACACCGACAACGTGCGCGACATCCTCGTGGCCCAGGACGGCGAGACCATCCTGACCGCCTCGTCGGACCAGACGGTCAAGGTGTGGTCCATGACGGCCGGCCGCTGCATGTACACCCTCACCATGCACAACGACAGCGTGTGGTCACTGTTCTCCGAGGACCCCCAGCTGTCCACCTTCTACTCGTCCGACCGCTCGGGCATCGTCGCCAAGACCGACGTGCGCAACTGCGCCGAGTGGGACGAGGGCATATCGGTTGCCGTATGCCAGGAGCACGAGGGCGTCGCCAGGGTTGTCAGCGCCGGCGACTATCTCTGGACGGCCACCTCGAGCTCCAGCATCAACAGGTGGAGCAACGTCGACACCAGCGCCGAAGTCGAGCTGCCCGAGTCCTACAAGTGGCACAGAAACAGCGTCGCCACGACGCGCTCACGCTACCCTTCGCCGCCCGCACACAGCCCGCCGACGAACGGCACCACTGCCAAGATCCCTGGACGGGCTCTCCTCCGCATGTCGAACGCCGCGCCCTACCCGCAGCTGTACACCAAGGACCCGGACGCGTCGACGCTGGCCAGCGCGCGGAAGCCGACAGACGCTCCGGCTGAGCATGGAGGCATCATACCTGTGCGAAGCGCGCCGGATTTCTGCATCGAAGGCCAGAACGGTCTCATGAAACACCACCTCCTCAACGACCGCAGACGAGTCTTGACCATGGACACAGCCGGAGAATGCATGCTCTGGGATCTCATACAGTGCAGCCCGATCAAGTCGTTCGGCAAACGGCACATGGAGGACGTTCTCCCCGAGGTGAACACCCAGGAGAGCGTCGCTCACTGGTGTGCTGTCGACACACGGATAGGAACACTGACCTGCGTGCTCGAGGAGAACTACTGCTTTGACGCGGAGATGTATGCCGACGACCTGGAGCTGGAAGAACAGATTGAGTTCCGCGACGATCACAGGATCAACCTAGGGAAGTGGGTGCTGCGCTACCTGTTCTCCAACCTCATCGACGAGGAGATCAAGCGCGACGAGGCCTACCGCGCCAAATTGCTGCAAGAGAAACAGCAAGAGGCACAGACAAGTCGGCCAACAGCGATCGAGATGCCAAACGTCAGCATCAACGGCTGGGATCCTTCAGGGCCTACATCTGGCTCTACATTGAAAGGCAACGGCTTCCACTTTCCTCACACACCCGGGATGGGCATTGGCTTGGCGACTCCGCAGCTACCGCCTCACAGCGCTGGGCGGGGAGCACACAACAACGCACTTCTCACACCAACACACGAAGAGGGCAACCAGCTCGAACCTACGAAATCGCAACGAAGCTCGACTCAAGATGGCCAGGATTACTTCGGACAAAGCGCACCCACCAACGGCAACGGTAATGGTAACGGTAAGCCTGCAGAGACCGCTGCTGAGCCGAAAGAAGAGACGGTGTCGTCGCCCACCGCAGAGGACACCCCGTCGAAGAAGGGCAAGGGCATGTTCGGCAAGAAGTTCAACATGGGCTTCAGCAAGAAGATGTTCGCGACCGGCACCGCAATCGCCGCCGAGGTACCCAAGCCGGTGGTCGACGAGAAGGCAGAAGACAGCGACTCGCGGTCGACCAAGACTGACGAGAAGATCTTCGACGACAACTTCGGCGGCTCCATACAACGCATACGACACGGCTACGAAGAGGCTCTCAGCTCGGGCGTGACGGACCTGGTCGCAGCGATTGCGCCCAGCTTGCCCAACGACACGCCTGTGCTAAAGCCGCCCGCCATGACCACGATCCTCATCCAGGAAGACCGGCCCGGGTCCGGTGGTGTCGCCGATCTGTTCGAGGGCAAGGTCGGCACGCTGGCGCTGCAGGCCGATCTGATTGAGAAAGCGGCGCCGATGTGGCTCGGCGAGGTGCTGCTGCGGGTGCGTATACTGTCCCTCCTCAGCCGACAATCAACTGACTTGCCAGAACCAACTCCCCCCCAAGGACATCGTCAAGGTCTCCTTCGTCCTCGAGCCCTACCAGAACATCCTGCCGGCCATCTCCACAGACGGGTTCGTTGCCCCCGATGCACCCCGTGACTGCCGCTAACAAGCCCAGCAACAACCGCCTCAACGCAAACCGCATGCTGCGCGCGCGCAAAATCCTCGGATACGTGGCCGAACGCATCGAACCGGCGCCCACGAAGGAAGACCAGGAGGACGCCGACGCCGCGCTGAAGCCCCACGAGTACCTCGAGCTGTACTGCAACGGCCAGGTACGCCCCCTAGATGTCTGTTTCCCTCATCGTGGCTCGTGACTAACTCCCAGCAGCTCATCGACCCCAAAATGACGCTCGCGTCGATGCGCGCCCACGTCTGGCGCGGCGGCGGCGACGTGGTGCTGCACTACAAGGCCAACGGGCGGCGCGAGATCCGGCCGCTGCCGCGCCACCACGGGCTGCCGAGCGCCCTGCAGCAAGGCGGCGTGTCGTCCGGGCTAGGCAGCAGTAATGTGAGTGAGGGCAAGCCGAGCAGCGAGGCGGGGCGGAGTCAGACGGAGAGTGTGGGGGAGAGGGTTGCGTCGTAGGGGGCTGGGTTGGTTGTATATAGCGATAGACGGGGTGTTTATATGGGAGGCGGTTTGGGGTGGTTGGTGTGTTGTTTCAGACTATCTTACAACATCTTGTGCTATGTACTCGCTTCCTCGCTATGCGTGCCTCGCCCTCGCCTCCCCTCTCCTCTACTCTATATGTCTCCCCCGTCCTCCCCTCCCAGCAGGTTACTCGCCCACTGATAACTCCCCAAAAAGATCGCCCCCCCAACACTAATCCACCCCACCCGCGGCCCCAACCCCGCAAACAACGCCCGCGGCCCGCTCTCCTCCAGTATCCCCCTCAGCATAACCCCCAACGGCACCTTCTCCCTCGCCAGCATCATCCTTGTCTTGAGCACATCCAACGGCGTCGTAACCCCCGCAGCCACGGCCCCCGCCACGCTCCCCAACAGCCCGCCCTCCAGCCCACTAACCCGCCGCCCCGTGGTCCGCGCCCGCCACGCCTTCAGCGCCTCCCACAGCGGGAACTGGATCACCGTGAACGGGATCTCGCGGATAATCGTGATGCCCCAGCCGCGGTAGAGTTCGCGCCAGACGTGCGCGGCGCCGTGCGCGCGCCGTTGCGAGAGGATGTGGGTTAAGGCGGCGAGGCTGGAGGGGTGCTGGCCTGCTTGTGCGCGCTGCTTGACGACCTCGGTGGGGACGCGGACGGCGCAGGCGGCCGTTTCGGCGAGGCTGGCGGCCAGCATGTGGACGGCTGCGCCGGCGGCGGCGGGCGCACCGGTGGTGGTGGGGGGTGTGAGGGCGCGCTTCAGCCCGTCGTAGGTGATGAAGAACAGCGCGGCGCCCGGCGCGGAGCCCCAGAACGCACTCCCGATGCCCTTGTACATGCCGCTGAAGCCGCCCGAGGCGCGGAAGCCGGCCGAGGACTGCAGGCGCGTTTTCAGGGTGTCCAGCGGGAAGAGCGTCATGTCGACTGTGGTGCCGGCGAGGCCGCCTGCCTGTGGTCAATTAGCTTTACATATCGTTGTAGATTGGTGCTAGGATGCAGTGGACAGCGTGTGCAGGGCGTGGACAACTACGACGTGGCTGCGTGCAACCGCAGTTTCTTCGCCGCGCCATCACAGCTATCTGCGACCTGTGCATGCAATTGCGCGCCAGACTCGTGCAGAACCCGTCGAATATCTCGCGCAGAGGAACGTACCAACAGCGACCGCGCATACGGCGACTCAACCCATGGCTGTGCGCGCGCGGACTTGGTGGCGCTCATCGTGGGCGAAGGCGTGAGGTGCGGCGCGGTGCAGCTTGAGCTCCGGCGGTTGAGCTCCGTTGGCGACGTCAGCTTGCTCCGAGGTGCGTGGGACGCTTTTTGGGGGCCTGTGCGCCGCGTCGCCAGACACGCTGCATACGGTGTGCTACGCGAGGTTACTGCTAACACGGGTTTTTGGTGTGCAAGGAAAGAGAAGGGTTAGGCTAATGGGAGATTGAGTCTGAGCATGAGTGTGTCTGCGTTGACGGTGCGGTGGCTGGCGAGTACGGGGGTTGTGGAGCGGCAAGAGGCGACTGCAAGTGAGCAGCATGAGGGGGAGCTTGGTCATGAAGAAAATACGCAAGAGCAGGAAGAAAAAGAGTACTCGACCAGTCACGAGGAGAATGATGATCGTGCTGCCAATTCACGCCATGAGGACGATGAAGGTCTGCACCACGACCAAGTCGCAACACCAACATCAGACTCGACCGAGGAAAGCGACTCTGGGTCAGACACCAGCACTTCTACTTCTAGTCTATCGACGTCAGCTCAATCACCTCCATCAACGAGCTGTATCCAAGAAGCCCAGCTCTCGCCCGACGGCACATGCATCTTCACCTCCGACTACGCCCGCGCCTTCTCTGTCTACCCCCTCAGCACCGACATTCTCTCAGCCCCCACCACCCAACCTCTGACCCCATACGCCCGCTTCCAGTCCGCCGACCCCATCTGGGCATTCGCATGCAACCCGCTCTTCAACCTGCAGGACCCCAGCAGCACGCACGTCCTCATCAGCCGCCGCGACCGCTACATCACGCTGCACAACGCGCTGTGGGACGTCTCGGCTCCTCCATCTCCCACTCCCGCAGCCCCCCCATCGTCACCAGTAAACATCCACACCCCCCTCACATCCTACAAGCTCACCAACCCGCTCACCGAAGCCGTCACCGCACCCCTCAGCCTCGCCTACAGCCCATCCGGCACCCACTTCCACGCCGGCGCCACCAACGCGCTCTTCACCTTCGACCTCTCGCACCCCGAGGCCCCTGTAACGCGCATCCCGACCATCCCTTCGGCGCGCACGAAACTCAAGGGCGGCGGCCGCGGCTTCAAAGGCGCGATCGCCGCGCTCGCCGCCGCCCCGCAGTTGTCTGCGTCGCACGGGCTGGTCGCCGCGGGCGCGCGCACGAGGCACGTCGGGCTGTACGATGCGCGCGGGGCCGAGGTGACGCATGTCGCGCTGGGGGGCGTGCGGGGCGAGACACGCTCTGGTGCTGGCGTGACGGGATTGCGGTGGAGTGCGTGTGGCCGGTACTTGTACGTGGGCGAGCGCGACGCGGATGTGCTGCTTATCTACGACGCGAGGAGTTTCGCGTTTGCGCTGGGGTGCTGTGGGGGAAGGGCGGCGCGAGGAAGGCAGAGGTTGGGGTTTGATGTGTGGAGTGGGAATGGGGGGGAGAGCCATGAGGTGTGGGCTGGGGGAGTGGATGGGAAGATCAGGGTGTGGCGCGATCCGCAGCTGAGGGAGGGGGTGGTGGAGGCAGACGAGGTGGTTGGTGTTGGTGGGGGACAAGGAATGCCGGTTGTGAGTGCGCTGGTGCATCCGAGTGGGACGCTGGCGGTGGCGGCGAGGGGGACGATACAGCTCGGCGACGACACGGGCGGGGGGGTGAGAAGAGGCGGCGGCAGGAGGCCGCGGTTCTCGGAGCGCGGCTGCTTGGATATCCTCGGACTGTCCGGATACTGAGACTGCGGGCGTACAAGGACCTGGTGTTTCTTGTTGCTGCTACCGAATGGACACCCGGCGCTCACGGTTCACTTCTCCCTTCCACCCGCATATCCCAGATAGTATGCGCATGCCAGGACCCAACAGATGCATTACGCAGTGCAGCTAGCAAGCCGACCGACCAACCAACCAACAGACAGTGTCTCGATTGCAGACACGCTCGCCAAAAAACTAACTCGCTCGGTGAAGTGAACGACGACAACCCCCACCAGCGCCAAAAAGAACGGACGCGGCGCGAATCGAACGTGCACCTCCCACATCACCCGGCACGAGCGTCCTCGCCTCCTCCGCCAGCTAACCGGTTGCAACAGCTTGCTGTGGAGCACCACCAGCCCTCAGTCAGAGCGCCTCAGAAATTAATCAAAGGCAAGTTCCAAAAGCTATAGAAATTAATCAATAACGGATATTTTGCTCTTCCTGAGACTAGGGTGGGGTGTGTAGTGTGGGTGTTCTACCGTTGAACTACACGTCCTGGTTTTGATGGAATATCAGCGGATGTGTGTGTAGATGTAGTGAGCTTGATTGATGCAGTACGCCTCCCTGCACTGCACACAAGTATCATGATAGAGCGCTCCTATATCCGCTGCACGACCACGCTTCACTTGACTCTTCACCACAGTTCTAGTGCTAACTCACTTCACCAAGTCTAGGGCGTTCAATTGACGTGGAAACAAAACCCCACCAGCGAAAGCTCCGCACCACCAATTCAAACTGCGCAACCACAAACTGGCTAGCGTCATATGGCGGCAGCAGCTCTGTTAAACAAGCGCAACCCTCCAACTCCTTCTCCTAACCCATGCCCAGAATGCACTCACAAGACACTGCACTCTCTTAACCTATCGACACCACACAGCATCCACAAAGCTCTACCCAGCCCATCGCACCACACTTTATCTCCCGTCCAAAACATACAACTGCCCTGTTTCTCTTACAAAACAGCAAAACCATCACGTAGCCATGAAGTGAAAGAGGCTGTAGTGACTAACCAAGCCTGAACACACAAAAAAAGTAGACGCGGCGCGACTCGAACGCGCACCTCCCCGCGACCACGCCGCTCTGACGAACGTCCCCACCTCCTCCGTCAGCTGCCTGAACGCAGGGTCACAGGTGGCTCTTTTGGAGTTTGCCAGCCAGCCGTTAGGCTGGGGTGGAGTGTGGGCATGGGGCGTTGTACCGTTGAACTACACGTCCTGGTTTTGATAAGGTATTGGGGGATTCGTTTGTATCTATAGTTATAGTGAGATTTGGGGGCGGTGTGGCTGCGGTGTGCGTGGTTGGGGGAGTGGGTGGTGTGCTGCGCCTTGTATGTCTTGCCTTCACTGCGCTCTCCACGATTTCTGCGATACTCAACATTACCTTGAAGCTACTCAGACGCCTCTAACAGATCTAATAACATTAGTTAGTCACACATATACGCTGGAGAATTCATCCCCGTCCCACACAGCTTCACTCACCCGGACCGCGCCACGCCCACACTCCCCACCCACAAACAGCCTGGCACCAACAACCTAGGCCCAGGACCAGCCCACCAAGCCTTCACCCCAACACCTCAACGCCCCAATCCCCGTCTGCGCAGCGTCCACACCCGCAGCCCCGAGGCGCAAGCATGTCCACACGGCCACTCTCTCGTGCTCGTGCAAGAAGACGTGGACAACGTGAACTCAGTGGATAACATGAACTCAGTGAACTCCGTGAACCAAGCAAACAACATAAACCACGCGCACAACAAAACAAAACAGACAGACAAATCAGGCCGTAAACCCCCAGACAAACACAAAAAGAAGAACAGACGCGGCGCGACTCGACCGCGCATCTCCGTCTCGCTGCTCATGATCAGTGTCAGGAAAGCATTGTGCCGCCAGCACCCTGGCCGGATCGGTGGCGAGGCGGATGTGCGTGGACTCGGCGTTCTGTCTGTAGTTTGACAGAGCATTGGCGAGGGTGGTTGGGTGTGTAATGAGGGTGGTCGGGCGTGCAGTGATCAGACATGTCTGTATGTACTGAGCCAGACGACGCCATACAGGCTCTGTGCGCGCGAGCTTTTGCTCTGCGGTGCGGCTCGACCGCCTTCGTGCTGTCCGGCGCGGGACTGCTGGCGCGGGACTGCTGGCGCGGGACTGCGTGCGGAGGGAGGGTTGGAGGAACGTCGGGTAGCTGTGTAGAGGGTGTGGGCTGGGCGGGCGGAGAGAAGTGTCAGCCGGAGAGAAGCGTCAGGCTGCTAGGGCGTCATGTTAGACCGATGATATCAGATGGATTACAGAGGGCACGGACAGCGGGGGCAGCAGGGGCAGCGAGGAGAGCATATCGTAATTGTTTCATTGAGACGCCAGACGCCTTTCCATGCCTCGTCCATACTTCATCTTCCTTTTGGTATCCCCCCGTCATCGCATCACAGCTGTTCAACACCCCACCTCTTCAACACCACAGCCTAATCGTCCCATCCGCACCCGCACTAACACACCACGGCTCCCGCGGATGCCACTGCACCCCCATAACGCCCAGTCTCTGCTTAACACGATGCCCCCTGAGCACCTTCAGCGGCACAATGGTCGCATTCTGCATGAGATCCCCCACCACCTTGCCGTGAAAAACCTGCAAACTGCCATCATCACTCGCATCCGCGAACAACGGCAACCCACCTGGATGAAACGCGACGCTGCGGATCGCCGCGGTGTGGAACCGCAGCGTCTTGTACGGCTTCGTACTCAACTCCAAATCATGCCACAGCAGCCTCTTATCATACGTCCCGACGACCAAATTATCGCCGCCCGGGTGCAGAGAAATGTCTGAGATCCACTTTGCGCCCGGCGTCAAGATTTTGACGAGTTCCTGCTTCGCGAGGTCGTAGGCGCGGATCGTGTTGCGGGTGGCGACGAAGAAGAGCGGTTTGAGCGGGTGGAAGAGCGCGGTTTGCGCGAGCCCCTTGAGGCGGCGGAACGGCAGCTGGGTCAGGTGTTTAGAGACCGTGTGGATGGCGACCGAGGAGGAGGCGCCGCGCGGCGAGACCGTGGTGAAGTAGTCGCCGCGGCGGTGCCAGGAGAGCGTTTTGATGGCGGAGCGGACTTCGATTTGGATGAGGACGCCTTTGTTTTCTAGCTTCTTCTCTGGCCGGGACCAGATGCCGGGGGGCGTTTTGGGGGCGTCTTCGGCGGCGGCGGCAGAGGGTTTCGAGGCTGCGTAGCCCCACCCGGCGTCGAGCAGGTCGCGCGAGTGCTGCTCGATGTCGGGCGACAGGATCGCGAAGGGGATGATGAGGTAGACGTGTTCGCCGGCGGCGGCGGCGAGGATGGAGGCTTCCTTGACGGGGCGCCAGGCGACGGTGTCGACGGCTTCCTCGGAGGAGAGGCGGGCGTTCCACACCTGGCGGCCGGTGAGGATCTCCCAGATGCGGACGTAGCCGTCGTCGCCGCCCGAGGCGACGAAGATGCCCAGCGGATCGACGGAGACGGAGCGCACGCGGCCCTCCTGGCCGCGGAAGATGGCGGCGCAGGTGGTGGGGAAGGGCTTGAGGTCCTCCGGGTCGGGCAGCTTGGGCAGCAGCGACTCGGGGTCGATGTTGAGGCGGTTGCGGCGGATGCGCGGGGCGAGGTACAGGTCCAGACTGCGCTCGAAGCGCTCCTTGACGAAGGCGTCGTAGCCGGGCACCTTGCGCAGGGCCTCGTAGTTGCTGGGCAGGAACTCGCGCTCGCGGTCCTCCTCGTCCTGCGCGCGCCAGGCGTCGGCCTCGGCCTGGTCGGGGAGGTACTCGGCGGGCGGGTGGTAGGAGGCCTCGTAGCCGGGCGGCGGCAGCTTGGGCGCGGCGATGTGCATTGAGTTGGCGTCGCGCGGCTTCTCGTCGGCCCACACGTCGAAGCTGAACTGGTCCTCCTCCTCGATGTCCTCGGGCGGGCGGTACGGGGCGATGCGGCCTTCGCGGATGGCCTTGACGATCTTCATGACGCGCTTCGCCTCGTGCTTGGACGGCACGAAGCGGCGCTTGGGCTCGGGGGCGGCGCTCAGCGGCATGACCTCCTGGTTGACGCCCGAGAAGTAGGCGATCATGTCGGGGTACGGGTCGTAGCCGTCCTCGATGATCTCGTTGCGCGTGACCTTCTTCAGCACGCTCAGCTCCTCGTCGGACAGCTGCAGCGGCTTGCCGGTGGTGGGGTCGGTCAGGCCGGTCCAGCCCTTGGGGATGTCGATGCTGTCCAGCAGGGCGTCCAGAGCCTCGCCCTTGGCGGGGCGCATGATCTTCTTGCCGTTGATATCGTAGCCAATGTGCGGGTACTCGTCGTAGTAGGCGAGGTCGATGTTGCCGATGGTGTTGGTCTGCTCGGCGTCCGAGTCGTCCGACTCGTAGACGGGGTCGATCTCGCGGTAGATGTAGCGCGTGTTGCCGTTGGCGTCGGTCTGCACGGTGTAGTTGGGCTTGAGGGCCTCGTCGTCGGCGTCGAGGGCGGGGGCGGTCAGGGCGTCGAGGTCCATCTCGTGCGTCTGCTGGCCGGGCTTGCGCTGCGGGGCGTCGGCCGTCTTGAGGTTGCGCATCTGCTCGCGAATGTCGTCCTCGTCGTCGTCCTCCTCATCCTCGTCGGACAGCCCCTCGATAATGCTGCTGGCGTCGGTATCATCGTCGACGTCTTCCTCACTGCCCGATTCGTCCTCTGAATGCGACAGAATTCCCTCGAGCAGCCCGTCGCCCAGCTCATTCTCGGACTCGCTCTCCGGCGGCGGCGGCGGCCTGGCGGCGGCCTTTCTCTTGCGCGGATTGACAGACATTGCGGCGTTGGACGGCGTTCGCAGCTCCCACTCGAAATTTCTGGAGGCGCGAGAAGTTTTAGTGGGGCCGCGCTAGCAGGGGTGCGGCGCGCTCAGGTTCCCCGGCTGCAACAAAACGTCGCCGTCACCGTCACCGCCGCCGCCGACGCACCGACGCCGCACTCGACGCGAGCACTGCGTGAAGTACCGCCTCGACTGCCATGGCGACGCGCCACGCTGATTCATCAAGGCACGACCGCGGTCGCTACGAGCCGCCCCGCCGCGACCGCTCGAGATCGCCGCGCCGAGACGCAGACCGCGCGCGGGGGGACCGCCGCGACGACCGCCGCGATGACCGCGACCGTGGGGATCGTGGCGACCGCGGGGAGCGAGGGGACCGCTACGGCGACCGCTACTCGGGCAGCAGGCGGGACCGCGAGAGAGACAGGCCCGCCCGCCGCGACGACCGCCGGGACGATCGCAGGGACCGCCGCCGCTCGCGCTCGCCTGCCCGCAGAGACCGCTCTCGAGACCGCCGCGATGACCGCTACCGCCGCGACGACCGCAGCCGCAGCCGCGCCCGGGGCGAGCGAGACGACCGCCGCCGCCGCTCGAACTCACGTCTCTCGACCTCACGCCGCCCGGGCTCGTCGGCTGCCACGCCCGCGCCCGACACCCGCCGCGACCGCCTGCCCTCGGCCGCGCGCGACGACAAGCGGGACCCCGACGAGGACAAGAAGGCGGCGCGCGCTGCCAAGCTGGCCGAGTGGAAGAAGCTGAACGCAGGGCGCCTGGCCAAAGACAAGGGCGACACCAGCGCCGCCGCCTCGCCTGGCGTCTCTGCACCACCCACGCCCTCTGTCGCTGCCACGCCGCCGCCCACCGAGCCCGCCAAGCCCAAGGTCACTGCGAAGAGCGCTGCCGACAAGCTGAAGCAGAAGCAGCCCGAGAAGTCCACCTTCCGCCTCGACGAGTCGGCCGCCGCCCGTCCGCTGGCTGCCAAGCCCGCCGGCAAGCCCGTCACCAGTACGTCTCTACTAACCATGCATCTACCTACACCACAGATCTACACATGCTGACCTCGCAGCACCCGCGGTTGCACAGCCATCCAAGACAGCCGCTAACATCGGCGCCTTTGGGCTGAAGACCAAGAACGCCCTCGAGACAGCGTCGACGAAGAAGGCCTTCCTCGACGACGACACCGACACTGGCAAACGCAAGTTCCAGGCCCTGCCCGCCTTCGCGCCCATCGACGACGCCGACCACCTCCCTGACGCCGAGGAAGAGGATGGCGCTGCGCTGGACGACATGGGCAGCGACGACGAGGAGAACAACGCCCAGCTGCAGGCCCAGCTCGAGAAGCGCCGCACCGAGATGGCTGCCGCGACCGAAGACACCGCCATGGAGGAAGTCCCTGAGCAGGCCGCCGAGATGGACGTGGACCAGAGCGCCGATGCCGAAGACGAGATCGACCCTCTCGAGGCCTTCATGGCCGGCCTCACCGAGCCTGCCCCGAGCCGCTCGGCGCCCCAGGGCACCGCCATGTTCAACGACGACCTCGAGCCCGAGCAGACGTCTGTCGAAGCTGAAGATCTGCTTGCCATGAACGCCCACAAGAAGAAGAAGAAGGAAGCCCCGGTCGTCGACCACAGCAAGGTCGAATACGAGCCCTTCCGCAAGAACTTCTACACCGAGCCCTCCGAGGTCTCCGCCATGACGCCCGAGGAGGTCGCTGATCTCCGCCACGAGATGGACGGCATCAAGGTCAAGCCTGAGGATGTTCCCCGTCCCGTCACCAAGTGGGCGCAGATGGGTCTGCTGCAGGCCACCATGGACGTCTTCCAGAAGGTGCGCTACGACCGGCCCACCGCCATCCAGGCGCAGGCCATTCCCATCGCCGAGTCGGGTCGGGATCTTATCGGCGTTGCTAAGACAGGTTCTGGTAAGACGCTGGGCTTTGGCATTCCCATGATTCGACACATCCTCGATCAGCGCCCGCTCAAGTCCTCTGACGGACCCATCGGGCTGATTCTAGCGCCCACGCGAGAGCTAGCCCTGCAGATCAAGAACGAGCTGAAGCCCTTTCTGCGCGCGTCCGGCATCAAGATCGAGTGCGCGTACGGCGGCGAGCCCATCTCTGACCAGATCGCCATGATGAAGCGCGGTGGTATCCACGTGCTCTGCGCGACTCCCGGCCGTCTCATCGATCTGCTGCAGAGCAACTCCGGTCGTGTTTTGAGTTTTAGACGCATCACATATGTCATCCTCGACGAGGCCGACCGCATGTTCGACATGGGCTTCGAGCCGCAGGTCATGAAGATTCTCGCAAACGTCCGCCCTGACCGCCAGACCATCCTCTTCTCGGCCACCTTCCCCAAGAACATGGCGGCGCTGGCCCGAAAGGCGCTCAACCAGCCGGCTGAAGTCATCATCGGCGGCCGCAGCAAGGTCGCGCCTGAAATCACGCAGATCATCTCGCTGGTGCAGCCGTCGTATGAGAAGAAGATCAACAAGCTGCTTCTGCACCTTGGCCAGCTGTTTGCCGAGGACGAGAACGCACAGGTGCTGGTCTTCACTGAGAAGCAGGAGACGGCAGAAGATCTCTTGTCAAAGCTATTCAAGGCGAAGTATTCCTCTGTCAACACTATCCACGGCGCCAAGGACCAGACGGACCGTAACGAAGCTATCAACGACTTCAAGCAGGGCGTGCTGTCCATTCTCGTCGCCACCTCTGTGGCTGCCCGCGGTCTCGACGTCCCCGGCCTGGCAATGGTTTTCAACTTTGACTGCCCCACTCACCTCGAAGACTACGTCCACCGCTGCGGTCGTACCGGCCGAGCAGGCAACAAGGGCACAGCCATCACCCTCCTCGAGGACCCCGGCCAGGAGCGCTTCGCCGTCCACATCGTCAAGGCCCTCAAGGAGAGCGACACGCCCGTCCCCGAAGGCGTCCAAGCCATGGCCGACACGTTCCTCGAGAAGACCAAGACCGGCGCCGAGAAGTTCTACGGCGGCTTCGGCGGCAAGGGCCTCGACCGCCTCGACGCCGCGCGCGCCCTCGAAAAGAAACGCGAAAAGCGCGCCCACAAAGTCGAAGGCGAAGACGACTCAGACGACGAACCCGAGCTCCCCGCCCTCGCCCCCGACACCGCCAACCCCGGCCTCGCCAAACCCACCGACCCCGCCACCAAACCCCCCGAAGACCAGCCCTCGTGGATGAAACTCCTCAACTCGAAAATCGTGGTCCAGAAAACCGAGCGCCCCGACACCAGCGCGCCCGGAAAACCCATGTCCGCCAAAGAACGCGCCCTCGCCGCCGCCAACAAAGTCGACGGCCGCCTCTCCAAGAAGGGCATGATCCACGCGGGGCAGCCCATCGACAACAAGGGCCCCGACGCAGGGCTGTACCACAGCACCATCGAGATCAACGATTTCCCGCAGAAGGCGCGCTGGGCGGTGACGAACCGGACCAACGTCGCGAAGATCCTGGAGAACACGGGGGTCAGTATTACGACAAAGGGGAATTTCTACGCCCCTGGGAAAGAGCCGGGGGAGCTGGAGTTGCCGAAGTTGTATATTCTCGTCGAGGGCGATACGGAGAATGTGGTTACGCAGGCCATGATGGAACTCACCCGTTTGCTGCGCGAGGGCACGATTGCGGCCGAGGATGCGGGTGCCGTGCGCGGGCCTACGGGCAGGTATAGTGTGGTCTGAGGTATGTGTGTGCGTGCTTTTTTGCTTTTTATGGGATTATGGGGGGTGGGTGGGTGGATGGTGGTGGATACGGTGGTGCTGTGGTGCTGTCTGGCTGGTGCTGTGGTGCCGCCTGGAGCGATCCCGTCCTCCCCTGCGCCATCAAAGTAAGTCCCCCCCCCTGCGCCGGAGTAATACCATTGATAACCACGCCCGCTCCCAGGACCCGCTTCCCGCGCCTGCCTGCGCCGCCTCGGGGTTTCGGATTGGGGGGTGGAGGGGAGGGGAGGGGAGTGAATGCCTCCCAGCTGCCTCGTAGTCTGTGTAGCTTACACTCCGCACAGTAATGGAGGAATAAAAATTCAATGTATACTATATAAATTCTCTTCTAAGATGCCGGGTGACGGCCTCCAAGCTCGCGTGTAGGGCCTGCGCATGGCGGTGCGCTGGGATGGGTACCTGCATCTACGTGTGTGCGTGTATGCATGCACTGCGCCTCCTGCCTTACCACCTACCTGCCACCTGCCTAGCCGCGTGCTGAGCCGCGTGCCTTGCCTTGCCGTAAGCTCTGCCACGTGCACCGCGCCGCAGCCCGAAGGAGACTGCCCGAAGTAGACAGCCCTTGGTCTTGGTGTTGGTCCGCAGCGCGGGTCCGGATCTGCGAGTCTGCGGGTCTGCGGATCTGCGAGTCTGCAGCTGGGCTGGACGGGAATATACGGGGCTGAACTGCACTACCCTGCACTACACTACACTACACTGGACTGCACTACACTGGGTTCGACCGGGTTGAACCGATACCTAGGGCCCGGCTGGCGAGGCTGGCGAGGCTGGCGGTGTTGGGCGTGACCTCGTGGCGTCGTAGCGTCGGGGTCGGTGTTGGGGTCCGGGTTGTGTCTGTGTCTGGGTTTGGAGCGTTGGAGGCGCGTTGGAGGCGTGCTCAGCACGGGTGTTGGGGTTCGCGCTGGAGATTTGTTGGTGGTCGGGCGAGAGAACCGGTCGGGCGAGAGGGAGGCGTGGCTGCTCAGCGCGGTCGTGAGGGCTGGTCGCGCTGGGAGATGGCGAGGCCGCTGTGCTTGGGTTGGGGGCGAGGTGGTGTTGTTGCGGTTTGGGGTGTTGTGCTGTGCTTTGCTTTGCGGCGCTTTGCTGTGCTCCGCTCCGCTGCGCTTCGTTCGCTCCGCTCGCTCCGTTCGCTCCGTTCGCTCTCAGCTCAACCGCTGCAGATACCCCTGCTGAATCAGCCTCTCGACATCGCCGTGGCGCACGTAGAACTGGCTATTCCTTGTGAGCGTAATCGACCTATCACCGTCAGCATCAGCACCGCGACCCAAACACACCCACGCAGCGCGCGCAGTGCACGCAAACTCACCCATACTCCGTCTGAATCTCGCCCGCATCCCTTAACACCCTAACATCAATAAACAGATCCCGCGGCGGCTCCAGACTCCCCGTCAAATCCACATCCGTCCACCGCCCCTTGTACGCCGCCAGCAGCTCGCCATACAACCTCACATACTCCTCCTCCTCGGGCGCCAGACTGCTCTCGCCGACGCCCGCCCCGCCTTCGCCCGCGCTCTTCTGGTGCGTCTCAGCCACATCCACGCCCTCCCAGCAAAACCCCTCCAGCTTCTCAACCCGCACCTTGTGGTACGCCAGCAAGCACCGCTTGTTGCGCCGCATGCACAGGTGCGCGACGAGCAGCGCACAGGCGGTGTCTGGTGACGACGAGGGGTTGAAGGAACCCGCGTAGGGCGCGAGGAGCGCGGCGATCGAGGAGTCGAGGTCCCGCACTTCGCGCGTCGTGGTGCGGATCAGCTCCGGTTGGTAGGGGGGCAGGGCGGGGAGGGCGAGGGTGCGTTTTGCGTTTTGGACCTGGGGGGGTTAGAGGGGTAGCGTGATATGGATATGGGTCTGGTTGGAAGATGTGCTGGTGGTGGTGTGGTGGGGTGGTCGAGGTGTAGATATAAAATCGCGTTCGGAGAGGTGTGCTCACCAGCTTGTTGGCTGTTTCGCCGTACATTGTGGTGGATGTGATGCTTGAGCACGTGTGGAAGCGGACGTTATACGGGTGTGGTTGCAAGCGTGGAGGGCTTTGTTGTCGCGGCCCCGCACAGTGAAGATCAGTCGCGTCGACGCGAGCAGGTGGGGCCGCTCGAGTCCCTTGCTGCAGCTCTCCCCCGTCCACTCAACAGCCGCCCACGTCATGTGCCTGAGTATCTCTTCGCGACTCGCTCCATTTCACACCACTTCACAGACATATCAAGAAGAAGAGTTCTAACAAACATTCTATCGCCCGAGTCGAGCGTCTATCAAACTAATCTACAAAACATCGGGCGCCGCCAATGCTAAAATGCTGGATCGCGGTCCACCAACGCCGTGCTGAACCGAATTCCGAGAGGGTATCCAACATGTAACTCAAATCATGCGTATGCGGTCGTATCTATCGAATGACGTCATCTTCCCCGGCCCTCGCCCTCAGTGCTCTCCCACCCACTTGTCGAACTCGGACTCCTGGTCGAGCGACGCCATGGACGGATCCGCCTGCCACGACGCGCCGTAGCTGTCGTGCGCGTGCTCCAGCTCCAGCAGCCGCTCCATCTCCTGCTGGTCGTACTTGTGGTCGATCATGGTCGAGTAGCTGTTGCGGTAGTCGACGACGTCGGCGCGCGGCCCGCCATCGTACGCCAGCAGCAGCGGGTCGACCTGGCCCTCGTCGAACGGCGTCGTGACCTGCGTCTGCAGGTGGCTCATCAGGTCGCTCGCGTCGCCGCCCGGCAGGCCCAGCAGCTGGTTCGACGAGAACTGCAGCGCTGGGGCTGGCGCGCTCGCGGGCACCCCGACGCGCCGCAGCCGCAGGTCCTCGCTGTAGTGCGTGCCCATGTGTACGTTCGGGTACACCGCGGTTTGGTAGTACTGGTTGTACATGTCGTGGTGCATGGGCATGGGCATGGGGCGGCCTTCGTTGGTCATTTCCCACGACGAGCGCATCATGCTGTTGGGCGGGTGTCCGTACGGGCGCTCGACGTACTCCGCGGGCCCGAGGTTGGGTGGGTAGCTGATGGAGCGCTGGAAGCGCTTCGACGGCCTCGATCGCCTGCCGCTCTCAGGGGCCCACTCCGCGTCGTCAAGGTCGCTAGGCTCCTCGTCCGACCACTCATCCTTGCGTTTCCGTGGGGGGGCAGCCGCCTTGCTGGGGGAGAACTTGTACGTTGGATGTGCGTTGTGGTGGTTGATCCGTTCGATCTTGGCGTAGTCGTTGAAGCGGTCGCGGACCTCTGCTGGCTCGAGAGGCCAGCTCTCTCCCGCCACTGACGACACCACTTGATGGTTATTCTGTAAGCACCACGCCTTTGCGCGCTCGGCATATGCTGATCGGTAGAGCATGAACGAGTTCATTGGTCGGGTGATGTAGCCGTTCCTCTTCTCGGCTTCTTTCAGCCTAACGTCTGCTGTCCGGTTGACCCATGCCTCCATGTCCTTAACTGGGATGTGATGCAGCCTTTCCGTCAGTAAACTCAAGGGAGCGGTCAGCTTGGGCACTTGCGCCTTGTCTGCTTTTGCGGCCTTGGCCTTCCTGGCTTTTGGCGTTGGCTTTGGCTGAGGACTGTCATGTCTTCGAGGCGGGCTCGCGCTTGCTTTCGACCGTACACTGCGAGATGATCGCACGGTGTAGTCGTCATCATTGGTGGACCTTGGAGTCGGCGGCGAAAACACACCCTGGCTGCCCTGCTACGCGTTAGTTGGAGACAGCCGACCGGAAGACGCAGCATACCGGGTGACCAGCTTGACCGTCGTGGTAATACTCCGAAGCACCATAACCTTCCTTGGATCTGGTCAGCATCATTGCTTGGATGTGTCCGATTGTACCTACATATTGGATTCCTAGCCCGACTCCTTCGCCGTGGCTGCCGGCATGTGCCGCACGCAAAGGGATCCCTTCGTGACCATGAACGCCATAGCCCGCCTCACTGTACGAATACCCGCCATCTGCGCCATATTGCGCAACTCGATGCAGGTCCGAATGAAAGTCTCCCACTAGCGTTGGCGGGGTCGGGGGGTGTCGCTGGACTAGAGTGTCTCCTCTCATGGCTGCCTTGGGTCCTGGAACTCGGCCAAGACGGTGGTGATTGAAAGATCCTGAATATCACAAAGACGCAAATTCTGGACTCACTGCCAAACTGGTGGCGATGATAATGAAGCGTACACGAACAAGCAGATGCGACGGCGGACAAGTTTGGTCGGCCTGGCCTGCTGAGAATTGATTCAAGACAAGACAAGGAGCTGTTGCGCACTGTCGATGATGCACAGATCGGACGAGTGTGCGTCTGATATGTCTGGAGCGGTGTCAGTCTTTGCTTCTGTGTTGATATGGACGGTTTGCTCTCGCAACCGTGCATAAGACATGTCCGGGATCGCACCTGTTGCAAGTACCTGCTCTCACCGGCCGATATGTGCGCATACACAGTCGTTTGGTATGTTATGCGATGCGAATTTCACACAGACAAGTGGATTGTCTAAGGTTTGGTGTTTTGGTTCGGTCCTTTGTCGGTGAAGAATAGCTGAGAACGCGTGAAGGTAAGTCGACCACGATCAATTCTTTGTCCAGTGCTCAGGTACCAGAAGGTATTTGTAGCGACAACCAGGCTTCGAGTCAACTGCTCACAGTATAGAGGAGTCTACCCAGTCGTCTGAGAACGGACAAAGGATTGCCGGATCGGTACTGGCGTCGCGAGCTTGCCACGTTGGGAACCCTGCGCTGCTTTTGGGCGATAACACCACTGGCGATCGAGAGTTCATAAGGATGTGACACTTGGACCAGAGATCCACTCGTTTCGAAGTCGAAAATACCTCCTGCTGGTGGCTTGCAGTCGAAAACGGCTGCCAGCCCTTCGACAGCTGCAGCCATGGCTTGCGACTAGACCCCACTTTGGCCGCCCTTCCTCAATGGTCGACAGGGTTGACCAGCAGTGGCTTGGAGCGGTCATGTGCACCTGCTGTCCAACTACTAAGCCACATGTTCTTCGGTACTCTCAGCCGTCGCCTGCGGGTCCTTGTGGTAGGGATGCACGCCGCCAGATCCACGAGCACCTGCCTCGCCAATCACCGTCGACGAGGCTAGCGCTGCATCCTTGCCCAGCACCACTAACAACAAGGTATTCTCTCGATCTGAAGTTAATTTGGGTGCGATTCATTGCAACAGCCCAATCACAATAATCTGCGCCTCGTCGTTGTAGTCCTGCGTATCGCACTGAGACCTGGGCGGACTTGGCAGGGCTGACTATAATCTACCCCTACGACACATCACCTAGGTACACGCGAGGATGCTAATTAAAAGTCTCCTGTTCAATGGCCCCTCTGAAGCCACTGGGAAGCGTGGGCACGTTGTGCTGAGCCATTGGCGAGTAAACGTACATCGCGAGGGCCACGACGAGTACCGGAAGGCTGGATGCACTACAGACTAGCAGTCGTTTTTGATTGCAGGAAATCTCGTTAGTTTCTCCGGTCGCAGCTCTGGATCTAAGTGTTCGCCAGAGGTGGGGATTTCGGCAAGCCCGTCACGGTGGACCAGACACTCGCGATGCCTTGCCACAGCTGCGGGGCCAAAAAACGTCAGAGCAGGTGTTTTACACGATGCATGCGGCAATCTCTGGTTGCTACCAGCCACTCGTTTCAACCCGCGGACTGGCCTCTATTCAGGTCGCGGAATGTAGGGAAGCACGCCATGACCGCTTTGGCGTGACAACCAGGCACAGAACCCACCCTGTGTAACCAAACTCTACCCAACATCACCAAGGTGAGTGATTGGACTGAGAAAGTCAATGCTGCGTGAACATGCTTCCCCTAAACATGTTTTTATTAAGGGGTGGCAGTGTTTGGCGTGGGAAGCACGTTGACCGGACGCCTCAGTCCGGTGACAAACGCCTGACAGGCGGCAGTTTCCTGGTACTGAAGATCTTACTTCGCAACCAAAAGGCTTGGGCTGAAGGTTGCATGGTGTAAGTTTGTTAAGCTCCACCACGATCGGCCCAGCGCAAACCCTCCAACATCGAAGACAGCATCATGATGGTACATTCAATAGCACCTCGCTGTTGAACGCGCGGTGCCATGTTCTAAAACGCTGAGACAAGCAGCTCCTCCGTCAATTCCTCTTGGCGCGGTATCATAGAGTTGCTGCCAATATCCCAGTACCGTGATACCTCTCGCGAAGCTAACTCGACAGCAGTTCACAGGAGCTCCCTCGCTATCTCCATCTTGGCACGGTCGGTATCGTAAGCACCCGCGCCTTTGCAGCTGCTTATCGTTCCCGTAGCGAGCAATATAGGCGAGTTCGATCACATCGCAAAGATCGCGCTTCCCGCGCTACACGCATAAGAAATGCTGCTAGCTCTGATCCATCGCGGGGGGCAAGGGAAGGGTTAGACGAATACCCCACATCGCCGACTCATCCAACCATGGAACGGCGACCTGGCTCGGATATGCCGTGCGTTAATGCCATAGGATCGGTCAGCATCAACACCGTCATAGACAGCGACGGCGGCTAGCATTCCGCGTCGAACAACACCCAGGACGCTTATTGTATGCGAGATGTTGAAGCTATGCGGCTTCAAAAGCTCGACTGCAGCAGTATTTAACAACCTCGCCGCTGCGAGCGCCGTGGTACGCTACTCGGTGGGCGCGCAGTAGCACAACGGTCATCTCGGACCGTGCGACTTTCCCGCCGATCCGAGATGAGTTCTGCTGTAGAGGATGGCATATGCACACATGGCCTGATGCTGGGTATTAAGTTTGGTACCTGTGGATCTGTCCGCGACTCTGAAAGTTTAAAGTTTACAAGTTTACTACGACGTGATAACTTGGCACATCCCACGAAAGCCAGCCCCACTTCAGGTGTACACGGCAGCGCAACTAGGGCTTACGACTGCTATCGAGTATTTGAGATTCGAGGCGTGGTGGACCACAAGCGTCCTTTCGCAATGCCTAACCAACTCGGCCAAGTGCACCCGCGCTACCGATCAACGGATGTGTACTTCCATCATGATGCAATCATTAGCGAGATCCGAGTCTTCACAGAGTGCTTCTGTGCCTTCAATATCGAGCTGTCGTTTCAAAGATCGCAGGCTGGCATGGTCGATGGGAGCTCAGTGAGGTTGCTTCGGGTCGATCACTCCGCCGCGCTTGGAATCCGCGCCGCACTTTCCTGCTGATCTCGCCTTGCTCCAAAAAGTGGCCAATGGGGTCGTTCCCATAGGAAGGTGACGCGACGTCAGGCAGTCGTTCCACCGCATCGCGAGATGCGCATGCGTGTCATCCCTCCATACATCCCCCTAGCCCCTTCTGGCCTCGCTGCAAGCCCCCCTCAAGAGCCTCAACCCCACACCCCAGACTCTCGTCTCTTGCTACGGAGCCCTACGCAGAATCGCTGCAGGTCCTGTGCGCTCCATTGTCTCTGCGCTGGGCTCGTGCGCTCGTGCTCCCTCCTGGTGACCCCACGCTCCCTCTAAAGCAGCACCCAGGTCTCTAGGCCGCATGGGGAGCTAGCCGCGAACTCCCCCCCACGCTACAGCGTACCACAGCATTGCCCCAAACAGGCAGTCCGCGACACGGCCGCAAGCAACTCAATTCTGTGAAGCTGTGCATGCGCGATCGGCCCTTTTGCTTGCAGCGCATATACATAGCTTGCGTCCCTCGCGCGGCCACACAGCGCATGAAACATCTCGCTCGGCCGCACACGTCCATGTCTCGCGCTGCAGCACGCGCGCCCAGCGCCTGAAAGGTCCGAGAACAAAGAACCGCCGTGCTGGGATAAGAATGGGCATGTGAGGGCGCACAAGGGAGGACAGAGACGTGGTCCGGGCGCCTGGGGGCTTTGTTGGGCCTGTGGGCGCACCGCAGCGAGCGCGGCTTTGTTTGGCGGGTGCGGCGTGCGATGCGGCTGAGCAAGAGATGGTGCGGCACGGGGGACAATGGGCAGCGTGGCTGGGCAGGGTGCGCGGGAGGTTGTGAACGGCGAGGGGGGTCCTGCAACCGCACGAACTGGTGGCCCCTGGACGGGGTTTCGCGGGTTGGCCGTCGAGCTTTTGGGGGGATCTTCGTCGGCCGGGCAGGTTGTGGTTGGGGGTCAGATGCAACCAGAGCAGTCCTTGTTCGGTATTGCGGTCATGGATCAGCGGGCAGGTGTGTTGGGTGACTCTCGATCCACTCCAGCGGACGCGGACTTGGATATGCCATCATTGCAAGACGCAGTTGGAGACGGCAATGACGACATCTCGCCCTCTGCATCGAGAGGTCTGTATACTCTGATCAACGCAGTGCCCCACGATCGCAGCTTGGAGGCATCAAGAAAAGAGATGAGCATCCCTGAGACGAAGAATCCCGAGAGACATCAAGCGCAAGACTCGCAGGACGAACTAGTTCCCCAGGAGAGTACAAACTGGATACACGAGACTTACACGTCATCTGAACGTCCCCCAAGTGGTTGTTCTGAGTCAACGTTCGCCAAACCAAAGAAAGCATCTCGTGCGCGACCGGCGGAGAGAGCACATGTTCCGCCGTCTGGAACTGATGCGTGGAAGACTGTTGGGTCTTCGAACGTGTCGCGGCCGGGCAGTGCGCACAGTCAGGTGTCTCTGCCCTCGACGATCTCCGAGTCTGGAAAACAGCAAGCCGAGACAGAGTCCGAGGTTGAGATAGACAATACTACAAATGAGATCATGCCGTCACCCAGCGCAGAAACCAGCCCTGTCCCTGTTCACCCTGCCGAAAACAGTGCAGACTTGGAGTCTCGGGAGCCTGTCGAAGCGTATCTGGATCCAGACAGGCCTGCTGTGTATCAGAATCCGTGCTGTCATGACAGGCGCGAGTGCGCTGGGAAGAAATACATTGATCTGTGCGAACAACTGCGCGAGCTCAAAGAAGACGTCGAATATCTTTGCAGGGCGTGGTTACAGGCATGTCGAGCTGCATCCATCTCGTCGAGCGCCACGGCCCGTTTCCAGTCTCTTGTCGCGGACTCCGAGATTGACACGGATACCAGAGTTGCTATGCGCGAGGAACTTGCGGGCAATGAACTCTTGCGGCGGATTAGTGGCTTGAGGCAGGATACGGGGACGTTACAGACCGGGCGTGACTGCGAAGACCATGTACTCACAAGATATCGAGGGGTATTGGCAGTGGATCGCGGTACCCCAGATGCCGACACGAGTTCACACCACGACTCTCTCGACTGGCGAGACTTGCACCAACAAGAACGACGGCACTTGGAGGCGCTCGATCTACAGCACGACAGTCTCAGAGCCGCAGCTGTGCACACACACCGAACACAGCTGCAGCGCCGACCCCTCGACCACCTAGCAACACTCCCCACACTCCAACACCGCCGACGATCCACGCACCACGCCATCACGAGCAACGGCCCCGCGCCTCCCTCCCCGCCCCTCCCACCCCCCACCACAGACCCCCAGCACCCCCACCCAACCCACGCCCTCCTCCTCCACACCACCCGCCTCGAACGCGCCAACGCCGCCCTAACCACCACCCTCTCCCGCCTCCGCACCACCACATCCCGCGAAATCCGCGTCCTGATCCTCACCACCCGCGCCGCGCAAAACGAAGCGCGCAGCCTGCGCACCGCGCGGCTGGCGCAGTACCGCCGCGACGCGGAAGGGGTGCTGGCGCCACGGGAGAGTGTGGGCGAGTTGAGGGAGCGCAGGCGCAGGGAGGGCGAGTGGGAGGATTGGGTCGAGGGGGTTAAGGAAAAGGTTAGGCGGGTGAGGATGGAGGGGTTGGGGGGTGTGGATAAGGGAGGGGAGGGGGGGAGGTGGGTTGAGATGTGGGGTGGGGTGAAGGGGTTGGAGGGGTTGGAGGTGGAGGAGAGGGAGGTTTTGGGGCGGTTGTAGTGATATTGGGGGGGGGGGGGGGGGCCGTGGATCATGTTGGATGAAGACTCGGTCTTCGGCGTTTGGCTTTTGTGTCTCTTGGCTTGTTAGAATATGATCGCAGTAGTGCGTCCAATTGTCGCCCGTGATACACAGCAATTCGAACACGCATCAACAAAGATAAAGTGCGCTGAACTGAGACTTGTTCGTGCCGTCTCGTCGTCGTATTAGTACTACACACACGCCTACGCTGTACCCTCTGCCTCCTTTGCCGCCTTCGCCGCCTTCCACTTCGCCGCGTTGGCCATGAGCTTCGCCAGCTTCGCCGCGCTCTCGTCGTCCGCGGGGAAGATGTAATCGACGTACTCCTCGAAACTGTCGTCGTCGAGCTTCCTCCTCTTCTTGACCTTGCGCGGCATCTGTTTGTTGATCTTCTCCTGGTCGTCAGGACTGCCATGCGTCGCCTCGAAGCTCTTCCAGGCATTGAGCAGCGCAACCCTGTCCTCCTTGAGCTCCTTGTCCTTCATGCGGGTGTGCGCACGCTCGAAGATGGCGCGTGCACGCGCCTTGGCGGCGTCGCTGACGGGTTTGTCGTCGACGTCGTCGTCGGCGTCGTCGGTGGCCGGGTCCGGAATGCCGATTTCGAGCGCCGCCCACGAAGTCCAGACCTTGACGTGGTCGGTCTTTTCGAGGAGGCGCTCGTACAGAGCGCGCGTGCGCTCGTACTCGCCCTCGCCCTCTTCAAAGTCGATGTACGCTTTCCACAGCAGCTCGGGCATGTCGAGCTGCGGTTCTTCGACGGCGAGTTCGAAGATGGCGCGTGCGCGGTCGAGGTCGTCAAGGCCGCGCTCGAGTTCAGCGAATTTGATCCAGGTTTGCGTGTTGGCGCCGTTGAACTCGATGTATTTTGTGTACAGCTGGCGGCAGCGGGTGAACTCGAAGAGCTTCATCTCAAGCTCGATGTAGCCCTTGAAGAGCTTGTCCTTGGGACACATGCCGATGGCTTGGCCGAGGAGCTTGCGTGCGGCTGTGAGTTGGGATTGGCGGACTTCAAAGTGGGCAAACATCAACCACAGCTTGGCGAAGGTGAAGCGTTTGTGCGGTATCAGGCGTATGCATTCCTGGTAGATCTGCCGTGTGCGGGCCATATCTTTCGAGACAGATTCTTCGAAAACAGCATACTGTACACCCGTTAGCAAGATCTTATAGATCTCAGTGAACTTACAAAAAGCCAGAGGTAAATATATCTCCTCCAATGGCGCTTCTCTTGTGTGGGCGGTATTTGTGCAATGGCTCGTTCGTACACGTCTCGTACACGGTCTGTATTACCAGATGTCTCCTCCAGACGCGCGAAGTCAATCCACGCATCATAGTTCTTGGGGTTCTCGTTGATCTGCTCCTCATAATGCACTCTCCGCTTTGACAATACGACATCTTCAATACCGTCTCGGTCGCCGTACTGCTTCTCGAATGTGGTGAAAGCTTTGTGGAGATTGACTGATTTTGAGCGAGGCATGCGGTCCAGCGCAAATTTGTAAATAGCTCTCGCTCGCTCTGTCTCCTTCAATCTTGCTTCAAACTTGGCGTATGCCATGAAAAGCTTCTCGTCCATGAAATCGTCACCCAGTGTTTCCACAGCTGTGCCGTATACATCTCGAACCAGGTCGCTTGTGCCGTTCTCTTCCTCAAACTTGGCCCACTTAATCCAGTTCTTTGGCTCAGGGTGGACCACGGTGAATCGCTCGAAAATGGCCCTGGCTCTTTCAAACTCTCCGTGTCTCTTCTCTAGCTTGATGTATGACGACCACGCAGCCTCCTCAGGCTCCCACGACACCCAGCGCTCAAAAACAGAACGGGCACCGTCGATATTGCCAAGGGTCTCCTCCATGTAAACATATTTGTACCAAAGCTTGTCAACGCGGGGAAGTAATGTGACAGCGCGATCAAGGACGTTGCGAGCGTGGTTGATGTTGCGGTGCTTCATCTCCGATTCGATGTATCGCAGCCATAAAGCCACTGATGTGCTGTCCACGTCCAGCGCGCGCTCAAAAATAGAACGCGCGCGCCTGAACTCCTTCTGCTCGAGTTCCCAAGAGGCGTAGCGCATCCAGTTGTTCATGTTGATCCTGTTGCGGCGCACATAGTCTTCGAACTCCTTCCTCTTGCGGCCCTGATGCTCGTGAAGCTCCTCCATATCCGCAAAGCGCTGCGTTGGCGCCTTGAGTTTATCATCCTGGCGGTCGACTGCTTCGCGCAGGAGCTGTTCGGCGCTGATTTGAATCGGCGCGGCCGCCTTGTTCTTCACGCGCGGTGGTCCTCTCGCCTCCATGATTGCGGTCCTAGCGGTGTTGATCGAGAAACCCAAGAGGCGGTGGTCGCGCTGCCCAGCTGGCGGGAGCTGAATACGTCGCGTGCGATTGTCGAGCGAATTGGTGTTGAGGTTTGTCGGCGCGAAGTCGCATGGAAATTCAAAGGTAGCAGGCGCACGTGCCCACGCTAGCAGCTCTCCCGCGGTGATTTCTTAGCTATGATGCGCGTCTTGCTCCTCGCCAACTAACAAACTTGACAACTCACATCGACGGCCATGGCGACACTTGAGCAGGAGCTGCTCGCAGATTTCGCGGATTCTGGCGACGAAGATGTTGCGGATTTGGAGAACGACTTCGCCGCCGGCGACTTTGGATCACCAGAACCGGAGAATGGCGAGGACGAGGAAATGGTAGATGAGGAGGCCGAGTACGCAGAGAAGGAAGGCAAGAAGAAGGACAAGGGTCCGGCGGATATAAGAAATGCGCAAACCCTCATGGCCAATCTACAGCCAGTACTACAGCAAATCGAGGAGGTAAAAGACAAAATGGAGGAAGTGATGGACGGCGAGTCAATCGAGGACAACCCAGAATATCAGCTTTTAAAGGAAGCAAACGAGTTCTCAACTCAAATCGACGGCGAAATCCAGGCGGTACACAAGTTCATTCGCGACAACTACTCCTTGCGCTTCCCCTACCTCGAAGAACTCGTCAAGAACCCGGTCGATTACGCAAAGACAGTCGCCATCCTCGGGAATCGGCCGCTCGATGACATCAAGAATATTGCACAGGATACAAACAACATCGTCGGGGCGCCGTTGAAGACCATCTTGGACGCGCCGTCTCTTATGGTTATAACGGTCGAGGCCACAAGAGCTTCCGGCCGCGAACTCCAGGACGTCGAACTCGCAGCCATCATGACTGCCTGCAAGCTTCTGCTGGTGCTTGATAGGTCGAAGCACATTATCACTGAATATGTCCAGTCACGCATGAGCGTCTTTGCGCCAAACCTCACAGAGCTTATTGGATCCCTCACCGCCGCCCAACTCATCAACTACGCAGGAGGTCTTGCTGGCCTTGCGAAGACACCGGCCTGTAATATCGCACCCTTGGGCTCGAACAAAGCATCTGGCCTTGGACTTGCCACCAACATTGGAGTTAGACACCAAGGTTTCCTCTATCACAGCCCTATTCTTGAACAAATTAGAACGGATCTCAAGAAACAGGGCTTGCGAATTGTCTCCGGCAAAGTGATCCTTGCTGCACGCGTGGATATGGTCCACCAGGCACCTGACGGCTCTACCGGACGCCAGCTCAAAGAAGAATGCGAACGACGACTTGACAAGCTCACTGAGATTCCTGCAAACAAGGGTGTCCGTGCCCTTCCCGCACCCGACGACAAACCGGCGCGAAAGCGTGGCGGACGCAGAGCCCGCAAGGCCAAGGAAGCAACAGCCATGACCGAGATCAGGAAGGCACAGAACAGAATGGCTTTTGGCAAGGAGGAGAAAGAAATCGGCTACGGCGACTCAACAAAGGGCATGGGCATGGTCGGCGCCACCGACACCGGCCGTCTGCGCGCCCAGCAAATCGACCCCAAGACAAGAGCGAAGCTGTCGAAGAAAAACCCCGGCTGGGGCGGCGACACAACACTCGGCGCTGCCTCGTCGCTCAAGGGCTTCGGCGCCGGCGGCACCGCTACAAGCCTGCGCGCACAGGGTCTCAGGACCGGCGGCGTGGGCCTCCACGGCTCGGGCATGAGCTCCGTCGCCTTCACTCCCGTGCAGGGACTCGAGCTCGTCGACCCGCGGGCGCGCGAGGAGGCCAGCCGCAAGAGGAAGGCCGAGGACGATCGCTGGTTCAAGGGCGGCTCGTTCACGCAGCTCAGTGGGAAGACAGATGCAGCGGGTTTCAAGGTGCCTGCGCTGCCGCTCAAGAAGCCGAAGACGGAGCAGTAGTCGTGCGGTGGCATATCTCACTCGTATCTTACGACGGTGTGTGGGAAGTTCGGAGCATTTTGGTCGAGTATGCATCATATGGCGTTTAGGGGATTCGGATGGCTGATACCAGGGCCTTGGGTGTGCCCACCTCCATACCACGTTTTGTACGGAAATAGGAACTACGATGAATGGTTTCTCTGCTTCTCTCTTGGCACAGTGATTCTCATGCAGGGTGGCTTTGTTCGTGATCAGTGTCTCCGGCGAGGCGTGCAGGCAGATAGGGCATGAATGGCACTTCTCTCCTGGTCTTGGGCTGGAGTGAACGTGCTTGGTTAGTGGACGGTTATTTCGCATCAATGCTAGCTTGTTGGGTTGAGTATGACTCGAGTGTGAGGCTATTCCTACATTCGTCGAACCATAGGCGGCTCGTCCCTTGTAGTGCTTCCTTTCTGCTGCGGTTGCTGGGTCAATTAACACTGGGGCACGCATGCATGAGTCCGTTACCAGATCACAGCCTGCCGAAGTGACCAAGATCTGGAAGACAAAAAGGACTTTTGGCAGCAAGGTTTCGAAACTGTTTCTACATTGGAATCTATACAGATCTTTTGAGAACCCGTCATCTAGGCCCATTCTTTGAGAGCCCGTTTCTGTGAACGAACCAAGATACACCGATCAAAAAGCAAACCTCAGACTCCTATCATTGGAGTCTATCATTGTGTTTCCGCCTTTCAAGATGATCTGGGTAAGCACCTGCTGATATCCTCTGAAGCGCACTTCTCGTCTCCCGCCTCCTATCTGAGCTACTTTCCATCGGCGAGTTCAGGCCGCGTGTAGACTGATCATCCGTCATTTCGGGATGACCTTTGCGCTGGCTCGCTCTGCCCTCGTCGGTACCGGGTGCCGAGATGTGTAATCGGCTCCACTGCGTGGTGTTGCAGTTGCAGTATGGGAGACACTGGTCTCTTCATATCCGTCTCTGGAGTCTACGTGGTCCTGCCGGGAGCGACAGACGATTCACCAGATGCCCGTGGCCGCAATGAGTGCAAAAATGCCCTGCAGGCGACGCCGAACGTGAACATGATAATAATGATTCACGCCTGTGCGACATCATCACGATGGGCCAGCCACGGTGCCATGAGTCCCTCTGCTTGCAAACCCCCGACCACCGCCTCTCGCCGGGCCCCTGGGTTCGCGAACAGGCTTTTCTTGCAGACTTGGTGTGGCTGGGCGACTACCGGGGCGACTGCCGCCTTCCTCTTTCCGCTGGATATGAATTGACCCAGGCTTGGGTGCGTACAAAGGTTCGTACAGTTGCCGCGCACCAGGTGCTGTGGCGCGTGCAGGTGATTGCTCGTTGCTCGATCTGGGCTGGCTGTCTCTTCCACCACGTCCTCGCCCCTTCCCTCGTGTAGGTTTGCTCGGCGAGTTGCTGCGTGACTCTTCTGACGCGGCGGGCGAGCCGAAGATGCGCTCTCGTGCCTCGGCGTATTTTCGCTCCTTCTCGGCGCGTTCTTTCGCTGCGCGAATCTTTCGCTCCTCGAAATCGGCTGCTGCTTTCTTTTGTCTCTCTTCCTCGCTGTCGTCATCGTCATCTTCGAGGCTCAGGCCTTGCATGCCGGCGTTGCGAGAGAGCACCTGGGGTGTAGGTTTGCGCGCGAGGACGGTGACGGCGGGCTTGAAGGTCGGTTGTATAGGCGCGTTGCGGGATTGGAGAAACATGGGTTCGGGATTCTCGCTATCGCGGCCACAGTTAGTATTGTCCAAAATCGAGGGGATGTTGAGGGGGTAGACGAACGCGGACTCCCAAAGTTCGCGGTTGAACTGAGCATGCTGCGCTCTCCGCTCGGCTTTAGAGATTTTGACGGGCTTTATGGGTTCTGGCTGCACTTCTTCTTTCTGCACAAGGTCAGTGTTGTCGATAGGTATGCAAACTGCGGGCATGTACATCTGCAAGTGATTCCCAGTCGTCGTCCCACGCGTCAGCAAGTGCGCCTTTCTTCGTGGACATCTCAGCTTCTATTGTGGAATGTAGTATTGTGCACGCCGTTATGAATAGAATTTAGAGTCGTAGATCTGCGATCGCATTTGCACATGGAGGGGTGAAGAAATGCGGAGCCTTAGATGCATGGAACATCGAACATTCGGCGGGCGCTAAGTGCCGCTTAGCGCGGGAAGGCTAGTGAGCCGCGGCTGCCTTACAACTGGAGCTATGACATACACTTGATGTCCGCGCAAACGGAGTCTCCTTCACCGCTGCTCAATTTAGATAACAGTCAAACGGACAGCAGTAAACAAAATGTCTGGTGAGTTCGTCGCTGTTTCCTTTACCAATACTGTCCACCATGGCCTACCGAACGCGCCTGCTGACCCCGGATTCAGACCAGGATTCGACGATGCACTCATCTCCCGACTTGGCCGCAGAAGATGACGAGATGTTCCCTGATGAGGCTCTCCCCTCGACGCCGCGTAACCCAGCTTCGCATGCCTTGAACGCAGGCTCGGAGCTCTCGCCACCCAACTCGCAAGGCCCCGCCAACCTACCCCGCGGCGACAGCTTCGCAGCGACGATTGCGTCCAACGTGAACGAGAACGGCAAGCGACCTCTGTCGCTGAACCCGGCTGCCACCTCAAACGATACAGCAGCGACGAATGTGGACCCTGAGACTGGGTATCAGTGGTCGAAGACTGAGGACCAGCCGGGCTTTGAGTGGAAGAACCAGAGGGCAAGGGAAGACGAGATGAGAGCCTTGGATCTGATCATTGACAAAGGCTTTCAGATCAAAAGTGAGTATGCTCGAACGCTCGTTCATGAAGTCTTTCTGACCACCACAGCCCGCTACGGCGACCCTCTAGATGAGAGTGTTCCTGCCAAGGGCAAGCGTTGACAGAAGCAATGCCACCCCCGGAAACACCACCGAGCGGCGATCGGCGACATTGCCAACGACTAGTCAACTCCCACACCATGCACAAAAATTTGGGTGGAAGAGTGAATTTGGGCAGATGTGCGACATGCATAGGATCTAGGGGAAGGCTCCTTCAGCGACCTTGTAAACACGTCGCAAGTCAGCAGAGAGTATACATCTACGGCTGCATGATTAATGACACGATTTCCATGCTTGTAATTTCTTAGATATGAGCAGACCCCCTTGGACTGCTTCAGCTTTTCAATAGCCCTGCCAAAACGCCAATGTATGCATGCTCGCACACCCTCGTGCATCTAATCGCTCTCGTCTCCGTCTGCCATCTCGTCATCTTCCTCTTTATCTTCACGCTCCTCGAGAGCATCCTCTTTCATATCCTCCTCCGGCGCCTCATCCTCAACAACCTCGTCATCTTCCACCTCCTCATCCTCTACATCCTGCGTCTCGTCCACGCCCTCGTCCTCACTCCCCTCAACCTCCCCATCCAGCCTCGCCTTCTTCGTCCTCGGTTCATCCTCCGCCCCAGTCGGCCCCACACTCAAAAAGCTAGCGCCCCCGTTCGTCATTTCTGACATTCCATCTGGATCATTCCTGGCCCTCTTCTCCTCACGAATCTTTTTACGATACGTATTGCGCTTGTCTGCTTGTATGCTAGTGAACTTGTTGACTTCAGCCTCGAGCCGGGGCAGCATAAACTCGAACTCGAGGTCCTTCATCGCGGCGAAGACGTCTTGCGGCATTACGGATTTGCGCCCACTGCGGAGGGCTTCTTCGGCGGCGCTGTAGCGGTCAGTCAAACAGTCCACAAGAGAAGTAGAGGAGAGTGAGGGGGACGTACGCAGATGTCAAGTAGTTGACGAACACCGTTGCGCCTTTCGACATGGCGAGCAGCGCATCTTTCTGGATTTGGGTGTTCGGAGGCAGCACGCCTTTTGCGAGGCGCTGCACAATTGATTTGGGGAGATTGAGGTCTTCGACGCTGAGGGTATCGTCGTCTCGAGGCTTGGGTGGCTTGGGTTCCTTGTAGACCTTCTGGGGTATCGGCGAGGACGGTGACGCTGTGGCAGGCTCGTCGACGGCTGGTGTGGGTGCTGCGACTACTTCTTCTGTCTCTTCGTCTGTGACTGCGGGCGGATTACTTTTGCGAGGCGGCATTGTGTGTGTGCAGGCGTTATGGGGGGTCACCGGTGTGGTTGCGTTGCGGGAGGGGTCATGCGTGAAGGTATCGGTGGTGAGGGTGTCGGTGCGCTAGGCTCTGACGCGCGTGAAAGTCGCGTCGCGCCAATTGGCAACACCGCGAAGTCGCGTGCAACAGCGTCAGGCATTGGAACACTCCGATATTTCATTGCTGAACGGGAAGACTGGACAGTACTCAAAATCTGCCGAGAGAATACTGATGACAATGTGAAGATTGCTGCGGCTTACACTTTATCGACTATCTGTTATCGCAGTCACGACGAAAATTTAATTGATACGACTCCGAAAATTCCTATTGAGGCAGTCGGCAACTCAAGCATCGTTGCGTGCAGACATCTCTTTCGTCCCTACCTATTCATTAGCTACGAGATGCGTTATCGATCTGCTTCAATCGATATCTAGCCACGTGCTCCAAGCTCGACCCACTTTCTCCGAGAAGCGGGCACCTTCTCCACACTCCACGGCCGGATTGTCATCAACACCAACCGACTGACGACGTGAGATCCCGTTGCCTCACCTCAGACCCTCGATGCGAGCTTCACGGCGGAGGGCCGCCAAGCTGGCACAACCGGCAGGCCTCTTTGTACACCGGTCTGTTTTCTGGCGAGTCGGTCCGCGTGTACCTCGAGCGCCAGCCAAGGCGGTGCTGGGAAATGGATCAATGCAGTCCCCCTCAGAAGCGAGGCGTGGCCTCGGCATCGCTGTTCCCAGTGGCTCCTTCAAGACCACGTGCTAAATTCAGGGGTCGATTGTAGGGGTAGACGATCCCCTGCTTCTGCCCTGCTTCTGCCAATGGACGGAAGTGCGCAAGTACAAGAGACCTGCTTCGTGTGGGCACACGTAAATTCTTGTAATTTCACTGCTCTGGTCCTTTATCAGCCTTATCGCATTTGGCGGGGTTGTGGGTGGCTGACTCCAGACCACGGCCAAGCCCTCCAGTTTCTCTTGGCTCTTCCCCGGACAGCACGTCTTTGGCGGAAGAAGACCAGTCGAAGATGCACCCCGGACGGCTAACTCATCACAGCTAGCAAGAGCGATTAGGCGGAACTTCAACCCGTCGTTGCGAGCGCCCGACAACCCAACCCGTGGGTGCGCGCAGCCACGATGCCTTGTGTAGCGCGAGGTCAGCAGTACCAGGTAATGCATGTCTGTACTTATACATACTTCCCAGCTGTATGTTTGAAGGGGATCGATCATTAAAGATGAAGTGTTACTTCAATCAAGTCTCTTCCTGCTCAGCCTCTTTCTAGTGTACTTCAATTGTTCCGTCTCTCTTGCTGCAGGCCTAGTCATCCCACATTACTTGGCGCCGCCTACCAACCCGGCAAACGTTCTCCCATCCCGATCAGGACCGACTCCCGCGTGCCTGGCAGTGCAACGAATCATTGGAGGACTCTAGGATCTTTATATCTTAGGCCAGTCCCTGCGTTGCTGATCTCCCACCTAGCAAAGATTCAACATGGCCGTACCAACACTCCGCATTTTGATCGATGGTGACAGTGACAGAGTGTATCGCCGAGGCGACAAGGTGACTGGAAGAGTGGCATTCGTTACAGAAGAGCAGGAGCACATTGAATCTTTCAAACTCATATTCGCTGGCAGTTGCGTAACGAAAACGACACGGCGAGCCCACGACTCAAATGCGAGGAACGACTTCGAGGAGAGAATACGCTTCTTTACCCACGAGCGAGAGGTGGTGCCTCGCTCAACTCTCAGTCCAAACAAATACTCATGGTCGTTTGAGTTCACATTTCCGGAAACGACACAACAATCGTACAAACGACTCTCACGTGGTGCTCATTACCTGCGAGAGCCACATCCACTGCCGCCCTCGTTCCAGCTCAAAACCAGCATGCCTGGGGGTGCGGCCCAGATATCGTACTTTATCCAAGCACGACTCGTCATGAGTGGGTCGAAAGATGTACGGAAAGTGAAGCAACTCTTAGCATATCGACCAACCTCACGTGAGAACCTGCCCCGGCAACCCAGTCTCACCACCGGCATCCTTTACGGCCAGGCATGGAAGCCTTCTAGAAAAAGCGACCCTCGTTCAACCGTTGATAAAGTCTTGCGACGGTCAGAGAGATTACCAAGCATTATTCCTACCATCTTCTACCCAGAAAAGATTGCTCCGGGACAGCACATTCCAATTTCGATATCATTACTCAACACCCGAGACCGAATGAACGAGGCACAGGCAAATTGCACGATCGACTCTCTCTGCGTTACAATTTCCACATACTCGACAACCATGTGCGGCCACACGCTGACTCAGCCCGAAGACATTGTATCCAAGCATGTCAAGTGCATCACAAGAGCCAACATGGACATAGCTGCCCCGTTCAACAAAACACGTGCATTGACCTCCAACTTCCGCCTCGTCAACGATGCAGAATGCGTGCCCACCTTCAAAACCTACACCATCACGCGCCGCTATATGCTAGGCGTGGTCGTGGGTCTCAAATTCGGCGGCCAGCACTTCACCGTGCGCCACAGCGCGCCACTCGAGATCCTCCCCCGCCCGATCCGCTCTTCAACACAGCTGCTCTCGGAAGAAGACGAGGAAGCAGAGCCGCTCCCCATGTACACCCCGAGGGAGCCTTCGAGAGAGTTCGCTCCGGACTATGAGAGTATTTATGCGCTGTCGAGATCCTCTTCTACGGAGGGTTCGCTCGCGAGATGGTCGACAGTGGGCTCGAGTAACGCGTCAGCTCGTTCGAGGGCTTCATCGGGCAGCTCCACGCCGGCGTTGGAGCCGTCTACACCAGCTTCAGAGGTCGATGAGCCCATGTACAGAACCCAGAGTGTTTCAGTGGGATGAAACGCGTATGGATTAGACAAACTAGAAACCGGCATTTAGACGATGTGTGTTCGATGTCGCCATAGAACAAAACTCAGTCCAAGGCAAAGCAGGCAGTTCGCGGCGCTTGGTTATATGTAGACGATAGAAATCAAGCAATAGAACACACCGGCGTGCAGCCGTGTAAAAGCTGACATATAGGCTTGCAATGTTGGAGGCTCGCCATCTGCCGAAGCTTGGAAGATTCCGTTATTCTCGTCCGTACCCTTACTATAACGGTGTGACAGCGAGCACGAAGAATATCGCAATGGGAAGAAGGCCTTCGGCTACCGATAAATTTGTCATGCCTCGCAACAAGACCACACTATTTACCGACGGAACTGTTCTTCACCGTCAACACACCAATTGCCTTGATGGTAGCCCCACCCATGATGTCGAATACGGGTACATCAGCAGCGAACTCCTTCCCAATCCAGTTTCGAAGTTCTACAGCGACAAGAGAGTCCACCCCATATGCGAACAGCGGCCGGTCGCGATCGATGTCGTCGTGCGCCATGGAGAGCGAGCGCGCAATTTTGCTCGCCAACGCATCCGCCACAATTCTCTCTCTCTGTTCGACATCTTCGGTTTTCCTGAACAGTCCTGCTGCATCTGTGCCCTCGCTACTTTCGACAGCGACGAGACTGTCTGGACAGGTTGCGAATGTTGAGAAAAGCGGTCGCTCCATCGCATCCGGGACCATGATACCCCTCGAACGTAGATCCGAGGGTGTGATCGTGCCCATGAGGATCTGGCTCTTCGAACGATGGGAGTGACTGTAGGATGGATCGCAGTAAATGTCAAGCAGGGACATAAGCTCTTTCTCCTCAATCTTTGCCATGTCGGCGCCTTTCATACGGAAACTCTGATACTCTTCCTTCTCGGATATGACCCCGATGGTTCTCATCCACCCCAGGTTGATGGACACTGCCTGCTCACCACGAGCGGTCCGGTAGTCGGCGACTGCATCCTGAAACGTGTTTCCGGCGGCGTAATTTGCCTGCGACACATTGCCAATCACACCTGCGAGCGATGACAAGAGAACGAAAAAATCCATGCCAGACGGGAGAAGCTTGTGAAGATGCCATGATGTCTGGACCTTGGCCCGTACCGACGTCTGCCATTGATCAAAGGTCATGTGCTCGAAGATAGCGTCCTGCGTGATGTTAGATATGCTGACTCAATACTCTCATCATGAACGACTCACCTGAAGAACCATGGCTGCATTGATGCATCCCTTGATCGGCGGCATTGATGCGTCGCACTCGACAAGAAGTCTCGAGAGCGACTCCTCCGAAGCCACATCGCACACTGGCGCTACGACATTCACCCCATCGGCCATCAGGTCCTTTACAAGGTCTAGTGCTGCCTTCTTTGTTGGACCCGATCGCGATGGCAGGATCAGGTGCTTAACCCCACGTCGAGCCATCCATCTACAAATCGCCCGACTAATACCTCCGAGCCCTCCAGCTATCATGAAGGAAGCTTCAGGATCAAATGTCCATGCAGGTCGCACGGCCAGGTATTTGGGAACAATCTCGTCAGGTGTGTTGTTGATCACAATCCGGCCAGTGTTCTTCCCGCTCTGCAAGAAACGGAATGCGTCTTCCACTGCCGACACCGGATACAGGTGTCGCGGATGGGGGCAGGACATATCCCCAGCTTCGAACAACCTCATCATTGCAGTAATCAGCTTCTGCGAAAAGTCTTTTCGCACAGCTAGGATTTGGCGCAGATCGACAGCAGAGAAAGAGACATTTTGTTCGAACTTCGCCATTGGCAAAGACGATCCGGCCTTGATGTCTGCCTTTCCAATCTCAACGAATCGACCGGAAGGTGCGATACACTCCCAGGAAGCGTGGAGTGCCTCGCCAGCCAAGGAGTTTAGGATGACGTCAACGCCCTGGCCCTCAGTCATTCGAAGGATGCCCTGTGCGAATGTTGTGTTTCGACTATAGAAGATATGGTCGTCAGGAATGCCATAGACTGTTGTCAGCATGTGTCTCTTCTCGTTGCTGCTCAGCGGTTATTCCTGGTGCTGGCAATGAAGCCGCGTCTTCAAAGCTCATCGAATCCGGAATCTTGATAGCGAGCCTCTGGTCAGCTCTTGGGTACATCCGGAATGAGCCACAGCACGCCAGAACGACTCGATCGCCCGCTTGAAAGTCGGTGCACCTCGAACCTACTCTTGTCACATATCCAGCTGTGTCCAGGCCGAACTCGTTCTCATCCATGCGGCCAAGGGCAATAAACACGTCTCGGAAGTTCAAGCCCCACGCTTTGGCATCGACCTCGACGTCATTGGGTCCCAGCTCCTCGTAGTAAACCGGATCTTCAATGAATCTCAGAGTGTCCAAAGTCCCACGTACACCGACATCGAACTTCAAAGCCGGGCCTTCACCCCAGCGTCCAGAGGTCAAGCTCGGGTACGAAGCATTCACCATACTTGTGTTAGTCGGTATCTCTTCTCGCAGGCGTCCAATGGAAATCTTGTCACCCTCGACGAAGTACTCGGCCTCGATGCATGCCTCTTCAAACGAGCACTTAAAAACTGTAACAACATGGTCGTTGCCGCTTATGAAAGAGGCGTTGGGTAGTCTCTCTAAAGCGAGCGTGACAATCTGACTGTTGGTGGCTTCGGAGCGCATCGTTCTGAGGAAACCTGTCGCCATGCCCGCGAATATGCTTTGCTCGTCCTCGGTTACGGTCTCTGTAAGCCAAAGAATGTTCTTCGCCTTCTGGATTAAGCTCTGGAGATTGCGAAATTCCACTTCGGACAAGGATCGTAGGCGGCTGCAGCCCAGCTCGTACAGAACAATGACACGGTCATCGGGGCCGATGTTTCTTTCTGATATGTCTCTAAGGTCGCACGTATCGCACGCATAGCGGCCATCTGTGTTCAGACTCTTCTCGATAGCTAGCCCGAAGTCGCGTTGTTCGTCGGATTTTGGATCCAAGCACATCAAGACTCGCCCTGTTTCGAGTGGTTGCTTGGGTCCTGCGACAGCTGTTGACATGACGATGCTGAACGTTTTTGCATCGTTTTCGCTCAAAACGACATCGTTTCCGGAAAAGCCGCACTCCTGGAGAACTTGCTGCCACTGTGCTTCGGATGTGTATTGATCCCGAGGCCCAGCGCGCCAGTCTTCCTTGCCTCGCCACCATCCAGACAGTGTACCGAAGCTAAATTGGAGTGCGAGATCTGGGATCACATTCTCGAGAAATATCAATTTTCCGCCTGGTTTGAGGCACTTGCGAACATTTCGGAGAGGGATATGCAGGCTCTCAGTTGTGTGTAGAACTGCTCCCGCGACGACGAGGTCATATGTCTCCTGTTCGTAGCCTTGACCGACGACATCCTTTTCAAGATCCAATACGCGGAAGTCCATCCGATTCGAATGGTCCTTGAACCTATCTTTAGCATCCTCGAAGAAAGCATGGGAGATGTCTGTATATGTGTAGTTCTCGAATCGCACACCCCCATAGCGCTGTTCGCAAGCTTGGAGTGCCGCCAAAACATGGCTTGTCATCGATCCGGTTCCAGCCCCGACTTCCAAGATCTTGAGTCCAGGCTTCTCGAAAGACATCAGATCGAGAAGTCTAGCGAACCTAGCGTCGCAATGGCGTTGGAACATATCGATGTAGAAGCGCTCTGCAAGATTCGTCGAGAAAATGATGTGTAGTGGGTCTGCTTCGCCACGTATGATCTGGGGCAATTCGCGTGCGACGGCGATGTGTAAACCCCACTGAGAATGTGAACTGTCGAACTCATTCAGAAGGTCTTCGAGGTTTGCGTCCAGTCCGCGTGCTACGTTCGTTTCGTGGACCTCTCGCAGCCACTCTACATATCTTTGTAGGTGAGGCTGCGCATTGTCAATGTCCGAACTTTTCAACTGAGACAACGTTTCGCCAATGACTAGCTGCAAGACCTCAGAAAATCTTTGCGAATCAGTCTTTTTCGGTTCGACTGGTGTGATCTTTTCGTGGGTATTCACGATCTCGGTCACCTGTGCCGGAGTGAGGAGCGACAAGCAAGGCTCTCGCTGTATGCCGTGCAGCATCTTACGATCCCGACCATCAGGCAAAGCGTTATCGGCGATGGGTGACAGTTCTAAGCGACCAATCCTACAAAGAAGCGAACCATCATCACCTAGAAGCGTGATGCTCCCTTCGATACCTCTTCCTGCCTCTTTGAAGTTCGCTCTTGAACATATCCGAACGTTTGAAGTACGATTTTCCTTCCATCCCGAGGCTGCTACGTACACATCTGTCAATCTGTGCGGGATCTCTGTCGGCATGTTCTCTGTCAAGCCCTTTGAGGAAGCTAGCCAGCACACTTGGCAGGCTGCGTCGACGATCGCAGGATGTACGATACCCTCGTACTCCGCGAAAGACTGAGCAATATTCACGCGGCCAGTGGCTGTACCGTCTTTGTTCCACTGTATGTTCTTGAGAATGCTGAATGAAGGGCCGTATACGATACCTCGGTCCGCGCAGTACGTGTAAAAGCTCGTGGACGGCAATGTTGTTGCGCATCGTTCAAGCGCGGCGTCATACTCAAGCTGCGCGTTTTCGCGAGCTAACACTCTCTCTCTTCCTCCGTCGATCTCGGTATTGGACTCATCGTATTGGAGCTGAATTGTACAGCGGAAGCACTCAGTCCAGACCTCATTGTGAACGGTGGAGATTGTGATCTCGGACCAATTGGCACCTTTCTCATTCAGCCTTCGGATGGGTCTCAGTTGACAAATAGCCTCAACACTCGGCTCGGCCTCGCCTTCTTGTCGTAAAACCATGGGACTGGAGAACAGTGCTTCTTTGACCACAATGCCTTGGATTGGCTGCGTTCCCGCGGCGCTTTGTCGAGCAGCTTCCAGTGCCATGATGAGCATACCTGTGCCGGGATAAATCACGCTTCCACTAACCACGTGGTCTGCAACCCATGGCATCTCTCTTGTGTTGATGAGCTTGCGCCATCTTGGCTGTAGTGGCGTCCAGTCTGCACATCGTGATCCCAGTACACCTCTCGGAACTTCACCTCGCAATCTGAAATCGCGACTAATCCGAGATTCGTGCCAGTACGTTTGAGATCGGTCGAATGGATATCCTGGCAAATCGACTAGACACTCTGGAGCCTTTGTGGGTATGCTGCCTCGCTGATTTGCCTTCGTCACAGAAACAGAATAGCCGGTTGCAAATAACGTGCCCACGAGGTCCAGCACTCCTTTCGCGGCTGACGTATTCTTGGATAGAACCGACGTGTAACGAACTTCCAGTTTTCGTGAATGAAGCTCTAGTATATCTTGACACGGACGACGCAGAGCAGAGTACGGCCCAATCTCAACTAGATCATAGACTGGCTTTCGCCTCGGCATACCAAGCTGCATCTTATTGTCTGCATCAAGCAGAATACTCAATGCACAGTCGAAGAGCACCGGAGATAACAGGTTCTGGACCCAGTAGGACGCTGTTGATACTGCCTTTGCTGTCACAGGCTCCCTTTTGACACTTGAGATCATTGGGATTGTCTGCTTCTTCGTATGTTGCGGTTCGATAGTGCCGATGAGCTCCATGTACTCTTCTGCAATGGCTTCCATAGCCGGGATCTAGCGACTGGCCGTATCAGCTTGCATGATCCTTGGTACTCGCTGACGCCAAGACACCGGGTGGTATGTTCTGATATGCTGGAACTGCAGATGAGCGTCGGGGCAACAAAATCAGCTTACTGCTCACAACGCCTGGCAGAGAAACCGTCAGAGCGGAAATTGTGTGGGATGGGATCAGGCGCCAAGGTGGTGTAATGTAACCACGGAATTCGAGGCTGCGGCGCGCCATCCTTGCGTCTGCATTCGTTTGCAGCGCAAGTATTGTGTAGATTCGGGCTGACATCGCGGCACGGTTTCACTATTGAGGGTGAGGCGCAGTTTCCAAGGTGGCACAGGTGTATCTCGCTTTCAGGCTGCACTTACGCTCGACTGCGCTCTCACGCTTTACGACGCTCGACTACCCTATGCCATCAAGCTGCATCTTGACGTTCCCTGGGCGTTTATGGACGGTCGGCAACAATCTCTTCGCCCTGTTTGCTTTACGAGCAAGATTGCTGATACGCCCCACGCGATTGGCCTACCCGCGCTTACAACCATAGTCACTCTTCGTCTACTCGTACCGCATTCTGTTCCATCCCCTTAAGCGCTGCCCTGGCCCCTTCATTGTGAAATTTACCGACTTGTACAGCGCATTCTATGCTTGAAACCGTGAGCTTCACCACGTCACGTTGGGCGACCACAAACAATATGGTGAGAGACTATGTGTGCGAGACGATTGGACGGTCGAACTAACTCTCTCATTGGTACCCCTTATGCGCCATGGTCCGGGTAAGCTGGTCTTCAACTCCGCCAAGGCATTTCTTGGTATATTCTTCTCCACTCGTTTTTCCATTTGCTTGCTCATTGTATCAGATATCTACCAGAACGACCGGATCTTGAAGTCCGAAGCATATCTCATGACTCAGATTGCGCCGAAGGTCTTTACCCTCTCTAATGTCGTTGACAGGAATATCCACCGCACTAAGCGCCGCATCATTGGCCAGGGTGTGATAGAGCCAGGCAGGACAGCTCGGGATATTAATCACAAATTTCTGCTTTGCTAACACATACGACCATAGGACGTTGAAAACAAGGCTTCCCGTTCGCTCAGCCCTATTTAAGCAACGTACCGGTGGATTAGTACTCAGGTGGGTGACCACTGGGGAATCCCCACTGTTGTATGTCTTTTTTGCCAATTAAAATCACTCGTGTTCGTTATAGGCTCTCTACCTATTGCTTATTTCTTAATTTCTTTACATCTTGGATGGTATTGCGCTGCTTGTTAGCATGGTAATGTCTTGGTGTTCTTCACTGTCCTCTACTGCTACCCAATTTGACGTGGCCATTCCTTCACGTATCCGTATATCAGTTCGGTATAGTCCGCTAAGCGCACTTCAGATGGAGAGGTTCTTCAGAAGCCATTATCAACCATTAGAGGCCTATTGCGGGCGTTGATGAGACCCTCGTTTAGCTGAACGAACATGTCTGTTCCATTGGGTTCTTTGGTAGGCAAACTCCAATTTTCACAACCACGCGACTCTTCCTCGTCGTTGCTATAAGTATCGCCACCCGTATCTTGTGAGGCAAGCGAGATCAGAGTTCATCAGGTGTTGCGATTTTAGAAGGAACAAATAAGCAGGTCAGATTGATCCTAACTTTCCCAACATGATGCACCTCACGGTATGGCAACATCATCCTCAATGGCAAAGTTTTCCCAACCTGGTCCTCCTAACAATGCATATATCCTGGGCACCAGATAAGACAAGCCCACCAGCTGATCTCCCTCCTCCTCATCAAGCGACACAAGCGTCAGGAATCCCTCCCCTTGCGCATCAAATTCCTCAGCCTGGGGTCCGTTCAATATAGAGTCAAGGTCACCTTGTGAGACCATGGCACATGCACAAAAGCGCGGAGTACCCAGCCAGTCGTCTCCCTCTCCAGAGTTCTGCACCCATGTAGCGAATTTCCTGTCACTGTCAAAGGCTGCTTTAAAAGCATTCTACTGCTTGAGCGCCCTGCTACGTACTCTCTTACCGCAACAGGCCCCGCGCCGTCAAGCGATTCTCGGTCTTCTTGTACAGCCCAGTCGATACGTTCGAACAAGTTTCCTCCACCCTCGTCTTGAAGATTGAGCTGCACTCGTGTGTTTAGAAACTCCATGAAGCGGGCCCACTTCTCGTCGTCATCGTAGGTGCAGCGATAAATGACGAAGCCCCATCTTAAATCCGCATTCCGTTCTAACACTTCCCGAATTCGTTTCAGATCTCCCATTTCGGCGTTGAATTTGGCAATGTTTGGCTTGTACCATGACCTGGAGGATGTTCCAAGGTTGTATGTCTCCATTCGGCGCTAGGCCCGAACAGGCATGGTAGTCCTTCAATGGATTAGCCCGTGCCGCATCCAGACACTTCGTCTTGAAGTGTTTTCAGGGTAAGATGTAGTTGCTCAATCACATTCCATCCAACTTTCTTCGACTTGCACCAAAGAGTGATTGATCTTTCACGTATGATCTCCTGTATGATCCACATCCTTCGGGACTGCCTAAGACGCGCCACACAAACTGCATGTGCTCTGCCGCGATATAAGCCAAAGCCAATGCAATCTGGAATTAATCTTCCGAAGAAGCCGAAAACTGACTCATGTTATCTGCCATGGCAATTGTCGCACACGTGCATCTCTGTGGCTGAAGATCAATCGGTGTGTTTCGTTGATTCCGAATACGCCACAATACGCTCGAATACGCACCTGAGCGAGCGCGCATGGCCACACCCTCTCCACATTGATGACAGAATTGTTCGCCAGGGTATCCGTAGCCACACTTTGATTGGCAGAAATTAGTTCACTATAACATCTTCAAGGGGACCTTTCATCTTATTGACGACCATCATGGCGCCGTCAACCGCTTTGACGACCGACGTGGCGAGCAGATTGACAATGTATAAAGTGCGCAGTAGCACCCAGATCCTAGGTATATTCAGCATCAACTTTTGTCTTTTCTCAACTCCCTTCTTTTTCATCTAGTTGGACCTATGCTGCAGATGCGTTCTTTTCTTCTCGTGGCACCAGCCATTGCAGGTGCTGTCCCCTTTCAGACCAGTCCAGCCTGCAAGTTGACACCTCACGATTCCTCGTGGCCATCCGCCGACGACTGGGCATCACTTAACACCACAATTGGTGGATCGCTCATTCATTCACTTCCTGCAGCATCATCATGTTGGTCCGGCAACCCTTACAGTTCATCCATCTCTTGTGAGACAGCAACCGACAAATGGTCCAACGGTACCTGGCACTCTCAGCAACCAGAGTCAATCGACTATCAGATCTACGCGAACAACACCTGCCTTCCAAAAGGCGCCTCTGGCTGGGTAGCCGAAAGGGGCTGCAGTAACGATGCGTTCCCGCAATACATTGTCAACGCGACTGAAGCAGTCCACGTGGCTTATGCGATGAAGTGGGCTTCTGATCGTCACATTCGTGTGGTGGTGAAAGGCACTGGCCACGATCTGAATGGAAGGTAGCATATATCCTTCAAGAGTTCTGTCACATTAACTGACACTGGTTTCTAGATCCAGCGGTGCATACGCACTCGCCATCTGGACGCGCTATTTCAACAGTATTGATCGTGTTCAAAGCTGGACGCCTTCGAATAGCACCAACGCAACAGCTGAAGACGCTTTTATTGTCGGCAGTGGCCAGCAGTGGGGCAATGTGCTCAAATTTGCCTTGAATCAGGGACGATTCGTGACTACCGGACAAGACCCAAGTGTCGGACTTGGTGGCTATATCCAGGGTGGAGGACATGGGCCGCTATCTCGTACATATGGCCTGGCATCGAACCAAGTCCTTCAGATGACTGTTGCTACTGCGACTGGAGATGTTCTCATTACCAATGCTGAGCAGAATCAGGATCTTTTCTGGGCTCTTCGCGGCGGTGGTGCAGGACAGTACGGCGTCGTCACCGAATATGTCATCAAGCACTACCCAGCACCTAGCAATGTTGTCTTCGGAAGCTTCACGATCAAGCCGCGTTATAACACCAATGCTAGCCACGAAAACTCTTGGGCAACGATAGCAGCATACTTCAGCCATCTGCCGGACCTGATGGATGCGCAACTTGCAGGTGCAGCAACTGTGGCGAGCGGTACCAGCGCAGCGAAGTTCTTCCCTGATCTTGCTTCACAACAGCCGTTCAACGGTCTCGCTCTGAACCAAGTCTTTTGGGCGTTCAACACTACACCAGAGGCACTGGAGGCACTTGTACAACCCGTAATTGAGGAGCTTAACCCTGGTAACAGCACCAACAGCTCGGTGGCAATTTCATTGAGCGTCTCTACCTTCAATGACTATAAGTCCTTCTACTCCGCCATCTCGGGAGACAATGTAGCTGGTGGTGAAAGCGTAACGTCTTCTCGACTGCTTGGGCGCCGCGAGCTTCTCGATACACCACAGTCGGATGTGGTTAAATATCTGAAGATTGCCATGGCCAATCAAGACGCAACACAAGGAACCTTTGCCACGATTGGTCTGCAGGGTGGCCCTGGAGTCCGCGATCAACCCGAGCAACGTTGGGGTGCGCTGCTTCCTGCATGGCGCTCAGCCTATCTGCACTTCATCGCTACCGGTGCGATCGTGGACTCTGTCGCTGCCGGAAGCCCTAAGAAAGCGCTTGATGCTGCAGCAAAGTACTACGAGGAGGTCAAGGAGCCGATGTGGAGGGAGTGGGCGCCAGACAGTGGTGCGTATATGAACGAGGCCAATCCGTACAATAAGGACTTTGCAAAGGACTTCTATGGCAAAGGCTACGAGAAGCTGAAGAGCATCAAGGCAAAGTACGATCCAGCGGAGAGTCTGTTCGTCCTGGCGGGTGTTGGCAGTGATGGGTGGAATTACGATCTTGACACTGGCAAACTGTGCCGTACTTGAGTGCCGCAACTTTTGCATAGACAAAGTCGTACGCACGCTGTGAGAAGAATTGGGTGTCTATCTGGGGTTGATTTCACTATTTGTACATTAGTTGGAACCGTGTTCATGGGGGCGTAATTGCCTTTCGCCTTTTTGAGCGAGCTAGTCCATTGCGATATCGCTTTCTTCGATTTATACGCAAGCTGGATATAGACCTGTAGCATTCACATATATTTTCTTCATCACTATCACCTAGTCGTTGCGTTCTCAAACATTGGGCCAATCAACACAGATGGTGTTTTTGGTACAATGGAAATAGGAAAGGAAGATGTGCAGCACTATTGGAATGCTCACAGGCTGACCATAAGTTTATCTACAGAAGAGTGTGGCGCATTTGATTCACGCGATCCAGTCAAATACGGGTAGGTATCCTGGGAGCGAGTTGTGTCGCCATCCTTAAGACAAAGATATGAAAAGCTATCACTAAACGAGGTGTTGACACTGACTAGCTGGAAATAGCCACAAAAAACTAAGGCACTGGTACATAATCTTTCCTTCATCTTTCCCACCCCACTAATTGCGCTCAAAGCCACGCGTCAAGCCAAGTAATTTCCTGCAAAAAAATCGCCTGCTTGGCATACGACTGCTGCAGAATTTATACATCCGGCCTTACTGCGAGTCCGTGGGGAGCCTGCGAGCGTAGATTTAACTGGAACGTAATGTTACTTGCATTCAACATGTTGTGAGCCCTCAACTTGGCTGTGACGCTGAAACCTGGACCGAGCGCTTTAGATATTTATCAGCCCAGTAATTTAATATCATCGAAGTCGAGACAACAATGACTTGCTGCCTGCAGCAATACTGGACGGCAGCTAGCAATGTCCTGGATCTCTGTGTCTAGAAGGTCCGGGGATCCGCCACCCGTCCTATGTCTTTGGGAATCCAACCTATTCCCTAATCTCTTGACATTGGAAGCTCTTGGCAGGGGTTGGGTACCTGGGTAGGGGTTGGGTCGGGACTATCACGTGACCTGACCCAACCCCGACCCAACACCTTACCGTAGCGTGCACGGATAATTTTGTAATGCTGTAACGTGAATGATTCAAGATTTGATTGATGTTGGAGCTACTTTAGAGATCCTGTTCGTGTCTCCACCCAATCAAATCTTGAGGTATCTCAACTGTACCTAGGTAGCTAACATCTTCCCAGAATCAAGAGTTGATCGAGTAGAGGCGTTTATCAGACCTGACACATACACAATATCAAAGCTGCGCCACCTCTAAGGCTGAAACACCCTGTGGCTAAAGACTTGGGTAAGGCCTGACTCCTTCACCCTCCACCCTAGAACGCTGCACGGTCTACAGATGCGTGCAGTGTAGCTGGATACATACTTGGGCTTTGCTGCACGTCTCTGTATATGTGCAATTGCACGTGCAGGTGCAGACATAGGGTGCAGGGTGCAGGTGTCGGGTGCGCTCCTTCCTTCCAATCCTGACGGACCCCTGATATAGCTAGCATCTTAAGACACTACAGCCATATTTCTGCACTTGGAAGCAATCATACTTGAATTTGTGATGACATTACTTCAACAACTTGATGCATATCACCCTCTTGAAGTATGCCTGCAGTCACACATATATCACATAACCCTTATTGCGCGGTACGGTACCCTTCTGCCAGTCTGAGGTCCAGGCGCAGTACATGCCTTCTGAACTGATTTGTGGGGCGAGCGTGATGTGCGTTGAAACTGGATCTACACACTAATTTAGTTATACGAACAGATAAGACGCACCCGCACTTATCTGTGGTCCCTGCAAATCACAATTGCGCGGCAAGGAAATGATCATAATAGGTATAATACCACGCACAACCCATACTCTTTGCAAACGCTGTAGTGCCATCACACTCGTTCACCCACCTTCTTTTTGGCCGTCTGTTATTGCTTCTTACTTACTATTTTTGATTTCATTTTTCTGGTTCCCGCGCCGTTTATCCATCAGAATGCTCTTTCTCAACGCTTTGCCTGCCTTTGTCGCCCTTCAAGCCTTGCAGTTCATACCCACAGCCTTAGCCGAGTTCCGCGTAACCTGTTCTCCTTTCAAGCGTGAGCGTATTGATCCTATTGCAACGCCTGGCAAAGAAAATGGCCATATGCACACGTTCTTCGGCAACCGGGGCATTGGCCCGGAGATGCCGAGTTACGAGCAACTTGTCAACGGGTGCGGATCTTGCGGCATTGCAGGCGATAAGAGCGCGTACTGGGTCCCCACGCTGTACTATGGTGCGTTGTGACTGCTTGTACAGGAATATTGTGATGACGACTTCGCTTACTAATTTGACATGCAGTAACGAAGAATGCTACAGTCCCCGTGAAGGTGGCTATCTTCCACATCTACTACAATGGCCAGAACCCGAACCGAGAATCGTTTCCTGAGGACTACAACATCATCTCGCATGATCCCACTCTATCTGAAGAAGAGGTTAAGGCGCAGGGCGGCAATGGGATGAAATGGGTGAGTCGCAACAATGCTTAAGCGCTCTGCAGGGTTTTAACGATCACCCGCAGTACTTCGAGGACTCAGATGAGCAAAAGGAAAATTGGCAGCTTCCTAAACAGAAAGGCGGCGGCTGGCTCCGCGGCAACGTGCCGTTTCCGACGTCTGTCATTAAAGACGAATCCTTGGGTCGATACCGCGCCTGCACAGCAAACGATACTGGATGCTTTAACGTGTTGCGCATGTTCTTCGCTATCTGGTACGATCTGCGACACGAGTTCTTTGACTTCCAGGATGGAGCGTACCTGACTCTGTCCTCGGGCGGCGGTGAGTCTAGCCTATCCCTGTCCCCTATTTCCTAGCTGACTTGTTGACCTATAAGGCCACACCTATCATGGTGACTTCATCTATGGGTGGGAGCGTTCTTTTGCCTCTATGATTGTGCAGGACGACACAGATTACGTCAATGCCAATGGCATCCTACCAGTTGGCGGTGAGAAGTCAACAATCAAAAGCACAGAATGTCAAAGACAGGATGAGGAGGGTTTTACACTGGGGAAGCCAGACTGGGACGCAATGCTTGAAGCAAATGCAGGTAATGGCACAGTTGAGCTTGGCCATTACGGAAAATCCCTTACCATCACGAACGGGAAGAGCATGAATGCAACATTCAGTGGGAAGTGGGGAGACGCTGGAAAGGTTGACGCTGAAGCCTTCTCTGAGGCACCAGCTGCGTCCATGAATGAATCCAAGTCAGGAGACCAGCGCACTGCTTCGATCTATTCTTTGCCTTCGGTTGCCGCTTCTAGCGCCTCTACAAGCCACACAGCGTCTGTTGAGCTGCCTGCAGCCACCGCCAGCGCGATCACGACGCGCAAAGCTTTGCCAAGTGCCTGCAGTAGGAACAAGAAGATACACGGGCGCCGCCACTAAGGATACCTTGTGGGGATAGCTGGGGCAGATGGCAGAGATGAACATGCGTGCCAGAAAGCTATGGCAGAGGGACGGGAATGTTGACGCAACACCCGGGGTCTTGACGTATCTTCAAATTTTGAACTATCATTTGCGTTTTTTTTGATCTGCAAAAGCTCTCTGCAGCTGTACTACGGAGATGGCGGTTGAAAGCAAAAACGTTGCACATCATAATCAACTGCGAATGGCTCATCATTGGCACATACGTCTTCTTCACATCATCATAAGCGAGAGCGAGGCCTTCTGCAAGATACTACGCGAACGTCTTCATCAAGACAGACTGGACAAGTTCCGGGCTTGATTTTCCAAGAAAGAAGTCCATCTTGCAGATGCACACGGCTTATAACGCTTTGCCCTTGTAGACTGATCTACGGTTGGCCTCAGCTCACAATGTTAGAGGTTGGCGAAGCGGCGAGAAAGAACATGATGGAGCTGCAGCTGGAGTCAGACTTTGGCAAGAAAAGTTGGGGAGGAGCAAGATGGCAGGACAGACGACTTACATCAGAGGAAAGAGGGGAAGGGCGTTTGAAGAATCCAAACGTGCGCATTACAGAGCGAGCAGATGGGATTGGCGCCGCTATCGTTGAACAATTGAAAATGATAAATGACAAGGCAATAAAGGATATAGGGGGCGAGACAAACTATCTGCGTGATTGACGTGTTGTTACTATTTTCAAGTAGATGTTATACCATGAGCTTTTATGGCACGTTATTACTAGATGCCTTTAATGTCGCCTGCTGATAGAGATTAGCACTAGTAGGTTCTTTTGTACCAACATTCTCCTTATAGCCACCGCAATGAACGCAACAGTTTTGGAGAAAGAGTAGAGAGTGATCACGTCGCGAGGCAGAAACGTTGTCAAAGAAATCGACAAACTATGAAACCACAAAGTAAAATAGTAATTTCAATGTTAGAGAGCTTCCTACACCGTTGCGAAGCTTCCCGTCACTACCTCTGGCTTACTTAACAGGAGACAGCTTTACCATCCGCATTGAGGTAAGAAGCGAGAGTGATCTTGCTTCCACACTTGACAGATTGCGCGAACGTCTTAGTGTTGATCTGCGCGCCAGCCGGATTCGTGTGCGTGTTGTCATTAGGGAAGTATGTCTTAGTCTTAGTTGAACCCAGGGCCTGGAACGCAGCGACCGAGTACTTGGTGTGGTCGACATACTGCACGCCAGCCTTCTGCGCAACCTCTTTGGCGGTGGTGGCGAAGGGCCAGTCAGCCTTGAAGGTGGTGCCTTTCCAGCTGTTTCTTGGGACCATGCCTGAAATGATGGGTGTTGCGTTCTTGGCTTTCACGTCTGCGATCATCTTGCGGAGATACCAGCCGAAAGTGTGGACTGTCTCTTTGGCGCCTGTTGATGTGGTCACTACGACAGTTTCTTCGCCGCTGCCAGAGAGAGTGCCGCGGTCTTTCGTGTCAGTCGTTGGATCGGTGTCATCGTTGTGGCCCATCTCGATGATGACAAAGTCGCCAGCATTTGTCGAGGCTAGGAGAGATTTCCATTTCCCTTCGTTGATGAAAGATCGAGTGGATCGGCCGTTCACTGCGAGATTGCTCACGCCGATGGTCAGATAGTTTTTGAGGTAATAACCCCAGCTAGAATTGAACGTTAAAATCTGAATCCTGTTCAGTCGGGCTTTCTTTCGTACCCTTGCAGAACCGATCCTTCAGCGTAGTTTGCTGTTGTGCTATCAGAGCAAATGAGAACTTTGGGGGTTGCCGCCGCCGCTGCCGGCGCGGCTGAGACCGCAGCGACGACTGTGGTAAGAATTGCGAAAAGCTTCATGGTGAGAAGGAATGATTGCGGGACACGCGATGTCAGTGATTTCGATGATTCCCAGTTACCGGAATATCGAGGAGATGCAGGCAGTTGTGCAGTTGTATTTATACAAACCCTTAGCTTTCGGGCGAAAGGGCACCATACCAGGTCATGCCTCCGCTATGATAGAATTGTATGAAATACATGAAGCACAGGTTCGGCCAGATAGTATATTGGCAATGACACCAGGGGCGAAGTGTAAAGTAGGTGTGAGCACGGTTCGCTCGAGATCAGAAAATCCACCAATGGATGGCTGGGTGAGTGTTTCAAAGGGGGCTATAAATTAAAATTCGCGATGGGCTCCGCCCAATAGAGGTAGTATAGATGCAAAGACCATCAAACATGACAAGCTTTCCTTCCACATGAGTTTCATTATGCCGATTGCGTTACAAACAGTCTCCTATAGAAGACAACAATGGCTGTTGGCCGTTCATGCCTGTCGTTGGTGGAAGCAGGTAAGAGATCAGAGTCGATCGCTTGTCTTGAGAGGAGATCGCGGCAATACAATTCATAATGCACCAAATTGGGGACTTGGGTTTAGAAGAGAACGTGTCTCGCCTTTCTGTAGAGTAGAACGATTAAACATGACTCGAATTCCACACGGCATGATTACGTCACGGAATACTGACAACAACGCTTGTGATGTCTAAGCACAGGACATCGTGCAACAAGCATTCAACACCAATTTACACTTCAGCTGTACTGATAGATTACACGCTGACGAGTTAATCTGTCCCTGTTATCGAATGGTAGCATGGTTGATTATGCGGCTCTCATGATGGAAGGACCGAGACTAATGAAGCTAGTGGCACTGGTCTTTTCCCAGACAATGTACCCCAGCTTTACTCCTTACTTGAAGCAATTCTTGAGAAGCCTTTAAAATGAGCTCGCATGGCCGGTAAACCCCAGGTAAGAGGATATTCGTGGATACATATCTACTGTGTCAGGGGAAGAGTTGAGCTCTGCTGCTATTTGATGATCATCAATGCACTCTTGGAAGGCCTCCTGCTGACAGTATCGATATTTTCTCAGATTGATTTGCGCTACAACGTAAGACGTACTGAAAACATATCAACAACCTTGCAAGAGAATGAGTTCCTTAGTCACCGGCGTCAGACTGAAGAAGTCTCAGGACCACACCTCTACCGAACTCCAGCTTTGCCAGATTTAGCAAATGCATGTCGTAGTAGCTGAGAGTCGTGAGACATGTTGATAAAAGTACCAACTACCGAAATGCCCATAAGAAAAAACGCAACAGGGTGCTGATAAGCAATGAATGTTGCTGTCCACGCAAGTGTGGCATACAGTGGCCAGAAAACTCTCCACAGCCTGTCTCGTACATCTCGGAACTTATACATGAAGTGGTCGTGCTCTGAAGGCGACATGAAATTATCCCAACGCTTTCGGGAAGTTTCCATATCGAAATCTTTGGGAAGGTTGCTGTGCGCGTCGAGCCACGTTACCCAGAAAGGTGCTAACTCTTTCGAGCCTAAATCATAGGGGCTCTCGCGTTGTATGAAGTCGACCCATTTGTTCACAGCTACTTTGGCATCCTCGGCAGGGATTTCGAACCATTCATCATGTCTTCGATTGCACGACTCGCAGAAGTAGGGTCGACAGAAATCGGAAAGGTAACCTTTAATGAGAACTTCCGTTCGAATGTGAAGGTCCACTGGCCTGTCATGCAAAAGCTCGAGATTGGTAATTTTGCATGAACTCTTTAGAGATGACATGCGGGCTTCAATGTCCACGCTTCTCCCGATCTTACAAAGATGAGGTCTGCTCACATCTCCCATAACGTATATTTGACCCCTGCCTTCCTTGACAGAAAGCGGAGACTTGATATACTTTCGTAGTTTACTATGTTTTTTCGGAATGTCTTCAGGGTTGTGACTGGGCTTGTCCTCCGGTGCTTCTGGACTAGGCAGTTCTGTATCAGAACCATCCGGTTCCTCACTAGCTGCTCGATTGAAGACAGGAGATTCGTTAGGCAGCTCTTCGGTTGCCTCGTAAGGTGTGGCACTTGGTATTTTCTCCGCCTTGCTGGTGCTAGAGCTCTCTTTGCCGGCGGTCTCATTTAGAGAAAAGATTACTGGCACTGCTTGATCCTTGCGGGATGATGCCGTAAAGATATCTTCGGCTTCCTCGTCCTGTACTTCGGACGATGGCGTGTCAATGGCAATGCATTCCGGGTCTTGACAGACAAGTATATGTTTCGCTTGCGAAGCTAGGTTCTTGTACTTCTTTTTCCTCGTGCACGAATTTGGAGTGCTGGGTTTTTTTTTGGGTGTTGCGTCGTCGTCGTTCGCAGCTGAACCAACCACGGGTCCTGTTCCAGGAGCAGACTTGGTTCTCTTCCGAGGGACGGGCCGATCAGGTGAAAGAAACGAGTCGTCTCCCTGATCTCCTTGAAGAAGGTTCGGTGAACTTTGCGTCTTTGCATCCGACATCATCTGAGGACCTAAGAAAGAGCATTTGCGCTTGGAGGGGGTTGTGTCCACAGCTTGCTGGCGTGGAGATGGCTTAGTCGCTGGCGTTCTGAGGGTGTAAGCTTGAGTCGAAGAGCCTGGTGTCATTTTGGAAGTAGGTAGATAGCTACTGGGGGGATATAATGATTGTCATCGATGTTCTGAGAAACGGGAGTAGTCAGTGCTGCATAAATACAGCTGGGGAGATCGCAGGATCTCATACCATGCATGGAAATGCGACACACAACCTTCTGCATTCAGCCCTCTCTAGAACAGGGATGTTTACATTAGTGGTGATGGAAAGGGGCTGAGCTGCGAAATCAGGCGCCAAGGCTGAAACGAACCTCATCCATCGAACACGTGCGACCAACTTGTAAAGAATCTTGCGTTAGAAGACCCTCTAGCACTTCTTTAAACCTGATCTACACTTAGTGAAGATGCCTGATTGGCCAGGAAGGCATTGAAAGCCAAACTTTCTCTTCGGCATGAAGTTGACACTATCGGGAACGAAGCACTATGGCGAGGCCCTCAGCTGCGTTTCGCGACCACAGGTCCGAATACGAAATTAGATAAAGGTCCGGTACAATTGAGGATGGCCGAGTTTGGTCCTGATACGTGTGTTGGGGGCCAAGGTGCTGTGCCGCAAAGCCGCATTAAAGCCCCAAGTACAGGTATGTAGACACTTTGCCTCAATCACAGAACGCGTTTATCTGTCATTAAAGGTAATATCTGCGTAATCACAGTATATCTAATCATGAGTGACGTCCAGCCCATCGTTAGTTATCATTCCAGAAGGTGACTGCTGCTATCAGTCACGTCGCGCGTAGCACAACGCCAACAAGCGAAGTCTGGGGCTTAGCGCAAAGCCTGGCACCTTGAACATCGATTGCAGGCGGCAGGAACGACTCCGGGACGACCGAATGTCGCAATCGCATGGTTCCGGCCTAGGTCTCGATTTGGGCCGGCGCCTACTACAGCGTAGAGAGGAAGGTGTAGAGAGTCCTGCTAGTCCATGAAGGCAAGAGGGTCTGATAACTACTTAGACCAGACCGTACACTACTGTGCCATTAGTTGGAGCAGTAGTGGAAGGGAAGATAAGTGTTCGCGTTTGGTGGTTGTGAAGGATCACTAAGCGCATAAGACTGGGACACATGAAACCCAACATCTTTCCCCTGCATCGTGCAGCTCGGCAAGGATCCAACGTTCCTAATGTAGACTGAACGACTGAAATGGGTGTCACCCGATGATGCTGTGACACAGCCTCCCGTCGATCGAAGACTATGTAAACGCGCTAGCGTCTTCTCTTCATACACCGTGTTAGGAGAGTCGACGGCTTGCGTCGAATTCAATGTGACATTTGCTTACGCAGCTCGTCTAGCCAGTGTATCACTAATTCACTATGCCGCCATTGTATAGATGCCTTTTTGTATCCACATACGCCAACACAACACCGCTATGCAGAAAGGCACTAACACGCGGTATACGCCAGCAAGGCTCATACGCCTAGAATCGCACTACTTTTTGAAAACGGTAGCCTCGCTCCACCTGCTCGTAGCCTTGCTCTTGTACTCATCTTTAACTTTCTCATCACTCTTCCACTTGCCCAGTAATGCCAGCCCCTGTTCGGCCTCCTCAAATGTGATACTGGAAATTTCCAATGCCTTGATAAGATCCGCCTCGTTCTGGCTCTTTGCATTGCTGTCAAGAGCGTGACGGGTGGCGTACGCGGCTTGGAGGTGGGAGGCGCTGTCGGAGTGCTTCTTTGCAAAGTCATCGTTGTAGGCTTTGAGATCAGCGTCGACAGATGGTGTGGTGAAGGTGTCCTTGATAACCTGGGAGACCTCGGCTGGGAGATCGGTGGCTTTGCTAACTACGATTCGTTAGTGGGTGGCGGTGCAATTGATGCGAGCATAACTTACGAGCTTGGCGGAGACGCACACTCTGCTCATGCGCCTTCGGGTTCTCAGGGTCGAGCTCTCGCGCAGCTTGCAGACATTTCAGGGCAAGCAAATACTTCTGGCTCCTGAGGTAGACCTCAAATCCAACGTTCTGCGCCTCGACGATCTTTGTGCTGAGCTCAAGCATAGGCTTCAAGAACCTCTGAGCAGCCTCAAGCGGCTCCTTTGTCTGCAAGAGCTTCTCGCCCCTGGGGTCTGTGTCCTCCTTCTTCTTGTCCTCATCGTCTGCCTTAGCAGTAGCCTTGGCAGCAGCAGCCGCTTTCCTCTCGGCCTCCTCCTTCTCCCTCTTCTCCCTCTCCTTCTTGGCCTTCTTCTCGGCCTTCTTACGTTCTGTAGGGTCGAGCTTGCTAAGATCCACCTGGTTAGGGTTCGCCAACTTGGGGTCGTCCGATAGTTGGAGATAGATGTTGATGGCGTTGACAGCCGCTCGTGTGAAGAAGGGATGGTTGCGGAGGTGATCTTCCCACTTGATCATCTCCATGTATGCGCGAATCTGTCCCTTTCGTAGCGAGAAGCTGTGGAAGTCGAACTGGTCCTCGTGCCAAACATCGAAGATATCTGCTATCGCAGTGAAACGCTTCAAAGCCAAGCCCAGATTCTGCTGACGTGCGTACGCCTCGCCATCTTCGAGGAGGTACCACATGCACTGCATGTCGTGTAGGTCACCCAGTGGACCGCCAACCGCCTCGTTCCTTGTAAATTTGCTCATTGTCGCCAATGCCTTTTCGTTCTCGTCGGCGCGCAATTGGTACTTGGCGCACTTTGTGTTGATGTATCGGTCGCGCTCGTCAAGTTCGCGTGCGTGGTTGATCGTCTCCGCGGCCTTCTTCACGTCGCCGGCATGCTTCTGGATGCGTGCCTTCGTCTGATGGTAATCAACAGATTTGGGGTCCATCTCGATGAGTCGGTCAATGTACTCATCAGCCTTCTTGAGGTCGCGACTCAGAATGTAGTTGTAGTGCTGCGCAAGGAAATAAAGCACAGACTGCTCGAAACGGTCTGCCTTGTCCCCGTTTGTCTCCTCAGTAGCGGAACCGTTCGACTTCTTCTCCGACTCGTACCCGAGGACCAGTTCTTCAATGATGGCTTTCTTCTCGGCATCGGCGTACAATGCCTTGATGTTGGGGAATGTTGAGGGAACGCCCTTGTTCAGCTTCCAGCGAAGGTATGAGTCTGCAGACACTTTGAAGGCTTCACCGGACAAGAAATCCAGAGGGATGCGCCTGCTCGCATCGTTGCGGTTGTTTTTGTCGGCGTACGACTGGTAGAGCTCGGCCAGCTTCTCGATGTCTGCCTCGTTTTCGCGGCTCAACCCGAGCGCCTTCTCGAGTCCATCGAAGTATGCACGATACTCGCTGTTCCTGTCCAGCAACTTCCGATATGCCTGCTCAGCTTCCTCGTTGCGCCCGAGATCCAGCAAATATTTCGCCCTCAGCTCATACGCAGATGTGCGGTCCAGGTTGCTCTTGATGATCTCGTCCAGATGCGTAAGTGCGCGCTCGGTATCTCCTGACTCAGCAATGATCGTGTTCTTGTAGAGAACAGCTTCGGAGTGCTCGATGTCACCTTTCGGCGGTGGCTGCTTCAGCGTCTCTTCGTAGGTCTTTAGAATGTTCTCTGCTTCTGTCAGATTGCCTGCCAAGTGGAAAGCAACGGCCAATGCAGTCCAGTTCTGTCGCAATTGCGGGCGTTCCTGCATCATCTTTCGCCTGCTCTCGATGTAGCCGTCAAAGTCGCGGATCTGACATTGGAGCAGGGCGAGGTCGCGCAAAATATTCAATGAGCCAGGTTCTATCCGCAGCGCGAACTTGTATGCCTTGATCGCCTCCTCGTAGTTCTTGACTGATCGCCACAACAGCCCATAAACGTGCCAGCAGATGTGCGATTTCATGTCGTTTCTCAAAGCGTCCTTGCAGAGTGCAAATGCTTCGTCGCCATGGCCTTGCGAGTTCAAAATGAGTGCCTTCATGGCCTGTGTATCGCCATGGGAGGGGTGCTTCTTGAGAATCTGGTCGGCGGCTTTGAGGCCTGGCGGGGTCAGCAGTGCACGCTGGCGCTGTTATGTATCGACGCACCCTTCTTATATTGTTTGCCCTCATAGTATTTGACAACGGAGCGAAAGAGCGTCTGCTCCTTGCTGGGCAATGGCTGCGGCATTGTGGTGGTGGTCGGTGGTTAAGGTAATGTGGGCGCTTCGACAATTCGCACACGAACGTTTCGTTCGAAATCGGATCGATCGAGTGGGTGCGATAGCAGGGGCGCAATCGGTAAATGACTGTGGCAATGCAAGATCAACAATAAATCATTGCGCCAGGGACTGAGACAATAGGAAAGTGACCGCGTTGAGTTGTAAAGTACGTTACGTCGAAATTCAAGCTCCCCGCTGATGTCCGCAGTAGCGCCCGCGCTCGGAGCACGTGCCTGAGACATTCACCCCACATCACGGAACATGCTCCGAACAGTGAACTGCTTCAATGAGTTGTAGAAGATGCGCACTATGTCAATCAGAATTATGCACCAGGGTGTTCTCAATGAAAGAAGGACAGAAGGTTTTAATTTGACAGGGGTAACTACATCTTGATCTTACTACGCAGTGCGTATATAGCTCGTACATGACATACAATTCGTTGTGCTGTCACTTTGCAGTACGACCGGACCTACGCCGCCCGTCTGGCTCTTGTGTGTCAACCTCCTCCTTGACTTCCGTATTTTTGTTGTTCTTTGCTGGTGCGTCGGTAGATTCTTTTGATACAGCCTTTTTTTTCTTCGGCGCCGCACTCGTCTTCTGCTTCTTGGGAGCAGATGATTCCTCAATGTCTTCATCAGACTCGTCCTTGACCTCGTAATCGACCTGCTTTCGCCCTCTCCTTGGCCTATTTGCTGATGCCGATGGCGCAGCTGCTTCACCATCCTCGACCTTATCCACTTTAGTCTTCCTCTTCACGCTTTTCTTCGGCTTGACTTCCGTCTCAGCCTCTTCACTGCCATCATCAGCAGACTCAGACACATCACCGGCCACAGCTGCTGTCTTCTTCTGCACGCTCGGCACGACTGCAGACGTGCGTCCGCCCACCGTCAAGAACGTGATCTTTGCACCGTTCGGTAGCTTGCCACCAGTCTTCTTGCCCTTGTCCCACCGGTATTTCATGAGCCAGTCCTTCGGAAACTTGTCTGACTCCGCAAGTGCGTCCACTGCTGTATCGCACACGTACATGATTGCATCATGTAGTCTCTTGATTTGTTCGTCGCTGAAGGTGTTGCTGTACTGTTCCGGATGTAGCTTCGCTTGGTACATTGTTTCGTCAGCAACCCAATTGCCGATTCCAGAAATGTTCGCCTGGTCCAGTAGCAACGCCTTGACTGGCACTTTCTTGCGTCTCAGCAACTGCGTGAGCCACTCCACGGTCAGCACGTCCTTGTCAATGACTGGATCCGGCCCGTTCTCCTTCAATGGCGAAACTTTTCTCATCTCATCCGCTTCAGCGTCAATCAGTCTGCATCTCCCCAGCCTTCGGGGATCTGTAAAGGCGACCTCGCATTTTGGCTCTCCCTTCAAGTCTAGCACGAATTTCCAGAACCGCGGTGGCCAGTCTGCCTCTTCTTTCTTCGGTCTGTAGTATGCGCTTGTATCATCGTTGCTGAACCTGATCCACCCAGTCATACCCAGATGCATGAGCGGATGTGGTTTTGATTCCATGATGAGCCAAAAGTATTTTCCTTGTTGGCGCGCGTCGAGCACCTTCTTGCCGGTCATGGCGGTTTTGAAAGCGCTTGCTGAGGTACCGACTTTGCCGAAGAGAAGGTCATCTTCTTCTGCACGAACTGATGCGATTGTGCGACCCACGAGGTGCTTCTTAAGATAGTGCACTACCCGTGATACTTCTGCGATCTGTAGCCATTAGCCTTTGATTGCTCTTGAACATCTTAGAGCTTACCTCAGGCATCGTGACTGCGACAATCGAAAGGTAAGATCAATGTACAATGTCGAAAAGTAAGATCAATGTGCAATGTCGCAAGTACAGGATACTTCGAGCCAGACGAATGAAGATGGATGACTGAGAGTCAAATTTGGTGATTGATGTTTGGAAAAGGAGCAATGACGACTTGACTCTCCAAACTACGCGTCGCCCCGGCGCGTCCTCACGAGACCAGCCGCCACGACGTCATTGGCCAATTCGACATCCACATCCATCACATCCCACAGCAGCAATGTCGTCTAGAGCGCGCCATGTGCTCATCACAGGTGGCAGCCGAGGCATCGGTCTAGCCATCGCCCAGGCCTTCGCAAAGCGTGCATACCGCTGCACGCTCGTCTCGCGCTCAGAAGAGAATCTCAAGAGCGCGGTTTCTACTCTCGAACCATCATCAGGATCGCATCGCTATCTTGCAGGATCCATCTCAGCGCCAGACTTCTGGTCGACTACGCACTTCAAAGAGCAGGGCCTTGGTAAGGGCGAGGATGCGTCGAAGATTGATGTATTAGTGAATTGCGCGGGGATCACGCAAGCAAGACTTTTTACAACAACGCCTGCGGAAGATATCCAGGACATCGTCGATACTAATCTCACCGCGCTTATGCTTGGTACTCGGTTTTTGCTGCGTAACAAGTATCTGTACACGACTAGTAGATCTCGTTCAGAAGCCGATGTAGACTTCACGCCTTCTGTCGTTAACGTGTCCAGCCTGCTTGGCTCAAGTGGCGGCTACGGAGCGGTTGCGTACGCAGCGAGTAAAGCAGGGGTGTTGGGATTTACCAGGGCACTGGCAGCGGAGTATGTAGGACATGGGGTGAGGGTGAATGCGATCGTGCCGGGTTATGTGGAGAGCGACATGACAAAAGGTATGTTGCGACGTCCATTCCTTGTGAACAAGAGCTGACGATACCAGACTTAAATGCGTCACAACTGAAGGACAGGATACCGCTCAAGCGGTTCGGCAAACCAGAAGAGATTGCAAGCGCAGCATTGTTTCTCGCGGAGAATCAATACGCGCATAACTGCGTATTGAATCTGGATGGTGGACTATCTGCGGTATGAGATTCTGCGCCAGGTATAGACTGAAGCGCGACTTGAGCTGTTGATCCCTTTCCAATATCTATATGAGAGAGCAAAAGCAGACATATTGAGGTATACCCATTCCAAAACGCCGCCAAACTTGCGCCTGTGCTGATGTAATACAGAGGGTATCCAGAGGATGGGCGCATCGATGCTTTGTAGACCATGGGAAACATGTAAGATCGCGACGGAGCAGTCCACGAAGTTTGCGTAAAGCAGAGAGGCAAGCAAGATGTGCGTTCTCGCAACAACTCAGTCAAGCTCAATCACACCGTCTTCCTTCTCGTCTGAGATCACCAATATGTCATCAGTGTCCATGACCCGCTTGCCTTCCATAACCTTGCCCTTTTTCCTGACAAGATCATCTTCAAGACTAGCCTCGTCTGCCGTTCTCTTGAGACCGGTACCTGTTCCATTCGTGGTGCCATTCGCGGTGCCATTTGCGGTACCATCCGCATTTGCGTGACTTTGGCCGTTGGTTGCAGGGGCTGCGATAGGCACGGTCGTCCTAGGTCGGGTTGCGATCTTCAGATCTTGGAGCAGGTTGATAGGCTTATCTGAAGATGGAAGCTCCTTTGCGACAATCGTAAGCTGTACGTTGACCTTTTTGTCCTCGTCTGCATCGTCTATAATGGTGACTGAACTGTCCGTCACAAGTCCGAGCTCGCTGAACGTCTTCTCCAGGTGTGCATCCTCGTCAGCATCATAGAGGAGATCGCCATCCTTGGTCACGCTGAATTCTTCGCCATAGCCCAACTGTGTCTTGAGCACATCTTCGACAAGGTCATTGAGCTTGGCACGTCCTATGTCGACGATCAGGGTGACATGGGTGACACTACAGGTCGGGCATTCTGGGTTGGGTGCACTGAGTGTCTCTGGAGCAAGCATTCGATCAGTACCTCGCCTGAGAAAGACCGATTTGGCCTGTCGCTTCAGCTGTTCGGGATCGGTATATCGCAAAACTTTGAATGCTTGGAGGACGCAGAGACCTGCAGTCATAGCGTTGGTGGTGGCAATGGCAGGAATGATGTTGCCAGCCATTTCTACGGGGATTTGTCAGTAATGTTCTCCACAACGTTGCAGCTTCACCTACGCTTGATCTCGAACTTCGAACGCATTTCGATGCCAAAGATGGCTGCTCGAAGGTTGGCACTCGCGACCACGAAATCTAGAGTGTCTGTGTCATCTTTGTCGAAGCTCAGTACGGGAACTGAGTTTCCGACCTCGGTCTGCGCGCGCTCTGTTTCCAAACGCTGGCTCAGCCTGTTGAGACTGTCTACAAAGACTGCGAAGTTCTCTGCAACACCCCATGTCTTCTGGTCATCCGACAGCAGGGTCTGCGCGGGAACGTTGGCCTCTTCTGACAGCTTGTCGAAATTCAGCGCAACTGGTGCTCTCTTGCCCTTCCACATGTCTTCCATGCTGAGCAGCCGTTCGATGTCGTCTTTGAAAACCATCTCGAAGACAGCACGTGGGAAATCCTGCGAGCCCATCTGCTCTCGCACACGCTTCAGCTTTGTCGCCTCCTCGCGCAGCTTCGCGATTTCAACCGCGTCATTCCCTTCTTTATCTAAGCTCTGATCTAGTTCTGGCGAATCGTCTTCGGAGATGCCAAACAGCTCGGCGAACAGGTATGATTTCCCCCATACTATGCAGTGAATGAGCTGGGACGGCGTACTTCGAATCGTGCACGTGGCAAAGACTTTCGGCGTTGGCTTCGGCACGCAATCGTAGCACTCTGTAAGGCTCTTCTTAATGACTTGGACATTGCCATTGAAGCCAGTGGTGCCACTCTCGATAAGCGGCACGTTCGCTGCCAGACACATCTTATTGACATGTCGGCGCGCATCGATATTGTCGAGAGCGTTGAAGACGATATTGAAATTCTGGAACCATGCGACATTGAACTGCGGGTCCTTGATATTGTCGTGGTAGGCTTCGATCGTGACGTTGGGATTGAACTTGTGCGCCGACTCTTTGGCAACCTGCTGTAGTGTCAGCGCATGCGCTGTCGCCTTTCTAGAAGCCTCAATGTGCACATACCAGCGCCTTCGACTTCTTGATGTGCTCGTTGCGGAACAGAAACTGGCGGTTGAGGTTGCTGAGGTCGATGGTGTCCAGGTCGACAATGTGGATTTCGCCAAAGCCGGTAAGAACAAGGTTCTTGAGCAGCTCGCAGCCGATGCCGCCAGCTCCTACCATGAGGACGCGTGACTGCCTCTTGTCAGTGACTCGATGTTGTGTTCTTGGTGTCTCAGTCGCACCTTCTTGACCAGGCCATGGAGCGTGCCGCCTAGGCTCTGTTGCGCAAACTTGTCGCGTGTCATTGCGGTGACGGGGTGGAGTGGCGAGTTGGGTGTGGAAGTGCAGGTTGCCACGGCATGCGCGACGAGGTAAGAGCCGCCGGGCGCGGATAATTGAAGATCTCAAGGTGAGAGGCCCGACGTCAGTCTGTAGCGCTGATCCACCCCCGGTCGCTAGAGCCTCAACGCTAGTGGCTACGCGAAGCTTTAACGCGCGCGAGTGAAACTGCGCTCACCAAGTCACATGTTCGATATCAGAATCTGGAGGTGGCTAACGATTAATTTTCATCGGGTTCACAAGAGCGATAATAAATCATTTCCACAAGTGGTCCCTTCCTTCATTGCATCGACTTCGGTTCCTGGCGCAACCCGGTTCTAGAAAGCAGCGTCAAAGATCGCGATGTCAGACGACGAGGTTGACCATGAACTACTGGACTTATTACGGAAGCGATTCGGAATAGGTGTCCAGGATAATGGGCCGCCAGAGACAAAGGTACTCGAAAGTGCCGAGAACATCTACGACAACAGCACCGATGTGGCAATCGACATGCGCTCGACCAAAGTAGCCGCCCAGTTGGTTCTTGACGAGATGGAAAAGCGAGAATACAGTACTAAAACTTGGTCGGCTCATGAGCTGCATCCCAAATCTAAAGACGAAAGCACAGTCAACTTCATCTTTACCATGGATCTCTTGAACTTTAGCTTTTGGAGTGAGAAGAGCGAAGATGAGAGATTCGCCGTTGAGTACAAAGATAAGAGGTGGACGGGCTATTGGGGCCTGGTCGCTGTGCTGCAGAGAGCACTGGATGAGGGTGTTCCAATAACTTCACCTGAATTCTGGATCGACGAGGTAAATTGCACAGACGAGGTACTCAAGAACGCATTCCGCTCGGTGAATGATGAGCAGGCACCGATGCTCGACCAGCGCATTAGGTGTCTCAGAGAGGCAGGCAGAGTACTAGACGAGGAATTCGATGGTAGTGTTGTGACACTCGTCGAAGACGCCAAAAACTCAGCAGCTGGGCTGGTCAATCTACTTGCTGAGAAGTTCACATGCTTTGCGGACGAAGGCACATTTGAGCGCAAAAAGGTTCGGTTTCTCAAGCGCGCACAGATCTTTGTGGCTGATCTGTGGGCCGCTTTTGACGGCGAGGGCTATGGAGAATTCAATGACATCGACAAGATCACCATGTTTGCAGACTACCGCGTTCCACAAATACTGCACTCTCTCGGAGTTATGTGGTTTTGCCCTTCGCTGGAAGCCAAGATCCGGCGCCTCGAAGTTATGGAAAGTGGACACACGTGGGAGATGCAGATTCGAGGTAAGTGGGCTGTTCAATGTTTGCGACCTTTTCAAAGAAAACTCACTTGAGAACAGGGTGCAGCATATGGGCAGTGGATTTGCTCCGACGGGAGATGTTGAAGATCAAGCCTGAAGCGAAAGTCAATGCGATCCTCATCGACTTTTTCTTATACGATTTGGCGAAGGAGAGAGAAAAGGAAGGTGTTGAAACAATACCCCACCACAGAACAAGGAGCATATGGTATTGAGGCATCGATATTCCCACAATGTGAATAATTATATGGATCGTTGACATTATCGACCAAGTTTGCTACATTTACATCGATGACCGGGGCTTACAAGATGACTGGTATCATAGATTCGCAGAGGAGATTCAGAAATGTAACAACGGTATGTTGTAGCTCGATGGCCTTCGAACTTATTCTTGTGTTGCTATTGCTAGTGCCATGAGAAGCCGGGGTGACGTCACCTGCTCTCTTCCCCTCACCAGTGCTTCATGTTGCACATTGCGCATGCCTCTGCAGGCAACGTACCCCAAACACGTGTTTTCTGGATCGTTCGGCAACTAAACTTTTTTGTATTGACTCCACACGTATACTGAAGGTTGCTCAGGAATATATCACAAGCCTGCAGATTTGTCGGCGTCCCAGCCTGACCTTCAGCGACTTCTCTATCCTCAGACCACGGCACATGCCAAGTCCTTGGCATACTGTTGCAGTGACTGTACTCTTTGAACACTGCATGTTATTGCTGACACGTTCCCGATAGCGTTCCGGTCCGATTTGCTCACCGATCTTTTCTTCGCCCCCTAAAATCGCTATAGCGCACATCTGAGCTCAGGGTTTGAAATATGGATTGCTGATCTGGCTGGCAAGAGTTTAGTCGGTTTCTTTGGAAATGGCAGAAGTACGATACATACCGATTTAACGAAGGCTTAGCTGCACGCGAGCTCTTCGCTATGTAACACGCGCTGTGCTACCATCTCCCAGCATTCCGGGACAATCCTAGAATGTAAACCTCCGTGCTGAGGGGACCACAGCAGCCGCCAAGTCCTGATTGACAAGAGATATGCTCCTTTCGATGCCCAAATACGCCACTGAGGAACGTGTGCGACTACCCCCTCAATGTCAGTGACTCCGAATAGAAATGGTCATCGAAGACTCTCAGCCTGATCACCCCTAAAAAGGACACATGAAGAACTCTCTGAAAGAGCTCCCAAAACTACCAGTCGAGTGTGCAGGTATGAGTTCATCAATTGGCGATATTCGGTCTTAGGGGGAGCCGTTGGCTGGATGGATACTGCTGTGCTCTGTTGCCTACTAGTCTGGATTACAGAGAGGCTACACAAGCGAATTTTACTGGTACAATACAAATGGGCTGTGTTTGTACGGTGAGAAACGCTCTGACCTGCATTGTGTAAATCTAGCTAAGTCTGGACCTTCGGCGAACTGTGCGAGAGGACATCCATTGCTTCGGGACCGGCACGTTCTACTGGTTTTCTTGGGGAGCCACACTTTCAGGATGGGCTTAGATCTGTGAGATTAGGGCTGTGCAAATCTCCAATCCCTCATCATTTCTTTTCAGCTGTCGGTCCTTTCCGTCTCTTCGATGTTCTCAATCATGCGGCTGTTTCTCCCCCTCGTATTGACGATTGTGACAGCCGCTCAGCAGGATCCTATTCAGGACTTTTGCCGACGATATCAACACCAAACCTGTGTGATAGACGATAAACTCTACATCGATGGCGGAAAAGTCCATTATGGTGGATTTGTGGAAAATGGAAGCATCGCGCAGCAAAGTAAGCATGCGATAGCTATGCGTTTGCACGTCGCTCACAAATAGACCCTCGACTCCTATGGGGGAATACCCTAGCCACCGATACGGAAACCGAGTTTCCCCAATTGTTTAAGAACTTATCGAAGGTAAGCTTTGCATGATCAACGAAGCTCGATCGGCGACTAAGATCAGATCAGGAGTCTGAAGTGCCTTCCGTGAGCGGCGGTGTACTATGGCCCGACATAACCAACAAGTTATTCTATCTCTTTGGCGGGGAATACCACGATATCTCGCAGGTGCAGCAATTCACCAGCCTTTGGTTTTTTGACATTCTTTCCAGCACCTGGAACCGCACGACTTCCTCTGCGGCTCAGACCGGCATCTTATGGCCAGCATTCGGATCAGGTACAGTTACGGAAGAGGGGACTGCATATTACTATGGAGGCTATCTGGGCAATAAAACCACTCCCAAATGGAGTGGAGAACCCATGATGCTCTCGTCGCTAATATCCTACAACATGGATACTCACATCTGGTCCAATCACACATATGATAACATTGCACGAGCCGAGGGGATACTACAGTATTTTCCAGCCTCAGCATCGGGCATGTTGTTATATTTCGGAGGGGTCGAGACTGGAAGTGATGGCAGAGTGCGATATGTGAGTCGTCATATCATTATCTGGCCAATTGTGCTAATCTTCCTAGGCGAACATGAGCGTAAGATATACGATACTACTGCCGATGTCATCTGCTTATAACCAATTAGAGTATCAGGATATTCGACATAAACGAGAACAAGTGGTTCACGCAGGTTGCAACTGGATTTGTCCCTTCTCCGAGGCGTGGGATGTGTGCTGGTCTAGCTTGGGCAGTCGACCACTCCTCATTCAACGTGTAAGTGATTAGCTGGGCACCATGCACTGTAGGCACTGACATTCACAAGTTACGTTCAGGGTGGCATTGGTGAAGACGGAGCTACATTCGGAGAGACGTACATTCTGACAATACCGTCCTTTCAATGGACACTGGTAGACCACCCAGTAAACACTTGCAGGCGAAATACTTACATCTCTAGATCTACCCAGAACCGAGTCGCGTCCCAAATACTGCAACAGGAAAAGGCTGGTCGTCCTGTAACGTTGTGCGAGGAATGTCACAGATGATCGTTCTTGGTGGCTACTTCGCCAACACTTCGTTCGTGGATTGCGACGTACCTGATCACAACGGACAACACGGCCTTCTGCTCGGGCAGGAGAGCGCAGAAGTCAAGCGGCCGCAGACCCAATGGTGGTGGCGGCTCATGCCCGAATTCAATGGGTATCGGGTCCCCGACAAGCTTGTCTCGTTGGTCGGCGGCAAGTAAGTTCTCACTTGTGCCAGCCTAAATCAATGGAACTAATGGATTCATAGTACCAGTGGTCATGCCACAATGACAACACCTGTACAAGGCTGGGAAACCCCTCAGCTCTCAGGATACTTTCTGGGCATGAAGCCGGCTGCGTCTCGAACAGCCACAAGGCTGATCCCGGCCACATCAACGGAATCGAACCAGTCAAAATCTAGCGGTCCAAATACTGGTGCTATTGCTGGCGGAACCATTGGGGGCGTTGTCGCACTTGCCAGCATAATCGCCATCGTTTTCTACTGGCTCCGTTACAAGCGTCGCCAGCAAAGTAAACACAACACACCTGAACTTGACCAGAACCACCAAAGAGCGGAGCTCGATGGTCCTGCTGTATGCGAGAAGCCTGTGACAGATGTCAATGTTCTGCATGGCGGCACTGTGCCTTGTTCCATGACGTCGACACCGTCTCAAGTCTCGCCACCACTTGTGCCAGCATCCTGGCGCCAGGACTCTCCTTGCGCTGAGCTACCAGAGTCCACGATTTCAGCTAGTGTTGAACTTTCCGATGTCAGAAGTCCGACCACCGGCGAGCCCCCAAATTTCATGCGCCCAGTCTCTCGTCATGATGGCACCTGATTTAGCATTGTAGAGGCGGGTCACCCTCAAATGTACTATTCTTCGACGCTACGTAAACCGAGGATATGTTGAGACGCAGGCAGTAATGATAGCGGAAGGGCGCCAGCCGAAGTACAGTAGCCGAAGGGTATTAACCGAATCGCTATCGCGATGAATTGGGTTACAGGGTATATAAACAAAACGTTGATGATTATAGGAAATAAATACTTTCTGTTGAGTGTGTACACTACTTGTAGTTGGGCTGTTGATGGCGCCACACTGCTGCTGAATGGCTACATTTTTGTCACTTGCCGACGCAGCTTCGGAGCCTTGAAGCAGAAGATAGTCTTGAACATTATTACAAAACGTTTCCGGAAAGGGGATTTCGTGTTAAGAGAATCCCAAAATATCAGCCAAGCTTTACATCGCCTGAGATTCCTTGCCTTTGCTCATCAGTCAAATCAATGTCAAAAAAATCTTTCAGAGCGTCCACACGCTCGTCTTCCGTAGTACATTCTTTCATGACCTCCCGAGAACCACCAACAGCCTTTCTTATGGTATCCTTGAAGAGAGTGGTGTTCCCGACGATTTTCTCTTTTGCCTCATCCATTATCATTGTCGTGCTTGTGACATATTTAGTAAAGAAGGACTTCCCATTGGTGGATGTATACCACGACATGATCTCGTAATCCTGAGGCAGGAACTCCGTCTCGGTGAAGCAATAAGTCGGCACCCAGACGTCCTCTTCGTCTCCCGCCGGATCGTGGCAAACATCGTAGCACCATAGCTTGTTGGAATGATCCCCATACGACTCTGCAATAGCGCGAAACTGTAGTCGTATCTTGCGTGGCGCAATGCTAGTCGTTTCAAACCCATCCTGTAGCGGGTAGGGCAAGTTAGGACCCATGCTGCCCATGCCTACATCAACGACAAACCACTGATCGTCAAATCGAACAAGGTTAAGCATGTGATTCCACCCGTCATATGTTGCAGCCTGGTTGCGCCGAACCTCTGGATAAGGACTCATGGCTCGCGACACGCGGCCTCCACAGTTGCGAACTTCAAAGCCAAGGGAACGGAGAACGGTCCCGAAGAAGGTATTGTTCTCCATACATCTCCCACCGCGCCGGTTGGTCACGATCTTCGTGTAAAGATCTGCCGGGTCGAGAGTAATGATCCTGTGCGCGGAGTAGTGTAGTTCCAAGTTCTCGAAAGGCACATTGCAGACGTGATGCCGGGTCAAAGCCTGCAGAAATGGAAGTCCGTGCTGCTTAGTGATGGAATAGGATTTGTTGGACAGTAAAGGCGAGTCGAGGTATTTTTGTGGAAGCTGGATTCGAGCAAAGTAATCGTGCAACTGGGCTGCGCTGTACCGTGGGCGATCCTCATCGCTGAGCGGTAGCTGGGTGAGGGAGGTGGGTAAAGAAGCACTCGTCATGTTCGGCAAGTATGCAGATTTACTTGTGATGGCTCGGACACAACAGGAGACGCAAGATACAATGCAAGAGCTTTTATAATCCTATCAGACGAAGCATGTGTATGTAAGACGTCTCTTGCTGACCACCATTACATGGTTCTGCGGCGATGGCGTTGAGCAATCGGCATCAAAGGGAATAAAAGGTGGGGCAGCGGAAAGGCGGGGAAAGCAATCCGACGTCCCCGGCTCGCCGCGGACGGCCTAGCGTGATCACCTTGCATTCGCCACAACGAAGCCAGCGTCTACCCACAATCACGTAAAAGACAGATAGATGTACCTCCAAGTCAAGAAGAATGATGCTACGAATTTGTACAGGGCAGCCAGCCACTGAGTATATACACGGTGATGCGACCCTTCTTGTTGCGGGAATTAACCAGCTCACGCAGCAGAATTGGAGTTATCAGCACAATCGAAGGTCCTGGCAATGAACCCAGATGCGAATGCGTCCCGGATCGAAACAGCGACAGAATACCTGTACAATGTTTGTTAGCTTGAAATTCTGACTGGGTTTGTGTTTACAACTTACGTTCCACCAACGATCATGTACAGGCCAAGAAGGCAGATGAGTGCGTGGAATCCAAACCTCGCTTTCTGTCCCAGTGTCCCAGATCTGTAAGCTCTGAAATCATACATCCACAACAGCGTCGGATAGACGAGGCTGAACGGCGCGAAACACAGCGACCCGGCCAGTCCGAGCAAGAAGTTCAGGATGGGAACAGACTGCGCAATGACGAAACCAAGTATGCCGAGGATAACATTGATGCCGAGCCACGTCGACCAGTGAACGACAGTGTTCGCCTGTAGGTGCTTTGAGTCTCGGAGCAACCGGACAAAAACGTATTTCGCCGCGACATGTTGGTAGATACCGACACCTATGATCAACCCAGGCAACAAGAAACCGTAGGATATCTTCTTGAAGAGGGGACCGGCAGAATCGAGTGCGGGAACCGAGAGCCAGATGCCACAGTATCGGTATATGACCATGGAGAAGACGACATACAAGATGCCGACAAGGACACCAGCCCAAAGGACTGCTTTACGATACTCTCTGGGGTTGCGCATTTCCGAGATAACAGGAAGAAACATCGAGGAGCCGCTTGCAGCGATGAAAAGGTTGGCTGTTGATACCATGCCGACGACAAAGGTAGGGTACGCAATAGCTACGAAGCCAAGATCAAAATCACCACTTGGTGGCGCCGCAGCAGGGCGGTCTTGACGCGCAACAGCGACAGTGAAAATGAAGATTGCGGCGACAAAGGTGGAAAAGCCGAACCAGGTCAGCCAACCAAGTCGGGAAAATGTGCGGATAGAGGAGCATATTGTGATCATGATCGCAGACACGAGAGCAAACACTACAGTGCAAGCTCCATGTTCCGACAATGCATTCAAGGCAGTTGAAGTGGACACAATGCCTCCAGCTGAGATCAGAATCTGGGCGACGATGATCTGAGCTCCAACCAGTTCGCGGCCGACGCGTCCCCAGAGAAAGCCCATCATGTCAGCCAGCACTGCACTTGGGGTCAGCGTTGGTAGTAGTAAAAGATGAGAACCAGGGCTCACTGTGGCATTCTGGATGATTGTTGCGGAAGACGCCCAAGAGGACGGCGGTATCTTGCACGATGCAGTCAGTATATGCCTCGAAAGTTCTCGGTATAGTGGAAAGTATGACTTACATGTATTTAGAGCGACCCATGCTGCAAGAGATAGACCTCCACCCACTGCTCCGAGCGTTGCAATGGCATTCGGAGTACTCAGGATACTCATTGCGAAATTGATCTTGAGAAAGACCACAACGGCTCGCTGCCAGCTGACGGTCCTGAACTCAACGCCATCGACATTCCTCTGGAAGATTTCGAGTGCTTCAGGGTCTTCAACCTTCATCGTCTCCACCTCACCCGTAGTAGAGTCGGATGTCTTCTTGATCTCCTGCGCATGGCTTTGATGCTCTGAAATATCCGCAAAGGTTTGAGGCGCCATTCTTGTGATTAAAGAGTAGATGAATCTGGCCGAGCTCTCACTGGTATTGATCTAATGCAGATACATATATTGTTAAACAATGATCCGGCTTTCACGATATCCGGTGGCTTAGATACGAAGCGGGGTGTCGGGTATCATCAGGGATAACAGCCCGCACAATCACTGGTCTAGTCGATACGCCTCGACTTCGCTGATAAGCGCAAATGGGGTTTCTTCGTTTAACCAGGACGTTTCTCCGCCAAGTTCCTATTGGAGCCCCAAAATGCAAAACACCAAGGGCGTACTGTCTCCAGCCCCCGTAGCGATCAAACGATGCACAGCCCTGCTCCAAGCATTGTGAACGCCACACTCCTGCTCGTAAATTTGTAGACCCCAGCTTTTGGTTTTGGTTAAATGTGGTTAGCTTCGCGCCTAATTTCGTTCCCGCTCATCAGCGCTCTGGAACTTGAGTGGATGCATCACCTACGCACGTTGACTCGCCAATACCCGGGTCTCTGACTGGACTAGTGTGGATGAGGAGCTCTTATCGAAGAACACGATATCCGTGATAAGACTTGAATCTCATCAGGACCCGGGTTGTTTGTGATGTACAATATCCGACAGTGGTATCTGAGTGTGACATAGTCGTCTTCGAAAATGAAGCAGTAATCGTTTCCCGTCCCATATCCGCATACATTGAGAGCATATCACGAAAGATGCCCGAGCCCTCATATTCTGATAAAAACCCATGGAAACTTGTATCATCGGCCTTTATTGACGAGCTTCACCAATTGAGCACAGTCCTACCACATATCCGCTCTCTCAAGCCTGGATCATTGAGATCACTCCTCCCTCATTCGAGATAACGCAGCCTGCACGTCCCCTTCGACATCATGGAACCACAACCAGTCAAAACGACCGTTTTGCAGCAAAGGAAGAATTTTCTGCATATCGCGTCCTGCTTCTTCATGCTGAAGAAAGATCATACGGCCCACTTCCGCAGCCTGCTCGAGCTGCTTCTGCGCCCTGGGTCGCCGCACCAAGTCGTACGCATTCAAAGCTGCTTGAACGGACAGTGACGAACTCGTATCTATGACATGAGCTTGGACAAGCTCTGAAAGCACGCTGGAAAGAACCAGTGCATCTTCCACGCCCTGAGCAGCGCCAGCCGCCTGAAAAGGCAGAGAAGCATGGGCACTATCGCCCAAGAGGACCACGCGCTCGCGGTAATATGTCGAGGTTTGCAGGTGGTGAAAGAATCCCCACTTGACCGGTTTTGCCTTTGTGAGAAGCCGGCGAAGGCGGTCGTCTACGCCAGGGCCTGCGAAATCAGCCAGCATGGCGTCCTGTGTGACCTGTTCTGTGACAGCTTTGTGGAGCATCCAGGGGCTGTCATCAGCTGCGCAAAGAAGGAAATTGAATTCCTACGGTTCTTGATCAGCAAGAATTGCTTCAGGGTTCGCCAACTTACCTCTCCACCTGAGATCCGATAAGTGACAGCACCGCGTTGGTAGCCAAAATAGAACTTGGCAACGCCTGTGAGGCTCCCAAGGATAGCTTCGGCTTCATGCATTGGAATGACGCATCTATAGCAGTATGCACCTGCATATACCGGCTCCACCTGGCTGGGATATGTGGTTGTTAACACATGCTCTCGCACTTTGCTCTTGATTCCATCTGCTCCTGCAAGGACGCTGGCATAGGCAACCTCACCGTCAGAAAAACGAAGTGTTACCTTGTCTGTGTGCTGTTCGATATCGGCCAAACATTTATTGAACTTCACACTCTGTAGAGGTATGAAACTGGTCATAATGTCAAGCAGCGTCTTTCGGTGGGCCTGGCTCCGTTCAGAGACGCTAGATTATCATACACGAATTTATTGCATACGCACCGATTTGCGATTGAAGTCAGGATGGCCCCAAGCTGACTTGCCATACCACGGTTGGTCCATGCCTAAGTCTTGGTCAGCGAAAGTTGTGCACAGTGGTTGTAGGCCTGGGAGATTGATAGTGGAAACATACCAAGGCCTTCTTCGAGAAGCAGACCCTCAAAGAAGATATGTTGCGCATTTGGTGGCTTGTTTCCAACGCATATTTTCTCATATTTAGGGCGGAAACCAGGCTCGATGAGGTCCATCGCCTGCAGGCCATTTGGAGCGAAGCCAATGCCGGCGCTTCGCGACAATCAGCATACAAGAGCTTGACTCCATCTACTTTAAAAAAGAACAGAGGCTCACCCGACGGCAGAGTACTCTTTTGCTTCTTCATAGAGCGTAAACGACACCCCCTTCTTTTGGAGCCCCATGGCTAGCGCGAGGCCCGCAATTCCAGCGCCTGAAGTCAAGATTAGCTACTTTTACTTTATATAGAAGAGGAGTGAAAGCATGCCAACTATGGCGACATGAAAGTCGTGAGCATGAGTTCCAGGCATGATTGAAAGTCTAGTAGATGGTGCTGTCAGCCGTGTGCCGCTTGTGGGATACCAGCGCTGGCTGAGCACCGCAACGAAGGCTTATACAAGGCAGCTGACAGCATCTGCAGAGGTGTGATTGAGATAAGGGCTTTCATCTGGGAACTGGGATGAAGCATTGCTGTATTGCCGAGTCGAAGCTATTCCCAGCCCGGGGGTCTCGCGGCTGGTGCCTGGCGAGCGGGGACCACGAGCTCCCCGCATCTCCCCAAAGCTCCCCGCAACTCCGGCTCTGCATCCTCGTCCTACTAAGTGCTTCGCAATCGAAGTTTGCACGGATGGCAGCCCTAGCGCCGGAGCAGGCGCCTGAGGTGGCGTCCTCCCCGAACAAGCGACGGCGCATCGCTCTGGCGTGCAGCGCATGTCGTACGCGCAAGTCGAGGTATGCGTCGTCTCAAGCTTGACGACGACCGATGACAGACTCCGAGGATACTGACCTGCCTGTCGTGCCAGGTGCGATGGAGAGCGCCCCTCGTGCTCGTCCTGCTTGGGACTTGGCCTCGCCTGCCAGTATGATCCCACCGAGTCGGCGACGAACGTGGTCGTGCGCAGGGACGCGCTGTCCGCCCTGGAGCAACGCATGGCGGCTAACGAGCGTACGGTGCAACGCCTTGATCGCCTACTCAACGGTCATCTTACGGCTGTTGGATGTACCCACGCAGGCCCTGCTGAAGAGACCCATAGCGCCGATGTTTTAGATGAGCAAGACGAAGATGCCACAACGAATGGCACAGCCATGACCTTTATCGAAGAGCGCACATCGGCTTTTTTCGGGAGGTCATCCAACGTAAACTTCGTACGTCTCCTGCTCGGTGCTACCGCTGCTGCTCGGAAACAGCACTCGCCACAGACTGCTGTTGAAAGAGAAGGTACTGTGTTGGAGAGTAGCATCATGCGATCCTCTCACTCAGCACATGCACCCTCTCCAGTAACACTCTCGACCGCCTCCATGACTTCTCTTCCCTCATACGCAGAGATGGAAAGTCTGCTGGATGTTTACTTCGATACATGTGGAGTCGTGTTTCCATTCATCCACGAAGAGACAATGAGAACTACATACAACGAGTGCAAAGCCAATGGTTTCACCAGAGTTCGCAGGACCTGGCTCGGTGCGCTCAACATGATGTTCGCTATAGCCAGCAAGTTCGATCAGGATGGAGACGATAGTACATCATCGACTGTCCGCGAAACCAGATCCGACGTCTTTTACCAAAGGGCCACAAGCCTGTGCGGGGAACTATCAAAACAGGTCATTAGCCTCGAAATCGTTCATCACTTGATCTTAGTAGTTATCTTCTGTCAAGGTACCAGGAGGTCCATACAAGCTTGGAATGTCCATGGCCTTCTCGTGCGATCAGCAGTTGCCCTGGGACTGCATAGCAGCAGAAAGCAGGGAGTCGACCCAAGCGCAGAAGAGTCCAGGCGTCGCACTTGGCTGGTCATATACGGCTTGGACAAGGTCTTGAGTATGGTTTTTGGCAGACCAGCCGCAATCCTTGATGAGCTGCCAGATTCCGCGAACGACAGTGCCGATCTACCTGGTCAATTCCTTGCTGTTTCATCTCGACTGTATCAGATTATGAGTAGCTCGTTGACGAAGCAATATGGAGCTAACGTGGAGATGGACGAGTCTGGTCTAGATGACCTGGCTTTACTCAAAGCTTCTGAAGATTTTCGAAGGCTCCTTCGACAGTGGACACTCGATCTGCCATCTCATCTATGCCTTTGCGAACCACAGTCGGAGATACTTTCTCAAAGCACACAACTGAACCGATTACGTGTAATCTTGACGCTCAGATATCACAACCTCTGTATCCTCATCGAGAGGCCGCTGTTCAGTGCCACGATACGCCACTTGTTCCTTACAGATATTGACCTTGGCGGGCTAACGGCGTACCTGGTATCATTGTCTATGCATGAGGCCCTTAAATGTGTACATGCAGCGGAAAGCACTATTGAGATAGTGTATTATGTGATGATTGGCGATGCATCAAGTAGAAACAACCTCGGTGTGTGGTTTTTTACTCTATATTACGGTAAGTCATAGCTTTGCGAGTGGATAGCAGCATGACTGACAGAAGTCGTAAACAGTCTTCACTGCATCGCTGATAATAAGCGCCCGCTTACTGTGGGCGAAGCATGGCCGGGATGATGTGAATAGCAGTTTCATCTCTCGATCTGAATCGCTACTTGTCAAAGCTGAGCATATATTCCAGAAGCTCAACAAGCACAGTCCTCTGGTCCTTAGCTGCTCAAAGTATATCCGCCACTTATTGGAGTTGTACTCGCAAGGTAAGTTGCAATCTATTAGCTTGTGAAGAGTTAGAGAGCTGCTGACAATGTACTCACTCATCAGCCACATCCACGCAAGGCACCCACCAAGATACCTCCCCATTGCCTACCGGATCACAGACTAGCAATCTCACGTCTGTCCCTAGCCCAGTGGAGCTGCTTCAACTCGATGCAGAGGACCTAGAGGCATTTGGCATTCTGAGCTCGGAATTGTTCGACGTATCTATGTTTGACAGCTTTGGGCTGACGGTACCCGGTGCACTACCTGAGCATACTGAATAGTAAGGAGTGACATCAGGGAAGTGATGGAGTCGCGGCTTCAAACATGATCTATGATACTCATGGCTGTAGTGTTCACTTCCAGTTGGTATTTTAGCAGTAATTGCTGGTGGTGCAATCGACACGCATTTTTGCAGCCCTTGGTGTCATTGATGCTTATTTTCTATTCCGACCTCCGGGGGTGTGAGCCTCGTGCCTCATCACCGTCTCTGGATCGGCCCGCTTAACCCCTTGAACAAGGCAAATCCTATCACTACTCCCATTCCGAAGACCACGAGCGTATTCGTCGACAATATTATCTCCTTCTGACCGTGATTCAACCGCCTAGCCTTCTCAGCGTACTCTTTCTTCCTCTTTTCAACATCGTCTTGGGTGCTTTCAGGCCTCTCGCCCTTCGCAGTACGTACAGCTAGGTAGTCTCTCACCAATGGATCGTCGCTGTCACTTAAATCAACCCACCCTGCCTTATTGTCCCCTTGATCTAACGGACTTCTGATATTTAAACCCCCATACACACCCTCCTTTCCCTCTCTCAACTTCGGACTAATACCTCCTGGTATCCATTCCTCCAGCATAGAAACAGGCAATGACCTGAACACCAAACCCATCCACATCTCCAGCAGATTCGAGAGCAACGCCGGATCGTCCATACCCGGGAGCGCATGTCCGCCCATGTTCTGCGACGGAAGCACAGCCAGTACTCCAATGGCATTGTAAATGGATGACTGCAGCGCATGGTAGTGCAGGCTTGGGTTGTCGCGCCGGTAGCGGAAGTTCAGATGCTGAGCAATGCGCGGACGCAGCGAGGACGCTTGTCCAACGTAGATGCGCACACGCCTGTCAAGACCAAGGATACCGTTGAGGTAAATGGCACGGGCGTCGGCGCGCAGGTCGCCGGATATGAGTTTGAGTCTGCGGCCGTGTCAGCATTGTAGGACTGTTCGGTTGTGCCGATCGGATATAGGTCACATCGTCTGGAGAATGGTGTCTACATGTCGGACATTCATGGCTGAAGCAACAAACCTTGCTTGGTACTGAGTGCTGTCTGCAGGCGATGATTCATGAATGTCCTGAACACTAGAGGTCTGTCGAACAGACAAGACGTTTCTCAAACAATGCAGCCATCAACCGTTCGGCGAATCAGTGCGAGGTTCGACATACGCATCAAGGCTCCATCGGCCGTTGAGAAAAGACCAGACTTGTGGTCTTATGCAACGAAGGCAGAAATCGTCTAGCCTAGGATGTCGCTCGATCCATCGGCCATAACGAACATAATATCTCGATTCCGGTTCCTTCAGTTTGGCTAGCAGGTGTCTCAATATCTCATGAGCTTCGACTTGTGCTGGCGAGAGTTGTGTTGGCAGATCGTTCATCATCGGCGACGCGAAAGTTGATGCATTCGAGATCCACGCTCCAGATGCGCACGCACTTTGGTGCGAACTCTGAGGACTCGCCATGTTATATACAATCGCCACTCGTAAGGTACAGTCGCAAGAGCTGCGGGATGTTAGGCAGACGCTTGATCCGGTTAGTGCGAAGGCAGCAAGGGGCGATCGTAGCGAGGCTGGTTATGCATGTGCTTGCCTGCTGCCTAGCACTGGCTCCTCTGATGATACTGTCTCAGACGAGTGACTGGGCAAGCGTCAAGTAACGAATGCTGGCAATGTCGGTGTTTCTGGACGTGAGCACAGATGAGGCTCGAGAGCCTAGCGGCTGCTGAAGTTGCCTGATAAGGCAGGAACGGTGATTTTGTGTCGATTACAGGCGCCCCTCGGGATGGGTACCCATGCAATGAGCTGAATCCTTCAGGGACTGTCTCGAGGTGCCGCGGAGGATGCACAGCGTTGGCGCATGGCTGCAGACGCTCACAGAAACATCCTGTTAGCACGGACATACCGAATCACTCGCCGTTCCATACAGACTGTGGATTGAAGTTGGACTGATATGGATGACCGGGTGCCGAGCTGCGGCTGTGAGCAACGACCTCGCTGAGGGATAATCTTCACCGTCGTGCCAAATGATCAGAAATTACTCTTGTTATAATAGATGCAAGGATCTGACGTGAAAGTAAAGCGGTTGACTGGCAATGCAGTTTCCAGTTTCGATTAGATCTAATCTTATCTCGCCGATCTGGCCACGACCCCTGCTGCTTGAGGCCAGAGCAGCACATCAACGCCCAGGTCCTACCACAACACGCAACAGTCCACTCGGCTACCCTGTTTTTCAGTGTTGCGCTGTCCAGCTTTTCCCTCAGTACATTGGCGCGACCATTGCACAGTCAAAATGGTGAGTGATTCCCCGCACATGCGCATGCCCGAGCTTCACCCACTGACTTCATTGCAGACGAACGTAATAGCAAACTCAGGCCACGATGATATGATTGTACGTCTGCACATCCACCTCGAAACCTCCCGAGCCCTCCCTACTGCCACCGACCGAACCGCGCAACCAAACGGCATAACGCGCAATGACCGCCAGCGGTGTTGATTTGTTGTCAATTGAAGCTAATGAAGCTCAGCACGACGCCGTTCTGGACTACTATGGCAGGCGGTTGGCAACATGCTCTTCGGACAAGACGATCAAGATCTTTGAGGTTGAGGGCGAGACTCACAGGCTAGTCGAGACATTGAAGGGGTACGTCATGGAGCACCTTGGACGCGACATCTCGTTGACAGCGTTGCAGACATGAGGGCGCTGTATGGTGTGTAGCATGGGCGCACCCTAAGCACGGCAATATCCTCGCCTCTTCTTCATATGATGGCAAGGTCCTCATCTGGCGCGAACAAGGCGGCGCCTGGCAGAAGATTTACGACGTTGCGCTCCACACCGCTTCGGTCAATCACGTCGCCTGGGCACCCCACGAAGCCGGCTGTCTCCTTGCTTGCGCCTCCTCCGACGGCAACGTTTCGGTCCTCGAGTTCAAAGACCACGACTGGACAAACCAAGTCTTCCAAGCCTGCGGCTCGGGCGTAAACAGTGTTTCGTGGGCACCAGCTGTTGCTCCCGGCCAGGTCGTCAGTGCGAGCGGAAATCAGGCCGGTACCGCGCGACGATTCGTCACTGGTGGCAGCGACTGCCAGGTCAAGCTTTGGGAGTTCAGCGCAGAGACAGGGAGCTGGCAAAACACACAGGTCCTGCCCGGCCACACAGACTGGGTCCGCGATGTTGCGTGGTCGCCAACTGTCCTCTCGAAGTCATACATTGCCTCTGCATCTCAAGACAAGACTGTGCGCATCTGGACATCATCGGATCTGCGTATGTATTTGAAGCGATATATGATATGCCTCAAACTGACTACTAGCAGACGAATGGAAGTCAACCGTCCTCAATGTCGATGCCGCCGCGTGGCGTGTAAGCTGGAGTCTGAGCGGCAACGTACTCGCAGTCAGCACCGGCGACAACCGAGTCAGTCTGTGGAAGGAGAGACTGAGCGGCGGATGGGACTGTGTCAAGACGATCGAGGAGTAGGAACATCTGACGGGATATGTCGATTATGCACCAAATGGCGGAACATAGACGAGTACCTGGTTTGGTACGATTTCTCGCAGATACCAAACAAAACGCTAGGGCTTGACGACAGGCTACGACCATCTCGAGCTTCTGTGTCTACCTACTTGCCGAATTGACGTGCTGCCAGATGCGCATCTCGAGCTCTGACTCCATTCATTCCAGGGCGATGAAACCATTTATTCATGCAACGCACACTCCTATTAGACCGCTCCACGCAATGAATCCTAAAGGTCCAATCTAATGAGGCTGCTGAAAACAGCTTTGGTAACACCAAGTGCTGAAGATAACACGTGCGATTTCTGCAGATACACCGCCTCATTCCCAATACAGAAGTGGGTCTCGTGCCGTGTAATCCTTCAGGACGAAAGAAAAGCCTCGATCCGCGTGTAGCCTCCACATGAACATCTTGAATCTGGTGGTTGCTTTTGGCATGCAATTGACGCAGCAACCGACAAGCCGACTGACTGCGCTAGTGAACAGCGACGCCCCGGGCACCAAGCTGTCAGCGGCAAACCACACACGCTCTGTCTCCAGATCTAGCCCACCACGAACGTGGGGAGTTGATCAATGAGAACGGAAGTTGGCCTCTAGGTAGTGGGCTAGAGAATGACGACAGCGACAAGCGAGGGGCACTAGGAGCGAACAGGTCAAGGTAGCGCCACTCAACAACCCGCGAGCACTGGATTCCTGCGCGCATGCACCCTCTCTAGCGACAGATCCCGGTACAGGTACGGACTACAGCCGAATAAATAGACGTCAATTGCTTGAGAGTTGCAGGTTTCTCCACGCTCCTTTCACCCCCACAATTTACACAGACGATGTCTATCATCGATACCACCAAGGACCTGTCAGCGCTCTTCACGCAGCAGGTCAAGGCCACACCTGATGCAATTGCGCTAGAAGACGAGAATAACACATACACATATCAGCAGCTCCATGACAAAGTTGCCGAGCTTGCCCTACAGCTCCGAAATCATGGCGTGGGCCGTGACAGCTTAGTTGGCGTACTACTACCACGCTCTGCTGACTATGTCATCGCATGTTTGGCTGCGCTACGCGCGGGAGGGGCTTTCCTGGTACTCGAACTAGCCTACCCACCAGATCTACTTGCAGACGTGCTCGAAGATGCGCGACCTACGGCAGTCGTCACCATCAGCGCCGAGGTTGGGAAGATCTCGGCCGGCATCACGCTGGTGGTGCTCGACGAGCAGAAATCAACATCGAACGGCCACGTGGAGGAGTCAGAGCTGCCACCCCTTCCCGAGGATACAGATCTGGACCGATTATGTTTCGTTGCTTACTCCAGCGGCACTACTGGCAAGCCCAAGGGCATTGCAAACCCACACAGAGCAGCCGTACTCTCATACAATCTTAGATTTGGTTTCTCAGACGTCCAGCCTGGAGACCGAGTAGCCTGCAACGTGTTCTTTGTATGGGAGATCATTCGGCCACTATTGCGAGGAGCAACAGTCATTGCTGTGCCCGACGAGGCCAGCTATGACCCCCGCGCGCTCGTTGATCTCCTCGGCACCAAAAAGGTCACGGAGACGTTGTTCACACCTACATTATTTGCCGCCGTACTTGCCCGTCACCAAGCGCTGGAGACGCGCCTTCCAGATCTGAAGACCGTGTGGCTCAATGGCGAGGTAGTCACTACTGACCTTGCAAGGCGAGGAATCAAGGCTTTGCCGAAAACACGACTTCTCAATGTCTACAGCGCCTGCGAGACACACGAGATTGCTTGTGGTGACATCAAAGAGATGCTTGGACAGCTTGATAAGGATGCTGCTTACTGTCCAGTCGGGCCGCCCATCATTGACAAGAAGTACGTGTACATTCTCAATGAGAGTGGTCAAAAGGTGGACGAAGGCGAGAGCGGCGAGCTATTTATTGGTGGCCATCTCCTCGCCCGTGGCTATCTCAATCTCCCAGAAGTTACGGCCAAGGCATTCACACCCAATCCATTCAGTTCGCAGAAGGGTGCACGAATGTACAGGACAGGAGACAAGGCTCGATTACTGTCGAACGGCCTGCTCGAGATTACTGGTCGTGTTGGTGCAATGATCAAGATTCGCGGATACTCGGTCGTGCCTGGCAAGGTTGAGAGCGAGATCCGCAATCACCTCGCCGTCAGCCACTGCGCTGTCATTGCTCACGGTGACGGAATTGATAGGCAGCTGGTCGCGTATATTGTCCGCGACAAGGACTCCTCCGAAGAGCGACCGATTGTCGAAATCGACAAGGCTGGACGTAGCTCCACTGCCCGCCGCATGCTACAGGCGTACCTTGCACACTACATGCTGCCTGCTCTATGGGTCGAGCTAGACGTGCTGCCCACCAACGACGTGTCTGGTAAGGTCAACACGAAGGCACTGCCTTCGCCGAGATCAAGCTCCCCGACCGGAAGTGCACGCAAGTTTGAGCAGAGCCCTATCAGCATCGAGCAGATTACAACGATTTGGGCGTCCATTCTGAACATCGACGCCAGCTCGATCACACCCGAATACAACTTCTTCGATCTTGGTGGCCACTCACTCCTGCTTGCTGATCTTGCAGCGCGTCTGTCGAACACTTTCGGTTTCCGAGTCCCAGTCGCGCGTCTGGCGACACCAGCGACTCTGAACGGTCACCTCGACACTGTCCGCAAGATCCGAGATGGTAACACTGCTGAAATCCAGGATAACTTGCCCGCTGTTCTTCAAACTGATTCTATTCTGGACAAGGAAATCCAACCCAAAGAAGCCAAGTTCATCGCGCTCAAGGACGCGCAGACAGTACTTCTCACTGGTGTCACCGGTTTCTTGGGTGCGTTCCTTCTCAGGGATCTTCTTGAGCATACTTCTGCTACCATCATCTGTATGGTACGATTCGCCGATGCTTCACAGGACGATGTTCCGGCTGCCATAGCAAGGATCCGTAGCAATCTCCTCGACTTCGGCCTGTGGAGTGACTCAGTCATGGAGCGTGTCGAGATCCTGCCGGGTAACTTGTCCAGGAAGCGTTTTGGTCTGCCCCCGAACACCTTCCAGAAGCTGGCTGACCGACTTGATGTTATCGTTCACGCCGCCGCTACTGTCAACCTGGTATACCCGTACGCAGCGCTGCAGAAGCCCAACGTTGGCGGTACAAGAGAGATCCTCCGTCTTGCCAGCGCTGGTGGCGTCACAGTGCAATACGTCTCCACTAACGGTGTGCTCCCTCCCGCAAAAGGCCGCGAAGGGTGGTCTGAGGACAGCATGCTCGGTATCGAAGACGTCCCGACGAAACTTGCTGATGGTTACGGCCAGACGAAGTGGGTTGCTGAACAGCTCGCTCTTGAAGCACAGAAGCGTGGCCTGCCGCTGAAGATCCACCGTCTCGGAACCATCAGTGGGCACAGCGAGACGGGTGCAGCTAACGCCTGGGATTTGCTGACTGCCTTGATTGTCGAGTCGATCAGAATTGGCCATTACCCAGACGTCAAGGGCTGGCGCGCTGAGATGACGCCCGTTGACTTTGTCAGCAAGGCCATTCTGCACCTCAGCGACAACACGGATACCGACCAGACTATCTTCCACATTGGCGACCCAGACCCAGTCGACATCAGTAAAGTCTTCGAGGACGTTGAGAAGCTCGGGTACCCCACCCAGCCTCTGGCTTTCGACAAGTGGGTTGCTCTATGGGATGAGAAGCGTGGATCAGCCAAGGGTGGTGTAGGTGCGTTCACCGTCGACATCCTCCGCAGCGGTATGCCCAGCATAGAATTCCTAAGAGACGTTGTCGTGCTCGACAACGCAAAGACCCGACCTCTCCGCTCGTCAGTCGAGCGCCCAAAGGTCGATGAAGCCCTTCTCGAGACTTACACTCGTCACTGGTACGCCCGTGGCTGGCTGGCGCACCCACCCCGGAGCCAGAACGCCGTAGGCGGCGCAGCCAGAACGCTCCCCCGCCGCGGGCCCCTCTACGGCAAAGTCGCCATTGTCATGGGCGCGTCCTCGGGCATCGGCGCCGCCACCGCCGCAGCCCTTGCCCGCGAAGGCTGCCACGTCGCACTCGCCGCACGCCGCCTCGAGGCCCTCGAGGCCCTCAAAGCGCGCCTCACCATCCGCGACGGCAAGATCATCACTCACAAGACCGACGTCACCGACCCAGCCCAGGTTGCGGCTCTCGTTGCCGCCGCAGAGAAACACCTCGGCCCCGTCGACATCTTCGTCAACGTCTCCGGCGTCATGTACTTCACCATGATGGCCAACGCGCTGACCGACCAGTGGGCCCAGACCATCGACGTCAACTGCAAGGGCATCTGCAACGCCATCGCCGCCGTGGTCCCCGGGATGCTGGCCCGCGGCTCCGGCCACCTGCTCGCCATCTCCTCGGACGCCGGCCGCAAGGTGTTCCCCGGGCTGGGCGTCTACTCGGCGTCCAAGTTCTTCGTCGAGGCCACGCTGCAGGCGCTGCGTGTCGAGACGGCGGGATCAGGGCTGCGCGTCACATCGGTGCAGCCGGGCAACGTGGCGACGGATTTGCTGGGCATGAGCACGGACAAGGAGGCGTTGAGCAAGTACGGCGAGCCCAGTGGTGCGAAGGTGCTGGATCCAGAGGACGTGGCGAGGTGCATCGTGTATGCGCTGAGGCAGCCGGAGCATGTCGCTGTTAATGAGGTGATGATTGAGCCAAGGGATGAGCCTATCTAGGTCTGTGGCAGAGGACGGTGATGCGTTGCGGGATGTCAAGCTTCTGTGTGTGGAATCACAGCTCTAGATATGAATGAAGTTCGAAACTCAGGCTCATTCTTTGTCTACATGGTGTGAAATTCTCCCTTGTGGTACCCTATATGTCTCCAAAGCAGGTGATTATTATTTATTCGTCGTATCGATTTGGCCGTGTAATCACTGTGCTCAATCATCTCAGCATCAATACTGGCGCTATGTCACGACACTGCTAACAACTTTCAAGAGCCGCGCATAAAGCGTCAAGCTCGACATTGATTCATGAATGTAGTCCTACCCATAACACTACGGCAACCTGACTTAGGAATTGAGTGTCAGACGCGATCACATACTTTTTAGCCCCTCTCAGTCAACGTCGATTTACAGTCCGAATCGATAAAGCTCAAGCTCATCGCTTGAGGAGCCCTACCCCCCGAAGCTCTCAGCGCGGGTCTTCCTCAGCGCCTTGCCCGCTTGCACAAACTCCTGACTCCCATGCGCCGACCTAACCTCCCCTCTACTCCCTGTCTTCCTCAGACCTGTCCCACCACTACGGACGCTCTCAAACGGCTTGCGGCGGCGCACAAGCTGGTATCCACGATCAAGCTCTACCTCAATCGCGCAGCGGATCTTGAGCGCTGTGACAGCAGGCCAGACGCTGCGCTCGCCCTTGAGAATCCAGTAATCGATGGCCTCTTTCGTAGGATTCTCGAGCAAGCGGAAGAAGTCGGCGGGCGTGAGGGAAGGAACGAGAGTGAGGGATGCGCCGGGGATATGTTCGTCAAGCAGGAAGCGGCGAATGGAGGGACTGAGGTAGCCGAGTTCGTCAAGTTGGTGCAGGCGGTGCTGAACCTCGAGGACGACGAGTTTGAGCAATGGGGTGGTGAGTTTCCAGCGGCCATCTTGGCGCGGGTCGGGGTGGTGCAGATCGGAGCGCAGAAAGGGGGCGAGGTAGGGGCGTGCTTGCGAGACGATAAAGTGATTGACGTTGAACAGCTCGGCGATACGGTGCAGCGGAGATTGGCGGTCGGCGTAGGAGGCGTGTGTCCATGGGCGGAAGGTGGTTTCCGAGGCGGGAGACCAAGGAACGATGGTGCCGGACTCGTCTTTGCACATCAGAACGACGGGATTGTAAAGGGTCGAGGATGCGGTAGCGTTAGAGGCGAGCGCAGCAGACCAGATGAGCTGTGGGAATCAGCCAGGCTTTCTCACAAAGCAATGCCAACTAACTCCTTCACAAGGCAAGGCTACATACCACATTCGGAGCTGTTAGGTAGTTCAGCAGGTTTGGCACACCGCCACCACCACTAGTAGTCACGGTGATGTTCAGTACCCTCTTCGTCCTGGTGTATGCCTCATCGAACGTCAGATCTCCCACATTTGCTCGCAACAATTGCTCCAAGACGCCGACATCAAGGAAATGGCCCTCGCGCCACCATCGCTGGACACGACGCGTGAGCGTCTCATACCAGCCACTACCTTTCGGCCCGTCCTTCGGTCGCTGTGTGAAAGCGCTGAGGTCTATATTCTTCCCGTTGAGGAAATCGAGCAGCTCGTCTTCGGTGTGCACGCCCACCAGAGCTGCGATGATGGCGCCGGTGGCCGTCCCAGCGACAATACGAGGCAGCAGTCCGCGCAAATGCAGCGCCCTGACAACGCCCAGGTGACAGATACCGAAGATCTGACCACCCTGCAGCACCAGCACCGATCTGCCGAATGCCTGCCGTGTGTCGTGCAGCACGTCCAGCTTCGCCTGGTTCGTCAGCCCTGTATCCGAGCTGGCCGTGGTCGGATACTGCGTCAAGTACTCGACGGCGTACGCGACCTGCGTGACATAGTCTTCGATCAGCAGCTTCGTACCACCGTACGCGCGATTGAACAGGCGCGGCGCGGTTATGTTCCCAAGGTTGCGCACCAGGCCGCTCCGTAGCAGGCCGATCAGGCTCAGCATGTCATCGTCTTCGTGGGCCTCAATGAGGGCGGTGAGGCGCTTGTGGATGAGGCGGTAGTTGTAGTATTTGCTGGTGGCATTCTGGCGCCAAAGATCGTAGCCTTGCAGCTCGTCGAGTTTGTACGCAGCGCCCTCCCATTCTTCGAAGTGGCGCGCGTCGGCAATGTTTTCAAGCAGGAGATCGCGCGGGCTCTTCTGCGTCCACCACGCCAGGAGTCGCTTTAGCATTGGTGTTAGCGGGGCTGCAAGCAGCCGTGTGCGTGGGAGCAGTGAGGACGCACCCGCAGCCAGAACATGACGATCTCAGCAACGCTGCCGATGACGTTCCAGAGCAACGCGCCCGCCATCGTGTCGTCTAGGGGGTCGGCTGATGGCGCCACTCAATGGCATGTCGTCGCGCCGTGTGGTGTGCGGCTCGGGTGTGTGCTGTCATGGACAGTGTGCAGGGAATCATTTACATGTGAAACCGGAGCGCCAGGAATCCACGGGACGATGCCGAGACGGAAGGATCGCGCGGGGCGGTCGCGCTAGCGTGCATGCCACCGAACCATGACGCTCCATCGGTGACCGTAACCTCCTGCAACTATTAGTGAACATGCCAGGCGCGTCCCTGTGGCTGCTGCCGCCGGAAGCACATCCGCTCAGTGCAGTGCTCACAGCTCTGATCCAGCGGACAGCCTCACACTTCGGTTCCTCGGATCTCTTCATTCCGCACCTTACACTGACATCGGACCTACCGCCCTCGACCTACGCCTCAGAACCGCAGCAATGGCTCGACTCGCTGGACCTCCCCACCGGCGCCGTGCACATAGAATTCGCCATGCTGGCCAGCGAGCCTGTCTACTTCCGCAAGCTATACCTTAAGTGCGTGAAGACGGCCAGCCTGACCGCTCTCGCAACAGCATGCAAGAAGCACGTCGCTGGCTATGCAGACGGCGAGATGGCGAGCACCTGGGCACACGACACATTTAACCCTCACGTCAGCCTGTTGTAGTCAGTATGCCCTCGTGAGTCCACATCCTGGTTGACCCCGAACAGCCATGATTGCCCGCAGGTCGACGCACAAGGACTTGCGGCGACGAGCACGCTCGCACAAGAGGAAGGTATTGACTTTGTAGCGCGCCGCGGGCTGTCGTGGACGGGCGGCCGCGTTGTGCTCGTTGCAACCGACAAGCCAACATCTGAGTGGGCACCCATTGCCCAGAGAGTGGTCTGATGCGTCATCAGTCGATAGTCCGGTGGTGAGTCTTTGTCCGGCAGAACGAGACGTGGTGTTTGGTTCCGGCAGCGTGCTACTGAGGCCTCTAGCCGGGTGAGGCAGCCGGTGCTCTTGATGCGAGCGGCGTGAGGCTGCTGTGGCTGAGAATAGTGGACCTTTTGGTGTCTAGAAGCTAGAGCGGGCTAGACGTCATTGAGGGGTAGCTTTGATTAGTGATGGAGGGCAAACTCAATTGTCCCGCGGACTTGGCCTTCATGCTTTGGGATTGAGTTTTGATGCCTGAATTGAGGGGGAAATGTGATGTGAAGTTCATGATAAACTGATGCATGACGCCTCATAGCGCTTTGCAATTTGCACGAAGGAGAGACAGTATAAGATCAGTACATGTGGAAGGGGTGGGTGTGGATTGGAAGAAGCATTCGTGGAACGATACTTGCATTATTATACATTTTTGCGAATGGTATCTACATACTCATGGCTCATTAAATGAATTAGAAAGTTGAAGCGCAAACGTTTATTTCATGAAGCCAGCCTTGCCGTCACCGTCAGCATCAACCTTGGGGTTGAGCTTGTCCATCAGACTAGGCTTCTTCTTCTCACCACCGATGGAGCCGTGGGTGTGCGTGTTGTGCGCATCAGCCCTGGAGCGATCCTCACGAAGAGCATCTGGCAGGTGGTCCTTGTCAGTGTGAGTGCGACTATCGCGAGCAAAGTCGTTGTGCTGCTGGCCAGAGTGTCCAGCGACACCTCCAGCAACACCTCCAGCAAGGCCACCTGCCTTGCGGTGGCGTCTGACACGGTTGCCCTCTCCGTCACTGCTGCTGTAGCTGCTGTTGGAGCCGCGGCGGCGCGAGTGGGCACCTGCCAGGCCGGCACCTGCCAGGCCAGCACCGGCAACACCGGCACCGGCGACGCCAGCACTGCCGTGCGTCGCTGTGTTATCGTAGTCGCCATGCCTGGCAACACCTCCAACCTTGTGGTGATCGCTGTGGCCACCCTCGCGGACCACACCGAAGCCTCCAGCTGTGCCTGCGCCGATGTTCTTGGGAACACCCTCGAAGGCGTCGTAACGCTCCTCACGGCCAGTTAGAGCTCCACCCTTGGCCTTGAACTGATCCATGGTCATGGCGGGCAGGGCTGTGGTGCTGTGATGGGTAGCCTTGTTGTGGTGAACCTCATGGATGGGAACCGTGGTGTGGACAACGTTGGGCTGGATGGTCTCCTTTTGGACTACAGGCTGGATGGTCTCGTGGATGTGGTGGTGGACGTGCTCGCCGCCAATGGCAGCAGCAGCGCTCTGGCTGTGTGTGGTGTTGTCTACACGACGCTCATCCTTGTAGCGAGCCTGCTCGTCGATCAGGTTCCTCTTGGTGGAGTCATGGTCGCGGTGGTCAAACTCGCGGTGCTGAACGGCGCCAAGTTTGGCAGTGTGTTGCTCAGGGAGAACCTCGCGGTCCTGGATGGGCTGAACTGTGCGGTGGTAGTGGTCCTGGTGGACCTCCTTGTCGACGGCGGTTTGAACCTCCTCGTGCACGTGTGGCTTTACAACCTCGTGCTGAACAGCAGGAGCAACAGCTTCGTGGACGGTAGTGTCATGGTGTCCAGACTTGGACATGAAGTCGGTGATTGCTGCCTTAGCCTTGTCCATTGCGATGTTGTTATTGTTGTTTGTAGGTGTGAGAGTGGAAAGGTAAGATGTGGTGGATGATGTGGTGATTATGAGGCTGGAATGTTTATCTGATGATGGTATGATGATGAGTTCAAGCAGTAGCTGCTCGAAGTCTTTATACTCCGCACCTGGCAGCGTTGGAGCACACGCACAACGACGTAATTGATAGGCCTCAAAGCCGGTGGAGCCTGCTCGGTGTCTTCTGCGGCACGTCAGACTAGTGCCATCGCCATGATCGGCTGCAACATATGCGTGTGGCGGTATTCATTGGCTCCGTCAGCGTGGGCTCGATATCGACGGCACCAGACGGGTCCCGCTGTGTGGCATCGACCAGGCTTCGAGGAGCTTGAATCACCCCGACGCGTTGTTGATCTACGTCAATGGTACTTCGGGTCAATGCATCAGCCACAGTTTACGTCGTAACGAGAGGTCGATAGTATTACGCTTGACGTAGAGCTAATGCTCAAAAGCAAGTGGAGCATTGGTCCAGTCCATCTCAAGCGTCCGCGTAGGTACACACTGCTCTAGGCTAGCCACCTGCTCGCATCTCTCGCAGCAATTATGAAACCGTCCGTGAACCTCCGCTCCTGACCAGCTCAAAGCCGACCCCTTTTGTGTATATGGAATTGTGCTGAAAAAGGGAATAAAAATCGAGGATCTGCACTAGGGTGGCGATTTTACCGATCTGATCGGTTGGGTGGGCGTCTGTGCGCATGCCAGAATCACGAAAGAGCGTCACGGCGAGCACCTTTTCGATGTTGTTTGTCCCCACACTCCTACGCGTCGCCGTCCAGCGGGGCTTGTCTTATCCTGTTTCGCTCTCTGCGCGGAGCCATGGCCACGTCGAGACTGACGCACTGGAAATCATCCTTTCCTTTGGTACGCTAGTACGATCAGCAGCGGAGCCGTCCGCTGTTGGCCACCTCCTTTGCTTGTCGTCATCCCGTGGATGCATGCACCACCCGCGCTGCTACACGCGATGCTTGTGGTATCGTCACAGCACCTAAGTGGGCCTGAAATGCTGCCCCATAATGTTCCAGCGATTGCTGGAGGAAACGCGAGCGGCATCACGATGATGCTACGTCATCAAAGACGCCGTGCATCAGTGGCAGCCTCAAGGGAGCACTCACCACGTCCATCAAGGGAGGTACACGTGGGAGATTGAATAAGAGAGGGGGCCGTAAACGTGGAGCGCCTGGCCCTTCGGAGACTCCGCCATTGCTCTCGAGCGATGTCTGCCGCGCTCTGCCGTCCATTCATGAGCTGCGCCGTCACTGTACGGGCCCTTAGCAGCAGTTGTAACGTCCGAGCTGTCACGAACGGCTTCTGGACTGTTCTTTTGGTCCTCGAATAATTTTCTACAGCAACGGCCTCGCCTCTGCATTGAATAGAATTCTGACGAAGTCTCGCGTGCGTCATAGCTTCCACAACCCATATTGTTGCTTGGCTCTGTTGAGGGCCGTGTGCGTTACGTGCTCTAGACTCAGCTCTCATCCTAAGATTTTTGAACGCTTTGCACGCTCTCTCGTCTGCGTCCTTAGGAAAAGCCAACGCCATGCAACAAAAATTGAAGTCCGTCTTTCGAAGGTCCAGTAAATCGAGGAGTCACTCAGGCAAGCATGAGCAATTGGATAGTAGCACCCGTCCCTCCAAAGCAAGCCCACCGCGTGGTGATCACCATCACGTGTCGAATGGGAACCGCACCTCAGTCGATTCGTCCGCAACTGGCTCCGTGTACACTGGCCGTAGCAGGCCTGTCAGTTCGATATACGACGACGCTCACCGAGCACCAACGGCTGATGATCTTATATCCTCTACCGACCCTGCTATAGCGAACGATTACAAGGCCTATCTGCCTGTTCTCTCTCCAGTGAACGACCAACACGGCGATGAATACATAACGAACGGTGGAGACAGGCATACCACGGGAAGAAGTGAGGTGCGCCACGAGGAGGATGTTGCTGATCGCAACATCGCGCGGTACAGTACCTCGTCTGATGGCGGTCACCGCGCTTCAAACTTAGCCTCTGGACCACAGCACTCGCGAAAAACATCTCTTGGTGCTGGTTCTGTCGGATCTGCATTGAGCCCGGTTCAAAGCACTGGCGTTCGACAGTACCCAGTGGGTCAAGACATTACCAGGGGCGATGGTGTGCATGACGGTGTTCGCCCACACACCGAGACAACATACGACACAAGCTCGCGAAAAAGACTGAGCTTCCCTCGCACGACTGCCCAGGTCAATCCTGAGATGGAGATAAGGAAGCTGCGTATTTCGGACAGTGACAATAGCGCAGTCCAGTCGCGACGAGATACATACGAGGTTCGAGACTCACAGTCTGGTGTACGCCATGCCACCGTGGACGGAACCGAGGATGGAGAAGAGACGGCGCTAGCCAGAAAACTGCGTGAGGATGGTGTCGCAGATCTCAGAAACACAGTCGATACGGATGGAAACATCACATGGGCTCCCGGTACGTTTTCCTCACTTGTCTTTTTGGGACGTTGCACCTCGTATCTGTCTTGATTCCTTGACATACACTGACTGAAACCAGCTGTTACGCACGAGGTAATCAAGCCCCATAAACACGAGATCATCCAGCACAAGATCTACCGCGAGATTCACAACTACGAACACTTCCATCGCATCCAGCCTGTCATGATGACCGAGGTTCTTCCACCCCGCCACTGGATTCCCAACCCAGATGGCGAAGGCCTGATCGAAATCTCTGCCGACGAGCTACCCGCCCGCACAGGCGAGAATCGCTGGTGGTCCATCTGCGAGCACGAAAGCCCGTACTCCCGCCTGTCCACACTCCCCAAGTACCGCACCGAGCCCGAAATCATCGAAGCCGGTGTCTTCATGACTGAAGCTGGCTACGAGCGCAAAGAGACTATCATTATCCACCCTCCCACCCTGGCCGACCTGACTGCGTACGCCGGGCCGGTGCAGGCGATGCACTTCGACCACAAGACGGGTAAGAGCTGGATGGGCGAGCTGACGACCATGGACGAACTTCGCCGGCTTCAGCGGGAGCTGGACCGCGCGCCGGACACACGAGCTTTCGAAATGGACGGACTTAATAAGAGTCTACCAAGCCTGCCGTTGGAGGGTGCGCGGAGAGGGTCGACTTCTATGCCCGCCCGCAAACCGGTCCATGGGCATCCTGCTGCAATGCATGGCGTGGGTACGAGACGAGAGATGGCTGCTGCATGAACGATGTGTCTAGATTTGATGGGATGTCCCGAGATCTTTTGTAAACATAGTCTGTACCTATAGTGTTGAGGCTGAGGTTCGCGATAGACCGTGTTCGGGCCTTTGTTTGGAGACATTGCGAGCAAGCATGGTGTTTGGCGTTTTCTTCATCAATTCATTGTATACATCGTCCTTGTATCTTTGCCTGCCTTACATGAGATTTCACAGGAATTTCGGTAAGTTAAAACGCCGAGGAGACTATCTAAAGCAAGCAGCGATTGCCCACCTAACCTTTGCAGTGTCGAGGTCAATCCCCAGACTATTTACAAAGCCAACACCCACAGCCAGGGCGCTTTCCCTTGATTTGTTCGAACGGACCGCATGCATGCTGTCTTCCCACACTACCTAGGTAGTCCAGGCGCGACCCTGGCTGATGCCTCCCATCAAAGAATTTTGACATGAGTTTCTTTACCCAATGAATGGACCCTTATGGCTACTAATAATACCACAAGGTACGTGGTTTTGACCGAAGTGCAATCTTTGTTCCTTTCTGCCGCTCTTATGGTAGCGGGACCAGGATTGTTACGCATTCTTCACCTCTTTGTTCACCCACATCAAAGAAACGTTTACAATTAGGCCCTATATCCTTCCTCTTTACCCGTTCGGAGGAGCACCTAGCATCGATAACAGCTACAGATACCTAATAATCCAACGCTGACCACTAACACCAATCACCTGTCAGCCACGACCATGCACTTCAACACTCTCACCACCCTCCCTTTCCTCATTGTCCCCCTGACAACCGCCGCTATTCTTCCCTTCCCCTCCTTCACATGCTCTAAATCTGGCAACCCGGGTGCCGTGTACTACTGCCGAACGCGAAACTTCAACAATGCCGTCGCTGGCGATTGCATTTACCACCTTCCCGATCCCAAGAACGCCTGTTTTACGACTCCATTTGCAGTGCAGAGCATTGGCCCTGATAAGGGAGGCTATTGCGTGCTGTTTGAGGATAAGGAGTGTCTGGGCAGCGTCATTACTCTCGAGGATATCAAGTAAGCTTTTCCATTGCTTTTGTGGTCTTGCGGTTCGTGGATTGGTGCTGACAAGTATACAGTAGGGTTGTTTGTCCTGGCGTGAAGAAGTGGCCTAGTAACCTGCCGAAGGCGGGTAGTATGGCTTGTTATGCCGGATCTTCGTAGACTGAGGCTGTGAGATTTGAGAATTATAAGATATGGTCGTTTGTCTGTCCAACTTTTTTTTGGTCCATTTTGTTTAGTTTTCTGGTCGGGCATCACGTTCACTTTTAGTCATTGTACATGTTTTCTGTTTCGTGCGACTCTCTTTTAGAGATTCGATTTCGTTCGAGTGAACGTGTCGCTCCAGTAGTTGTTCATTCTCCCAATCTCTTGTACATCGACAGATGAAAGTGCCCTCGATGTCAGCACTCTAACATTTCCTCTTCAACAGCTCTCCTCTACAGCATCCAGGTTTCCCATTCTTTGATTTCGACACCCTCCGCCAGCAGCACATCGTCCACCTCCTTCTCGATCTCCTGTGCCGTCTTCTTGTCTGTATTATACGTCGAATGTGCACCCTTCAGCAATACAACTTTAAATCCCTCTGCCAGGGCGCCACGACAAGTAGAGAGTACGCAACACTCGCTCTGAATACCGAAAGCTACGATTGTATCCACTCCTCTACTCCTCAGCTCATCTGCCATTTCTGGGTTGGACTGGAACGTGTCGCCTGCGCCGGTAACTTTAGCGTCCCATACTCTGCTTCAAGTGAGAAGTGAAAAGAGAAGCACTTACGGACGTCCTTTGCTACCAGGCTTTCGTGATCGTTGCTCTCTTGCGGTGAGAAATGAACCTCCCACGCCTTGCTCCCTTTTTGCAGGTTTCCTTTCTCGGGCGTTTCTTCGTGCTGCACGATCACGATATCCAATTCTGGTTTCTTGCCGCTCACTCGTACAGAGTCGATACTCGATCGCGCTCTTTCGAGGAGCGCAGTACCAGCATCTATGATGCGTTGCGCGTGTGGTATAGCTGTATCCGGGTCGCCGACAAGGGCGTGCTGGATGTCGATTACAAAGAGGGCTGTGCGGGACATTGTCGGAGAGCAACTTCAGCGTAGAGAATACTGCTCGTCACCGGGAGACATGATGGTGTGTAACAAGGATACGAGTGTGAGATAATTCGAGCCTGTGAGTCATGGCACGTGATCTCGTGATTCATCGCGGAAACCATGCCCGCAGGACATACACCAGTCTGTTTCACCATGTTTACTCTGTCATTTGTAAGGACACATAACATCGTAGAGTGGTCAGGACGATCGCCCTGGCGGGACGCCCTACCACCCCTTGCTTATCCTGCACAAGCGTTCCTGCCAATGTACACCACACTTCCGTATTTGTCTAGTCCACACGCTGCTATGCTCGATAAGCCCTTCTGTGTCTCGAAGCTCCAGCTTCACTGTTTCTTGTGTTTTCCATCCATGCCCAATGAATTGCTGTCGATATTGCGTCTCCTTGGACCAGCTGTCTTTGTCTTGCTATTAGTTGAGCTGTTCTCACTCCGCACCTGCATTCCTGGTCGATGAATACTTGCAGAGCAGACGCCGAACACTTGCCTTAAGCACCACTGTCCGCGAAAGGTACTTCAAATTGACTAATTTCTACTCATCTTCAGTGATACGGATCACCACAACGAACTTACAAGGCGCGACAACTTCGGGCACACAGCGCTGGATACACTTTTTGCACCTGGGCGCCGTTGAGAATGATTGTGCAATTTCGTCGTCAATAAAACTGACTGTACAATTTTTCTTGCGAATGTCGCCATACTCTAAACCTCTTGTCCAGCGCCTTGGCCGGGCTGGCAGGCCGAAGAGCAGCCAGGTCTGCAGCTGGAGAGAGGCCGAAATATGTTCCCCGCTACATTATCTTTTAAACATATCTCACAAGGATGCTGTCGCTGTAGACATCGTCGTGGGATGGTGCATCATTTTCGAGAGTTCACAGACACACGCGCACGGACTCCACGCCTGTCAGCAACGAGTGGGGTACTATTGCCCACAACCTGACGGGCGCTATCGCAATACCACCTGCGAGCTGCTTCGCAAGGTTGCGCAGGGTGGTTCTCGACTTGCAGCATAAGCGCGGTAGCCAGGGACCAGTGCTGCGTTACGCGGATGCGGGACCACGTTACATACCGAGGCTGAGGTCTCGGGTCGTCGAATGGGATCCTGGAGCTCGGAGACATGGGCGCTGCATTTTCCATGCCCACAGCTGGGATCTCCATTGTGCGCAGGCTAGGTCAACACTATTCGATGTTCAGATAAGCCTGTGGCGGAACAGGTTGGATGAAGCCTAAGCCAACCTCTGAGCCCAGTGTTGCCAAGCTCGATTTCAGGCCGTCGGACGCAATGCAAAGGCTGCAATTGGAGAAGCTCCAAAGGCCAAGACGAAGTCAAGAGTTGAAGGAGTGTCGAGACTAACGCGCAGGATTCGGAGTGTCCGGAGGCAATGGCGCCATTGAACGGTGGAGTTTCACGAGATGTCAACGCGTGGGGACATGGAAAAAAGCGACTCGTGTTACTTACAGTGTCCAAGTGGATAGGTATGGAGCTCCAGAAGTCGGTGGTGGCCGTTGCTCTGAGGCTGCCCCGCGCTGGAATCCCTTTTCGGCCTAGCGGTGTTTTCCTCGAACCAGACCCTGCAACACCACGCTGCTATCTTGATCATCCTTACCTAAAGCGTCCCGCGGCGCACATGGCAGGCTTTGACGTTCACAGCGGATGACGAGAGTCGAGTGTCCTAGCTCGCTGAACGGGAGCGCAGACAGGCAAAAGTAATCTGACCAGCTCATGCATGTTAGACATGCAATGCTCGATGGAAAATCTGGCGCTACACAAAAGCTGGGAAGCGGCGTGCAGAGCCAGGTAAGCTCTAGGCCGACGCTAGGTGGTCCACAATTCACCGGCCACCGGCCACAGCAGCTTCGCGGAGGTGCTCAGCCATTGACCTTCACCTCCAAGGCTGATCCACGCTAGCGTTTTTGTATTTCATCAGCCTGCCGCGCTCTTGTTTCCCACTCCGTTCGCGTTACACCAACCGTGAACAGCCTCTCGACTACTCTACGGTACATGGAATTCGTCGCGCAATACTTCTGCCTTTTACTTAAGGGCCTTTGCTGAACTTGTCATCAACAACACGAGCTTCCCTACAATGGCCTCCAGTGGCATCGACTACGTCCCAGGTGGGACCGGCGACAAGAAGATGCACGTCGATGAGGAAAAGACTTACGCAGCTCGACGCAGCGACTCGGTTGGCTCCGTCCGAGTAGTACACGATAATACCCATCGAAAGCTCAAGAGTCGCCATATCCAGCTTATTGGTATCGGCGGCACCATTGGAACTGCTCTCTATGTCCAGATTGGTCGGGGTTTGATGAACGGCGGCCCCGCGTCGCTGTTCATCGCCTTCTCGTTGTGTAGGTTTGGAGAATACGACAAGCCTAGTACGACACAGCTGACAATAACAGGGTGCACTGTGATCCTCGCGGTCACCGTCAGTGAGACTCCCCTCCTTGATTTTCCCACGCACAACTCCCATCGCGACAATGCCAAAGCGTCTAATGGTCGCCAAAAGCGCTGCATTCCACACATATCCCAATGCGGAAATCGGACTAACCGCAACTCTAGGTATTGCCGAAATGGTCACCTACCTCCCCATCTCGTCGCCCTTCATTCGATTTGCTGGCCGCTTCGTTGATGATGCTTTCGGCGTTGCTGCTGGCTGGAATTTTTTCGTTTTTGAAGCAGCACTTGTGCCATTCGAGATTGTGGCGTGCAACGTCATTATAAATTTTTGGAGTGATGCCGTGCCTGTTGGCGCCATTATTGCGATCGTAATCGTTCTCTACGGGTATGTTGTTGTAAATGCGATGAGATCCATGTGAAATGGAACTAACGGCGATAGTTTGATCAACATGATGGCCGTGAAATGGTATGGCGAGACCGAGTTCTGGGCTGCTGTCGGCAAAGTTCTGCTCATTATTGGTCTGCTAATTTTCACGTTCATTTCCATGCTTGGTGGAAATCCACAGAAAGATCGTTATGGCTTCAGGTACTGGAAAAATCCTGGGTCTTTCGCCCCACTGTACTACGGCGGTGACCTGGGCCGCTTCCTTGGCTTCCTGCAGTGCTTGATTCAGGCCTCGTTCACAATTGCCGGTCCCGACTACGTGTCAATGGCTGCCGGAGAGACAGAGAACCCCCGCAAAGTTATGCCTCGCGCCTACAACGCCGTCTTCTACCGCCTTACGACCTTCTTCGTCCTCGGTTCATTGGCGGTCGGAATCAACGTCCCGTACAATGACCCCGAGTTGAAGGCTGCATTCGCTGATGGCAAGCCCGGTGCTGCTGCTTCACCGTACGTTGTTGCCATGAACAGACTCCAGATCGAGGTCCTCCCTCACATCGTCAACGCGGGTGTGCTCGCCTCCGCCTTCTCCGCTGGCAACTCCTACGTTTACTGCGCGTCGCGTTCTCTCTTTGGCCTCGCACTCGAAGGCAAGGCTCCCAAGGTTCTGACTAAGTGCACCAAGCAAGGTGTCCCTTATCTCTGCGTCACCATCGTTCTCGCAATTTCCCTCCTCTCGTTCCTGCAGTTGGGCGAGAACTCCGCGGTCGTGCTGAGCTGGTTCGTCAGCTTGGTGACAGCCTCCCAGCTCATCAACTTTTCCGTCATGTGCTACACGTTCCTGTGCTTCTACAAGGCGTGCAAGGTCCAAGGCCTGGATCGCCGGTCTCTGCCTTACACGGGTATCTTGCAGCCATACGCCGCCTACTACGCCCTGATAACGACGTTCATCATGACCTTTGTCGGTGGCTACACGGTCTTCCTGCCAGGATTCTGGGACGTACCAAACTTCCTCTTCTCGTAAGTACCGTTCTTACACATTCTGACTACCAGCTGACGCATCTAGCTACATGATGGTATTCCTGTTCCCCATCATCTTCATCGGCTGGAAGTTCGTGAAGAAGACAAAGCGGGTCAAGCCGCACGAGGCTGACCTGGTCACCGACTTGGCTGAAATCGAGGAGTACACCCGCAACTTCGTCCCTGTGCCAGAGACCAACTGGTTCAACAAAGCGCTGGACAAAATGTTCGGCTAGCGTGTCGTGGATGAGGAGTGCGGGGCAGAATTGGAAAATGCCATTGTTCCTCGGTCCGTGCCGGGTTTTAGATAGTGTCTCAAGCCTTAAATACCAAGACGCGTATGCTGTCTTAGAGATACACATATACAAAGGATGAAATACACGTATATGAAAGCTCAATTTGATTTTGTGGCTATCTGATTGATGTCTGAAAAGCGCAGCAAACAAAGACATTACTAAATATCTACTAACTCGCTTGAACGTGCAGTAATTATATCCTCTAATCAATGGGTTCTCCGTTATCGATGTGGCCCACGCCGTTGCTTCTAATCCTTATTAACCTCCTCATCACGCCGGTACAATATCTTCAACAAGCTCTCTCTCTACTAAGAAGAACGCGTCCATAAAGTCCACCAGTCTAATTGTTCTACCATTACTTATTCACAAAACACAAGGGTATCTTGCCAAACGCCACTAAACGAGCCATGTCAAAACAGAAACGTGGGTATGTCATCGATCCGCGTAGTCTTCTTCTTCGGCCCACCGTCGCCCCGCTCGGTCTTCCGCTTCGCGAGCCGGTCGGCAGCTTCTTTGCTCGCTCCTGATAAAGGCTCTCGCTCGTCGAAAAGGTCGAGAGAGCGTCGGGATTGTGTTGGTTTGGCGGGTTGGGGTGAGTGGGGGGATGACGACGGTTGCGAGGGAGGTTTGGATGGGGGCGTATAGGCGTCGAGCATGTCGAAGGGTGTCATTCTCGAAGGGCGCATGCGTGGTCGTCCTGACGCTGTGGGGGCTGGGATGGCTGGGATGGCAAAGGAGGTTGTGAATGGTCTAGGAGCAGGTTCTTCTTTGAGATTTGCTGTCGACGCAGAAGCTGCAACCCTAGGTTTCGATGGACGGGGGGCGTCCAGGTCATCACTATCCGTATCTTGCGGCTGGCTAGCGACTGTGCGAGGCTTCACAGCTAAGATAGTCCTGCTTGGTCTAGGACGACGTGAGACTTTGTCATCCCCGCTAGAATCTCCTTGTGAAGCGAATACATCTCGGATGGCTTTCTTTTGCTTGCTGTCTTGCAGCCTCACCCTCTCTTTCATCGCACCCTCCTCAGAGCGCTTGGCGCCCAGAACAACAGGTCTCGCTGTCTCAGCTTCTTTCTTCTTTGCTTCGATAGTCTCCTTCAGACGGTCGTACTCTGCAATGCGCAAATGTCGCGTGAACAGCTTGGCGGTCTCGAGAAACTCATCTTCGACCATCATCCACTCATCGTCTCGAAGGTCAAATTTCGACACGCCTTTGCGGATGGGTTCGGCATTGGAAAGTGCATCTTCTGCCAGAGGAGGCGGCGAAGAAGAGGTAGCTCGTTTAGAGTCGGTGTTCTTCGCTGGCGATGGTCCGGATGAAAGCTCTGGCAGTGAGTCGGGTGAGACTGATGCCTTTGCTCTGCCCTTACTTTTATTTCCACCACTGAGTCTTGTCCCGTCGATGGAGTCTTCGTCGATGTCGTTCGGTCTCTTGGTCGTCTTTATTGTTTGCGTGCGGTTGCCACTCTTCCAAGGCAACTGTCGCGGCATTACGCTGGACGAGGCGCCTTAGTAAACACTACAAAGATCGAATCGTCGAGCATCTCACAGTATCCCTGTCGGCCGTTGACGTTCCTGTTACTGTTTCCGGACGCGTCGCGCACGTGCGCGCGAGGTGAATGCAGGTGGATCGGCTTGCCCCACTTCTGCCTAGCCTCGCTAAACACGTCACCCCAGGTAAACATTGCTCTGCGCCCTTCCGTATGCCGGAACCCTGAAGCCACGTGCCTTTTCCATTGTGTTCTCAGACTTTCCAATTCGATGAGTCTCTAGGACCTCATAGGGGTCTTCACGAATGGAGGTCCCTTCCCCATCTGGCCGACAACGAGCAGGTTCTCACTGTTGCAGAGGAGGGACACATATCAACAACGAGACGCAGCCAACCACATCTTGAATTGCCTGATAAGCTTCAAGTCGCCTGTAAACAAACCGGCCATCTATTCTTCCGCTCCAGTATCGACTTCTTTCCGCACATCATGTCTATGTTTCGTAGACCCGGAGATTCCTCCTCGTCATCTGAGGCGTCTTTCGACCAAACAGAAGACGAAGAGCCGGAATTGGCACAGGACAGTTTGGTGACCCGCGCCAATGCTATGGAATCCAGCACGTCTGAGATACCCGCCAACACACGGCCTTCTCTAGCTGACATGAGAGGCTTCTCAACGCAGGATATTCAAGCTCTTGGATTCCATGCCATGCTCGAGCAGAATGCAGTCACAGCAGCAGCAGCGCGCTTGGGTGTTGGACCCACCGACCCAGAGGCCCAGAGACAAGGTCGAGAAGCTTACCAGCGGATGGCTCGCCAGCTGCCGGAAGGTATTGATAGCAAATATGCTGGCGACGAGTTTATTACACTTCGTTCAACTATGCAAGATGGCATCAACCAGACCACGAGTGCGCATCTGAATACAATTGCAGCAGCTCCAGACACACAATCTCTGATCATGCGTCACAGGAACCGCAATGCTGCTCCAGGCACCCAGCCGCCGCTTCCTGGAATCAAGGCCCTGTCCGATCTACCCGCAATACCGGACCCATGGCTGGGCGGATACGCCGACCTGCAAAACGACCGCTATGCACGGGATTTCTCGGAGCTCGAAATCGTTGGCAAGGGCGGCTATGGTAAGGTTTTCAAAGTCAAACACAAGCTCGATGGCTCGTTTTATGCAGTCAAGCGGATCAACGTGCCACCTGCCAAGCTGGCGAAGGCTCGACAAAACGGCCCTGACGCCCTGAACAGCATATTGGAAGAAGTGCGGTCGCTAGCCAAGTTCGACCACGCAAACATTGTACGCTACCATAATGCCTGGTTAGAGTACACGACGGCACCTATAGATTCAGTGACAGAGACCTACCTGCCCAACAACCGGCTACTGGAGGACAAAGCCAACTTTTCTTCCAGTCCCTCTGAAGTCAGCCATCTCCAGGCAGAGTTTGACCATATCCAGTTCGGAGAGCCTTCTGACCACGGTGCGGATATTTTGTTCGAGGCAAGCAACACTGGCGGAGCGGAGGACTCGAGGGGTAACACCAGCCACCTCTCCTTGCGACAGCAACTGAGTGTCAGGCGACGCGACCGACGTACCAGCCAGGCCAGTCAAGCTACGATCGCCACTATATCATCTACGAAGTCTCGCATGAGCGCAGTGGAGGATGTATCTGAGAACTATGATGACGAGGAGGTCGAGATGATTCAGCGCCGCCACATGCCTGTGTCGCATGACTTGACCACCGACCTGTCAGACAGCATGATCTCACACAGCGACATGCCAGGGCCCCTCATCAGCGCCCGCTCCACTGGCCCAGTATTGACCTTGAACGTGCAGATGTCCCTCTACGAGTCCAATCTCGCCGCCTTCATCGCGCCAGACCGGGCCTCTTTCTCCAGCAAACCCAGCCTCACACACTGTTTCCACCCATGCGTATCACTGGAGCTCATGAGCAACATCCTCTCCGGTGTTGAGTATCTCCACAGCCAAGGCGTCGTACACCGCGACCTCAAACCCGCCAACATCTTCCTCGCGCTATCGACAGGCCGCCGCCCACCGTATGGCTCCGTTGACCTCTCCACCTGCAAGCCGTGCTCGGACCGCGAGTGCGTGTACGTAGTCCCACGCATCGGCGACTTCGGCCTCGTCGCCGCGCTCGACGAGTCCTGCACAACTTCGCCCGGCGCAAAGCCCGTCGGCACCGAGTTCTACCGCCCGGAGACCAGCGCGCGCACCAGCGACAAGCTCGATGTTTTTGCGCTGGGCGTCATCGCGGTCGAGATGCTGCACCCGTTTGGCACGCGCATGGAGCGCCACGATACGCTGTCGCGGCTCAAGAAGGGCGCCTTCCCGGACGGGTTTGCGGACGCGCTGGGACCGCTGGGAGACAGGCTGCAGCTGCTTATTGGCGCGATGGTGCTGGCGGATGAGGAGCAGCGGATGGGGTGCGAGGAGGCGAGGAATGAGATCGCGCGGCTTGTTGACGCGTTGCGCGAGGAGTGAGATGGTGTCATGTTGATGTGTATGATAGGATGCACCATGCGATGTCGGCAGAACGAGATGAGATACCCGAATCATAGACTAGCATAACGGCGCGACAATAACTGCATAGTTCGCATCGACCCGTCCATATTGGAAGACTTCATTCTGATGACTGTTCTGTGGGACTGTTTGCGTCTGGCACACTCTAGAAACAAGGCGTCATTGAGTAAAGTGCACTGAAGTGTGGCAGTGTAGTATAGGGAATACGTAGTGCTAATATAATGTACTCAGTGAACAAGCAATGCAGCCAAATATCCAAGCGCCGCTATCTACACAGTTCAAGGCGCTTATGCAAACCCAATGCTAAGCCAGGTAGATGCAATGCAAAAACACGCTGTGCAGCCAAACCATGCAGGGAAGGAAAAGAGAAGATACCGAAACGCGTACACGTTCAGAGAAGGAGACTCGCACATGCTCAACAAGGGTTTCACACGGCAACCCCCCTCCTCTTCCACCCCCCAGGTCCTCTCCATGCATACACCCACAACCCTACCGCGACCCACACCGACCCGGCCATCGCCCAAAACGTGGGCGCGTAGCACTTCGACCCGTAACACAACACATCCCCCGCATCCCTCTCGCCAACGCCCATCCCATCCGCCCCGCGCTGATACACCCACGCATACACGGCGCCCCACAGCGTCGCGCCCGCCGCCGGCGTCATCGCCAGGATCCCCCAGTTGGTGCCGAAGTTCTCAACGCCCCACACAACACTGACCACGATCGGAGTCAGGCTGAAGACGGCGCCGTAGCCGGCGCCAATCAGCGATGAGATGATGGCGAAGCGCGAGGGGTGGTTCTGGCACAGCCCAGAGGCGAGCAGGATCTGGCCCAGCGAGAGCAGCAGGGCGAAGGTGAGCAGGAAGGAGATGCGGGAGACGGTGCGGCGGCGGGGAGGCAGGGAGGAGACGCTGTTGGCGAGGCTGTCGGGGCCTTGGAGGTGTGCGTTTGTGGCGGTGGGGGCGAGGAAGTCGCTGAGGGTGCCGGTGAGGAGGCGCGCGGCGGTCGAGGTGAGGGCGACGATAGATACGTGGGTTGCGGGGGTGGTAGTGGTGTCGACGCGCGGCGGAGTCAGGGTGTTTATGATAGTGCCGAGGTTGTTGATGAAGGCCTCGCCGGGGCCGGTGACAAGGAAGAAGCCGGCCGCGAGCCACCACATGGTCGGGTCGAGAATGTAGCGGCGGGTTTCCTCGTTGAGGAGCCATGTCTTCTTGCGCGCTTCTTCTTCGTGGCGCGCTTTGAGGGCTGCGGCCTCAGACTGCAGGAAATCGAAGGTCGAGTCGGAGAGGTCCTGCGTCGGCAGGGTACCGTAGCCGTGGTTGTGGGCAGCAGCGGTGAAGAACTCGTCGTGAGCTAGCAGGCCGGAGCGCTCGAGCTCATCGACAGCACCGTCGATCAGCTCCTCCTCGTCGATGATGCGCAGGGTGAAGGTGCCGACGAGGCCTACAGCAAGCAGCAGGCCGCCGAGGAATAGGAAGAAACGGAAGACATCGACGTCACCGCGGGAGCCGTCGGGGAGCGGCTCGTACAGCACGCGCGCAGCGACCTGGCTCTGCCACATGCCACTCAGACCAAAAGCGGCAATGGGCACTGCCAGCGCGATGCCCTTTGCGTTGCCGCGGCCGAAGTTCTTCGCGCACGTCGTCACCGCGGATAAGTACATGCAGCTCGTACCCATGCCCACGGCGACGAACGCCAGCACCATGACGCCGAACGGCCAACCATCCCCCCCGGCGGACGGCGGCGGCCCGCTCTTATATGCAAACGCCGCAATCAGATATCCAAAGCCGAAGAAGACGCCCGACAGCGCCGATGGAGCGCCCGGCCCCAGGCGGTCGCACAGGTATCCGAACAGCGGCACGGGCAGGTACATGCCCAGCTCGGCGACGATGCTGACGGCATTGACCTGGAATTGGGAGTAGTGTAGGCGGCGCTGGAACAGCGGGCCGTAAAGCGAGAAGGCAGTGATGCTGCCGGCGCAGAGGCAGTTGACAATGGCCCAGGCGAAGCTCAGCCAGCGCACAACGACGCGCTGCAGCCGCTCGCGGTCGCGCTCCATGACGCCCTCGGCCACCTGCTCGAAGAAGCTGCCGGCGTAGCTGTTATCGTTGCTGGGCGAGGTGCTCGACGCGTCGGATGCGAGCAGCGGTCGGCGTGGGCTGGTGTAGTCGAGCTTGTCGATGCCGAGGTGTCGGGACGACGATGGTGATGGCATGGCGGTCGTGTGACGTGAGCGTGGCGTGCGATTCGATTACAGCATCATGGCGCAACGTGGCGCAGCAGTACAACGAGACCGAGACAGATGGTGTGTGAAGTATGGTAGGTAGTCACGCAGGCGGTATAGCTAGCGTACATCGTGTCGTCGTCGCCCGAACGTCCGGCTTCCGTCATTGCACGCTAGTCAGCCCTGCAGCCTATGTTAGGAAGTATACATAATTGCATTCGGTGATATCTGGATGGCATCACTATTCCACTACGATGAATACTTTAGTGTTCACGAAATGCAGCATTACTCCTGAAGTATATCTCTGACTATTTGCCCCACAGATGGAGCATCGCTGAGTACAAGTCAGCAATGGAGCGATTTCGCCAAGACCGCTGGCTGTCCACCTGAAGGACCAGACCGCAGCATCCACGTTCCATACATCCTCGTGTACTCGGCCTCACAAGAGAAGCTTGATCGGACCGAGAAGATCAGCGGAACTGTTGAAACTCAGCTTGAATCAGCTACCTGGGAGCAGATCAAGAGCTCTTTCCTCGCTCTCGCCGGCCCAAACTCCAAGGGTATCATAACAGTAGATCTTCTGATTCTTGATCAGCAGTCATTCGAGGATCGCACTGTCATCGTTGTGGAGAAAGGCGCGGGGTGGGTGCTAGACGGTAAGGAAGTTGAACGTGTGCCCTATGGGCAGGACAATGCTCAAAGACTGATTGTCTGGAAAAAATATCGGGTTCCGTTTGAACATGCGTTCGCTGTTCAGTGTGGAATCGAGGGGTTCTGTAGCACTGAGCGGGCAGAGGAATACTTTGTCGAGGAGATCGAGAGAGAAGTCGCTCCTGAAGACTAAGAGTCCTGATATCATTATTCAGCTACGCTTCTGTGGTGGCAGCTCTTCATGCACCGCTTTCCCAATCCGCTGTATGCTGTCTGCAAACCCTCTCACTCCAGCCGCGGCACTCTGCACACTCTCATGAGCTCTGTCTGCGGCCTCTCGCGCCTGCTGTGCCTCTCGCTCGATGTCTCGATGTGCTTCGGTAATTCTGTCGCTCTGTGTTTTAATCTCTTGTCCCAGACTCTGCCCAACTTGTGCGACGTCCCTAGCCGCGTCTACACTCCGTTCGAGCTCTTGCCGTCTTTGATCGATATCGCCGCGCGCACGTTCGAGCTCGCGTTCCGCTGCCTGGAGCCCCCTCTTCTCTAGATCCTGCCCCCAGTCCCGTCCAGCCTGCACGGCGTTCGTTGTGGTAACTGCCACTGTATTCTCAAGGTTATTGCGCCGCTGTGTCAACCCTTCACGGGCATGTTCGATCTCGCGTTCCGCAGCTCGTCTCCCCTTCTCCTCCATCTCCTTTCCCCAGTCTTTCCCGCCCTGCACTGCGTTCTGTCCCGCCTGCACTGCTCTTTCTCTCCTAGCCTCAATATCGTCTTCCAGCTTTTTCAACCGCTTCTCCTCCTCATGTGCCAGACCCTCAAGGAAGTCTGCGACTTTGTGTCCGTACTTCAGCTCCAGCTCCTGTAGCTTGCTTCGTCCCTGGCTCTGCGCGCCTTGAACCACATGCTGCACTGTTGGGATAGGAGGGAGCATTGACTGACCCCTGTTGCGCAGATCGCTCATGCTGATATATGCGTCTGGCGTGTTGTGTTGGATGTCGGCTTTGACCTCCTCGTACATCGCCTCTATGAGTTGAACTATTTCTTGAAGGTCGATTTGACAGTCCGGACGGGAGAAGTCGCGTTCGCGCTGCTCAATGTATTCACGGACCTTCTTCCACTCATTCTCGGCCCAGCGAATGCGATTAGGAAGTCCGGAGCCCTTCAGATACGTAAGAATTCCCGCGATCACGGTGTTGATAGCGCCGAAGGCGGTGATAGAAACATGGCTTGTATTGGCAGCGCCCATGGCGGTGAGAGCGGCGGCTACGATGACTTGCAGTCCCAGACAGCCGTTGATCAAGAAGGAGGCGAGTTTGTAGCCGCGCTTTGCCTGGGCTTCGCGGTGACAGACGCGGTTGTATATGCCAAGATTTGGGGCGGCGCGGCCCTCAAAGTGCAGATTGTTGTGGGATGTATCTGCGGCGCCGAAGAAGCCTCGAGTACTGTGGATGCCAACCATGTGTCTAAACCTAGCAAGCTGGCTGTTGTGGTCGTTTTCCATTGTCTGAGCTAGTATCAGCTAAGTGAGCAGATTGAAAGCGAGGATCAATGGGCTATGGCAACGCCGGTGGCCATGACAGGACGCATTGCAAGGACCATGGTCTCATACCGCTGGATTGATCACTGTTTGCGCAGGTGTTCCAATGGCCATTGGCAAGGTGCTCCCCGAGAGCCCGTCCTCGACATTATGTACGCGATCTCGACCCTGTGGTCGCAACGCTGAAGGAATAAAGTTCATAGCGACAGCGGATCGAATTGAGGAAAAGGAAAGCAGAGCTCAAATGTCGGTCAAAGATACCCCATCGCGATAGTATTTATCTAACGCACAAGCCTCAGCTCTCCACACCCCCTTCGTATGGGAAATGATCATCCTTCGAGAAATACCATGCTGCCATTAATCAAATGCAGTGCCATCTGCAAGCCAATCGCACATCCCGAACGCCAGGACATCGTTAAGCGAGCACGTAGCTACAGTCCGTGTCTCTAAGAGCATCCAATAGAAGGGCAAGACGAATTGGAGGTCAGACATGTGCGGACCAAGCTGAAGGTGAAGGGAGGTCTTCCAGATTGAGTTTGGACCCTGGATCGCGGCGGCTGAATGCGATCGGACAGCGGCACGTGCGCGGACCGCAAGGCTCGACCCCGGGGGAACCAAGTCCAGACCAAAAGACACCCATAGGCACTGCGACGTATTTGTTCCGACCCTGCCCACGCACCATCTCTCAAACTTGCCTGCATCAACAATGTCCATCTACTCAGATTCACGAGCTGCAGGTGGACTTGTGTGTGTGTGTAGGTAGCCAGCCTCGTTGATCATTTGGGCGCACTTCAGCTGCGCCATACCCCACGCTCGGCAAGGCCGCCATAGGGTCCCGGAGCAGGCTGACCATTAGCACGGCGTGCTGCGTGATCTGCCACCGATAAGAGAGTCTGCTAATGCTTGGCGCGGTAGAAGGTTGGTTGCGACACGGCTCGCACACTTTCGGTTCAGCCTTACACGCAAGCTGTCACTGTACTTCAGCTAATGCAACTGAGCTCAAGAGCCCGTTTTCAATTTCATCGTATCCACACCAAACAATGAAGCCTGTACCAAAGCAAAAATACCGACAGTCCCAGCACACACAGCCAGCCCTATCTTCGCATCTCCAGTCCAGAAACCAGCAACACAGCCAAAGGTAACAGAGAGTAGTATCGCCATAAGAAGAACCACTGCGACAGTTATCTTACAGACAGTCTTCTTGATGAGGATTGCATGACACGGACGGGTACCGACTGTCTGGCCCGTTATAAACTGGCCGTTCAGCGACACGAACGCAGATCCACGCAGGATAGAAGGAGTTATGAATGCTTCAGCAAGATCCTCGCGAGGTGTACTACTCTCAACGATGACTTCGCGCGGGTAGTCTTGAGCTTCGCATTCGCCGATACACAACTGTACTAGTCAGGATGGAACCTAAACAACTCATATTCAACTCACCGGAGATATGACGGCATCTTCAATGACGACGCGTGTGGCAAACCAACGCTGAGTTGACGCGGATGCATTATACTCCTTCTTGAGCAACTGCATTATCGTTGCGCCGGTCTGGGTAGGCCATATTCGCATGGCAAACAAGAGTACTCGGCCGTTTTTCATGATGGCAAACAAGCACTCTGTTTCTTGCGTTATGATAGATCCATCTTGTTGCGTGGGTCTGGTTGAGCTTGCTCCCGTACTTGCGCGGATGGCGGTTGGCTCCATATTTTCGATCTGCGCTCGATATGTGTCAATTTAATGTTCGATAAAGCCAAAAAAAACCTCTCTGAGATGTCTCAGGTGGTGGCAGATGGGAGGTTACCGCCTGGATCACTTTTGTAGGCACTCATATTGGTTGCGAAAGTTCGGCTGGCAGATTGGAGAAATCATATCAAAGATCGCAATGGAAGAGATCGTACGAAGGACAATGACACCGGAAGACCGCAGACTTAGCACTCATCTCAAAAAAACTTTGGTGCGAACACTCGCAACATTGTTCACTGTTCATCGGGGCCTTCCACCCAATCGAACGCCGCAAGGCTGGAGAATTGCAGCACAGCCAGGCTTATCTACGCACACTTACGTCACTATAAATTCCATGCGTGACCAAGGCTGCGTAGATCCCGGTCTATGATCTGCGCGGTCATGCCCCTTTGCGAATGGAGCAATCTGCGAACTCTCGCACTTTGTATGTTTCGCACCGGTAGCTTACCCAGCTATCTAAATCGGGTCTCTGAGGTGGGATTCTCCAACCCTTTCGAAATAGCTCTATCATAGCTGTACAGACTGACTTTCTTGTCCTTCGCAGCAACACATTCCCACATGGATTACATAGCTTACGTGGAAAACCCGATCTGCGAGCTGGAGCTTTTGGAGAATCGCCATCGCGCCGGGCATGCGTCTACTCAGTACTCAACCAGCTCGGAGAGTATGTTATTGGACGATAACAGGCCAGAAGACTTACAGCTTTGTTACAACGGCTACGATTGGACTCCTTCGCGTTGGTCAACAGTTCTGACCAACTTCACACAACAACCAGATGACGTTTACAACGCAACCGTCGATACTCAGCCATACTACGTGTCTTCTTGCTATGCTGAAGAATCCGGACGAGCGCAATCCCCTACCCAGGATCCCTACGGATCTCGAATCGAGTACTGCGACTATGTCGAAGAACCTAGACAAGCGCAATCTCCCACCTGGTGTCCCTCCGTTCCTCGGATTGAGTCTGGGACATACGAAAATGGATCTACTATGCAGCAATCATCCTCCGGTGAACTTCAACGATCAGAAACTATTTTGCAGAGTCCTATGATGCTTACGGGTGTTGGTGTGCAAGACCAAGATTACGTTTTCCCTGAGACCGCGTCCAAGCTAAGCCAACAGCTTATCGACTTCTCTACAATCGCTGCGCAATCATCTACGACGCTTTGGCCCTTGCATCAAGATATTTCGTCCTCTCAGCCGTGGTCTGCGCTGGCACAACGTAGAACAGAGGATCTATATCAACCCGTTCATTATCTTGGCCAATCTGAACACACAGACGAAACTTCTATACCTTCACATTATCCAAATGGCCCGGCTCAAGTCGCGCCGGGGGTTACGTATACTCAAGTCTACGCATGCGGCTCCAAATATAAAGACCAGGCTCTTAGTTCCACTGATTGCGCAACCTCGACCCTCTCGTCAGACAGTGGGTATCGGTCGCAAAGCTACACCCCTACATCTGTCTCATGTAATAGATCGACGCACAGATCCTCTACACCAACCTCAAGTGATGGAAGAATGAATCGCTTGAAGATACGGAGATCCAACAGAAAAAGCTTGGAGGTGCGGAGATCCAACAGAAGGCGCTTTACACAAGAGTCAACTCGACGGGACCCGAGTGTCGATGCCGCTGCTGTGTGTCATTCTGAAACATCCAGTAACAGCAGGTATGCCTCTGACGTGAAGACACAACCCAACATAGATTCGACTATGGTCAACAATGCCATTACAGAGCTAGAAGACTCTAGTTTTGGTGAGAGAACACAGGTTCTGTGTGTTGCAGAAGATGATGTTACACTCCATGAACAAAACTGTCAGAGTAGGGTCTCTGTCAACGAAATCGACAACCGCCCGATAACAGAGAAAGAAACCGAAGATGACCGCCAGTACCAATCGAGGAACAACATTGATGTGTATGATAGCCCAGGAGACTTGAACGAATACTCGGTCGCTTTCAGACAATTCAAGCTTTGGGAAGCCTTGCAACAAGCTGAACAAGCTGAGACACAAGACTGTGTTGGAGATGTTCATGGCACAGATTCCAGTAATGCAGGCAGTTTATCTTCAACTATCGGCTCCTTTCCATCATCCTGGGGTGGTTCGACAACGGCCACAAATATGAGCACTACATTAAGCGGCAGTGAATCGTTGGACAGGAGCGGTATAAAGATTGGTACAACCATCCACATTGGATCGAACTCAAAGCCACTTGACTTAATATGCTGGCATGCTGCCATGGGTAAAAGATGCAAAGGCCAGACGGGGCGTAGTCATGAAGTACGTCGTCTGTACAAGTGAGTAGTGTGGTAGCTTATCTGAGCAAATGCTTGTGCACGACTGACTGTTCCAGCGACCACTCGATGTCCAAGAAGAGTTCAAACAATCACCGTTTAAATCCACCATGCACGCGCTGTGGTCTGATATTCCCAGATGATACGAGGGCAGCTGAACACGAAGAAATACTAAGATCTGACCCGTCTTGTCAAAGATATGACGCCAAAGAGGTTTCGAGACGAAACGCCGTTTTCGAGGGAGAGGGCATCACGCAACAGACAAACGATAAGATTGCAAAAGCCATCAAAGATTACAAAGGAAGCAAGTCAAAGGAGTCGAGACTGCCAGAAAATTGCGATGCACGGCACTTTCAGTCATGGGTAGCTAGCAACGTTCCTTTATACATCAGCAACTCCAACATATCGCAAGCGGAAGCGTTGAAAGAGCTCAGCCTCTGGTATATCTACTTTTGCGTACTGTTCCCTGGCGCAAGTGTTCCCATCAACCCATGTAAGTGAAGCATATCCCCAGCATGTTGTGTAAATGGCTTACAAGGAGATCAGTTGCAGAATCATCTGAATTCAAGTACCGACGTCTGCTGGATTTGTTAAAGACACGTTTGGCAGCGGCCGCCGATCGTCAGATCATGCCACGGCTTACAGAACAGGAAGAGGTCATCTTTAGCAATCTATTCAAGGAAGCGACGGATGCCCTTGAGATCGAAATACTGCAGGAGAAGAGCAGATTTGGGAGCAACAAAACATCATCAAGAAAGAGACTGAGATCTGGCGATGGGTCAGCCGTGTCTCCAAGCAAGTCTTCTATGCCATCGACGCCTGCTCCAACATCCAATACGGATGAGACCTTGCTTCTATCTTCAGGCGTACTGAACGCACCCGGTCCTGGCATTGCGATGGGGCCACCTCCTTCTCCAGCATATCACGAGTATAGTACGCCTGGGGTCCCTGTGACAGTTGACATGGCACCAGAACAAGTCGCTAGACATGTTCCCGCTTCTGACTTCACGGAGCCAGCATCGGTAAACTATGTGAATACTGGCGATACAAACGGGACTACCATGGGAGAGGACATTGATTTTGAGGCTCTGATGAGATGGAGTGGAGAAGGGTAACGCCATGGAAACTGTTTCATACTCTTCTGCGTTTTGAATACATAAAACTGATCGCGACAAATGTTCAGATGCGGAGCTTCATGGAGTAATCCTAGAGCTTTTTGTAAGACTGGAGATGTTGGCAAGACTAGATGGAGACATGTTTGTAGATTCACAAGCTGCGTAAATAGTGGTTTTGACATGTTGAAGACACTCACGGTATATCAGACACGACTTCTCAGTTTTCACCACCAGTATGGAGTCGCGAGCAGTCACAAAAAGGCCCAGTAAATTACTCATCCACCGACGGAAGGCTTGTGAGACAGTGGTATCGACGCGGGTCGGTGGTGCCATCTCTGCTGTTGGCTCGTCGCCAAGGGATCAAACGAGTCGGACTCCTCAGATGGCCATTGTCAACCTCCATTGCTCTGTCTGAGCTGTCGTTGTTGGATTGTCAACCTCCGTTGCTCTGTCTGAGCTGTCGTTGTTGGAAGAAAGCTCAGGCACATGATGTATGTACCTGCTCTTTCTGGAATATGGATTAGCGCTAAGCCATTTCGGGTCGGCCGAGGGGAAGTCTTATCTCAGACAAGCTCAGACGTCAGACGGGTGGTGTAATCTATATATGTAGGATCAAGCATTGATACGCACGCTAGCATTTTGGTCACTGCTTAACCCCATGAGCTAAAAATTAGCTTCGACGCAAACCTCCCCAGCAACGTCTCAGATGATCTCTACGTCTCGAAGCGTCATTCCCGACTGGGGAAACCAGTCACTACCGGTGTCCGGTTGACCCATTTCGCAACGATGGCAGAGTTTGACGGTATCCATCAAGGAGACATCGGGCCCCTGGGCCACCCTCCAAATCCTGACTGACGGCCTCAACAATAGGACGTTCGCCCGCGCACGCCACGCTCCTGCTAGCTCACGACCCAAGATAGATAGCTCACCCAAAAAGGGATCCAACTCCTAATCTAGTCAGGTACACTCCCGTTTTCCGCCCACTTATACGGAGTCAAGCGGAATCGACACTCATTTCGGCTGACATGCAACACGAACGCTCCTATTAAACACTGTTTCCCCGAAGCCAAGAGGTCTTCCTCTCTTCTCACAGGTCTTTCAACCTCGCAATCTAACCAGTACACTCACTTTTTGACGACCAATTTATACCACATTCTTTAATATTTAATAATGTCTTCCATCATCCGCAACGCCCTCGCGCTCAGCGCTGTCGCCGCCGTCGCTGTCGCTCAAGGAACAACTGCCCCCAAGCTCGATGCTCCCTGCGCCGATGCCGTTATTTTCATGGCCCGCGGTAACAATGCACCGTATCAGGACAGCCGTACATTCCCCTTCGTCGAAGCTACGTGCGGCAAGCTGAGGGCTGAGGGCAAGACCTGCGACTTCATTGAGGTTGTGTTCGAGACCATGATGAACGGCGACTTCTGCACTCAGATTGCTGAGGGAGTCCGCAACGGTCAATCCCAGATCACTGCTTTCAACAAGAAGTGCCCTTGCACGCATCTCATCCTCAACGGCTTCTCTCAGGGTGCCTGGATCACTGGAGATATTCTTGGTGGACCTGGTGGATGCTCCCAGATCACCACTGGTCTAGACAACACCTCGGCTCCTGGTAATGCTAGTAAGTATTCTTCCCATGACAGACTCGAACCTCGGACTGTGCTAATGTGGTAATTCAGTTGCTGCTGCTCTCCTCTGGGGCGATGTCATGCACGAGGCTAACCAGCCATACAACGTTCTTGACGGCGCTGGTCTACAGAAGGACGGTCGCAGCGCCGTCTCCCTCGCGCGCCTCAACCGTTACGCACCCGTCCTGCGCTCTTACTGCGCTAAGGGAGACCCAATCTGCGCCAACGGCAACGACGTCGACAAGCACTTGAGCTACTTTGAGCTGTACACCGACGACGCCTCGACCTGGGCCGTTGGAAAGCTCAATGACGCCGCCCCTCTTTGCGCCGTTCCCACACCTACGCCTAGCGCTTCTTCTACCGCCGTCGTCTCGTCTGTTCGCGTTGCTTCGGCTACCGCTGTTGCGTCGTCAAGCGCTGCCGCGTCGTCAAGCGCTGCTGCATCATCAAGCGCTGCTGCGTCATCAAGCGCTGCTGCTTCTTCCAGTGCCGCCGCTCTTCCCGCTTATCCTACATCCCCAGTTTACGTTGCTCCCTTCGCTATCCCCCAGCCATACGAGGCTCAGTGCATTCCCCGCATTAAGATCGAATATGTCTACGTTTAAAAGTGAGAAGGACGGAAGATATAGTGGAGTAGACGTAGTGACAGTAGTAGATGGATGTGGATTGATGATGAAACTATGAAAAGGAATGACCGTCGTGTTCGACGTTTGTGAGAAGTTTTGACTTTCGTGCGTGATGAGTGCTTTCTGCCTGCTCCGTAAGTACGATGTGAATCCTCATAGAGTCCTATGGTCTGATCCATCAGCGTCCAGCCCGGAACGCCCGTATACACCCTCGTATCCCCCGTATTCAATCTCCGTGAATAAATCTGGACGACACAGTCCACCGGAGACCCCTGCATCCTGCGAAGCTCCAGCAAATCCGCCGTCGAATCTAGCACACCCTGGCGCTGAAAGTCCTGCACAACACCGCTCTTCATATCAAGTACGACATGTGGGTTCTCGATGTTGGTCTCACCCAAAGGCACGTAACACCGACAAACACTCACTACTATAAATGGGACAGTACACATCATGCACGTGGCTGATATACCAAAGTGCGCGAATTGAGTGTATATGATGGTTGAGGAGATAGAGAGACGAGCTCGGTACGGCAGCTAGGTGTGCATAACATAGATCCATCGGTAGTCCATGACTCCACATGCTTGAGAGCCGGAATTAATGAGGCAGAAAACACGTTCCAGCTGGCAGCTGTTTGTATCGGGCGATCATGGTGCCTATCATGTTAGTGATAGTACCCCTCTTGCTCAGTAGAGGAAACGATAAACAAGGCTACATAGCAGATCAATGTCAGCCCCTGATTATGGCAGATTGGTGACTTACGCTACACTGTTTTGGGCTGATATGCTGCTCAGCCCGAAAGAGTATAGCGCAAGTAGATCCTTCTCATTTCTGCAGAATCTTATTACGAGCTGCACAATACCGTAAACAGATGATTCAGCGGTCTTTGGAGTATCAGAACAAGTGACAACAAGGCCTCCCGTTCGGCCCTATTTAAGCAACGTACCGGTAGATTATCACTTAGGTGGACAACCAATAGGAAATCCCTACTGTTGTAATGGGGTTCTTTTTGCATCTGTTTTGCTTCTAAATACAATTGTGGGTGTTGTGGTCTGTGAAACTGTGTGGCGTTCCTTCTCTGCCAACGTAGGTGTGTGCCTGCTTCCAATTGGTAAAGTACTTCCACGCTATCATTTTGTTGCGAAACTCGCGCTCATTGAACGTTACTGTTGTACACGGCCTTGATTTGGCTGCCTTTTCCAGCTTATTTTGATGCTGTTGCTTGTGTTTCTGCACTGTTTCAATGAGCTAATGGATCATGACACTGGTCGTAGGATTGAGGCTGGGAGACAAATGTTACGAGTTTGAAATTTCTTTTCTTTTCGGTAATGTTAGATGACTTCCGTCATACCATGAACACCTCTATTCCCTACAGGCACTCCCACATATGTCTAAATTCGACCCTCTAAGCCACCCTGTTGGTGACCTCAACGAAGCTCTGCCACTGCTTGTAAGCCTCGCCACTCGAGACCGCCCACTTCGCTCTCCTGACGCCTTCCTTCCAGCGGCCGCCGCCAGGGCCAACCTCCTTGATGACATTTCCGTCATCACCCTCGCCCATGTTGCTCGTATCCGCGTCGCAAATTCCACTGATGACGAACAGAGCAGCAGTGTTGATGTAGACGAAGTGCAGGATCGGATCGTCGGGTGCGACCTCGCCATTCAGAATCCTCATCAGGATCTCGGCGTTCTTCTCTGGTGACTGGCCGGGGGACACATCACTCAGAGGATGCGTTGGCAGACCAAAATCCTCGGGCGAGAGCTTGAAGAAGTTGATGTCTACTTGCCCAGAGGAGTTTTCTTGTAGGCGCCAGCAGTGCGTTGGCCCTGCGCAGGAGAGCTCGTCTAGCTCCTCATCACCGCACATGACCAGCGCCTTCCTTGCGCCTGATTGACGGAGTGCCTCAGCAAAATCAGGGGCGATCTCTTTACGGGCTACACCGAGCACTCGAGCTTCGATCTGCTCGTGCAGGGGGTTCGCAAGGGGTCCGAGGAGGTTGAAAATTGTGCGCCAGCCGAGCTGTCTGCGGATAGAGGCAGCGTGTCTGGCACCGGGGTGGAAGATTGGCGCATACAGGAAAGCGTAGTTGGTCTCGGCGTAGATCTCGTTGATGGTCCTGGGTGCAACTGCGGTGATGATTGGAGCCTTCGGTGGTGCACAAGCAAGTAGGTCTGCTGACCCTGAGCGCGATGTCGATGCCTTGTTACCATGCTTTGCCACCATGAGCAGTGAACTGGCCAGGATAGACGATGTTGTAGAAATGTTGAAGGTGTTGTGCGAATCACCTCCTGTGCCGACAATGTCAACCTGAGAGGTATTAGTCTCTACCCAACTAATGCGTCTGGTGCAATTCATCGAGTAACCCATGAACTAAGATGAATATCTGAAGTACGTACCAGCCCTCCATTGTAATTGCCCTCCTTCCGTCCACGTTTCTCAAGGACTTGATTGAGCGACTCGAAATCAATCTTGGTCGAGAAATCTCTCATCGCCTTGGAGCACTTGGCAAGCACTTCAGCCTGTCTGTCTTCGTCCGTGAAATGGAGACATGTCAGCAGAGCTCCGATTTGGACTTCCGAGAGGCTGTTGGTGAAAATCAGGGAAAGAGCAGAAGCAATCTCGTCTGCAGTGGGTTTTGTAGATGCCGTTTCGTGCCAGAGTCGCTTGAGAAGTGGCGTGATCGAAACCTTGGGGTCCTCATCGTTTGCTGTGGATACTACAGAAGCCATGGTGTAGTACTGCTGAATCCTTCCTAATCTCACCTAAAGTAGGTAGGAGGTCTGCGGGGTAGATGGAGGGGTAGGCTTATTGTGCTACAGCGGCGCGTTCTGGAAGCCAATTGATAACAAGAAGAATCAATTGTTATTCAGAATGTAGCTGGGGCGCCTTTCATATAACTGCAGAGCTCCGCCGTGTTGACTCACTAATCCGGAGATCCCAATGACTTCCGCAGCGACCGCTTGATGCAGGGTCGCACTAGGCTGAACGTGGCTAGTGAGCCGGGCGCGAGGCGAAATGATTCACCGTGCGTCCGTGCCCCATGTCAAATTTCACTACGCGACTGTCGCAAACGGCTGTTCAAGGTCAAGACGTGTCAGAGTATCCGCTCTGATAGACCTTGCAGCGAACCGCCCCGCGACGCCGAATATCTCAAATGGGGAAGAAGCGGACCCATGCTGAGACTAAGGATGGCTTCACGAAGCCGCCGCCGGGCAAGGACCGGGTAAAGAGCGACAAGAAGGATGCGCGGAAGGGTGGAGATGCCAACAAGAAGCGCTCGGCATTGGTAGGTCATTCTCGATGGCTGGGAGATGGCAAAGCTAATGCGCGCACCAGATTTTCCAAGTGCAACCAGAATGGCACACCGTCGAACTGCCACAGCTCCGCATAGTCGAGAACCCTACGATACCCCCGAAATACATCCTCGACGATTTGCACGCCTACGCAGACGAGCTTCTGGAAGCCGAGACAAACGAGTATGCCGCGTCTCACATGTCCAAGGATGCTTCGCACAAGTTCATGTCAACCATCATGGCATCTGGTACCATGGAAGATAAGGTCTCGGCCCTGACGCTGTTGGTACAAGAGTCGCCACTGCATACCACTCGGGCGTTTGAGCAGCTGCTGGGATTGTCGCGCAAAAAGAGCAGGAGTGCGGCCATGATGGCTTTGGCTGCGCTCAAGGATCTGATGGGACAGGGTGTTCTGCTGCCACCGGACCGGAAGCTGAGGGCTTTTGCACGACAGCCTGGCCTTCTCAGCGCGCTGCAAGGAAAGAACATGCATTGGAAGTACGGCGAGAAGCTGCCCGGCGAGCTACAGAAGGTCCACCTGGTTGCATGGTCGTACGAGGATTGGCTGAAGAAGCAGTACTTCGAGATGCTCAAGATCATCGAGGGCTGGACCAACGACGAAGTCGAATACTCGCGAAACCGCGCCGTGAACTTTGTCTGGGAGCTGTTGAAGGAGAAGCCGGAACAGGAAGAGAATTTGCTCAGACTGCTCATCAACAAGCTCGGAGACAAAGAGAAGAAGGTATCGTCGCGAGCGTCGTACCTGCTTCTCCAGCTCCAGATCACTCATCCGCTGATGAAGAGCGTGATCATCAACTCCATCGAGTCGGACCTCATCTTCCGACCGAATCAGAGTGCTCACGCCAAATACTACGCCGTCATCACCCTCAACCAGACTGTTCTGAGTGTGAAAGAGCAGGAAGTCGCCAATAAGCTGTTGGAGATCTATTTCAGCATCTTCCTCGGCCTGCTCAAGAAACAGAAGGACCACGAGAAGGAAGAGAAGAAGATTGCAGTGCTTAACAAGAAGGGTGAGGTGCAAGGTGGTGGCGCATTGCCCGGAAAAATGGCGAAGAAGAAGGCCGAGAAGGACGCTACATTGGCATTCAAGGTTGCGGACGAGTCAAGAGAAAAGCTGATCTCTGCTATTCTCACGGGTGTCAACCGCGCGTTCCCCTTCGCCAAGACTGACGATGCCAACTTTGAGGAACAGCTCAACACCATCTACCAGGTCACTCACTCTTCCAACTTCAACACCGGCATCCAGGCCATGACCCTCATTCAGCAAATCTCTGTTACTAAGAACATCTCCACCGACCGATTCTACCGGACACTGTACGAATCCCTCCTCGATCCTCGCCTCATTGCGACTTCAAAGCACATCATGTTCCTCAATCTTCTTTACCGGTCACTCAAAGCGGACACCAGCATCAAGCGCGTCAAAGCTTTCGTCAAGCGCCTTCTCCAGATCATTCACCTGCACGAACCTCCTTTCATCTGCGGTGTTCTATACCTCGTCAACGAACTCATCACGACCTTCCCCAGCATCAAGTCTATGTTGTCCACACCAGAAGACCACGTCGACGATGGTGAGGACGAGCACTTTGAGGACGTACCTGAGGATGGTGAGGACAAGTCAGACGAGAAGAAGACCGCCAAGCCTGCCTACGACGCTCGGAAACGAGATCCTGAACACGCTCAAGCAGACCTGTCATGTCTGTGGGAACTGCTGCCACTTCAAGCACATTACCACCCCTCAGTACACGTTTTGGCTTCGAAGATCGTGCACCAAGAAGCTATCAAGGAGAAGCCAGATCCAACACTCTACACTCTCATGAACTTCCTCGACAAGTTCTCCTTCCGCAACGCAAAGACCAAGTCACAGGCTGTTCACGGCTCCTCTATCATGCAGCCTATGGCCGGCACCTCAAAAGCGTCCGACTACCTCATCACCTCCCGTGAAGGCGACCGCACTCACGACCCTCTCAACTCAGAAGCCTTCTGGCGCAAGAAGGTCGACGACGTCCGCGACGACGAGGTCTTCTTCCACACCTACTTCGAAAAGGCCGGCAAAGCCAAGCAGGCCGACAAGAAGGCGAAGAAGAAGAGCAAGAAGGACGACAGCGACGACGAGAGTGCCGAGGACGAGATCTGGAAGGCTCTGGTCAAGTCGCGACCAGATGTCGAGGGCGATGGCGGCGACGATGACATGGACGACTTCGATATGGATGACATGATGAGCGACTCCGACGCCGAGGGCGGCGTCACAATGGACGATGGCGTCGAACTCAACCTCGGCAGCGATGACGAGGACGAGGCGCCTGCGCCTGCTGACGACGATGACGAGGATGACTTTGCCAACTTCGACCTCGACGATGAAGACGCGTTCATGGACGACGAGGATGATATTCCCGTCGACCTCGACGTGGGCGACGACGCAGACGACACCAAGGATGGCCGCAAGAAGAAGAAGAGGAAGCTCAAGCAGCTCCCGACCTTCGCTTCTGCAGACGACTACGCGAAGCTCATCGGGGACGACAGCGAGTAGATGTAATCACTGGTTATGTATAGGACACCTGTGGAGCCAGCCGGAACGGGCGTTAGGCTATGATGACAGGCGCATCGGGACGTTCACGGAGTTTGTTGCATGCTTCTGGCGCCTTCATGTAGATATCCTTTGTTCTTGTAATGCCAACACCCAAGACACCTCTCACATTGTTAAAGACTTACAACATGCGATGATAGTGTGACGCTCAACAAACAATTACGATGTAGTGTTTAAACCACGCTGTCGTCTACCTCTCGCCCGACGACAAACGTCTACCAATTATGCCCATGACAGCACCACCATCCTCGAGAAATGCTTCCTTTTCCTATCTGGCCCCTACTCTACTTGATCGATGGACCCTGAAATGTCGAATCCCAGCGCAATGCACACTATACAAAAAGATGGAGCGAATAGACATGGACTCGACCACTGCAGATTAGTGCTGTTCCGCGCGTACAACTCTAAGAGACGGAGACAGATCGCGCACCACTACTCTGACAGGGCTGAAGATGGTACTATTACGATTGGGCATGCCGACTCAACAGAAGGCAGATGTAGCAACAGCCGCAATGGATGCCATGTCAGATATCTGCATGCAACATTCAATGTGGCCAGGATAATTCACTATACTGCACAACATGGAGACGAAGGCCCCGTCGACCCTCGGAACGGTGTGTAGTCACGCCGCAATTCTCCAACAAAACCCAGGATCAGGAGGCGCAGATCAGCAGCCGAGAAGGGCGGTGAACCCGAACAATCGGCGCGCACACTCACCACCGTTGATAACAAACCGGTGGTGTGGTAGGCAGTCGCAGCTCTCGCCTCACAATATAGAGACGCTGGTAATTGCACCGACACCAAGACCGAACCCGTGTCCCAGTCTGCTGCTGAAGTGGGAGTTATTACAGTGTTGTCTGTGGTGCCGATGTAGCAGCGGAGTTCTTGACGCTCGTGGAGCGAGTGGTTGAGCGGATGGGTGTGCAGTTCATTGCAAGGTGTTCCCATGGTCTCTGCAGATGGTAATATGTGGCCAGGCAGGGGTCCCTAGGGCCTCGATAGATGGAGTGCCAGATGTGTTCCGTTGTGGTTGAAGAATCATCGTAAACGCCAGGGCAAGACGGTGTTGAACTGGCTGGTCATCGTCAGTGGGTTTCCGTGATCTTGTTTTGCGCGGTATTGCTAGATTGCTTGTGGATTCATGAAGAAGACAATAATGGATGGGGCAAGACAGCAGCGCTTCATGAGAGTGCGTGGAATATCAACGACTGGAAGGTATCTGGGGAAGAACAAGGTGCCCAAAGGACCCTTATCCAGGACCTGATCCATATTCTTGATGAACTCAAACCTTACCGTGCAAACCATGAGCAACTCTTGACCCACCTGTGTCGCACAGACGATCCAAAATAGATCACTAATCTACACACCAACATCTCACGTCGAGCACACAACGACCTCTAATGTCGACATTAGCAAAAAGGTAATCACCGCCATCCTACCTCTGTGTTGTCAGAGTTTGGGGCATGTCAGACTCCCTGAACGTCCGCCATCCTCCCGCTGTTATAACTGGCGTAGACCCTGTGTGTACATCCAACGCACTGCATGCCCTGCCCTGCATCTGTCTCAACCAAACCTTAACTCAACGGTCAAGTAGTCGGCTAGTAGCCTCGCGAGAGCGCGCAGGGGTAAAGGCTCGAGCGGCTTGCTTCGCTGGTTCCCCGTGCTGCGAAGACAAAGGATGGAGATGCAATCTCGCGGGCGTGTGGCGGCAGGGTGGTTGGAGAGGCGTTTGATGACCGAGGCTGGAAGGGGCTGTTGCGGGGCTGTTGGTAGACAACGGTTAGCGATGAGCGAAGCGCGTAGTCGGGAGGCGCCACTGTAGATCAGGCGCATTGTTTGGTCAATCAGAGGACTAACCGATACAGGGTCCTGAACAGACAGTGGACGCAATTAGGACTCGATAGCACCTGCGAGGCTTTGGCGGCCATAGGGTCGGGGCTTGGAGCATAGTGAGTATAGTGAACGGCATCCAGCTGTAGAGAGTATAGCTGACACTAGGGGGATCTCTGCGGACCACTCAGAATCGTTGAAAGCTGATGTTGCGTGAAGAACGGTATGTTCGCTCCAGGCGTACCAAACTTCTACACGAACTTATAATGCGGGCGCCTGCGGTGTTCCAGACTGAGTGTGGCGCCGTGGTCAGGTTGCTGTAGGACGATATTGTTACCATAGTATTACGACATCAGTGAGCGCATTCTCTTGAATGAATGCCCACATGCAGGATGGATAGACAATGCGCAAACGACGAGCAGCCTATCAACGAAAGTTGATTGCAGTCGGAGAATTTACTCCATCTGACATCTGGCATACAATTCGCGTGTAAACTTTCGCCTTGCAGTCGAACCGGCACTTCAAACAAGTCCCGACTATCTCTAGACAATAGCTAAGTATGCACGTGCATGTGAACATATCCAATGCATTTGTAAGTTTGAAACAATACAAGCTGAGCAGTCTGCAGTCCTAATGTCGGATCGTTGCAACATCTGAAATCTGGGTCACATGAAGGCGCGTCGGATGCACGAATGGACATCCGGGTCTCGGAGCGCCATCCCATCCAATCAGAAAGCTCGAATAGCAGCTAGCTTCGTTCTGATGTAATCTTTGTTGGGAAATATAGCGCGAAAGTTGTGAGTCGCGATTGCGGAACAATTGCCCGGGTAGAGTCGTTGAAAGCTTCAACTGTGAGGAAGTATCCTTGTCGGAGTGGGCACCGAATGGCCATACGAGGACTTATACCGGATAAACTTTGAGGCCATGATCGGTACTTGAGATGAGTCCACGTGGAGCCTAATGAAAGAGGGGAGCGGGGCATTGGGATGTGCGTTTCGTACAGCAAAAACAAAGAACGGCTTGCAGCGAACGGTGACCTCCCTGGTTCACGGCTTTGATAGCCGTTGCCAAGCCAAAGATACTACACTGAAACAGGGCTAGTGAACAGCTGAGGGATAAGCTAAAGTTATGGATGTAGTTCTGTAGAGAAAACCCTGAGTTCCCCTTCGTTGCAGCACCCTGCTGTGGCTGAAGAGGCCCCTCTTCTGCTCAAACCTTATTGTTGACTGCAAATGTCGCCAACTAACAGCTGAAGTCAACTCGTGATGCAACGAGAGGAGTCGCTAAAGTAATCTGGGCTCTGACAACCCGTGTCCGACGCGATTCGGCTGCGACCTATTCACGGAGCAGTCGTCCCCACCCTGATGTAAGAATGCAGTAAGCTGGTGCTCCACTGCCAAACTGAGCGCGCGCGCGTCGATTTTGGTGCAAAAACTTTGCATTCGGCGATAGGCAGGATCGAGTGGCAGTGTTGTGTGAATCGCAAGGGTCTTGCGAGGGTCTTGATCGTTGCTACCTCATTGGTGACGATGGAACAGGGTCCGGAAGGTGCGGCGGTACCTGATCCTCGGACTGACGTGCAGTCATCTTTAGCGCAACAGGATGGCGTTACGCGTCACAGGAAGTGATTGGCCAGGCAAGCAATTCCCAAGACGATTCGTCCATTTGCGTGACCTTGCTGTTACATAGACGACGATGCATGTGGAAAACGATAGCAGATCGTGCTATGGAGGATCTTTCCAAGTCGGCGTTCGGTTGCTGGACGTTGTGGGTCGTTCGGCCAAACCATATGCGTCAAGTCCACGATCCATGACATCATCCTGAACGCAAAATTACAAAATTGCTGGTCGTGGAGGTATCACTCGAACAGCTGCAGAACAGGTATTCACTTCATGCGACGGTATCAGATAAGGCGCTCGAGGCAAGATTAAAGTTCAGCCAAGTTGGTGTGAGAACGCTATCCGAACCGATGTTGAGGCCAGGAAGGCGTTCAAGATTTCGGCTGCTGACCAGTAGCTGCGGCGTCTCCGGCTGGGGCCGACGCATACACTACGCAGAAGCGGAAAGCCGTTTTCGTACGCAGGCGTTGCCAAGAGCATGCGAGAGTACCTAATCAGACGGAGTTTGAGCCGCATTGACTCAGAGGTTGAGCAATCGACGATTGGAATTGCGGGTTCAGAGCCGACCGAGCGCTAAATATTGGTAGCGTATCATCATATTGGTCGATACAACACCATGTGAAGAAGTTTTTCAGAGCAAAGTGTATCCGCGACAGCGATGCTGCAGAGCAAACGTATGCGGCTAGCTGACAAGGAGTATAGATGGCGATGTTGACTGGAGTCATTTATCCAGGCTTCAAAAACGTACCATATGCAGGCATGGTATATCGCTTGACTTGCGGCAAGACGTTGGCATAAAGCCGACATGCACCCTCGCTTATTGGCTGCATTGGATACAGATGGCACGATTTGTCGCGTGTCACGCTTACCAAGCGCAGGCAGCGAACTTACACATGTAGATAGTCGATGCCGAGCGTCTTGACATGAGAGGAGAAGCAGGGAAAGTATGAGGGGTGATGGCGTCGACAGTAGCGCAGTACCCAAGCAAGGGTCGTTCGATGACTGTGGATGCATCTCACACTGCCCCGACTAGCGACGAGGAGCCATCACAGCCCGCACAGGACGACTGGTGATGTTGCGACGCAGGGCGCACTCCAGGGGCTTTCAGGGACTTTTGGGCTCGCAGAGCCTCAATATCTGAGCCAATGATGTTACGATCGACCGCTTGTACCAGATCTACGGGATTGGGCGTGTGGGGATACTGTGACTACATCTTTTGTTTTGCGAGGAACGTATGGAAGATCGTGCTCTGTGGCATAGCGGTGTTTCGGCGTCGTATGCGCAAAACCAAGAACCGCGGGCTGATCAGGCCATTTGATGCTGACTTCCAGCATAGCGTGAGACGCTCGGTACGGTGTAAGTCATGCGTTTGCTGTTTGAGCATCTGAACAAGATTCTACAGTTCGAAACAGGCTTTACTTGGCTGTTCGGCAGCTGGGCGGTCGCCGTAGCGACAGGAGATGACTACCGCGTCGAGCACTGTTTGCTTTTGGATGGCTGGCCACCGTGTCGCGGTCGCATTCGCACACAGCTGACCGGACAGGGCAGCATGGATACAAGCGCTATAAGACGCGGTCTAACAGTCAAGGGCAGCCAGTGGACAGCATCGAGGAGCATGTTCCTCGGCGCGTGATAGGGTGGATCTGTGACATCATGCCTTGATCTGCCGCGGAGCGTTTCCAAAAAAGAACATCGGAAGCTTCGGTAAGGCAGGGCACTGTCCGCTCGGCGTGTTCCTGGCTATCATGCCTTGAAGGAGCACACGAGAAGAAATGGGGCTGCGCGACGACGGTGCCGCAGGAAGGACCGGTGTGGCTTCGACGTGGGCAAGGCGGTCGGGGTGGTAGGGTCGCAGAGGCCGAGCATCACGACGATCACAAAGGGAATCTCGATCTGTGAAGACGGCAAAGTCATGGTCTGTCGCAGCGTTTGAAAGTCCGCGTGGAAGGGCGTTCTGGACCCCTTCCGACAAGGTTCATGCAGCTCGGCAGGGAACTGAGCGGGGCTGCGTGGGGCATGACGTCGCTGCCGTTAGGCGTTTGCCCGATCGCTCCCCCATTCTTCGATGTACTAGGGAAGTAGTGTAAGGTGCCTCTTGCCGTTCGCGGAGTGCAGCAACGAGGCTGCTACAGGGGTCCGTCTGCTGCAGGACCCTGATTTTGGAGGTTGGATTACATACACAGTACTCCAACATGGCGACCGTTGCCCGTGACCATCAGGCTCCCTGCAGACGCCGCCGTATCGCGACCCGTCGCGATGTGCGAGAGAGCGAGGCCTGTGGCGCCCTTGTGCGCCCGGGTGCGCCTCCAGCAGGCCTGCCTCTGCGCGCCCGGATGAAGGGCGCTGCTGTGTGTGTCGCGGTGCTGTGACCGCCAGACTTGCACTCTGCCGCCGCTCGATTTGGCAGCAGGCAGGCCTGCGCCGGCCCTTATTGGTGCCCTGCCGGTCGCGGGCAGACTGCGCATCTTGTTCCTTGAATTTTGCTGCTCTCCCATCGCGATCGCAGAATCCACCATTGCTAGTGCGGCCGACGCGTGAGAGCACGGCTGCAGAGGCTGCACTGCCCTTGGGCAATTGGGCTTGGGCGCCAAGTGCAGTGCAGCGCAGCGCAGCGCAGCGCAGCGCAGCGCAGCGTCCTCGTTGCAGAGCGTGGCTGCGAGCGCGTCGCCGCCTTGTGCACCGCACTGGGTGCGCGGTGTCGATTGCCGTGCCGCCCTCAGTCAGCGATCAGACAGGCGCTCCCTGGACGTGCAGAGCTCGCGTCGTCTCCCCTCAGGCCCTGGTTGATCGCCGGGATCAGGATCCTTGCACGCTGCTGCTGCACGCTAGTGGTAGCACGGCCTGCACGTCGAGATGGCATTTTGCATCGACATTTTCAGTTCCGGCGGATCCTTGTTCGAGGAACCCTGGGGCTGCTAGGTCCAATCTGCTTTGCTTCCTATATCTGTCTCTGCTGTCCCGCGCCCTGAGAGAGCACGCCCAGTAAATTCACTTTCGAAACAACACAGTCCCACCCATCCAAACACCGCTCCCCATCCTGGCGTCATCTGCTCCCACACTCGGTGCTCGTCTCCTCCTCTTACCACACATTCTCACCTGCTGCACCGTGCCGTGCCGTTGCCTCTACTCCCGTTGAGCTTCGCTACCACTTCAACACGCCCTTTGCGCTCCTCACGTGTGCGCGAGTACCACCGCGAATCTGGTCGCATTCCGTTCACTGGCGCGTGTTTGTGCCTTGCCTTCTATATAAGAAACATGGACGGCAAGAACTCTTCGGGACGCCGCGTGTCATTGTTAAACGACGGGCCTGAGGCACCATCTCTAGTTCGCCTCCCCTCCATTACTCCTTCACTCCGCTCGCGCACGTCGAGCTACACCCCGTCACCCATTGGCTCTCCGCCAACGCCACGATTAGTGCGCAGCGACAGCTCGGATTCCATCACCATGCAAACACCTTCGCCCATCACCCCGGAGTTCGGGCCCTTTGACGGCCAGCTGCAAGGTCTGTCGTCGCCCTACCACGCGCAGCCTCAATATTTCGACATGCCCCAAAACAACATGCAAGCCAACGGCATGCACCACCAAAACCTGCACCACAGCGACATGAAGGTCGACAACTTCAACAGCTACGGCCCGCAGATTGTTGGCCAGCTCCCGTACCACACACAACCCGCCTCGGTTTTCTATCGCCAACCACAGATGCCCGAGCAGCACATCGGCTCGCCTGCATCTGCGTCTGCAAACGTGCGACCCAAGAAGAACAGCTACCCCTGCCCCATGGCCAAGCAATTTGGATGCACCGATTATTTCACCACCTCTGGACACGCCGCCCGCCACGCGAAAAAGCACACAGGCAAGAAGGACGCCTTCTGCCCCGAGTGCAACAAGGCTTTCACGCGCAAAGACAACATGGAGCAGCACCGTCGCACCCACCAGAGCGGCCGCAGTGCAAAGGGCAGCGAAGGTGGCGTGAAGAAGACAAAGCCCGCCGCTAAGCGACCACGCCCGTCTCCTCTCCAGTCCTCGGCACCAGCCCCGCCTGCACCCTTCGACCCTACCTTGTCGATGAGCCCGAACGGCATGGCCTACATGGCCCCTCACGGGCGAGACACGGCATCCTCCGAGTACTCTCCCACTCTACTTCAAGAGCGATCTGCATACCCGGACCCTACCCATTATTCGATGAGCCACGGTTACCCGGTTGGATCGTCTTCGGGGCTTGACGCCCTCGCCATCGCGGCGAGCGGCGAGAAGCGCAAGTTCGAGTAACTTGCTGCCTGGACTTCAGTGTTTCGATTTTGCTCTTTGCCCCCGCCACCATTAGCACGGCGTAGGCGGTTTTTTTTGGGATTGATTTCACGGCGTTCAAAACTTTGCACGCAAAGAAATAGACGCGACGGCCGTCATGGCTACGAACCGAGTGAGGCGTCCGGCACCGACACTCAGTCATGTATTTTGCTTCTACTACTTCCGGCCGGGCTTACTTCTGCCTCGGACCATTTGGAGTGCGACCTCCATCCGGAATATTAATGTGCGCACTGCTTGGTGGCGGTGGGTGGTTTTCAGGATCATAGGATAAACATGGATACCCCGCCCGTTGTAGTAATTGATACAATGGGCACATAGTTTTCGGCGCACATCGGTACATTGCTACCACTGTAAACAATCAAAGAATCTTCACATCAATGATCACATCACATCGTTTCAAGTGTCGCTTCATTTTTACAATTGTGGGACTCAATAGCCGTTACCCATGTTAGATCCGCGGTACTTGCTCTCTAGTAGCCCCCTCTCCCAGTCTCAACGTACCGATGACGAGGCGAATTTTACTGACTGCTTACCGTGGTCAGACGCAGTTCACGTTAAATGCCTCAATCCCAAACAGGATGTTGCTGCTTGGGACAACGGTAGAAGCGTCGATTGAAGGCATTGCAGTGGACAGCGATAGCTCCAGGGCCCACTGATCCAGACTTTCGAGTCTCCCGACTCTCCAATACCTGGCGTAGCTCATCCCATCAGCGTGGGTGGAACAAAGCAGTTTGCGAACCTCAGCGCCACTGTCCAACCTCCTCTCCGGCGCTTTTCGCAGCCCAACATTCTGCAATCGCAAACCTTAGGTTGCGAGGTGGCTCGCGCCAGTCCCTACCGCTGATGTGCAGGGCCGGCACACGGCAATGTCGAGTCCAGACCAGCACCTCATGATCTGCCGAGCTAGGAGCAGAACCCGCATCCGCTCATTGGGCCCGGGCTGAAGAGACCGCGGACATAACCCACACCGCAAACGGTGCTGCGTTTTGATGTATCTTGGATAGTTCGCGTCATTGGACACACGAACACAGGTTCGCTGTTGAACGGTACTTGAGCGGCAGTGCCCCGCATCCCCACCACCTAGTGAACCAGCCTGCGGCGAGAATTGCAATGCGACCGCAACCGGCGCTCGTCGGCATCGCTCTGCAACTGTTCGGCTGACCTGCCTGCGCCAACTCGATCCGTCGCCTTATGTGAAGATCAAACCATTTCTCGGTCGCTCTCGAGTGCGCACGCACATGCAAGGACAACACAGACGTGAACAGCCGTGGACAGCCATAGGGTCTACAGTTGCACCGCGTCTCGCTAACGCTACAGCCATCTCCCTGTCGCGGCATGCGGATGGTGCACCCTGGGTTGCGTAGGCGCCAGGCCTCATCTCCTTGCCTCACGTACTGAGGAGCAGCGGCGATTTCCGACTTCCTTCGGGCCTCAAGCTGACAGCGGGTGTTCGTATGCGCACTCAGCTTCAGGGCCGATTCAGCCTGTCAATCCTGCTTGAGTTCTAGGTGTTTTGGACTCCCTGCCGTTCGATAGTATGATCGAGCTGTCTATCCCCCCTTTCACGCTGTGCTATGTTCTGGTTGCGCAGCGTGCCAGCCACGCATCCTCAACAACCAAATGCTCGTATGTTTGTTACAGTGCACACAGGCACCACGAGGAACGTCCGCCCCACCCTTGTAGTTGTTTCACGCCCACCTTCGCCTAGCCGGGTTCACAAATATGTTGTGGCACTTCGTTTCTGCCTCGTCTATCTCCACGCAGGTCTCGAAATAGGTTCGACAGGCGTCTGCAGAGCAACGCAACGATCGGGAGCGGGACGCAGGGCCATGTTTCAAGTTGACAAGCGACCATGACAATGTCGTTGCCGCTTCCCCGGTGCGTGGTCAGTATAGGAGATTAGCGACGAGGAGGCACAGCAGGATCGGGTGTTCGACGCAAGGAAGTGGAGGATCCCATGTCCACCTCGGAGAATTCAATATCGCTGCAGAAACGAGCACACCACCTCGACTGCCAACTCATCGTCTCCTGCAGCCGCTGGAGACCCGTCCTCGCTGCCCCTCGCGCCTGAAGCAGAACGCCCGTCCAGCTCTCAGACCCTCCACGCCTGAGCCCGTCGTACAAAGAAGCCATGTGTGAACTCGCACCAAATGCGGCTATCTACCGTCCCACGTCGTGCCTGCCTCACCTGAGAACCCCCCCTGTGCAACCTCTCCCGCCGCCCTACCACTCCCCAACGCCCCCATCCAGAAACCCCACAGCACCGCAGCACCCTCGTAGCAAGCCCCGTGACCCCCCAGCGCGCCGCCCGTCTCACCCGCCCATGCCCATAGCACCTCAACCTAACCCCCCAACAACTCATCCTCCAGCCCCAACACCGCACACGCACAGCAGTGCACCATGCACATACACCCCGAACCCCGGCCGTGTCGCTGAGACCCCCACTCGCTGCTCCACAGACCCACCGTGCACCCGGGCGTTGCGCTCCTGCCACGCGATGCCGCGCAGCGCGCCACGCCGCCTCGCGTGTCGAACTGTCAAGGCGCTTTGGGGCCTGTCAGGGCGCTTTCGAGGGCCCGTGGCGTGTATCAGCCTTGTTGCACGGGGGGGTTGCACGGCATGGCGTGCGCGGGGGAGGGATGTTGTGCTGAGGGGCTGCGTGGGTGCGTGGCTGGGCGCGTGTTGGGGCGGCGTGGAGGTAAGGTGAGGGGGGGAAAGGTGCTGGAGAGGGTCGCGTGGAGGTAGGTGCAAAGGAAGGGGGGGGGGGGGGTTGCCGGTGATGGTGATGGTGAGATTGGCTTGAGGATTTGAAAATGTGTATGGATCAGGCCTTGAATTGCGCGCTGGCTCAGCCAGACGAGAGAAGCGTGCATGGTGCGACTTCGCTCCGCACGGAGACAGAGCGCATCTCGACATCACTCAACAAGCACAGCCCGGTATCGCAATAGAACACAGCGCCGCACAGCGCCTGGTCTGACACTGACATTGACAACCGCACATACCCAGCGCTAGCTACGTTCTCGTGCTGCATCTCTTTCCGCCGCCCTGCGTAAGCCTCGTGCAACGTGACCATGACCATTTCCCATCTTCGTCCCGTCCCGCTTACGGCCACGATGATCCCGCCGCTGTGATCGAGACAGTTTCCCGGTCGAGGGAAAAGTCACGCCAGACGTGAGATGTGGCTGCGCAGGTTCTCCTGTTGGGTTTTGCAGACATGACAAGGCGTAGAAAGTGTGCTGATGATGCGAAAGAATCGAAAAAGAGACGGCGCTGACTTTGGCACGACGTCTGTCGCATGCGTGCTTTGAAATTCAAGTGTTCTCGCCGCGGCAGAGATGCGTACACATGCAGTGACTTCCGACGTTGGCCGGGGTGGGAAGCGAGATCAAGGGTTGTTGGAGGTGCAGTGGAAAACTGGAGCATCGAGGATCGAGGGGTGAATGTCTCGGGTGAGTATGAGTAGGTTTTTCTCCTCCGTTCCTCGCTGCATGGAATCGATTTGTCGCTCAGCTAAATTTAGCCGTCTGCACATACTTGGCGAAGCTCATGTCTTCGTTTGAGGGTCCGCCGCTGTCCCTCAAGGCCTGGGAGTAGCGCTGCTTGAGGTTGCTGTCAGGATCCATGGCGTCTTCTTCTGAATCGAAATCGTCATCGAAGCCGGCCGCCGCGTTGCCTTCGTCATCGTCGGATATGTCCTCCGCATCACTGACTGTCTCAGGCTCTTCCTTCCGCGGTGCCTTCTTCGGCTTTGTCCCCGCACCACCGACCTTCATATCCTTCATCAGTTTGTCGAGTTCGCGCTGACGAGTGCTCTGCTTCTCCTGTTCACGCTCTGCCCTTCTACGGTCCAGTTCTGGCTTATAGTCGCGCTCGAACTCTATCCTCTTCTCTTCGACGCCCTTGAAGAACTCGTCCATGCCATCACCAGTCATGGCGCTGACTCCCACGACGCTCAAGTGCTTGTAGAACTCATCGAGGACGAGGGACATGCTGTTCAGCAAACTACTCATGTAGCCGCTTCCACCTGTGATGCCATCGCCGCCGAAAGTGCCACCCTCTTCCTCGTTTCGCAGCGCTGCTTGGAAAGCCTCGAAGTCCGTCATCCACTCTTTCGCGAATTCAGCGTCCTGGGCATCGGTCTTGTTGAATACCAGAATCATGGGCAGCTTAGTCTTGTACAAGATAGAGCATGCGTACAGCATGTTGGACATGAAGGTGCTGGTGCTTGTGGTCCGCGGCGTGTCGATTACATATGCAATGACAGTGGGAAACGTGCTCGCAAGACTTGACAGCAGAATCTCTCCACTGGCTGACCAAACAAAGACCTCGATCTGGCCGGGTGTGTCGACCAGGATGTGCTTGATTTGCGGCTGCTGGACCGGCGCTGGCTGCTTCTCCTTTCCACTGTTTGTCATGAACTCTACAGTAGTCTGCTCCGGCTCCTTGGTTGGCTCTGGCACCATGGTCCTCTTCTCGAGCAGTCCAATCACTTGGTCAATCTTGGTACTGAACAGATTCAGACTGGTCAAGATACCGCCGTTGGGCCCGAGGTTGAACTGCTTCATGACCTCTTTGTAGTTGACACTGTCGCGAATGTCGATGTTGGGCGTAAAGGGGACGTGGTGGACAGCTGGGTCGAGGTTGATGATGTACGGCGGGGTTGGTGCGATCTTCGACACCGATGGCTCTTTCGATGTTGGATCGGGGTGCGTGTAGATGTGCGATACAAGGCGCTGCATGAAGGTCGTCTTTCCCGAGCCAGCCATGCCGACGCATACTATGGCGACTGGAGCATTCGCGCTGGGTGCCGCGGCGCTCGCGGTGGTGCTCGCGGCGGTACTGGCTTGGGCGGAGGCCATGACGGTGGCGTCTGATAGACACGGGTGGAATCGGTGTGGTAGTCTTCACAACTCTATGAGCTTTGTTCTTGTCGTACAAAAGAGCGTGGTGTAGTCGGAGCAGAGCAGTGGTGTAAAGTTATCGTCGTAAAGTTACTCTAAATTCTTAAGTGGGGCGCGCTAAGACGCCAGTGATGTCAACCCAAGCTTTCTGGACTTCTGTCGCTCGTGGACCCTTCATCTCGCACATCCAATTCTGCCTCCCACATATATAGGCCACTACAAAAATGGGTCTTGAAGACTTTGAAAAAGAGCTCGCGGCAAGCAAGAGCAAAGAGGACAGACGGAAGCGCGACCGAAGCCGTAGTCGCGACCGACACCACCGCTCAAGTAAGCACCAGTCCTCGCACCGTCACCGCGACGAGCGAGATAGAGATGGACATCACCGAGACAAGAGATCGCGACATCACCACGAAACCCCTGAAGAGCGTTCACGGCGTAAACGGAAAGCAAGAGAGCGCGACGACAAGGACGACAGCAAATCACACCGAGGGCACAAGGACAGGCGGAGTCGCTCTCCCTCAAGCGATGAAGACCGCATGACCCGGAAGCGCAAGTCTCGCCATTACGAAGAAGATGAATCTTCAGGTGACGACGCACCGCAGGAGAAAGACTATGCGCCGCACGACGACGAGCTGCTGGACGAGCAGCTCGAAGAGGCAGCTGGCGCGAACGTGCAGCGCGACGACTGGATGCAGGCACCATCGTCGATGGACATTGACTATGTGCAACGAAAGAAGCGGGAGGAGAAGACAACATATGTTGCGGCGTCTGCAGAGAAACAGCACGCATTGAAAATTCACAAAGCTGAGCTGAACCACCACCTCGCCGACCTCGAGAAGGACACGACGGAAGAACCCGCACAAAGGGAGGTTGACTACACGTTCGGCGATTCAGGGTCCCAGTGGCGCATGACAAAGCTCAAGGGCATCTACAGGGCAGCCGAAGAGACGGGCAGGAGCGTTGAAGACGTGGCACTAGAGAAGTACGGCGATTTGCGCGACTTCGACGATGCGCGGGAGGAGGAAAGTGAGCTGGATAGGCGGAACATGTATGGCAAAGACTACGTTGGTAAAGAAAAGCCTTCAGGGGAGCTGCACGAGGAGCGCAGGTTGAAGGCAGGCATCCACCACCCATCTCGAGAGGGACCTCTGGCGGACCAGCTGCCTCAAGGCGAAACTGTATCAAACCCGAGACCCACCACGAACGCGGTTGCTCTAAGTCAGACAGAGCTGAACAAGCTCAAAGCCCAGATGATGAAGGCAAAGATGAAGAAGTCGCCGGATGCGGCAAGGCTCGAGGCTGAGTACAACGCAGCAGTCGCAGGCTCTGCTGGCAGCACAGACCGCGATGTAGTGGTGCTCAATGCCATGGACAACCGAATGCTAGCGGGAGGTAGACAGGGTGAGGTCATCTCGCTCGAAAACAAGCGAGGTGTGGAGCGTGGTCTGGTCAAGGAGAATGAGGACATGAGCATCGAAGATATGGTCCGACAAGAACGACGAACGAAGGGCCAGAATGAAGGTCTGATCCTTGCAGAGAAGATTGGCAAGGATGTCAAGTTCGATGTAAGCACCCCATATCTTCAAGCATTACCCTGCTGACTTTGAAAGAACGATCTTGACTACATGGACGAGAACGCGACCAAGCTCGCGGCTCGCGCTCCCAAATCATCCATCAACCTGCGCAACCAAGCCATCCAGGACTACCAGAAAACGAATCGCATCCTCGATTCGTGTCCGCTTTGCCATCATGAAGACAAGTCTCCTCCTCAACCTCCAGTCGCCCCTATCGTCTCTTTGGCAACACGCACGTTCCTGACTCTGCCCACTGAGCCGGAGATCAGCGACGGCGGTGCGGTCATAGTGCCTATTCAGCATCGCACCAACCTGCTTGAATGCGACGACGATGAATGGGAGGAGATTCGCAACTTCATGAAGTCTCTTACGCGCATGTACCACGACCAGGGCCGTGACGTCCTCTTCTACGAGAACGCCGCCAACCCGGGTCGCAAGCTGCACGCCGCCATGAGCGCAGTCCCGATTCCGTTCGAGCTTGGCGAGACAGCACCCGCCTTTTTCCGTGAAGCGATCCTCAGCTCGGACAACGAGTGGAGCCAGCACAAGCCCATCATCGATACGCTCAAGGCGTCCCGCTCAGGGCTCGGCAAGCAGGCGTTCCGCCGAAGCTTGGCGAAGGAAATGCCGTATTTCCACGTGTGGTTTGAGCTGGATGGAGGAATGGGTCACATCGTGGAGGACGAGCGCAGATGGCCACGTGCCGATCTATTCGCGCGCGAGACACTTGGAGGAATGCTGGACGTGGACATTCAGGTGCAGAAGCGACAGGGCCGGTGGGTGAAGGGCGACCGGCGGCCGGAGAGGTGGAGGAAAGGCTGGAGGAAGTTCGACTGGACGCGCGTACTTACGGAAGGGCAGTAGCTAGCAGTCCTCCAGGACGTCGACGGTTCACGGTCGGCAGATTCTTCTAGACGGGCAGTAACGAGCATTGCCTCTGGATGACTACCTCTGGATAATTGCGTCTGCATAATTGTATCTGGATGGGCCATTTTATGCATGCTACTCGAAGGGTAGTCCTCCAGGACGTGAATGATGTAGGTAGACATCTGGCAGACAGACTCTAGTGAACACTCATGAGTAAACGGGCAGGAGCGAGCATTGCTTCTGGGCACGCAGTTCATTCACGCTTCTGGGCACGCAGTTCATTCATGCTTCTGGGCACTCAGTTCGTTCCTGCTACTGGTCGGGCCAGACGCCGTTGGGCCAGACGTCCAGGAATGCTGTGCGCGTGGAGGGCTCTGTGCGCGTTGAGGTTTCACATGGTGGCGCAAAGCTGGGTGCGAGAGACAGCGTCGCGTTGGAACATGGTGGGTGCTGGATGGAGCAGCGCTGTCGCACATGCCAAAGACGGTGCAGAGACGGTGCAAAGGCGGTGCAAAGACATCCCTCTCGGCCCAATCACCGATGACGTCTGGCGCTGCAGCATCAGCGGGCGGCACCACAGGCCATATCCATATGCGTCGGGCGAGCTGCGTGCGCCCGTCTGATTCACGTCCACGTCCACGATCCACGGGGGAGAAACCTTAGAAGGGTCCGCGCCTGCGCCACACCAGCTTTGCAGCTGTGTTTTGATTGATGCACCCCGCTGCTGCAGCGACTCGCCCCACCCGCTTTCTTGCAACACCTCCCGCCCTCCCGCCGGCGTCTTCACGTCTGCACGACTGCCAGTCCGCAGCGCGTCTCCGCGAGCAACTCTGGGCGAGCGTCCGTCAGGCATCACTGCGGCATTTGGCACCACCGGCGACGGCGACGACCCACATTTGCGTCCCTCAGCCACGCTCAGCGCCCACTAGCTTTTGACGGCATCACGCCCTCCGCCCTGCCCGTCATCGCGCCCAGCACCCGCAAACCGCCCCGGTGACAGCAGCCAGCACCTCCTTGCACCCTCCCTCGCCCGCGCTCCTCGCCGCGGCTCTTTCCGCGCACAGCGTCCCGTGCTCCGCCGGCGCCTGTTTGGGCTCCGACCACTCGCCCCGCCGGCCACGCCAGGCCCCTCCCCTCGCCCACCGACGGCGCAGCGACAGCCACGCCCTCCGCCGCTGCTGAACCGCCGCCGCCATGTCGAGCGTCGACGAGACCGTCGCCAATGTGCAGCGCAAGATTGACCGCGAGCGCGCCCTGATCAACGCCGCCAATGCCATGCGCCAGTCGACCAACAACCCGGCCGTGCTGTCGCGTCTGGACGGCCAGATCAAGGACGGCCGCCGCAACATCGAGTACTTCGAGTCCAAGCTGCACGACCTGAGCGTGCAGCGCACCGCCGCCGGCGTCGAGAACATGAGCCTGCAGCCTGGTGGGTCTGGCATGCGAAAGGGAGACAATCCGCTGACTCCCCCTCCCAAAGATGGCTGGAACGGCTATATGCCCAACGACCAGGGAGGCTACGGCGCGCAGCAGGGCCAGTATGGCGACCCCGCCGGCGCCCAAGGGCTCCAGCCGCCCCGCGCCCCGTATGCCGCACCAGCTTCTGGTGCGGCGAGCAAGCGCCCCAACTACAGCAAGCTCGGTATGCACCCCCTCCTCCCCGCGCTGCAACCCCCCACTGACGTCTGCAGATCTGATCCGCTATGACACGCAGCATCTGGGGCCCCGCATCCAGCTCATGCTGTCGCAGCTCGAGTTCAAGCTCAGTGTCGAGAAGCAGTACAAGGACGGCATCGAGAAGATGGTGCGTCTGTACCAGATGGAGGGCGACCGCAAGAGCAAGCAGGACGCCGAGGCCAAGCGCATCGAGAGCAACCAGAAGATCCAGCTGCTGAAGCACTCGCTCAAGCGCTACGAGGACCTGCACGTCGACATTGACGGTGCCGACGACGGCGATGGTAAGATCCGGTCCTTCCACACTCACGGCGTTGACTGATCCAGACCACAGATGATAGCCTGAGCGTGCCCAGCCAGCGCAAGCCGCTGAGCGGCCATCTGGCCCTGACCGTCCACGCAATCGCCGAAGCTGACCACGCGGCCACCGGTCGCTTCAGCCGAGGACCCGAAACCTTCATCAACATCAAGGTCGAAGATGCCGTCAAGGGCCGCACCAAGCCCTCCAGGAACGACCGCTGGATTGAAGAGAGACACGAGTTCGACATTGACAAGGCGAACGAGATTGAAATCACCGTGTACGATAAGACCGGCGACCATGCACTGCCCATTGGTATGCTTTGGGTCCGCATATCGGACATCGCCGAGGAGATGCGTCGAAAGAAGATCGAAACGGAGCTGCAGACCTCTGGATGGGTCGCCGCAGACAAGATGGGAGGACACGCAGGCATTCAGCCAGATCTCCAGTTCCAGCCACCCCCAGGACAGAACCCTGCCGGTGGGGCAGGAGCCGGTCCAGGTGGTATGCGGCCTGCCGGAGGTGCGCAGCCCCAGACGGGACCCATCGTAATTGACGATTGGTTTTCGCTGGAGCCAGTCGGACGCATCCACCTCTCCATGGCCTTTGCCAGAAACACGCAGAACAAGACTCCGTTCGACGTTGGTCTCGGTCGAAAGGGCGCCGTTCGTCAGCGAAAGGAGGACGTGGTCGAGCAGTATGGACACAAGTTCGTGCAGCAGCAGTTCTACAACATCATGCGTTGCGCTCTCTGCGGTGACTTCTTGAAGTACTCTGCTGGCATGCAATGTACCGACTGCAACTACACGTGTCACAAGAAGTGTTACCCTAAGGTGGTCACCAAGTGTATCACACAGTCGAACGCCGAGACGGATCCGGACGAAGCCAAACTCAACCACCGCATTCCCCATCGCTTTGAGACTTTCTCAAACATGGGCGCTAACTGGTGCTGTCACTGCGGTTACGTACTGCCCCTCGGACGGAAGCAAACCAAGAAGTGTGCTGGTAAGTCGTGTTTGCATTGCCATGACTGCCCGTGTATGCTAATCAGTTATAGAATGCGGTCTTACATGTCACGCTCATTGCGTACATTTTGTTCCCGACTTTTGTGGCATGTCAATGGAGGTTGCTAATCAAATTCTCATGGAGATTAAGAGGACCAGAAGAGGACAATCAACCTCGGGCTCGAACATGACGAACCGAACATTACGCCCACAGCCACCAAAGCCTCTACCGACACCCCAGTCTCCACAGTCTGGTGGGGAGTCGTCGTCGCCGACAGACCGATACTCTTATAACAACAAGAACGAGAGCATTGCGCCACCAGCTGCCGGCCGGACGCAGTCGTATGCGCCATCGTCCCAGGCGTCAGGTGCCGCGCGCACTTCCTACTCTTCAGGCGGCTCCACTGCACCCACGTCCCCAACTACCTCACAGCGACCTTCCTCCGGGCGAACTCAGTCTTCGCAATCCGCGATCGCCGCCGCTGCCGCTGTCATGGCGAAACCTCCGGCTGGACCCGCGGCACCTGATTATCGACGCTCCCAGACAGCAGACTACCAAGCGGCCCCCAAGCCTGCAGGATACCCCCAGGATCAGCGTACACCGCAGCCGCCACCTCAGCAAGCTACATACAACCCACAGCACTACGCTGATGTTGACAAGCGACAACATCAATCTCCTCCAGCAGGGCCGCAATACGGTAACAGCCAGTCGTTCGCACATCCCCAGCCCCCACAGGCTGCACCACAGCAACCTCCTGCGCCGCCTGCGAAGCAAGATCCTCGACAGCCGCCACAGCAAGCATCTGCCTTGACGAAAGCCCCCGAGAATAAGGTAACGCCACCGGCCAACGCGGCAGGAACTGGAAGAAGGATAGGTCTGGACCACTTCAACTTCCTTGCAGTCCTCGGAAAGGGTAACTTTGGTAAGGTCATGTTGGCCGAGACCAAGAGTTCAAAGCAGTTGTATGCTATCAAGGTCTTGAAGAAAGAGTTCATCATCGAGAACGACGAAGTAGAGAGCACGCGATCGGAGAAGAGGGTGTTCTTGATTGCCAACAAGGAGCGTCATCCCTTCTTACTCAGCCTGCACGCTTGTTTCCAGACAGAGACTCGTGTCTACTTCGTCATGGAGTACATCAGTGGTGGTGATCTCATGCTGCACATCCAGAGGGGCCAATTTGGTACTAAGCGAGCTCAGTAAGTTTGCCATGATCTTCAACATGGAAGAATGATGCTAACCATCCCCAGATTTTACGCAGCAGAGGTCTGTCTCGCGTTGAAGTACTTCCACGAGAACGGTGTCATCTACCGTGACTTGAAGCTCGACAACATCCTACTTACTCTGGATGGGCACATCAAGATTGCTGATTACGGTCTGTGCAAGGAGGAAATGTGGTACGGTTCAACAACCAGCACATTCTGTGGTACGCCTGAATTCATGGCGCCTGAAGTAAGTCTTCTGCAGAGTATCTCGACTTGACACTGACAAGTGGTAGATCTTGCTCGACAAGAAGTATGGTCGCGCTGTCGACTGGTGGGCATTTGGTGTCCTGATCTACCAGATGCTTCTCCAGCAGTCGCCCTTCCGTGGTGAAGATGAGGATGAGATCTACGATGCTATCCTCGCTGATGAACCCCTCTACCCTATTCACATGCCTCGCGACTCTGTCTCGATCCTCCAGAAGCTGCTCACTCGCGAGCCTGAACTACGACTTGGATCAGGCCCCACAGATGCGCAAGAGATTATGTCTCACGCCTTTTTCAGGAACATCAACTGGGACGACATCTACCATAAGCGCGTAGCACCACCTTTCATCCCTACAATCACCAGCGCTACAGATACCAGCAATTTCGACACAGAATTTACAAGCGTGACGCCGGTCCTTACGCCTGTGCAGTCTGTTCTGTCGCAAGCAATGCAGGAAGAGTTCCGCGGCTTTTCTTACTCGGCCGACTTCAATTAAGAAAGTTTGCTTTCCCTCGGAGACTCTGGGCGTATTGTATCTGCAATGCGTCGCTTCCACGGTCGGTCAAGTAACACAAGGAAGGTGAGACGAGATGTACGCGAGCCCCTGCTGCCGGGCCTCGCTAGAATTGCCCATTTTCTAGGCAGGCTGCGGTTGCTGTTGAGGTGGATTCACTGGGATCACAAACCCTTCTTCTCTTCGTCCTTGGAAAGCAACAATTGTAATGCATCATTAGCGGAAGGGGTCAGTGGGAGGTTCTTGACAAAGGCGTCCGATGTTGTTGGCGGGAGGGTGTGGCTTGTCTAGGGAGCATGGCTGGTCCTGTAGCAGGTGCGTTGCAATGCATGATGGTGCATTACTCAAAAGACAGCGGGTGGACGTTGCGGGACTTGGAAATGCCGATTTTCCACAACTTACAGGATAGAAGAACAATCATTTGCGCACTTTAGCCGGAGACACTCCTTCAAACGATTTCAGCATTTGCCGACTATTGTTACGGGGCTCTTTCCTTTGTTTGACAAAGCTAATCTTGGCAAACTCCTCCTCACTATCCTCCTCTTGTCGCACAACTTCACCCACATTCGCGATGTGTCCTCTTTCGGCCTACCTGTGTGCAGCTACTAAGTTCAGAGAAAAGGCCGTCGATCTCGGAATGCTTACCGATTTCGCATTGGCAAGTTCAAGGGGTTGACAAACAGCGCCACCGAGTCCTACGTACCCTGCGCGCAAATTCATGTCATCTGTCACCTCGCTTCAGCAGCCGAGTTCGTCCTGCCCTGTGAGTGGGTGCCTTACCTGCATCTGAGTCGGAGGAAAGGGTAGTTGCATCCTGCTAAGTCGGTGTATTAGGGAAGGTAACACGGCTCAGACATGCCCATGCCCTGTTATCTACGAGATCGGACGATGAATGGTCCAGACATGACTGTCGTACCACAGACTACACCATGCTGATACGGCCAACGAATGGTGGTGAAGCATTCCAGTCTTACGCAATGCAACAGTAACTGAATTGCGACTGTTAGCTGCAAAGCATTTCAGGATCGCGAATGTCGCTGCCAATGCCGCTCACAACCCTAATCGACACGGTCCCCAGCTGTTTTGGGCGGGGTGCAGTATTGCGCGCAGGTAAGCACAGCGATCGACTGCGCGTTGAAACAGACCGGTTTTAGTCTGCGGGCCTATAGCAGACAAGCAAGAGTACCTCCCGCAGCCATCTCAGATGGGATCCTCGAGAATGAGACACTTTGCGAAAAGGCTCAGACCAGTTCTGCGATACGAGCTGCGTGCTCCTATACTCGGCAATGGGCATCAATACAAACGATGTTCCTTTTGACATCGAACATGAGCTCATATGGCGTAATGGGCCCTTCCTGCGAGGCCCAGGCGACATGCACAACCATCTGAATCGAGCGACGGACACGCACAGCATCTGGCGCGGATACGGGCCCGATCACAGCACAGGCCCCGCACCCCAAGCTGCGCAAGAAGAAGGGCATGCAAGGTGTGTTGGCGAGCATCGGCACATTTTCTTTTAAGGTATCTACGAGGCCTGGTCAGACGATGACTTTGGTTGTTGAGGTCGGTGGGCCAAGATGCGGCTGACCAGGAAAGCGGACGACCTGATTGATCGCATCGACCGGGCACGCTATGTGCGCCGTTCGGCGGTGACACCTTGTCGCTGCACGCAATACTACCCACGTGTCAGCGCCTCTTCTCGACAATGACAGATCGCATTATCGGCGCATCGAAACGCCCTGATGGCGGCAGCTTGTGGGAGAGGGAAAATCCGGAGCAAGTGGCTCCTCACTAGCCGGCCCGCTGGTCAAGCCGCTAACAGCGGTACCCTAGCCCTGGAGTTTGGGATGACTAGAGTCAAATGTGCTGCTGGTGCCTCGTCGCGGCCTGGACAGGAGGCGTGGTCGGAGTCGGCTTAGCGAGGGCGCGAAGAGGGTGATTTAACGTGCGTATGGCGGCACGGCAAGTGGCCGCGATTTATCATTTCTTGCAGAGAGGTACCAGCGGCCCAAGCAGCTCAGGCGCCCGTTGATGCAAGGAAATCTAGTGCCAAATCTTCAGCCTATCGACCGCAGGGAAGCGCAACGTTAATATCGAACGTCCACCCGGCCGCGTTCCCCTCTAGTCCTCGCTGCAATTACACACTTCGAGCATCAGCACACACGCCAGATAGCACAGGGAGACGGCGCAGCGCAGCGCAGCCCTTGCTTGCTCTCGCAGCCCTTGCTTTCGCATTCCGACCCCACCCGCACGTTTCGGCACGGCTACCCGCCCCGCCGTCCCGTTCCCGAGTCACTGAGCATTAAGCGCGAGGCTGTTCGACAAACAGAGGCGCAGACCTCTCGAACACCGCTTAAGGATTCTCCCAATCGCCTGCTGACCCAACAACCGTCAAAATTACCGCCTTCACGGGTCCCGGCGCGGCGGGCGCACCTTCGCGTTGGACGAACGGTGCTGAGCGGCAAATTTTAACCACCGTGAATGCTCAGCAAATGCCTCCGTCACCTTCAGTGCAGCAATCGCCAGTGACCCAGGTAACGTCGCCGGCGCTGGGAGCTGCGGGGTCCCCGTTGCAGACACCAGGGCCTCTCATTGCCAGCGCTAGTGGTGGTGTGGAGGCCGCGGGTCGACGGCACGAAACGACCAGAATGCGCTCGTCCATTGCTTGCTCTAGATGCCGACGCAGCAAGACCAAATGCGACAACAATGGCACTCGCGACAGTACTGGTGCTCTCGCAGCCTGTAAATCGTGTGAGGCTAGCGGGAAGTTCTGCGAATATCCTGCGCCGCAGCCTCCAGCAACCAGTCAACCTCATCGACGTGAAAGTTCAGCAATAATGGCTGGCGATGAGGTATGTGTAACCGCCTTTAATTCGTCACGGATGTACCTGGTATATCCTCGGATCTGACTCGGCACGCTGCATCGCCTCTAAAAGCCACATCGGAGCCGTCAGCTTCCACTCGCCATTCAGAGTGATGGAACTGATAAGGAGCTTTTCGCTGACTCGGGGGTTCCAGTTACCTGTCAAGAAACGCAAGCGACCTTTTGTGTCACCTATAGTAGGAGGCACTCCGATTCGTACCAAAGGGGATGCTCTTTGTTCGCCGCTGCTGACACCCAAAGTCTGGGACGAGCTTGTAAGTCATGTTCTTGAATGCCTAATGCGTAGCTGACGCTCGAAAGTGGGCGATCTACGAAAAGCATTATGCGATGGAGTTCCCATTTTTACATAAGAGGACGTTTCTCGGTCCTCTCCAGCGACTACCAACGGTTCAGTACTCAGAGACGGCGCCTCAGTCTCCCAGCCAGCACACCCACGATCCTGCCTTAGTCCTAGCATTCTTGACACTGACTTCCCCATTTCACCCCGAGCTTATTGCGCAAAACGAAAAACCTGCTGATACCGCCACTTTCTATGCAACAGCCGGTCGCGCGTGCTTTGATTGGTCGTTTGACCGTAAAGGTGAAGCGGCTATGCAACAAGCTCAGGCGTTACTCATGATCGGCTATCACGAGTGGACCGCATGTAAGGGTTACAGTGGGTACATGCTGATTCGAACGGCGGTTGCTCTTGCGCAAAGGGATGGCTTACAATTCGATGAAGACCTGGACGCGGGACACCAAGGAGAAGATGCAGCCTTGAGACGAGACCGCTTCATCCGACAAGAATCCCGGCGCCGCACATTCTGGAGTTGCTTCATCATCGACCGCTACCTGAGCATAGGAAAACGACGGCCTAAGATCCTACAGATAGAAGACCTCTATGGTCAAATTCAAGTCCCTTGTAGCGACAAGAACTTCATTTCAGGTCGGGCGGTCAGGACTAAGTTCTTCGGAGAAACCGACGCGGAGTATGCAAAGCGGCGCAAGGAGACCGACGAGAAGGCCATGAAACGCAACGGCGGGCACAAAGCGGAAAGAATCGAATGGGAGGACCGTGATGATGATGGTATGCTCGGCCGCTACATGTTTGCACTCGAACACTTCTCCGATGTGAACAAATGGGCGAACAACGGAGGTAGACGGTATGCAAGCGAGATGCCAATCTTTGACGGAAAGGACCACTGACTGCGTTAGATCTGAAACGGAGCATATTGGACCGTGGAATACCAAGACAACATATTACCATCTCGATAAACGCCTTCGAGAGATCAGGGACGATCTTCCGGAGGAGCTCCGGCTCACGTCCATCAACACGGAAAATCACGTCTATGGTGCGCCTTCTGCAACGTCACGAACATACTTTATGATACACGCGATCCTCATGCTCTCGGCAACATATCTGGCACCCGAATACATGCCAACGTTTGGTTTCAGGTTGACGAAGCCACAAGGTCCGATGGACGAACCATCGGTGACCGAGCCATTGCCAGACGACCAGCCCGACTACTGGGTTGAGAAGGCCAAGGAGTGTTTCGAATATGTGAGGGATTTTGTGAGTGTGCTTCAATCCTTCAAGGAAAGGGGCCTGGTCGTGGAGTCGCCCTTCATGGGACACGCGGTCTGGAGAGCGGCATGGGCAGGTGAGTAGCACGCGGAACGCACAGAAACCAAGGAGCTAACAATTGCAGCCATGTACTGCCACCATGTTCCAAAGATGGATCCGTCGCATGCGTTGAAGTCCAAATCTGAGCCAAATGCATGGGACATCACGAATCAGGTCCTGGACAGCATGAAAAAGAAGTACAAGATTTCAGACTTCTACTCCAGCCAACTAGCGACTGTGACGAGCTATTATGCCGAGAAACGAAAAGCATGGTTGAATAACGGCGGATCCCCACAGAGCACAGTCAGCGAAAATGATGGTGGATTACACGAATATGCGGAGAAGTTCGAGGCAGCGCACAAAGCATTTGGGAGCTTTCAGATTAACGACATAGCATTTTCTGCCGATAAGCACTACAGCAGGTTGAGCACGCTCGAGCAGGAAGAAGAGCCGGAGGAATCTGGGACGCCACCCAGCCCTGTTGTGTCTTTCAAGACCGAGGGAGAAGAGCCTCGCCGAAGCGCATCGACTGCTCCATCGACCACCACCACCCCATTCACGACTGTCAATCCAAACGCGACCGTCCCAGTACCGAAGGAGCAGCCCAATGGGACTGCCGATATATCAAATGGTGTTCCAACACCGTACGGACCTCCTACATCTCAAGGGCAACTGCAGCAGCAACAGCCACCGCAGTCTTATAATAATCAGCCATACGGACCGCCGCCGGCTTTCAATTACCCCAGTGGCACACCTGGTTATCCTCCGTCCACTTCTCAATATAGCCTTCCAACAACCTACGCTCAAACCTCGGGTCCCAGTCACGGGTCAGGCAATGGCTCGTACGACCCTCACGCCTTGATGATGCTAGAGACGGAGGGCAACAGGTCGCTCTCCACCAACGACGTACCACTCTTTGAGATGAGCTCGTACTTGCAAGGCCAACAATACTTTTCAACCATGGGCTACCCACTTGAACAGCAACAACAGCACATGCCATACGGTCCGTACACGTATAACAATGCGTGGACTCCCGATGGCTAAGTCTGCATACGCCTGTACTATCAACGCACCCAGACGTTTTGACCCGGACAGTTCTCTACTTTGGCGAAATTGTGCAACTTCTCACATTCGTTGTATGATCACTTATTTCGCATCAATCTGGCATCGAGTAAACTTGCTTGATATTCTTACCGCATATACTGCGCGGCGTATTGCAGCGTAATCGTTTGCATCGAACATTCATTAGTCATTCTAGAATTCATATACCCTAACGTCCACCGGAGACGTTTTGCACTTTTAAACAGCATTCTAGATCGTTTGCCAAATGGGGCATGGAGCATAGCGGACTCAATAGCGTTTTTGGTCGCTTCAGCATTTCGAGGTTGGAGGGGAGTTGTTTCAAATCGATTACTGATAATTGTGTGTTTCGTACTTGCTAGTAGGCAGGAGAGCTAAATATTAGGGTACAAGAACACACTTGTAGCCTGATCTCGAGTCCCACTTCTTACGCGTTTTCGTGACGGCAGAGTCGTCACTTCCTTTGAGGTGTCCTAAGAGTGATCATATAGGGCTCACTTCCCTTCTCACCTGCGCGCTTTCTGTTTGCATCTTCACTTCCTGACTGCACTAGTGCCATCGCGCCGTCCACACAGTCCCCCGTCTTCTCCACACACCCCTCCACACACACACCCCTCCACACACACACCCCTCCACACACACACCCCTCCACCCATCTCCGGCTCACCCGCACAGCCAAGATGCGTCTCAACTACCTCCTCACGCTCTCGGGCCTCGCGGCGTCTATCGCTGCCCGCGTCCTTCCGCTCAATGCGTCCTTGTTCAGCGACCGCGTCCAGACAGCTGGTCTCTTCGATGGCAAGAGCATCGCGTCGGATGCGGACTGGAATAAGTACCGCGGTAAGGGAAGTCATTACCAGTGTCTGTTTCAGGCGAATGATGAGGTTGCTGGGATGCTTGTTGAGGATACGCGTACGCCGCCGTCGGCTCAGAGCATTTGGAGGGGCACCTCTGGTAAGTGACTGCTACTCTGAAGCCTTACTCTGAAAGTGGTCTGACAAGACGTGCAGAGGAGCGGGCCCAATGGAACTGGCACGAGAACACATTCGATGAGTCCTACATGGGCCACGAGATACTGCACCTTGAAGACGCCTTCGAGGCTCTCAACATCGACGGCCGCCGCAACGTCGGCTGGGCGCTTGGTCACTACGACGAGAAGCGGCACTACCTACCCGGCCAGATTGGATATTCTAAGATGATCCCTCCCGTCTCGCAGACCTACACCGTCGATGGCAAGATCTACATGGTGCGACTTCACTCCCGTCAACTTATGTTAGACTAACCCTTATAGTCCTCGGGTGGCTTCTACATCTTTGTCGTCAACCAACGCGACGGAGCCATCGTCGCGCTCAACATAAACAGCCCCAAACACGCCAGCGTAGATGAATGGGAGAATGTCCCCGGCGGCACCACACCCGCAGACCTTCCAAAGCTGCAGTACTCCTCTGATTTGATATGGGGAAAATGGGTCCAAAACAACTACGGGATCAAGAGACTGCGTGTCTACATGGCCGACAATGTAATCAACGCCGAAACTGTGGCTGTAGTAGCACGTGCGCTGCGCGACAAGAAGGTTACCAGCCTTGGGGTCTGGCCCGGCACGCAGTTCGAGAAGGAGCGTGACGAGGAGGCATTTCAGGCCATCATTGGTATGCCACTCCACATTCTCAACCACAACAATAACGAACACACGCTGATACACTCAGGGTCCCCGATTGGGGGCACGATCTCGATCATGCTTGCGCAGCACAAGTAGGTCTATTGACGATGGAAGTGATGTGTTGCGGTGCTAACGAAGTGCAGGGCTGAGCTGGGGAACAAGGAGATCTTTCAGGTCAATATTATTGGGGATGAGCCAACTCACCCAGCTCATGACCCGGATATGCATTTAGTCTTTCAGATCAGGGATGTGCCGCTGTCAAATCCTGGTCAGACGCCTGCTAGATGAAGAAGCAGACAGGCCTGTCCGGGGTGAGTAGGCCTGATGTCCGTCAGTGCCTCTGGTGCTAGGAGTACTTCAATGCGTTCCCGCCGTCACAGACGAAGCGAGAAGCGCCTAGATCTTCCAAAGAGGTTGTCATATTGGACAGATTATGTAGGATCTTACATACCAAGATAAATTACACAAACAGCGTTTCCAACATGGCGTATACAGCCCGTAATTGTATAGTCTTATAGCTCAGGCAAGAAGAAGACATGTAGTAAAGGTACAAGCTACCGTATTTGCTTGTGAAGACGCAATCGACCGAGCGCCTCAGGCGACAGCGTCGAGCCTATCACATGAGAGCTAGAGAATTATTATAGGACTGAGCATTCGATGATATCCCCACAATGTCCTTGAAGCACCTAACCCAAAGCGCTTAGTTAATTCCATCTTCGTCAGCAAATACGGTATATACGCTTGGCTTAGCTCAGATTTTTGCACTTGAGTGATGTTGCTTACTGAATCTCGGAATTCGATCGCTGCGAATTAACTGACACTACCAGCGTTTCTTGCTGGGAGATGAAATGGAGCCGTGCTGTCCCCGCGTAACGCATGCGCAAGGACAGCCGAAGTCGTTCACAGAAGAGTTCAAACACATTGTTGCTTTTTGGTCGGCCCGGATATTTGCACCTCCAACTCCTAATGCCTACACATCCTTGGATAAGAGTGGATCGCAAAGCACATTGAGATCGACATACATGGCTCACTAGTATTGTTGTCTAGCACCAGCGAGAAGGTTCGTCCGTTGAATGTATTGCGCTGCAAAGTTGGACTCGAGGTTCGTCCGCCAAATATATTGCGCTGCAAAGGTAGACTCGATGAGCTGCAGAACCACGAGCCACGACTGTGCTGGCAACGGACCAAAACGCACGAGATTTGCTGACCTGTGGGGATACAGCACACTTGAGTTTGTAGTATTAAAGGTCGATTGTTGACTTGAACTCCTTACAGTTGTCAACACATATTCTCCCCACTCCCCACTCCAGCACTACCAAAGCAGCCTCACTATTGTTCTGTTAAAATGAACATCCGCCAACTCACCAAGACTCTCCATCACACCGTCTACCCGGCGATTTCTCCCTCCAATCCTCTCAACTCTGCCCACGGCAAAACAGTCGTTATCTCGGGTGGTGCCAGCGGGATAGGCTATGGCATTGCGCAAAGCTTCGCCGCTGCTGGCGCCGCAACTGTTGTGATAATTGCTCGTCGCCAGGCGCCCCTCGACGAAGCTTCAACAAAGCTGCGTGCTGAGATTGCAGCCGCGGGCGGCAAGACAGAAGTATGGACATATCTTCTGGACATCACCAAGGAAGCGGACGTGAATGGCGCTTTCGACGATATCAGGAAGCGCTTGAACGAGAGCAGTACCCCGAACACCCAGCCCAAAGACGCTGATGTCCTCGTAACAAGCGCCGCACATACCGGTCAAGGCGAGGCTACGTCTTCCCTGGAGTATTCCACCGACGCCTATCGCGAAGCGTTCGACACCAACCTTTACGGCAACCTGAACCTCACCCGAGCCTTCCTCAAGCCCGAAATTCCAGCCATTCCGTTGACTTCCTTGGACGGCATCGTCAAGAAAACTACACCTTCTCCCTTTCCCCACAATCAGAAGGTCATCCTCGACGTCTCGACTGTCGCTGCATACACCGTGTTTCCAGCCTCAGCAACCTACGGGACCAGCAAACTCGCCTTCACCCGCGCGCTGCAGTACCTCCAATCCGAAGTCGACGCACTGCCAGGACAGCCCATCCGCATCCACAGTTTCCATCCCGGCGCGGTGTTCACACCCGCCGCACAAAAGGCGCTTAAGACGAAGCTGGAAGGGTTTGAATGGGACGACGAGAGCCTGCCGGGCGGGTTGGCGGTGTGGCTGGCTAGCCCCGCCGCGGCGTTCCTGAAGGGCCGGTTTATCCTGAGCAACTGGGATGTGGACGAGTTGACGGCTCTGAAGGGCAAGTTTGAGGCAGATCCCGAGTTTGGCTTGATTTCACTCCACTTCTGAGCTGGAGGGTGGGGAAAGGTAGACGGTCCTTCCTTGCCAACGTTTCCCAAGTGTGCACCTGATATAGTCTGTAGTCAGCCAGGGACAATACTATATTCCTGTGAGCAACGCATTGGATCTGTGCAATTATCCTAATCTTTCACATCTCCCAGATATCTCATCAAGCTTGCGTTGTGTTAAGCTCGCAATACCGCTCTAAGTCCTTCTAGGACAAATAATGCGATTGGGGTTGCAATCAACCCTTGTGATCGACATGCACGGAATTTGCGGTCGGCATTCGCGGAATAGAATACGCCATCGGTGTTCACGGACTAAAGCCATCAACGCGTGCGGACTTGCTATAAAGCCATCAGCAGGTGCGAGCACTGTCTTTGTCGACGGTTTTCGCTGTCAAAGTTGCGAACAGACGCACTTGAAACATCAGTTTCTTAGGCCAATGCACTACAGCCGCTGTCTAACCTGGTTGCTGTAATACATACACGTTGTTCTGGATCCGAGTATCACGCTTCCCAAGCATCCAGCGCTCCTCGATATCCAACATATATATAGCGAGCGTAGTGCTATCAAAGGACTCCACGATACAGCAGCAACCAACACCTCGTTCCCACCGGTCACACACGATAGAAACCACACATCATCACCGACCTCTCCATCTAGCCGTGCAATGGAAACCCCAACGCGCCGAATAGTACCTGCTGATCATGCTGACCCCGACATCGAGCTCGACGCCACCAGCCTGCACCCCGCCCATCCGCGCCCCGCAGAACACGAGTTCTCCCTCCCGCCCGTCGACGGCGGCAAAGACGCATGGCTCTTCCTGCTCTCCGCCTTCGTGCTCGAGATCCTAGTCTGGGGTACCCCATCCCCTCCGCGCTTCCCCCACACCAGCCAGATCCCCCCCACTAACACCGCCCCAGGCTTCCCGTTCTCCTTCGGCATCTTCCAGGAGCACTACAGCGCGCACGCGCCCTTCGCGGGGTCGCGCAACATCGCCATCATCGGCACGTGTGCGCTGGGCCTGATGTACCTGTCCTCGCCGCTCGTGTTCGGGCTGCTGGCGTGGTATCCTGGGTTCCGCCGCCCGTGCGTCGCGCTCGGGATGGGCGTTATGTGTGTGTCGCTGGGGCTGAGTTCGCTGAGCCAGACGGTCGCGCAGTTGGTTGGGAGTCAGGGGGTGGGGTATGCGGTCGGGGCGGCGCTGTGCTATAGTCCTGCGATTACGTTTGTGGACGAGTGGTTTGTGAAGCGGAAGGGGTTGGCGTTTGGGATCATGTGGGTTAGTGTGCGGGCTTTCTTTCGCGGGGGGTGGGGGTGCGCGTGGATGCGCGTTCGGGGTTGAGTGCGCTGGCTGACTTAGCACAGGCTGGGACGGGGCTCGGGGGTGTGATTATCCCGCTGCTCCTGCAGTATCTCTTGGGCCGATACGGGTTCCGCACTGCGCTGCATGTGTGGGCCGTCGTCCTGTTCGTGGCCGTCCTTCCCCTGACCGTGTATCTCCGGCCGCGTCTCCCCGTGGCGCAAGTCACCCACCACCGGCGCTTCGACATGGCGTTTCTGCGCAACAAGTCGTTCCTGCTGATCCAGCTCGGCAACGTGCTCGAGGGCCTGGGCTACTTCGTCCCGGCCATCTATTTGCCCACCTACGCCAGGACGCTCGGCGCCTCGAGCGCCGTCTCCGCACTCACGCTGATCCTGATCAACGTTGCCGCTGTCTTCGGCTGCATCATCATGGGCGGCATCGTAGATCGCTGGCACATCACAACGTGCATTCTGCTGTCCACCGTCGGATCCACGCTCTCTGTTTTCTTGCTCTGGGGATTCTCCACGAATCTGTCTCTTCTCCTTGTCTTCTGCGCTGCGTATGGGTTCTTTGCAGGGAGCTATTCGACGACGTATCCAGGCGTAATGAAGACGCTGAGGAACAGCGGGCAGACTACTGATTCGACGATGGTGTATGCAGCGCTGGTCGCCGGAAGAGGGATTGGAAATGTCGTCTGTGGGCCAGTGAGCGAGGCGTTGATCAGAATGGGGCAGGTTGGAGACAGTGGGGCGTATGCGAGTGAGTATGGACCGCTTGTACTTTTCACCGGTATTAGTGCTGCGTTGGGGGGCGTGAGCTGTTTCGGGAGGACTTTAGGGTGGTTCTGAAGGGTCAGTAGAGGAGGGTTGGATTGTGTGCAGCTGATCGATCGACGATCCCGACAGCAGCAACAAAAAGACGACAAAGATCGCCCTTGGCGAAATGTGATAGGAAGAGAATACGCCAGGGAACTTCCAGAGAGTACTGGGGTTGAGGCGGAGCCTATGCGACTATTCTGTTCTTTCGATAGCATATCTACAGCGTGGCTTGTAGGACATACTGTTCTGTCAGAAGCTATACGCAAATGGAGACGTACAATCTGTCCACTACATTGTGGGAACGTATTTGAGCTTCTCCGTACTGCATATGATTCTCACATCTCAAGAGATGATTGTATTCACCGCAGATTCTTAGGATCTACAACACTGACCCAGATATTCTCCTTATTCTCACTGTACGCCACCACCAGCTTCCCCCGCACCATCACCGCCGTCGGATAGCTAAACATCAGCCTCTTCAGCCCCCGCGTATCGGGCGCAATCAGCGAACTTGCATTCGTCCTCAGCACGCCGACGCCCGTGAAACCACCCTCGCCGCGCCCCGTCGCAATCGTCAGCGGCTGCCGCAGCCGCGCCGTGTTGTTGCGCGGGTTGTGCACGAGATAGCGCACATCCCCCGGCAGCACGCCGTGGTGCTGCTTGCTCCCGACGTCGGGGATGTCGGTGCGGAAGATGGCGTTGCCGTGCTGCGCTTCCACGGCGGGGTACCACGAGCGGCCGGACGGGGAGCGCGTGCGCTCGACCCACACCGCGTGGCTGATGGTGCTGCTGTTGCTGATGTCGCGCCAGAAGCGCTCCCAGTAGCCCTTCTTCGGCGAGCCGCGCCACACGGCGTGCGTGGGCTCCTGCATGTCGTGGATGTTGTCGGCGGCGAAGAGCGGCGTTTGGTACAGCCAGGTGCCCCAGGCGGGCGTGTGCACGGGTTCCTTCAGGTAGGCTTCGATTTGGGCGGCGTGGCGACACAGTTTCATGCCGTACTTGCCGTAGACGGTTTCATTGAAGCGCACGACCTCGGTCCAGTTATTCTGCGACGTCCAGCAGGGGTCGCCAACGGGCGCGCCGGTCTTGTCGATGACGCGCGCGATGCGGCCCGCGGCTTTGGTGCCCTTGTCGGCGTCGCTCCAGCAGAAGCGCAGCGTGGTCTGGGAGACAGCGTAGAGGGTGTTTTTGTTGACGGGGACCCAGGCGACAGGGTGGTGGGCGCGCTGCCAGATGCGGTTGTTGCACCAGTAGGTGTAGTTTGCGGGGTGGGACTGGTTGGGGAGCAGGGCATCAGGCAGGATGGAGAAGCCCTTGGACCAAGTGAAGCCGCCGTCGGTGGAGGTCGACAGCCAGGCGTCCTGGCCGGTCGAGTCTTCGTCGATGGGCGCCGTGGAGTACATCAGGTACGTGCGGTTTCCATCGTGGTAGAGCTCGGGGTGGTGGGCGTAGGTGCGGTTGACTTCTGTCCCCTTATATACAAGAGCTTCGGCATCGACCTTGAGCTGGGGGAATCCTGCGTACAGCTCATCTGTGTAGTCAATGGGCGGTGACACGTTCCAGTACTGCTCCGGTGAGGGTGCTTGAGCCCGCACTGTGGGCAACAGCGCCGCAACCACGGCAGCCAGAATTTGCATATGCATCGTGGAGCTTGTGGGGTAGACGAGTCACCTTTGCTGGAGGCATTGAAGATATACACGGAGCGACTCTGGTCAACTCTGGGTCAACGCAGGCCGAAGACGTGGATATCTGTCTGCAACATGGTTGAATTCCATGAATCAGAATTTATCCATGCAGCGACTTGTACCTTGTCGGCCTTGGACGTCGGCTGTCGCTTGCGCTAGATCGCGTTCAGTGCAGAGCTGCATCTATCTCGAAAGGCCCCCTGCAAGATGCGGGGTTCTGGAGATGGAGATACCCCGTGGGGAAGGACTGGAGTCATTGTCACTGGAATCGTAGTACGAGGCTATGAGTTTTCTGACAGCAGATCAGGGTAGCATAGCGGCAGCGTCAAGAAATTGTCTGAGCTGATGTTCATGTCGAGACCAGACGTCGTCTCAACGGAGATAGCACTAGCGCGGCTCTAAACTCCAGCCCCGCCCGAAAGCTCCAGCTCTAGCTCCAGCTGCAGCTCCGTCACCCCACGTCACCACCAACACCACACCATGTCCGTCGCCGCCCTGGAAGAGTACCGGGCCAAATACGCCATCCACGAAGCCTGCCGCGAGGGTCAAAGTACTTCCCCCTCTCCAAACACTCCCCCACTCCAGCCTAACACCCCCCAGCAACAAAAGTCGAGGCCCTCCTCGCCGCAAACCCCAAACTCGCCGCCCTCCGCGACCCGGACGACCGCCTGCCTCTCCACTGGGCCGTGTCCTACAACCACCTGCCCATCGTGCACCTCCTGATCCAAGCGCCCGCGTTCGACGTCGACGCCGCCGACGGCTCCGGCTGGACGCCGCTGCACATGGCGTGCTCGCGCGCCGACAGCGCCGCGGTAATCGCGCTGCTGCTCGCGAAAGACGCCGATCCGAATGCGACAACCAACGCGGGCCAGACGCCGCTGCACTTCTGCGCGTCCAAGGGCGGGCTCGACGCTGCGCGCTCGCTGCTCGCGCGCAAACCGCCCGCGAGTGCGCGGATACGGGATAAGAGGGGGCAGGTGCCGCTGCACCGCGCGGCGGCCGCGGGAAGCGTGCCGCTGATAAAGGCCCTGCTTGAGGCGCGCAGTCCGGTGAATGCGGCGGATAGGGACGGGCAGACGGCGCTGCACCATGCGGTGAGCGAGGGGCGGGGGGACGCGGCGCTGGAGTTGCTGCAGCGCGGGGCGGAGTGGGATGTCAAGGATGCGTGGGGCAAGACGGCGTTGGAGTACGCGCCGGATGCGAAGACGAGGGAGTTTTTGGTCAGGGGCGCGGAGAGGGAGGGGATTGAGTTGGAGTAGTGTGTGTGTGTGTGGTGATATACCCAGCATCAGCGGCGTTTAGCATTCGTTTAGACTCAATTCGAAGGAAGATACAACACGTCACGCCCGCCCCATGGTGCTGACCAGCTCGCGGTACATTTTCTTGACCTCGACGAGATCAGCCTCGAGCTCATCGGCGCGCTCCGTCTTCTCGCCCAGCATCTCCAGCGTCGTCTCGTAGCGCGCCGACACCTCGCCCAGCTCCCTGTCGAGCTCGGCGACGCGCTTCTTGTGCCCGCGCTTCTCGTCGACCTCGCGCATCAGCGCCACGACCTCTTCGCGCGCCTCGTCGCGCTGCGCCGCCAGCCGCGCCATCTCCTCCTTGTGCGTGGCCTTTTCCGACTCGAGCCGGCGCACCGCCGCGCTCATGCGCTCGACGAGCTGCACGCTGGGGCCCGCGCCGACCGTGGACACGGAGATCATGTCGTTGATGGTGCGGTGCGGGCTGGACATGTTGTCGAACGGCTCGTCGTAGTCGACCGTGTGGATGGACGGCGTGTACGGCATGTTAGATCCATTGAGGCTGGACAGGCCGGAGGGAATAGAGTTCTGGCGCTGCGGGGTGCCGATTTCGGGGGTGCGTGTGTTGGGGGAGGATTTCTGGCGCGGGTTGGACGGGCGCCGGGCGTCTTCCAGCATGCGGTCGATGGGCGAGAGCGTCGTGTCCATGCGAGCGGCTGTCGACCGGGGCGCACGGCGGTCCCAGATGCCGAGGGGATCGGGGGAGCGCTGCCGGTTTGAGATTGAGGGTGAGTCGGCGCGGAGGTGGGTCGAGACGGAGAGGGGGTTGTGCTGCTGTGTCTCGAGCTGCCACCTGCTCTTCTCCTCCTCAAGTCGCTGCTGGGACTCGGCTTCCCAGACCTTCTTCTCGCGCTCGAGATCGGCTTTCGCGTCTTGTGCTGCTGCCTCGGCCGCGGTAAGTCTACTCTGCAGTTTCTGTGCAGCTGCTTGCTTCTCGGAGAGATCCTGCTCAAGAGCCCTGGCTCGCTCGTTGATGCTGTCCAGCTCGTCTTCGAGACGGCGAGCTTTGGAGTTGATCTCGCGCGCCTTGCGCCTGATGTCAGACTCGCGCTTCGCTGTCTCGTCGCGGTCTTTTTCGAGCGCCGTTACTCGAGACGTGAGAGTAGTCTCAATGCCCTGCCAGTTCTCCGAGGCAAGCGAGTACTGAGTCTGGAGGGTATCGATCTGTCGCAGCAGCTTCGCCTGGGAATCACCGGTCGCGGATGAGGTGGCTTCTTCAGACCGGCTGCGTAGGAGCTCGAGTTTTGATTCAAGGTTCTGCCAGAGTCAGTAGTGGTTTGTTAGAATGAATGAGTCGACATACAGCAATCTCGCCGCGCAGCTCCAGCTCGGTGACGTTTGCCTTCTCCTGCTTGCTCCTCGCCTGCTCTTGAGACGCCTGGATCTCCTTCTTTGCGCGGTCCTCGGCGATCTTCTTCTCGATGCGCAGGTTTTCGAGGTCCTCCTGCAGCGACGCGGTGACCCTCTTCTCGGCCTCCAGCGCTCCAGCCTTGACCCGCTTCTCTGCATCGTCTGCTCGCGACAGTGTTTCGGTCAGCTGTCTTCGAAGTTCTGTGATTGTCAGATTGGCTTCTTCCCGCTCTGCTCTGATGGTGTTGATGTCCTTCTCGATCCTGTCCACGATCTTCAGCTTCTCCTGCGCAGCCTTCTCGCTAGCTTCTGCGCGTTTGGCCCGTTCTGACTGTTCTGTGATGCTCTTCTCGGCCTTTGCCAGCCGCTGCTTCAGCGTGGTGATCTCCTTGTTCTGCTCTTGCCCCTTTGCGCGCAGTTGCTTGATGGTCGTCATGTGCTTCATCTCCGTCTTGGACAGCTTCTGCCCTTCCGCCATGAGCGCAGCAATCTGAGCATCCTTCTCTGCCAGCTTCTTGTCCTGCGGCGTCGCATCCGAATCTGCCGAGGCTGCCTTGGCCGAGGCGGCCAGCTGCTGGGAAAGATACGTGAGCTTGGACTGCAGGGCATCGATGCGCTCGAGGTGCGAGTTCAGCTCGTCTCGGTGTGCGCGAACAGTCTCTTCGTGCGCCTGCTGTAAGCTCGAAAGCTCGGTGGCGAGGACATCAGGGTCTTGGGGGGAAGGTAGCTCGGGTTCGGCGGGCGTAGAGAGGTCGACAGAGGGTCGCGAGGGGCTGCTGTCGATGGAATGTCGCGGCGAGCTCGTCTGCGGGGTGACTATGGATGGTATGGTCATGGTAGGCATGCGTGCGCTCGTTGGTTGTTCAGAGACGGGCGGGGTTGGAGGTAAGGCTGCGGGGGGCGATGCAGCAGGCGCTGGTGGCTCAATCGAGGGCTTCGTGGTGTCGTTCGTATGCTCGTCCACCGCCGTGGCTGTCTCTTCCTCGACCGCAGCTGTTGGCGCATCCACAGCATCCTCCGCCTTCGAGTCAATGCTTGATCGACCCGTGTCCGCGCCCGCCACGATGCCGGGGCTCCGCAGCGCCGGACTGTCTGGCCGCGACCCCAGATCCGACGATGTTCGTGAGTTCTCGGCGCCCTTGGTCACGGCTTTCGCCAGGCGCTCCTGCAGCCTCGAGCTCGGTCGGCTGCGCGAAGAGTTGCGCGACAGCCCGCCCTGCTCCACGGCCAGCTTCTTGTCCACGGCCGCCGGCTCGCTGCCATCTGGCTTTGCGGCAGCGTCTGCCGGCTTCGGGGTGCCATCCTCGGCCAAGATGGTGTCGAGGCGCGACTCCAGGCCGGAGATGGCGCTGTTCCACCAGTTCTTGCCGCTCATCTTGACTCCTCTTGTTGGGTGTCGTGCCTGTTAACACGCGGGCGCTTTGTAGCATTCACCGTGAGCTCGTTCTCCGTCTGGGTCTATGCATCGCTCGTGTGCGCCAAAGGCCAGCGTGGAGGTAGGTACGTGGTACGCCGAGTAGCGCGTTGCGGGCACTTCGGAGGTGAGACGGGGATCGTTGGCTGCCGATCGCCAATTCCGCGGCTCGCGTGTGAACGGAGCAGGTTTGGAGATTTGGGCAGTTCGTGGGAGGCTATGCAGAGGCCGCAGTCCAATGCAAAGTAATCCACACGAAACGTGTCGACAGCCTCGTCATGGCCTACGCAGCCACGATGCATGGCGCGCGGCAGCCTTGCTGACGCTCTGATTGGACCGGGCCGCAGGACAGTACCGTACCAGCGACCCTTGCTTGGACCCTCTCCGGCTGCCCTACATACAGTCCTCCCTGCGACGTTTCGCAGAACTGGTGAGGCAATCTTGCACCATGTCAACAGATCGTCAGGCACTACCGCGGCCATCGACGCGTGCACCGAATCTAGCTTAGCCTTGATAGTCGCCGTCTATCGGTGACGACGTGATAAAGCATCTCAAGGCGACTATAAGAGCAAGGTTCACTTAAATAGCTGCAGGGATTCAGACAAACATTATCACATGAGAACAATCAAGATGCCTCTAGCCGTAAGTCCACGATTGAACGCTTCCACATCACCATTGCGGGGCTATCAGTCTTGTATCTGATAGAACGCCTCCATTTCACAAACCTAGACCAGAATGACTTACAAACCCCGCCGAAACCCCAAACTAACACCACCCAGGCAGTAGGACAAATCTGCTCCACCGCCGACCTCACGCACAACCTGCAGCAATGCCAGCGCCTCGTCAAGAAAGCCTCAGAAGCCGGCGCCGCCGTGCTCTTCCTCCCGGAGGCCTCGGACTACATCAACACCAACCCGGCCCTGAACCTCTGCAAATCCGTCGAAGACTCCGAATTCGTCCAGGGCCTGCTCCAAGCCGCCAAACAGTACCGCCTGCCCATCCACGTCGGCATCCACGAGCCCGCGCACGGCTCCAAGACCGCAAACACGCTGATCTGGATCAACGAGGAGGGCGCGATTACCCACCGGTACCAGAAACTGCACTTGTTTGATGTCGACATCGCCGGCGGGCCGTCGCTGCAGGAGAGCCGCAGTGTGGAGCCCGGGGCCGAGCTGCCCGCGCCGTTCGACTCGCCGCTGGGCCGCATCGGCCCGCAGATCTGCTTCGACATGCGGTTTCCGGAGCCGGGGCTGGCGTATTCGCGGCGCGGCGCGCATGTGGTGACGTATCCGTCGGCGTTTACGACGGCGACGGGGCGCGCGGGGCATTGGCATACGCTGTTGCGCGCGAGGGCGATTGAGACGCAGAGCTATATTGTTGCGGCGGCGCAGGTGGGGAAGCATGATGAGGAGGGGAAGAGGCATAGTTATGGGCATAGCTTGATTGTGGATCCGTGGGGGAAGGTTGTGGCGGAGCTGGGGGGCGAGGAGGATGAGAAGGGGCGGGGGCTGGATGATGGGGAGATTGCGGTCGCGGAGATTGATATCGAGTATGTGGAGAAGATTCGGAGGGAGATTCCGTTGCTGAGACGGGCAGACGTGTATCCTGAGCTGAAGTAGGGGTATATGCTCGCTGTCTAAGGAGACTACGAATGCAACGAGTCTCGCCGTCCTTTCTGCTGCTCCTCCTCTGCCCAGTCCCAGTTTCGACCCTGCATCAACCGCGCCTTGCCGTGCAGGTTCAGGTGCGACAAGGGGTGGTCTGGGTCGGTGGTCTGATCCTCAATCCTCCCCCTTACCTCGTCCACCGTAGTGTTCGAGCACTCCGCCAGCCGTTCCAGCAAAGTCGTGAACAGAGTCCTCCCCATGCTCCCAGGCTGCTTCTTCGGCCCTTGTGTCCTCGGTGGATTGAACTCGCCGTCTCCTTCGCCCCACCCTGGCCAGTCCCAGTCGTGTGTCCCATGATCGAGGTAGAAGTTTAGAAACGTTGCTTCAGCGCCGGACTTTGCAGGGCGCAGCAGGAGATCGGAGATGAACTCTGGCCCCAGCGTGAGAGCAGCCTCCGCAAAGCAAAACTCCAACTCGTTGCGAAGCGAGATCTGGTTCGCGTCCATAAACCGGCCGTATGTACGTTGGTGGATCCAGCCTGAGCCGTGGTAGCGCGCTGTGAGGGTGGCATGGTGGAGCACGAGGTACATTGCGGTGAGGGGGTCGCGAGAGAGGGACTTGATGAATGTGAGTTTGTCGCTGTGGTTCCCTGCGGAAATGTCAGTACTGCGCTCACTCGTCTATACTCAACACTCACCTATAGATGATACGCGGTACACCAACAGTAGGCCAGCATTCAGCAGCGCTATGTTGTGACCATCCACTGCATAGCAGTTCTGTCGCGACGACAGCGCATCCATCACGTCGTCCACGATGTCATATCTTTTCACGCACTCCGCCAGACACCGGTACCCGAATCTAGCGCAGCACGGGAAGTCGGTCGAGGCATGCGGTAGCTCTCGGTTCATAAAGGCCCGCGTAAGTGAGCGCTCGTAGATTCGGAGCACGTCTCGCAACCGGGGATGCACATATCGTAGTCTGAGTATGTCTCTGCCACTGTCGAACGGAAGATACTGGACAATCTTGAGGATGAGCTCCGGAGGCATGGCCGGCGAGACAAAGCTGAGCTGGGGCCCGGGGGAAGGAGCCGTGGTAGCCATGTTGGCTTATCTATATTATATATTCTCGGTGTAAGGAATGTGCTGTATTGCTAAAAGAAGAAGAGTGTGGTATGATGGGGTTTATAGAGATGCAGTCGTATATTGTTCGGCAGTAGCGCCCTTGACGTGATCAGGGCAGGTATGGTTCAGGCTCGTGAGGCAGGAGAGGTTGTAGAATCGCAAACGGTGTGTACATCGCTGTTGCTCATCTAGTCCATATATGTGACACGTGAAGGGTGAAGACCATGATGGATGATGGCGACCACCGGAGTACCTTGTTGTCCGGTCGCGTTGACGACAACGGTTCGCTGTCGCGACGATATCTGCACATTTTGATCATGGTTCCGACTGCCAGAGTGGGCGTTTGTTGCGCATTGAATGCTGCAATAATGTGTGAAGTGAAGTGCAGGTGGTACTGGCAAACGCGTGTTGGGTTCTACAGGTCACTATCTTGAACTGTGAAAGATAACCACCGATGTACCTCGGCTCACCTGCAGGGTCCCATAGGGCTAATGCAGGCAGAGATGTTACAATAGGAGCGATTGCGACATGGCTCGGCGGAGTCGCGCGGGGGTGGGAGCTGGGAGGCTTCCAAGAGGCGTTGATGTCCAGAGCACGGCCCAATCGAAGATGCTCCACTTGACCCCGCCTAAATTTGAGATAGACCCACTGTACGCGCACGACAGCTAAATTCCCTCACAAGTAGCTCATCTTTAGAAGTCAAGTACATATATTGTATAATTTATGAATCACGTTACCTGTAATGGGTCTTCTTCAGAAGGTTCATCGTTATCCACGCACACCTTTCAGTGCATACCTTGGCAGGAGCCCAGTTCGAGTCTTGTGGTGTTCGCTTCACTCCCTTGGGTAACCAGGGATGCTGGACGAACCTAAGCAATGAATGCAATAGACGAGTGAAGCAATTCAGCAGTCAGGCATTCACCATGAGACGGCGGCGCTGGAATACTCCCGTTTGGGTTGAAGGGCGTGTGTTGGGCTGGTGGCTCGACTGAAATTTTGCCATTTTGTTCTTCTTTTTGCTTTCTCGCTTAGCGTATCTAGCTGAAGTTACGTGCTGTTCCTTACTTGCTACGCCTTTGTTCTCTGAACACCAGCTGCGACTATACTATAACATATAGCTAAGAGAGTGGCTTAACCAGCTGCCACGGTGAGATGGAGCAAATACTGCTGCCTGCTCGTGTTATGTTGCGCCACTGCCGAGATGAATACCTGCTGCCTAAGGCACATGTATAGAGAGGTGTGTCTCAAGCAAGCTATCACAGAAAGTCACAGTTTCTGCTCTTGTTCAAACGCCAACATGACCGGCGTGAAAATCATCATCATCGGCGGAGGCATAGCAGGCCTATCCGCTTACCTGCACCTCCGCAAACACTACGATCTCAGGGAACATGAACTGCCCACAGTCACGGTATACGAATCACATAAGCCTCGTTCAGCAGCTTCGGATACTTCTTTACCAGATCAAACCAATCATCCGAATCAGTCAGTCAGCCTCGAAGCATTGTCCGAGTCGACAGCTATCGTAGGTGGTGGGCTCGGCATCTCGCCCAATGGCATGCGTGTCCTGCGTGACTTGAGCCCCGATCTGCACGACAGAGTCGTCGCTCAAGGCTTCGCAGCAGACAACTTCGTGTTTCAAGGTGCGAACGGGTGGACGTTGGGCATGCATAGTACGAGCGACAGAGCAGTAAGAGGAAAGGGCGATGCTGAAGAAGTATGCATTGCAAGTTCGCGACACGGACTTTGGTCCACGCTGAGACAGTACGTGACCGAGATGTATGGAGAGGATGTGATCAAGCATAGGAAGGTTACGCAAATTGTCAGAGATGATGGCAAGACGAGACAGAAGCTGCAAGTGCATGTGCTGAACGAATGGGGGCAGGAGGAGGTAGATCATGCCGACCTCGTAATTGGTGCGGACGGCGTCAAAAGCGTGGTCCGGAAGGCGCTCTTCGGCGATGACGAGACGTACAGTCCAATATACAGGTGAGAACCACTTCTATGGCTTCAAGTCTCGTACTGAGTAATCGCAGCGGGCAATCCGGGGTCGGAGGCTTCCACAACGCCACAATCCCCTCATCTATCGTTGACAAAAAAGCGATGATGTTTACATTCGGCGGCAATGGCTTCTTTGGCTACTCTTCGGGCGCGCCCGTTGCCAAGAAGCAGCTCATGTGGTGGTCGACATTCGAGACCTCATCCCTACCTGACACGAAGGACGTCGACCCTCGAACCATCAAAGACGCTCTTTTCGAACGCCACAAGCACTGGAACGACCCGATCATCCAAGACCTGATCAGAAACGCGGACGTCGAGTCCATATACCCGACCTGGATCATGCCAGAGCTCCCACACTGGGGCAAGCTCGGCATGGTGTTGATAGGCGATGCGGCGCATGCCATGGATCCAACAACCGGCCAGGGCGCCAGCCAAGCGTTGGAGGACTCGCAGGCCCTGGCACTGTCGCTGGCCGAGATTTTCGATTGCGAACGATACGGCCAGTGTAAGCCCACCTTGGGGATCGACGAGGCGATCGACCTGTTCTACAAGATCCGCTTCCCAAGGGTTCAGAAGATCGTCGAGCGCGGTAAGCAGCTCGCTGGACGCAAGGCCAGTGTGGGTGTTGTCGCCGAGTACACGATGTACTGTTTCTTGTGGTTGCTGATGAAGTTGCCCTTTCTTCGTAAGTAACGTTTACATGCCGCGGGGTTCCATCTAACCCGAGATAGGTAAACTGATGGTTGGCGATACAGATCGAGAGTCGTACTGCTGGTCAGCTCAGCAGCAGATACAGCAGGCGATGAAGAGCGAACTGAACGAGTTTTCACCCTTGCTTGCATTTCTACCTGAGAGATCTTCTCGGTAAATGAACATTGCAAACGATGGGCCTATGGAAGGGTTTTATCAGAGTCGATGATTGTCTTACCTCCTCCACTTGCAAGCTCCGTAATATTGTCTACATAATGAATACACCTCCTGCGAACACGATGATATACCCACCAATCCACTGAAATCATTTCTAATGCCAGCGTATCACGTCAGCACTTCCTGGAGCCACGATACTGATAACGCGCACGAATGACAGAGAAGGCGAACAGAGTAAAGGACGTTCACATTTCGAGAATCCTGCTCTATAGTATATAGGCCAACGTGTTTTTCAAACGATACCGTTATTTGAGCTTCCTACTGACTGTATCTTTGCAGTGCTTGCAGTCAGAGCCTAGCATATAACGAGGCTCGGGTAGCAGCTGTACGCGACCATGGCACATGTGAACACAATAGCCATGAAACCGACAAGGACGGAAGACATCAAGACGGTCTATCAAACAAAATACAGCACCAAACGAGTCAAATGTGTGCGTAGAGAGAACCGAAGCCAGACATTCCAAGGAAAGTCCTTGGGCAAATCTGGTTGCGTGTGATTTGGCGACTGCAGGGAAAGACCCTCGGGTGGCGGCGACAAATACGGAACCGAATGAACTCAGAAGAATCCGTAGCGTATGTTCCAGCATAGAATTAGGGTAACGACGAAATCCAATGTTCAGAGGAACTAAAAGAGTGCGCAGAACGTCTTCGAGAAGCACAAGACTATCTATTAGAGACATGAGCAAAGAGAAGGCCCATATCAGCGTTTACACCGCCTTCAGTTTCTTCAGATTGTGCTCAGCAGCTTCTGAGCGTGAACGTTGACGAAGGCAAGGCAGTGATCTTGCGACACAGCTATCGAAGTCTGCGTGAACACTAATGATACTATTCATCTATCACATGAAGACCGTTCTAGAACTCTCTGCAGGGCTCCCGAACTGTGAGTAAGAGCTTCCCCGTTCTTTCGAGGCCGCTCCTACGCTTCTCAGTCCAGATGTGTTGATGAGTCTGGTCAGTGTTTTTTGCACCGCGTCAGAGCTCCTGCCGTTTGGAGAGCATAAAACATACTGATGTGTTGGCAGTACAGCTTTTCCGCTGCGGGGGCACCTGGAATAGCGTTGAGATGTTATGCGGCTCTGAGAGTAGCAGTAAGAATGGCACATAAGAGGATCGAGTGAGCAGGATGGTATGAACAGTGGAGTTTCCCCTCATCAAGACTTCGGGATCTTGTATGCTGTACTTGGTAGGCCTTCAGAAGCATGAAAGAAACTATACATTATGCACTTCACTGCGCAAAGTGATGAATGAGCTGGTTTCATGCCGCCGGATGGATCAGAAAGCATTCTTTTCGTCCAGGGCTACTAGCCACTGAGATTGGTGATGCAGACCACTTGAGTATTCTAGCTCACGTATCACAGTCTTGATTAAGACTGAACGGAGATGGGGTTGCTGCAAAGAAAGAAAGTTGATCGGTCACATTTGATGTTCAGTAGCTCCTAGCATACACGTTGTCGGAGATCATGCCGGCTCCGAGTCTTCGAGTCCAAGCTGCCGCAGCACCTTCGCTTACTAGCACTGACATAACGGCTCTTACGATCGTGCTACGACTCTAGCGCTGCGCTCTACCAGGCACGCGTACGAGATCAGGAGATACACTCTGCACCAGCATCGGCACTTGGAACAGCCAGCACCTAGCGGACCACGCGAGAGTTCAGAAGCTAATTTGGAGTACCACAAGGTATCACCGCCCCTGAGTCAAGTGCCGGAGTCTGACTTGACAGCCTAGCACACCGGTGAGGTATCGTGGAACGAGGCTGATTACCTCTGCGCAGCGTTTGCTGTTTGCGGTCAGGGGATACCCTCTCAACGGTGAGAGACAGGTACTGCGTATCCAATCGCCAGTCCAGATCTCTCAGGAGAAGAGGCAGTCAGACAGCCTCACGCGATCATGAGAGCGAATACTCTTCTGCAGCATGCCATCTCACCAACTGCCGTCTGACAAGCGTGAGGAAACCGACAAACGGGCGTGCCAGACCCGCCGCATGCTCGACCACGCTTGCATAAGCTGAAGCTTTTGCGGGCCGCCCGGATGCTGTTTCGCTGCCAGTTGGCATTGCGATCTTCCGAAGCTTCTTGCGGCGATCTCGGTTCCATAGTTTGTCGCTTGTGCTGGCATTAGGGCTTACTATCAATAGCCTGCACAATATGATCACCGCTCGTGACGACTGTGTGGATTTCCACCTGCCAAGGCTCACCTGATGCTGATGGGCAGGCCGGATATCGTACATCGTTTGGCTCACCGTCTTGCGGTATCGGATTGGCCGTATTGGCAGCTTCGCGCTGGCCGCTGCTCTGGGGTCGACAGGGGTTTCCTAATTCTACGCTGACTGTGCTGTGCGTTGCAGGCCCAAATGTCCGCAGAATCTTGTTTTCTGAAGCGGGCCTATTGCAGGCCTGCATGCTGCAAAGCGTCCGCTGACGTGGTATGTGTCAGAGCACAGCTTTGCGGTGCTGCGGAGGCCAAGATAAGCGGGCAAGGCGGTTGCAGGGCGGAGCGAGGCTCATCGTCATGTGCTGATCGTGGAGACTTGCTGCGCCTGAGTCGTGTGCGCATCCATCGCGACCAAAGATACTCGGTCGGTAGATCGAGCGTAGGCGCTGACTATTGTTCGTGTTGGTGAACCCGCCGTGCAGGAGCAGCTTGAGGCTGCAGGCCGGAGGAGCTCGCGAGGAACTAGAAGCAACGTCAAACATCCAGCCTCGTATCCGCCCAACAAGTAAAACTCGCGGACAGCCAGTGATGGGAAAGGCGCAAAAGCTTGTGTTGACCCTCGTGTTGACGTCGCCTAGAAACCAAAGGGGCCTAACCAAACTCGCCTCCGCATTTACGACGTCGCCCCACGCCTTGTTGCAACCTCAACTCGACTACGTCGCACTAACATCATAACACTGCCCAACAAAACTCGTTTCCCCCTGCTTCTGCAGACGCTGGGTGTCGCCTTGCTGTATGTATTGATCATGCAACTCCTGCTTGACAGGTTCTCTGTCCGAGGCTCGATTCACAGGATGTGATGTATTGGGCTAAGCGCCGCGCGTGTAGCTACAGGGATACCACCGAACTTCTGGTAGTCGGGACTCGGTAGCGAGAGGGAGTTGTCTACGTGAAACATATCTCAACGCAGACATGTACAGACGCGACGCCGTCTATTGTGCACAATGCGAGGGCCTCCCGTTCTGACAAGCCAGGCAGGCACCCCGCGTCCTCCAGAGGCAAGAACTGCCGAGCTGACTGATGCAAGGCAGTGACATCGCCTGACGCTCAGACTTCTCTCCATGCACTGCAGAGCGGTGTACCTGTCATCAAAAAGCACCGAGGGGTCTCGCGCGTGCGGACCTGACGATGTCCGCGAAATGCGGCGCGGAGGTCCGCGGTGCCCTGTATCGATGACCCCGTGTTATTCATGGTGGTACCGGCGCCAGCCAAAGCATCTTTCGGATATTGATTGAGGAGATCCATACCCTGGGGCGATCATCTTCGCGGCACGCCTACGATAACGTGCCGCGACGGTGCCACGCTACCGACCGTATTCTCGCTAATATCCATCGTGTGTGGACGGCGAGCAGCAAAGGGCGTGGATGGCTGCAGCTAAGTCGGCAGATTCGACCAAGGATGACAGGGGTCGTTGACAGGGGTCAGGGGTGCGTTCATGCGGCCTGCGGAGCCCTGCGCCGTAGACCTATGCGGTCGTGACCAATGTGTACGAATGGGGAAATCCATGTGCATGTAGGTGCAGGTGCATTGTTCTCAAAAATGTTGGCAGGTAGAATTTGCACTGCCTTCAAAGAATTTATGTCATAATTGAGCTCACGCGATCGAAACATGTTAAAGTTCAGAAAAAGCAAAGGCACACAGACTGAGCTTGGATGTGATCATAAATTATGCTACGTGTCTGTGAAGGTGTCCATGGTATTGGTAAGGACCAAACGCTGCAAATAGGAAATTGGAACAGACGGTCAAATTAAAGCATCGAGTTGGTAGCTCACTTAAAATGTCCACCAGCCTTCTTGCAGGCTGTGATGGAGGCTGGTGGAGTGACTGTAGTGTGCCGGGTATATGTCGCGCCCCACGTAATCGTCTTGGTGGTAGTGGTGTATCCGATCCTGAGGCGAGTCTTGGTCGGTGTTGGCAGCGTGGTGGTGTAGGTGAAAACGCCAGAGAAGATGGTAGCAGGTGGCAGAGTAGAGGTGCTAGTCTGAGTGATAAGTTCAGTTTCCGTCGTGGTAGTTGCTGGAGCAGTAGAGGTCGAAGTCGTCGTGATAGGGGTCAAAGCTGTGATGGTTATGGTCTCGGAGTCTGGAGCTCGGCGCTGAAGGCCTTGAACCTTTGCACTGCGCCTCTGCTTGGCTGCCTCAACGCGCGCACGCGCCCATTCGTAGTCAACAGCACGATCTGAGCGGCGCATGTAACGCGCCTTGGATATAGTGGTGGGCGTAGCCAAGGCAGCGGGGTGCAGAAGTGTCGGAGAATAGCGACACGGCTTGTCTGGCTCAGGACGACCTGGCAGCGTACACGTGGCGGTAGTTGTCTTTGTGGTGGTGGCGTGGACTCGAGTGTTTGTCAGCCGAGTCTTGGTCAGAGTTTTCGTGGAGGTGGTGGTGACCGCCTTAGGCGTGATGGTTTTGGTCTTCCTGGCCGTTGCGCTTGGGATGACGACTGTCGTGAAGGGGCCAACTTCAGTCACAAGAAGAGACGTCGAGGTCTCCGTTGAGGTTGAAATCGGGAAAGTAGTCGTGACGACTGTCATTGTTGGCGTAAATGTGCTTGTCGCCTGTGGGCCAACAGTGAGGTAGAGATCTAACATGGTTAGCGTGAAGCACTTGAGCAACCAAGCACTGCATACCTCGCTGCCACGCGAAAGGCTGGGCTGGATAGGCTCCATTGTTGCCTAGAATGAGAAGAATCCAGTGCCCTGAGGTCATCTGAGCTTTGGTGATTGGACAATTCGATAGCTGTTTAGTGTCGTCTGGTGTTGTGGGAACATCGTCACACAGGTACTCGACATTCGATGGATCGATAATGAGAATGTCCGCCATATCCGTGTTGCACCCCTTGAAAGTCGAGACACTGGAGAAAGGATCGGTAGAAAGAGAGTTGATGAAGTAATGACCCTCATCTACAAAGTCAACTCCATAGGAGTAGCAGATCGAATCAGGGTCATACACAGGATCCGATGTGGCCAACGAGACAAGAGCAGCAAAAGCTGTCAGGGATGCATAGCGAGAGAAAGACATGATGAACACAGATAGTTCAAGATGACAGCCAAAGAGCGATTGTGATAGTGTATACTCAAACTAGCAGGCGGGCAGTGTCGTCTTTTGTACCTCATGGTCAAGCTAGATAATCCTATCATGGTCTCTAGTGACCTGCATGCTGGATACGAATGTTGACCGAAGAGCATCTTGGTCAGACGGCTTGACAAACTGCAAATAGCTGTCCAAGTGCCTTCTCTAGCGGTCAAGTGGAATCAATACATCGGGCTGAGGGCCGGGGACATGGCGCCCCACGGTAAGCTCACCAGCATCGCGCGCCCGCAGTCACGACTTGTTGAGATAGGGTCCTCTACGAAATCAGAGCTTGGTGAGGTCAAGGCCAGTGTTGTGGAAGAGACACGCTAATGCAAAGCCACTCGGAACCCTGTCGCGACGCCGGAAGTCCGTGCGTGAGTAGCGTGAAAGCCTATGCCCAATTTTAGGTTTTCACGTCACCACGTCTTCACATCCACCTGCATAGTCCTGGAGCCGATCTGACCCGGCAAACACGGCGTTATCGTCGTGTGACAAGCCTCGCGATAATGGGGCCTTGATGGCTGAGGCACAGCCAAAGACCTGCGCAGTACACTGGATTCCACCATTTGAATCTCACTTTCACGAATATCGTGCAGTCGGACCTTTGCGATCGAGTCCAAATTTCCGATCCTGGCTTCCAAGTCCTCAACGCACCGGATGGAGCTGTGAAAATACGTTTATTTGAACCTTCATTAGCGTTCGTGCGCATGCATCTCGAATTGGCTCGCGGGCTTCTAGCACATGCTACACGGCATGTCCAAGAAGCAGGTCATGCCACGTTCCGTGTGACGATGGTTTGCGTTTACTCCCAGATATGCGGGTCTTGAAGGCCCTGCTAGCTGAGCCTTACAGAGCCTTGATGGAGTGTACAACATCAGGGCAATGGTCAATCAGCGCTGAGAGCCAGCAATCAGCAACATAGCAGGTGATTCTGGGCCAGCTTGTCAGCCTCGTCACAATCCCATATCTCAGGCTCATCCACTAGGTACCCGCTGATGGGAAAGTATAACCAGCTACCCACTGGCTACTGCATGCATGGCTAGCGGCGGAGGCCGGCTTATCCTAGTTGCCTCTCACCGGCTTCTAGTTTGTGCCGAGTCTTTCCAATCATAGGGTTCGCACTATACTTTTATTCGCCCGCACTACAGCTCTGTTCGCGTCGTTGATGTACGGTACAACGCGCGCGGACTCCGGTGGCCTTTGCCGTCATGATAGTTAGCGAAGACCTGCATCAACTAACTTCAGAAGGACTCGTACTGGCCCCACGACAAGCTGCCAATAGATCCTGCATGGTCTCACGCGAGATTCCGCCGCCTGGTATCAGGCGAACGATCTCGTGGATGTTGATCGGCCCTGACCAGGTCTAGCTATCCCCGATGCTCGGAACAATGCTTAGCATTTTCCCCAGAAGTAGTAAGTTAGCGCACAGTCAGCGATACTTCGCTGACCTCCAGTCTAGCGCTCTTCTCCCCTGTTGCCAGCGTTTTCGTGTCCATCCCGTACAAGCCTCAAAACGCCGTTGAACCTATCACGTTGACTGAAACTCGGCTAGGTACCTGAAAATAGATGCTTGAGCTCTCGACCACACTTGTGCTGTTAGTCAATGACCGAACTACTCCACGCGCGTGCGTCTGGCTGCCAATCGCTAGGCCTTGTTCTACGATCAGTGTCTGCTCGCCTACATGTCATGCCCAAGTCATGGACTTTGGGGATGTATACGGGCACTTATCTTGACGTACTCCTGACTGTGCCACGCCAGACCGACCGGGCTAGCGCATATCGTACATGCCATTGACGGCTGGATGTAGCATGATAGTAGTATAAATGACCTTCAGCCTACTACTTCTACTCTCCAGCCAAGTCTAAGGACACTCACTCTTTGGTCAAGTCCTTCGCTACATCCATTCGTTCCGACCACACTTGTGGTCTCACAACAACCATGTTGTTCAGCTCATTGGCCTACTGGCTATCCGTCGGCTCGCTCGCTGTGGCCAGTGCTATTCCAGCTTCCTTGATTGAGAGGCAGGATGGTGCTTGCACAAACACACCGCGAACACGCCAATGTTGGAGTGCTGGATACAGCATCGCCACAGACTTTGACGCGAAAGCTCCTCCGGCTGGTACCACAGTCACTGTATGTTCACTCAGTTGAGAAGAGGTCTGTGCTAACGGGGATAGTACAATCTTGAAATCACAAATGTGACAAGACCGCACTTGGATGGCACTGCCGGGACCAGGATGTTCCAATTGATCAACGGCCAGTATCCTGGTCCAACTATCCGAGCAAAGTGGGGCGACACAATTGTGGTCAATGTTAAGAACAGCATGCGCGACAATGGAACGGGAATCCACTGGCATGGCATCCGTCAACTCAACAGCTGTCAGCACGACGGCGTACCTGGGATTACAGAATGCCCTATCGCCCCTGGCAAGACCCGCCAGTACAGATTCAAGGCAACCCAGTTCGGCACGACCTGGTACCACTCTCACTGGTCAGCCCAGTACGGTGACGGTGTGCTTGGAACTATGATCATCGATGGACCTGCCTCGGTCAACTACGACGAGGACTTGGGTGTGCTGCCAATCACAGACTACTACCACACCGAGGCGTTCACAGTGAATGAAATTGCACAGCATTCACAAAGAGGTCCCCCTCTCCCCGACAACATCCTCGTCAACGGCACGCACATCAGTGCAACCGGCGGCGGCAAGTATGCCAAGATGACCGTCACCAAGGGCAAGAAGTACCGCATCAGGATCATCAACACGTCCGTCGACAGCACATTTAGTGTGTCCCTTGATGGCCACCCCTTCACCGTCATGACCGCCGACTTCGTCCCCATCAAGCCCTACACCGCCGACCAACTCACCCTCGCCATCGGCCAGCGCTACGACGTCATGATCGAAGCCAACCAAACCGCCGCCACCAACTACTGGTTCCGCGTCGGCTACGGCACCGCCTGCGGCAACAACAACATCCTGACCTCGGGCATCCAGCTCGGCGCCATCCTCTCCTACACTGGCGCGCCCGACTCCAACCCCACCACCACGGGCGTCGCGCTGCGCACCGCCTGCGTCGACGAAGACCGCTTCAAACTGGTCCCCTTCGTGCCGAACACGGTCCCCGCCTCCGCCATCGGCACGGCGGGCAAGATTGACCTAAAGCTGCAAGCCGGCAACGTAGTGCGCTGGCTCCTGGACGGCTCGCCCATGATCGTCGACTGGAACAACCCAACCCTCGAGACGACGCTGGCGGGCTCCAACGCCTTCTACCCCAACGCCAACATCCGCGAGCTGACCACCAGCAACTGGTACATCTGGTACATCGAGTCCACGGACGTGTTCCAGCTGCCGCACCCGATCCACCTGCACGGCCACGACTTCTACGTCATCGGCGAGGGCGCGGGCCAGTGGGACGGGTCCGCCAGCAGTCTCAATCTGAATAATCCGCTGCGCCGCGACACGGCCACGATGCCGGTGGGCGGGCACCTTGTTCTCGCGTTCCCGGCGGACAATCCGGGCGCGTGGGTGGTAAGTTTGACCTCACAGATTGAAGGTCCGGTGCTAACGAGAGCAACAGATGCATTGCCATATCGCGTGGCACGCGAGCCAGGGCCTCGCGCTGCAGTTTCTGGAGCGCAAGGGCGAGATCCAGAGCGTGATTGGGAGTACGGCGGATTTCAAGACGGGGTGTGATGAGTGGGATGGGTACTGGTTCCCGGGGAATCACCCGTACAACATGACGGACTCGGGTATCTAATAGGCGGTCTGGACTGGAAGGGTTTGGGGCTGAGTGGTGGTGGTCTATGGTTCTTTCTTAAGCATATCTGTTGTAATGTTCATACCCAATCTCAAAGAGTGGAATACGTCTCGTAGTTGTGAGGTCACATGATCTGTCTGAGCATCGTTCCATCTCAACGTACGATGCAAATAGCTGGCGAGAAAATCTCCGGCGAGTCAAAAACAAGATAAAACAACTAGATGAAGCCCTGTGTAAAATCCGAAATAAACACATCAGCATCCCACCCAACCCCCTCCTCATTGGCGCACCCCCGTCCAGCGCGCATGACGCAGCGCCGCCACACGGCCCCACACCAGCACAAAAGTTCCAGCCCGGCCGCACCACGCACCACCGCACACCCGCCGCCATGCCCGCCCCGGCCGCCGTCGTCAACCTCTCGCCGGCCGAGCTGTCGTTCCTGCGCGCCGCGCTCAGCCAGGACCCGCCGCTGCGCCTCGATGTGACAAAGGGCCCGCGCGACTTCCGCGCCATGCGCGCCGAGTACGACGTCCTGCCCAGCGCCAACGGGAGCGCGCGCATTGCGCTCGAGGACGGGACTGAGGCGCTTGTTGGCGTTAAGGCGGAGGTCGAGAAGACGCTGCTGCGGCCTGTGCTGGGCGCCGAGGACGCAGATGTGGGAGATGTGGATGTGGACGCGGATATGGGTGAAGGCGATGCAGGGGACGGCGCAGGCAAGGGCCAGAACGGCTGGGTGGAGCTCAGCGTCGAGATCCCCGGGTTCCGCGACGACGACGCGCTGCCCGTGTTCCTGGCGGCGATGCTGGGCGAGTCCCTGGTTGCGAGCGGCGCGCTGAAGGACCGCTTGTACATCAACCGCCGCTTCCACTGGAAACTGTACATCGACGTACGTCGCCCTACTCCTACTACACATACCCTCTCACCCTCGCTAACACGCCGCCCAGATCCTCCTCCTCTCGCCCCCGCTCTCGTACCCCCTCGCCCTCCTCTCCATGACTACCCACCTCGCCCTCCGCACCACGGCGCTCCCCGCGCTCAAATCCGAACGCGACGAAGACCCGCTGTTCGACGACGACTGGGCCGCCGCGACGCCCCTGTACGCGGCCTCGTCCCCCTCCAAGCCCCCCGTCATCGTGCTCGCCATCGCCGTCGGCCCCAACATCATCTTCGACCCGTGCAAAGAGGAGCTCGCGGTCGCCGACTGCGTGCTAGCAGTCGCCTGCACCGTCGACGCGCCCGCCAAGTCGCCATCATCCAAGGCGAACAAGGACAAGAGCGCCAACGACGCCCACGCCCCCGCCGCCCGCATCGTGAGCATCCGCGCCATCGACCCGCCCAGCCACCTGACGCCCCCGGGCGTCGCGAACAGCATGAACACAGCGACGGGCGGCGCGGCGCCCACCGACGCCGCGCACGCGCTGACGCAGCGCGAGATGCTGGCTGCGGGCGGCGTGTGGACGCCGCCGCGGGGCGGGATGAAGCGCGGGCTGGTGGGCGCGGTGAGCCGGATGGTAGTGGAGCGGGGGGGAGTCGCGGAGGAGGTTATTGGCGCGCTGGCGGGGATTGAGGTTGGTTGAAAGGGATGTGGTAGGGAAGGAAGGCAATGCTGAATGTTCTCGAACGATGGGGCGCTGCGACGCGCCGCGGGTTTGCAGGGGAGGGATGAGAAGAGTGCGTCTGGCGGAGTGGAGAGGTTTATTGTGGACTAGTAGAGTGGCTGCACGCATGCAGGGCCGCAGGTAGAGACAGTCCTGAAGTAAAATAGACCAAGGAAACGCTTTTGGCCGCGAGGCCCCCGTCTTATTTCTTCTCATCTCCTCTCAACCATCGCAAGTCGCATAGGGCAGCATCACGCACATCAACCACGACACTCGAACACCCACACACACGACCAAGACAGCACAAATAAAATCGGCAAGAATGTACATTAGAATAGCGTGAAAAGCGTCCCCGTCTCTTATTCCCCATCCAACTCATCATCCCACCCGTCATCACACCCAACACAACCCCCGACCCAGCAGACCAAAGTCCTCCGAGCCCTCCATCGCAAACAAATCCAAACAAGCAAAGAAAGAAAGGGTATCGACAATTTCCGCCGCGAAGCGCCGGAGGGCCCCTGGCCGCCCCCCACTCTGGCTCTTAATCAGTACAGAACAAGAAAGCCCGCTAATGCTACCGAAGTAAGAAGTTCGTAATCGTACTCGATTCAAAAATAAAAAAGGAAAGTGGACATGCTGCGCTCCAGTGGTAATGCCGACGCTCGCCTCGTCTATCAGGGATTGTGGAGAACGGAGCATGTCGGAGGGTCGTTAGGTCGTGAATGAGCCGCGGTGTATGATGCATTATAGATGTTGCTTAAAGAAAATGCCGAATCTCAGATCATGGGCGTCGCCTCGGGCTTGTACACGCCCGCCTGCAGCGTCTCGGGAGGCATGTTGGCGCGCACAGCCTTGGGGTGCTTGTAGAATGCCTGCTCTTCGGCCGTGGGCGGGATCACTTGCTCCCAGGGCTGGACGGGAGGAGGCGGCGGAGGCGACATGTTGTTGAAGTAGGCGTCTAGATGATTGCCTTCGCCGGGCGAACGTGTGGTTGCGCTGCGAGCGTAGTTGTAGTCTGGGACACTCTCGTAAGGGGAGATGTTGTCTGTGCGGAGCGCTGGCGGGGAAATGTGCCCGGATCGGCTGGTGCTGCGCATGCGGTCGGTGACGCGGCGGAAGGTCGAGCCAAGGTTCTCGCTGACGCTGCCGCGGCCGCGTCGATGAGCATGAGGAGATGCGGTGGTAGGGACGTTGGTGGGGGAGACACGCTGTGGCTGCTCTTCCATACCGTAGTTGACAATACTGACGCCATTGGGAGTGCTGCCCGCGCCAACGTTGAATGGTGGTGGAGGTGGTGGCGGAGGAGGAGGCGGTGGTGCACCCAAATGTTGAAGCTGGGCGAGGACAGGCGGTGCAACATCTTCTTCTTCAAGGATGATCACCTGTGTCTCGTTGCTAACGCCGTCGATGCTGTGTCTGGCTGGAGGCGGGCTGATGCGCTTGTAGTTGGAAGGCTGCAAGATCTCCGGCGGTGAGTTCATCCGCACGTGGCCGCGGGGCGCGTTCAGAGATGGACGTCTTCCTACACCTGGAAAGGCGTTGGGTAGGAGCATCTCCTGGGGTGGTGCCGATGCTGAGCGAGGCAGGTTTGGTTGTCCGAACGTAGTCGAGGGGAGAAACGTAGTAGCTGGTAGCAAAGGACCGACGTCGTCTTCGGTCTCATGATGTTGTGCTTGCGCGTAGATCATGTTCTGCGGGATGGCCGGCACATCGGGAATGTCCTCTTCCTCTGGCTCTGTGGACATGTACCTTGGGTGTCTCATCGCTCGTGGGTTGGCCGGAAGTCCGATTGGCACAGACGGTGTTGATGTGCCCTTGGCCAAGAATCGGTTCACTGGCTTGTTGATCGGGTCCGCCGTCTGACTTCGCTGGATGGGGTCGTGATACATTGCGATCGAACTCAGCATGTCGTCTGTGTTAGAACGTCCACCAGACAGTGGCCTGAACTTGAGATCCTCGGGATGAGGAATTGACGGCGCCGAAGGACGTCGGGCCAGCGAGAGCCTGCGAGCTTCCAGTTCCTTGGCTGCGATCTCCTTCCTGGTTCGTGTGAGGGGCCGCGATCGAGGAGCGCCCCGGAGACTGGAGGAGATTGAGTCAGGGGAACCGCCGCGCACATGATTACGGTTCAGGCTCGGTCCACGGACAGCGGGTGTAGGTCTCCTGCCGGTCGAGGGCTCGCGAGGCTGACGGCTGGAACTGCGCTGGCGTGGGCGTGCTTCTACACTGTTACCGAAGTCTTCGGCTCGCATCGACTGCGGCGACTCAGGAGAGCGATCACCGCGCATGCCACTACGACCACGATCGGCGGCAGGACGGCGGCTCGAGGCTCGGCTGGCATTCCTGCTGCGTGGCTGCAAGACCGCTTCTGGAGACTCAGCACGAGACGCGGCCTTGGAAGAGGCTCGGGTCTTGCTTGTGCCATACCTCGCACGGCTGCGTGCTCTGCGGGTACTTGCAACAGATTCAGTTGCAACGGGAGAAGTCACGTCTCTGTAGAAGCGCTCGTCGTCGTACGTCTCTGTGTTCGTGGCAGCTTCCTTCATAGTGGTCACACCTGCATCTTCGTGCGACATAGGCACTGGAGAGGACGGTGATCGTTTAGCGGGTCGAATGTAACGAACATCCGATCGGCCTCGACCTTGAGAGTCATCACGAGTGCGACTTCGAGTCCTTGCTGTCCGCGAGGCGGGCCTTTCTTCATGTCTTGGGTCGGAGATTTCGCGGGTGAAGTAGTTGGCCTCGTCGAGACTGCTGATGTACTGATCAATGCTACGCGCTTTGGCGCTCTTGAGGCTCGCGTCTGTCAAGGGTGGGCTCATGTTGTTGGTGTAGTGCGTACTAGGCCCTGTCTCGACGACTGTGGTGTCCATGGCCAGGTGAAGGTCTCTCTGGTTCCGACTTCGAGAGCTAGTGCGAGAAACGGTCTTTCTCTCCTTGTATGCGTCGAAGACGCCAAGTGCTGGTGAGGGCAGATGGTCGTCGTGTTTAGGAGGCGCAAACGTGGACGCTGACAGCATGAGGTCATTGGCATTGCCCCCGGAAGTGGCTCGTCTGGTAGAGAACGGAAGAGTCTCAAACTCGCGGCCGACGTTATCAATGGCGGTTCTCGGTTTTGATTCTGCCCGCTGTCCACGATCAGGAATCGCGAGAGATGCAAGGCTCTCGTTGGTTGTCGTTGAGCGCCCAGCATCCGACCGAGATGGCATTCGCTTTCTTCCGTATGCTCCAGGAGTTGCTGTTCGTGCCGAAGAAGGCTCCAGAGATTTATCCCGAGTAGAGCTGCGACCAGTCCAGCCGTGGTGACCGACAGCTGGTGTTGTGGCGGATTCAGCAATCGGTGTAGTACCCACGGCGATCGGAGTCCGTCCATCAATATCGCTGCCGCGAACGATTTGTCTGGGCTGGGGCCCGCGAGAGAAGTCAGTAACGAGCTTCAGAGATGCCATCCTAGCAGCAACTCTGCTACTGCCTACGCTGGGAGGCGACAGCGGTGGACTAAGCTGTGAGCCTAACAGGGCTTGCTTTTGCGCAGAGAAAACGGCATCTTGCGCTCGCGGTGAGAACCACGGCTCAGTCGTCTCCAGTCCCATGCAGGAGAAACATCGGACGGCTAGCTCAGCTTTGCCCTTCGCTACCGCAACCTCTCCCCACTTTCGAACGAGGAACGACTGCCTCTGCCAGTCAGTCGGGAAGTTGAGGCAGGTGAGTAGTACCGCCTCCATGTAGTGCTTTTGTGATACATAAACCTCGATGGCGTCGTTTTGCTCGCCCAGGCCGAGGAGGATGGCGACTGCGGGATGGATGTCGCCCTTCTCGAGCAGTCGCTGGACAAATGCCTCTCCCACCTTCTTCTGTGATCCTTGACCCATGTTACTCAAAGCGAGCAACATCCAGTCAGACGAGGTCATCGACTCGGAACCAATCATGGATGCCATGACATCGGCTCCCAGATCACCCAGCCACTTCGAAAGCAGAACTGCCGCAGCTGATCCAGGCCTGTGGCGCGCAAGCTCGTCGCGGATGAGCTCATCGATGTCGTTATCCCATCCAAAGACGACCTTAAGCAGGTTTCTCCTCAGGTCATCAGGTGTACGCTCAGGACCGAGTTCAGTAGGGCGGAATGGAACATCGATGAGTCTGGCTTTAGTGAATGGAAACAGATCCATCTTCTGTGTCTTTTTCGATTCTTCTGGCTCGCGCATCACCTCCTTGCGAAGGCCTGATGAACCGTATCGCGAGGAGGCTGCAGCTGATGTTCCTGAACGGATGGACATGCTGGCCTGGGATGCGCCACCTGCGTACGATGACTCTCCCGAGGAGAAGACTGTGCCTGACGCACCGGACGCTGTGCTTCTTGACGAGCGGGCAGTGCCCCATGTAGGTCTGTCGTAACGGTAACGTGCCTGGCGTCCGCTGCCACCGGAAGATCGCGAGCTCGCCGACGCACGGCTTGACACTGGACTCAAGGGACCGACACGATCTCGACGCTCTTCCTCCAGCTCGACCAGCTCGTTTGCGATCTTTTGCAGAGGGGACATGACAGCATCTTCGTCTTCGCTCGCTTCCTCGGCGAGGAGCATTTGAGGCGCACTTTTAAGAGGGTGAGCGGTCATCGGATGCGCCGTTTGAGGCTCCTCTTCCTCCTCCTGCAGCTGAACCTGTCTCTGCTCGTCCAGTGACACTGGGGGCGATGGAGGTGTGTTTGCGGGCGCGTGCTGAACGTTAGCAACCATAGCAGGCTGACCGCTGGGGTTGAGATCGTATTGCTGGACACTGTGATTGTGACCCAGCGTGAACAGAGTCGCAGTAGGACCGTAGCTACAAATTGCTGCAACGTCTCGCGTTGTAGGAACAGTCTCATACGTGACTCTCTTAGTTCGAACATCCCAAGCGCAAGTTTGACTGACACGCACAATCAGTATCGGACATCAAAATTGAGAAAGGATACATACCCCTCTGTGTATTGCACGATTCGTCCGTTCTTTGACCACGAAAACCAGCAGGGACCGGGTTCTCTTTGGTCGGATTTGTTCAACACGCGAATCACGCAAGGTGCGTCACCGCCCTGTGAGCTTTTCGGGACACTCCATACCCTGAGGTCGCCATCTGATGCCTGTGCAGCCAGCATTTCAGACTTCTGCTTCGAAGAAGAGCCATGCCATGCCAGCTCCGCGATAGGAGAAGGCACTCTAGGAGTGGTGAGTGTGTGGATAATTGTGAATGATGGTTGCAGTGTTGCAATGAGAATTGAGCCATTGTGGTAGCTGCGTGCTGTTAGCTAAGCCTCCGCGTCTTCAGCGCGGTACCTACCCAATTGCGAACGTCCGGCAATCGGAGGCTGGTGCAAGTGCGGTTATGGGGTCGAAGATTGTTCGTGCAGATAGATGTTCGGAGGTCGAGGGCTCGAACAGAATGATGTTGCCCTGCGCATTTCCTGTTGTACCACATCAGCTCCAGCTCGGGCAGTCGCGAACCAGTGCCGCGAGACTCACCAAACGCGACATTGCCGTTTCTCATCCACGCTGCTACTCTTATTTGCTCGTACGAGGCGAAGCGCGCGACCTCGTCGCCGGTCTGCAAATCCCACACTATGGCCGTAGAACCGGTGTCATAGCTCAGAACTAACCGACCGGCTCCACGTTCGCTCACATTGTCGGTCGAAATCCACGAAACATCCTCTCTATGTCTCTCGAACCGCCGTTCTATTGCCAATGTATCGTGGTGGAGGCAGTAAATTACATTTTGCTGCGCATACAGCAAAAACGAGGCGGTTGCGGCGCATGGCTGGAACGCGAACTCGTCGTTCTGCGGCGTGATGCTCGGTGTGGGTATTTGAAACTTGACGTCTGATCGAATGGAGGAGCCCTTTGCGGAATTCGAACGCTGGCGGGCATGGCCTAAAGACATCGTGGGTCGCCTACAAGACAGTTGCTGTCAGTACGGTTGGATCCAGACATGCACGCGAGGCGCATCACGGAGGAAATAGTATCGATTAAGGATGACCAGGATTTCGGACCTGGAAAGGGGAGATATGACAGCATTTGCCAGGGGCTTCAAACTCACTGCAATGTGCGCGCTAAACAACAGTGCCGCTTTTCACAACTGCTCCACGGCGTCTCGAGGTATACTTTAGCCCCTCACGGCTTACAAGGATCGCAGCTGGCGGTTAGACAAGCACAGCATTCGACAGTTTCGGAAACGGCGCAAGCGGTACAACAAGTACATGCAGTTGAAGGGACAGACTGTCAGAGCAGGACTGCAGGAGAAAGGAAGAGCAGCCGAAGCGCGGACGAGATGTGAGGAGTTGCGCGTGGGCACTTGGGGCCTATCAAGGTCGGGCGCTTAAGAGCGCAGACGGATTGATCTTGCTCAGAATAGGTCGCAGAGCACGGTTAGAAGCGTCGAGCCAGCGATGCTTAACGAGAACATGGCAGGGGACTCTGAGGCGTTTAATGGCTGTAGACCAGCCTGCTCATTTGCTGCCCGCTGTGAAAGCTCGCAATGGACCTGGGACTCGACACACCGAGAAGAGTCATGCTGCATAGCGAGCTATGCTGGTCGCCAAGTTGGCCTCTGGAGGTGACACAGCACGTCAATGGTCCAGTTTCGCGCCGCAGAAACAGCGGTGCCTGCATGGACGCGGAGGGCAGCCTCTCAAAACGCTTCTCGACGCAGGGAACGCGGTCGCGGAAGCCTAAGGTGAGGAGGAGCAAGTGATACGGCCTGCTCATTGGGCACACTAACGTGACGGTGCAAGCCGAATCACACCTTGGACGCCCACGGCGACCCAATCGCGGCGCGCAGCGGCCCTGAAGCTACGGCCCGTTGGCAGGGATTAGCCACGCTTCACCCAGACCATGCGCAAAACTGCAGCGCCAGCGACTCGTCCCATATATCAGACGGACGCTGCGCGAAGCATCGCCATATCTCTGGTACAGTCTCTGGTGAGCATTGCACGACGGCGTCGCCCTTCGCGCTCTGCTGGAGCTTGCAGCCCAACGTGACGACGGCCGGCGGGCACTATTCACCGCCTCGGTGCGCTCCCATCCCGCCCGGGAGGCGGCCATGTAGGTTTGTGGCACCACCATCGTGACTTTGAGCAACGGCTGTTCTGTTCGATGCAATGCCACGGACCAGCCCTGTCCATGGCACACCGATACAGCAATGCCTCCCATGTCCTGGTCCCCATTGAACGGGCAACCCGACCTCACGCTGCACCCGAAGATTTGTATCGCATCGTATTGCAGCCACTAATTCACCAATCTGTCAGCACACACATATACCGTGCCCAGCCCCAGGAACCGTCCGTTGAACGGTTCACAGATGTGACGGCGTGTCTCTCATGCCACACCATGGCGCACACGAACCTCTTCTCCGCACGCCATTTCCCGCGCTGGCAGCTGCGGTAGTCAAAGCTTTGTCGATCTGCGATGCGCCGCATTTTACATTCAGGTACATGGGAGACCTTATTGCGAACCGGGGTCGACTGCAAGCATCGCTGGCCCAATCTGCGGCAGTGTGCCCTTGTTCGATCAATTATGCCTTGATGTGTTTGCTGTCAATCCCACGCCAACATTGTCACGAGAACTGCAGAAACGCAGAGGTGCCCAGCACATGTATCTGCGTGCTGTTCACAGCTCTTCACTGCAAGCGCTGGCACTAAGGAACGCCATCCCTGTTGGGCCTCACCTTCGAGGCTTCGTCCCAGCCACCAAGTCCAGTGACCGTCCGCACGCTTGCCATGTTGAGGCGATGCGAGGGAGCAGCAAAGTGTGCACATCGCGTGCTTTGTGGTTCCGACTCGCTCTCAACATGAGACAGATTCATCATTGCCAGACCGCAATTCTAACCAACGGTATCACAGAGTCTGCTGTGCCTGCCAGATGCGTGAGCTCGACATGCAAGTACAGGCTCATACGGGACAGACCCCCGCTTCCGTTCGCTTACCACAATCAGCTCTCGAAGCTTATTTTTGGCGGTGGCATTATCACCAAATCAGCCCGCTGGGAAGTCTCTTCATGCATTGATTCGAAGAAGGATCGTCCGGAGGATTGTGCTGGAGTACCTATTTTCAGAGGTGGATGATTTGGGCGGCGTATCAAGATCCTCATCCTGAGCGCACTTTATGCTCCAATATCCCGACAGCGGGGTATTATCGTCAATCATGTTAGCCCACACTGCCTCAGCGAGTGATCTCGAAGATATGATAAAAAGAGAAGATGCATGAACTGCATCATTTCCAAACAAGGGCGCCACACGTCTCAACAATCACGTCAAGTGTGACGAAGTGTGATGGAGTGCTTGGCCCAAGATCAGCACCACCATCACGAAAACAATCACCGAGGAACAGGAGAGTGGGTTATGGTAAAATATCGATAAGATGCGGGTATCTATGTAGAAGTGGGTATCATAAATGGTAAGGCGAGGCAAGCCACTGGCAAGCCTCACAAGCCTCGCTAAATGCAATCACAGCGCTGTGCAGGTAATGCGGTTCGCTTCTAGCCATGTCCGTCTGATGCGCGGAACGGGGGTATCGATGCCGATGCGAAAATGCAAAACGCCTGCAAATGCCCAAAAAAATGTCACAATGCTTTCCTCCAATAACCAGGGACTTCCATCCCTTACTCTCAAGTGATTGCTGCCGCGTGCAGAGCACGGCGGCGGTCCCGTACCCCCAGATCTTCAGGTCTGGATGCAGCCCTTGCAAAGGGCTGGATCCCTTGCGAGCGCTGCGCAGCTGGGCGCAGGCTCGAAGCGTGTCGCGGTCGCCGTTGCATGCATACTGCCAACGACGAAGCGCGAAGCTCTCGCCACCTCCCTGTGAGTGATGGGTGTGATGAGGCTGACACGAGATACTGATAAGCGTTGGAGGGAAGGATGGTGAGGATGAGTCAGACGGGGGTGATGATGTCTGCTCGTGACTCCATGTGCCACGACGCAGTGAGGCGTCGCAGCAAGATGAAGAAGCCAATCAGGCTGCGTGGGTGTCGGCTGTCCCAAAGCGGATGTGCCGATTAACTGTGGCTGGTGCTCTCGGCCACGGACATGTGAATGAGGCGCAGCATGAGGCGCTCCCACAGTGACGTAGGTGACAACCAAATGACTGGAAATTGATGTTAGTATTGCGATTTGATACATCCAGTCGCGGTAATGCTTACAGTTGTCGCAATGACGCGTCTACTCGACTTGCTCAGGGGACTCGCTAATGGGAGTCATGGGCGTCGAAGTGCGGCGCTGCTTGCCGCTGCTGCGCCTTCGCTGGGTCTTAGGCTTCTTCTGTGCGTACAGAGGAGGCAACACTGGGAAGGCCTGGGCCATGGGAGGGACACGTGGTGGCGCTGGTGCCTTCTTCATGATGGGGCAGTACTCGTCCTCGAAGTCCTCACCGAAGAGGTCCTCGTCGCTGATGTACGATGATGGGTTGCGGTACTCCAGAGAAGGACCAGTGGGCCAGGAAGGGTAGGCACATGAAGAGCCGCGGCGAGAGTTGGACTCCATGGAGTAGTTGCTGTAGAGAGAGCCGGTGGGCGAAGCCATGTTCCTGGGTGAGATGCTGATGGGAATGGACTTGGATGGCGATGAGCCGGGTGAAGCTTCGAAATGCATGTTGAGTATGTGGATGTTTGGATAGCGTACGGGGTGGGTCGGTGCTTGTATATACACAACGGTCGGGCTTTGTCGGCCGTAAACAGTTTTGCTCGGATCGTGGTGTTCGCGTTAGTTTAGCGCCGCGGCAAGTCGACCGAGGCGAAAACGGCCGGTGATGTATGACGGTGGGATGTCGGGTGGATGAAAACAAGGTTGCGCGATTCAGCTCCGTATTGGGTGGAGGTTCGTGTCGAGGCTACCGGGTCTGGGGATGTAGTCGAAATTCAGTGGACTCAAGATCCAAGGGGCAATGCCGTGCTTTAATGCCTGGGGAAGTGTTCCGGGCTCAGGAGTCGAGTCAGAAGCAAAGTGCGACTTGTGTCTCGACAAGGAGATCAGATGGTCTGGACGTGGGATGCGCCCCGAGGTGACAGCTCGCGTTATATCTTCCGCTTCCGCAGACTCAGATACTGTGCACAAATGGCGGTGGGTCACCGCCTGGACTCGTTTCATGCGGCGTGGAGGGCGAGGGCCGGAGTAATTTTGCTATTGGCTCGCAGTCCGTGTCGCAATTCACCGCTGTTTACCAAAGCGGCATCCACTGCTGTCAGCCCCGTCTGCGCCGCTGCAAGTGGTCGACGACCCTGGCACCCGGGACCTACGACCGCCTTTCCTGTGCGAGGTCGCGCCCGACGCGAGCCCTGTCGTCTCGCACATGGCGCTGCCTGCGATGAGTCGTCGCAGGGCCAGCAATCAACAGTCCGTCCTGCTGGCAGCTGGACACCTCACAGCCCCCGACCACGACACCAGGACACCTCAGTCCGGCGACGCCCCTGTCGTCTGCCCCTGTTGCTAAACTTGCTTTCGCCCTTCGTGACGCCGAAAAAGCACACAGACAGAGCTGTCACAGTCACCGCACGGGTGCCGCCCCCCACGACTCACTGGCACGCCACGGCCGCTTCCGCGAAATAACTTTCCCGGATAAGCTCACTCAGTTGCTTAAAGTAGTAAAGTTCAAGCTGGAGATCATCTCGGGGGTCGGGGGAGCGCGACCCAGCGCTGCCTCCCTTCATCCAGTGCACCAAAAGCCGGACCGTAGACGTTTGCATTTCCTAATACGGTGCATTCCCTATTACGGTGCGAAAAGCCGCCGCGCCGCTACCTGTGCGCGCGGCGCCTTCCAGACGGTGCGAAGAGCCGTGAAGCTGCAAACGATGCCCAGTGCGCCCTTGACGGGGCAACCATATAGCGCAATGCGTTGCGTCTCATTTACCTTGCTGTCGCGCCATGGCCAGCAGTGCGGTGCCGCAGGGTGCGCTAGGCGGCAGAGTGAGGGTGGCCACGAAACCAACTCGTGAACTCTGTTGTAGATGCCCGCATTTGTCCCTACCGCGGCATTCTTCCGGCACTCTTCCGTGCCTCTTGCGAGTCAACTCGGGAAAACAAGATTTAACCGCGGAGTATGGGGTACGTTAGCCCCATTCACATGTCGCGATAGAAGATCTCAGGGTCCATGTGGACCAAGGCCCTCCGCTCCACCTTTGGTCTCGGGCTAGATATTATGTCGGAGTCTTCACGAGACTCCTCACGGCCGGCTCAATATGAACCTTGGTCGAGTTACATCCTGCATGTGAAGCCACGGTTGCGCCTTGGACGGTGAAGATGGAGTGGAGTAATCGCTTCATTGCACAGGCCTCGGGCTCTCGGACAACCACACGAAGTCCTCGCCAGGTGGCATGCTACGGAGTCATACGGTATTGCAGATCTCAGCCTTGTAACATCGGTCTCCGCATGCAGTTCATGCTGATGGCAGCATTCTGCAGGGCTGATTAGAGCTCAATAATGCCCGTACCACGCCGTCAGCACACCCTCTCGAGCAGCTACCGTAACGAGAGTGCGATGCACCCGTGACGTTGAAACACCGTCCTTGCTATTCTCAGCACTCCACGTTTCTGTCATCTCTGTTTCACACGACCTTCCGCATGCAGCCATGCAGGGCACAAATCTGGGGTTCATCTCCAGTCTGTGCTCGTGCATCTATAACTACTTAGACTTTGGCAAATGCACAGAAGGCTTTCTTCGTGTTCCTTCGGCGTCTCGTGCGTTTGGAAACCTTCCACGGTTTCGAGTTGAGATGTCTCGCTACGAGGTGCTCAGGGTAACAGTTCACCCTGCATCGGCCTAATCGGGTAACTGCGGCGTACCTCTACATGAGGAAGGCCAGAGCCAACTGGCCTGCGCTATGCTAGGAACTTCTCGATAGCTCAATGGCTACTGCAACCGTATGGTATTGACTTTCTGGTTCGAGTTTGGAATGCTGCTAGAAGGTGGCGTAGAAGGTTACCCCAATGCAGGGCAGCCGCATTGAGCCGTTTCAAAGACGGCCTCCAGGGGACTATCCGATGTTGACGCGCTGCAAGCACAACATTCCTCACACCGCTGCGGACCGTCTCAAGCCTTCAGGAATGCAGGCCTCCCGGTGACGAGCATGTGCAAATTTTGATTGTTTCGGTGCTTCACCAGCAACACCCATGCCTCAACATCTTCGACCCTGGTGGAAATATCGTCATTGTCGCTGTCGTGCATGAAGAGCCGCACTGCATACCCACTTTTCATCGCAGAGAAGTTTCTCAGCTCCGGTTTGTTCGCGGGCCCACCACTGCTGGCATCGAACTTGCTCCTTCAGGAAAATTTGTAGCATTTGTTATCCACCTTGACGTCAGTACCGAATTGCGAAGTTCCACACACGTGGGTCGGCAGCACCCGTTGATCAGACTTTGTGGAGAGTGGCTGCACAGTGAGATTATGTTGAGGGTTTACTTCGGTGCAGAGAAGTGGCTGGAGAGATCCGATCTTTCCGCGAAGTTTTTTGCTGCCGCTACACTTTCCCGGCCGACTGAAGTGGGGATGTAATTCCGCACTCCATGCAAAACGAAGAAAGGCCCCTCGCGAAAGCGAAGCAAAATAGAAGGGAGGTTGGGCTTCGAATTTCCGCACTGACATTGAACTACCTATTCGTCCAACTTCCCCTTCGAGTACCAATGTACTTCTAGAACACACAAAGGTCGCGGACCATTGACTTGCCTGATGGGGGAGTGCATCCGCACATTGGATCCTGTCAAACCCTGTGATCATCATTGCTGGCGCCGTACCGTCAAGTCACAAGCGATCTTCCAGAACGCCACCCTCGTGGGATGCTGACCGCGGGGTCCAGGCGCGGGATTGTCGACCTTCTCGGGGACTGTTTCTCCGGTTGTTTTAGACAGGTGGTTTAAGAAACTCCGTCCATAGCGACCAGTCTAGAAAACACCTTTGAGATGTGAACTAGATGAACCGAGTGAAATGCGGGGTTCATTCCAGCGCATTGCGACTTGACGCGGTCTCCGGGAGATTCTCTGATGAATTATCGGTGGCTTTATTGGTTCCGCGGTTTACTGCAGGACACACGTCCGATCCTCGGTGCGAGGTGCGCTTCGCGAGCCGCCGGCCAAGAATGCAACCACAGCAGTGATCTGACGGCCGACCAGTCGTGCAACACTGAGACCGGCAATGGACTGTTCGAGCTGGCCCAGGACCTGAGCGATGGAAATGCGACCCCGCGCTGACGATGTCTTGTGTCTATTGGGTCGCAGTCGGGCACAACAATGCTCACGCACAAGGCGAGTAGACACAGCTTCATCGAAGACCAACCGAAATAGGAAACTAACAACATCTGCTGCGATGCTCCAATCTTGGAGTCATACTCAACAATCCGGTCCACCGGTGTCGTAGGGCTATTGTCGAAAGCGGTGTATGCGCGCTGTGCTGTTCGCCTGGTCGCCTGGCTGCTGGCTGCACCGCATCGGCAGGCCTGCGTGCATCCGCTGCTGTACGACACAAGGCTGTCGATCCCATCGTTTCAGCTTGTCGAGACTGCAGTCGGAGATACGCTACTATCACGAGTCGGTATGAGCTGTCAGATGCAACGACCAGGCGTCACAAGCCACAGAGGAGATGACGAGAATCAGAGGGGTCGTCGGAAGGCACCTGTTCGGTGACTGCGCAAAGTTTGCTTGCCTGTCGGGCTCTGATCTCGGCACCGGGCGCGGAGAGGGATACGAGTCCACGAGAGGGAGCCAGATTTGCGTCGTCGCCAGAGAGTTTGTGCGCGGCCGCAGCGAATTGAAGCTGTCGCGATACGCCCACGCGGGGTATCAACTGCCTTTAGTCCTTCCGAGTAGACAGCCTCCACGGCTCCCCGAGTGATCAACATTCGACCTTTGTTCAGCTCTCCTCATCATCGCGTCGCGTCAACTTCCTGTCCAGCTGTTCTTGGAGCAAAGCGCGGCTGTCAAAATGATTATAGTTCGTGACGAGAATCCCCACTCATACTGACGTGCATGCGAGCATGATGTGGAAGGATCGACAAGGTGGGGGTTCACAGCCCGCAATCCCGCGGTTGCTGGAGCGCTGAGTTCTCCGTAAGGCCGTATGGTCCTGATTGAGATCGTGTTTCGGCCATTCGCCGTGCACAAGAACCTTGCCTTTCGCGCAAGCTACTCTGTACAGTAGAGCGCACCCAGTTCATCGCTAATCATTTATGTGAGTTGAAACAGTCCTGGCGTGTTCATCGCCACGTCTTTCGTCCTGCAAGTATGTGCTGCATGCGTGGCTAGTAGCCCACATGTTCGGGCAATTAAACTCGGCTATTCCCAATCGGGATTGCCGGCGTACTTTGTGGCTCAATGTTTGCTGTGTTTGTACACCACGATCTGTCTGCCCCTCCTTCAAAGTCCACTGCCGTGACATGACTTCTGATCTTATCGTCAAGTGGGAAGCACGATCACCCAAATGACAACTAGAAGCCGCTGGATCATGATTATACTTTTTAGTACCTAAGCACGACGGGTATCCCTTCAAGAGAGGGACATGATTCAGAGCAATCTGTTGGGTGAATAAGCAGGCAGGTATGTGTTCTGAGCATATCAGTATCTGTCTGTGTCTGTGATGGTGCGAAGGGGCCGACATCAAGACAGGCCTGTCAACCGCAACGCTTCGAGAACAAAAGGCTCTTCGGCGTTGGCAACAACATTCAGGACACCATACATAGGTCACGACATAGCGGCCTCGAATATCAAGAAGAGCCAAAGAGGTGGGCTCGATGCGATCCACGAGCTGCTCAGGTACATAGGCAGCAGTCCCTCAACAGGTGCTACCGATTTTCAAGATTTGAACAACAACACCGGACAAAACCCACGGTCCAGCTGATCGTGTGGCCTAGCCATGCTCTCTCGCTTTCACAGGTCACTGACGAGACTGGAGCTTGACTGGTAGCCACAGGATTCTTCGTGTCCATTCTACATTGAATATCAGTTTGATGATGATGAAACCCTCATTTGCTTTCAGACCAAACAATCGCTCTTTTGGTAGCCGAACTTGGTCAATACTTTTTTCGAGTCACAACGTTACAACCACTTCTGTCGTACACGATAGACGGATTCCGCTTCATCCACTTCTAATGTCAAAATGGCATGACAATTCCTAGCAATGCGAAGGTTCCGAAACCATCATAGATCGACTACCGTGGTTCTAGAGAATGGCATGTCTCATTGTCCGAGCTGGCATGCTTATATCTAAACCACTCCTTGTTTCCAACACTACACTAGATACTGTCCGGACATTCGGCGCTTTCGGAGGCGTGCCCACGGGGTCGTTGTTTACCATAAAGTGGTGTTTGCCACGAACGTTACGAATTGAGGCAAGTGCAAACCTACTGTTCTGTTGCAGTATGTAGGTGGGCGCGTGATACGCGAAGCGGACTAACAACATCAGAAGCGGAACTACAAGAAGGCCCGGTGAACTCTCAGGTATGCGGAGGAGGGATTGGCCTCGAAACAGTCCGAAAGATAAGTGCAGAGGACGCAGACTTAAGTTCAGTGCCACATGACTTCGAAAAAATGTGTGCTGGGGGTAAAAGTCAATTCGGATTTGAGGACGAGCAGTGCATCATCGTAGAACTCTATCCAAGGGAAGGAAGTAAAAGCTGGAAAGTGTAGTGGACATAGAGTTGATTTACCACCAATCACGTCTAGAGTTACTTACGTATCCTGGTCGTGTTTCTGTCTATCACGTTCACAATGGAGCATTTGCAACACAATCCTTTGTTGCATCACGTAGAAGGCCTGCATCATTAGTGAAGGCTTGCAAGTGTATTATGTGGTTATCAGTCCGAGCTGCATTAACATCTCTATGACTGACGTTCTAGACTACACATGTAACCTTTGCGCAGCTACGTAAAGTGACCTACAACCATGGAGGTGAGATCACTCTAAATCGTTCGAATTTCAACCACGGTGCTGATTACAACCACATGCGTAACTAGCATAAATATGGAGCGTGATTGAAACGTTATGCTCCAAGCGAATGGATTCCCAGAACGTAGTCAACCTTACGAGGGGATCCATGTCACCAAGAGATCCAGGAGAGATAGACCTGCTTCTTAGTACGTAAAGATTCGTCCAAAGCGTTGCAACGAAAAGAAAGAGCAGACGATACAAACGTTTAGGCCATGTAATACTACGAACCTGCTACCTGAGGGACAGGCGGAGGCCAGCAGTGTAGAGACTACGGCCAGGGATGTATACAAGTCGACGGGAGTGAGTTGTTATGACGAAGAGCGCCTATTACATGATCGACACCAATGCATCCATCATGAACCTCATCAACTTTCTGTACTGTAGAATTGCTTAATCGTGGATCTTTGTACATCTGACTTGGGAATGACTCCGGGATGGAGAGTTGATGATGCCGAGCTCTGTTGCGTTCCTGCTAACCCGCATTTCGCTAAGCCCGATACAGTTAATGCGAAACCATCCCCAGCTCACCTGCCCGCCGAGGCGTCATCGGCAAGCTGCGGTTGAACGTGCCTTCGGCTTAACCATTTCACCCAAGACCGTTTGTACCGCGGCGGCCACAGCACTTTTATTATGATCCTTCGACGAGCGAAAATACTACACAACACCCGCCCACCATGAAGTCCTTTGCCTGCAGAGAAGCCACCCGCCTGTTGTCTCGTTCCAGCGCTGGACAACGAGCACCAATTGCAGCTTACACAGCAAGATGGGAACAAGGACAGAAGAGAGGATTCTGTGGTTCGAGGGCGCGTTTGGCGGTCAAGCCATACCTTTTGGCGGATATTGGAGAAGGTATGCACTCGTCTCATTCTCGTGTGTCTACAGTCTGGACTTACACCGTACCAGGTATCACTGAGTGCCAGGTCATACAATGGTTTGTCAAACCTGGCGCGCGGGTGGAGCAGTTCGACCCAATCTGCGAGGTGCAATCAGACAAAGCATCGGTGGAGGTACATGGCCTATAGCCCTACGACTGGAGATGTTCTAACCCATACAGATTACGTCCCGCTTTGATGGTGTTATTAAGAAGTTGTACTATGAGCCGGACGATATGGCTAAGGTTGGAAAGGTAAGATACGCATTGAAACACACCGTGTAATTCCGCTGACCTTCGTAGCCGCTAGTGGACATCGACATCCAAAGCGACATCTCGGCAGCCGACGAGGCTTTGATCAACGGAGGATCAGACAAAGCCGCGGCTGAGACACCAAAGCCTGCCGAACCACAAGAGCAAGAGTTAGAGGTCGGTCGCAATGATACAAAGGCTGTAGCGGGAGACGTGCTGTTTTCTGAACAGTCGTCCTCTCTACCGCTCTCGCCCTCGGCCGAACAAACGACATCCTCACGACAGCCGGGAAAGCATGCATCCCTGGCAACACCTGCAGTACGAGGCATGCTTAAGGATCTTAAGCTGAAGATTGAAGACATAGAGGGAACGGGCAAAGAAGGACGTGTGTTGAAAGAGGATGTCCAGAGACATGCGGAGGCGGCGAAGCAAGCGCCAAAGTCAACAACATCTCCGTCCAGGCCGGCCGCGGTGTCTTCGCAACAGGTCGAAGACCGTGTACACACACTGACCCCGGTCCAGTCAGGCATGTTCAAGCAGATGACCAAGTCGCTATCCATTCCCCATTTCCTCTACACCGACAGCATCGACTTCAGCTCGTTGACACAGCTGCGTAAGAAATACAACGTCAACCGCGAGAAAGCCGACCGCATAACTCCACTACCCATCATCATCAAAGCAGTATCTTTTGCTCTCCAACAGTTTCCGCTGCTCAACGCACACCTCGATACTACCACCAACCCAGCGAAGCCCCAACTTCAGATCAAGGGTAGCCAAAACATCGGGGTAGCAGTTGACTCTCCATCGGGTCTTTTGGTGCCGGTCATCAAGAACGTTCAGGATCACAGCATTGCTTCACTGGCGCAGGAGATCACACGTCTCGCCGACCTTGCTCGTACGGGCAAGCTGACATCGGCGGATCTTTCTGGTGCTACCTTCACGCTTAGCAACATTGGAAGCATTGGTGGCTCTGCTGTTGCACCTGTCATTGTCACCCCTCAGGTGGGTATCCTAGGTATTGGCCGGTCAAAGGTTGTGCCTGCATTTGGAGAGAATGGTGAGCTTGTTAAGAAAGAAGAGTGCATTTTCAGCTGGAGCGCAGATCACCGGATAATAGACGGTGCGTATGTCGCTCGGGCGGCGGAGGAGGTGAAGAAGTCGATAGAAGGTGTCGAAAGCATGCTGGTGAGGATGAGATGATGTGCCATATGATCAAAATAGAAAAGTTCAAGCATCGGTAACAACATAAGTCGCATGCGAACAAGTCTTGTACCTTGGCGTAATATCTTGATCATTGTTCTTCACACGAATGACCTTAAGAACGTTATGAGAACTTAGAATGGAGGTCTTTTGCAATGGCTACCTTTTGATTTAACACTGCAGTCTCTGACCAACTCCTCGTTGTCTGTGGAGCCGCGTTGTCTGTTTGCCGGAGCTGGCTTGAGCTGAGCTTTCAGTGAACACGGTGTGACAGGATTACTGTCGTGCTCCTCACCACATGATGGTGAACTGGCTGTTAAAGCGTTGCTTGACTACTTAAATCGCCCTCAAATTGATGGGTACTTCAGCCCTGCCTCTTGAGTGCCTCCTCAATTGCATTCTTACTGTTCTTGTAGGTCATCTCCAGGTAGTCCTCCTTCTTGTTCAAATTCGCCATTTCAGTCTTCATTGCCTTCTCTTCAGTCTCAATACGTTTTTGCACATCTGGGATTGGCGTGCACACGAACCTGCAGCGATCAATATCATGCTCTTCTGTGACGAAGTGGGGTCCTTCATCAATCACTTCAAAGAATTGGACTTACATCTTTCCCACACCCTCGTAAACTTTTGTCTCTGCAGGCAGCGACGATACCTCGGCCGATGTCAGCTGCAGCATGCGACCTTCCCGTGTGCGCGCTGCCTTTTGCTGCCGAACAATTAGGAGTTGTTGCTCGGCGAAAGCCTTTTTCTGGCTGATCTCCTGCAGCATCTGCGGATGTCAGCTACCAAACAAAGAAGATACATATTTGCGACATCAGCACACCTTCTGCAACGCTTCATTTTGCCCAGACATCTTGACGTGATTACTTGTTTTGGAACTTGTCGATGGTGAGTGGGCGGACTGGAGGCAACGCCTGTGCCAGGGTCAAGCCTCTCGGTTCGACATCCCTGTCGTTACTCTGATTGGCAAGCGCTGCTTGCCCGCAGGCACAGCAAACAATGGGCTTCTGACTTGACAGCGCCACCTTCGCAGGTAAAGTTTTGGGGAATTACCCAGATCTAGTAGACCATTTCGCAACGATCGACTGTTCTATTTCGCCGAGGTCAGCTGTCGCTCCTTGCGTGTGACGCAGCCTCGAAACTAGCCTATCGATTAAGCATGATGACCTATCGTGTACGGCAGGCTCAGCAATCCGACATCCGAGACGTCCGGGCTTCGAAACAAGATTCGCGGGGCTGACAAGCCTCGTACACTGTATTAAAGTACGATCTTGCGAGATACGTACTGCACCAACATGGCTGCGCTATTCTCTTGGCTCCCAAGCCTTCCTTACCCTCCCGAGCAGGACGGTTACTGGAGCCCGGTAACGTCGACACTCGACTGGTGTGAAGAAGTAAGTAGAAATAGGCACTGTGTCAGACCTGGGCAGTACTGACAGACGCGTAGAATTATGTTGTTACAACGTATGCTGCTGAGATTGTCAATACTCTCACGAACCTGCTTTTTATGTTCCTTGCAAGCAAGGGCATTCGAAATTGCCTAAAGTATGGCCATGACACAGTCTTCTTAGTTACCTTCCTGGGCTACGTAATTGTCGGGACTGGCAGCTTCTTGTTCCATGCGACTCTGAAATGTACGTTGTCAATAATCCCTCGAAGCCGTCCTCTTCTGACGCGTGATAGATCCCATGCAGCTCGTAGATGAGCTTTCGATGATCTACACTACCTGCCTTATGTGTTTCGCGACATTTTCGTACGGCAAGTCTGTGAGATACTCTACCGCCCTCGCTGTAGGCCTAGTATCTCTGGCCCTATTTGTCACGCTGTACTATCATCACATTCAGGACCCGGCTTTCCACCAGAATGTTTATGCACTGCTGACCGCCATTGTCCTATTCCGCGCCATATACATGATGGAAGTTGCCATTCGGCCACGCTTCAAGTCGAAAGAGAGGAGAGCACTAAACCCACGATCTGACTGGGCAACGGAGGCTGTCAGAAAGCGCGAGGACTCGAGGGATCAAGAAATTCTTCGCACAATGTGGAAGCTGATCGCCTCCGGCTTAAGTATTTTCTTGGGAGGGTTTGCGCTCTGGCACCTCGATAACGTGCATTGCTCCAAACTGATAAAGTGGCGGCATGAAATCGGAATGCCCTGGGGGTTTCTGTTGGAAGGCCATGGTTGGTGGTAAGCATGCTCTGGCCAATCCATTGTGATAGACACTGACAGGGACAGGCATCTCATGACAGGGGTAGGAGCTTACTTCTACATCGTCTGGGGTATTTGGCTCAGGCACTGTCTTAACTACAGACACGATGAGTTTGAGCTGTACTGGCCGAACTGGTACACCATGCCGGAAATTGTGAAGACAGGCGCCGTGGCGAATGGATCGACAAAGAAGACGGCATGAACTGCATGCACAAGCTGCTGTCCCATGCATACATAGGCAACCACGTCGCACTGTTGTGGTGCGCAGTGCTGGAGCCATGTGGGGCTGCTGAGCAGGAAGGAACTCCTGAGCTGGCACCAGTCCTGGCAAAGCGCCTTTCTAAGCGCCTTCGCGAGCGCATTGCCGCAAGCTAAGTGATTAGACAGAGAATGACAGAGACCTCAGAGGGTCAGTTAGAGTTTAGACACATATTTCCAAGCTACTACCCCTCATTACCCCTCTGACAGTGTATGTAGTTCCGTTTTGCGGTTGCCTTCGCGCTGTAAACACGCTAGACGAGCACAGACCCGCGCTAAGACTAACCGACAACAACTTCTAGGATTGACCGCTCTTCTGCTCCCTCCTCGCTCTCCACCCGCACCACCGCCAGCCTCTACCCAGCTTCTCGCATCCTCAGCTTCAGTAGCTCCCATTACCCACACAACCCGCCAATATGCGTGAGATTGTACGTCGCCCTCCCCATGTCGCGAATATGGCGCGCCTCCTGAGCGTCAACAAAACCCCGCGTTCCCCTGGAGGCAGCACAACATTGGATGGAACACTAGCTAACGTCTGCTCTTTGCGCAACAGGTTCACCTCCAGACCGGTCAGTGCGTAAGTACACATCTACTGTATTCTCTCGTCGCCATCCGCTCACAATTGACAGGGTAACCAAATCGGTGCCGCCTTCTGGCAGACCATCTCCGGCGAGCATGGCCTCGATGGCTCCGGTGTCTACAACGGCACCTCGGACCTCCAGCTCGAGCGCATGAACGTTTACTTCAACGAGGTACTAGAAATGACACGATTTCCTTCGACGGACTGCGAGTGCTGACCTTTGGCAGGCCTCTGGCAACAAGTTCGTTCCCCGTGCCGTCCTCGTCGATTTGGAGCCTGGTACAATGGACGCCGTCCGCGCCGGCCCCTTCGGTCAGCTCTTCCGTCCCGACAACTTCGTCTTCGGCCAGTCTGGTGCTGGTAACAACTGGGCGAAGGGTCACTACACTGAGGGTGCCGAGCTTGTCGACCAGGTCCTTGACGTTGTCCGCCGCGAGGCCGAGGGCTGCGACTGCCTCCAGGGTTTCCAGATCACCCACTCCCTCGGTGGTGGTACTGGTGCCGGTATGGGTACTCTTCTGATCTCCAAGATCCGTGAGGAGTTCCCCGACCGCATGATGGCCACATTCTCTGTCGTGCCTTCGCCCAAGGTCTCCGACACCGTTGTCGAGCCCTACAACGCCACCCTCTCCATCCACCAGCTTGTCGAGAACTCTGACGAGACCTTCTGTATCGACAACGAGGCTCTCTACGACATTTGCATGAGGACTCTCAAGCTCAACAACCCCTCTTACGGCGACCTGAACCACCTCGTCTCCGCTGTCATGTCTGGTGTCACCACCTGCCTGCGTTTCCCCGGTCAGCTGAACTCTGACCTGAGGAAGTTGGCCGTCAACATGGTTCCCTTCCCCCGTCTCCACTTCTTCATGGTCGGTTTCGCTCCTCTGACCAGCCGTGGCGCCCACTCCTTCCGCGCCGTCACCGTTCCCGAGCTCACCCAGCAGATGTTCGACCCCAAGAACATGATGGCTGCTTCTGACTTCCGCAACGGTCGCTACCTGACCTGCTCCGCTTACTTCCGCGGTAAGGTCTCCATGAAGGAGGTTGAGGACCAGATGCGCAACGTCCAGAACAAGAACTCCTCTTACTTCGTTGAGTGGATCCCCAACAACGTCCAGACCGCTCTCTGCTCCGTTCCTCCCCGCGGCCTCAAGATGTCCTCTACCTTCGTCGGTAACTCCACCTCCATCCAGGAGCTCTTCAAGCGTGTCGGTGACCAGTTCACTGCCATGTTCAGGCGCAAGGCTTTCTTGCATTGGTACACTGGTGAGGGTATGGACGAGATGGAGTTCACTGAGGCTGAGTCCAACATGAACGATTTGGTCTCCGAGTACCAGCAGTACCAGGAGGCTTCTGTCTCCGATGCCGAGGAGGAGTACGACGAGGAGGCTCCTCTTGAGGCTGAGGAGTAGACTACCCAGGCTCGACTCGATTCTTTTGGCATGGAAGCTAGGCTTGTACAAATAGCTTAGCACTGCTGTAAAGTTCGATATTGTCACCTTTTGATTCATGCTTGGGGCATCATAGCTGCGTGTTTTGGCGTGTTGGCGGATGCACTTGTTGTCAGTACCGAGGCAGGTTCAGCTCGCAGCATGATCTCGTTGGCGCCAGAGCGATTTTTGTTAATACAAAGACTATAATCTACCTTATTCGACCATCAACTGAATTCGTAATTGTGCTCATGTGTCGAAATTTTTACATGCGTGCTTGCACCACCGTGTGCCGACTAACCGACGAGATTGAACAAGACTGAAAGGGTCTGGTGTATCAGATCCACCCTCACTGATTCTTCTAGGAGCTGGGAACTACGGATTGAAGGAATCACTCAGACGTCTTACCTGGGTTACAAAAGAGAGTAGTGTCGCTTAGGGAATTGTCGCTTTGGGCTTTGGGCTGTCGCAAAAATGTCAATATGTACTCTCGATGCTGTATCTACTTTTGTTGCCGGCTGTTGAACCTCGACAGATCGCCTTCAAACACCGCTGCTGTGCTGAGCTGCCGTGTTGAACTCCACTTCACCATCTCGCGTCGTCACCTCATGGCGCATCTCCTCGCGGACGGAGCTCCACGCTCCTTATAGGTTCTTGTGCATTCTCTGCCTTTGGCGTGTACAGCAGCATCTCTGCCCCTCGCAACGCCGCAGACCGCAAATGCGCAAAGAGCCTACAAGCCTTTCTTGCCCTTGGCGCGCTCCTCGTCCCTCTTCTGGTAGATCATGCCAGTGAATGGGTCCTCGAACTGCCTGGCGATGGCGTATGCGACGGCGACAACGCCGGTCAGGAACAGCCCCGCGGGCTTTCCGTACCACAGCGCGGTCGCCAGGAAGCTCAGCGTCGAACCGTGGTACATGGGCGCGTCGGACACGTTGAACGGGAACGACGTCACCGGCGCGTCCATCAGAATGCCGAAGTAGTCGCCCAGGTACGTGCCGGTGACGCCGAGCGCCCACATCGAGGTCAGGACAAGGGTGTTGCCGGTGAGGAAGAGCGGGATGGCGGAGTATTTGACGAGCGGGTTTTCGAGGAGCGCGGAGGTGGGTTGGTCGGCGAGGGCCTCGTTATAGCTGCAAGGTGGTATGTCAGTAGCGTTTGCGAGGGAGAGTCAGGAGAGGTTGTTGGGGCGGCGAAGCGTACAGGTAGTCCCTGAAGATGCCAAGGGAGAAAATGGCTACGGCGAGCGCATAGCATCCATATCGACTGTTGCCGCCGAAAAGGTTCGTGATGACTTTGTTATGGTATTCTAGGTACTGTCAGAGCTGTTTTTTGGGTACTCCGGCTAGGCAGGCCCTCATTTGGGAAGGTATGAGATTGTGGTGAATAGTGGGGTCGTACCTGACTGCGCGGCGATACTATTTCACATGTCAGTCCGAGCACTGGTGTTGCCTTAATTGTATTGGATCATTGACTCACTTCCAGAATGTGGGGTTGAATGCAATGCTAACGGCAGAAACTGTTTACTGTCAGTTTTGTCATGGTGTAGCTATGCCGAGGGTGGGGAGCTTACCCCACAGCGTAGGTTGTGTAAAATCAATGTTGTCGAACATGGCGGCGAAAGCGTAGATGCACAGTAGTACGGGATTATCCAAGTCTGCAGTATGCGAGGAAGTAAAGTGAAAGAAGGTTGACGGGCGGGATGTTGACAACTTGTCTGCATGTGCCGTCCACGAAAACGTCATAGCTTCTCTGCGCTTTACCGAAGGGAAACACATGACACTGGCAATGTCAGTCAACGACTTACTCTGATTTGCGAGATCAGAAAGAAGACTACCAAGTTCTTTCAATATGCATTTGATTCATTAATGTACGTCCTTTTTCCCAACCGTAATATCCAATATTGTTCCCATTTTACGCCATATTTCCCTGTTTTCCCTATCATTATACATTTGTCGGCAAACGTAGGGACACATGAAGTGCACCCCCAAAAACGAAAGGTAATGTACTCATCAATCCGTCTCTTCAAAGTCCATTGTCTGCACAGCTGAAGGGTCCTCCGAAAGAGGCCGCTGCGTAACCGTCGATGATGGACTGAACGGTAGCGTAAGTACCTGCGGTCAAGAACAGCACACCAATTGCGCACAGGATGACGTTGAAGATGAAGCCCGCCCATCCTCTGATTCCACGAACGGCCCAGAACCTAGGGCCATAGGTCTCCTTCCTCATGCGGAAGTACGCGACACCCCAGAAGATGAAACCGAAAAACGAATCGAACAGCGAGCTCATCAACGAGAGCAGGTCCGAGAAGAACGGAATCACTTCCGCAATGATGAAGGCCAGGACCCAGAGCACGGCGAGAATGCCGGCCCACGCGGCCCAGCCCAGGACTGTGTGGTTACCCATGTGACGCGTGTTGTTGAAAATGCGGAAGAAGATGAATCGCGCAGAAACCGAGGCGTACAGGACGCCCAGGAAGATGATGGTAGGGACCATGAAAGTAAATGCGACCTTCTTGTGCATCTCGTTCGCGATCGAGCCGAATGCGGGCGCTGTCATGTAGTTTGAACCAGTGTACGCATAAACGACGCCGCCAACGCAGCTAAAGACGATGATCTCGGCGATCGTGACGCACCAAAGCGCCTTGGGGAAGTCCTTGGGGTTCTTCATCTCCGCGATGAAACTGGGGAGTGTGATTTGGCCAATGAAAGTGTAGCTGATGTTCATGAATGCGTTCATGCCGGCAACAAAGGTAGTGCCGGAGGGCGTAGCAGCGTAGACTTCGAGCTCGCCCATTTCAGGGTATCCTGCAGGCTTCTGGCCGATTCCGGAGAAGATGGCAGCCAGAAGAACGGAGATGAAGGTGAACAAAGCGGAGAAGGTTGCGATCTTCGCCAGCGTGGAGAACGTCCTGGGGAGCGAGGCGATGAACGAGATTATGGCGGTGATTGCAGCAAAGCCGATCGTGCAAAGCTCGTGGCCAGTGATAGTGTTCCACCACTTGGCGCCGACAAGGCAGTGCAGGCCCATAATAAAGGTGTTGTTCAGAATGAACATGACCGCGGTGAAGTAGAAAGCCCACTTTTGGTTCCAGAAGATCATTTGACCCAAATCACACACATCGCGAATCTCCGGGTGGCGCATGCAGAAGTGCCTGCATTTGATTAGCGAAATGTTGCGTATCCTGCGGAGACGCCATTGGAACTTACCAGGTCGTCAAAGATGTGTACAGAACCAAGGCGGCGATGACGACAGTCAGAATGACACCCGGGACAAGGCCAAGAATCGAGTATGACCAAGGAAAGGACATGATGGCTAAGCAGATGTACTCGGAGAACAGCAAAGCCGCAGTCTGGAGAATCGTTAGCCATGCAGGGTTTATTTTGCTACGAAGAGCATGCCTTCTGCCAGCTGCAACTGCGATACTTGATCGCGTTGTTAGCCTCCAAGGCCATCTGCTTCCCGATAATGCTGCTCTCGCTATCGCTGTCTACACCCATCTCAGGATCGCGGTTTGCTCCGGGATCAGAAAGTCTGCCGGTTCCAGCGCCGATGTTTGCAGGATTCTGTACAGCATCCTTGGAGTGGTACTTTTCGTCTGTAGAGGAGTTCCTGTCGGCCTCTTTGGCCTTGCTGAAGAGTCCTAACGCCATTTTAAACAGCGGAGCGTCCTCTTGTAGGGCGTATAACTAAAACGACGGCGAATGTTCGATTGCGGTAGCATTAACCACTTGTTGTTGATCCGATGTGCAGTTGATGCAGAGTTGGCGCAGATGAGACGATCTCAAGCTGCGTATAGAATCGCGACCTGGAGACGGCGAGCGGTTGTGAGTGGACGTTCGACGGAGAAAGCGTGAGAGCCAGGATAGTTAAATAGCGGCACGCAGCCTGCAAGCTCGTGGCTAAGGATGATGCTGCGGCGCGAACGAACGATACTAGTGCCGCTAACAGAATCCTGCGGGGTGAAAGTCGCTGTGGCCGGACGGCGGAACCCTGGATTGTGCAGGGTTTGGTGGGGATTCATCGAGACCGTCCCTGTTTGAAGGTGCTCCCAATGCACACAGCCTATCAAATGATGCATAGAGAAAACGTCTACTCCACGCAATTACACCACGACTCGACAAAGTACGCTCAATCTCGCCCATGATTCGAATTCTGATCGAATTGTTCGAGTTTTCGTTTGCCCTCTCAAATCTCGGTTGACTGGCGCCGCTTCGTACGGCAGCGATTTCAGCCTTTAGCAGGCCGTTACGGCGCGCTGACGTGACGTAGACCATCAGTATTTGACTGGCCAGCTGGTTTTGGGATAGACAGGCCGCATATAGCTTATTACCGTCTCTGTTGTGCGGCAAGTTCACATCTCGCTGTGGATGTCATCCCAACGACCCACTTCAACGACCACCAAGGAGCTCATTTGGCATCCGTTGCGTGTTACCTTACCATGTTTTAGTACCCCCGTCAGTCACACGTCGCCACCGCTTACAGCGCGAAGCTTTGCCAGAAAGCGTGGTTGAGAGCGCCATGACGTTGTACGCCACACGGCGGACCAAGCGCAGCCGCAACCCAAGCATCAAGCCAAGCAAGTGGGGCGCGCTCGGCTGTTGCTGCTCACGCAATCCCGCCCCTGCGATTACGACACCAAGCTTCTGCCAATGTGGTGCAAGCGCGGCCTTTCGTCTTCGCATTTTGCTTGTCCAGAGGCTTCGTCTCCTGATCGTGGGTACATTCCATCTCGGAGATCCCGCGCAGAGGGTCCAAGTGAATCTGCACTGATCTGGCGGGCCATTTCATGCAGCTGACTGGATGCGTTGCAGATCTGCTCAGTAGCGTGGTGATATCGTATGCCGCGGCTGATGCACCGCATATCGTTGTGATAGTTTAGAGCCTTGTGACGGGGTCGGTGGCCTGAACGGCAGCACCGCACCCTACATCGTAACTGGCGAACCGAGCGTCACTGGCTTTGATGTTGAATTGCATGATTGCTGAGACTATCGGGTTATATTTTGTAGGCACGTGCTTCTCCTCCTCTATCAAGGGTCAACAATAAGGACTGTGCATTGGATTGAGGCCGCATAGTGGTCTTCTTCCCACTACTCGATTGCTACATCAATTGTGTTATATCAAGCTATCACTGCCATTCCCCCAGTTCGTTGGTGGCTGACTCTGCTGTCGCTGATTTTGTTGGCCTTGTGTCTGCGCTCTCAGCGCTGCCATACTGTTCATATTCCCACCCTTCATGCTGTTCATACCTAGTCCACCGTTGGCACTTGTGCTTCTATTGCTTGCACCCAAACTCGGAGGCGGCACTATGCTGAATGTTCCGCTGTTCGCTGACTTTAAAGGTGGCGGAGCAATGCTGAAACCTGAGTACGGGCTTGCGGTTTGGTTCTGGCGTTGTTGAGGCTGGGGCTGCGAGGGTGCCATCGCCGAGAAGTTTGAGAGACCGCTTGACATGGTGTTGCCCATAGAAGGGCTGCCCCATGTTGATGCAGAAGAGTTGTTGGCTCTACTCCAATCTACGCCGCCGGAACTGGGCGTTGTGTACGAGGGTGTTGCTGCAGGTTGTGACATCATGCTGTTCATTCCCATTGTAGGCCTGCTCTGCTGCTGCGAGAGAATTGGGCTGCCGATGCCAGGGTTGGAAGGACTCATGGCTGGGAAAGAGGAGTTGAGGGATGAGAAGTTGTTATCAGGTGCCATGGCTCTGCTGTTCACCTGAGGTGCGGAGAGATTCGTAGGTGGGGGTGGGGAGACCGGTGGTGTAGACCAGGAGAAGGTTGCTGGCGCAGGTGAGGAACTGTTGGCCCGGTTTGCAGGTCGCGAAGGCAGAATAGCGGAAGACGATGCCGAAGCATTTGCTGAAGCACTGGCCCACGGGTCGTTCCCTAGCATGTCTGAACCGCCGGTTGCGCCTTGGTTGCCTCGCACCAGCGCTTCGAAGTTTGTATCGTCACCGCCATTCGAGTCGAACCCATTCGACACAGGTGGGCCGCCAAAGCTCATGAACTCGTTTCGCGTGGTCGCACTTGTGCTGTTAGCACCAAGCTCCTGCAACTTGCGCGTCTGCTCCTGCTCAACGCGTGCTGAAGTAGACTTGATCAGCGTCATGTAAGCTTGGAACTGCGGAAGGTTGAGCAACGGCCCCAGACCGAACTGCCACAAGATCGGTAGAATATCCAAAGCCAGGAAATCACCATCAACTTGCGGTGCTATAGCCTTGAAAACATCGTGGGCAGCCATCTAGAGTGGAATGTCAGCAACAGTCTCAGTCAACGTAGAGATTCTCGTACCATAACAGCGGGTTCTTTGGTCTTGATACCCTTGAGCAGCGGCACGACCTTTTCTTGTATCGTGTACTTATCTAAAATCGACACACTGGAACTTTTCGCTTTTGGTGCCTCGACCATTCCGGTCAGACCATCGCTCTGGTAGTCATTCTGATCATCATTCCCACCTCCGCACAAAGTCTTCAGCGCCTCTAGCCCACGGATCTTGATACCCATACTGCTTGTCTTTGCAAAGATCGTCGCAATGACGGGGAAAAGCTCGTTTTTGGTCGTCGAGAAGTCAAGGATAGGAAGAACGATTGGCAGCGTACGCAAGGCTGCATCGACCAGCGAATGTGTCGGTGACTCTAGAGCATAGTTGATGACTGGTAGAATGTCGTCTTTGAACTCCTTTCCACCCGTGTTGTCTGCCGCAACCTGAATGTTCTCTAGTAGAACCATCAGGCCCGCCTCCTTGAGGCTGTCACGCTCTTGTGCTACGCCCTTTGCAGCAGGAGCAGTAGTGGCGAGGAACGTTTCGCGCAGCTTCGGTACGACCTTTTCAGTGAAGGCCCGCTTGCCTGATGGCAGCATGGTGATGATTTTGAAGACATTCTGCAGAATTAACGTCAGGAGCTCGCGGTCCTTCATCTCTTCGAGCAGTGCTGGCAATATCTTCTTCTCAAGCACAGACTTCGGGAACTGGTTTAAAATTCGTGGCAGCCCACGCATGAACTGCGACTTCTCATTCGGCGTCTTCGCTGGTAGGGAGTCGAGGAACCGGATTGTCGAGACCAAGATGTTGTCAAAGTACTGTGCCTGTTGAAACTCCTTTGCGTTTAAGCGCTGTGCTGGTCGCCGTGTGATGAGCCGATCAAGCACTCCATTTGCCACCTCTCGCGGGAGTGGCTGCGAGCTCATGAAGTTATTGTTCTTGCTCGGCACTGAGCCAGATGACGAGAACGCTCGCTTATAGGATGATGCGCTCCCGTTGAATTCCAGTGGACTTTGGTGTGGTGAATTGTAGAGTGCAATGATTAAGAGACCTAGACTGAACATGTCCGCAGCTGGCGTTAGGTTCCCGTCCATGATAAAATCTGGCGAAGTATAGTCGATGTTGAGCTGGACATATCGAGGCAGCCGAGCATCGTAGTTTAAAACTTCCGAGAGAGATATAGGCGTCACAGAGGTTGGCTTCGTCGAGTTCTCTGCAGGAGTAGAGAACCCAAGGCCCGAAATCTTCCAGTCTGACTGCCACATCCATCAGCAGTGTAAAATATGAGAAGAATTGGTATTGCCTACTTTTGCATTGATGAAGATAGCCTCCGGTGTGAGGTTGGCATGAAGCAATCCAGCACTTTCGTGCAGGAACTCCAGGCCCTTGCTGATCTGCAGCAACCCCTTTTGTATCTCCAACTCGTCGATTTCGATTTCCCGCCTGCGCTTCTGTCCGTCCGACTCCTCGACGACAAAGCGGCTGCGGCGACCGCCCACACCTCCAGCTTTCTCTTGTTCATCCTTCTCCTGAAGTAGGCCAGCCAGAGAGGCTGTCACCGGCTCTGTCGCAAACATCAAGCCTCCACCACGAGTCTCCTCAACCGGCTCGGCCAGTTCCAGGATGCTGGGGTGTCGCAGTCGCGCCAGAGAGCTAGCCTCCTTCTTCAGCCTCTCGATCACCTCCTCGTGTGCGCGCTTCAGCTGCGAAGCGCCTGAGCGGCCACCGAGGCCTGCGCCGCCAGGAGGCTCCAGCGACTTCTTCTCGAAGACAAAGACAGAAACCGCCTTGCCTGTTGACTTCTTCTTCGCATCGTATATCTTCCATGGTCCAGAGTAAGACGAGGGCTGGGCGCTGAGCGTGTAGTTGCCGGAGATGTTCGATTGGAACGATTTCAGCGCGTTGGAAAACATCTTGGTCTATTTGCCCGCGCGGCAATCGTGAGGGTACGAGGCAGGCACGTCATGGACTGTTATGCGAACAGTTGAGGTTTCGGGCTTGCGTATGCGGTCTGAGACTGACAGCTTGCCGAAAGGTCAAGGCATGCCAGGGCGCCTTCAGGTGAACACCAAGATGACGTACACTTGAAGCTGAATAGCGCATGCAAAGAATTGATACAAGTCTGTCTCTTGCGCCTAACACATTCCACACAACTTTAGCATCACTAGACAAGACCCTTAGCTAGCCCTGCCCAAGACATCGGCCATCCATGCCAACGCGCTCCCGCCCGCGCCTCAGGCAACGAGTTCCACTATCGATAAGGCACGTGCGCGCGCGCCAGCATTCCGCCTTGTAACAATTTCTCGACGCCATCAACCTCTCACACGCCGACACCACCGCCTTCCTCGATCTCACACGCCCTCACCGCCACACGTCTCTCTCACCTACACCGCAACCGATCCACCGCACACCCCCAAGATGTCCACACAACAGAACGGCGGCTACAACGCCAACACCTCGGAAGCGCAGCAGCAGGTCGACATCAACGCGCGCACAGTGCACTACAAGTGCGGCGACTGCGACCAGGACGTTCCGCTGAAGCGCGGCGAGCCGATTCGCTGCAGGCAGTGCGGGCACCGTGTGCTGTACAAGCAGAGGACAAACCGGTGAGTGACTCGAGTTCTGCTTTGCGCGTGGGCTGGCGGTTAGATACCGGGTCTGTGGAGGAAGGAGGGGGGATTAGAGTGGAGGTGGTGGTTTCGCAACTGTCGGGCAGACGGCCGTGAAAGGAGAGCGTATGTGTGGACAATTGCTAACGTTGGCGCAGTATGGTGCAGTTTGAGGCACGATGAGAACAGGATGTCTGCGATGATTGTGCGCATTCCCACTAGAGAAGAAGCACTGGCACAGACTTGAGAATAACTGGATGCGGACTTGAGAGGGTCGCAAACCCTGGGGGACCTCAGTCACACGAGCATGGAGTTACTGGCGATTTAGGAAAACGAGTGCTACTACGATGCATGTAGAAAGAGGGCTGTTTTGATCAAGCCCATGGAACAAATCATGATGGCAAAAGATATCATTACGTTTGCTGTGAGCGCAAAGTGGGGTTTCACATTGTTTGATTTCTCGCCCAACTCCTCACAATCCCAATACCTATCTGATACCTCTGCAAAGGTGTTCGTGATAGATGCGCTATCACCCGACAATCTGAGGGACGACCCAACCACCGCAGCCTGCGCCTTAGCTGTTTCATCCTGAGGCCGCTCACATGACTCCAGCAAGGCATACCTATCCTCGATACTCCCGATGATCACAGAATGTATGCTGAACGACGACGTAAAACATGAGTGCAGAAATGAGGCCCAACGCCTAGGCGATGCTTGTATACGATACCAAAGCCTGCAAAAACGATATGCAATTGTGCAGTGTATCGTCGCGACCAGTCGACGAGCACTTTATGCACCCCGGAAAGCATCGAAACGCTTGTATGTGTAACCGATGAAAGGCAAGCTGGTGGCATATTCGTCGTCTCCGGATTGCGCAGCTTGTGCTCTGTAAGCAGCGCTGTTGTCGTTCTGGTCGATCTCGTCAATGGGGAAGTACTGAGTATCAACGTTCGACTGCAACTTCGGCTCGAACGGCGCACGGATGCGTCGCAGACCATCCCACGAGACACCGCGGAAGAAAGGATGCTGCCTGATTTCGCTGGCACCACCGATGCGGCCTAGACGGTGGTCGGCATCACAAATCAGGCTAAACCGGTTTGTCAGTCACGAATCAGTCATGACAACGCGAGGGAAACTCACCGCCTCACAAAGTCCTCCGCCTCAGCACCGAGCTGCTGGTCCGGTGGGAAGTGCAAGTTGCGTGGCCAATCCACGATCTTGCGGTATGTGTCATGGGGCTCCTCCGCGCAGAAGGGCGGCCAGCCGATAAGACATTCAAACATGATGGTACCCACAGACCACCAATCGCAGCCAAAGTCGTATCCTTGGCCGCTGAAGATCTCTGGCGCGATGTAATCGGGTGTACCGACGGTGGAGTAGGCCAATTGGCGGCGAGATTTCCTCCAAGTATTAATCTGTGTACGGTTGCTGACTGTCAATTGGATCTGATCCATGTTCATGGAGTTTCGGTTATCCCGGTTCGACTTGTGGGCGCCACCAGCAAGCAGCTTCTTGTAGTAGCCTGCGTCGTGCTCTTTGTGGAAGCCTGTTGACAGACCAAAATCAGTCAGCTTGATATGACCGCCGCGGTCCAGAAGAATATTGTCAGGCTTGATGTCACTTCGAAGCGTCAGCACAGGCTTCGAAGAACTCGTCGTCAGTCAAGCTTACCGATGGATAAAGCCCAGCTTGTGAACAGCTTCGATGGCGAGAACGATCTCTGCCATGTAGAATCTTGTAATATCCTCCGTGAAGATCTCGTACTTGATAAGCATAGTCATCAGATCACCACCGGGCAAGAACTCCATAAGCATGTATAAGAAGGTGTTGTCCTGGAATGTGGTGTGCAGCTTGACCACCCAGGGACTGTCAGACTCGGCGAGGATGTCACGTTCGGATCGTACGTGTGCAAGCTGGTCTTTCTTGAACTGTAGGGCATTAGTGTTGTGTTCGTCGCTACCCAGCGTTGGGGGTTGGTTCATACCATCTCCTGCTTGACCAGCGACTTGAGCGCGTAGATCTTGCCGTCGTTCTTACGTTGAACAAGCTTGACCTCGCCAAAGGCACCCTTGCCAATCACCTTCAGGGTCGAGAAGTTGTCAGGCTTCTCCTTTGTTCGCAGGAATCGCAGATACTGAATTTCGGCATTGCGCATACTGTTCTCCTTCTGAGCCTTGCGGTTGTCGGAGATCGAAGGTTCCTTCATGATCGACTCGAGTTCCAATGCTCTGTCATCGTGTCAGTGTTGTGCAGGGCGACGTTGGAACACCTCGTACCTCTGATTGCGGTCGCGCGCTCGCTGAACGCTGTCCTTGAAGAAGGTGTTGATCAAGCCCTTGGACATGGTCGCCTGCTGCGCGATGTTGGTTGAGTACTTCTCAGGGTTCCTGGCTGGTGCCTCCTCGTCATACAGCGACTGCGATGGCTGTCGGGGTGCAGCGCCGCCTCCGTAGCTACCATATCCGTAGCCTCTGTTGTCAGCAGTACGAGGTCGCTGCTGGCTCGGCGAGGGCTGACGACCGTAGGGGCTTCCGGAGCGGTTGCTGCCACCTCCGAGGTGCTGCTGCGAAAGTTGCTGGGCTAGTCCATTGGGGCTCTGATCGAAGCGAGCTGACCCCGGGGCCTGCAAGTTTCCCTGCTGCCCTTGGTATTGTGCCTGCTGGTAAGGGCTTTGGAAGTAGCCCGAGTAGCTGCTGGCGCCGCCCGGTGGCTGGTGCTGCTGGTGCTGCTGCGCGCCCCAGACTTCCTGCTGGCCAGCCTGGTTCGGATACACAGGCTGTGGAAACGTCGATGGCGTGGTGGGAAATGCACGGCCTTGCTCCTGGGCATACTGGTTGTTGCGGTCACCCCCACCACCAAAGCCAAAGTTGAGCTGCAGGCGATTGCCCTGCTGCTGGTTGCTCATCGTGTAACGAGTGCGGGGCTGAGGCGGCCTGCAAAGTCCTCCTCAATGTGCTGTGGTTCGAAGAGTGTCGTGGGCGGTGTGCTCAGTAGAGAAGTCCGCAATGTTTTCGGAGGGGGATCTAGGGGAGTGCGCAGGATCGCGGGAGAAGAGCGAGCGGACGGAGGAACGAAACTGCGAACTTTTTATCAGACTGCACAGAGCGTTGGACGAACCCCCGAGAGGCAAATCACAGCGAACAACTGGCGAGAGGGGGAGGCGGACGGGGGGTTGTTTCGTCAAGAGCTCAAGTCAGGGAGTCGGTTCTTAGCGTACCTGGGTAGCGTTGGGCCATGCAGCCAGTCCCACGGGCCGAGCCAATGGCCCAAGACCCGGTTCGCAATGTGGACTTGAAGGATTCCATCTGGCTGTCCTGTCGAAATCAAACCTCCGCTCGCTGAGCTTCATCTTCGCGTAGATTGCATGTGCTCGCTGCTCGTGCTCACAGTTACAGAACGTGCTTTAGTTTCAGGGTCCGCTAGCCAAAGTTCCATCCCTTTGACCACTTTCCATCGATGCTTTGGTCATGTGACTCAACATTTCAGTGCCCCTCTCAAGAAGCCTCTGTTCGCCTCTTCGATGGCTGCTCGTACCGTCCATGTGCACCACGAGCGCTAGGCGCGTGTCGCGTGCGGCGCCTCCGTTCGAATCGTCCATCACACAGCTTTAGCTTCGAGGCAAGTCACGCGGGGAAGGAGAATAATCGGGTATGACAGGTGTGACATTGCTTTAGCTGTGCTAAGACGTCTAAGATAACGCGTCGACATTGATACATTACACCGTTATGGTACAGCATCCAAGAGGACTGCTAAAGAGTACACAAAATATCCAAAGCGGCTTGAAGCCATAACATCCAAACACCGCACTACAGTATGTCTGCAGGGCAGCCATAAATCTAGAAAGACAAACAGCGTTGCGACCGCTGTAGGGTATAGAAAAGTGGCCAGCGAAGGCACTGACCACGATGGAGATTCCAGGTACATGCCTGGGGCTCCAAAAAAAGTGTGCGTTGTGAAGTTTAACATGCGTACGGTCGTGACGCAAAGTGTAAATGCAGTGTCAGGGAAAACGCCAGAGACAAAAGCTTACGAACTCGAGCATACGCCAGCGTTGGTACATGCTGCTGGCCGAAATTATGTAAGGTAAGAACGTCGTGTCCAGCGAGCGCGGGGTGGATTAGTAAATTATTCGTTGGAAGCCATCAGTATCTTGACTTTCTCACGCTCGGCGAGAATGTCGGCCTGCAGTCGCCGTGTCTGGCGGAGGGCCTCATCTCTGTCAAGTTGTTAATGCCATGCAGTCAATCAGCGGGTTCTACACTCACTTCTCAAATTGCAACTCAGCAACCTCAATCTGAGCAATGTTCATACGGCTGACTACTTCCTCCATCTCGCGGTCAGCATCTCGGAGAGCTCTCTCGAGCTCCCCGACACGCTTCTCGAGCAGTTCTGTCTTGGTCGCTTCGGCCATGGTCATGGCAGGACCGCTTGTGGTCATATCAAGGCGGGGTGATCGTTGAGAGAACACTGGCGACGACGGCATGTTGGGTGAGAAGGCAGACGTGCTCAACAAACCAGACTTGGCGCGACGCAGCTGGCTGTTTTGGCTCTCTTTCAGAGATTGCACCTCTAGCTCGTGTTTGTTAATGGCCTCTTCGGATGACTGTTGGGCAAGCATGACTTTGTCCTCTGCGGTCTTCAAACGTCGTTCGAGTTCGATGATCTGATCCGTTGACTTCTGCTGTTCCTCTTCTCCTCGAGAGATAGCATCAGTCAAGCGTGCTCGTAGAGAGCCGTTGGCCTCCAATTGCTGTTGAATCCTGTTGGACAGCTCGTCCATGCGATTTGCAGCAGCAAACAACTCGACGCTGAGCTTCTGTTCTTTGCCGATGTGTTCAAGCTCTGACTTTTGCAATTGTCGTGCTTGCTTGCGGTACTCTGCAGCTTCGCTCATAGCAAAATCTCGCTCCGCCTCGGCATCTGAGATGCTGCGCTTCAATAGATCGAGAGTTCTCTCAGCTTCAGCACCGGCGGCGCCCAAGGAGTCGTTGTTGCTAGACTCCAACTGCTGGATGCGTGCGATGGAAAGTGCTTGTGTCGTTTGCAGCTCGTTATATGCCTTGTCTAGAGAAATGGGTTCGTTCTCTAGGCGGATTTCAGGAATGGTGATGTCGTGCTCCCGAAGCAGCTCACGGAGAGAGCTTGTCTCTTGTTGCGCGCGATCGAGATCCATACGTAGTCCACCAAGACCTTTCTCACATTGCCATTTCTGCTCTAATGCATCGTCGGCGCGTTGCCGAAGGGCGTCTACCTCTTGTCTGAGATCACCGACCTCTCTATGGAATGCGGTCCGACGGGGCGTAAGATTGAGAGCAGCGTCTCTTTCAGCTTCAAGCTCCTTTATACGTTTTGTAAAGTCTCTTTGCTGCATCTCCTGTCGATGCAGAAGATGCTTCAGAGCCTTGTGGAGCGCATCGCGCTGCTCCTCCAGTTCCTTCACGGGATTGCTGACAGTGGGTACGTCTGCGGGAGAGCTGTCGCCCGACCTATTCTTCACAGAATTTGATCGCATCAACGAATTTCTCTTCGAATTGAACCCAGTACTACGGGCTAAAGAATTTGACCGTGTCAACCCGACGCGGAGAGTTGGTGGCGGCGCGTCGTTCTCCTCTTCCGCGATGGATTGTATTCCAAGGCTGGCCTGTGGCAGCGGCGTTGTCTCCAGGTGCAGTTTTTTGGCAGCAGCAAGGGTCTGGTTCTCGCTCCGAAGTTGCTGAATCTCTTGCTGCATACGTGTGGTTTCAAACACCAGCCTTTCGGTATCGGCAGCCTCCACTTCCAAAACCTCGAGGCGAGATTTCAATTGGGGGACCACTTGTTCCCGTAGATGATCGGCTTCGTTGCGGTGCTTCTCGAGTTCCTCGCGCAATGCTGAAAGTAGATCCTCGAAGTTCTCTTTGACCTGTCGTTCCTCAGCCAGACGTCTCTTAGCATCTTCCAACGACGTAGACAAATCCCTAACTCGAGGGTCTTCAATCATAGATCCTATTCTGGACCGGTCGCTGACCTGATCTTCAAGTTGCTGAACTTGCTCTTCCAGGTCGCGACGACGTCTAAGTTCTTCTTGCAGTCGCTCAGCCATGCGCACCTTCAAGGATGCACGCTCTTGCTCTGCCTTTCTGCGTTGTGTGTCTATTTCTTCCATCTTGGCTTCAGGATCACTGACAGGGAATCGAATGGTGCTTATCCCTGAATCGGAGTAGTAGTCACTCGTTCTTCTGTTGTCCTGTGACATAGCTGAAGTACTTTCTGCTTTCCAGCGCTCAACCTCGTCTTCCAGGTCCATCTCTCTCTTGATCGAAGAGGCGAGCTCTGAGCTCACCTCGCGCAGTTCGCGCTCGAGCTCCTCAACGTGAGCATTCATTTGGGGCGATGATGACAGAAGTGGTGTCCCGGGAACATTAAAGTAGGAAGACGATGAGTTGGCAGCTGGAATGTCTAGGCCGTTAGGTTTTGACTTGGCCGGTGTGTTCCCTTGTTTGTTCCGCGGCGAATTGGTCGGCGATAATGAGAATGTGGTAGCCGGCGACTCGGGACCGTTCTGGTTTCTCGACGAATTCCACCCAAAGAAGGATGTGAATCCACCGCTGGGGGACTTGGGCTTGCCTTGTTGTGTAACGTCGCGCGGCGCGTCGTCTTCGCCGTACGAGTAATCGTCCATGAAATCTTCAGCGACACCATCGAGCTTGATCTTCAGATCCGGTTCTGGCCGCGAGTCTGAGGCGTACAGGGGCATGTTCGGCATAGTAGGGGAGCGAGCGTGCGTCTTGAGATCTCCTACTCTCGTCGGTCCTTGTGGCTGGAGGTTGCTGACGGACCTCTCATGCCGCGGAGAGTTCACGGCGGGGCTGCGAGTCGTGACTGAGAGGGAGCTTTTGCGGGGCTCAAAAGGCTTTGGCGCAGTTCCTGTCAGAGGAGTGGTTCCGTGTGGGTTGCTGCGGCGGTGTTAGCAATTGGCAGGCGCATAGCATGCCTGACGCGTACCTGTCGAGGTTCCTGGGCACAAATAAGCCTTCGTCGGTCAACGGTGGCGAGAGTACTGAATTAGGCGGACGATCTTTGGCGGTGATGCTATTAGAGCGCAGGCTCGACTGGGAAAATCGAGCAGCGACGGGCGAGTCTGCTGGTAGAGGCTTGCGTCGAACCGGCGACTGGACTGCGATAGGGACAGGCTGTGACGATGTCTGGGAGCGGAAGGCAGCAAAGGATTGTATGGCAATGGAGGCCAGTGTCGAGGGCTTCTGGCGAGGCGGCGAGGCTGGAGCTTGTGAAGAAGGCGCTCCCACGCCAGAAGCTCGGGCGGCTTGCATATTGTCCATACTATGCCCCGGGGGAGATCATTACTTTGCACAAATCGCGGGTCTAGAGTGGGAGACCGAGTGTGCACTGCGAATCGTAAACGCTAGAAGAGGCACTGGTTAAGGGGGACTGGGACTGCCGAGCGAGCCGCACGAGCAGGGCGAAGAGCACTTGGAGGTCTCAGTGCCGATCGCAGTGCTAGAATTGGTCGTTATCCACGCGCCCATCAACCAGTCCTGGCCAGTCTTGACCGAGGGCGGTTCGCGCTGCGCGAGTGGAGCGTGCCGCGCGCCAGGGGAGGTCGCCGCGCTGCAGGAACACGTTCTGTCCGCCAATGAGCCGCTGAGCCAAGGGTCGGACGCAGAACACGATTCGAGCCGTGGGAAGTGGTTATAAGGGCTTGTTGTTGATTTGAGGACACGCAAAGAGTGACAGACTCGTGTGGATGTCGCCCCTCGCCTACTCCGTCCTGACAGTTGCCTTTGAACATTCTGATGCCTTAGCTAGCCGTCGGCCTTCGCTGCAGGGCAACGGTGAAACAGCATGTGCAGGAAGTCCGTCATCTCCATCACAAGACATGCATAAACGCAATCGGGCCCAAGTCTGCGGATTGTTTGCGGTTTGCCTCGACTTTCGTATCATGCACTGCGAATGGCGCAAGCAATCTTCCTGCGATGGCTAAATAGGGATATGTGCCTGAGGCCGAGGTCTGCATGTGGCAAGTGCATCCCTGGCGAGCGGCAGGGTCTCTTCTGTGACCATGACAGATGAGGCTTCCATGCTGTGGAGAACGCGTCTGGCCGAGTGCTAAGTCTCCGCTCATGGAACGCAATCTCTGGAAAGACGTGCCCCTGAAGCGCAACCTCACTCTACTGGTTGTCGAATCGCACGCTGCTGACTCGCGCCACGGTGACTTGTCGGCCCGTCGAACTCCGTCACCACGTGCATTGTCACACAAGTGGACGACTGTCCGGCAGTGCTTCACGTGCTGATTCGGTATACGAGCATCGCATATACTAAATCCCATTACTACCTCCAGTATGGCTTTCCAATCGCCTCGCCATTCTCAGGGCTTCTATCAACATGACGACTCTACCCCTCCACCTCCCCCACCTAAGCCTGGAAACTCAAGTGGCACGGCAACACCATCAGCAGGTCGGCCGCTGCCACCGCCGCCCGGGCAAGCGCAGTCTTACAATAGCTCTCAACTAGCACATTCGCAAAATGAACCGCAGGCCGATCCATATCAGCTAGCCGTTCAACCACCCAATGACGCTTGGCTGCCTGAATTCATCAGAGATAAAGCGTACGTTGGTCCTCAGATCGACATGCGCAAGCAACTCATGTGAAAATAGAACGAAAGATCTGCATGAAATCTTGCAGAGCCCGGAGTTGCAACATGCAATCGTCCATAACCCTGAAACGGCTCATGCGTCTCTCGGTGCATCAACTGTACCACTGCAAGCACTTCTCGCTCAGAACGTCCAGCTTGCAGAATCACTGAAGCAGCTCGAAGCGCATGTACAGCACCAGCGCGACGGTACACAGTCACGCTTACTAGCACTTCGGGCCACGGAACGCCAGTGGAAAGCAAAACAGGCAGAGCAGGACGAAGCTTTGCGGGAGTTCAGTCCACCAGCACTCTACCAGCGATTAAGTGCTGCAGTTGGTGAGCAAGAGGCTCTTTGTCGGGGGTTAGAGGAAAGCTTCCTGGAAGGCGAGGGTGTAGGTCATGATGCGATTGCCAGTGAACGTGAGGTGATGGATTTCGTGAGGCGCATAAGAGAAGGGCGAAAGATTGCTTATCTTAGGGCTGAGCGGAAAGAGAGGTGGGATGAAGGTCGCGTTGGTGGATGGCGCTGAGATTGTACACTGCAGTCAGACGTATAAGGCAGGCGCAGACTGTGTGCTCTTGTCATGCAACAACCTACGATCATGCAGGTATCATCTGCCAAAATGGCAGGGAAGCTTGGAATGGCAGTAGCCGACCAAGGTGATCTGTTTGCTTGATGCGTCACTTGGCTTCAAACCCAACCCAGGCATTTTTGTGCCATCGCCACTCGCAACTTCATCGTACTATCTTTCCTCCCAGCGCATTCTTCCAGCAACAGTACATTCGCTCATCAACATGCCTTCAACTGATTACTACGGTAACCGCTTCGGACGCAGGTTCAGACCCTTCAATCTACGACTTCGATTCAGAAAACGTACCCACGCTCCTCTTGATAGCATAAACAGCAACGCAATTCTCCCAGAAGCCAGCGATGAAAAGGAAAGAGAAGATCCCCAAATCAAAGTTGACATCAATGCCATCAGATCGTCTGAGGGCGGGGCGGAGGCTTCGTATCACCCATTGTCACCAGCGTCCATATTGACACAAAGACGAATTGAGCAAACGGTAACGCGTGTACAACTTGAGAACCTCTTGCGAGAGCAAGCGATACTTATGTTATACTCGTCTCTCCGTCTCACACGATCCACTAACCGCGATACAGATCTCGTCTCCCTTGTGTACGCTGATAATCAGCTTCCAGCTCATCGCTTCGATGTGTGCACCACTTCCACGACAGAGGCTGTCCTGCAGGGAAATCCGTCTAAAATCTACATCACACGAGCGATCATGCATACTGGTATGCCAACCTTGAGCTGGCGCGTCATTAAAACGGGGACTGGAAGCTTCCCCACTCTCGTGGAGAGCTTAGAAGACTTTATACATGAGCTACGGAGGGATCTTGGGATACGTGCAGGTGAGTCTCAATCTGCTGTTAGAGAAAGACTATCTTCTGACTCTTTCAGCACAGCTGGACATGCTCCAGGACAATCCTGGCTCGGTACACAGAATTGATCAACCGCTCATTGATGTGACAAATGAAGGCCCAGAAGAGAGGTTTATTGGTCTTCGAGCAGGCAACAGTAACGGATTGCATGCCGTTGGCTGAGCCAACGTAGTGAAGAGAAGCAGTGACAGGAAACTGCAACGACTTATGGTGCTATACACTCGCATGATAGGACTCACTCGATAGTTGCATGGATTCATGATGTCAGAAGCTGGAACCAGCTTGCCATGCTACAGATTTTCAGTCTCTACTGGTCGATTTCTTCGATGTCCTGTATGTGACGCTTTGCTGAGGACAGGTAGAAGTTACTAAGCCTGTCACCCACAACTTTAGAAGCACACTCCGATGAATCTACCCAGCCCATCTGTCTGTGGGGGCTTTATATGTCGCCGGAAACTTGCCTCGGAGACTTCCTCGGAGACTCCTCGAGACTTAGTGTTCTAGTGCCAGCCCATCTCTCACACAGTGCCAACGCGAATATAGACGACTACTACATAGCCCGACGGAAATTAGCACAGAAAGGCACGGTCTTGATGAGTGCTGCTAGACCCAGCTACTGCTTCCTTCAAACAGCTAGGTACACGACGCAGCCGCATGAAAGTCTCCGGGTACGAGCTCAGACAAGCAACATAAGTCGGACGCACCCAGAATTTAGCTTTGGACTATCAAACGCTTTCAGAGCTCATCAGCAATACTTTCAGTTTTCACCGTCAGGGCCAAAATCTCCTCTACCGACATGACAGCACTCCGACCTCACATCTTCGACGCTCTGATCGTTGGAGCAGGTCCCGCGGGACTAAACGCTGCGCTTGTGTTTGCACGCACCCAAGGAACAGCAATTGTATTTGACTCGCAACAGTATCGTAACGAGGGGATCAAGCATATGCACACAGTTGCATCCAGAGATCATCAGGACCCATACATGTTCCGCCGCACAGCTCGGGAACAAATTGAGTCTCGCTACGATACCGTCTGGTTCCAAAATGCAACGATTACTCACGCGACCAAAAAACAAATTGGCCACGATGGGTACGACGGTTTCGAAGTTCGCGACAGCAAAGATGAGACTTACTTTGGAAAGAAATTGATCCTGGCTACTGGTTCGAAAGACATCATGCCTGATATCGCAGGTTACAAGGAGAACTGGCCCGAGCATATCTACCAGTGTCTTGCATGCGATGGCTTCGAGCAGCGCGGCACACCCATCGGCGTCCTTGAATTCAAACACCCGTCACAGTCGCATCTTGTCCAGATGACCAAGGCTTTCGACAGCAGAATCACGATCTTCAGCAACGGTGGGATCTCCGATGATCCCCCGGTTCAACAGGCCCTCGACGTGGCCAAGGCCTTCGGTGCTAAAGTGGACTCCCGCAAGATCGTGCGTCTTGTCAACAACGGGCCTACTCATGCGGAGGGAGTGACAATAGAGTTCGAAATCGGAGAGCCAGTGACACTGGGCTTCATTGCACATCGTCCCGATACCGTAAACCGGTCACAGCATCTCATCGACCAGCTAGGAATCGAAACGGTCGATCCGGCGATGGGCGGGTATATCAAGGTTATGAATCCAATTTTCAATGAGACGAGTGTGAGGGGTGTGTTCGCAGCGGGTGATACAATGGTGGTCATGAAGCAGGTGGCCGTTGCGATGGCTGAGGGGTTGAAGGCAGCGGCGGGCGCGGGAATGCAGATTGCGCAGGAGGAGGCTGAACTTGTTGCCCGGCAACATGAATCGAAGGTGGAAGAATTTGAGGGCGTTTCTATCATATCGTAGGAGGCAAGAAGTGGAAGGGTTCCTGTTGATAGTCACAAACAGCATCCTAATTCGCTAATGATCAGTATTAAGGATTGGTTCATACTTTTTGGCGACCTTCAGTCTTGAGCATCGCATCTGCATTGTTGCAAGTAATTCCATGCTCTTAGGCATTGAAGAGCTCTAGGTAAGTGCTTCTTGTGTCCTATAACTAATAGCGTTCTCGAGTCAAGCGGTTGCATACTCTTCGCGAGGAATGAACAAAACGGCTGCTTCCTCGCAAGCAGCGCTGTCGGTATTGTTAAGGGCGCAGAATAGAATCGGCCTGTATACCGAGCAAGGAACTATTTCAAGACTATTACGAAGTAGCAAGTTGGCCTGGCCTCGTCGTATTGTACCTAGTTAGCTCCCGTTCCCTGCCCCACCCGAAGGCGTCGATCAAAAAATGCGGGGAAAGCAGCAACACCATTCGCTGACTCGGGCGCGGGTGACAACCTCGGTGTATCAAGTGCTACCCCGATTCCAAAGCTAGTAACCATGCATCGTTCTTCGGCTACTTGTTCTATGTCTAACGGCCTCATCGCTCTGCATCCGGCTCAGGTTGACTTCACTTTTCCAGACCTTGAAAGAGATACATCAACAGATCATCATAGATGGCTTGTAAGTTACAATATTGCCACACGCGCTGTGTCCCGAGCCAAGCTGACAGCCCAGTGATTGCTGCAGGAGCAGCTGGCACAGCAGCCATAGCTGCCTACCTAAACGCAAAGTTCCATATCGTATACGATCTGCAGAATGCTCGTGGTGGTCTTGCACCGTCACCAGATGTGATCGACTATATCACTGATCGGGTGGTAAAGAAGCGAGTATTAACCTACCACATCTTGGAAGACCACGCTCTGCGCAATCGACCGAACCATCCATTCTTGATCTTCGAGGGCAAGACATGGACATACAAGGAGTTCTTCGACGCGATTACAAGGGTTGGGAACTGGCTCATGAATGACCTGGGAGTGCAGGTCGGGGAGGTTGTCGCGATTGACGGAGGAAACAGTCCAGAATACTTGATGATCTGGTTTGCATTGGATGCGATTGGCGCAAGCATAAGCTTCATCAACTGGAATTTGACTGGAACAGGTCTTGTGCACTGCGCCAAGGTCAGTAGAGCACTCTGTGTATGAGAACGGCAACTGACACTGTCCTAGTTGTGCGAAACCAGACACCTCATTGCAGACACCGATGTCAGAGGCAATGTCGAAGCCAGTCGTACTGAGCTGGAAGGTCTTGGGGTCACAATCCATTACTACAACCCGACATTCATGGCTTCGCTATCTGATAGCACAATTATCCCTGAGTCGCGACGAGAGAACGTCAGCGTGGAATCAGTCCGTGGATTAATCTACACCTCTGGAACGACTGGCCTCCCCAAAGCTGTGGCCATGACTACCGGCCGTGAGCTGCTCGTCGGATACTCAACAGCACGGTATCTGGGCTTGAAGCCAGAAGACAAGATGTATACATGTATGCCTCTTTATCACGGCGCAGCACATGGCTTATGTGTCACACCCACCATCCATGCCGGTAGTACTGTGGTGCTTGGTCGAAAATTCTCGCACAAGACATTCTGGCCTGAAGTCGCAGCATCAGGTGCAAACCATATCCAATATGTAGGAGAATTGTGCAGATACCTGCTCAACGGCCCTCCAAATGCCTATGAGCGCAAACACAATGTCAAGATAGCATGGGGAAATGGCATGCGTCCAGACGTGTGGGAGCCATTCCGCGAGCGCTTCAACATCCCCGTCATCAACGAGCTCTATGCAGCTACTGATGGACTCGGTGCAACGTTCAACCGAAATGCTGGGCCGTTCACAGCGCACACAGTTGGTCTTCGAGGTCTGATTTGGAACTGGAGGTTCAAAGATGAGGAGGTCAGAGTGAAGATGGACGTCGATACGGAAGAGATCATGCGCGACGAGAACGGCTTCGCGATACGATGTGGTACGGACGAGCCTGGGCAAGTACTGCATCGCTTGACTCCAGAGACTTTGCCGAGTGTCCCAGGATACTATAATAACGACGGAGCGACTGCGAACAGGAGGATAACAGACGTGTTTCAGAAGGGAGACATGTAAGCGGTGGTGGTCCTAATCGAATACTTGAAGGCTGACAGCACCTAGGTGGTTCAAATCTGGCGACATGATGCGACAAGACAGCGACGGCCGCGTGTTCTTTGTCGACAGGTTAGGCGACACGTTCCGTTGGAAGTCCGAGAACGTATCAACGAATGAAGTTGCAGACATGATCGGCAAATTTCCACAGATCGCAGAAACCAACGTGTATGGTGTGCAAGTCCCAGGCTACGACGGTCGTGCGGGCTCAGCATCGATAGTCATGGCGGAGGGCGTGACAGACTCGACGTTTGACTTCCAGGCGTTGGCGAGACATGCCCGAGCGGTGCTGCCTGGTTATGCCGTGCCGCTCTTTCTACGGGTGACGTCTGCGTTGGAGTACACAGGGACGATGAAGATCCAGAAAGGCAGGCTCAAGAAGGAAGGTGTGGATCCGGATAAGATCACTGGTGACGACAGGCTGTACTGGCTGCCCCCCACTGGCGATCGATACCAACCATTTGGGAGGAAAGATTGGGAAGGCATCAAGAACAAGAGTGTACGACTCACATAGTTTCGAGACCATAACATGTAGAGAATGAGCAAATTGTACGAAGTGGTCTGAATCGTGGTCAAATCCTCGTGAATGTGAAGGGTGGTGCACGTGCGCGATTGCAAGGGTTCGCGCTAGCGCGGTGGCGTTGCTTGATCAGCTCAGCCCTACGAACTCCGCCTTTCAACATTCACGAATTGCCGCACTCAAAGCCTCACTCTCTCCAATCCGACTGCTCACTCCGTACGACTTCACGAAGTCCAAGACCTCCGTATCGTACACCAAACACCAGAACCGAAAGCGCATAGACTCGAAAAGATGGGCAAAGCGGAAGCTGGAAGTTCGAAATGGGTCGCGAACAAGATGAAGTCCAAGGGACTTCAAAGGCTGCGCTGGTGGTGTGAAATCTGCCAAAAGCAGTGTCGCGACGCCAATGGCTTCAAGTGCCACGTCCAGTCCGAGTCGCACGTTCGCCAAATGCAGGTCGTTGGCGAGGACCCACGCAAATTCATCAACCAGTTTAGCAACGACTTCCAGCGCGACTTTGTCGCCCTGCTACGCACAGCGCACAATGAGAAATGGATTTCCTCGAACAAGTTCTACAACGAATATATTCGCGACAAGGAACACGTACACATGAACGCGACGAAATGGCCTAGTTTGGGCGAGTTCGTCAAGCACTTGGGTCGTGAGGGCATATGCCACGTCAAGGAGGACGAGAAGGATGGCTTGATGATCGCCTGGCGCGATACCAGCATCGCGGCAGTCAAGCGCAAGGAGGAGATCGCTGCGCAAGAAGCCGCGGAGGCGCGGAGCGGCGCCGGCGAGGATAAGATGCTGAAGAGAATGGCGAAGCGCGCTGCGGAGGAGGCAGAAGCCAAGAAGGCCATCGAGGCGAAGAGGGCTGCAGCCGCTGCTGCAGCACAGCCGAAGCAGAACCCAACACCGCCCGCTGAGGGTGACTCGCCGGTAGCGGAGAAGGCTGACTCACCGGTCGAAGGAGAGAAGAAGGAAGGCGAGGAGGCAGTGCCAGCACCGGCTGCGGCACCGGTGAAGCTGAGCTTCGGTATGAAGGCGAAAGCTCTTCCCCCGAACAAGGCCGGGCTCGGTCAGATGAAAAGCCAGAGTATCTTCAAGCGCAAGAAGGACGATGGCGCGGAGCAGAAGCCGGTCAAGAAAGTCAAGCTATAAATGGTCGACTTTTGCAAACATCACACTTGATTATGCATAGCGTGGCGTATGGGAACTGCGGGTTTATAGGGAGGTACAAGATTGGCGTTGCGTTGCGCATGTATTCTATTCTGAAGCACAAACGGACGTCTGATGGGACGTGGTTGGTTAGCTGATCAATTTCAGACTTGCCTTGAGCGAAAAGCAGTCATGTTTGCCCATCAAACGATGATACCACTCTGATTAGATCGCTTCACTCATACTGCTTTCGTTGAGAGCTCCTGCTGCGTGTGGTGGAGTCCCCTGGCCGCACTTGCCTATTACTTCACGATATACTAACCGCTGCCTCTCACCTCAACCTACTTTCTTGGTTCACCGACACGATGCGAGAGCTAATTCGCGCTTTTGGCGCTGCTTGGCTTACGGTTCTTGCTGTAAGCAAGGCTGTCATCCAACCATTTCCCTTCACCGATGCGACTCACTTACTCAGCAATGCATCTTCGCCACGAATCGCAGTCCCTTTCGGCAGTCTCGAGGGTGTCAAATTCTCTGAGCCTTCACTGGTCCAAGCTGCTGGATTCAACTTTGATCCAAACAACATTGCCAACGACGCAACGTGGACTAAGTACACAAAGAAGGGTGAGTGGTATGGTTGCCTATTGGATATGACGATCGAGCAAGCTGGAAAGGGCTTGAAAGATCCGCGAACACCACCATTTGCTGAGTCTAAGTGGCAGGGAGACTTTCGGAGTAAGTTTCCCTCGTCTAGGGATCACTCATACAAAACTGATCTTGCCCAGACGAGGTTTCAAAATGGGGCTGGCGTGAAGGCTTCTACGAGCCCGCAATCTTCTGCGACTTCCGCGATGACCCGAACTTGCAAGTAAAGAACAAGATCAGCACCGCCCTGTTAGAACTTGAATTGAGCCTGCTCCCTGTTGGTAGAGGAGGAGACAATGAATGCTACTCCATCGAACACTTTCACGAGGACTTAGTCGACGAAGAGGGCTACGAAGTGCCCATCGAAGATCAGTCATACGATGTTGATAACCAGGAGTACCCGTGTACGGGCGCATACTACCGGTTCGCTGTGAACAAGAAAGGCGGAGCAATCTTCGCACAGGACCTCCTGAAACCTCAAATCGCCGCTGACCGAAACATCGATGAAGAGGTCTTGCCGGAGGAACTACCTCAAATCTCCCGTGCTTCGGACATTATGTGGTTGTACTGGTACCGGAACAATCCCACACCGCGGGAACTACACAGCTACTTCGTCAACCACGTCCAGAACAGCGACACCCTCCAGCTCGTCGCCCGCATCCTGAAAAACCACGGCATGGCTAAAGTACCCTACTGGCCTGGACTACAGCTCACGATGGGTGAGCCCGCACTCGAGGCCGAAGCTCTCCTAGGTGCGCTCCCTTCTCCATCGTCCTTCCGCCTACTCACGTTTACAGGCTCCCCTCTTGGTGCAAGCCTTTCGCACTTGCTCTTCCAGCACAAAACCGCCCTGGGCGTCAAGAATATCGAGGCAGTTGTCATATTCAGGGATAATTGGCCAGAGCCCGAGCCAAATGCGCCGCACCCCGTTTTCCCAGAAGTGCAGATCTTGTTCAAGATCATCGATGTGCCTGATGACGAGCTGATTGACGAGGATATCGAGATGCCGGATGCGGGTGGCGTAGTGGGAAGGCGCACGGTCAGCTTTCTGTATGAGGGAAAAGGGAATGTGGTGAGGGAGCATAGGGTTGTTGTGAGGCTGGGTGCGAAGTGAGGGGGGCGTGGTGTTCTGTGTTCCGAGGGTTGGGAGTAGAGTATGGTGTTGGAAGGTATATACAGAGTCTCGTAGAGAAGTGTATGAGATCTGTAGCGCCACGTTGATTTGCAAAAGAGATGGTGTACATGGACTTTTAGTCGTGGAGATAAATATGCCTTATATAAAAATGTAGTGTCCGCTAATACCGAGAAATTCATATGCCCATAGTGTACATCGCACTGTTCATCTCATCTCATGAACATGTCCGTCGACCATTCCCGTCCACTTCCCCGGTGCCTCTACCACCACTCACGGCGCTTCTCCTCGTGTGCTACACTCCTCTTCCCCCTGCGCCTGCCAGGCGGAGCCTGCCAGGTCTCAGCCGCCTTGATTCCAGGCCGGGGTTCAGCGTCTCGCAGCACCTTCTCCAGCGCCGCCTTCTCCAGCATCGCCTTCTCCAGCATCGCTTTCTGTATGGCATCTTTGAGCTCCTGGTACTCGTCGGCAAGGCGCGTGGTCTGAAGCGGCGGCGCCTGCACGGTGTTGACGAATGACACGGGAGCGCGGTGTCGGGGCGCGTAAGCGTCGTGCGGCGGCGTCTGCTCGGTGCGGTTGAGCAATGGGCGTCTGAAGGATCTCCTCTGTGCGAATCTCTCGTCGATTACGCCCCTGGCACGGAGGGACGCTATGCGTATGGAATGTGATACGGTGCGATTGAGCCCTCCGCGGCTGGAGGCTGGATCCCGTAGACCCTGCTCCGCAGCAAGGTCGTGTTCTGGACGTGTTGTTGCGCTGGCACGGGGATGCAATGCGTGTCTGTAGACTTCATCCTGTAGTTGCTTCTGCTTGGTGCGGACGGGCACAAAGTGTGTGGTGCGAGGATCCCGTGGTACAATCTCAACAGCGCTACCAGGCGGTAGGTGTGCGTCGTCTTGGGTGCGCCCTGGCTCAGGTGCCGGGACGATGGTATAGTGTGGCGACGCAGTGGGGGCTTCGAGATGCTCTTTGTGCGGGCGAAAGCGTTGTGACAGCACACCGTTTCTTCCGTACAGAAACCAGAGTGGCTTGCGCTGCTTTAAGACTATGCGTCGCCGAGGGCCCAAGTCTTGCAACAGCGCGCTTGTATAACTTACCCTGCGGCTTACGCTGTGGTCTGCGTAGAGATATGGGAGTGCCTTACCCACCCGTTGCAATCGGCGTCGGTATAGGATAGGGTCACTAAGGGAGGCGCAGTCGTGGCTTTGGGCGAGTGCGCTGAACGAGCTGTTGAGCATACGTGGCAGTAAGTTGCTCTGCTGCTTCCATGGATGTACCTGCCGCTCTTTGGGTGCGGTCGGGGCATGCTGTGTGCCCTGTGTGGGCTGCGGGGGGTCGTGGCTGGCCGTCTCTGGCTCTTGCGACATCTGACGGATCCTCCATGGCGGAAGGACTTTGTCCCGGTGTTCTGGCAGATCGTACCAGTCCGGGAGGTCATGCAACTTCCGCAGGTGATCCCGAATTTGCTCTTCAATCTTACAAGCGGTCAAGAACACGTCGCGTGGCCGGAGATCTGTAAAGTCGCGCAGCAATTGGGGCAGTGTAGTGGAGGGTGTCCTTCTTAGACGCGGCGCCTCTGGGTTGGAGGCCCAACATGTTTTCGCAATTCTGATGAGTTCCTTCAGATCAGGGACATGTTCAACGCGCTCGTATGGCAGGAAAGACTTGTCGTAGTACCCCTCTAATACCATCTTAAACTGCTCTTTCTTTGTGCTTTGACGACTCGAATCATGGTGTGGATACCTAGCCTGAAGGTCAGGAAACCAGGCGCAAAGTATGCTAATACCCAAACAGCCCACAAGGTACTGTTTCAAAGTATAGAAAATCTTGGACACCAAGATGTTATTAGTTGCACAAACGACTCCGCGGCCGATGGGGTTGGAAAACATTTTCGCTAATGGAGCGAATATCGAGAAGACTAACGGGCTGTTTCGAAAATCACCTTTGTAGAGTATATGTGGTCCTTCTGGCGATATTTTGAGAGTCTCTACTGCCCCCAAATGTGTGACTAGGTCCAACTGGGCTTCAGTATGAGCACTTGATAATGGCAGCGCCACTCCCTTCGTGTCTGTATTCGATTGACTCTTCCCGATCGTAGATGACACTTGGGAGGAATCAACCTCGAAGAACTGGATGGCTTTGAGTACTTCTAGAATTTTGTTCAAATTGTCGTGCGAATCAAGATAAATTGCACCCAAAAGAGCCTCGAAAGCCTCTCCCAAGTGGCCTACCGAACCAAGTGCATCAAGGTGCCGCTGGAGGCCGATTCTGCCACCAACTTCGCGCAAGGCTGCTCGTGTTTTGAGCGACGAATCTTCTAGAGAGTACTGCGCTTGTAAACGATTAGTGTTTGGAGGAGTGCCAAGGGTGGTTGTGGAGGCTCACCTCGGCTTCGCCGACTATAATACCAGGTTCGACATATTGCTAGATCTAAAACTTCGTCTCCGAGCAGCGCGAGCCGCTTCTGATCCTCAAAGAATGTCTTCTTGCCATCAAGGTCGAGTTTCGTGCTATTATGAGTCTTGAAAGCGGCGATGCCTAACAGCTTGTTCTCGAATTTGTAGCCAATCCGTTCTTCCAAAACTCCTAGTTCGGTGGCCGCGGAGAGTATAGCATTAGGGTCACGTGAGACACGTTTTCGGGCCTGCCGTTTTTGCTTTAACTGCTTTAACGAAAGAGAGGTGTGCTCCGGCCGTGAAGACACTTCTGGGCCTTGCGTCTTCGATACGGGGACAAAAGGAGACCTTCGTGGTCTATCCGGGAACCTGTACCGTAGGAATCTGGTCCGATTCATGTGAAGCCTTTTGAGAAACATGTCTAAGCGTAGCGACCTTCACAGAACGCCTTCAGTCTTTGCAGCCAAGAGTGGGACTTGGACATTCGTTTGATGTCGTCCTGCCTAGGTTGAAGTTGGCGCAAGGTGATTGGTCCGGTGAAAGTCAAGCCGCGCACTGCGCTGCCACAGCGTCCCAGATCATCGCTGTTGACGCAGACTTGGGCGAGGTTCGAAGAGATCTCGCGATACTAGACATGCAAGTGGCAGAGAATGTGTTCCAGAGATCAAAGTATGACGAAGGGATTGAGCTTCTCGTCGAGAAAGAATCGTCGGGGCAAGACACACAGACCACGCGAAAGCTCACGTGACCCACAGCAGAACACGAGCAGGCACAAAAACATCAACAAAATGTCATTTTCAGTGCAGACACAACGGAGCTGATGGCTCATTTCATGCGAGCGCGAGGATGAGAGAAGTATTAAATCTTATATTTGAGAGCTGCCAGCCCAATACGGGCTCGACACGGTCTAGGCGTGAGCAACAAGTTCGCCCAAACAAATACTCCGGATGCACGCTCCCGAAACGTTACACTTTGTCTAGCCATGATCCATAAGCTCCTATGTTACAAATGCAGGCTTAACCAGAGAACTCCTTGATGTCCGTTGTCTTGCCCGGAACAAGAGCCAAAGGCACGATACCAGATACGTGCATCTCCGGGCCGTAGACGTGCATGTTGAGACCGAGCTCCTGGCCGACGTTCTTCATGTTCTTGAGACCCTCCTGGTAGTTGGGACCAGCACGACGGATCCAGATCTGAACCTTGTGCTCGTTCAAAGAACCGGCGACTTCCCTCAAAGCGCGGATGACACCCTTGAAGGTCGAGGCAACGTTGGTGAAGTTGGCAATACCACCACCGATGAACAAGACCTTGCCCTCAGGGTGCTGGGGAGCACGGAGCATGAGGTCGAGGACTGTTCGTGCGTAGTGGAAGGTCTGTGTCTCGGTGGGAGCGCCAGAGTACTCGCCGTAGTTGGCGAGCTCACTGGCAAAGCCAGCGGAGGCGATGGCGTCGGCATAGACGACGGATGCACCACCACCAGCAACGAGGGTCCAGACACGGCCAGTGGCGTTGAGGATGGTGAGCTTGAGGGATGCGCCAGTCTTAGCATCCATCTCGGCGATGTAGGCCTCCTCCTTGCTCATCTCACGGCCGAAAGGAGCAGGGAACTCCATGGGGGGACCAACGTCAATGGTAGTCTTGGTCTCCTTGGAGGGGGCAACTGGTATGCCGAGAGCAGTTGCGCTGCGAGCAATAGCCCATTTGGCACCGCACTCGAACTCAGCAGTCTGGTCGAGCTTGGCAGCAAGATCAAGGAAGTGAACCTCGGCAGAGGTCTTCTCCTCGTTGGGGATGACAACGAGAGGGTTGATCTCGAGGTAGCTGGAAGACACGTCAGCAACAGTTGTATATTGGGGCATGGGAGGTGCTCACGTGAACTGGCAGTCAACGTAGACAGCGTACAGCCTCGAGATGAAGTCGACGAGGACATTGTGGACGCCCTCAGGAACCTTCTTGAGGAGAGTGGCAGCGATCTCCTCGTTGGAAGGATACTCCTTGAGGTCGACGGGGATGAGGAGCTTCTCAGCCTTCTCATCAACATCGCCGACATCGACACCACCCTCGTGGGTGAAGAGGATCCAATCACCCTAAGCGGGAGCGTCAGCAACCGAAGGCAGCGTGATTGGTGCAAGCGTGCAGTAGCCGCAAACCCAGCGAGCCGCAACACCAGTGTAGCAAATTTGGCAAACGGAACAGGAAAGAAGGCAGGAGGAATTGACATGTGAAAGGAACGTGCGTATCGCATAAAGCAGGAGTGGGTCGGCGTTGGTTTCCCTTCGTCCGGCCGGGGGTCAAACAAAACCAAGGCAGTGCGCCCGGATGCTTTCAGGCCAGCACTCCGCTCCGACTTTTGCTGCCACTCGGGCAAAAGTGCATGGCGGCGAAAACGCCCTCTGCTCGACTGCAGTCGCCGAACGCAGGTGGTGCGCACGCCACGCCCCGACCTGGCCCACGACCCAACATGGCGACACGGCACGGAGGTTGAAACAGCGAGAATGAGGAGGAAAACGAAACGGACACATGGGAGAAGAGACGTACCTCGCGCACCGAGTTGATGTTGATGTAATACTCGGTGTCCTGGGGGTGGGGCACGAAGGGCTCGACCAGAAACTGCCTCAGGACGCCCTCGACCGTCTCGACCTGCTGTGCCTTGCCTGCGCGCGCCTCGACCCATTCGCGGGCCTCGGACCAGGGCTTGTTCAGGGCCAGCAGACCGCTCTTGCCTCGTCGCTTGATCAGCTGGTCGGGCTTTGCGACGAACCTGGCGCCCGGAGCCAGCAGCCACGGGTATGTGGCCTCGGCCTGGTCGAGCACGCCCTTGACGTCGGCGTCAGCGGCAAAGTACAGCGACGCCAGCTTGGGCGGGGCGTTGTGTGTCGCGGCGGCGGGCAGCGGCGTAGGCTTGATGACCGGGGCGCGGGTCAGGTGGTAGTTGAGGATGGCCTTGCCGTCGGCCTCGAGGATGGATTTGGCAGACATGGTGCAGGTGGTGGAATGCGGGCGGATGGGGGCAACTGCAGAGAGTGAGTGGGAGCGGGTGGGCAGCGTGGAGAGAAAGCAATGGGCGACGACGCGGGCGCAGACTCGGGCGTGTGGACATGGCGGCCAGCACGAGACGGCGGCGCTACGGAGGTCGAATGTGGACTCCGCAGGCGTGCGAATAGGGCGAGTGCCTAGTTGCGAGTTGCGAGCGGCGATCGCGGCCGGCCAGCGCAGCGGGCAGCGACGGCCGTGGGGCAGCAACAACAGCAACAGCAGCAACAGCAGCAGCAACGTACCTGGATCGTGTGAGGCCGCACAGCAAGAGCAGGACAGCAGGCAGCAAGAGCAGGAGAGTGCAGCAAAGGCGTGCGGGCAGGAGCAGGAAAGCAGCAGGAGCAGCTGAGGACTGAGGACAGGACTACAGTGACTCGGGCGCGGTAATGGGGCAGCGTAACGCTGTTTTTTTGCGTTGAGATGGCTCGGGGTCGCAGAGTTGCGGCACTGCAGCTAAGGCGCGGTGGGTCCACCGCTAGTCTGCCCGTAGCCTACCACGGCCGACCCCTCCACAGGGGCCCAAGGATTGCAGCTCAGGACCGCAACTCAGCAGCTCAACGGCTCCGAACAGGGCGCTGCAGCTGCCGGCCCCCCAGCAGAACGGCACCAGCGCTGTCCAGAGATATCAACAGCATCAGCAGCAGCATCTGCCCGCGCGCCGACGTGCGCCAATGGCAGCGCGAGGTCGCTGGCCGACGCCTGTGTTTGTCCCGAGGGCCGTCATACAGGGCCGCCAGGGCCACACAGGCCACCCAGGCCGGCTCGCGACACACGGCTCCTCACTCACCGCCCGACACATAGCGCCGGCTTGGCCCCAACAACGCAGGTCGCGCTGGGACCTCAACACCGCCGGAAAGAAGCACAGCAGGCCCATCGATCCTCGGGAATTCTCGCCAGCCGCCCAGCTTCGCAACCTCTTCCTCTTTCATCACTCCGCCCCTCCAGCGCCCGCCCTGGCACGTCTCCATAAGGTGCGTCTGCAGTCCCCCGGCGCTCACGCCCGCCGCAGCTCCTGTGTATTTCTGTATTTTTTCGGCGCCCGCACCACCGCCCTCACGTCAGACACTTGTAGCCTGCGTGCCTGCCCGCCGCCGTCACTGACGCTCGCTCATTAGACCTGCTCTCCTCCGCCACCACACTTGACATTGACTCCACGGCCACGATGCCTTCCGTCGCGCCTGCCACCGGCTCTGCTGCCCCCAGCGAGGGCCTGTCTGCCAACGACAACATCCGCCGCTTCGAGGCTCCCAGCCGTGCCCTGACCCCGCCGCCCTCGCACACGCTGTTCCACCCCAAGACACGATGCTTCGTCTAGTAAGACCTCGCCGCCCTACCCAGACGCCCGCTAACTCCCCGCAGCGGCCTGCAGCCCCGTGCCGTGCAGGGCATGCTCGACTTCGACTTCATCTGCAAGCGCAAGCAGCCCTCGGTCGCCGGCATCATCTACACATTCGGCGGCCAGTTCGTCAGCAAGATGTGCGTCCCCCGCCCCCTGTCCCCCGCCGTCCGCCCGCCGTGCTAACCCGCTGCAGGTACTGGGGCACCAGCGAGACGCTGCTGCCTGTCTACCAGTCGGTCGAGAAGGCCATGGCCAAGCACAGCGATGTCGACACCGTCGTCAACTTCGCCTCGTCGCGCTCCGTCTACCAGTCCACCATGGAGCTGCTCGAGTTCACCCAGATCAAGTCGATTGCCATCATCGCCGAGGGCGTCCCCGAGCGCCGTGCGCGTGAGATCCTGCACGTCGCCCAGAAGAAGGGCGTTACCATCATCGGCCCTGCCACTGTTGGTGGCATCAAGCCTGGTGCGTTCAAGATCGGCAACACGGGCGGCATGATGGACAACATTGTTGCCTCCAAGCTCTACCGCCCCGGCTCCGTCTCCTACGTCTCCAAGTCGGGCGGTATGTCCAACGAGCTGAACAACATCATTGCCAACACCACCGACGGCGTGCTCGAGGGCGTCGCCATTGGCGGTGACAGGTACCCCGGAACCACCTTCATCGACCACGCTCTCCGCTACCAGGCCGACCCCGACTGCAAGATCATCGTCATTCTCGGCGAAGTCGGTGGTGTCGAGGAGTACCGCGTCATTGAGGCCGTCAAGTCTGGCCAGATCACCAAGCCCATCGTTGCTTGGGCCATTGGTACCGTTGCTGGCATGCTGAAGACCGAGGTCCAGTTCGGTCACGCTGGCTCCTTCGCCAACTCTCAGCTCGAGACTGCCACCACCAAGAACAAGACTATGCGCGAGGCTGGCATCTACGTCCCCGAGACCTTCGAGGAGATGCCCGCCATCCTTGCCCAGGTCTACCAGAAGCTCGTCAAGGACGGCACAATCAAGCCCAAGCCCGAGCCCGTAGTCCCCAAGATCCCCATCGATTACTCGTGGGCGCAGGAGCTTGGTCTGATCCGCAAGCCTGCTGCTTTCATCTCCACCATCTCCGACGACCGTGGCCAGGAGCTGCTGTACGCTGGCATGCCCATCTCCGACGTTTTCAAAGAGGAGATTGGCATTGGTGGTGTCATGTCCCTTCTTTGGTTCCGCCGCCGCCTGCCCATCTACGCCAGCCGCTTCCTCGAGATGGTGCTCATGCTGACTGCTGATCACGGCCCGGCTGTGTCTGGTGCCATGAACACCATCATCACCACCCGTGCCGGCAAGGACCTTATCTCCGCGCTCGTCTCTGGTCTCTTGACCATTGGTTCGCGATTCGGCGGTGCCCTTGACGGCGCCGCTGAGGAGTTCAGCAAGGCCTTCGACAAGGGTCTTAGCCCCCGTGACTTCGTCGACACCATGAGGAAAGAGAACAAGCTTAGTACGTAATCTCGACCCACTTTTTACAAATCTAACAATCTGCAGTCCCCGGTATCGGCCACAGGATCAAGTCTCGCAACAACCCCGATCTGCGCGTCGAGCTCGTCAAGGAGTACGTCAAGAAGAACTTCCCCAGCACGAAGCTGCTCGACTACGCCCTTGCCGTTGAGAGCGTCACAACATCCAAGAAGGACAACCTGATCCTCAACGTCGACGGCTGCATTGCTGTCTGCTTCGTTGATCTCGTCCGCAGCAGTGGCTCCTTCACCCCCGAGGAGGCCGAGGACTACCTCAAGATGGGTGTCCTCAATGGCCTGTTCGTGCTCGGTCGCTCGATCGGTCTGATTGCCCATTTCCTCGACCAGAAGAGGCTGAGGACCGGTCTCTACAGGCACCCCTGGGACGACATCACCTACCTCCTGCCCTCTCTGCAGGGCGGAGCGCCGGGTGCCGAGGGTCGTGTCGAGGTCAGCTTGTAGTTTCACGCAACGAAAAAGGAAGATTACATGCAGTTCGGTCGCTTGATGTTTGACCCGAACCGGCGTTCTCAGCGCGTAGACAGATTCATTACACAGAATTGTGGGATTTGTAGCAATATCCGCTAGCTGTGGGCGGAGATAGAATATTTTAATGCCATACGACGACTACGTACGCATTGCTCTCTTGTGCTCCCTGCTCTCATGCCGGCGTGACTGCGGTGCTGTGCTGCTTCCCAATCGGGTCTGCGATGCGAGAAGCACTACCATGCGTTTGCGCGTCAGGCACGACCCAGCCCCGCAAGTTTCCAGCGCTGCTATCGCTGTTATCGATACCACGTGTCACGTGCACCTTATAACCCCCGAGCCTGCTGTGCCCATACTGTACCTATTCCCCGAACCAGCAACATATCTCCCGAACCTCCTACCCCCCCTCCCCCCGACAGCCGCCCCACGCGCTCTCAAAACCCCCCGCTCTGCCGCATCACACGGCCTCAGCCGCACCGCTCGCTGCCCGGCCCCCACTCACCGCCGCCCGGCTCCCGAGCTCGAAGCTGAGCGGTGCTGACGTGTGGTCACGCAGTCGGTCGGGGTGCGAGGGGGAGGGGGAGGGCTAGGGGTGCCGAGACATGGTGCGGATGCGGGCGGGCGCGAGAATCTACTGTACCTACATAAGGTTCAGGATGCCGTGTTGGGTGGGCCGTTGTCGATTTTCGGTATCGGTTTCCAGTGTCGGTGTCGGTGTTAGTGTTGTTGTTGTCGGAGTTCAAGCTTGAGGTCGTGTCGGAGTCTGTGTTTGGGTCGGAGTATGTGTCTGTTTCTGTTTCTGTGCTTGTCTGCGTCGGAGTCTGCGTCGGAGTCGCACGCGAGTAACACCAAGTCTCGTTTGGTAGGGTGCGCGGGATGCTCGGTCGCCATGGTGTGGTACGGCACCCGCTCGGGCAGAGAGGGTGCGTGCTAACTCCCAAGCACGCAGTTCGCACCATCGCGGAATAGTTCGCTCCTCTTCGCGGCCCGGGCTCTCGACACCGCTGAGACCTACTATAAGTACTTTAGACCTGCTGCGTGTTGTAAAGTCTTCTTTCTTCGTTTCATGCATCCGTCTCGATGGCATGCCGGTGACCAGCTTGTGATGTCGATGCTTGCTTGCGCGATGATGGGCTTGAGTGGCGTGGTGCACGATGGTATGGACCTGCGCAGAGGAAACGTTGCGTGAATGTCTCAGAAGTTTAGGTCGTTCGTAAGTGCTACGGAAAGCTGAACTGCATCTCATCGTTGGTGTCAGCCGACTCTGGCGGTAGGCCAGTTGCTGAGACGCTCAACGTATGTTTCTCGTTCCCACGGAGTCTGGCCATAGCACTGAACAGGCAGTCTGCGGCATAGATGCTTCGTGCGAGTAAACAATTGAGATATTTGAATCTTGTACAGCTGGATTGTGAGGCTGATCTCTGCTTTGCACCTGAGAAGCGATCCGACGTTATCAAGGACATAGAGAGGTCTGTGTAGTCGAGCGATCGAATTTGGTTTATTGGACTTGTTATGCACTATCAAACCGAGTATCTGACCCGGCTAGTAACTACAAACGTATGGTACCGAGTCAAGATCGAGCTTTCTGGCACAATTCGAGGGACAACGAAGAGTGTGAATACCGCTTCAGGCTCCTGCAGACATGAATTATAGGACGCGTTCATTGAGCTTGCAAGCCATGCCCTTCATGAGCTTATTCACTGCCAAGATACTGAAATGTGACCCAGCGTGAGACCATGGAAGGGGGGTGGATTCATGATGCTTGCCTTTGAGCTATTAGGTGGGTATCCTTTCGCGCTCTTTATCATGAAATGGCGCAGCTGTGTATTGCCATACACTAGGGTCAGGAAATACGTTGTCTGTGATACGTATTGGTATATGCTTGTGCATTATACTTGGTATGTTTCCCCCTTTTAATCTACTGCCTGTACTGTGCAGTTCTTCTTACAGTACAGGCTACGTGCTGATAACCCATGACAACTACGCCTGCTTCCAACATGATCGATATCTTGTTGGACTGCATCTGCTTACGTATACAAGTGAGTACTCCAACCCTCGACCCGAGTTCAGCTCTATTACGACAGCATTTCGTATGATCAGCTACTGAAACCCGCCTGCCAGCACACCCGCGCCTCAGCTCTCACAAACTCAACACGCACAGCGTCCGCCGCAACAGCCATAAAGAAGTCGTGTGCGTACGGATGCAGGTACTCCCGTACTGCAAGGGTCGCACTGCACGCTGCCTCGCGTGCCTGGCATGCTTCACACGCTGCGCTATCGAATTGTACCACGGAACGTCATGACCGCACGGCGGTGACGGGAATGCGCGGGGCTGACACTGTGAGTGTAGACTAGAGCGTGACGGGTCTAGTGGGCGCCTGATGGTAGCTGGGAGGGGTGGAGGGCCGAAGCCAGCCTCCTCCGTTGATGCTGCATGACGAGCTGATTAAGTGTCAAGAGCGTGGCCGCGGCGGCAAGATGCAAGTACAGCAGCTGAGGGCTTGCTGGCACGCCATGTGTATTTGTTGCACGCGGCTTGGTGTCTGCAGTGCGACTGTGGAGGAATGCAGACTCTGTATTTCCGGACATGGGTGCGCAGCTTCTTCAGCATCGTCTGTGGTTGCGGTCCGTTCGCATGCGAATACGACAGAAGCGAGCTGGATGCCGGCATCCACAGTGGTGAGCAAGGAACCGAACCTTGCGCGGTTCTGCGCATCCATTGCTGCGGATGGGGAATGCTCAAGCTTTGCCAATTTGTTGCGCCTGCAAGATGATGGATGGCGTGAACTATGGCTGGAGCGTGACCGAGCTGACGGCTGTTCATGAGCTACCCCTCCGTAAGCCGCAGCTGTACATATAGCTCCAAGCTCTTGAGCTCTTGGAGCTCGTATGTAAAGCTCGTGCCCGACTGAAAAAATGCAGGGCTGGAGACGTCTGTAGGGCAGGAACAGTTGTAAGGCAAGCAACCACAAATAGCTATACCTTGATTCGGCAGGCGGGCACAACTCACAACGAATAGCAGCAGCTGAATATTCTCTCTCTTCGGAGGTGTTGATCCCTTAAAGCGGTAGGGCCGATGAAATCATACGGAATGGGCCTAAGCCCGTGAGGCGTGCTCTTTGTGCTGTCTGTCAGCTACCTAGCCGATAGGGCTAGATTGCTGCATGCGAGCTCGTGGTCGACCGGATGGATAAGTAGTTGCAGCCCGTCATGGTCGTGGGCCTCAGCCTTGTGCTGTTTTCCTCCTGCCCTCAGCCTGCTGTCGCTCTTCAGAATATATTCTTACCACGGACTAACCACCATGTTCGTGCTGTCGCTAACAATCTTGGCCTCGGCTTGGCTTGTTACTGCTCAGGACGGGAGCACCTATCATCCACATGGCGCATTCGCCTTTGTTCGATCCGGAGAGCGTACGCCAGAATTGGTAGGCGGCTCTCAAGTTCTGACCGCGGTGGGTGCGCAGCAAATGTACGAATTGGGGCAAAATCTGAGAACCCGTTGGATCGACGGTGACAGCAATGCTGGACTCGGTAGAGAGAACATCGCAAACATGGCAGTCGACAGGTTGAATAACGACCAAATCTCTGTCCAGACATTGGACAAGCAGTACCTGGTGTCGTCGGCGCAAGCCTTCATGCAGGGCATGTACCCACCACATGCGCTCGGCAATTCAAGTGGGTTTGGGGACTCGACAGGGTTGCTAGCGGATGGAACGACTGTCCAGGCACCTCTGAATGGATATCAATACGCGGCTGTCCAATCTTTCAACTCGTATGCGTATAATTCGATTTACATTGCTGGCAACCACAACTGCCCATATGCAAAGCTAGAAGCACTCCAGTATACAGTGTCTGACAGATTCGACAACACCAAAGCTGCTAGCCAGGCCACCTATGACGCATTGCAGACCAGCTGGTTCCAGGGCCACCTACTGGACGATCAAAGGTATGCCACATAACCTCCGCGAACACGGGAATTTGGTAGCTAACAAATCCCCAGAGATTACGATCACGCTCTCGAAATCTGGGACTACCTCTCGTACCAATACACACACAATCGCACAATCTACGAGAGGCTGACCGGGAGTCCTGTATACACTGGAGTCTACAATGCAACACGCTACCTCGCAGACGAATACGCCTGGAACTTCTGGGGCAACACAGCAGCCTCCAGAAATGACTCGGACAACCAGGCCATTGGCGGCATGACTCTGGCCGCAGAGATCCTCCATCAATTTCAGAACCTGGTGGACGATCGCAAGAACCACAGCACATCCACAGCTGGAGTATCGCAGCCTCTCACTCTCCTCTTCGGCGAGATTGATCCTATGATCAATCTTTTGAGCCTGATGCTCATGGACACCCGCGACACGAGCTTCCGCGCCATTCCTCCCTACGCGTCCGCCATGATCTTCGAGCTCTACTCCAGCGGCGATAATGGGACTTTCCCCCAAAATGACGACGACCTGTGGGTGCGCTTCTACTACCACAACGGCACCACAGACTTCAACGGTCAGCTCCTCTCGTTCCCCATGTTTAACCGCGGCCTCGACCAGACGGGTATGAAGTGGACAGACTTCAATCTCATGTTCTCGCACATCATGATGCCGACCATCCTAGAGTGGTGCACGACCTGCAGCGCACCGAGTCTGTTCTGCACCGGTGTCGACACAGACACGATCATCGTAGCCAACCCCAAAGCGCAGACAAGTAGCAACGGCGCCGTCTCACCCGTTGTTGCTGGCGTCATCGGCGCATTCGTTACGCTGGCGATTGCGGCCCTGCTCTTCGGCCTCGCCATGCTGGCAGGCGGTTTACGCTTCCACCGTGCGCAGCGCCGCCCGAAGTCCGACCTGGGCGGCTTCAAGGGCGCGAACAAACTCGCGTCTGACCCTGATCTGGCCAATCTGGCGAAGAACGGCGCCATGCCCGCTGGCGTCGCGACCGTGGCTGCAGGTACTGAAGGCCGCGCAAGACACGAGAGGGTGGGCAGTTGGGAGCTCAGGCAGAAAGAGTTTGGCGGCTGGAAGAGCGGGGATATGGGCGAGCAGTTTCCCAGTCCGAGAGAGAGCTTCGAGCGGATCGACGCTGTGGCTAGTCGACCTGTTGAGCCGCGCGAGACCGTGTAGGATGGGTAGGGAAACAGGGGAGAGGAACAGGGTACCAATCCCGAGTCCCTGTTCTTGGTCTTTGTGATGACGGAAATGATTCAACGCACTTGGGTTTACGATGGAGTTGGGACGAGACTGGATGCGCACCTTCGCTTCGAACGATCATGATACCCGGCTTCGCGCCTGTTCTGTTCTTATGGTTTACGATAGTTACGACACTCTTTGACGATACAATGGATCTGAATGACACACACATATAGTGTTCCTAGTGCAAGGGAGGAGCTTGTGCGAACCCGAGACCAACCTACCTCTTGTGATATACATGTGATAAGGCACAACGCTGCGGGTTTTGTACTAGCATGTCGCCAAACCAAGTCTGATTCTCGTAGTCTACCGCATATATGGTGCTCCGCAAGGTCTGCCCAAACCACAGTGCCGCCCTTCACCTTCACTGCACATCACCACACCACTCCACCCACTTCACCACTTGACGCAGTTATAATCTGCAATCGCACTCTAATTCTCATCAAACCAGGACACGTAGTTTAATGGTAAAACACTCACACCCCGCGACCCACACGGTTACTCCAGCCGTCTGACCGCGCCGTGACCATGGTTCACAGAATTTGGGTGTAGCGCGCCCTTACCTGCCAAACCTGCCAAACCTGCCAAGCTGCCAAAATGCCTCAGTCCCTGTAAGTAAAGACAGTAGGACCCCAGTGTGGAGAGGTACAAGGACGCTTGTACCAAGGGTGATGTGAGAGTTGTGCGTTCGATTCGCACCGTGTCCAATCTTTTTGGCGGCGTATGGTGTTTTTTTGCTGGGAGTGAAAGCAGATGTCAAGGATTGATTTTTACATCGGATAGACGGCTGTCCGTGCTGCGTATATATTGCTCTTATGGTTCTTAAGATTCATGGCTCCTGCACAGCTACCCACCCCCGACGCCCGACGACAAACACCAAAGCGGCTTCCCAAGCCCCATGTGTTACTCCTCCTTCAGATCCTCCACAAACCCAACCAACCGCTTCTTAATCACCACACCCACCAACCGTCCCGTTCCCTCCTCAGTGATGCATAAATATCGCAGCCCCAGCTTCGCAAACATCTCCACCGCGTACTCGAGCGGCGCCTCCCCGCAAATCGCCAGCGGCGTACGGTCTACAAACGGACTGAGATCTACCTCGATCCCCTCGGGCGGCGCATCCTCGACCGTGTGGCCTAGCAGGCGCACACGGTAATCCTGCTGCGACGGCGACAGCGGGATCGCGGGCGAGAGCTGCTCCAGCCCGAAGGCGAGCTCGGCCTGCGAGAGATAGCCCTGCAGCATGGGCACGGTGGAGGGTGGATGCGTCTGCACGAGCACGAGGCCGGCGTCCATGAGCCCGCGCTGGCGCAGGGCGTGGAGTTTGTGGCGCAACAGGGACGAGGGCACGGTGTTACAGGACGGGATAAGGACGGTGATGGCGTCCATTGTCTTCTTGGGTGGGACGAGAGCGCTGACTTTCAGGCCCTGCTTGCGGACGACTTGCAGCGCGACGTCGGCGTCGAGAAACGGGTGGCCGAGCACAGATTGCGCGAGGTCGTAGACGCCGTCGGCGGAGATGGCGTCGGCGACCCATTTGGCGACGAGGATTGCGACCATGTGCGGGACCACGTAGGAGAGCTCGCCTGTAAGCTCGAACATGATGACGGCGAGACTGATGGTCATGCGACTCACGCCGGCGAGGAAGGCGGCTGCGCCGACGAGCGCGAAGATGCCGGGTGAGACGTCGTTAGCTGTGTAGGGTAGGAGATAGCCGACGAGGCGACCGAAGAGTGCGCCGGCATCGAGAGCGGGGATGATGACGCCGGAGGGCACTTTGCAGCCGAATGTAATGATCGTGAGGACGAGCTTGGTAAGGGTTCCGTATGTGAGCCAGCCAACATACGCCCAGTCAGTTGCGTCGGTATGTGCTTCGTGCAAGCAGACAAAGGAGTGGGCAGATGAATCATCTTTGCAGTCGACAAGGACGTTCTTGATGATGATGTCACCTGGCTCACGAGTAAGAGGATTGGGGAACTGGAGCAGCGCGGTCGCTAGAACGACGATGCCAACCTCGAACACAGGGTTGGCCTTGATCAGAGGAATCTTGCGGAAGTGTTTGCTCCAGATGAAGTTGAGCTTGCAGAAGAGTCCCCCGAAGACGCCACCCGCCACGCCCAGCAGCATGAAGATGAAATAGTGCACCGGCTCGTATTCGGTGCCGTACTTGGTTTCAAAGAGAACAAGCTTGCCTGTACCGGTGGGATTGAGCTGCTTGAGGACGATGGCCGCCGTCAAACTGCATAAGAATGCCCGCCAGAGGACCTTCCGCGGGAAGTAGGTGCTGATCTAACAATCATTAGAAGCCGACCAAAAAACCTCGGAGGTGTACATTACCTCCTCGTAGCTGAACAACACGCCTCCTATGGGGGCACCGAAGGCTACACTCAGCCCGCTGGAGCAAGAAGCACTCAACAACTCCCGCATTTTCCTTCCGTTATCTTTGTATTTTGGGAAGAAATTGCCTACCAGATAGCCCACACACGTGGAAATGTGCACGAACTTTCTAGGTATTAGATGACGTTATTTAGTTGGATATGTGGTAGACTTACCGGTCCTTCCTTCCCAAGACACATTCCTGTGCTCACAGCAAACACGGCACCGAAAGCCTTTACGACAAGCACACGGAAAGAAAGGAACGACGGAATAGAGAAGCCGCTCAAGATGGTCTTGATTTCTGGGATACCACTGCCAGCAGCCATATACATGACCTTGCCTCCTCCCTCAGAAGGTGCTGGCGTAGGGATACCTCCGTTCAACGTACGAGAGTCGTCAGGTTTCGCGGCGTGCGGTGAGGAAGGCGGCTCACTCGGGACTTCCGCAGAGGGCAACCGGCTTCTCGTCAACATGGTCGCACTGGAGCTAATGGTTCCAAAGACAAGTGCTAGAGCGACGTAGACCGCAAAGCTCCGGGCGTAATCATCTGACCAGGCGTGCCACTCACTGCAGCTTGGCTCCACACTGCCTTCTCCAGTAAACATGCGAAGCTTCGGCGTGGATATCTGGGATGCGCTCTGCCGACAACAGTTCTCTCGGCTCTTCCAGGGGCTGGTACTGCAGTAGCCCATCTTCCAGTCTGCAACTGTAGCGACGGCGACATCGACAATGAAAGCGACCAGAGCCGTCAGAGCGCCGATCAGAACCACAGCTATCCATCCCGAGCACGCGTCGAGCTGCGCGATAAGCTTGTAGCGCAGACTATACAAGGAATTGATTTGACGGAAGCGATACGAGTCTTTGACCTGTGCATATTAGCACGCCACCGACGAGTTCCGTCACAAAAAGGCAATCCGTACGAGATCATGGAGCCAGTCAATCGTGGTATAATCATTGTATGGCAGGCGTTCGCCCACCGTGCTGTCAACTAGTTGCTGTTCTTCCTTGGACAACGTCGAGGATATCGTAGAAGCCGATTCCACGTCCTGCTCATGCTGTAGTTGCGATAATCGAGGGTCATGCAGAAGTGGCGTCTGTTCACTGGCTGCTTCAGGGTGCGAGGGCATAGCTCAGCTTTGCTGCGGGGAGGCAGCGTAGAACAGACCGGGACATGATTGCGAGCTGGCCGGTAGATATGGCCTGGAGATACAAAGACATGTGTATGCACAGTGACGCGACCGTATCTCTGTACGTCTCGCTTATCAACCGCTGATCGCGATTCTGCTGGGCTCAAAGCTGGGGAAGCTTGTCCCATCATGGAGTGTCGTGTGGAGAGATAAGGACCCGTGGGGAGGTGTCGAGATCTTGATGTGATAGGCGCAAATCGCTACACAACGCTAGCCACATTGGCGTGTTATCGGCGTAGCACCACGCTTCTGCGGTCAAAGGTGTAGCAATGCGACTGCGGATGATTGTACTCGTGATGATTAAAGCATCTTCGAGAACACATTTCTGCTTACTGTCAACGCGTGTGGTCCGTAATTGGGTCAGAAGGGGTATTGGAAACAGCATGAGATACAATCAGAGCTATAGAACCATATCTTTACAGACGTAACGTGCGTGGAGAACATGCGCGCTCTGATGTCCAGACCAGATGCGCCAAATGACCAAGTCGCGTTGTAGAAAGCTGACTGAACCGCCGTCTAGACCAATGTACATTGATGTTACCACATGCGAGCGCCAGTTCAATCCGTCCCACCATCCGTCCGCGAGATATTAGGGAGTCAAGGAAAAGTCGTGCAAGGAAAGTAGTAGTCGAAGCTGCTTAAACGAACCTACGCCTTGGTCTGTGCAGCCATCTCGTTGGCATACCTCTGCTTATCGGCTGAAGCTATGTCCTCGAATCGCTATTGTGTCACATTAGCTTCAGCTTCTTGTGCGTACTTATAGAAACAACATACCTGCTTCTCGCTGGCGCTGAGCGCCTTCCACTCCTCAGACAAAAGCTTGGACACCTGAGGAAGCAGCAGGCCCTTGAAATCCGAGGACGGCGATCGCTCAACATTGAAGGCTGTCCACGCAGACACGGGGCGTTTCACAGCGCGCTCGTCTACGATAGACTGGCAGTGTGCCGGGATGCCGGGGGTCTTGCGTGTTGCTGATAATGTTCTCCTGAGCCGAGCGCGCGCATTGTTGGCAATACGGATCTGGTCGGGCGTATGGGATAGTACCCATTTCTTGTACTCGGCCGCACGGGCTTCATTGGCTTCAGCGGCCTGGTGATTCCAGTTCTGTTTGAGACGTCAGTGATTTGCTCGCGACTGGTGTGGAGGAACATGCCTCGCGCTCAGCAGGCGTGATTGCAGCCCAGCTTTTGGTGGAGTCAGTAAAGTCGGGTTTCCCGCCTTCCTTGTGGGCGGTCTTCACTCTCTCAGCGAAAAACAAGTTGTAGGCTGAGATCGGATTGCGGGTGACAGGCTCTCTCAGCGCGAGCTTCTTCAGCTCGCGGATGAGCGCCTTCTCCTTCTCCTCTGCTGTAAGCACCTTCTTGGCCCTCTTGACAGGCTTCTTCGGGACAGCCTTCTTCTTGGTCTTCTTTGGCGCGGCCTTCTTCGCGGCAGGTTTCTTTGCGGCAGTCTTCTTAGCAGTAGTCTTCTTCGCAGCAGTTTTCTTCACAGCAGGCTTCTTTGAAGAGGTGGTCTTCGTCACCGACTGCCCCGCGGCAGCCTTCGCCTTAACGGCCTTCTTGACCGGTTCGGCGGGGTCCTTGGTGGCGTAGGAGCGGACCTGGAGCTGCGACGCGTGCAATAGCGTGCGAATGGGCAGGGCGTAGCCGGCACGCGCAGTCTGGACGAGACACGCGAGCTTGGGCAGGCTGGGTGCAGCTTGTTTGGGTGTCTCAGCCGCCAAACGGCAGAGCGCGCCACGGGCCAGCATCGCAGAAATGTGTGGTCGCGTCGACGTGTGTGTTGTCTCACGGAGGGTCTGACCGGCGGCGGCTGCGCGCTTGGCGGGCAATTGGATGGGCGCTGTGGGGGATGGTGGTGTCGTGGTCCGGATTCGGACGCGAGAGAGCTTCCAAGGCGGGTGGTTGGTGGCCCTTGCATAAGCGGAGACACGATCGACGGGACGTCAACAGCCAAGCCAAGCGAGGAGTCAATTACTGACACAACGCTATTGGTGCGACGCCACGGGGCGAGGAGACGAATCATGCACGACTTCTCAATTGCAAGCAAATGTAATTAAAACGCCGCCCAAAACAGCTCTACATGATGTATGTACAAAACAAACGCGTCCGCCTTTTGCCAGAGAGTCTAGATCCACATAGATCAAGCGAACTTTTGGACACGGCCGTTGTGGCCGCTGAGGGGCGATGCGAGAAGGATCAGGTCGCGTCAACTAGGCGACTTTGTAGCTGTTGTGAAGTTAGCGGTGCACGTGACAATACACATGGGCGGCGTCTTACCTCCAGGGGTGGTCCTCGTCACCGTACTGGATGGCCTCCATCCACTCCTTCATCTGCAGCGCAATTGGTCCAGCCTCAACGTGGTCTTCAAGACCGCAGTCGACGAGGCGGCCCTTCCAGCTGATCTTGCGCACAGGGCTGACAATTGCGGCGGTGCCAGCACCAAAGACCTCCATCATGCGGCCCTCGTCGGACGCGTCAGCAATCTCCTTCATGGTGAACTTCTTCTCGAGGATGCTCCAGCCCTTGGGCTCCAAGCGCTCCCTCGCAAGAGCCAGGATCGAGTCGCGCGTAACGCCCTCGAGAATGGTTCCGTCGAGTGGTGCGGTGAGCAGCTCGGGCTTGCCAGTCTCCTTGTTCTTGATGGCGGCGAACAGGTTCATGGTGCCCACCTCGGTGATGTGCTCCTCCTCGCCAAACAGCCAGAGGTTCTGGTGGAACCCGCGGCTGGCGGCCTGCATCTGCGGCACAATGCATGGCGCGTAGTTGGCGCCGAGCTTCTTGTCTCCGACACCGCCAGGCCATGCGCGCACAGCGTAGTCGGTAGCCTCCAGCGACACGGCCTTGAAGCCGGTGGGGTAGTATGGGCCGACGGGCGACGCGATAACGTAGAGGAGCGCGGATGCAGGCGGGCCCACGCCAAGGGTGCGCTGGGTTCCAATCATGGTGGGGCGCAGGTAGAGTGAGTATCCACGGGCGCTGTAGCATGGTCAGCTTCCTTTTCGCCCGTACCACGACTGCTGTAGCTTACTCGGGGATGAAGCGTGCGTCCTCTTTGACAAACTTGCCAATCAGCTCCATGAGCGCATCGGGGTCGAAGTTGGGCAATGCAATGCGAGCCGACGACTTGTTCAGACGCGCCATGTTCTTGTCTGGCCTAAACAGCCTGATGTTTCCGCTCTTGTCCTTGTACGCCTTCATGCCCTCGAAGCACTCGAACGCATAGTGGAACACGCATGTCGCCGGGTCGAGGCTCAGGTTCTGGTACGGTGTGATACGCGCTGGTAGCCATCCTTCTGCCGCTGTCCATTCGAGCGAGAGCATGTGATCTGTGGTCTTTGCTTAGCCACCTACGTCGTTGATACACCATTCGTAGCTTCTACCTGTGAAGTTGCGACCGAAAATGAGATCCGCCGGGGGCAGCAAGTCCTTCGGCGAGGTCGTCCTTGTGATGCTGAGCTTAGTCGGGTCGATATCCTGGATCTTGTTGCCGACAGAGGCATCAGCGTGGATGCTGTACGGCCGCTGGGTCCGACATCGCAGCGATGCGCTGAGCGGTGCAGCTGTTGAGCGGAAGGCACAATTGGAGAGCGACGAAAGCAAACGCGACGATCGTTGCTGCAACATGGTGATGTGAGTGCTGCAGGACTGGGGAACAAAGTGTGGGGATTAAGAATGGCGGTCGCGGTGACTGTCCTCGAAATCTTGCAGGGTTCATCAACCGACAGTGACCGCTTCGGCTTTTTGTTGCCGCTAACGGCCCTCGAATCATTGGTCCTTCATCAGCATCCCTCCGATCTCCGCAGCTTGTAGGGCGCGTCTGAGCAACCCTGATAACGGATAGCTGAGGGTATTCACGTCAGGGCCTCTGCACAGGAGAACGTTACACTTTCGGAGATTGGCCTGACTATGTCCGTGAACCAGCCACACGACATGTGCCACCATGCTGTAGTCACAATCATCGAACAATATGAACAGCGCTCGAAAACCCCTCGTGAAGGCTTTCGAGGCGCGCATTCACCGACAGATGACGATGATTGAGTTCATCTCTATCAGCCGTGATAATTCGACCTTTGACTATCGCCATCTTGTTGCAGACAGGAGGTATTCTAAACATTATAATAAACAATCGAGGTACCACTATTAGCGGTGCTGTAGACAAAACTATGGTATCATTCGAAACGACAGAAGGTCGCGATTTATGACGGAATCAGTTGTTTGGCGTTCGTCATTCACTCTCGCGACGACTCCTCTGCTACAGCAGCAGCCGGCTTAGGGAATGTCGGCGCATAAGCACTCTTCTCCCTGATCTTCGCCCCCTTCATGTAGAACCATACATCAATTGTGAGCTGGGCACTTCTTCTGGTGTGCCTTCAGGCCGTCCGGGTCCTTAATCTTGTATCCGGTTGGACAGCCCTTGCAGTGGAGGTCTGGTGCAGTACCATTCTTCCCATACTTCGCCTTCCTGTTTGCCCTGCGCGCTGCCTTGCCCTTCTCTGATGTCTTGTACTTCTTCTGGACGGCTTTGCTCTTCTCAGTTCTGTTGTACTTGTGACGGGACTTCTTGTTGGATTCTGACGAGTTCTCTTTCTTCTTTTGCATTTTCCCTTTTTCTCCTGCATAGTACCTGCGCTTCTTCTCCTTTCCTTTCTCTGATCGATCAAAAGCTCTCTGATACTCTCTGCCCTTGTCTGTACGCTTCCACACTTTCATGTAGGCATTGAAATTCTCTCTCTTGGACGCTCTCCAATCTCTCTGCATCTCGGGGCAGTTGAAGGTATCAAGGACAAAGGGCGGCAGGACCTCATAAAGAGGAGAATGGCCGCAGAGACCGCTGTAAGGAAGTTTGCTCTGGTCCCATAGAGAGCAGCCAGTGATACTGCCCATAGTTCTCGCCTTGAAGAACCACATCTTTGAAGTGAACATGCCTTCCACAAGGATCAGTAAGGCTCTCAAGTACTGAAAATCTAGGGCATCTCCTGGAATCTCCGCGGCAGCAAGGACTGACTTCCCAGCCCAAGAGTAGCCTTGGTTGAACAACTCGACAACATTGGCTGGCATAGTGATCGTGCTCTTGCCGTAGTTGAAGTAGGCCTCGTATTGTTCTAGTCGTCTTGTTCCACCATCTGCATTAGTCCCAGATCCGCAATAGACATGCGAGACAATGTCAGAGTCCTTCTCGAAGAACTGAAGGTAGACAACCCAGTCTGAAGTCCTGTTGAGAGAGTCCAGAGAGATTGAGCAGTTGAGCAGATCATCGATTGAAGGAGGTTCAGGAGATTGCAGGAGGTCGAGGGAACCGGGAGCGAAGTCCAGAGAAAAGTAGGAGAGAGCCTGAAGAACAGTTGTCTCGTCATGGTACATGTGACGAAGAAGGCCAGTAGCAGAAGCATCCACCTCAAGGACAGAGAAGATATGTTGAGCGATCGCTGCATATTCTGAGGCAACCATAGCGAAGTGCTGACTCGAGAGAGTGTGTGGCTTCAGGGTGAGGCGGCATGTGTCAAGAGCTGTTGAGGCATGACGTGAGCCAGGCACCAAACCTCTGGTGAGGAAGGCACTCGAGGAAGGAAGGAGCCCCCAACCCCTCGACCCTTGACTCACCACAGAACACCATATCTGGCGCACGCAGAGTGGGAGTGCAGCGCCGCACAAACTGCACAGGAAACTGTAGGCGGTAATGGCTGAGGCAGCGAACATCGGACACGCATCGACCAGGTAGTTGAGCGCTTGCAGCCAGACGGCCAAGGGACCAAAGCTGGTGAGGCTGCCAGAGACAGTGGGGACTGGAGATTGTCAGTAGACTTCCGACTATTCGAGTGGGCCTCTGGTGACCTACTTATCCAGTGAATGTTGGGGTTTATCCTGTCCATCCAAACCAGAACAGGCCAACTGCAAAGCATGCACCCTCGAAAATGACTTCTGGCAGACGCCACTCGGGAATGAGTATGTTGTTGTTCGCGGCAAGCTTCTTGTGGTATATTGGCTGGCGCAAAAAGATCCATGTACCAGCAAGAAGCTGGCCTGCAACCATGCTAAAGAACGGAAGGCTTCCAACACCCAGGGTTGTAACACAAACACCTTAGAAAGCCAATGGGTACGCCGTGAGGAATAGCCAAACCAAGTTGCCATTTTCTGGCTGTCGAGCGCTCATAGTGTAGCGCATTGCGCTCGGCGGCCAGCATCTTGAATGGAATGAAAATGTTCTTTTCGACGACCTGTTCGGAATCTATCTCTTGCTCGGCGCGGCTGTTCCAATTGCTAGTCTGGCGGCGAAACTGAAAGGCTTTTGAGATGAGGATCTGAGGCAGGAACAAGTCAGAGAGGAATTGCTGGCTGAAATCAATGCAGAAGAAGCGTGCCGGGTATGCAACGTGACGTGTCCAATGGCAGCTGAGGTAAGAGAAGACGGTAGGCAGCAATACAAGCACGGCAGCAGGGCAGGTAAAAGAGAACCCGACAGCAATGCAGGCAAAGAATCAAGTCAAAGTGAGAGAGCTCGCAGAGAAGACGGTGATGGCCATTCCACGTGTGCGGTTGTCGAACATGTCGGAGAAGACGGCGGCAACACAGGTAAGCGGACATGCTCCAAAAAAACCAGCAAAGAATCGGCAAATGAGGAGTGTCTGTAGATCCTTTGAGACTGCAACAGAAATATTGAAGATGGAGAACCCGAAGGAGGCAATAACAAGCGGAAGTCGGCGGCCCTTCAACTCCGAAAACGGCGCCCTGCAGCTCAGTCAGTATGATGTAATGCTCGGTATGATCGTAGAAGCCCACCATAGGATGGGTCCAGTGGCAAAGCCAAGTACGTAGAGTGAAGTCGCCAGTGTTGCAACAACTGAGCCCACTCCGTAGATCTGCGCTATCGCTCCAGTAGCACTTGAGATAATGCTCGAACCAAAAGCCGCCGTAAGCGTAGTAAAGCCAAGCATAGCAGCAGTAGCAAGCTTCTTCTTCAACGGCCAGTTCTGCGCATGGAGAGGATCGTCGTGTCCATCGAATTCTACCACGTAGGCGTCGCGGTCCGGCAGCTGTGGTGGATATGGCTTGCCGGCTCCAAAGGCTGGCAACGGCTTCCTACTCGTTCTACTTCGTAAGCTGGCACCTACAGTTCCAGAGTGCTGTGAGCGCTGGGTGTGGATTCGGCTCAGTGCCGTCTCATGGCGCTCAAGCTCTGTGCCAGTGTCACGTTGTGTAGGGACACGGGACATGGCGGCATCGCGTTCGACATCTGATGCTTCTGACGATGATGTCGAGGCGCTCGATGCTGTAAATGTTCGCGCAACTGGCTCATGCCTTTCTTCTTTCTCGGCGTCCGTGGCTGAGGCTGAGGCCCCGAAACGGTCCCGGCTGGCATCCGTCTCTGCTCGCTCGATGAGCTTGTCGACATTATTCTCTGGCATGTTAAGTATTCTGCGTCGCAAGCAGTGTGCTCCAGTGATCAGTCTTCAGCTAGACAAAGAAGTCTTGACACAAGGGTGTAACTAGTAATATATGCTTCTGACAGCTCCGTGAACCCGGTTAACTCCAGGGCTAGCGGGTGTCCGCGCTTCTGTTCGGGCACCAGGGAAATGCGATGGTGGGTCAGTCGTAACTTCCAGGAGGCGATCGTTCGAGATTCTGCAATCGAGAACGCAGAGAAAGCCACGACTGGATTCCATCAAAGCGAATGAAACTATATCGTCGCGAACATTCTGAGTGAACGGTGATGCTCACTTACGCAGCAGAGAGAATGACGTCGTCAAGCACAGGTTAAGCTTCTTTACAGGGGTTAAGCTCAGCTCGGTCAGAACGGCCTGCTTCCGCGGGGAGCCACAAGGAGCGAGGCCGAGAACTACAGGCTCCACCAGTACCGGATTTAATGAGCAATCTGCTTTCTCTTGTATGTTATGTAATCGTCAAATTCCCAAGATCTGAGAATCAACTATGTGGCCGTCTGCGAGACGATAAAGTTGATGCGCTGTGACATGTACGACGTTGGAACGATGCCCTGTCAATACATTTTCAGCCTTTACACCTACCTCTACAGAACACCTCATTGAGCTGTCGCTCTTGGCGAACACACGTTCGGCGCTAGATTCTGGCATAGGTAGTCCAGCATTCAGTGCCGTGGCGAAGAACAATGTAATTCAGTGTCGGCTACTGTCCTCGTACAAGTGTCTATCCAGTTCGCCCAGCAGTTCACTAAAGACGTATAACTCTTTCCTTCGGGCTGCCTTTCGGGCTTCCCTTCGGGCCCTTCGGGTAGCACTCGGCCCAATATCTGTGCTCAAATACTCAAACTCTCCTCGCAAATCATTGTCGAAAAATCGTGACACGGGAGTGTTGAACATGAATATCACGGCAATGCATGGAATAGTTCAATGGTGGGTGTCTCTGCAGAGCAGAGAAGACTGACATCTTTGTCAAGTCGTGATTTTGTTCTGTCGTCTAGCGGCGCTCATAAAGACGTCAAACCGTGATCGTGCCCAACCTTCTCATCATAAATGTCATAACAGCAGACTTTCGTCTACAACTTCTGCATGGCAACAATGTCGGTGGACTGGACGTGGTCCTCGAACTCCTCGATCTTCTGCTGGAGCTCGTCGAGAGAGACCTTGTCGTCCTCAACAACCAAGTTAATCTGGAGCTTCTTGATACCGAAACCAACAGCGACCAGCTGGGAGGCACCCCAGACAAGACCGTCCTGCTCGATGGACAGAACGTTGGCCTTGAGCTCATCCATGTTTGTCTCGTCATCTGTACTTTGTCAATTTCTGCTGGTCTCGCGGTTGGGTTGTAAACTTACCCCAGGGCTTAACGTCCATGGTGACGATAGACTTGGCGGCAGGCTTTACCTTGCCAGCCTTCTTCTTGTTGTACTCGGCAAGACGCTCGGCCTTGAGCGCCTCGGCCGCCTCATCAACCTCATCGTCAGAGCCGAACAGGTCGACCTCGTCGTCATCCTCCTCAGCCTCCTTCTCGGGGGCCTGGGCGGGGTTGACAGTGAGCTCGCTGGACTCGGGGCCGTAGGCGGTGGCCTCCTTGGTTGGGTCACCGGGGAGGGTATCGAACTCGCCCTCGAAGGTGAGGATGTGGTTGTACCACCTCCAGGCGTAAGGGAACTTCTCGGGGGCAGGGATCTGCTTGATCTGCTGGAAGACCTTGACGTCGGCCTGCGACGGGGTGTAGCTAGTAATCGTCAGACTATGACTCCACCAGATGAAGAGTAGACGACTAGCAAGAACGTGGGGTATATCAGAGTTGCGACAAGCGCTGTGGTTTTGTATTCAGATAGCGGGGTCTTAAGCCGCCTCATTAACACGGACCAAATGTTCTCATCATGAAAGAAAGTTTGAAAGAAATGTTGTGGTGCGGCGAAAACAACACCAAGGAGCATGGTGGGGTAGCAACTTACCTAACGATGTAGCTGCGGGTCTTGACCCAGTTGTTCAGGAGGGTAAGACCTGCGTCGGAAACAAGATCGGTAAAGCCCATGTTTGCGATTGAGGGTGAGTTGTGGAAAGGAGGATATGCAGTCGCGTTGGTGTCGTGGAGGAAGGGGGGCAGCCAGAGTTTTTGGTGCAAGATTGGGCGCTAAGGATTTTGCGAGATGCCAAGGTGGGGCCAGACGCACGTGCTTTCGTGTCTTACCTGAGCGCCTCAAGCGCACCTCCGTGAGTCAACATTCGAGCCAACTACTGCCTCTACACTTTTATTGCATTCTCTTGGTAGCTCTATGACTGCTGTAATCGGTAATTTGCTTTGGGGCTGTCGCGAAGCGTCGAGCAACGTCGTAGAAGATCGTCGAACGATCGCGGAGCTTCGAGCTCAAGCAGCGTCCGCGCGCCATGGATTAAGAATATAATCATGCATCTTCGCTCCATCTCTCCATTCACGACTTTCCGTACTGCTGCATAGACTATTGCACATCATCATGCTGACCAGCAGAGCGCGTGTCGCCGCAAGGCGCATGACATCCATCCCTCGACCTGCCATCCGCCCTTCGCCACTATGTTGTTCACCGGCGACGCGATTAACACAGCTATCCAACATACCCCGATCGATTGGTGCAACCAGAGCATATGCAAGCGGCCGGCCGCATCCTCCAGGTGGGACTCATCGCATGAATCTAAGTCCCGACCCCGAAAAGGCTGCACTTGAGGAATTTGGCGTCGACCTCACAGAACGAGCGCGGAACGGAAAGCTTGACCCAGTCATCGGCAGAGACAGCGAAATTCAACGGACGATACAGATCCTCTCGAGACGAACAAAAAACAATCCTGTTGTAATCGGACAAGCTGGCACAGGCAAGACAGCTATCATGGAAGGGCTGGCGCAACGCATCGTCAAGGGCGACGTACCTGAGTCAATCAAGAACAAGCGCGTTATAAGCCTCGATCTTGGTTCTCTGATTGCCGGCGCAAAGTTCCGTGGTGATTTTGAAGAACGTTTGAAGAGGGTCTTGAAGGAGGTTGAAGAAGCGCAGAAGGGTGTTATCCTATTTGTCGACGAGCTTCATACACTGCTTGGTTTGGGCAAGGCTGAAGGTAGTATTGATGCCAGTAACCTGCTGAAGCCAGCCCTTTCCCGGGGCGAGCTCCAGCTATGCGGCGCGACCACTCTTAATGAGTATCGACAAATCGAGAAAGATGCGGCATTGGCTCGACGTTTCCAACCCATCCTTGTCGGCGAACCCACTGTACAAGATACTATCTCTATTCTGCGGGGAATCAAGGAGCGCTACGAAGTTCATCACGGAGTCAGAATTACCGACCCAGCCTTGGTAGCCGCTGCGACATACAGCAACCGCTATATCACAGACCGCTTTCTGCCCGACAAAGCCATTGATTTGGTAGATGAGGCCGCGAGTGCTCTCCGCCTCCAACAGGAAAGCAAGCCAGACGCAATTCAAGAGCTTGACCGCCAGATCATGACGATCCAGATTGAGCTCGAGTCGCTGCGCAAGGAGACCGACATTACTAGCAAGGAGAGACGCGAACGTCTAGAAGAAACATTAAAGCAGAAGCAGGCTGACGTAAAAGTGCTTACCGAGAAGTGGGAGAAGGAACGTGCTGAGCTCGATGCGATCAAAAATGTCCAAGAAGATCTCGAGAAGGCCAAAGTAGAGCTTGAACAAGCTCGTCTCGATGGCGACTTTGCCAAGGCCGGGCGACTGCAGTACAGTACGATCCCTGAGCTCAAAAAGACGTTACCAAACGATGACGAGGTTGCCGGGGGCGGTCGACCCGACTCGCTACTGCACGACTCTGTTACCGCCGACGATATCGCCTCAGTGGTCTCTCGGACTACTGGCATTCCCCTATCTAAACTCAACGCTGGTGATATGGAGAAGCTCGTGCATATGGAGGATACGTTACGCCAGTTTGTCAAGGGACAGGACGAAGCTCTCACAGCTGTAGCCAACGCTATTCGCATGCAGAGGGCTGGTTTATCAGGAGAGAACAGGCCAATCGCATCCTTCATGATGCTAGGCCCTACTGGTGTGGGCAAGACGGAGGTGTGCAAAAGACTAGCGGAGTATCTGTTCAGCACCCCTCAAGCCGTACTTCGGTTTGACATGAGCGAGTTCAGCGAAAAGCATACCGTATCTCGTCTCATTGGTTCCCCTGCTGGTTCGTATTCGTCCCTTTACCCCTCTTTCCAAGGCACCTAGCTAACTTGTAAATAGGATACGTCGGTTATGAAGACGCTGGCCAACTTACAGAAGCGGTACGACGGAAGCCTTACGCCGTTCTCTTGTTTGATGAGTTCGAGAAGGCCCATAAGGACATCTCAACGCTGCTCCTCCAGGTGCTTGATGAAGGCTTTTTGACCGATGCGCAAGGCCATAAGATCGACTTCCGGAACACAATCATCGTCATGACATCCAATCTTGGAGCAGATATTATCGTTGGGGACAACGTCGTCGATTCATCTGGTAAAGACTCGAGCGAGATCTCGCCTGAGGTCCGTGATGCAGTCATGGCCGTCACACAGTCCCACTACGCACCGGAATTCATCAATCGTCTCGATGAATTTATCATCTTCCGTCGCCTGTCTCGCGAAGCTTTGCGTGACATCGTTGATATTAGATTGAAAGAACTTCAGCAGCGACTGGAAGATCGTAGGATCGTGCTAGATTGTTCAGACGAAGTGAAACAATGGCTCTGCGACCGAGGCTACGATCCGAGATTCGGCGCTCGTCCATTGAACAGACTCATTGCTAAGGAGGTCGGCAACGGCCTTGCAGACAAGATCATCAGAGGAGAGGTCCGAAGCGGTGATACTGCCACAGTCACTATTCGCGAGGATGGGTCTGGCCTTATCGTGCGAACGGCATCCTGAAACCGAGACTTTTATGGCAACACGACTGTAACGCGATGTTGTTCTGCGCCTTGCTCGTATATTATGTAAAATCACTGTATAGTAGGTAGATATCTTCTTTGTCAACGATACCAATGCATTGTTGGTTTTTCTCCTGTTGAATTGTCTTTCAGTATGGCATTGTGAAAAAGTGTTGGGTGATCTTGCTGGTGAATGGAGGGCGCCCTCACACGTGGTAATGTGACTTCCTTTTCCGGTAGCTCCGTTCATCATCTCTCTCACCACAACTGACATCGGGACACGCACAGTCGCAGATCACGCGTGCAACCCTTTAGTCTCGACGGACCCATAATGCCGCCTAAACCACCGAGCAAGCGCTACAAGAGTAGCCGCAGCTCTGGCTCATTACGTGCTGGCTACACTGACAGCAGCCGAAACTCAACTACGTCGCGCCATGCTACCACACGATCTCCATCAGTTGCCATTGTTGGCTCTTCGAGATACCTTCGACTACAGCCAGCCGAACAAGGCGACATCGCTATCGTCCACTCTGGCGCTCATGAGGTCGATCAAGCAATAAACCATGACGATGTTCACGACGACACTTTGGGTGAGATCATCATGGCCGTCGATATGACTCCTCGCGGCACAATAGGGTGTTGCTACTATATTGCCCAAGAGGAGAGGCTTTACTTCATGGAGGACGTACAGCTTGGCGACATCAACGTTATTGACACTCGTGAGTTCGGCTCTAATCTTGACAGTATGTGCTTCATTGACAAGCAAATAGTGAAGGGCTTCGTTGATCCAACAGTCATCCTTATTTCATCAAAAGTCGACGATACAGTAATTGATCACTTAGATCCTGAGGCCAAGAGTGACGAGTCGGTCAGTGGCAACAAAGATCAGTTTCGACTTCCCTTTCTGTTAGACGTTCGTCCTCCAAATGAATTCTACTATGACACAGCAAAGAACAAACTCATGACCTTGGTGTTGGGTGAGGAGGGAGGTTCCCGAGTGAGCTTCAATGTGCCAGGTGATCATCTCGGCGGACATGATGTTGAAAGTGCAACCGGACAGCAAGGCCACTTACTTCGACTTGCAGGTTGGGTTGACATGGAAAGCTGTATAACAGTATGTATCTCATAAGTGTGTGGCTGAAACAAATAACTGACCTAATGGTCAGGTTGGGTGCACTGGGGCACTTCTTTCGTATCTACAACGAAGACGTGCCGCAGCATTCTTACCAGGCGACGAAGCAGCACACATGATGTTTCGAGTCACAAATCTCGAGATGTTCAGCCTACGGGATACCATGTTCATCAACGCAGATACGCTGCATTCGCTTGGAGTTATTGATGCTGAGGCGCATCCGCATTCGCACAACAGAGGACCAAGCGCCAGCTCCGGAGCGAAAGAAGGGCTTTCTGTATATGGGCTGTTCCATCATCTCGCAAAAACGCCACAAGGCAGATTTCTGCTTCGTCAATCTTTTCTACGCCCGAGTCTCAATATCGATGTCATCAACGAGCGGCTGGACGCTGTCAGTATCCTTTCTTGCGCGGAAAACACGTCTGCTCTCGACGATCTTGTACACAACATGAAGAATATCGGCAATATGCGCGTGATGATGATTAATTTAAGAAAAGGTGTCGGTGGGTCCACGCCGGGGAGAAACGGTCTCTCGAAGAGCGTCTGGACCTCCGTCCGAGAGGTGAGAAGTGCACGTACCTAGCTGCATTCGTAAAATTGACTCGATTATGATAGTTCGCTTTCCATGCCCTCAAGATCAAGGATGCGCTGCAGAACGTTGTTTGCAGTGGTAACTTTACCATACGGGTCAAGGCGTGTAGAAGATATGAGGCTTGGTTCAAGTGCTAACGCCATGTAGGTCTTTGAAAGATTCGAAGGTTACCATTTAGCTCAAGTTGGCCGAAAGATCAGTGAGACCGTGGATTTCGAAAAGTCAGGAGAGGAGCGACGAACGGTAATTCTTCCTGGTGTTGACGAACAACTGGATCACATGAAAAGGACACTTGATGGACTCGAGAGTATACTTGACAAAGTCGCAAGTAAGCTTTCTGAGGGAACGACTGCCGACTTACGGGCATCGTTGAACGTCATATACTTCCCGCAAATTGGCTTTCTTGTCATCGTACCACAGGACCCTACCACTGGAGCTGCGGTCTACAACGGTACTATTGATAACCCCTGGGAACTAATGTTCTCTGCCGAGTGAGTGCAATGAGCATGATACAAGTATGCGTGCTAACTTCTGGCTTAGAGGACAGGTGTATTTCAAGACTGCTGAGGTGAGAGAAATGGACACTCACTTCGGAGACGTATACGGCATCATATCAGATCGTGAGATTGAGATCAGCCATGGACTTGCGCAGTTTGTACTGCAGTACGAAGAGCTGTTTACGTCATGCTCCGATGTGTGCGGCGAGCTCGATACGTAAGTAGCCTCTGCATATCTATACCTATAGTACTTACTTTGTTCTTAGCTTAATGGCACTGGCACAGGGTGCAAAAATGTATAACCTCGTACGACCACACATGATACTTGAGAACTCCATCCGGATCGACAAGGGCCGGTAAGTGTTTTACCCGAACATGCCCGCTGTTTAACTGAACTCAGCGCAGTCACATACTTCAGGAACGCACAATATCTTCTTTTGTTCCAAATGACACGTTCGTCGCTGGTGGAGCAGGAGATAACGGATCTGATGCAGACCAGCAACGTAGCTCCTCTAGCTATTCGCACGGCAGTTCTGTGTCCAATGAGGACGGACCAAGCATGCTTGTGTTGACAGGACCGAATTATTCTGGAAAGAGCGTCTACCTGAAACAGGTGGCTCTGATCATCTTCATGGCGCATGTTGGGTCGTTCGTGCCTGCAGAACGCGCACAGATCGGGCTCACTGACAAAATCCTTTCCCGCGTTACCACACGTGAGACCGTCTCCCGCGTTCAGAGCGCATTCATGATCGATTTACAGCAAATTTCACTCGCGTTAAACCTGGCGACCCGCAGAAGTCTTCTTATTATAGACGAGTTCGGAAAGGGAACAGATGCCAGTGATGGAGCAGGGTTAGCATGTGCAGTCATGGAGCATCTCCTTAGCCTGGGCAGCGAGAGACCGAAAGTGATTGGAGCGACTCATTTCCACGGTAAGATCAGCTAAACTTGGTCAGCCACCCATGTGCTAATATGCTGAGAAGAAATTTTCGAGATGGAACTGCTGAACCTGAGACCGGCACTTGCTTTCGGACATCTCGAGGTGAAAGTCGATGCCGAAAAATCGCAAGTTGATGATCAGATAACATACCTTTACAAGTGCGATGGAAATAGCCGTGATCTTCCTCCACATGACGCTGACTAGAGCGCAGCTTTCGCGAAGGAAGGAGCACCTCAAGCTTCGGCACATCGTAACTAATTCTGCGTATACTGCCTCATGATCTTCGCTGACGTGTCCAAGTTGCGCGGCCATGAACGGAGTTCCTGGAGAGATCGTCCGAAGGGCAGAAGATTTGGTCCTTCTCTCAATAAAAGGCGAGGACTTGGTAGCTGCTTGCTGTCAAATGCCGGGAAACGAAGCCAGAGAACTCGAGGAAGCTGTGAGCATGTTCAAACACTCTCAAACCCAGCTGACATGATCAGGAAATGATTGCACGGGACTTCCTGAAGGCCGACGTCTACAAGGACCCCAGAAAAACATTGTCGGACATTCTGGCAGTTTCAACAACCACGGACTTGCGTTCATAGAAGGAGATTTGGGGACACAATGGTGCTCATTGGCGGATCGATCGATTATGAATCGTGCGGAGGTCGTAAGCTGCAGATGTCAGCATTATGCTATTGGCTCCGTAGAGCTTCAAATTCAACAAGGTGTTTCAAGCTTCCAACTTAGATGTGCCCACGGCAGTACAGGCATCTTGCGAAGAATGTCATGCTGATGCTCACTCAGACGCGCGTTCTTGCCATTACTTTCAGCATTCTCGCTCTTCAACTCCATGATTACAGCGACACCATGGCAATCTCGACAAACATCGCTCGCTGTGTCTTACATATTTGATGGTATACACGCCCAATCCGACCTAGCCAAGGTGCAAGTTGCGACAAAAGTGCGATACGCCTGTACTTGCAATGATACTAGCCATTATCTGCCGTGCTATCAAGAATCTTCCCAGAATCGATAGTTTGGGTAGGGTATTGCGTGGCTGCCAGGTGGTAAGCGCCGGGGGGCGCCTGACTGCGAGCGGTTGACGAAGGCATGTCCGTTGCGTTTGAGGATGTTGCTGATATACTTTGATAGACATCGATATCCTATCCATAAATCTTTTCGGTTTTCTTCGCATTATACTGTATACACTCGGCCTCGAGCAACTACACATACTGTTGCACCCACAGCATCTCGTTATTCGATGCATACGTTTCCCTCGGATATTGCACTCGCTAAAAGGCCGTGTAAATGATCCCTCCCCGGAACACCTAAAGGCGAATGTGCTGCAGCAAACTGAAGCTGACGTGGGAACTATCGAGGGCACTGGCTATAAAGGGTGAGAGAGAAAATTTTCACAACATCAACGGTTGTCTCAAAGCTCCAGCACTCGATGCGTTTCAGCCTCCCGCTGTACGTTTGAATCCTTGTGGCAAGCCTGCCTTCGGGTTTCTAAAGATCGGATTTGTGGACCTACTCTTCTTGAGTCCAACCTCAGATGGCGCCAGGCAGCGATCCGGTCGCTGCAGTCACCACAGAGCCGAGCTTATGTTTCATGTTACGAAGATTACGGATCTGAAGGATAGAGTCGATTGTACTCGCATAGTGTGTAGTGCACTCCGGCCCAGGCCCTCTAAGTGAGTGGCTGCAGGAGGGTACCTGGGGCCACGGTCATACTCAACGGGAACCTCATGGCCCCCAAAGCCCAAAGCCTCAAGAGGGCAAGATCTTTGAATATCTGGTCTTTTGCTTGCCAGTTACTCAGGCATGGCCATTGGCTAGCCAGGTCCTTCTGTGGCGGTCGGTCCCCGAACCTGGCAAGGCCACCTCTTTCGACAAGTCAGGACGATCGGATCCAAGGTGGAGGTTGCTTAGGCATCCCTTCGATCTCTCGAATTACTTTATTACCAATCTCTATCATCTTGGAATTGCTGGGTATGTGCAGAGCATTGCATCTGGCGGTCCCAGGCACAGCTGCCTCGATCCGTGCTGCCGGGCGGCAGGCAATTGCCCAGAACATGTACAACAGCCGGTGTTGGACCGACTCAAATATCGAGTAATCTGCTTCCCACGTCCCAACTAGGGCTTCTGATCTACACTGGAAGGCATGAGTGTGTCATGAACAAGGATGCGTGGCAATCTTGAGCACATCAGGAACTCGAGCTTGAACTGACACGTGCGTCATGACACGCACCGAACAGCGAGTTCATACCCAGCTGTGTGCTGTTGCTAGATCCGTAAACTAACGACTTGAATTACGCAAACATCTAATGCGCACAATGCGCAAACGCTGTTAGCGGCGACCAGCGCGATGCCTGTGCGAGAGGGACCGGCGCACGCCGCGCCTGGAGGAGCTCACACTCTACTTGTGCACATAGGTAGCAGATCTGTTCCTGTGTCGATCGCCCCAGCCTCGTGGAGCTCGATATCAAGCAAGAGATGCCAGTCTTCTAAACTTCCCAGAAGGTATGTCATGCCGCGTGATGCTATTTTGGGGATTTGGAGTCGCGGTTAACATGGGAGGTACATACCGCAGGCGAGGCTGAGCACAGCCCCACACATACCCAGAGGCCACGAGGTTTCTATTCGCGACAAGGCGATTACACAAACCCAGCATCACATCAACAGATCGGCTTCGCGAGGCCTCCCAGAATTGAGCCCAGATCAGGTGTAGGAGCGGGCGACACTCCGTGCCGTTGCACCGACCTTGGACGAGGATGGTGGTCTTGACATCCCGCCAAAGGGCCTTGATAGGAGATCCTGCGCAACGCTGACGATTTGTGTGACTTGAGAAGATCCACCAGGGCCCACGCCAAAGAGGCATGGCGGTATCTCACACCGCAGTATCGGCGCGCTCATCTGTCCCCGCTGTGCCTCGTAGCACCCAGCCCTGGGGAACGTTTGCAAGCGCTGCCCTTTCGCGCGGTCCTAGTAGCACTAGACGCCATCCGCTGATATCAAACGATGATGATGTCAAGTTTTATCTCGCAGGCTATTATGCTTAAAACGGGAAAGTTGGCAAAGCGCCGTTTATTTTGGTGTGGGCACGTCTTCATTCGAGCAAGTCAGCGCTAGAAGCAGTTCACATCGCCGACACTATGGAATCCATCCAGTCATTGGACCACGACCGCAGGAGCGTCGATTTCTGCATCAGTCAAGGGCTGACAGAGTGATCAGCTTGTCATCGTCTGAATGGACGAGGTATTGCGATGAAGGCAGATAACGTGCGACCCGAGGAGGGCAATCGACAGCACTCTCTTGCACACCAAAGCTGCGGTCCAGATGGTCAAACTTTAGACTGCGCAGCCTCGCTGAAGGTTACCGTGACCTTGGTACATAGGTTCCACAGGTATGCCTCGCCGAATTTGGAGTGTTTCGACTCTTGAGGCTGGCAATGGCGCGAAACTCGATGCTAGACAATCTCCGCCAGGCAGCGAACGGTCCCTAGGCCAAAATAACGACAGGTGGATCTTCGAAGGCATCAATGAACCGGCCCGAGCCTGTACATCGGCAGGTGCGAGTGCGCTCAGCATAGTCCCTGGACTACACTATGTCTAAAGTGGGATTAATGTTGCTGTAAGCTCTCAGCCCCGTTTTACATCCCTGTTGCGGTAGCTGCAGCGTACCCTGCCCCTGGTTCACCAAGCGTAAGCATAGACGCTCACTACTCTGCCCCGGCAAATGCAGCCTGCACATGCACTTTAAGTGCATTCCGGCGTGGTTACTTCCATCGCCCTAGTCTATCTCCAGCAACACCAGTTCCAACACCACTCGTATATAACATACCACTCCTCTTCCAAGGGAACCCCATCACCCCGAGCCATCAGACAAATTGCAAGATGTTTCAGACCGTCCCTCAAATCTACACGCCTCAGTCAACACCTTCGCCCCCCGCAGACAACATGCTTTCCCCTCCTACAAACACAATGGTCACAAGCACAATGGTCCCCACCGGCCCGAACGGCCAAACCAAGCCTAGGAAGATGCGAGCGTCATGCGATGCTTGTTCTCGTGCAAAGGTCAAGTGCGATAAGGTCCGACCTTCATGCCAACGCTGCAGCAACATGAATATCTGCTGCAACTATTCCCCTTCGATGAGGTAGGCTCTTCCCTCAATCAACATGCTCTTAGCTCTAAGTAACTCACACGAATATAGATTAGGCAAGCCGCGCAAGAATAGGAACCCAGACGGTAGCATCATTCGCGACATCTCGAGAGCAAGCTCATGTGGGCCATTTGGATCCAGGCCCGATATCGCTCCCCGAGTTGCCTCATACACTGTCGAAAGCTCGCCGGAGCCTTCAACGGACGCGTTCTATCTTCGCCCCTCAACGCCCAACTTTCAGTTCCAAGACACATTCGCGAACAATTTCGGTGGCAACCAGTCTCCTCCGTATTCAGAAGCCAGCTGGTCGAATGAGGAGCCAATGGCATTCCAGTCTTCCATGGATATGACGATTTCTGTGCCTCAATTTGCTCCTCTCTCTCCATACAATGGCGCAGGGCATGCTCGCTCCACAAGCATGCGGAGTCAGCCAGACTTCCTCGCCCCTGTAGACAACGGCCTGATATCACCACCGATGGCCAGCCCGCTAGTGTTTGGCCTACAAGACCAGCAGAGCCTTCCCATGTTCGAACCTGAGTCGTTCACCTTATCTCCACCCTTGATGGCGGCGCCGCAGCCTATCGCAGTCGCTCCTGTTTCTGTTCAAAGCCACGACTGCACCAAGTTCGCTTTCCAGATCCTGAACAGCCTCTATTCGCCACCCTCGTCTCAGCCTTCGTTTGACGACTTCAATGGCGCAGCTGACGGTCTCCCCACCCTTGACGCTGTCCTTTCGGCAAACAAAGCTGCAGTGGAAAGCCTCTCGGCTCTCCTTGGCTGCCCATGTTCGGCGAACCCGCACTTCTCCACCACCATTGCCTTCTCGATCACAAAGATTCTATCCTGGTATCAGGCCATTGCTGGCATTGCTCAAGACATTATCTCACCCATTAACACCCGTATGGAGGCATTCACACACACGCCCATACTTCTTGGTGACTTCAAGCTCGAAGCTGAGGACGAAGAGACCTTCCGGACCCAGATTATCCTCGGCGAATTGCGAAAAGTCGAGAAGCTCATCGACGTATTTTCTGCCTGCTACTGCAATGCTTCCAATGATAGCATTGATTCGAGCGTCTACATGTCTCTAGAGTCACTGCTCCGCACTCGGGTCCGAGACACGTTCAAGGTGACCATGCGCACAGCGCCCCTTGACGTTAAGCGTCAGGTTGCTTGTCGTACCCAAAACCGTATGCGTGTCAACACTTTGTAAAACTTCTCTTTTGTCATATTTGCGGCATTTCAGCGCTACGATACCCTCGCTAAGCATTTGGTTCTTATTGCATATTTTCTTTCTTATACGATAGAGCAGTGCCGCTCTCGTTTGCATATGCATGTTAGGGGTCACACTGGGAGACTTGACGGAGTTATAGTATATACGATGCACATTATGTTACTTCAAAGTAAATTTGGCGTTCTGGATCCAATGAAATTCTTTTCTCTATACTGCTACCAGTCACGAATGTAATCCTTCACGGAGTAGTGTCCGATCCTACAAGTTCCTGGGCGCTCATCATAGATGGCAGGTCCCAACATTCAGCTCAACAACTTTCATGGAACTCAGAACCCTACTCTCCAAGCCCTCGACCAACAACTCACGCCACATTCTCACCGGAACTGCCGCCGCAACTTCAACAGATCCGTACGGCCCCCAAACCAGGGACTGGGATTGTACAACAGCGTCCTTCCCTGATCCACCTCTACTAGCTCAAGGCGGATTCGAAGACTTGATTGCTGCTGTTTCAGACGGCCCTGAAACAGCTTGTAGAAAGATGCTGACTGGTTTAAATCTACCTAAAGATCGAGCTCCTGGGTGGAATGTGGCAAGGTGAAGGCGGTGGAGCATGGAGATGCCTGGTGATCGACATCAGCCCCCAAGTTGAGTACGTCACCACCATTCGCAGCAGCCTTAAGCGGGTCGATCTAGAGCATTGTTCGAGATAACTTGCCACACATCTTACCTGCCAACACCTTGCTTCATCAATTCTCAGGCACCCAGTACCCTCCCTCCAGTTCATAGATCACGCCCAAGCTCAGGCCATGCGGGTGGCTTCGGTCCACCCCTGCTGCATCAAGCAGGGGTACCATGCATGTACCAATCGTAAAATTAGAGGGCCGCACCGCGATGCTGGCGGCGCTGCGCCAGGCCGAGCATATGGCTGTTTTGGGCGGAGTGGCTGAGACTTTCGATAGGTACGTGCTTACGTGCAGCGCGAGCGGGTGACCGGTTTTGTACGAGCCCTGGTAGGAGAAATGTGATGCTTGTGCGAGGCGACGCTTACTCAGATCGCTATCGATCTCTGCTGATGAAAAGGGAAAGAGGGGTTGATGATGGACTGAGAGGGTGTACCGGATTTTTCGAGTAAGCCGGTGGCATTTGCAGCGTTGATGACTTGATGACTGCCCAAAGGAACCCGAGTCATCACCTGAGGTGGCCCAGCCTTCTTCTGACTTTGTCCAACCTCTCGCCTTGCGCGGATAAACCCATCCTGCACAATTCCTTCAATTGCGAGGTAGATACCCCACGCACTCGCACGTGCCAGGAACCTACCAACTGCGCGCTTGCATCAGGCAGACCATGCAGCCTTCTGTAGGTCTTAGTTTAGGATAAAGTCGTTCCTCTTTCCGAGAAAAACATGATATGCACAGCTACGTAGTCTACCCAGATTTCCAAACCCACGCACCTCCACGCTCTGCGAGAGGCGCGAACCACGATCCTTGCGAGCACCTGCATGCACCCTTGTACACCTACCGGGGTTCCTGAGCTAAGCTTCCTAGCGCGTCAAAAGCGGCAGTCGGGCTGAAAATACTTAAATCGAGCATTTCAATTGGTTAGAGTAGATTAAATACCGACACTCTGGAATAACCAATACACAGGTGCAGGCAAGGATAGCGCCAGGCCAGGTGTGGTGAATTTTGCTTTTCTTAGGCTCACGACACGCTGGATGAAGGGTTTTAGCCGCAAAGAAGCCAAAATAGCCAATGAGGGCTGTGAAACTGTGCCGTAGGTGCCGCCAGCGAGCAAGAAGAGAAGACACTGCCCCGTTTCGAGTGGTATGTTTTGGGCGACCAGAAAGTTTCTGACCATGCCGCAAAAGGATCATTCCATGCAATGACGGGAGATGGATGCTGTCCGTAACAAGTCAAAAGAATGGTACTAAATTTGGTACCTCCAAGGCTGGAGATGAGCACGTGCTCTAGCTTCTCGAAGACCAAGTCCACGGCAGTTGGTCAGGTAGCTGCGGATCGGCGGGTTCGTCGCATGTATGGATGATGCCAACGACCTGTATACCTGATAAGGCCGTGAGAGCCCAGACCGACTGACTGTTGGTGACCATGCATATTCTCCTTCCCTTTAAATAGCCCGCTCAGATGGCAAAGAGACAACGCATCCTGTCTGTCGTCATTGTCTCGCATGGACGAACTCGTGTAAACAGGCCAGATAAGAGCTGCTGGGAATAATGAACGGCCAGGTGGGTCTCACCGAGCAACAACGTAAGAGCAGCAAATTCTTGTAAGAGACTCGGGAATTCCATGAGGGCTTTCTAAGCCGATTGCATACGCGATGTTTCCGCTAGATTTGCTGGTAAATACGTTGATGCATACCTCTAGGTGCCCATGTCAGCTCATGATGTATGACCTCGTACGGAGAGTTAGACCTTTGGCAGCAAGAATTTGGCCCCCACGGTTGTAGATCTGTGCCTGTTGGAAGAATGACACCGAACTCACATGGGCTCGTACAATGCGGACCTAGGATTCCGTTTGCACAATGTGCTCGATTGAATTCTGAGTAATCGGCGTCATCTGCGTTTGCTTCGCTATTAGTGGGTATAAGGATAAGAATCGCTAGCCAGAAGATCGGCATATCGACTTGGCCACGGTCAGAATCGAACCCCAGCAGTGTGTCCGTAGGCCATGGAGGCCTCAAAGCACTCTTGCATCAGGCGAGGAACTCATACTGTCTACATGCATGACCAGCATTGGGACAATATTCGAGTGATCTACGATAGTTTGAAGAACTGTATGGAATGCAACATCTAAGCTGACAGCTGTTGAAGGTGTGGGTGTTGCCAGGGTATTTGTGAGTCTCTGCTCTCAAAACGATTATATGGATCAGATACCTGAAATAGCAGAACGGTCTCTGACCATGGAAAGGAGGACTTGAAGAGCCTCGTACTCATCTACCGTTGTATTCCGAGCCTAACACCCCTATAGCACGTAAATGCTATACTCCGATGCTGTTGCGCTTTGGCGAGTAGCTATAGACGATTATCCTTTCCATCATGGTCATGCCTTTGGGTTAGAGATCAGGTGAGGCTACTCAGAGACAGCGTGAACTGCCACACTCCACCTGACTATCGCTGGAATTTCTTCACGGTAGCAGTCAATGCCCTGTATAGCCACATTCTAGACCGTCCAGTGGAGTCGACTGTGACCCACAACTTTCAGCGCAAGAAACATCGATAAGAAGATATTTCGCGACTTTGAAGATCTATATCCGTTGCAAAGGGTGCGCTAAGCACAGCATCGTTTCCTCAGGGAAGCTGAGATTCAGTCAATGTTTCCAAGTTTCGGGGGCGTTCGCTTTGCTTATGTTGCAGATCTGGACGCAGTTCGCATGTACTGTCGTTATATCGTGGAACGAACACATTGCTTTTTCAGAGGTACACACCCTCCTCGTCCTCCTCAGCCTGCGCTGAAGCGCCGTTTGTCTGCTCCTGTGCCGCCTGACCAGTTGGTGCAGTCGGGCTTGTGCCATTTTGTAGTGGCGTTATGCCATTCAGTCCAATATTGCCTTCCTCTTTCCTGACCTCGCCCTCATCTCTAGGCCTCCAAGGTAAACTGCGCACCTCTTCGACCTCTTTCCTGATCATGTCCATGCGCTCGTTGAAAGTCTTCATAACCTGTCGGTTCTCGAGCAGTGCCTCGTAGCAGTCGCGATCGTCGTTTTCTCGTGCATAATCTTCTAGCTGCTTGTTGCTTGACTCAAGATGTGTAATGTTGTTGGACAGCTCGGCGTGCTTTGCGTATAGTGAGGAGATTGGGAGTTCGGTGAGCGCGGCTGCGAACCGTGCAGCCGTGATTGGCCTTGACTCGGTAGACATCGCGATACTGATTGTGTGTGGATCTCAGCGTGAGGAGCGGGTGATTATTGTGGTGTTGAGAAGAAGGCGAAAGTCATGGAAGCAGGAGCTTTCGAAGCTCATGTGGGGTTGGTGGGGCGTGCCTTCTGGCCCTGTTACTGCTGGCACCTCATCAATATCAACATGACCATGAACACCAATATCCACACCGAAGCTCTGTTACCTATCAAAGACTGCCTATCACCTGTGTTGATTAGCTCGAAAATCCCTAATATTTCCTGGACGATTGTCGATTGTCACGAGCCAAAGACGGTCTTCTGGGATCCGCATTGCGCGTTTGGCTCAATTGCACACGCTTCGCGGAAAAGCTTGACCATGGACCATATCTTGAAATATAGATGGCTGGTCTATAAATGCGTCACCGAAGAAGTCCAGCTGTGGACTAGCTAGGTATACTGTGGTGTGCTAAATGGGTTTAGTACTTCTACCACTCCCTTGATCAGCATACCAGATACGTAACATCTTCAGCCATGTCGTACGCTTGATAGAATCCTTAAAACTATAGGCTAGTATAACGTCACGAGCCGACTTGATGGTGGAGCCGGTTTGACTTGGATTTATAAAGATGGAACTTGGCTTCAGAAAGGATACACAACAGTCTTTGGTTCATTGCTTGGTAGTCGACTCACTCAATATGGCTCAGTATTTCTGTGGAGGTTTTTTAGCATTTTTCTTTCTCATCTCCACAGCGCTCTCCGCACCAGCCGCTGTAGACCCAACCGTGACCATCGCATCCGGCATTATCATAGGAACCACAACTAAGTCCGTCAACCAACCAGCGCTTACCGCATCTGCCAATGCTTACCTTGGAGTGCCCTTCGCGAAGTCTCCACCAGAAAGATTCGGTCCGCCAGAAGCAGCGCATCCATGGCCCACGCCATTGCAGGCTAAGGCTGTGAAGCCTGCATGTATACAGCAGTTTCCTGGGCTCGGGCAAGCACAGGAACTGAACAAGCGATTCTTCAACAACCCCGCTGGCCCAGCTCCTGAGGAGAGTGAGGATTGCTTGTATCTCAATGTATACACTCCGCCGGGTGTGACGCCTGGCAGCAAAAAAGCAGTTATGTTCTGGCTGTTCGGGGTATGTGATTCATCACACACACAGGTTGTGTCAGTACTAATGATCTAAGGGCAATCTACAGTTCGGCACAGGTGGTCTTCAGTATTACGACGGTAGCTCCCTTGCCATCACCCAGGATGTCGTCGTAGTGACCATCAACTATCGCACCAACAGTACGTCTTCCATCTGCGAATATCGTAAGCGTGTACTGATTGTGTCAAGTCTTTGGCTTCTCCAACTCTCCAGAAGTCCCATTTGGCTCCCAAAACTCAGGCTTCCTTGACCAACGTTTTGCACTTCAATGGGTACAACAGAACATCGCTGCTTTTGGTGGGGACCCCTCACGCGTGACCCTCTTTGGCGAATCCGCGGGCGGTGAGTCTGTGAAACAACTCCTGGCTAATCCTCCCTCTCCACGTCCATTTTCGGCTGCAATCCTCCAGAGTCAAAATGCTGTGCTCACCGGGAACGGTGCGTTGAGTTACACCAAAGTTCTTGCCAATTTTGGGTGTTTGAACATCGCGTGCTTAAGAGACATCGATGCTTTCAAGATCAAGAGCTATATTGAAGAAAAGACTCTGTTTTTTCCACCAGTAAACGGCGATGGGACGTCCATTGACGATGTAAGACGCAGTATCGAGAAGGAAAAATGGGCAGATGTGCCTACATTCTTCGGTACCACCCTTAATGAAGCGCGCGTGTTCCTTGCCATTCTAGGTTTGAATAATGGCACTGCAGCTGTCGATGGTGCGTTTGAGAGCGTGGGGATCACAAGTCCGTTGGTCAGGGAGAGCATTCTGGCCATGTACACCGCGCGAGGCATCGACGATCTCTATCTAAAAGCGGATCAGTGAGTTTATTCTTCCCACTCCTATCTCAACTGTCATCAAAACGAAAGCAAGCTAACGACCTTGCCAGCATACTGACCGACTTGTTGTTCACGTGCACGACGAGTACCCTCACCTCCTTACTTGCTCACAAGGGCTTCGAAACCTACCGCTACCGCTTCGACGCCTCCTTCCCGACTACATCGCTCTTTGATAACTCTGGTGCTTACCATACCTCTGACATTCCCGAGGTCTTTGGAACATACCCGCTGTCCAACGAGGCCGGTGTTGCGACCACGCAGCAAATTGAGCTGAGCGCGTTCATGCAGAAGACGTGGGCAGATTTTGCGAAGAACCCGGACAGAGGTGTAGGATGGCCAAAAGTGGGTAGCGCCTTTGGAATGGAGTTGGGCTTGTTGGGGAGCGATGGTAGTAGTGGCGTTGATGTTGTGCACACCATCACCGCAGATTATCCTTGTTTGTTGCTTGCACCGATTGGAGACTTGTCGAAGTTGAACTACAAGTGAATTTGTATATTCTAGTCTCGTTTGCAAAGTATCACCATTGAAAGAATCCCCAAACGTAAGGTCGTAGGCACAACCAATTAATGTTGTCGTATGGCTTTCCGATTTTACTCTGTTCTGTCTCCAATCTCGTGTCCTAACAACTCTTAAGCCGACCCTGATTCTAAGTGCTCAGCCCCCGTCACCCAGACACCTACCTACTCTAGCAGTCACAATTTTGAGAATAGTCACGGAAGAGTCAGTCACAGAGGCAGTAGTCGCAGATGGAAAGTCGTCACTCGCCAAAGAGCAACGGAAGGGCAGGAGTACGGAATAGAGACTAACACTTGTGTGGAAGACTGAGTCAATGTGTTACTGATTTAGTGTGACAACTAAAAGAAAAGAGCGAGAATATCGCGTGCATTCCATAGGAGAATTCTGAACACAGACCATAGGATGTTCGAAGCCTTCGATCAGGCACATCACTCACATCAAACAAGTTAAAGTACTTGAATCAGATACATTGAACGCTCGAGGCGTACGTCAAATGCTGTCTATGTGTCTAAAAACGCCGAACTCCGCCGATCCCGCTGCTCCAGGCAGAAGTGAATGGCCAAGCCAACGATGAAATTCTAATGCAAACCAAATCAACCAAATGATGAGCCCTTGCGATGCAATTCCCTAACAAAACCCTTCTCTTACCATGTCATATCTGTACAGCGACCCTCTCCCTGATGGTGGACTTAATAAGGAGGGAGAGCAGTGCGAGCGTTGCGGTGGAGTTCGCGGCGAGCGATCGCACCGTTGGAGCACTTGGTACCGGCAGCGACGGACTGGTAGACAACCTGGCCGTTGGTACAGATTCCAAACTGAGAATCGCCGTTGCACATAAGGGCACCTTCGTCAGAGCAGGACGAGCCGCCTCCAGTGGAGCCGCCAGTCGTGGGAGTCTTGGGTGCCTTGGGTGCGGTAGGGGCGGGCTCTTCGGGTGTTGAGGCGGCGGGCTCCTTGGGTGTGGGAGTGGGCTCCTTGGGAGTAGTAGGAGGTGAGGGAGTGGAGCCACCGGTGCTGCCACCCTCAGAGGCAGCGCCACCACAGAGCTCCATGAAGGGGCCGGTGCCAAGCTTAGCGACGGACTTTCCAGGGTTGGCGAAGGTATAGTCAGAACCCTCTTTAGTGTTGCATGCACCTCCGATATTCGCAGTAGCCATGTCTGGCAGGCTGTCGAAGCCCTCTCCAGTGCCACCGGCGACTTTGATGGGCGCGCAGTTCATGTACATCTCGCGGTTTCCAGACTTGTTGAACCAGGTCCAAGCCATCGTTAGGCGACCATCAGGAAGTGTGGCGGGGACCGTGAATTTGTAAGAGCCGAGATCCTTAGGGTTATTAATGTTTCCTGGGAAAGTTGTAGGGCAGCCGCCTTCGATGGAATGGATGACCTTCCACTCAGAGTCTTTGGTAGGCTTCTCGTCCTTGCTGACGGAGATTTGACAGGATCCGCCGGAGTGGGTAGCAGTTTGCTCTGAGGGGAACCTAACGGTGACATCAGAGCCAACAGTCCAATCGTTAACGGTTATGACCTCGTAGCTGCTACCCTGGCAAGGGAAGTCTGAGCCAGACGGGTCCAGCGGGTCCTTCTTGACACCACCGAAAGGAACAGGGTTCTCAATAAACATGTGGGCGGAGGTGATGGAAGCCATGGCCAGCACGGTTGCGAAGAGAGAAGTCTTAGTCATAGTAGAAGACATCTTGGTTGAGTTGTTTGAGTTGGTTGAGAATGTAATGTTGTTGGAAGTGTTGTTGAAAAGACAGGAAGTGATCGAAAGCTGAAGGTTGGGTTTGTCAAAAGCGAAGTTGGTGAAAATTGAAAGTTGAAGGAGTGTGAATGTTCAGAACCAGTCTGAAGATTGCTGTTGAGTGAATGTGGTTGTTGTTGCTTAATTGGAGCTTCGATGATGTGTATTGGAAGCTTCTTGGTGTTGCTTAAGTAGTTTTTTGAAAGTAGAGCGCCGTATAGCCACAATGCAAGTCCGTTGGCGTTGTGGGGCAACATGGCAGCCCGCCTATTGTGCAGTAGCCTCACAATGAGACAATGGACGGACACCGTGAACAAAGGGTGAATGGGAGTACCCGCACTGCGTTGTATAGATCCAGCACCAACGAATCAGATCGAGGGATCTGGCCTTGGGCGAACCACGTAGAGGCGGACTCAGAGATCTCATATTCCGTAACCTGCCTAAAAGGAGTGGGACTATGGCTGTTTATTGTGGGAATGACCGTGGTTGGTTCCCGACGTATGACATTTGTGGTCTTGACAAACGAAACACAGACCTACCATCACCAACCTACTTCTGTCACGCATACAGCGTGTATGGTCTCGAAGATAGATGTTCTGGAAGATAGCACATTGATCTAAGCGGCGTCAATGGCAAGTGAAGCATGAGTCTCACGGCCAACATAGACTGCTGAACGTGGACCTTCCGGAGTGTAGGCAAGGCTGCGCCTCGATGTCCGTCAGCGCGGGTTTCAATATCGGGGTTCGCAGGGTCCACCTTTGCGGTCATCACCGTACGATTAGTCACAATAGGCATTAGATTGAGAGCAGCCTTGACTCTAGCGCTTCGTAGCTTTGTGGTTCTGACACGAAGAGGCGATGACTGAAGGTGGTCTACACGAAGTAGAGTGCCCTATCAATTCCTCTATCCCCATTGCGGCATTAGTGCACGCTGACTCAGCGAGGGCATTTGAAGGTCGCGCTGCATCATGCTGATCGCAAGGAACGCGAAACGAACCTCAGAACTCGGACCAGGCCGCCAGGCAAGGGGAGGAAATACGTCAATCTGCAACTCGACCTCTCCTCTGACCCTTCTCGGACCTCGACGCACGACCAACTGCCACACGCGCTGGTTGCGACGCGTCTGCTGCTCGCCCAGCTCTTCTGAGCTTGCTCACCTGTCGCACCACTGCCGTCGCGCATCCCAGCAGCCATGTTCACCACTACGGGCAAGACGGCGCCGCCGCAGGCGTTCATGTCGAGCTATGCGCCGCGACTGCGATCGCATGGCAATTCGCTGATGTCCCCCATTGTGCCGCCGTCAAACACTCTCCCTGCGCCGCGCGTTACGAAGCGCGGAACTGCCGTCCTCAGCTATGCTGAAGATGCGTTCGACGACGACGACTTTGAGGACAGTGACCGCCCGAGGCGCGCGACCGGCCTGCGCAGTGTACAAAGGGATGCCACCATGAACCTGGACCAGACGGCGCAAATAGCAGCGCTGGGACAGGAGCTCACAGCACCCATTGAGGTGCAAGGCATTTGGAGAGATTGGATGGGAAGACCCAAGCGCACTTTGTGAGTGCACGTGTGGACAAGTCATGACGATTGCTAACTGTCGTAGAACGGAAAAGCAGGTGCAAGTGCAGGCTGCGCTCCCTGTGACCCTGATTCCCATACGAATAGACATGGACATCCAGCCATTCCGACCAGAAGCACCATTGCCTACCCCTTCGAATGCGCGCGACTTCGGCATCAACGAAAGCCTGCCAGCGTACAAGCAGCCAGACGTGACGCCAGCCTACCGGCTCAAGGATTCGTTCCTCTGGAATCTCCACGAAGCCCTCATGACACCCGACCAGTTCGCAAAGCAGTTCGTTGATGAGCTCGATCTGCCGACCGACCGTAAGCCTCAGATCATCTACAACATTGCAGGTCAAATACGACAGCAACTCGAGGAGTATGCTGGGGTTGCCCTACACCCGCTCTTCCACTCGACTACGGCGCCATCCCTTCAAGGTACCATAGCGAAACCTTCCTTGCTCCCTGCAACTCGGGATGGAACTTCGACTCCGGCACTTGCGCCGACAAATGGCGCCTCGACACCTGTGACAAATGGCGCAATCCAAACCAATGGTGCGAATACGCCTGCGCCTATCGCGATACCCATTGGAGTGTCAGCATCTGCCACCGCATTGCCTTCCGAGGAGCTTCACAATCCAGACGACACCTACCGTTGCATAGTCACCCTCAACATTAATCTGATGAACCGTCTGTACACCGATAAATTCGAATGGTCTTTGCTCCATCCCCCAGGCTTTGCAGAGATGTTCGCACAGATCACATGTGCTGATCTGGGCTTACCAGGCGAATGGGTATCCTCAATGACCCATGCCATCTACGAGGCTGTGCTTCGTTTGAAGAAAGAAGCTTGCGAGAATGGCGGACTTGTTGGGGATGGAGAAATCGACAACGATGCTGTTGAGCCATCAACGGGTGCAGGCTGGAGGTATGACCATGAACACCTGTGCGATGAGTGGGAGCCTAAGGTCGAGATGTTGTCTCAAGATGAAATCGAGAAGCGTGAAGGCGATCGTGAGAGACAGATCAGAAGGTTACGGAGAGAAACAGCGCGCTTTTCTTCAACCGCAAACATGTCCGGCACACCACAGAACGAGTTTTTCAGCAATATTGAGCAGCAAGAAAACATGGGTCGCGGCGAGCGAAGCAAGAAGAAGAGGAGGTTTAGGAGTCTTAGTCCCGTTGGGCGAGACACACCCGGTGCCGGCTCCGGCTATGGCGGGGAGGGAGGAGGATTGCAGGAAGGGTACGTATTGACTACGAGTACAATCCTTGGCTTATCTAACAAACATTCCCAGAGAGCGACAAACGTGGCGTTGCGCACATTGCTACGTTTGGGGCACTGCCGTCTGGGCTGTTCGCGACGGACCACGAGGTCCACGCACACTCTGTCACAATTGTGGCTACCTGTACGAACGGGACAAGAAACTTCCACCGTGGTCAGAACATTTGTTTTTCAACGATCGTCCTTATCATGAAGTTCAACAGTATCGGGCACAGCGGTAAATGCCCTTAGAGTCAACAATCTATTGTTGCTTGCTTGCACGGGACAGGCCTTACCTTCCGTAATGAATTTGGCGACGAGTCGGACCTATGTGTCACTACCTTTGTAGCATTTACCAGCGCGGCGTCCTGAACGTTTGGTAGAATGTGTGTCAGACATCAAGACCCAGGGAACGAAGGGCCAGGATGGAACGATTCCAGGGTGGAGGACGAATCGAGCGTGTTGATAGGTCGCAGTATCTGCTCATTATCCGACGCGTCAAGCGCCGTTCAACTCAGTGTCCATCGTCAATCACAAAGCGTTGTCTTACTGGCCATCGCACAGTACAAAGCCGTCTGTCACAACAACAATACCAACAGATTTCACCATCTGATCCCTCCATGATAGCATGGCAAAAGTACTATCACGATTGGCTGGGTAGGATCAGTCAATGCACGTCACCATATCGGCAGCCGGCTCAGTCATGCGAATCATTCATGTTGCACAGGTGGCACGGCTGTCCTTACTTTTCAAGTGCACAATAGGCAGAGTTTTCGAGAACAATAAGATACACAAGACTTCCGAAACCACGTTCGCAAGACATCAATATTAGTAATATACCCGAGATGACGAGGATCCTCATGAGGCATTAGACCTGCCTGATTCGTGCAATCCTCAGTCCACACATCGCTCGATGAGACGTTGTAGGACTAAGCCCGCCAGCTATGTAGCAAAAAGGACAGACATGTGCACAATTCGTATGACAAACAGCTATCGACGCAAAATCGCGTTGAGGCCAGCCTTTGCATTGCTGAGTTGGATAACAAAGAACAATAGCAGCACTTAGCTCCACCACAAATGGCCTCTCACTGGCCTCGATTCAATGCATGACACGTTCGGAATTCACTCCGACCCATCACCACGTCTACTCAATATCTAGGAGCAACCCTCGACTCGCGAAGGTGGTACACCCACGTAGCACTGCGGGCGGCGAAGCGCGCTAGCGCATGTTGGCTTTATTGACCACAATAGCAAGCCGTCAGTCCGCACCCATGTCAAAGTGCTATTGTATGCGTGTTTCATGAGCTGGTCAATATCAGCGCTGTAGCGAGCAAACGGTGAGTGGAAAGGGCGGGTGTGGCGCGGTGTGCCAGTGCCAGTGTATTTGTATGGCGGCGGCCGCCGAGTTTCGGGTCGGGTGAAAGTTTTCCTGCGGTCCAGAATTTGCTATTGTAACTTATTTGAGCTGAAGCATAGCGTGTGAGTATTACTGGTATATATTGCGATGTGGTATGCTCATGGTGTGTTCAGCGCTCCTTGCCGTCATTCGTCTGCCGCCGAACATTCGATCTCCAACTCAGTGCCGCTTCGACAGCCGGACGTCGCCGTCCCTCGCAGATTTCCAGACACCCTACGTAAGGAGTCAGTCCACCTTGGATCATTTACCGTAATTACCGAAAACGTTTCGGTTGAAGTCTCATCCAGTTTTCGTGGTCACTCGCTCGTGTAGCAAGCGCTGGGGCAAAAAGTGGTTGCTCAACCCACCATCACGCCACACATCAGCATCACGATACCCCACAGCTAGCCAGGCACCTGATCGGCAACGTAGCTACCAGCCTTATAATTCATCATGGATCCATGGAGAAATGCAGCGTTGCAGAACGCAAAAATACAAACATTCTTATCATCGGCCAGAGATTCAGCTCATTCAAACACAAATCAAGACTCGCCTGAAGACCACAGTGATATGCCAGCACCACCTGCCTACCACATGGTTGTCGATCCTGAGGCACACACATCCAACATGTCCTCGCCATACGATCCCGAGTCAGAAGACGAGAGAGAAGACAGTGAAGACGATGCCCCAGAAATCACGATCAATGCAACGACGCAAATTCGAGGAAGTGGAAACATCATCTCCATCGCGCAGATGGACAGCGTACGGATCGCGGGCCTCATCGCTACAATAGTTTCTGGAGATCCTGCACATTCAGAACCAACATCGTCTGAAACATCTACGCCGCCACCACAAGTACCTGTCACCAACCTGAGTTCAAACTCAAATCGCACCGGAAGGAAGAAGAAGGGCGGGCTCAACGTCAACATCACTGTGAACTGCGGTGCAACCATCATCGGCGACCGCAACATTGTCGGCCCTGGGCTCGGCGACATCGCGCGGCAGATGCAACTCGCGCAGCGCAACGCAGCGATGCAAGCGCACCAGCAGCAACAGCAGACACAAATCTTACAACAGCAAAAGCTCGCACAAGGTCTCGCACAGGCCCAGGCACAAAAGCAGTCACAGATGAATCTGCAGCACAGTCTGGAGAGAAGCGAGGCCGTTCCAGGGCTCGCGCACTGTCACCAGAATCTGTATCAGAGCCAGGCCGGGCTGGTTGGCATCGGGCAGGTTACTGGGCAGATTACGCCGCCGATGTCCAGAAGTGGCAGCTTCGGGAGTGAGGGGAGTCCCAAAGGGAAGAGGAAGGCAGAAGACGATGCCGGAGAAGGGTTGCTCATGTTGAAGAGGAGGTGTTGATTGTTTTCGGTTCGAGGCATGATGTTTGGCGTTGAGGCTCAATGATGCATTTGCTGGCGTACCAAGGTTTAGCGTATACGAAGTCATGATTGGTATGAAGCCATGCTGGGTTCTTTACCTATTGCTGTGTCCGTCGAGGCAACCCCTACCTACATTCATAATATTCAAAAAAAAGCTACTTCTAAACTATCGGATGGTGCCGGTCTAATGTTCGTGAAGACAGCGGCTGTCATGGGTAGATACCGTGATTCAGTCTTGAGTGGATGCTGATGCAGCGTGCACACCCTCAAGTCCTGGGATTTCATTAAGGGTCCAGTGAGAGCCAATTATTCAAGAGAAGCCGCCTGGAGCCGGTGCCGCGGTAGGAGAGGGAGGATGACGCCAGGGAAGACCAAGGCTTGCCGTTATTTCCTTGAGACATTGTGCAACCGTGTGAGAGAACCATCGCGTAAGAGAATCGCAACATGATTTCAAGAATAGTCGTCTAGGTCGTCATTCCATCTGTTGATACACCATGGCGACCTTGGGTGACACGAGTCGAGCGAGTGCGGAGTTACGTGTGTCGACCGGACCGAATTGGTGATGGATTGCAAGGTGGTCAAAGTGGCCGCGGTGAACGAGCTCAAGCTGCCGGCGGTGACACTCTGCCGCAAGGTGGCCTCTTCGCCACCGTGCGCGGAGGTCCCTGAGATGCTCCGCATAGCAACAGCTGTCATCGCTGCAGATTTGGGTAGGCAATCAATAGCTGCTTTGCTACATGTAGCACACGGTCATAGGAGACATGCACACAATCGTGCATATATTCTTTGAATATGAAAGAGTGAATTGGTCAACCATGCGTGACGCAGCCTCGTGAACCCTTGCCCGTTCTCCGCAATAGCGCCATACCAAACGGGCAAGCACCGCACTCAACATCACCTCCAGCTCCTTCCTCCACAACAACGTTCTCCCTCTCACTCACTCAGCTTGCCCTTTCTTCGTGGCACGCATCTGGCTTAAGATATAAACCAGATCGGTTCCTTGCTGTGCTTTCTACGTCTCTTTATCTAGGACGCAGCAGCAGGAGCTTAGCAAAGCCGACGACCGGCCACCTTGCCAATCCCTTTCCCACCGACGCCGCATTTGTGTCCTGTGCGACCAACGAGGTCCTTGACACAACATCATCAATTGTGCGCCCCCTCGCAGGTAGCTTCCGCCCACCACCTTACACAAGGGGTTACCAAGCGCACCCGTTGAACGCGCAACACAGTCGCGCCGCCGCTACAGCTCAAGTGCGCCTCTAGTCGTCACCTTGACTTGCTTTAGAGGTCCACGGATAGCTGCCTCGACCCACCACGACACCTGTCTGATTGCATACCTTCGACAAGATGCAGTCGTGGATGAGCTGGGCCACCTTCTTGGCCATCCTGGCCGCAGGCTACTTTTACTACGCTCCGAAGCTCAACGCCGACACCCGAGGTCGATCCACGGCGCCCACAAGTACCACAAGCACCAAGCAAGTTGATTGGAGCGACTCGGACAGCAAACCGAAGGCAGCTGCAAAGCAACCTAAGAAGCAGGCCAAGGCCAAGGCTCCTCGCAAGAAGTCGATCCAGGAGGCTGTTCAAGAGGCTGGCAGCAAAGTCAAGGCCGAGTTCGACGCAGCTACCTCCGCTGGTGCTGATGCCAGTGACTCCTCGCCCGCTACATCGCCTGTTCGCGCCGCACCAAAGGCCCCGAGCGGCAAGGATGTCTCTGACATGCTCCCTTCATCTGGTTCCGTCGCCAACGTCTTGAGCATTAAGGCGTCTGATAAGCCTGCGAAGGCCTCCAAGCCCAAGGCCCAGAAGGTTGAGACACCTCAGGAAACCAAGAAGCAGCGCCAGAACCGCCAGAAGAAGGAGGCAGAGAAGGCCCAGCGTGAGGAGGATGAGAAGACGCGCCAGGTTCTCCTCGAGAACCAGCGCCGCACTGCTCGCGAGGCTCGTGGAGAGCCCGCAAAGAACGGTGTACCTGCTAAGCTGCCTTCCAACAACCCTTGGTCCGGCCAGACTTCTGGCGGTGCCGTTCAAGCGCCCTCTTCTGCTCCCACCGGCCAGCTCCTCGATACTTTCGACGTCGCTTCCACCGCTAGCTCCAGCGCCACCAATGGAACCATGAACACCCCCGACACTGTCTCAAACAGTGGTAGCTACAACGGCTTGCCGTCTGAAGAGGAGCAGCTGCGATTGGCTATGGAGGACGACTCTGCCTGGACCACTATCCCTAAGGGAGGCAAGAAGCAGAAGGTTGCTCAGGTCGTCGAGGAAAGCAACACCTCTAGCGCTGCTCCTGTGCAGCCCATCAAGGCTACTCCAGCACCTCAGGCCAAGAAGGCCGAGAACCGAGCACCGATCTCAAGCTCTCGCTACGGCATCCTTTCTGAGCCCTTCACGACCACCGAGAAGGACTCCGACTGGCCCGTTATGTGAGCGTAAGCTTTTTAACACTTTCCCACGACCATTGGGTAGATTGGAAGATTTTGACGTCCACCTCCCTTCCGCATGCGGTGAATGCCGCCATTAGAGGCTAGTGCCTCCGTACCATCCCAGAGCCCGGCTCATGCACTTGCATAAGTGCGAGGGCGCGGCTGAGGGAATGTCACACGTTTTGTAAAGCATCTGTGAGATATCGACAACTTCGTTTGCCTCCATGGCACGAAAAAGTGGCTTTGGAGTCTTGATCCATTTCGATACCTACAATGATAAATTAGTAGCTCCATTTCATCATGTCCTTCTCTTCTTGTTTAGTTCAAGAGCTATCTTGCTTCATGGCAAACTGGCAATCAATGAAACTATACCATATGCATCCGCAATTTTTGGGCTGTCCCTGTTGGTCGTAAGCTGTAAATGGTACATTTGACAGCACCGTTCCAAAATACATTGTCATTGGTAATACAGTACTGCCTCAGCTGCGCAGTCAGCATTGCGAAAGTGACGTTCAATGTGCAGCCAGTAAAGAGCTTGTGTAGGTCAGCCGTGACGTTCGCGCTGTCACCTCCCCTCATTCCTCAGCTCCAGAACGGTGGACCTCGGAAGGTACTGAGCAGCATCAAACCCGTTTCAGCATGAACAATGGCACACGTATCCAAAACCTACAAGTGCATACTAGCTACAGAAGTCCGCAATTAAGGGACGTGCAGCTGCGGAATAGCTCTAGAATTACAACTTACATACAAAGGATTGTCTCACCAAGCTTCGTTGCAGATCTAGGGTGCCATTACTAGCGCTCCAGTGCCAAGCGACACCTGTCCTCTCACGGTAGAGCTTCACAACATCCATATCCGCCCACCCAGCGCCACTCCTTACATTTCCAACCTGCTCCTCTCTTTTGCTTTCGACCGCAGCTATGGCGCAAATTCGGGGCACAGCGGGCTACCACCTGGGAAACCAGAGCCCATTCGGTAACGCTGGACGGAACGATGGCACGACGAACGACCCAAGCCCGCTTGATCAGCTCAGAGAGCAGACAAACAAGATTGAGGATTTCCTGGACACAATGTCCGACCCGATCAAGCCGTGAGTCCCCTGAAGCTCTGGAAAGCAGAGGCGCGGTAGCGTGAAGCTCTTTGTGTGACAGTGGAGCTGACACGAGCTGAATAGATACCTTCCAGCCATCGGTCGCTTCTTGATCGTGGTCACTTTCCTCGAGGATGCGCTGCGCATCTTGACACAATGGAGCGACCAGCTTACATACCTCCACGACTACCGAAAGAGTACGCTGCTCCACCACTCTGGCAGCTCTGATTGAGCAATTGCTGACAATCTATGTCCTACAGTCTGGAACGGCTTCACTCACGCATTCCTCATCATCAACGTGGTCACAATGACAGCATGCTCGATCATGGTCATCGCACGAAAGCACTCGGAATACGCTGTAGCTGGTCTCATGAGCGTGGTTGTCATGCAGGGTATCGGATACGGTCTCGTCTTCGACCTGAACTTCTTCCTCCGCAACCTTTCGGTTATGGGCGGCCTCATGATGGTTCTTTCGGATTCCTGGGTTCGCAAGAAGTTCGCTCCGGCCGGCCTTCCCCAGCTCGATGAGAAGGACAAGAAGATGTACTTTCAGCTTGCTGGACGTGTTCTGCTTATCTTCCTCTTTGTCGGCTTCGTTTTCCGTGGCGACTGGGGCTTCTGGAGAATTGTGGCTAGCTTGCTCGGCCTCATTGCCTGCATCATGGTTGTGGTTGGCTTCAAGGCCAAGTTCTCGGCAATTATGTTGGTGCTCATTCTGAGCGTCTTCAACCTCTACGTCAACAACTGGTGGACTCTACACCCACACCACCCTCACAAGGATTTCGCGAAGTACGACTTCTTCCAGATTCTGTCCATTGTGTAAGTTCTACATACTCCACTTGCACTATACAAAGCTTATATTTCACAGTGGTGGTCTGCTCCTCCTCGTCAACATGGGCCCCGGACAGTTCTCCGTCGATGAGAAGAAGAAGGTTTATTAGACGACTCTGCCTCGGGCAAACACAATATCTTCACATCTCAGCATTTGGCCGCAGGCCAGGCTATGCACTATATTAAGCTTAGTACAACGACGCACACGAAGATGTTCCAGCGCTCATGGGCCGAGCATTGGAGAGAATATCACGGTCAAAAGCACTTGAGCGCATGAAAGGGCTATAGGACATGGAACCTGTAGAATATGACATCGGCGTAGAGTTTGTTTAGCATTGGAAGGGCAATCGCGATTTTGAATCATCGTGCCCGATCTACAATAATTCATTGAAATGGACAATTATTGCGAATTTCTTCTTCCTGCCACTTCGACGGCCAACGATGGAGCAAGCTGTTCACCTTGTGGACACATTTCTCGCGGCTTTGACCCTTACCTCGGGACGTCATTAGGTAGCTCCACAATGCGGAGATCGGCGTGCAGCGTTCACCTGCCTCACTCGGATTTATCTTGAGTCAGCCTCCGACTTACGTATTAGCTAATCGGTGGCCGTTAGTAGCCATCCACGTGCTTCAGCATAAACAACGACTTGCAGCTTCCCTTTTTGCAACCATCACGGCATTCCCTTCTTTACTTGTTTTCATAGACGTCAGAAAGGATGGCACCAAACAAGATCATCATAGATACGGACCCCGTAAGTGTTTTGGCGGGGTAAATCAGTCGGGACGGCTTTGAACTGATAACAAAACAGGGCGTTGACGATGTCATTGCTATGCTTCTCGCCTTTTCGGCGAAGCCTGAGGAGTTGGACATTCTCATGTTGAGTTTGACTTTCGGAAATGTTGATGTACAAAGGTACTTGTGCACTCTGTCTTGGAGCTCTAGTAGCCGTTGATGGCGCACTGGGTCGTCGTACAGTTGGCGATAAGTGAAGAAATCTGTACTGACCAGTCGACAGCTGCCTGAGGAACGTCGTCACGCTGTTCCACTACATTGGGAAAGAAAGAGCGTGGAGAGAGAGTCAAGGCAGGCCGAAGGGCTTCGAAACTCTCGATGTGCGGAAGCCAATTGTGGCAGTGGGTGCTACTGAGCCTTTGGCAGAGCACATGATGGTCGCAGATTTCTTCCATGGTGTTGACGGTCTGGGAGGTATTCACAGCAGCCACCCTCACCTATCTCCCGCCGAGACTTGGAAGTCTCTGTTCCAGCCCACTCCAGAGAACTTGTCATCCGAGGATGCGGCTGAACTGCAGGCTGTCAAGGATCAGCACTCGCTCTTCGAGCCTTCTTTGAAGCCTGCCCACGAGCAAATGCTCGAGCTGTTGAGGGACAATGAGCCAGACACTATCACCATTGTAGCCGTTGGACCTCTCACCAACCTTGCTCTGGCCGCAGCTAAGGACCCTGAAACATTCTTGAAAGTGAAAGAAGTTGTTGTCATGGGCGGTGCAATCGATGCACCTGGTAATGTAAGTCATGATTTCTCGTTTTTTGTCAATCTTCTGCTATGCGATCCTGAAGCAGCTGCTGTAGCCTCCGCTTCTGGCACGTTTGTACTCGCCAGATGTTATGTCTATACCTGTGCCGAATTTCGGACTCATCAAGCAACCCAATACTCCGTTGTGCAAAGAGCTGAACGAAAGAAACCAGATGACACCCGGAGCGGAGTTCAACACATATGCGGACAGCGTAGCCAGTGCTCGTGTCTTTGCTTTGACGAACCGCAACCCACGAACGAGCATGCCGCCGACACTCAGCGGAAAGGGTCAACTACCGCCATACCCTGAGAAGCTTTCACGCCAACTGAAGTTGAAATTGTTTCCGCTTGGTACATCCTCACCTTCAACTCTGGAAATAATGTACTAACCCCGCTTAGACACAACGGAGCAGCATATGCTTCCTCAATCATTGTACATTAAGCACACTGCTTCAGAGTCGCTCGTAAACTCTCCCCTCGCAGACTGGTCGACCCTCTTTCTCATGACCACCTTCAAGAAGCTACTCTCTCTGAATCCCAACCAAGACGCCTCGAAACTTGGCTTACAGCTGCACGATCCACTCTGCATATGGTACGCCCTCTCGTCCTCGCATCCAGGCTGGCAGTTCAAGACCGAGGATGTTAGAGTGGAGACCGCGGGGCAGTGGACAAGGGGATGCTGTATTGTAGATCGCAGGGGCAGGCCAGTAACCGAGCGAACGACTGATCTTGACGAAGAAGTCGTGGGTGATGCTGGATGGTGGGGAGATAGCAGAAGAGGAAACAAAGTCAGCTGGTGTACGCACAGTCCTGGTATCGACTTGTTCGCGCACGACTTGTTGGAGAGGATATTTGGAAAGGTTTAGGGAGCACACAGCGCGTGGGTCCCATCTTGAGGCATTTTGTCACCACGGCCTTCCTAAATCATGTAAAACGCGCTCCGCTGCGCGATATAATTGAGACTGAAATGTATCAATGTCGCGCGTCAATTTGTTAGACGTGCGCGTTTTTATAGCTAAGCAGCCAGACGGCACGCGACCAATCTGTGAAGTCTGGCCGAAAGTGACCAATCCTGGTGAGAGGCGACAGCAAAACTTTAGAGGGCTTTGAAGATACAGTTCACTATTTAGTTAACCATCAATTCAAAATCGCTTCCCCAGATCTTGTGGGGTTATGTCAGCAGCGACGATCCTTGATTGCGGCAGCTCCACAATCGCCATCAACACCACACTAACAAACTTCTGTTACAATTCACGCATCGGTCCCGCCTTCCTCCTGCGTACTTGCTGGTCCACTATCGCGGCAGCGCTATTCAGTATGAAATCAGCACTTGCATTCGAATGGCCTCGCCCTTCCCGAATGAGAAATACCGCTGAACCAGCACAAAACCACGCACGTGCTCAACGAATAGGTACCCAGAGGGTGGCATGAAACTGCTCAAGGATTGCCCGCCCGTTCGGCCCCTCGAACGCTCGAGCCAGCCCGGTGTGGGCAGCGCCCACGCTTCCGTCATGGGCGCTCTCATTCGAGGCGCAATCGAGCGATATGCATCAAATGAGCCAATCAGAGCCCTGAGACCAGGCACGCGTGTGCTCGACATCCTCAACTGCGACAAGAGCCCACGCGACACTTTGTCCGTGATAATGTTGCCGTCTGATTGTACATCCAGTGTCATTCCCCTCCCCCCTTCGGTTTTTTTCTCTCCTGCCGGTGTCACACTATAGCTAGAAACTCTTCTATGAATGTTGTATGAGCTATAATGCCTCGCCCCAGCTTTCCCCCGACGCCGCAGCCCTCCACCGATATCACTGGCAAGAGCAGTGCAAATGCTCCACACATAGAGGGTGGTTTCGCCCTGCCTCCAGCAGCCCTGCATGGCCGAGGCAGTGTTGCCAGCTCGTCTGCGCCATCCGAGGCCGCTTCAGACTCATCCTATCGGCCACCATCGCCCGCTTCTCCCGTTGCTACCTCAAAACCTAGCCAGAGCCGCAAGCGTTCGAGTACAACGTCTCAGCAGGGTATAGTCACCAAAGATGACTATTCTCTCCCACCTCCACCGACCAGGTCGCGCAAGATCATACAAATGAAGCCCAAGGACACACAAGATCCAATCAAGGCACAAGTCGAGAAGTCAGATGCGAAAGTCCCAGCCGAGAAAGCTGGTGGAGGAAAGAAGAAGCAAGCAGGCAATGCTACAGCTGCAGGCCGTAAGATTGCGCGGAAAACAGCCCACAGCTTGATCGAACGACGGAGAAGGTCAAAGATGAATGAGGAATTTGGTGTACTCAAAGACATGATCCCCGCATGCCGGGACCAGGAAATGCACAAGTTAGCAATCCTACAAGTGCGTATCGACCTTTCTCACTCCAACGTCGCACAGCTAACAAATCAAAGGCTTCCATTGAATACATGCGCTACCTCGAGCAATGCGTCGCCGACCTCAAGACAGCCAATCAAGCACGACATGGCTCGCCCTCGTCTGCCGCGTCAGACCTGGCACCACCTCCACTCAGACACAACCAAGACGAAGACGAAGAAGACGACGAAGAAGATGAGGACGAAGAGATGAGAGATGTGGTCTCACCAACTCACGTGGTCAACGACGTTCCGAGGTCCACCTACTACTTTGCCGCAGCGTCACCCGCTATTCTCCCCTCTGACAAAGGCAGCGTACACTCACACTCTACAACCACCTCCCCTGCTATGCACCCTCAAGACAGAAATATCTACTCTGCGCACCCTTCGCCCGCACTCCAGCCTTCAGATCCACATCGCTACTCATTGGCATCGATAACATCACCCTCTCTTACCGCTTCTCCCGCGTTCAGTGCACAAGCTTCGCAAACCCCTTCAGCCGCTATGTTCAGCAACCCTTTTCGCACCGGCCCTCCGAGTAGTGGACCAATGCCCGTTCCCGGTTCAGCTCATGGCGCAACACCTTTCGCCTTGACATCGCCCGCACTAGGGCCTCAAGCAGACCGCGAGGATCAGATCGCTACCGAGGCTCTCATGATGCTGAACTCAGCGGACCGCAGGAGCTGGTCAGGGAACGGTGCTCGTGGCATGAGTGTAAGGGACTTACTCAGCGGGTAAGATGTACGATGATTTAGGTGGACGCCTTGAGCGTTCCAAGGTGTTCTGGAAGACAAAATGGGTGGACGTATTTGAATTTTGAATAGGTGTATATACACATTTCGCAAACGCCGGCGGTTTTCTGGTATGCACTTTGGGGGTTCAAATATTACTGTGCGCAGCTTGTGTTATCAAGCAGGAAGCTAATATGACATGAAAATAAAATTCAATCTGGATCAATGTATGTTGTAGACGGCTCTGAGCTACTTGAAGCAGTCATTGCGGTGATAAATGCCTTGGAGTTGTACGAAATATGCCGCGGCGCGGAAGCCCTCGGCCACCGAGTGGAGAGCCGGGCGTTTTAATAAGTATTTGTCGTTCCCTAAATACTTCAATTTAACATCAAGCCTTGTCGTGCAAGTAACACACGACCTTTTGGTAAGCACGTCGAGGGAGAAATAGCTATGTTACACGATCAGATGCTACTTGTTGTGGTCCTGAAGAAAGGGCACCGGCAATGGGGATCGAGGAGAGGCAGGTAAATATATATTCTCATCAGACGTTTTCTACCACAGTCTCCGGAAGATATTGCAAGGTAGCAAAAGAGAAGGAAGTCAGCCGCGAAGGCCCCTGAGCCATCCGTTACACGCCAATTGCGCAAGGCTGCCTTCGCACGCTGTTGGCACGGAGCGTCGCATCGGAATCACGCCAAGAAGCAAGGGATTGCGACGACCCAGAAGAGCCTCAAAGCTTCAAAAGCTTGACATGTTGTTCGTCGGACGAGTTCGACTCGTCAGAGCACTGTTAACACCGTGCGGCTGCAACCGGTCGGTCTTCAAGCCGCGTCGGCGAATCCTCCCGCACCACGACACCACCCAATGAGCGATAAGGCTTGATCGGTGTTTACAAAGCCTCGAACAGCACTTACATACAACGCGTCTGCCTTGTCGTCAGAAATAAGTGCGATGCAGACTAGAATTTGGATGCGCAAATGAGGATGAACGGCACACGGCACCGACCCCGCCCTCGCGGACCATAGTCACGGAAAAGTAAAACAGCCATACTTCAGTACAAAGATGGTATCAGCACGACTACGCAACGTAGAACAGCCCATCAAAGCTGGGCAAGTATGTACTAACACATCGCTACAACTTGCACTCAGCAGAAATCTATGATGTGCTGTGATTGTTGAACTATCGTGCTATGAAGTTCAAGCATGAAGTACGGCATTTATCTGCTCCCGAAAGTCAGTGTGACCTCGCGCTTCCAGAGGTTCCGACCCCCGAGCCCAGGGCAGCCACAACCCCCATGCGGAATTGCGCATCGGTGTTAATCGGTCGTATGGGCGCGGCTGCCATTTCACAACGTATAGGATCCACACCTCCTGCTGCGCTTTGGCTGCCTTGCGAGTATGACTCTGCATTCCAGGATATATAACTGATTGATTCCATCACCCTCCAGAGACATCAGACGATAGCCTCCAGCTCCAGCTCCACGATTGTCACGCCACCGCCCGGAGAGTAAACGAGACGGGGTTAAGAAATCATATTCACCAACATGTCAATACCGAACCACCAGGAGGAGCACATGTCGAGCCGGAGCTCACGGACAGACATTCCAGATCTTGAGAAGGGGACACCGCGTGAACACACCATCGACCAAGAGGTAGGCATGCACTACGTCCTGTAATGATCTCAATTAACCAACACTTCAGGAGCACGAGGACGCTGCTAAAGACGACGAAATCGGTGCTGAACTGGAGAAGCACCTCACCCGCAAGTCAACCAAAAAGGACGACTTGCCTGTTGAGAAGTACCCATTGACGGATCTTGACAAGGGACTTGTAGGCTGGGACTCGCAAGACGATCCTTCCAACCCACGGAATTTCCCGCATAAGACCAAGTTGTTTATCCTCTTCCTGGTGTCGGCCATCACGTTTCTCTCGCCTCTTGCGTCTTCGATCTTCGCGCCCGGTATACCTTTCGTCAATGCCGCCTTCAACAACACATCTCAGCTGTTGGGTAGTTTCGCTGTTAGTGTGTATGTTCTAGGTTTCGCTGTAAGTGATCACCCCTGTTATCTCTCGTTGCAAAGAAAGATGGAAATGCTGTGCACCGTACAGTACTCGTTACTAAAAGATTTGTCGAATGTTCGCTTGCTACTTGCAGCATTTCCTGCAACACAAAAGCGCGTCTAGTTCCAAGAAACAATAATTAGAGCGAATGAAAGCTGATCAGACGTGTTAGGTTGGACCGCTCTTCCTCTCTCCACTCTCCGAGATCTACGGCCGCTGCATCGTCCTCAATATCAGTAATGTCTTCTTCTGTGCCTTCACGCTCGGCTGCGCGCTTGCTCCGAATCTCGGCGGCTTGATCGCCATGCGTTTCTTCGCAGGTCTGGGTGGCAGTGCTTGTTTGACCATCGGCACCGGCGTCATCGCAGACCTCTTTGTTGCGTCACAGCGTGGTAGGGCAGTCGCCATGTACAGCATGGGCATCCTGTTTGGCCCCATCCTAGGCCCCATCTGCGGTGGCTTCATCGCACAGCGAGCTGGGTGGCGATGGGACATGTGGGTGGTGCTCATCGTTGCAGTACTACTCACCGCAGGCCTCTTCATTTGGAATACGGAGACAAACCACGTTGTGCTCCTGAACCGAAAGACTGCACGTCTACGATCTGAGCTGGAGCGCCCGGATCTGCAGAATGTCATGAATGCTTCCAAGCCCGCGGCAGCACTCACGCCTAAAGCCATTCTGCTCAATGGCATCACCCGTCCACTCAAGATGCTGACGACCCAGCCCATCGTCCTGCTCTGTTCGCTATACATGTCGTTTCTGTTCGGCCTGTTGTTCCTGCTGTTCACGACGCTCACACCTGTGTTCTTGCAAACATGTACGTAAATCAAGTTGACATGTGAGAAGCAACTAACATACCATAGACGGCTGGGCACCTGAAATGACCGGTCTCGCGTACCTGGGTATCGGAATCGGCAACTTCCTAGGCATCGGTTTCGTGGCCAAAACCTCGGACGCGACCATCATCAAGCTCGCAAAGCGCAACAAAGGCGTCTACGAGCCGGAAATGCGCTTGCCACTTTGTGTCTTCTTCGGGTTGCTGATCCCAATCAGCTTCTTCTGGTACGGTGAGTACAACAACAGCTTCCCGAATCCCATCAAGACAGCTACTAACGAGCGCAGGATGGACCGCATACAACAAGGTGCACTGGATCGGTAAGGCCCCTCTATCATTCCGCCCAGACCCGTAAACTAACAAGCATAGTCCCAATCATCTCCCTTGTCCCCTTCGGCTTCGGCCTCATGGGTATCTTCGCGCCACTACAGACATACATGATCGACTGTTACCCGCAGTACGCCGCGAGCGCAATCGCAGGTATGACGTGCCTGCGCTGCCTGTTCGGCGCGATGCTGCCGCTCGCCGGCCCGAGCATGTACGAGACGCTGGGGCTGGGTTGGGGAAATAGCATGCTTGGCTTCATTGCAATCGCGTTTATCCCCGTGCCTGCGCTGCTGTTCAAGTACGGGAAGACGATAAGAGAAAAGTACCCTATCAAGTTTTAGTCGGGTCTGGAGCGTTAGGCAAGAAGGGTCATCAGTGGGTGAGAGTGTGTTGGTGCTACGATACCCTGTTAATAGATACACAAGCATCGGAGATGCAGTGTGGAATTTGTACATTATGTATACATATTTTCAGCAAGTAATCAAGTAGGCAGCATTTCAGAATTCACACGCAATTGCTGAGAAAGATTAGAGAACGCGAAGTAATTAGATGTGCTGGTAACAGTTCGATTGAAGCCCCTTACATCACGATCTGGCATTCAAAGATAAGCACCTTAACAGTGCTGGCTGGAAAAGACCATTCTTTGGTATGTGTAAGCAAAAGTGCCAGTACACACGATTATGCATTAATGTTACTACAGTAGTGAAAATACACTACACGCTGGGTGGAGTGATTGATAACGCCGCCAGCTCTAAATGAGCTGGCATGTACGAGGGAAAGGGTATATAAAGCAGACATCCTTCGATGGCGACCTGTGGAGAAAGAAAGACTGGTAACGAAGCTCAGCTCCTGCGCATCCGCCGAGAAGGCTGACAAAATATTAAATCCATGAAAGGCCGTTTGTGCTCGCGTGTGGGACGCTATGTTGCCATTGGGTCTTTTGGTCGAACGAAACACGAGATGACATAATTATTGTCAAAGTTCCAGTAAGCGTTGCTCTCGAGAGTGTCGTTATCGTCGTACACATGTCCGTTGTAGATGAGGAGGAACTTCTGATCGTCAGGCAACTATTTTGGTCAGCACAATCGATCTGCCCAGTGACTCAGTCCCAGAGACGTTCCGTCGACAGGGCCTGCTGAGCTGTGCTACTGGGACTGTTGCATAATGACGTACCTGTGCTTGGGTCTTGAGCTTTTCACGGAAGGACGCAATAGTCTCTCGCCTCCGCACTGTGAGCCTGAAATCTGTAGAAGTTTCACTGACTCGAACGCGCACGACAAATTCACGGTCCGGCTCCGAATCGTCGACGGTAACAGCTCCTTCAGTCTTATCGTCAACTATCGGAGCAGCCTCCTCTTCCAAGATACCGCTGGGTTCAATGACCAACCACTCAGGAACTTTGTACTCGTTGCCCCTATCGTCATAGATTTTGCTCCAGAGCTGACCACTTGGGCAGGTACATCCTTGAGCGTCGAGCAGCCCTTGTGCGGTCGCGATATCACCCTCCTGTAAAGCCTCTGTTGCAGCTTGAAGACATCGCCACACCTGGGTATCGCCCGTAACGCGTGTGTCCCACCAATCTCTGCGCTCTTTCTGCAACCGAGCTTGTGTCCACGCCTGACTTGACGAGTCTGAAAGCGGTTTAACGCGATGTCTGCTCTTAGCGGTCGTTGGCGAAGCAAGCGTGTTGGGCAATGTGGAGCGCTGTTCGGCAGGAATGGGCGTCAGAGGCTGGTTCGGACGAGTGCTTGACGCGGGCTGAGCAGCAGTACTAGTAGGACCTGATGGTTGCGACGGCCGTCCTACAAACGATCCCCGCGAAGAAGGCACGGAAGTGTGTCGTGAGGACGGAGCATTGAGATTGCGCGATGAGACGTCGAGATGGGCGACTGGGGGATCTTCTGCGCCGTCATGACGTGCCGGCGCAGCGGCTTCACGGGAAACGCAGCAACCCTATGGAAGGTCAGACAAGACTTTGCGCATTGCAGCTCCAAAAGAAGACATGTCGCGTGCACGCGCGGAGCGACATACCATGGTAGGCTCGAGTACCCCTCAGCCCTGTCACGGACCTATGAGCTCACAGGTAGTGCTGAGAATGAATGAGATACTGAAACAATCGTAACGAAAATGATGACTGAAAAAGATGATAGAGCGATCGCATGAGCACAAGCTATTCACGGTGACAGTTTGGAGATCGGAATAGCGGCGCGGCGGGGGAGGCGCTTGATGCTGTGTGCCTGGGCATTAGGTGTCGAGGTGCGCCTTTGGAGATGAGTGACTGCAGAACGCCTCACTGAGCGAGGAGGCGCTGCCGCGACCGCGCCTTGCCTTCCCGTGATCCGCTGAGGGGAAAGTTCCCTAGTCAGCCATTCGGGCCTTGCCCCAAATGTGCACAAGGAAACCTAGACCGGTCTGATTATTAGAGTTGGTGTTTGCGGCAGGGCAGGACGGGCTAGTTGAGCACCTACAGCTGGTGCACGTCATGCATATTGACATGCACACGTGCCAATCAACAACAGCAGCATCCTCGATTCATTCACTTGCTTTTTTTGCTACATACTACGCCGCATAGTATCTTGTGCGAATCAGATTGCACACACATAGGACGTTGAGCCTGTGTATGCGAAGCCCTACGTTCTACGAGCCTCTGCGCCTGCGGCAGACGCTGAACACGATGGAGAGCATGCCCAAACATCAACCCATGTACGTCGCATGTCATGGGCTGCAAAGCCCAGGGTGTACTTGTGATCGACTGCATGCGCAGGCCCACTGTCAGGTCACTTCATGTCACGCCATGCTGTGCATGCAAAATTGATCGAAACCATCCATTGTAAACCACGAATCTATTAGAGATTATTATGCGAGAGGTGCCCGAGTGGCCGCTTGTGTACATTCCTGACAAGGCTGTACGCAGGGTATCAGGGGTATTGTGCGATGAACCGACAGAAACGACAGCCAAACGACCAACGCCGGACATTGGTATCAAAAACGAGAGAAACAGTGCAGAGTGGTATCAATCTAGACAAAAGTGCGCATAAACATAGAAAAGGCCAAAAGAGACGTCTCCAACATGCCAATGCCGCACATTTCGTGACCGAAAGGAATGAGCGACGGAGAGTTGGTCCAAATACAGAACAGATCGGGTGCGAAAGGGTATATGTGATCCATAACCTGCGCATGGATCCTTTCATAGGACCCAAGCGAGGAAATGGGGGTATCGGTGTAGTGACCGTGCGGTCAAACAAGGGAGTTGCAGTATCTCTGCTTTTCCGTCATTCCGTCATGACTGTCGTCGAGAAAGGTCGGGTCTTCCCACCACACCTTACGCAGTGGTAGCGACGGGTGCGCTGCTTTTCGGGGCCTCACCAACGTTGACAGACTCGGGGGTGACATCGCCAATGGTGGACTGCTGAGCAGGCGCAGCGAGGGTCTCCTCCTTCTTCTCAGCGACGACGGGGGTCTCGACCTTGTCGGCGGGCTCGGCAGCCTCCTCAACGGTGGCAGGAGCGACGGTCTCCTTCTTCTCCTTGGGCTCCTTCTTGCCTCCAGCCTTGGAGACAGTACGGGCGAGGGAGCCGAAGATGCTGCTCCTCTTCTCCTTCTTGGAAACGGGAGTCTCCTCCTTCTTCTCCTCAACAGGAGCGGCGGCCGAGGTCTCGGCAACGGGAACGGCGGGCTCAACACCGTTGGCAACGACGGGAGCAGATGACTCCTCGAGCTTGGGTGTATCCTCGGTCTCGACGGCGGGAGACTTGGCCTTCTCCTTGTTGCCAAAGAACTTGCCGAAAGAGAAGTGTTCCTTCTCCTTAACTGGGGTCACGGGCTTAGCAACCTCGGTCTTGGGGGCATCAAGTTTGGCCTCAGCAAGAGGAGCCTCGGTGGTGACCTCAGGAACAGGGGCAACAGCGGGCGTCTCCTCAATGGGCTTCTGAACCTCAGGGACAGCGGCGGTCTCCTTGGTGGTCTCCTTGGGGCCAGGGATGAGGTCAGCCTCCTTCTTCTCGTGGGAAGGGCTCTTGACCTTCTCGAAGAAGGAACCGAAGATGGAGCCACGCTTGGTAGGCTTGGGCTTCTCAGCAGGCTTGTCCTCCTTCTCAACAGGAGCAGGAGCAACAACAGGAGCGGCAGTCTCAGTCTCAATAGGAGCTGGGGCAGCGGTCTCAGCAACGATGGGAGCGGGGGTGGGCTCAGCCTTCAGCTCATCGCCAGTCTTGGGGATATCAGAGGTGATGACGGGAGCAGTGGTGGAGGTCTCGCCGATCTGAGGAGCAACAGATTCGTCCTTCTTGACCTCAGACTCGGCGGCGTGCTCCTCAGCCTTGTCCTTCTTGCCAAGGAGTCCACCGAAGATGCTCTGGCGCTTGCGGGAAGCAGAGCGGCTCTTGCTCTTAGCGGCCTTCTTCTTGTTCTTCTTGTCGGCGTCTGAGGAAGAGCTGCTAGAGGAGGATCCAGTGCGAACGGGACCAGCGGCCTCAGCAGCTGGGGCCTCGGTTTCGGCAGGCCTGGTAGCGTCGACGCTCTTCTTTGGGGCGACAGCGGCGGCGGTGGTAGCGCCCGCTAGTGCGGCGGGTTTACCTGCGTGTGATGTCAGCAGGCTGTAGTGGGTCTCGCAGGATCACCAAAAAAGTTTACGCGACGCGACGCGTAAAAAATTTGGGCAAAAGTCAAACTTACCGAGCTTGGTCTTCTCCTCCTTGTAGGCCTCGCTGGATTCAATGCTCTCCTTGGCCTCCTTGGCCTCGGCGATAGCCTTCTCGACAGCGACGTACCAGCCATCACGCTCGGTCAGAGTCTGAGTCTCAAAAGCGTGCTTGTGACCGTGAATCTTCAGAGCAAAGGCAATGGTTCCATCCTTGGCAAGGTCGGTGGCGTAGGCCTATGATTTGTTAGCCGATGTCTTGCGAAAAGAATCAAGAATCTGTGCATACCAAGTTCAGGACACCGGCGGGGCTCTCCTTATTGTCGGCGTGCTTGACGAAGAAAAGGAGACCCTTTCCGGTCTGGCTGGACCATGCAGCAGTGGGGTGAGCAACCTCAGGCTTCTCGCCGCGGAGGTACTCAGCCAGGTTGGAGGCAGCGACGGGCTCCTCGCCGAACCAGAAGTACTTCTTAGAGAAGCGGAAAGCGCTGCATTTTGGTTAGCACGACCCTGATACCTGTCACACCACGCGCAACTTACTTCTTCAGGCCAGGGGCCTTGTAGCCGAGAGCACCGCTGTAGATGGGCTCGACAACCTTCTCCTCGGCCTTCTCCTCGGCCTTCTCCTCCACGGGAGCGACAGCGGCAGCGTCGCCCTCGACCTTGGGTGCCTCCTCGACCTTCGGCGCCTCTTCAGTAGGAACAACCGCCTTCTCACCGGCGACCTCCTGGACGGCAACAGGTGTGAACTCAACAGGCGCAACAGCAGCAGCCTCAGCTGCAACAACGGGCTTTGGTGCTTCGGCAGACATGTTGTGGTTTGTGGGTTGAAGAGAGTGAAGAGAGGAAGTGCGTGAGGCGGGCGTGGCAGAGAAGATAAGGTAGGGAAGGAGCGCGCTTGGAGGTGATTAAAAAAGTTAGTAGAGGGAAGGAAAGCTTGCTCTGGCAGGTGCGGCGAGAGGCAAAGCAGGCTCGACCTTAGGTGAAAAGTCTGAAGCACAGCGGTGTGAGGAAGGGGAATAAGGAAAGGCTCAACAAATGACCAAGGGCTGCGAGATTCTTAAGGTGAGGGCGCGTTGCTAGGGGTTCGATCTGATGTGCAGGGATCCCGGCACACGAAATTGGTCTCGCGGCAGCACGCCCACTAGAGGACCCGCCTCTCTCTAGTCGCACCAGGCTGGTCGAATAGCACGATTCACCAGCGTTATGCACACCTCTCGTCCTGAAACAAAAAAGCTGTGCATACTGGCAACAGCGAATGCAGGCGCGCGACGACAGCTGCGCGGCGTCATCTTGGGAGGCCGCGGCAGCGTGCGGCCTGGAGCTGCACGTGTCGTGATAAGCATCTTGCTGGGTGGTGAGATCTTGCGCATGCATCTTGGAACCAGGTCGCATGATCACTGCCCCTCCTTCCACGACCCTTCTTCGGGGCGATTGACCAGCCTCTGGTAGATCTTGACGAGGGAGCATGGAAAGCCACGGCATTGCTGCCACTCAGCGCGTTGGTTGGCAGACGAGGTTGACCGCTGTGGCCAGTAGGTAGGGCTGCTTCTCACATCGAGGTACAGCTATCACACCGCACGTGGCCATGATCGGCAATGATATCTTGCACCAGCTGCAGCCGCGCCTCAACGTATGTACCTGCCACCTACAGGAGCGTTGTCTACAAGCCTCGCATCAAATGCCCGCCACCTCTCTTTTCATGTGTTACAACACCACAGCTTTTGTACTAACTATCACCAACTTCTGAACTTTGCACAACTCCAGCCTTCACGCCATGCCAAGAGTGTCCGAGCACGCAAAGTTAGACAGCGGCTAGCGCCCGCCCCAACGAATCGCATGTCTCGCTCACCGCCCGAGCGCCGATCCCCGTTGATGCTGGACACTCGAACCCTTGTTCGCAACAATTGGCACCCAGAAGTCATGTCACATCTTTACAGCCCAGATTGTAGGTGTTTCGCGGCTGGCAATAAAGCCCACGCTGCCGTAGGCGGAGACAGTCGATGCGCCCGAAACGTCGTTCGACCGCCACATCCAATGCTACATACCTAGGTACCAAGCCACCGCCGTTGGGCAACTCTGGCGAACGTCTGTATGCATGTGTGACACAACGTGCACGATTGCGAAAACACCAGCCTGTTAAATTGATGATCGCGACCGGGTTTCCTAAATGAGCACAACGGCAAAGCACACGCCGATATAAATTCTTGCAGACTACTGTACGGAATGACTCTAAAGCAGATCAGCCGAACCAGAGGGTGGCCAGGATGGAGCCTGTCTATTATTGAACGGTCAGGGCTCACGTGAAAAGGAGAGCTTGTTCCCCTCCACGCCCACTAAACGAAAGCCACTGTTACGTCTCAGTATGCAGCCGCCCAATCAATATATATTGGCTTGCCGACATTGCAGCCTGATCTCACGATACAGAGCTCCAGACGCCGCAAAGGATTTCCAGCGGAAACATGTGCAGCACGCTTTCACCTCAAACGGTTGTTGCGGCGCGCACAGAGCACACCGCTTATGATGTCCTCCGTCGATCTGCCCGCAATCTCGTCGGCCGTACCAATGCTCGCTCGACTCACCGCCACACGTTCAAATTTGCGACATGAGGCGCGTACCGACTTATTGTGGTCGGGTTGTGCTGTCATACGACTGATTGAAATTTGACGATTTGCCACTCCATTTGGTCCACGCAAAATCTTGGGCCGCAATCAAAATCACCCAGATACATGGGTCTTCAGATCGACGTGCAAGACACATTGCGAAAACACCGTCGAAGATTGGAGATGAAAGGCCATGGATCCTAGTTCCGAATCTTCGATGTCCAGGGGTATTGCCAAGTCTCGAGCGGTTCGTAACAAGCCACACTCCACTTTGCGAGTCAAAAACGATAAAGTGTGCAACTGAGTTTACGAGATGCGGCTCTGCGAGGGTCGAGAACAAGCGAAAATCGAGCGATTCGATTCCGCCTACGGGGATTGAAGTTTCGTGTCAGTCGAACACTTAACCTCTGACGTTCAAACATAGATTGGATGTGACATGTCTCCACACTCGTAGGCACCCCTGCAACATCAGTAGAAGACACGAAAACCCTCTACACCATCGCCAGTCTACTTAGAAAGTGATGACCGACTTCGTGTGAGGTGTTGGTGTTGAAATAAGCTCAAGACATTGGCGTTGACTCCCGCTGCAGGGCTGGACGCGTGCAAAACAGTACAATGCGTGTTGGTGGATACTCACCATGAGTGCCTTCCTGTTCTGGCCCAGTGCGCGCGTGGCTGAAAGACACAACGTCACTGCATAAACACCCAGGGTAGAGAACAACACCGAGAGTAAGTACCATCGAACGACAGGAGTGAGGAATTGTATATATCGATTTGCTAGAAGCAGCAATTCTGGGCAATTTGTATAAATTTGTATAAGCAGCTGATCTTCTCAAATCATCACATCGACTAACACTAGCTCACCTCCACGACACTCCGCCACGAAGACCCTCCAACACTACACACGACGTCCACTTCCTCACAAGACCTAGCACCAGATCGCCACATCTCGAAACCCGGACGCACGGACGCCCCTACCGAGCCTGCACATCCGGGGTACCCGATCTATATCTGGGCCCTTGACCCCCGACCGTTCCGCAACGTCCAACTTCGTCCCACGCGCATGAACACTCGACGTCATGCGGGGAAACAAGCACCGTCAGCACACGTTCACAACACCCTCGATCCTTGCCTGGCCGCGCAGACACAGCGGATGTCGGAGAGGCGCATGCATGGACATATCGTCATCACAATATGGGGTATTGCCGTAGCCTGCAGTCAACGCAAGTGGCCAGAATGAGCTTCAGGTCACTGTACGATACAACGACTATGAGCTTGCTGGGTTTCAAGTCGTCTCGCGTGTTCATCAAACTCTTTCTGCAGTTTCTCCACGTCTTGGTTCGAAGATGTATTTTCGAATACTGTGAACAAGGTCTCACCCCTACATTACACAAACTGGTACTCCGATGGAGCTCCAGCCCCTATCAATGCTCGACACGCCCGAAACCAAGATCTTTTTTGGTGTTTTGCGGTATTGCGATCAGTTTCGTTGATTGAGATGAGAGATAACCCCCACAGTCTCCTTGTCGTGCAGATAGACAGTCTGGTTCGGATCTGCGCTATGCTCCAATTACAAGTCAATCATATTAACATCTACGCTCGCCTCGTCTCTCACGGAGTGGTAGGGCATAGCAATTGGCGTGGTCCTGAGTGGACACAAAGCGTGATCGAGTAACAGCCGACCGGATCTGTGTAGACATCGAGGATATGAGCGCAACCTGGCGCGCACGTAGCCAGTCAATCGCGCCTGTACAGCTAATGCCAAGAAGTTGCAGTTGCCACCTTCTTTGTATATGCCAATGCCCTGAGGTGGTGGCAGGTCTCTAGCATGGGTCCAGTACTTGTTACCGCCATCTCGCTTTGCGAACCTCATGTTTGTCCTATCAACCTCTTCGAGAATAGCAATGAGCCGTGGTAGGTCTGAGTCGCCGAACCTTCGTTCTACTTCGAGTGTGTAGTAACGTCCGTAAGACCGATGACGGTCTTCATAGACTCGGGACTCAGGAAGACTTTGACACGTGCCCCCTTTAGCAGGGCCAGACAGATATTACACAGGCTGACCAGTGGATTGAAGTCCGGTTGCACGGGTTTGATCAACTCCTACCGCACGATATCGAAAGCGCGATCCTCTTGTTTTTTCAGAAGCACTTCATAAGACTGCTGCAGACGACTTGAAGCGCATACCTTAACGTGTTCAAAAGCACTCAGAACTTCAAGCATCCTCACAAGGTCTTCCTCTCCACCCTCGTATTCATCGAGCCCGCCAATGAAGAAGCAGAATTTGGACTTCATTTCAGTCGACCTGGCTATCCGTTTACAGGCCACGTGGAGCTCTTCTATTTTCCATGCTTCGTAGTGCAGTCGGTTTCTCATATCGTCTGTGATAAGATCCGGGGTGCTGCGGAGAATCTGATAAATCAAAGACTGGAACAACCCCACGCCACTATTCTGCATTCAACGCCCTATGCTTGGCTATAACTTCAACGACTCAGCACCATGGCACCAACAAGACAATCCGCTGAAAAGGCGACCAGCACTCCTCTCGAGATGGATTTGGTTCTCAACTCTTGAGCCTTTTGGCCATGCCGTTCGAAAGGTATTGTCGGCGTGCCGATATCGAAGGCGGTTGGACACACTCTGACATACTTTGTAACAATCGGACAGAGCTTCGCATGCCTACTCGAGTTACTTTCTCAAGCCCCTGCTCAGAATGAAGGAGATCGTTTCCATGAAGGGTACCAGCCACTATAGAAGGATAATCGTCTCACAAACAACCAGAGCATCTGGAATTGGAGCAAGAACACTACCCTCCTAGGTCTGGTGCGGGCGCATGATGCCAATTGTAAATTTGATATTTTTGTGGAGGGGTATCATTTGTTTGCCTAACTGAATCGATTGTTAAAGTCCTCCCACTTGATGTTGTATCCACCACCTTTCTTCTTCTCCGACCGACCGCATCGTTCGGACTCTGCAGTCGGGATGAGGGGGACAGCTCTCTGCCTGCGCGCTGTCTCCCTTTCAGAGAAAGAAGAGATTTGTTTAGACGTGGACTGATCTGCTCTGCCTGATTGGTCCCTAAGGTTGAGTGGCTGGGTCTTGCGACTCTGCCTTGGCTGGGGTGAGATTGCATTGTCGGAGTTGCGACGCGGTTTTCCCTTACCTGGCCCCAGCTTCTTTTTCGACACCTTGTTGGACCTAGCTAGGTGGTCCTCAATCACAGCATGCGTTACGCCTGGATCGAATTCACGGTCGCTTTTGCAATCGATGGCAAGGCCTGCTCGGATGTCGCTGTCGAGCGTCTTGTAACGCACGCGCCATGAACAGATACCCTCAGGGCTCCCTAGTTTCCCCATGCTGACGTCCAGTGTTGGGAACCCGATAAGAGTTTCCACTTTGGTAGCTGTGTCGTGCTGGAACAATGCCGGCAGTGTAAACCGGATGTCTGCGGGTTTGAGCAGAGAGAGGGCAATGGCAGTGATCTGCTCCGGCCCACCTCGCTTAGCATTTTTCAAGGGGGCCATGTGGTCAAGGTCTGCCTTAGTGAAATGCCGTAGAACCAGAGTGTCGATGGAGAAATTCTGGACGCTTATCCACCAGCGTCCGTCGAAGAGTTGGAAGCCACGTTCGCCCTTGCTTGCCGAGAAATCTAGAGGATCCTGAGTAAGTGGGATCTCGTGCGATGGCGGATAACGAATGCTTGCTGAGGTGCCGTTGGACCTGTGGCTTTCCAGAGGTTGACGTGTAAGAAGCCACTCGGACTGCTGCGAAGTAGGTGATGTGCAGATTGATGGGCTGTCGCATTTACGCCACCATATGCCATGGACACAGTGGCTAGTCTTGATTCCAGCCAACCGACCCTGCGGAGAATCGTTCTCTTCAGTCTCGCCAAATTCGGGCCAGATGTCTGCGAGTGTGGATGCAATCTCGCCTGGCGGGGTAACCTCGCGCGGTGAAACCAGTTGACCAGCTTGTACAAGGAGACATGTAGCAGTATTTCTGGCATTATTCCATTCAGAGTGAGTCCATTTTTCGACCGGTTTGTTGATCGTTGGAGTGTCCAGAAGCTCCCGTAAGCGAGGGAATTGAATATACAGCGAGCCCACTTGTATGTTGAGTCGTTTTGGAGAGCGTTCCAACAGTCGATGCGCTTGAGCCTTGTGCGAACTGACACGTTCTTGCATGTCGTTAGACAATTTCACCAGCGACTTGATACTCAAAGCAGCGGGCATGTGATAGCTCTTTAGGATATGGCGAACCGCATTTCGCGTTGTATATGTCTGAATGTGGTTCGTCTTGTCTTCAGCCCAAGCCACATCATTTTGTTCGCATGTAGCGATGAGTCGCGACTTGTCGAAGCCGAGCAGAGGTCGAAGGACACGCACGCCACCGCTCTCGAATTGAGAAGCCGCGTGATGATTGAACTCTCTTACAACTCCGCTGTGTGACACACCATGTATGCCATAGCACTCCGGAATCCATTCGACAGGTTGCATGGCTTGTAGGCCCGACCGCAGGCGGTTATTTGCGAGGCGCATCAATACCGTCTCAGCCTGGTCGTCGGCATGGTGTGCGACGAGCAGTTCTCGAATGCCTGCCTGGCGACAGGCCAGACCAAGTGCCTGATATCGTAAAGTACGTGCGTCCGTTTCGAATCGCTTATGATCGAGTGGGTCGAATGTGGCAGGCCAAGTGAGAGGCAGAACAGAGGCCTGCATGCCAACTGCTAGGTATTAGCATTGCTTGGGTGACGGGTCCCGTAATCACCTACACTTGGTGCGGCACTGTTCAGCAACCCACTCTGCTTCTTCGGCGCTCTCTGAGCGGACTTTGTGATCCACAATAAATGCATGAGCGCGCCGGGGATACTTGGACTCGGACAAGGCTGCGCTTCTAGCAAACAACGAGGCAAGTGCCATAGAATCCACCCCTCCACTGATAGCGAGGCCTGGTGCGGCTAGTCAGCGAATGTACTGCTCAAGCAGGACGGGCAAGCCTACCCATAGTCGGAGTGACCCCCTTGCCAACGCGCCACCTTGCGACGCCCTCAGTGCTACTGATCCCCTTCAAAGCATTCTCAAATTCTTCTATCGTGACGGATTTGCTCTGCGAGCTGTACCGCCTGGTATTGCGCCATACTGCGGTAGAGGGACAGTTCCTCACCCTGCTGACATTGCTTCTCCACATGTACGCCGTGGCATTGAGCAGCGCACAACAAACCCGAACGCGAGGGTAAGAGTTGGTAAGTGTGGAAGCAGACTAGCTGATCGTGGTAGTCCACGAGGCACGACGCGTTGTCCCGAGGTCTCGAGAGTAGCGGTGCACGGACAGATATGGAAATTTCTAGAGAGCTTCCTCGTTAGCGTCCGACATCCGCATCTCTCAACCTCATCCCCAGCGAACCATTCACTTCTCGAGATACCCCGTCTTTCATCCCATCTTCTAATCACAATGGTACGTTGTCTCTCGCATCTGCGTCGCGCAATCGTCCCCAATGCGGCTGAACCCGGCCTTTGCCAAACATCAACACCAGCACAACACCAGCTAACACTGCTTTAGTCTGCCCTCAAGTCCATCCGCTCGCTCGCCCCTCTCCTCGACCGCGTGCTCGTGCAGCGCGTCAAGCCTGAGGCCAAGACCGCCTCTGGCATCTTCCTGCCCGAGACGGCCGTCAAGGAGCTGAACGAGGCCAAGGTCCTCGCCGTCGGCCCCGGCGCATTCGACAAGTCCGGCAACCGCGTTGCCGTCAGCGTGCAGCCCGGCGACAAGGTCCTGATCCCCCAGTTTGGCGGCAGCCCCATCAAGGTCGGCGAGGATGAGTACAGCTTGTTCAGGGACCACGAGTAAGTTCCACCGCCTGTTGGCACACTGTGGAAGCTTGAGCGAATGCTGATATATCCCAGGCTCCTTGCCAAGATCAACGAGTAAACGTACCGCTGCCTGAGCGCCGCACTTGGTCGAACTCGGATCGAATGTAAACCTACTGTATTATCACCGCCCATCACAAAGACACGCCTGCATCTCCGGCCGGCGTTTTGGCATATACCTGAAAACTTTGGGCATCTGTATTGGAAGCGACATGTAATTACAACTGAACGCAAGGGGAGGATGTGACATGAAGTAAAGACCTAAATTCAAAGATCTCCGCTATATCGCGACAGCTACAATGTACATGCGGAAACGTGTTCGCATTACTCGTTCATTTGACTATCTGGATACCCGGCTGGCTGACAGCGTAGATGAGAAGATCGCCTCTGGCTGAATTCCATCGATCCTTGACCGCAGGACTTACCACCCGGAGTTGCCTCCACCAGCACCCCACTGTCTGCCATCACCCTGACCCTGGTTCTGACCCTGACCATACTGGTTCCCGGGCTGCGCTGGGTTACTGTGGTACTCGTAGCCCTGCTGATAGCCAGTCGGCACACTGAAGCTCGGCTCATGCACCTGTCCGCTCGCAAATTGCGCCTCGCCCCATCCATAACCACCCGCGGGCTGCGCATTGGCATGCTCAGCAGGAGTCTGGTATGGCTGGCTCCCATCGTAGCTAGACTGGTAAGGCTGGAAGTTGCCCCACTGGGAGGGCTGCGGGGAAGGAGAAGGTTGGTACGCAGAACTACCGGCAGGGTTCGAGAAGTCACCCTCCGGACCGTCACGCTTGCCGAAGCTGGAGAATGCGTTGCCCAGGCCGCCCGGGAGCTGCGAGGTCAGACTGCTAAATAGACCTCCACCTGAAGAAGACGAGGACTGCTGGTGGCTCGCGCCGAAGTTGTAGTTACTTCCCGCACCATGGCTATGCCCGCTGTGTCCGCCTTGGCTCTGGAACGACTGCAGTCCCGCTGCTCCATGGCCGGCATGATCGTCCCCTGCTTTGTGGTTCCGGCCTGCCTTCACAGACTCTGAACTGAGGATGTCGTTGAGATCTTTACCGTGATAGGCGTGTGCCCAGTCCTTGACAACTTTGAACATGTTGTTGTGCACCTCTGAGCGCGGGTCGCGCATTGCAGGGTGATGGAAGACGCTAACGCAGTCATCGAGGACTTGGTCAACGGAGACATCTGGGTGGTCAAACGCGTACATGACGCGGGGTACAACGAACTGCAAGATTTGGACTGCGACTTGGCCGGCTGGCTCGTTGAGAATGTTGGAGAAATGGTCTTTCGAGAGCATGGAGTGCGTGGGGTCAGTGGATGTAGGGTTGTTCCAGACATCAAACTGATGCTTGGCAGAGCTTTCGACGACAGCAGAAGATCCAGTCTTCAGTTGCGCAGATGCGTTCTTGATGATAGGGAGAACGAAAGGCGCAAGAAGCGAAAGCACAAAGAGTGTGACGCGCTCGGTGATGGTATCAATCAGCTTCTCGAGACCTGGGATCTTGGAAACGATGTCCGAGATGCTACGAACTACCCTGTCTCTGAAGACTAGTATAGGGTAGATCTTCGGAATGATCGTTGCTGGATCAGTGTTGGTTCCTGGGATATCAGGACCAGGAGGCCCTCCGACAGAGCCTGGGGGTGCTGCGAAGGTAGGTGCTCCTCCAAATTGATTCTGACCACCATCACGCGAACCAAAGTTATCGTACCCTCCGGAGCGGTAGCCATGGCCTGAGTTTGACGCAGCTTGAGCATCAGAAGAAGCCTGTAATGCTTGCGCCTCCTGAATAAGGCCACTTGTACCTGGGACCTTAGAAAGCACATCGGTGAGCCCGCCGAGAGCACCAGGACCACTTCCCTTTGTGTTGCTTGTCAAGGCGTCGGAGAGTGTAGTGTCCATCTGGTCAATCTCGGCAGAACTGATGTGATCTGTCGCTTCTCCCAGCACGGAATGGAAGAAGTCGACACCACCAAAAGTACCAGTTATAAGCGGGAAGACGTGCTTGCCGCGGAGGTTGATGGCAGCCTGAGTGCCAACGTGTGGGAAAACATTGTTATGCCCCAGCTCGCGCAGAACGAGCTCAGTATAGTTTGTGTGAGCTCCATAGTCCTCAAGACAATGCAGACCCTGGCCCAGACAACGCAGCGCTTCGCAAAGATCTTCTTCCCGTCCACGTTGACCAGAGGGGCCGTGGGTATACAACCTACCAAAGTGGATCGCTCTGGAAAAGGAATATCTTACATAGCCTGCTGATGTCGCCCATCCACCTTGCTCGTTAGCGATGTAGTTCTTCATGCCCGTGTTAGGGTCGACAGCAAGCTCAATCTCCGCGACTGGACCCCGGAGTCGTGGGTCGTATTTCCGAGCATCCTCATTATCGGCATAGTCCTTGGGGTTGTCGATGTGCTCCTCGGGTCGGTATGTTCCCAAACGTTCGGCGGTAACTTCAAACTCTCCAGTAGCGTAGCCAAAGGACATGAACGCAAGTATCCACACAAGCACGCGGATAGTCTCGCCCTTGGCACCCGTCAGTCTCCGGATATCGGCACACTTTACTTGAGAGTGACTTACCTGGACTTTGCTCAGGGTAGCAGTGTCGACAGCCTTTTTTGTTCAGCGCTTTAAATGTGGTATTTCCTGGACCACATACCTGTGAATAGTCTCGTAGCCAGTTGCCAAAGTATACACGCTGCAATGCGTCAGCCACAGATTCTGACTCGCGGATCGCCGGCCAAGCATACCTTGATCATCATCGACTTCCATTTGTGACCGCGTATGCACGCGACCGTCGCGAGCATGTCTTCGATATCACCATGCCTCCAGTTCTTTCCTTCGATTTTCGAAATGGACGCAATGTTTCCCGCGCCAAAAGCATCAACTTTGGTAGGTAGCAGGACCAGTATCGCAATGGCGACGAGCAACAGGTACTTCGTAGAACCAGCCATTTTTGCAAGATGCTGGGAGGTTGAGTGTAGGTAGAGGGAGAGCAGCAGAGCAGTAGTAGGATCTTAAACGGGGTCTTTCGCGCCGTCAGCTTGTCTAGTCGCGATTACGTTACGCCACACCACAAACGGGGGAAAGTGTGACTGACCCGCTTCAGTCCAAGACCACCTCTTTAGCATACAGATTCCTGCTGTTCTCAAGGTTCTTACGAGGCTAGGGAGCAGTGCAACCAGTTTAGTTCCCGTTTGAACCGCGTTTCGCGAGGCTCCGCCGCATATCTTGCGTCGCGCTGTGCCACACCTGCCCCGCTCGATGACGATGAGGGGCACAAGCGAAGAACACTGCAGCTGAACACCACCCTGAACCTTCGGCCTTGCTGACGCTTATGCTGACGAGATGTCTGCCCAACGCGAAACGTAGTACAAAGCGTATCACGTGCGTGGATCACTGAACACAAAAGTCGTCGCCTACGGCTGCCTAGCACGATTGTTCAGCTGTAAACAACCGCACAATGCCACATGTTTTTGCAGTGACTCCACACATCGTACGGCAAAACTTGACCAGAACTCGGTGCACGATCTTACAATCGAAATGACACATATCAGCAGTGAAGCAGAGAGTGTGGACATTATCTTGGTGAACAGCAAAAGCGAGACGGATCTCGAAGGCTCGTTATTTCAGCTTCCTATTCGACGTCGCCAAACGCAAGCGACTATCAATTTGAAGAATATTGAAGACGTAAAGCTGTTAGACTCAGGTCTTGGAGGTACGGGTATACAAGAACGGTCGCATGTGTTGCGCGCACCGGATAGTACTGCAGAAGGTACAGGACCGGATCCTTCTCAGCCTGAGGATCAGCTTCGTCTCACTGATGTAGCATTCGAAAGACTTGCCTGTGCAGACACGGAAAAGCTTGCAGCATGTCTTGACGCCGGGGCGCTCATCGAACACGAAAACCACGATGGCCTCACATTACTTGTCTTGGCAATCAATAATTCGAACGTCGTCATAACCAGGCTTTTACTACAGAAAGGGGCTGACGTCCACCATCGTGCTCAACGGAAACCTCCTCTGTTCCATGCTGTTCAGAATCCGGAACACGGTCCAGTGCTCATTCGACTGCTCCTTGATTACGGTGCAAACATCAACACTACCTGTGGGACGCAGGGCATGAACGCGCTGCACTGGGCTGCAGCTGCTGGTATGGTCGACTCAGCAGATTATCTGCTCTCCCGAGGTATCGACATTGAAGCTACTTGTGCAGGAGAGCACACTGCCCTGCATGTGGCTGCCGGCACAGGGCACCTCACCGTTGTGAAACTTCTCTTGGCCCAGGGTGCAGAGCTAGCAAAAAGAGGTGAACTAGGCGGAAGCGCAATCACATTCGCTGCTTCTATGGGACATCTCGATGTCGTCAAGCTATGCACGGCGGAGGGTTTGCCGGCCGCCAATTGCGATGATAAGGGTCTAAGTGAGTTCAGACTCCGCCAGCTATGTAGAGGTACTATGCTAGCATGGTCTAACACTATCAGCCGCCCTGATATGCGCCTGTGAACTTGGGCGTACTTCAGTCGTGGAGTACCTACTCGAGAAGTGTGCGGATGTCAACAAGGCAGACACACGGCAGAGCACGCCAGCTTTAGAAGCAGCTGCGAAAGGCCATACTGAGACATTCCATACTTTACTGAATCATGGTGCCGATCTCAGTATCTCTAACGCAAAAGGAGAGAATTCGCTCGGGATTGCAATGTCCAAAGGTCATAGGGACATTGTCCGTCTGATCCTCACCAGTTTAGGCGGCCCTGGATACCCTCTCGAAAGTGTTTCACTCCAGATCGCATCGGCCAAGAGACTGGAAACGATAAGATCACTTATGAAGAATGCATCCATGATGTATGCGAACGTGCCAGAAAGCAAATCTCTTCAAAACGGCGCCTGGGTGAAGTGGGTTCTTGACACCGGTGGCGATCTTGTGAGACCACAAGCATTGTCTAACATGGTACTCGTTGCTATCGCTGACGCAGACGTCGATCTCATCAGAACGCTACTGTCTGTCGGCGCTGACCCCAATGATTTCTCACTCAGCACTGCTGTTGTCAACCGAAATCTTGATGTTGTCCGCCTTCTTCTTGGAAGTGGCGCTGGCCCTGCAGCATCGCCTCGTTGCATCAAACGTGCTGACGGTCGTCCGGATAACGCTCTACTCGATGTATTACTGAACATGCCATACCAGAAAGACATTTGCCTTGCAACCCTGCAGGCACTACTCGACAGTGGTCGTTTCAATATTCTCACAGGGTCGTCTTCTAGTCAGACTGCTTTCTGGCGAGTCCTGGAGTCCGAAGATTGGGGCCCTGAACTCCAAACACAGGTTGCGTTCATAATGTTGGAATCGGTAACTGACATCAACTACGCTTGTAGCGGTGATGGTGGGACGTTAATCCATCACGCTACCCGATACGGTCGTAAGGATATCGTAGGATACCTGCTGGAGAAAGGAGCCAACATCAACGCTCAAGACAACGCAGGACGATCGCCATTCATACTTGCTTGCGAGTACCAAGCGAACATGATACTCTTCCTTCGTGAAAGAGGCGCGGATCTCGATCTTAGATACGAAGATGGCAGAGGGCCACTCCATGCAGCTGCAATCGTGGGAAACATCAGGGCGCTAGAGTTACTCTGGACCCAAGAATCTATTGTGCAGGGTCTAGACGAATGCTCTAGAGATGGTTGGACTCCTCTTGCGTGCGCTCTGGGAGCGGATCAAGAGGAAGCAGCATCGTTTTTGATCGAGCGTGGGGCCAATCTTAAGCACATTGTTGCTACAAACGGACGTAGTATGCTTCATCTCGCAGCAGCTTTTGGACACGAACGTGTGTTTGAGCAAATCCTCCGTCTTGGAGATGTAGACGTGGATGCGAAAGATGCTGTAAATCATAGCACACCTTTACTGCTGGTATGACCACATGTCAGCTACATCTCACAATCAATGATACGACTGACATCATTACAGGCATGCGCAGGCACACGCTACAAATCAGGTTCGACGAAGATCGTCCGCGCTCTACTCGCGGCTGGAGCAGACATTGAATGGGCCGCCAGTCATCTCGATCGACCGCTGCACGTCGCTATTACCACTGGAAACACGCAGATTGCGCATATACTTGTCGAACATGGGGCAGATATCACTGCTACTGGAGACAAGGATCGAACCCCTCTGCACCTAACTGCGGAGCACAGTAATTCAGGCTTCATGCGCCTTCTGCTACGGCGTGGAGCCGCGACTGAGGCCACCGACGATTCGGGCTGGACGCCACTTCACCTGTGTAATAGACCGGATGAGGCTCAGATCTTGATCGATCACGGTGCAGATGTAGACTGTGTTGACAAAAAGGGATTGACGCCATTGCATCATGCAATTTTGTATGGGGATCTCGGGCTTTTCATGATGCTGCGCAGATATGGTGCATCAACTCATACAAGGGGAAAGAATGATGGGAGAAATGCCATGGATATTATTGAAGATATGACGGACATCAGGTTGAGAGATGAGTTCCTTGCCAGCGTCAATCGCAATGCAAAGGACCGCTAAGTTGAAGCAGGAGTGTAACTTAACTAGCCAGCAGATTGTGATCCAAACAAAAGGGTTTAGAAATCTGCCTCTCTGAAAAACGAAGGAATGTATGGTGGTTGTGGCTCGCATGCAACAGTACCCTTCCCAACCTGGTCGACTAGGAATACCACTCCTATCTCAGCCGTGTATCCTCACAACCACGAGGTTTGGAAGTGTAAAAAACATTGGTACGCAAACCTGGAAGTGCCATGGTTCTGTTGTAGGGAACATTCTCCTCGTTTCTTGATCGGTGAAACAATTAGCTTGTAGATTGGATACCCTTAGATTTATGGTTGGAGGGAATTAATTCGTGAAGCGGGACCCTTAACAGTGGTATAATTCACCGCCAAGGATCGTGAACCGTTGTAAAGAAGCAACATGAACCATAGAAGAGCTGCAATATTAGGATAATATAATATTTAGTCACTAGAGACCTCATACTCAAGCTTGCGGTACTTCTCGTCTCAGTTGGTCCTCAAGTCGATTATCCTACCATCTCACAGAATATCGACTTGCCTTCAAGATGAAGTACTCGACCAAGCACGATCATGAAGACCCCTCACATGGCCTCCGTCCAACACCGGTCATCTCTCCATCCCAAGCCACCATAGAAGCCGTTGAGAAAATAAACCAAAACCGGCTTCCTCATATTCCTTGCCAATCCCACGTCGGATTGGAGGAAGAAGCAAAAGCCACCTGCCCAGCTAGCATCAAGCAGATATGGGGGTGGACCGAGCACACGCCCGAGGACGCAGCCCACGAAGCTGAGCTCGCGGGGCTGAAGCCAACTCAGCTGTCTACAACACCCCGAACAATCAACCGAGGCGCAGTGACAACTTCCGGTACCGTGTTTGAGGTCCCAGTTCGCGGACTGAGGTCACCGCCATTGTCGCCCCGGGGAAAGATGTACGAAAGTTTTACGCCCCCTACGCCTCCTCCGCCTCTCATGCCTCCTACGCCACCCCCGCCACGTTTTCAGGCCATACAGACGACTTCCCAGAGTGGCGATCGCGCAGAAAGGAGACGCATGATTGGTCGAGTACTGGTGTCTGTGCGGGATCGTGTCCCAGCCGAAGATTGGCTTGAGGGCATCAAAGAATTGGAAGGGCGAGGGGGAAACGTAGAGAAATTTTACAACAATCTGTCAGAGGGTGGCGTACGAGACGTCTAGTTTGTCACCTGCTCCAGGGATTCGGGATCGGGCGTTGATCGAGTACACCATACAGATGCTGTAGGAGGCAAGGACATTCACGATGCAAACAATTAATTCAAGATGCTACTTTCACGCTTTAGCGCATGAGGTGTTATTAAGCAAAACCGTCCACCTGAAACTTGACCAACAGAGTGGTATCTTGGAAACCAGAAAGTGGAAAACGTAAAATCCATCCATTTGCGCCAAGAACTACAAGTTCCAATATATGAACCGGGTTTGTGAAGGTAACAACGAGCTACGCGTGGGATATGTGAAGTCGCAGATAGCTTCAAAAAGAGAGATATTGTACAGTGCGAGCAGTGCGAGTGAGGGTCAACTCCCAAATAGTAGCACCCTTGATGGCGGGTGCGGCTGCGATTGGCTTTAGGCCAAGCAGAAGACTAGAGCAGTCGGAGTGCTTCTTGTATCGGCGGGCGAGTGTCCACAGGCGTGGAGTTCGCAGAAGGTGGCAGAAATCGAATGTCCGCTTCTCCGTTGGGGAGCCACTGGACATCCATCTTTCTGGCTTTCTCCTTGCCCGCCGCTACGAGTCAGCTTGGTGTCCTGTTACGGGCGTCGAGGTTTGGGGACGATCGCGGAGATCGACGTAGTGGAGGCGATCTTCGTTCGGTAGGCGAATTTCTCATGTTTTCATAAGCAGCTGTAACAGCTGCGCTCTCCGGAATAGGCGGCGAGTTTCTGGAACGTGGACTCGGTTTATGTGAGCTACCAGTGCCAGGGTGTTGACCAATATTGCGGACAGTTGAGGGTGTTGCAGGCGAACGACTGCCTTTGCCTTGTGGTGCCCTAGGTGTCATGCTACCGCCACTTCCCACACTGGCATGCTTTGCCCGTGGTGTTGTCTCATGACTACCTCCGGACGATCGATTCGGTTTCGAGCTCGGGCTGTTTTCGTGGCCACCAACGTATTTGTGCTTTGATGAGGCACTATTGGCTCGACTGCGTGCGGGATCTTTCGGCGGGCTTTGTGGAGCAGAGACGGTTATCGGGGGGCCATCGGCGGCTTTTCTGGGATTCTGAGGGAATCGTAGTGGGGCGGTCACAGGAACTCCACGATCTATGTCATCTCCGTCGTGATCATCACGAACCTGGGAACGACCTTGTGCAACCGGCTCCGGACTAGCCACACCACCCATGCGCGGCGTGGTCTCAAAGCTCTTGCGTTTCATCATGCGTCCTAAGACTGCAACAAGCTCTGCGGCATCCTCGAATTCACCGTCGTCCATTGCTTCTTGTGCGCGATAGACATCTTTTATGGCGCGACGCGCGACGCGCCGCGAAGCGTCGTGGTCATGCACGCAATCCCATAGGAACGCGCTATGTTCGAGGGCCACAGACAATCGAAGAGGGTGTGATCCCGGAAGGAAGGACGAGGCATACTGGGTCGCGGTCGTGAAGTAACCGGTGGCCAGTGGCACAAAATTCAGTGGCGGTAAAAGAAATGAAGACGGTTGTGGTATAGGAACGGGGTTGAGGCCAGGAGGAGCGTGAATAGGTGGTCCCGGGGATGGCGTCCCGACTGGTCCACCTGCTGCGTAGGGATTCGTGACAAACGATGTTTCTGAGACAATCGAGTCGATGGGCTCACGAAGCGCTGCTTGCTTGCCGTTACGCTTTGGAGGCGGTGATAACCCATGCTCAGGCTTACGACCATTAGCATGTCGAGGAGACAGTGAGGCGTCACCTGCCCTAGACTCGGCCGATTCCATATTCGTTATAGTAACAGGTGGCTGGTTGTGAAAAAGACAAAAGATGTGGTAGAAACTTGCTCGCAATTTTACGCTGAGTACCCTGCATTCTGGCCCATGTTGGTTGTCTTGCGCGTATGGTAGCACGTACAGCTCCAGGATGGACAAGCCCTCTCTGGACATCCATAGAATATGTTGGTATGCTGAGAGTGAAGGTGTGTCTCTGCTTGTATCGAGTTTGCGAAGCTTTCTGGCGCGGATGAGCTTTCGTGAGAGGAGGATCGAGAGACCAAGGATTTGGTAGAGGGCGCCTGATAGGTAGGGGTTGGAGTCTTCCGTCTGCTTGGCTATTCGCCCAAGAAACTTCTGATCGAAGTCCAGGGATGCCATCGTCTGGTGCGTCTAGCTGCTGTTTCTGTGAGCTTGACTCAATATTAGACTGATATTGTCAAAGAAGAGAATGAAAGGGGTAGGGTATGTGGGTCTGGGCGCAGTCCCACTCTTTGCGACCAAATGGACAAGGTACTTGATGAGATAGAAATGAACGCTGTATGAAAGCCGCTTCCACTCACCCTGAATAACTGCCAACCCGGACCGTTGCGCTGTATCTTGTCAACAGACACAGAGCAGCCCGGCCCGAGCTGACCGATGACGCCGTGCAATGACACCGCCCAGAAGATGAGCTTTTGAAACCTAGCGACCGACGCTGGCCAATTGATGTGTTTCGAAAGCCGGTGAGTGGCCGTGCGTGGGACTGTCCAGTGAATTGCGGCTCCCGTGATAAGCGCAATCGGAGATTGATGCTGATAGACAGGTCCAGTCGAATAGGCGCCGCTCGGAGAATTGCTATATTAGGCAATGACAATGGAAACGATAATGGCAATTTGATACAAATATTGGGACGAAGTCAAGGCTAGAGGCGGTGGAGTTGTTGTACAATAATGGTGGATGACTGCAAGAACACCTTGAGTATATGTCTGAGAAATGTTAGTGATGCAGTCATAAGAAACTGACTGCGCACATAGCGTGGCACAGCCTGCAGAATTCGGAATACCTCTAAAAGGACAAGTTGTGGTGGTGTCGTTGCTTAGGACCAAAGCCCTGCTCTCATTCGATGACCGGGATAAGAGATGGGCCAATTACAGCGTTGATTGGGTGAGGCGATGCCGGAACCTTGGGCTAGCTGTCGTCAGGCAAGGAGATGCAGACGCAGGGTGGCTGGAGTCAGATGAAGGCGGCGGACAGCGCATCGCGACTTTTCCAGGTCCAATTCCCCCGCGCGCGAGGTGACGCGACGTTGTTAAAGCTGCGACAGCTCTCCTAGGCGGTGTAGCGAAGGTCAATGCGGCTGTCTTGGGCGGTCCGAGACGAGATGGGCCGCACACACTCCAGATTTGCGCGAGGATGGGTGCGGGGCGCCTTCCGCTTGAGTTGGAAGGGAAGAGCGAACGGCAGCAGTGTCTGCAACAACAACCACGACAACGACCGTAAGGGAGCGAGAAATGGCGAGGCGGGTGCCGTGGACGTGGTAGTATTAACCCACAATTCCATCCCGGTCCTGTGGGTATGCAGGTGCAGCTCTGCGTCAACCTGCAGAGAGGCGAGCGATGCGTTGTCCAAATCCTCCGCTAACTACACCTGTCGCCTGCGTGGTCTCCATGCCGATTATGGTTCGCATCTTGACAGCTGGCACGGACAACTAGAGCTGTCGAATCGCCATCGCCCGGAAGAACAAGAAGTCGCCGCCTCCTTCTGCGCCATGCCAACGTGCGTTTGCAGGGCTGACTGCCTCTGACACGCACGCTTCACATCAACGGTAAACGGCTGCCAGCACACGCCTCATGCATCATGAAGTGCAGCATCTCATCTTGCCAACTACTACCAAGTTCTCCTTTGCTGCCTGACAAGCAGCACCCCATGAGCCACCGGCGACCAGCACACGTCGCAGCTGTCACCATTTCGAGCTCCAGCGCTCTCCAACGCCACGGTGGGCCACCAAGGTTCTAGCCAAAAATACTTCGAGTGGGGCCCAAATCTCTTGACAACCTATATCGACAGCCCTATGATGATCTTACAATCAGGAAGTGGCTCCTCTCCGCTTGCCAAACCTCACTCGGCGCGGTGGTGGATTTAGAGCAAACTCGTTTGCACTTGCTTGCACATTTGTATTGATGCTCCGACCTTGGCTGACGAATGCACAAGTCATTGACACTGACAGCTTCAAGCTATGATTTCGTCATCATCAGGTCCTTGATGCGTCTGCGTCCCGATACCTAGTTAATGGTGCCCATAAAAAGGGCGGTGAGGGTGTGCTGTGATTGGCCAGTAACGATGAAAATGCTGGCCAACGCCATAGTGGGCATTCGATCACCACTATTCGTCGCTAACCCAGCCTCCTTAAGATCTACCTATGTACTAGACACGAGAGCGCCACTGCATGAATCTCTACACCGGCGTCACACAGCCACTTGAGCCTCCGGATGCTGCCGAGCTGGCAGTCTACGCCTTGGTCGTAACGCAGGTTATCCGGGCTATTATTCTGGCAGCAAACCTGTTGTAATGACTGGACAATCTGAGGAAAGGCTGATGACTACCTTTACAGCATCATAGCAAGGTCTGCAGATCTCAGCGACTCTTGGTCCTGAATGATACGTGGGCACATGCCACAGCACATGACGGTGCGCAGTCAGCTGTTCGTCAGCAAGATCCGTCTTGAGATGTTCGACATTCGAAAGATCCAGGATGTAACGCCAGTTGTTACCTCTCGGATGCAGGTTGAAATTCTTACTCAACAGTCTGTGTGACAATACTGCAGGGTGACGACGGTAAGACAATCCCACTGACAGGAAAATGAGCACATCCGCGACGAGCACGACCCAGCAAAGGAAGCAAACCGCTTCCGCACCTTGCTGAGACCAACAACTCGGCAGGTCCTGTACCACAAATGTCTCAAATCAGAACACGAAGCAGGTACCCGTGTAAGCAGGCAATCTTGTTACTCAAACAATCTAAACATCAGTTTGTCGTTAACACCACTCTGCCGGACGGATGTCACTGTCTCCATGTAAACAAGGCGTTTGTAGTTCTCGAGACAAACAAAACTGTCTAGTTCTGAGTACTTCGGTACCAGTTTCGAGTGTTTGCATGGAGTCGCATTGGCTCCTTCCATACGCACGTTGTGCAACCGTCCCAGTAGGCAACAGATTGCGACTGGCGTTCGCTTGCTGCATCCAACATCTACTTTCGCAGATTGCTTGTGGCCTCAGTCACGCGTGCTCAGCTTACGATACGGTTTCATTTGCTTCACCGCAGGCAGGCCAATAATTGATTCCTATCTTGGAAAATGCCTGACTATCATAGTGCGACCAGTATCAAACACAAGAAGTACATAACTCACAGTTCTTAGCTATATGGAGGAACCACTATTCAACCCAATAATCCAAAGTTACGTCTTTTCAGCAATTGCTGACCGCGGACATACACACTCGTTATTGAGCATCTGACCTCGTCACGCCCAGCACTCACACAACATACCATATTTCGCCATCCTTTTCCCTTACGTCTGCACCTCCACCTTCTACCCAGGAGACACCTCCGCTGGTTGTTCATCCCGAGCACAATCGTAACTGCGGCTGTGGCCCAAGCGCACACAATGTGCTATTACCACGCATACTCCCACAAGTGCGGTCACACCGAGTGCATCCTTCAGAAACTCTGCCCCAAAGGCCAGATGATCCAGCAGAAGTGTGGCCGTGGGCACGAGGGGATCATAATGGCGACTGTAAAGGTAGAGACTAGATGTGAGGGTTGTAAAAAGGTATGTCAACTTGCAAAAGCTACTCGATTGAGGGTTGACGAGACTAGTGAGCCTGTCAAGAAAGGTATCCGACTTGAGACTCGAGCGTGGATTGAGAACGGACTGCACGCAGTGTATGAATAGACGGATTGGACATGCTACACGACTTGGTGTTGCGAATGTGTACACCTTAATGCTATACCGGCGTTGGAAATAGACTTGAGACCGGTCTCAAATTTTTGATCCCACCGTTGTTATAATCTATTATATCTACTTCAGTTGTTCCCCACTCTTGCATTGGGTAAAGCCTTTACCATACCTACCTAGCCACTTTCGCTAGGGTGGCGCTACTCACACCTCGGCAACCTTCATCACTCTCTCATCTACGAGCACGTTCGCAGATAAGAACACGAACCACGCTCCTTCGCAACTCGCTATCCGGGTACATTACCAAACCTGTGCTGGTGCGTGTACAATTTGTAGCCCTGTGCCGCTATCTGCGATGGAGGTGAGGGGTACTACCGATAACGACGATCACCACCTCCTTGCAGACACAGCGGCACATATAAGATGCCGAGCTCGCACCAAGCTTCACAAGCCTCCCGCGTGGCTTTACTGACAGATCCGGCTTCCTCAAGCCCCGACTATCTCACGATGGCTGCCTCGAGCAAAGATATCGAAATGCCCGTCACGGTGCGCAAGCTCTCTATTGCAGCAGAAGAAGTCCGCGAAGCTCTTGAAGTCGAACACAACCTCACTTTCTTGCAAGCCGTGAAGTTGTATCCTAAAGCGATAGGATGGTCGATGTATTTCAGCCTAGGGGTCATTATGCTTGGTACTTTTCCCTTCGTTGCCGTCTCCAGCTCCATCCTCTACGCATTCTAATCGCGACCACAGCGTTCGACCCTCAACTCCTCGGCAACCTGTACGCCATGCCTGCATTCCAGAAGCAGTTTGGATATGCGTTCGAGGACGGTTACATCATCTCTGCTGCCTGGCAAACCGGTCTGGGCATGGGCAATCCAATCGGCCAAGTCGTAGGCGCACTCGCAGCAGGTTACCCAATGGAATGGTACGGACGCAAGAAGACGTTCAACGCATGCGTATTTGCTGTCGCAGGGCTAGTGTTCATTCAATTCTTTGCTCGCTCGTTGCCAGTCCTTCTCGCTGGCGAATTGCTTGCAGGTCTAGTACTCGGAGCCTTCGTGGTCATCGCGCCAGCGTATGCATCTGAAGTTAGCCCTTTACCCCTCAGGAGCGTGAGTACGAGTTATGTCAACCTCTGCTTCGTCACCGGACAGCTTTTGGGGAATGGAGTTACGGCTGCGACACAGCACATGACCAGCCACTGGGCGTATTCAATTCCTTTCTCACTCCAATGGTTCTGGTGCCTGATCATCATCCCAGGCATGTGGTTTGCTCCAGAGTCACCATTTTGGCTTGTCAGACAGGGTAGGCTTGAGGATGCCGAAAAAGCGCTTGTTATGTTGTCGAGCGAGAAGGTCAACGTCAAGGCTGCATTGGCGCAGATTGTGGAGACCGATACCCTAGAAAGAGACATGGAGGCAGGAAGCACATACTACGACGTGTTTAAAAAGATCAATTGGCGACGAACCGAGATCGCAATTGGAGTATACACAACGCAGGTCCTGTGTGGCGTTTACTTGATTAACTATGGGACATACTTCTTTAGCCTTGCTGGGTTGGACACAGACCAAGCTTACAACATGGGAATTGGATTCATGGCCATTGGCTGGATAAGTGTCTTACTCTCCTGGTATCTGATGCAGAAGTTTGGAAGACGGGTACTGTTTGGTGCCGGTCTCTCTGTACTTACTATCATCATGTTCCTAGTCGGTATTCTAGATTGTGTACCAACTCCAGGCGCCGTATGGGCCAAGAGTGCGATGTAAGTATCTGTGACAATTGTCAACTTCTCAAGCTAACATTGCCTAGGCTCCTCGTCTGGAACTCGGTCTACAACTGGAGCGTTGGCCCTGTCGCCTTTGCCATTTTCTGTGAAGTTAGCGCTACACGTGTGCGCTCGAAGACTATTGCGGTGGCTACTGCAGTGCAAGCTCTAGTCGGCATTGTTATGACAGTCGCCATACCTTATCTCATAAACCCAGCTGAAGCGAACTTGGGAGGAAAGCTTGGATTCTTTTTTGGTGGGCTGTCGTTGCCATGTTTAGTTTGGTGGTTCCTGCGAGTACCAGAGATGAAGGGCCGAACCTACGAAGAGTTGGATATCATGTTCGAAAGAAACGTGAAGACGAGGCAGTTCAAGGAGTACAAGATTTGAGGTAGTATGGTACCCAAGTCATGAAGTACCGCCTTGAGTCAAACGGTGCAACGTATCAACGCAAATCGGTCCTGAGAGAGTCCGGGTGTGGTCAGAGAGGAATCTGGACAGCGCAGTTCAATGTTTCATTCCATACAGAGACTAGGAGCGAATCAGAACCATTGATGACAGCGGCATCCAGGGGAAATATCTTTGGTCTGTTCGCTTTGATGATTCACAGAGTATGTCTTCGAGCAACACCAACAACCACCTTCTCTCTGTTCATCACGTAGCTTGGTTAGCCGCTCGTTAGCGGATGTTGAATGCATTGTGTCGCATGAGGAGAGCTATAATTCGGATCAAATTCGCTAGAGCGTGCCCAAGTTTAAGCCATCTGATTGTCCTAATGGTTGCAAGGTTTTTGCTATTCTATGTTCACCATTTAAAAGTTTCAGTACCGATGACGCTCGCTGGTCTATCATGCAGAGTGCCCTCGCCCAAGCACATTGTCTATCACACCACACTACTCTGTCTTCGGCTCACCTCTCTCTGGATAATAACCGCCCGCGAATTCTAGACTTGCGTTTTCGAACTTGTCTTGCTTGATGAGTTTCCACCCGTGCCAGGGCATCCAGCCCTCGCTTTCGTAGATCTTAACATCTATAGTTGCGATGAAGCTTTCCCGACAGAAGTTCGCTCGGTGGCCATCTGGGAATGGACTCGCGAGGCCAAACCAGCCAGGCTCTTTCGGTGCCTGCACCTTCAGTTCTAACTTGTGGACGTAGTTCGATACAGAGATGCTGAAGGACCGAGTCTCCCAGTCGATATCCACGCTCATGAATGGGCTCAAGAACGACATGTTGAGGTATGACACCGAGAACGGCGGCACAAAGTCTAATTCGAGGTCTTTCGATCGATACCCAAGCATATAAGCCGTCTGTCCAATGATCTTGCCGCCCGCCAGACACACGCCCTTCCTGTCTTCCGCGTCGAAGGCTTGCACCCACATGTGCGCCTCTGGGAAGCTGTTTGCCCAGTTCTTCTCCAGGTGCACATTGGCGTGACCCTTGCGGTCGACCTCAGGATGGGATCGACCGAGAGGAGGAATGTTTAGCGTAAACGTGCACGGCGAGCAGGTACTATGTACGTGCCAGTGCAGCGGCAGCGGGAGGTTGATTATCCAGCCTTCCGGCGTGTTCTTATCGGTTCGCCATTGTGTCACTGCGGTGCTATCGGCCTCGAAACTCCATTCCGGCGCATTCAGTCTCCAAGACACCGTGCCATTGCCATGGCAGGCCATGTAACCCATCCCTGGCACTCTTAGTTCGAAGGCATTTGTTTTTGAGTCCGTAACATTCCGTTGGATAGTCTCTACAAACTCCTCGCGCTGGAATATAGGAGTTCCGGACTTGGGGTAGTACGTGAAGGATACCATATGTGGACGGGTCCTGGCTTTGGGCACAGAGCAAATTATGAGGGCAATGTGGGCACCACTCTCCAAATCGAATTTGGAGTAAAAGCCCTCGAATTGCGAGCGCATATGGGGTCCATAGTGCTCCATGACTGTATACTGTTTGTTCGTTGGATGCTGGTGTAGATATCATGTGAACATAGAAGTTGGAGGTCTTCTGGTGTGCTACCATCGATGCGGTAGTGATGACGTAAGTTATTCTTTAGCTTGGCATGAGAGATCACTTCGGTTTATTCATGCTTATTCTCATTGTTCGTGTATCTGTCACTCTAGTGTTACAGCGTGGTATTTACTTGTATCCATACCCAGTGTGGATACTCAACTTTTCCGATCGTCTCGACAATAAACCCTCGACTAACGTCAGTCAGCTAAAGTCTATCATAATTCATCTTTATCGCTGCTCTTGGTGCTTCCAATCTTAGCTTGCTCGGTCAATCCTTTGCGGACAATGCTCGTCAATACTTCGTAGACGACCTGGGCCGCAGCGACGCTTGTTATCTCCGCGGAGCTGTCATATGCTGGACTGACCTCGACCACATCCGCACCGACAACGTTCAAGCCCTCAATGCCTCGCAAGATTCTGATCAACTCTCTAGTAGACCAACCTCCGGGCTCAGGTGTACCTGTAGCGGGTGCTAAACCGGGGTCGATGACATCGATGTCAATGCTGAGGTAGACAGGGGCTTCTGTACCAACGCGATCCATGATGGACTCAATTATCCCCTTTGTTCCGATATCATCAATATCATCAGTAGAGATGCGCATCCAGCCCTGCTGTGTATCATCCTCATAGTCCGCCGCGTCATCTCCAGACAATCGGGTCCTCAGTCCAGCATGCACACTTGAGCCATTGGCGACAAGACCCTCAGTAGAAGCAAGCCAGAACATGCTGCCGTGATTCAGGAAGGACTGTGTAGTTGGATCCTCGGGGTCAATCCAAGCCGAGGGGTACTTGGCTGGATGCCAGGTGTCCAAGTGCGCGTCAAAGTGAACGACCGTGATGGGATGGCCATATGCCTTATTCAAGGCCCTGAGTGCAGGCAGCGCAACACTATGGTCACCTCCCAATGTGATAATCTTCGGCTTGCTGAAATACTTGACGCCGCTCCCAGTACTCCTCTCGGTAGGCCCTCGCCCCGCAAGCTCAAGGTATGCCTCGCTCATCTGCCGCAAAGCGAGAGCATTGTCGAAAGGAGTGATTGGAATATCTCCGCAGTCCACGATGCTAGCCCAGGATGTGAAAGGATTCAAGCCTGCGCGCGCATTGTATCCCCTGAAGGATGTCTGACGTGCTGAGCCAGACCGGATCGCTCGAGGGCCGAATCGAGCTCCTGGTCGGTATGAGACCGCAGTGTCGAAAGGCGCACCAAGGATGGCAATGTCGTATGCTTGCTCAGGATGCGTCAAGCAACGTGTGTGAGGTAGATGGGCAAAGGTGGAGATGCCACTGAAACCCCACTTGCAGTTGTCAATTGCTGTTCATGTACCACATGGAGCTGACTTACGTCTGTCCCCCATTTTTGCTCCAGGTCATCGAGACGCTCTTGTGAGAACACCTCTTGGTGATGATGGTGAGCTTCATGGGCCGAGACAATGCCCGTCAGCAGTAAAGAAGCTGCGAACCACCTCATGCTGTCTTCTGTCGATTGTCGAGAGGTTGTAAGGCAGGAGATGAGCCCTGGTACTTGAAGGGCAATGCCATGGCGTCAAACGCGTTTCCAGGCTCGCTATCGCGCGCGGCCTCCGATGTCATGTCCGACACACTTGCCGCGGGGTGCGGCGGGGCAGCACGTTACTAAAAGAGGCAGGTCCATGCCAACTCTTGCTTTACAAACTTCAACCCTTCACTGACTACCTAGGTAGTCAGCGTGCAAGAGTATCACTCGTCGTGAGGGCTTACTGATGTTGGAGGTACTGGACATGGTTGGTTAGTTGATGATGGTGATGACAGCGTTGGTTGATGACGTAAATCTGCTCACGTGACAACGCGCTGTCGTGTTCAGACCTTAGTTCTTCGTGATCGTTGTGCTCACAGACAATTTCCACATGTCCTCATAGCCACGAGCTCCTCTGTCAACAACATATCAGTGCCTTGCGACGAGCGACGATTCTCATAATGAGCAGCGACAAGTCTAGCGAGTACGTGACGTTGGTGTCGAACGACGGATTTGAGTTTAAGCTCCTCCGCTCAGCCGCATGCATCGCAGGCACCATAAAGAGAGCCATGAACCCTGAGTGTCCGTAGAGGCTCTTTTACTATGATTTCGGATGCTGAAGTCTCACTAGCTGGCTTTCAAGAGACCACACGCAACCGCATGGACTTTCCAACAATCAAGTACGCCGTCACTACCCACATTGTTCTATACCCACAACCACAACATTTAATCCGATACTGTAACTGACAAATTGAAGCGGCGTTGTTCTGGAAAAAGTTTGCGAATACCTTTACTACAATCAAAAGCACGCAGATAGTAAGGACGTCTCAGACATGGACATCCCACCTGAGCTGTGTTTGGAGCTATTAATTGCTGCCGACTATTTAGATGGTACGTTACTCCTCGCAAGCGATGTTATAAAATACTGATCGAGGCGTAGTCTGAATGCACTCAACTCGATGTTTACCTCCCACCTCAATCACGCCTCGCCCTACGGAGCGGTCATACAAGGCTTTTGGGTGGCCTCCACACTTTGGGAACTGCACTGTCCCCCAAATTAATTCGCTGAGTCTGATATGATGTGACCGACCACGCATTTGAATCAGAGTATAACTGAGCACTCTGGGGTTCACAGTTGTGGGCACAGTATTCAAATACAAGTAAAGCACCATTTGTACCAAGGTGAAATACAACACCGTACAAAACTCCAATCAGCCACTCGACTCGAGGTCTCGATGCATTTGATGTCTGCATTGCAATCTGCTGGGTCTTGCTAGTCGTACACATTTTCGTTTAGGGCTGCAACATTGCCCAGGGTACATCGGCAGTCTTGTTGTACTGCAAAGCAGCTAGTGATTGCAATATGGCTGCAACATGGAACTCTGCGACACAGCCATGATGGGAGGGGTTGCACGCCTCAAAGCTTGGCTTCGCTCAAAACATCGACCATCACTTGTTTTAGGCAGGTGTCGTCACCAATGGGGCTGCGCCTCAGCCCTTCCCACCAGCATTTCCCTGTCAGATGCGCATCACGAAAGACGTGAACCCTCGAGGAGCATTTTTTACGCTCTCAAATTCCATCTCTATGTCCTCTCTATGCCGGACGCCCAGTGCGAGAAAGCGTGCTCGTGCTTGCGAAGAATGCCATCGGCTGAAGATAAAGTGCGACGTGAGCACATCCTATGGAGCGACATGCGAACGATGTAGTCGCAACAACTTGCAATGCGTTCCAGCAGCGCCACGTCTTCAACGCGATCGCATCCAGGAGCTTGAAGCACAGATCCAGGAACTTCAAACTGCCTTACGAGAGCAAAGTGCCAGTACCACGTCAGGGCGGTCCCCTACAAGCCTGTCGGATAACTACGATGAAGCCATCTTGACATTCCTTGACAATCGCATCTCTTCAAGCAAACAGCAAGAGTTGCTCTGTTTCTACGCTTGTCATGCCGAGGCTGCGTGGCCCGTCGTTCGACTGTCCATTGATTTAAATGAGTTGCGAGCCAAATCACCAATCTTGTTGCTCTGTGTGCTGGTCTACTCCGTCTCGCAACAGACCCAGGGTACTGCACTGGAAGTGCATGATGAGTTGGTTCAAGAAGCAATGTACATTTTGGGTAACGAGTTGATCGGCCGCGGACAGAGATCACTCGAACTGGTGCAGGCGCTGCTCGTAGCTTCCTTCTGGAGCAAGTCATCGCGGAAAGGGCGACAGGGTAGTTGCTTTCAGCTCATTCAACTAGCAACTGATATGGCAATTGACCTGGGAATTGCTGGTCCCTCGCTACTACCGTCTCCGCCAGCGTACTTTGACATGCATGAGGATCCTACTTCGCCTGAGGCACGGCGCACATGGCTTGCCTGTTTCGTGGCAGTTTCGACCTCATCCGTAAGTACGCGTCGATCGATCGCAATTCCCTGGACTACCCATCATCGGGAGTGTTTACTAGACCTGGAGACCAAAGGGGATCCAGCAGACACGCTGCTTTGCCAGATTGTTCGCATCACCCAGTTGATCGATGAGATTTCCAGCCTGATGTGTCTCTGTCAGTCGGCGGTGTTCATGGACGGCAATGATTACGGTACCTACACTACTGTTGAGGCATTGGTAGCCAAGGTCGACTATTGGGCGGCTCAAATTCCACCTAGCCTTGCATCGTCAAAGACGCTCAAGATATGGTATCATCTAGCCATGATCCATATTCATGAAGTCGTACTTCATACACCCACAAACAAAACATCGTTCGCCGCACCTTTCCTTCCCGGACGCGTCGCGGTCAAAGACTATCCAAAGCCCTCTCACATCATTCATCCCCTTCGACAAGCGCTAGAGGCCATTGTTCAGCACTGCCACGCTGTTATCAACACTGCTGCGGATATGGACCCTGTTTTGGTTCTCAGCCTCCCAACTTTTTGCTTTGCGCCGACTGTGCTTTATTCCCTGTTTGTGTTGGTCAATCTTTTGGTTGCGTCTACGGATCCAGCAAATACTTACGGACAAGTTTTGGCAAAAGACCGATTTCGCATTGAGGAGTGCAGCCTGAAACTACGGCTTTTGACGTCACACATAATGGCTCTAGATCCTACGATGAGCTGTTATACTACTCGTATGTTTGATGCGACGACGTGGCTGGAACATTGGTACGTTGACTACACTGCCATTCTGCGGCGATACGAGGCGAATATTGCGGCGCCGGAAAACATGACGATGAATTAGAGTTTGTCTATGTATTCGCATATGCTGGGGGAATGTCGTTCTAAAGAGACTCTAAACTGAAGATCTAAACGCACGGGGGTTCGGCATAATTTGGCCGATTCCACTGCTGTAATGCATGTGACGGCGAACACGGGGGGGTGGCACGCCCGAGTTTTAGCTCATGGGAACTTGCTGGAAGTTTGACCAATCTGCAGAAACGAATCATTCGTCCCTATACTCTGATTTGCGAACAAGTACACCGCAACGGCACCATGTCATCAGCCTGAGGTGACACCCCTGTACTGACCTGCAGTTCCCCGCAGGAAGCTTGCCAACTACAGCCTCGCGGACCATTGTGGGGACGGTGAATTTTGACCGGAGCATGTCCATCAAGGTCCTCTACCATTGGTTCACGGCAACGTGCGTCTCTTGGCGCGCCTACGCTCAGAAATACACAGCCACAACAACAACACTTCATGATGGCCTAACGACCTAAAATTGCTCTTCCACGATTTTGGTTTTGAGACTCCGACAAAAACGTCTTGTATAGACGTCATGTCACTTTACGCACCCTCGTCTACCGGTGAAGGTTGAAGCACGAGTGTCCTTCGAATTGACTATAAAGAACGCAGCGATTGTCTCTAATCGAATGTATCATTCCAAACTCGCATTGCATCTCCTAGCATTCTTCTGAAACTAAGACTTTCCACACATTCGCCGCAGTGTATCTACACAACCCAACTACAGCATGCATCTCGCACTTTGGACTTCCCTTCTGATGGCTGGCTCCTGTCTTGGCCAGGGAGACATTGCTGCGCTTCTCAAATCTCAACCTGATCTCAGCACACTGCTTGAGCTAGTTGGTCTTATCGACGGCCTCGCTGATACGCTTGCGACTTCTTCAAATATCACGATCTTTGCGCCGACGAACCAGGCTTTTGCCAACGTGCCTCGCGACATTCCTGAGGGCGAAGCCATCGAGTTCCGCAACAACACCATCGCTATTGGAGCTCTCCTCGCGAACCACGTCTTCAAAGGGGTCTATCCCTCGGATGTCATCACTAACATACCGACCTTCGCCCAGACGTTACTCGACATATCATACGTTGATAATCGACAGCCCTTCTCTAATTTCACGGGCGGCGCTTACAATGGTCTCGTGAAAAACGGCGATGACGTGTGCGTTCTTTCTGGGGAGCAGACAATCTCTACCGTCACTGAAGCTGTATGTATCCTGATCATCTATATGACTCATCTACAGTGTGCTGACCCTAGATACAGGACATCAAGCTGGGAGGTATCACAATTCACAAGGTCGATACGGTACTCTCTTTTGGAGCACCGTTCCAGCTCTTTACGTATCGAGCGGGTTACACAGCTATGAATGCCGCCTTGGAAACCGCGAAACTGAGCATTGAATTTGGGTTGACCGGTGCCGATCAGCAAGCGCTCAATCTCTCTGACTACACTATCTTCGTCCCGACCAACGAGGCCTTTCAGAGCATTGGCTCTGTGGTTCAGTCTGTAGATGCCGCAACACTTCAGCAGGTCCTCGCCTACCACATCATTCCCAACAACGTCATCTTCTCGCCTTCTCTGGGCAACGTTACCGTGCCGTCTTTGCAAGGTGCTAATCTTACATTCACGGTCCTTCCGGATGGTTCGGCCTGGGTCAACAACGCGCGGATTACATTCGCAAACACGATCCTGTATAACGGTGTTGCACACGTCATCGACAGGTAAGTCGACCCTGTACATCAACAGCTTCTGAAACTGACCCCATTCCCAGTGTTCTTGCCCCTGGAGAGTTTGATCGTGTTTCTCTAAAGCCCTCTGCGCCCGCAGCCGAGCGTGTTGCTTTCCCTAACGCGTCTCCTGTTTCCCAGCTGCCTCTTACGAGCGCTTCGCTCGCTTTTGGCGGAGACTTGATGACTTTCACCACGACACCGGAGCTGCTCAAGACCATTGCTGCTGTTGTTGCTACTTCTTCCAGTGCTGTTACCACGGCGACTCGGAGCCAGTCAGCACCTGTTACAGAGTTCACTGGTGGTGCTGGTGGATTGACCGCTGCGAAGGGTGCCGCACTTGCAGGCGCGGTTGGTTTCGCTGCCCTTCTTGTGTAGGGTATTCAGATATGGCTGTTGGTTTGGATGGGAGCAGGATAGGGTCCGGTCCTGGCAAGAGAAGGAATAATATAATCAAAGGTGTAATACATGTAATCTCTCGAGGGCTTCGGTTTTTTAGCATTGTAGTGTTCCTTGTCAATGTATCGTCATTCTCGGATTATTTGCATTTTGCGCATGTACTGTGTTGCAACCGTGGGTCAGAGCCTAGTAAAGAGTAAAGACCAATCACGAAAAAGATATTAACATCATGTACATGCCAACATTGGAATGTTGATCTTCGATGACTGCAGAAGAAAATAAATACAACATGAGTCGGATCACGGGTGAGTTGTAAAATGTGAACCTGCTCATATCAGCTTCTCGTTGCTGCAGACCTCTGATTTGCAGTTAGTGTTCGGGCTTCGAAAGCACGCTCGACATCCTACAATTGCTAGAAATTTGGATCCGATGGAATGTTCATCAGTCGAGATGCATTTAGACTAGCCAGCAAAGCCTCCGCAGACTTTCGGAGACACCAAAAAAATGTCTAGCGATCCTTGATAAGGCACATGACGATACGTACCGACGGATATTGGCAAACACAAGTGGCAAGGTCTGGCCTAAAGGAGAACTCCCGTGCTTCACCAACCAAATCCAACAGTCATAAAAGATATCAACCGCAGTCTGCGCTGCAGATTAGCGCTGTGTTTGTAGTTTGACGAACCTTTCTGGGCTCACTACGGGCGGCTTGTGGCATACTAGAATAGCAGAGATTACACTTCCAAAGATAGATTTCAAGAGGGATGCATAGCTACCTCCTCGAAATTTCTCTACTTAGATGATGACACCTCTTGATGCGAGTATTGGTGATGTGACTGAGGGAGGAGAAAGAAGCTTTGTCGAGCTTTAAGGCCGAACGCTGAAGTATCGCTGCTGCCATTACACCATATCTAAGTTCTAGAAGCTATGAAATCTAAAAAGTCTATCGATTGCTTGCGCGTTTGTACTGGCTCAGAAATTATCAAGATAACCGGTACGCCATGAACTCGAACTTGGGTCTCCATCGCTCAGTTCTTTGATTTTTTGCCCTTAGGCACGCGGCACAGCCAATAGAAGAACATTGCAGCGGCAACATTGAACGCGACATATACCCAGAGAAGGCCGAAATCTCTCCAGCGTGTATCCCAACTAGCGTTGATGCGAGTGAGAAACTGGTTGGTGTTATCGATCTGGCAGTACTGGCATTGATCTGTTGCCTGCTCGTCGCGAAGGTAGCCTCCAGCCACTGACATGTATTGTTGCATGTACTCAGCACAGGTCCCGTTCGCCGGGGCAAAGACCTGGAACTCAGCGTCCGCGCAGTATGCAGGTGTCTGACCGATCGTGGTGGACATAAAGCTGGACACCAGATATGTAAATGGATTGACTCGGTACATGAAGATCCAGAAGCGAGGAAGTGTGCTCGGCCCCGAGAGAATGCCGCAGAAAGCGTAAAGCATGATAGACATCAGCGTTGCGAATGCGCCTGCGACATCCTCATTGGGGCTTCCTGCGATCAGCATGTGTGCCAAGGCCGATGCAAAAAGGAAGGTGACGACGACCAGGAGCAGTGTATGGAAGGAACGGATATTGACAGAATCCGTGATCTCCATGTTCCGGTACAAGCCAGCGGGATAAAACCAAACGAGGAAGCAGAGGACAGCCATGAACTACCGGAGGCAGTTAGCATTTGATGGGTTCGAGCAGAAACAGGTATACTTACAGCATTCCAGGCCATCTCGATCATAATATTGGATAAGACGAACGTCTGCCACGCATACGTCTTCGACTGCCGTTCACGAGCTTCATACAACGTACGCTGTACGACGAACATGGGAAGGATCTGGTAAATGAGTTGAATGACCACGAAGAGAAAGATGAAAACGCCGAACATCTGGTTCTGGAGACCTTGTTGAGTGTTGATTCCTTGGAAGAACGAAAAACCGATCAAAAGCGAGCAACCAACGGTCAAGATGGCCTTGGAGTAGATATACGAAGGAGTGCGCCAGTACTGCTGAGCAACACGCGCGGCTACAGTAGAGAACTGGGTCGTGAAGGATGCGGCGAACGCTTGATGGCTTCCATCGGTAGAGTCCATGACAGCGGATGGATAGTTGACAAGATCCCGTAGTCTTGAAAGCTCCGCTTTTACTTCTTTGTGCTCCTGGCTGTCCTTCCACACTTGAGGCCAATCGATCGACGTTTGAGCTCCAGGGGCCGCGCCGATCGCCGCAAGCATGTATTCAGCGGGATTCTCTCCTGGAGCATACTTAGGTCCGCCATTTCGCGCGAAGTAGTCGAGAAGAACGGTTGAGTTGGTGCCAATGTCACCAAAGTAGACTGTCCGGCCACCTTTCGCAAGGAGCAAGATACGATCAAATCGCTGGAAGAGGAGGGACGATGGCTGGTGGACTGTACAAAGAATAGCTTGTCCATTACGTGTAAGCTTTTCCATGAGATCACAGATGGACCACGCAGTCTGGCTATCCAATCCAGATGTGGGTTCGTCGAGGAACAGAAGAAGCTGAGGTCGGGCCGCAAGCTCAACACCGATTGTCAAGCGCTTGCGCTCTGCATGAAGTTAGCATTTGGAGATCTCAGAAAGGGGGGATTAGCTCACGCTCGACATTGAGTCCTGAGCCAGGTCTACCGACGACAGCATCTGCGTATTCTTGCATATCGAGGAGGTCTATGACGTGATCCACGTATGCTAGCCTCTCGCTTCGAGAATACTCGATGGGTTGTCGCAGCAGGGCTGAAAACTCGAGTGCTTCGCGGACAGTAGAAGTTTCAAGGTGCAGGTCCTGTTGCATCGCATATCCGGTTTTTCGTTGGAAGCTTTCATCGCGTTCCCGTCCATCCACGAAGATGCTCCCAGAAATGACGCCCATCGTTGTGCGACTTGCTAAAACGTCGAGCAAGGTGGTCTTACCAGCACCGGAGACTCCCTGATCGGATGTTAGGAGGATACTATCAGCTGTTTGGGTCTCTTACCATAAGTGCTGTGAGTGTCCCTGGTTTGATCCAGCCGTCCACTGCGTCCAGGATCTGGCGCGTCTCACCCTTGATCGGTACTTCATAGTTCACACTCTCCCAGTGGAAAACTGATTGCTGCTTCTGAACATTGGGTGTGGACGTGCCGCTGTTGTCAGTCTTCTCGCCTCGGTGAGCGGATATCTTGCCGGTCTCTTCATCCGATCCACGTTGCCGCGCGGCCTTTGCCATCTTTGAGCGTCGAAATACCAGGACCTCGCCCTTTGAACGCTCTGAAGCAACAAGCTCCGACATGACGAGATGAGTGATGAGCAAGATAATTGTTATGGCCACCATGATCCCGAAATTCCTCCAGCGATTGTTCCAGTTATATGAGAACGCTGTCTCGACGTAGGCGGTACCACCAACAAAATTCTGGCCGGGCTGAGATCCAATCACCGCACATGCTTGCTGCTCAGCGGATATATTCTCATAGCCAGGGCCAGAGGGGACGAAGCTAGCGCAGGGAAATTGTCGGTCGTGAAACTCGTTGACCATCACGCTCTCGAAACCGTACGATACCGGGTCTATCCATCGGACCCAACTTGCCCACCTGAGAGAGTTTAGTAGAAGTCTGTCAACAAAGGGTTGCACGTACCCTTTCATGTACTTGACTGGAATTCCAAAGCCCATGTAGAGCACTAACACCAACAGGATGATAGAGCTAGGCGCAAGGGCCTGTGCGATAGTCTTGGTCATACTTGCGAACAAGCGGAAAAACATGCTCATTGAGAGAGTCATGGTGAAGGCGATCAGGTAGAAGAAGAAAAATGCTCCAGCTTCTCGGCGCAGATTAGCCATGAAATAGAGAGTGCAGTTTACGACAAGACCGTTCAGTATCTTGTGAGGCAGATCTACGACCATTGATGCCATCGCTTCTGCGCTTGGGTGGTAGAGCGCGTATCGATTATGCTAATAGACGAGTCAGCCCGGTGCGATAGGATCTCACATGTTTGACAGACCTTCTCTACGATCTGGCGCTTTGCATAAAGGCTCATAATCTCCAGCATACTGCTGAATGCGTTCAGTAGCACCATCATGAACAGGACGGCGCCTCTCATGAAGAGTGAAGACGTGTTTGCTGGCAAGTTGTAGAAGATGGAAGCAATGATCAGGGCCTCAAAGAAATTGACAGTGAGCATTGTTATCGGCACACTTGGGTCACCTTTGAGCCGCTTCAATTCTCTCCACATACAGAGACGGACCTGTCCCCAGTATGACAAGGTGAATGGAGATGTTGACCGTTGTGTCTGTGATTTTTCCAAATTTCGGGACGTGGCAAACTGCTCACAACCAGTACCACCGAGTGGATGGTTCTGCTTGTACTCTGCAATGTCGCGCAAGAGTAGTTGTCGTTCTGCACTTTCCCTCCAGCAGCGTGCAAAGTCGTCAGACGTTCGGGGGGTTGAGTTCTCGTAGCCAGATCTAATGCGACGTTCGGCAGGCGAGGTCATCGAAGTGAGAAAATCGGGTGTTGTCTGAGACTCTGGACATTCGAAACCTAGGCGCTGGAAGTAATCGCGCGCCTCTCGCGCAGGACCGAAATAGATTTGTCGACCTGCATGGGATCATCAGCCACACGAGCTCTCGACAAATCGAAGGCTATATGCACGTACCTTCATAGAGAACAGTAACCTTGTCGAACAGATCATATGCAGCCTGCGGGGACTGATAGAGAGCAACGGAAACAGAAGTCCCGAAGACATCGCATTGAGTACGGAGTGTTTTGCAGAACTCGACTGCATTTGCCGAATCCAATCCTATTCTCTGTCAGTTTGGTCATTGCCATGCAGGCCGTATTGTTACGAACCACGCGTGCTGTTATCCCACGCCTGTAAGGGTGCAAAGCTCAATGTAGCTTCAGCAATGGTTACTCTCTTGCGTTCACCGCCGCTGACTCCTCGGACAAAGTCGTTGCCAACACGTGTATTCATGGTGTGACTTATGCCAAACATGGCCATCACAACCTTTACTGCATTAGCTTGATGTGTTTGGTAATTAAGATAGACGCTACTCACATCGCGCAAATGAGCCGCATACTGTTCTTTTGCCACACCACCAGGTAGGTTGCGAGGTGCACGAGCAAGTGCTGCAAAGTACAGTGTATCCCCAACGCTGAGTTGAGGAAAATGAGCGTCGACTTCAGCTGTGTAAACGGCTTCGCCACGAAACATGGATTGCATATCAGTTGCGGAGATACCCTGGTAGTTTACGTAGGACTCAGGGCTGACTTGGAAGCCATGTGTCTCGCCGGCAATAGTCTTGAGTAGAGTGGAGCAGCCAGAACTATAAACGTTAGCATTTGAGAACAAACGAGGGAGCCACACTTACCCAGGAGGTCCGAGCACACAAAGCTGTTCACCAGGAAGTAAGAGACCATCCAGACCTCGAAGAATCTCAATCTTTTGGCTACCTCTGCCGAATAGAGCTGGGAGCTTCAAGATGGTGTTGCCAACAGTCGATTGGAAGTCGGTCGGACTTCCTTGACCCCAAACGTCGAGACCCTCGAAGGCGAAGCCTGCCACACGAGCGACAGACTCATCGCCACTGTACTTTAATTCGTAGAAGGCTTTAGCCCAATCTCGAGCTCGAAACTGATCGCTTTGTGGATCTAGTCGACCGCCTTTTGTAGCCTCGAAGGGTGATCCGTAGTTTTGCTGCGATTGTGACGTATATTTGCGAACGAGGTCAAGAACCTCTTGCTCCTGCTGTATGTCCTGGTCGCCAACAGATGCTATGCTTTCCTCCGAGTTTGAACGGGAGTCTAGCTTCTGCTTTTCTGCGAGTTGTTGTGTGAAGATCCTTGGATCCGACATAGTGACAAGGGAAACGCTGGGGAGAGTGTGGATGTATGAGATGGTGCAAGGCAACCAGTATATATTGATTTTTCATACATAGGCCGCGAAGAGAACTTACGGGCTCCGCACTCCACAAAATGCCAGCTCGCGGCAGCCCTGACGGGGCCAAGACCATCCATGACTTCCTTGAGGCCAGTTGCGCCTGCAGTTTGGATGGGCGTGACTCCTGCTCTCGCAAAAGCTGGAATGTCCGAAAGTGCGTATCATCTGCCAAGAGTGTTTCCCTCCGAGCTGCTGAGCCACAGCCTGGTTGTGATTGGCTTACCTGACCGGCGCCCGAGAGCTCCGCGGCTCCGCGGCGTTATATTTTGTGCTTACACCGCGACCACCACTAAATGATTACTGCACTCACAGTGCCTGGGCGAGATCTTGGCCGGACTTAGGATCTGTTACTACTACTGAGCTCCACCTCCGTCCTGGGCCCGCAGACACATCCAGGGGCCCGGACGCCGGGAACTCAGAGAGCAGCACATCTCAGGGATAGTGTTCTACTGGGCCGTTCACTATGAAACTTGCTGTGGGTGGCCCACACTGCGTTCATTCAAACCGTACTGATCTCCTCTAGTGTCAGCGCTGTAAGCGCAAGAAGGTACGTCGCTGTAAGCTGGCTGCTGCTGCTGCTGCTCGACTTCATGTTTCAGCTCTTCCACACCACAGAAGTTGACCTTCATGACCAAGACCTTTCTGTTGTTACGGGATAGGATTGGCGCTCGAGTCTAACGAGGAGTAGATTAAATGCGATAAAGCCGCCCCTGTCTGTCATCAGTGTGTTATCGCAAAGACCGAGTGTCAGTATCTCGAACGACGCCAACGGCCTCGGCTTGCACAGCAGAGAGGCGCGACCACATCACTGAACCAGCGACTAGAGCTGCTTGAAAAGCAAATCAGCAATGTTGGCCACCGTGCTGAGCTTGCACCGCAACGATCGCGATCGGTCTCAGCATCAGTGACTACATCCACATCAGATAATGCAAACCGTGATCTTGCTATCGATTCACCTCCGACTGCTACATTTCGGGCAACAGAGAGCGGAGAAGACCTTTGGGTTTACCGTATGGCCACTGATACAAAGAAACAACTACAGTCCCAAACCACACCAATCACTACCCCAACACCACAGATTGACACCGACATGTCTGCTCTGAATGATGCCTTGGAGGATCTCGGAAAACTCAAGCTTCGAGCCAATCTCATACAAGGAAGGGTCGTCTTAACAATTCCACTTGAAGAAGCAAAACACTGCCTCGAATCTTTTATTGAGATGATGAACACGTTGGTAGTACCGGGCGCCTTTACAGCGGCTCTCGACGTGAACCTTCTACGGTCGCTCCCATACGTCATCGACTCACCTCACATCAAGGTCGATCCAGGGGTCCACGTTATGTACTTTGCAGCAATTTACTATGGTCTCAATCAAACGCGTGGGCCTGGGGATACACTGACTCAAACTGCATATCTGAAAGCGTTAGAACACGTTCCTGCTTGGTTGGAAGCTCCTACTGGAACATCTATGGATGGATACACGGCAGCGTTAAGCGCCTGGGTTGCGATCAATAATCTGGACTATCAGCTTTCATGGAAGTTCCATCTGAAATCTTGTCACTATCTGAAGAGCAAGGGTATTGACAATCTGGATGCCACTCCAGCTAACTCAATTAAGGAAGAAGAGGAAAGAGAGCCGCTTAGATATCTCTTCTGGCAAGTTCTATCGACAGATTGTCTGTTCCGTTTGTTCTGGGGGAGACCCACTGTAGTGAGTCCACACCTCATATGCTCTGGTATCACCAGCACGAGGGCACCCTGGCCATCGCTTTCACAGAATTGAGCTGACACGAGTACAGCTGAGATGGAAACCGCAGACCGTCAGGCCACCGGCTGTCTTACACCCCAAGCATATGCATCCGCACCCTACTCAGGTCATGCTCTTATGCATCTGGATAGACTACACATCTCGAACGATTGAGCAAATTAGTTCCATTGATAACGCTACGGCTGAAGGTATCAGTGTCTCTCATGACGTGGACGATTGCTGCCGCAAGCTCGAAGTGATAGTGGCAGACTGGAAGATGGAGGCGACCATGAAAGACATGACTGTTCCATTCTCGCTTCGTTGCGTTGTCGCCGATCACATCATGAACATCTCCGCCGTTATTGTCGGGTTGAAACGACTTGCAAATCGAGTCGATAAGATCAGTGATGTCGATGCAATTACCATACGTGCGGCACGAACGATTGTCCGCACTCTGCTGTATTTTGATCAGGACGGTAGCGCAAGAGTTCAGAAAAAACCTGGTTCAACAAACTACTTCATTCAGTAAGTTTGATATCCCCTTCTCGTCTGTAACCCCACTTTCTTTTGCTGCGAGGCAGTCGGAAAGCATGACCAACCAACACTCGGCAAACATCGGTGCCTCTGAGCCAAAATCTGCGTTGACTACCCGTTTGAGCATTCCAGATGGGACGTACTAACGTATCGACATAGCTTTATGAACTTCTACCCCTTCTGTGCAGTATTCACGCTCTACGAACACATTATGGCTTGCACCAATCCTGAAGAGTGTGAGGAAGATGTTCGTCAGCTGGAGCGGGTCGCTGATGCTATGGAGCACACCAGCAAGACTATCCTCTCGGATCTCAAGCCGTTCACGAAGACCATCAAGGCGCTCAATAGAGTGTGTCGGACCATACAAGATGATCGCCGGAACAAAATGCCCAGCTCTTCAGGAGGACAATTAGCAGGCTCTGATGACACGCAGCAACAGTCAACTAATCTCAATTTCAACACAGCCATGCCAGATCTTGATCTATCGGCCTTTGATACAATTCCTGACTTTCCGATGACGATGGACGGCGATCTCGACCCGCTTGGATTTGTACGAGCGATGGAAAACGACTTCATAGGCCGCAACTGGAACGAGAATTGGTGGGACATTGGTGATACTGTGAATGACGGTATGGACAGCAACATGAGTTTCATGCAAGCAGCGTAAGTTGTGCATGAATGATGATTTCTCAAGCGACTTTTGACTGACGGCAATAGTGTTGAGCCAGGTCAACAGCAGGCAGCTCTATCGATGCCAACACCAAACACTTGACGAGACGGATCTACTTACATACTGACATTGTGTCGGTATCAGAGAAATGTGTTTGCGACAAAATTGTCCTATGTGTACTCCATAGTGCGGAGCCGGTACTCTGGAATGTTTTGTCGGGTTACAGCCAGTGCATCGCTCACATTATGTTCCCACAAGGCCTTAACACAGGGCCGCTGTCAAAAAGTATTCGGATTCATCTTGTTCGGAAGCTTGTCATGGCCTTCAACTCTCGTGAAGAGTCAAATAGAGTCAAGATATCTTCGTTGACGATGTCGCGATCGTTTCGTCAAGTCCCAAGTCCCAAGTATTTACCTAATGTAAGCAAGGAGAACATCGACCGCAACATGGGCGGAAAATGAATGTTGGACAGTATGAGGCGAGTTTGTGACGGAGTTTAGATGTTAATCACAGCAACGTCACCAAAGACTGCTGTGCTTGATTGGCAAAGGGCACGACTGTTCCACGTCCATATATATGTGGTCCAATTCGTGTACTCCAGCGCCGCAACACAGTGTTAGGGCCTGCACCATTGCGACTGTTCTATTCATTCTATACAGCATCATAATACCGTTTTTGCAGTCACCCGGCATTCCAAGGAGATGCTGCTCAGGTACCACCTTCATTCTTCTGCTGAGCAAATGCTCGGTTGTCACTTGCCATAAGACACTTGAAGGAGTGGGGCCAAAACAAGCCAGTGACAAGGTGTGTTGAACCGCTTAGCAATGCTTGCAGTATGCTTATTTTTTTTCAATCCTCTGTGGTATTGCACTTGATGCATTCTGGACTGCGCGCGCCGCTGCTGTATCACTGCCATCTCAAGACGGTCACAACTGGCAACTTCTGCCTGGACACCACGAAGCAACGGTACATCTTCCAGTGGCTCCTACTGTTGAATACGCTGCGACCTGATCGACAAGGGAATAGTATTACCACATCCCCGTGATGCTGTCTGTACAGCGGCATTGCCACCCAGGGGCCTACTGCGTGCAAAATCAATTCATTCTTCCAAGCCTGACTAGTAGTTCATGCATTTCCTTATTAGGAGACCGTCAGCAATCAACCGAAGTTCAGGCCGAAGCGCGCGCCAACAGGTACTTCTACATAGCACTACATACGCCCCGATGTAAACGCAGTGTGCACGAACTTCGCAGCATGCGCTTGTGTTGCACCTAGCCCACACTTGATGTGACCGTTGATGCCATGCTATTGTCGTTACCACGCCGCCAAAGAAGGCCGTCTGGTCAGACATACAACATCACGAACCATGGCTACAGTATGGCGAACCGTGGTTCCAACGATTCTGCGAACCATGTTTACAGCGCCTCTAACGCTGCCCAGGTTCATGTTACGACTTTCGCACCAGTCACTCTGCGCTCTTCGAAGCACTCTGGCCTCGATTTGTACTCCTGCATGTTCAGGGTGAGTTAAGTTTTAACACATATAGTTTTCTTTCAGCATGCCGATCAAGGCTGCAAAATGGAGAACGCAGAGACATCAAATGGATATGCCTAGCGACAGCAGCTTCCCTAGCCAGACAGATGCGGACTGCCGACAAGGCTGGAACACAAACAAAGACCGCATGACAAGCTGCTGAGATTGAGCGTTTGAGAAGTCCGGGGTTTGTTTCAGCGCCAAAACAGCGCACAGGACTCCGAGTCCCAGCAACAGCGGCACACGACCACGGTACAGTGTTATTCGCATGTTATGGCAAGCTGCAGGCGGGAGATTGCCATCCCTAATAGCGTGCGGCGTGAACGAGCAGGCGGTGCGGGGAGCCAGGCGCAGCTATTTTGGTGCGCAGCGCAGGCGCCGCGATTGGCTACCGAGAGTTTTGCACGTCGCACGGAAGCTGGTCGGGGCGCCCATGGGTCACTCAGGGTGCAAGATGTCAGACATGGGCGGCGTCTGGACGGCCTCGAGACGTGTGGGTGGCTGCATCGTCAGGAGACATGCATTCGACACTTGTTGGCGGGCGTGCATTCCAGAACAAACCCAGGCGGCTGCAGAGGGCAGTGATTTGCGGAGACGGCGTCGGGACCGCCAGCGAATCCCGGAAACCCCTCAAGGGCCTCAACGACGATGTCGAGGGCGCCAGACTGCCGCTTTAGCGCACGCAAAGGCCCGGGATCGTTGGGCCGTCTCGAAGCAGAGGCTCTACGGCGACGGTGACCGCGCTTGCCGACAGGAACCGACAGCGCATTGCTGCACCACAAGGCTGCACGCAGCGCGCATTCCCCTGGATAGGTACACACCTCGAGCGCCGTGCGGCGGCCGGCAGGAGCGGTCAGGGTCTGTGTGGTCATTTGCTAGTCTTTGGCGAGGCTGAGCTGGCTGGCACCCGTAGCGTGCAGCGCGCATGCGTGTCGTCTCAGCGCCGACAAGACCACATCAAGTGCTGCGACACGGCGAGCTGCCACTGCAACGGGTCGTCTCGCACGCACTGCGCGCTCATGGCCGCTGCTTGCAACCGCACGATCTGAGCCCAGCACCGCGAGCACAGTCCGCCTGGTCGAGGAGATCCCAGACAAAACGCCTGCGACGAAACGGGCCTAGCTCCAGTGCAGTGGCGAAGTGCGCGCCCAATCACAGGCGCCGAGCCAAACAAGGGCCCACTCCTTCGCTAGCCACAGGCCGTCGCCCGCTGACTGCGTGCCTTTCAAATCGCCCACCCTTCCCTCCTGTTCCTCGCTCGCCCGCACCCGCACCCACGCTCAACTCAAGACATCTACTCAGCCTCGTACTGCACATTAGTTAATACGCCCGCCTCCGCCCTCGCCCGCAGTCTCTGACGCTCGCACGCGATACGTTACACACCTCCCGACCACCCGTCCCGTTGCCGGCCTGCTTTGTTGTGATCCTCGCTCCACCGCCCTTTGCGCAGCCCCCACCACCGACTTTCATCCGGTCTGCCATCAGCACAGTCCTCAACCATGTCGCAGTTCTTCAACTACGGTGCACAGCACCACGCCCAGCACCTCAACGCCCACCAGCACAACACCAACCACCACGGCGGCCGATCGCGGCGTGCGCCCCGAATCTCGGCCCAGCACCAGCAGAAGCAGTTCCGCCAGGTCCGCACTCCCAAGGAATTCAACGTCGAGCCGCCGACGTCCATTGCCTTCAAGCGCGACTTCGAGGCCGCCCGCTCGTTCGACATTGAGGATGACGAGATGTTCTGCCCGTTCCACCTGCTCACTGAGGATGATGTAAGTCATTCGGCCCGTGACATTTGCCACCGTCATGTCATAGCCAGACCCTGACACGATGCAGCTCCAGTCCATCCATTCGTCTGGATCTGACCGCTCGTCGCTGTCCAGCGGCTCGCCCGAGCAGTCGCCGCTCCAGCACCAGCTGCAGCCCACCCCCTCCTTTGTTCTGTCCACCGCACCCAACCCATACACGCCCACCAACTTCCAGCAGAACAGCGCTTCGCAGACAAAGCTGCACCAACCACTAGCTCAGCGCACCCGTAACGCCATCCCCATCGTCGACCCCTCAACACGGGCCGTCGCGAGCCCACCCCCATCTGTCTCGCCCAACCGACAGATGCAGCAGCAATTCATGTCGCAGCGCCGCTGGTAAGCTTCGCTGGCATGAGGCTTAGCGACGTCCGACATGGCATTGCGGCGTCTTCCGTTGCTTGCTAGTGGCTGCTCCAGGATCTACTTCTTCTTGATATCCATACTACGCCTCCCTTGTACAAATCTACGATATCTTCTTCGACATCTTGGGTATCCCACTCGCACCTGCGACGGCGTCACATTCTTCTGCGGACTTATTTGAATAGATGCTAGAGCCTCAGTCTCCAGCGATAACGCATTACGGCGGTTTGCACACTCGGTGTTTTGGTCGCATTGGGAGTTATCATCAGCGTTCTAAAGACGAAAATCTTGATGTCTTATTGCCCGGCTGTTTGGCCATACAAAGGGTAGATTTCTTTTGTCTGGTCGGTTCTCGGTTTCAGCGGTCGGTATATACCAATTGGCGAATTTCGAAGCGGCGGTGTCAGAGCGTGTTGGGTCATTGGTTCGGGTGCATCGTCTGGGTGTCTTATCAATCATTGTACGACGCTGGGATGATTCTACGCAGTCATATGGCGCTGGTCTTGTTTATTTCCTTGTTCTTTTGTATGAGCTTTACATACGACCCTGGTGGATAGGGGCGATCTTCTTGGATGTTTTGGTCTCATCTGGATTTCATATTTGACACGCCTCTATCGAGGGCAGTGAATATCTTAGGACGCAATCGCACTCCTCTTTACCTACGACTTGCAGAGCAATCTTCGTGCGCTCACATCAACTGCATCACTGAAGCTTAGCTCGCGCCTGTCCCGTCAGCTGCCGGTGAGCATTTCATACAGGAAGGTCTGGCGACGCACGTCTGGACAGCTCCATCAGGCCATGAATCGTGTGGTGCTCATGTGAGCTGCGGGGTCAAATCTTGTCTGAGGCTTAATGTAACGTTGAAACAAGAACGCGAGCAAGTAGAGTGCTGAATCCCACGCGGGGTGTCGTGCAGGACCAGTACACATGCGTGCCATGGGGACTTCATTCCCCGACCGCGCCGTTGCGCCACTGAACAACCAAAGCGTACAAAATCAAGCATTCAGGCACCGTCTGCGACAGAGCGGGCCAGTGCTTTGAAATGGGCGTCGCGCATTGGACGCTCGCGGCCAGATGCACCATTCGTAATGGTGGTAACTCCGCGTTGACGTCATATATTCGTCCCTAGCTTGGTGGGTTTCTTCATCTGGGGAAGCTTGAGCTGTCCTTTCTCCCGCAATTGATCACTGCAGCCAAATCACTTCTGACTACGCATTCAATTCCATCAGTCAAGATACCCATCAATCCATCCTCGTCCATCGCCTTACCCAAAAGCCCCACGACCTCACACCACCATGTACTCCATCCGCTCCATCGCCCGCCGCGCGCCTTTCGTGTCCGCTGGCCATGTCCAGCGCGCTGCCTTCTCACAGTCAATAGCCCGCAGCGCCGGCAAGGAGTCCAAGCTGCGTATGCAATGCCGTCGGCCCATGAGATTACACACTGACGCGTGCAGACACCGAGGGCCGCGCCGACGAAGCCGAGCAGCTCAAGCAGCAGCAGCTGAAGAACCAGAAGGAGGGCAAGGGCAAGTGGGAGGAGGGTCTTGCCAGCGACAGCGAGAGCATTGTGCGTATCCGATGCTTGAGGCGCGGAGAAAGGTGCTAACACTGTGCAGGTCAAGGCGGACAGGAGCGAGACTGGTGCGTCGGCCAAGGATAATATCAAGAAGCTCCAGGAGGAGACTGCGAAGGTCAGCTCGAAGCAGTGAGATGTTGACGTTTCTCTGCCAGTCGACGTGGGCGAATACGAAGAACTGGGGCCGTTGCTGGGAGGACTGGCGCAATGAAAAGCAGCTTGCAGTCAGCATTTTATGACTGGTGTACTTTGTAATGAATGCGAACGATCATCTTCATAACTGCTTCCCGTTATATAGTTGAAGAGGGTCTGTTCGCTAACACTAAACACACCTTCTAGCAACATGGCAGACTTTCGACGTCACAGAGTTGAACGTGGTAAACGGTGCACTGTATCGATGTCTCTGAGTTGCTAACTCAAGGGTGTTGCAGCTGTTGCCTTATTCAAGCAGACGCTTTCTTTCCAAGACATCTCATCTTACTGTACATGTCATCTCCTCAAGCAACAACCCAGGTGGATTTGTCAGGAGTACGGTCTACCCCAAGAAGTGCTTCTAGTTTCCTCATATCTGAGACCAGGCCACATAGATTCAGTCTAGGCATCAGAGCCTATCTGCAGCTTCGACAAAAGTCAACAGCACGGAGCCTTGGGGACGAATTGAAGCCGGCACCGAAATTTCCATACTCATTGGCTGTCAAACCCAAGGAAGTAGTCCGCAGCTTGTCTGACAAGCTCCTCAAAAGCTGCTTGGAGTTTGGGCCCTGAAGGCGCTCGCACGAGCAGAAAGCCATGGTCCCAAGCGGACCATACTACCAACGAGCTCGGACTCGAATTGGTGTATGTTTCGGTTCGCAGCGCACAGGCTGTAGACTTGTCTATGTTCAGAGGCAACAACTCCGCTGGCAAGCCAGGAAGTGTGAAACTATCTAACGCACAGTTGATGCGAACACAACGGATTGCGCCACTGCTCATGGTCAGTCCACGAGCAGCTGAGGGACGGGAGGGTTGAGTATTGACGTAGAGGTATGGGCATGATCAATCTTTGACCCTCGATCAAGACCAAGTCCTAGGATCGAGTGTTGCGGAGAAGTACGCCCAGAGGGTCTTGGCTAAGTGATCTCGTTTCGCGGAAATGATTGAAGGGAGGTCGTCCAAAGCTCAAAGTGAACCTGCAGCGTCCCTGCTCCACTCCTTCTAAGACAAATTCCTACATGTGCGTAGCCAGATATGACGAGTGAGATACTCGCTGAAGTGAAAGGACACTGCGCTTGCACCGGCGCGTGCGTATCGTGACGGACTGCCGAAGGCTATAACAAGGTCTGATTACGAGTAGCAAGCGAACGAGCAAATGCATGCTGAATAAGAAGCTCAAGGTGATCCGACTTGCGTAGAGAAGAGCGTGAGGCACACGGGTACACGAAACCACGTTTGAGATAATTGGACCAACGATTGCGTGTGGTAGCGTATGTTACAGTGTATGAAAGTACCGCGACATCAGTGAATCGCAAGTATGAATATGCTACCTTGAAACCTGTCGCCTGCTCTAATATGATGGTCGAGTGTGGCAGAGAGTTGCCAACAACTGAAAGAATCTGTTGCTGGCAATTGAGGAGGCCAGATAAAGACAGAACGAAGACTAGTCGGAGCAGCCGCGTCAACACCATCAGGTTTGTGCAAGTCATCAACACGCTCATCGATTTGAAGACTGCGCTGGGTGTGTGCACATGTTTACCCAAGACATACAGCCCGTCCAAGAGAGTCCAGGGATTGGAGCCTCACAGCTTCCTTTCGATAATTTGCGGATGAATTACTCCAAGTCCATGCGTTATGATACAGCCAAATATACACAGCTCTTTCTTCTTACTCATACCTTGATTGTGTAACGGCTCGAGTCGTCAGCCTCTACTACTTTCATTGACCTCTTTCGCTCCCAGAAGTCTAATGCAGGCATCTTCTTGTTATCTGCTTTCCTCTGCACAGCAGCCTGAACTGTGTCCTTCTCTTTAGGCGTCAGTTCTATATTTTGGTCTAGCTTCTTCCCAATACTAGACGCTAGCACTGGCTCCTGCTTCGTCAGAAGCTTCTTGACCTTCTCCCGCAACAACCTGGCTGACTCCCTCTTCTGCTCCATCGTGACAATCCCGTTAGACCGGGCTGCCGCCTCCGTCTCTGCCTTCGCGGTTCCCACGCCCCAAGGTTTTGTGTCCTCCGGCAGCGCAGGCCATACAAAGGGCTGCTCCATCTCTACTGTCATGTACTTCTTCGATTCAGGGCGAAACCAGTGGCGCGGCTGATCTGGTGCGTCGCGAACGGGCATTTGCTTGACGTAGGACCGGATGTTGAAGCATCGGACATTGTAGGCGTGGTAAAGGTAGTCGCGCAGGTCGTACTTTGAGAAGTCCAGCGGGACGAAGAAGCGCGCGTGGTATGGCGAGAGACCGTGTGTGCGCACCATTGCGACTGTGAACTTGGGCCTAGGGGGCGTCAGTCGCGGTCCGCTGGCTATATGAGGAGCCAAGCGCGACATACAGGAAGATCTTCTTGCTGCCGAAGGCGATCAGCTTCTTTGAGATCGGTACTGCGTCCATGATGGGCTGTGTTGACTGCGCGAGCAATCAATGGGAGATGTGGACCACGTGCCGGCTTTCGGAGCGAGATGTGAGGCGGGAGATGGTCGACAGCACCTACGCGGCGATGTGGAGTTTGACGGTGGTGTCCAGAAAATCGCGGAGGTGCGCAGAACTCCGCGTCTTGGCAATGCCTACTGCAACATATACGCACCACCAGTTCACTCACCATGTACATCAATGAACATGTGCCCTGGATCATGCGTCACGGTGTTTAACAAGGCTTGTAGCGGTCATGTGTGATGACTTATGAAGTTTGCTAATAAACAATAAAGAAAACCTATTTCTGTGCTACCCGCAGACGAATGCCTTTCCGTCAAAGAGTTCTAGAGGCTAGATTGGTAGGATACAAAAACTGTTTGACAATCTGTGTGTAGATAGCAGCACTTCGGTATGTTTGCTGAGTTCTACAGACATATGCTTTCTGAGGTAAAACTGCTCTGCCTGACACGCAATCTGCGAGCAAGCAATCCATTTGTCGGACCTTAGACACTAATTGACAGCTGGATGATCTTGCAGTTTCACTTCTTCACGCTTGTTTAGATCTTTTTGAACCTTTCCTGGACCATTCCTGCTCACGTTTTGGACTGCCCAAGCACATACTGCATTGCACCAAGCCACACTTATTCACTCTTCTCTCCGCTGCAAGTCCTGCCAGTGATCACATAGTTCTTATGCAGACTTGATTTGTTTCATATCTTGTCCGTTGTGTGGCTGTCAAACGCGTTCGCCAAGCTTCGATTCACTTTGACTTACCGCAGCTTCCTTCTAAGCGGTCACTCACCCCACCAACCCACCCTGACCCTCGACCTTGCACAATCCCACCACAATACACCTGAGAAATACGCTACATCTGATAGAGAGTGGCACTAGCCATGGACCGGGAACGACTACTTATAACTTTGCCCAACGGCATCGAGCCGTCCGCCCTCAGGGACAAGAAGGTAACGTCTACGATACAAATTCAACCAGAGTTACGACGTGAAACTGTCCGGAGAGAGTGTGAGAATCTCATCAACAGTATCTATAGCGACACAGGAGGCATCGTGGTGGCGCACTGGAATCGACAAACGATCAAGCACTTCGACGTGTACGCAGGCGCCGGCTCGAAGAAAGCCATAGCTGCCGTCAACGATTGGATCAATCGAGGTGACGTGAAGAGTAAAGACTCTGCAGCGTGGCCTAAGATTGGTAGCTATTGCCCAGCGCAATGGATACAAGGGTACCTGGCAGAGGAGGAAGAGCAACGAGCGGCGTTTTTCCTGGGTCCGATACCAGATCGGGAGGATATGCAGTCAACTGTAAGCAGTCAACCAGTGCTTAGGCGGCTTCGTAACTAACGTTTGATTGCAGTTCGTCGACTGGCCTGAAGACCTACCCAACCAGGATGTCACGCCCCGTACAGCGTTTGGTAACGAGCTACAGGCTCTGAACGACATCCGCAAACGAGATGAGGTCTTCATAAGGCTTCTGCACAATCATCGCGTCGAGATCATTGGGTTCGACAATGCTAATGTCCTGGAAGCCGAAGGCCACTACAAGACCGTGATCGAAAGGCTGAGAGCGGAGAAGTGCAGTCTTCACAAAGGAATAAACATGATCATAGACGGTCGAGAGGGCTTAGATGTCCAGCTACTCCGAGCAGATGTCTGGTGGCCCAGCCATACGGATGTGATCATGCCTCGACTGCTGCCGGATGTGAGCATGGATCGGCCTGGACGCTTTCGCGAAGATGGTCTCGACGACCTGCAGCTGATCGAAATCCAAGAATCGTTCAAGCACACTCTTGAAGCTGCAAGCTACAGGAAGGGGTGCTACGATTTCGCTGTGCGTCTCGGCTGCATTGCTCTTTCTTCCAAACAGATGGGAGAGAGCTATATTGGGAAGAAGAACGACAAGGTGACATTCACCAAGTCAATCAATGGCAAGGTCGACTTGTCGCACAAGAAATGGTGTGTGCGGCCTTTTCGCTTGATGACCTTTACTAATGTTGTAGGCTTCTCGAGAATGTGGCTGGTACGCAACTCTATCACTGTCTTGTCGCAACGAATGGCTTTCTTAAGCCTATCAACGCCTGGACGAATTTACCAACAGATTCCAAGGATGTCCGCCCTTCTCTACACGGGTTGTGGGTCTTCCGTGATCCCAATAACACCCAGAAGCAGCCCTTACCACCTGTGCGAAGCGTTGGCAGACCGACTCCAATGAAACAAGCACCACCGACTGTAGCTCCTAGCCCTCGGAGTAACTTGTTTGTAGTCAAGATCGATTGGACTGTCGATGAAGACGGCTCGTACGAAAAGACTGGAAAAAGGTTCTATCGGCTCGATCCTGGTAAAAATGGTCCTAGACGGAATATGGATGTCAATCTGTTGGAGTTGGGCGAGTAAGGGTCCTATCACACATTCAACTCCGTGAAGCTAATCATGACTAGATCGAGGGCCTGGTCCTTTACCTTGGAGTCTATGATGCCGATATCACGATCGAACGTCTCTCCGGCGCTTGTGGGCTTCGCGGAACGTACTGTCTTGAAAGCGGACTATGATCTGAACTCGACCCAAAGCTTTGTGACGCTGGATCGAAGCCCCAGTATCAGATCATTGCTAGTTCACGGCCGCCTCGACAAGATGTACTCGTTCGGTGTTCAGGACACTAGCTACAAGGTTGAGTTGACGGCAATGTGGTACCCCAAGGAATCGTCCCCATGCTGGGGTCTCGCCGTGCGTCACCAGCAGTGGGCCGACCATCTCGCGGAGCTGGAACAACTGCAGGCTGGTCACCAAGCCAATTGGAAAGACATCATTGGAACCTTCCTGCCTGACGACGGATGCATCTCGATGGTGCACGAAGTAGGGGATCTCGGCGTCAGCGACCTCAACATCAACAGCGATGTTGGTGTCAAGACAGATGTCGAGCCTGAAAAAGACAAAGATGATAAGAAAGACGTCGATGCTCAGAAAGACGCCGATGCTAAGAAAGACGTCGAGAAGTTGCCGCCTCGAGAAGGAATCTGCACCTTAGTAGGAATACTGCTGCGGCTTTCTGAGATTGTAAACTCAGTGACACAGGGTTGAGGTGGGTAGGTTTCATTCCTGTCAGCTCCTTGCAGCTACAAGGGAAAATCTTTGCCTAGTGAGTACGATTTCAGAGACGACGGTAGCACGCAAATCGGCGACTACTTGAAAGCTAGCGAGTTGGGGAATACCTCGGATGGGTTACCAATATGCGCGACGTCTGTCGATGGCGCATTCGCTCGCGGGGTGCTATGAATGTACCTAAGTGCCGCCTCAGGCACTTCCTTCACGTTTCTGTGTAGTCCTTGTGGTACATCCTCAATAGAAAACCCTTTCATATCATCAAGTGCCGTCCCTCCTACCCTCGACACTGCGTTGTTTGACTCGGCGACTGATGCGGACACGCAACGGCTCTATTGCCCACTCAATGTCAAATTCCCCTTTCTTCTCCCAGTTCTCCTAGCCACTCTTGTTCTTGTTCTCCTGCTCCTGCGCGTTCATGACCTTTAGTCGTATGACCTCCTCAACCACTCTGACATTCTGTGCTTTCGAGTTGACGACTCCCTCCAAATCCTTCAAGCTGTCCTGGATGTCCTTGACCTTCCTCTCATAGAAGTCCTGTGCGCTGGGAATATCTTTCTCGATGAAGAATCCTGTGCCCACGTCTACCAAGACGTGCTCATGGTCCGTCAACTTTCCAGGTACATATAGTGAGCTTGTGAGCGGGACGAGAAGGGTCTTCTCGGCGGTGGAGGACGACAAGCCAGTGGCAATCGATGTAAGACAGTCGCGGAATTTCGCCTGCGCGGAGCGCAGTGACTGGAAAGAGGTCGTGAGGTGCTCGAGTTCGCGGTCGAGTTGGGTTTTCAACTCCTGGAGCTGTGGAACGGGCAGCTGAGTAACGTCGACTGGAGGGCGTTAGAGCGATTCTACAAATTGCCGGTGCTACATACTCTGGCCGGAGCCTGGTTGTCCCTGTTGCGAGGCCATTGTGTATTGTATGAAGCTTTCGGTGCTGGTGCAATGTTTGGCACGACAGCTTTTGGCGGGGCAGCGACACAATGTGGGGAGCGCCACGTGCCGACGCGCTTCTCTCGAGCTCTTGGTTGTGTTCCGTCATACCTCACAACGCCGTCTCATGTCGAGAATTCGTCACACACGGCTCAGAGTGCCTCAATCACGCTGCTACTCTTCACAAACGCGCTTCAATCAAGCACAATGCCTCCAACACACCGATAACAATGACATCCATGGCTTCGATGCCAACCAGCCTGCAATTTTCAGAAAGGGCTTCAGTGATCTGCCTGCTATATCAAGATGGCTTACGCCTGGAGCTGCTGCAGACTCATGTGACCTCGACATGTCTTACTTAGAGCAGCACGGCGCATCCACCGTTCCCCTCGAGCTCACGCGCTCAACTCCAGATGAGCCTGCAACATTCGAACGATTCGAAGCCCCCCTTTCGCTGCTTCTTGCCCATATGGCCGGCCCTCCAACACCAGACCTTCGTATCTATCTGGCGCAATACTCCCTCGCCGACCTGCCAGCTCCCTTGCAAGCCGATTTACCCACCCCTGGGATCCTGGCCAGACTTGGGCGCGGCGACATCTACGCGTCAAGCCTGTGGATGGGCAGAGCGCCGACACGTACGCCTCTGCATCGCGATCCGAATCCCAATCTTTTCGTTCAATTGGCTGGTCAGAAGGTGGTCAGGTTGATGAAGCCGGATGTTGGACGCGGAGTGTACGAGCGGGCACGACTGAAGGCTGGTGGGGGTGGTAGAGCCAACATGAGGGGTGAGGAGATGATGGTTGGGGCTGAGATGCAGACGCTCGAAGAGGCTGTCTGGGACGGGCAAGAAGAAATTATCGAAGGCGTGGAGGCTCAGCTGTCCCCTGGAGACGGGCTCTACATTCCTCTAGGCTGGTGGCATGCTGTGCGGGGCACTGGTGCAGGTGCAAATGCTTCAGTAGGTGGCCAATTTTGTCAGAGACATGGCTGACAGTCTGCAGGTCAATTGGTGGTTCCGATAAACACTGCTTCCCTGATCCCATGCATTGCTCCAGCGAAATATCTGGATGTGATGGGACCTGCCAACTACTCGCTGTCAGCGCACGTCGCTGAACCCAGAAATGAGGCCTATACATCAATCCTGTTGGTTGGGTTCTATCCCTGCAAGGTACAGCACCGCAGAGCTGCCCAGATGTAGTCATCTCGACTTTCTGTTCGACCTCGCTTGCGACCTCACCCAAGAGCAGCAGAGACGGCTGGTGACCGATGGCAAATATGCTATCGCTGAAAGTTCACGACCAAACCTTACTTCTCGCTCTGGCTTCCTGAACTGTCGACTACAGAGATAACCATGGAGGCAAAGATCGTCCGCTACAGACTGTACGTGAAGCAGGCACCCTGGACCCATAGCACTCGGAAGTATGTCTCCATCAGCAACGGCAACGATGTTTGCAAGGACAGGGTCCCAAACTCCTACAGGGTCTCACAAACTCAACAGTGCACGCGCGCACGCACTCACGTGCTAGCTATGGACGCGCAACAGTGGGAAAGTCTCCCGTCCGGCTTTCTCCTCCAAACGAACCCAATGAAGTGCTGGTTGCGATTGCCCATAGTTCAACAGGGCCCATTCCACAGCCCCACCAAGCAGGGTGTCGTTGCATGTCGCATGTCACACTGTGATGATGCTTTCACACCTTGCGTCCTGGAACGAAACACGCAACGGCGCCAGGCGCCAGGCGCTTCAGCACACGCTCCCCTGTACCACGGAGCCGGTCGTTGCAGTGTCCAACAAACACACGGCCGTGCAGCGCCCATCGTCGTCCACGCGCACCACACAGCCATGCGCTCGTGCGCTCAATGGCCGCTTCGCGCAGCCGAAGACGTAATCGTAGTCCATACCCCTCGGCCACGCTAGATACCCAGCATCCATACACCCAGCACGACACTGCCCCAACCCCAGCGCTGATTCGCGCAGCCGCGCATCGCCCACGCGGTTGACATCACCGCGACGCGGAGCAGTGTGGCGCCGTGCCCGCGCGCACGCGCACCGATTGGCGCGGCTGCAGCCGAGCGTTTCTCAACTCGCTGCCCCCTTCCTTCGACGCGAGCAACCTCGCATGCCGTGCGCGATCTGGGCTGCCGGAGCGGCCGCCGCGGGATCCTTGCGGGTCTGCTGGTGGGCCTTGTGCGCGTGCGCGTGCGACGCCGACGGCGAGCGGAGTTGCGCTGCTGGGCTGCGCTGTACAGTCAGCACTGCGCATGGCTTTTGCGTCTGCGCTGCTGATTGCACCGCGCTGCTGCTCTGCCGTGAGTGCGGTGCGGGGACGGGCGCAATGCTGTCTCTGCCGCCACAGCTGTTGCGTGCGCCAGTGCTATAAACCTCGTGGGTCTGTGCAAGCTTGATGCCGCTTCAGCGCGGCTGGATGCTGTCAAGTGTCAATCGATATATGGACGTCTAGGTCGTAATTATACAATGAACTCCTACAACCATGCTACCAACCATGCTGACTGGCGACACGTGCGTGTGGGTGGGTATGTGTGTGCGGCGCACGAGGAGGCAAGGCGAAGCAAGGCGAAGCAAGGGCCGTTCCATCAGGAATGCAGCGCTGCGGTGCGCTGCGCGGCGCGGCGCGGTTGTGCGCCTGTCGCCCTGCAGTCTGACATCCCGGGGCCGCAGCGCCGGGATGGAGCTGAGCTGAGCTGTGGTACCGTGCGACGCAGAGGTCGATGAGATCCAAGCCGGACCGTTGAGTGAGTGCAATCGCAGAGGGGCAAGACGACTGCAAAGCGAGACGGATGGTATTAATATTACGGGAGTCACCGGTTCGGGGGCTCCCCAGAATCTACTTGACGGCGCCCACACACGCATCAACGTGCCCTGCCCAGCCAGCCCCCCAGCACCAGCACCGTCTCCCGTCACCCGTGAGCATCGTGTATCCCATGTGCCCTCCCTCCCCACCTCCACAATGCACGCAAACAACAAACGCCGCCGCATGACACACCAAACGAGACACGAAAAGCGGAAAATGGGGAATCTTGTGCAACAAACCGGGTATTCCAACTGCACCGCCAATGGGAACGGGAAGGGAGGGGGGAACCAACTATGTATGTAGAGAAGCAACGGCACAAAAGCAATCTGAGAACGAAGCGAAGACGAGCCGCGAACAAGACGAGACGAGACGAGCGAAGAACAGGCAAAGACGAAGCGAAGCGAAGCGCCGACGATGCAAATAGATCCCAAGCCCCTCTCTCTGGCGATGTACCCCGCAATCCCATGCAATGTAAACATGCACTGTGCAACACCGAGAAATGGTTTGTAGGGCGAAAACATGGTGCACCGAAATGAGCAGACGAGCGCAGGCGGGCGTGCGAGCGGGTGGGTGGGTTACGATGCAGGATGCCGTGAGAAGGGTGGAGCCAGCGTGAGTCGTGCTGTCGTTGTAATCGTGCGTCGTATATGGCGAGCATGGCCTCAGTGGCCGGGGGCATACAGCGGGGGCGCGTTGAGTGGAGACTTCTAGAGCTGGCCAGAGATGCTGAAGATGATGGAGATGATGATTCGGATGCAGATCGTGGTATAGATAGTAATGTGAAATGGTGGTGAGCATCAGCATGAGGTTGATGCGTGCGCATGGCGTTGCCCATGTTGTTTAGATGATATGCCTGGAGTCTGAATAGGTCCTGCTCTCAACTTTCACAGGCAGTTCTGGTTTATATCGCTGTTGCTGCTAGGCTCAAGTCCTAAACAGCTTCTTTCGGGATGCCGCGGAGACTGGTCCCGATCGTCATGCAAGTTGGCGACCCTAGTAAGATTGCCATCCTTGCTGGGACTGTGGTTGGCTCATGCCGTACATGCCAGGCTGCTGACCCGCACCGCTCTGATGCTGCATGAACTGGTGGGGGCTTGGGCTAGGCTGGTAGGGGTTTTGATCCATGTTTGGAAATCCTGTGCTTCCCATAGCGTTCATCGTCTGGTACTGTGGCATCTGGGTGCCATGCATCGACCCACTGCTCTGCGCGTGATGCATCTGCGGCGACGCGTGCATGGGAGACTGTTGCGGGTGCGGCGACTGCTGCGGCGGCCTTTGCGCGTACTGCTGCATGTTGTGCTGCTGAGACAGCGGAGATGGCTGCGGTGGGCCGCCTTGCCACATGTGAGTAGGGGCGTAGCCCTGGCCTGGGTTCTGAACACCAGGAAGCATGCCACCTTGGCCCATGCCGGGGGACATGCCCTGCGGCATACCTAGGCTTGGAGGGCGACGGTGCATCTGGTTTGGCAGCGGCGTGTGCTGCTGCGCCATGGGAGAGGGGACCATGTTGTTCTGCGGCAGAGACTGGGGACGGTAGGACTGTACGCCCATGCCTTGGTTTGGCCTTTGTGGCGTCTGAGCCGGCATGCCGTACTGGTTACCAGGCATGCTCACGCTGGTAGAAGGCATGCGTGGAGACTGTATGGCCTGCGAGACCTGCGGGATCTGGTTGCCGTCTGCAGTAAGTGGACGTTCTGGCTGCGCCGGCGGCTCGTGTGGTCGGTTCCACAGGTCGTCCAAGTACTGCTTGCGGTTCTTCCGCTGCTGCTCAAACTGCTTGTTGATCTCGACTGTCTGGGCAGCTTGGTTCAGGATCTCGCCCGAGGGAGATGGTCGGGTCGTATCCTGGTACGGCGCGCCGGTGAGTTCGTGTCGTGGTCGCTGCACGCCGCTGTAGTCTCGAGGCTGCAGGTCGGTCGTCGTGCGCTGATTGTACGGCTCTAGGCTGCCAATGGGCATGCTGTGAGGCGCGGGCGTCAAGCCGCCAAAGGGCTGCAGAGGGTTTGAAGCAGCGCCCAGATAGTCGGCGTTCGCACCAGCAAAGGCGCCGGGGTGGGCAAAGGCCATGGCGCTGGCGTGATTAGCTTCGGCGGCCGCGGCCTCTCGCGCCTTTGCGGCGCCGGGACGCTTCTCGCCGGCGGCGTCCTCTTCGGTGAAGCCCTGTTTGCGGGCTTTGCTCTCCCAGTAGTCGTCGCGCACGCGTCGTCCGTTCATGACCAGCCGGCTTCCAAACTGGCGGAACATGGAGCGCGCCGTCACAATGGCGATCTGGCGCGAGCGGTACGAGTAAGGCAGGATCTCCTGATGGATCAGGTCGTCCTTCTCGGCCTGGGTGGCAATGATCTTGTACAGCGAGCGGTTCTTGTTGAAGAGCAGGTACGAGTCGCGGTAGCCGAGGACGCGGGCGCACTCGGTGGCCAGCATGAACAGCTTGTCGCCGCGGTTGGGGACGAAGAAGGTGCGGCAGCGGTACTCGCGGTTCTCGAGCGGGTGGCCGGTCAGGGTGACCTTGCGTTCGCCGGCGTCGTCAATCTCGCGCGGGATGTACTCGTCGCCCTCGGGGTTGAGCTGGTCGGTGGTGTGGTCGCGCACGGTGGGCAGGGCCTTGACGACGGCGGGCTTGGTGGGCGTCGACTTGGCCGAGGGCGAGGCGTGCGACGGCGACGTGTGGGGCAGCGGCGACGTCTGCAGCTGCGGCGTCTGCACGGGCGGGGCGATGCCGGCGTGGGCGGGCGGCATGGCGCGCGTCGGGCTGCCGGCGAAGGCGACCTTTGCGGCCTTGGGCGGGCGGCCGCGCTTCCGCGGCTTGCCCGTGTCGTCGGCGTCGGGCGCGTCGGGGTGCGGCGCGTCGACGTAGCTGGTGTCGGGCGAGCGGCTGCGCTTCAGGCCGCGCGACGGCGGTGCGACGGGGTGCGGGCCGGCGAGGGCTCCTGGCAGCGTGTTAGCGACTCGCGACGCGGCGGATGCAACGGACGCGCCGACGGAGCGCGGGCGCGGGCGCGGGCGCGACGTGTGCGCGGCGCGGGCGGCGACGTACCTGCGGAGTTGAGGGCGGACGGGTCAATGGTGCCCGGGAGGTCCATGATGCCGTTCCCTACAGAACCATTCGACATGGCGTGGGCGGGATGCACCGAGTACATGCCACGCGCAGCTAGGCGGCGCGGAATTGGCGCGCGGGCGGGCGGGAGCTGGGGCGCGCAGGGCGGGCGCAGTGACGGCTACGGCTCGCGGCGGGCGGGCGGCTCGCTGGGCATAGGTCGAGGTGGTGGTGGTGGTGGCAGTAGCAGTGGCAGTGTGTGGATGCGCAGCACGTCCCGAGGAAAGAGCGAGCGGCCAAGCCAGCACAGACGGCAACAGGCGGCCACAGAACGGGCGTTCGTGGGCGGCGGCAGGAGCAGCGGCAGCCAGTCAGTTGCGGGCAGCGGGCGTGTCGGTGCAAGAGGGCTGCGATGCAAGGTGCTGGGTGTGTGCGGCGGCAGCTAGGCAGGTAAAGGCAGACTCTGGGCGGGTGCGACGATTGTTATGACGAATCGCGGGTGGATCGGCGGCGAAGCGAGCGCTGCGCCGAGAGGTGCAGAGAGCAGCCGTGGCCGAGCAGGGCGCGTGGGCGGCGGGGACGCAGACGCAGTCGAGTAATGCGCGCCGGCAGCAGCGCGCACTACACAGTATAAGCCCGCACTCTACCGCCCACCCTCCATGGCCGCTGCCGTTGCGCGCCGACTCATGCAGCCACGTGAGCAGCGCTGCACGGCGGCGCGCCCAGAGGCGGCCAGGATGGGCGGCGGCCAGGATGGGCATGCTGCTTGCCGCTGTAAGGGTTTGGCCTGGGATGCGCCTGGGGCACTGGGGCACCGCGCGCTGCACCACCCCCGCGAGCTCGCCGCGGCGTGCAGCCTCAGCAGCTCAGGCGCGAGCAGGCGGCCCGGCCAGCGCTCACGCCGGCGTGAGCGCTGGCCCTCGCGCTCGCATCGCCATATCGCCAGCAGCCCGCTAGCGTGCATCTCGACATGGCCGCCACGGCGCCAAGCAAGGCATGGGCCGACACGAACCAAACCAAACCTTTCGTCAGCAGCAGACTGGCAGCATGGCAGCACTGGCCGCCCGTCTGAGCTGCCTATCGCGGCCCCAGCACGCAACGGGCAGCCAGCTGCACCAGCGCGACCAGTTCGCCCGCCGCTGGCCACTCACACGCGCCCGCGCTGCTGATGCAACAGGCCCGCCGTGTCAGCAGGCTGTCTATCGAATCATGGATTGCTAGCCCGGCGTCCTGCAGCTGCCCAAGACAGACTGATGGCGGACGTGCATAAGCGGCCGTCGTCATGCATTCACCCATCCCCAGGCTATCAATCCCTCCCGCGTCGTCTGATGACTCTGAAGAGAACTGCTGCCCGCTTATGCTTGCCGCAGCAGCCGGAACAGGCAGTCTCTCTTATTACATGTCGCCTGGCGCACCGCCCTAGGCTCGACTGGACAGTGCCTCGCCCTCCTCTGAGTGCTGCCTTGATCGCCGAGCTCCCCTTCACTGCTCACTAGGACTGCTGCTAGGCCTTTGACCGCGCGCTGCAGCTTCGTGCCCGCTTCTGTCAGCTGTGTTAGATTCCGTTCATGCTGCCTGGTGGCCAGTGACAGCCCTAGCCTGCACTCCCGTAGCCACACCTGCTCCATAGCACCACTCGCCTACACAGAAGGTTTGCTCAAGGTTGGCGATCCGTTCCACAAACACGCCCCGCCCTCCGTCGACAAGCGCAAATCGGCACCCTTGACTTGCCCGTGCTGCCATCGATCTCCCCGTCATACCTTGCCTGAATCTCGCATTCCTTCCGTAGCTCGCGCCACTGCCCCCTAGCGCCGCTTGAAACGCCATGTCCGTGTCGTCCATGCCGTCTGTCGCTGTTTGACGTTTGCCTGTGCGCCTACAGACGACATGCATTTGCAAAGATTAGGGAAAAAGCAACCACTTGAATTTCTCCGTAGCTGTTGATATGTGGAGAAGGCGCGTTTTCCGACTTCGCTGAGGCCCGCCAGCGCCACAGTCGACCATGTACTTCATGACATCAAGCCGAAGCCTCGCCATCTCCTCGGTACCCATCGTGCCATACTATCTTTGCTTTTGACGCGTCTGCCCCCGGCTGTGCAACCGCGCGCAATATGTCTCAGGCAAAATGCTTGTCCGATATTCCTTCGGCATCTTCGGTCACGGTTTAGGCCAAGCCGAATGGGAGCATCCGCGTTTGACTTTGTGTGTTGACGAAACTTGTTGAAAAGGAATACATCGGCCCGATTGTTTACAAACAGACAAGACTTTCACGCGCCGGAAATATTACCCTGCGAAGCACTTTGACACAAGCTTCTGTCTGGGAGATCAACCGTCTGATCTCCCATGTGTGGAAAAGTATATGCCAAGCCAAAGCAGGCTCTTGCGGTCCTGTACCATAAGAAACATGATCCTTTTACGTCACCATGCAAACCGAGACAGTGGCGGAGTGCAATGTCTTCCTCAGTGCCTCACAATGCACCTCGCGCATCCTGAACGTCCGTGCTTCTGTTCGATTGCGCCATATTACTTTCTCTTTCTCTCCGTGCGCGCGGTGACGACGCGTCAGTAGCGCAGAACAGACCGACCGTTGGAACAATCATCTGTCACTTGAGGCGCGGATTCTCGTCCACCTCTTGGCAAGCCACTATACAGTAGCTGGGATGCTCGATCATATGATTATACTCCACTTTAAGTCTTTTACCCTTGAATGTGCCACTCGGGAAAGGCTAAAGCCGCAGGCTACCCCACTTCGACATCTCGGAAAGAGATCATGGCGGTAAGCGAAGTGGCCATGAGGATAGGACTCTGCAATGATTTGACAGAAGGGCTCGTTTCAAGATCCCGAGAATTTAGGGCAATGTTGCATGTCTCACTCCACAAGTGGATCGTTGGTAGGCAATTCCATTGTTCGTTTTCGGGCTGTGGTCGAAATCCGTTTGGCTGCCCAAACTCGGGGGCGATGGCCTTGGGTTGTACAACTCTAGCGGTGAAGTAGTCGCTTATCTCCACGAAGGACTCATGGCGTAGAAGTAACCACAATCAGGCGCACCGTCATGTCGCTGCCCGGTAACAAACAGGCGGATGCCTGTAGCGGTTTCAGCGGACCCTCTACAGCCTGAGACTTACGAGATCCACCAGGTGGCTGTGAAGACTCCCACTCTGATACGAGGTGATAGGCAACCTCCAAATACCTCGATACGGGGTGCAGGCTGTCGAAAGCGGGTACAGGAGTATCTCTCAGCAAACAAACGTCGCGCATATCGATGTCTCGCAGGCCGCAGTGTTCAAGGACGATACTGCTAGGCCGACTGCGTTCTGAGACTAGTGCAACGTGCTACCCGCTGGATCTGATCCAGACTGGAGAGGGTGTGCTGGGTTGAGCTAAGTTAAAGCACACTTGCAAGGCTATTGCAAGGCTATCGCGCAAGACAACCGACGGTAGCGAATCAAGCCTTAATGTCCGACCTTGCCCAGCCATAAGACAATCATGTGGACAAGGACGGCGTGCAATGGATTTCGACCAAACTTGAGGCGGAATATGACATTATGCAACAGCGTCAGATGACCGTCGCTGGTCAAAGCTGTCTCGACCTGGGCAGACGAGCAGGTTCTGGGCAGTTGGTAATCTCCTGGCCTGATCTGCTGGTTAAGGACAAGGACGTACTGGTTATGGTTAGCGCATGCTTACCAGACTTGTCTACAGAGTCAGCATGATGGTAAAGTCTCAACTAAGCATGGCAAGGGAGTCGAGTCAGTCCAAGTACCGCGCCGCCTGTGTCAGCTTTGGGTGAATTATGTTCAATTTCCTAATCGAAGAGTGTGTGGGTATCTGTTGTGTCAGACCACCAAGATATGTCAACTTCGAAGATGGGACTACCTACTGTCTAAAACGAGCCACTGTGATAAGCAGAGTTCTTTACTGCTGTGAACGCCATTTAACGCCGTGTTGCCCTAGTTGGGCATACGAAAAGAAGTCGTAAATAGCTGATAATGACTGTCTCCACGCTTTCGGCGCAGAGAAATTCGCAAGATGAGATTCCGGGCTTGGTGGATCTCCTGAGGCTTACTTGCGACCAGGTGCTAGGCCAGGAACTGCACTGAAGCGCTCGTCACGCTCGGTCTTGAAGAGCAATTGGCACCAGAAGTCCTTGCTGTCGTCGTCGAACCAGGTCCAGAACTTGCCTTCACGCCTGTCCACCTCGCGTGCTTGCAGCTTCACTGCGACTGTCTCATAAGGCTCTCCAGAAACGATCAGGTACTGGTAGTTTGGATCAGGCTCTTCGATCTTCTGCTCGTATGCGCTCATGAATCGGACTCGCGGGACAGTCTCCATAGTGAGGTCTGGGAACTGGAATTGGAACAAAAGCCCGTTCTGGCGAGTAATGGGATCGCGGACTTTTGTGATACGGTAACCAGGTCGGCCGATCTTCATGACATTCTTCTTCACCTGCACACCTGCAAGCAGGCCTTGCTGGCCAACATCGTCCTTCTTGCCTTCTCGCTGTTCTTTTGCGGCGCGTCGTGCCAGGTTGGTCTGGTGCTTTCTTCCTTGTGTATGTGCGAGATACGAGCCATCGTTTTGATGGACTGTGAGGCAGAGACGGCATTCGAAGCTTCCGACGTGGTTCTTGAAGAAGTACGGATCTTTGTCGAGGTCGATGGTCTCGAGCGCGAGCTTGCGCAGACGCTCACGTCGGTCGGCGTTGGTTGCTGAGCTGGAGGCGACACCACCGCCACCGAATTTGGATCCTGCGCGGTTCTGCCAATGTCAGCATCTGCTTGCTGATCTCGCTGATTGGTGAAACGTACCTGGTAATCCATGATCGCACGTGGAGGTGCTTAAACTAGTGATCTTGTAAGTAGAGCGGCGACTCGATTGATCACGACGCTCAGTTGTGCTTTGTTGAGTCTGGGTGAGAAGCGTGTGGTTGCGCGTTGGCGATGAGGTAGCTAGAAATTGTGGAAGCGGCAGCCCAGAGCCGCGCTAGTGTTGTGAGGCTACTTGGACGCTAGCCCACGTTGCAGCCTGAGACATCGCCCGTTCTTCTCACAAGTCACATGGACAGGATTGCGTCGCGGAAGCTGTATTGCTATTGAAGCACCGTCTTGCAGTCGAAGAGTATTGTGTGTCTTGGCTGAAAAATTTAGCGGCCGACGTCAATAGTCTTTTGGGAGCTTCTCTCGGCGACTCTATGGCAGCAAACATTTACATCGGTAAGAGACTGTCCTTCGATGGCCAGCTCTGCACTGTTCAATTTCGTGGTCCAGTCGAAGGCACAAAGGGAGAGTGGTTGGGTGTGGAGTGGGATGACCCAACCCGCGGAAAGCACTCAGGTGAACACCAGGGTCACAGATACTTCAAATGTAACAAGCTTCACTGTTGAAAAAGCACACCATGGACTGATTGGTGACTAGGCCTCAGTACGCATGCAACGGCCGGGTCTTTCATCAGACCAACTCGCAAGCCGGATGCACCCCGCTCATTTGTTGAAGCGTTGAAAGCAAAATATGCAGATGATGACTTTGAAGACCCCAGCGTAAAAGTTGTGTTCGTCATGAAAGAAGGCGACAATGCAAGAACAAGGAAGGAACCGACAGCAAGGCCGAGTCAGCCCATACGCTTCAATGGTAAGGTTGCTGAGGAAGTGGGTTTTGACAAGATTAAGAAGCAGCTCGCGCAGCTCGAAGAGCTGAAGTTCGTCATCCTGGACGGCTTGCGAATGTGGAGACCCGAGGTCAGACAGGTCTTGAGGAATGACGGGGAGCTGGAGTGGCCTCTGGGCGCAACAGACATCCTATCTGCGTGTCCAAAGACCTGCGAACTGGACCTCAGTCGCAACTTATTCGAAGAGTGGAGAGAAGTCGGTTCAATCTGCGAACAGCTCGATCAACTGAGAAGTTTGAGGGTAGATGGAACACGATTCAGAGACACATCGTTGACTGCGGTCGAACTAGAGCGTTGTATTCGAATTTTCGCCAAAATCACGACTCTAAAGCTGGAAGACGACCTGCTTCCGTGGGAGGACCTGGCCAGCATCACACATCAGTTCTCTGCCCTCACCACATTTTCGGCCTCCAGCAACTTCTACTCACATCTGACACCACACGTCCTGAACCCGACTATCACAAATTTGATACTGGAGGAGAATCTTTTGCCGTCACTGTCCGCCCTCGAGCCACTTACTAGGATGCCAAACCTACAACGTCTGGTTCTAAAATCCAACAAGATCAGTGACGTCGGCACACCAACACCAATCTTCCCCACAACACTGAAAGAAGTCGATCTCTCCTTCAACGACATCACGACCTGGTCCTTCATCGAGCACCTCGAGCACATCTTCCCTGGTCTCACCAGCCTCCGCGTATCCCACAACCCGCTCTTTGAAGCACTCCAGGCGCCTGACGGCCGCGCACTCACCGCAGACGACGGCTACATGCTGACACTCGCGCGACTCGGAAAACTCACGATCCTGAACCATAGTCCCATCAGTGACAAGGAGCGACTGAACGCCGAATCGTACTACCTTTCTCTTATTGTGAAAGAAGTGCAGTACGCGCCTGAGAACCGCAGAGACCTAATTCTCGACAGCCACCCCCGGTACAAGTGGCTATGTGAAGAGTACGGGGAGCCGGATATCAAGCGGAATGAGAACGCGGTGAATCCGAACTCGCTGGCTGCGCGGCTGATGAAGATCAGGCTCTATCTGGCAGACGATAAGACAAAGGCGCACGAGGTGGAGATACCAATGAGCTGCACCGCGTACACGGTTTTGGGTGTGGTGGGCAGGCGCTTCGGTCTTATGCCCATACAATGCAGGCTCATCTGGGAGACAGGTGACTGGATGCCGGCGAAAAGGACAATGGCGGACGTTGAGGATGAGGACTGGGATTCTGAGTATAGTGAAGACGAGACAGCCACGGGTAAAGTCATGCGAGAGGTTGAGATTACCCCGGGGACGAGGTCGATAGGAACCTGGATTGACGGCATGGAGGCTACTGTCAGGGTAGAGTTGAAGGGGCAAGGAGCAACCCCGTCTTGATAGCGATTGAACAGTTGAGTATTGTAGACATGATTTTGATCGTGGCCATGTGTATGATGCAATGCAAGATGGTCTATAGGGTCAGGTTGTGACCTGGTCTTGCAAATGTATACTGACAGGAAAAACACTACATCGCTTCAAATGAACCAAACATCTATGGAATCATCTTATCGCACAGGCAACTCCGTCTTAGACTCAAAGCTGTACCTGAGCCATTCTCCAACAGCCCTCAAACTCTCCCACCTCACGCTCTCGTCTGCCTCTTGCATGAGCTCCATGACTCTGCCCTTCAGGCCCAGCTTCTCAAGTTGTTGCCTCTTCTCTGGCACCTCCTTCACAAGGCATGCAACATCGTTGCAACCGATAGCCAATACCTGCTTGTCGTTCTCCCAGCTCTTGGATAGGATCTCCGCAAGCTTTCTTGGCAACTCTCCCTTGTTCTCATCCAAAATACGGCGGGCGTTGTCACGCCAAAAGGTAGGATTGCGATGCGGTGGAGACCAACGGAGATGACCCGATTGCAGCTCTGCGGCATATTCATCAAACGTGGTCTGTGTCTTGGTGTACTCTTCGAGAAGCTCGGTGAGTGTCTTAAGATCCTCGAGGGCATCCTCGTCAGTCAAATGGCGCGACTTCAGGCTATTAAGTAGGGCTGGCAGACGGGCAAGAACCGCTGTGGGCAACAGCGTCTGGCGGTTCGTGGTTAGGAGGTTTACGAGAGTCGAGAGAAGAAGGCGGGTGGTCTTCTCCTTGGGCGATACGCGCAACAGGCCTGTGTACAGGACAACGATGTCATGTTCACTTGGAAGCGTTAGCGATGCGATGGGGATAGTCTGTAGGAAACATACTCTTGGAGCCCATCGCCAACTAGTTCGCCCTCAAAGCTGAGCTGCCAGATAACAAGCAGAACGTGGTACAAAAGCTGCAGTCCTACACCACCAGAAAGACCGCTGTCACCAGCGCTGCGGACGCTACCCCCGCTGTAAAGAGTCGAATCACGATCATTGTTCGTACCTGCTGCAGATCTCAGGATGTCAAACAACGGATCGAGTGTCTCCTTCCTCTGCTTCCAGAACAAATGCCTAGCCTTTGAGCTGCGAAGAACAGCAGAGAACTCCCGTACAGCAATATCCTGAAGGCCAGCGTCTGAAGCTTTGGCCAGTGTCGAGAGGTAGCTGTAAAGCTGCGGGAGGGCTTGGTCAAGCTGTGTGGTGTCCTTTGATGGCGTGACAACGGCGTGTGAGACCAGGCCAGAGAGAACCGAGGACGTGAGCAGTGGGACGGGATCTTCGTTGTTGGAAGAAGCCTTCAGCAGCGGCAGGAAAGGCTTGTAAGGCGCTGGGTGCTGGATGAGAGCTGATGTGAGTGCAGGAATGTCTAGAAAAGTTTCAGCGCCCTGCAAAAGGAATCTAATGGTACCAGGACCTCCTACCGTCAATGATATCCCCCAGCAACACCAGCATGTAGTGAATGATGTCCTGGCGTTTGGCGGCGGCCTCGAAGATGCTCTGCGACCCATCTCCACCTAGCAGGAGCGTGACGAAGCTGTTGACATCGGACTCGATTGTCTGTTTGCGCTGCTCTTTGCGCACTTTGTCAATTGACTTGATCTTCTTGAGGTCTTCCTCGGTGATCGTCTTGGCCCGCACTGCGCCTTCCCACGATATTGGCCGGGCACGGATGTTGTTTTGAATCGAGGTGAGATACGTCGGTGGGTCTAGCGACGACATCGTGTGGGTGTGCTTCGATCGGGCTGCGAAGGGCGGTCGAGAAGCTACGGCAGAGCGTCGAAGATGCGATGTTGTGCCTGGTCTATCGTGCACACCAAGCTCCAGCAGGATGACGGAGTTGCAGCACGGGCCAACCGACGCTAGTGGAAACGCGGTTGGTGAATTTGATGCGCCAAAACACTACCTCTCAAACGAGATCAGTGACAGCAACACCGCGTTCACGGCGTGATCGCATACTGGACCATGGAGTACTTTAGCTTGAAGAGGTCGACTGTTGCCGATCGCGGCCAGGCCAACTTGTCAAGCAAGGTGTATGTGCGGTCGACGAAGAGTGGCAAGGTCCAAAAAATTGTGAGGGAACTATATCTGCGACAAGATATCCCATGCTCGTCGAACTTATGCAGAGCGTGTCTAGAGATTGCGCCAACAGACTACTCGAAGAAAGGTGGGCTTATCAGTCTTGCAGACAAGAAGATCACTAACTCAAAGTAGTTGCACCATTTGTACTTTCAGATACACCTGCTGGATCAAAGGACTTTCCCAGCGGGCAGTATCTTGTTCCAGATACCAATGCTTTCTTGAATGGAATGGATCTATTCGAAGTTGAGACGGCCTTCCATGATGTCATAGTTCTGCAGACTGTGCTTGAGGAAGTCAAGAACCGATCATTGCCGTTGTATCACCGGCTCATCGCACTGACCAAAAACGATGGCAAGCGGTTTTATGTCTTTTTCAATGAGTTCAGACAAGAGACCCACATCGCGCGTGACCAGGGAGAGTCTATCAACGACCGCAATGATCGAGCCGTCAGAAGGGCTGTACAATGGTACAACGAGCACATCACCGAGGCAGTCGCCGCACGAAGCAAGAAGCAGAAGCGTATACCCACCGTCGTCATGATCACCGATGATAGGGACAACCTGCGAAAGGCTAAGGCAGAAAAGGTACCTGGTATGACACTCACCGATTTTGTGTCTGGCCTTGAGAACGCAAATGAACTGTTAGACATGATCAGCGCTGCACAGGAGCAACGAGAAGTCCGCTCGAAGAAGCCTGAAGTGTTCTATCCGGACCACTTCTCGATGTCAAAGATGATGACTGGTGTAAAAGCCGGTACCATGCACCAAGGCATATTCAACGTTTCGCAGTACAACTACCTAGAAGGCTCAGTTCACGTGCCCTCGTTCGACAAATCTCTCATTATTCTTGGTCGCGAGAACAGCAACCGGGCAGTTTCTGGTGATGTCGTGGTAGTCGAAGTACTACCGCAGGACCAATGGAAGGCACCTTCGACCAAGATCGTCGAGGAAGACACCGTCGCTAAGAACGATAATGCCGAGCAAGAGGAGGGTGAGAACGTTGTGAACGAGAGGGAGAAGAGAGCGTTGCAAGAGGAGGTCAAGCGCGCGCATGGGCAGAGCACTGAGGGCAAGGCACAGCCCACGGCACGCGTTGTGGGCATCATCAAGAGAAATTGGCGGCAATACGTGGGACACATCGATCGTGACTCGGTACGATCGACAGCGAAAACGAGCAGGCAGCAGCAGACTGTCTTCCTCGTACCCATGGACAAGCGTGTGCCAAAGATCAGAATACGAACCCGTCAAGCTGGAGAACTTCTCGGCCAACGTGTTCTGGCCACGATCGATTCCTGGGAGAAAGACTCGAGATACCCTGTCGGTCACTTCGTACGCTCCTTGGGCGAGTTAGAGTCCAAAGGTGCTGAAACGGAGGCCTTGCTGTTGGAGTGGGACGTACAATACAAGCCATTCCCGAAGACGGTGCTGGATTGTCTGCCCGCGGAGGGGCACGACTGGGTCGTACCAGCGAGCACAGAGGATCCGGGTTGGAAGGGGCGGAGAGATCTGCGCGACCTCATTGTCTGCAGTATTGACCCTCCGGGCTGTGTTGACATCGACGATGCACTGCACGCAAGGAAACTGCCCAATGGCAACTATGAGATCGGTGTGCACATCGCTGATGTGTCGCACTTCGTCAAACCAAACAACGCCATGGACAAGGAAGCAAGTCAGCGTGGTACAACCGTCTATCTTGTTGACAAGCGTATCGACATGCTGCCAATGCTTCTTGGAACAGACCTTTGCTCTTTGAAGCCATACGTCGAGCGATACGCCTTCTCTGTTATTTGGGAAGTCAATGAGAACGCCGACATCATAAAATCAGAGTTCACAAAGTCCGTTATCCGATCAAGAGAGGCATTTAGCTATGAACAGGCACAGCTTCGCATTGACGACGCGTCGCAACAAGACGAGCTTACAACTGGCATGCGTACTTTGCTCATGTTGTCTCAGAAGCTAAAGCAGAAGCGAATGGATGCTGGTGCCTTGAATCTTGCTTCGCCCGAAGTCAAGGTTCGATCAGAGTCTGAGACATCAGACCCGGTTGACGTCCAGGTCAAAAAGTCATTAGCCACGAACTCCCTTGTCGAGGAATTCATGTTGCTCGCCAACATCAGTGTTGCGGCAAGGAACTACGAAGCCTTCCCACAGACCGCTTTGCTGCGTCGCCACGCTGCGCCACCCAAGTCCAACTTCGAGGAGCTAGCAAATCAGTTGAAGGTCAAGAAGGGCCTGGAGCTGCGAAGTGACAGTTCTGGTGCAGTGGCGGACTCACTCGACCAGTGCGTAGACCCGAACAACCCATTCTTCAACACCCTCGTCAGAATTATGGCTACACGATGCATGATGTCTGCAGAATACTTCTGCGCTGGTACACAAGCATACCCAGAGTTCAGGCATTATGGTCTTGCAAGCGAGATCTACACGCATTTCACATCACCCATCCGTCGATATGCCGATCTCGAGGCCCACCGACAGCTTGCCGCTGCGATTGAGTACGAACAGCTCGACAACAGTCTGCACTCAAAGGCTAAATTAGAAGCTGTTTGCAAAAACATCAATGTTCGCCACCGCAACGCACAGATGGCTGGACGTGCCTCGATCGAGTACTACGTCGGCCAAGCGCTCAAGGGCAAGGATCTGGAAGAGGAGGGTTTCGTCATGAAGATCTTTTCGAACGGCTTCGTTGTCTTCGTGCCACGCTTTGGTATTGAGAGCCTGATACGCCTTAGGGACCTGGCTACGCCCGAGCCGGATGCCGAATTCGATGCTGACAACTACCAATTGAATATCAAGGGCGATCTCAATAGGAGTGTTGAGCTATTCGAAAGAGTAATGGTCAGGATCACAGACGAGCTGGAGGAGAGCACCGGAAAGAGGAAGGTCAAGTTGACGCTCGTGTAAGATAATAGCAGGAGGCGTGTCGACCGTCATCTGCGGGTGCGATCAACACAAAATCTAAATTTGCATGTTTGATAAGCAACACTTTCGCCATTCGATCCGATGTAAACCTGTGATTGTCTCCCGTAGTGACATTCATTCGAGCGCCTTATGCAAGCCTTCGTCATTTTGCACGAAGCGCTCGATGTGGTATGGATGAGGAGATACATGAACCTTCACCCCGCAAAGCCACAATAATGCTTCTGTCCCACCCAAAGCCTCAAGTGGCGGATCACTAGTGGGCAAGACTGAAAGGCTCCCAGCTGAACAGACGCTCGGTAAAGGATGCCGATCTTGGAGATACGGGATCGCCGACGTGAAGCGAAACGCGTGTGTATATACCGATCACCAGCCGTGGAAACTAGGTGTTCTCGATTGGCCGGGTCACTTGTGTCGCGATTCAGAAGAGCGTATCGATATTCAGATCTGCGCCACAGTCCCGGAAAACGTACACAGCTTCCCGCTGCAGTGAGCTCGGAAAACCAACTCGTAAACTCTGTAAACAGCGCGCCGTTGACATCTTAAGTCAATCTATAACCTTTGGCTCACGGCGCGTCAGCTCCCTCGGAACGGCATCCGAACAGCTGGCACACATGGCACCGTCCATCAATGTGATGAGGTCAGGCTTCTTGCATTACACCTACATATAGCCGCATGTACCTGCATCTCAAAGCGAATTAGAACCGAGGCGCAGGAGAGTTCGACTGCAAGTTCGGTTCGATGTCGCGCTTGTGATGTAGTACGATTTGGCCTTCCTCTTCTGAGATTTGGTGCATGATTAAGGTTTACAGGGCATGACAAATGGCCGCGGACAGCACTCCATGTGCTGCGCTGACCAGTGGTTGACTACGGGAAGGACCGAAAAGGACGTTGTGTCACTGGGAATGTTGGTGGGCTGTGCGCTCATGGGATCGCATTGTGTGGAGGAAGGTTGCAAGGAGGAGGCTATTTTGACTACCTCACCTATCTATCATTTTGGTCAGGGGAAGTTCAAATAGTGATGCACTTACAGAGACCTGATCTCCCCAACGGCACGAAGGTTTTGTTGTGAAAGTGGTGTGCATGGCCTAGCATGCATACGAAGCACCACCGCATCGTAGTCGACACATTGATACTCAATTCGCGCATACGTTCATGCGTAGCTTCTGTTGTTGTTGAGGAAGGCAATACATCTGCCCTGAGCCGGGGTCATTTGACGATTGCATGTGCCGAGATCTGGCCTGCATGAACGCAATCACCAGCAATAGATGTTACTGTCAAATGATTCAGGGTCTAGCCGAGTGCCGTTCACGCGGTCGCAAACGGCGGGTCGACAAAGCAGAGCAGCATCAATATGAACACTAAAAGGGCGGTGAAGTGCGACATTCATCGAGCGTTCCAAGAGCTAATTCACTAGTCTCAAGGCAAGCAACGCCTACGACTCAGATCCCCTCCAAGCCTCACGGCGAGTGTGTGTGGCTTTGAGCGCGGCGAGCCGCATCTCATTTGCATTGTTCTTAACAGTCACGATACGACCTAGGGTAAGTATTGACAACGGCAGGTAGCGGTGCAAGTTGTGCACATAGAAGAGCGTTGGTGTTGTCCAGTGTCATTCAAGGCATGTGAGGCGAGTGCCAACAGAAAATCTAGTGATTGCACAAACCGGGTCGTGGTGGTGCTCTGGCCGATGCGATGCCGATTCTACTTTCCCATGCGGGACGATCATCTGGCAAGAGTCTTCTGGTCGTGGTCATTGTTGACGTCGAGGATAATACCTGCAGAGGACCAGCGTAAATTGCAAGTGCAGCGCTATTGTACATGGTCTGCGACAGTATGGCACATGGAAGGCGTGATTGGCTCAGGTCGTATCTCGTTTGCGATGTTCCTTGACACCTTCTCTATTGGTACCTCCATCGCTTCGCAAAGCTGGAAAATTCCCGGATGAGAGCAACACACCACTCTTCCTCAACGTACTGTCTATCAGGGCAGAATACGAGATATCCAAGCGACCTCTCGAAAGGGTTCTGTGTCTCCCGCGCCACCAAAATGACGACTCTTCATTAAGTGGGCCAGCTCGCTTGATGGCGTTGACGATCAGGTCCACGTGCAGGTACGCACTTTAACCGGTCGTATCCCTGCACATCCATCAGGAACAGAACAAACTCTATGAAGCTCTCTAGATCTTCAGGAGTTTGCCTTGCGAGCGATCCAGTCAATGGATTTCGTAGTGGATTCTATCGTCGATGATGACTTCTTCTGTAGCCAGCAACTTTAGTTTGCTGAGATGCATGTTCAAATGATACCGCGCTTAGCGCTGCAATCGTCTTGTCATCAACTTGTCATCCAAGTTGAGTGAACTCCGACCGGATTAACCGTCAGGTTCATGATTCACAGACAGAACTTGAGGGCCTGAAATTAACCGACACGCGCCAGAATAGAGATTGAATTCTCGTGCTGCTCTGACATCAGCAAGATACCGATCATTATTTCCAGCCATGCCTCGGACGTTGGTCGATGCGTGACTCGCTGCATGCATGTACCGGTGGTGTCGTCAAATAATGCGAAGAACACCCCACGTCTTTAACTACCTAGGCCATAGGAACGCAGAGACGAGGCATAGGTATCCATGTCATGGTGGTGGCCGTACACTTAATGAGCCGTTGTGCGGAGCTCGTCATCAAGCTGCAGTTCAGGAGCTACAGTCGTGTTTCAGCTGAGCCGCGTGAAGTGGGAATATCACTTCCATTGGTCACGTAGGAAATGGCCCCCAAGCGTATGTTGGCAAGCACAGAATGACCTGGCAGAGCGTCCACCAAGCAACAGCTCAAGACTTAGCACCAGTCAGTGCGTCCTGCACGTACGCTTCAGTAGCCTTGCAGGAAGAAGCCGTTGAAGCCAGGATCAAATGCATGCGTTATCATTTCGTTGTATGCCGGACAACCATTGCCGTTACGGCTCCAGGTTGTCATCATCCCACCTGCGCAACGCGAAGTTGTGGTGGTCTCGACTTTGGTGCTCGCTCGTCCAGAGTGCATACTGCCCAAAACGCGTGGCCTTGCTCTCTGGAGCTAGGAAAGCAGGTATCGCGACGGCACGCACCTAGAGCCCGCTTGCGAACGGGATTGGATCCAGTTGCCATGTCATGTAGTCGACGCTATGCTACATGGGTCATGGTGGTGTTTCGCCGATCGACGTGGTGCCAGTGCACCCCACCAACCGAGCAAGCGGCCGGCACCCTGAGTCTGAGCTTTTGCTTGTCTAGTTTGAACCACTCCTCCGAGCAAGCAAGGACTCGCTAGAGCGAGAGTTGCGGGATGGCGCAAACATATGCGTTGTCGTTCAAGCAGGTCAGCCTTGATACCGCGGCGCTGGACTGCACGCAGGCTCTGGATTGGAGCGCCATACATCAGCAAAATCTCGGAGCGAACAGCGCATGCACGCTGCCTGCTCAACAGCGCCACGTTTCTTCCAGGCACTGGGAAGGAGCAACTTCCTATCGCGGACGACGCACCTCTGCAACGGCGGGGTGAGATCAAGGCAGGCCAAATTAGCCTCCTCATGGTCGCTCTCCTAGTGCCCTGCTCACCGATATTTCAGAGCCTTTGCCCTACTAACAGACTTTGCAGCCCACCATCAGGTAGTTGCATTCTGTACCTGCATATCGCCCCAAGCCAAGCTCCACCTTCAGTCCACGCCGCAAGACTCTCGCTCGGTGCGCCTCCGTTGCTTCTTGCCGAACGACCTATTCTTTGTTCTTTCTCGTTTCGTTCCGCTAGTCACATACCATAACTGTCTGCCCGGGGTCTTGTGGAGCGAGCTACACGCGCATGACCAGGTCTCCGCCTTCTGAGCCCCTCCGCCTGTTCCGCAGTAATACTATATCCGTATCTGCCCTCCCAGGTTCATATCCGCATTTCGCGTCGGACGATTGTTTCTTCGTTCCAAGTCTGTCGATTGCACCTGCGATCGATCCACCATGGTCGAGGTCGACTGACCGCTCTGTCACTCCTTCGCTTCTTATTCCGATCGACTCCCGTCTGACCACTAGCACTTGCTTCTGTCGATCTACTTGCTCAGGTCTCTGCCCGTTGTTCAGCCTTGTTCGAATCCTACTGTCGTATCTCTACGTCAGTGTCTAATATCAACCGGTCGCACCACTATCTACCAAGGAGCAATCCCACATTCACATTCACACCATGGACGAAGCAAAGCTCTACATCATCCTCGGTGCCGTCGTCGGCACCCTCGTCCTCACAGGAGTCTCGGTTGCAGTACTGTTCTGCTGGAAGCGCAACAAGAGAAGGGTACGAGGCTTCTCCCTCCGTGCTGTCACACCTTTGGACGACTCCGTCTTCGAATCATGGCGGCGACCCAGTGAGCATGTACAGCGCAACGAGAAGTACGGCATCCGGCCTGTACACCCCGCGGTCTTACGACACGAGACTTCGCCCACCATGTTCGAGAAGGAACTAGACCTGTTCGATTACCCCCGGTCACCATCCCCAGGGAATATCTCCCCTCCCCTTCGCTCGCCAAGGGACTCGATACGCAGACCAGAGCAAGCACGGAGAAAGTCAAGCGTTGCTTCCTCTGTTGCTGATCGGCCACCGACACCTTACTCGCCAACATCGACCAACGGCGACTTTGTTGTCGGTTCCTATGGCTCTCGCAAATCGCAGCCACTGATCCGTCACCAGCCTTCCATGTCAGAAGCGTCCGCCTTCAGATTCGAGTTCGAATCCAACCACGAGGCTCATCAGAAAAAACCCGAGCACTGGGTTTGAGCACTCGCCACATTCTCAAGGACTACCATGTGTAATCCCTGACCAATACCGACTGGATGGTCGCCTCACTGCAGGGCAACTCGATGACTCGACGTTGTACCAAGACTGTCACACCTCCACCATCGGTCCGCGCTGCACCGCCGTGCGACCATACATCATTCGACGTGCCCCTTCGTCATCACTTGACGCACCGGCCTGCCATTCTTACTCTTTCACGACAGCATATGACTTTATCATCCGGCGTTTGGGCACTTTTTGCATACGTGATACCAGACATTTGTCACCCTTCAGGCTTTGGCCTGCTTTTCTTATGTTCCGCTCTGAAGCGAAGCACATTGTTACAGGTGGACTCGAGGTCACACCGTGGGATTGGAAATGTTGCAACGCAACAAGCAAGGGAAGCATATATTAGTTAGCAGATACACTGCGAGCAGATGCTCACGAGCAGACAACAGAATGAAAACGACTGCACAATCATCAGCACCACCGCACGCCTACAGTTGATCCTGCAATAATGTAACATTATGAAACCCTGTCGTGATCAGGGCCTTGCACAATGCCGGCGATCGTCCATCTCGGTGCTTTCGGTCATCGGCAACAGGACGTCTGAGCTCTGTTCGGAGGAAATCTTCACCGCCAGTTCTGTCCATGTCTACCCCTTAGATCTCGAGTGTAATTGCCTGGCAACGATGATCCCGCATTGCGTATCGACCCACATGTCTTCAACCCAAAGCAAAGGGAAAGCCGCGAGCTAGGTGCGCAATACGGAGTAGGTCAGACCGCATACGGGCAATCAGGACCGCCCTACGATGTCGTGCAGTCGTGATACACATGGTCTGGGGCCTTGTGGGGTTCGCAGTGTGAGGGCTAAGCGAGAGAAAGCATTCCAGAATCGAGGCACATGCTAGCGCCACCGGAGGAGTAACAGTCGAACTACGACAAAGGACGACGGACCCTGGCGAGAACTGTCACGGCCCGCACAGACGACAAACACACCGACTCCAGCGCACGTCTCAGCGCTCGCCCGGCGCAGCACCATCGCATTGACACTCCACTGCCCTTGACCGGTTCACCGCTTCGCGCCGCCACACGCGCAAACAACCGCCGCGACAACATTTCTCCACCCCGCGCAAACGCGCCTCCGCGCTACGCATTCGGCCTCACCCACCACCACGCCACACCTCACCATGGAGTTTGTTCAGGGTGCGTAGTCCAGACACTCACCGGCCTTCTGACGCACATGACTAAACCTCCGCAGACTACGTTACGCTCCTGCCGCGGCTGCTCCCGCCGTCCATCGCTTCGCCGCTCCTCACCTTTGTCACCACTGCGTTCGGCATCGTTCGCACCCTGCAGACGCACCTCACACCCCTATTCACACGGCTCATCACACAGCCCGATGCCGCGTCCATCCTTGTTGTAATCGCCGCGCTGTTCATCAGTTTCAAGATCCTCGATATGATGTATCGCGCGGTGCTGTTCTGGGTCAGCCTGGTGATCAGGCTGGTACTGTGGGGCGGCATCGGGCTGATCGGGCTGTGGATATACAATAGGGGTGTCGATGGATTCGTCCAGGATGTCCAGGATCTGGCACAGAGGTGGGCTGGCGATTACGAGAGGCTTAGTGGGGAGGTGAGGAGGTACCAGCAAGACCAGGAGGCACAGATTAGGCTGCAGGCAGAGCAGCAGGGTGGCCGCAAGGGGTGGCGGTAGTCGTTGTTGAGAAGGAATTGACAAGTTGGGAGACTGGTGACTGATACTGTGTGTTTGGCGAAGATCACGAATCATGTCTTACGATTGTATACTCTGGGTCGGCGTTGGTCTTTGGCATTGATATGGAGTACAGGCATTTTCTAGGCAAAAGTTGGAGTTGTGTATGCCAGCAGAAGGAGAATGAAGCCCGTTATTTCTAGGCCATTGTACGCCTTTCGACACGTCCACAGCCATCCCTGAATCACCAAACGAACGCCAGAATTTGGTAGACAACCAGGGTCCGCCGACTCATGCAGCAGATGACGCGCAACACCCCCGTAGGGCAGCACATCTTACCGGGTCTGACAATATAGGAGAACCCAGAGTATTGGTTGACGACCGAGGATCCGGTTCGCAGGTCTCACGCATGGTTTGAGTCACTTGACAAGATCTTGGGATGAATGGAGTCACTCAGTTGTAATTCTGAAGTTTATTGGCTGCGATAGAGGTGGGTTGGACCCTACAAAAGTGCAGAGGGGCTGGTTGGACGTGCTTGGGTGCAGTATGGTTGCGATCCAAGGGTCGTAGGTACCTTACGTTGGCTCGTCAGTTGTCTACATAAAAATATTGTACGGGTGCTTTGGGTCTACCATAAAATCGGCTGCGCACCGAATGGCAGTGTGTATTTAATCACGTCACTATCCGCTCTGCCACATACATATGCACTTATCACAGCGCATATCCCACTACAGCCCCTGATTACTCCATATCAACTCGGCAAAAATGAATTCCACTGGCAATATCCCAGACCAGACGAGATGCATCTTTGTCTGCGGGGCTTCCGAACCAAAAGACCTCTGGATGTTCGCGGACTTCATGGCTAGCTCGAAGGTCTATCTCAACACTGGTGGCATTAGGGCTGCATACATCAACACATTTCCCATTTATGACTACCTAGTCAAGAACGAGCGTGTAGCTTGGGGTTACGAAGGTCCTAATGTTGGTACACCACTGGTCGTGTACAACAAGACCGATCATGCTTGGTGGGAAGATATCAGCTTGAATGACTCCAAGTACCTACCTGAAAAAATACAGGAAGAGCTGGAAAGTATCGGTAGGACTGTCAAGTATCCGGAAACCGTCAATCTGTTCTTCTTCTGTCATGGAAGTAATTCAGGATCCCTCCAACTTGGGCACGGGAGTTTAGGGATAGAGGATCTCAGCAGCACAATCACATCAAAGTTCAAACCTGGCGTTCAAGTCAATGTCGTACTTGCATCCCGCTACTCTGGACTTCTACTCGACTTGATCAAGGACCGGGATAATCACCGCAGGAGTGTTCAGATTTCAGCCTCAGCAATGGAGAAATATTCCATCAATCTCAGAGTGAACGGACCTCCCGTCGTCGCCACGTACATCAGTAGCCTGATGTTAGGTCTCAAAGCTGCGCAGCGGGAGATTCCAGCAACAACGTTGCAGCAGCATATCGACTTCGTCAACCAAAGTGGAGTCTCCAGTAGTGAAAGAGTGACTGGCCATGAGCAAGTCTACCATGATGGATCCCACAGTGCGCTCAATGCCGTGCTAAACCTTTTCCTTCGCTCTTACAATGTTCAAACATTCGAAGAAGGTGAGAAACCAAGACGACAGAACTTCATACCAGTCCAACCTACACTCGTCAGTGCAACTGGGACGCAAACGTCGGCTGTAGATTCGGCTCATGTTGAAATTGCCCAACCTACACTCATCACTGCGTCTGATACACAAAACTTAGCTGGAGGATCGGCTTCTGTCGAAAAGACCCACACCCACGATAGTGGAATCCAATATAAGATTGATCAGAACAGACAAGCCCAACCTACCCTCATCATTGCGCCCAGCACACAACGCTCGGATGTAGGATCAGCTTCTGTTGGGAAGACCCACACCTTCGTTGAGGGGATACAATACGAGATTGACCAGATCAGACGCATGGCGGGACACAGCGTCTATGAAGCTTGCTCAAGCAACGACAAAGCTTTTTTCACCAACATCTACCAGATGAGCAGCCCAGATTTTGTCCAACGACACCAGGAGCTGTTCAAAGAAGTCTTGCTCGGCCTCCGATGGCGATTCCAGCTCCAAGAGAGCTACATGTTCACTTTCGATGAGCTTCTCCGTGATGAGCTTATCAGCAAGGAAGCCCTTGTACAGCCAATGAACATCGGACCTTACTGCGAAGAGGTCTTCCAGATCGTCAGCTTGTTGGAAGTATTCGACGGAGGGGCTGTTTGTGGATTACATGCCTCCTCTTATTCAACGCTCACCGGCAGACTCGGCCATGGGTATTTCGAGATGCCTGTCCAATGGCTCGCTATTTTGATACTTCGATCCTATCCTGAGACTGAGTTGCAACACATCATCTCACGGTTCGTGACCACTGATATATTTGGGACTCTGCACGAGAAGTTCTTGGAATTCGCTCCCAAGCCTTTCCGCGTGAGGAACATGCCCGACGTGAGTGTTGCACGGGACAAATACGACGCGGGCTCATACGAGTTAGGGTTTTTCCTACCCCACGGCGTCACTGGCGAGGCTTTCAAGCAGTGGGCCGCGCTTACGGCAAATCGTTACACACACATCAGGGACCTCTTTGAGCAGACGTTTGGCAGGGATACTTGGGGTCCAAGCACGAAGTTTCTCGAGCTCTTGGGAGCTTACAAGACGCTCACCCTTGAAGAGTACTTGGGCCCGCGCTGGCGTAAGGGCGGGGAGTATGTCGATACATTATCTCCCATCTCAGGTGCAGAGTTCTCGGGTTTTCCTGTAGCCACAACGGCTTCCTTCGCAAGCTCAGCGCCTCCTTTAGTAGGGGAGGCTTTCTTCGCCGACCTTCAAGAGGAGGGGGATTTAGAGTGGTTGTTCCTTTGAACTCCTACCGGTGAGCAGATCACAAGTGAAGACCACTTTTACCAGGGTCATACAACGTAGTTGACAGAATCAAAATCAACACATGTGATACTAGTATTGTTTTATTACCCTCCATTACATCAATCTCACTACTAGATATCCCTTTCCTTCACCACATCGTTTTCAAACTCCAATCCCGCCCTCTCCCTCACAATACCAAAAACACTGCTACTATCCAAAGCCCTCCCATGCTCCGTACTCCACGCCTTCGCCTCCTTCGCCGCACCAACATAACTCTCCGCAACATCCAGCCTGGGCATCCCATTGCTCTTCGCCAGATCGATACCATGCTGCACAGCCGTGATCCCCAGCTCCAAACCGCTCTGCGGCGCCTGTCCCTCAGCCGGCAAATACGCGCCACCCGTAATCCGCTTCGATACGCCATGCGCATAGCTACCGAGGTTCTGCTCGATCAGCGCCTCGAGCACCGACGAAGGCAGCCCGGACTTCTCGGCGAGCGTGTGCGCTTCGGCAATGAGGTACATCAGGCCCGCGGTCAGCATGTTGCTCGTTGTTTTGAGGAGCAGGGCTTGCGCGGGGTCAGTCCCGACGCGGAGCACGCCGCGGGCGATGACGCCGGTGAGGAGGGGCTCGATTGCAGCGATGGCGTCGTCGGGGCCGGCGACGGCGACGAGGAGCTGGCCTGCTTGCGCCACGGGGGTGGAGCCGAAGACCGGGGCGGCGATGTAGATGGCGCCGAGTTGCTCGAGTTGGGTCGCGACGGCTGTTGTGGTGAAGGGGTGGACGGTGGTGGTGTCTACGATGATTTCGCCCGCGAGCGAGGCGCCTAGAGTCGCTATCTCGCTCGCAATGTGCTCAAGTGCATGGTCATCGCTGACCTGGTGGGTTGTCAGTCAGTGCACGTGATTTGGGTATGTATGGCTGACAGATATGAATGTGATTTCGCAATTCAAGGCTACGTCGGTAGGCTTCGTGCACGGCTCACCCCCGAGTGCTTGCAACTCTTCTCCCTTCGATATCGTGCGATTCCAGTACTTCAAATTAGGTTGACCTGTAGCCTTTAAGTGCTTCTGAATATTGATTGCCATGGCGAGCCCCATGGAGCCTAGGCCAATCCATCCTGCTGAACCAGTTGCTGTGCTCATGTTGGCGGTTGTATAGTAGAAACTCAAGTGACGACAATCGGGTGATACTACATCAGTCCAGTCGTGGATATTGACGGAAAGCGGCTGGCGGTGAGTCACATCTAGTTATTGGACGCCTCATCACGCTAGGTAGAAGGTAAGGTTGGCATGGTCCTGCTGACTGTAGCGAATATTGGTCTCGATACTTATATATGTGACATCCTTATTTGAGAAACCATCGTCCTGTACAGTGATCCCATGCAACGCCGCCCAATGCTCGTCCCCCATGATGCATCTAACCCGTTTGAAATGTCGCGAAATGCAACGCTAAAGAGCAATATAACCCAGATATTCAATATCATCCCCATTCATATACCTCAAACACCATTCCACTGCCGCAACTTCACAACTCCGTGATCTCTTCTTGAGACTCTTCCATCCCCGACGCCGCGTGTCCGAAAACCTGCTTGATTTCATGCGGATCCATGGTACCCACAAACGCATGCTTAACGAATGTGAACCATTCCTTTGATGCCTTGCGGTGCTTCTTCCCCTTCTTGTGCTTTTTGTGCTTCTTGCCCTCTGCCTCAAGCCCCTCATCGTTGGACTCGTCTACGTCAAACTCAATCTCGTCGACATTGTGATCAAGGTCAGTCAGACTAGCGCTCTTTTTGCCGCCGCCTCCAATCTTCCTCGCATACTCGACCCATCTCCTGACGGTCAGGTCAGGGAACTTCATGTCCTTGGTGTCGTACTCGACTTCGTACTCAAACTCCTTCGGATGGGGTTCGGGGCGAGGGTGCTTCCCATTGTGTTTCCCATGCTTGCCTTCTTTCCAGCCCTTGCCTTCGATTTCCCCGCTCTCGCTGACTTGAAGCCCGAAAATTGTGCGCGGAACCAAAGCATTCGCCGAGACAGGTGCTTCATCGGTGTCGAATTTGTGGTGCTGAGGATCAACGAAGTCGTTGTTAATACGCGTCAGATTGGCAAAGTACTGTACGTAGCGAGTCAAAGTGAAGGTTTGAGGCGAGTATGCCGGACCTGGTGGAGCAGACTTGGATGGGCCTTCGGGGACCTTGAAGCGGAACTTCTTCGAATGCTTGGCCGCCCTCTCTTTTTTCTTCTGCCTCTCTTTTCGCTTAATCAGAGTATCGACTTCCCTCTGATACCCCTCATCGTCCGAGAATTCGTGCTTGAGTAGCGTAGATTGCTCCCAAGATGCTTCAGGGCCACCGTACGCATTGATGTGCTCCAGGCCAGTGATGTTGTACTCGACAATGCGGAGGGTAGGGTAGTAGTTTGGGACTACACTGGGTGTGACAAGCGATGCGCTGTAGCGTTGCGCATACTTTCCTCCAATCTTCTCAAGATATTTCTTCTTGGCGCTCTTTCCAATCTTTTTGTGGCTTCGCGAGCTAGTTAGTGTGGACATTAGCCAGCTCCAGATAGAGTCGTCGTCGTCGATCCAGATCTCTGACTCCTCTGAGTTGCGGGTTGTGGCCGAAAGGGGCGACGGGAGTTGCGCCCAGAAGGCTCGAAGACTAAGTAGGTAATCCGAAGCAGATGCGACCGTCACCTCGCCGTTCTCAAGCAGACTGATCTCACCATCCACGCTTTTGGCCCTGGTCTGCGCAGCCATATCGCCCTTCCTCGTGTTGCCGTTGATCTGCTCGAAATCCTGAAGCATGAAATGGTCGATGTTCATATGGCCGTATAGTGAGCCGACAATCACGTCTCGGTACTGCTGCACCCAGAGCGTGTACTTCTGCCAGCATGTCTCGTCCCAACTCTCTTTACTGTCGACACGTGCTGGTGGCACGTGACCCATGAGTATCGCTTTGATGCCGCGTTCGCGCATTATCTTGAGCTGAATGCGCAGCCATTCCATGTGTTCGTAGCCCGGTTCGTGCTTGTTTGCGCAGCCGTCGACGCCGGAGTTGGAGGTGAAGAAGTAGCTGTTACTATGTCAGCACCTCTTCTGTAGAATCCTTTCTGCGATACTCACATGGTATTCAAGCTGATCACAGCAAGACGCCCTGGGATTACCTCGACTGAAAACCAGCCTCCCTGCTGAAACTGATGCCTCTGCGCTTCTGGAATGAAGCTGCGCCAGATATCGAGGTACTTCATCGTCCATTTGTTCGGGCCTTGAAGGAAAATGTTGTGCGGCATAATGTCGTTGTTGCCAAACGTCGGCACGATTGGGATCACATAGTCGTTGGTTCCTCTGCGATCCTTGTCAGACACGCCAAACACCTCTGCGAACTTCTCCACCAGAAACTCGTTCTGGCTGATGATTTGCTTCTGCGTACGCGCATGCTTCTCATCGTTGTCGTGTCGCGCCGAGTCGCCTGTCCAGATGACGAAGTCGATATCGTCTCTAATATTGTCCTTGATCCACCTAAAAGTCTCATTGACGAGAGAAAATGGTGAATCGCATCCTGAGGTCTCTGCGCCGTAGATGCCGGCAGGTCCCCGTTTGCGATGGCATGCTGTTTCTGCTGTGGTGCTCGAGTATGTCTTGTAAAACGGGTCGGGGTGGAAGTCTGCAGCATGTCGTCAGTTCGATGCGCGCCCCAATAGAATCCCACAAACCCACCTGTGATGTGCAAAAACCGGCCTGTGAGCTTTCGCCCGCTCTGCGCTGCCCCGGCTTCCCTCGACCCCGACTCGCCCAGTACGACTGCAGCAGCAGCGCTAGGCGGGGCGGCCGTGGAAGCACATCCCCAAACGAGCAGACCGCATACAAGCGCGTCGCGAGGCCGCAACATTGTGGATGGTTACGGGAGTGGTCTCGCAGGCATCTGGGGAAGCGAAGGATTGTATATTGGCTCGCCCCAACGTCCTAGCACCTTGATGGCTTGAAAGCAGGCGCATCGTTTCGTGGCTCCCGAATCATTTGAGGCTCGTGCCGCGGTCTACCCCTGCGATTGGACGTCATTTTCGCAACATATTTCGGCACTAGACGCGCCTGACCGCAACAACACTCGCACACTGGGCGGGCTCCCCCGCCTCCATTGTCAGTTGCTCGCTGAACTCGCGTGACCCTTGCCTGTATATATAGACACGGTCAGCTTGAAACCTAGCATAACAGGGCTCATCGGGCAGATCACACGAGAATACAAGTGTTGAATATGATTGTTGATTGTCTCTAGGCAGCAGCTATGCCACCACTGGGTGTAAATGCAGAATCTCGCGAAGGATATCGGCCCTGTTTGACAGTCGTGCCTCTGCCATGTAGAGGTATAATGTGCACGTGCCCATGCCAGATATCGTAAATGCTCATGCAACACCGCCGTGTTACGTCCCTGGTGATGCGCCTCTTCTGATTCCATGTGAACACCGTGTCGAGCACGCCTGTAGCGGCTCATGCAATAAAACAAAGCAAATGATGCTCAAGAGAAATGCATCGAATAGTCCAACAGCCGAACACCTACGCTATGCCCAAGAATCAAATTTGATTCCGCCACACGATCGAAAACGCCGTGCATATGGTCTTTGTTATAATCGCCGAAGCGCGCCACCTCTTTAAGTATGTTTTGTCTCTGTCTTTTGTCCGTTGCTCTGCTGCGGGGCTGCAGACTGTTTGCTGCTCATCTCGGAGCTGCGCATCTTACTGTACATTCCTTTGACCTGAGGGACGGTAACGCCGGTACGTGGCCAGTGGTTGTTAACCGTGTAGTTCCTGTAGAGTCGGGTTAGTGAATGGTCGATTATCGCACAGTCGTCGTTCGACTTACCACAAGCGCTCTTCCAGCTCGGCATTGTCGCGGGTCTCTGCACGGATGAAGTTGCCGATAGCAATCAGTTCCGTCTTAAGAACCTTGATCATGATCTCCTTTTGTGGATAATTCTTCGCTGTTGCTTTCTTCAAGCGACTCAAGTTGTCTCGGACTGGTCGCATCTTACGTTCCACGAAGTCCTCCGGCTTCTTCTCTTTGATCGCCTTAGGAGTCAAGTCGACACTGCGATTATGATTTTGGCTCTGGCTGGGTGGGCGAGGTCGCTCCTCCGAGAGCCGAGGCCGATCTTCTCGAGAACGCTGTCGCTCCAGGTCGCCACTGATCTTTCGTCGAAATTCTGGAGTGTTGGTGCGTTCAGGGAGTTCTGACCGTCTGTCAACGCTTCCTCGATCTTCGCGATTACGATCCGTAGATCGGTATTGGTCACTGTGCCTGGGTTTATCGTGTTGTCTGTGATCGGACCGACCTTCTGAACGCCGGATGTCGCTGTTGCTCTGTGTGCGTTGGACCGGCCGAGTTACGTCGCGCGATGCAACCTTTCTGGCATGACCTGGAGGAACGGGGCTAGCGGAAACGCTGGAAGCTTTGTCGGTTCGGCGAGCGGCGTTCAGGTGATGCTTTTTGTTGTTGCGGTGATGGTTCTCCATGAGACGCTTGACGTTTGGATCGGCACCGGTCTTGTCCTTCAGGACAGTGAGAAGGTAGTTGGCACGGCGTACCAAGTGTACCGCACCGGGCGACTTCGCATTCTTTTCTTCGCCTTTAGTGCGTTCCTCTTTCTTGTCGACACGGTGCTCTTCCAAGAAGAACTTGTCAGTCAGTCCAAGTTCTGGGTCGTCACGAACCTGCACCCAGGCACCATAACCGTGACGAGAGATACCCACACTGAGCATGCCGTCTTCTCGGGCGCCCCAAGGACAAGAGTAACTCGCGGGTTTGATGGCATCAGCAATACGGAAGTTGTGCCAATCTTGGACACTCTCAACTGCTTCTTTGAGAATGCGCATCTCGATGGGCCTATCGATGATGGTCTCAGCATTTAGCTTCTTGACGCCGTTGAAGTCGAAGAGTACAGCCTTCTTGTCTTTCTTGGTGATGGCCCGATTCTCGTCGATCTCTAACTTTTTGAGTCTCTCTTGTTCCTGCTTGACAAGATCTTGGCTGGTGGTGATGATAGTGTTGAGGGTTTTGCTGATGATGTCCATGTCGCGGCCAACAAGCTTAGCAGCTTTCAGCATCTCTTCCGCTCGCTCCTCGAGCGAACCGTATCGTTCGTAGGCGCGTACCAGGTTTCGGGTCTCCTTTGTGTTGAGGGGACGCTTGGGATCTCGCTTGACGGTGTCATCCTCCGATGGCTCGTCGTCGTCGATATCAACGTCCCGTGCGGCTTCCAGGGCGCGCTTCTTCGCAGCACGTTGCTCTCGTGCACTTGCAGCAGCCGCCTTGCGTTTGCGAGGAGCGCTCTCATCAAGAAGCTTCTGTGTCTGCTCCTCGTCCTTGCGTTGCTGTATCTCCGCTTTGACCACCTCGAGCTCTTCCTTTGGAATGATGTCGTCCCACTCCAGATCGATCTTAACATCAGTGTACTCAAAGTTTTTCAAGAACTCCGCACCACCATCAGATGTCAGACCTGCAGCCTGCTCAGTCTTGTGTTCTTCGGCATTCTCTAGAACCGAATCGATGTCAAGCTCTTCGAGCTTCTTCTGGTTCCCTGATTGTTCGAACATCTTCTGACCACGGCGTTTCAGAATCTGGTTGATATCCTCTGCAGAGTTTGGCTCCGCGGCAGCACGGTTCATTTTGTCGCTCAGCTCCTTTTGCTGGCGATCTGTAACGCCGTGCTGGATAGTGATAAACTCAAGCATACGCTTGTTACGTGCTCGCTCCAAGATTTCTTCTTCGATAGTGTCCTTCGACACAAGACGGTAGACACTTACGGGCTTCTGCTGACCGATACGATGAGCTCTAGCCATGGCTTGCAGATCTGCCTGAGGATTCCAGTCCGAGTCGAAGAGAACGACTGTGTCAGCGGTCATCAAATTGATACCTAGACCACCAGCGCGAGTTGACAACAGGAAACAGTAATCATCACTGTCGGGGGCATTGAAGTGATCTATGGCGATCTTCCTGTCGCTCGCTGGGACAGTACCGTCTAAACGCTGGAATGTGTAGTTTCGAAGCTTCAGATAATCAGTCAAGATGTCAAGCATGTGAACCATCTGACTGAAAATCAAGACACGATGACCATCCTTTTTGAGCTTGGTCAAAAGCTGGTCCAACAACATCATCTTTCCGCTTGTGGTGATGAGAGCCTTGAGCGTCTCGTCTTTGGTAGCGTCACCCTTAATGAATTTGGCCTCAGCGTTGGGGAAGAGGAGTGCATGATTACTGGCCTTCTTCAGCTCCATGACAATGTTCAACAACGATTGCTTTTGACCCCCGCCGCCCTCGTTGAGAGCTTCGTAGTTGCGGGTGAGAATGTTCTTGTAGTACTCAAGCTGAATGTCGGACAATTCAACGCGAAGAATCTTCTCAGATTTCGGCGGTAAATCATTCTCGACCTTCTCCTTGGTACGGCGGATCATGTAGGGTTGGATAGCTTCACTGAGTTCGGCGAGCTTGTGGCTGGCATCTTCCGATGCAAGATCGACTTCCTCGTCAACGTTGATCATACCTGGCATGAGAAAGTCCATCAACGCAGCCAGCTCGCCCAAAGTGTTCTGAATAGGCGTGCCGGTGATGAGTAGTCGACTCGGTGCAGAAAAGGCTCGCAACCTTTCGTACAGTTGAGACTCGCGGTTCTTCAGTCTGTGCGCCTCATCGACAGCCATGAACTGCCACTTGATGCTTGACAGGAATTGCCAATCAGCAAGGACGTACTCATACGTTGTCAACAGAACGTTGAACTTTATCTTCTTAGGGTTGCCATCAGCAAGGAGTTCCTTGTCTCTGATGATGCTGCGAGCGTCTTCCCTGCCAGTGTAGATGACGTAATTGATGTCTGGCGTCCAGTTGTTAAATGTGTCTGCCCAGGCTGGCATGGTTGAGAGAGGTACTACGCAGATGAAGGGGCCGTCCTGACCACGGTCATGTCGCAGCCAGTTCATGAACGAGACAGTCTGGACGGTCTTGCCGAGACCCATCTCATCGGCCAAGATGACATTAGTCCCTCTGCACCAGTTGTGGGCAAGGAAGTTTACGCCCTGCAATTGGAAGGGCCTCAGTCGACCGAACTTGATGTAGTCTGGCTGTTCGTCCAGCTTTACAAACTTTCGCCGTGTCTTTATGTTTGACTCGCTGAAGTCCGAGGACGGGCGGTTTGAGGAGCGGTCGAGGAAACGGTCGATCTCAGTCTGGGACAGGTCACTGACAAGGGAGGCAGGCTCCCACGTACAAGCATCGTAAGTCAACCCCTTCCCTAAAGCAGCATTAGGATACGTCGAGAGAAGGTAGCAAGTGTATGATGCTTACATTTGACATAGTACTCAGTCTCATCTTCGCCGTCTTGTGCGTCGATAACACGCTCAACGACTTGGAAGTCGAGCTGGCTTTGACGTTCAGTCTCACGGGTGACCATGTGTTGCTCGTACTCCTCGGGTTCCGACTTTCGCTTGTACGTAGCGTACATGTCGGCCATCACAGGACCCTTGAAGTAGTTGTCCAGCTTCCGGAAGCCTTTGTATGTGGATGCGGTTCGGTAGTCCTCCCACGAAGAATGATAGTGTGCCTTGTCTTGCCATTTGATCAGATACTCAAAGTCCTGCTTCTGCGCATACGAGGGATCGATCTCAGTTCCCTCTAAAGGCCGGTGATCGAGCACCTTGTCGATGATGGGGCCAACCTCTTCAGGTACATCGACCCAGTAAGCAGGTCTTGTCTCGTCCTCAGACTCTAGGAAGGAGTCTTCATCATCTTCTTCGTTATAGTTCGTAGCCTGGGCGGTGCGACGTGATGAGAAGCGGACCTCTGCATGTGATGGGGGCAGCGATCCCTGGGCTACGAGCTGTTGTCGTTGGCGGTCCTTCTTCGTAGGCATGCTGCGACGAGGGCCGACATAACCATCAGAGTCAGAGTCAGAGTTTGCTGACCTGTACACTGGTGTAGGCTGCTTCGATGCTGTGGAGAAGGGTCAGCGAGAGCTGAGATGACCGACGGATGGGATAGCAAACCTTTGCGCGATGCTGTGCGCTGGCGCTTACGAGGCACATCTGACCCAGAGTCATCATCTTCATCGCTGCTATCGACCTAGAAATTGTAAGCTTCATCACTTGCGGCCCTTCTAGGGTGGCTTACGACTCGGCGATGAGGCCTGGCTCGACCCTAAGATGAAGTTAGCTAACGAACGTAGATGGAGTTGAGGCCACGTACACTGCGACGCAGGCCATATAACTCGGGATTCTGTGTGATGTAGTCATCTCCTTCCGGGCTGGCCTTCCGTTTCGAGGGCCTCCTAGACTCTTGTGACGCTGAGCTGCGGGCATCGTCACTTTCCGCCTGCTCGGGCGGCGGTGACTCGGAGTCATAGTCGCCGTCTGCCTCGCCCTCAGCATCCACGTCGTCGGTTGAATCTGAGTCCTGTGCCATCTCTACGTCGTCATCGTCGTCCTCGCCTGGTGCGTCGACGTCAGAGGCTGGCTCCGCTACGGCGTCCTCGTGGGCATTGGACGAATCGCTGTCACTGTGGTAGGTGAGCCCGTTCGTCGCCGTCGTGTTGGCCGCATACGGTGATCCGTGGCCGTTTGTGAGTGAGAGGGAGACCGCATGGGCCGGTGAAGTGGGCATCATGATGGACGTGGCTGCGAGAGATGGTCAGCGTGATATCTCGAGATGCGCACGGGTCCGGCGGGCGAGAGCGGGCGCGTTGGATAGAGCGGAACTACGCGACCCAAGTGGACCAGAACGTAGCCAGTGATCGAGGGAAGGACGTCTTCAATGGAGGTTTGATGGAATGGGTCGACAGTCGATGGACGAGTGACGGAGAAGAGGCGGCTGAGCGGCGCGGCGCTGTTCGCGGGCGGAGGACGTAGAATGGGCGACAGAGGGCGCGCTGGAGCGACCAAAGCGCTGTACTCGGTCGTGCTAGGTGTCTTGGGCGACTTGCTGGATGCACCGGCGTGGATTCGCGATGGGGTTGATGGACCTGAGCGAGGCCGGCGACGCGCGAAAAAAAGGACGCGTCGATGCGTGCGGCACTGGCAGACAAGAAAACGAACGGGATCAGTACTCACAGTCCATGACGAAGCTGCCCTCAGGCTTGGAGGCCGGGGTGGGCACTTGGTGGGAGTTAGTTATGGGGAAGGGTGTGAGGAATCAAGTTCGGCCATCAGGGCTTGGGGGACGAACTGCAGGCGCGGCCCACCGCACAAGCGCCCGCCAATCAGCGCCGAGCCGAGTCGCTGACAACGGCCTCGACGACTGTTCGTTGCGCAACGTCACGGCAAAAAGCCCTGCGAATCTCTCCACGGCTCGATTTGCGCTCCTCCACTCCTGCACCCCCGCCGCAGCGTCGTTGCCTGGTCCCGTTTCCCGCTGTTTGTTTGGCGCGCAGCTCCAACCCGGCCCTGTGCTTGAACTCCTCGTCTGTCGCTCGCTGGCACACTCGCAAGCCAATTTTCACCCCGCCGCCGCACCGCCAACTCCGTTTCTCGACATTCTGAAGCCGCGTCCAGACGCCGCCCACCACCACCATGTCGGACAAGCTCACCCGGTATGTCGCGCTGTGCAGCCCGAGCAGGCGCATCTTGACTGACACACAACAGTATTGCCATCATCAACTCGGACAAGGTACCCCGCGCTGCCCCTCCGCACAAAAATTTGGCATGGCTAACGTGAGGATCTTCGTGACGACAGTGCAAGCCGAAGGTGAGTGCGCACACCCCCACGTCCAAGTCCGTGCGCTAAAGCAGAGCAGAAATGCAGGCAGGAATGCAAGAAGTCGTGTCCCGTCGTCCGCTCGGGCAAGCTGTGCATCGAAGTCGCCCCCGACTCCAAGATCGCCTTCATCTCTGAGCGCCTGTGCATCGGTTGCGGTATCTGCCCGAAGAAATGCCCCTTCGACGCCATCAACATCATCAACTTGCCCACCAACCTCGAGACCCAGGTGACCCATCGATACTCGGCGAACAGCTTCAAGCTGCACAGGCTGCCCATGCCCCGTCCTGGACAGGTGCTGGGTCTTGTTGGAACAAACGGTATCGGCAAGAGTACCGCACTCAAGATTCTCAGCGGCAAGCTGAAGCCCAACTTGGGACGCTTCGACAACCCGCCCGACTGGGAGGAGATCCTGAAGTACTTCCGTGGATCTGAGCTGCAGAGTGAGTACAATGATGCGTGCTGCGCGTTTTGGTGCTGATGAGATGCAGACTACTTTACCAAAATCCTCGAGGACAACCTCAAGGCCGTCGTCAAGCCCCAGTATGTCGACCAGATTCCCAAGGCTATCAGGGGCCCCGAAAGGGCTGTCGGAAAGCTCATCGCTGCGCGCTCGCAAATGGACAACCTTGACGAGATGATCAATGAACTGGAGTTGAGGCACATCTTCGACCGAGAGGTCAACCTGCTCTCCGGTGGAGAACTTCAGCGCTTCGCCATTGCCCTGGTCTGCGTACAGAAGGCCGATGTGTACATGTTCGACGAGCCGTCGTCCTTCCTGGATGTCAAGCAGCGTCTTGCTGCCGCCCGCAAGATCCGTAGCTTGCTCCGCCCTGACGACTACGTCATCTGCGTCGAGCACGATTTGTCCGTCCTCGACTACCTTTCCGACTTCATCTGCGTTCTCTACGGAAAGCCCGCCGTCTACGGTGTCGTCACGCTTCCAGCCTCCGTTCGTGAAGGCATCAATATCTTCTTGGACGGTAACATCCCAACTGAGAATCTGCGTTTCCGTGAAGAATCGCTGCAGTTCCGCATTAGCGAGGCTAGTGACGAGTTCCCGGTGGACCACGACCACGACTACAGCTACCCGAAGATGTCGAGGACCCAAGGCAACTTCAAGCTGGACATCCAGGCTGGAGATTTCAACGACTCCGAGATCATTGTCATGATGGGCGAGAACGGTACCGGAAAGACAACTTTCTGTAAGATGCTGGCTGGTGCCCTTCAGCCAGACGGCACAACCAAGGTTCCCAAGATGAGCATCTCGATGAAACCCCAGACGATCACTCCCAAATTCCAGGGTACTGTGCGTCAGCTGTTCTTCAAGAAGATCAAGGCTGCTTTCTTGAACCCCCAGTTCCAGACCGATGTCTACAAGCCACTCAAGATGGACGACTTCATCGACCAAGAAGTCCAGAACTTGTCTGGTGGTGAATTGCAGCGTGTTGCTATTGTCCTGGCTCTGGGTATGCCAGCTGATATCTACCTGATCGATGAGCCCAGTGCTTACCTCGATTCCGAGCAGCGTATCATTGCTGCTCGTGTCATCAAGCGATTCATCATGCACGCCAAGAAGACCGCTTTTGTCGTTGAGCACGATTTCGTCATGGCTACCTACCTTGCTGACCGTGTCATCGTCTTTGATGGCCAGCCTGCAGTCCACGCCCGTGCTCGCGCACCCGAGTCGCTTCTTTCAGGCTGCAACTCCTTCCTGAAGAACCTGGATGTTACATTCCGTCGCGATCCCAACTCTTACCGCCCGCGTATCAACAAGTATAACTCCCAGCTTGATCAGGAGCAGAAGCTGAATGGCAACTACTTCTTCTTGGAAGATGATGCTTGAAGTTGTTCATGACCAAAAATACAATACCCCTCCCCAGCGCCGCCCTGATGGGCGTGCAGCGATTGGGGGGACCAAAAAGGGCAACAAGAAGCGGAGTCTGAGGGTACACTCAAGCTCTCTGGATGAGACCCTTGAGTGTGATGAAGATAATGAGGAGGACGAAAGGTCGTGATGGCGGTCGACCTCCTGCGCTGTTTGATTGAACCTTGCCAAGCAAACACAAGCAACCAGCCCGGGTCAAGCTAGGTGACCGCCATCAACCTCAGGTGGGACAGACACGAAGAGACACATGTGAGAGAAGACCATCTAAAAGTATGGTGAACATAGATAGCTATCGTAACCTCTTAAGAAAACAAATGCCCCTAATATGTCTTTTCTTGTTACAAACAGGTGCATGAACTAACTGCTCAGCTTTCCAATAACTGTTTCCAGTGTCTCGCGCATCTCATCCTCGACTGTCGCTGGCCCCATAACTTCTCCAGCCTTGAAAGCTACTCTCCCCTTCAACTCTTTCAATGGATGCAATAACGCCTCCGTTTCGTCCAGCATACTCCACTCATGACACCAGCTCACCCTTCTCACTGACACAGTGATCGTTGTCAAAGCCCATGCCTCATCCCGCAACAGTCTCATCTGGTCGACAAGCCAAAGTTTGGACATGCCACGAGTCGTCAAAGACACCTCTGCAGAATACGACATAGCCTTCATCGTCCCAGGCAGGAGCAACATCTCCACCTTCTTCATCTTCCGAACAATCTGCAGCGAGCCTGCACACATGTGTTTCCTGACATTCTTACCAGTGCTGAAGCTCTGTGCGACGAATCGGAATGTGCAGCGGGCAAAGTAGTAGGTTGATAGTTCCTCGAGAAGTGCGTGGTTCAGGAGGAGCAGGCTCTTCGGTGGACCTGCGATGTCGATTGCAGCGATGGGCGAGGGTTGTTTGTAGGGGTAGCTGTGTGGCTCGCGGGGGCAGAGGTGGTCGTAGATTGCGTAGCGGAGTTCAACAGGGAGGCGCAGGAAGGGGGAGGTTGAAGGCATGTTGGTGGAGGCTTGCAGGTTCTTAGTTTGATGTTGGTCAATTGCAGTATTGTGGGCACAAGAATGGACATGTCATTTTTTCGATCCTATCTTTGTCAAAGCGTGGTGTTGCTGGTTGCCGTTGACAGTGCTCAGTGGGGCGACGGGATGACGTGCACGAACCGGCCCGTTCGTGTCGAGCATCAAGGATGCAGTAGATCTAGATGATCGTTGATGTCCGTGTCCGCAACTCGCATCGCACAGATTGGACACTGGACGAGCGTCTTCTTCCTCACAACAAGCGCGTCGTTGTCCTCAGCGCGGGGCCTTTTCTGGCTTGTGCTAGAGTTCGAGGTTACGACGTCTTCAACCACCGCACTGGAAGAAGTTTCATCCTCTTTATCCAGAGCAATGGGCTTATCAGATGTTTCACCTCCAGCTCCGCGGATTTTCTTGTTAATTGATGTCGAGATCCAGCTGTCGAGCTTGTTCCTCTGTCGTCCGGCTCTCTCTTTGCTGCTCAGGTTCTGGAGCTGCTTCTTGGTAAGCTCTGGTTCACTGATCTTTGTGTACGTCCCTCCACATTCCACTACGTGATTCGCCCACCAATTGTCGGTTTTACTGGGCGCTCTGTTCATGCTACGCTTCACCTGGCCAAAGAAAGGTGGCCGAGTCTTGCATGGCCCATCGCACTGCCAAACATGCGTTCGGTAGCTGTCTACTTCATCGTGGAACGTATGGTAAATGGTGACTCCGTAACCGCCATGATTGTTGATAGCATCTGCAAGCAGCTGGAACCCCACACCGTGCCCTGTGCCATCGTCGCCCCTTGAGTGCCTCCACGACGTTGTAATGAAGAAGTAAGCGTGTATGGCTTCGTGTAGCAACGTATCGATCGTGTCAGAACGCGGACGGTACTGCAACAAAGGGGTGCTCAGCTTCAGGCGTATACGCGTGAGTTTGTTGGTCGAAGGATCCTTCGAAAGTTCACAGATGCCAGCACATCTAAAAATACAGTGTTAGCATGTGTTTCGCACGTGGATCTGGGTGCCTGTGGGCCGGTCCGACTTGTCAGTCTGAGACCCTGCTCCAAGTGCACACGAAGTGAGACACGACAGTCACAGATGGAAGACCGCGGCACGCTTACAGAGTCAGTCGCGGTGACCATATCACTTCGACGCGTGGCACCAAGAGGTCCCTGAAATACAGCTTGCTATAGTGTCCGAAAAGCTGGTGAACATCGACGAACGGCTCTCCGTCATTGACGATGGCACTGATGGCGTGCAGCGCAGCTTGCTGATCCCCAGACAGTGGGTCCAGGGTCGCAATCGCCTGCAGCGCGGCGTCCTCGTCCGTATTGGGCATGAGGATGGAACATTGGGCGACAAAAGAGGCACGTTTCAGATAGGCGTATCGATACCGTTCCGGAACACGAACCGGTAGGGCGAAGCCGACAGGCATTGGCTGTCAAAAGCGTGTGGCTTCGTGGCTAGTGCATGGGGATCTGGCAGGCCGGTCCGCCTTATGTTCAAAGTACACGCCCAAGGCACTGGCCGTGAGTTGTGCCTGGTACCCCTTGCAGCGCGCGTTATTGCAGCCCATCCCTTTTGCCGTAATTGCCCCTGGTGTGCACTGTCCGCTAAGTGACAAAATTCGAACACGTCGAGGGTCCTCAAAAGATAGCGATCGTCTACGACGCACACTGTTATGACGCACACCGCACGCCTGTCCCACATGCACGCCGCGCCGCCCACAAACACGAGCACACGACGAACACTCAGTCCTCACGCCCGCCACAACACGACGGCGACGAAGCTCTCGCCTCCGCCTCTCGTTCGCCATCCGCATGCGCGCGCTCGCAGCAGAGTCTGAACGAAATGGCGGCCGTCGACACTCCGCGGTCGGTTGATCTCGTGCGCACCGCCTCGCAGACTTCGACCATTTCCAACCCCAGGAATCGCAGCATACAGCGCGTACGGCCCAGCAAGCGCGCCTCCAATGCGTCTCTGAGCCGTAGCCGTAGCAGACATCCTTCTCCACCTGAAGATACCAAGAGTCTGACATCGTTTCCGTCACTGTCACCAAGTCCAGACGCCTCTCCAGTACAGGCGCGCATCAACGGGTGGTTTCGCACAACCGGCATCGTGGTAGACGACGTTGTTAAAAATGGCGACAGCAACACCGTTGCGTCGCCCGATACAGTGAAGGCGATTCCAGCACCCGATAGCTCGAAAATCCAACCACCTGCGACAACAGTGAGGAAGGTGACCAAGTCGACACAGCAGATCGTGGGAAGTTTGATGGGCGCACCCTCAGCTAAAGACCGCTCGGCACTCTTCGACGACACACCAACCGAACACTCAAGAGTGCCTGGCAACTTGCATTTTTCTACAGACGAGAATATTAAAGATGCAATCGACCAAGCAGGCCCTGTTGCACTAGTCAGGCAGCTAGCTGGTGATCTGGCACAGCGAGATGCGCAAATCACCGCTCTACGACGAAGGGCCGAGGAGCGCGAGAGAATTCTAAAGAAGATGTTGCAGGAATGCGAGGTGTCGAACATGGACATCGAAGCCCGACTTCGCGACCTTGACAAGAGCAGGGAGCAATCGAACGAGCTTACAAAGCAACGAACAAGAGGCGACAGTGCACTTTCCGGCCTACATCCGGACGACACTATGGAAGACAGATTGGCACGGGCTATCGAGGACGAAGTAGCCCAACACCCTGACGCTCTAGGTATCGAGACTGCACCACGGGCTGACGTGGCCTCGATTTACTCCATTGCTTCAGATGCCCCACGTGAGACCGGACGGCCTGGGTGGAAGAACTACATTTGGAACGGCGCAAGCAGGAAAAGCAGCCGAGCTCCCTCTGTTGCAAGCATGATTGACAGGGAAGCATCAAGCCTATCAGTGCAGGGAAGATCGCGAGCGAACAGTGGGGCTAAGGCGCCTCGAAAGGCACTCGTAAATGACCTGTTCTTGCCCCCTGCACCAGATAAAGGAGGCAGTGCTGTCCCTGCCTTACGCCGTCTCCAGAGCCATGATCACGGTGGCGAAGGCTCGGATCGCCGGTCCTCCTCAGTCTCGCTCGCAAATTGGGCGCTGAAGATGGTCGCAGGAAACGCCCAAACGAGCAGCACGAAGGCCAGCACAGTGAGAGGCCGCAAGCGCACGGATTCAGGCGATGCAGACCGCACGCCATCGGTGGTCTCAACACGTACTATGCAGTCCGCAAAATCGTCTCTCGCAAACGTCCAGAAACGAAATCTTGGTCCAAATGGCACAATCAAGAGTATTGCTGGAGATACTCCTAAGATTGGTTCCAGCATTGCAAGTCCACAGCCATCCCGCGGCATGAGTAACCTTGGGCCAGTTGAGATGGACCGCATCCTACCTGAGGAGTCACGACCGCCCACACTCGTTCAGCACCACAACCGATTCGTTGGTAGCAGCGAGTATCTTACTGATCGATTTGGGTTCATTTACGATCAACGTCGAAAGAAAAGGCAGAGTGAGGCTGCAGCTGCACTGGCACAGCACAAACGCAACAACAAATTAGAATCGCTTGGGGGCAGTAGGTCCGCGGTCAATTTGATGGGGCTCGACGAAGAAACCGAAGAATCCGCTGCAACATCAAGCGGCGACGTCTCACGACCGTCTAGCTCAGGGTCGGACGACTTGAGCAACAAGCCTGTATCGAAATCGTGGGCCGATTATCTCAAACTTGCGACACAGCAAACTGAGCTCTTGTCGCACACGCCATCATCAGCCCCTATCACGAACGTGACCGTGGAAGCCGCCGAAACTGAGTTGATTAATCCGAAGAGTCAGATAACAATGACCAAGCGTGGATCTTTACCGCCGTCCAGCGCTAATCCCGAGCCTGCACCTACTCGTGTCTCATCGAACCACGCCGAGCTTTCTGTCATAACACCATCAACACCTACAACGCCCATAAGCCCGTTCCCGCCCTCACAGGCTGACCCAGTGAAGTCGTTGCTAGATCAGATGAGCGATCTTCACGACAATATCCAAAAAGAGCGAACGCAGATCTGGAACGAATTTCACAAGAAAGTCCGGGCTCAGCAAAAGCGCGAGGGTGATGCTGCCGCTGACAGCGGCTCAAAGGCCATGCCAGAGACCCTCCTCACCGACGGCGAGATTATCGGCATTGCCAGCTTAGGAAACAAAGGCAAGGTCGGTCGTGCCAAATGGCAAGAGTTCCGGCGCCTCGTCCTCGGTGGCATTCCTGTAAGCTATCGGGCCAAGATCTGGGCCGAGTGCAGCGGTGCTTCTAGCTTGCGCATACCTGGTTACTACGAGGATCTCGTCAACAACGGCGAGACGGATGCCTCGATCGCAACGCAAATCGAGATGGATATCACACGCACGCTTACCGACAACATATTTTTTCGCACGGGGCCTGGTGTGCAAAAGCTCAACGAAGTTCTGCTTGCTTACTCGCGCCGCAACCCAGAGGTTGGATATTGTCAAGGCATGAATCTCATCACTGCGTGTCTCCTGCTCATCATGCCCACCGCCGAGGACGCTTTTTGGGTTCTCGCCACGATGATCGAAAACATCTTGCCGGAGAACTACTACGATCAGAATCTGCTGACCTCTCGCGCGGACCAGAGCGTCTTACGCTCTTACGTTGTCGAACTTCTTCCCAAGCTGTCTGCCCACCTCGACGACTTAGAAATCGAGCTCGAAGCGTTGACGTTCCAATGGTTCTTGTCTGTGTTCACGGACTGCCTTTCCGCCGAGGCCTTATTCCGCGTTTGGGATGTTGTGCTCTGCATGCACGACGGTTCCACCTTCCTGTTCCAGATCGCGCTTGCTCTGCTGAAACTCAACGAGAAGGCGCTCCTACAATGCAACACGCCTGCTGATGTCTACCATTACATCAACCACCAAATGACGAACCATGCGATCTCCATCGATGGTTTGATACAAGCTTCAGATGCCCTCGGACGTTTTGTCAAGCGCAAGGATGTCGAAGAGAGGCGTGCGCGCGCTGTGGCGCATGAGCAGGAACTTATGAGGCAGCGTGAAGAAGCACGACAAGAGCGTGCCAAGAAGAGGGCCAGCAAAGCCTCTGTCACTACTGAGGAGCCGATGTCACCTATCACGCAGGACGACACCAAGAGCCTGTCTGCTAGTCTCGACGCGGAGCTGTCAATGCAGACGAGCCCAATGCGAACACCTTTATCTGGCCACAGCCAGCGCAGCGAAGAGGAAGAAGATGCCGAACGACTAAATCGCGAACTCGAACTTACTGAACGCACGCCAATGCCCATGGAGGAGGAGTTTACGTGGCGTGCATAAGATATGAGCGCCAATCTTTCCTTCCTGCAACTTTCTTTCTACAGATACCATTCTCTCACATCATGTCAATGCATAAATCGGCGCTTTACACAACCGGACATGGGACTTTAGCATACATATACCCCTTTCCTTCTCTGAGCACCGCCTATTGCATTTTGTCAAGGCTCTTGATATCGTTACTATCCTTTCCTCACTGCGCTCTCACATTAGGTCACCCATAGTACCCTGAGTCCATATTTTGGATGCACTGGATTTTGAATGAAAATATTGCAGCAATATGTCGCCTATGCAGCAGAATCCAAACGTGTCACACTTGTTCATCTTCTGCTGATGTTTGGCACCAAGTATCTGTAAGCTTATAGTGCATGTCTTCCTAAATGTTGTCAACGCGCATAGATTCCAAGACCGATGCCCTTCGCTTTAGGCAGTGCGTAATAGTTGGCGGTCCAAGTGAATATCTCGATGGATCTCAGTGGGAAAGGGTAAGTTGCTACTTGCACTACTTGCACCCGTCCACAAATTGACAATATTCGTCAGGGTCCGACGTCACCTTTTTCGCAGCGAGGTCTTGGAGCTTCTCCGCGGAGGTCGGGGTGTTCCATTTGGTCCCGTAATGCTGTGAGTTGCATACAATTTCTTTCAGTGGTTTCGGGTGGCAAACATCGTAGTCCCAATAGAAAGTCGCATGTTTGGTACGGCAGTCATCTGATCAAGAGGGTCCACATCGCTGCCTAGCACGCAAAATACTTCACCCGCTTCTATGTCACATACAGCGAGTGCGCATATTTATCCTTACTAACGCCATGTCCAAGAATGAAACCCTACACGCCATGTATCCACCCATCAAACCCCCTACGTTGCACTACTACGGTCTTGGTTACGGCTCCCGGATGAAGTCTGGCGTGGACCTCGGGGGGCCTCCACTTCTAACAGATGTCATTCTACACGACTTCATTCCCTTGGATCTGAGTCCAATCCATCCGGCCCCATCGGTATGTAATCTTGGACTTTTCAGCAAGCTTCCGGACGAACTGCTGTATCTGCATATACTTGACGAGCTCGACCTTCTCTCCCTCATCAGATTCCGCAATGCCAGTCATCATGCCCACTATTTGGTAGACACCATGTCGGAGTTTCAAATCCTCGCCAAGTGGGCGCCCCAGGTCATTCGTGGTATACTTGCTGTACAAACGAATATCGTGGCCAGCGTGGCCGCGATCGCCGACAAACTTCGACAAAGACATTGCGATCGATGCGGTAAGGCAGCTCAGCAAATCTGGCTTCCAACATTAGACCGTTTGTGTTTTGTATGCGCGCACCGAGGACCAATGCCGCTGGAGGAAGAAGAGATGCTGAAGCATTATAGCCTGACCAAACATGATCTACACTTGATACCCTCTTTTCGTTTTCTACCGACTACTTTCCAAGGACCAATGCTTGCAGAAACAAGGTTACCCAAACATCACCGTCCGTCAATAAAATGGACGGGTTCACCGTATAAGCCCCCCGATTTCGATCCTCGATGTATAAACAGAGAACCGCCGCATCAGAACTCGTTTAGGGTGCCTCAACAGCACATACTATACGATACTGAAGTCGCTGCGCAGCTAGCACTCGAAAGGACTGGGCAGGAAATCCAGCCGCCGACAGTGGCCGAAGACAAAGAGGTTCAGCGTATAGTCGATGATTGTAGCAAGCGACAAGAGTGCATCGACCTGCCTCCAGGGCTAGTTCCCCGTCACTGTCGCCGCACCATGGGTCTGGTCTTTGCTCCATGGTTGAATCTTGACGGAGCGGAGTCAGGCGTGTTTTGTCAAGAGTGTCTCTACATCACCGGGAAAGACAAGAATCATGGGTGGGGACTTGACTACGATGGTAAGGATTGTGAGAGTTGTGACAAGCGGAGGTATGAAGACTGGTATGACCGAAGGTCCGGCTATTCTCTTATGTTGCCACGAGGGCCGTCGGATGTGCATGTGTACCATAGGTAGGCTTACAGAGCCCCAACAACGGTGCGAGATCTCTACAGAGGTCACGTCTTAGCGCTATTCTCATCTGAGATCCCAGGTTCAGCAGCAGAAGGCTTCGGACGTGCAGACCCAAAGACCAATCTATCACATGACACGAGGTGGTAGGAATCCCTTGGACAAGCTTTACTGGAGTACTTTTGAATTAGGGTTTGCTCGCTATCAGTAATTCTACGTGTGACATCGACTAAGTCCTAGGCCACTATTGTTACAGATTTAATATGTGTTTTTCCGCTCATAAGATGTATTTGTATTTGACTTCGTTGGACCAAGTAGTACGAGCAACCGTGACCCTTTGCTCGTTTAACAATCTGGAATGCAGGTTAGCTCGCTTGATGTGCAGCACATGGCGTCCCACCTCTTAATACGCAACCTCTAGATCCACGTCGTCAATCATCAGTTCTGTACAATCTTTCTTAGAACAAACTTTGCCCACTTATGCGGCTCATATATATCGAAGATGACGGCGCTTTCACTCTGGTCGAACGCATGGGCGGCGAGATACCACCATACGCCATACTGTCGCATACCTGGGGGCAGGATCAAGACGAAGTCACATACAACGACACGACCAATGGAACAGGTCACAGAAAGATTGGATACCGGAAACTCCAGTTCTGCAGCCAACGGACCACAGCGCGTCAACTTAAGTACTTCTGGGTAGACACTTGCTGCATCAGGAATGTCGCCCTGGTGACAACGCCCCACGAAAGTAGAGGCTATTGCCGCCAACAAGAACGGGTATGGAAGTTCTCGGTTACCGCAAGCGTACGGCAGCACTGCTCGCCCAGTCGTGCACAATCATTCCTAAGTTGGACCTGAACTGGGCCTTGAATAAACGCACATACCTCGTGAAACGGTACCTTTTTTCTTAGATAGTCATATCTAGCTAAATTTATACCCTAGTTATAAGACTTAACATTTCCTGGTAACTAAAAGAAGAGAAACAGCAATATCGACGTTACTGCTTCTTGCAGTAGAGTCAGAGATGGTTTAAATAGCAGGGCGCCAGCAGGAATATCACTGTTACGGTTTTATAATGCTATGTGTTCACTTATTCAGAGGATTGGGTCATGACATATCGCAGGCGTCTGACCGTCCGCATTTCTTAGATCACCCACAAGGGCGCGTTGGCTGCGAATTGTCGAATTCGCTTGATCGATGACTACGTCCCCGTAATGAATGTATTTGAATGTTATATAGACTTTTGTTACTTCCCTTATCTGCAATGTGTGTTATCTGGAGTTGCGAGCGTTGTCTTGTAGTAAATAATATTATATTGGGAATTTTGCCCTAGCTTCCAAAGCCTAGGAGAATGGGGCCAGCCGCCACTAGTCATGATGAGTATCAACGATCTAATTTCGCGAAAACCGTTCAGCGGAGCTGCCTACCTGGTTCTTAAACCCTTTCATCAAGCAACCAGTGCGGAGGTTAGTAAAGTCATTAGACATGCCTGAAAATGGGCCACAAAATCTCGAGCGTTTATCCAGCCTTCGAGCAGTTTAAATGAACGGTTAAGCATAGTAAATTAAATGCCATCCTGCTAGCATTCGATGCCCACAAGATTGCAGCTGCGAGACGACTGATGCGAGGGTGCTGTTATTTTAAGGTCCTATCGGTCCATGATCTGTAATTTGATACGTTTTCTCTATGTCGTGGATATATTCAAATTTCGAAATCTGAACTTGAAACCGTGGAAAGCCCTCAGCATATATGAGAACTATTATGTCTGGCGAGAACATTATGAACCTTATGAAGGGTTGCAAGGCTTTTACAATGACCATGTTGTTATTCGAGTGGCTGTAATCTTACTACCTTTTACTCTTTTATAGACTATCGAAACCGTCAACACTATTCGATGCGGACTTGTGTTTCTGTCCAACCTCGCAACGCGCTGGGGAATGTCAAATTTTCTGTGTAAAACCCCGCGGCCCAGAGCTGCATAAAGAGTGAGATTTGTCCTACACGCTCGAAGCATGACGAGCCCTCCGGCTGATACAATATCAGAATATGTACTTCATCATCCCATTGATGTGAAACAAAAAATGTGAGTTTGAGCAAGCAATCGACATATTGCTGTGACGGATGTACGGCTTGTATTTGTCGAACAAGGAGCTCACCACATCGCTCATCATGATTCACCCTGATCTGCTCAACAACTCCACCTTCATCATCACCTATGATTCTACCGTCTGTGGATATGTGTACGTCAAAAGCTTGTCCATGCAAGTGGAGGAAAGCTGGCATCAATGCTACATTTTCGCGAGCAAGTATGTCATCCTTAGCCTCCCTCCATGCAAGTACAGATCCATCAGCATATTCGATGCTAGCACATGCGACAGCCCTATGGCCTGTGTAATCTCGATCGCGGGGGTAGAAAGTGCCGTAGAAGTGGACTCCATGAGTTTTCCATCCTAGCCAGGTCCAGCTTGGAAACTTTTTGCGCCGCTCCAACACAAAGCGGTCATCGGAGTGTCCTCGACGACTGTACCAATTCAGACCTAGCACAAAGGCATCCAAGTCACTGCCAAGCAGTTGAGAACTGAATATTGGGATCCCGCAGAGACTCTGAATTTTGCCTGGAAACTTCCGTTGAAAAGCAACAAAGACACCCTTGAAGGCATCTTGGATATCGTCATCGTTGGTAAGTGACCTTTTTAGGTATTCATTAAGCCGTTCCTTGAGGTCCAGTGGACTCTTTCCGAGCCCACGAAGGGGGAAGACTCGAGAGATGTCGATATCGTCCCGCATACGAGCATTATTTTGTGTATGCAATATTTCTTGCGGTGCTTGTATACTCTCGAGGCAATGCATGCCATTGCATTGAAAATACACCTGGCTATTGGTAAACACAAGTTTCCGTCGAGAAAGAAGCCCTTCTTGGTAAGTCCACCCTCGACTGTTCCACCTCGAAGACAAGATTTGATCTTTCGCATATGGTGCATACACAAGAGTTCGGTGACCGATTGCTACAGACGGCTGACGTTCTCTTGAAGCTGTACCAAGTCCAGATAATCCATGATCGGGGTCAACACCCGCCGCTGCAACCACTGTAAGGACGGAGTGCTGGTATATGATGTCCATGCTTTGAATCTGTATCTGTCTGCTCGTAGTATCGTCCTGAGTGATACAATATCGGTCTATCCAAAGGTATCGATAACCCAATTCTATCGTCAACTGAAGAGTGTGTTCAATCGTGCAAGGCAGATCGGATGGAACTACACCTTCTTGGAGTACGATATCTTGATTTGACCTGCCCCACGTATAGCTAAGGGTTACGTATTGTTTCTGGTCGACGATCTCCTCCCATGGTATGATTTTGCGCGTCGTACAATCTATTACACAGAAGTCTTTGGGAACTTGCGGATCGGATTTCTGCTTGCACAAAGCCTTATGATGATCATCACAAAAGCTAAGCCATTCTTTGATAATGGCTAGATCCACTTGAGGTTGTATCTGACGGCCACAGAAGCCCTCTTGTCCTTCAGAAAGCTCCATGACAAGTCCATGGTTATCGGGTCTGCGTGGGTCGTGCGGGAGTGGAATAACTCTGAAGCCTGGCGATTCATCGAATGGAAGCTTCCAAGCACCGAAGTTGCTCCTTGCTGGGAAGACTTTGAGATAGTAACCTGTATGCCCCGCGATATCACCTAATACTGGCTCCTTAACACTGTAGAAGAACCGACACAAAGAGCAACTACTCTGTGGACTTATATAAGACAGATTGTAAAACCTGCCACCCCAGATCTTGTAAAGCTTTGGATCTCTCCTATCTTCATTGAAAATCGCTTCGAAATCTATCCTTCGGCACATGCGACATATCCGATCGGCCTTATGTGCGATTTCTGAGATCTGACCTTGACACTCTACCGTGTCCACCGTGCTGTATCGATTGTGACGAGATGCGATCCGTTGATGTTTTCCGGCGGGCAGAGCCACAGCCTGACTTTGCCGTTTTGCCGCACCACGCAAAGCTGTATCTCTCAAAATCGTCGGTTGTTGTAGGATCTGGTCAGGTCTTTGGTGGACTTCAAGAGTTACACTTTCGCCGTGAGAGGTGGTGGGTACGCTTCCCTTCGCTGAAGCAGCTGACGTAATCTTAGGCATCGTCCCACTGCTCGTTCTGCTGCGGAGGCTGTAGACGAAAGAATATGATCTGTTCACCCAAGGGCCGGATGGGAAGGACTATCCAGCTGCTGCGAGTGATCTAGATCTGAAATGGTACCAATTGTGAGGTTTTAGACGTGTTGCTACCTGCTGCGCCTCTTGATACAGCTTAAGCTCAGCCTCGGAGGGGTACGAACCAATGTGGCTTATGCATGTAGCACAACGGTCTGTGCACGATATGTGCACGGTCTGCATGTGCTTGCAACGCGCGATTGCCAATACATGTGATTGTAACGAGAGGTGTGTCGTTGCAATAATTTTTGTGAAGACTGTTTGATCTGGCCTTATGGCTTATGGACAACAGCCCACTACACCATTCCTCCCATAGGGAGGACCAGCGCTAGTTGCGGAGCACTAGGCTTGAATTCTCTTAGTTCAATCCTGCCCACCTGGATTGCATGATTGGTTAATCACGCCATCTGCGACAGGTCCGAAACTAGACCATTGTATCATACCGAACCTCGCACATCTGCCAGCGGCGCGCATCGTGTATGAGTATATGCAAGCCGTGCAGTATCAAGAAAGACAACGATGCTGAAGGTTTAGCATAGTATTGCTGATCTCTTCTTTGTCACTCGTACTGGCCATTTGAGGCTATGAAGGGGGAAGCTAAAGAATACTTGAAACTATCAGGCTCATCAATTATGTAGTTTACGAACCAAGTCAAAATTACAAATGTATGTTCACATGCCCATCACTTCGGAGTACTCAGTAGGGGTGACACTCAGAAATAGAGAACGCGAAGAACACAGGCGTAAATTTGAGTGCATTGCCTCGTTGAACTCAGCAAGGGTGGCTGATGTTGCATCGACAAGTCCAGTAGCGCGGAGCTTACTGAAGCCATCAACTCGATGTTTCGCTGGTATAAGAACGCCGACGTATGTTTTGCGTACCTCTCTGATGTTTCATCGAATGATGGCAGGTCAGCGTTTCGGGAGAGTAGGTGGTTTACGCGTGGATGGACCCTTCAAGAACTGATCGCACCGGTCTTTGTTCTCTTCTTCACAGAAGACGGGACTTTTCTTGGAAACAAGCAGGCACTTCAGAATGATTTGCACGAAATAACAGGGATTGCTCGGTCAGCCTTTCAGTCGACTAACCTGTCGGAATTCGATGTTGATGAGCGCATGTCCTGGACTTTGGGCTGACAAACCAAGCGCGAAGAAGATAAGGCATATTGCCTTCTAGGAATATTTGACGTTTATTTGCCGCTGATTTATGGGGAAGGGAAACACAATGCCTTTCTCCGACTTCAAAGAGAGATTGGACAACATCATCACAAGAGCCTCTCTGGAACAACGCAGCCTTCTTCCATGCGATCTCATGGACCGAAATTCAAACACTGGTCAGAAGAAGAACTGGTTGTGCCGGCAAATTCCAAATCGGACTGTCAAACGCTCGCTCGGCAGCTTTACACTATGGTCTCACAGCGGCGTGAGCATATCGCAAATAAGCTGAATAGTGTGTCCGAGCAGCCCATATCTGACTTCCAGGAATCTGTTCTGCACACTGTTAGGTTTGAGAAGTGGTCATCAAATGGGGGCATGTTGTGGTGCTGCACAGAAGGCGTTGAGGACAAGTTAGGCGCAAGTACAACAGCGGCTACCATGGCTCAGCACTTATCCTCTTCTCGCCAGGACAAAATTCGCAACAGCTCGAAGGTACTGTACATAGACGTTACCGACATGACAGACTTTGCTGGCCGTACAGTGGAAAAGAGATCGGAACGCTTCTGGGTAGAAAAGCTTATATTTGACGCCTTGGCCTTACGCGCAAGTACGGCCGCAACTCTACAATTGCTATTAGAAGATCTCACAGTGGACGATTTTCGGGTTCTCAGCTCTATGGTTACTACAACCGGTCGCGACTTTGGAGGCCCGTTCCCCTTGAGAGAGGAACTCGTCCTCCTGACCCACACCACTGCCTCACTTATTATCAGTATTGATATCATCCAGGGTTATGGAGATGACATTGAAGATATCTTGATACCGTTACTTGACACGATTGCTCACAACATACATGTTGTATGCTCCAGCAGTAGCGAACCCGCTCTTGCTGATATCGTGCAAGCGCAAGTTAAAAAAAATACTGAATGTCAAGGTAACGTTTGCGTTACTATCTGCAGTTTGTTTATATTAACAGATGGTAGATTGTCTCGAGTCATTGGCATTTGACAAACAAGACACCCGCCGAAGCCAGATCGCCCACTCAATCCAAGACACAAATACATGGATATGGCACCACCCCCATTATCTAGCTTGGGCTTCAGATCGCTCTAGTATTCTCTGCATCGAAGGTAAGGCTGGAAGCGGGAAGTCAGTCTTGATGAAAAGCATTCAGCAACAACTGTCAAGCAACATGGAGACACATACATGTAACTGGTTTTTCAGCACTCGTGGTGGACGCACCTTGATGTCTCATACCTCACTCCTGAGATCAGTGTTGCACCAGATCCTTCAAAAGTACCCCTGTACCTTTCAGCATATGAGTAAAGCCTATCGATGCCACAAACCGGGATCAATTGATCTATGGGAATCGTTACCGGCTATGCAGGGCATCCTTAACGACATAGTTGCCACTGGCTTCGAGGTGCTAGTGCTTATTGATGCGATGGATGAGGCTGAGTCTGACCGGGATGGCATCCATAACCGGAGAGCACTTTTGGCGTTTCTAAGAGAGCTCGTTGTAAACGCAGATGAATCACGCCTAAAGATCATCGTGTCGAGTAGACCGCTCCTTGATATGGACATGGAAGTCTGGCGTCATCAAAGCGACTTCGAAAACATGCATCGGATTATTCTGCAAGACGAAAACCATGATACCATATGTACAATCGTAGAAAGGGGCATCGAAGCTCTCCGAAAAGCCATACGGTCCTGGAACGACGACAGTAGAAAATACCCGAACGCAACAAATGGTACCACATCGAGAACGTCTGGAACCTCGAAAAAGAGGACTTTCAGCCAATTTCAAAGCAAACAAAATGAGCGAGAAGAGGCTATGCTCGCGCGAACCAAGAAATATCTCTTGGATAATGCAAACGGAGTTATCTTGTGGGTAACATCCGTGCTGAATATACTGGAGTCAACCATCAGGAAAACCAAATACACTTTTGCTGAACTAGAGCTGAAGCTCAAGAGTCTTCCTTTCGAGTTGAGTGGCTTATACCGGTACTACGTTGAAGACCTGGAGCGACGAGTTGACCACAAGGAAATGCTCAAGATCCGCAGAGCCCTCATGTTCGTCAGTGGTGCTAATGCGATAAGGTCATATGTGACCCTGGAGGAGCTCTTGGACGCACTGGCCACTCCAAGTCATATCGAAGAGGCATTGAAGTCTGATTTAGACCCTATCGAGCAAGGCCGTATACACATCAGGTCCTGGACAGACTTCTGGTGGACGTTACATGATATGTGCGGACCTCTTGTGGAGGTTGTCAGCATAAGGACGGAGAAGACCCACCCAGCGCACGGCGAGGACGATATTGATGCGGAATATAGCGTTCAATTGTCTCATCGAACCGTCAAAGACTTTTTGGCCAGGCCAGAATCTGCAGGCGTTTTAGCTTTTGAAGACGAGGAAGCGGCTGCTTTCGTCCAGGAGACGCTGCGCAACTATGCAATCATTGTCATGCCACCAGCTCCAACGCCATACACTGGTCCAGCAGATAGAGCCGACAGTGACTGGAAACATGCCGTCGAAAGTATGGCTGAATATCTGGACGACAAACGGCTGCTGCCATGGATTATCAATACGTTTCCGACAACCCAGAAAGAGAGGTGGGAATCCTTTGGCATATTCTGTGCACGTGTACAGAATGCATGCAACGGAAAGCTTGTTTGCAGATTTGGTCCTCTCCAGCCAACCACATCACGGTCTGCAGTAGAGCACACAGGAGGCACCGTAAACACGCACTTCATTGATTATGCATGTAGCAACGGTCTGCGGATAGCTGTGAAAGTCTTTCTCGAAATTCTGTTGCTAGGTCTGGACCCTCACATCAATTACGCCGTTTACGATGCTGTGCTGCTGGTCGCAATCAGACATGAAATGGTCGACTCAATAAATGTAGACCTAGATACAAGCATCTCGGAGCCTGACTATCGTTTTTGGATAGAAGAAGAACATGATGTTCTTGGGGAGCTACAGTATCTGAATCCGTTCGAAATAGCAGCAGCACAGACTGGTAACGAAGCCCTTGCGAAGATAATTTACGACCGGAACACTCGCGCACAAAAGGGAATGCCGTGGGATTTGTGGCCCTTGCTTTCCAAAGGAAGAAAATGTTGGCGACGTAGCTCAAAAGATTGGGAACGTTACCAAGAATATACGCGCAGGCTGAAGAGTGAACGGGAGCACGTCCACAATTCAGTGGCAGATTACGTTTCGTCCTGCATAACGCAGGTCAGGTATTGGGAAGCTCTCCGGATACTTGAACATAATAATGCCCTGTTCTTGAACAGACAAAGTCTGGTTGAGCCCATACCAGTCGAGCACATGGAGCCGGGGTCGTTGGTCTTCACAGCACGTCCGAGCCGAACTACCTCAAGAATGTAACCTTCTCTGTACATCGTCGCAGTGTTGTAATACGGTCCATTTCATGCGAAGGCACCTGGTAATCAAGAAACTAGCGAAGTGATTACCTTATTCGCAATGCATTCTTCGTCGTAATCTTACACCTTCTTGAGTATATATATGGACAAATCTGTAGACATGGCTTGGCGTACAGAACCATGGATGCGTCCAAAACCCTATAGTGAACGCGCGGCGCACGTCACTTGTAACCCCACCTGAGTGGCCAAGCCCCGTCCATCGGAATATGGACGTGAGATTATGTGATCCGACCAAGACTTGAGATGTTTCTCGACAAGTCCAGTTGACCTTTTACTGCAATTAACCATAATCTCCCAGTCGATGGGCTTGATCCCTTCGATAGTCGTGGAAACTCAACTCGATACGCGTCTGCACAAGCGAGAAGAAGTCTTCCATTGTAATTCCTCCTTCGACGGTATATGGAGTCCAAACCTTGCAGCGATAGGATGGATCGAAGGTGAAATCGCACTCCATAGTGATGGTATGCGCAGGTGGCTGAGATATCAGCATCCTCCTCCATATAGCCCCGGGCAGACCCCGTGCAGTACGGCAGAGTGTTGCAGGATCTTTGCGCTTGACATGTTCAGCCTCGGGCGTCGTAGGTGGGCTCGATGACTCCAGAATTTGCGCAGAACGGAACATGTTTTGTAAAATCGGATTGAACACGACACCATCCACTGTCAGCTTCGGTCGTTGGAGCTTAGGTGGATTATCGTAGACCTTGCCAATATCGATCCAGAATATTGGCCGGTGTTGGCGCTGGGCCCCTTCGACTCTCCGTGTGTCTATGACGAGTTTGAAGACCAGCGTTGGGCCGTCGTCAACTTCGTCAGCGTTCGCACTGAGGAACAGCGACTGCTGCAGCTGCGGAGATCGTGAGATGATCGCATTCCAGTGTTTTGATACACGGAGGCACCGTGCCAGAGTCCAGAAGTCAAGATGTCGCAGGATTTCCTCTAGAATCTCAGTGGGTAAGGGGCCCAAAGCGGCGCCTACAGACTCGCTGTCTTGTGAGGAAAATGTATGACTGGCGTCATCCTGCCCCTCCAACTCCGACTCCAAAAGAGCATCGCGGTAGGCGTCTCGGAGATATCGGCAAATAGACTCGGCGTAGGCAGCGCGGCGCATCTCAGGGAGAGGAAGGGGTCATAGACACGCGCACAGGCGTGTCTACGTAACACGAACTGCGTGCAGCACTATCACTCATCGATATTTCAACTGAAGGCATCCTTCAAAGTGCTGTAAAATAGATTAGTTCATGACAGTCTGTGCCGCCACTTTGCCTAGGAAGGCGATTGGCGGGTCTCGGGTCATCCCCATCGTACACCGATTCTACGCAAAGGAAATTCCGATCCTCAGAAAGGTTTTGGAGGAGGTGAAGATCGAGGAAAAGATCGTCGGTGGGGAAGCGTTTATACGCCAAGTCCAGCTGACTGAGCCACTTCACTCAGGGTTCAGCAACTAGTTTTCCGACCAATCACTTACGCGTCTGCCTAACCTCACCTCATTTCGATATCGCGAGCCTCTGTTAAAACACAGCTCTATGCAGGTTTCAGTATCGTTCTGTTGACTCTGCAACACAATGCGCCTTTCGCAGCACATCGCCCTCACCTGACACGGGCGCACGGGTAATTTCATCCATCGTTCGTCATGATCTGCACTTCGACAACAGCGGCGAACAACATGTCTGCGCTCGACACGTTGCCACTTGAGATCCTGTTTCGAGTCTTCGATTTCATTGCAAGTCCACATGGTTCAATTTCGTCTAAATTTCATCCGCTTAACAGTCTTGCTGCGGCAAGCAAACATTTCGACTCTGCTGGGGAAGAGTACACACGTGCCCTTCTCAAACGACATGCCAATTTTGAGCCTCGAAAGAGATCCAAAAAATACACAAGTCGGAAGAAATGGTTGGCTGAGACATGTCAACTCTGTTATAAGAAGAGCAAACGACGCTCCACGCTTTGGGGTTACCTGACATGTTGCTTAGCATGCGATAAGAAGCACTTCCCAAAAGTAGTAAGTTAATGAACACACAGATACAGTCCTAGCTGACAGTCTCAAGACCATGACGAATGCCATCAATCAATACAGTCTTTCAAAACTTGACATTTTCACACCAAACGACCTGCACCCCGCACTTCCATCTCTGGCACATGGAGAGTACCCAGTCATGGGCGCTGTCGCTATAAGTAGGTCAAACCACCACTGAGCCTAAAGCAATGTGACTGACAGCTCAGTGATCTATGAGCCGGATCTTGCTTCGCGACGAGACGATATTCACAGCCAGCTCCGCTCTGTCGATATGACTGAGGAGCAACTGCGCAAACGTGTTCGACGTCACAACAAGCTGATCGCACATATGGAGGTTACGTATGACCCTGTTTCTAAGTTCTGGTACCGAGCTAGCAAGTCGCAAAAGAATGGACAGAAGCCAGCGAAAGGCAGCATGCAGACAGCAGAGAGTCGCGATAAATTTGTGCGAATAGGACTTGCGGATGAGCGTGCTGCAATGCACACACAAGGTGCTTCGGAAGAGACTCCGATTGAGCTCAATTGATCCAACGGATCATGCAAACAGTTGAGGATGGATTCAAACAGTACAATAACTGTTCTCGATTGCGGGACCACAGCTATAGAACCTGGAGAAAGAGTTGGGATTTCGGCTGCTGAGCATGGAGTGCGCGTTGAAGGTCCACTTGCTCATGTTAGATCTCATCAATATATTTACATTCAGCATAGACTAATAGTAGAGGCTTGACAATTGCTGGTAGTAGTCCGCTCAGAGTCCAGTCGCGGGACACAAGCCTTGTCAATCAATTTATAAAACCCGCCCTCGACCGCCCTGATAACGAATCTCAGTGCGTCTTTCTCATACTCGATAAGTAGGTCACCATCGCGTATCAGCGAAGACCCAATCCCAATCAGGTCGCCGTCGACGACGAAGACTTTCGCATCCTGCTCAATTGTATCGCGTATGCGATCGAGCACAAGAGATAGTGTTCCTACTTGTTGACTCGGCTCGACTGAGCAGGGTTCTGGGTTTATGGTTGGGCAGGATCTAAGCCAGCTATCGATTGTCTTTGTTGAGGTGGCGCATTCTGTGTCTTGGCTTGCTTGTACCTCGAGGCTATGCGTTTTGAAGAGCTCTTCTCGAATAAGAATGGTCATTGCGTGCAGCTTCATTGGGGCGATCTCCGACGTCTCGCTACCAAAGTTATCTGGATGGGAGTTCAATGCCATGGCAGAGATGAGTTGTTCGTAGGGGTGATTTAAGTCTTCCAAAGTGGCACAGCTGTCGATCTCAAGATCGGAAAGATACCTTAGTAGACGTCTGATGATATCTGGTTGATGCTCATTGGAACCTGGAGTCGAGACCTTGACTTTGAGGACCTCAATTTTGCCGTATACTGTCACAGAACTCGTCAGAATACTCTTGTCACAAGCACTACGAGTAAACTGGAATGTGTCTTGTCGGCGACTATCAACAATAGGAAAAGGCGCGGTCATGAGGTCGGTTAGAGACCAGTCCACTATCCAAGACGATAGATTGAGGAAGGAGGTACGCTTATGGCTGTGGATTGCCAACATAAGCATGCGTGGCCCAGTGTACTGCATGAAGAGGTATGTGGCTTGTGCATATACATATGCACAAGTCAGAGCATATTCAGGCTGTAAGGTAACGGTGTCGACTCGACTCAGACGCGCTATGCCGATCAAAGCGTATATTCTGTCGCGTGGGTCGGATGCGTCAAGCCGCCGCGAGCTGAGAGTTATATCCTGAACAAGATCCCATAGGTTTCCTAGTCCAAAGTATGGTTCCTCGATCCCATGACACCTTGATCTCTCGCGCTGCCGAAGCTGAGTAGTATACAGTACTAGTGCAGGTACGTCGGCCATGTTGTGAAGGCTTCGAGTCTCATGACCAATCTTACGTATGAGTGGCAGATTTAAGTCGTACGCTGATGAGTCCGTCGGCATCGATAGCAGATTTTCATAGTACACCGTGAGTGTTGCTTCGTACAATCTCACACTTGCGACAAATTCTCTCGCTGAAATGGTCTGGTAGCCACAAACAAAGATTGGGTTGGGTGACAGCAACAGCTCTTGCAAGACCCAGATTCTCGACCACCACGGCCTGTGCATTATTGATTGAAGCATTTTCAGTGGTGATATCTTGTTTGGATCTTGCATGTTTCGAATGATCTTGTCAATGATTTTCTTGCCATGCACGTCAGAAGGCCCAAGGGTCCACCTTTCGTACCCAAACTCGAACGGTTCATTCGGATTGGGTCCACTAGTTAAATTCAGTATGCCATATTGTAGCGCCTTTCGTCCATAGAAGGAAAAGGATCGAATGGCTTCGTAAGACTCCCTTGTCGACGGTCCGAGGTACACAAAAGTCTTGGTTGCTCCTAGGTAGATCTGGTCCATCATTTGAACTTGCCAGCTCTTCTCTGCGTCATCGGCTTGATTTATACACAAAGCATCAACCCATATTGGTAACTACTTTAGTCAGTCACAGTATCTTACTAGGTAACAAACTCACTGGCATCGATTCGGCGCTAGGTATGTGCAAAAGTGCATCCAACAGGTTCGCCGCGATCGGAACATGTGACCCGTCGCCTAGGAAGACGGCGGACGTGGCGGTGGGGTCACCCCAGACGTATGACAAGGCGTTGTATCTAGGTGCATCCAATAGAGATACGCACTCTAAGCGTCCGGTCAACGTAGGAAAGGAAGTGTATGATGTCTGTCTGACAGGATCAAGATGTAGTAATCGTATCTCATTTCGCTTTTGATTGAGCGGACCGAAAACGTGTTTCAGTGGCATTTCCGAGCTTCTGAACACTCAGAGATAACTTTAGAATGGGCGCAAGAAACCTAGCGCTTGACATTCGGTAAGCTGTTGATGTGAGCTTGGGAGTGGCTGGTGGGGCACATGCCTGTCAGTTTCGACGCTTACCGAGCTGCATGCTGAGGACTTGCGATGCCTCTAACACAGAACTTGTATCTACCATAATACCTAAAGCCAAAATTTTGTAGTTGGGTATTGCCTACATTGCAGGTCGAAAGGCAGTCTGTTGAGGTTTTTGGTATGTCCCCTACTTTGCTGTTGTGTGGTGTACTTGGCTCACATCCTTAGTCCCGCCGTTTATCCTGCAATATGAAAGTCGATGAGCTTGAAGGTCGCTTATGTATGTGCCGTGTTTCTTGAAACGTGAGAGGATGTCTTTTCAATGTCCGCGTTCCCCCGTTGCGTACCGATACTGTCGAAATGTTCTGTTGCGGCCTTCCGCGATCTTGCATGACGACGTCGGCCACGGTTGCGCATGAGAACTTCATAGCTGCGACGAGATCTTTTGCTACAATTATTCATTTACTGATTATGAGCTTTACACACTTTGATCAGCACAGCATCTAGAGGACAAATGCTTTTGTCCTCTAAAGGCTATAATCTAAGGTGTTTCGCGCTTATAGCGTCCACCAAGTCCAAACGTAACATGCCGCCATGTACGTTAGGTAAACCTCCTTCTCGGGTAGACTAATGCTTCATGCCATAACTCTCGTACGGGAAGTTCTCCAAGGTGTCATACAGCCTTGCCCAGCCATCATCAATCTCACCAGGCATGCCAACCTTTCTCTTGCCCTGCTTGGCCTCGGCTTCTGTCTTTTCCAGCTGTTGCTCTTCATCCTCTTTGTGTTCACCAGTGAGCCCAGCCAATACCTCCTTCTTCCTGTCCTGGTATTCTTTCAAGAGCCCGGGGTGTGGTACCCAAACTGCCTGCATACCCGCTCTCCGGCCCGACTCAATACCGGGTACACTGTCCTCAAACACCAAGCACTCCTCTGGTTGTATTGGTGGCTGGCCTTGCGCCTCAAGCGTCTTGTTGAGGGTAGAGAGCGCAAGGAGATAGATATCTGGCGCAGGCTTGCCACGGCCAGCGGGTATCCGAGGGTCGTCGCCAAGGACCTGGTGTTCGAGCGCGAAGTTCTGGAAGAGCTCGCCCAGATGCTCGCTCTTGATCTTGAAATTGTTCTTGTTGCTGCTCGTCGCCAACGCCATGTGTACGCCCCTCTTCTTCAGACCTTCCAGCAAGTCCAGGACACCTGGTAGTGGCTTTGTGTTTGGGAAGAGCTTCAACTGAAGCTCCTTCTGCTCTGCCTTAAACTGATCCTCGTCGATAGGGAGCTGGGCCCAGTCCTGAAAGATCTGGCCAGCCTGTGGCCCAGGACGGCCTTGCAGCTGCGCCTTGATGGACCATGGTATATCAGGTTTGCCATAACGTGCGAGGATGATGTTTGTGACTTCTGTATATATATCTTCGGAATCTATAAGCAGGCCGTCCATATCAAACAACGCCGCGCGAATGCGGGGTGGCGGGGTGGTGCTGAGAAGTGTCAGCATTTGTCGCAGAACGAAGGTAGTGATTTTGTAAACAGAACATACTCTGAGCTCATCTTGATGGGCTTTTGAGATCTGCTGTAAGTGTATCGTTAGCTGATCAAGGTACAATTGATACCTCAAGGTGAGTCGCAACCCCCACGAACCGAGGCTAGCCGCTAGCGTTTTCAGGGTTCAACCGACGTCACTTTGCAAACAGAGCCACAGACGCGTCTCAAACGGGCTGACGGACTTTTGTGCCCTTCGATCATCCGCTCTACCATGCCGCCATCCAAGGCCGAACCTGTTACCAAGGCCAACACCGACGCCACCTACACCCCGGAGATATTCCCTCCAGACGAGGAAAAGAAGCTCCTCGAGGAGTCGATTACAGAAAAGGCGACCGCAAACAAGACGTTCACGTCTGGCGAATATAACACAGCAATACAGGGGTATGAGAAAGCTCTTGCCGTTTGCCCATCATACCTCGAGTATGATATTGCCGTTCTCCGCTCGAACATCTCAGCATGCCACATCAAGCTAGAGGAGTGGAAGGAAGCCGTTGAGTCGGCCACGAAAGCCCTGGATGCACTAGATATGGTCGACCCGCCACCAGCCAAAGAAGCAGGCGAAAATGGCCGAGGAGAAGCAGTGGGTGGTGTGAGCGAGATCGACGACAGCACCGAGATACTCCTCGAAGCCCTCTCGCGCACTGGGCACGGTATCAACGACGTCCACAAGCTCCGCACCAAAGCCCTGTTAAGGCGGGCGAAAGCACGACACGAAGTTGGTGGCTGGGCGTCGTTGCAGGGCTCGCTTGAAGACTACCAGGCCCTGTCAAAATCGCCTCATCAGTTGTCTAGCTTGGACCAGAGGGCTGTGCAGGCTGCGATGAGGACGTTGCCCACGGAGTTGAACACTGCGAAGGACAAGGAGATGGCAGAGATGATGGGGAATTTGAAGAAGCTGGGTAACGGGATTTTGAAGCCCTTTGGGCTGAGTACCGATAACTTCCAGTTCCAGCAAGACTCCAAGTCTGGAGGGTACAGCATGAACTTCAATCAGAACCCTGGGAAATGAGCAGTTCTGAGTTGGAACTCAAAGTGATCATCTGTTTGGTAGTTTGTTGGGGCCTATGTCCATCTGCAAGAGATACCCTGAGATACGAAGTCTTCAATACAATACTCCGCAGCCCAATGCTAAACGCCTGAGAGCTACCTCTAAACATCGCCAGTAATTCCATAGCATATGTACCCTCGAGGGGGAGATTTCAGCTCTTCAACGCCTCGAGTCTGCCCCTCATCTGTGCCAACATCTCCTCCTGGTCGTCTTCCTCTTCCTCAACAGGCTGAGCCACAGAGGGTAATTCTTCTTCCTTCGCTTTGGCTGCCGGTAGCCTGTCTTTCAGGATGTCCGATAAGACCTTGTCAACCTCCTCCTCGGCCTCTTCGTCCTCTTCCAAACCCTCTGTGTCCATAAGGGTGTCGTCCACCATCTCCTCGATGATGCCAGCCTTCATGAGCTCAGACGACAACTCCCGCATTGTGCCCGTCAGCTCCGGTAACCGGACCAGCGAGTTCACGTCCTTCATGATCCCCGTGCTTGCCTTGATGCTGCCCTCGATCTTCCGTACGGAGAATGCTTCATTGACCTGCATCTGGACAGAATTGAGTTGCGCTTTGCTCGTGTGCAGCCGACCACTCTGTTTCCGTACGCGAATCAATTCTCTTGCAAAGATTCGGACTTCTTGGTTCGCTTGCTTGGCCATAGAGGGGTTTCGTTGGGCGCGCTTAGACGACTGCAGGATTAGATTCTTGGTTTTCTGCTCAGTCATCTTGAGGCCTTGGATATCGCGGTCGAGCTTGCGCACGTTCTGCCGTACGAGAGCATTGCATTTACGTTTCTACTAGGGCATTAGACGATTATGCTGTTGCTTCATTCATATCGCTCCTACCTGCTCCTCTGGCGTAGGTTTCCATATCAGGCCACGAATAGTCTCCATGGCGCAGTTTCGCGACTCGCGGGGTGTGTTGGGCAGCTGCGGAGGCCTCTGCGCCAAATGCGCACCGTTGGTTGATCACCACTGTAGACCTGGGCTTCCTGATTGAATAAGATAAGGCGTTGTTGCTATCTATACAGAATGGCGACAGATGTTGGAGATTACGGTGTGGCTGCGCATGTGTGGTAGTCGCTATGCATGAGTGAAGTTACAATGATGGTGCCTTGGTCTGCGACAACGGCTCGCTCGGGCCAGCTCCAGTGACCTCACGCTTCGCGGGGCAGGTACATCCCACTAGCCGCCAGGGCAACCACCAGCTCATTGAATTCCCTCGCTGCCACTGAGTCAGCCTCACGTAGCCCATCAGCAAGCGGGAAGCTCCATAACACGTCTGTGATCGTCAGGCTTTACTTTGCTAGCAAACACTAGCCACAAAATTGGGGCTGGAGCTGGATGTCCTATAGCTTCCATTGCTTTCTACGCTAGTCTCTCCACAAGCTGCATTTCTTCCGCCTTCTCGAACTTGACTTCGCAGCTACACGACTCCGTCATAGAACACATAAAGCTACTTGCTCCACGCAACGTCGACTCCTAACCCACACACATACACACAGTTGCAACCATGTCTGCACCTACCCTAACACCCGAGGGTAAGTTGCAGCCTTATCGGCCCTGAGCTCTGGGTTTCGCAATGTTGTTGCGCAACCTTGTCGTTTGACAACAGTACGGCAATTGGCAGACGCGGGCTCAGGGGTGCCCCTCATTCAGCGACACATGCTAATTCGGTTGGTTCAGTCACCTGGGCGCAGCGTTCGTCCGAGCACGACCCTGAGAAGAACTACGTCTTCCTCACCATCGTTGCCGCCGATGTCCCAGAGGCAGACCTCAAGCTCGACTTGCAGCCCACAAAGCTCAGCTTCAAGGGCACCTCGAAACCCAAGAACGTCACCTACGCCGTTGATCTTGAGTTCTTCGCCGAGATTGACCCCAAAGAGTCCAAGATTCAGCACAGCGGTCGCGACGTCACACTTGTCCTCCGCAAGAAGGAGCTTAAGGAGGAGTTCTGGCCGCGCCTGCTCAAGGAAAAGGCGAAGGTCCACTTCCTGAAGACCAACTTCGACAAGGTACGTGAATGTCAATCGTGGCAAGCGCCGAAACCGGCATTGGAAAGTGAAGCGCTAATTGTATTAGTGGGTCGATGAGGACGAGCAGGACGATGCCCCTGCCGATGAGGAGATGATGAGCCAGATGAACCCCATGGGCGGTGGCGGCGATGGTGGCTTCGGCGGTATCGACTTCTCGAAGCTCGGCGCTGCTCAAGGCATGGGCGGTCTCCCAGGAATGGGCGGCATGGGTATGGAGGGCCTTGAGGGCGAGGACAGCGACGAGGATGACGACGACATGCCTGAGCTTGAGAACGATGAGGAGAGCAAGGGCAAGCCTGCTGCCGCCGCCGCAGCTGCTTCCGGTGACAAGCCCAAGATTGAGGAGCTCCCATAAACTTCTGATACCCTCGCTACGAATGAACGACTTGAAAAAGCGGAGGAGCGGAGTTTATGAATGTACGGCGCAGCGGCATGTCAGGGCGACGGTTTGGTCAGGATATGGCGTAGCATGGAGATACATGTTGGGCACACGCTGCGTAGAGCCTTTGTTAAGACTCCCGGCGTATAATTGACGACTTCCTCACGACAGATGAATCAAATGATACTCCCATGATTTGATTCGTGACTCTATGACTGACTTTGGTATCGATCGCTGCACAACAGATGGCCGCCCAGGTCCTCTTTGCTCTGACTGTTCGTTCCCCAGATACAACACGATAGGTGTAAGCTTTTAGGTCCTGGCTGCTAGTCGCCACGGATGATCTTTCCAACAAACTTCAACTCCCACTCCGCCGGATCCTCGCCCACAAACTTTGCATTGGCCTTCTCTTCTAGCGTCTGCGTCGTAACAGCAATGCCTTCGTACCATTCTCTGATCGACTCTTGAACATCATCGCCCCACATAACCAGCATCCCATCTGTACTACGCGGGATTGGCTTTGGCGGCACACCACGCATTTTCAGCAGCATGTTCAGAATATCGCTGAACCTTTCGCCCTGTTGAGAGAATGACGCCGCGGGCTTGTCGAGCGGCCACTTGGGGTGCCGAGCAGCGGACTGCGCGTTCAAAGCTGACGGAGGTGGGGACTGCAAAGCTGACGCGAGATCGTCGTCTACTTTTGATACATGGTCGGTGTGCGAGGGTTCGGACGCTGCGGGCACTTCCCAGGCACGGAAGAGCCAGCACATTCGTTCTACGCTGGCGAGGAGAATGACAGCGACAAGGAAAGTTTCGAAGGGATTGGCTTGTTGGCGTTGCAGGAGGCGCCGCTCGAGATCGTTCATTACAATACGGGCTACGCATGCGGCGCGCTTTTCAGTGGCTCCCATGAGTTGCATCTTGATCAGGCTGTAGGACGAGGGATGGTCGAGCTCTGTAATTGCGGAGCGAGCGGCGTCTTCCATGTCGGATGAGGATAGGGTCGGCGCTGAGAGTGTGGGTGGGAGAGCTGGATTTGAAAAGAGGTGCCAGTGTAGGCTACGGGATGTGAGTATCCGTGTGTAGTGCCAGAGCTCTGTCACCTTGGCCAACAGACCATCCGGATTTGGCGAAGCCAGCCTTGACACAGTTTGCTGCGTTACCTTCATAAATACCGAATCCTCCGATTGAAGGAATTGAGGACCTATCTTCTTCATGTATAGGTCTAACTTCCCACTGATATCATCCTCCCCGTCTATGAGCTCAAGATCCGGTGTGCTAACAGCGGCGAAAATTGCGGGATCAATGTCGGTATTTTGAGCTGCTTGTGCCTGATGGCATTTGAGAGGCGTGAAGGTGGAGAATATACCAGAGTCAGGGTGGTGAGAGGCTTCTATGCGACCAGGAGTCTGATCGAGGCGTATTTGACCTTTAGCTTGGCTGGTGGCATGATATGCCAAAACACCGTGCAGGCCGGCTGAGTAGAGATTGAACTCTTCAGCTATACGTGTTCGTATGCAGGGCTGTTTCCATAGACGCGCACTTTCGACGTTCTGGCACGTATTACACGGATTATCGCCGGAACAAGGCTTCTTCAACATGCGGCATCGAATGCATGCGCCTCGTTTCCGTACCTCCTGTACTTCCTTTCTTCTACTATCAGTGAAACGGCCTCTTACTTTGGGCTTTGCAGGCTTCTGATGAATACTGAAATCGGTCGTAAAGTGCGTCTGGGTATTTGGGTTCATCGCGATTGGCCGTGGCTGTACAAACTTTGAAGAACTGTCATCCTTGGGCATCAACTGGTCCTTGCTATGATCTTGCAGCAAAGGATCCAAAGGATGAGGCTGGAGATTAGGCCATTGTTGGCGTTGAAAGCCCATGCCGTTGTGTGACAGATTTAGGTCCGAGTCCATGTTCATACCGCTCGCCAGTGGCATAAGGTCGTTAGCTGCAGATGCTGCCATGACAAGTGATGGAACCATCTGCGCCATGGATCCCGAACTCGAAAGAGGCATGTTGCTCATATGAGGCGAATTGGTAGGTGAATGGTGCAAAGGGCCATGGAACTGATACATGGACGGGAGGGCTGGCGCGCCAGACATGTCCATGGCATGAGTCAAGCTACTCAGGTCGGAGCCTTCCGTTCTATCGTCCTGTATCCATTCGTCTAGCAGCTCTCCCTGCCCAGCATTGTGGTGGACATGCTGCTGCTGCTGCTGCTGCTGAGGTGGCACTCGCTGCTGTTGCTGATGTTGGTGCTGCTGATCGATCGGACGCTTGCCAGAGAGGTCCAGATGTTGACGCGATACCTCTGCAAGGGTCTCAAGCGCTGACAGCTGCTTCGAGGGCGGAAAGGAAAGATTGACCTTCTGTCCATTGTGCACTGGCCCGGTCGTATGTGCAGCGGTCTGCGCCATGTTATCCGGGAGGGGCAGCTCGTGGAATTGCAGCAGCGCCCGCTGGCGGTCGCGCAAAGGTAAAGCCGGGCATTTTTTAACCAGGTGGTTCGTGAGGCTGTCTATACGACCTTTGGGAAACTGCGTGCGTGGTCAGTCTGGTCCGTAACATTTTCCGAAGTGGGGTTCGCGCACTTTCTCACCGCATGATTTGCACGTGTGCTGATAGCGATTGCTGGCGTCTTCGAGCTTCGGACCGCGTTCAAAGTACTCAAGAATCAGCTGATTCGGCCTCCTGTAGCTTTAATCAGTATTTGCGCGTCCTGTGTGATGTTGTGAAGGCGTACCTGCCCATGGCGGTGAGTTGAGCGGTAACAGTAAGCTGCGCGGACAAGGGTTGCGAAAATGCGGGCAGAAAGCGCAACGGCTTCACTAGCGCAAATGCGTCATCTTCGGGTGTCGCAGCGACAGCGCGACAGCGTGGACGTGCGTCCAACACCGTCACGAATGTGCAAGAACACCAAATGTCACTGGGACTGATAAATCATCACCCTGCATGAATTTTGATCCATTTGAGCTGCGCACCAGATGAGAGAGCTTAGTCACAACAAAGGCCCCTGTAGTTGACGATACGTCCCTTGCTGAGCCTTCCAAGGTCGTTGCACAATATCAGCACATGTTAGGCCGTAGCTTGCAGAAGCCTCCTGACCCCGCCCCCGATACTGCCAGGATATGACCATGGGCCAGGGATATAATCCTGTAACACCCGATTGCGCGACGTCGGTTGCCTAATGTGTCTACCTCGCTATCTACATATTCTTCTTGGCGTTGGCCCACCCTAACTTCAGGATTGTAATTTTGCTTGCTGCTGACCGAGGGTACGAATCGTCTGCAACAAGTCGGACCTCTAACGACGTCCACTACTTCTGGCTGGGAACTATGGCATCTTTGAGCAACTCCACCATGGCGGACTCACCAGATGCTTTCTATGCCTCTAGCAACACGATGAGCATACGGACAGCATTGATCGTGGCTGTTATAGCTGTCTATGTGGCATTGTGTCGATCATTAAGGTATCGAAGGCGCGATACTGAGCTTTCACAGCGGCCATACCGCACCCGCGAGGATTTCAAGAAGATGACTGCCGAAGACGCTTGGCAGATCCTCAATTATGTTCAGGGCTGCGAGTTTCCATGGATCACAGGGAAGGCGTTGTCATTTGCCCTTTTCAAGTATGTACCATACTTACAAAACGTAGTTGTCGTCTAACCATGAAATAGGACTTACGGTATTCCTACAATTTCAAAACTACTATGTGAGACTCAACAGTTGGGCAAAGTCGAGTATGCTGGAAGACGCTACACCGACACTAGCGTCCTGATCGCAGAGTTCCTCAGTTACAGTCCTACTTCAGAGCGCGCCAACTCTGCCATCGCTCGTATGAACTACTTGCATAGCAGGTACCAGAAGGCAAACAAGATCAGCAATGACGACCTACTTTACACGCTGTCATTGTTCGTCTTAGAAGTCGAGAGATGGATCGGGCTATACGAGTGGAGGGCGCTTACACCAATGGAGATCTCTGCTTTGTAAGTCGTTTCTCCCAATGCTTTGTGGGTTACCTATTGCTCTACAGGAAATATCATCTATACACGAAGACCAAATCCTGACACTACATATAGGGGCACACACTGGAAGGTCGTTGGTGAAGCCATGGGTATCGATTACGCCACTCTCCGCCACGGCCCTTCTTCCTTTCAAGATGGCCTAGAGTTTTTCGAAGACATGAAAGAGTGGGCCAACGAATACGAGAAAGAGCACATGATACCCAACAAGTTCAACCATCAGTTGGCAGAGGAAACCACCCGCATTCTTCTCGCTAATGTACCTGATGTGCTTAAGCCATATGGAAAGCAGTTTGTTGCGGCCTTGATGGACGATCGACTGAGACGCGCCATGATGTACGACGACCCTGCACCAGCCTACTTGAACATTGTCAAGGTCCTCTTTGGGCTGAGGAAGTTTATCTCGAGAAATTTCCTTCCACCGCGACCTACTGCATTACGATATAGCCTTGTCAGTGACAAGCCGGATGCGAAGACTGGAAGGTATTTTATGACAGAGTATGAGGACGAGCCATGGTAAGTCCACCTTTCTACGTAACCTGCAGGTGCTGACCAAATCACAGGTATGTCAAACCTACCTTCGCTGCGCGCAACTCCCCTCTTGCATGGCTGCGCTGGGTCTTTGGCAAGCCACATCCTAATGGAAAGGATTACAAGCCTCAAGGCTATACGATCTTCGAGGTTGGGCCAGAGAAGCTGGAGGGTCGTGGCCTCGATGAATGCAAGGCAAATCGCGACCAGCTTCTGAGCAAGGACCGAGGCAGGTGTCCTTTTGCGTTCTCGTAGGCAATTGTAGCCAATCGCCAACGTATGTGATTGAATCGTACCGCAATGCTCGTGTTGGGAGGATGTGGAAGGGGAGACACAGCCGCCTTGTAAGGAGGGCCGAACGCAATTTGACACCCTCACACCCCTGATTTGGTGGATATTCGATTACTTGTTGTCCTGCCTGATCTTGAGGTATCGAAATTGGAGGTTATCTGGGTAAACACAAATTTATGGTGTTTACAAACGTGACGTCACGGTGACTATACACAATTCATGACGACTACATGCCATACCAATTTTTATATAGATGCGCATATACAGTATTCAAATCTAGTGATACTCATCCAAAACATCATTCTGACTAAAGTTATACTTTAAATCCCCATTACGATGGCAACCTCCAAATCGCCCGCCGCAAACCCCTCCGTCACACCAGATCCCAATGTTGACGGCTCAGTGATCCGCAAAGCGTTTCTCACCGAAGCAATCGCCAATCTGTTCACCATTCCTCTCGTAACAAACACATCCTGGGTGCTCTCCTTCCTCCTCAACCACCCCTCGGACATCAACCCCTCCTCTATCCTCTTCGCGCGTCTGTTTGGCGGTCTGGTGATCGGCGGTCTGACATCCGCCTTGCTGGCTGGCTACACAAACACACGTAATGGCATTGAGAGCAGACGTCCAACATATTTGCTCCTGGGTCTCGGAGAGGCGTGCTTGATTCCACTTCTAGTGATCGAGATGCTGAAAGATGGAGGGAGGGACGCTGCGATCACCAAAAAAGTTGCTGGAGTCAGTATCGGAATGCTGCTGCCTCCTCTGCTGTGGAGAATCTATGTGCTTGGTGTCAGACCAGACCTTCTCGGAAAGTATACGGAGAAAAGGAGTGGCGGCGAGAGAGGCGATTGTAAGTTGCGTTAGTTTGGTGTGAAGATTCGTTGCTGACGGTGGTCCAGATGGGTCCATCAGCTCGCGTAACGAGTGAAGCAAAGTTGGAGCAGATCTGGGTGTAGCCGCTCGTGGTGTGGTAACGAGTAGATTGGTATCCAAGAGTCCCAAGACACATAGCATGTCCCCCTTGAGCCTTTTCTGTAGTTTGGCTCTTTAAGCCCTTGGCATCAATATGCGTCCGCCAAAACGCCGCGCTGAAACAAATGCGAAGTCCTTTTGTCTTGCTCTTTCTGACGGTATACGTCACGCGTCTAGTCTTCGAAGCCACCCCATGCATCATCTTCATCCTCGTCTTCTGACTCGGCCATGACCTCGTCCTCTTGCCCTCTCCATTTCCGCAATGTGTCCTCCGCCAATAGCTCCTTCGCAGCTTCTCTGACGACTTTGAGGCCACCATCCTTAGCCAGCTTCTCGATTGGCTGTACCAGTGTCTCCAAAATCTTTTGTTTCTTCTCATTATCCCAATCAGAGTTGACCTTCTCAAGCTCATCAACCCATACATCCAGAACGTGATATCGCAGGCCGTTTGGAATCTTCATGTCGGTTGGATTCAGCGGTGTCTCCTCCATCATACTATTGAACTCTTCGAGAACCGATGATTTCCACTTCTTAGCCGCGAGATACTGGAATGATGCGTTCATGTATTGACGGATGAGATAAAGGTATTTGTCGAGACGTAAAGCTTCAATATTTGTCCATTCGCGGGCCATTGTGAGGAAGAAGGCGCGGATGAAAGGTAGTGCGACGCCGGACCGAAGTGTCGAAACTAATGAGGCAAAATCGCGCGAAAGTCTCTGTTGGAGAGCAGGTTTATCCTGCATCCACAGGCCTGAGAGCCGATTAGCAAGATGCTCACCATACAGTGCGAGGCTGTGAAGCGGCGCGAAGCAGATGTCCCAGCCGCTGAAGAAGGAAGTGACCATCGTTTGACATACAGTAGAACAGTCCTTTCCAGAGCTTCAGCAAGTCAAGCTCCGAGATTTCTGATCGTCCTCCCAGAAAAGCTCGTAGTGAATCGAGCGCATTGTCGCGGATTTCCTTGTCTGCGTCGCACGTCAGCGATGTAAGTATCGAGGGAATCGAGGGCAATCGTACCGCTTGAAGCGAGATTCTTGATAAAAGGACTGTTCTCGGCCATCTTGCACGCTGTAGGGTATTGGAAGGGTATCTTGGATGCAACGCTTCTGTGGTGGACTTTTTTTCTGGCACCCGCAGCCGCGCTGCAATCGATAAGCTAGCGCCGCGCTAGGGAAGACACCCAAAGTTACTTGTTCAGTAACGCTCTGGCAGCTTTCCCTCGCAAAGACTCCACCAGAGCAGTGCATTCTTCGATATTGTGCGCAGTGGTGCGCATGACCCAAGGCTGATCCGTTGCAACCAGTTCTTTTCGATCAAATAAGCGACCGCAGTTCAAACAATGCAAATCATCAAGACATAAGTATTAGGCAGACATTCTAGATTTGGTAGCATCTATTACTAAAGAATAGATGTAGTAGCTACTCTATAATAAACTTTCTACTAATGTGTATTAGATAAGAGTAGATGCTGGCTTTAATTAATTGTTATGTTTTATTAGCGCTTTCTTAGGCAGAAAAATAGCGCGCTAAGCTAAAAGACTTGGCGTTGTTTGCTACACTTACCTTGCGCCTTAGCTACATCTCTATCATTTACCTAACGAGTTACTACATCTGCAAAGCCTCTTTAATATACTAGGCCCACTAGCTTCAACGCCTGCTACGTGTCTATCAGCTTGTTAGGTTCAGGAACCACCTTCTACGCAAGCGGCAGCAGCAGCGCAGCGCTGCAGTCTCGGCTCTAAGTAAGTTATCTATTAGACTTCTCTACACTTTTACTATATATTAGCAACGCCTTATAACATGTACTTCTTTATACTTTATCTAGAAGCTACTTAGACAAGCCTATTAAGCTTAATATTACAAGCTAACGTTATGTGGTACAGGCTGCTATGCCCTCTACGGTTGTAATACCGAGCAGTAGCCGTCGCACGCGTCGCGTTGTCGTAGACAAGGTAAGTGCAGTCTAACTATGCTTTCGTACGTGTAAACGTGTGTTAACATACCTTAGGTCCATTCGGTTATCTGCAATCGCGTTAAAGATGGCGTTCGTACTCCCCCTTTCCCACAGCTCTAGCTGGTCCGTGCGCGCTGTTCCTGACACTCTCTTAGGACGAACAGTATCTTGTCCGATGGCAAACCGAGGAGAGCACGCTAAACCCTCCATTGAGTTGGCATCCTATCCAAGAACTGCAACATTGTTTGGAACATGTCCAAGACTATCTAGAAAAGCGAGAGAAGTAAGAACTATACGAGGTAGCGTAGCTGGATGAACTGACAGTAGGTAGGTCCAAGGACTCCTCGTTAGGATTCAAAGTGCTCTCTAAGAAGCGGAAGAGCCCAGATGCTGGTGTGGAGATCGAACGTCGACCTTCTCCACACGATCGGCGGTTACAACAGGATACTGTGATGCCTTCTACTTCTCGATCGTCATCAGCATCGTCAAGCAGGCCGCCTCCGCAAGCTCTCTCCTATGATGTTTACAACGGAATTTTAGATGCGGATGAACATGGGTTCATGTTTTGTCGAAGTGTAAGCACATTTTTGTCCTAAACCTGCTGTTTCTGACCACTGCAGGCATCTGGGCCAAACATCGCCTCTATCTCTGTGCCAGATATCCTGACCTTCGATATGAAACACACTGCACATCAGTCAGGCGTCGAAACTGCTTACTTGCTTATACGAGCCGCATACGTGAGGAGACTAGAGAAGGTTCCCGGTGCTCGTATCGAGCTGTTCAACACTGTCGATGCCACGACGCCATCACTGCGTTTCCGTTACATCCCACACTACGTGCTAACCAAGGGTGTTTACCAATTCGACCCCGCTACTACTACGGGTTGTCAGCGATGCTCTCCACACATGGGTCAAGGCATCGGTTGTGAATACACGAAAAGGTGTGACTGCTTAGAGTATGCAGCGGTCGACGAAGCACGTTTAAACAACGAACAACGGCAGGAATACGAGCAATGCAAAGAGAAAAATCTATCGACAATAGGACTTCCCAAGAAGTTCCCATATTACACCAAAGGGACTAAAGTCCAGCGTACTGGGGCTCTGGTGTCCTTTTATCTCGACTCTCGTAGACCTATCTACGAATGTAACGACAATTGTCGATGCGGACCAAAGTGTCGCAACAGAATGGTCCAATTTGGTCGCAAGGTCGAGGTTCAGATATTCAAAACTCCAAGTGGCAGAGGATGGGGCTTGTGCTGTAAGGAAGACCTTCACCAAGGACAATTCATTGATACGTATCGTGGCGAGGTCATTACTGATGAAGAGGCCACCCGTCGGGAAGATACGTCGTCTAAAGCAAAGGCATCCTACCTCTACAACCTCGACAAATTCGCTGAAACCGAAGTACTGGACCATGAACCATACGTTGTCGATGGAGAATTCATGGGCGGCCCATCCAAGTTTATGAACCATTCTTGCCAACCAAACTGTAGACAGTACACGGTCAGCTATAACAAGCATGATCCGTACATTTACGACATCGCTTTCTTTGCCTGCCGGGACATTCCGGCCATGGAGGAATTGACATTCGACTACCTCGATAAAGAGGAGGGGGATGAGATGGACGACCCAGGCGAGGGCGCCATTCCGTGTCTTTGTGGCGCTCCGAAGTGCCGTAAATGGTTGTGGACTTGACGGACATTTGCGTCAGACTCAGGTGGTTTGGCTGAGCTACCGTAACAGATCTCTGTTGGGAGTGAGCGTGGTTCGCGAATCCTGATAGATTTTCAGCATCTCTTGGAGATCCAGTGGACTTTCAAGTTGGGCTCTTATTGCGAGCGGTTCACGAGCATTCTAGTGGGCATTTGCATCAAGCAATTTCATGCTTCAGCACTAATCAGATTTGATAATTGCTTCTAGCTCTTCTACCCTTTCATATCAATCTGAATGATTTGCATCACAACATCCTGCTATCTCTTTCATAGTCTAACCGCAATCAAATGATAGCATTTTTCAGTGTCAGATTGTTCCTTCGAGAAATCTCCGCAAGAGCACATCAGGGGTGAGAACAAAGTGTCAGCACTACCCCCTAGCTAAATACTTCGAGATCACTGTGACACGCTGCTGTCTTAATAGCTTGCTATATCATGCTGACTGTACAGTGGCAGATTACCGTGTCAGATCCTTAGTATCCACTCCTGCCAGGCACAATCTTGTAGCACTGCCCCTTCCTGCCGAACATATCTTGAAGATCTCTGACAATTGCATCCGGTCTCTCCCAAGCGGCGAAGTGGCCTCCTTTGTCATTTGTACTTTCGAGTACAACAGGTCCTGTAATCAATCAGCACACCATGCAGGACTATCTGACTAAGAACTCACCAAGTGTACGCCCCCAGATCTTGGGCACCACACTCAATTCTCTTGGGAAGTGTGCCAATCCCAGTTTCACTCTATCCACCCACTGACTTGCGCGATCTCGATTCGGCACCTTATCTGTCGGGTTGTGTTGCGCCTCGTAGTAAATCCTGACATGTGCATTTGGTCCGCTTGTACTGAACCAATAGATGCTAACCCATGTCAAAATCTCGTCATCTGTCCAAGGGTAATTGTCTGTCCAGTCCACCAGTTTCTCATAGATCCATGCTAGTAGCGCGACAGGGCTATCGGCAAAGGCATAGGATAGAGTCTGCGGCTTCGTCGCCTGTAGCATACGGTAGGCTTGACCTTGATCGATGAACCAGTCTGAGCGTTCGATGCCTCTCTGCTCTGCTTCGGTGTAGGGCGTCAAGGCATGCTGAAGTGCCAGTGCAGGCTGCGACGCAAAACTGGGTGGCTGGGCTCTTATCATGTTTATGTGGCTTGCCAAAACAGAGTCAGGATACAGGACTCCCAAGATGCGGGTAATGTAGAAACCCCAGTCGCCACCCTGCGTCACGTATTTGTTGTAGCCGAGTTGCTGCATTAGCCGATGGCACGTCTCTGCGTATTGTGACAGTGCGAATCCGGGCTTCGTTATCTTTGTACTGAAGCCAAAGTTTGGTAAGGAGGGTGCAACGACGTGAAAGGCAGGTCCGCCCTTCTTTTCCCCTTCTTCGAGCAAAGGAAGCAATTTTGTGACCTCGACAAAAGATCCCGGCCACCCATGGACGAACAATAGAGGAATTGCATTCGAATTCGAGTGCTGCTTCCATAGAAAATGGACATCGATAGGATCGAAACCGTCAACCCCTACGCTTTGACGATAATTCGGGAAAGTGTTCAAGTTAGCTTCAGCGTCTCGCCATGAGAATTTGGTCTCCCAGTGCTTAGCGAGGCGTTTGATGTCCTCTAGGGGAGAACCATAGGGCCATTGTGCTGGTGCATCGAGCTCGTCTGGGTAGTCTGCGTCAGACAGCTTTCGCTTCAGCTTTTCAATTGCGGCATCCGGGATTGAGATGGTGTAAGGTTGAGGTGAGGCCATGATGAGATGTTTCAGTGGCTCTAATTATACAGGAGGGTAGCACGTCAGGCTGATGTAGTGTGCCGGCGTAGCATGTATTCAGCAAGTCAGAAGCCCTATTATAAGAGGGTGTCGTAGCTGTTGAAGATTGGCCAGTCTCTGAATGGATACCATGAACTAACAGTCAGAAGAGTTGACCCTCCGTGGAATGCAGTACTTGTCCCTGGCATTAGAGGTACCAGAAGTCATCAAATAGTATATACCTATTTGTAAGATGGTTCTGCCATGCAATTGGCTGGAACTACCTAGGTAGTCGTTGCTTGTCGGGGAGAGACCCTTCCCCGCACGTCTAGCCTGACATCATTTCCTTCTTCCTATGTACAGTAACGTGCAACTCCAAGCGCCCTACAATAACGACTAGTTTAGCTAAACTTGTTTACGCAAATCCACCAGCTGCACACCTCGTACACGTCTGTTGACAGCTCTCTCAATAGGTATGTATCACTTTGAGGTACATCCGTGGACTTCACGCCGCTGAAGATGAGTATATAAGGCTGTTGAAATCAGATTCGTAAAGTCTAGCCCGCAAGCAAGATTAGCCAGGCGTACGAGATTGGGGGCCAATTCTCAGCCGCTCCTTAGACCATGTTGCTGTCAGAGCCCTCGCATGGCTATTGGCTACTAGAACATCAAGCTGCATGTTCTCATAATACCACGTCGGTGGTGCAACGCCACAAGACCGGCATGTTTAAGAGGATAGCTGCGCCTACTTCCGTGGAAACTGCAGGTCGCTTCCTCAAAGTCTGCAGTGCAGTGTGCGCACAACAAAAGAAGTGACCGGTTTCCTGGACGCCTTGATGCGAAATCGTCTCTACGACTATTGACATAGACACTATGAACCTAGCATCTGGCGCTCGGATCCTCGCGTTGTTGAGGCTGGCGGCTTTTGCCACTGCGCAGACACCCTCCGCATCGTTTGCATATCCACCCGCGGAATCTACAGACACGCCTCGCCTTACGATTAATGTGCTCGATACAGTCAAAGTGGAATGGGTGTCGAATTATGCGCAGACGTGGCTCTACTTGTGGTGCGACGAGTACAAGGCTGAAGATGGTGGAGCAAGAGTGACTTATGAATGTAAGTAGTGCAGACGCTCTTGACGGCAGGGCACTGATCAATATTTAGGGTTCAGCAAAGAGGTGTTCGCCTCGGGGGATACAACTTACACTCCGTGGGATGCGCTCGAGTCCGACACCAACAATCGAACTGGAAAATTTCCATACGCATGCCATTTTGATCTCGTCTACGACAAAAATCAGCGATCAGCCGTCAGTGGACCCAATCTCAACATCACGTCAAGGGAAGGCGAAACGATCGCAACTACCTTTGGGCGCCGTGCGACTCAGATCAGCACAACGGTACCGACATCAACCTCGTCGTCTTCCGTGACGAGCACTGTCAGCCAGACTGCCTCATCCGGCACTGCAACAAATTCAATAAGCCCTCCGCCATCAGTCGCCAAAGACGGCCTCTCGACTGGTGCTAAAGCAGGCATCGCCATCGGTGCTGTCTTTGCTGTGATCGCACTCGCTGCTGTGGGATATCTGTTCTACCGCAACCACCGCAGAATCAAAGAGCTAGAAGCGAGAAGCCTCCCTCAGGGGACGGATACAGAACCAAAGGCAACACCGACGGAGTACTACAGACAGAATTATCAGCCTGTGCCGCCGTCAGAGCTGGGCCAGCATCCAACGTACGAACTACCAGCACAGCCACAGGAGCTCTCTGGCGTGGAGGCAGCCAACAAGCAACGCTGAGTTATAGAAAAGGAAAGTGTGGCTGTTGATACCCCTGTTAGAGACTTTAGCCTCAGGGTGTCCGATCATTCAATAAGAACAAAATTATCTGGGTCTTTGCCGATTATTGTTTTCAATAAGCTACGATGCGGGTGATCGGATCTCGGTCGTGGCTGCCAGCATGCACATGGATCTCTGCGGACCGAGGTGCAGCCCGACCACAGCGTGAATTTGGTGATGCGGAACACGCGTGCCGATACCAAACCACGTTTCAGCCGAGATCGAACTTCAAGACAATGAAATTCCACCGTAATACTGTACGGCAGTGGCACAGGGCCCTCTGGCATTTGTCCGAAGGTATGACAGGATTTGTCCGTTGGTATGACAGGGCGCTCGCCTGAATATGACCTCGAAGTAAAATGACATCTCGCGTACAGCCTCGTTCAGGGACCCCAGATCACGAGAAAGGAGACACCACACCGAAATGGCGTCGCTCGAAATAGCAGCGCAGCACGGACCGGATATTGCGGAACAAAACAGATGCCAAGATGCGAGCTTGCATTCCTTCTGTTCTCGTGACATGTTCATAACAAATGTACAGTCCAGCTTCGACTTCTCTTGAAGCTTTGGGGAGCTCAAGAGGAGTTTAGGAAGAGTGCGATCAACTAGTAGCGCGCCGCGTTGAAGGTCGCGTGGTTCAGGGATGCGAATTGTATTGATCAGCCCGGAAGGTAAGCTTTCACGCTGCCGTCGCTTCTTGGCGGCCCCAATGAAGTTAGTAATTCGGTATGTGGTTGGCCCAGGCACCCAGGAACTTGCGCCTGGTGACCGGCACGCCTCGTTCAAGCCACCGCGGCACTCCTAGGACCATAGCCTGCGCTACATAAGATGGAGGGGACCGCGCGGGGTGCATGGCCAACCGCTCTTGCGCCATCACTCCCTCAGAAACTGTTGTTGATCTCATATTGTTGTTGCATTGAAGACTTGTGGGGAACCCTGTCACAGATCTGAACGTATCCGGAATCCAGGATGAGGCTCTTTGCTACTCTCGTTGTGCCTTTGGTCGGCGCGCGCGTCATACGGTTTGAGCCACAGGTACCCATTATACAAAAGGAAATTGAAGATGCTTCTGCACCTGCAGTTGGTGTGCACTTCACCACCTCGTATGCGACAGCTGCTGCGAAGTACGAGAATGGTACAACAGTAGACCTGGTCAGGGTATGTCCTATATGCTCCTGTCAGTATCGACCTACTAACGGGCGCTCAGATAGATGCCGATTCTGATTACATTGACTTGATGTCACAGTGGACAAATTCATGGAAGGAGTTCGATTGCGAAGGTCCGGTCCAGCGACTGCGATGCGATCTTGAACAAATACGGCGCGAAGCCCGAAGACGACTCAGATTGCCCATCACACAGAACTCAGCAACGCTCAGCAAGTTCGTCAAGAAGGTGCGAAGCGCTGTCGAAGCAGAGTTGGGAACATCAGTATCCACCATCGCTCCTGTGGCACCTCAGATTGTTGGCTGGGATTCCGAAGACTTTGAAGATGCGCTGCATCTCGCTGGATTAACTTCCCTAAGACTTGGTGACAAGCCGACATACTGGGACACGAATGCCGCATTTGCAGGGATGGGATACGGACTCTGTGAATCCAAGACGGACTTGGCAGAGTGTCTGGAAGAGGAGCGACAAATGCCCTATGAGCACGTGCTGTTCTTAAACTTCGACAAATCTTCCTTCAGTGCGACAGTGCAGTACTTGCAGCATGCGGATCAGGAGTGGTCCTATTCCAGCAGGGCTGACATGACTCTCGGATGGTGGAACCTGCCAGTCTTTGAAGTCTCAAGGGCAAGGTTTTGGGCACAAATACACGAGGTCATCCTTGAAGTAGCCGGAGCTCTGCAGAGGGCGCCAAACAAGATTGTGCTGCTCGGAGAGCATGGTACAGATTCAGAATTTCTGGATGTTGTCAAAGCTGCTCTTTGGGATGTTCTAGAGATCGACGTCTCCTTACTGTTGAGTGCGAACAAGGCTGAGGATGTGCGCATGCTGTCGGCGCGTGGGGCAGCAGAATTCGCAAGGAGAGCGGAGACATGGAAAGATTGGAAGAGGACACAAGACGAAGCTGAGAGCATTGAGCTCTGAAAACGGAAGACGGACGCACCACCTTATAATTCCATGATACCCAAACTTAGTCGTAATGTAGACATACAGCGATAATACTACACTATAATTCAAACTAATTCGAACCTCTCAGCATGTCTGGAATCAACACTTAGATTGCAAGACGTACAATGTGACAAAAGCAGCAGCAAAGTCAGATGTAACGGAACATGTTGTTCCTAACACTTCTCTTCATTGAGACTGGTTGCCCGTCTTCGTACTCGATTCCGGATGCGCCGCCGTCTCCCGAGCGTTCTTGCATTCTTAGCTGAAAGTCGGCATCGAGCTCTGCTTGTGTCTTCACCTTGGCTTTCGCTTCTTCGACATGGTCTACATCCTGACGGGGGTTGGGGTTCCCCTCAGGCTTGATAGATGATTGCTGCCCTTCTAAGCTGTGAGACACAAAACCCGTAATATTGTACCTACAGGCTCTTGCACCTTGTCGTGCTTCGATCCACCATCACTGACTTCAGTCGAAGAGGACTTGCCAGAAGCGGCGACTCTAGATGTGCTGAAAAAGCGAGCTGCAGGAACGCCACGAGAGATGGAACGCAGGTTCATCATATTGAATATGTGTGTAGAAGAGAAGATCTGAATAAGAGAATACAGCAGATCACAGGTAAAGTAATGAATATACGTCACCGTGACTGCTCGTTCTGGTGACGCTCGCTGACTAAGGTAAAGTCTGCCAAGGTGAGTTAGCCTCCACAACTTTGAAGCTTTGCGACCGCGACTGCGATCGTCAAACACGCGTCCACCGACCACGCTCACTTCAGCACAGGAGCACCGGAGCCCCTTCGAATCGCCCCGGAACCACCGTCAAAATGGTCGTCACCAAGGTCGGTCAGTGGAGTAACGTCGAGGATGAGGTGCTCAAGGCGGCCATCTCGAAGTATGGCCTGAACCAATGGGCGCGATGCGCCTCGCTGCTCGCAAAGAAGACGGCCAAGCAGTGCAAGGCGCGATGGAACGAATGGCTCGATCCGTCGATCAAGAAGACGGAGTGGTCGAGGGAGGATGACGAGAAGCTGTTGACCATGGCCAAGCTGCTGCCGACCCAATGGCGCACTATCGCCCCGATCGTCGGCAGGACCGCGACACAGTGCTTGGAGCGATACCAGAAGCTGCTCGACGAGCAGGAGTCGAGGGAGAGTGGAGACCTGGGGCTGGCAGGTCCAGAAGGCGGAGAGTCAGCGGCACCCACCGCCGACGAGGTTCGAAGACTGCGCCCCGGCGAGGTCGATGCATACGCGGAGAGTCGACCTGCTCGTCCTGACGCGATTGACATGGATGAGGAGGACAAGGAGATGCTTTCTGAGGCACGCGCGCGTTTGGCCAACGTCAGCGGCAAGAAGGCGAAGCGAAAGGCGCGCGAGAGGCAGCTGGATGAGTCTCGCAGGCTCGCCCTGCTCCAGAAACGCAGAGAGCTCAAGGCAGCGGGTATCAACATCAAGATCACGCCGAAGAAGGGCAACCACATTGACTACAACGCCGACGTGCCGCTCGAGAAGGAGGTTCCTTCAGGCTTTTTTGATACCGTCGAAGAGCTGGACCACAATGAACGGCAACGAGAGGCCTACGACCCACGGAAGCAACAACTTGCCAACAAGCGCAAGGCGGACCAACAGGACGATGGTGGAGAGAGCAAAAAGAAGAAGAAAGATGAGAAGGCAGGAGGGCTTGCAGCGTCGTATGCGAAGGCTGCGCAGATGCAGAGAATTCGGGAGGCGGAGCAGAGCAGCAAACGACGCGGACTGGTGCTGCCGGCACCGCAAGTCGGCGAAGCTGAAATGGAGGATATCGTCAAGATGGGCATGTTAGGAGAGCGAGCTGCCTCTGGGAGTAACAGCGACAATCTCGCGACACGGGGCTTGGTGGGCAACTACTCGAGCATCACCAGCAGCACCCCGATCCGCACACCGATGGCGCCGAAGGAGGAGGACACGATTGCGAACGAAGCACGAAATGCCCGTCTACGAACAGAAACCCAATCGGCGTTGCTGGGAGGTGACAATCCCGACTTCGAAGAGGAAGAGGCTCCGGCGTCGTTATCTGCTCCCTCCACACGGCACCAGATAGTCACACCAAACCCCCTCGCAACACCATTCAGGCAGGGAGTGGGCGCGACACCCATGCGCCAAGGGCCAGGAGCGACACCAATGCGCACACCACGTGATACATTGCGGTTGAACGGCGAGGATGGCGCCATGCAGCTAGTTGGCCAGACACCACGCGACATTAGACAACGAGAGCAGGCCAAGCGATCGGATCTGAGAAGCAGACTCGCGGCCCTGCCCAAGCCGAAAGAGGAGAGCTGGGAGTTTGAGCTCCCCGATGAAGCCGCAGAACCGCAGCCCATGGAGCTCAGCGAGGAAGACGCCGCTGAACGGGACCGCCGCGCTCGCGAAGCAAGAGAAGCAGCCGAACGCGCCGAATTCGCCCGCCAAACACAAGTCGTCCAACGATTTCTCCCCCGCCCATCAGTCGTCGACATTGACGTCCTTATGAAACGCGCGCTCAACATCTCAGACCCGTTTGAGCGCGAAGTCGAGCTGGAAATGGCGCAACTCATCGCCCACGACGTGAAGAAGTTTGGTTCTGGTCAAGTCACAGGCACCGTAAAGCCACTGCAAAGGCACTCGGACGAAGCCCTGCGCGCCGCCAAAATGGAGCTCGCACTCGAATACGCGCTGCAATCGTCCTCCGACAAGACCAAATTCGCAGCAGACGTCACCGCCTCCTGGACCGCCCTGCACGGCTCCACGGTCCTCCCGGGCATCGCAGGCTACGCCGAGGACGAAATCGACGAGCACCAGCTCCTCGCCGAAGCCTTCACGGCCGCACAGGACGCCATCGTCGACGCCGCCGAGCGCGCAAACAAGATGGAGAAGAGCCTCGCCAAGCACCACGGCGGCTACATCCAGCGCGGCAAGCTGCTGCGCACCAAGATCGCCCAGGCCCACGCCGCGCTCGACTCGCAGCGCTGCGATCTGAGCAGCCAGCGCGCGATGATGTATGCAGAGCAGACGGCCATCAGCCGCCGGCTGGAGAGTCTGAGGGAGGAGGTCTCGTTCGTGACGAGGCGCGAGAGGGAGGCGCAGGAGCTGTATCGCGCGAGGCGGGACGAGCTGGAGGGGCTGCAGGAGCCGGTCAACGGCGTGCACTGAGGGGCTGTAGGGATTGCAGGCGGGACTGTAGGGACTGCACGGCGAGGCTTGATATCCATGTATTCGTTCACATTGCCTGGAATTGGAATTGGCATGGGCCGGCGTTAGCACACTGTACGATCAAGCAGTGATTGTTGCACATGCATGGAAGGGATGATGGGTTTCAGGTCATCAATTGGAGGAGCAATGGTTCTCAAAACATACTTGAAAAGAACAAGTGATTCTCAAAGCACAATTGAACAGCACGAAGGATTCCCGGCATCGACTGAAAAGACGCACAATCTCAATGGAAGCAACGAGTGAATTCTCAAGTCTATGTCCAAAACCGCACCGGGGTATAAAAGCCGCCGCCACGGGCGCCGTCAAAAGCGACAGCCAGCCCGTCGCGGGGGCGAGAAGAAGATGTACAAGGAAAGTCCGCGCTCCAGCCAGACCAGACCGCGCCGAACCAGACCAGACCAGACCAGGCTGAACCGAACCCTCGCGCCAAGTAATAAATGAGAAAGAAGGGAGGACTCCCAAACACCGCCGTAATCGTCACACATCGCATCATCCCCGCCCGCCCTCACGCGCTCTCGAAAGCGAGAAGAGAGAAGACACAGCAGTCTAGCACTTCCCATCCAGAACCTCGAAAATCCCCACCACGCCCTCACACTCCTCCCGCGGCCGGGGCTCCAGCACCTGCAACCCGACCGCGAACACCCGTGCCTCGCGCGCGCTCTCAAACGCGCGCTCCGATGGCGCGCGGCGTAGCGCGAGCACATCCGCGAGACTATGCGCCGAGCGCATGCTCTGCGGGGAGGGGTTGCGGGAGTGCGACGAGGAGTGCGAGGACGAGGGTGAGTGCGAGGGCGAGTGCGAGGGCGAGTGCGAGTGGGTCAGGGGCGTGGTCGAGGTGCTGCTGTATGAGGTTGTGGAGGCGGAGCGCGAGGAGCGTGGGGGGCTGAAGGCGGTGCGGAGGGTGCGCATGTTGGTGCGCAGGGGCTGGAAGGAGGCGGAGAAGCGGTTGCTGCGGGTCGACATGTTGGTGGTAGTGGTTGTTGGTGGTGGTCGTTGATGTTGTTGGTGGTCGTTGTTGTTGGTGGTGGTCGTTGATGTTGTTGGTGGTCGTTGATGGTGGTCGTTCTTGGTGGTCGCGGTTGGTGGTTGATATCGTCAACGTGAACGTAACGAGGGTGGCAGATCCAGCTGTCGATTTGAACGCGAAGACGGGGGTTCTTCAAGAACACAGTGTGTTTAACGCCGCAAGGGAAGTGTTACGAGTCGCCTCGCACGCAAAGAATGTTATGACGTGGATAGTCCGTTGTTGGGATCGTAACACAGGAGTTACGCGTGGCCGCCGCGTCTGGAAGAGCTCAACAAAGTATGCTCTAGCATGTACAGTACAGTCCGCACAATCAACACAGCCAGCAAAGACTCTCGGGCTTTGAGTGAAGAAGTAGCAGCAGCAGGTGGGCAAAGAACGGAGGGCAGAGCAAGCGTAGTCGCAAACGAAGGCAAGGGGCGGTCTTGAAGTAGTAGCCAGCACACCGGCCGCTGCTGCGACGAACGACGGACGTTTAAGTGCGTGTCGCAGGTCGCACACCCGTGCGCCAGACGTCCCAGACGCTGCAAGTCCGGGACGGTCCCTGCGCGCGGTCCCCCCCAGCGTCAGAGTGGGAGCGTCAGAGTGGGGAAGGCATCCCGGCCGTTTGATCAGCGCAGAAACATCCGGCATACTGCAATCGACGCAAGCTCCTTGCCTGTCGCGCACCAAGAACCCCGCTGGCTGGACGGCCTGCACGCCAGCGACCAGCAGAGCGGAGATTGCAGTCTGGAGCGTTCGGACTTGGGGGCGCGCGGACTTGCGTCGGCCTTGACGAGGTTGTCGTGAACCACTCATTCTGCCTGAACAACGCGCCGCGACTGTCTGGCTGCAGCAGTGCGGCCGAGTATCCGCCTCCCTTGCGACGCCGCCGCAGCGGAGCCAGGAGAGGGAGAGCCAGGAGAGCCAGCAGCCCGCCGCAACGCATCGCAGCCCGCAGCGCAACACCCACCACCAGCACCCGCGCACATGAAGCCCACAACGTCGCCGCCGCCCGCGCCCGCCGTCTCAACCACAGCACACGCGCATGCAGCACGCGCACGCACACGTTCCTGCAACAAGCGACGTGCTTCTGGAACACGCGCGGCGCTGGCGTGCAGATGCACCAGCGTTTCAGCCGGGTCGGGGGCGCATGGGCATGGGCATGTGGGCGCGGGGACCTGCGGCGGCGAGGAACGCAGAGATGTCCTGCGGCGGCGAGATGTCGTGGGGAGGTCGCGCGGGCGTGGACGGGTCGCGCGTGGTGGGTGACACTGGGAGTGGGTTGTAGAGTGCTGCCAGCGCAGCACCGCGGGGCGGGCGGGCATGTCTGTCGCTCGAGAAGGACGCGGGAGTGGAGCCGCGGCGGACCAGCTCACACGTCACACACCGCAACGCTTTGTACGCATGCGAGCGCGCTCAGAAACCGCTCTGCGGCGAGTCAAGAATTAGAAGAATCGCAACACTACACGACGCCGCCGCTATGCTATGCTAATCGCTGCAAATGCCGTCCCCATCATGCTGCCCCCCGTTTCCGCAATGCCAAACGCGAACATACAAAACTCTAGTCTATCCTGTAATGTGCTACACGTCTACGTGCTATAGCGCACTTCCTATGTGTTGGGGTGATGCCGGCCATTGCTATTCTAGGCCATGCCAAACGTTTATGCAACGTCCTTCGTACCAGCTACCCCTGCCCTCATCGCCTCTGCCGAGTATGCCTTTGAGGGGTTGTGTGTTTGTTTGTCATGCTGTTCCTGGATATGTACAGGCAGAATTTTAAATTTTGCGCAGCTCCAGGAGTCTGCAATCCGCCACTCCAATGCGCAAAGATCGCTGTCCGCGTAAGAAGATCGACCGGACGCTGCCGAGCTTGTATACTGCGCTTCGTGTAGAGTGACCAGTACTGATCGCGACCTTTCTGGTGAGCGTTATTTATGCACCTGGACATCACGCAGATGCGTCATCATTGTCCGGGTGCTCGACGTGTTGTAAAGCTTCGGCGAATACTCTCGCCCCAAGCTGAGCTATCGAGAACCTCCAGCACGTCAGCCGCACTGACGGCGCTGTTGGCTCTGCTGCGGGTGTCTGTCGGCGCAAGTTGCTCCTCGAGCGGACTGGGCGGCCGACTGAGCGAAAGAGCGGATGCAAAATGCCAGTCGGGATCGGCGACGGGCGAGAACGCCGACGCTCGTGGTGACGACGGCGACAGCGGTCCCGCGTAGGTTGGCGAGCCTGTAGGCGTCATTTGAATCGAATTTGACCGGCTGCGTACCGATGTGTCCAGGCTCGGGATGGAGCGGAGGCTGCCTCCCGAAAGACGGTCTCCAGCATGCAGATCCGTTGGCGAGAAGAGCGGACTTCCGGCACGAGATGGCTGTCCGCGCTGCGCGTCGGTGATGTCCTCATCGTCGACAAAGATTTCGGGCACATTGAAAGTTGGCATCGTCGCCATGCGGCCTTGCTTTTTCTGGTCCATTGCGCGACGGAACCGACGAGCCCAGTACAACGTGTCGAAGAAGCCAACAACAACGTTTCGTCTGACAGCTTCTTCCACACGCTGCAGGCGAGCCCTGCGCCGTAGGAATTCTTCCAATCTGAAGCATGTTAGTATACTCCGAGTGACTTGAGTCAAGCACGCACCTCAAGCTCTTGTTGTCGTTGATGACTTTGTGGTGAGCGAGAATCATGAGCAGCGAAGTGAACTGAATGCCTCTGTCCGGGTCACTTGACACGAGCACCTCCTCGCAAAAGGTGTTCATGCGTGCCCTTCTGCGACGGATCTCCAGAATCGGCAGTTGCGCAAGTCGGCGGTTGAGCTTGTCAAGATCGATCTCCACGTCGTGGTTCCCCAGGTTGAGATTAGAAGCGCGACGGGACGTGGTTGCACAATCTTCGATCAGTCGACCTACGGTGAAATCACCATCATAGATCCGCATCTCGAAGATGCCAGATAGTTCCTATATATGTCAGTACCGTGTCTACATGGCGCCAGACGTACTTACACCCAGAAGTCTCGGGAAGACGTCTTTCGAGATATAGCCCGTTCCGTTCGGATCGAACTCAGCCCAAGCTTGCTTGAAACGTCTAATTTCCTCGCGGCTGATGACTGATAGTCCACTGCTCCGCTGATAGACGTAACTGAAACTCTCGTAAATCAGGGAAACGAACAGGTTGACGAAGATGTACATGCTGAGGATATTCCAGCTAATGAAAAGCGCTCGGGCCCACTCAGAGCTACCGCAGTCACTCTCAAAGTATCTTGCTCCTTCCGTACAGTAGGGCTGTTCGACAGCGGCGAAGTCTTCCATCAACTCATTCCAGCCCTCGCCCATACTCATGGTGAACAGGAAGATGAGAGCTTTGGGTACTGTACGGAAGTTCTGGTTCGCAGACTCGTTCGCGCCGAATCGAGTAAGACCAAAAGTTTGTGTAAGTGCGATCGAGTACACCAGGAACAGCACAAACCACGTCGCAAGTAGATTCGCGATTGCCGCCAAACTCGCTGCTGCAGTCTTGAAGAGCTGATCGAGTTGGTTGTTGCGGGGAATGAGCATGAGAGCGATCGACACTAAGAAGAGTTTGTGCAGTTGGATGAAGACCCTCTCGTCGCGCTTAGCGAGGATGAGGATGGACGTGGCAAACGTGCCGGAGACCGAGGCGATCGAGTACACGTCCCAGGAACTCTTACGGAATCGATGCCAGGAGAGGCCGATGATACGGATGACCATATTTGCAATGAACACGCAGGTCAAAGCAAGAAAAATGTAGTCTGTACAGTTGTTAGTGTGCTGCTAAAGTCGAGATGCTGTCGATTTACCTCTTGCAAGATCCCAGCTTCCATACCCCGGGTACCATTCCAAACAAAGCAAGAGAAGATGCAGCAGCAGCATTCCAGTAATGAAACGCTGCCAGTTACCCGTCTTGCGGACAGCTCGACGGTAACACCACTCCTCCCAGGATTCACGCTGTCTTGTGGAAGAAGGTCGCTTTGATGGTGACACTTGTCGAAGCAGCTTGCGTAGTTCCAGCCAAGATCGTTGGTCGGTTGTAAGGAAAGCCACGCCAGTCTGTTCCGTGTAGTTGCGCATGAAGACAGAAATGAAGAGCGTCAAGACGAAGACTGCGCCGAGCAAATTGAAGATGATGAAGAACACGCCGTTGCTCCTGCGGTTGAAGTCTTCAGGCTGACTATTGACGCCTGTAATGGCCATGCTTGCGAACAACACGTCTGTCCAGCCTTCCTGCGATACAATCTGGAATAGGATGAACAAAGAGTTCCCGAAGTCGTCAAAGTCGTACCAGCCGTTAGCAGCTTTGCGCGGTGCCAGAACATTCCAGTCGTATGGTGAGCTGTTGTATTCTCCGACGCAATCTTGGAGGTTAGTGGAGCCGAAGTCGCCGTCGTTGCAGGATTGGAATTGTCCGACGAAGAGATTGAGTCCATATATGGCGAACGGGATCAGCAGGCTGAGGGAGACAAATGCAGCCTAAGAGGTCAGCGGCGCAAGCACAGTTGTAGAGATGGACTGACCGAGAAAAGCTTCCACCACCCTCGGACTATCAGCGAGTGGAAATGATCGCGGGTACTGTCGCTGACGTTAAGGAGTCGCAGCGCTCTGAGCGCCTTGAAAGCACCAACGGTCCTTGTGACTTGCCCTTCGTTCAGAAGCGACGTGGCAATGTTGAGCCATAGAGTTAGCAACACTACGCCATCAATGAAACCCCATGAACCACGGAAGTAAGCGTTGGGCGTCCACCAAAAGCCGTCTGCAATGACTTTGACAAGAGCCTCGAAGGTGAACAAGATGGCAAAGCCCATGTCTGTCCAGACAAACCAGTTTTTGACGCTAAACTCATGCTTCATGAAATATTCGCGTTGGTACAGAGGCGTAGTGACGCAGGCGAGCAACACCATGGCGATGATAGCAGCGTAAACAAATGCCGAGAACGCGTACCATATCGGGACCGAGGGAGCCAATCCTTCTATGCGATCGCCGCCACGGCCGGGCCCAACAACTCGCTGACAGAGCCTACGGATGGGATTTCTCGGTCTGAAGAGAAACAGAGAGACGTTGTAGTTTGGGTGGTTCCGCAAGTATTCTCGCTGTGCCTTCTTCCGTCGCTCTGTCGCAGAAACCACCTCCTTGGCCATCTTCCTGGGGTCTAATTCCTCATATGCGCGGCCGTAGTCAAGGGGGGCGTAGAAAGGATTGACCTCTCTGTGTACGGTCCTACGCTTAATTCGCTGCCAAAAAGTTGACACGGGACCTGAGCCTGCAATTGTTTTGGACGGCCGAATGCCAGGCCGAGGCTCCTCCTCGCCTGGAGAGGCATCCTCGTCGAGAAAGTCACGAACAACAGCGTCTTTCAGCAGCATCTCGGCAGCGGCAGAGCCATAGTCAAGTGGATCTCTGCGATTGGCGTGGCCGAGCTTGAAAATGGAAGAAAGAGACAGATTGCTAAATAATGTTAACTAGCAACGTGGGAGTGTCGATCGATACTTACCCGTAAGACGAGTTGAGTCCCTGCTCTTTCTGCTGAAGGAAGGCTTTGACTTGTTGCAATCGTTTCTCGTCTTCGGAGACATCAAAGTTTTCTTGGATGACAGCGATAAACATGTTCAAGACGATCACTACTCTGCGTTAGTTGCGCTCGGGTTGACCACAAGCATACTTACAATTGGCGAAGATGAACCAGAGTATGCAGAAAGACGCTCCTATCCAAGCGGTGCCGAAAGCTACCTGGTACGAGGTCACAGTGTACATGATCTCAGTCCAGTTCTCGCTGGAAAAGATGATGTACATGCCAATGAATGAATTCCAGATATCATTGAAAGACACGCGGATCGTATCGCCATCCGCTGTCTCGGGAATCTCGCCTCTGAAGAGCTGGGATGCGAAGATGGATGCGAGAAAGGTGAGAAGGAACACAAAGACGATGAGGTTGAGTAAACCGCTGACATTGCCGAATACAACCATCTGGAGATGTGTTAGTTGTGTCGTGGATCAAGACTTGACCGACTCACGATGAGGTCTCGGGTGACGGGAACAGCCAGAACGACGCGGTAGACTCGCATGATTTGGAAAATGCTCAGCCACGCATAAGCTCGGCCGTCATGAGCTTGTTTGATGGCTGGCAATTGGATAACGACGGTGATGATTGCGATGACCAAGTCGGTCACATTACGCGTGCTTCTGAAGAAATGTCTCCAATCGACTATGAATCGAACCAGAATTTCTGCAAGTAGTACTAGTGTAACGACAGTTTCACTTCCGTCGATAAAACGTCGCCGACGGTCGCTCATGATGGCGCTTCTTGTCATCTGAACAACAAGGCCATAGGCGATGATGAGGACCCAAATGCCAGAGGTCTTGTCGTACCATCGCTTCAAGCCGCTGACACGCGGATTTACTTGCTCCTTCTCGGAATCCTCTTCGGCGATTTTTTCGCCCGTGAAAGCACTGGTCTTGCTCTCTTCGCGGATGATTTGAAATGTGGAGGTGATGACAGCGATCAAAAGTGAGACGAGCCATAAACTGAGGATCAGGATGCCGACGATGAAGAACAAGGAGCTGACAAGATAGTCGGTATCGGATACCGTGTAGAGCAAATCGGACCAGGTGTTGGATGACATGATGACGAAGACTAGCTCGAGGGACTGGAGGACGTTGTCGAAACTCTGTGTGCCGTTGTAGGGGTTGTCATCTTCGACACAAACTGAATTTATCGGGCAGAGAAATCCCTTGCCCTTTTTGGGGGCTGGTCTTCCTTCTGCAGCTCGATAGCCTTCGTGGACAAGGACACCAGTGCTGTTGTTCAACTGGCCACCGCAGAATTGGCCGGAATTAGTGAAGGTCTGGGTATTGTCGTCCGGATCGGTCCACACACAGTTTCTTCGCAGACTAGACTTGAAACTTTGCACACCAACGATGGAGAATAGAAGCCAGAAGAATCCAATCAAGAAAGCCACGTTTAGGAGTAGGGGGGCAGCTTTCTTCAAACTCCTCAAGATGACTGAAGTACCGCTTGTGAGGTTCAGGAGGCGGATGATGCGTAAGCAACTAAGCATCTGGAAGACTAGGATGACGCGTGTGTTGCGGATTTTCAACGCCCCTAGAAGTAGTGCAATCCAAAAGGAAACCACGGCGACGAAGTCTGTTCGATTGAAGGAATGCCTCAGATAGGCGCGGTGCGCTAGACGCACACGTTGGCGCTCGCGCGAATCCATTGGTCCAACTTCGGGGTTCATTTGTGCTGTTGTGAAGCTTCGAAGCACAGATGGCTGTGAAGGGCCGCCCAGAGTCGAGTCGGTGCCAGCTCTTCGTTGCGAGGGCATTCGTTGCGGTCCGCCGAAAAGCTGATTGGCCTTGGAGAGCACGGCTTCGCGTAGGCCGACCTGCCTGTTGATAGTACTGTGTTCGACGGGGTTAATGATAAAGCCAGAGACGATTATCCGGATAATGGCCTCGATGGTATAGACAATGAACAGGCCCAGCAAGACCCAGTCAATGGCCGAGAAGCCCTCGAGCTGTTTTACGCGGCCGGGATCGTACTCGGCCTTCTGCCTCGCATCGACGGCCAACAGGACTGTCTGCACGATGATGAGGAGAAGCAGCACGGGCTCAAGGACTGGGTTCACGAGGATGTCGCTCAGCTTCAGTCGCAGTGTGCTGTCGGCCGGGAAGATGCCCAGGCTCTTGCCTCGAAAGGGGTTGGGGGCCCTCTGCCATTGCACACTCGGCCTGCGGGAGCGTACGGTGGGCGTGGGCGGCTTCTCAATTGGGGTTGCAGGCCCTGGCGACGTGGGACCATCAGTCATGTATTCAGGCAGTGCGGTCAAGGAGGAGGGTCTTTTTGATTGATGCAGGGTGGACTTTCTCTGGATATGGCGCTCAGCTACCTCTGAATCATTGGTGACGTTGACCACACGCTGAGACATGTTCCGGACGATGGTTCCGGCGCGAAGCAGTGGCGATCCCAGAGCGGCAGGCGAGAGCGAGCGGGCCCTGCCTCGCGCGGGACTCAGACCTGCGGCACTTTCCGCCTGGCCGGCATCGCTGCTGTATCCGCCGGGCGACAGACCGCCGGGGCTGAGGAACTGCACGCTCTGGAAGCTGGCGCGGTCGCCCTGCGCGGGCGATGTGTTGTGCGCGGCGCCGCTGATGGGCTGCAGGTGGCGGGCGTCGGTCAGCCGGGCCGTGTCGTCGTCGATGTCGACCGAGGCGAAGTAGCCGTGGTCCTCGGACGGGCCGCGCTGGGCGTACGGGTCCTGGTTGTAGCGGTGGTAGGGCGGCTCGGACGGCGTGCGGACCATGGGCGACAGCGGCGGCGACGTGTCGCCCTGGAAGTTCATGTCCATGCCGAAGCCAATGGCGGCCTGGAAGGCGCCCGCGTCAATGGGCGAGTCGACGCCATCGTCGTGGACGGTGCGGATGCCTGGTGCGCCCGCGGCGGCGGTGTTCAGCTGCAGGCGCTGGGTCGGGCTGGGCGAGGCCTCGGCGATGGGCGCGTACTGCGACGAGCGGAACTGGCCCGTCGCGATGGAGCCCGTCTGGCGGAGCAGGTTGCGCCCGCGGTCGCTGAGGGTGCGGCGGTGCTGCTGGTGCGCGGGCGCATCGCGGTCGTGGTCTTGCGCCGATGCGCCGTGGGCGTCTGGCGGGCGGTTGAGGTCCTGCAGCGGTATCGACGGCTGCGTCTGGCTGCGGTGGGGGGTGTGGCTGGGGTCGGGGTACGACATTGGAGCTGCGGGTGCGGGTGCAGCGCTCAGGCGTGCGGGCCGCGCTTCAGCTGGGACGACTATCGCGGGCACATGGAGACGGCAGACGGCGGGCAGCGGGCGGCGGGGGCGGTCGAGGGCGGGCGAGGGAGGTGTGCGCGGGTTCACAGTCGCTGGGCGTGTTGAGCGACAGACAAAAGATGCTGACGCGGGATGCGGCTGCCAGCAGTGGATATGCGCGTTCCAGGGTCCTGGAGGCTCGGATAGGTAGGGCTGGCCGGCAGGAACGGGATTGGACGCGTGTATATTTAGCTCCCTGTTCGTCTATCATGAAGATCAAGGGGCACCACGAGGTACTCAGCTGCTGCAGACACGAATGCCCGCGCAGTGCCGCCGCCGCTTGCCATGTATGTCTGCACGGTATGCTATGCCGGCTGCTCATGCTGCCGTTTCAGGTGGCACCGACGCAGCTGCAGCTCAGCCACTCCACGCCGCAAAGCTCCAGCGGCAGCTGAGGGCCGGATCTTCTTCTGGCAAATGCAAGAGGCCCCTGCCGCTGCCGTTTCAGCCACGACAGCCTTGCCCACGCACCAGCCTCACCCACAGACCGGCACCCGCGAACGCGCGAACCCGTGCAAACGCCGCCTGTGAAGCTTTGAAGTTCGAGTGCTGCACCGCCCGACTGATTGACTGGTGCTGACTAACTGGTGACTGACTCGCTGAGTGTATTGCCAGAGCAGACGCGTCTGCGCAGCCGACCTCGCCGTCCTACAGGAATGCTCTCCAAGACTGTCTACAAGACTGCTCTACAGGACTGCAGACTACCGTGACATGGCAGACGTCTTGTCAATTTTGCTGCACAAACGCCCGATCAGCCACGACACGTCAGCCGTCTTGTGCACGACGTTCTAACGAACACCTACCGTGGCTGTGACGTGAAGGGAGGTCACTAGCGCGTCCCAGTTCCGGTAGGAACCTCCGATTTGGCCGCAATTCTAGGCGACGCGCCCTTGTCTTCACCACCGCCGCCGTCCACCCTCACCACATCGCCCAGCCCAGCGCTCACGTGCCGTTTTCCGCGCCGCACCCCCTCGACGCCGTCTGCAGCACCTCCCCCTGCCAGCGCCGCCGCCCGCGACCGGCCACGACTCTGCAACGCGTCGCCCACGCCACGCTCCGTCACCATGCCTGCCCGCAAGCGCGCCGCGAGCGAGATGGACGTCGACGAGCAGCCCGAGCCGCCGACCACATTGCGCCGCCTGCGCAGCATGTGGCAGTTCGCCAACCTCGCCCAGTACATCGCCATCTTCGGCGACGCCGTCAAGATCGATAAGGACTTCGACATCGAGGTACGCCCGCGATGCGCCAGACGCTTCTGTGCCTGCGCCGGACTCCGCTTTGATGGAGGGAAGGCTGATTGAGATGCAGGAACTCGAGTCGGAGTGCCTCAAGCCAGGGCCGTCCGAGAAGCTCGCACAGATTGGGCTGGCGCTCCTGAAGCATGTCTCGTCGCACAAGGGTCTAACGTATGCCGGCCCCACCGACTTGCTTCTTCTCTGACCACAGCCAGGCCGGCCATCTTCGACGAATACACGCGCCGCCAATTCGTCGCCAAAGCCCCCGAGCGAAACCCCTTCGGCGAGGACGAGGAGCCCAGCCGGTTCGACGACTTTGACGTCTTCACCAAGATTCGCGTGCTGCAGCAACTCTCGACATGGACATTGAACAACCCCAATTCGATACGAGAGAAGCTCGCCGCGACCGACAGCGAACAAACACTATGGGTACGCCGGACGCTTGTATAGTGCGCCACTGCTGACTGATCCAGCGCATGGAGCCCACCGGCTGGGACTCGCAGGACCGAGTTCTGTTTGTCCTAGATGACAACCGCATGTATCGCCGAACCGACCCAGCGCCCCCTGCGCCTTCGCAGAAAGCCAAAGCCAAACCCAAGCCAAAGGCGAAGAAGGCAGCGAGAGGCACCCGTGCCAGCAAGCGTCAGAAACAGTCCACACCCGAGACTGCAGACGAGGGCGAGGAAGAGGAGGCCGCAGCAGTACAAGAGGTGGACGTGGTCGGGGACGATGGTCTTGGTGGCATGAAGTGGGAGTGCCTCTGCGTTACGCTGGAAGATTACCGTGATTATCTTAGCAGCATCCGCAAGAGCCGTGATCCGAATGAGAAGATGTTATACAGGCGTCTTGAAGAAGAGGTACTCCCTGTCATGGAGGGGCTGGCTGACGAGCAGGCTCGGAAACAAGCTCGCAAGGCAAAGGAGCTGGAGAACCTGCAGAAACTTGCGACGGCGAAGCGCTCTTCGCGCATATCTGCGAGGGTGGAGAAACAAAAGGAGGTGGAAGAAGTCCAGGCCGCAGAACGCAAGAGACGGGAGGAGGTTGCTATGGCTAGGGCTGAGCATGCGAAGCAAAAGAAGCTGGAAGACGTATGTCATCTGAATTGTAGAGGTTTCACAGCTAACATACGCAGGCGCACGATTCTCGCCGCATGACAAGAGAGCAGCGTCTGAGGGAACGCGAAACTGCAAAGGTCCTGAAGGAGGAGGAGCTCCGCAAGCTGCAAGAGAACGAGCAGAAGCTGGCCTCCAACAACGCTCGATTATCTGAACGACATCTCAAGGCCATGATGAAGCAACACGAGGCCGATCTCAAACGACTCAACGAGGAGGAAGACTGGTTCTTCGACTGTGAGAAGTGCGGTGTATACGGGTCTAATCTGAATGATAAATCGCCGCAGGTGTCGTGCGAGAAGTGCAACGTCTGGCAGCATGTCAAATGCCATGGCATCTCGGAGGAGGAAGTGGAAGATGCTGGGTTCGAGTTTGTCTGCACGTCGTGCAAGCGCAAGGAGGAGGACGCACACCAGCCAAAGCTGCCACCGCTGAAGCTGCGAATGACGTCGGCATCCCCGTCGCAGGGAAACGGCGAAGAGTCGTCGCTTTCACGTCGTCTGGAGTCTGTCAAGCTCCCTGCGCCGCGACCTACCTCATCGCAAAGCCACCAGCCCCATTTCCAGCCCCAGCCTTGGGTGGACGGCCCGAGTCTGTCTCCTCGCGGGCAGGCTCGGGGCCCTCCTGGCATACAGAACTCGGAGGCTGCGTACGGGTCGCCTTCTCGCATCCCAGACGCGAGCTCATCGCCAATCCGACAGCGGCCGGCATCGTCCTCGCGCCCAGCGGATCTTTCCTTCAAATCAAACGGCATGGGCTCCTCCCCACCACCCTTCAACCTGCCACAGGGACCGGCGAGTCCTTTCAAGAGCATACGCATGCCGCTCCCTCAGAACGGCAGCTCGTTTGGCCTACCCAATCCGTTCGGCCCGTCGCAGCACACCCCCATTGCGCAAAGCTTCAACCAGAGCTTCAACCAAAGCTTCAGCCGCCCCGGCACCGCCGCTGGATCTGCTGGCTCGCCCGTCAAACACTCGCCCGCAAACTCCCCTCGCCCCACCAACGGCCTGCCAGCCATGTACAACTTCAACAGCCCGCACTCGTCGTTCCCGCCCAGCTCCGCGCAGCGCCCGTCCTTCTCCCCGACCAAACACAGCTCGCCCGCGCCCATGCCGCACATGTCCTCGCCCGCGCCCGCGCCCGTCCGCATCGCGCCCTCGCCCTCGCAAATGCCCGCCCAGATGCTGCCCGACGCCATCCCCGCCCCGCTCAAGCACGACGGCGCCCGCCCCGCGAGCTCCCACGCCCTCAGCGACACCCCCGTCTTCCCGCCCTCGACTAGCCTCGAGCCCGCTCCCGCCCCGCTCAATCTCAGTCCCCCCGTCAAGAAGAGCAGTCCCGCCCCCGACCGCCACCGGCTTGCGCCCCTGGGCCACAGCGCGAGTCCGTCGCGCTGAAGGGGGGCTGTTTGTGTTGTTTCTGTCTCCTAGTGTTTGAATGCTCTGGATTGTTGCTTTGGCGTTGCAGGCTGGTTCTCTGCGGTATTGGTGCGGTTGGGTAAAACGGCGCGGCTTGGATTTGTCGGTTCTTGCGGTTTTGCATGCGCGGGTTTGGGGTCGGGGTCGGGTTCAGGCGCGGGTAGACGGGCGCGGGTAATGGGTGTGCTGGGTTTGTGACTGGGTCTGGGTCTGGGGGTGTACGAGTAGCGACGACGCCGATGCGGATGCGGACGACGACGGAGTGGCGTGTTGTAGCGCAGTGTATTCACGGTATCGCGCGCGGTATCGAGATCAAGACTGTGCGTGGGTTGTACGTGGCTGGTGCAGATATCGCGCGATTACGCATCATTTGTACCGCTATTGATGAAAGACGTGCCATTTTGGATTGCTAGTATCAAGCATTGTTCCATCGCTTTCGTGTATTGCTATCTCTACCGTAATCGATCTGTCGTGTTGTCGCACCCTAGATGCTGCAGCCATAGCCCACACCTCTCCCGCGCTCATGCGCCGTGTAGCGGTAGACACACGTAAGCGAGGCGTTTGCCGAGGCCCCGCCCCGCACCCGCCTAAGCAGCCAGCACTCGATTCCCACACACCTCCACACGCAACCATCAGATCCCATTCCAACACCATGCAAACCATCCGAAAACCGAAATAGATACCGTCCAAAGATTCACACAGGTATAATTACATCATCGGGCAGGTGGCCGAGCGGTTAAGGCGCTGTGTTTAGGTCCTTCAAAATACTTAAACCGCAGTCAGAAATGGCGTGGGTTCGAATCCCACCCTGCTCAGCGCTAAATGCATTTTTGTTTTGTTGTTTTTTTGTTTTCGCGGTCCGGGGGTGTGCAGGTGTAGGTGGGTTGGTTTTTGGGCGAGGGGTGGGGTGGCTTGAAGCGAGCGGCTGGGGGCTGGAACACGGGGTTTGGGGTGAGAGTATGGTTGCGGACTTGCTGGTTCGATGGCGACGCTGGTTGGCTTGGGTTTTGCGGTTTGCATTTTTTGGGTGCTGGGGTTGGTGGTTGATGGACGGGTGGATACAGAGTACACAACGACGTCAACGTTCGCTCACACAACACCGATACTTCGAAACATCGGTACCCTCGAGCTGGGAGCCACCGCCTATGTACGAGTGGCCACGTCTTTGCCTCTACGTCTTTTCCAGCGTACTGCAGGACTTCACTGTTGGAGCGGCAGGAGCTTCGGAACGCAGTTCAGTCCATCCACCTCTTTTCCCTTTCTAATGCCGGAAAAAGAACTCCCCAAGGCCTGTGTACCAAGTTCCTAAGTCTCAGGAGTCACCATAAGGTTCCAGCGAACATCTCGCCTGTAGAAGTCCGGAACCACGTCTTGAGGCTGTGGAGCTCCGCGGTCGTCTACGCTCGCAAGGAAACGTCGCCCGTGATCAATGGATGGAACAACTCTATCCTTCAACCTCCGGTGAAGCCTTCGTTTCCCATTGTCGCCAGTCAACTCTTCCTAAGATCTCTTGTTATCGTGAGGTCTTGCGGCACTCACACTCGCTCTGGAGAAAGCCTTTAGTTTATGACTGGACTCGGCATAGCAATCTCGCGGTTTTGGTGACGTCGAGTGGTTCAGCAGTTACGAAAAGTGGAATTGCTCTTGCGAGCAATTGCACCTACTCATTTGTGACAAGCTCGTCAACTCAAATGGTCTCCGATATCTTAGATCAGTAAGTGATTGGACACGTAAAGATTGATGCTATAGTAACCACGGTTGGTAGTCAAAATACAATAGAATTTGCCATGTACTGATGTAAAGCTAGCACAAGGTCTCCAGTCTGGTTCTCTCACCTACTCACCGCTTCTCCCTAAATCTCTCTCTCAGTAAAGGTGAAGCTGGCTTTGAGTGGGTCCGCTCGTTCGCTGCCTGTGTACTTAAACCCACCGCCTGCTCACAAGAAACGCGCTCTCTCTTCCAACAACCGCCAGTCAGCTATCGTGCGCGAACACCTACCGCCAAAGCTCCACGCTCATAGGCGCACTAACCCTCCTTCAACAGTTTTTGCACTGCAGTCAGCCACATTCAGGTCAAGCAGCAGAGTGCCGGCCGCAAAGGTACGAATGTCATGGCTATAGGATCTGAAGTCGTACTGACACTCACAGACAAAGCTTATCCTATTCTCGATAACAACTGTGAAACGACCGGGCTGTTGCCAGTCCAGTCACGTCAGCGAAAGAAGCACGTACACAAGAAAAGACAGCTGCCAAAGCGCCGCCTACGTCTTTTGTCCTGGTTCGTAATTACATCAAACGATGGCGCGAGGAGATCTCCAGCTCACTGACCGTCTCACAGTCTTCATTTACCACAACCGAAGTGATGGCCACTACTATCCAGTTCGATGTGCTTGCGCACTTCATTCGAGTTGCGAAGAGTGTCGAGTTCACGCCGAAAACATCCGGAAAGGGAAGCTCGGGTGTGAGCACCAGAGCTGGAGAACAGATCTGGATGTCCTTCAACGCGGCAGAGATGGGAGACGGGAGCAGAAAGAGGCAAAGTTCCGTGTACGTAAAACGAGGCGCGAACTACGAGAAGGTCACCCTCGGCCACATCGACTATGACACTGTGGTCGTCGAGGTCCATGACGAGCAGCGCAGGGTATTTGGCAAACATACGAGGCCGTTCACTCCTCGTAGTCTTCCTGAGTTTGTCCTTCCTGTGTGGCTTAGCCAAGGGTGGGTTCCCGGGAAGGCGAGTGAGGTCAGAGCCAGAAGACACGGCGCACAGCCCGACCTGCATCACACACGCGACAGCAGAGTTTCGAAGACGACCCCCAGAAAACAACTGCGAAACAACAGACTCGATCTGTCGTTCAAAAATGACCTGGATCTCATCGAAAGGTTCAAGAACAATACGCTGTTTCCAGACGACGATTACGAGGATCTGCAAGCTGCCATCCAGGTGACCGAGTCTATCCAGCAACAACCACCCATAAGTCTGCTTAGGGCCTTAAAGACTTGGTCGCAAAGGTCTGGGAGGCAGCCGTTCGAGGGTGTGGCGTACATGAAGTGGAGAGCAGCACAGAAGCCCTTGGAGAACGTTGAAGACCGTGAGGAAGAGGCTGGAGAGCGAAAGGAAGAGGATAGAGAGTGTAAGGAGGATGGTGGAGAGCGCAGGGAAGATGATGGAGAGCGCAACGAAGAGATTGGAGAGCGTGAGTCCGAGCGAGAATTTAGACTGGAGGATGTTACAATTGAGGACTGGAGGAGGATCTGGGAGAAAGAGTACCGGATTCAGACGGGTCGAGATGTGACCAACGGAGGCTCAGTCGCGTCGGCTAGGCTGGGGAGCTAGGTTCAGCCAATCCCTCGGTTAGTATCCAAAGACTTGCGGCGGAAGATGACCTATGGGAGGCCGCTTGAGGCGGGACGGGCGGAGTTTAGGCAGGTCATGTTTCGGGCACGTACGCAAGCGACCTCGGGAGGCAAGGCGGGGTGGGACGAGATTAGAGCGCCACATTTGCTCTTGCTAGGGCTCGGGGACTTTTTTCGTGTTCTCAGATACCTACATAGGTACTTCGCATCCTCTAAGGCTGTTATGCCCTAATCGCAGAAGTTAGCTCTATACAGCTCCTTAATTCCTTAAGTCTAGACTACGTGTCTAATTGCAGTGTAATGTAGTAGCCGCGCTTTGTATGTAGAGAGGAGGGTTGTCTTATAGCCAATAACGGGTAGTTTGGGCACTGCATAACAGTCCATCATCACATGTACCAAGTTCGCGTGACTATACGTGTGCCTCTTTCAGGGCTAGGTTTTATTAGAAATAGCTCCCAGTTATCATCAAAGCGGAAGAATCATTGACTAAAGGCACGGTCTGGAAAATTTGTGAGGCTACGTTGACTTTGCCTGGAGCGTCGATGTAGTGTGGGAGGACGACAAGCCGCGACGCGACGGTGACAGCCATCATCCAGTCAGAACGATATCTATTCACACTCGCGGATGCGGAGAGTGAACAGCCTAAGAAGTCTGAAAGGAGTGGGATGATAAAGTTGGCCTTTGAGATGCCTGGGCTCTATCCATGCGTATGACTATTCGGTATATCGACGCTTCAAGTACGACAGCAATGAGGTAACTGATCCCGGCTTCTTTGGACCGGAGAGTTTGCCGTCACAGCCCCAGAGGGAACTTGCCGATACCTGGAACGCACTGTCGCCGGAAGTGTCGACTCGAGGTAAATGCTTGCCAAGCTCGCTCAATTTAGGTCTGCATGGATGAAAAGCTACCTATCCTTGCTAAACCAAGATGCGCTCGAGCAAGCCTCCTTCTACTGGAAGCACGGTTCAGAGTACGGTAGAAATATCTAATAACGGCGTTGCGTGATGTTTTAGAGCTTCGCCCTGTTAGCGTGACAACATCGAAGAACGAAATACGGAATACGCTGGCACCCATGGCCGATTAACGCTACATGGTATTTACCAAAGCGCCATTCTTAGATTGCTGCATTACGACACCATCATTTTACGATCCCTTAAATTCCTCTAAGTGGCAGGTACTTGAGGAGGTGTCTTGCAAAACCCTTGGCCAATCAGCCACTAATCAACGTTCTACACTCGTTTTCCGTTATCTACCACTACCATTGTTCAGTCCTAATGAAGCCGATCGAAGTCACCTCCATTCTTCTCTCGGGCTTTGTCGTTCCACGCGTTTCAGCTCTTCGCGTTGAGCAGCAAGCACAAACGCCTTCACCCCACGTAGGACCAACCGGAACTATATACGGTTCCAATGGCACCATCACCTTGAACGGAAGTTCCAACACATCCGGCATCGCGCTTCTTGATTATGGCGCAAACTTTGAAGGCCTGCCCACTTTCGAGGTTGTATCCGTCAGTGGAGACGTCTCGGGGTTCCAGATCAAGTACAGTGAGACCAAAAGCGTACTCGAGACCAATGCGAACGTAAGATGCGCCGTAACTAACATGATGCACTGCTCACACGTCCGTAGAGCGATGGTCCAGTTGGTCTGGCAGCAGCCATGGACTCCTATCGAGTAAACATGTACAGCAACATTACCGGCCCGACAAACCACACAAACCGGCTCATTCAAGGAGGCTTCCGTTATCAGGAATTGAGGCTCATCACCGCGGGCGAGATGATTCTGAGGAATGTCGGTGTCAAGCCAACCACGTCAACGGAGTCAATTGGCTCACTCCCAGGCTCCTTTGAGTGCTCAGACGACAAATTGAACCAAATCTGGAACGTAGGGGCAAGGACTGTCCAGCTCAACGAGATCCCCGCTAACAGTATCCCTCTTTTCTGGGAAGTCTCTTCCGAGGGTTCGTACGTTGAGAGCCAGGCTCCGCAGTCCTACGCCTCGCCAGCTGCTGCATCTTTAATGAACTACGTACTCGAATTCGACGTAAAGCCTGTCGCCAATGGATTCTCCTTTTCGGTTCTTGCTGATACGCTGAACTTGGGTATCTATATATGGTGCAACATCGCTAATGGCACGATCAGTGCAAATAACGGAGCCACAGAGGCCACATCTGGCTTCCTTGCTTCAGCTTCTCTTGCCGCAAACGTCACGGTGGGCAACTGGCACAAGGTCCAAGCTATCGTTGATCTCTCTAATATCAGCATATCGATCGATGGTTCAGAAGTTCTGAAGTTTACCCAGACCGTGTCGTTCTTCGGATCGTTTGGTCTGGGCGCGGCTCTCAACCAATCTGCTATTTTCAAAGATCTGAAAGCATATGCACCCGACGGAACACCTATATATTCGTCGGAATTAAAGGATGCAAGCTTCCTTCCGGACTTCTTGATGGGGACTAATCCTCACCCAACGACCGTAGATGGCTCGAAGCGGGATCGCATCGCGTACGCTGGTGATCTCGATGTTTCTGTTGGCACAACAATGGTCAGCACATTTGGCGTAGAGTACATCCAAGGCACTCTTGACCTCTTTGCTGGCTATCAGGCGACGCCAGGGTTCTTTATCCCCACTGTCAAGATCCAGCAAGAGCCCCTGCCTGAGCGTCTCGACATCAGCATCACTGGCCTTATTGGATACTCATTCAACTTAGTCTGTGCGGTTGCGAGCTTCTACCAATCAACCGGAAACAAGACCTTAGCTCTTGAGTGGGCGCCAAAGATTGTTGAAATGTTGAATTGGGCCGACTCGCAAACTCTTCCTGGAAACGGGCTGTTCAACGTCTCAAACCCCAGTTTCGGTGGTGATTGGAACTACTACGATCCAGTACAGGCCGGCGTTTCTGCAAAGTTCAACACCCTCTACGCCTACACTTTACAGTCTTCTCTTACACTGTTGGCAGATGCGGGTGTCAATGCGACGCAATATTCCGCTCGACTAGATGCTCTCCGCATCGCCATCAACAAACACTTGTGGAGCAATGAACTTGGAGCTTACTTTTTATCCAACTTTGTCAAAGACGGCTTCGCACAGGACAGCAACGCCTACGCTATTCTTGCTGGTGTGACAAATTCCAACCACACCTCTCAGCAAGTCTTAGCTTCCATGGGCAATTTGTCTACCCCATACGGTCCTCACGCCTTTTCTGCCGGCGCCCTTGACGCTGGCTTCCGAAAACTAATCAGTCCTTTCGCCTCTGCTTATCACTTGCGTGCCGCGTTCTCTGCCGGCAACGCTGCAGTGGCCAAAGAGCTCCTGCGCACTCTCTGGGGACCTATGGCTGATCCTGCCGGCACAAACTATACCGGCTGTTTCTGGGAGACCCTGGACACTAACGGAGGTCCAGGACTGGGCGATATCACCAGTTTGTGCCACGCTTGGGGATCTGGGCCCACTGCTGAGTTGAGTACCCACGTGCTGGGTATTCGTGCCGTGAAGCCTGGCTACTCGGAGTGGCTGGTGTCGCCCATTACTTTGGGGCTATCATGGGCCCGTGGAAAGATTCCTGTACCTGGTGGTTACATTGATGTGTCTTGGAATGCTACCGACGATGTTGTTACCCGTTTGGAGGTGACTGCGCCCAATGGTACTATGGGAATGGTACAGCTGCCAGTGGGCAACACTTCCTGTCCTACGGCCTGGACTCTGAATGGCAAGCCTGTCGACAGCGAGAGTGGACAAGTCAGCGTTGCGGGCGGAGATGTGTCAGTGATTGAGATATCTCAGTAATTGCACTGAGGTGTGACAAGACATTTGTATAATGACTGGCGATATATGCAGACCCCTCTGTATTTTGGTACAGTGATGCAATAGGACTTGTAGGAGGCAACTATATAGTAAACTTAGTGCTGGTAACCTCCTGTCTCTTAATTTCGTTCACACTCACTTACTTAAATAGGTTAATTTGGGAGGAAGAGCACAAGATTCAGACGGGACAAGATGTGCCCAACGAATGCTCAGTACCCTAGGCCCATTTACTAGTCTAGTTACTGGTTCATTTAATGCGCAATTACTACCAGTGCGAAACTAGTACACAGATGGCTGTAGCGCATGATCACTCATCTACATATTTGTAAGCGAGACTTGGTACAATTTTCAGACATACTAATCAGAATCCAGCATATAGTATAAGCAAACCCTCGGCAGATATAATAAGCAGACTCTGCTATCGCTTACGTGTTGCCTTTTGTACAATCTCTCGTTATGGCAATAACAGGTTTTCCACCAAGGAACCCAGGTGACAGGCCTCCCTAGCTTAGGAAAAATGCCACCGTAGGCCCGAAGTGCGATTGGATCTTAGAGAATAGATCACTTGGAAGTCAAAGTTGATGAGGGATTCTGAGTCGGGCTGTCGATACGCTCTCGTACTATGTACGAACACATTGCTTACCAAAGAAGCAGGCGATCCTACTTTCGCAAGTAATCAGTTTCCTCGCAATCCAACAGTATAAAGAGTGCTTCCCCTTCAGATAGCGATTACAGCCATCAAATTCATCTATTCGGTACTTCGTCTTCACACCCCAATACTTCAGCCACAATGGTTCGTCTCATTGCCACATCCATCCTTTTTGGACTCCTCCAAACGCACTTCGCAGCGGCCGCACCTGCACGACACAACGATCCAGCCCCTGCTCGCACGGTTTATCAATGGGAAAACGGAACCTGGGCTGAGAACATCGCTGTGCGCTCAAATGGAGATCTCCTTGTTACGCTCATGGACCGACCTGAGCTGTACTCAATCAAACCGGACACGTCTGCAGCAAAGCTAGCCGCGAATCTCGACGAGCAAACGAACGCGATTGGACTCCTCGGCATCACAGAAATGGCGCACGACGTGTTTGTCATCGTTGCGGGAAACTTTTCCGTCGCTCGCAGAGAGTCGGACCCTGCGAGTTTCTCAGTCTGGGAGATTGACTTCAACCGGGGCGGCAAATGCGAGAAGGTCAAGGAGGTTGAACGGTTCCCTCAAGCCAGCTTCCTCAATGGCATGGTCACCTTGAACCGCCAGAAGCAGACCGTCTTGATATCGGACTCGGTCCTCGGCCTCGTATGGCGCTTGAACACGCGCACGGGCGAGTACGCGGTGGTGCTGGAAGATGCCACCATGACGGCGCCAGAGGGAAGCAGCCCGGTCATTGGAATCAACGGAATCCGGATCTTTGGGGACTACCTGTACTACGTCAACGCTCAGCGACAGCTCTACTGCAGGGTCAAGATCGACCTGTCTACTGGTATGGCGCTGGGACCTTACGAGGTCATCACTACCGAGATTTCTGGAGACGACTTTGCTATGGCTGCTGACGGAACGGCGTATGTGACCACCAACGCTGAAAACGGGCTGGAGAGAGTCACCGCCGATGGGCAAAAGACCCTTGTTGCTGGAGGATTGAATTCGACCGTGGTAGCTGGAGCAACTTCGGCCGCCTTTGGACGAACGAGGAAGGATAAGGATGTTGTCTATGTTGTGACTTCTGGAGCTCAAGGTTTTCCCGTCGGTGGGACCTTCTCAGAGGGTGGTAAGGTGGTTGCTGTTCCGGTGTAAGCCACTGTGTCTACGTGATTCACTCGTTGTATCCAAGTAAATTGTGTAGGTTTGATAATTGATGAAGTCAATAGTTGTGTGTAGAATAAGAAGGTCAATAGTTGTGTAGAATAAGCAAGTCAATAATTTTGTAGAATAAGAAAATTAACGAAATCAGAAGAGCAACTTGAGACGTACCTGAGAAGATGCAATAGAACTGCTGGTACCGCATTCAGATCATCTCGGCGCCGTATGCCTAACTAGCGCTCTACATGCCAATACAAACCAAGCTCCACAGACCTCAATGCATCGACCCGAGGCCATCTGCATTGTGACTCCCCAGATGTGCCTACACACTGATTAAAGATTCTGCGTGATGGACTTGCAGGGTCTCGAATTATTGTTTCCGACAATCGACTGCAGAACTACTTTCTGAACTCGACTTGGTATAGCGTGATCTAAACCCCACGAAGCAGACATCTTTGGGGGGGTCTACTTTGTTGCCGGTTTGGATCTGTTAGAGTGGCGTGTCGCCGCCGAAGGATGTTTGACAAACTGCGAGCGTTACCTGTGTTGGATGAGTGCAGACCGAGTCTCTCAGGGGGGTGTCACACTGGATTGCAGATTTCTATCGAGGACTGACCACCTTCTGCTTGGTCTTTGACATGATGAGTCAAGTTCACGAGCGAACGACACGCTGACAATGGGTACGAGCAGGCGTGCTTGTGACCGTGTCGCTAGGCAGAGAGCCCATGGCGAAACATCTGTCAGTCATCAGGCATCACCATGAGTCCTTCACGAGTGAGTCACGACAGAGAGGTTCTTGTGTGGTCAACAGTATATTTAAGAGATAACAGGCCTCGAAGAGGTCCAATTGACTACAATGAGGACAAATAACGCTGATAGTTCAGAAACAAAATCTTCAACAATCCTTCACTCACGCAAGGTGGAGTCAATCAACCACGAAGGGGAGACTACACACCAGCGACAAAAATTAAATGGCGAATAGAAGGCGGCACGAAACCGTCAACCAGTAAAGGTGAGGTCGTCGTGGAAAGCAGCAAGTCCGGGACAACATGAAAGGAAAACTTTTTACCATAAGGTGAGCTGGTCTTCACCAACTCCCTAAGGCCACCGGTAACTGGGTACGAGGGGGACGGAGATTCACGCTCCTGTGTAACCATGAGCTAAAGCAATGTTCTTCCACTTCTCAATCTCGGCCTCAAGCTCGGCGTTGCGGTTCTCAAGCTCAGAGACGTGGTCGAACTTCCTCTGCCGAGACTCACGAGCGGCAAGAGTGTTACGCGCTCGCTTCAAGGCGACCTTGTCACCTGGGTCGACGGCGATGGGAGGAAGAGCGCCCTTGCGACGACGAGACTTGCTGATGCCGTTGGTAGCAGGCGAGTTGGTGACAGATGACTTCCTTCGGAACGAGCTGGAGTCCAAGACGATGGGAGATCCGATGCTGGATGAGCCGGATCGCTCCATGGACTGGCTGCTGATGGTGCGCTCCATGGGGAACTGCACGGCAGGAGCGTATTGTGCGACTTCATGGAGCTTGTTCTCCTCTTCGGGGAAGAGTGAAAACCAGTCGTTGGAGTTGTTCATCAGAGGCTCACCCTGGAACATGGGTGAGGTCTCGAAGCTCTCGTTCAGGAAGGGTGAAGCATCAATGTCGGGCGAGGTCAGGTTGGTGAACGCCGCAGAGGGGGGTGCAGAGCCAAAAGCATCAGCAAAAATGTCCTTGGGAGACACGGTGCGCGTGGAACCGGATGCGACGGAAGGGTCGTTGATCGCGGTGAACGCAGACACCTGCTCCAAGGAGAAGCCGCCAGCCTGGAAGGCAGGCATCAGGCTGGCGCCTGAGTCGAATGAGTTGTTGCTGTTCAGGTCTGCGACATGTGTGAGCATGTGAGAGTACTGACGGTAAGGCCCGTTCTTACCTGCCATGTTTGCGACGTTTGGCAGTTTTTGTGGTGCGTGTGGAGTAGTGTTGCTAGAGCTGTGAAACAATGGAACCGGGGGACGTTGTCGGGACAAGGGCTGCTGGAATTCTGTGGTGGATGATGGGGCAGAATTGGCGTAAAAGTGCGGGCCGTTGTTAAACGTAGGAGCAGGCTGAGGAGCGCTCGGCGATCGACGGGGCAGAGCTGGTTGATCGTAAAGCACAAAGTCCTGCGGATGCGCGGGGTCGTGTGATGTCGTATTCAGTTGTTGCCGATAGGCGTTGGGAGTTGGTGAAGAAAGCCATGGTGACTGGTGAGAAGCCGTGGTGACCGACGTGAAGTCGATGGTGGAAGGCGAACTGGAGCTGCGCGAGGCTGGGCTATAGTTCAGAGGTTCCAAAAAGGAAGACTCTGTGTAAAGGGGTTGAATGGTTGGGGTGTTTGTTAAGGGGTCCAGAGTGGCGGGCGCGAGACGCTTAGAAGGCAGCCATGATGATGTGACTGTCTTTGTGTATTCGTGTGAGTGTGCGGTGGATGGAAGCGGAATCAGGCAGCGAGGGAAGGCGGGGAATTTAAACGACAGCCCGGCCGTGCGAGAAGCGAGAGTGCCAAGCCACCTTCACTCTGACTCACCGAAGTCGCAGCACAGCCGGTGTCATGCGTCCAATGAGCTGTCACATCGGCGCGACCGGCCATCAGCGCTAGCATCGCCTTGGTTAGATGGTCATCACGTTCGCGCAGTCTCTCGCGAAGTACTGCACGTTGTGCGCAGCGGTCGCAAATTACTGGAGGCCCCTGTCTGCCTTTGCGCAGGGTCAGACCGGCCTTCATGGGCCTCTATAAATGCGCAAAGCCAACGACGAACACAAGAACACACTGGCTTCGCCGGCGAAAACAAGCTGCGCTGGGAATCTGTACCTCGAGCTGAATTCAGGCATCAGTGTTGTGGCCTGTAGGGCGTGCAGCTGGTCGCAAGGGCCACCCCGGCAAGATACCGGTGGAGCTGATTACGCGCTGCAGCTCAATTCGGCACAGATTCCTCGTTTTCCGGACGGCAAGAGGGCGCAGCGGTACCAGCGCCCTTCTCATTAATTGCACGACGCGTCCTGCCAGCTGGGCGACGGCTGTCTTTGGCGCGTCAGCAGAAGTCGAGTCGTGTTTGTTGGGCTGTCGAAAGACCCCGGATCTTGGCCTGTACCGGACCACCGGTCAGAGGCTGACGTTACTCCAGGTGAAACCCAACGCTGCATTCCTACACCCATTACGTCGGATCGCAGTAGTATGACTCTTTAGAAGTATCGCTTTGAAATGGATCTGGAAACCCAGCCCCAAGATGCAACGCTGCGGCGCACCTACATGCAGGATTGCGGACTCGCGAAAATTGTGCCGCCTGCACTGCTGGCAGTTGTGAGCCTAGCCTACAATGCCACGCAACCGCGATACCGGCACGCTTTCTGTCTTTGTCGCGAGAGACTGTGTTGTCATTCACCTCTCCGTCTGCGTGTCTTGGGTGCGTTTTAGACATCGTTATCCACAGTCCAAGACCGAACTTGCATTTAAAATCAGGCAGACCTTCCGGCCGTGGACGGCAGTTGGGATACGCTCGTGCCACGGGCTGTTTTCCAACGCTGACTTTGTCATCAATGTCTAACGAATGTGGACCCCAAATCCTCCAGTTCATGTAGCTGTCTTTACCACGTACGATGAACAAAAGAAAGCCCTATGATGACGCAGTCCATGACAGGGAAGCAATTCGCAAAGAAATACGAGAGGGGTTGATACTTTGCGTCCATGTCAGAGCTGAGCAGCTATGGCTTTATCGGGGTCGCTTGAATATGTATTAGTGCGAAACTCGATGTAAGCGTCCTAGCAGTGCCAGCCAGCCAGCTCTGGCCTTAATCATCGGGGCTCAATAGGCCTTCTCATCACGTGTAGTTCCCTGCTGGTACATCACCGACCACACACCAGGTATCTAGCCTAGATTTTGGCCCAGTTCCTGCAGTGACGAGCCATAGCTATGTACCGGATGGTGACAGTAACAGCGCTGCATACGCGCGGTGTCTGTCGGTGTGTCGTTGAGCTCGCTTAATGCCGACAAATAGTGGCATCTCCAGAGAGATCGCTGTATTGGACAGCATACTGTTCAGCTCTTTCTCTGTGTATTGTACACTTCAAGCGTGGACAATTACACGTGCGGCATCTTTGTAGCGCAGTTGGCTCGGGCTTTCCGTCTCGGTTGAATGGCGAGAACTGGAAAACAGAGCGTACTGTGGGCGTCATGGCCTCTTGACAATCCCGCAGACAAGACTGCGGCTTTGAGAGTCTAGAATCAGGCTTCTTTAACGTACAGTCGGAGACGTGTAGAACTGGCTCTTCCCAATCCTCGACATAACTCCATACTCGGGTTGGGTGTGATGTGGCTTGGTTGTGGGGCTCCGTCTGTGGTTGTCGTGGAGTGTAAGTAGAAGACCATGACCTCTTTCAAACGTGAGGTCAAGGTCGCATGGCTATTGGGCGGTACCACTGTATTGAACCAATCCTGTCCGTCCGCGGATGGATCGGCATGTCATTTTGTGAATGCTCCAGGGCAGTACCCCGACTCACTGGCTGAAGAGCTCATCTATCTGTTGAGCGCCGAAATCGCGCCAGACATCTCTCAATTTTACCCAAGGGTTTGGAGAAGCGTCTGTGCTGGGAAACAGCTTGAGAAATTCAAGCCATTGATTCTCATCTCTGTGCAACCCCATGGCTCTTATTTGCAATCTGAAGTGTTCCTTGAACCAAGAGTGTTCCGGCGACAATAGAGGCGCGGTGAGCAAAGTCCCAAAGGCCAATGCCCATGTGATAACATTGTTGACCTCTCGCGTATGCCGAAGGAAACGGTAGAAGCGTACTTGTATGTCCGGCATCAATTGAGGGGGGTCATCTTGACCATCTGATGATGCGCCCGTCTTTGCATCTGCTTCGAGCGCTAGTTCTGAGGAAGCGTCGTGCAAAAGTGGAAGTAGTGCCTTCATAACGCGAGAAGTGAGACGGTCGCACAATTTAGTTTGTGGTGGGAGGCTTCGAATGGTAGTCCAAAACCAGAGTTGGAGCGACTCAGCGAGTAGCACTTCAGCCTCCGTGAACCCATGCTCCGGCTTCCTTTGCGCCGCTAGTACCGCAAGAAGTGTGTACTCACCATCATACATTGGCTGAATGACGTAGTCGTCTACTTTGACACCTGGTGGTGGTGGTGACGAAGAAGAGACGACAATTTGATGAAACCAGCGAACAATCTTGACGAGAGCTTCTGAAAGATAAGGCAAATTCTGCAGAGTCGTGGTAGTAAGTCCCTCCGCCGCGACGATAATCTGCTCGGGAAGGGGAGAGACAGCTGAGTGTTGATAGGGAAGCTGTGGGAGTTCCGCAAGCTGCGCAGCAACCAAGATCTCGCACCTGACGGGTGATTAACGTGATTCCTTATACGACAAGATAGCTACTAACCATCGCGAAGCTTTGCGGGTAAAACGACTCGTGGACTGCAACCCCACTAGTAGGTCACCATCACCCCGACATGTGAGTAGGCGAACCAACGCGTCGCGATGTGTGATCGACGTAGTGAACATGCCGCCAAATACCTGCTAGCATAAGTCGATGTTCGATTGAGTGTGAAGAAATCCGTGATTGGGACGCGCTACTCACCGCAGCGGCCGTGATGCACGCAACGGCATTGATGAGATGATCAGAGTAATTCCCCTCAGCCGTCTCTCTTTGTATGGTCTCTTGCATGCTCTTGAGAGACTTGTTGTAGAACCAATATACCTCCTCTGTGTTGAGAGCGCCCAATGTTCCGTCGCGGATGACGACCGTAGCATACAGCCAGAGTACGAAAGTGAGCTCACTCTTTGCCATACTACCTAATATCGTGTTCTCGTGTTGGAAAGACGTAAGAGCATGTTTAGACTTGTCTGCATACTTGTCTGCAGTCAAGATGTAAGCGCAGGACTGCAATGATCGGTGTATAAAGCGACATACCATCCGAACATGGAATCTCCTCGGGACAGCTCGCAGAAAGAACTGCACATGTCAGACTCGATGAACATCGTCAACTCCAGAATGACCTTACAGTACTTAATGATGTGATCAAAGTTCCTTCCGATGTTCGGCAGGAGACCAAAAGGGTCGACCGAACTTGCACTGACCGCTTTTGGGCTGAACTTGACTAGGGGCGTTGTGCTCTTACGTTGGGTCAATTGCTTTTCCTGATCTTCACCTTGGCTTTTCATGGCGCGGCTTTTAGGTCTCGACTTCGAGGTTGCTTGTCCACTGAGATTGGATATTTCTCGATTCTTGTTCACCCATTCTCGGGCTTTTTTTCGGACCACGGTATCTTTGGCGGGGTCGAAGTTATCCAAGAACTCAAGCTGTGTATATGTCGTTGTCGGTACGTCTATTGAGAAGGTCGGTTGCATTTGTTGGAAGAACTTCCGACCTTTGTTGTCTTTTTTCTGGCCAGCTCGTGCCTGACCCGTGTTGTTACTGAATGACAGGGTGGAGAACCCCGAGGCTTCTGGGTTGGGTGCCATGTTGGCCGTTCGCCGCACACCGACAGCAAAGCCGCGCGAACCAAGATCGTGATCAGCAAGGTCGTCGCGTCTGCGAGCAATGACTAGGATGTGTGTAAAAATTGCCGAATCTGATATGAGTGTGGGGCTGCGATGCTAGCTCCTAGGGAGCATGTTTGTGGGAAGGGCCGCAAGGAAGTTAATCGAGTGTTGAACCAGCACTAAGCTCTGCGTCGAGACCATGGCATTGCCACAATTCGGTACGGTAACGGCAAGCAAGTTCACCGGCCTCGGTAATTTCGGAACACTAGAGTTTTGCGCAGATTCTTAGATGTTGCGGTGTTTCGACAAGTGGAAACTGTAGGAGGTAGATCCGACCGTGACAAGTCGTGCTGTAGGTCAACTTTGAAAGCTACTCGAGTGGGACAGGAAAGGGCCGAGAGGTCGAAAGTGATACGTAGGTGTGGAGCAGCACAACAGCAGTGAAGAAGGTCGAAGAAGAAGTATGGGTCTGTATGAGCGGAGGAATCTAGAAAGGATACAGGAGGCCAAGATCGATCAAGGTCGAGCTTTGTCTGATGGGTGGTGATCCATTAGCTCACGCACTAACCTGAACTCAAGAACGACGCTCGAGCTCCATTGTGCTCGCACGAGTCAAGGGCATGTGTCGGAAGTCCCATACCCGCCATGTGATTACCCTGGCTTTCCAGTCGCCAACTTGAGGTAACAAACATCGCGCGACAAGAAACAATGTCCAGCTCACGGCTGTTTGGACCAGTGCTCCTTGGACGTCGTGCTATCACGTTCAGGTGCGGACCAAGCGCGCAAATGTCAAAGATCAAGCAGCATCACACAGAGTACGTAGCTTTCTCACTGTGGTGGGCGGAATGTGGAACCTAGCCGCTCGATGTCTTATTGTTTGGGGGCTCGGGGGCTTCGGGGAGGCAGCGGCGCCCCGCATTGCCGATCTTCAGTGCAGCACGATCACGGATGAGGCCCCGATAGCCTACATCGAATCAGCATGAGCCGCCATTGGAACGACGAGCCGAACAAACATCGAGGTAATCGGTGTAGAACACTGCCTGTGGGTTCTGTCTACGGCTACTGGTAGTCTCAAGATGCCAGCAGCCGAGAAGCAGCCGTGCAGTGCAAGGTATCTGTGCTCGCTACGACCGCCCGCGTCCTCGGGGAACTGTGTAACATCCCGGTAGGCCTCGCGGCCTCTTGGGCACTTGAAGATGAACACAATGACGTTCCACATTGCCAGGTTTGAGGCCCATACTGCAGGAGTGACCCTCGAGAAGAAATCTAGGCCCCGGAACCCATGCAAAGCTGAAATGCAATTCGTGTTGCGAGAAATGAGCAGCTGTGAACCTGAGGCGGGGTTGGCGACATGTATTGACAGGGAAAACCCGGCATATCCGCTAAAGGCAGGTGCAGTCGTGAAGTCAGTGTTCTCCGGGCTGTGCAAAGGCCGATCAAGCACTGCAATGTATGGAACATGGTCTCATGTTGGGGCCTGTAAGAACACAGATATAGTAAGCTGTCTTGAAGATGAATCTGTGTCTCATGGTAGCCGGTCGTACTTCGCCATCCTCCACCAATTCCTGGGTGTCATCATACTCATATCAAGGCCCTTATACCAGCACACTCCCGTACAGATGGCCCATGTGGTCGAGAAGATAAGTGCGAGCCCGACGATTCTTGAATTTTTCCAAGACCAAGGTTCCTTCTTCTGCTCAAAATTAGCAGTGCAAACTTCTCGGCAAGAGTTGTGAAACATACACCCACTGCATTGTAATCGCTTTTCTCATCTGAAAGTCCTGCTTCGAGGTCCTCTGATCGCGAAACAGCTTTTACTGATTTGATCTCGACTGAAAAGTCACCCTCTTGGCTACCAAAGAAACTTCTCATCATGAAGCTCCATCTCTTGATGCTCTTGGTGTCTAGCGGTGGGGCATCACTCTTCTCTTTGCCGCGGTACGTCGGCTTCAGCTCACTCCAAGGGATGAAGACCGAGTAGTTGCCAGCTGCGCTGAAGTCATACTCGTAGCTGATGGTAGACTGTTCGCGTCCGTCGCTCATGAGCGGCAGTATCTCATCCTTTAAGACAAAGGTGTAGCGTTTGCCATCATCCTTACCAACGTCTAGATAAATTCCATCGTAGGCGGAGAGGTCCCACGCGCGGTCGTCGCCAGTTGTGCGCTGACTGGCGAAACCAGCTCCACCCAAGGTCTTGATATCGAGATTGCCATGGAAGCAAGCAGTCGAACCTTTCACGTCGAGATAGGACTTGACATGATCAGTTAGCACATGTAGATTCATAAAAGTCAGCTTTAGCTACCTGCGACTTTCCGCCTCGCACTCTGTCATCGCTGGATGTCCAGTCACTAGCGTCCCAGCCTCTGCAGATGCCATTAGAATACAGATTTGCGCAATTGAGTGAAACACTTACTTCTCACCTCCAAAGATCGTTTTTGATTCACTCATGTTGATGGGTAATGGTTGTTGGCTGCTCAAGCCGGAGACCTGCAAGGTCATTGGGTGATGACTTCATTCTGTCTTTGCGTCCGTGCGAGCTCGTGATTGAATCGCGTGCCTTTGACACGCAAGGGTACATTTTACCCAATTCATGACATCCTTCTGTTTAGTTCATCGCAATGGATTTCCGAAGCTTAGACCGCATGGGCGACTCAGATGAATCCATCTTGGATGAGCCGTATCGCCCATTCTATAACATCTTCGCTTCCAAGCCAGTGCTCGTCAAGCAGTATGACGCCCCGCTGCCTGCAATTGCTTGAACTCATCAGATGATAGAGACAACAACTACGACCGGGCAGCCTTCAAGGAGAGACCTCTGCTTGGAGTGCTGTTGTTTGACAACGTTGCTTCCGAGGCCCGAGATATTGCTGCTAATGAGAGAAGTATGCGTGCATGCATCAGCGAGAGCATTACCCTCTGACCAACGCAGCGTTCCTCTCGTGGCTGAAACTCAGTGTGTACATGTCTATTGTCGCCGTTGCAATTATTTTGAATTTCCATTTGAAGTCAAAGCCATCAGCACTCGGTAAGTGTCGGAATCACGTATAGGCCCCATCAAGACTGACAAGACATAGAGAAGAAGTGGTCCCTTCCACTGGGGATTGTGTTCTGGTTGCTTTCGTTGGCATGCTTGTTGTCTGGACTCTCTAACTACATCCACACAGTCTCAGGCTACAGTCACCGACAAGCACTCGTGCAAACAGGCTGGAAGACCCAGACGGTATTCACCATAGTCGCAGCAGCGATTGTGGCCACTTGTGTATTGTTGCTTTCGACGAATGCCCAAAATCGGTAGTCTCATTACATTCATACAGTCTGTAGATACCTATAGACTCTTGTCATTCTCTTTGAATGATGGTATCGCTATTTGCTTATTGTTGTGCTGTCTCAACGCCATTGACAAGGCTTGCCTGCCGTCCCAAATGCATAAGGCCCCTTAATCAGCCTCGAGAACTGCCCATGTGTGATCGTCAACAGTCGTGTAGATCAGCCCACCTGACAGAAGATCGTCTCCAGCTCTTAACACATCAGCAGATTCGAGACCAAGGTTTGCCGCAATAACCTGTTGATGAAGACCTTCGTTGCTTTGGGGCGTCTCTCGCAGATATGCGAAGACTTTCTTCGCGACAGAATTGTAGCCACTTAGATCGTGATTCCCATAAGCACCACCAGCACCACCTCCTTGTTGATCAGCACCAGCGCCGGTATTGGCGGCGCCCGCACCAGCATTGGCCCCACCAAGTGGTCCTCGGGTGAAGTACAAGTGAGTGGCGGTAGCCTCGAGTAGATGGTATGACACCTCGTTCATGTCTTCAACAGGCCGTACGATCTGTGAATTTACCGATCTTCGATCATTGAAGCTCTTCGGCTTTCCCCATGCTCTGCAGTACGAGCCTTCGACGAGCCTAGCTCTCATAGGATTGTTTAAATCGAGATTATCCGGGTCGACCCATTGCCTGACCTCGATACTACCGGTGCCATCGTCGAGTCTGTATGTAGTATTGGTGGTCTGTGTCGAAATATTGCGAATTTGGGCAACAAAGGTGATCTGTGATAAGTGCATTAGCCACAGTTTGTAGAGCTCGAGACCGCAGTTCGTACCTGAGAAGCAATGTGACCATCGATCCGGAAGGAATCAGTCGAAGCATCATGCTGAGCGTCTATGATTTGCTTGATTGTCACAGCGCGGAGCGAGTCTTGCTGTTGCTTGTCTCGACCACCAGGACTCTGTTGGCTGCTATCACCAGGGATGAAGCCGCCGCCACCAGCACCACCGCCGGCGCCGTACGACGTATACGATGTCTCGTACGCGTTGTAACCTGAGAAAATCAGCACTGGGCAATCTCTGTAACCAAAGACGGGAATACGTACTCATCCTCGTGGGAGGTGGATCTGAGTTACAGGCAGATGCGGAGGAGGGGAAACAGCAGGCAGAGCAACGCGTCGGAGACGCGCTAACGCGACTGACACATGACTGTGCCAAGAGTTCGACCCGCTTTTTTTCTTTTCTGTCCCAGGCGTCGCCCGCAGTCGAACATTGCACGTCGAACACTGCACGTCGCTCTCGAACGCCCCCACAACGGACTTACGATGGCTCCTCGTGCAGCCTCCCCGGCGCTCTCCGAAAACGAGTTCGACATTTTCGATAACCTCGCCGGTTCCGATAACGAAGAGCAGAACAATAGCCTGGGCGCGGATCTTGGGATTAATCTGGATATTGGCAGCGATGGGGGTTCTGACGATGAGGCTTTTATCGCAGCAAAGCAGGCAGCCTCAAACCGAAAGGCTGCAAACGTCAAGGGCACCGGAAAGAAAGGCGGAGGCTTCCAGGCCATGGGTCTGAATGCACTGCTCTTGAAGGCTATTGCACAGAAGGGGTTCAAGATGGCAACACCGATTCAGCGCAAGGCGATACCACTCTTGTTGCAAGGTGAAGACGTGGTCGGTATGGCTAGGACAGGATCTGGAAAGACGGCCGCATTCGTGATCCCCATGATTGAAAAGCTCAAGACGCATTCTGCGAAGGTCGGTGCGCGTGGTATTATCATGTCGCCTTCTCGTGAGCTTGCGCTACAGACTTTGAAGGTCGTGAAGGAATTCGGTCGCGGTACAGACCTGAGGACAATCTTACTTGTCGGTGGTGACAGTTTAGAAGAGCGTATGTTGCACATAATACAGGTGGAGGAATGATGCTGACTGTATCACAGAGTTCAGTTCCATGACGACGAATCCGGACATCATCATCGCCACCCCCGGACGTTTCCTGCATCTCAAGGTCGAAATGGGCTTGGACCTCTCCTCCGTTCGATATATCTGCTTTGACGAAGCCGATCGCTTGTTCGAGATGGGTTTCGCTGCACAGTTGGCTGAGATTCTCCATGCTCTCCCGACATCCAGGCAGACGCTATTGTTCAGTGCTACTCTGCCGAAATCACTCGTGGAATTTGCGCGAGCGGGTCTGCAAGACCCCAAGCTGATTCGACTCGACGCCGAGAGCAAGATCTCGCCAGACCTCAAAAGTGCATACTTCACAATAAAATCTGGAGATCGAGACGGAGCACTGCTATATCTGCTAGAGCAGGTTATCAAGGTGCCAACAGGAGAAACCGAAGCCGCGAAGGCACGGAAGGAGGAAGCCAACTTGAGTGTTGGCGCAAAGCGCAAGCGCAAACATTTCACTGCAAAAGACGCTGCGGCGGCCGAGTCAACCATCATCTTCGCTGCTACCAAACACCGAGTCGAGTACCTGTCAGAACTCTTGCGGTCTCTCGGTTATCCGGTTTCTTACTGTAGGTTCAACGCGATTTCGGATACAGTTTTGAGTCCAGCTGACATGAATTCTAGTGTACGGTAATCTTGACCAAACAGCTCGCAAAGCTCACGTTGAGGAGTTCCGTTCTGGCCTCACTCGGATTCTCGTAGTTACCGATGTCGCAGCTCGCGGTGTTGATATGCCTCATATCAACCACGTCATCAATTATGATTTCCCGTCGCAGCCGAAGATCTGCGTGCACAGAGTGGGACGAACTGCTCGCGCCGGGCGGAAGGGCTGGGCGTACAGTCTTTGTAGACACGTCGATCTCCCGTATCTATTGGACCTACAGCTTTTCCTCGGCCAACGGCTACTCGTCGGCCGATCCGACGAAGAAGCAAACTTTGCCGAAGACTTTGTTGTCGGTAGTCTTGCCCCTTACCAGCTGGAGGCCTCAGTTGAGGTTGTGAACAAGCAGCTCGCCGACGATGAGGACTTGGCGCTGCTTCAGAGTGTCGCCGATAAGGGTGAGCGACAGTACCAAAGAACGCGAAATCAAGCTAGCGGACCAAGTGTTCACCGAACCAAAGAGCTTGTCGCAAACCCTCGTTTTGCGGATACGCACGTCCTATTCAAGGACGAGGTTCATGACGCGCTGCAGGAAAAGGAGAAGATGTTGCAAAGGATCCAGGGTTTCAGACCAGCGGAAACCGTCTTCGAGATTGGAAGACGTGGAACGCAAAGCGAGACTGCTGAGATCATGCGCAGAAGAAGAGTGCAGGTTGAAAGACAACAGGAGAAGCAGAGAGCGAACGCACAGGCTAACAATGCACCTGTTGCGAGCCTTGCAGCCCCTGGCGAGTCTGACAAGATGGACGTCGGTTCAGACGATGATGATGTGCCAGCTGACACTGGTGCATACGACTCTGACTCTGACGAACTCGAGGTTTCGGTCTCTATGCCTTCGTCTAAGAAGCCCCAGAACGACGACTTCCGCGAGGGCGAGTTCTTCATGTCCTATCTGCCCAAGGAGAACTACGCAGAAGAGAAGGCTTACGGTGTGAGCGGCGGAGACGCTGGCAACAACTTCGTTTCCGCTGCACGAGCAGCAGAGATGTCACTTGTCAACGATGAGATCCAGGGCTTCGCCGACGCGAGCAAAGCACGTATGAGATGGGACAAGAAGTCCAAGAAGTACGTTGCTCGCGCCAACGACGAAGACGGCTCCAAGGGCGCGAAGATGATCCGCGGTGAAAGTGGTCAGAAGATTGCTGCCAGTTTCCGCAGTGGACGTTTCGACGACTGGCGCAAGGCCAACAAGATGGGCCGCATGCCGCGTGTTGGTGAACAAGAGGCCGCAGGCCGCGCGCCCGGCAAGACTCAGCACTACAAGCACAAGTCCGACAAAGCACCCAAGGAAGCAGACAAATATCGCGACGACTACGAGGTGCAGAAGAAGAGGGTCGACGAGGCCAAGGAGAAGCGCGTCGGTAAGTTCAAGGATGGCACCGGCAAGAGCGAACTCAAGGACGTCAACGCGGTGCAAAAGCAGCGCAAGCTCCAGGAGCAGCGCCAGAAGAAAAACGCCAGGCCGACGAAGAAGCGGAAGTTTTGAGTTCATTGTTCAATACCCGGCTTGCAATCTAGCAAATGCATCAATACAGAGATTATCTGGTTCACGGAATGTTACTTCCCGTACCCAACACTCTTTACTCGCACGCTAGCGAACGTTGTTGCGCCCTGTGCGGTGCGATTGAGTGCCGTAAAATTCTTCGGGTGTCTTTCGCGCCGATGGAGCTAACGGTGACTTTACCTTTGCGCCGTCTCATTGACGGCGAGTATGTCACAACCAACTGGTTAAGGTAAGCACCTTATCCCCAAATTGTCAGCCTGGCTGCCACGCGTGACAATGTCAGGCCAGCTTTTCAGGCCCACGCCTCATTCCTTGTGCGTAGAAGAGGGTGCAGAGGACCCACGATCCTACAGGATCTCGAGGTTGCTTTTCGCGGTGCCACATGCGTGCCTGCCAATGTGTGTGCCTCGGATGAGACGTGCGGGTTGTTGAATCCTGTGTCAGCCTGGACTGGCCTGGAGTCGTGCACCCACTCTTTGCGCACGTAAAATCCACTTGGTCGACGGAGTTTTCGCGGAAGATGCCATCCATAGCTGGCGCAGGATGGTTGGTTTGCTGTGCCACAGTGCTGCGTTTATGGAGTACCATCTACATGACTAGACTGTGCCTCGCACGAGTGGTGTAAATTAGCCAATAGTGGCTTCGCACATGGAGGGCAATTCGACACCCTACTGGCCTATTGGCGATCGCACATTGTTGGACACAACATGAGTTTAGAAATATTGCCCAAGCCATTGGGTTCGAGTGGCTGTCGCATTGGGGTTGACATGCTGCAGGCGAGTACCTTAGCCGTAGGGAGCAGCGTGTACCGTACTGTCAGGCGTAGGAGCGCTCTTACGGCTCTATCGACGCACGATAGAGTTGACACTTGACAAGCAACCGCGTATTGAGAGACAGCAGCTAGCGCGCCCACGACGCCGCGACGCCAACAACGCCCACAACGCCCGACTCAGGCATCGAGGGTCTTCCTGGGCGCACATGGCGAGCACGCACGTCATCCATAGAAGGAGATTATTAGAGTCGGACACGATGTCTGCGCTAGGTGGAGGCTCCACATGACAGCCTCGAGTAAGCAGCGGCTCAACCTGTGGCCTAGCTAGCGCCCAGGTCCGCAGGGAACGTCAATAAGCCAAAGGCTTACCAACCTTCTAGAATACGCCTCGGGCGCAACAGCAACGCGCTCTTGTGTGACACACGCACGAGGCCAGGGACCACAAGCGGACTGGTAGTACAAATATCTCAAAGTCTGGTACTCCAGCCGCCAGAATACCGCCGAAATGCTGCTTGCAATATTTCTGTGCCACAAATGCAATCTCCCAGTGCCCTTCAACGGCTTTCTGATATCATCGTACAGCCCAAGTAGAGCGGCAATCTCCTTGCTAAACCGTGATGCAGCTTTCAATGAAAATCGGCGGCATCTGGCGAAGCGACGAACCCAACGCGGCCACGGGCACCCTCCTGGCCGCGCCGTGATGTCGCTAAAGGCTGTACTACGGCTCGCAGGCGAGGGGAATCATAACGGCGCGATACTCGACGGTTTTCAGACGGGAAATTTCTTATTCCGCTGTGGGCCCGGGGATTACTGCATAGACGACGATGGGCATGAAGGAGTGCAGGGGATCGGCTTGTGAAGCTGTACGAGAGGGCATATTCACACAAGCGGAAGTCGGCACGTGCTAGAGCTCCTTTAAGGCCTGCTCGGCCCGTACCCAGTCGAAAATCGAGCATGGCGCAAGGATTTTTCGATAGCAAGACCCCTGGCCCGCGCTACTTTTGGCACAAACAACGTGTCCAGAAGCCCAGGCACCGGTTCGTAGATCCCGCGGTTCAATCCGTGGCTGCCCTTGTCGCAGCACACATCCCGGTCTCGTAAACACCACGTCGAGATGGTGATGCTGTGGCAGCAGCAAAACGTCGACCGACCATCACATGCAATGGGTACGGCCGACGGGCCAAATGGGTTGCGTGTCAAGAGCGGAGTAAAGTCCTTAGTGACACAGCGGCAGCGCCCGCCACGGCGGGAAGGGCAGCAGCTCCCAGTTCCCCACAGGCCGTTGACAAGAAATCGTCGGCCATACTATGGTAGCCTCGGAGTATCGTACTGAGAGATGACGGCGCTGTAAAGACCTTCTGTTAACGACAAGAACCCCGACGGTATTTTTGGGTCTGGCAGGATAACCGGAGGATCTTATAACTTCCGGCGAGCTGGGATTTGCAGGGCGACAGGCCTGAGCAGAATGAGTCATTGAATTTCCGCTGGCCATGTTGAAGGAGGAAGGGTCATGCAGGTGGACCTTGTCTCCTGCAGCTCGAATCTCGCTTGTTGCCGCAGAGAGGGCAGGACGGGCCACATGCGGTATGCAGAGTGAGTTTCTCGGACGGGTCAGGATGCAGGGCCGGTAGGTAAGGGCGGATTTGAAATATGTTCGGAGAAACAAGTCTGTTTTGTCGACGACAACAACCAACCCGGCCCTCATTTGCGCCGTGATCTCGCGAAAAGCTCCCCAGTGTCGTGTCGGTTGGGTAAGATCATCGACGGGCCGCTATGCCGTGTTGGGCTTGCCAAAGTACCGACACGCGGGCAAGCCACCAGCACGAACGGTGTGAGTCGCCTTCAGGCCCTCGATGTTGGTGCTGCTAGTGTTGACGTGCACTTGTGATGCAGTACTCGCGGTGCCTGGCAATTGCCCGAAGCAGCAGCATGACAGCGCTCAGGGAGCAGCGGCCGCGGCGATTGGACCGTCAGCTGCTGCTGCGTTATTGCCTGTTATTGCCTGTATTGTCAGGATCATGAGCTCAGCACCGAATGTCACGCGGGGCATTACGGCGATTGAGTTCAATTAAGATACCAAATTGTATCCTGCAACACAAGCCGGGCCATGCATGTCACGCCTGCAAACTCAGTCTGGCCCCGCAGAGCAATGCCAATGCCAGTGCATCGCAGGCTCTCGGGCACTTTGCGGCGATCCTCGACCGACGGCGATTTCAGATCGATGTCACCCACCGGAGCATTTTTTCGTCTGGCCCAAAGCAGCGCATCCCGGTCCTATAGCAGCCAGCTAATATTATGCTGGCGGTTTCGCGACAACAGCATGACTGCGCATCTTAATGAAGACTGGACGCCACCGCTAGCGCAGCGCGTTGGCGATTGGAAGACAGCGCTGCCCTTGGCCGTTACTTTTTGCAGGCCACGGTGGGCACAGTCCGTTGTTTGACGCGCCTGTAAGCACCGCTCGGCAGGAGGGCAGCCGTTTCGCGACGAGTGCTTTGTCTCTGAGCATGTCACCAGTGCTGCCCTTTGATCCGACGTCGACGGCAAGTGCGAGCAGTGCAGCAACTAACGAGTCGGCCACCGACGCAAAGACGCAAGCGGACAGACTAGCGGCGCCTACGTCCTCCAGCCATGCGGGACCAGCATCTGCCAGATCCATCACTCGCATGTGTTCTGGAGACTATCCTCTGTGGCTCAACTTGGCGTCAGGCATTTCCGGGCACCGCCAGGAAAGCAATACACTCTGTCCGCCTGCAGGCAAGCACATGCTTTCGGCAGCTGCGCGTCTGGCTATTGCCTTGTAATCTACAGACGCCTTGCGCCTACTGTACACCGCCGACCACAGCATCAAGTGCGTGAATGTAAACTCTGTGCAGACGATCATGGTCTACTGGCGCCGCGAATCGTCAAGCCATAACCGCAAGGCCACGTCGATCGCAGGTGCGGATCACTTCCCATGCCCCGTCATAGGGCTCTGAGCTGGCACCACGCGAGTGTGCTGCAAACGATGTCTGGTGCTGGTGTTGGTGTTGGTGCTGGTGCTGGTGTGGCTGCGGCAGTCTTGCTGGTGTTGTGCGACGGCAGTGCTTGTAGGCCTTACACGGTGCCTGTCGACGATCAACAAGGTTTGCGAGCGAGACCAGCAGGCACGTCCAGCGTGCGGAAGACGGCCCATGCAGCGCGCACTCGAGCTGCTGGTGGCTATGGTTGGCCTGAGAGGCCCGACTGTCCAAGTGACAGATGCAAGCGTGAACCAGCGGCGCGGGACTGGCCATGAGAGCCACAATTCGCAATCGTCAGCTTACAACCTCGCTACGGGTGCTGCGGCTGCGTCTGCTTCTGCTTCTGCGCTGGAGCGCGAGCGACCGCATTCGTCGCCCATTGACGGAACAACTTCCTCAGGGCCTCGTGGGGCGGCTCCTCCGGCTGGTCGCCTTGCCTTCCTCCAGCAACATGCAACGCCACAGTCAAGCGCCAGCCGCGACGCATCGACGCCAACTTATGCTTTACCTCGCTCCCAAGTTTTGCTTGGGCGGGCAAGACCGTGCAATGGAGCTGGCGCTAGGGCTTCGTTAGCTAGCCCTGGTCGAAGACGGTTCGGATAGCAGGGGCCAGCAGAACTGACAGGGCCCCCAGTCCAGCGCCAGCCCGTCGTGTCAATGCACTCTCCACGCCACGGCTGCCGTGCATACTTCCGCGGCTGCATCGACCGTGCTGGAGAGCGGCAGCCCTTTACTCGAAGAACTATCAGCCGAACGAGGGAAGCATGTCGTTGTCCCCGACAGGCACACTCCCCTGCTCCCGTTGCCCGGAACCCATCGTGGCCCCCGTCTCACGGCCCTCGTCCGTCATCTGCAAGAGTTAGCAGGGATCCCACAAACAGCGTCCACCAGAATCTCCATAACCGATTGTGGTTATTACTAGAGATTCTCCGCCGACTGGGCAGAACCTGCTCTGCCTTTTTGCGTCGTTTATTGCTCATTGGCTCCCTCAAGCTCAACATCAGCGCCTCACGTCCCGCCTGGAGTCGCCCCATCACTACACGCCTAACTGGTCTTGACACTTTTAACGTTGCTGGAGGCTTCGCACTTTGTTTGAGACGTCCATTGGCACTGCCGAGTAGTGATCAGTGTAGTGGCCGGAGATCAGTATCAAAAAGGTATTTAACGACTTCCGTCCCTCCCCACCCTGCCCCCTGCATTCGGGCTTGTCCTAGGTATGCTTGCTTGCGAAAGTCCAGACGTGATGGAACATGGAGATATATTTTGAGCGTACTCCGGGCTATAGCTATTGTTAACAGAGCTGTCTGAGCTGTCTCCTCCTTCGACGTTGTTCAGGCCTCTCTTTGCTTGTTTGTGGGCTTACCGGTGTCATCATGCAGACTTCCCCTACCAGCCTCAACTCAACACCCACTGACGCACATCGCAACCCAGGCAAGGGTGCAATCTTCCTCGCAGCGCATCTGTCTGGGTCTGCAACCGTCCCCTCGGCTAATCGTGCTTTCGCTGCTGGTGCGGCGGTCGAGCGTTGCGGAGGTCAAGCGATGCAGAGTCTGTCATTACCGCGTCCGAAGCCACTCCCATCAGCGCCGTTTGGGCAACCTACAGGGCCAGAGGTCGGTTTGGCAAAGCTCATCCCCAAGTTCAGTCCCGACAGGTCTGGACAGCACGGCTACCCATCCCCTCCCATGTCAGAGCCGCACTCTCCCTCCCAGCGCCCAGCACGTTCTGTTGAATCCGAGCGTCTGCAGTACCCGCCAGTAAGTGCACCACACAGGCTCGAACCTGGTCTGCCTCTGCCGCCGCCCTCGTCCGCGCTGTTCAATCCCCGGCAACCGTTGGCGAGCCAGAGCAATCTGCAGCAAAGACCGCTGTATCCTGGCGGACACCACTCGCAACACCAGCACCACTATCAGCCTGGACCTGCAGCCGAACGTCCACCGTATGGAGCGCCTCCGGCGCCGCAGAGCTATGGCTACGGCTATTCACCCGCAGGCGCATCTCCTTACATCCTCGGAGCGCAACAAGCAGGGCCCCAGACACAGCCTGCAGCAATGATCGCACCGCCACCCACAAGGCCTGCCAAGCCAGCTCGACGAACAAAAGCTCACGTCGCTTCAGCCTGTGTCAACTGTAAAAAGGCGCATCTTAGCTGCGACGTCCAGCGTCCATGCGGACGATGCGTCGCATCTGGAAAACAGGTAAGCAGGCCTCGTACTCGCATGCGCTAGCAAGTTGGAAGTTCGGGAATAGATGAGAACTGACTCTGGGACGACAGGACACATGCAAGGACGTGCTGCACAAGAAACGTGGGCGGCCGCGACTAAGAGACGATAGGGACTTTAACAGACCGGAACAGGCAAGGCAGCAACCCGAACAGACTCTCGGCTCGAATCCTCCACCGTCGACAAAAGTTTTCGGGCACCAGGCGCCTTACGCAGCTTCGCATTCGCATCGAGTCGCCGAGATGCCTCGAACAATGGTTGCACACACAGGAAACAACACTCCCAATGCAGGCGCATCGTCTACAGCAGGCCGGACTCTCAGTGTCGGTAGTTATGGAGGGGTGTCTTCCCATTACGGCGTGGGACCGGATTTGGCGTACCAGTCTTTGCCTGTTGCGTTCCTGAATCTGGACCTAGTGATCCAGAAGTCGAACCAAGCCTTTCAGGATTTGACATCGTTCCTGGGAAGCGTGGGAGGGAAAGATCTGGGAGAACTTCTCGAACCGAGACAGCACGAAGCCCTGCAGCGGTTGCGCGGCGAGCTTCGCGAAGAACGGGACGAGCGCGAGCCGGCCTACATGGCGCCCATCACACCGCTTGGGCACGATCCGATGCGCTCGGTCATGGAGTCTGTGGTCGACCGGGATGTCGAGCGTGTCAGCCACGGCTTTACAGACAGGCCGATGTTCCTGAGCTATCGCCTTCCCAACGGACAGTACCAGTCTCTCCAGACCCAAATCCGGCTCGCGAAGACGTCGCTGTACTTTGTCACGCTGGTCGTGCGCACACCTCTGTCAAAGCCTCTTGGCCCTCCTCTTCTGGCGCAGCAGCTGGCGCCGCCGACGCCTGTCCACGCGTCGCAGTCGGGTTCGGTACCGACACCTCACTCGTCCAGAACTGGGCATTATACCCCTCAGCAAGCGCGCCCGCCCTCGTCAGCAAGCTCTGCACCTAATTCGCCCTACTCTTTCAACTTCTCGTCAGTCCGCACCTCGCTGCCCAGCTTTAGTCCCAGCTCTTACGCAAGCAGTCCATCGTATGGCTACTCTCCCACCGCCGGCCCGGAGACAGGCTACTTCCCTACCTACCACCACCCGCAGCCGGTCGCACATGCTCCTCCCTATGCCCCCGCGCCTCGCACCGGGTCAGTAACGTCGGAGCCTCTGCGCGAGCTGAACCACGCGACGCGAATGGAGGGCCTGCAACTGCCGCCGATCCGCACCGGCCCAGCACCGCTCGGCTCGCCTCTGCACCTCGCGACCAGCCACAGCGCGCCCGACGGCGACCGCGAGCGCGTGCGCCGCCGCGAATCGAGCTCCAGCGCAGACAAGCGGTCCGACACGCCGGGCGAGGCGGGCAAGCGTCGCCGGCTCAATATTCGAGAGGTGCTGGAGTAGCAGGAGGGATGCTGGTGCCGACGCCGACGCAGAGCAGGGCAGACGCAGGGCAGACGCAGGGCAGACGCCAACGCAGAGCAGACGTATGTAGACAGACGCAGGGCGCGCCAGCCAGATGACGTTGGGCGCCCCGTCCAACGTCGCACAGCACAGCGCCGTTTGTGCACGGCGGTGCCCGTTGCCGAGTCGCGCACCCCGGTCGCGCTGAAACGTCGTCGCGCGGGATGTGCTGTACATAGACCGTCGATACCTACCTACCTACCTACCTTTCCCGTTGCCGAATTTGACTCGATACCCCCCCTTCTGCATGTCCATGTCCATGTCCGTCTTGATCACTGTGCGTGCGTGAGGTGGTTGTCGTCCCGACGTGTCCCCAGGTCTGCGTCCTGCTTCGCAGCTCGTGCAGGGCATCGCGTCTAGAATATACCTACGTGCAAGACCTCCTCACTAAGTTTCCACGCTCTCATGGCCCCAGCCCGCGCAAGTAAGCACGTCCAAGCCCGCCGCTGTTTCACCGCACCGTCCATACTTTCTCCCGTGCTCCCGGTCGCTGGTCGCCGCAGCAGTGCATGCACATACACACCGCACATACACATACATATTATACATGCATGCATGCCAGTACCTAGCGATCGTTCGCAGCCAGCTTAGCAGGGACTAACGCGATTCGTGATTGGCGATAGGTGATTGGCCAGACTAGCGACCGGAGCAATGAGCCGCGGGATGTGATTGGGCGGTCGGAGAATTTGGATCGCGGGATCGGGACATCGGGGGGTGGGGATGCAGGGACGGGTGGTGTTGTGTCTGCAGGTGGGTCACGAGGAGGTGGTGGTAGTGTGGTGATGGGCGGTGCTGGGAGGGATGGAAGGGTGAGAGTGCTGCTGGCTGCTGTGGCGGCTCTGGCTCTGATTCTGACGGTGTTGTGTTATGCAGTGCAGTGCAAAGCAATACAGCGGCGCGGCAGGCAGTTAAACTCACTCCATCACATGCACATCACATGCACATCACTTATCACCACGTGCAGTCACCACCGGCGCATCACACCAGGCGAGCAGCACTCCCGTTGTGTACGCGTGTTGCCGTTTACATCACAGGGGAGATTGCAGGAGGACGCGTTTGATAGCGGGGAACTACCGTGGGCGTGCTGACAGAGTAGTAAGCAGAGCGCGGAGTCGGGCCCGGAAGTTTGTTTGCGATGCGCTGCACGGGGCGTGGAGACATGGCGTGGGGGACAGTCAGGGCACGGCACAGTGAAGGGGAGGGTGTGGATGGGCATATAGACGCAGATGAGCAGTGAGCGCGGTTTGTGTACCATGTGTTTGCGTCTTGGGCGGATGTCCGCGCTATCTGTGACGCCGTGAGGCTGCTACTTGACCATCGAGCGAGGCTGGTGCCGGGCGTGCCGGCGTGGCTGGGCGTTGCGAGGGAATGTGCAGCCGGGCTGGCACCGTTGCTAAACTCTAATGCTGGGAGGAGCGTGACGCACTATCAACCACCGGTGATGCGGGGACGCGCAAAGATGTTGGTCGCGGGCGTGGTTGCGACAGGCTGGGATGGACAGTGGTAGGCAGTCGTGTGGAGGGTGCGATACCACTGCAGGCACGAGATATTGAGGGCTCACCCCAGCGCCTTGAGCTTCTTCTTCTTCTTCTTGGCGCCGTCGACCTCGGGCTTCTTGCCCTGCTGGTAGTCGCGCCAGCTGTTGATGCGCGTGTCGCGCGACTTCTCCCAGGCCTGGTCGTGGTCGCGCTTGCGCTTGCGGTCGGCAGCCTCCTCCTCGTCCTTCTTCTGCTGGCGGCCCTCCTCGCGCAGCTGGGCCTTCATCTGGCGCTGGCGGCGCAGCTCGTTGTCGCGGATGACCCAGGCCGTCTTCTCGCGCCATTCCTTGAGGAACTCGGGGCTGCGCGTCTCGTCGTCGTCGGCCGTCAGCTTCTTGTCGCGCATCAGCAGCATGCGCGCGTCGGCAATGTCCTCGTCCAGTCCCGCGCGCAGCTTCTCGTCGAGCAGCACCGTCTGCGCCTTCTTGAGCCGGTCGAAGGCGTCGGGCGCGTTCGGGTTGGACGTCTTGTCGGGGTGGATCAGCAGCGACTTGGCGCGGTAGACCTTCTTGATGTCCGAGTCGGGCACGCCCGGCTGCAGGTCGAGCACGGCGTACGCGTTGAGGCTGAAGACATTGCGGATGCCTGGGCTCGTCAGTATGCGGCGGGCGAGTGGTGTGGGCGTTGCGCCGGCGTACGCTCAATCTCCTCGTCCTGCGCCCGTTAGCAGTGTGCAGTGTGGTGGCCGGGCTCTGCCCACCTTGTCCAGCTCCTTGCCCGCGGCCTTGAGCTCGTACTCGAGGTCGTCCGCCATGTTGTGCGTGCAGGCCGTGAAGCGCTCGGTTGCGTTGGTTGTGTTGGTCGCGTGGTTGCGTTGGGTGTTTGGTTGCGCCGGCTGCGGCTGCGGCGAGACCCCCGCGGACAGGCACGGGCCACTGCTCCACCAAAATGTTTTCCTCGATGGCGCGGCTGCAGTACTTCGTATCACGAGTGTCCCCAGAAGCCTCCCGGCAGCTGCACCGAAGTACACAGTATGAGCGGCGCCGGAATTACAGGCCGCACGCGGCCGACCAAGGTCAAGAAGCAGGCCTCGGCCGCCAAGCGCAAGCGCGACGATGTCGACGTCGAGAAGCTGGAGGCCGCCGTCGCAGCACTGGTACGACCCCCGGCGGTGCACATGACAGCAGACTGACTGGCTTAGGACCCCAAGTCGGGCGCATACAAAGACTTCACCGACCTCCCGCTCTCCGAACCCACCAAGGCCGGCCTGAAGGCATGTCACTTCGCCGTCATGACCGACATCCAGGCCAAAGCCATCCCGCTCGCCCTGCAGGGCCACGACATCCTCGGCGCTGCGAAGACCGGCAGCGGCAAGACCCTCTCGTTCATCCTCCCCGTCCTCGAGAACCTGTACCGCCTCCAGCACATCGGCGCCGACGCAGGGCTCGGCGCCCTCATCCTCTCCCCGACCCGAGAACTCGCGATCCAGATCTTCGATGTCCTGCGCAAGATTGGAAAGCACGGCCACATGTTTGCCGCCGGCCTGCTGATCGGAGGAAAGAGCCTGGAGTCGGAGAGGGACGCTCTCACGCGAATGAACATCCTGGTCGCAACCCCCGGCCGCATGCTGCAGCACCTGTCGCAGACGGCTGCCTTCAACGTGGACGACCTGAAGATGCTGGTGCTGGACGAGGCGGATCGAATCCTGGACATGGGCTTCCAGCACGACGTGGACGCTATCGTCGAGTATCTCCCCAAGGAGCGCCAGACGATGCTCTTCTCCGCGACCCAGTCGCGCAAAGTGTCCGACCTCGCACGTCTGAGCCTTCAGGATCCCGAATACGTGTCGGTGCACGCCGAAGACAAGAGCGCGACACCCAAAGGCCTTACCCAGAACTACATCATCTGCCCTATCGAGGAGAAGCTGGACACGCTGTGGAGTTTCCTCCAGGCCAGCAAGAAATCAAAGATCCTGTGCTTCTTCTCCTCGGCAAAGACAGTGCGATTCGTCTACGAGTCCTTCCGCCACATGCAGCCTGGTATCCCGCTGCTGCACATTCACGGCCGCCAAAAGCAGGGTGCTCGCTTGGACGTAACATCGAAATTCTCCGCCGCAAAGAACTCGTGTCTGTTCGCGACCGACGTTGCAGCTCGAGGGTTAGACTTTCCAGCTGTGGACTTTGTCATCCAAGTCGACTGCCCCGACGATGTCGACACCTACATCCACCGCGTCGGTCGCACAGCCCGCTACAACCGCGAAGGACGAGGTGTTTTGTTTCTCGCGCCGAGCGAAGAGGAGGGCATGCTGAAGCGCTTGGAGCAGAAGAAGGTCCCCATCGAGGCCATCAACGTTCGACAGAAGAAGAAGACGTCAATCAGGGAGCAGCTGCAGAACATGAACTTCAAAGATTCAGCAATCAAGTACCTGGGTCAGAAGGCGTTCATGACACACGTCAAGTCACTATACCTGCAGAAGGATAAGGAGGTCTTCAAGCTGAAGGAGTACGACCTGGAAGCCTATGCGGCGAGTCTGGGCTTGCCAGGAGCACCACGGATCAAGTTCCTGCAAAACGACGACAGCAAACAGAAGAAGCAGGCAAACAGGGAAAAGATCGAGGTATCAGAAGACTCCGAAGAGGAGGCACCCAAGGCGGAAAAGCCCGTGCGCACAAAGTACGACCGCATGTTCGAGCGCCAGAACCAGGACGTCCTTGCAGACCACTACAAGAAGCTCGTCCGCGACGGCGACGACGCCACAAACGACTTCACCGGCGAGGGGGCGGCCGACGGCGACGACGACTTCATGGCCGTCAAGCGCCGCATTCCCGCCGACGACGACAGCGACGCTGATGTCAACGAGACATTCGGCATCGACGCCACAACCGACCCGTCCATACCAGGCGGCAAGGTCGTCAACCTCGCCGGTGCATCCCAGCCCCTCGTCATCGACTCGAACCGCCGCGAGAAGCTGCTCAAGTCCAAGAAGAAACTGCTGCAGTTCATGGACAAGGGCAAGAAGATCATCTACGACGACGACGGCAACCCGCACGAGGTCTACGAGCTCGAGAACGAGGAGGACTTCAAGGCCCGCGGGCTGCCGGAGGCACAGCGGCAGAAGTTCATCGAGGAGGCCAGGCAGGTTGTCGAGCAGGCCGATGTCGACGACAAGGCGGCGGCGCGGGAGAAGCGGAGGGAGAAGCTCCGCAAGCGCAAGGAGAAGGAGCGAGGCGGGGAGGTTGCAGGGTCCGACGACGACAGCGACGGCGGCGTCGAGCTTCCCGACGCAGGCGAAGACCTGCTGGCCAACTTCAGAGCCGACGCCATGTACAGCGACGAAGACGACGAGGGAGACGAAGCGCCACAGCTAGTCGAGAAGAAGCCCAAGAAGTGGTTCCAGTCCGACTCCGAGGACGACGCGCCGAGCAGCAAGAAGAAGCGCAGAAAGGGTCAGGACGCACGGCACGTGGTCGAGCAGCCTGAAACCCTCGAGGACATGGAAGACATGGCCGCCCGCCTACTGGGCTAGCCGCATGTATAGCAAGAACCCCCGAAGACATGAAAGACATGGCCGCATGTATATCAATCCACCCTTTCAATCCCAGTCCAACATGCCCACAAACCGCCTGATATGCGCCGCATTCAGCGTCTCACACGCGCCGTGCCTGGGCCCCTCACACCGCCCCTTCGCCCCCCACGCCCGCTCCATAAACCCCTCATCCGCATGCCACCGCTGCTGCCGCGCCTCCGCCTCCTCCAGCAACGCCCCCACCGTCGTCCCGCCCCCCTCCACCAGCCCCCGCAGCGCCGCCTTGACTACCACCCGCCACTCCTCCGCCCGCAGCGCGACATCGACGCCCATCGGACACGCGCGCGTCCCCGTGTGCAAGTGCGCCAGCGCTGCGCTCGCGTCGCCGACGCGAAACAGCTTCGTCGCGCCCGCGGCCGCGAGGCGCGCAGCCTCGCGATCGGTTTCTGCGAGCGCGGCGCTGATGCGCGAGAGCAGTGCGCGGAAGAGCGAGACTAGCGCGGATATGTTTTGGCCCGCGCTGAAGGCGTCGAGGGGGCATGTTGGGCATGCGGTCAGGGTGGTTATTGTGGTCATGGCGTCGCGGAGGGGGGCGAGGACGAGCGGGAAGGAGAGCGGGATCGTGTGCAGTTTTGTGAGGGTTAGGTAGGTTAGGGAGAGGCAGGGGCAGGGGGGGAGGGGGGATTGGTCGGCGGGGGTGAGGGCGGTTAGGGGGGTTGAGAGGGGGTAGTCGGTGGGCACGGGGGTTGAGAGGGGGAAGTCGGTGGTCCAGAGGGAGGGGTCCAGAGGCGGTGTCAGGCCGAAGCTGGGGGCGTGAGTCGCGTTGCTGCGGGAGGGGGGGGGGGGCGTGTGTAGTCACTTACTCGATGTCGTCGTACACTCCAACGAGACCAGGGTCTTGGTCTTGGACATACCCTCCACCCCCAGCCACCACACCCCCCTCCCCCTCCTCCGGCGCCGGCGACACCAGCCCCCCACCCCGCTGCACCGCAAACCCACCCAACCCTTCATTCGCAACACCCACACCCTCCTCTCTCACCCCGCCATCCCCGCCCTCCACGCTCCCCCTCCTCCTCTTCCGCGGCCGCCCCATGGCTTTCTGCGGCGAGTACACACACACCCCGCCGTCGCGGGCGCAGCGCGCACACGCGGGTCTGCTGCCCTCGCAGCGCAGTTTGCGGGTGCCTGGTGTGGTGAGCGGTGAGCTGGGGTCTTTGGTGGATAGATAATTGGGATACTTGGGGTGGGGAGATGGGGTGGGGAGATGGGGATGGTGGATGGAACTGGCGGGAATAGGTGTACTAGAAAAAATGGAAGGGGTGTGTATGAGAACGAAAGGAAAGGGAACGGGAGTGGCTCACGGCATTCATCGCACGCGGTGTGCAGTTTCTCGGCCGGGGGTTGCGCCATGGTATGTGCTAGATATCCCGTATCCAGTATCCCGTATCCCGTATCCAGTATCCAGTATCCAATACTCAATATCCAGTATTCAACACTCAATACTCAATATTCAATATGTACGATCGAGGTGTGCAGTTGCGACGCAGCCCAGACGTGACACGAACGGACACGGACTGGCGCCAAGAAGCCCGCCTGGGTCGCCGCTGACGCACGTGCGACGAGCCGTCTTCTCACCACCACTACAGCTGCTATTCTCGTCCGCGACTTTTTGACCGATTGGGCTGGCGGGGCGAGAGCGACGCTGTAGTCTACATCTGTTTATCCCCGCTGCTGGTGCTGGTGGCTGCAGGCGTTGTGGCGGCGCGTGTGGGCACCGAGATGGCTGGGCATTGGTGAGCATTCGCCATACGCCATACTGTCGCTGGACGGTGCGAGGTGATGCTTCGACACTTCGCTGGGCGGGATTGGTCTTGGACTTCGTTTCTGCATTGGGGTGTAGCTGTAAACAGGTCGGTTCGAGATATCCTGTGGCTTTGCTTGGTAGCGGTAGGTGCTGTAAGAGGATATCGTCCCATACGATGTACGCCAGACCGAGGATGATGTTCGTACTGAGAGGGTGCGGGCTACTACGGCATTTACTAGGACGTGTCTTGTGTAAGTAAGCGTCTTGGTGGCTACAATGCTGCCGCTGGAGACAGCGCATGTTTATGCGTCGGTGAATTACACCCTCACCCGTCAAAAGAGCAGGACCAGACCGCTATTGAATCGCTGGCTTCGCACTGATATGTTGGTGGGACACTTCACTCCACGCGTTGGCATGATCTGCCTCGCCCTTCACCTTCACTGTCGGATCGGCGCAGGCTGCTAAGCGAGATGGCTAGTACGCCTTCTATCGAGACAACAACCGTTGAAGATTACACCTCCAGCACCTGGATCTGCAGTCACCAGCTGTAACTATGTCGTGCAGTTATCTCGAGTACGCCATCTCCAACCAGCCGCCACACAACGGCGATTGCATCTATTGCGGGTGGACCCTAGGGACTGTCGACGAAGGCTTGCTGTACGCCACAATCGACTGCGGACACGACGCTCACTACTGGTGTGTACTGAAGCATTGGCAGGATCTTCCAGCCGACCACGTCGAGGACTGCCCTGGCCAGGACTGTGCGAACACCATCGTCGGTCCGCCGGTGCAGACTATCGTAGTGGACATTGATCCCGAAGGGGCCGAGGTGTACTGCGGTATATGCCAGAACGGCGAGGATCTAAGGTCCACTCGTTGTCTGCAGGTAGACCATCCACGTATGACCGCCGAACGGACAGATGCTAACATCAGGTGCTACCACCACAGACGCTGTGTCGCTCAGAAGCACACTACTATCATACAACATGTCTTACGGAGCTCAATGAGGACCACATGGATACCTACGAGGTCGACCACGCCCAGCTGTACACTTACTGCAACCTGCCTTGCCCGGCGTGCCATTGGCTCCTATGCCCCGACTCCATCGCTCAGATCGCGGACGACATCGAGCACGACCGAGAGCCAGAGGACGTTCCCCTGATCACTCTCCCGATCCCCTACGCGCTCTTCGCAGCCAACGAGCGCCGCAAACGCATTCTCGCACGATACGCAGAGCACCAAACCCAGTCGCGCGATGTCGTCCGACTCGAGCGTCGTGCCGCCAACCTAGGAGCCCCAGAAGACAGCACTTTTTTCACCGCAAACGCAGTCACCCACGCCCAGAGACAGAACGAAATGGTGTACTTACCCATGACGTACCGAACGTGGGAGGGCAGCTTCGACTACATGGCGGTTGCCCACAAGACTGACCTTGTCCTCGATGTCATGGTGGCTTGGCTGGCTGTGTGTGGGGAATCGTACAGTGTCGAGTTTGTGAAGTGCTTGGTTGAACACCTCACTTACAAGAATGCAGGCAAGTACAGTGAATGCGATGTGTTGGTTGTTTCAGCTAACGATGACAGTGTTGCACTGGGCTACGAAGATCGATACCTTCCCAAGTGGTGGGCGAGAGCGGATTCTATACCGTCTTGGATAGGTAGGACTTCTGGGCTGGTAGTGCGAGATGTATAGTCGGCTGGTATGAGATGTTAGGAGAGGTTTGCAAGTGATGAGGTAAAGGGGTCAGAGACATAGTGAAAAGAACAGTCAATTCATGTTAGACAGGTAAGCATTTCACCACCCTTGCACTGTCCGGTTACATTGACCCCTGAATCAGCCTAGTCAATACCAGACGCGTGCCTCACCCAGACACCCACCGCCTTGTCCTCCTCAACCACCTCCTCAGTACTGATGTCGACCCAGCAAGCAATGCCTGGACTGGCACAACCCACCGCTGATCACACCGCAGGACCCAACGAGCCACCCCACTAGCAACAGTGGGAGAAAGTTTCCTGTGTGTTCCGCCGAACGACAAGCCCGCTGGTCTCCGTTGTCGGTCATCTGGGAGGACACTCGGGAGGATGTGCAAGAGTGGGCGATGCGTGGACGTAAGGTTTGACTGCACCGTGTCCGCAACCCAAACAGTGAGAGCAACCCTAATGCATGCCGATCCAGAAGACGAGCCCGCAATATCCGTTTCCTGCCTTTCGTCTGGAAGGACGCTCGGGAGAATCTGCAGCTGTGAGTGATGCGCGTGGGCACAAGGTTTGGCTGTATCGTGTCCGCAACCGGTACTGAAGAGGCGATACTGCGGCGCAACGTGTTCTGGGTCGCGTCTCCTGTCTTGCCTACCCGGTGGTGACACTCCTCTCCATCGAGGTAGACGAGGGGGGGATGAGGAAAGCAGTGCAAAGCATCCGGTGCTCAGGAGTGCAGAGGCACACACCCACGAGGGGGCCCCGAGCCACGCACTCTGCTGCGGCTTCCCTCCCTCCATGGGAAAAAACAAACCGCACCAAGTGTCGCGTGCCCCCGAGCAATCCCCACCGCCGGCGTCTCCATCGCAAAGCCACACACGACAACAGGGTCCATCCTTCTCCCGCACCAGCACCGACCGGACCCGCAGCTTTGCACGCAGCCCAACACCCACACCAGTGACACTCGCCACGGCCGCATCTCCACCCCGCGCCCGTCAACTCACCCCTGCATCCGCCCCCTGTCGCCGGAGCCCTCGACGCTCGACGCTCGACACTCGACACTCGACGCTCGCCTCCACATGGCCCAAAACGCCTCGTCTCCGCGCTCGCCTCAGCACCCAAACCTGGACACTCGTCTCCGCACTCCAGCGCCACCGCTCTGCATCAAGCAATTCCGCAGCGCTCGACGCAGCGCACGGTGCCGGCGCAGGCACCCAGCACATTGCACCGCACAGGACCTTAAGTCCCGGAGCGCAGTGCGGCGGCACTGGATTGGCCGGCCGCCGAGCCACGAGCCACGAGCGACGGCAGATACTTTGCACGGCAGATACTTGGGAGAGCTAGCGCGGTGAAATTGTACAGTAAATTGTGCCTTCGGCCGTTACCTAGTGAGTCCTGCGTGCACGCTCGCGGTCGCGCTTAAGAGGGACGTCGGCGCCGAGCGACGCTAGAACGGTGGTTACACATGGAATTGGCGATTCTACACGCCCTAGGAGTCGGGCCGTTGGACGCCAACGTTCGGCTTCGGCGTTGTGGCGTCGGCCTTGGGGCGTCGGACTGAGGCGTCGGACTGAGGCGTCGGGGTATGGGTGTGGATTACCGCGGGTTTTGAGGGTAGGGGTTGGGTCGAGCTAGACGGATGGAGTGGGTTGCGGGCTTGTTGGGTGGGTGACTAAGTGGAGAGTTTGCTGGGGGGTTGCACGATGGTCACGGTGAAACAGAGGGCACGTGGTTTGGATGGGAGTGATTGTGGATTTTGTCATACAGCACCTCACGGTGGTGATGTGGCCAGAGGTCTCGCTGAATCTGTACGCAGCGCAACCTCAACATCTGGCGCTCGTACGAACGCAGTCTCTGGTGCTTTGACGGCTGGCTGCCTCGCCTCTCTTCGACTGCTGCACCGCGATGGGATGCTCTCCTGCCGCCCCGTAAGCGGCTGCCTCGAGCTTGCTCCCGTCGAGCGCAGCAGGTCCTTCTCGGCTGCTGCAGACGAGCCAAAGGTCAACCAATGTATGACTAATGCATCCCAGAATGCATCGGCCATGCAAAAAGTCAGACACGCCATGCCACGTTCCTTGCCACCGGTGACCACAAATTGGGCCATGTTTGCTAGCACGGGTAGCTCGATCAATATCGCGCCAATGATACTCTTCCGCAGCAGTGTCTTGATATTTCGCTGTACAGCCGAGTTGTTCTGCACAGGTTGAGCAGCCACTGCCTCGACTTTGCTCTTGCGTGAAGGCCCAAGGGATGCAGACAGGCCATTGACTTTGATGACTGGCCGTAGGAGATAGAAGAACATGCCAGTCAAGGAGACGTTCGTCACAATGTTGACTACGAGGATCGGTATCGAGGCCTCGGGCTGGATGCCGAAGTGGCAGCGACCGTCGTCGTTGTGCATGGCAGTAACGCGCCAGAAGTACGAGTTGGTCGAGATGCCAGTGAACATGACCATCGCAGGAAGCAGGCAGGCCATATATATCACATCCTTGCTGCGGGGTACGAAGGGTGCGCGGACGACGTGGACACGTTCAACCAAGAAGGCGTACACCCACCCTTTCGCCATGATGTAGAACATCAAGCACACCCATGTGCCGGCGTCGCAAAGCTCGTATGTGTACAGCCCTTGTCCGGAGACCAATGCCGCTGAAGTGACAATGTAGCATATGACAGTGAGATACATAGCGAGGAGGAGAGGCATCATGAGGTTCCGTCTTGATCGAATTCCTCGCTTCAGTCGCTGTATACGGGATCCTACCACTCATCAGCATCGCTCGCTTCGGATGTTACAGAGACGCGATTCATACCTAGCAGGAACGCAAGTGTTGTTGAGCAGAAGATGGATACCACAACGAATATTGTTCGATCCCGAGCCGACTCGCCCGTGGTGATGTGTATGTTCTCATTTCCCCGCTCTTCAAGTAACATGTCCCCCGACAGAGGTGCGGCCTGCGCTACCAGTCCCCAGGAAAGACAAAACCATGCGAACGAATGCATGATTACGGATGGAAGGTCCAAGGTTCAAGGGTTGCAGACATCAGAAGGTGGCTGCGACAGTGCAGGTGCAGAAGCGTATGTGAGGCGTAGATAGGATCATCATTGAGTTTTGAAGACAAGGCGTATTGGAGTCTGCTTAATGATGGCAAGGTGCGTCTGCACTAGTATCAATCCTGTTAGCTGTTGGGCAGCGTTAATTCACCAGACTGACAGCCGATGTTTTGAAAGTGGCGATCCATGATGACTAGGTGGCGGGGATCGCTCCGGGTGGTCAACACCTCACCGACTAAGCAGTTCTGCCGCCAGATCTTCGCGGGTCCGCGCCGTCCGCGACCACACTGCCTCAGAACCAAAAGTTGCCAGTTTTGGAGAGGAGGTTGGCCGAGCCCGAGCCGGACTGCGGTCCAACGGAGGTGTAAACGGTTTTGCGACCTGACTCTAGGTACAATGCGGGCATGCAAGCGGAGCAGTGCTCCGTCGTACCTCCGATCAGTAGTTCATCAAGACTCCGATCTGGTTAACGTGAACTGATGCGTGGCGATCTCTGCTCGTGATCGGCAAATGTTTCACCCGCTCGTGGTGTAAGTGATGCGTGGTGGCGCCTGCTCGCTGAGCTTAAATCAAGGCGAGTATTGAAGTCCTCCTTTCCCCCTGCCCAGGAGCTCGACTGTGCAGATCTGCAAGACACCGTCCCGAGGGTGCGTCGTCGGGCCTAAGGCTACTGGTCGGCTCTCGACAACCGTGAAACTCCCGGTAGCTAAAATCCAGATATGCACCGATGCACGGAACTGTCGGGACTATTCATGACATGCGAGGCAGCTGCGCCCTGGTGTACGCACACCTCACCGCTGTCCTTCAGAAGGAGACAACGACATATTCTCAAGAGCAAGCTTGGCCGCATACTCGTCGACCATGTACTTGATAGTGAGGTACTGCGAGCTGCCCGGCCCAAAGGTCGCCAGTGCATTACGCAGGGAGGACTGCAGCTGTGCATGTTGTCAGCCTCATGCGCCCCGAATGACCCTGCAGCGGCGAAGGCAGACCGATTGGCTGTCCAGGATACCGCAGTCAAACCTTGCTTACTTACCGAGAGCAGAACGTCGTCTGGTTGGGTTGGCATGGTGAGCGGGGTGGATTGCAAGGCTGGTGTTTTTGTCATGCTGGTGGCGGTCGTTGGCAACCGAGAGGAGTTACGGCAACCCACCTTGCTAGCGTGGTTTGTCCATGCTCGACACTGGGTACTCACATCAATAATGGCCTTCGGGCAAGGATACCTTGTTGAATTGCTTAATTATATTTGCGCTATGAATTCCACTCTAGGTATACTATACATTGAATAACCCCGCACCCAAGCCCACCCAGACCAGTGACCCGCCTATGCAAGGAATACGCCGTATGCATGCCCAGTAAACAATTTCGATACTTTGTCTTGCACAAACTCCAAACGCCATGCTGAGCAGAAAACCAGGAAACGCCACACATCACCAAACTCCACGTGGTATCTTTATGTAACACGACCCGCCCCTGTGCGAACTCGCTAGAAACTGACGTAGCCTGTGTCCTCACCACCAGGCTCGTCCATCCAGCCAGGACCAGCCTCGCTGAATCCGGAGCCGTGGTGATGGCTGCCGCGGGCCATGCCTTCGCCCTCACCACGCTCCACCCATTCTTCGTTGATATCGCGGTAGATACGCTGGAAGTACAGTCGTAGTGACCGCAGCCCGCGTAGATAGCCCCTGTCCACATCATCAGGCTCTTTGGGTGGACAAGATGCACCATCGAGTGTGTCTTCAGCGGTAACGCAATTGGCAAAATCGACAATCCTAAGCTTGATCTCTGGCTTCTCTTTTGGAAACGCCGCGATGGTAGGAGGCGCTAGTCCAGGCGATGTTGGCCCAGACGGCGCTGCCGATGGCGCTGCGGACAGATCGTCGCCGTTTGGCGTTGTGAATCCGTTCAGAACAGAAACGTTATCCTTGTCTTTCTGTTCGCCGTCGCCTTGATCATATAGCATGAGTAGGCTGCTGGCATAGAATCTGTAGCCTGGCAGCTTCCTGATCTTGCGTTCGAGTTGACTGATTTTCTCCAAGATGACAGGGATATGTCGATTCGCTGCCTTGTAGCCGTTGCCATCCCAAAAGAACTTCTTGAGCGCATCTTGAAACTCCCTGCCGGCTTTGAGATCGCGGCCGTAGTACTTGTCCTCAAAGAGATAGTTTTGCGTCTTCACGTTCCATATCTGCATGCCACAAACACGCACACCGAGCTCACGGCTCGTGGTCATTTGACACTTGCGGCGTTGCGACTTCTGTTTTTTCTCGTCAGCCTCGACGCCATATTGGCGGGTGCCCATCTTCAGATCCAAGACACAGGGTCGGGACATGCCCGCAGTTAGATCTTCGAGTAGAATGAAATGCTGCACGCGCTCGTCAGGCTGTTGCTGAGCTTCTTCAGGATTGGCGGGCTCCTGAATTGCTGGAGGCTCTGCTTTCTTCTTAGGTGTGACGGGAGCCGGAAGCATCGACCCTCCAGAATCATGCTCCATATTGTTGGCAACTGATGAACCCTCAGATATTGAGGGAGGGTCCTTTAAAGCGGCTTTGGTAGGTGAAAGAGGTTGACGGTCTTCGTCCATTGCGAACAGCTCTTCCTCGCCGTCTCCTCCATATCCCTCTTCTTCATAAAATTCAAGATTGTGTCTTTGGTCGGAGTCTAAACTTAAAGGTCTACGCATGAGCCCACTACCTGAGTGTCTTCTTCGTGGGATATTGCTCAGTGGCGGCTGCAGTGATTCCTTGTCTCGTGACCTCAGCTCCTCTGGTGATCCGAAACTGACAGCAAGGTCACTAGCTTCGGAAGCTTGTCGGCGGGCTTCTGCGTTAGCCTTGAGTATCTGCTTGCGTGGTGATTCCTCCCTAAGACCTGGTTGCAAAACAGATACATCTGTGCTGTTTCGCCTCATTGACGGCGCAGATCCAGCCATGGACTGCGTACTATCGCTCCCCAATCTACGAGTTCCTATGCCATGATGATGGTGACGTTGACGGTGATGAATGGTAGGAGGTGCAAAAACCTGGCGCAGGACTTCCTCTTGGAGTTTGCGGTTGATGGTTGTGACGCCCCAACTGCTGTGGTGCCGCATTGGCGGCCTGTCTGCACCGTTCGAACTGTAGTCTTGCACGCTTTGATTTCTCCGATGATACTGGGAAGAAAACGAGCCATTGCCCATCCAGGGGTCTGGCGTAGCGGATCGGGGGGGAACACCAAACAGATTGTCGGGGATGATGTGTCGATTGTTCGCGAAGATGACTTGCGGCGCAGGCATTTGTTGCTGCGAATGGCTGACAACTCTCGGCTGATCTTCTGTTTTAGCGTCCTGTGAGGTTATCTGTGTTCCGTCCTTGCGTGCATCGCTCGGCTGCGTAGCAGGCGCAGCAGAATCAGTGTCTGTCTTTGCCTTGTCTTTCTTTTTCTTCTTTGGTGCCTTACGATAAGTGACATTCAATACACCGATGTACCTAAATTAACAGCATAACGTTAGCAAACCATTCATTTGAAGACGGAGTCGACAACAACTTCGCTGATGTTTCAGCATCAAGGCAGAATGTTCCAACAGCAGTCGACGTACCTTGGCAGAAAGTCCAGTAACTCGGGATGATGCCTTTCAACGGTCTCGTAGAACTCATTCTCGCGATTGTTGAGTTGTTTACACACAGCCCTTCGGGAAAAGCGATACACTGTAGAATGACCACCAACCTGATGGTTGTACGGTTTTAACTCTACAGCGCCGAGCGGAGCCGGTGGCTGCGCAACCGGAGCTGGCGCTGGCGCTGTCACGGCCCTGTGTGCTGGTTTGATCGTCGGTGCAGTGGGCGTCGTACCTAGGTCATCAGTCGCGCTCGATTCATATCCAGGAAGTGATTGCGTGGACTCTGCTAGCGACTCATACTCAGATTCAGATTCAGCTGAAATTGCATCGGTTGACGCAGATGTCAATAGCTTGTCGGTTTCTTTCTGCACTGATGCTGACGCAGCGAAGTCACCATGTAGGCATTGATTGGTATCTTGGGACTGTAGAGAAATTTCTACTTCTTCAGGAGTTTGAACAGCCTCTCCTGTATCCCAACCTCTGGGTACCTTGCCCACATGAATAGAAGTTCTCTTACGGCTATCGTCTACCTCTGATCGTCGTGTCTCTTCGACCGGAGTGGCTGGCTCCGCTGCCTTGTGTTGACGGTGAGGAAAATACAGGGCGGAGGAAATTTGTTCACGCTCCGAGTCGTCATCTTCCTCGGATGCTGGTGATCGGTTTGTAACGTCAATGTCTTTGGCTCGAAAGTAATCAGTCGGCTCATCCTGAGATTGCGAATCCGTGACTGTAGATGCATGCGCATGGAGCTTGTCCAGGACTGAAGCGGGCAAACTTCTCGACATTGAAGATCCCGGAACGACACCAGGTGTCAAGTTTGTGAAATTCCTGATCTCTTCGAGAAGCGAGCAAGGCAGTTGGTGTTTGCTGGGTTTTAATACCATCTCTGTAGCAGGAGCCGATGCAGCAGTTGGATCGTTATCCTTGGGCGTTGCGGCCGGTACCTCAAAGTAGGACGCCGTGTTCTCATCATGAGGCGTTGGCACGACTGATGATGGATGGGATGCCTGTTGAGCATCGCATTCCTCCGATAGCATGGACAGTGTCTTGTCCGTAGGACGGCGGTCCTTCGATCGCGTGTCCCGCTTATGCTGTTCCTCGGGCCCTTCGGCGTCCTTGAAGACTCGGAGGAAATGACTTGCTTTGCGGCTACGCCCTGACGATGCTTGCTCTGCTTTGGGTAGGGTGGCTTCGATCTTTTTCACGGCCTGGTCATCTGATGCTGGATCCTCATGGGCCGCACTGCCTTTGAAAGGCACAGGCTTGCCTTCCCGCCATTGTCTGTTCCGGCGTCTCTCTTCGGTGTCGGTCACGACATTGTGCAAGGCCGAATGCGCGTCTGTGTTGTGTGGTGTGGACGATCGGCGGACCGGAGAGTCGACGGGGCTCATGAAGGGCGGTGGACTCTGGCGGGCCGCTTCAAGGCCCATGATTGATTCAATTGGAATTTGCTGGGCGAATTGGGTGGCTAGGATGGATTGGGGGTCTTGTAGGGCAGCGGGAGGGTATGTGGATTCCTTTCTGCGGAACAAGGGCGGGTCGATTAGTCTCCTCTGCAGCGGCGCTGGTGCAGCCATCTCGGATAAGGTGTGCTCGGGAGCATCGTCGTTGGCGTTTGTCGTGTTTGTTGCTGCGTTGGTGCGCGGCGAGGAAATTGGGCTGTCAGAGGCGAGGTAGGTTGTTGAGAAGATGCTGTCGCGCTCGTCGAGCTGCGGGCGGTCGAACGACGACTGCCAGAGGCTCTCCTTCGGGGCAATCGGCGCGGTCTTGGAACGGCCCGTTTGCGAGAGTTTGCGTGGCGTCACGACGGGCGGTGCGCCTTCTTGTGCACGCCTGGAGGGAGTCGGGGGGGCATGGCGGGCGGGGGGACTGTGCGGCGCATTTGACCTCACCGATGCGCGGGGTGAGGAATTTCCTTGGGCGTCCAAATGCGGTGACATGGGGGCGACATTGGTCAGGCTCGCTGTGAGGCAGTCGTTGGGAGGCGTGGCAGACCGTGTGGCAGATATTGCCGGACGGGCCTGGGGGCAGTCGCGGCGGGCCAGGACAGCCGTCGTTGGGGCGGCAAGGGCACACGTTGGCCGGCTTAGCGTGCGAGGGGTCGAGCAGCGAGGGCGCGCTGGCAGAGGTGCTGGCGGGCGGCAGGTCTTCGTGGTGCTGAGTGTTGCGAGCAGCGAGTGAGGACGGCGGCAGACCCACGTTCCGACGCTTCGAGGACGTGTGTGGACGGCCGTCACGCTCCAACAAGTGGCGCACAGATAATTGGCGAACGCTCGAGCCAATGACGTCGCGGCCGCCGCACCACCACGATGACCTTTGCAGTGCGGTGCGTTGTGTGCGCTTAGTACTTAGAGCGTGCGCTGCGTCTGGCGACTGCAGTTTTGCTTGCTGCACGCGGCCATTCACTTGTGGGCTGCCCTTCAACCCGTCTTCGTGCCGGCAGCTTCTGAATCATGGGCACCACCCCCGTGGCTTGGGCAGGAACAAGTGGGTCTCACAGGACACAACACGGCATCGTTATCGCGCCCATCGAGGCATGCATCACGCTCAAGATGGATCCATACACTGGCTGTGTTGCAGCACACCGTCAATTCCTCGTCGTCGAGCCATAAAGAAATGTCATAGTTTGCCCCTGGGTTCGAGCTAGACGTCCGCCCGCCCGCCTCCGCGCCCTTCCATCCATTGTGCCCAAACTTTGCACCAGCTCTCGAGCATGGTCGTTCCTAGGGCCCATTGCCAGCTCGGTCGCGGAGACACAAGCTTCCTCCCTTCTGGGCCACTTGTGCAGCAATATGCAAGGCGTGGCCCTACGACTCGTTTTCGCCCAATCACCCAGGAACGTGGCCACTCACCGCAACTGCAACCGGGCTGCTGCTGCACCCTGCCCTTCTGAACCACGCCTGCAGCTCTGGACGCTGTTATCTGCGAGTGGGGACTGCAGCAGTCACTGCGAGCGAGCGGGAGGTGGTGAGAGCGAAGGAAGCAGGTTTGCAGGCATGAATTCATCCACAGACCTGGATTGTGTTGCGGTACCACAGTTCTTTCCTGAACCGCTGGTTCGTGCCTCAAGGCGCGTTCTCCAGTCCTTTCAGGAAGCAATCTGTAAAGTCGGTATTCGGGCCGAAATCTAGTGACGTGTGGAAGTCGAGTTGGGGCAGCTCCACGTCATTGCTGGTGCGCTTCGGTGATTGTGATGCGAGCTTTGCTGGGTGCAACGACGACTTTTCGTGGTTGGAGCTCCACATCACGCGTGTATTCTTCTCCATGAGCGGTCTGCGCTCTGAAAACGGAGTAGGACTGTTCGCAGTCGTGCTCTCGTTCAATTTCGAGGTCAAAGCAAACCGCAGACTAGTTCGCCGTGGTTGGCTCTTCTTCTTCACTGTACTGAACGCAAAGGGGGACGCTGCGTCGAACAGGTCTTGTGTACTAATAGGAGCATCATGCAGTACACTTTCTACCGCTAGATCATTGAAAGATATGTCTGTCCTAACGTTGAAGACTGAAAGAGGGGTGATTGCAGGACTGGGTTGGGCTTGAGGCGGTGGTGGTGTGTTTTGCGCCGGCTGTGACCATGGTCGGAGGGTGGCTGATGAGGTTGAGGATTGCGGGGAGTCCTCCTGGAATTCAAGCTGCGCCAAAAGCATCGCAGCCTGTGTGGAGTACTGTGACTGTCTGGACTTGTATGACTCTTGCTCCTCGTCTCTATTCTGGTCTTCCTCATCTCCCTGGGCCTCTATGCCAGAACCTTCGACTGCTGCCTCGATGGATGCACGAGGCATTGCACACTCAGGTCGGGACTCATCAACAGGAGCATCAACTTCCGGATCTACAGCAACATGACAGTGGTCTTTCCTTGTGAAAATGGGCGAGGAACTAAAGCTGACGGCTCTTGGCTTTGTCTTCGGCAAATCGTTGCTATCGCCCCTCGGCTGTCCTACTTTCCTGTACATGAACCCAGTAGATGAGGCCGGCGCTGGAGACGCCACTAGGTTGTGACGCGAGTTCTGTAGCAGGCCGAGGTCCTTCACAATAGCACGACGATTGGGAGCCGGCTGCCTCCTTATCCCTGACGTGGACATCGCACTGGCCAATCCTTCGGCAGAAACTTGCATGTCCCCCTTTGGAGATATGTCCTGGCCTCCCGCACCTGCAGAGCTACGTCTCGGGCTTGATCGCGGTACTTGAATCGTGCTCGAGACCTTGTACGTTGTTGCCGGGACTAACGAGTCGAAGGACTGGGCATAAGCTGGCTGTACCGTGTGCGCCCCTGACGAAGCGACGTTGCAATTAACAGGTGATTCAGCAGAGACTGCCGCCTGTGCATTTTGGGCGGTTTGGCTGCTGCGAGCTTCCTCCTCTTGCGCCGAATCTGCTCGCAGTCGCGAGGAAGTGGGTATATCTGTTGATGATGTTGCATGTGATGGGTCCGGTTCAGATGCTTGGTTCGCGATTGGCGCTGGCTTGGGCGGCGATGAAATGTCCATCGAGGCGGAGTCGCTCGATCGCCATGCGTCTGGTGGTGTTGCACGGATGGGCAGTGGTTGTCCAGCAAGAGGTTCCTTGGGGGGCGCGAGTTGCAAGGGTTCGCGCGGATTGAATCTGCGGTCTTTTGTACGTGTCTTGATTGGTGACTTGTCGGTCTGACTATGTGATGGGAGGGCGATGGATTCGGCAGGGCGCCGCAGCCAGAAAGGATTCGCAGGGCTGTGGTGGGTGATGATTTGCCCTGTGTTGAGGCTGAGGAACTCGGTCGCTGTAGAGGGATCTTCCTCGTCTGGCAAAGGAGCTGTCGCAGGTAGTGACTCAAGATCAGTCGAAGTATAGGGTTGCTCCTCAGTGTGCCCTGCAGCCCTGGACATCTCCGGAGAATCGACGGGCGCCGGCCTCGACTTCTTCCCCCCCTGCTCTCCTGCGCGATTCACGGTTCTCTTACTCTGTCGGCCAGATGTTGCACTCGTGTCGGTCGTCCACGGGTTACGCCATTCCTTCGTGAAGGGGCCCTTTAGGCGTGCGGTGAGGATGAGCGGCGGCCGCCCTCGCAGGTACTGCAGCGCTATTGCCTCCACTCTCCTGCGTTTTGCTGCATTATATTCTGCATCGTCCTTGTAGTCGGCACTGTCTTCTACAAGGTCGCTGGGGCCGGGCGGAGAGGTATCGAAGTCCAGGCCCCGCTTGAGGTAAGGATGCAGGGTAGGGGGCATGGCCTATATATGGTGCGCAGACTGGTCCACCTCGACTCCACTCTATGCACGCCGGCAGTGTCCCGACGTCTATCGCGGGCGGCGCCGTGACGGGTGTCAAGAACAGGTGGCGTGCGGTCGTCGTGCAGGGCTGAATCCGCCGCAAAACAGCCAGACGCTAGCAGACAGAGCGGGGCCTGCGATCAGTCGCAATCGGCGTGCATAGGACAGCATGTGGTCGGGCGGCTCCAGGCGGTCGCGCTTCGTCTGCTGGGGCGGGCATGATGTGCAGGCAGGGTGGAGCACGCCGTGGTTGCCCTTGGCAACGGCCAGGTGCAATCGATAGGCGGTCGATCAACCAGCTCACCGCATCCGTGTTGAGGCTAGCAACACACGCCCTCCGCGCCCACAGTATTCATCCACCGACTGTTACGGCGCGCCGCGTTCCTGGCAGCGCAACTGGGGCCGTCTCGTCGCATGCGCCCGCGCCGATCCTGCGCCGGCCACCACGCGCGCCCGCCGCCCTGCGACCACAACAACACGCACGCCGCGTCGCCCTTGGCACCGACACCGCGCCCGCAACATGGCTGGCAGCTCGCAGCCGTGGCTCGACGATCTGAGCGAGGAGTGGGTACTGCAGCCGGCCTCGCTGCCAGCGTCGCCCGAGCCTGCACCGACGCCCGCCGCCCACAGCGCACCGCCGAAGCCGCTCAGTCGCCTGCCCCGCCCCACGCACTCCCCCGGCTCGCAGTCTGAGCTGGCAGTGCGGACTGACCTGCGCCCGGCTAGACAGAGCAGCGCCCTGGCTGCGCGCAGCACCGCCGACCCCAGCAGCGCGCCCGCATCCTCGTCGCCGCGCGCGCACGCCGACGCGCACGAGGCTGCGCGCTCGTTCAGCGCCAGCTCGCAGGGATCGCTCCTCTCCGGCACCGTCGCCCACAACACCGTCGCCATCTCGTCCGCCAAGGCCAACGGTTACTACGAGACGCCCGAGTGGAAGCGCCGCCTGGTCAAGGGCGAGGGCGCTGACCAGAAGGACCTGTTTGGACCCACCTGCCTCGAGAACATCTTCGCAAGGCCCGCCAGCACCCCCGCGCAAGAGACGCCGCAGGCCAAACGCAAGCTGGGCGTTCTGCGCCTGTCTGCCCTGCCCTCGAGTCCTCCGCCATGGCCGTCCGCCGCCAGCGACCCGTACGCCGACCGCTCAGCCTCGACGGGCAGCCAAGTGCACCACCGACAAGACTCACACGCCGATCGCCCTGCCTCGACCGGGAGCCAGGCACACCACCGACAAGACCCGTACGTTGACCGCTCTGCTTCGACTGGCAGCCAAGTGCACCACCGACAAGACTCGTACGTCGACCGTCCTGCCTCCTCAACCGGGAGCCAGGCGCACCACCAACAAGACCCATACGCCGACCGCTCAGCCTCGACGGGCAGTCAAGTGCACCACCGGCAAGACTCCCAGCAACGAGCCTCGACCACCGACCCTGGGAACTCCCTCTCGGTTGCACAGGACGAGCCAGCGCGAACAGTGAGCGGCCAGATCGAGTTCGAGAACGAGCAGTTCAGCCCGGTTTTCATCAACACCGAGCTTGAGATTGGGCAGTCGCCCGACCCTGTCCCCCAGTTCAGGGGGTCAGAGCTCGCGAACAGGCTGCGACAAATCGGCTCGCCACCGCCCGACCCGCAAGACTCGATACCCGAAGGCAGCTCGCTGAACTACACCCGAGAAGGATCGTCATTTGCCAGGATACAGGACGACTCTCTTCCCGAGGGTCTGCCAGTCGGCACGCCAGACATCGCCGATGTGGGCCGCTACGTCCAGCTTCGAAGGGGTGGCTACTCCATGGACGGCTCCTTTCGAAAACGCCCTCTCAGCCCATCGCCTGAGAAAGCGTCTGCACAACAGGGTACTGGCCGCAGTAACGGCACTGGCCGCAGCAATAGCACAGTTCAGACAGCCATCAAAGACAGTCGAGGCATCGCTAGTGACTCGGCCATAGTGGATGATGAAGACGTTCCGAGGACACCTCTTCGACGCGTAAATCAACTCTTAAGCCCCAATCACGTAAAAAGCTCTGGTAGCCCCCTGAAACTGTTTGGCACACACGACACGTTCACGAGCAACCGGCTGATAAGACGCTTGAGTCAACTAGAGTACAAGCCAGACTCACCTAGACCAAGCAGCGTACAAGACAGCAGATTTGAGGTTGCAAGACCGGTGGTGCAGATCAAATCAAGGCCGCTGGTGCAGATCAAGTCAAGACTGGCTTCTGTTGAGGAAGTCAGTGGCCTACATAGTGGCAAAGCGCAACCAGATGTTCAGCAACCGTCGTCACGGCGCGTGAGCACTTTCGGCCAAGGCCAGTTTATCAAGTACCAGTTCGATGCCGACTTCTCCGTTCTGTCTTCGGGAAGATCAGACACTGAGGACGATAGTGCGCCTGAGGATTCGCCCACGAGTGATGTGGCACCTCCTGGTAGTCGTCCGCCATTCAAATTCCATCTTGAGGAGTCGTCAACTCGCGAAGCATCACAAACTACACGACAACTGTCGAGACACGTCTCGAATCCGTACAGAACGTTGAGTCGATCGGGCCCACAGTTCAAGCGCCATGTCGTTCCTACGCAGGTAGAGGAAGAACAAGATGATCACTCCTCGGACTACGCCGATGGCAAGCGTGGCCCAACTTCGCCCTTCAAGAACCCGACACCGAAGCGTCGAAGAACGATCAACGACACCGGGGAGGAAAGCGAACTTAGCGAGTCACGGAACGACGTAGGGTCACCCCCGACGCAAGAATCGCATGCGGCAATACAGGCAGTCATTGGACGAAACCTACAGTATGCCGACAATGAAAATCTACTCAACGCAGCCAATTCGGATATGCTGTCTAGACGGCACATTCTCAGGCCACGTAACCCAACTCCAAGCCAGCGAAGGCGCGAAGAGATCGAGGCCGAGATCATGGAGGCCACAGAAGCTTTTATTCAGGCTTCTCCAAAGCTGGACACGATACGCGAACAGCTGGAGCCATCCATGGTCTCAGATGAGAGTGAAGAGCAAGACCGAGCGGCCGCAGTTGCAAACGAGGTTGCCATGTTCACGATGAAGAGACAAGCTATGCGGAAACAAACCCGCAAGCGATCTGTGACGACCCAGGACTTCTTGGACGAGGCTCTGAAGATCATGAACTTCATACGGACGAAAGGCAAACCGACCAGTGGGCTAGGAGACCTTGAAGAGGCATCCGAATTCGACGTGCTAGAAGAGCCAAGCGAACAACCCTCGGCATCACTCACATTTGAACGGCCTCCCAGCCGAGAAGGTCAGCGCTCTGCCTGGCGCAATCCCAACAAACGCGACTCAGATCCCAGTGTCATCTCGCATCTTCGCAAGTACGAAGAGAGAGAATCGGACAGTTTCCTAAGCTCGTCACTAAGTTCAGTAAAGATCTCAAGAATGAAAAACACGATGCAGCCGGAAGGGACCAGCGAATCAACTGAGAAAGGCAACGTCGGGCTCGGGGTTTATTACCCTCGACAATTCGGTCCATACGGCGACTACGACCCTAACGATGCTCGTCCTCAGACTGGCCAGTCCGCTGGATCGTCATTGGGACATACCATCGCCACGAACTTTTCACGCCGTTCCGATCAAGTCGCGACTCTCGCCCCGGAAGCGGTTGCACATCTTATCCCACACCAGATCGCAGGTATGAGCTTTAATCGTGAAAAGAAAATATGGGTCCGTCAGAAGAGCCCCTCAAAGGAGCACCGTCTTCCTGAAGAAGACCACGGTAGTATGAATCAGAGCCAGAGTGAGGATGACCCTTTTGGCAACATTCCAGATCTCTCGGTGAGTGAGACTAGGGACATCAATTCCGAGGCCGGATCGCCTCCATTCCCTCAACCGACTGCTGAGACACTCCTGGAGGATGATGAGGCTGAAGATGAAGGCCGTCCGACGACTTGCGCAAGCTCCGTCCCATCGAAGTGTTCGAACAATTTCGGATGGAGCTTCACAAAGACAGAGACACGAGCCACATCGTGTAGTACGCAGGTACCGCGTAAAAGGAGTGCGCAAAAGGCACCAACGCTTCAAACGCCATACGCGATTCCGGAATCTGATGAAGACGACATCGAACACGAAATCCAATTCTTCGAGGGTCGCAACACCGCGGCGCCCAATGTTCCCCGTCCCCGCGTTCGGGATATCACGATCTCATTTGCTGAACGTGAACTGGGAGACAAGCAAGTACGACACGCAGAACCTTCACACCGATTCGCACAACCTCAGCGAGGCGTCTCAGGCGTTTCGCCGACTATCAAATCAACTTGGTCTAACGCGAGCGGTATGGGCACATTGCCCAGGAAACGGCCGGGCCAGCGGCAAAGGTTCAATGGCGAGGGCGATGTGTCGATACTTGAAGAGCTGCCTTCGAAGAACTACCGCATGGAGTTGTCGATGAATGTCTCCGCACCGGTTCTTAGCCCAGTCAAACCAGACACGCTACTCGTCGCACCTTCATCCCCCTTGAAGGGGGATGTCACGTTCATGCTCAGTGAATTGCCTGAGTTCACTCTGAACCAAGTTGACGAGTTCGACCACCCAGATCGGGTGATTGTCAAGCACGACGGAACCCGCTTTTCGAAGGGATACGAGGATCGTTATGCTCAGGGCACTGCTGAGCTTGTGAGGGCGCTGCAAGATATCGAGCCGGATGAGCCGTACTGGGAGGATCTTCGCGAGGTTTCCCTCCGCGGCAAGAACCTTGGTAGCATGCACCGCCTTGACGAGCTCTGCTTTCGTCTTGAAGAGCTTGATATCTCGGACAACGAGATCAGCCAGGTCGAAGGGATCCCATACTCGATGCGACGACTACAAGCACAAAACAACTCCCTCACTGGTCTTACATCTTGGGCGACTTTGGGCAACCTGCAGCACCTGGACATTTCGAACAACCACATCGACAGTCTGGACGGTCTCGCCGAGCTGATCCATCTTCGGGTTCTAAAGATCGACAACAACCGGCTGAAGTCGTTGGATAGCATCCTGCATCTTGACGGGTTGATTGAGTTGCGTGCTGGCAGCAATGAAATTGACCTGGTAGACTTTGCTCGATCGAATTTGTAAGCCTAGAATGTATGATTCTCTGTATTGGCCCTAACAGTATCACAGGAAGTCTTTGACCGATCTGGATCTTCGGAAGAACCGATTGCTGGAGGTGCGAAATGTGCACCGTCTGCCGCAGCTCCAGCACCTGAACCTTGGTAGGTTTCTGTTCGCTCCTAGCACACACACATCTAACAATTGCAGATGAGAACGAAATTGACGAATTTCCCCTGTCCGACATGCCGACTGAGCCATGTAAGAATCTACGATCGCTCCGGATCTGCCGGAACGGCATGACAGTTCTACACGTAGATGGGCAGTTCCCCAGGCTTGAGAGTCTGTATGTCGATGGCAACTCATTGACACATATCGATGGCCTTGAGCAACTGCGCCGTCTTCGCACTTTCTCAGCACGGGAGCAGATATTGGGCACTGACTCAGATGCGGAGATTTGCGTGGGCAACTTGGTAAAGAACACTGAAGTCCACAACCTTTACATTTCCCTCAACCCAGCATACACCCTAGGCATAACGCAGCATCTGCTGAACCTCCAGCGACTCGAACTTTCGTCTATGGGTCTGAAAGAGCTGCCCGACAACTTCGGACAGCTGACGCCGAACATCCGATCTGTGAATCTGAACTTCAATTCTCTGCGAGATCTTCGGCCGCTGCTCAATATCAAGCGACTGAGCGAACTCCTCCTCGCAGGCAACAAAGTCGAGCGCCTGCGACAGAACGCAATGGTGTTGGGGAAATTCCCATCCCTCTCGAAGCTCGACTGGCGTGACAATCCTGTCACCCTGCGGTTCTACGCTTCAGCATCAGAGAACAGAGTCATGTCTCTCAGGCAGAACCCAGACGATGAACAAATCACCGACCGCTTCGTGCTCCCGCGTGGCGATGCCGATGCCGATGAACAGCACCAGGCCCGACTTGACTATGAGACGCGCATCAGACGCCGAGTTACTGAGATGATGCTGGCAAACCTCTGTCGAGATCTGCGCGAGCTTGATGGTATGCCCTTCGACAAGGCCCGTATCCTAGTAAAGGACGATGTATGGGAACGATTGGCCAGTCTTGGTGTTATCCGACGCAAGCAGCCGGAGAAGACAAACGATGACGATTACTAAGACCTGGATACCGAAAAGGAGAATGTTGTACGATACGTGGGCTATTGCTAGCAGGTTCTAATCATGGCGTATTGGGCATTTGAGATGATTAGGCACTGCTGTATCTCTGGCGTTTGGAAGGCTTTCTGAACAGTATCATATACACAAGTATTTCTTAGGCGCAGCGTCATATATATCCCGCGTCGCACGCGATTATTTATCATAGGCTGACGTGCCTGCACAAATTGAATTTACCACACAATTATCTTTCGTCGTACCTGCCCAACATCACAGAGGTCCACTGCAGACGTGTCTGGCCCCCGCGTTGACTTGAAACGGCAAGACTGCTTGCGTCCGTGCGCCGCACGAACACCAATCAGAGCAGCATGTCCTCGACAGCAATCGTGTGTGCCCCAGGTCTCCAACCCAACATGCACATCAAGTGAACATCGATCTTCTCCGTATCATCGTCAGAACATGTCTTCCATCTCTGGAGAAGAAAGGGCGTTGCAGCTCGCGCAGGCCGCGAGCGAGAGCCTCGCGTCTGGCGACTTGGCGGCAGCTGCAAGGAAGCTACGCGAGGCGACCAGTCTTGCGCCAGAGAACGCGCAGATCAAAGAAGCATGGGAGAAATTAAGGCAAGAGGAGGATAAGAGCGAATTTCTGGCAATTTGCAAAGTCTGGGTGCAGACGAAGGATGAAGCCGATGGCGAGCGCGCGTTAAAATCGTTCAAGGAGCGCCCGTTGAAGCAAGAAGAAGCGGAGCAAGCAATGCAAATTCTCAACGACTTCAAAGATGAAGACGATGTCCTGGACCAAGTCACTGGCGAGCTGTTGAAGAACGTTGGCGCGCAGAAATGGCTGGCACAGGCTGTGCGAGAGCGGCCGACACGGACCTACTACGAGCTTTTTCCTCGTGGAGATGATTCTATCGATGGCCTGCTCAAGGTGCTGCTCACCCGCAGCCTCTGGGACGACGATGCTTCGTTCAAAGAAAGCCACAGAGATGTGTTCCAGCTCTGTCTTGCCATGCTTATGGAGGAGGCACTTGACCATCCCGAACGCGCTATGAGAGGCGTCGCCCAGCTACTAGCTCATCATGCAAACCATCTCGAGAATATCATCGATTCCGACAGCTTTGATGTCATTCTTTCTTCTCTTGACATTCGGCTGCCGAAGACTCTTCGCGACCAGGCTACCCTCGCCAGCATCAAGCTGTTCGAGCTCAGTCCGGACACCGCGAAAGAATTAATCTCCAAGTTCGTCACAGAGCGTGCGGAGAAGGGCGATGCGGACAACCTCGTTGTAGCTTTCTCTGCAGCTACGGCCATTTTTCCAATCGCGGTCGAGGCTGCAGCCGCCCTCTTCCTCACAGATGGTTTCGTCAGCACGCTGGTCCCAGTGGTGGAGAAGAAGAAGTCGCATAAGCTGATACAAGTGACACTGGAGCTGATCAGCGCGGCGTGTGTGGACAAGAAGTGCCGCGAAGCCATCAACCGCCACTGCAGGGATTGGTTAGATATGGTCGCAGACAGCACCGACAAGGGGCGTGCCAATCTCGCCGCGCTCATTCTTGTCAAGCTAGGTGACGAGGAACCTCCGTCGTCAGATAACCCCCAGGTCGTCACGCCCGCAAAGGTCGACCAAAGCGACCTGATCGATAAATTCAAGTCGATGGTCATCAGCACCGACGCCGGCAGCAAGCAGGACTCTGTCGAAGGTCTGGCGTATGCGTCTCTCCAAGCAAGGTTCCGTGAAGATCTGTCAAATGACACGCGTTTACTCAAGCGGCTTATCGAGATCATGAGCGCGCCATCAACAGCAGGCAACATCATCTTTGGTGGGCTCACCATTTTCGCCAACATCACAGCCTTCCTCCCCATTCAATCGGATGAAGAAAAGAGGATGGCTCAGCTCAAAGCTTATGCCAACGTCCAGAAGCCGGCAGCACCAGACGACCTTCTCAACAACGATCATGCTACGGCAAGGTGCACACGAGTGCTCCAGGCTGGTGTTGTGCCACTGCTGACACACCTCTGCAAGAAAGGCACTCCGAATGTGTTGTCGCAGAGCAGCCAGATCCTGCTGAACCTCACCAACGACAAGAAGGGGCGAGGCTTGATGACACAGCAAGGCGCTGTCAAGCTTCTGATTGTCACCTGGGAGCACATAGCTTCAACATCAGCATCGTCCAAGACCGGCACAACGCCCTTCCCACCAACCGCACAGCCAGTCACCGCACAAGCGCTGTCCCGCCTGCTCATCAGCGTCGACCCCCAGCTCGTTTTTAATTCCACACTTCCCCCCACCTCGGCCATCCGCCCGCTGCAGAGCCAGCTCTCCCGCACCGACTCCTCCATCTGGCAACTGCACGCCTTCGAAGCCCTCCTCGCCCTCACCAACCTCGCCTCCACGGACCAAGACACGCAGAACCACATCCTCCGCACCACCTTCGACGCCGCCGTCGACGACCTGCTGCTCAGCGACAACACGCTCCTGCGCCGCGCCGCCACCCAGCTGGTCTGCAACCTCATGGGCTCGCCGTACTGCGTCGAGAAGTTCGCCGACGGCTCGCCCCGCGCAAAGCACCGTCTGCACCTGCTCCTCGCCATGACCGATGTCGACGACGCGCCGACGCGCAGCGCAGCGGGCGGCGCGCTGGCCGCGCTGCTGTCGTGCGGCGACATCACCGTGCTGCCGTTTCTGCAGCAGGACAAGGGCGTCGCGTTCCTGCTGGGCTTGTGCGGCGACGACGACGACGAGCTGCGGCATCGCGGCGTCGTGTGCTTGCAGAGCGTGGGCGAGGTGGCGGCGGGGCTGCAGGCGGTGAAGAGGCAGGGCGGCGTCGAGGCCGTGGCGGCGGTTCTGGCGCAGACGCGGAGCGCGGTGGTGGCGGGCGCGTGTCGCGATGCGCTGGCGGTGCTGGAGGGTTGATGGTAGACAGGTATGGATAGATGGTGTCTGTGGTTGTTGCGGAAGCACCTGAGGTATTGCTATAAGCACGCTATAGACGCAATTCTAAGTATCCGTCCCACATCTCGAGTGCTCAGTAAACAAACCCTCCCGCTCCAGTACACGCACACTTCCACTCCTCCCTTCACCTTCCCATCACCTTCCCATCAACTTCCCATCAACTTCCCATCACCTTCCCATCACCTTCCCATCACCTTCCCATCACCTTCCACCCCAACCATCTCTACCCCACGCCAATCCCCCGCAGCGAATCACCCCCACCGCCGTCCTGCAGTCCGCCCACGCCAGCCTTGCCTCGCTAGACCAATCTGCCGTCATCGTTACACGACACCAGCCCGCATCAGCCCGCATCAGCGCTGCACGCATGCCCTACCGCCTGCCTGCCTGCCTGCCTGCCTGCAGCAGTGCAGCTGCACGCACTGCGCCGCGGCTAGCTAACTAGCTGTGCGACGCGGCGCGGTGCGCTATTCCTGGCGCGAGAGCTGGAGTCAGTGTTGATGTCAGTGTCGGTGTCGGTGTCAGTGTTGGTGTTGGTGTGCGGCTCGCAGCTCGCAGTACTGCGGTGCGGTGCGGTGCGGTGGTTCCGGGCCTTCCTGGGTCCCGGGGCGTTCGTGCTGGATTCTTGCTCGCCTGGGTGGCTCGCTCGCTACTTACCTACATACATCCATACATACATACACACACACAGCGACGCCACACGGGCGCCGACGGTGCTTATCGCTAAAAACGCGTGTAGTTCGGGAACCAGAACCAGGATCGAGATATCGGGGCTCGAGATATCGGGGCTCGGGGCTGGGCGCGTAGGAGCGCGGTGTGGATGGAGCGGCGTGAATGGAGTGGTGTGAATGGCGCGACACGTGGGTGTGGGTGTGGGTTGGGCGCGGACGGATGGCACTACAATAGGTAGGGCGGCTTGCTGGGCCGTGCGGCTGCAGCTTGGGCCGGTGGGGGTGAAGGGTGGGTGCAGGCGGCTGAGTTGGGGAGGGGGTGTGATGCAATGGGTATCTTGACATTCACGCTGGGCTGATCTACTTTGTGGCTTCATACGTCGTGGAGACGCTGGTGGTGTCTATTCGTCCCTTCCTGTCTGGCTGCTGCAGCACTCGCTCGGAGCGTCTTTGTGCGTGGCTGCAGCCGGGCGCTTACTGCGTGCGTCCCGCCCCGATCGCGACGTCGAAATAAGCAAGCAGGCTCGTCGCGATCCGTGCCAGCTGACCTCCTGCGAACCGGTCGAACCGGCAGCCGAAGCATCACGTCCTTCGCGGGCCGCTTGTACGTGGCATGTCTCTGCTGCTGTGTCGACGTCGGCAGGAGCCGAAGAATGCAGCTGTGCACCTGGCGGGCTCAAAGCAGCCGCGCTCCCTACGCGAAGGGCCGTGGAAGGCCGCCCGTGTGACCACGGCGAGGCTCCAGCCACCTCGGCTGCGATATCTGACGCACACTGCGTCTCGTGTTGTCGTCCAACCTGCTTGCCCAGTTTGCGGGGTAGTCGTGACGAGCTGCAGGCAAGTGGGTCGACGTTGGCGGCCGTCATGCCATGCCACGGGACCGAGCTTGGCGCGCCGCTGCGAACGGCACGGAGCGCGTCCTCAACCGTGTGGTGTGCGGCCGCCGATCGGTTTCGAAACAAACCTTGTTTTGTTGGACCTGCCGGAGCGGATGCAGGAGTGCATGAACGACTCGCGAACGACGCCGCCTGAAGGACTCTCGGGCTGTGTGCAGGAAGGACAGGCGAGCCGAGTGTTTGATGGCCCGGTGTTTGTGTCATGGCAAGGTGCTGCTTGGGTCGCTGGTCATTCCAATGCGCACTTGAACCAGAAGCGTCGCTGCACAGAAGGTACGGAATGGACCCGGTACCGCGTAACCAGCCGGAGCAAGAGCTGGAAAGGGAACAGCATCTGATCATGAGCAACCTGTGTTCTGCGATGCCGTGGCACATCGATTGTGGGATGTGACGAGGCCTCGCAAGACGACGGTGGTGAGAGGCCGGTGAGGTGAGTTCAGCCGTGCATGGTCGAAACGGGCACAGCCAACCAATGCCAAACGGCGCAGAAGCATGCTGCGCCTGTGCGACACACCACCATTCCAGGCACAGAACTCTATGGCTAATAGCGCATCCCGATCAGTACGTTTGGAACCGTGCGACTGCATTTCGTGCAACGCTGTGCCGCCAGCCGTCAGACGAGCTGGGTAATAATACTTGACGAATAGCGCCTCGCTTTCTCGACTGATGTTGCTGCTGCCTGGTGGGTGTCAGGGCGACCTTGTCAGATGCGATATTCCCGGAGGGTTGTCCTGGCGCGATACGGGCGCCTCTTAATTTGGATGATTGCCGGTCCCACGATAGCACTTCTGGTTCGGCAAGGGAGGGCGCTGTGCAGCCGCGCCTGGAGATTGACAGCGGGCACTTGCGAGAGCCGCATCGTTAGTCAGGGCGGTGTGGAGGCGATGCAAGGGAGCGATGGATGCGCAAAAGGGATGCTGGTATTGACAATATTGAAGCTGTTAACGTTACTGTTTGTCATGGCATTTGGGTGCGAAGGAGCATTGCTGCCCAGTATTGCCCTTCATCCAAGCGAGCAAACTAGATCGATCAGTGCAGCGGCCTACAGGCTGCAGCGCGTAGGGCTGGTCATATGTTGCGACTTTAATAAATCGGGCCAATGGCGAATTGGTTCCCTACATGCACGGCTGCCGTTGGTCGGGATAATGTACTAAGACGCCCATGTGATGAGGTGCATTGCTCGTCACAGCGTGCGGCGCTCACCGCAAGAAGGTGTGGTGGGGGCTCAGATCACCGTTGGCTGCATTGCAGACATGCAGCTGGTCTCAGGCGCCATTGATGGTCATGTCTCAGTGCCATGTGCTGGTTGAAGGCTGTAGAATGTGTAGTGACTACTGACATTGATAAATGATAAGCTAATAATAAGGGTATACTACTTTTGACCGCGAGGCCCAATCCCAGAGATGGTTGAGGTTCCATCCCAGATCTAGTTGCAAACCCAAAAGACAGAAGGAAACCTGGACCCTGCCAGCCTGAACACCATGCTGTACGAGTAAACCAATCGAGTATGAAAGGGGTATAGTCGCAATGAAAAGGACTTTTCCTGTGACCCGCCCATGCTGTGACGCTTCCGTATATCGACTCGAAACTAGTGTTACAGTGCGAGAACCGTGCAAAGCAGAAGATGCAGCGTGATTAACAATTAGACAGCAAGAAAGGGTATCTCGCGTAAACAGTAAGTGAGCGCAAACAAAAATAGCAGTGAAAGCAAGAAGAAATGCAAAAGAAGAAGTAGTAGTGCTGGAGCAGACCAGCACCATGCCACTGTCCAGGCAGTGGCAGCGTAAACGCGCTAAGCAGAGGGGTGGCGAAGAATCTCTTCGCAGTTGGCATCGAAACGCATGCTCCAAAGACGCATGCCAGTCATGAGCTTCTCCGTCTTTTCAAGCTCACGGTCGCGGCCAAAGATGGACTCGACAAACTCGCGGCCGCTGTTCTTGCCCATGGAAACGGGCTTCTCGCCGCGGTTCTCTTTCTTCGCGGCCTTCCACATGAAGTCCTCGCATGTCTTGAGGAGCTTGGCGAAGCGAATCCAAAGACGCTCGCCGCTCATGAGGAAATCTTCGACCATCTCGGCACTCTCCTTCCTGCGGATCTTGCCCATGTTCTCCTCGGCTCTCTTGACTTTGCCGGCGAGTTGAATGAGTAGCAGCCAGAGCTCGCCAGCCATCTCGGCAAGCGGCGTGGCAGGGCCGTTGTAGAAGACGGTCCAGTCGTAGATCCACTTGCCGAGAGAGTTGGCATCGAAGACGCTGCCGAGGAGCATGATGGGCTCTTCGGTGGGGTCCCAGTTCTTGTACGAGTAGCCTGCTGGGATGCCGGCGCGGCGCGCATCGTCTTCTGTAGCTTTGGATGCGGTCTTGGCGGGCGGTGCGCGCTTTGGAGTCTTTTCTTGGGCCGGCGCGGGGCGGGTGGAGTGGGAGGCGCGTCTTGGGCGGGACGTCTTGTCTTCAAAGATTGGGACCTGATCATAATAAAAGCGATCAGCATCCCCATACGACTCGTATCGTGCGTACTGAGTGTACGGCGGCGGCGGGTGACGGTAGACGTCTTCCTCGGCCTCGTAATCAACTCCGTACCCGTGGTCGTAGAAGACGCGGTGGACGTAGTGGGCCGACTGCGACGGGCGACGCTTCTTCTCGCGCGCAGAGTGCTTGAGGGGAGCGTCGGAGTCGCGGCGGGCCCGTCGCGGCGGGCGGGCGTAGACGTAATCGTAATCGAAACCACTTACATATTCGGGCGTTGCTCGAGGCGTGGGGAATGCGCCGTGCATGGGTCCCCGCGCAGAAGCATTCGAATACTGCTGCTGTGGTACGGCGGTCGAGGCGCGGCGGCTGTGGCCCTTTGCGGCGGGGCTGGCCCGCGGTGTCGAGGGCATGCCGTAGCGCGGCGAGTAGTAGTTGGCGCTTGCGGGAGCACCAGCGCCGGGCGACATGGGCGGCGAGGTGCGGTGGTGGAAGTCCTGGGGCATGTAGCCCGGGGGCGGTGTGGGGAACTGGGGGCCGTACATGGCGGGCAGCAGCTAATCGAGCGCCAGGCCGTGCCTGCTCAGCGGGGGATGCGCAGACTGAGGGCGGTGCGGCGGGGACGAGCGCAGGAGCGTGCGGGCGGGGGACGGGCGGCAGCGCGAGAGGAGGGCGAAGAGCGGGCCTGACTGCTGCACATTTGGGTGCTGGGGGTATTTGAGCGGACGGTGGGCGGTGCAGAGAGCCAGAGGGTTCCAGAGGGACCCGGAAAGCGTGCGTGGGTGGGTGCTTGGTCAGGACGGGGAGGTTCGAGGTCGCAGGCTCGGGCGGAGGCTGCCTTTTGCACTTCGCGCGCGGACGGGCGAGCCTGCCAGGGTGCTAGGAACTAGGGTGCGAGCACTAGCGCAGCCACGGCGCAATCCCTGCCCGCCTGTCCGACTAAGCAGCGCCGCAGCGCCGCAGCCCAAGCCAAGCGCCCCTGCCCCGGCGCATTCCTGGCTGCGGCGCACTGCTCGCTGTCCGGCGTGCTCTGCGCCGTCCTGTTCTGCGCCGTGCCTCTGACTCTGCTGCTCTGCTGCTCTGACTCTGCGCGGGCCAGCGTTTCGAACGCCGCCTGCACGCGAGGGCGCCGTTGCTGCCTGACGAGCTGCGCGCGAACGGCCGTCTGGTTGGGCTTGGGCTGTGGGCGAGCACCGCTGCTCTACGCTGCCTCCGTCAGAGCCGTCCTGGCCCATGGATCCAACAGCCACGACCCATGGATGCAGCAATCATGGCCCATGGTTCCAGCGCTCGTCTGCAGCCAGTCCATACATAGCCCTAGCCATTCATAGCCCAGCTCAATGCCCGCCGCTGGGCCCGCTGCAGCCTTGCAGCTCGTCGCTTCCCGTCGCTGACGCTGGCCTGCGTTCGTCGACTGTCGTTCCAACGTGCGGCGTCGTTCCAAACATGCGTCGTCGTGCCTCGCGCCAGCTCTGTTTTCGCCGTGTTTCGTTTGCCCCCAGAGCACCCCCCCCCTCCCCGGCGGTTTTCTGACATCCACCTGAATCGTCCGCCTCCGCTCCGCCAGGCACCGCCGCCGACCTCAGCTCGGACGACGAGTCGTCGACTTTGGTTCGGCACGCTTCCCCTTGGCTAGCACCGCACTACCAGCGAGCCGTCGCCGCGGCGAGCGGCTGCCCTCAGTGAGTCCTTCCGGGCGCGGGAGCCCTCCACCCAACGTCGTCCCGGCTCCGACGCCTTGCTGCTGGGGAGCCCTGCCGTCGCATCAGAGCCGCACCCTCCACGCCCTGCTCAGACCTCCTGTCCGAACTCTCCTTCACGCACAGTACGACGCCTAATTTCCCTGCCGCGCGAAAATTTTCAAAATGTCTCACAGGCTGCTCGTCACCGCTTGAGCTTGGTGTTTACCGCTACTTACCCCTCCGCGCGCACCTTCATGTATCGTCGACGCCGGCCCACTCCTGCGCATACCGCTCTTACGCCGCCGCCCTGATTCGACGGGGAACCACGACAACAGTGCTGCTGCATGGACATGATCTCCCCGCTCACGAGAACCATGCCCGAACAAGACCATTTGCGCCGCGCCCTGCCTCTGCCTGGCCTAGCACGGGACGCTCCTACCCGTGCTTTGCATGAAGCGTCGTGTCAGTGCACACGATGCGAATGATGCTTCGTCCATGCGTGCCCTGCAATCTCTCGCCACACAGTTCATTTCGAATTTTGGCCTCCAACCATCCCTCTTATTGGCCCTATATTGCATATTCCCTGCTTTCTGGAGACGGGCCACTTCCTAGCGAGCCCACACATGCCATTCGGACAGGACACTCCTGAGTCCTTAGCACCCACACTGTTATCAGACAACTCACCTTGCGTTTCCATGCGCCATGCGTTTCTATGACTCTTCACCTGTGTTTGCTCCGCGTGCGAAAGCAAACTCTCACCGTGAATCGCTGTCAAACCTGATCAGAGTCAACAAACGCTCCAGACCCACGTGGAAAGACCCGAGTGCACCGTCATTTATTTGTCCGTGTCCGAGCTTCAGACAGGCGTTGTCCCCAAATTACATCAGGCCGCACACAAACAGCGTTGCTGTGGTGCAGCTCCTCGGGTTCACGCACTACCGCCAGCCCTATTGCGCGTAACACATGGTGCTGCAGTCTTGCGCCACTGCCACGTTGGCCGACCTCACTGCAGGTGAGCATCGGTAGCGCACTCATGCGAGCTGCCCAGCTTGCATCATGATGCTCTGAAAATACGCTGCAGCCCAACAGCCCTCGTACTCCGGCCATGTCGACGTTGCCCGAACCCGCACACTGCTGTTGTCAACATCCGTGGCGGTGCAGTCAATCTCTTTACCACTAACGACGACAGGCTCAGGGCGAAACATTGCGAAACGTCGCCTCTGCTGTGGCGAGCACAGCCCCAGCACAGTAACGAATCATCTCCAGTACCGCGCCATGTTCAGCTCAGCAAGTCGGCTTACACGGAATCGCCGCCACTATTTGATTTCACATAACATCATTCTTGGCATCTCGACAAATGCTCACCACCAGATGCAGCGCCACACTCTTCAATCTGTGACGCGACACGGAAGCTACGAGGGGCGATCCACCAGCGACTATTGATTCGCATCAACAAACTCCATAGTGACTCACTCGCCCTTCCCAGCTGACCGTCATCAGCTCACGTCTCTGGTACGGAGATGTTGTACTATTGCCTCCACATTTCATCCGCAGCCTCGGCCCAGTAAATCGCCATATTTCACCGTGAGTCAGAAACAGGGGTTGCCTGTCCACCCGCTCGCCAACCACCGACATGGCCCTCCCAGCAAACCCAAGGCATGGCCAGCATGCGAGCTGTTTGGTACGCGAGTGGAGCCGTTTGCGTCACGCATGTCGTTCGTGCCGCGCAGGAGGTGTCAGGGCGGGCGAGTAGACGGCGCCCGATTCCAGATTACATCGTGCATCGCACGCAGGGCTAGGCAGCAGGAATCAGTGCGTGCTAATGGTGCGTTGGGATGCGCGCTGCGAGGCTCGGTTGGCTGTTAAGGTTCTGCGTCGAGGGTAGTAGATGACCCGTCTCACGCTTCGACTCCAGCGAATCGACTCGGCGTCGTCTCGACATGCTGTGTTGCTGGTGTGGTGTAGACTGTAGGCAGAAGCTCAACTATGACGCTCAACTATCCCGCTCCGTGCATCTTGGAGTCCAGAACTCGCGGGCGGGGTTGGATGGAGGCAAATGCAGGAATTACCAGCCTCTCAATCAGAAATCAAATTACACAGCCACAAGACTAAAATGTAAACTCTGAGCGAGAGTGAGCCTTTCTTGCGCCTCACCGCTCGCTGTACGTCAATTTCTCAGCACGTTTTAAAGTGCAAGATCTCTGGTCTCTTTAAAGGTGGTAGTATATCCCGGGGGGGGGGGGGGGGGGGGGGTCCTTCACCGTGTCATATGCACTACCAGCATTTTCCAAAGCCGACCAGCCAGTCAACCAGTCTCAAGCAACCGTATCCATCATCGACCTGAGCCGATGCCACGCACCAGTTTCATCGCCACAGTAGATTCGCACATAGCCCAGGGCCCGCAGTCGAGCGCACGACGCCGCACTGACTGATACTCCGGCGCCGCGAGACGCTGCGACCTACGTCGCGCCGGGGCGCTGCTGGTGGCGGCGCTGGTACCGGCGCTGGTGTCTTCGTTAGCGGTGGTGCTGGCCGTGTTGCTGGGGGTGGTGTTGTGCGTTCTGGCAGTGGGTTTACGGACCTGTCTGCTGGTTACGCTGCTGGCGTCGTTGCTGGTGTCGTTGCTAGAGTCGTTGCTGGTGTCGCTGCCGCTGTACTCCCCATCAGGCTTGTTGAAACAACTGGCAATACTGTCCCCGTCGCTGCTGTCATCGCTGTCGTCGTCACTTTCGTCACTGTCGTCGTCGCTGTCCTCTTCGTCGTCGCCATCACCTTTGCCGTTCTGCACATCTCGCCGCACAGAACGGATCCGCTTCATCGCGTGAAATATACCCACACCGGTCCTGCGCCGCTTCGCCACAGGCTCTTCATCGGTTTCGGTCGGGTCTGCGGGTGCTGCTTCTCTGCTGCTCTTTGGGGGTTGCGTTGATTTCGCATCGGCGGGGGTGGAGGGGTTCTGAACCTGGACTTGAACCTGGACTTGAGGCTGACCTTGAGGCCGACCTTGAGTCTGCGACTGAGTCCCAGTCCCAGTCCGAGACTGAGTCCGAGACTGAAGCCGCCGTCTCCGCAGCAGCCCATGCAGCCGGCCCACCGCCCGCCGACACTGCGTCTCCGCCTTCTCCCTCGCGCGGCCCCGCGTCTCCAGCTCTTCCACCCTGCTCCTCAGTCCCGCGGCCGTGGCCTCGGCGGCAGCAAGCGAGGCCACTTTGTCCTTCCACTCCCCCACCTGCGCTTCCTTCGCGAGTGCGAACTGTCTGTCTGCCCACACCAGCCAGGTCTCCTCAAGCCTTCGTTCTCGCGACGAGTAGCAAGGGCGCGAGCAGAAAGTGCCTCTCGTGCGTTGGACGTAGAATCCGGGCCCGGAGGTGCCGTTTCTGTGGTACGCGGCGGCGAGCTGGCGGAAACTGTCGGTGATGCTGCGGTGCTCTTCGTCCGTCTCCTCAAGCCAGCTGAGTTTGGAGGTGAGTTCGTCTTGGTTTTTCAGCTGAGTCTTCAGTGTTTGGTTCTCAGTAACCAAATCCGCGTGCTGCTCTTGGAGCCGCCTCTTCAGCGTCTCGTTCTCAGCGACGAGATCATCATGCTGGCCCTGCAACTGATCCTTCAGCGTCTGATTCTCAGCCACCAGATCACAGTGTTGATTCTTGAGCTGACCCTCCAGCCGCTCGTTCTCAGCCACCAGTTCCGTGAGCTGGTTCTGGATCTGCGAGACGACCTGCTGGCGTTTGGTAGGGCGCTCGTTGGCAGTGGTGGGCGGAGGCGGCAGCTCCTGGTACGGCGGAGGCAGGGCCATTGTGGTGAGTCTGTGTTGATAAGCCGCGGCGTATGTTGTGTACGCTAAGAGCGGAGGTGACGAGATGTGGTGAGTAATTGTACGGCAAGTATATTTATACACTCGTAGGGGGGCGTATGCTGTGGGCTAGGAGTGGAGGTGACGAGATATAGTGAGTGAGCGCACGGCAAGTATATTTATATATGCGTACGGTCTCGAGATAATCGTGGCGCACGTGATGAGTCTCTCACCGTGATTCGATCGGCAGGGTAAAGGTAAAGGTGAAAAATCAAGATAATCCTTGAGCGTCTAAGGCAGTGAGAGAACGCAAACAGACCGTCGCCGTGAATTCCTCAATCTACGTAGTCTGTATATGCCCTCAATCGAGAACAAACCTCGAGACTCGGGAAATAGTCGCAAGTCGTGGTATCCGCGGGTCTCTAGACTAGTCCTTTTCCATGGACAAAGAAAGGGAAAAACTATGTATCCACGCCGATTCTTCCAATCCAGCAAGTTTCGTTTCGCAGTGGTGATATGTCCGTGAAGCTGTCCCCCTCCTCGTGCTGTAGTGTCTGCTCGAAAGACAGAGCCTGAATAGACAGAGTCCTAACAATCTAAGCCGACGAAAGAGACGAGATCTCCCCAGCCTTGCGCTTGCGAGCACCCGACTCATCTGCCCGACCAGCCACACGCCCGTAAGACTCCCTCATCTCCTTGGCGAACTGGAGTTCCTTGCCCACCCACGCGAACCACTTGTCCTGGCCTACTCTCTGCGCCACTTGTTCCCTCCATCTACGTTCATATCTCGCGTCAGGGAACAGGGGGTAAACATGTTCGTCACGGTGCTGCTGCGCGAGTTCCATGAGTCCCAGACGACGGTGAACGTCCACTGCTACAAGCTGATCGATTCCAGGCTGCTTGTCTTCGTACTCCTTGAGCCTTGCCTTCAAGCTGTTATTCTCGTCGCTCAGCTTGATGATCATCTCCTTGACCTCGTCGAGTGCTGCCGTGGACTTGCCGACTTGTGAACAGTTGGCCATGGTGTAGGCTGATTCTGGTGAACTTGCTGTGAGGTTGTTGTGTCGATGTAGGAATAGGTAGATACTCAGCAAAGATGAACGCGTGAAGGTGTTATGTCGATGTATAAATTGATAGATGCTCGGTGGAGTTGGACGCGTGAAGGTGTTATGAAGAGTAGTCGAAGTTGGAAAGCTGGAATCGTGGGCGATCTTTTATATAAGTGGGAGCGACAGCCTGTGTCTAGTGATGTCACTCCGAGTAGGTGAGAGACGCACGCTCTATAAGCCAGGTGAGAGGAAAGTTGTGATGCTGATAATTGATTCTTGCGTGGTCATGTTGAGAGTAATACGTCGCCTATCTGGATACCGTACGAGTGATCAGTCCAAGTTAGAGAGTCCTCTCATGCCTCCGTGTAAAATGATCCCCAGTATCCCAATGCAAACTTCACTCGCAGCCGTAATGTGTGGCTCCTTTACCAACATACTCCTCATGACTCACAACAACTCACTCTGATTGTTCCTTGCAATATCGCTCTTCAAGCTGTAGACTTTACTGAATCGCCAGCAGCCGTGTTGATCGTATTCTCTTTTGCTTGCAGTTTTTGCTCGGCAGCCTAACGAAAAACCTTCTCAATCTGCAGCTCGGATATCAACGTTTCGATGCTGTTCTCCAAAATGACAATCGTTCCCTTGAGCTGCTGCTCGGTATCGGAAGGATCCAACTCGTGTCCGGGTGTCTTTTGTGGTTCGGCCTCGTTGTTTAGTCGCTCAACGTGTCCGGTAGTGAAGTCGAGATATTGATTAGTAAGGGCTTGCTGTTGCTCAACAATGCGAAGTTGCTCTCCGTAGAGCCAGCGTTCTTGTTCTTCGAGGTGGCAAGCCCAATTGTGAAGATTGTCGGCGAGTTTAAGTAGATCTCCACTAGACTGGACCTGTGTGTGCTGTGCTGTCGTCATCGCCTTGATGAGAAGTGAGTGCGCCTCCATCTTTTCTCTGTATTTCGAGTCTGGGCCATGCTGGGGTGCAGAGTCACCCTCACTGACAACCTTGGGCAATGCGTGCTCAGCCTCATCTCCAGACATACCAATCGTGCTTCGCAAAGCAGATGTCTGAACAGGAACGAACTCGAGGCGTCGCTCGTACACACCAGGTTCCGATTCCGGTTTGTCGTTCTCCTCGCTGGCTTTGCTGATTCTCTTCCGTTTGGGACTGGTCTGTCGGATGGGCACTGTGACGGAATCCATGTCTGATCTTTGGCACTGCAGACAGCTTCTAACGCCAAGCACAATGTGTGAAACCACAGTAACGTGGCAACAGAATCAGGGAGATGGGTGGTAGAGGTGTGTCAGAGTGGAGAGAAGATGGTTTGTTTGGAGCGGCCGGTCGAGACGAAAGCGGTGTCTCGAGACTAGCACACGTCCAACAGGAAAGGGCAATGAATCAAAACGCAATCGCCACTTCCATTAGACCGGGGCGTTACGTACCAGTGTATATACTGCTTGAATTTCGCTACACGAACATCATCATGATCGCCTTACTTCATAGCCTGCATTGCTTTTGCAGAACTTCTTTAAAGCCTTCATGCTGCGATCTCTTCTATGCACACGCACCTCCTCACGGCGAAATCCATTCGTGTCCAGACCGCTCCAATGGGTCGCCTTGTCTTTTCGAATCATGCTCCGTCCTGTCCCTACGCGGCACTATCACGTAACCTCTGTTGCTCATCCGCGTCCAACTGGCCGAACTCCTCCCCAAACCCGGGTGTTGTTGCAGCGCGTTTGAAGAAGTCGACAAGGAAGGCTTGTGTCTCATCATCACGCTGGCGACCACTGCTAGGACCGTCATCCGCAGCATATGCCATGAGCTGTTCCTTCGTGAAGCCGCTCCCGAGGTCGACGAACGGGTTTGGCTCATCCTCCCAGGACCCATCGTCCGAAGCCTCGTCTGCAAGCTCAGCAGCGACGTTTGCGTCCAGCGGTGCACCTGCGGCTGATTGCAGTTCAACGATCAAGACCTTGAGGATCTTGAGGGTGGCGGGAATGATCGTCCATCGATCAGGATCTGTCAAAAGCATCAGTAATTTGAGTCAGCGTAAAGATTGAAGGACATACTAGTCCTTGCGCGACTCCTCGTCATGATGCGGCCATCGGTATTAGGAATCAACTCGCCTTTGACGTGAATCTCAGCCAAACGGGAATCCTTCAAGTCGTACAGCTTCGAGAGGGCAATGACACTGTTATCGGTCAGCATTGTTCATGTGCGGTGAGGGTGTAATACGAACTTTTGACGGATCTCGTCGTAGCCCGCAAAGTTGATCGAGTTCTCAAGCCACTTCGCCATGACCACCTGTAGACCATTCTGGTTGTTGATGTTTTGTCGTGCCAGGAATTCCACCACCTCCGAAGCATGGTTCAAGCTGAGTCGCGCGAACACGAGTGTCAAACTCTGAATGAACTGTGCTTGTTCAGCAGTCGCGAGACGTGATGCAACGCTTCGCAGGAGCTCTTCGAGGTAAGGCCCAAGCCTTTCGTGACCAGCCTTCTCTACTACCTCGGCAGCAAGCGCACCAACTTCGCCAGCGGCGTGATCGGAGGCGGAAGAGAGCAGACGTGAGGTGATAAGAAGAACGACTTCGAGTCCCGCCTTTCCAGTCTCGTCGCGCCACTCGAACAGCTGCTGATGGTCGTGCGAGATGATGTTTTTCACCGCAATCGTAGCCGCCTTGAGCAGCTCCTCGTCCGTGGCGCCGAGCAGCAGTCGAGTAAGCTTGGGCATCGTAGCTGCGACGAACCCAGGCGGGAGGGGTTCTGGACCATACTCAGCAAGGACACCAAGGAGTTCAGCAGCCAGGTTAGTGAGAGCATTCTCTTCTGTAAGATTGCCAACATCGAATGCAGCAGTGAGCGAGGGCAAGACCTTCGCACACAGGTTGACGTACGCGTCACCTCCCATGCATGCAATGGATTGTGTGACTTCCTCGAATGTCTCGTTAACCAGCATTGTGAGTTGAAAGTTGTTTGCTCCGTGACTGGCCACTGAGAACAACAGGTCCAGGCCGTTTGCCGTGATGCAGATACGTGTGTCAATAAGAATAGCGTCTCTCAGAGTCTCGACCAAGGTAACCATCAGGTCGTCACTATCGGCCAGTTCCTGCATGTCTTGTGTGTTGAGATACTCCTGGATAGCGTGAATAATGTTGGGCTGCAAGGGCTGGGTGACGTTTGAGGGCAGAGCCTGCATGTAAAACTGCAAAGCGCGGATACAAGATACCCGGACCACATCGGACTCGTCGTTGAGGATGGCTTGCAGTGATGCTTCGAGAAAACTTGTGGCGTACGGTCGTAGGGCATCACCAGATGTCCGGGTCAAGCTTCCAGCGATCAAGTAACCACGCGCTCTGAGAAAAGCGTCTGTCTGTTGCATGGCATATTGGGTGAAGTTGACAAAGCCGCTCGCAGCTTCGGGGCTGACCTGCTTATCGGTGTCCTGGAAATCGCTGAGCATTTGGCTGAGCACATACAGCGCAGCTTCCTTCGCTTTCCAGCTCTCAGTACCTGAGTACAAGGCCCGCGTGTAAGCCAGGAGACCGTTGATGGTCGGCTCAGACAGCCACTCTCCAAGCTTGATCACCAAATCTCCGCATGCAGTCCGAGGCGTGTAGTTGGCGGTGACACTTGTCTCTTCGCTGAGGAAGATGTTGACATCGATATCCCAAAGTCCCTCTTCCTCAGTTGTAATCTGTGCGTAGCCGACTGCCAGCTTCATGACTTCGGTGACCCACGAGTTCTCTGCAGACTGGTGCTGGAGCTGCTGCTCGAGCTGGGCACGCACTGGAGGTGCTCGAATGCATGCCTGCATGAAGTCGAGCTCCTCAAGCACGAGGAAATCGAGCGTGTAAGGCAGCCCGTCGGCGTCTTCGAGCCTGCTCTGGCGCTCTTCCTGAATGTACATGAGGTGGTATGCGGGCTGCAGGGTCGATAGCTCTTCCCAAGTCGCCTGGAACAAAAGGAGGCTGTGCGGCGAAAGCATGGAGGGGAAGACGGAACGAACGCGCATGAGCACCTAGCGATGGTTAGTCTGGTCCGAGAATGTGAGAGCTGCTGCTGCTTACCTTGACGACCTGGAGCTTGAGCGCAATAAGGCCCTTGTATGTTTCGGCGTTTGGCGTTTCGTCCATCTCCTCCTGCTCCGAAGGAGGGTCCGCCAGCTTTGTCTTCAGGACGTTGATGAAGAACGGAAGCCACTCGGTGAGGACCTCGTCCGCAAAACCCTTGACCGATGCCTTGTGATCTTCGAGGATCATCTCGAGAATGTCGAAGCAGCCCCGGAACACGCTGCAGGCCAGCGCGCGGTGCTGTGGCCGCCTCTGCTCATTCGCAGCCACATCGTATATGACCTTGACGAGCTGGGGCGCGACGCCGAAGAAGGTGACCTCGTTGAAGCAGTCGTCGACCAGCTCGCTCAGCACCTTCAGTGCGCCGTGCAATTGCCCGTCGGTGGCATGTGGGATGAGGTGGAGGAGGTTGTCGAGCAGATCGGGCCATTGGTCCGGGTAGTCGGCGGCGGCGACCTTGCTGACGACCAGGCTGGCGGCGGCCTTGAGCTTGCGGTCGAGGCGGTCGGTGGTGGCCAGCTGGAGTAGCTGCGGGCGGATCTGGGCCTTGGTGTCGTCGTTGACCAGAATCTGGCCCTTGAACTCGTCGAAGTTGGTGCTCCACCCCGCCAACACCAGCTGCTTGAGCGACAGCAGGGCGGCCTGGCGGATGTTGAGGGGCACGCTGTCGTGGCAGGCAATGCCGATGAGGCCGAGGGGCAGCTCCTGGTGGCCGTACAGCGACTTGAGCTGCTGCTCGGCATGTTTGCGCGGCGTCTCCTGGGCCGACTGGGTTGCGGCCAGCAGGGCGACTAGCTGGTCCTCCATTGCTGCTGACGAGGGGCGTGCGCGCAGAGGGCTAGTGGGCGCGTCTAGCGTTCCCCGCGTTGAGGGCTCTGGGTGAGATGCGGCGGGCGACGCGTCTGGTGTGGTGCAGAGCTGTGCGGCCAACAGCCCGAGATTTGTTACGCGACCGGAGAGGAGGGGCACGCCGATGCTGAAGCCTGACAGCCTTATGCCCGACAGACTGACGCAAGTGGGGTCAGGACCGACGGTGGCGAGCGGCCGTGCAATGCCGTGCAGCGCTATGCAATGCAGATGATATGAGGCGCTGCAGGTAATTGCGCTGGAGGGCGAACAATCACAGTGCCTGTCCCGTCAGACTGTTGGCAGCGGCCCTGGCCAATCACGATTTCTGCTCCGACAATCTCGCGCGGAGGACGACGTCTCGACGGCTGCCGTCATGCGCAGATGCGCAGTCCCAACCCTCGCAGTGCCGCCCGCTGCTTTGTTGGGACGCAGCCGTCGCTGTCGCTCCTGCCGGAGGAGTCGATTTTGGATGCACGTCACATGCTCACGCGACGACGCGCTGGACCCTGGATGACAGCATGCGGCGCGCTACCTTCTAACCAGGCCTCGATGCAGCGCCCATAGAGCCCATAGAGCCGGACTGCAAGCAAGCGCAGCAGCACCCGCCACTGCGAGCCATGGCCGGCGCAACATACGCCGCAACCCTCGAGGCCTTCATCGACTTTCTGACCGTCTACGTGCACACGCTGCTGTACCTGCGCCGCCTCTACCCGCGACGCTCCTTTGTGCACGCCCGCTTCCACAACACCTCCGTCTACCAGTCGCGGCACCCGCTCGTCTGCGACTGGATCTCAGACGCCATCGACGCCGTGCGCAACGAGCTGTTCCAAAGCGCCGTGTCGCGCATCGGCGTTGTGGTCTTCAGCTACGGACATGGCAGTAACAACGGGAGTGGAGGTGGCGGCAGCGGCAGTACTGGCAGCGGCAAGGGCACCGGCGACGTGCAAATCATGGAGCGCTTCATGATCGACGTCTCCATGTTCCCCGTCGTGAACGAGGACAGCCTTAAAACTATCTTGGAATGGGGGCCTCGGCCTCGGCCCTTGTCGCAAGCATCGTCGCGCGACGAAGACGAGACTGGAGCTGATTATGACGACGAGACTGGCGAAGAATACGACGACGAGACCGGAGAGGAATATGATGAGACTGGAGAGGAAGAGGAAGAGGAAGACGAGGAGGAAGATAAAGACATGGAGGAACCTCAAGACATAGAAGAGTCTGAAGCCGAGAAGGAGCCCCAAATCGAGGGAAACGCTAGAGTCCAGAAAAGATCATTTTTCGAGGACGAATCTGAAGTCGAAAAGAACGCTCAAGTCCAGAGGAGAGGTTATCTCGAGGACGAGGAAGCTCGAATCGAGAAGGAAGCCGACATACAGGCAGAAGCTGACATCCAGGAGGCGGCTGAACACATGGAAGAAGTTGAATACGATGAAGATGAAATGGATGTGGAGGATGGAGTCGAGGAGGAAGCTGGAATCCAGGCGGAACCCGAAACCCTGGAGGCAGCCGAACACACGGAGGAAGGCGAATACAAGGAAGTCGAACACGAGGAAGCCAGAAACAACGAGGGAGCCGAAGCAGAGTGGGAAGACATCGGCGAGTGGGTCGCCGAAGGCGACTCAGGCGCTCCAGGCGACTGGGCCGACTCCGACTCGGACGCCCAAGCCGAAGCCTACTACCAGCGCGCGCGGGCAGAAGTCGCGCTGAACCGCGAACGCAGCACCGAGAGCCCCGAAGCCCCGGCCTACGAGCTCGGCGTAGAAACAGATCTCTCGGAGCAGATGCGCGCCGCGCTCATCGCGCTGACGCATGCCTGCGCCCGCCTCAAGCCGCTGCCGAGCAAGTGCTCGTTCAGCATAGCAATGGAGCTGAAGAATGAAGCGGATGCTGATCCGCCGGCTAGGCATCCGCAGCCCTGGGTCCCCGTGCAGCCTAGTCTGCAGAAGATGGGGCGTGTCGGGGTGCACAATGCGGGCGACGATGGGGCGGTGGAGGAGAGTAACGAGTCGGGGGACAAGATGAAGACAGGCGAAGACCTGGGGGGAGTGAAGTTTACGCCGATCAGGACGGTCGAAACGGGGACGTTCAGGTTCGAAACTTGGGTAGAGGAAGGGAGAGCAAAATCTGGGAGACCCAGCGGCCAGACCAAGGCGAAGCCCAAGGTCAGCTTTGCAAAGAAAGTCAGTTTCTCTACAGGTGTGGAAGAAATCCCCACAAAATCATGATGCTATGATGCCTTACCAAGATGAGAGACTTGCTAGTACGCTGTATGAAGATGCTCAAAAGTTATCCACCCATATTCCCAACCTAACGACCATGCTGTGCTGACTACGCTGCATCCTCACTAAAGATATCATCTCCCAAACATGTTCCTTTGGTGCTCCTCGATCCAGTCGTTCACGCGCCTCATCCCCATCGCCCGGTTGGCATGCGGCCCACCAAATGCAACACCGCGTCCCGCATCAGCACCTACGTTAACATCGTGAGCGTAAACCGGCAGTCCATTAGCTTCACCGGGAAGTCGTTGTCGGAGTTCTCGTTGTAAGGCAACCAAACGATGCAAAAGCTCTTGCGCATTCTGTGCACCCTGATGTGGATCTTGTGCTGCCTGAGCATGAGGATTGAAAGGTGGTAAGGGGCCCATAGCGTTTTGAGCGTATTCGTGCGCACCGAGTTGAGCCTGAGGTTGGGCAAGAGCTTCATACTGCAGACCATGGGGTGGTAGAACCGTGGGGCGATTGGGTGCATGAGCAGGTCCTGGCCGTTCAATGACTGCCGCAAATCTGTCATTTACTGCTTCAAACCTGGCGAGTAGGCCTTGTTGCCTATCAAAACAAATTAGGATCTAAACGGTGGAAACGGTCGAGCATGTGCGGTTCAATTCTAAACCACTGCTCTGCTTCAGCATCGTACACGATGCCTAAGTCGAGGAAGTAGAAGTGAGAATTGTGAGGATCGTAATATCTCTCACGGAAGGGATGGCGAAACAAATTCAAGTGACGATCGAATACATAATCTCGAGGTGGAGGAATGAGCCACGGGCGATGAAAGGGGCGATGAAGGGCTGGTGCATGATATGGATCGAGATGGTCAATACCAGGCTCGAAATAGCCAGGGTCGTCACCAAATCCCCATTCTGCATCGATTTCATCGTACAGGGGGGGTGGAAACGGATAGCGATACTGTTCGACGTCAGGAAAGGGAAGAGGTACGTACTGATGTCGTTCGGGCCTAGGCACCAATCCGCCTCCTGCTCGATCAGCGTTTCGGTAGGCAAGCCGATCTCCCACCATCGCATAAGGAAACTCGTTCAGTCGCTCGTTAGCCCTCTCTCTACGCACAGCCTCCCCTTGCTTGACACGATCTGAGACTTGAATCATAAGATCTGCATCAGACAATGTGGGATCCTCGGCTCGGATCTGAGCCATAGCGTCTTTAGCAGCTTTCTTCACCGCTTGCTCATGGACATCCTCGACATTGTCATGAAGAGCGCATCGGCCTTTGGCAGTGTCACCAAAGTGTTCGTAACCGGACACCGTTTTCGAGCATATGTAACTGTAAGTGTTAGCCCGTGTCACACGCAGTAGCAAGTCTACCTACCATTGCTTGTTGCCGCAGTGTGTGCAGCTCATCTTGTTGCAGCCATACTCCTTGATGAAAGGATGCTGACATTTGTTGCACTTTCGGATGAGAGCAGCAGACATTGCCTCCTCGACCACGTGCCGTAGTGTCAGCTTCTCATCCTTCTTCACTTCTTCGCAGCTGAGAGGGACATGTGTTTCCTTATCACAAAGCCGACAACTTATCTTACCACACTTGGTGTTCTGGCAACGGAACTCTTTATCCTGCTCTACTGGGAGACACTCTGCCTTATAGTCGCAGAATGGACATTCGGATAGAAAGTCAAGACCAGCGGCCGCGATGTCTTGTTGCTGCTGCATGTGCTCCAGTCTCTCAAACGACTTTCTGTCAAGGATCTGCTGCAGCTGAGCGCGCGAGAAGGTACCGTTACACTCTGTGCTTGCGAAGCACACGGGTCGGCATTTTGACTGGCCCATCTCCGTCTCGATATACTGTCTGGGACAGTCCATGCAGAATAAATGGGTTTTTCTGCCGCTGCAGCTGACCATCCGGTTGAGCGGATATTCAGTGAAGCAACATTGGCATTCTCTCATCAATTTTTCAGTCATTGCTTGCTGGAGGTTATCCTCCTCAACTTGCTTTGCGTCTTCTAACTTGCGTCTTTTCACTGCTCTGGTAAGTATATAAACGGACACTTGCGGTATGATTGTTCCGGGGCGGGACACTTACCAGCCTCGTGTTCGGTTTTCTCTTTCGCTGCACGAAGCTCTTTTGGAAGCCGACTCCCACTTTCAATGAGTAGGAGCTCAATGCCGCGCTTGTTGCGAGGCCTCGGAGACTTGATGAAAGTACGCGTCGTCTGCTGGTATTTGCGAACCTGGTCCTCAAGAACAATATAGCTCTTGAAGAGTGTCTTCTTTTGTTTGAACGTGTTTTCGATATGCCGGGCCGGAACGTTCAAGAATTCGTCCTTGAGTAAATTTAAGCTGAAGAGAAGACGTCAGCAAAGAGACAGCGTTTATCGGTCGCGCCATTGCATCAGTATAAATAGTGAATCGAACATCATTGAAGAGTCCGGTCAGTGATGCTCGAGTCTCCATAGATTGCGTCGAGACAGCTAGCTTTCCACTAGTGCGCATTTAACGCCCTCTTCAATGTCTACTGCGACCGAGACATAGCGTTCACCAGGATGCTTAGCATTTCAAAGATCACATGAAGCCGGACTATCGATCTCGTGTGGACACATGATTCCTGTCATGGAATATGCACCACGAGTGACAGTGTACGGAGCGAGAGCGCCGTGTGCTGTGGGCGTACGGTGAACAAATATGGGAAGTCAAGAAAGACTTACGCATCTTTTTTGTAACTGGGCGCCCCAGCTTCAAACTCTTCTCCTTTGTAATCGCTGGGCCCCTCACTATCTTCCCTTTTCCTTTTCTTGCTTGCCACGTCCGCTTCTTTAGGGTAGGTGCTCTCTAGGAGCTCGTTGACGACCCACTCACTATGTTCCTTTGTCCTCGTCAGGTCCGTGGTCTTCTCTTGGATTATTGTAAGAACATGATCGACAGAGACGTCCGGAAGCACATCCAGTACCAGCTGCAGGCATACCGCTTCGGTGATGAGCTCCGCGTCGACCATCTCACCAGGTGAGTCGGCATCCTCGCCGAGTGAATAATGCTCAGACGGGGGTACATCGATGTCTGGAATCGCGGTCAGATCGATTACTCCCTGATTGTCGATGTTGGTGTAATCGTATGCAGGAAGATCATCGAGATTATAGTCTTCCTCCTCATTGGTTGGCTCTCGATACTGCTCGTCTTGAGACGCGACATCTTCTGAGAACGCCTCGTATTCATCGTCTATTGTCAGGTCGACAACTTGGTAGTTGGGCCTGACCGCTGGTGGAACCATGCTGCCGGATACGCGTAACGAGCTTGAGCACCAGACAGTAAGATGTTGTTTTGGTCTTGGCCGAGCAAGGGTCTCCGATTCGATTGACTATCGTGTGGGTGGTGAAGTGTTTGTTTGTGGTTAAGCTCTATCAGTAGAGAGCAACAGCGAGTAGCTGCGGGAAGGCGCAAGCCCTAGTAGCCGCCTCCTTGCGTTGCGGAAAGGACCGTCTTGTTATTGCTCGCAACTCGGTGAAATTCAGGACACATCTGCGAAGCAAACTCTAAGTGAAAGGACGGCTGTACAAACAAGTCCAGTTCCGTTCGCAGCAGCCTTGGAGAGGCCCTGTCGTGTCCTTGCCTTTCGGGTGGTAGATCCAAAGTTACAGACAACAAGAGCGCAAAGCATGGAAGAGCTGGAGATGGGGAACAGAAGCAAGAAGTGGTGGCGAGCAAGTGTGTGCAGTCGCAAGGATCTAGACTACTGGTTGAAGTGAAGTTGATGAGCGCAGCTATTCTGTGGTCGCGCAACAGAACAAGCGAGTTTAGAGGAAGGTAGCGAGATGCAATTTTGAAAGGCGAGACATAGAAGTCACCTAGATCCCATATCGCCAGGGGCCAACATCATTATGGCAAGCAGTGATGTTTTGGGTACGGGATGAGAGAGTTGTAGCGGAGGCGCGCGTTTCCTCGGCCAGTTGAACAGGGATCCAGCCCGTTTCTTAATGTGGTTAGATTCCTCCCCCCTAATTGGCGTTACACAACAGCCAAAATGGTGGGACAGTGTTCTATGATACATTGAAATGAACTCATTGAACGTAGATAATCCGAGACATGATCGTGCCTGCAAGATGTGAAATCAGATTGCACGAAAAGCTTTTACACAAGCAACGCTATCGAAAGTTGCATGTTGTTTACCTATGGAATCATAGCAGTAGATGGCACTCAATCCCTTCCTGGATATGTGATGATGGAATCGCCCGAATAAAGATGGAAGTTCAAGGAACACATAATTAGGTTAGGTTTACATCGGTAGACTCGCAGCCCGGAACACTAAAAACGTGGGGTACCTAATCAACCTTAACTTCGCATCCGTCAGCTTCCCCCAGACTTGACTAACCAACCCTGTTTCAACGAGTATCTGTGACTCACCAGCGATCTGCCTACTAATACGAGGCCGTGCAAGATCCTAATTACGCTCGCACGCTCAACGTTAGCGACGACTCACAAGACTCGTTACTGTTCAAGTGAACTTGTTGTTCGTCATCGTCAAACATGGTAGCCCTTCCCAAGGGTGACTCACCCACTATCGCTCTCGTCCACCCCACCGAGGAAGAGCAATTGATCCAATCCAAACTCAATGGCGCAGAATGGCGGGGTGCCCTCCCGCTGTCGGCATATCTCCGCCGTGAGACTACTCTTTCGCAGCAGGCCTTAACTAAGGATGGAGGCATCACTTACTGGATCTTGGTCGACACAGCCCTGGGTAACAACCCTCTCGACCCTGAATCAGGGACGAGGCTTCCGCTCGCCAGCTGCGAGACATACCGTAAAAAGGCTCTCGTCTGGCGAGATGGCAAGCTGCAAGAGATTGTTTCCCATGGAATTGGTAGCGTCTTCTGCGGACACCATCTGCGGAAAAGAGGATACGCGCAGAGGTTGATGGCTGAGGTCGGAAAGGCATTGCGGACACATCAGACAGATGACAAAGAGTGCTTGTTCACGATATTGTATTCCGACATCGGCAAGGTGAGCGATCGTCAGACATAGACTTGCCATATGGCTAACGTTGGCAGAAATTCTATGCTGACGCTGGCTGGGAGCCATTCCGCTCGTCTCACATCGCACTCTCACCAAACTCTGCTACACCTTCAGCGACACTTCCCACTCCGCGACCGTTGTACGCGGATGACCTCCCGGAGCTGTGTAGGATCGATGAAGAACTCATCAGACGTAGCTTGGAGTCACGCGCAACAGGCAGCAAGACTGCGGTAGCACTAATTCCTGATGTTGAGACTATACAATGGCATCATGCGCGAGAGGAGTTCGTCGGTCAGGAAGTTCATGGCAAGGTGCCCAAGATCAAGGGTGCTATTGTGGGTGACGCGGTTGGCAAGCGTGTTTGGTGCTACTGGACACGCGTGTGGTACAACGAGGACGTGTCAATCGTCAAAGGCAACACCATGCACATCCTACGCCTTGTAGTCGAGGACGATGTATTGGGCAGCAAGAACGTGGGCGAGGGTGACGGGTACGACACGGCCATCGCGGCTCTGCTTGCATTCGCGCAACGTGAGGCAGAAGAGTGGAAGACGGAGCATGTGGAGGTTTGGAATCCTTCAGCGGCAGCGGTAGCCGGAGCTCAAATATTGGACAAGAACGCAAAGGTGATCGACAGAGATACAGAGAGCATCGCTAGCTTGTTGTGGTACCCGGAACACGAGGGTATAGCAGCAGATCATGTCGACTGGATCAGTAATGAGAAATATGCGTGGTGTTAAGAAAATGCAAGGCGCATTGCATAGAAGATCCCCGGTCACTGTATCATGCAAGCGTAGCTGGCTGCAGGCTGCAGGCGAAAGATTTCTTCCTCGAACAACTAGCAAGCCAGAAGTATCAATGAACAAGTGAAGGCCTGTCAGATTGCCATTTACGTCCTGCCTTCCAATGCGACCGAAAGAGGCCTCCTTCCGGGACAAAGAAGCTAAATGTCAGTAACCAGGTTTTGGAGAATCTAGTAAGGTATGGCTTCTGTAGAAAGCCTAGAAGATGTCCACAACTATATGTAGACGAGAGTAGATGGGCGGGTTGTACAATTGGGCTACCGCCTATGCGCTGCGCTCTAACTTTCAGCCGATCCGAAGAGCAGCCGGCGCCGAAGCCGCAAGGAACATCAGGGTGGGGCAACAGGCTGCGGGGCATTGCATTGACGTGATCCTAAAGGTCTTCACCTTGCTTTGAAATTTGATTTTGGACTCTGATTGTTTAATTTGATGTGAAGTGTCTGATAATTCACAAGGTCGAATGATGCTCAACATGTGATCCTGCACGCCATTGTAGAATCATTCCAACTCACGGGATGAGCACATACCTGAGGCCTGACTGCATAGGTAACTGTACCGCACGTGAGAAACATGAGTGGATTTGACTCAATGTGTAACTTTTCAGCAAACCCTAATATTAGGGTCTGACTCTACAACAGTCCAATCAAAGGCTCCGTGACTGCGTGCGTCGATTTGCCGTTTGCAGAGGTCCAGACGAAGTTCTTGAGTCAGTGCGATTCCGGAGCTCACCAACAAATTTCCCCCCACGGGGACATTGACACTTCACAACCTCTGCTACTGGTGTTTGGCTAGCGTTACCTACATCTAATCATTCTCAAATTGCTGAATTAACATCAGCGGCCGACATGTCTACACACACCGCATCCCAGCGCTACCTGAGTACCCGCGGAGGGTCCTACGATGTGAGCGCAACGGCGCATTGCGCTTTGCGAACGACGCGTACTGACAGCCACAGTTCTCCTTCGAGGAGGTCGTCCTCAAGGGTCTCGCTTCCGATGGCGGTCTCTTCATTCCCGAAGAGATCCCCACTCTCCCCGATGACTGGGCGTCCCAGTGGCAGAACCTGTCCTTCGAGGACCTCGCATACGAGATCTTCTCCCGCTACATCTCTTCGTCTGAGATCCCCGCCGCCGACCTGAAAGATATCATCCACCGCAGTTATTCCACATTCCGCGCGAAGGACGTCACGCCGACCGTTACTCTCGACAAGGAGAAGAACATCCACCTGCTCGAGCTGTTCCACGGCCCTACATTTGCCTTCAAGGATGTCGCTCTTCAATTCCTTGGCAACTTGTTCGAATACTTCCTCGTACGCAGGAATCAAAACAAGTCTGGTCGCAACAGGGAGCACTTGACAGTCGTTGGCGCAACAAGCGGTGACACTGGTTCAGCTGCCATCTACGGTCTGCGCGGAAAGAAAGACGTGTCAGTCTTCATCATGCACCCTGAGGGCAAGGTTAGCCCTGTCCAGGAAGCGCAGATGACTACTGTTCTCGACGCCAACGTACACAACTTGGCTGTTGACGGCACATTCGACGACTGCCAGGTATGTCAATAAATACACATGTCCAACGGCTTAGCTAACACTTGCGTAGGACTTCGTCAAGGCATTGTTCGCCGATCCTGAGATCAACAAGACCCACCGCCTCGCCGCCGTGAACTCCATCAACTGGGCGCGTATCCTTGCCCAGATCACATACTATTTCCACGCCTACTTCAACCTGATCAAGTCCGAGTCCTTCCTTCCAGCCTCGACCGTCCGTTTCGTCGTGCCCACAGGCAACTTCGGCGACATCCTCGCCGGATACTTCGCAAAGCGCATGGGTCTGCCCGCCGAGAAGCTTGTCATTGCGACAAACGAGAACGATATCCTCCACCGCTTCTGGGAGTCTGGAAAATACGAAAAGAAGAAGGTACACGGCAGACAGGCTGAGGGCGGGCTAGTTGAGGATGGCGTCAAGGCGCACGAAGATGGCGTGAAGGAGACCCTCAGTCCAGCAATGGATATCCTTGTTTCGTCTAACTTCGAGCGTCTGCTTTGGTTCCTCGCCTACGACGTCTACAGCACATCGTCAGATGCAGTCTCGCAGCGACGCAGCCAGGCTGGTGACCACGTTCGCCAATGGTTTAAACGATCTGAAGACTGAAGGTGGTTTCGCTGTCGACTCGCAGGTCCTCCAGAAGGCACAGTCTGATTTCGCGTCATACCGTGTCAGCGATGATGAGACGATCGACACCATCAAGTACATCTTCAACGCAGCCCCGTCGAAGAGCTACATCCTTGATCCCCACTCCGCCATCGGTGTCGCCGCGGCCCTCCGATCCGCAGAGGTGTCTAAGCCTCCTTCCACACACCACATTGCGCTTGCAACAGCGCACCCTGCCAAGTTTGCCAACGCCGTCGAATTGGCCTTGCCAGAGCAGAAAGAGTACTTCCAGAAGACGGTCTTGCCTGTCGAGTTCAAGGGTCTTGAGGACAAGCCCAGGAGAGTCAGCCACGCCAAGAAGTCGGAGGGCTGGCAAGGTGTGCGCAAGATTGTCATTGCGGAAGTAGAAGCTGAGTTACAGGCTGCTGAGCAGGGCCAGTAGAGATATTGACGTGATGACGACTTGCATATGATAGACGCGCTTTTGCATTTCCCATAGACGGACTGGGTACACCCAAAATTAAATCCATTCCTATGTTCAAAATGTTCACATCGTCACTGCAATTTCCTCGTGTGTGTCAAATGGTAGAAAGGCCTACTCAAGGAATGACCACTCAACCGTAAGGCTGAACCCCCAGCCCCACATCCAAGCTCAAGCTCCGAGCTTCACCCCACCATCCACGCTTCATTCCAATCCTCCATCACGCCCGAACATCTCGAACACAGCCAACATGGCAACCTCAACAGAACCCGCGACCGCGTTCCAGTTCCCACCTCACTACTCCTTCCCGCCCTTCTTCACCCTCCAACCCGTCGCCACAACCCGCTCGTCCCAGATGCAATCGTGGTCGACCTTCATCCAATCCTACTGCCGCCACCACCGCATCTTCCAGCTCTCCCTCGTCGACGCGCTCGCAACGCCGCTATTCCACAACACCACACTGTCGCGGCAGCTGTCGCTGCGCGACGCAAAAGCGATCCTGACGTGGATGGCCAGCGCCGAGGGCGGGAGCCGCGCCGAGTTTATATCCAGCACGGGCTCGCGGTCGAAGAAGGCGGTCGACGAGGGCGAGGGGGGGCGCGTTTGGGTTTACTGGCGGAGGCCTGAGGAGTGGGCGGCGCAGTTGGAGGAGTGGGTTGACCGGACGGGGCAGAAGGGGGTGGTGCTCACACTTTATGAGATTGTCGAGGGGGAGGCGAGTATGCGGGAGGAATTCGCAGGGATGGATATGGAGCTACTCAGGACGAGCTTGGGGGTCTGTGTTAAGAGAGGAAGGGCGCAGATTTTCTCGAGTGGGGGCGAGGGCGAGGGTGTCAAGTTTTTCTAGGAGCCGGTGTGCAAGCACTTCGCTGGGATAGACAGTGCAAGAGGGGAGGTTATACATTTGCTCAGAAGCATGGCGTTATGGTTGGAAATACCCTGAATAAGTATAGATAGACTACATCTACGTTGAAGACGGAGGCTGTCTTTGATGAACAAAGATATGGACAAAAAACGTGTCGAAGTCTGCCATCCAAGATTCTCAAGCATCATGGACTGTCTTTTGGCCGAAAAATCGCTTGTATGCTGTCCTGAACCCAATGCCCGTACCCGAACGCCTGTCGCTCTGCTCGTCATTAGCGAAAGCTCAATGACACCATTACTTCGCTGCTTTGACAACCTCCTCGGTAAGCTCCCACTCCGGCTTCCAATGCACGTACTGCGCCATAGCATTGATCAGCAGCCACTCAGTCTTCACGATTCTAGGAACCATGTCGTGCTTTTTCGCCAATTCGCGAAATTTGGCCCAGTTGGCGAACTCCTTGCTGTTAGCATCGGAGATTAGGTACAACACATCGCCTTCATCCTGTTGTTGGTTTTGGCTCTCCTCGCCTGCAGAGGCATTGAGGAGGCGTTTTGTCGCTGTGATGTTGGTGGTACGGCCCTTCCAGAGCGAGCACTTGCCGCCGTTGGCTTCGATGATGTCTTTGTACGTCTCAAAGCCTCCTGGCACCTTTTCCGTGCAGAAGATAGTCCAGTCACGGAAGAGGCGATGCTTGTTCTGAAGGGCGCGATCAATAGCCTCAGCCATACTAAAGCTATGCTCCGTCTCAAAGTCTTGTACGTCCATGGCATGTTTCTCTGGTGGTGGAAGCTTGTTGTGCTTCAAGGCGAAGTCGAGATATGTTGAGCCGACTAAAGCTGGCCCACATGCCATGGCCGCAACGAACTTCTTCGTTCGTACTGCGTGCGGTGCACAAAGGATGTCAATCTTCTTGAAGTCTTCTGTAATGAACAGCCCAAGCTCCCTTAAGCGTGCTTTGTCTTTAGACTCCTTTTCCAAGTTGCCCGCCCATCGTTCATCCTTCGATATGAGCATTCGGTATCTTATCGGTTCAAGTTTTTCCTTTTTGGCCTTTTTGTTTCTTGTTGGTGCTTCTGTTTCTTCGTCTTCAGTTTGATCATCCTGATCAAGGTCGTCTGCCGAGCGTTTGCTCGACACAGAATCACGCCCCCCCTTCGTCTTCTTGGCTTTTTCCTCAATCTCGTCTTCGGCTCTTCGTTTCCCGCCATGTATAACGCCACCTTTTCGCTTCATCTCTTTTTCGAAGGCTGCTATATCATCTGCGGCGTTGTGAAGTTTTGATAGTGCCCGGTCTTTGGCGCCTCGACTTCCAGGTGTGTTATTCTCTTTCCCATCGGTGTGTTGCATACGGAGAGGTGTTTTGTCGGCATCTATCGTCTTTGTGCGCTTCACCTTCTCTGCTGCTGGTGGGCTGCGAGCTACCGAGTCACTTGTTGCTCTGTTGATTGGCAGACTATGTGCAATTGATCCGGCTGGAGGCACCACTGATACCTTGGCAGGTTTTGCTGGCTTCCGTGCTGCAGGGAAGAACATCTTTTCTGTGGCGTCGCGGTCGATTTCGGTTTGGCCCAGTACCTCCCCAAGATTTGTGCGTGAAGGGAAGTAGGTGTAGCGATTGTCCGATATGGGCATGAGTTTACACTTAGCGTAACTGTCTTCCAGCCATAGGTGATTAACGATGTTTACAGCCCATTCTTGTGCAGCCTCGCATTTTTCACTGTTCTTATGTGCGGCGACAAGATGCGTATTGTCCTGCTTGAACGTCTTCGTAAACTCGGCACCGGTGGCCCGTACAAGGTTCTCGAGATATACACGAGCTTCGCCAGTGTAGCTCGATATGCTGATCTTGAAGCCCTCACATCCAGGTATGCCGTTGCGAGGCCTTGGGTAGTGCATCAGCCGCCGCATGGGGTTCGTCCAGGTGTCCTGTGTGATGAGGTAATAAAGCCAGCTGAGATTACCAACGTCTTTTCCGTCCTGCGATGCCTTGACATAATCATCGCCATCTCGATAGCTGCATACATATATGTCTGCCTCTTGGATCCTGGCAGTCATGTCTCCACCACCACTCTTGATCATGCCTGATATGATGCCCTTCAGTCTGCCATTCAGATCCAAGTCGTCACCCAGCTTGACCTTTTTGCCAGAAAACGCCCGTATCGCTCGAGGCGCTTCAGATTGCGCGGATGGCGTCTGAGGAATCGGTTCGTTTATCGGATCGGGAGTGGTCGCATCGCGTATCTGTTGGCTCGTTCGTGCTGTGGGGACGACGCTAAGGTCTACATTCAAGATCTCGGGATCTGGTAGTGTGTATGGTCGCTCCGATATCCTACGTCCAACCTTCAAGCAATCATCGAACCAATGCGGCAACACAATGGTAAGATTCAGGCGCTTGCTGATAGCAATCTGACATTTGTGGTCGTCGAGATCTAACGAGATCAAATGTGTGACTGTTTTCGAGAGTTGCTCTGTGAATTGCCCTCCCATGGCTAGCACACCTCCTTGTATCGCTTCCTTGTCCCCACTCGGTAAGTTGGCACAACATATGATGACATCGCTCATGAAAAGCGCAGGATCTGGATTGTATGTGCGTGGATTCTTCGTCTTGTTCGCCTTTAGGGACTGATCTACCCACGTCGGCTTCACAACATGGGTCATAAGATCCAGCGCGCGGTAGTAATCGGGGAAATCGGAGGTTGTAGATATAACATAGTTGAGCTCTTCGAGTCGGTCGATGCGCCCTTTAGAGGCATCAAAAGGTATTATGGTGCCATTTGCGGCGGCAATATCGTTTTGCAGCTACGTGACATATTAGCATAGTTATCTGGAGACATGCGCGCGTATTACTTGCTTGACTGAGGCGCTCGTCCGACAAGCCATTGGGTATGATGGTAAAGCTAGAGTCCGCAAAAAGACCCTTCGAATCATCCCGCATCGCTACGTCTTCCATGTCGGGCAATCGTGGGCGCGTGGTCGGCGGGCGCAAGCGCAGTGGTGTTGTCGCGAATACTCACAGACGGCGCGTCTATGGAAACAGCGACGCGACACCACGTGATTTTGCCCCACTCTTCACACCCCGTCACAAGTGTTCACTCACGAAGTCTGCAGCATTTAATAAATCGCATCGTTCTATTCTTTATCACGCGATGTGTTTGATGGTCCTCTTTCTTCAAACGAGATCTTATGTTTCAACTCCACTAGTTGACCTGGTTTCGTACTCACCACGCTTGAGCAATGCAAGTCCATCGGGAACGGACAGGGTGGTGAGAGTACTGATGTATAGGAAGCAATTCCAATGCTCGTCTTTACACAGGCAGACTTCCTTCTCTCTATGTTTTCAAGTGTAAGCTGACAAGCATACATACCATGCATGGATGCGATCTGTGATATGGTATCAACGTGTGTAATTAGAAGATTCTTTTCAGCGGACTTTCAAATATGCACAAACTTCTTATTGTAAAATACATCACCAGCAAAGCTCTATGAAAGATGATTACCGGCCTCTGCAGCCTTGCGATCACTAGCGCCCTCAGTGAACCTCGGCATTTGCTCTTCCCCAGATTCGCGGCAATTCGTCACGACACCTCAGCTCTGGCGGCTCATTCATATCTGCATCGCCATCAAGAAGTCCTTTGCTCACTTACTTCCTTCTCGACAGTATTGTGTTCAACTTCTTGTGCGCATCCGGAATACCTTTGTCTGTTCAACCTCCTTCCCCGAGTCGGCAAGGCCAGGTGTAACAACGCGTGTGTGTATTGCAATGTCTTCTCAGTACTTTCGGTTGGATGAGCACAACATCGAAGCTTCGCATATTCGCGGTTTCCCAAGAGCGGTTTCTACACACGAGAACGATGCACTACAACTTGCTATCAAGCAGTACACGCCGTTGAACAATCCCAATCCTTCTGACGGTGATATCACAATCATTGCGGCGCATGCCAACGCGTTTCCAAAGGTGTGTTCATTGAAGTTCATATCACAAATTAGATGGAACGGAATTCTCGGAGTGGCACATGCCACGCCCCCATCTCGTTCTGTGGCGAGAAACTGACCTTATCAGGAATTATACGAACCGTTATGGGATGAGCTCCTCCAAAGAAGCCAGAAGTTTGGATTCAAGATCCGAAGTATCTGGATCGCTGATGTTGTTCACCAAGGGCATAGCAGCGTCCTCAACGAAGACAAATTAGGCAATGACCGTAAGCAGCCCAGTTCGACCATCACAGGATGTTTCTGACACGTCCCAGCATCATGGCTTGACCACAGCCGCGACCTTCTACACATGGTAAACACTTTCTCGCGCCAGATGCCGCGCCCGATAATTGGTGTCGGCCACTCCATGGGCGGTGCCCAACTCGCCAATCTTGCACTTCTGCACCCGCGCTTATTCGAGTCTCTTATCCTCATTGACCCCGTCATTCAAGGCAAAGTGTCTGTTATCGGCAATGTTGGTCCCGCATTTGCCTCCGCTAAACGGCGCGATTTATGGCCGTCACGCGCCGAAGCAGCGAAAGGGTTCAAGAAGAGCAAATTCTACCAGACCTGGGATCCACGCGTGCTGGATCGGTGGATCGAGCACGGTCTGCGCGACACACCGACGAAGCTCTTCCCGGATGCGAAGGAGGGACAAGTCACGCTCACGACGACCAAGCACCAGGAAGTCATGACGTTCCTGCGGCCGAATTTTAGGAACAGGGGCGGCGAGACTGAACCCGATTCTGCGGGCTTTACATTGACAAATCCCAAGCTGAACCGCAGGACACATGCTGATCTCACACCGTATGATCAGCCGCAGGAGCCGTTCTACCGCGGCGAGAGCACCATTGTGTTCAATCAGTTGCCGGCTCTGAAGCCGTCTGTGTTCTACATCTTTGGAAGTCTGTCGTTCTTAACCAACGATGCTATCATTGAGGAAAAGCTGGCAAAGACTGGATCAGGTGTCGGGGGTAGTGGTGGTAGGGCAGAAGGCAAGGTGGACAGCGTTATGGTGCAAGACGCTGGACATCTGATTCCGATGGAGAAAGTTGAGGAGAGTGCGGATCATGTTGGAAAGTGGATCGGAAAAGAGATGGTGAGATTTTGGGACTGGCAGAAGAAGACACAAGATGAATGGGGCACTAAGACGGGGATTGAGAGGGGTGTGTTGAGCGAAAGATTTGTGGAGGAGCTCAATGGAATGATGGCGAAGTCGAAGTCAAAGCTGTAAAGTAGGAAATTCATCTGTATTGATCCGCTTCGCGTGTCTTGGATGGATTGCAATTGTGTATAGTGCAGACGATTCGTTGTTCGATAGAATGTTTTGTCATCGAGGCACGACGATTAACCAGAACGGATATCTCAGGTGCATTTATTACGGACTGAAGCATGTACGTGTGATCAGTGTCGAGACAGAGATTAAATCGTCTATCACACGAACAGCTGCTTGCACGAAAAATGCTCAGTATTACTGATATTGATAGGAACTAAACGTCGACATGTTGTGAGGATGAATGCGGAGACCTTGAATAATTTGACCGTATGGTGAGGACGGTGCAGGCACCACAAGCGGTGGACAAAGAGCTATCACCGTGTTCTGGACTATGCCGAGCATGAAATCAACGAGCTGGGATGCATGGCAGAGGAGATAAATCGAAGCTATTGGAATTGTTGCTCTGTATCCTGTTAGATACAGTGCTGTTAACATGCAAATGACGTGTTTACTTCATGATCTTGGATGTCTCTGTAGATCAGTCCCAATCTTTCCACTATGAAGACTGAGTCACAGACGGAGCAGACTTGAAGCCTATAGCAGCAGCAGCAGACAGAATTGACGAAAGCACGCCACGATGTTCAGGATGCGGGAATCCGAAAGATAACGACAATCAACAGGGCTCTTTGTGACGAACGCAGCGGACCAGTTCCTCGTGCGCTGCCGTGTCACTAAAGTAAAACACCGGCATGTTGGAGACGGCGGAAATGTACTTCTTCTCCAATATCCGGCACTCTAGGCCTTCTCGCACGTCATCGTTAAGGCAAGTCAGCAGAACACATGGCACCCCCAGGACCAGCTGCATGATGCGCCGGAGTAAGACGTACCGTTTATCGTAGGGCTGAGACTCTGCACCTAACCATCCAATCACTTCTCTTGCCGAGCATCAAGACCGTCTTTGCGTTTACCCTTCGCTTCAGCTGCATGTAACACTGGCTTGAAGCCGTTTAGAACAAGACAGAAGAGCCCGTCCAGCGTTGCATTGCGTAGGCGCCGAACCACGTCGCTGTACTCCACACTTGTTACCGTGGACCGCTGCGCACCAAGCCCCGTGATAACAAAGGAGGCCTCGACCTCGCTCGCGTACGTGCCTCGAAGTAGTCATTGTGCCGATACAGTAACAAAGGGTCCACTGGCCGGCACAAAGTTCAGCCCTACTCTGGTCAGCATGCATGCCGCGCTGCCGTACCGTTGCGGCGGCCGGTCAGATAGCCCGCATCCCGACTGAGTTGTCAGAAAGACTACTTAGATCGGTAAAGGCCATTTAGTATAGGGGCCACGGCAGCAGCATTGGGATCGCTATTGTGGCTGCGGCATGCGGTTAAGGCCGCGCGTTGGTACGGACATACGGACCCTCACGGAGTCGGATATACAACAACAACCGACGCGCGTTGTCTGGAATTCAAGACGCCATGGAGCAGTTTGAACGAGATGGAGTAAGACACGGGTGAGACGGGAAACGTGGTACTGTGTTTGCGGGCCATGTTCCAGTAGCACAGAGACGGAATCTGTGCTACACGTGGATGGCATGATTTCAGGCACAGAAATCCTGCAGACCCTCTTTCGGACCTCACCAAGGCCCATCAGGGCCCATCAGGGGCTACTGCAGTTGCAAAGTCGAGACTTCTAGGTGTAGCCGATCCTGCCTTGTTGCGGCACGGCGAGCATGTTGCTGATGTCCCCGACGCAGGAAATCATCGCTCGGCGCAACACCCATGTTGTCAACCCCCAGGATCGCGACAGTGCCGCAGCGGGGATCACCAAGCGAGAGCATTCCCAACTCGAACCACGTTGCGCACGTTTGCCGTCCCGTGTTCTTTGTGTGCACTGTGCTCAGTCGTACCCTATGAACTGGCCGTCAGAGCTCCGGGCACTGAACCTACGCAAATGAATCTTGAGCTTGACGACGATCCGTATCGGCGTCCTTGATGGAAATGGCTGCGAGGTGTCGAATCAGATGGCAATATGTGCGAGATTGCGTCCCCAATGCAAGCCGTTATGCTCGAGCACGGGCGAGCATCTCCAGATGTCCCCGCGCAGCCAGAAAGCCCCCAAAGTTTCCAATTGGACGCGTTTCGGCTCTCAACCCGCTGCACGGCCCAGCCTTATCCTAGAGTTTCCATTCGTTGCAGAAAAATCACGCTCTGAGATGCTAGAGAAGCCTATCATGGCAACTAACACGGCCTTTAATAGACACAAGGCGGATACATGTCCTGGGCTTGTCACCGGTTTCTGCGATTAGGTATTGAAAGCATGCATGCCCGATTACCATACCAGTCATTGAAACTAGCAGAAGGATGGAACGAAAAACGAGGGTTGGGACCGGACTCCGGGCCTTGCTTCGCCCCGCTTTGCGATCTTAGGGATTGGCTACAGCGGTTCAGTGTTACGGACTTGCTCTATCTGGTGAGCAGCTCGCTCGCAGCTTGCAACCAAATGGGGATTGGAATAGAACTCATGTACATGTGCAACACAGCGAACGCGTCTTGTGCTAGGCTGTTGGTAACGAGTTATGAACGTGTATGAGTAGACTCGAGAGCGTTTCTCAAGTACGATTGAGAATCATCATCGTCATCAGCCTTATAGCAAGAGCCTCTTCGTAATAGTAAGCGCTTGCGCAGAGATCCCGTTCGCAGGCTTTCGACAGTAGATGCTTGGCGGAGTTGAGTGCTTACTTCTCGGAGGCGCGTTCAAGATGCTGCATCTTGGGATTGCGAAACCACAAGATGCAGTGACTCATGTCCGTTGCATTGCATAACGAGTTGGAGTGCGCGGTAGCCGAAGCATGCCGCCTTGAAGCAAGTGACTCGTTTCCAGCTTTCTCGGGCATCGGGTTTGGGTTTTGGTTTGAATTGACCGAAACTCACGGGTCCTCGGGGATCCCGGAAGTGCCTCTTTGGGTAAGCGATGCGCAGGCTCCTCTTGAAGTTAGCATGCCTCGCTTTGCCTTGTTCCGACTTGCGGGTCTGCACTCCGCTCGCACGTCGATTGGTGTCGTGCTCGAGCCAAGTAAGGCTGAATCAACGTGCAGTTCTCCACTCATCGTCGTGAATGGAGCATGAAGCGAGTGGTAATGACGGCGTTATTATTACCGCGACAGCCGGCGACCACTGGCCATTCCGTTCTTCGTCTTGGTATCCACGAGAATTCGGTGTTTCGCATTTTGATCCTCGTTTACTGGTAACACCGCTTCACAGCTGCTGGGATCGACAAGGTCAAGGTAGTGAGGGCTCGCATAGCTGCCGGCGCTAGACATCCTGTCAAATGCTTGGGTTTTACGTGGCTTTAGCTAGTATCGATTGGACTCCTGTTGAAACATGTTGGTGCTCTCTTTGCCTCCAACAAACGGCGTGAATGAATGCACATTGTCGGTGGGTGCAACTGATGCTGCGATCGAGGCTTGGAAGACCATCACAAGGTCGATCAGGTTTATCCGAAGTTCCAAGCCCCATGATAGCGGGAGGCCTGATGCTGCGCTGCACTGCGCAAGCCCAATAATAGACCTGGCGAATGATCGAATGGACAGATGAACGAATGAACGACACTCGGCTCCTGCCGCTGAGCCACGGCCGCGCACGGACGGCGCAGCGTACTCGCGACTTTGCTCCTTATCTTCGACCCATCAGTCTTTGATCATGCATATCAGGGATTGTAAATCTGAATCGAACAAGTCACTACATGCTCTGAGCTTGAATGTCACGAGTCCGCGATGACTGATAGATTCATTCATTGGCGTATCGTGGGGGCTTGACGCTGTGGCTGGTGATGAAGGCTCACAAGCCGAAGTATACAGTACAGTGTAACTGCGCTAACTGTATTAAAAGTCACTCTAGTCGCTAGTCTCATCCAACCCTAGGCTTCGACGGTTGGCTTTCAGGGCCGTTGAACTTTAGCCAGCAAAGTCACTTCGAGTCTGAGAGAATTGATCACTTACTGGTGCGGCCGAAGCAGAGCTGTATGAGCTCGCTAGAGACGAGATTCCATACCGGCACCTTGCAATGAGAACGCAGCTCTACAAGACTGCGCAGGTTTGTTGCGTTGAGATATCTGAGCAGGTATTGACGTATAGCACACAGTAGCGCAGAGAGGAACTCCGCCGGTCTCGAACGAGCGAGTAGGTAGGTATTGAACTTTGGAGATTTGCTCATACGACGCGCGATGCTCTTTTCGATGGATCGGTGAACCGAGAGCTTGGTAGCTATCGGGCCGCAGTGAAAGGATGGCGCGGGGTATGGGGTGGATGAATAAGCGGATCGAACAACATCTGGTTATGCTGGCTTTCACGCCCTTCAAAAGGACACCGTTTGGCGATCTTGGCGGGAAGAAGACTTCGGCGCGGTAAGCGTATCCATCTGAGTGGTCGCTCCGTTGTTTGCGATGTCAGCCGGACTCGTGACGTTATCGTTCAATGTCGGCGACAACTTATCTCCAAGGCACGTCCCGAAGGCCATCACTAAACCAGTCGAGAGGGTTACAGCGAGGCGATATGCAGTCGTCACCGCTGAGCAAGCCTTGGTTGCTCGAACTACTACAGGTTCCGGACGGGAACATGGTCCTGGAGACTGAGTGCTGTGACCTTAGCGAAACCTCCGATTCAATCAGCTTTAGGGCGTGTGGATGTTGATCCGGATTTTAAAGCGATAAGTCCAAAAGGCGAGAGCGGAATGATATTCACCATGTCAAAGTCATGTACATGCATAGAGATATCTCAGCAGCAGTCAGGTCGCTTGGCTACCAGCCCCCAACAGCGCAGCCTCGCACACCGTTCTGGCATAGTTGAGCCTTAAGGCCGTACCCCTGAGGGTTTCATGGTAGTGTGTTCGCTTCGATGCATGTCTGCGGAGTATCGTATGAGAACAGTTCATGATCGGTGAGCATCCGTCGTAATCAAATTTCGAGTTGTGCAATGTCGAGAAATGGGGTATGGCCGAGACCTGAACGGCCTCGCCGGCGAGACACGTGTTGGTGATATAAGCCTATTGCTTCGAAATGGAAAAGAGCATCAAGCATCGCTGTGTGGCAAAGTGGGTGAAGGATGCATAGCGCGAGTACCGCTAGTGAAAAGGCGTGCTTTGACGTCGTGTGTACAGCATAGACGTGCCTCAAGGAGCACTTACTGTTCAAACGGACGAAAAGTCTAGGTCAAATTGTGCGGCGGACCCCTGCGATAACGCAGAGAAGTTTCCGGGGAAGGCAGATGCCGCTATCATGCCGCTCTGCGTAGTCGGCATTGAGCACTCTGTAGTTTGTGATCTGTAATCAGTAAGCGAACCTACATGTCTCTGCTGCATGAGAATGCAGCCTTATGTCTGTCTTGACCTTTCCACATGATCGGTCACGGAGATAAAGTGACTCGACTGAACGCCAAAAGGTTCGCCGACCTGTCCAACGGTAATGACGCATGTGCGGCTATTTTGTCCGCTGGAATGTTTTGAAACGACCTCCTGACACTGCGGCGTCACCATAAGCGACCCCAGAGCGCGGTCAATTCAGCTTCGATGCATAATGACGGGAAGACCATTCTACCTGCAACTCATATGGACTGATCTCCGGACACAAGCTGTGTGCAAGGCGGACACATCCATTATTGTGTGAACGGTGAAGCTGAAGCATGGGCCTTTAGCGAGGAAGCTTTGATACCTGAGCAACGTCGAGCTGTACGCGAACTGGCACTTGGATCGCGGAGGTGCCGAGCGACAGGTTTGTCCGCGTCGGTCCGTCCATGTGATTCATGTGACATAGTGTCATGAGCTCGTCGCTGCCTGAATTTTGGGCCGCACAAAGCGCCCAGGAGGCACAAGCGGGGGTGCGCGTTCGCGTCTTCGCAAGTCCCTCGAGAGCAGCAGCAAGCTTATTGAGAGTCGATGGCATCATAGGGCTGTAGGGCTGGGTGTTGGCATCAAGTTGCTGTTGTGAGGCTCGTAGCTTCGCCAGTGGACGCTAAAAAATAGCGTTTCCACTGCGCATGCACAGAACGGCGCAGCGCGGCTGCACAATCGAGGTCATAGGCGCCCTCGACAGCACATGCTGTGTTGCTGGCGGCTATGCGTTGTGGTGCTATCTCATGGTTAGAGTTTGCTGCATTTGTCAGAAGGGCGCAGGGTGAAAATGGAATCGTGTAAAGTAAGGCGTTTTCGCAAGTGTTCACACTTCGCCGCTTGAAGAGGTCAAAGAGGAAGTCATCCCAGAAGAGACTCCTGCAGTGGTCCGCAGGCATCATACGTCCCCACAGGCTGGGTTGGCTGTATCACATGACAGCCTCGCAAAACAACACCCCTTGGCTTGGATTGCATGCAGCGGTGTGAAAAGCGTGGGAATACCGAGAGACTGGTCGCTTGCACACCTCAAACAGGCAAAAGACTCGTCCGACCCAGTCAGAAGTGACAAAGTGGCCCGCCGACAGGGGTCGGTTGCACATCTAACTCCTTGCGGGTGGCAGGTGGGCCCCTCCCGCAGTTCAACTCACCGCGTCTGAACAGCTTGACTTGGACGTCGGCGACGACCGATTACAGGCAATGTGCTCAGGTATTGAGCGGGAAAATGCGATGTGGATCAAACTGCTGGTGGCATGTTGTGCAAGAATGCGTTGGTTTTGGCGGTGGACGCTGGTCGTTCCTCGTAGCAGGGCCGTGCCATAGGCGCAGGGGATGCCTGCTAGGTATGGTCGATACTACGGTGCTGGCTACTGGGCTGCAGTCGCCGTGAATGGATGCGCGATATATATGCACAGATGAGGCCTGCGATAAACATGGGTACAACTATGTCACTGAGCCGATACTTCATTGCTTGCTGTGTGATATAGACTGATTGATATCGGTTCGGGAAGCTCTGACACTTCTTCCACAGGAAAGCACGCCTTTGCTAAGGACATACTAAGACATCTCATGGCGTAATTCGTCAGTGTCTCAAACACTATGAGATTACATTGTGACGGCCGTCCACATGCTGCGCCCCGACAGAGGCATAGAGACACCTCAGTCTAGCTTTGCACGTCAAGAGTTCGATCAGCTGTCTCGAGACCCCATGATATATATGTATGCAGTTTGACAGTACTGCCCAACAAACTCTGCTGTTCACCGTGAATTACATCGCTAACACATCCACGGACAAAAATGCACCTGGTGCTTGGTCGGGGTAATGCAGAGAACGACATACAAAGACAGACGCTATAGAACAAAAGTTCCAGGTAACCTCTGGTTTTCACGGTCCCTCGGACGTGGATTCTGGCAGCTGCGATCCAGTGACTGCTTATGCAAAGACGGTACGACGTATCCCGCTGGGATGTCAACATACACGTCGTCGAACCCTTGCAGCGGAGAGTAACCCGTGGAATGGAACTCGGACAAACCCAATGAGCTGTATGCAAGGGCGTCGTCGCTTGCTGATGAAGACTACCGTGCGTGAAAGTAGGTAGGGCTGTGAGATGGGCGCGGCCACCGCATTCCGGACTTCATGTTTTCGATCATCATCTAGAAGATGAGCCTTTGCCTGTTCGAGGCGTACTCCACCTGAACAGGTCGTGGAGAGCTGAAGACCCACAACAAGTATACCGACTTTGATCACCTCGGGACCGATTTGAGGTACCTGTGAGACACAATCTCGGTGATCGTACACACTTTGAGACAGTGCTGTTAGCCAACGCAGCTCGTGTCTCTTTGGTGGCTACAATTTGAATATCATGACCGTAAGACGTCGTGAACTTGCCGTGGGTCTGGGCTGCAACCGCCCATGCGCATCAACCACGATACCCTAGTGTGCTGTGAAGTTGAACCCAATCCAACAGCGCTGAGCTGTAGTAGACCAAAGAACCAGCGGCACGGTAGGCCTGGTGCTATTTCTGGCGGCAAACGAAATGAAACGATATCCTTGAAGATGTACACAGCATACTCCCAAGTCATGGAACAGACTTGGATTTGGAATTGGACAGTTGCCAGGACGCAATGGTCATCCGCCTAGCTTAAGTGAAGATTCTTGGACCTGGCGAAACATGATGCACTCCCACTTTGAACACTGGCACAGCAAGCGTGCACAGGATGTTGGGTCCAAAAGTCTCCGGAGCCCATACCCGTGAAGCTGCTCGCGGATTTCCTATTTTGGCAATCTGACTGCAGTGGCTCAGTGACGGCCGTGTAGGCGCAGCTGTGGAGGCCTAACCACGGGCAGAGCACCATAGCTGTGAGGCGTGCCACCGGCTCCAGGCACTACATTGGCGTGAGCGGTTGAATTGCTACCAGCCTTTTTTGCGAAGCGTGTGGAAAGGGTTGATTGCAGCATTGATTGGGCTGGCGTGATGGGTTTCGCAGATTAGATCAAACTCGGTACAGCTGGCACAGGACAAGCTTTGGGCTGATTGGCCCTATCCGCAATTGGGAGCCGCTGTCACCGACTCGCAATACCCTGAAGGAACAAAGTGCTGATGAGGCGGCGGGAGGGCGTGGGGACGGTGCATAGGGCTGCTGTGTGAGACACTCGTTTGAACAGGTGCCTGGGGCTCATCGAGTGGCCGCAGCCAGTTGGAGCCATGGTAAAGTTAGACGGCCTTACAAAGCATGCTAAAAGCATCTGCAGCCAGGATAGGAAATTAAGGCTAGCCAGATGCAGGATATGGTGTCCAAACCAACGATCTCCTCTTGTGGAGGGGTTCTGGAGAGAGTGTGCCGTGTCCGCCGGGTAACGGTTCCAACGGTGCGGCGCTAGGGATTTGAAATCCACCGCCGCACCGCGTCACTCAACGAGTGCCCGACGAGTCGCGGTGTGCAGCGTGCTGCGAGGTTGTGCATGCGCGAGGACGCGGCGGGGACTGCCAATCAGCGTGCAGACTGTGCGACAGCGATGATCTGGTGCAAGCCGTCAAGCCCCAGCACACTCGTGGACAGTCGTCCACCAACACCGCCCTGGAGAATATGCAGGGCGTTTCGTGCACGCCCATTCCGGAGCTCCGCCCAGCAATGCGTGCAATTTACCCAGAAGGGCATCGAGCTGTCGAATGGTCGGCGCTGCTGCCTCTGGCCCCCAAGCAGCGGCCGCGCGTGGGGCTTGAGACGGCTGGCAGTGATGCTGCTGGCCGCCGCTCCACGCTGCTCCAACTTGTCTGGCGCTGGGTACGCCACCAGTGTGGCCACCCGGCGGCGGCCGCTGAACGTGATGATGGAGCAGCGCTCACCAAGCAAGCGTTCACCCGGACATAACGACGGATCCGAAGGTGCGCTGGCTAAGAGCCATAGGGCTGGTGGTGCTGGAGCATGTAGGCGTGGGTGCGGCGCAGGGGTCGAGCGAACTGACCGCTGTATCGAAACACAGACCGATGGCCAAACCACCCTACTGCCCACACATGCATACGGCCCCCGACTTTCCCGTGCGCTGAGCCTTGACGGTCCCCAACGTTACTGGCCCGCTACAAGCCTTGTGTCTAGCGCTATCCTAAATTTACGAAGCTGCCTGTCGGTGAAGGACAGGGTTGTATCCGCCGCAAGTAGTCCTGGGTGCATGCGAGGGCCTGAAGCTGGGGACCACCACTAGGCAGTCTGTGCTCCACTTGAACGACTGCGGACGCATTTGACAGCTAGATAAATATACCGTGATTCCCGACTGCCTTGAGCCTCCCACCATTCATCCCACTGATCTCCAGCCTGCGCCCGCCATATCATCTGGCCTTCTCATCCGTGACTTGACCCAAGGCTCTCCCCATAGCTCCACATTGTCGCCCACCATGCATAGACATCAGCCATACCAGCAGTATGCCACTGCCGCACCCACCACTACAAGATACTCGGGCACATCCTCAGCCTTCTCGGCCTCAGCAAACCCCAACGAAGACTGGACCAAGATCTCAGACCTTGCTGAGCGCAGGAGGATACAAAACCGGATTGCCCAGCGCAACTACCGCAAGAAGCTCAAGAAGAGGCTCGAAGACTTGGTGAGTTCGCGCCTTAATCACACGTGATACCGTTGGCATAGCATTCTAATTCCGTAACAGGAGCGTCGTGCCGCCTCCAGTTCAGCTTCGCCTGAGCAGAAGCCAGCCGAGCTGCAGCCACCTCAGACTTCGCCGCGCCAGGAATTCCCCTCCCCCTCTTCTTCGGATTCCTCGTACACCACCCCACCCGAGGATCGTATGTTCTCGCATCAGTACACTCGTCAGCTCTCCACAAGTCCACCCCCATTCTCGGTAGCGTCGTACTCCTCGGCCTATCCAGCTCCGGATGCAGTGGCATACTCGGTGCCATACACCACACACTCGCCGTACCACACAATACCAGCCACACTCACACCAGAGATGCCATCATATGCCTATCTGCCACCACCGCTCTCTTCCGCCTACCCCACCACGCTGCCCAGCCTTGTGCCCAGCATGAAGAGCGAGTACTACTCCGAAGACGACCTCAGTCCGTTCAACGTGGGCTATGCGGCCATTGGCGGTATTGAAATCCCACCTCCGCACGCATACGCAGACCACAATGCTCATGTAAGGCTCCCCACCCGCCAGCCCTACTACGCATGAAGACCCGTCTCTTGAACACGCCACTATTCCCCCGACGAGCCTTCGCTGACAGCTCATGGTAGACGCCACCACTTGAGCACGACGACTTCGGCTACCCTACCACACCAAATTCGATGCCACGAACACCTCCTCTTCTTCCCCTTCACTCCATGTGAGGAATCTTCTTGCGATTTTGTTATTCTGTTTCGTTGCTGGGCCGTTTTGTCCTGGCACCTTTTTGTGATCAGCATTTTTTGTATAGCATTTCAGCGATCTGTCGTTTTGGATAAGGTCCCTCGCTTGGCCCTCGAGACTTGGTGTTTTTGGCGTTTGAAAGGCTGGGACATTTCTCAGTAGGAAATTTTGGAGCCTCTGAAGGCAAACCCTAGTGCTGCAGCGCGCCCGCTGGGTAAACGAGAATCAACGAATATGACCATCACCCCTCACTCTACAAATACAATCTTGAATATTAGAGCATTATACCACATGAACGTGATGTCTTTATCTCAAATATGACATGATGCGCGTGTTGGGTGAACTGACAGAGCAGAAGTGAGAGAGATGTCGAGCGGTGAGATCATCGGGGCACTTTGCGCGTCTGATCTGCCAAGCCTGCAACGGCGCGACGCGTCCTGCCATCCAACGTCAGCATAGACACTGCTGTTAACAACGACCGCCGCCACTCCATGGCTCCTTTGAAGCGTTCACGAGCCGAACAAGCACGGCAGATCCTATCGAGCGGAGCAGTCATTCGCGAAGACTCGGACGACGAGCTCGGTTACGAGGACCATCCTTGGGAATGGATATACGAAGACGCAGGCGCTGAGCAGACGTCTGTAGACGACAATGCAACACCTAGAAAACGAAAGGCGGCGCTACAACCGGCCACGAAACGGATAACAGGTGCGCGCATGGGAAGCTTCATGTGCAAGCTTGGAGACGCTGTCTTGCTCAAGGCGGACGGCAACCAAGCATGGGTCGGCATTGTTAGCGAATTCTATGAAGACGATGAAGACTACGAGAAGATGGCGAGATTTCTTTGGTTTTCGTCGGAACAGGAGATACGAAACAAGAACAAGAAGCGCACCGACTTCCTCCCTGTAAGTCACCACCATACTTAATTCAAGCTGGTCGGCTGACAGGAGCCAGAACGAGCTCTACATATCATCAAATTTCGACGACAATCCGCTTGCCTCGATCAACGGTACAGCTAAGATCGTGTCGTATGAAACGTTCCAGAAATTGCACCCCACAGGCCAGATCAAGAAGTCGTCGAAAGACTACGGCAAGATGTTCGTGTGCAGAAGAGGCTGTAACACCCGCACAACGACGTATACACCAGAGTTCAATTGGGAAGATGTTTATATCGGCGCCGACGATATACCCTTACTGATAGAGCTGGTCGAGAGTCAGACTAAAGCGTCAAGGAAGGGATCTTCTCGGCCAAAAAGACAGCAAGATGATCTAGACGATTTCACAGAACAGGATTCTGAAGATGATGGTGCACCGAAGACTCCACGGAAGCGCCGGAAATTCAATGACGCGGCAACCCCTACATCGAAGAGAAAGAGTCCGGCCGCTCGAAAGTTCTTGACCCCATCACACAAGCGCATAGTGCTGAAGAAACATCTGGAGTTCACTCCGCTTGGTACCCGACTGTTGTCACCTTCGGCACTTGCATCACCATTCCAGATTGCCCGGAACCAACTCCACGTCTCATCCGTACCTGCGGCACTCCCCTGTCGCGAGGAAGAGTTCTCGACCGTGTATAGCCACCTCGAGGCCGCCATCACAGACGGATCGGGCTCGTGCATCTATATCTCAGGCACACCGGGCACGGGAAAGACTGCCACGGTACGAGAGGTTGTAGCACAGTTGCATGCATCAGTGCAAGCTGAAGAGCTGGATGATTTCATCTTCGTGGAGATCAACGGCATGAAGGTCACAGACCCGCATCAGTCTTACTCGTTGTTGTGGCAGGCACTTCGCGGCGACAGAGTCAGCCCATCTCATGCACTAGAACTGTTGGAGCGCGAATTCTCCGCGCCCAGCCCTCGTCGCGTCCCATGCGTTGTTCTGATGGATGAGCTCGACCAACTTGTTACCAAAAATCAGTCCGTCATGTATAATTTCTTCAACTGGCCACAACTGCGGCACAGCAGACTAATTGTCTTGGCGGTCGCAAACACTATGGATCTCCCGGAACGCACTCTGAGCAATAAGATCAGTAGTCGACTAGGTACGTACCTGGAACCTTGTCCTTCGCGTGCAGCCCATCAATGTTGCAGTGCAGCTTGCGAGTCCCGTTTGCCTTAATCATACCGATCGCAGGCGCCGCGTGGACGATGCCCAATACGTTTGTTTTTGCGACGGTGTCGCGAACCCCTGTTCACCGGTATTCTACAGGACACTCATTGGACAAGGCTAACAGACGTGTACCCAGGGCTAACGCGAATCACCTTTCCTGGCTATACTCACGACCAATTGATGCAGATCATTCAATCTCGCCTGGAGGGCGTTCCAGGTAACATCGTTCTCCCGGATGCCGTTCAGTTCGCGGCGCGTAAAGTCGCAGCTGTAAGTGGTGACGCCCGACGTGCACTAGACATTTGCAGACGCGCTGTGGAAATCGCAGAGACAGAAGTCGCGTCACAAGGTCAAGATGATGAGGCGCCCTCAACCCCGAGTCGGACCGGTCGCGGGAACAACGCGAACACTCTTCAATCGTCCCGATCGCACAACGGTCCCGAAGAGCTGGCAGTCAGCCCAACGAAACGTGGAGGACCTGCCGCTAGACGTAAGGGTGTAGTCACCCTCGCAACGATCAGACAGGCTATCAATGAGGCCACGAGCAGCCCCCTGCAGCAGGCGCTCCGGGCGCTGCCGTTAGCGTCCAAGGTATTTCTCGCTGCACTCTTGGCGCGGATACGACGGACTGGCCTTGGTGAGGCAGTGCTTGGAGACGTCGTTGATGAGGTTAAGAAGATCGGCTTGATGAGCCAGTTGCAGCCCGTGCAAAACTATCTGCTTGCATCAGGTGCTCAAGATCGTACCACTGGTTTTTCCGGTCTAGACGTGCTGCCTGCAAGTCCTTCAAGGAACACCGAGCTCACCGATACAACACCCAAGCATGCAAAGCTCAATGCTGCACGAGCTCTTGGTCTTGCGTCTGCTGCCACAGAACTTGCAGAAGCAGGTATCATCGGTATCGAAGCCAGACACGGTGAGCGAGTCGGTCGTGTAAGGCTGGGTGTTGGTGAAGACGAGGTTCGACTCGCGCTCGGGGAAGACGCATCAGTCAAGGGTATGGGTTTCGGAGCCTGAGGAGAGCCTTCCCTATCGCGACATCCATATTCAGCTGTTGGAAACCTCGCTGCCCCGTTCTGGAACAGCCTCTCTCTTCACTACCTATCCGCTTTGCATTTTAGCACAACATATCGTATGATACCCCTCTTTCCAGTATACCGATCAGGATGGACTTCGTCATTTGGCGACCTGGCCTCCTACAAAACAGGATCACGTCCTGTGCGCCTCTGCGGACCGTGCCAACAGGCCCTGCATGAGGCCTACCGGTCTCCGCGAAGCCGCGACAAGGGCAAGCGACCCGTCCAGGTTTCCCGCTTGGGGCGCGGGGTTGCTTGCTTCGTGGCTGGGCACCTTCCTTTCTGATGATGCAGGACGAAGCGCACGTGCGCTCATCCTTGTCGTACGTCATGAGCCTTGCGGTACGAAACAAACGTAGTAATGTGCTATATTGCTTGCAGCACAACTCATACATACGCTCAAACAAAATTCTGAAACATTGACGTGTATCGTTGGCTAGTAAGAAAGCTATCAAGGTACCTCCGCATATCTACAAACTGTGCAGTCTCGCATTCCAGAATCTCAAACGCCACACGGTCGCTCCTCCTATCGTGGAACGACGTAAGAAATATAGAGAGTTAGATCTCCGTGTGCCCCTATCGGCTGCGTTTTTCAACAATACCACGTTCGGCTGTATCGTCGTTCATCAGCTCGAATTCTTGCGGTCGTTCCTTCTGTTGTTCCTTGAGCAGCAGAGCAATATCTCCTGGATAACTGACGTTAAGGATGACCATAACAGCAAACATGAGCACTGCGTCAAAGACGTACAAGTAAACCTCATGTCGAAGTAAGTATCCGTCGTTGCCCTGGATATACTCAATGACTCTGAACAGCGATCGGATCAAGATCAGGACAGAAGTCACGTAAAGGGGGAAAAGGTGCTTCTTCCAGGGAATACTACTATCCAGGGTCGCAAGGTGCTCCTTACCTCGCAATTGAAACAGAATCGCCGTGATAAAGAACAGCCCAAAGAAGAGGATTTGAACGCATAATCCGCCAATGATGATCTTCTCACCAGACTTCATGCCTGACGCCCCTGACGCCATGACGCCGCCGCCGGCACCCTGCATGAAGAACGAAATGATGTCGCCGCCAACGAAGATCTTTGTCAGCCACGTGCGGCGTACAAGAGAGTACCGCTCGCCCCTCGTCAATAAGATCAGGCGGCCGAGAATCATGTATATGCTTGCTGCGTATAGTGCAGGACCAAGGAGCAGAAGGAGTGTCTGCATGATGTATGGCGACTGCGCGTATTGGTCTTTGGAAGATAGGATGCGGCCTATGTAGCCAATGGTTTCAAAGAGTCCTCCTATGATAAAGGGCGTCATGAACCACGACCGTTTCTTGAAGGATTGGAATGCGTGCAAGCCCGTCGTCAGACTGAAGAGGACGACGAATATTGTAGCCGCGGCGAGGGAGGGCTTGTAGCGGTAAAACACATAAGAGTCGGCATCATTGTGGTCGGCCATGATGTTCGTGGTGTTTGGATCGTCGAGGCTTGTACGCTTTCGTGGTATCAAGGTCGCTATTATAGACAGGTATGTAGCCGAACAAGTGTATTCTATTGTGTAATAAAGAAGGCAGTTACTGAGATGATCGAACTGCAGTTGATTGGTTTGTGATGCTGGAGTAAGACACAGTTGAGTTCAGGAAACCACAACTCCTTTATCTATGCACATTGCTTCGGACTAAACGCAACCATGATGATGAAGCAGAGGCGCAGCGCATTTCGCAACTCACCGAGAAAACCTCGTCTTTGTTGGCGTCCATGGCAGAACTATTGAGCATGTGTTGTATACGCTGTACGGTGGGTTGGTTTAGTGTCAAGGCGATTCGCCTTGATTCGTCCACCTGCCAACGTGGACCCACGGCAGATTTGCGGTCCGCTTCGGCGCCCAAACATATTCTTAGCTTGAATTTGTGTACGGTATACGTTACTGTTGGTCATTGCGCCTGGCGTGCTGATGTCTCTAAGCGTGTAGGTAGACAATACCCTCTGTAGTCTGTCCAGCGTAGCCAAGCTACCCACGATGCCTGAGTATCTACGTAACCTCAGGATCGGAAGCAGTCGATCACGTCTGGCCGATGACGATGAACCATGCAGGCGACTAAGCGGCCACTTCGTTCTTCAGAACTGCACTTGATAGACAGACTACAATGTCTGCTTACGCTTCTGGTTTCTTCATTGTCTCGCAATGATGAATAAAAGTTCATGGTCAACCTAGCTCATCGCTCCTGGCCAATCACGGGCCTCTCTGTACGGAGGGCCGGCCTTGCCGATCCATTACAGCACTGGGGAAAACGTCAGTTCCAGCAACCACTTTGCACCCAACATTATCCTTAAACATTCATACTTCTCGCATAGAGCCCTTTCCAGCAATTTAATCGAACCCCAGGACCTTCCAAGCACTGCTATTCGCTCAGCTACATGCGCCACATTTTGTCCGAAGTGGATCCACGCACCGTAAACCGTATCAATTAGCGGCACCTAAATCAGGGGAGCAATGGCGACGAGAAGGACGCACAACAAAACGAGGCTGGGTTGTCACCAATGCAAAAGGAGACGCATAAAGGTCGGTACTCCAACCACTCCCACCACATCTACACGTTGGCAGGTATGGACCAATGATGACCCCAGTCACACCCCAAGCTCATTTCTATGTGACCCAATGCCCATCTTTATTTGTAGACGAAAGCGCGCAATGTATTGTTGCAGAAGGTGAGCGTGTAACAATCGTAGCAAGATTGCACTTGAAGGGTACAACATTGCCTAATTTTTCCAATCTCCAAAAGATTTTACTTCATGCTTGACATCAACCCAAGGGCCACAATGCCTCATTGGTGACTCATCCTTCCGCAAGTTTCAAATGCTGACCATCATCAGTGTGATGGCAAACATCCAACCTGTGCGAACTGCGAAAAGAAAGGCGAATCATGTAGCTTCCTTCAGCTAGCCCCTTCATCACGACTCACCGGTCCCATGTCATCCCGAGGACCAGCATCTTCGATATCGCCGCCCCCCGAGACGTCTTATATACAAGCACTTTCACCTCCAGTTCCCAGTTCCAGTAGTTGTAACACTGCCGAGTCAGCGAGGAACTCACCGCACATATCTCCGCCAACTGAGCATCTACCGGCTTGTTACTCAACGGCGCTACAGCATGATATCCCTGTATCAGAACAAGAAGGTAGATCTCCATGGTCGAGTCCCAGGCCTCCAACGCCCACCCATCCTTTAGAGCTACAGATCTTGGAAAGCTCGATCCCGCCATACCTGCGCCTGAACGACGTCTGGAAAGGCATCAGGGAGCCACTGCCTCCGTCACTCCAAGATGTCCTTTTTCACTATGAATACACAACAAGTCTTACGCTGGCCACTGATGATCCTGCTAAGGCAGCATGGCAGTCATCCATACCTGAAATGGCGCACGCGCATGACTTTCTGGTAAATTGCGTGCTTTCGGTGGCCTCGCTTCATCTTGGACGACTCCATGAAGATCGAACCCAAAAGACAAGAATGAATGCTGTGGCAGCATCAAGGATGAATAAAGCCCTGGCGACCTATCGCACTCAGCTCGAAAACATTACAGCCTCGAACGCAACAGCACTCTTTGCTAGCTCTATGTTCACAGCAGTCTATTTGTTCCGTATGTCGGCCATAGACATTGAAGCATTGCGCGAGACTATACCTTACGGCACAGTCATACCTCCTCCCGGTGTTGTTGACAAGATGATGGCATGCATCCTGCGTACAGTCTGGGGTCTCCGCGGTCCACTTACTGTGCTCATGAACGGATGGAATCACGTAATCAACGGAGCAATGCATTCTGTAGCCGCGCGTAAATGGTGGCCAAGTAAACTTACTCCAGCTACTGCTCGTGCAGAAGAGGAGGATCAGCGGCTACAGAAGATTGATAAGCTGTGGATGGACACTGACAAAGCTCGAGAGCCGCATACTCATCATCTGAACGAAGCGCTTGCCTACCTGCGCGAGTGCTATGCGTTAGTATCACAGCTCACTCTTCCTGGAGTATTTCCTCCAATGACTGCGGTTCCTTATGCAGTTGATGACACCACTACCGGTGTGCTTACAGACCGTGGCGCTATCTTTGTTTGGTCAACACGGATCTCGCGCGAGTTCATTCATCTCCTCGAGACTAAAGACCGAGACGCCCTGGTCATCCTCGCACATTACGCCGTGCTGCCCGGCCGAGTACGTAACGTCTGGTGGCTTGAGGGCTTAGGTGGCGACTTTGTCACTGCCATTGCCATGGCGATTGGTATTGAAAATTGGCATTTGATCGAGTGGCCGGCCCACGTCGTTGGGGTCGATTTGTGGAATGCCTTTGGCGTCAGGCAGGATAGACTGGTGGGCAAGCCTGATGAGCTGCACATGGATGTCATTTGAACCTTCGCCGCTTCTGATCCTACCTTTCTTACGGGTGTTCTCGCACACGAACCGTTTGCGAGACCCAGGTAATCATGTGGCACCCGAGGCTCAGGCTGTATCCATCGACCGGTACTTCGCCCCATGCAACAAAGCAGGTGCATACACGGGACGCATTCCAGTAGCTGCACCATCTCCAGGCCATACAACCTGGTTGATGACGACAGTGGAGTTTGATGGGTATGAGTTATTGTAGATGACGGCGTGCTCAGAAACGCGGGCACGTCCGACTCAGCGGTATATGTGTTTCACTCCGTCGAAGATACTTACTGAGCAGCACAGATTTACCTTCACATCGAGAAAAATCGGATTCTCATACAATGAGCCTCAAATTTTTCGCAGATGCTACAAGACACTTCAAATCGACCAGAAAATGGCTTGCAGCACTGGGGTCCGGTGCTGATAAGAATTCCAGAAAGATACAGATATAATCAAGGTTGAACACTTTTTTTTGAATTCCACAACACGACTTTGAGTAGCACGAGGCATGATTGTTACCACGAGTGATGATGGCTAAAACGTTCATACCTTTCGAACTTCCATACCGTTTTCGTGACAAGATTGATAATATGATTGTGTGATGAGCTTAATCCAGGACCAAGGAGGTTACGTGCTGAGATCGCCGCCAACTCCGGTCTCGGCCGAGACTCCCGTTTTCCAAGGCTGAGTCGCTTCCAGAGACCAGCCTTGCATTCCCATCATCACTTCCCCCAGAACCAAACATGGCCTCATCACTACTAAATGAGTTCTCGAATAAAGTACCTGCAGCTCCTACACGGAAGCTTCAGTACGCAGATGTACGGCGCAGCCCTTGATACCAGATCACCTTTAGCTGAGTCATCCAACTCAGGTCGCTGTGACAGCAACAGCCAAGGACTTCGCAGGCATCTATCGCGGAAAACAATACCACGAACCCGACTTTGATGCAGTTCTGGACCGCGCAGCGGAAGTGGGCGTAGATCGTGTACTACTGACGGGCATGTACCTGTCAGACGTGGGCACAAATGCTGCAATCGCCAGGAAAAGAAGAGAGCAGTGCAGAATCACAATCGGTGTGCATCCATACCATGCCGCTGAGGCTGAAGAGGGCGGCGATCAGTACTACCAGGACCTTGCACAGGTGATCAACACCACCCTAAAAGAAGAGCCTGGGCTGCTTGGCGCGTTCGGAGAACTAGGCCTGGATTACGACCATCTGACTGCTGCATCGAAAGAAATTCAGATCCGCGTTTTTAAGAGGCAGCTCGACATGATCGTGGCTGAGAGCTGGAAGCTGCCATTATTTTTGCATTGTCGGGCAGCTTTCGAAGACTTCGTCGCCATCCTGACGCCCTATCTTGGTCGCCTGCCTTTGGTATCCGGGCTTGTCCACTCTTTCGTTGGTACGGCTTCGCAGATGCAGACGCTCGTTGATCTTGGTCTTCAGGTGAGTGTCAATGGGTTCAGCTTCCGCGATCGGGACAGCGTGGAGATGGTCCGCGCCATTCCACTTGAGAAACTGCAGATCGAGACTGATGCACCATGGGGTGAAATCCAAGCCACAAGCGAGGTTGCTAAAGCGTACCTCAAAAATGCGTCAAAACTTCCATACGTTTCGAAGAAGAAAGACAAGTTCGTCATGGGCGAGATGGTCAAGGAGCGGAATGAGAGCTGTAAGATGGAGAGTGTGGCGCTGATCGTCGCCGGGCTAAGGGGCGCAAGTGTTGAGGAAGTAGCGGAAGCAGCGTACAAGAACAGCCAACAGATGTTCTGGAGTGATGCTGAGTAGCACAGAAGACCAACAGAGTAACACTAGAAGCTACGTAGTCTTCTAGCCAAATGATGAAGGCGTATACAGACCGGTCACTACATTAGGCTCTCTCCAACATACCAGCAGAACGGGTCTTGTTCACCGCGCATTGTTGCGATGTCTTTCCAAAAAGCGTGAGATTGTGATAAGGATGTGGTTCAAATATCTACCTACCTAGCTACCATTCAATCTTCGAATTGCATTGACAAGCTCAGGTACGTCAGCAACAGATCTGTCAGCCACGTCCCCACCCATCATGTTGATTCACGCGTGCAATACAGGTATCTGACCGGATTCAAGGAAAGGAGAAGCAGGGATTTCGTCCCGCGGTGACTGGGCAGGTGTGCGGCTCATAGAGGACCCAGTGCAATCACCGCACATCTCGCTGCAGACGATACAAGACACAGATTTTCTCATAAGCCACTCTTAGATTTCGAGCACTTTTAGGTCTCGTGTCAGAATAGGTACAATGGCGCTAGTCTGCTTACTTAATCAACGAACAAGGGTCGCGGGTTCGTCCTGCACCACGTAAGCACCTCTGCCTGGTGCAGGTGGCCTGAATTCTGCTTGTGTCTACGACAACGCATCTCGTGCTGTATATATTGTTTCCACTGACACCGACTCACATTAACTTCAGCCTCGCCCGTCCATCGACGCGCGCTTCATTCGTCACCTCCACAATGACGATTACCGAGGTTGCTCTTCTGCACCTGTTGCAAGATGTTGCGATTGATGACACAAGTCTCCGCTCGAAGCTTGCGCAAGCAAAGGCGATTATGCAGGATTACACTGGTCGAACATTTTACTACCTCCAGCAAGTCGAAGACCCCACTTATGTATACATCGTCGGAGAATGGCAGTCTCTGGATCAGCACATGAATCTATTCATACCAAGTGAAGACAACCAGGCACTTCTCAAAAGCTTAGAGGGTCTACTGAGTGTGGAGTGGTTGCTGCACATCGACGTGCCGCATGCAGACCTACCACTGGCAGCAGGTGCAATCCAGCAGAACGCCCCAATCTACGCAATTGTCAGACATTATGTCAAGGAGGACGAGAGGGTACAGTTTCAGCGGACATTCGATGCAGAGAAGCACTACCTGCAGGATTTCGTTGCAGAAGGCAACATTGGTGGAGGCTGGCGTATCGACAAGGAGGGTAATAAGGACGAGTGGGTGCTGTTCACGCCGTGGAAAAGCGTTGAGCAACACCATGCATTCGCAGAGACATATAGTTTCGAGAAGTACGGCAGGATTCGAGAGCACATTGAAGGTGCGGAGATCAAGCACGCTCGCATCTTGGACATTTAGCTTGCTAAATCTTGTAACGTTCTCGTCGAGTCAGCTGATTGGGGTAGTAGATCCAGTTTGATATCCATGCACCATCTCCTTGCCCATTGTAACCGGACAGGTAGGTACAGCTATAGGACTACACGCCCCACAGACACACTTTTCCCGTCCCTTCTTTTAGCAGCGGCAATTGTATATCGTAGACTCAAAAGTGGGATGTTGCTGATAAGCCACGAAGATAACGGGAATAGCCTGAGATCCGCGCAACCCCTCACGTGTATGCGCGTGGATCCGCATACTTGTAAGTGAGTGTCTGAATCTGTGACTTTTCAAATACTTGTTTCAACTACGTACCGTCATCCGCAGTGCACTCTTGATTGTGTTTCAAGAAGCAATGGTTCGGCTCTTAGACTTCGTTCACTATGCCCAGGACACACCCATTGGCCTGGGGACGATTCTATTTGCCCTTGCATCAATCATATTTGTGACTTACAAGGTGCGTACTATTGAGCATTGCAGCTCTCAGCTAACGCCCAAATATCAGTTATTGACCCGCACCGATATACCCTACATTCGCGGCATACCCGAGATACCTGGTGCACTTCCCGTTACTGGTCATCTGACCCAACTGGGAGAGGACCATGCCACAGTCTGTGAAAAATGGTGGCGCCGATACGGCCATTCAGTCTTCCAGATTCGCCTAGGCAATACTCGTGCGGTTGTCGTCAATTCGTTTGAGGACTGCAAAAACATACTTATCAAGAACTCACAAGGACTGATCGATCGTCCGAAGTTGTACACTTTCCACGGACTAATCTCCTCGACACAGGGATTTACGATTGGCAGCTCACCGTGGGACGAGAGCTGCCGAAGCAAGAGGAAGGCAGCCTCTACTACGTTGAGCAAGGCTATGATGAAGAACTACTATGAAATGTTCGACTTGGAGTCGTACTGCATCGTGCGTGACTTACACCGCGACACAAAGAACGGGGCTTTGGAGGCAAGCTTTCGACCATATATCCAGCGTTATGCGCTCAACACCACCCTGACGCTATGCTACGGTATCAGAATGGACGAGATGTACGATGAGCTACTGCGTGAAATCCTCCATGTTGGCTCGGCAATCTCTCTGCTTCGTTCGGCGTCTGAGAACTACCAAGATTACATTCCTATCCTCCGGTACCTGCCCAATAACGAGAAGAACGCTCGCTCAAAAGATCTTCGCGAGAGGAGGGACAAGTATTTGAATGAACTACTCGATAAAGTGCGCGCTATGATCAAGAACGGGACAGAGAAGCCTTGTATCAGCGCTGCAATTTTGAAAGACGAAGAGACGCGCCTCACTGGTGTAGAAGTGAGCTCGATCTGCCTATCTCTGGTCTCTGGTGGATTTGAGACAATTCCGGGAACCCTAGTATCCTGCATTGGCTCGCTGTGCACGCCTGAAGGCATCAAATACCAAGATCGTGCGTATCGGGAGATTCTGAAAAGCTACCCTGACGTCAAGGCTGCGTGGGCTGGGGAGTTTGAAAAAGAAGCCGTGCCGTACTTGAACGCTATCGTCAAAGAGGCTGGCCGATACTACACTGTGAGCAACATGAGTCTGCCTAGGAAGACAATGAGCGATGTTCGCTGGGGCGAAGCAGTGATACCAAAGAATACTATGGTACTGATCAATGCTCAGGCGGGCAACCATGGTACGCTCATGTTCAATCAAAACGCTCTTACCAGACTGACAGATATAGACACTGACCACTGGGGTTCTGACGCTAGTACCTTCAATCCCGAACGCTGGCTCGATGAGCCCGTCTCACCCTCTGCCATGTACACTGAGAAACCCACATCCAGTACCCCCGCACCTCTCTTTCGGCGCTGGATCCCGGTCATGTCCTGGTGCAATAATTGCCAGCAAACTCATCGGTTCAGCACTTTTTCGCCTGCTGAGTCTGTACAGGATCGAGGCCAGCGTGACAGATCGTCCGAACACTGACTATGTTGACTACAATCTGATCAAGAGTGCCCTCGTTGCGATACCAAGAGATTTCAAGATCAAGTTGACCCCGAGGGACGGGACCGGGGATTTGGTGAGGGAGGTGCTGTGCGCGAGTGAGCAGAGAACGAAGGACTTCTACAAGGAGTGAAGTCCCGGAAAGGACGAGAAAAAGATTTCCTCCTGATATAAAGGCTGGTCGACCACTGATACGCCCGCGGACATCTGCAGTAAGCACAGTGCATGTGACTGATGAGTATGCAGTCTCGTTCCTAGCCACGGTATGCCGTCAGCTTGTTATCTTGGAGTCATATGTACTAGCTTGAGACATCATTTTTCGAGCAATGTCATTGTAGTTAAATCCTACTCAGCATGGCACATGATTGGCGGTTGATTGCTGAAGCTACTTTCCCCACATCGTAGGGCGCATAAGCCGCCCTTTACATTGTGTGATTCCGCAACACCATTGATCTTGACAAGCGTACTGCAATGCGCAAGTCCATAAATGACAGTAGTTTGACAAAATATACCGTGTATGTAATACTCGAAAAAGCAAGTGAAGCCCCTGTATTTAGCTGAACAATATGATCCTCCTGAGAGAAGGCGTTGATCACTTCTTAGTGTAATGATTATTCTTGTCATTTAAGTTTCTTACTCTGGGTCACTTTGGAGACTGATTGTCTTCAGTGCAGATATATTCCGCTCTTCGGTGTCTCCACGGATGCACCGGATATGGTCGGCCTTAACACATGTGTATCTACTCCACCTGCTATCTAATAGCGCGGCAATTACTCAAGACTTCACACTAACCAGACATGAAGGGCGAGTCTGCAGAGATAGTCAACCACCGATATAAAGACACAGATTCAGTCCCAACATATCCAATACTACAAGCCACATTCTGCATTTCACAGTTCACACTCAACACTCCAAACTCAACTTCCAGACACTACACCGACCCCTAAACACTCTCACATCATGTCCAACCACCCAGTCATCTACCCTATCAACCAGACCGTCCTCGCCACCATCGCCTCCGCCCGCGACCCAACCAAACCAGTCTACATGCTGAACCTCTGGCGGTTCCGTCCCAACGCAGTCTATTCCCCCGCCTACGCACACCTCTCGTCGGACCCTTGCACTGGCCGCGAAGCAACAGAGCGGTACCGCGCAGCCATAGCCCCGATACTGCCGCCCGGCGCGGCGGTCCATTTTCAGGGGAACGTGGAGGGGTGGGTTGCAGGTCCTGACAGTGCGGGCTGGGATCTGGTGGTGATAGTGAGGTACGAGACATTACAGGGATTTAGGGATATGGTGGAGGCGAAGAAGTACAGGGAGGAGGTGGAACCGCATCGATTGGCGGGTCTGGAGGAGTGGCGGCTTGTTGCGATGGATGGGGTTGGTGGAGTTGGCTTCTGAGATTGTGGAGGAAGGCAAGTGGTGAATTTGTAGGGAATGTGTGGGTGGTTGAACCACAGTGCGGACTATGATTCAACAACGGTGATGGGCCTTAGTTAAAAATTGATTTACTGCAAGGCACGTCCGACCAGCTACTGCTAACTGTGAGAAGGATTGATGAAACCGAGGTCTCGTTTCCCAATGGAGTGTATGCGCTTGAAAGGAGTAATTCAGTTGTAGTTCTGCGGCTTATTGGCTGCGGTTATGGTAGTTTGGATCCTACAAGAGTGCCAGTTGGCTGATCGGACGTGCTTGGATGTAGTAGTATTGTTCGTTACTTCGTACTAGCTATCTATCGTGAAGGCACTCTCAATATGCGCCCGCTCTCGCCTCGTACTTTTGCCCGTCGACAACACCGACCTTCACGCCACCCCATATCTGTCCATCTACGTCGAGCGATAGACCACTGAGCTTTGTCGCACCAACATCAAGACCCCACAGGGACACAGCAAGGTAGTTGGTGCCGTGGTAGTCAATAATGCCTTCGGGAACAGGGAAGCTTGTCTGGGGTCCTACATTGCTGACATATTTGCCATACTGCCAGCCGTTGACGTAAAGCTGCACCCTGTATGCCGGAGCGCTCGAGCCGGGACTAGTGGTGTTGCTGCTTGTGCCGTTTGCAAAGGTAAAGCTCAACGGAATATCCCAGCCCGTTGGCAGGTTCAAGTCGAATTCAGTGGCGAAGAAACCAATGCCAGGAGCAGCAATTCCATCAGTGACGGGACCCTTGCTGGCCTTCCAGCCGGCGTCAGCGGACAAAGCACCAGGCTGGTGAAGACCGTGGCGTTCGGCAAACAGACCACCCTCGTTAAGTGGACCGCGCGAGATATCAACATAGTCCTCACCACCCAGGTTACCAGTGAGCTTCCAAGAGACGTCGGACTGACTGTGGCCTGCGAGTACGTAATTCAGAATACCACGGGGGTTCTTGCCGGTTTCCGTGCCGATAGTCCAGGTCTGGTCGAGACCTTGGTTGTCAATGACGACGGTGATCGTGTATTCCTTTCCGGCGGTCAAGTTGGGCAGAGTGACGGTGGAGTTGCCGTTCGTGGCAGCATCATAGCCGCGCCACGATCCAAGGAACTGGTCGCCAAGCCAGATGGACGAACCAAAGGCAGATCCACCTTGAGTCCAGGCATAGAAGGTGGTCTCGTTGCCAGAGGCCTTGAATGTGCCGCGGTAGAGCAAGGTACCGGTGTGGAAGCCATAGTCTGAGCTGTAAAGTGAGACTGGGGTGGTCAGAGGCCGCAGGGAGTTGTAAGTCTTTTTCAGGTCGGCGACCTTCCACTTGCTGTCGTCATAGTCGGCCTGAAGTTCAGGCAATGTATCGATGTACTTCCACTCGAGTTCGTTGAGTTTGGGGATGTTGATTTCTGCCTTTGGTAGCTCGATGGTACCGCTGAGGGTCCCTGCCTTCGACGCTTCAACACTGACCTCCTCGCCGTTGAAGGTGACTTTCGTGACCGAAGAAGGTGCACCAATGACCTCGATGGGTGTTGTAGCGTTGAGATCTCCAATGACAGCCAGTGTATCGCCGTTGACCTTGGCCGTGCGAGTCAGGTAGCCTGCCTTGAGAATGATTGCGTCCGAAGAGTCGTGGGGTGCTTGGTCGATGGACCAATAGTTGTATGCTTCATTGCGGCTGAGCATGTAAACATAGACGAAGTTGCCCTCGACGCCAACCTTTGCAACCTTCCTGCCTCCATCGACATTGAAGTTCAAGACAGTGTAACCCCGTGTGGTAATACTCTTGACGTCGCCCTCGATTATCTCAAGGCCAGTCACAGCGAGAGCCAGCTCGTGAGTCTCTCCAGGGCCACCATACACGACGAGCACAGTCTTGTCGTCATATTTGTGCCAGGTGAAGATCTCTGCGGTAGAGTAGACTAGATTCGAGCCACTGACATCGTAATCGCTGACATGAATCTTGGAGTCGCGTCCGTTGAGTGAGAGCGAAGTACCGTTGATCTGAGGGACAGTGATGTTACCGAAAGCAGCGCTAGATATCTTAAGCTTGTAGGTCGCTGAGTCGAGAGTATTGTACTTCGTGTGACGGACGAAGTAGAAGCTGGTGGTATTGCTAGTGGCAGGGGTGACGGTCACCGCCTGTGAGTTCGTCCATGCTGTGGTGGAGGCGTTACCTCGAGCTGCTGTCAAGTATGCGGGGCTGACCTTGAAGAAGTTGGCTTGTAGCTTCTGTTCAGAATACTTCTCGCGGTCTACGCGGCGATCTTCCCGAATCTGTGCGGCATAATCATACGACGTATAGCCTCCAGGATGTCCGAGGTTTCCCCAGTTGGTTCCGCCCCAGGTCATGTACAGATTCAGGACGGTGACGCCAAAGCTGTACAGATTTTTGTAGAAAACTCGTTCGAACTCAGCGTTTACAAGAACACCGCATTTGTCAAAGCCCGGTCCTCCCCAAGGATCGAAACTGCCGGCCTGGAACTCAAGAATACTGTATGGCGTGTTTGGGCTCTGCTGCAAGTGCACTTGGTGCCAGTTTGCCGGAAGTGCTTTATCAGGCCAAACAGACGGATTGGCACAGTCAAAGCCTAATGGGTACCCGTCATGGCCGTAAATATCTACGACTGCTGGATATCCAGGTGCGGTTGATATTGGTGCGTTGTAGCCCTTCGGCGAGGCGTCGTTGGAGATCAAGGGAACAACAACACCAGCATCTCGGAGCTGATCCATGACATACTGAAAGTACTCAGGATCCGGGAAAGGCTTAATAGCTGAAGTGGCTTGTGTGTACTCGTTCTCAGGTTGTACGAGAATGATTGGGCCGCCGTTGGTGATTTGCGCTGAAGCAATCTTGGCGCCGACATTCTTCATGTAATTGTCTGTTGCCGCAAGAAAATCAGGAGCCCTCGTTCTCAGAGTGCCATTTACTCGCTGAATCCAGCCTGGAAATCCTCCTCCGCTGCTTTCAGCGTTGATGTATGGGCCCGGACGAGCGATCAGGTATATGCCAGCCTCGAGTGCTGCATCGAAAAAAGGCTGTAGGTCGAAAACGCCCTCCTCACGATATTGCCCAGGCTTGCCTTCGAGCAGAGCCCAGTCGACATAGAAGGAGACACAATTGTAGCCGAGTGCCTTGATCTTCTGGAAGAGGTCGATGTATAAACTCGGCACTGGGAGACTGCGCGCAGTTAGTGTGAGTCGCTCTACATCAGTTAAACGCCCATGCAGGCTGTCACTGAGCTCCGTTTGCCATCAAACATTTGTTTGCAAACATTTGTTCGTTGCCAACTGAGAGGTTGGGGTGGGCCATTCTTGGGTGCTTACCGGTATGGGTGAACTTCTCCCGAATAGATAAATGTCCGTTTTCCATTAACGAAGATCGAATCCTTGTCCCAGGTAACAATGTCTTGTAGAACCTCTCTTTTGTACGGAGTGATCCATTGATCGGGTTGAAAAGCAACAGCTCTCGCCGCAGACTCAACTGCAAGACAGGAAAGCGCAAGCGCACTACCCAGCTTCAATATGCCCTTCATTGCGACTAACAAACAGACTATATTACAGTTATGCCATGAGCCGGGGAATCTTTGCATTTGTACACCTGGGAGTCGGCACCTTCACCGAGCCATTGGCCAATGAAAATACCCCCGTGCCTGACAATAAATACACGCCCACTATAGCAGTCCAATATCATCCGATCTCCGGAGTTGCGTCCATTTTCACCATGTCGAATCTGCACGCAAGACGCTGCCTGGCTTTGCACTGCAGCACAAGACCCGCAATGACACAAACGGCACACAATTCCACCAATATCGGCAGCTTTAGGCTCCCCGGATGTCCAGGGGATGACGCAGCCGGGAAATAGTGTAAATAAACGGCGAGCCGCTGCGCAATGCGGAATGTGGACGGGCGATCAGCGGGGTGTGGGGTATGGGTAAGTGCTTGTGCGATCTTGCGAAAGCTTGGAAACGGGGTGGACCGCTCCAAGTTGGGGAAGGCATCCGCTAGTATACGAATCCTGTCGGCTTTTCGCCGACTTGGCATGTCATTTTCTGGATACAAAGTAAGGTGAGCGGATGGCAATTGTACCGTTCACCGCAATGGACCGTTACCCGCGGCACTAGCTTAGACGGATCAGCCTCGGGTCATCTAAGCGAGGACATGTGACGTAAACTGCCTATTTGGGTAATGATGCAAAAGTGTCCAACGCTGTTGCATTCACCTTTGCGGACTCCCGCGCTAAAACAAGGGTCACGTTGCTTGCCACTGACGTAAGCCTCACGGACGACGCTAGCGAACAAGGTGAAGAAGACCGTGTTCGACATTGTCCGTAAACCTTCCTAAATAGGCAATATGATGACTGGGTCACGTGAAAGTCCCCCGAGTGCACGACTAAATTCACTGGCGCGGCCAATAGCAGGTGCATGTGTCGTCGCAACAATAAATGATCAGAAGATATGAGAAGTCAGTCTGGTATCCATTTCTCCAATTCTCATCTCGCCGAAATATCACGGCTAATCTGCCCTATCAAGCTTGCACTGCACTTCTAACAATGATATCAATATGCACGACCACTCATTCCTTCTTGCTGCACCTGACGTTCTCCCCACGCCTTTTCTCGCGCTTAGTATCCTATTCGTACGCGCTCAGATCCAGCGGTACACTGCTTCCTCGTCCAGCGCGGTACCGCTTCGCCCCCCCTGTGAACGGTCTTGGCGCAGGGAAGGAGTTTTCGGGCTGGAATCTCCAACGTAAGTCGTGTATGGGCACAATTTTACCCTTCTGTCCTGGTGAACCTGCACTTATCGTGCCAGATGGACTCCTCATGCCTGAACCACCGTTCGAAAGTGTGTACATGCTTGCGTCCATTGTCGATCGCGATGGCGCTTGGGATGCTGGTCGACTGGGCGGGGCACTCGGAGGCGGCGGGGGCGGTAGTATGGACGCTGCTGGAGGCGGAGGCGCTGGCGCTGAGCTAGGTGGCGGCGGTGGCGGCGCAGCAGGCGATGCACGACCTTGACCAAATGCGTTTCTCGCGGCCTGTTCTGCAAGAGACGGTATGTGTCCGTTCGTAGGTGGTGGGGGCGCAGGTGTTGAGGGTGACCGAGATCCCGAGCTTTCGTAGCGGTATGGATCGTAGTCATCGTCGTCTTCTTGTGGTCTACTCGGCGGCGCAGACGGTGGGGGAGGGGGAGTAGATCGCAAAGGAGCCCGGGGTGCTGCCGATGGAGGTGGCGGAGGGGGAGGGGGAGGTACAGCGCCAGGAGGTGGAGGCGGCGGTGCTGACGGTGTCGAGGAGGGAGGCGGAGGAGGAGGAGGCGCAGGCGGTGCGCCTCCTGGGATTGGCGGTGCTCGAGCGGGTGACGCTGATGGCGGTGGGGGAGCCATACCAGATGGCTTGCGAGACGACGGGGGTGGTATCGGTGGCTTCTTGCCGATCGGTGGAGGTGGTTTTGGCTTTGCGCTTATGCTCGAAGCCAACGAACCAACAGGTTTGAGCGGTGGTCTTCCGCCGGGCACTGGCGGCGCAGGAGGAGCGCCGCCTGGAGGAGGAGGCGGGGCGCCTGGCGGCTTTGGAGCTGCGGCTCGAGGTGGTGTGGGCGCTGAGTTTCGCGTCTCTGGGTCTGACATGTACGGCGATTTGGTGGCAGCACCTGTGTTCACGCCTCCGGCCTTCCTCAACTTAGGCATGCCCCCCGCAAACAAGCCGCCGAGCTGCGGCGGCGCAGCAATCCCACTGTCTCCTGCCGTATCGCTGTTGCTCCTCGCTCGGTTTCCTCCAGGAACGGGCGGCGCAAGGCCCCCGGGTGGTGCAGGCGGTCGTCCCATGCCTGGGACAGGTGGCGCGCCCCCAATCACTGGCGCCGCGTCCTTGACCTTCCCGACCTGAGGCGCCGACCGATCGTTCACTACCGTCTTCTTCAGCCTCGCGCCCTTGGTGATGTCGCCCAGCAGTGCTCCCTGTCCAGCGTTAGCGAACGCTCCGTGCCGTGCTCGTGCCGACACAGGCGGCCATGTCGCAGCTACAAGGCGTCGTGACATACTCTTCCTGCTCCAGACGGCGGCTTTGCTCCCGGCGCCTTCATTCCCGGCATCGGCGGCGGCGGCGGAGGTCCACCAGCGCCTCGTCCCATGGGCGGCATGGGCGGAGGGGGAGGTGGAGGGCCAGGCATCGTGGCGTGTGCGTCCTCCTGCTGGGCGGAGAGGGTTCTGGTCTGTCCCGTGGGTAGTGCAGGCAATTTGGAGAGTCCTGCTGCCTGGAGCCGCGTGTCGGTGTGTTGCGTGTGTCGTGTTCGCACGTTGGGTTCCAAGGCACAGTCGTCAGTCGAGCTCGCGCTAGCACCGGCCACAGCTTCGTCACTGCTCGGGACTCAGCCGCAGGCCTCACCACAGCTCGCGAACCACCATGAAGCCCGGGAGACTGCCACTGCGCGTCCCGTCGCGGCCAGTGTGCCAGCTGTGCGACTACATCCGCCAGCAGCCTGTGTCGCGGCGCGCATTCCTGGCTGCATCGACACTGAAGACGCCCGCCGCACCGAGGCGAACTGTGCGAACGCCGCCTGCCCTGCCCCGGATATCCGCGCGCCACATCCAGACCAACTGGCGCAATGTCGACCAGGCCGACTTTGCAGAGGCGCCGGTCAGCCCGCAGTCGATGTCAGACTCGATTGCTGCGGTGAAGACACAGCTCGCACAGGTCGAGGCGCAGATCAGGGCCATCTTCGACTCGCACCGGGTCGAGTCCGAAAACACCATATACGGCATTTTGGAAGGCATAGAGGCAATTGCACAGTCTGCGATAGCCATCCGCTCGCGCCAGCCACCGCCTGCAAAGACCACGATCAGGCAAAGTTCGGCTGGCGCGATATTGTCAGGGTTGAGCAGCGAAGAGACGCCCAAGCAGCAGAAGACGTACACAAAACCACTCGGTGTGAACGAGCTGCCAACACCAACCTACCTGTCGAAGCTCGCCGAGGGCCTGCTGAAGCACCCGACCGTCTTCATCGGACCCAATGTTCTGAAAATCTACGTCAACCTGCAGCGGTTGCTCAACCGCGCGCAAGCGATTCCCGAAATCCTCTATCTCTATGCCAACAAACCCATCCCGCGAGAAGGCTCCTCCCCGCCAAAGTTCTCAAACCCCTCGCCTAAATCTGCATCGCAGGCCGTCCCCGCCGATGTCGCCGAGCAGTCTCTCACAGCGGCCATCGAAGCCAAAGACATGTCGCTTGCCCTTGCCGTCATTGACCACACCTACCGCGCCCCTGCCTGGTCACGGCACCGCATGCTCACGAAGTTGGGTCTTCCCAGCGTACTGGGTGCCATGACTCCTCTCGCCATCTACATGATTGCCCAAGAAATGTCCGTGTACAGCGGCTACATCGATCCATGGACCTTCAAGATGTACGCCTTCGCCGGCATGAGCACATACGTCATGTGCACTGGTACACTTGGCTTCGTCGCACTGACTACCTATAACGATGACCACGACAGAGTCGTCTGGCGCCCTGGTGTGCCGCTCCTAGATCGCTACATCCGCGCTGATGAGCGCGCAGCTTTGGATCGCATAGCGTGTGCCTGGGGCTTCAAAGAGGTGTGGAAGCGCGGCGACGAGGAGGGCGACGAGTGGGAAGGCCTGAGGCAGCTGTGCTTGCTGCGAGGGATGTGGCTCGACAAACCCGATCTCATGCACGGCATGAATCCTGGAAGATAGGTGCGGTATGTGAGATGGAGTGTAGAGTTACTGTGTATACCAAGATGGGCTTGTCAAGGACGGCCACATCACTTTCAATCAAGCCAATTCGCTCTATGTACACATGAGCATATCTAGAAACAGGCTGACAGCCAAAGCACATGTTCAGAATCATCACAACGTATGCTTTGACATTTGACAGGCGAAGTGCCATGGTTGAAGTGTGGCGCCGTTGGTCGGTCCCGAGTGGCGCGCTCGGGCATTTCATTTCTGCGCAACCATAAAATCTTCGCACTTGCACTCTCGCATTGTGCGCCCAGATTTGTGCAGATATCCTTCTCGCTACGTGCAGTGGACAACCTTAGCCCAAGAAGCGCTGTCGTGTGTGTTTGCAGCTCCACATGGCTGCGACGCGCTTTTGAGCTACCCGACCCCACCACGTCACGGCTTAGTATAAGGTTTGTATAATTTGCCTGATTTCCATCAACCATACAATGGCACTTTGGCGGGTAAGTGCACAACATCACCTCAAATGAAGAACCACCAGCTAACAAGCAAAAAGAGTGGTTAACGCGTTGGCCTGCTACAGATCTTAGGATCCAAGTCAGCCAATTCCTTCGGGAGCGTGTGTTCGAATCACACAGGTGTCGCATCTAATTCTTTTTTCGCCCAGGTTTCGATCGTGGTGGATAGAGAATCTTGCTTTCTTTTTGGAAGACGATGGCGTTTGCGGTTTCAGTTGCTTTTCTCTTTAGACTCGCGTTAACGGCAGGCAAGTCGCAGAATGGTCTCCACGATGAAGGCGTGAATACGAATCAGCTCTATTGATCGTGTACGGCTCATTTGTCCATATCAAACATGGCGCATGGAGCCATATTCACTGATCGACTCTATTACAAGTATCAACCTGGACAAGGACCACTTGTTTTGATGTGATATAAGATTTTTAAGGGTACACGATGAACGATTTGGTTATAAGAGGAACAATCACCTTTTCAGTTGCATGTTAATAATTCTGTAAGTATAAGGTTGCTAGTCTGACCTTGCTAGATCGCAGAGAACGACAAACAAAACTCTGCCTAAATCCTGTTTGTGTTCATGTGAACTGCTGAATCTGTCACTACTAGAACCCTTGCATTTGAAGTCAGAAGGACTTAATGCGCATCCTCTCTAACGGTATTTCAAGACCGCTCCATTCTTGATAGTGAAAATGGGGCCATACAATTGGAGGTTGGTACCAAGTTGACAATCAATTCAACCCAACTCAACAATCGTCAGTGCGACTACTCGACACCATTTTACAGGTTGCAATAACGATGAAATGTGAAGAATGCCCCCGCAATGAACTCCAGATATGCTCAAAAGTATCCGTCACTTGTCCAGCCCTCTTGCCTTGACGAACTTGGCAATCTGATCCTTACACGTCTTATCTGTGTAGCTCTCCCAGACCTCGTACAGACTGATCAGCTCCTGTGTCGTTTCCACAACAGCCTCGATATCCACGTTGCTCTCTGCCAGCCAGTCCACTAGCTTCTGCACCCTGCTCTGGGCACCCGCTCCCCCGATACCCCTTGCGTTTCCCAATGCTTGGAGTGCGTTCGCCGTGCCTGCAGCGCTCATCTGCAGCCCGCCCTGTGTCGGCTTCAGCACCACAGCGAGGAACATGGCCGTGATGGCGATGACGTGTGGTGCGTGCAGCAAAGGTAGGTCGGTGAGATAGTGGTCATTAATGATGGACCAGGCAAGCGCATTTTCTTCCTGTGTGAGTTGGAACTGCGTCTGCAGCTCGTTGAGGCTGCGGTAGGGGTGGTGTAGGATGAGCTGTGAGTTCATCTCTGATATCAGGCTGAACTCGCATTCGCCGATCTTAGAGATGTCGTTGAAAGATGTGTCTGCTGAAGTTAGCTATGATATTGTGAAGATGTGAGGGACGCACCCCAGCAGTGTCGCGCCTCGGCCAGCACCATTCTGATATGCTGTGGACACTCTTCCATTTTGCACGCCAAGTAAAGAGCAGTCGCGAGGACTAGTGCTGGATTTGTCCTCCGGATTTCGACTTTGGCGTAGAAGCGCCGCACGTAGACCTGAGCTGATGCCAGGGCCTGCTGTCGGATGCCGAGCGGCCTGGCCATCTTCGACAGTTCTGTCTTGGTCAACAATGATACGGTCAAAGTAGCATCGACTCACGATGGTAGAAGTAGATGCTCAGATGGCGTCTGTCTGGCAGCGGGTACAGGTTGACCAAGTTGCGTTCCGCCTCTTCCATCTTCTTTCGCTCCAGTGCCAGCTGCTGCTTGGTGAAGGTCCAGAACCGCCGCTGGGTCGACTCCCAGTAATTGGATGCCATCTCTACAAAGCCACGGTATCAAACGATTGGTGTGTGCAGATTCGAATTTGACAGACGATCTACTGCTCTGGATGATGCAGGTCGTCAGCGACTTCCTGGTCTCTCTGAAGCTTGAGCCTCGAACATTTGATGCACGTCAACACATGTTGGCACCGTCAATAAGCAGTGGTGATTTTGCAGCAAGCCGTAGCAATCCTCACACGCAGGACTCCTTCACCGCAACAGCGTATGTGAAATGAGCTTGACGTTTGCACAGATCGCCGTCACACTCGAGGCGCGACGGTAGCCGCGAGGGCTGCGGAAATAGGAGCACCGCGACCAATGAGCGGGCGCCGAATCGGCGAGCTGCTTCACGCTCCGCACTAGGCTTTTCCTGGTTCAGCCCTCTGACTTCATACCGAATCCTATGAACCCGCTCCCCACGCTGCCATTCTTTCAGCCACCCCTTCCGCCCCCCGCTCACGGTCGAGAGCCGTCCCTCGTGCGTCGCGTCACAGCCATGATAGACCGAAGATAGCAAGATTACCATGGACGACACAAAGACAGCAAGCGTCGCCGACGCCAAAGTCGACGAGCTATGGGCGACGCTCGACCTGCGCAAGCAGGGCCAGCTGGATCTTGCCGGTCTGAAGAAGGGACTGCGCAAACTGGATCATCGTAGGCGCACTGGTCAGGGGCTGCGAGCTTTGCTGACCGACCCGACAGCCCTGAAGAACGCAGACGAGCTCCTCAATGAGGTCATGAAGGCTGTAGATGCAGATGGCAACGGCCGAATAACGTACAAGGGTGCGTTGTATACAGCGAACGTGTACGACACTGCTGACGACGCGCAGAATTCCGTACCTTTGTCGAAGAAACAGAAAAAGAGCTGCTAGCGCTCTTCCGCGGCATCGATAATAACGGCGACGGCAAGCTTTCCAAAGACGAGCTCCGCAACGCACTACGAAGTGCTGGTCTTGCGGTCCCGAACAACAAGCTCGACAACTTCTTCTCCGAGGTGGACACCAACGGAGACGGGCACATTAGTTTCGAGGAATGGCGGTATGAAAGCGCACATGTCTCCTCTCGCCCCCGCTGACTCGGATAGCGACTTCCTACTGTTCATACCGGCCAGCGCGCCAAACCTCCACGCTGTCATGTCGTACTTTAATGCAACATTGAAAGTCAACGCCGAGGGCGACGTCCTCGTGAGCGACGACACTATACACGGATTAGGTACTTCACAGCGTTTTCTTCAGTTCTTCCTTGGTTCCCTATTTCTAGTCGCGAAAACGCCGCCTTATGGCTTCACATCGGATCACGTCGTACCATTAGACATGGCGTCCGCTCCAACCTCCGCCATCTCGCAAGCACTCCCGCCACGTTTCGACGACGGGGAGGTTGATTCACCTCTTATCGAGTCGCAAAGGGGGATACTCATGAGCTTCGGAACCATGCTGATTGCTTGTGTTCCCAATCCAGGCTACTTCGTGGCGGGAGGCCTTGCAGGCATTGTATCTCGCACATCGACCGCTCCCCTCGACCGATTAAAAGTGTACCTCATCGCGCAAACCGGCGCAAAGAAAGAAGTATTGGCTGCCGCAAAGAATGGTAACATTCTGAAGGGCGTCGCACGCGCATGGGAGCCGCTTGTCGTAGCCTTCAAGGAATTATGGCACGCCGGCGGCATGCGCAGCCTTTACGCTGGTATGTATCCAAGACAAAGCTCGTGGCTTGGCTGACAGCACCAGGAAACGGCTTGAATGTCATCAAGGTGATGCCAGAGTCGGCTATCAAATTCGGTGCATATGAGGTACGCAGCATACAACATCTTCAGGGACACGCCTAACTCCAGAAGGCTACAAAACGGGCCTTTGCAAAGCTCGAAGGCCATAACGACCCGGCAATCATCCACTCCTGGTCCAAATTTGCTGCTGGTGGAGTCGCAGGTATGATCTCGCAATTCGCGGTCTACCCCATCGACACCCTCAAGTTGTAAGTCTGCACCGTACCACATGAGTGAGACAAACATGCTCACCAGCATAGTCGAATGCAATGCGAGACGGTTGCCGGTGGGCTGCACGGAAACCGCCTCATCTGGGCTACGGCCAAGAAGATGTGGCAGAGTGGAGGCATCGTTGCCTGCTATCGCGGACTACCAATGGGCCTCTTTGGAATCTTCCCCTACGCAGCACTCGACCTGGGCACGTTTGAGTACCTCAAAGGGTATGTCGCAGCACGCAATGCGAAACGACTAGGATGCCACGAGTCCGACGCCGAACCAGGAGGTTTCATGACGGCGGCCATCGGAGGTTTCTCTGGTGCGTTCGGAGCCAGTGCCGTATACCCGCTCAATGTGCTGCGGACTCGACTGCAGAGCCAGGGGACTGTCCTGCACCCCAAGACGTACACCGGAATCGTAGACGTGACGCGGCAGACGATCCAGGGCGAGGGCTTGCGCGGACTGTTCAGAGGCCTGACGCCTAACCTGCTCAAGGTTGTTCCAGCCGTGTCGATCACGTATGTGGTCTACGACAAGTCGAAGAAGATGCTAGACTTGCCTTGATGACAGGAAGACTGCTTCGGACGGCAGCAATTCCTCTGACTACTTTCGCTCACCGTCGGACCGGTGTGAGAGCGTTTCATTTGCATATCCATACAGAGATACCCTTCGTCTCGTGCTGCCTCTGAGCAGACGAGCCACCTTGGTGTTGGTTCATTTTAGCGACGGCCTGTCCCCGATCTTACCACTGCATAGAACGGCGTTTGGGACCTGTGATGTTCTTCGGGTGAGATCGCTTTTGCGACTCAGATGGCACTGTGTGGCTGAGACGGCTGATCTGTAGCATGTAGTGTATCCTAGCAGTGGCAACAAGATTTGGCACTGAACGTATGCTTGGGAGAGCAGCAGTAGTTTGTTTGTATCATCTTGTGATTGTACTCGGCTGTGCTGAATAGCCCGTTCTGATCTCGCGCCAAGAACGAGTTTCTAGCTGCCATTAAACCTGCGAAACCAAACCGCGCCGTAACACCGTATATTCCAATCCAACGCCCACTGGCCACGCTCTCATTTCGTGATGATGATGACCAGCACCAGGATGACGATCAGGGCGATGATGACGGTCAGGCTCCAGTTCTCACGCGCCTTTCGGCTGAAGCGGTCCAGCCGCCCCCTCGCCCGGCGAAACTGGGCGTCGTGGCGGTCGACGCCCTCCTCGACCTCGTCCAGCAGCATGACCTGGCCGTCGAGCTCGTCGCCGATCTGCATGCTCAGCTCGCGCTGGCGGCCGATGGAGGCGCTCAGGGTGTCGAGCTGGTCGTCCTGGTCGCGCAGGACCTGGCTGTGATACTCGTGGATCTGCTGGTTGTCGAGGTGCGAGTGGTCGGGGGCGGCGTCCGGGTCGTGGGACGGGTCGTCCCGGTAGGGCTGGTTGAAGAGGGCCGAGCGGTCGGCGTCGGCGCTGGGGTCGTCGCTGTCGCGGAAGCGCACGCTCTTCGCGGCATGGCGCGGGCGGGCGGCGGCGGCGGCGAAGTCGTCGGAGAGGGCGGGGTCGTTGGGCTGGGCGAGCGCGGGCGCAGCAGTGGAGGCGGACGCGGCGGACGCGAACTGGGCGGAGAGCTCGGCGAGCTGGGTGCGCAGGCGCGGCAGCTGCGAGGTGATGGATCTGGCCGTGTCAGCGCGGGCGGGCGGGCAGGCGGGCAGGCGACGCACTCGTCGGCCGTGTCGGCGACCTGCGACTCCAGGGCGTCGATGCCGGAGCGCAGCTGCTCCAGCGACCGCGCGGTCTGGCTGTCCTGGGCGTGGGCGGGCAGGCCCAGCGACACGGCGCGCTGGCGCTCCAGCAGCGACAGCTTGACGTGGTCGGCGAGCAGGAACAGCTGCGGCGGGTTGGTGGCCATCGGGGCGGGCGGTGCTTGGTGGCCGTGAGGCGTGAGGGCGTCCGCGGTGGTTGCGGCGTTGCGGCGTTGCGGCTGCGACGCCCAGAGCCGGGGCCGCGGACCAGCGCGCCGGAGGGAGCTGTCTCGGTGCTGTACCACGCAGGCGCACCCGACGCTGCACAGGCTCCCTTTCTGCATGCCTCCATTCCTGCCCGCCCGCGTATAAACCCCGCCGCTCGCCGCTCGCTCGCGGGCGCTGCGACTGCTCGCCTGCTCGCGCGGCCACCACCACGTCTCCGCCCCCGCCGCCATGTCGTCGCCGTCGCCCATCCCGCCGCCCAACGACCGGCGCAGCTCGCGCGCCTCGACGCACGCGAGCCCGCCCAACGGACCCGACGCGCTGTCAGAGCCGTCGGAATTGCGCGTGGTCGGTGGTCCTCCCAGCAGTCCCTCGCCTCTGGCGCTGCGCGCATCCCACTCACCGTCGTCGAAGCCCCGCAAGACCAAGTGCCTCAAGGCGCCGCCCGACATGGCCGCCCTCGAGTACACGGCCGCCCCCGACCCCAACCTCGTGTGCCTGATCTGCCACGCCCCCTTCGACCGCCCCGTCCAGCTGCCCTGCGAGCACTACTTCTGCCGCGAGTGCCTCGAGCACGCCTGGGCCCCGCAGCCCGCCAGCCGCCGCTCGTGTCCCACCTGCCGCCGCCCGGCCGACGACGCCGACCTGCGCCCCGTCCCCAAGATCGTCGAGACCATGCTGGACGAGCTGGTCGTGCGCTGCCCCAACACCCGCACCGGCTGCGGCTGGGCCGATCACCGCGCCAACGTGCACGACCACGTCATGCTGTACTGCGAGCACACCCCCGTCGAGTGCCCGGCCGCCGACTGCCGCCTCTACACCACCCAGAAGGACTTCCACAAGGGCTGTCTGCACTACACCGTTGCCTGCGACGACTGCCACGTCTCGCTGATGAAGAAAGACCTCGAGGTAAGTTGCCGCGCCGGCGCCGCCCCCAGCCCTTGCTAAGCGTTGCCAGGAACACCAGCGAAATTTGTGTCTCAACCGCACCACGTCGTGCGCCCTTTGTGAAGCCGTCCTGCTGCGTCTCGACCTCAAGACCCACATCAACAACGTGTGTCCGAAACATGTCATTTCCTGCCAGGGTGCCATCGTCGGTTGCAAGTTCCGGTCTGAGCGCGCCGACGTGATACAGCATGAGATGGCATGCGCTATGGCAACAATGGCGCCGCACTTCCGGGACCAGCAGGCCCGCCTTGAGCGCCACGAAGCGCGCATGGAGCCGATGGCCAGGAAGGTTGGCATTTTGGAAGACGGCCTTGCCAACATCACAAACATGCTGTACCCGTCCAACGCCAACGATGCATCCTTCCCGGTCGCCGACCATCTAGATCCCAACGATGGCACAGCCGACTTCCGCCTGCCACCAGCTTCGTTTGCACACGCCCAGGGCAACGACAACTCCAACGAGCCACCTTTTGATTCACAGGTGCACCATCTTCTCACGCTGCACGAGAACCTGCGCGACGAAGTGTCTCGCATCTCTACTACGCTGACCGAAGTCGAAGGCCGCACCAACATGATGATCATCAATGAAAGCCAACGCAACAAGGACGAGATGCTGCACACAAACGCCGCCATCAACAACATGCGCATGCAGCTGCACTGGCTGATGAGCGCCACCATACAACAGCGAACCACCTCTGCATCGTCATCGACATCCAGACCTTCTGCAAGCACAAGCGTTGGTTCCACAACCCGCAGCGCGACGCAAGGGCCGAGCTCCCGGCCGGGCCCTAGTGGAACGTTACCCGCACCCTACCGGAGGTTGAGTGACTCCAACAGGCAGGACACCAAGCTGTGATTTTCACCATGGTGTGTGTCCTCAACACGATTTACGAAAAGTTTTCACCGGCGTCCAGAATTGCATTTTATCCTCGGCGCTCCTGCCACGTGCGTACAGGAGTTCGAAACGGTTATAGACTCGGATATAGATACCCTTTACCAGCAACGCTGCAGAGTTGTAAAACCCTGTCCACCATGTTTGTTAGATGGCATACGGTGCGCAAAACGGTCGCGGGGAAAAGTGCTTTACCAGTCGAAAGCATAAATACCTTGCAGCCCAATACAAGCAATATTTTTATTTGGTGGCTTGCTTTGGATCATATACGTGAATGTTTTTTCTAATGTACTGGTCCACTATGCTCGTGATCGTTCAATCTATCAGATTAGATTTCCTTATCACCCAGAGAGCTCCGACGATGTAGGCCTCGTTCATGTGTAGTCTAGGATGGTCTATCGGAGGTTTTATCGGTGACGTATTTGATTCGTCGCGTTCCTGCAGTCAGCGCCGCGTCAAAAGTTAATCGTCCACATGCATAATCTGATCAAACCACTTCACCTCATTTCGATTTTCATTTCCTAGATGTCTGGTAACACTAACAGCGATATTCTCATTGTACGTCTTGATCAAGACTCAAAGGTGTGGACATGACGTAATTAACACCACCAGGCCGGCGCAATTGCAGCGTTTACTGTTGATCTGCTTGTATACCCACTCGATACACTCAAAACACGGTTCCAGTCCCCAGACTATGCACGGCTGTACACCAATTCGGCAACGGGGAAGCCAAATCCCGCGCTGTTCCGGGGCATGTACCAGGGAATTGGCAGCGTGATCATCGCCACATTACCATCATGTGAGGAATCCATTTCTTGGTGAACAAAGAAGAGTGACCAGGGGCTTGAGGGAAGAGCTGCAATTGACCCAAGAACAAACGCTGACGGCCAACAGCGGGAGCATTTTTCACCACATACGAGCGTACCAAATCACTCTTCACCGACCTGAACTCCACATCCTCACACCCCGATGGCTTCCTCCCCACACCCGTCATCCACGCAGGAGCCTCATCTCTAGCCGAGCTCGTCTCGTGCGCGATCCTCACCCCCGCAGAAGTCATCAAGCAGAACGCGCAAATGGTCTCCTCGGACCGCTCCTCCACCAACGCCACCCTCCAGACCCTGCAGAAATTCCGCTCGAACCCGCTCGCCCTGTGGCGCGGCTACGCGTCCCTCGCCGGCCGCAACCTGCCCTTCACCGCCATGCAGTTCCCCATGTTCGAGCGCCTCAAGCAGAGCATCAAGCAGTACCGCGACGCCAGGGGGCTGACGACCGGCTCGATTGTCGAGAGCGGGACGATCACCGCGGTCAGTGCGGGCACCGCGGGCTCAATCGCGGCTGTTATCACGACGCCCGTGGACGTGCTGAAGACGCGGATCATGCTGAGTGCGGGCGAGGGCGAGGCGGCGTCTGGGGCGGCGCAGACGAGCGGGAAGACCGGGTTGGTCGATGCGCTGGGGAAGTCTGTGCAGAAGGCGCGGGGGAGCCAGAAGGGGACGTGGCAGATCGCGCAGGAGATTCTGCAGGAGCAGGGGTACAAGGGGCTGTGGAGGGGCGGGGCGTTGAGGGCTGTGTGGACGTTTGTCGGCGCGGGGTTGTACCTTGGGGCGTATGAGAGCGGGAGAGTGTATCTGGCTGCGCGCAGGGGGGAGCATGTGGATGAAGCGGACTTGCTGTAGGATGTTCGCTGGGAAACACTGCGGGCTTTTCAGTGTACAACGGATGCATGATCGCGACTATGCTATCTCGTAGATTTATGCATCACTCGAACGAGTCTTATCCTTACGTGGGCGCATCACTCAGGATAACTGATGGGCACTGGAATGGACTAGCAGCGATATCACGCTCCGCCTCGACACTACAACTCGCGGTCTCCTCCCTCAGTGTACCTCGTTGGCCAATAGTAACGCGATGCTACAGACATATAGTACAAAGGAAGTCTGAGCGATCTGATCTTGCCTCAGAATGAGATCGCGAAAGTCACATTCAGAGGCGAAAAGCAACCTCGCCTATCCTGCAGAAGTCGAATTCTCTAAAGACGAGGGCAATTTACATTTCAAAGGAGGGTATGCTGCGAACAATCAACGTCACAGAAGATTCAGACGACACGGTAGACTTCCATATCACGAACCCAAAAGCACGAGAAGCTTAACGAATGGCATTTGACCCATCTCCCCAGGTCCCAGACTGAACAACGAACCCCTAAACGAGTGACCGCGCCGCGCCAGACCGAACGACTCCCAGCACCTCTCCCCATGCCTTCTCGTCCGCACACACCCCAGAGCGAGCAACCGGACCTCTACCATCCAGCGGCGTCTCCTCACCCGCGATACGACGCAATAGCATTCGCACTCGCCCCCCCCAAAATGATAGCACTTCCCGAGCACATAATCATTCGACCCCGAATCCACATACCCCTTGCCAATCGCATCCGGCAAGCTGCCGCAATTGTTCGGGGCGAAGAAGTACGCGCGCTGCGCGCGGCCGCCCCAGGTGCGGATGCGGAAGCTCTTGAACCCCCGTGGCCAGGTCGCGCACGTGTTGTCCCAGGTGTTGACGCGGGTTTGCACGGCGGTGCTGCAGGACTGCGTGCTGTAGGTGTCGATTACGAAGGCGGTGCTGGGGGTGAGGGTGGCGAGGAGGGCTAGGAGGGAGGGGGTGGAGATATGCATTTTGAAGGTGGGTTGGTGTGGTGTTTGGTGCGGTGTTTGGTGCGGGTTGTTAGGGTTCGAGGGTGGTGTTTTGGGTGTGGATTGGTAGTGAGGATGGGCTGTGTGGTTTTGGAAGAGAAAGAGGGGGGATTTATACTTGGGTTGCCATGGCTCGTACCACTGATTTCTTTGCGTCTTCAGACGTAAAACTCGGCGGTCGATGCTAAAAAAGCCCAACTCTTGGATGAGTAACCGTGGTGGGCGAAGAGTAAGGGCAGGTGAAGACATTAGGCTACACCAATGACGCTGACTTGCTACACAGCTTGGTCGTCAAGCCTCGTCTGACTGTGCCCATTCCAGTAGTCCGCAGATTTCTGTTGAAGTATTTCTCAAAAGGGCATATACTCTGTGTACTACCTAAGTTACTTGAGACACCCGACCATCTGATCTGACATCACGTGTGGCCATGTTACAATGAGAGCATCTTCATTCGTCAGCCTCCTCGCCGCTATCAAAGAGACGAGTTGTGTACGACTACATCAAACCAGCCCAGTACGTGCAGCTCAGAATCGCATCTTCGCGGAGCCCTTCGCCGGCCTGATACTCTGGGGATTGTGGAACACATCATTGGGGTCGACCTGTGCTTTGATGCTCTCCAGTCTCGCCACATTCCCTCCCCAGTACAGACTCGCGCTGTTCTGTCCAAGCGCTGGATCGACGTATCCAGCATACGCTCCCTCGTCGTGCTCCGGCAGCGCATCAAGCACAGCATCATTGACGCCCGTCAGGAAAGCTCTCGTCTTATCCCCGATCTTGCCAAACAGATTGACGGCGTATGCCTGGTGGTAGAACAGTGCGTTTCGATGGCCGTACGCGGTAGCGTTCGGTGCAACATCGTTGATGGCGCCGCCCTCGAGATCCCAGATGATGAACCAGATGGCGCCGCCTTTGTCCGCGCCGTCGATGTAGTCAAAGAGCTTGTCCACGCCGTCGTCTGAGATGATATCCTTGTCTGTGTACGCGAGCGACTTGGCGTAGAAGTTGCTGGGGATGCCGCCGACAATATCGAGCGCAACATCCTCGGCCCAGTGGCCAACAACCCCAAGCCAGTCCTTCAGTTCAATGACGGAGTCGTCGCTGTTGGGAAGTCGCGCGGAGATGTTGAGGCTGTCGTACTCTTGCTGTGACCCGAAGAAGGTCCCAGTCACGATGGCGCCGAACTGCTCAGTGAGAATGAATTGGCTTGCGAATTTACGGGAGAGAGCAGGGTCAGAGATAAGCGCTTGCCACTTCTTGAACGCTTGTGCATTATCCGCGCTGGATCCACCCTGGATGTTGTAGGTGTAGAGTACCGCTTCCGAGGGCTCGGCCTGGGTGCGTACTTTGAACTCGGTGACGATGCCAAAGCCGGCCGCGGCGCCCTTCACGGCGAACAAGATGTCAGGATTCTCACTCTCTGATGCTCGAACGACCGTAGAGTTGGCGAGGACGACTTCGACCTCCTCGACATGGTCGAGTGCTGATCCCCACATGCGACTGCTTGGGCCAAGTCCACCGATGGTTGCATGTCCCCCAATACCGACTTGTGGGCATGTGCCATGCGCCATAGCGCGTTTCCCATTGTCGTGCAGCCGTTCAGTGACATCGCCGAGTAGAGTACCGCCTCCGATTGTGGCCTGCCATGTTGACTCGTCCATGGAGAACTGCTGGAAGTGTTTCATGTCGACCACGATGGTGTTATCCTGTCCGCCGATGCCTGTACGTATTAGTCCATGAAGTCTTTGACCTTTTGTAAACAAAAATACCATAGTTCGCATACGAATGTCCACCGCAACGGGGTTGCACCTTGAACTTATTGTCGACGGCGCATTTCACGATCGCAGAGATGTGCTCGGTGGTCTCTGGATAAGTAACAGCTGCAGGCGTGACTGCTATACCAAGATTGTACGGCTTGACATGTAAAAGTTGGAAAAGTGGCGTGCCCTTTAGGGCGAGGAGGTCATTGTTTCCTCCTACAGCGCTCTTCAGGCATTTCTGCACCGGCGAGCTCGATGTGTTGCCCATAATAGGTTTAGTGAAGCGAGTGTAGGATTTTGATAGATAGGGTAAAAGAGAAGAACTAGAAGTAAAGGTCCTTGTGCTTGATCTTAGAGCATGTATACACCAAGTTTGGGTAGTACGTGCGCCGAGCGAAGGATTGCAGGGTCTACCAAAGAAGCCGCCAATGGGGGAAGGTGCACACTTGGTGCGGGTGAAGCCCTAAGCGCAGGCGAACGGGCTGCATGGATGTAAACAAGGAATCAAACGTCCATCGACGCTGTTGGCTCGACGTTGTGGCGAGACAACACACAAGCAGGGGTCCGTCAAATCGAGGCTGTGCTCACAGAGTACACGAACAGTGTGAATGGGCGCGTTGCGCGCTCAATGAAACACTGCGCATGAGGGGTAATTTTCTGTTGTTTGCGAGCTCTGTTAAGAGTTTGATGAACACATGGACAAAAAGTTGTCCTCAAGCTCTATTTGGGAGCAATGCCGGCATTCCACAGTATGTGTGAGCCCGACGCTGACCCTTCTGTAGTGTAACATCCACAAGCGAGGCCCTGTAGTCCTCTCGGTATCACACTGTACCGTGTGTCGGCGTTGACAACTGTTGGTAGTAACCATGCATCGAGGAAGCTATGTTTTAGATGCCTAGATAAGAGGGATCTCGTGATGGCCTGACGTCATCGCACTCAACCTTTACCACCTTTCCCGATTGTCGGAGTATACCTTGAGTGGCACGCTGGCTTAATGCGAGGTGTAGCATGTCCAACTGCGTGAACGACTTGATGTTGGGGGCGTGGCTAAGGCGTGCTCTAAGCCAACAGTACGCGTGCGCTAATGGAGCGGGGTGGTGCTGATTCAAGTGTACTTAGCTTGTACCCCACCAAGCTTTCCTATTCGCCTCGTTAATAATTTTCGGATGCTTCTCGTCGAATCTCGACACCGGTCCCTAACTTCCGAGCTTTATCAGCGTCCAGAACGCTGCCTCGATGTCACCAGGCCATCATTTGCGCACTCAATCCTCAATGTTTGCCTGTGACTCATCATCGAATGTCACTTTATTGACAGCATAAGCATTCTCGTTACTCTTTGCAGCAAGAAAACAAACTATCTACAACCCGAGCGCATATCCAACACAACCATGCCGCTCGAGATCCACCCTCTCCGCACCATAGATTCATTGTCGTGGAACCGCACACGTGCACTTGCATACTATGGGCCAACACACGATTTACTCCATAATGGCCCTGTGAGCGAAACGTCCATACGCGGACTAGCTCGGGACCGCGAGCGTGAGATAGGCAACCCCAACGTCTGGCATTGGAAGATCGTCGACACAGAACTCGCTCCAAGCGAGGACGACCCCAAGGACAACGGCGGTCGGACCATCTCAATCGCAGTGTGGAAGCTCATGAACGTCGCAAGCGATGATGTACATCGACACACTCCCAACAAGGCAAATGAAGGAAAGAGCCTTCGAGCAGCGGAGAAAGAAGCGCCCACTGAGCACGCATCTGTCCCCGCTGAGATCATGCGAACTTCGGATAGCTCGTTTCTCCCTCCTGAATTGCGCCTTGACGCTCTAATGTCTCTTTTTGACCCGCTCGATGCAGCACGCGACGAGATCATGGGCACAGAAAAGCCCTATTTCATGCTGAACAGCTTAGCCACGCACCCTGATCATCATCGACGTGGAGCTGCAAAGCTGCTGCTAGATTGGGGGATAAAGAAGGCTGACGATGAGGGCTTGGTCCTCTATCTGGACGCTACTGAGCTGGCTAGGCCGATATATGCAAAGAGGGGCTTCGAATTGAAGAGAACTGTAGAGTGGGACAGGAAAGTGTGGGGAGGGGAAGGAGTAGATGTGCACTATTGTATGGTTAGGCTCCCACACAGTGGGCAAAAGAAATGAATTTGCCAGTAGACATCCTCAAGAGCTAAATTAAGCTCATGAGCGTGCATGCATGATCCACTAGTGTACCATTACCTCACATCGACCCAAGTCGCAACTTTGTTTCCCACATTGATTTACCCCATTTCATCAGTTCCAGACCGTCCATGGATACTAACTGCGTCAAGGAACCATGATTGTATGGATCCAGAGAAGGTTGCTCAGCCCAAGTACATATTCTTCTTCCGAGAATTGTACCTCCATAATGCGACGTGCTCGGGCTGCCAGACTGAAGCCGACCTTGCGGTAGATTCTGACCTGTTGCGCCTGGAATGAGTTCGCAAGACGTACGTCCACAATGTAGAAGACTCGATTTGCCTCTTCACAAGTTCGCTCGTCATCTCGCAAGACACGCATACCAGCCACGTATCTGTTACCAAGTTCTTTCTTGTGCTGTATCAAGAGACACCCAATTGTCGCGCTGATAGATGAACCTGAGCAAGTCACTAAGTTAGAGATCTTTCGAAGTGAAGCAGCTGTCCCATAAGTGCAACGCTCTGCGTTGACTCGATAGGAAATTAGTGACCCGATCGCGGCTCCAGCTACTCTTCACTAATGTCTTTCACCGCTCGCGCGATGACATAATCTATTTGCGGATTCTGTATGATGTAATTGTTGATGTTGTTGACGTGCGTCCCGACTGCACTGTAAAGGGACGTTCAATACCCCTTATAAAGATTGGAAAGGTTGTACAGTTTGGAAAGAAGATCTGACGTAGGTCTCTATCCCCATATGCGTTCAGTGGAGATATCTGGACACAAAAGGGCGATGCCAACGATCGCTTTGTAGCAGATTAGCTATTTTGAAGCCACCCAAAAGTCCGCGAGAATCTGCTTCCACCTTAAGCGTTCATCGAAGAGAAGCGTGAAGCGTCAGTGGCCTGTCTAAATGATGTTAGGTTTTGGAGAGTCAGTAAGTCTCTTTGAAAGGACACTTGTATGACATATACATTCGTTCACTACACATGACTGGGCGAGAAATTCCTAGTAGCGGGAGACAAAGTGGTGGTAAATCAGGGTATTTGCGGAACGCGCGCGGTAGTGTCTTGCCGAACCACCAAGAAGCTGAGGTAAAGGTAGTGCTCCCAGCATGTATAGTGTATGCTACTACACAGCCTCTGGGTTACCGTCAGCACAAGAAGCGTAATTACATGTAATTGCACGTTTCTTTCACGAGAAAGGTCCCATGCTTCCAATGATAAGATGCATTGCACGACATACGTCTATGAAGCTCTATTTCATAAATTCAATCTCTACAGAATTGCCTTCTAATCATAGCTTTGTTTGACTGTTCCCGTGAATTTCAGTCGAAAAGTCTGATCCGCGGTCGTTCACTTGCCCACCAACACCCGGCTCAGCCACATCCTCCATAATCAGAATCTCAGTTGTCTCAAGAATACTGAACTGATTCTTCTTCTTGAGCTGCTTTCTGCTTGATTCAGTCAGATGCGAGCTGCCAATTCCATGACTGTTCCGCGTTTCGTAGTGTGACGCCACGCCGTAAGCCCTGTAGAATGGATTGATGATCTTATGGATGGCGTGGAATGCGGGGCGCATGACGACCAATGTTGCGACCAGTATGCCAGTATGCATCTCGATGATCCCCAACACATTGGGGAAGATGTGCGCGTACTGGGGCTCGGTTTTGACAAGGGGATTCGGGTAGAACATTATGACGAACCGAGTGATGGTCAAACCAGTATGGACAAGTCCCAAGAGAATCAACCCGATGAGTTGCTTAACCTCCGGACGATGTTTCTTGAGTTTGGCGAGAGCTGGAATGGGAATAGCAATCACCAAGACACTGGTGACCAGATTGAATACTGCAGTGCTCATGCGAAACGCTACCAGATCGACGCAGGTACCGCCCACCTTCTTGTTCCAGGCCTTGCTGATAGGCGTACACTGGAATATACTGACAAGGAATGCTGAAGAGTAGGCCCCCACGATGAGGCAAATTGTCATCCGTATAGCAAGTCTGGTGATCCGTATTATGCGATCAGTCGAGGTAGAACACATATTCCGATATAACAAGCAAAGCGAAAGCTTGCAGAGTGGTGTTGTGAGCTTGAAGATGATTTGGTTAATGTACGATAATTTTACAGGCCATGTGGAGCTCTGCAAATGGTCTGGTATGTCCGCTTTTGCTTTTCCGTAGTCGAATTCAGCAACAAGGATGATCTGGATGGCGCTCTGGAATATGCCACATATCTGCCGAACGTGTAAGCAGGGATCCAGACTTCTTCATGAGGGAGCATACCATAGCGGCGACTAAGCAGGTATCCGAGACATCGTATTTTCTCCTCTGGATCCTGAATCCTAAGCGTATTGACAGTGTAGCTAGAGCTACGGTCCCAAATACGAGAGTCACAATAACAAGCTGATGGCCTATAGGCTCAAGCTCCGACATTGTGATTGAGGCCGGAGCGTCAATATATCTGTAGGTTCGCACTCCAGGGAGATGATATACCTGATTGCTGTGTAAATAATCTGTCGGGTGGACTGTTCGGCGCGATCCATATATTAGACCGCCTGTCGCGCCTGTCGAAGAGGTTGAATCCTTCGTTCTAGATCATGTTCGTGAGCAACCCGAGCTATTGCTGTACTTCAGAACCTTTGACGTGAATCTGTACAACGGACGATAGATCGTGCAGCGCCACATGCCGCGACGTGCAGCGGGCGATTGGACAAACGTATGTCTCCAGCGCTTTGCAATACACGTGTATTTATATTTCTCGATGTGTGAAATCGTTCATTGCCCTCAAGTGAATGTGTGCCACTCATTTGTCGACTTACAGCACCATCTCATGGCCTTCGCTGATGGCCCCGCGATGACAGATCATGTCAGCCATGTGCCACGAACGCTGTCAGACTCGTATGATCCTACCTTATCTTGCCGCTGCTCCCTTACCTCTCCAATCGACCCTACATTACCAGCAGCAGCTCAATGCATGTCATGCACGTTGGGGCCTTTCCAACACACTCAAATTGTAACCGGGTAGAGTTGAAAACACCCGCCATTTACGCTTACCTATGTACCGGTGACCCGGTTCCCCACGAGCCTGGCGGTAAGACAGATCCATGCATATGCAGCTTCCTCCCTAGGCCGGAATCCCGCTGGAAGGAAGATTGCAGACGTTCGAGCCTTGTCAATTCTGGTCGCCAACCTCAACCTGGCAATGAAGTGAAGCAAACACATATCTGGAGGCTGAATCATAGCTGCAGAGTGCAGAGCTTTGAGCATCTCTTGCTGAAGCCGTCGACAGCTGTGGTGCGTTCAGCCTACGTCATCCTGAACCCTGCCAGATTTCGGCACGCCGACGGATCATGCATCTTGCTAAATGCCAACTGCAGCTAGCAACGACCCGTGCTGTCACTCGAACGCTCATCAACATGTACGTGTTTTCGGTGGTGATGCATCAGCCGAGAGGGTACGCAATCTCTATGCAGGCGGACCAACGGCTGCGAAGGATCCCGTTCAATCTCGGATCCTTCAAGCCAAGCAGCCGACAAAACTCCATCAGCAGCGATGATCCGCTTCGCCAATTTCTCCGATGGAGGATTTGGTAGGAAATTGCGATTAGTTTTGCGGCGCGGTTACATTTCCGTTCCCCGCTCATCCCGCGACGTGGGTGGCTGTACCACTGTGCCACAAGCAACAAAGCAACATCACAGGAGTATGCCTGCAAAGCGCAGGCGCGATCGTGCTTCCTACACCTCACCTTGTCTCTAATTCATAAGCCTGCCTGTCAATTGATACTATCCGAGGGCGGCTCAGAGCCTACCAGCCATCATGCTCGCAGCTTTGGTCTCCTTGTCGGTCTTTCTGCTTTCGACCCCTATTGCAGCATCCTCCACCTTCGAGAAGAAATGCCTTTCGTTTGAACCCGAGAACCTTGTCCCTGGAGCAAGCCGCCGCGTTCTTGAGTATGTCGCTGCAAACACGACGCTAAAATTCCCGGACAATGTTGCTGCCTGCAATCGTGGATCTCAGGTTGTACCGGCCAACATCTGCCGCGTGAGTCTGTCGATCAAGACTTCTGAACAATCGAACATCACGTTCGAAGCTTGGTTGCCGGAGACGTGGTCGGGCCGCTTTCTCGCAACAGGGAACGGAGGTATCGACGGATGTGTGTATTATATTATTGTGAAACCAGCATACTGTCCATACTGACAATGCTAGGCATCAAGTACGAAGACTTGGCCTACACCTCTTCCAACGGCTTTGCAGCTGTCGGCTCGAATAACGGCAAGAACGGTACAAACCTTGTTGATGTTTACTACAGACATTGTGGCGCTAATTACAGTATCAGGCACGGATGGTTTGCCCTTCTTCAACAACGCCGAGACGGTGATTGATTTCGCTTGGAGATCGTAGGTCATATCCGGTGTATCATTGCCGCATGAGTACTGATCCAAAATTTGCAGACTCCATACAAGTGCTGATGCCGGCAAGTCGCTCGCAAAGTCGTTCTATGGCAAGTCACACTCGAAGTCTTACTATCTAGGCTGCTCTTTAGGCGGACGACAGGGCATAGGCAGCGCTGAGAAGTTTCCTGGTGACTTTGATGGCATTGTTGCAGGAGCACCAGCTGTTGACTTCAACGATCTGGTGTCATGGAGAGCCCGTTTCTTCACCATCACTGGCGCCATTGGCTCCCCGGATTTCATACCAGCAACGGCTTGGAAAACCTGGATCCACGACGAGGTGCTGAGGCAGTGCGATACAATTGACAAAGCGAACGACGGTATTATCGAGGACCCAACCTTGTGCAAATTCAACCCATCGAAATTGCTCTGCAATGGGAATTCTACCGCCGACTGTCTGAACAATGCTCAAGTTGAGCAACTCAAGACAATCTTCAGCGACTACAAATATCCAAACGGTCAACTGATCTTCCCAGCCATGCAACCAGGGAGCGAAGTTGGCGCGGTCGAACGACTGTACGCTGGAGCACCATTTGTTTATTCTGCGGACTGGTTCAAATATGTCGTCTACAACGACCCATCTTGGAACGCATCCACTTACGACTATGAGGATGCCCGAGCGGCAGCACGACTCAATCCAGGTGACATCAGAACCTACCCCACCAGCCTCCCGAGGTTCGAACGACGAGGAGGCAAGATCCTGACGTACCACGGCCAGCAAGACAACCAGATCACCACGTTCAACACGATACGCTGGTACAACGACCTGAAGGGCTACCGGAGCACGGCATCTATGGACCGCTGGATCCGGTTTTTCCGTGTCTCTGGGATGAACCACTGCAACTCGGGGCCCGGTGCGTGGGTCCTGGGCCAGGGAGGCAATGCGGCTGCGGCTGGCATACCGTTCGAGAGGCAAAAGAACGTTCTCCGCGCGATAGTGGACTGGGTCGAGCAGGGTGCGGCGCCGTCGCACATCGAGGGTACCAAGTTCATCAACGACACTGTGTCGCTTGGCGTCGACTTCACAAGGCGGCACTGCAAGTATCCACAACGGAATACGCTCGTTGGGAGCGACTTCAAGGACCCGGAAAGCTGGAAGTGCGTCTGAGGGTGACATTGTAAGATTCCCGAGTGAAGTAGAAAACCGCAGGCAGCAACGCCGCTAAACCTTGGGTGTTCGATCACTGTGTCGAGGCTGGTAGCCAACCGTTCATCAAACCCCACACGGCGTTGTCTATTGGGAGAACGGTATATGTCACTTTATAGCTATTAATACAAGAGCCAAATACAACGCCTGGTCCCAGATCGGCACTAAAATCTCACGAATACGCCAGAGACAACCTCATTAATCCCATGTAGTCGTATACTCGAATCACCGCCTTTCTCTCCATCAACTTCACGTCGTAACATCGTCACGCGTTCGTTCTGGCCGGGTCAGTGGGTGATGCGTCCCTCCAATAAACCGCGCTGAATCAATTACCGCACGCTGTCTGACACTACTACTTCACTCCTGCCATTGGCACTGTGCCCAGGAGTTGACCGGGAGCTATGAGAGTCGATATGCGGAAATGAATGTGTAGATGGTGCAGGTAGGGTTGGACGGATATCCATATATGAATGTACGACTTTGATGCATATAGACTGGCACCAGCCCTCCGACAGCAGACGAACTCTTAGTCACGCATGCAAAAGCGACGTAGAGGCACAACATTCTGCTTATACTACAAGCCGGCGCTCGCACATTTACACTACGTCCGCCTATCCACAAAATAAGGAAACCTATCCCAGGTATGTACACAAGTATACAATTTAGAAGCCAGTGGGGTCCAACCTCAACGGTCTTGGGGTATATCCAACCATGCCCGCGATGCTCGCTCTATGCTAAATAAAAAACGAGAAAACCAGAACCAGAACGTATAGAGACAAGCAAGTATTAGGTACAGATAAAGCGTATCGATGTAATGAAGGAATGCTCGTGCCGAGCCAAGACAATACTGGAACAAAGGAAAGTATAGTATGCTGTGTAAGTATGGCAGCGTAGATTGTTTAGTCACGGTCGCGACGGGATCTCAGCTCATGCCCGAAGTTCAATGCAATGGGCGTCACATCTCCACCGTCGACTGTGCTGTCGTCATCGAAGCCGTTGTCACTGAAGTCCTCGACCGCAGCATCGCGGTCGTAACTCGTCTTGCGCAGAAGCGGCGGTGTACTGGGCGCGACAGGCTGCTTGCCCAGGGCTGGGAAGCCCTGCTCTGTTGCAGTCGAGCCGCGTGAGCTTGTCGAATTTGAGCGAATGTCCTTGGACGTAGAGGACGACGGGAAGTCCGGTGTACGACGCAGATTGGATGTTGGGGGCGTCATCAAGCCTGAGAGGAACGATTGAGCAGATGGAGGGGCAGGGCGAGATGGTGTCTGGTTCCGCGAGGTGGTTGTGGACGAGCCTGAGAGGGCGGAGGCAGCGTTCTGACGACCCTTGCGCCAGTTGCCGAAGGCAGCGGCGACTTGGACAGCCTTGGGAGACGCAAAGTTGGACAGAGTGGCGAGTGTTGGAAAGTTGCTCTGGCCACCAGAAATCAGGCGTTCCTTCTCCGATTGTTCCATTTGAAGGTTGGTGCGGATGCGGATGGCAGCATCCCGGACTGTCTCGCGATCGAAGGTTGGCTGTGCGAGGGCATTGATCAGATCGTTGATGTCGTCCACACGGACGCCAAGTAGCTCGCGAAGCCAAGTAATCTCGGTATCGCGCTCCTTCAACTTAGAAGGAGCCTCGTTGTCAACTTCTGTCAGTTGCTGTTCGAGCGATTCAATCCGAGACTCTCGTTCCTGGAGCTGCTCCTGTAGGACGGAGATCGACTCGCGCAAAGCCTGAGGCGAGATCCTCTCGTGGCTACCCAGCGTGGAAGTTCCACTGGCTGCCGGAGACTTGGCCGCGGCAGCAGCGGCAGCACTAGCAGCTTCTTTGGCGACAACAAGCTTTTCCTCGAGTAGCGTAATCTTATCCTTCAGGTGGTCCAGCTTAGAGTCAGCTAACGCGAGCTTGTCATCATGGAAAGCTTCGGCACGCTGCTTGTCTTCGCGGACGTATTCGAGAGCACGGGCATGCTCCTGCTTGAGGTGTTCGAAACCCCGCTCAAATGCCTGTTGCTGTTCATGCAGGTTTCGCTTGCTCTTCTGGAGCGTTTCCTCGACTGCGTGCTTCGTAGCGTCGGACGCCGCCTCAAGTTCAAGCTCATGCTTCTCTCTCGCAGTTTCAGCTTCCATGCGCACGCTGTCAAGTTCAGCACGCACTCGGGCCACTTCGCTTTCAAGGTTGTGGCGGACGACGTTGACTTGGTTATTGGCAGCTTCCAGATCAGCTTCCATCAGCACCCGAGTACGTCGGATTTCAACGTGGGCTGCCTCTCTGGCTTCGCGCATGTCTCGCTCATATCGGTGAGCGTTGTTCTGGTGCTCGATGGATTCTCTTCTTAGCTGCTCAACCGTCTCTTCAAGCCTGGCGTTGTGCTTCTGGGACTGCTCAAAGTGGATACGCAGCTTCATACCTTCGCCCTCTTGCATTTCAAGCCTCTCAAGTTCTCTTTCAAGACGCTCGCGTGTCCGTCCTTCAGCTTCGATGCGCGCGCTAAGAACCTCGTACTTTTCCAGAGAGGCCTGTTCAACCTTTTGCGATTGAGAACGCTCAACGGCTATCTGCTGGGAAGCAAGGACCATGTCTTGCTGCAGCTTCTCAAACTTGCCACGCATTGACTCACGAAGACGCGCAGCCTCTTCGGCTTGGAAGCGGGCTTGCTCGATGGCTGTCCGTAGCTTCTCGTTCTCTTGATGCGCTTCTTGAATGTCGCTACGCCATTTGTTTGCAGATTTGCGATGCTCCTCCAAGGTGAATGTAAGAGCCTCATTCTCTGCGGTGACGACTTCCAGATTCTGTTTGAGGTCATCCTCAGACGTCTCTAACGCAATGTTCTTCATCTTGAGCTCGTTATTCTCGGCATCGACAAGCGCGAGCTTCTCGCGAAGATCGTCAGCTTCAATCTGGTAGTTGAGGTTGCGACGCAAGACATCGCGCTCCTCGGTTAATGCACGAATTCTGCTCTCGTCGTCCTTGGCAGCCGCCTGGAGCAAGGCAAGCTCTTCTTCAGTAACCTTCAGCAGACGTGCCGTGTCAGCCTCACGGTCTTCAAGAGCTTTCCGTGCCTCCTCCTCTGCTTCGTGGCGAAGAGTGCTGTCCTCCACCATACTCTCGAGTTCAGCCACGCGCGCGTCTCGCTTGAGAATTGCCTCAGATTCTTCACGTCTGGCAACTTCCATGCCTTGACGCTTGAATGCATCGTCGACTAGCTCGCGTACATCTTCAGCCTGAAGGTGGTTGCTCGTAGTCTGCGCAATCGATGCCTTCAGACTACCAATCATTTGGTAGATCTCGGAGATGTCGAATTGAGGCTGAGGAATGTCGATGGGCGCCTCCAATGCACCTGCTTTCTGAGATGCCAGGGCTTCGGTGACGATCGAACGAATCGTATCAGGCTGCATGGGTTCCACAATTGATGGTAACGGGCCTGGGACTTGATGTGCCATAAGAGTCTCGGCAATAATTGTACGTATGGCCTCTGGGGAAAGGGGCTCAGAAGCGGATACTGGCTGAGGAGCATGCATCGCAAATGCCTCCATCACAATGGAGCGAACGTCATCGGTCTTGATAGGTTCGTTGGGCTGGGGGCCATAAAGGGCAAGTGTTTCGGTGAGCATGGATCTGATGTCTTCCGGTTTAATGGGCTCCACGACAGTCTCGGGCACTGATGGCTTATTAGACGCGATGGCATTCTCCACAATCGCGCGGATCTGCTCAGAAGAGATATGCTCGACAGGTGCATTTGGTGGCTGGTGTGACACAAGAACGTCAGCCAGGATTTCGCGGATCTTCTCTGCTCCCAGTGGCTCGGGTGCAACAGCCGCCGTAGAAACGGCCTGTGCCTGGTGCGACTCTAACGCGTCACGGACAACAGCACGGATTTTTTCCAACCTCTTGTCCTTCTTGGGAGATCGATTGCGGTAATGCACATCGGCGCTGTCGTCGTCGTCCTCGTCATCTGCATCACTGTCAAGTCCAGCTGTAGATATGCTGCGGCGGCCGCGCGATGGGCGAGCTATCGTAGTAAGCGCATTCTGAACATCCTGCATGGTCTGTTCCAGCGGGCCAAGGCGACTCTGCAAAAGACGACTCATCATATCATCAACACGCCTATCGAAGAACGAGCTACGCATCTTGATTTGCTCCTCTCCTTCTGTGAGGATGTCGTCCCAGTCGCTTACGGGCACGTCCTCAGCATGATTCAGGCGATGAACAGGAGACGTAGACATAAGCGCGGCACGCTCGTCGTCAAAGGGATTCTGCAACGAAGTCGCGGATCCTGGAGCGTTGCCGTAGAGTCTGCGAGGGCTGGGGCTGGGTGCGTCGCTGCGTAGGTGGGCATTGGGCTGTAGGCTAAAGCGCTCGAATTCGTGTGTTCTCCGAGGTGTTCCGTGATGAGAAGACTGATCCCACGAGTTGTCATCGCGTTCAACGCCAAAGTCCGACCCTCCTTCATCCATCTGTTTCATGACAGCATCAATGTCGTTGAATGACGGGTCAAAATCAACGCTCTCAGGGTACGGCACACGATGTCCGAGCGCTGTCTTGAACGAACCATCATCACTAGGTCGGTACGTTGTTGCAGGACTCCTGCTATATCCTCTTGGTGGCGAGTTCTGTGCTCTCTCGTTTATGTCTTGAGCGATGGAAGGTTTCGTGACGTGGAAGCCGAAATCATAACCAGCGTTGCTAGATTGTGGTCTGAACTCAAAAGGTTTAGCGGTCGCGTCCAGCGAGCTAGTCTTATGTGCGTGCTTCTTGGCTGGGTCAGCAATTGGAGGCTCGGTAGTCGTGGGGACAGCAGCCGCTGCTTGCGCGACTGGCTCAATGATGGGCTGATCCTGTCTCGGGCTGCTCTTGTTCAACTTGGAACTGTGGCCATCAGGTGAGCGGTTCTCCTTGTCTTCCATGGAGCCCTCTTGTATATCTGCACTCTCGTCAAAGAATGAACCAGGTTCTGCGAGTGGCTGCGACGCAAGAATGGGCTGCAAAGCAAATTTAGGGACTTCGTCGCCATCGTTGCGGACCTTGCGAGCACGCTTCTCGCGCCCTTCGGCCTGCATTGGGCGTCCCTCTGCGTCTTCTCGATCCTCAGTTTCCTTGACTGTTTCTGGCGAGGACTCTCGTGCGGTATCGGGACGCACAATGGCGACAGCCTTGGATCGCGTGGCAGGTTTCACAATATCACTAGCTGAGATATTGACATCCCCAAAGATTTTCGAAGAGAAACTCGTCGGAGCTTGCGCGGCCCGTTGAGGATCGAACGCCGAACTTCCCCCAGGATTGAAAACGGGAGCATCCGGCTTGAATGCTGGAGGACTGGAGAAGCTAAAGCCACTGGAGGGAAGTGCTGGGACTGTAGGGCTAAGAGCGGTGGCTACCACACTTGACTTTACTTCAGTGGGCTTGAACACGGCGGCATCGACAACGGGAGTAAACGTGGAGGCCGTTGGCGTGAAGGCAGGAGCTGTGACGTTGTAACTGGCCAACCCATCAATACTGGAACCGTTGTTGGACACCGATGTAGGATTGAATGACGCAGCAGGGTTGAACTTGAACTCCTTTGCTTCGACGTTGAGCTTCGAGAGTGACGACTTGGATGCATGCTTGCTGTGTGTAGCTGATGCAGGTTTGTTGTACGCAAACTTTGAGTCTTTCCATGGGTTGCTCACTTGCGAAGGTGCCTGAGAGTGTTGATTCGAGCGGATCTCTCCCTCTTCTAAGCTAGGGTTTGTGTTCTCTGATAGGTTTGTTCTTGCGCCGTTGCTATCATCGCGGGGGTCATGTGACTGTTGCGTGGGGAATGCAAAAGGCACTGGTTGCTGCGACTTGGTGATTGAATGTGCTCTGTTATGCGGCTGAGGTTGATGCAAAACAGTGTGAGAATTTTCCCATGCTTTCTTAGCAACGCCGTTGTGCTGCCTGGTGACGTCGGGCTCGGTGCTGAAATCACCCCCTTCAGCGAATTGTTTGTCAATGGCCTCTTCCAGGTGATATTCGGCATCGGCAGCTTCGCGTTCCATGTTCGCGCTAAGATTGTGACGATGGTTGCGTGGAGTTGGGTGGACAATCTCTGGTGCAGCATTAGGAGCCTTCTTCAATGGAGGCAGCGCCTCTTCCTCTGACTCATCTTCTGGCACTTCTGCGAGCGTAGATGATGGCCGTAACCCCATAAGCTGTTGCTGTTGCTGTTGCTGCTGGAACATTTGTGCTTGTAGTTGCTGCTGCTGTAGTTGCTGCTGCTGCATTTGCACTTGGACCATAAGGTCGTCTTGTGCCAATGGAGAATGAGGAAAATGCTGGCTTGCTCTTCTACCAAACGGCGAGTGTGGCGAGACGATGCCGGTAAGATCGGGTCTACTTGGCGGTAGGGCAGGTAGCGCTGGCGAACCACCCCGTCCATCCTGAGAGCCGAAGTAGCCGCCTGGAGACCATGTACCAGAAGGTGAGATGCCGTGGTGAGAAAAGCTTCCAGGGCCAAAAGTCGAGTGGCGGTGCATGTGCATGCTCGGTCGGACGTTCGCAAAGGCCGCCGGAGATGCGATTGATTGTCGGGACATGTGGCCAGGCGACGCGATTGATTGGCGAGACATGTGACCAGGCGATGGTCCGAACGGGAACGGCCCAGTGACCACGCTTCCCTGCCTTCCACGGTGACTGCCCCCAGATTGTGTCGGCAGCGGCGGTGAGAAAGGCAGACCTGGGTATTGTCCGGACACTTGGCGTGACATGGGCAGCGGTATTTCATCCTCTCCACCCAGACTCACTCCCAAGGCCGCAAGTTTTGCCTCGACGAGCGAGTTCACGTAGTTGTCCCACTCACTCTTCTTTGGCACGAAGACCTTGAAGCTGGACGCAGAGTTGGCCCGCTCTGTCCGAACATCGTCTTCAATGGGCCAGATGGCTCGGTTGTGTGCCTGGTCCCCAACGTCCCCGCCGTTCCAGTGGCCAAAGCCGCTGGTGTTGTAGCCCAGACGCTCTAGATTCTTCATTTTCGCCTCGACTGCTGCTGGGCTCATGGGCTTCGGTGGGTAGCCGTGCGTGCCCCTAGGAATATCGTGGGGGATCGAGATGATGCAGCCCTTGCCCTTGACCATGATCTTCCTGCGGGTACGTGGCACAGGTGTCCGTGCCGGCTCGACCGGCGTCGGGGGCTTGTTGGGCGTGTGCTGGACGGGTTTCGGCGACGGCGACGGCGAGGCATGCTGGGGCAGAATGGGCGTTGTAAACGGGTTGCGCACGCTCGATGTACGAGGCGGGAACTGCGGGGGAGCAGGCGGGCCGGGGCTGGGGCCGTCGCGGGGCTGCGAGGCGGCGTCGGCCTCGGCGTACTTGGAGGCCATCATCTTGCCAAGCGCTTCTTTCTGGTCCTTGCTGATGTGGCGCCAGAAGTCCTGCTGGTTGAGGGTCTTGTTGCTGCTGCGCGCGTTGTGGCCGCGCTTGGGCGGGGCGGGCAGCAGGAAGTCCTGGTGCGGGTCGGAGGCCGAGTCGGAGGCGGAGTCGGAGTCGAGGTCGAAGCTGATGTCGCTCTTCCACTTGTTCTTCTCGCGGTTCCAGCGCTCTTCCAGGAACGAGCGCACCCACTCCTCCGAGGTGGGGTTCTTGTCGGACGCGCGCGGCGTGAAGCCCGACGGCGACGGCTCGCGAGTCGGGGTGACGGAGCGCGGCAGACGCGACTGGATTAGGTTCGCGAGCGTGAACTGGTTCGGCGAGCCGTCCGGGTCCAGGGGCGGGATGAGGTGGGCGAGGTTGAACCGACCGGGGGCGTCGTCGTCGACCTCAAGGCGCGGCGGCAGCAGGTGCTCGAGGCCAAAGTGCAGGGCCTCGGCGGCGTCGTCAAGCTCGTCGCTGGCGGCGGCGGGCGACGGCAGGCGCTGCGGATGGTAGACGGGCGGCAGGCCGCGGTAGGGGCTGCCCCAGCTCGCCGTGTAGAAGGACGCTTCGTCAGGGCCGTCGTGCGGCGACACGGGCGTGCGGGTGGGCGTGCGGGCGAGTCGGCCGCGCTGGACGGGGGCCGGGAGCGCAGGCAGCTCTGGGCTGGAATTGGCGAGCGTCGGCGTCGGCGACAGAGCGGTCCACGCGGGCGAGGCGCTGCGCTCGTCGCTCGGGGGCGCCGCGGCGGCTGCAGGCGGGGCAGCCGGCGAAGGAGACGAGGGCGGGGGCGAGAGCGAGGGCGAGGGCGCGGAGGACCGTCGAGCGGGCATTCAACGCGGGCGAGGGCTGGGGCGGGACGGCCGTCGAGCGGGCATGCAGCTGAGAGCTGGGCGGGAGCACGCGTCACTGGGCGGCGATGCCAGGCCGGAGGGCAGTGGAGATGGAGGGATGCAGTAATGCAGTGGAAGCACGCGCACGGCTAAAGGAGCGGCATGGGGCAGAGCACTGATCGGGGGCTCGCAGCACTCATCCTCCAGCAGCTGTGGACGCGCAGACTTGGTGCGGATCGCGGTGAGCAGTCGTCGAGAATTTAGGGGAGCAACGGCTGGCCAGCGCCCGCCGATTGGTTGATGTTGCCCCCGCAGCCAATCCGCGGGCCTTGACACGTGGAGACGGCCAGCGCATGCAGCCGGCCCCGTTTCGAGCCTGCCTGCACTGCTGCAGCTGCACCCACCGCGAGCATCGCGGGCATCCACACGGCCGCCGCGCGCTGGCCGTCTCGCCGTGGGCCGCCGTGAGTGCTCGTCACCGTCTGGCACCACCGCGCTTCATTTCCTGGCTATGGCACCGACCACCCACCGCCAGAGCACGGCCGCCAGTGCTGGAGGTGGATGCAGCCAATCGCCGTCGCCCGTCATGCCGCGTGCAAAACCGTCAGTTGCTATCACTGTGCCCTGCGTGCCCTGCCACTGCATGCAGCCAGAGCAGCCATACGCTGCCGTCCCCCGCAGTTTGTTGACAAGCAATGCATAGTCAGCGGTTTCACGTCAAGCACTCTACGCGTGCAGGACGCGGTTGGACGCGAGCAATTCAGGGGCCACTAGCGCATCGGTAGCTCCCGTGCCGCAGCGCCGACTGACCAAGTGCTGCTGCAACTACTGCTCTGTGTGTATTCTTCTGCGACACGGCAGGCACGCCTGACAACCCCTTGACAAGATGCAGCATCAGGCAAGATAGATCAAGCTCCCGTCAGGACTCTTCCGCATTGCAGTACATGCACTTGAAAATCAAGTTACTTTTGTCGTGATTCTGCAGCTCACTAGCCGCGACAAGGATGGTTTGGATGCTACAAAAGTGCCAAGCGACTGGCTGGAGGTGATACATGTGCAACACTACAAACACCAGACAAATGCCTTGCAAGGAACTTCTACACTCTCTGCCACATCAGCAGCCGCTTCATAAACGGGCTCTTCTTGAACCCGGCCGGCACACCACCCGAAGCCTGAGTCGTGACGGCGACAGGATCAACCTCCGAGGCGCTCTTCCCAGCCATCGCAGCTTTCTCTTCAACATCCCCAATCTTCCAAGCTCTGACGAGCCATAGCATGCAAGCAGCACCAATGTACATCCAGCCTGTAAACAGAATGGCCCCTGTGTAGCTACCGCCATTGTACGCAACAATCTCCAGCCCAATAGGCTCAGAGAAGGTCGTGGGCAATACCAGCACCAGCCAGGTTAGACTCAGCGCGCTGGGTAAGTCGACAAGCCCCATGATCTCCGTCGTGACAGGCGCAGCGACAGCCCAGAACGTGCCCGCAACAGCACCGCCCACAATGGCAAAGAAAACAAGCACACCAAAGGACTTGGCAAACATCCATATGACCAGCGAGAACAAGCCGGCAAGAAACGTCATCGTGCTCGCCATGTTCAGTCTTCCAAATGAATCAGAGAAGTACCCAATGGGTGGGCGTCCCAGGGCCTGACCCAGATTCAGCACCGCGCCGACTATCGATCCCTGCTGTGCCGTCATGCCAACCGTCCTCGCGTAGTTTGGCAGCGAGAACAGGAGTACGACGTACGCCAGCATGCTCAGGAACCCAAACGCCATCAGCCCCAAGAACTGCGGTTTCTTGAAGAGCCGGTAGTCGAAGCTCAGCTGGCTGCTGCCAATCTGCTTGTTGCGGTCCCTGATGATCAGCGCGCACGTCGTGTTGACGACAAACGCAATGACGGCGAGGACCCGGAACGCCCACGGCAGCCCAATGTTCTTGATCATCGCCTGCGTGGCTAGCGAGTACACGAGCCCGCCGATGCCGCTGCCCGCCGCGGAGATGCCGTTCGCGAGCGACCGCCGCGTCGTGAACCACTGCGCGCTGATGCCCACGCTGCCGACGAACAGGAAGCCCATGCCATAGCCAAAGCACAGGCCTTGCGTGAGAAACAGGTGCCAGATTTGCGTCGCGAAGCTGGCGCCGATGAAGGAAATAGTCTCCAGCACGACGCCGATGAGCAGCGTGGTGCGTGTGCCGAAGAGGCGTGTGGTGAAGGTTGCAATCGGCGAGACGATGAGCGCCTGGCTGATGGACAGGCCGCCAATGAAGGCGTAGGAGAGGTGCGAGGCGCCCGGGAAGACGTTGTTGGCCAGATAGTACGCGAGGAAGACGGCGTAGGCCGAGTTCAGACCCCACGTGTGACTGCGCGCTGTTAGCAGGTCCTGTGCGTGGGCAACGAGACACGTACGCGTTGATGGTGGCACAGGCTGCTACGCAGACCCATCCGTATCCCCCGTTTGGAGCAACGTCCACTTTCTTCTCGACGATGTTATTGCCTCCGCTGGCAACGCCGTCGTCACTGCTGGTGATCCCTTGCTCTTGATTCAGACTAGCTGGATCCGACCCATCGGCCGGCCTGTAGCTCTTCTCACTACTCCCAAGATTCATATCTTCCCTCGAGTCCAGCACTCCATCGTCCGGGTGGTGATGACTCGTCGTCATCCTGCTTAACCTCGGATCGCCGCCCCGGGAATAAGTAAGCTGGAAGGAAAAGCGAATTGCGCTGCAGACATCCAGGTAAGCACTGTGTAACTAATTACCACGGTTCGTAGCGGCCCCAGCTCTTTATCTGCAATCCATGGTGTATGTAGAAGTGTGGGCACGGCGGACAGGCGTCTGGAGCGTCACTTCATCCATCACGCTAGTCCGGGTATAACGTCCGGGCAGAAAGTTTTACGTGAGGATTTACCGCGGGACTGGAACGCGGCTAGGGGCTCATGCACGTATGATTGGCGGGCGGTGCGGCAATACCCATGTAAGCAACTTGGAGCAGGCAGCACATTGCGAACCTCAGTGTTTGTACATGAATCATGCATTGCCGCATCTAGAAGCGTCTGAGTTGCCTTTCGATAGTTTGGAAGGATTGAATGCTCTCAACGTATTGTTGGTAGGTGCAACATAGCGGATAGTCACGGGCAAATAACATCACCATTCGCAGGGGGTTCGGACTTACGAACTGTACTAAACACGGATCTGAGGACAATTGAGATACTATAAGCAACAATTCGTTACCAATTTAAAACCATATGGTATCATCCAACAACTAAAAACGCCCTTCATCTCGAGACTATCGCACACTGGTCTGACAATGTGACAAGAATTTATACATGCCTTCGATGCCTTGATACTCTAGTGGTGCATTGGAGTTCACCTCCTCCACCTCACTCGCGCGCAATGACTCATATCCAGAAGCGGATGAAGACGACAGCCAAGGATTCGTAATGACTTCTTCAACGTCGAGGCACTCGTCAAAGCCATCTTCCGAATGTATCGAGTATGCTTCGGAACTGACAGAGGGCGAGAGCATCTGCTCCCAATCGATGACCGGGACGTGTTGGCGGGAAGAGACTGGCTTATCATAGAATGAACACTCCGATGGCGTTCTGCTAGAAGCAAACGGGAAGAGAAGGGCGATCTCAGTACCAACGAAGTCATCGAATTCCGCGTCTTGGTAGACAACTCCCCTCTGGATCTCGAAGTCGCTGCAGATAGTCTCGACTGTGTCGCGATCGCATCCGGGGAAATGAACTTTCAGTGTCGAATTCTCGTAGGTGATAGGTAGATCACCGAGATCTGATAGTCGCTGCAGGTCTTTGAGAACCACAGCGAGCTCCTTGACTGCACGAGTGAAGTCAACGGAGAGGACGTCCAAAAGACCCTCGCTCTTCAGCGAGTTCTTCTCTTGCGACGCAGCGAAACCTTTGACCGCCTTCAAGGGGGTGAGAGCGGTAACGGTAGGGTTGACGTTGAAGCTGATGTAAGAGCCAGGAGTGGCCTTGGGTACCTTGTTGAGGGTGCGGTTGACCTGATCCTGTAGAGCAGTGACGGCCTTGAAGCGCTTCTCGCCACGGTTAGGGTCGATGCCGTCGAACTGCGCTTTCTGCCCAGAGATCAAGAATGCTCGAACAGCTTGAGACACGTTGCTGATAACTTGGGCGGGTGAAGCAGGACCGTGGGAGAAGTATCTCGCACCTCCAGCGTGGCCGGATCCCCACCCGTAGCCTCCAGCTGTGCGGCCCAAGGTGCCTCCGGTGAGGTTCGGTCGCAAGGTCGAGGCAAATGGCGCGCGGCCGGCTTGCGCGTTGACTATGCCACCGATGCGCGACTTCGGGAAAGACGATTTATCAAACTTGACGCCAGAGGATCGAGACGCCGAGGAAGTGAACCGTCGTACAGCAGCGGAGATACTGCTGTGGGTGGTGTACCAACGACCTTTGCTTTGCTTCAAATACGCAATGCGATGGATAGGATGTGTGGGGGCATTTCGAACGAGGAGCGGCTGGAGCTGTGCCTGTGTTGGACGTGAGCCAGCAGGCAGCTGGTTCTGGATGAGCTTCGCAGCATGACGCCAGGCAGCCCTTTAATCACATGTTAGCAAGATAGCTGCGAACAGAAGGCGGGATGCTTACTTGAATGCTTTCGCATTCCTGACTACCAGCGTATGCAATGCACCGGTCGGTGCCATGGTGCTCTGTGTAATCAGATGGTTAGAGAGGGAAGCGGTGGTGACTTGGGGTGCATGTGGGGATTATGAGGCGCAAGCATTCGCCACTGCGGCCCTCGGCGGGTGCGCTTAGATCAGCCGACTGAATGACGATCTCGACCAGCCTTCCAATCGCGACCACGGCTCGCAGGTTAGTCCGAGGCGACTTTGCACCAGTAAGAGGAAAGTGAAACTGCAAGTCTTAAGAAAATACCAGCTAATGCTCATTTCATATGGTACAACCAGAACCATGTGCCAAACGACACAGGCCCATGGTGCCCGGCACACCTATGTACTTCCGGGCCTTTTGGCATCTGACGGCTAGAGAACAGATCCGAATGCTGCTATGCTGAGACGCACAAGAGAGGAGAAACTGGGTTTGTGTGAGATAAACTGAGATGCAAGAAGACGCCCGACTACCATTGCTTCATCCTGAACTCCACTCAGGTCCAGGCGCTCTGTGAAGCCAATGATACGTCGAGTGTAGCATTCATGTCGTGTAAACGTTGAAGAAGGGATCCTGGATATGCGCAAAATTTCTATTGGAAAGTTGATAGACCGCCAGGCATGTACTAACGCCGCCGAACACAAACTTTTTGTGGATGCGTAGAACGCCCTAATGGATGCCCCATGTGGTATTAAGGGCAACAGAACCAAACATAGCAACGCCGCAAAATGAGAGGTATCTTGATCAGATGAGGAACGCGAGGAGATCGTCTGCCAACAGTCGCTGTATCCGTTGTTGGCTGCCGGAATGGAGGTAATGGCTACTGAGATCTGATCGTAGTTGTATAAACGCTGGACAGTGGCCATCGTCCTCTGACTCGACTAAAGCAATGTAGTCGCGGGCCACACGGTGATGAATCACAGTCTGTGACAAAAACAAGAATCGACTGTAGAGCTTGACCAGAGTAAAAAGACCGGCATTGGTTATGTTGTTGAGAGCATCCTCGAACGCAAGCTGTTGGGATTCGTCGTACATTCGGATGTTATAATTTCGTGCCAGCAAGGGCGACCAAAAGTGGCTGAGAATCTCCATGTCGTAGCAAGTTGAACTAAAAGGGGTATTTAGACGCTGCTGAAGCGCTCTCGATCAAAGACGGAAACAAGATTCGTGGGTGGTGTCGGAAGGTAAAGAGTCGACAGAGTGTTATGGGTCGTTGACACAATAGAGTTGAACCGAAGGTGTAGAGGAATTCTTCTGGCTTGGGCAAGGTCCGCATTCAGCACTTCTACTTAAGTTAGTGAAAGCCTCTACAGGACTTTACAGAAAGCATGCTTACTCGTGTAACGGAACAGCGCCGCTAGCCCAAGAGTGGGGGTTAAGCACACTGTTCAGTTCATCTACACCACTACTTTACTATCGATGCATGTATTAGAAAGAGTTTGTACAGCTAGGGGGGTAAAACTGCTAGTGACTGGATTTGTTTGCGAGCAACAACCATCAAACTTTCCGCTTGCAGTGTAGACATGAATGAGGATCTATACTTACAGCCTTGATTGATTCCTCGATCGGGTGACCATTTGTGCCATTCGCGCCTTCGGGCGAGGTACCGTTGACCAAGTCTTCGGTAGGGGCCGCAGCGGCATCTTGAGATGCATTTGGAACGAACGGGTTATGTTGGGGGTATGTGACATCATTGCCAAACCCGGTGCTCATTGTCGGGTACTGAGGGGGGTTTGACTGATCAAAGCCAGCAGGGTTGGGGACGGGAGGGTTGCGCAGCTCCTTTGGGCCCTCATTCTGGGCGGACTCGTCTCGTTCATCCATGCCCAGGACCCACTGCTCCCAACCCTCGCGGCGACGAAGCCTGTCACGGCCGTCCTCGCCAGTGCGGTATTGTACGTTGCTCGACTGCTGGCAAACCAGCTTGAGGAGCTCGATGTCGGTACTTAAGCTCTTGATGCGATTGAATGCAGCGATGAAGTCGAGAGACACAAATCCTTGCGAATCCATGTGCTTTCGCAGATACAAATCCTTCAGCAGGTTATCAACCGAGAAGTAATATTCACTGAGCAAATTAGCTGTAGTCGCGAGCAATTGGGCCTTGATACTTACACTTGAGTTGTGATCATCTGGAACAAAGCGAACTGATCGACACCATAGGGGTTGAAGGGCGCAGCACTCATGGGCGCCACCATGTTGTAGTCGTACATATTGAATGTATTCACGGAAGGCAGCTGCTGAGCACCGTGGAAGGCGGGGTATCGAAATGATTCAGCAACAGATTGTGAGCGGTGGCTGTTGCGACCGTATTTGCCTTGGGGCGCTGTGAAGAAAGCATTGTTTCCTGGGTTGAATGTGGTCGGAGAGCCGGGGCCCATCGAGAATGAGCCGCTGCTCTGCTGAGCATGTCCGTTAGTGAATTGGCCACCGTTGGAGAATCCACCTCGTCCTCCTCGACCGCCACCACGGGGTCTATCCCGGCCGCCAGCATACGAGTTGTTGTAACGGCCCTGCTTGGGGTGGACGCCGTTTGACCCATCAAACGTCCGTCGCTCATTCTCAGAGCTATCAGTATGAGCGGCGTCCTTGGTGGGGGATGCATCACCATCCCGTCTTCGTTCAGAGCCGTTGAAGTCGCCCCTGCGACCCTTACCAGACCTGCTCGAGTACTGACGAGGCAACGTACCATTCTGGTTGGATACGTCTGTTGTGGTAGAGGCGCGCTTGGGTGCCTCGGGCTCGAAAGGTGCGGCGCCGGCTCCCTTCACAGTCTTCTCTCCGTTGACTGCAGGTACGTGTTCTTTGAGCGTTGGCGAGGTGGCACTGCCTGAACGCTTTGACTTGGGAGATGCATCTCCGGCGACGCCATTCACTTCGCGCTTAGGCTGCTCGCCATTGGATACAGCCTCTGCAGTCGAAGGGTTCTCGGATGTCGCAACACCGTTGGCGCCAAATCCAGCAGGCCTGCCGTTCGACTGTGCTCCACCACGACCTCCAGGTCTACCTCCTCTACGCGAGTTTGCAGCATTGGGCAGCGGGGTGTTGAAGACCACAGACGGGGTATATGGAACCTTGACCCACTCGTGTTTGCCTGCAGAGCCGTTTGGCGCGCTGTCCTTGCGCTCCTTCTCGCTCTTCTCGTGAGCCTTCTTGCGGTCCTCGTCGACTGCTGTCTCGGGTGTTGGCCATGCCTCCTCGTCCTGGTTGGGCGGTAGTGGCATAGCGCTTGACGCCGGTTTCTGGTCCTTATCATATGGCTTGCCCTTCACTCCCTTCTTCTCGGCGTCTCCCTTCGTGTCCTTTCGCGGAGAAGCTGTCTTGTCTTCCTCGCGGGCTTTGGACTTGATCTCAGCCGTGGATGGTCTCCCCTCGGGAGTGCCCTTCTTGGACACGCCATTCGTGGGGGGCGACGCTGTAGGCTTCGCCTGAGACTTCTGTTGATCTGCGCGCTGTTGCCAGATATTGACTGTTGGCAGGGGTGCTTCCTTGAGAGGCTTCGGTGGCTCCTTCTCCTTCTCGGCTTCTTTCTTCTCGCCCTTCTCGCCCTTCTTTCCCTTCTTGCCCTTTTCGCTCTTTTCCGGCTTCTCTGAAGTCTTTTGTACAGGCTCAACAGTCTTATCGACTGAAGTGGAGGCCTGTGATTTATTATCCCACGTCGACTCGGAAGACATGTTCGGCTGTGAAGACACGTCGTCGTCCTTGGTCACTGTGGAAGCAGACAGAGAATCGAGGTCGGTGGTAGACGCCTCGAGGGATTCGGTGGAATTCGAAGGCTTCGAGGATGGGGTTTGGAGGTCGCCATTCGACGTTGCGTGTTCGTTCGCGGATTCGTTCTCGGCATCATCGGCCCAGTTGTTGACTTTGTTGGTCGAAGTGAGCGGGATTTTGGAAGCATCGTCCTTAGCCGGCGTTGTCGAGCCAGAAGCAGGCTTGCTAACAGAGACAGGACTTGAAATGCCCTTCGCAGCCTGCGCGTATGAAAAAGTAGCTGCCATCTTGACAGAAGTAGATGTCTCAGCTATTGTGCTGTATTGCTAGCAGAAGATTGTGGGCGCTGGAAATCCCGGGTGGGACCGCTGAATTGCTCTGGCCAGTCCAAGTACTGGCGCTGCTGTGTCCGGAGAGGCAGACTGACCTCCCCGCACTTTATGCTGGCTAATGTGACCAGGCGGTGGTTGTCTCGTGATATGAGATGTTCGGTAAACCGCTCCGCAGGTCGCAGTGCAGTGCAAATTCGACTTGCAATTGAGCTGAGCGCGACTTCGGTAAATGAACGGAGTTCGGAAGAGCTTCCGGACTACTCGCACGAGCTCTGTATCGCAAGATGTTAGCAAGAATATTGAGGAGGAAGCTGAAGGCAGGCGGCGCAGAAGATATGGCTCGGGGCAAGTACCCAAGCTGAGCGACTGAAAAATGTTTGCGGTGGATGCTAAGCGGATGTACGGCCTTTAAACGTCTGCCGCGAGAGTGCTTCACAGCCACGACTGAGGCGGCGTGACAGCGCGCAGCAGTGAATGACCCGTAGAGTCCTCAACAAGACAGTGTGCTGGGTGGGAGGCGCTGCGACTCCAGACGAGCCTTGGGCGCACGAAGTAGGCAGGTAGCAAGCGGCACTAACCTTCTGGCAAAACTTGGATTGGCTGTTGGGCTGGCGCTCACGACGAACAGGCAGCAAACACGCAGACGGTGCCGTGGGCTCTATGAGCTGTCGGCGCAGAGAACGAGGGTGTCGACTGCAGCGAGGTACAGTATGGCGGGCTCCAGGCACACGGCGTCGAAGTCGCAGCGGGTTTTGGCGTGCGAGAAACAACAACGGGCCGGCTGAGGGTCTCGAGCGTCAGAAGCAACTTGATCAGAGCAGACCGAAAGCCAGTTGACCTGACAAAATTGACTGTCGTGTGTGCGGAAAGGTACAACAAGCGCAGAGTAATGAGGGGACAAGGTCACTCTCAAGCGCAAAAAAATCGCTACTAGCAGACCCGAAGACCACCCACGCATGGCCCGCTTTCACTAAATCAACGCCCAGTAGGCCGAGGAACGCGCTGTAAATCCCTCCTAGATGACATCGCCGCCTGCCTGACAGGCTCGCACCTCGCGTGCCATTGCTTGCACGGTGATGTGAACCCTTGACGACCAAATTGCTGCCCGTTGTGCGATGACCTCACTCATTCCACCCCTCATCTGAAGCATTGCTGCCTACTCCACGCTCTCAGCTGCATGTGTCGTGCAGCTGGAGCGCCCAACGCACGCATTGGCGCATACAAACCGAAAGGACTTATCATTGGTGCCTCAGTGCAGGGCTGCTGATGACCTTTTCCTCGACAAAATACCGGATCATGCTCGAGCGCGCCATCCCTGTGCCCACGGGAGAACGGGACTCGGCCAGCATGTCTTCCGAGACATCCCGGGCGCATGGCAGCCTTTTTCTGGGAATGTAAGAAATGCTGTTTCGGTGCGACTGCATGCGACCCGAGGCACCTCTGTTCGAGTGTGGTAACCACTTGCTTATGGTACATACTTAGTCAGCTCTAACAAAAGAGCACATGCTTTCGGCGCACTTAACTCTGCATATGGGCCTGGAGAGGCGTCCCTTATATTCCTCAATTAGCGTCATCAAGCCGTGCCGAGTTCAATCAATATCGTTCGATCTACGTGCAATCTTCATCGGCTTCATCGGCTTCATCAACGGCTCGACAAATTGCATCCCCGCCTTTTGCAAAGACCCTGAGGTAGCTTCGTGTGTATTGCGGGGGCCCATCACACCTGATCTATAGTACAGAGCCCACTCCAGGAAGCTTGTTGCTGTGTGACGTTTGAACATTAGATGTGGAGAGTTTGGATGGATTGCAATTGGGTACTGAACTATCAATCTTCAATGGCTGTCCAAGTCCGTGATTCGAGTGGAACTCGCTGAACGCCTCAACTCTCGTCTTTGGGACACCCTATCACTGATGTCCTCCGTCTAGAATCGTTTGGAGTCTACCTCCACCTCGCCATTATTGCTCGCGCCTTGTCCTCGCTATTTGCCCACCACCACACGCTCCACATTGCCCTCCGCTGCCACTCTCCGGCAAAAATTTCTCGGGCTGGCTTTGCGTCTTTGTCATAGCTCTGGCCCCATTCTACGGCAGCCACCATAGAGTCAACATAATAACGACTTGCAAGGCCGGTAACGTTGGACGATGTCGGTGCGATGCGGTAAGGTACGTGGCTGACATTGTCTGCCCGCGCTTGGGCGAAACAAGAGCGATTGATGAGAGAAACGTGCGTGTCAAACAACCGTGAAAGTCTACCCTTGTAGTCACTAGGGGCAATATTTGCAGGGAAGGCGAAGCTATTTGAAGGGCGAATCCAGTGCGTGGTCGTCGCTGGCAATGTCACCTCAGGATATGGAGCCGATCGGGACACTTTGTGACGAATGGCAAGATCGACAAGGTCTGGTGGCTGGAAATAGGTTTGGCCGGCTAAGAGGAAGAGCTGCAGGAATCTGACACAGTGAGCATTCAGTCGGTGGAAAGGAGACTACGCATATGCATTCTTGGAAGCCGTACGTACCTCGCAGACTGTGCACCGTCAGTCATCCAGTCAGTATTGAGAGTAAGCGGAAGCTTTGATGAGTTTTGGTCTTGTAGCACGGGGCTGTGTAGAGGTAGCAAATGATGGTACATGAAGGTGAAGACAGCATGTTGGTCTAACTGATCTAGCAGAGGGTTATGACATCGATTTGTCAGGTCTGCTCTGCATCGATCAAGTATATCGTTGAGACGAGTGCTCCGTGAAGGGAATATGAAGTTTGTCAAGACCCAGCGAAGTTCGTTCAGAACCCAAACGAACGTGATGGCTGAGTAGAATCTCCCTCTTTGGTCCGGGTTGAGCTTTGTGTGATTCAATGTTGCAGGGTCTTCGCTGCTTCGGGCTGAGAATTTGCCTTGCTTGAACTCTTGCGCTCGATCAAGAAGATAAGTATACTGCCGCACCAAGTCCTGGTCACTTGTCGTTGGGCCGGCTGACAGAAAGTCTTCCTCTTGCAGCTGTCTTTCAAGCCACATGTGTTCGAGCACTCGCATACCTTGATACCGCGCAAGAATCTCGTAAACTAGGCCGTCTGGCATGCACGTTGCACATGGACCATAGGCGCATTCTGGTACAGTAGTCGCGCTTGCGAGCTTCGTCTCCCATTCGTTGTAGCTTGGTCCTCCCTGGCTGTAAGATACCGGAAATGGTTTGCCACCTTCTTGGAAATGTCTGACAACTTCTTCGTGAAGCTTGAGAACGCGACATAGTTGCAAATCATATCGATGGGCCCACGATCGTCCTATAATCGATCGCATTATCTCGGTGTAGATTGTCTGCCGTTTGACGACATCATACATCTTGCTATGGGTGCGGCCAAAGCTATGCACATCTTCGATGCTGTCGAGATGATGATACACTATCTCCAGTATCTCTGGTGGTAAGCTCAGAAGTCCTTTGACTACCAGATCACCTGGTGTGTTTGATCGTCCTTCCCTACAACCGCGTGGAACGGTCTCTAGAACCATTTCCTGAGACCTGAATGGGACCTTTGAAATGAGCTGGTGGTGTAGATGGGGTTCTGGCTCGGCATAGAATGTCTGGCTGTGAGTAAGCTGGAGCTCGCAACCAGCAGCGTGCGGATATTGGGCGACAGAGCTAGAGGCTGTCGCTCAGGAACAACTTTCTGGTGGACTTAGAGGGTAGTGGGGTCGAATGTGTGCGACCTAGAAATGATAGCTACAACTAGCCGATCGATCTAGATCAACACGACGCAGTTGCACGAAGGTGCGCAGTTGAGCATTGTTGTGGAGGCCACGGGGGCGTATTACTAGCACGAGGTACTAGGCAGCCGCGAGGCTCTGTCGAGTGAATGACGTCTAGTCTGCGCCGGAAAGCGCTCGTTCGACGTTAATAATCCCTTGTAGCATTTCACTGTTGACTCCATTGTCGCCGCCAGGCGTTGTACTGAGTCCTTCCACGAGCACAGGTGAAGGCGACCGAGGTCGGTGATTGGTCCCGTTCCGCCCGGCCTTGGCCACTGCGCCGGCGCGCCCGCACCCTCCTCCGCAACTCACTGCACCCCCACGCTACGCTCCACGATCCGCCTGTACATAGCAGCCGGCGCCACAACATGTCCGACAACACATCCCAACCGCCTGACACCAAGATGGAGGTGAACGATGACCTTGACCAGTCGGTGGAGAATGAGATCAACCACGACGCGACACAGGCCGAGGCCATGAACCTCGACGGCGCAAACGACGACGCGCCTACAGCGAATGGGCTTCCAGACGCCGCTGCTACGTTCGAGCAGCGCATCCCTGCGAAAAAGGATGCCACACTGCGCGAGTTCCTCGGCAAGATGGACGAGTATGCGCCCATAGTGAGTGCTAGCCTGCCAGCGACTCTGAGAATCCGACTGATGTAGTTCTAGATACCTGATGCAGTCACCAACTACTATTTGACGCGTGCTGGTCTCCCCCCACCACCGCAGACGTCGCAGCACCTTGCCCGCCTACTAGCACTCGCGACACAGAAGTTCATCGCAGATATTGCGGCCGACGCGTATCAGTTCTCGCGCATCCGGTCCTCGAATACCACAAGCAACAACCCCATGGGTGGGCTCGGCGGCGCGGCAGGAGCACCAGGTGCAGCGGCCCCTGCCCAAGGCGGCAAGGACAGTGGGCCAAAAGCTAAAGACTATAACCTTGGGATCCAGCGGCCAGGGTATGGAGGTGGTGGGCAGGGTGGTAGCCAAGGGCGGACGGTACTTACCATGGAGGACCTTGGGATGGCGGTTGGAGAGTACGGCGTCAACATCAAGCGCGGCGAGTTCTACCGGTGATGCTTGCGTATTTGGCAAAGCACGGCCAGCGCATTGGATCAGATGCGCGGCGTGAAGTGCTCGGGGTCCCAATGGACATGCATTCTTGGCGTTGGTTTGGTCACAGGCGCAGGGGAAAGTTACATCGATATCGACAAACAGCGCCCTCGCTGCGGAAGGTCGTACATTTTGTACAGGTAGCAGTACATCCAGATAAACACAAATGATACCCAAACTCCCAGTCGATGCATTTGCGACCTATCCCCTACTTGTTCTTGGTCTGCTTGTAACTGAAATTCTTCCGTGTCCTGCCATTGCCATGTCAGCAGTCTGGTTTAGACTCAACCATTCTCAGGTGGTCCAGAATGATAGTAAAGACGTACGGCGCGAATTCTCCCAGCTTGTGTCCTACCATATCCTCGGTTATTGTAATATCATCGTACTTCTTGCCGTTGTGAACCTGGAACTTCAGGCCCACAAAATTGGGCAGAACGGTAGCAGAGCGTGCTTGTGTTTTGATCGGGATCTGTCGTTCGCCGGCCTTTGCTCGCGCAATGGGGAGGCTTTGCACGCTTAGTCCATCTGTGGGGAGACTCGTAGGGTGGCTTACGGCAGGATATTGGGTCCTACGGGAGTTGTTAGTTGGAGGCTCAGCGCTCGGACGGAAGTTATGTGTACCTTTCCAAACAGATCGCGCGCAGAGCGCCCTCGTGGGAAACATTGTGATGGGCTGCGCTGATGTGAGGTCGGAGTTTACTCTCAATTTCTTCCGGACTGCGTCACATGAAGACGCGGTGACGCTAGCTAGAACCCCAGCACTAGCTTCAGGCGGCAGGCGGGCAAGTCGCGTCGCGCAACTATGTGAGCGTGCGTCCAGCTGCTGTTACTTCCACCCAGTAAACACAGGTATTCCTCTCAATTGAGTCGTCGTCGGTGCAATCCACAGAGCAGGCTGACGATCTTGCACCAGACACAATGGCGCTACGAGCGCAGGGCATCCGGCGGGGTGAGTGTGCAACATGCACGTTAAAATAGACAAGCTGACCGATATGTAGGTGCTGATACCATTCGCATACTCGTCGCCACAGACAGTCACGTTGGCTACAACGAACGCGATGCGCACCGCCAGGACGACAGCTGGAAGACCTTTGACGAGGTTATGTCGCTAGCAAAGGAGCATGACGTCGACATGGTGCTCCACGCTGGCGATCTGTTCCATGAGAACAAGCCATCACGGAAGTCGATGTACCATGTTATGCGCTCCATTCGCCAGAATTGCCTGGGAGAAAAGCCTTGCGAGCTGGAGATGCTCAGTGATGCAAGCGAGAACTTTGGTGGCATCTTTGATCACGTCAACTACGAAGACGAAGACATCAATGTGGCTATACCGGTATTTGCAATACATGGCAATCACGATGACCCTTCTGGTGAAGGATCGTTCTCACCGCTGGATTTACTGCAAGCGTCTGGCCTGGTCAACTACTTTGGACGAACTCCAGAGGTTGATAAGATTGCGGTCAAGCCGGTGCTTCTCCAAAAAGGCCGCACAAAGCTCGCATTGTACGGTCTCAGCAACGTGCGAGATGAACGGTTGTTCCACACATGGCGGGACGGCAACGTCAAGTTCTTCCAGCCAGGCACACAGAAGGATGAATGGTTCAATATTATGAGTGTCCATCAGAACCACCACGCACACACGTCAACCAGCTACTTGCCAGAGAACTTCTTGCCTGATTTCATGGATCTCGTCGTCTGGGGTCACGAACACGAGTGCCTGATTGACCCACGCCACAACCCTCAAATGGGATTCTATGTGATGCAGCCAGGCTCTTCTGTTGCTACGTCTTTGATGCCTGGAGAAGCCGTACCCAAGCATGTTGCTATTTTAAGCATCACCGGCAAAGAATTCACATGCGAGACTATACGTTTGAAGACGGTTCGGCCTTTCATCATGAAGGAAATTGTGCTGGCGGAAGAAAAGGAAATCAAAGAGAAAGAGTTGTGGCGATCGTCAGACAACCGTGCGAAGATCACACAACACCTTAATCAAATCGTGGAGGACCTGATAGAGCAGGCTAAGAGTGATTGGCTGGAGCTGCAGGACGATCGCGACGACAACGAGGACATAGAAGTCCCTCGACCTTTGGTGCGCTTACGTGTAGAGTACACTGCCCCTCAACCAGGCGAATTCAACGTCGAGAACCCACAGCGCTTCTCAAACCGCTTTATGGATCGCGTTGCAAATGTCAATGACGTTGTCCAGTTTCACCGCAAGAAAAAAGCGCCCACTCGTAAGTGCACTGCCACTCATTCGCGTGTCGAGTTCTGACCAAGATGAAGGAACACCCAAAAACAGCGCCGAGATGCCGGCTGAGAATGTCATGGCCGAGATCACACTCAGCACTGTGGGAGTAGACAAACTTGTTAAAGAGTTTCTTACAGCACAGTCATTGACCATCCTGCCGCAAAACTCGTTTGGCGATGCCGTGTCGCAGTTTGTGAACAAGGACGACAAACATGCCATGGAGCAATTCGTAAACGAGAGCCTGAAAAATCAACTGAAGCATCTGATGGAAACGAACGAAGTCGATGAGGAGGACATTGTGAACGAGATGGAGCAGCATCGATCGCAACTGGAAACCCTTTTCGCGTCTGGTCAGCTCAAGAGAGCCCGTAAGTCGAAGACCAATCCAAAGCCTGCCACGTGGGATAGTGAGGATAATGGTTCGTGGAATGACCAGCCGGGAGCCTTCGTAGCTTCGGACCACGAAGATGAGAAAGATGGCGATGGCCTAGGCTCGATACCGACTCGAAAGCTTGGTCGTGCAAAAGCTGCTGTGACGACACGTCGACCTGCAGCGACCAAAAAGACAGCTGCAGTTACGAAGGGCACACGCGGTCAGAAGAAGGTCGTGGAGGAAGAGGAAGAGGAAGAGGAAGACGGCGACGTAGTCATGATTAGCGACGAGGATGAAGAGAGTGCAGAAGAATTGTTTGTTAAGCCAGCAAAGAAAACATCCGCGAAGAAAGCTGCGCCAACGAAAGCACCAGCTGGGCGGAAATCACCTGTCAAAGTCTCGGCATCAACGCGGACGCGAACACCAGCGGTGAGCAAGCAAACTACGCTGAATTTCTCTCAACCTTCCACACAACGCAGTCAACCTACACGAGGTGCTGCTTCACGGGGAAAGAAGGCTGCTGAGCCTGTAAGTAACCCTCGTGGATCAAATGTGGAACAGTGACGCTAACGTCCTTGCAGAGCGACGACGAGATATCCGATGATGACGATGCATTCGAGCCCGCGCCGACTACCAGAGCCACTCGCAGGAGATGATGTCTTCGTGTTGGCTGATAGGAGCTAAAGCCGGTGGGCGATGCACTACAACTTTTAGCTTGGCATTGTGTGTCTGCATAGCAATGGCGCATATGAAGAGTCCGTAGCCTGATACCCATACACTGCTTGTTCAGGGACCCTTCATGCATACATGTAAAAGTCACGCCGATGCTCTATATGTGGTTTTGGTGGCTTCTGCATACGCCTTCGCTGTGTATCTTGTTTCCAAGCAGAGATCCAACTTGACCGTGCGCCTTCTTGGTGTCTGCCTTTGTTGGGGCAGTCGCGTCCGTCTAATATCCTTCGAGCTTGACCCCGGACCAGTCTATCCTTCTTTAGCTTTTCTGTCCCATCCACGCTTTCCCGGGTAGCACTGCCAATACGTAACGTTCAGGGGAGGTGCTGCAGAATGCTAGCCAAAACCTTCAGTTCCTTGCTCCGTCCTTCCCATCTCATCACACACTCATTCGTCTTCCATTTTCTTGTCCGTCTTCTTTCGTGTTGCGGGCCTTCAGCTTTTTGGATAGCTGCCACTCCTTCGCTCTGTGACTGCCCTTGGATCAGTCTGAGGTTTGTTGTCACCGCCACCGTAGCCATGCCACTATTCCGCAACGAACGAAGATGTGGGCTAACGAGTTCTTCAGCATAATCGCATTGCACCATCCCACATTTTGCTTGTCTAGACTGTGCTACAAGTGTATCCGACTAGGCCATCGGTCCACCGCGAACGCGCACAGGGTGGCGAGGCTTCCGTCATGGCACCCGCATACAAGGTGGAAGAACTACTTGCTCTACGCGACTCTGTATCTGAGTCGGCTGTGTCACTGGACAAGTTTGCGGACGAGGACGTGATCAAAGGTGAGCATTGACCATGCCTTCACCTTCACCTTCACCTCACTGGCCTGCAGCCATCGTTTCCTGCATAAATCTCACTCAAGCCTGTCTTTATCACATCTTCTTCTCTCCTCTCACCGTCTCTTCGTCCATACCTTGCCATTTGAGACACAGATATTGACGCAACTGCAAGAACACGTCCTACGTCCTTCTGCATCTGCGCAGTTGATAGGGCGCAGGTCCGACAGAAGCTTGCGAACGTTCGTACCCAGAGCAGCTGCGCTTGAACCACCCCGCGAGATCACGCCAGAACTCGTGCCAGTGCCAGTGCCAGCATCAGCGGCAGCTTACAAACGGCCTTCGCCATCTCCATCGGTGAAGCGTGGCAAAGCCGAACAACTTCTCAAGCAACACGGCAGTCCACCCGGTTTGCGAGTAACAGCGGGCGGGCGCATTGTACCAGGCGATCTTCCACCACTAGGTCTTCGGCCAAGCTTCAACATTTACAACCCTCAGGCCATACGCGCTGTGCCCAACAATACCATGGCTGCGCATCCACAATCTTTCCCAAATAATACAGCTCGTATCGAGGTCGTCGGTGGTCAGCCCATCATTGTGGTTGGTGATCGCATGTTTGCCCTTCCCACAGTCAATAGCGGATCTTCAATGCCCACATCAACGCCACCGGCCGATGAAGGCTTGACGAAGCAGGACAACGGAAGTGCTTCCTTACCTGGCCAGGCTACATTGTCTGGAATGCCGTTCAATCCTCCGCGTTCCAACGCCCCAACACCGTTTGCAGGACTGGATCTTCCATCACTCAGAGCTCAACAAACGGCAAAGAAACAAGAGCTCCGAACCCTGGAACAAACGGAAGTGTTGCAGTCTGGACACCAGAATGAAGCCTGGCGAGCCAACATAATTGAGCAGAAAAGGGCTCTGATCGTTGAGCTTGACACGCTGCGCAAGCACGTTGCAGCCCTTGAGTCGGATCCGGCGACTGCAAACTCACAGAAGGCTTCAACAACTCCAGTCGGCGCAGTTGTGGCACCAGCGCCTCTGCCGTCGTTCATGCCACCATACCATCAGCCGCTCACTCAGCCTGTGTATGGCTACACTGCAACGGATCCATATGCCCCAATGATGATGTACCCGCCTTTCGAACCCTTCTCTGGCTTTCCGAGTGTGGACCCAGCACCATTCGTTCCTCCTCCTACGAACTCACTTGCGCACTCTCCGGGGTCGACCAATCGAAGGTCGCGTGCCATTGAGATCAAAGCCCCCAATGAAGAGTCTAAGAAGCAAGCATGGTCCGTTCTGGATCCAAAGAGTCCAACGTATGAGCCGAAAGACAGGCCAACCAAAGACATTGTTCCTCCTACGCCCTCGCCAAACAAGCGCCCACCCTGGCATCGGCAAGAGATACCACAGTCTGATACGCGAATGGACCACACGCTATCTCATCAACCTAGCTTGTCGAGTGTGGACACCACCGATTTCTTCCCCACAAACACTCATGAGCATTCGTCGACCCGAGTGGCTCCAGCGACCAGTGTGCCTCAGCCAAACCAGGACGAGAATAGGACTGTCCCTGCAACACCCGAGAAGAGCTGGCCTGCTAGTCCTTGGAACGAGAGCAGTGCAAGCCAGTCGAGGAACATCGAGCCGGCACCGAAGATTGGATCTTGGCCGGAAGCATTTGGGAAACCGCAATCTCTCTCACCTCTAAAGCAAGAAGCTGCAAATCAAGCCCCTACGTCCGCTCAGACTCGTACCCTGCAAGCAAGTGGCAACCTGCACACTACCTCAAACATTATGCTTAGCCAGGATCGTCCTCAGCATCGAGCTATATCAGAGGAACCATGGCCTTTCAACATGCTCAAAGCAGTATCACATGCCCCATCCACCTACCAAGAAGGCTTCCAAGCCGGATACGATCACTTTGGCATGCCTGACAACCCCGAAGTGTTGCAAGGATGCATCCAAGGTCTCCTGACTTTCTTGGCCGACTCCTTGAACAGTCGTCGTAGCAGTGCATCTGGTCGTGGGTCGCAAACAGGTAGTATCGACTCTCGCACACCTTCGTTGCACGGCCTTGTGGCTAGTTCTATGCCTCACGATTCTGCTGCCAGTATGTCAATCAGCCGGACTGAGGCTCGAGTTGGCAGCCAAGAGAATGTACGTACCAACCAGGGCAGTACAACTGCGAGCTCTCGTCGAGACTCTGCCTACAGCCCTCAAGGCACCATGCGCAATGCTCCAGCGCCGTATGCTCATGGCGTCAACTTGGTACACGAGTCACGACAAGCGAGTGAGCTTTCCACGCGATATCCCAATCCTACCGGCTTAATACCAGAGAGAATGGCCAAAGATCATCGAAACGTCCCATCGCATCTCAGCCCCGAGTTTGAGACGGGCAAAACATTGGAGAAAGGTACTGCGCCCCGCTCCTCTGTGCATGCGGCGAACAACGTTTCCAGCCGTCAGTTCTTGGGCAACCAGCTCACCGATCGTACGAACATGAACCCACAGACTTTACAACGCTTCTACCCAATCCACAAGGAGGTTGGCCCTAGCGGACTCGGTGGAGGTAGCATACCTTCAGCTCGGCTCTTCGCTAACAACCGCGTCTCAGGGCTGGACGGTGCCATGGATGATCTGGTTGATTTGGTCATGGAGACGAGCGTTGATGGTCACGGTCAATCAGTTAGGCGTTCTGCGCAACCAAGTGGAGCACCAACCTCTGCTGAAGTCGAGGACACGGGTGCGTCCTGCTTCAAGGCTTCAGGTGGAAAAGGGAAGCAGAAGACAGTGTCCTCACCAGCCAAGGGAACTGGATCTGCACCAGATACGACAGCATCGTCTCAAGCCAACGCGCCAGGTTCGCCGAAGAAGTCTGGCGAACATTCGCCGGCCAAAGCGAAGCTCGAACAGGTCACCAACAGGTTCAGGCGCTCAAAAAAGGATGAGACTCGTGGCATCTCTTCAGAGGAGAAGAGTAAGCGTTCAGAGAAATGGCGGAAGCGTTTTGACGCTCTCAAGCAGACCGAAAGGGCTGAAATCGAAGGTTACCGCGAGGAAGAGAGTCGCAGGAACGGGGGCCGGCGCTGAACGATTTATTTGATACACGCTATCACTTTGGCAAGGCCCGAATGTCTGCTTCGCGTCAAGCTTCGATATCATCTACTTCCGGTCATGATACGTCCTCGCCAGGCTGTACGTGGTTGGGGAGGCGGGCCATTGGCCTGTCATTCGATCATGGCTCCTACGGCGTACATCAAGATATTTCAGATTGCATACAGAGTTTACGGCGTTGTTGCGAGCAGTCACTACGCGAGTATTGGTAAGGGGCGGTCGTGGATGTTGGGATGGCGTGAGTTGTCCCACTGGGGTCAGACTTGGAGCGTCATCCTGTTCATTCGATGGCGTGAGCAGGGTTTCGACGATGGCATCCAGTTAGGACGAGTAGATTAATGACTTTGCATAGCATAATGAACATGATTCGAAATGCTCCAGTAAGCCGTGAGGTTGGTAATGATGTTGCTCGGACATTACAATTGCAGCCGAGCGTGACCAGGGGCTGAAGCTTCCCCAAGTCGGGCGGCTCCCAAACCAGTCTAGTGCTGGACAGTGGTCGAGCACGGGTGAATTGGCGGCTATGGCCACCCGACCCAGCTGCCGGCAGTGCAGAAGATGCAGGTAGGCAGGCGTGTGGAGGCAAGAGGCAAAGGGAGAGTGCAGCAACGCGACGCGGGCAGGCCAGGATGTGCGGCGAGCGGGCACGATGACGTGCGAGGGCAGTTGTTTGCTGATAAATCGAGGTTGGTGCTGGTGGGGGAGGTGCCGGCTGGAGGCTTCGGCGAGGCGCAGTGGATCGTGGACGCGGAGGGCGGACGAGCACGCAGAAGGCTGCTCAGGCCAGCGTTCGCCAGGCCGGGGACAGCAGACTGCACTCTGGCAGCGCCGGCAGCGCAGCGCAGACGTGCTCGTCGGCACCCTGCTTGCGGCTCGCTCCGGACGCGCTCGCTGTGCACTGCACCGCTGCTCGAGGGTGCAGCTACACGCGGCTTCCAGCTAGGCCCGTCCAGTGCCAGGCCCCGCTCCCCTACGACGATTCGCCGCTGCCTGTGGCCAGCGCCGCCCGTTGCGAGCAGGCAGGCCGGGGACGGGCCCTACTTCACTGCGCCGTGCCCACCGCCCATCGCCCGCGAAGGCCACGCTGCCCGCTGCTCTGCTTCTGCCTCTGCCTGCCCTGCCTGCCGCTGCCTGTCCGCCTGTCGTGCTCGCTGCTCGCACTGCCCGTTGCGCGCCGCCGTCCCGCCTGCACGTCCGCGCCGCGACGTTCGCTCGAGGCGCACCGCCGCCGCTCCAGCCACAGACGCCGGCGAGCCCTGGCACGACCACCCCCAGGCTGGCCATGGCCCACTGACCACGCACGACACCACCACCACGCCCACGCCCACGCCCGCCGCTGCCCGACCGCCTGCGCGCTGCCCTGCCGCCGCTGCCCTGCCGCTCCCCCTGCGCCGCCGCCCCGGCCATGACGCAGCTCTTCAGCTCCTCGACCAACGCCGCCATGACGGAGAAGCGCACCTTCTCCGGCAACCCGCTGTCCACCAACAAGCCCGTCAACGCCAAGGACGGCCAGGTCTCGCAGCGTATCAAGAACTTCTTCCGCATCAACAGCAGCGCCGACCCGCGCAAGCACTCGGACGAGGTCAATGGCACCCACACCCCCAAGAGCGAGAAGACGGGCTCGCGCCACTCGCGCTTCCTGCCGCACATCTCCCGCAACCGCTCGACCACCGTCACGAGCGAGGGCAACCCGCTCGACGACGCCGTGTCGCCGACCGCCCATGCCAACCCCTACTTCCAGCACCAGGGGCCCCCCGCCCTGCGCCACCACAACGAGGGTAGCGTGCCCTCCACCCCGCCCGACACGCCCGGTATACCAACCACCAAGGTCGACGCCGTCAGCGGCGTGAACGACCAGGCCACTGCCGCCGGGAAGGAGGAGCTGGCGCGGAAACTGCGAAGGGTCGCGTCCGCACCCAATGCGCAGGGCCTCTTCTCCTCGGGCAAGTCCGCAGAACGGCCACAGACCGCAGAGTTGGCCAAGCAGCCGGTCCTGCTGCATCCCAATTCCTCGACGCTTAGCATGGTCGAGACCGCACAGCACGACAACGACCACTTGTCTCCTATAGACGTGTCCAAGGGCATTCCCACCCCCGGCCAGATCCGCCAGTCAGTGGCTTTCCGGAGAACATACAGCTCCAACTCGATCAAGGTCCGCAACGTAGAAGTCGGACCGGGCAGCTTCGACAAGATCAAGCTGATCGGCAAGGGCGACGTTGGCAAGGTGTACTTGGTGCGAGAGAAGAAGTCAAGTCGGCTTTATGCCATGAAGGGTGAGTGCGATTGGTTGACCGAGGCGGGCGATACTAACTATCTACAGTGCTAAGCAAGAAAGAGATGATTAAACGTAACAAGATTAAGCGTGCATTGGCCGAGCAGGAGATTCTGGCCACCAGCAACCACCCCTTTATTGTTACCCTGTACCATTCGTTCCAGTCGGAAGACCACCTCTATCTTTGCATGGAATACTGCAGTGGTGGCGAGTTCTTCAGGGCACTCCAAACCCGACCGAACAAGTGCGTGGACGAGGATGCAGCGCGCTTCTATGCAGCCGAGGTTACGGCTGCATTGGAATATCTGCATCTCATGGGCTTCATTTATCGTGACCTGAAACCCGAGAGTACGTTTGTCCACCCCGAAACGGAATCCAACGCTAATAACCTCAGACATTCTCCTGCACCAGTCTGGTCACATCATGTTGTCCGACTTCGATCTGTCGAAACAGTCAGAACCCGGCGGTCGCCCGACGATGATCCTCAGCGGCCGCAACGGCACTTCTTCGAGCAACCTGCCAACGATAGACACGAAGTCGTGTATCAACAACTTCCGTACAAATTCGTTTGTCGGGACGGAGGAGTACATTGCTCCCGAGGTAATCAAGGGCTGCGGACACACTAGTGCTGTCGATTGGTGGACGTTGGGTATCTTAATCTACGAGATGCTGTACGGAACAACCCCTTTCAAGGGCAAGAACCGCAACGCAACGTTTGCCAATATCTTGAGGGACGAGGTGCCCTTCCCCGAGGGCTCTGGCGCACCGCCGGTCTCCAAGTAAGTAAAGTGTAGTTGTCTCTAGGGAAATGCTAACAACAAGAAGCCTCTGCAAGTCGCTCATTCGCAAACTTCTCATCAAGGACGAGACTCGACGACTCGGATCTCGCGCTGGAGCGTCTGACATCAAGACGGCACCTTTCTTCCGCACTACACAATGGGCGCTGCTCCGTCACTCGAAGCCCCCCATTATTCCCCATCAAGGCCATGGCATCGAGACACCCAACTTCAGAAATGTCAAGGAGAGCCAGAGTGTTGATATTGGTGTGACGAAGATCAAAGGTGTACCACTGGACTCTGGTCTTGCGACTCCGATGGGCGAGATAGCGGATCCTTTTGAAGAGTTCAACAGTGTTACCCTACACCACGATGGCGATGACCACAGCCACGCGGTGACGGATCATGAGCACCTCGCGCAACAGAACTCGGGATCGAGGTAGTACTAGTCGTGTTTCGAGACAGGCCTGCATTTAGTTTCTACATTGCGACAGGGGAGGCGCTCTGATGCGTTTCTCAGCTGCACTCATTTACTACAGCTGATAGACATCGGAATCTTCTCACGCAACGGCGTTTGTTGGAGCATTTACCGCAGACGGTTCAGGCAGACGAGAGTCGCTGGGCGTCGTGTAAAATTCGTTGGCGTTGGTATTTATTAAGAGCGTTCATTGTTAGTCGATTTCCTTACAGTCAAGGACTAGTCACGGTGGACTTATTAGCCGCAGGGGGAGTGTGTTGTGCACGGCAGATAGCAATAGCAGGCATAAGATGCATCGCGGGTTTTGTGAACGAGTGATGTATGGTCGTCGTCCACAGCGCCAAGAAACGCGAGTCAAGCCATCGGAAGAACGTCGCGACTTCCCCGCGCCCCGAGTCGCGTTGCGTGCCGCGACAATCAACACCGCAGCCACACAGTACGCGAACAGTCCGCGCCCGTCCAGCATGGCCGACACGCACAACTTCCACGCCTCCACGGCGTCGCACCAGGGCGGCTTCGACGACGACGAGACGCTGTCCCCGCTCGAACAAGAGGTTCTCGACGAATACGCGCGTCTGCTCGGCAACCTCAACGACGTAGGTCCCTCTCTGTCACTGCACCTACACCACTACACCACTACATCCCCCCTCTCTGTCGCCGCACACTACACCCCCCCTCCTCCGTCACTGCACCCCCAACCCCTCCCTGCACAAGCCAGTGACTGACCCGCCCCACCGCACAGATGAGCACTCTCCTCAGCGACCTCAGCGACCAGCCCAGCGCGGCGATTCTCGACGGCCTGCGCGGGCTCGAGCGCAAGACGAGTCTGGTTTTCACGCTGCTGAAGGCGAGTGTGTATAGTATTGTGCTGAATCAGCAGATTCAGGATAATGGGCATGAGGCGGAGGGGGAGGGGGAGGGGCAGGGGGAAGAGGGGTGGGCGGGGTAGTGGGGGGTGGTGGGAGAGAATAGAGGGGATTGTGCTGGGCAGCGGGTGTGGGACTGCAGGACGACGTGGTGGTTGAGGCGAGGACAGACACGAGACTACAGGGCGACGTGGTGGTCGAGCCAGAGACAGACACGAGACTACAGGACGATGTGGTCGTCCAGACGAGAACTGCAGACACGAGACTACAGGACGATATGATACCCCGGAAGTAGATGTATAATACAGATTTCTACAATGCAAATGCGACACGACTCCGCCATGCTCCGTCTAGTGCTACATCGGTTCATATGGCACACACAGCATGCGCGCAGCCCTGCACCCAGGCCGGTTCCACGTGAGGGTGCTTCGTGCTCGGCGCTCGGTGCTCAGTACTCAGTACTTAGACTCAGCACTCAGCACTCTGTACTCAGATTCAGACTCAGACTCAGACTCAGTGCACGCTGCCGCCGTAGTAGACCTTGCGAGCGTCGACCAGCTTCTTGCCGCGGGCGCGTGCTATCTCGTCGGGCAGGCGCTGCTCGGTCAGGGCTTCCCAGGTGGCCTTGATGACGTTCATCTTGTTGCGCGAGCGCGGGGTGCGGGCAGCGAGGTCCTGCAGGCCGGCGGCGCGGGCCATTTCGAAGATCAGGTGCTGGGTGCGCAGACCGAAGCCTGGGGGGGTTAGCGGGCAGAAACATGGCAGCAGGGAGTGTGGCTTACCGGGCGGGCGGGCGAAGAGCTGGACCTTGGTGGCGCCGACCTTGCGCTCCAGGTCGCCAAAGGTGGTGCGGTTCTCGTAGCGCGGCACGGGCTTCATGTTGCGGATGGCCGACATGACGCTCTGCTTGCGGCCCTCCTCGGGCTCGACGCTCTTGCCCTCGCCGACGCCGAGCAGGCCGTCCTGGTTACCCGCAATGGTCAGATAGTACATGCTGCGGATCTTGCCCATGCGCGTCTGGTTGGTGACGCCGTGGGCGACGAGCGTCTTGGTGCGGATCTTCCGCAGCTGCGGCTTGCCCCAGCCCATGTACTGCAGCAGGCGCTGCTCGCGCGGGTCCTCCTCCTGCTCGTCGCCGGAGCGGCGCGTCTGGCGGGCCATGCGGTTCTCGAGGCGCGGCAGGTCGGGCGCGATGATGGAGTGGCGCGGGTCGGCCAGGGCGGCCAGCACGGCCGGGTTCTTGCTGGTGTACGACGAGCGCGGGTCGAGGGCGGCCTGGGTCAGGGCGGCCTCCATGGCCTCCTGCAGCTGCGCCTCCTGGGCGGGGTCCAGCTGGCCCTCGGGGATGCCGTCGGGGTACATCTTGGCGAGCTGCTCCGACGCGACGCGGGCCATGTTGGCGCTGCGCTCGTACTCGTTGGCCGGCCGCTTGGTGATCTTGCCGGGCAGGTCGGCGCCCGTCAGCTTCTCGGCGTGGTCCGTCACGGGGTCGACCTCGGCCATGGTGTCGGCGTACGGCAGCCGCCAGCGGTCGGAGCGCGGCGCGCCCTGCGTGTAGAGGTCGCGCGGGTCGATGGCCGCCTCGGCCGCGCGGATGGCCGCCAGCTGCGCGGGCGTGTACTGCTGCTCCAGCAGCCGCATCTCGGCCGCGTCGTACGGCGGCGCCTCGCCCGCCGCCAGCTCGTCCAGCTGCTGCAGCTCAGACGCCTTGAGCGATGCGTAGTGCGGCCGCCGCCGGCGCGCTGCGTGGGCCGCCGATGCGTGGAAGGCGCGGGTGCTGGAGGCTGCTGGGGCGCTGGCCGTCGCTCGCGCGAAGAGGCATCGCGCGGGCCGGCAGACGCTCATTGTGCGGGCCGCCGTGGCAATTGGGCCCGGAGGGAGTGCGGGGGCGCGGGGGGCGGGCGGCTGCGGTGCTGCGGTGCGCGGTGCGTCGCTGCGGGTGCGCTGCGGGTGCTCTGGTGGTGCGGTGCGTCTCTGCGTGCTGCCGTCCGGCCTGCGGTGAAGTTCGACCCTAGCCAGCCCGTGCGGCAAAAGTTGCGCCCGCCAATCGCCGCCATGCCCTTCTCGGTGACTAAAGTGAACGACAACTTTTCTGCGAGCACCGCGCTGCATGTTCCCCTGCGCGCTGCCACGACTGCTGCGGACGCTTGGGACTAGCCGGCGCCTTCTACACACAGCACGATCCGGCATGGCTTCAGCGCCCGACAGCGCCGCCCCGCGCGCCGCCAACGGCGCAAAGCGGCTCTTCGAGACGCCCTTGAGGAGCGAGGAAGGGCCCCGCGGGAGCTACCGCTTCAAGAACAAGAGGATGCGCAACGGCCATGCCGTCGGCAGCCAGATCCTGCAGACAAACGGCAGCACCGAAGAAGTGCTGCTGCAAGACGTCACGGCCCTGGTCCAGAAACTCCACCTGGAGCGGCCCGGCACAGACACTGCGGTAGCACTCCCTGAGAAGCTCAGCGAAATCGAAGTGACCATCAGGGAGCTGTCGTCCACCGGCGACGGTCTTGGCTTCCAAGAGGGCTCCGACTCGGACCAGGTGTATGCCGTGCCCTTCACAGCGCCGGGCGACACCGTCACAGCCAAGATCTTCAAGCACTTCGAGAAGGAGAAGTACTCCATGGCCGACTTCGTCAAGGTCAGCAAGCCTTCCCCGAGCCGCGACGACTCGCTCGTCAAGTGTCCGTACTTCTCCAAGTGTTCTGGGTGCCAGTTCCAGATGCTCCCCTACGACTACCAGCTCCAGCACAAGAAGTCCATTGTCGAGCGCGCGTACAAGAACTTCTCCAATCTGCCACCCCATCTCATCCCCACCATCGGCGACACCATCGGCTCACCGCTCCAGTATGGATATCGCACCAAGCTCACGCCTCACTTTGACGGGCCTCCAGATTCGCGGCGCAGCGATGGGCGTAATGGCATCAAGCGCTCCTTCCAAGAGGTCCCCGCCATTGGCTTCATGAGGAAAGGAACGCGCATCACCATGGACATTGAGGATTGCCCCATTGGCACCGACGCCGTCCGGGCAGGCAACAAGCGCGAGCGCAAACGAGTCGTCGACACACTGTCGTCCTTCCACAAAGGCGCCACCATTCTCCTCCGCGAGAACACCCAAAGAATCCCCAAAGACACACACGACCCTGCCGTCGAAAAGGAAGACGCCGACGCAGTAGACGAGGACAGAGGCACGCACATCCACCGCAAAACATGCGTGACGGATCCCAATGCGCGAACAACCGAATACATCGACGACTTCCAGTTCGTCAATCCCGCGGGCTCCTTCTTCCAGAACAACAACTCGATCCTCCCCCCCTTCACACAGTACATCCGCGAGCACATCCTGCCCCAGGACCCCGGGCACAAGATCCGCCACCTCATCGACGCATACTCCGGGTCTGGCCTGTTCACCATCACGCTCAGCGCGCTGTTCACAAGCAGTCTGGGCATCGACGTGAGCTCGTCGAGCATCAAGTCGGCGACCGAGAACGCGGCACTCAACGGCCTGACACCCGACCGCGCCCGCTTCATCGCCGCCGACGCGAGCCAGTTGTTCGCGTCCATTACCTCGCCTGCCGACGAGACGGTCGTCATGCTCGATCCGCCGCGCAAGGGCTGCGATGAGTCGTTTCTGCGCCAGCTGGTGCAGTACCGGCCCGCGCGGGTCGTGTACGTGAGCTGCAACGTGCACACGCAGGCACGCGATATCGGGGTGCTGGTTGGGGGGATGAAAGGCGTTGACGGGGGGTGTGGAGTCGGAGAGGGCTGCTACGAGCTGGAGTCACTGCGAGGCTTTGACTTCTTCCCGCAAACGGGGCACGTCGAGGGCGTTGCTGTGCTCAAGAGGAAGGAGTCAACAAAAGTGGAAAAAGAGACAGGGCAGAGTGGTGGCTCGTAGATGTGGTCTTGGCATACTGTACTCGAGAGCTACTTCGTCAATGGTGCGCCGCCCATGTATGGCCAGCAGCCATTTATTCACTGTCACGGTTGATATGGCCGCGGCGTGCCGACAGAGACTGGGATTGAGTAAATTGTATCTTAGATTGAATGCAGTTATCGCTCCCAGGCTCACCACACTTCTCAACTGGCACGGCCACATTCTCAAGCTCAAATATTTAGGTACTGCCCGGCCCACCCAGTAGTGCAAATCGTCGGACGATGCTGGGGCCGATCTCATCGTACTCCGCCTTAGTATGGCAGTAACTTCTGAACTCGGGCGTTTGGCCAAGCAAAGATCCACCAAACCATGGGCCGTGTCTTTGCCTCTTGTGTGTAATGACCTGTACGTCCAGACCGCCGCTCTTGGCGCCTCCGCTGCGTGCTTCCGAAGCCTTGATGCGCGCGTCAACCAAGTGCCTGATGTCGCGCTGCAGGCGGCGACCAAAGTCCTTGTACAAAGTGGAACCGCCGGACAGAACAATGTTCTTGTACAATCCTCTTCGTACATCGATGGGCGAGGTCTGGATGACATTGTCGACGATGGTGGGGAGGGGAGTGAGGAAGTCGGACGAGTAGATCTCGGGGTTGAAGAAGATCTCAGGGGCAAGGAAGCGTTCGTAGCCGACGTCGACCGTCGTCGTCTTTCCGTTCGCGTACGTGACCGTGTGCTGCTTGAACCTGTCGTCGGATTCGCGATCGTAGCGCGCGAACTCCTTGACTATGTCTGGGCAGACGTAGCAGTACTCCTCCTTGATGCGCTCAGCAGTGGCAAGAGAGGAGTCTGCCTCTCCACGCTCTCGGAGCAGCGATTGCACAAATTGCGTGATGTCGCGACCAGCAATTGGCACGCTCTTGATCGACGAGCCAATGACGTAGCCTTCGGCGACAGGAATAACGTGGGTGACACCGGCGCCGGAATCGATGACAGTTCCGGTCAGCGATCGGTCCTGAACCTTGGAGCTGGTCCAGGAGGCGGCGAGGGCGAGGACAGCCTGCACAGCGATGTACAGGCCAGCGACGTTGAACGACTCGAACATGATCTCGGCAGTGGCCTCGCGGTTCTCCGGGGGGTTCAGTGGCTATATTGGCGTCAGCTCAGGCGTGCTGGACGGCACGGCGGGCGGGCTCACAGGCTCAGTCAGGAGGAAGTGGTGATCCTCGGGCTCGACGCGGAGGTACTTGAAGATGGAGTTGGACCAGAAGCGCTCCATGAGATCCTGCCGGGGGTTAGCACAGCACGCAGGCCAGAACTGGTCGCATGCATACCCAGTTGTCGATTTGACCATGGCGGATGGGGTAGTTGATGCCATAGCCGGAGCCTGCGGCGGCCGAGAGAGCTTCGTCGCCGATGAAGAAGTCCAGGTCCTCGGTGCCACGCTTCCCGGACAGGTGGCCGCCGGGGCCCGCGCCGCCGGTCAGGTACGAGGGCTTGTTTGCAACGGCAGGGCGGCCGGAGCCGGAGCTGCCGCCGCCGCCTGTTGGGCCACGCGTGGCTATGGCGGTGGGGAAGACGAAGGAGGGGGAGTCGTTGCCGGCGAAACCTAGAGCAGGCTGTTACTATGGGCGGTACCAGGCACAGGCGGGCGTCTCATACCGAGCTTCGAGTATCCCGTACCGCTGCAGTCACCCGTCAGTACTCAATCGCACGCATCGCCCGGACTCTGGAGCTTACTTGTCCATGACAACGGCGGGGGTTTGGGACGCCATCGTGGGTATGTGGGGAGGGCTGCTCGTGCGCTCGGGCTGTAGGGAGGGAGGGGCCCGCTGGCAGTTCTTCGCGTGCGCAGAGGGGGCGGCGGGTGCAGTAGTGCGGTGGTGGTCGTGGGATGAGGTTGCAGTGTGTGGGTAGCTGCGCAGCTGCTCCGAATCAGGCACCGCCGCGCCAAGGGCGGAGCGGAGCCTGGTGGCGGGGAACCTGAGCGGGCCCTGAGCTCGACACCGGCATGCTCGTGCCTTCCTGTCTCAGGTTATAGAGCCAATGCCATGCCCTTCGCGCCGCAACGAGTGCCCGTTTGCTGCACGGCCAGAGACGCTCGCGGGGAAGGAGCTGCCGTCAACACTGCCAACGCGGCCGCACCATTGACTTCTCCTAGACCGTACTGACCACCAGCGCACCCACATCGCTCACCACCACGCCGCCCCACAGCGGAAGCCTCCCAGCGCGGATACAACTTTCATTAATCGTCATTCTTCTCTCCTCCTACTCTCACGTGCCGTTCATCTTTTACCTACGCCCTCCTCAATTCCGACCTAGCACTGCCTCTCATGAGCACCTGACCTCCTCACTTACAACAGCACGCCAGACACACTCACTTGCTAGCTACCAGAGCTCTGCCTTAAAGTCGCGTCTTAGCCAGACTTACTGAAATCTGGGTCCGCGATTACAGAACTTGCGTCGACACTTCCCCTTTGCCAAGGATATGTCGACTCCCAATGGGCACTTCAATGGGGCCATGCCTGCTGAGCCAGTCTCGCGGAGAGCGACACGTAGCCCGCCGCCCGCCGACGAAGTATGCGCAATATATGTCCATGCTGGCGCTGGATATCACAGCCATCAGAACGAGCGGATTCACCTGGAAGCTTGCAACGAGTAGGTGCTCGAATCGACGGTCCTGCCGGGCTGCTGGAGAAGACGGCTGACGAAAGGTAGTGCTGCTGCCATTGGAATGTGCATCATGAAGAACGGCGGCTCCGCGGTAGATGCTGTAGAAGCTGCCATCAAGTTGCTCGAGGACCGGGAGATCACCAACGCTGGCTACGGAAGCAACCTCGCCATGGACGGAGTGGTAGAATGTGACGCATCGATCGTGGACCACTTTGGCCGCAGTGGCGCGGTCGGCGCCGTAGCTCGTGCGTACAAGCGGACACCTGCAACGTAGACACTGACGAGGCCAGAGATCAAAAACCCCATCTCATTAGCACGGCTTGTCTACGAGCATACTAGTAAGACGTTGACCCTGCGACGCGTTCCACCAAATCTTCTTTGCGCCCAGGGAGCGACTGAGTTTGCCGCGGAACTAGGCATGCCCGTCCTTCCCCATGATGCGCTTGTTTCTCCGGCTGCAAAAGAACGGTGGCTTCGTTGGAGAGCCGATCTAAAGAATGCTGAACGTAAGGCGAGAAAATCAGGCCAACATCCGTTTTGCTACCGACTTCGAGCCGATGTCGCACCTGAAGACGAAATCGACCAAAGCCAAAGCCGACAAACACACACTTGCACCTTACTTCGAGGCTACCCTTCTCTCCTACAGTCGCCCTCGCCGGAGCCGTCAGACGACTTGTTGTATCGCTTGACCGAACATGCTTCAAGCACTGCGTCTGAGCCCACACCACCTTCTGGACTCTCTTCCAGTTCATGGGCCACTGGCGAGCGGATTCCAACTCCGGACACGGCAGTCCCATCACCGGTGCCTGATGACTCCGGTCCACCATTGATTGCGGAGTCCTCGCATAGCGCTTTCATCAACAGTACTCAGAAGGTGCCCACACTCGGCCAGTATAGAGCGACTCGGACCAGTTCGTCTACACAGATCATCGAAGACGACGAGATGGAAGACGTGTCCCGTCTATCTGTGAACGGCTTTGCGCGCAAGGCTTGGGCTGATGGCTCAGGTGAAGAGTCCGATTCAGTCGCAAGCTCTGCAACAATTAACGCTCCTCCATACCCAACATTGTCCGCAGGAGGATTCAACAACGATGCCGACATTCCTCTGACCGAGAACTTGCCAGCAAGTATCAAGAATACCCTGAGCTTCGCGAATCACAACAGCCCTTCGAATCCGCTTCCCAATCCGTCTGCTCCAGAAAAGACCAAGTCAACAGTGCCAGCCTCGTCAACACCGTCATCAGAGGCGGAGAAACCGGATCACATCACAGATACTGTTGGTGCGATTGCCATAGACAGTTGGGGGCGTATTGCCTGTGGTGCATCATCCGGTGGTATCGGCATGAAGTACCGTGGTCGTGTAGGACCCGCAGCTCTCGTCGGCGTAGGTGCAGCAGTTATCCCGCTCGATCCTGACGACAGCGAACAAGCTTCTGTTGCAACCGTGACCAGTGGCACAGGCGAGCACATGGCCACGACCATGGCAGCGACGACATGTGCGGAGCGACTATACCAGAGCGTGAAGAAAGAGAAAGGTGGTGAGTATGCGGAGGTGACCGAGGATGAAGCGCTCAGATCGATGATCGAGAATGAGTTCATGGGTCATGCCAGCGTCAAACACAGCAACTCGGCTGGGGCTATTGGCGTTTTGGGTGTGAAAAAAACGCGCACTGGCATAATGCTCTTCTACGGCCACAACACGGACTCGTTTGCCCTTGCATCCATGTCATCTGATGATGATGTACCCAAGTGTACCATGTCCCGCGGCAGCGGTAATGGACAGATTGCTCAAGGTGGTCGCATCATGTCATACAGGGCTCGTAAAAGGACAAAGGTCATGCCACGCCGCCGGCAAGTTGGGTAGCCTGGCATGAGCCTGTGTTTTCACGAGCGTTCACCTTAACTCACAGAGCAAATTTGCCTACGTCGAATGTCTTGTTCGGAGGTACGACTTTCTTCGACGTCCGTGTCACGACTCCCGACGTCGGCCTTGACGGATTCAGTTCTATACCCTATATATTGCGTTTGTATTTTCCATGTTTCAGCCGCCACGGCAGCCTCCTGGTCTACAGCAAGCACCTAGAGGTCTGCTAAATGGATCACGGGATCTAACTCGTCTTTTCCTAAAAAAATACCAACCTCATTCAAAGATCTTGTGTGTCTGGAATTCGCGCATGTTGACATACTTCGAGGGGTTCGATTGCGTCAGCCGGCTATATCGGTATTTACTCCGCACGTGCAACATCTCATGCAGGATGGCGAGCTTCAACTACATAATCACAACACGAACAATTAGTAAACACATACAAGTTTACAAAGCAACAACATAAAACGAGTGAAGTCTTCCTCCTAGCCAACGTCACCACCCCAATTCCAAGTTCTTGCCTTGCTCCAGTTGCTGGCCATATTACCACAAAATCAAGTCGAACACCTAACATAAACAAACGAATCATGGCTTCGAAGCTCATCGCCGTCGTTGCTGGTGTCGGTGCCGGAACGGGCGCCTCGGTTGCGCGCAAGTTTGCGAAATCATACCCCGTCGTGCTCCTCGCACGTAAACCAGAGAACTTTGAGTCGCTTGCCAAGGAGATTAATGAATCGGGCGGCAGAGCCTTTGGTGTCTCCACGGATGTCTCCTCTCAGGACAGCCTCCAGAAAGCTCTCGGCGCGATTAAGAAAGAGTTTGGTGACGACGTCGGTGCCGCCGCAGCCATATTCAATGCTAGCGGTGGGTTCCTGCGCAAACCGTTTCTTGAAATCGACGCTTCGGTGTTCGAGCAGTCCCTCAGCGTCTCAGCCCTCGGAGGCGTCTTCTTCTCGCAGACTTTCCTGCCCCTGTTGCTCAAGGGCAAGGAGGCAGGGGGCCAGTACCCGCCCACCCTGGTCTTCACGGGTGCAACAGCAAGTGTCAAGAGCAGTGCCCAGCTCGCAAGCTTCTCGACGGGGAAGTGGGCGCTGAGAGCCTTGAGCCAGAGTCTTGCGAAGGAGTTTGGACCCCAGGGCGTCCATGTGGCTCATGCGATCATTGATGGTGTGATCGACATCCCCAGGACGAAGGAATGGCTGAAGGACTTGGGGCCAGAGGCCAAGTTGAGCGCTGATGGGGTGAGTGACTTTCCTATCTAGCAGGTATTCGGAAGAGAAGCTGACAGTGACGGCAGATTGCGGATGATTACTGGTACTTGCACACACAACCAGTAACGAATTTCACGTGGGAGTTGGATACGAGGCCTGCGATTGAGAAGTGGTAGTTGTGCCACTCTATACGCTCGGGGCATGGAGGTAGAGCAAGCTTCTATGTAGTTCGACGACGTCGAGGCATACTTTTTAACTAATTGGTCGCTTCATTGGTTGTTGTCCTTTTTTCTATCTTCATAATTCGTCTCGTCGTGGAACACATGCCCAATCAGGCCATGCCTGCTCTGCCAACCTGGATCATTTCACCGGTCAACCTGTCGTCGCTCCGTAGCACTGGCCAGCTTGTGCCGTCTGCCTTGGCGAGCGTCATCTCCAGCTTGGTGCCTAGAATCCTGAATTTACTCTCCTCTGGCTTGATGCCGGCGTACAATGGGAACTTGGTGTTGTAGCGCTTGCTGTCGGACGTGCGGAGATCGAGGTTGACATGATCGGGCTGGAAATCGATGATCGCGTGTGCTTTGTCGATCTTTTTCAAGTAGAGAGAAGCGGTAACAGTCGCAGCAGTCTGGTAGAAATCATGGCTGTCGGGTTGTTAGTTCAGGATGGCTCTGGTGGGTTGCACGTCGACGTACCGGACTGTGTCGACCTTCTCCTCCTCGCCCTCCTTCTTCGCTTTCCCGACGAACAAATGCCTGTCCTTGGTCTTGCAGCCCTCCATGCTCATGAACTGGTCAAACTCCAGCACTCTCCGCTTGCAGCAGCTGTACCCTTTGCTTCCCTCGTGGAAGATGGGCACTCCGGGGTGGTGCACACAGCTCTCGCCCTCCCTGCTTCCGCCCTTGAACGTCTCACCGCAGCCCTTTCTCCTGCAGGTCATGCCCTCCTTCAATGGCGTGTTCGGGTCATCGTCCTCAGACTCGGGAGCGGGGGCAGGGGTGGCAGTTCGCGGCGTTGCCTGCGCAGCGGGGAGACGAGGTGCAGGGGCCGGCAGCGACTCTGACAGCGATCCAAGATTGACTGAGGTGCCATTGGGAACATCAGGCGTCTCGACCTTCTCGGGCTCGGGCGTGTCGTCGACATCGGAGTGCTGTCCCTTAGCGCAGGGCTCGATGGCAAGGAACTCGTCAAAGGTCAGGACGCGCGGTTTGCAGCATTTCCAGCCTGTACATGCAGGTCAGCTTAGCGCTCTGCGTGGCAGCTTCCGGGATTCGCACCTTTCTGCCCCTCGTGGAAGACAGGCGGGCCAGGATGATAGAGGCATTCCTCATCCTCGTTCTCGTACGTCTTCCCGCAGCCCTTGTGAACGCACTTTTTCGCCATGGTCTTGGACTGTGCTTGGGATCTAATGAGCGGGTTTGCAGGTGCCTGCGTCGCAGCGTGTGCTGGTGGTTTCTCAAGATTTGTGCTCAGACTCGGAATATTCTGGAAGCAGAGCTCACCGCTGGCCGATGTCATCGGTGCTTATCGATTGCGGCTTTCCGCTTTGGTCCTTCCACACCCCTCGCATATCCTCTACCATTGCTTGCTGCATCGACCAGCCATGTTCCGTGCTTCGTCTCGTCTGCGGGATTGCCGCATTACCTTCTTCACGCGCAGTCCCTGCGGTCTTTGTGACACCGCGAAAGCGGTCGTGCAGAGCGTGAACAAGGCAAGACCATTACAGTATCAGGAGATCAATGTCATGGAGCCGGGCCACGAGAAGTGGAAGCATGTGTACGAGTTTGATACACCGGTGGTAAGCTGGCTTTGAAGTTGTTTGACCATCGAGTACCTGAGTGGTCTTCTAGATCCACATCGACAAGGCGAGCGCCCCCGAAACGACCACCTCATCACTGAAGCTCATGCATCGCTTCAAGGAGGAAGACGTGACCAGGTTAATGGACGAGGCGGAGCGATTGTAGCTTTTGGAGCTCCCATTCAGATTAGAAACGACCTCAAGCAAGCTTCTTCCAGATGTAGTATCAAGTTTCATGGGTTTAATGTGCCTGAGGGGAGTCATCAGGGGACCTGACCATTTGGCAGTGAACCACGCCCTGCGCCCTGTATGGACCTCGGGCGATGTATGTACACTAGCGCGGATAAGATGTGGGGAAGGTGCACTTGTGGAGGGGTGACAGCACCTCCGAAGCATGACGGCCTTGCCCTTAAGAAGGACGTTCTGCTCGAGGCTTACACTTCACACACTTGCCTCTAATCTCAGACACAAAAGTTTAGCTTTGCGCCCATTCTCAAGCGTCCGAACCATGAATTCACTCCAAGAAGCAAGCACCATCTACAAGGCCTTCAAGAAAGAAGGCCCGGCGTTTGGAGGATGGCAGGTGAGAGGGTTCATATTATTACTTACACAGCGAGTACTAATACTATTGATCAGATGCTGCCTGGGACAAACCACTCTCGAGCGATTGCGCGTTCAGGCGTCGACTGGGTTTGTGTTGACTGTGAACATGGTAATATCGACGGTAGGTGTAAGCCATCGCTGCATTGGTTCTTCCACTAAGTTTGAGCAGATGGAGAGATGCACGAAGCTGTCATTGCCATAGCACGCGAGGGTGTCAGTCCCATTGTTCGTATCGCTGCCAATGAGGCTTGGATGGTCAAACGTAAGTATAGTTTTATACATGATTTCATGGGCAGCACACGGAATGGTCCTGCCTTGGAGTGCGCACGCATTAGAAGACGTCGAGTCTACATGGGAAAATGACATGCTAGAGGAGGGCTGACTAAAGCACAGGTGCTCTTGATGCTGGCGCCCACGGCGTGATAGTACCCTTGATTTACACAGTAGAGGATGCGAAACGTCTCGTGAGTTCCGCAAAATTCCCGCCCGAAGGCAATCGAGGCTTTGGGTCGCCATTCTCGCCTCATGCGTTCACTGGCGAGGCACTCACCGAGTACCTCACGAACGCCAATTCCTCACTCCAGACGATTGTGCAAATCGAAACAAAGTCAGCCTTTGAGTCTGTTCAGGAGATTGCTGCAATCCCTGGCGTCGATTGCTTGCTCATCGGACCGTTCGACTTAGGCAACAACCTCGGCCGACCGATCCTGGGAGAGATGCATCAGGAGTTGAAGGATGCTATCGAGAAGATCAAAGATGCAGCACATGCAGAAGGCAAGAAAGTAGGCATCTATTGCACAGATGGCCAACAGGCTCAAGGTTATGCACAGAGGGGATTCGACTTCATCAGCGTATGCACCGATTTTCCTGCCATTACTGCGGCGTTCGCAGATTCTCTTAAGACGGCGAAGGGAGAATCCACCGGCAACGACAGCGGTCGTGTGAAGGGTTACGATGGACGGTAGTGGCCGCGTATGTCCATAGCTCTATTGGTGCACGTTGTGCGACGTTTAGCTTCTCGAGCCCCATTCCATAGATCACGTTCGCCTTCATTCCTTCACGATCGGTCTGCTTCAATCTGTCAATAGTATGATGGGTATTTGTGCCGGTGACTGTGCACATGTTCTATCTCCAGTACAGACCAATCGCCATGATACTTTCAGTTACTCTGTTCGCTCTTGTTCAACTATCGCGTGCCTCGCAACTTGGAGATGAGCCCGAGTACTTCAGTCGACGACAAGTCCGACGCACAACACAGAGTTCAGGCCTACATGATCTCTCTGCACGGTTGGCTACGGGTGAGCCGAAGAAAATACCACCATGGTGGCAGCGGCCCAACACCGATAACGGGGAAATGAACGCCCTCACAGGACAACAACTGTACCCCAGTGGAGACGAGAATGGCGATTATAGCAACGACAAAGAGGGAAGTAGCACTGGTGGCAGTGTTTGTCGAATCAAGCAATGTCAGAGCAGTGGAGTTTTGAGCAAGTATCACTGTGGGCAGCACGCGCGGTGCCTACGGGACTATTGCCAGTGCGACTTTGGATGGAAACCAGTAAACGACACACCTACAGCTCGAGGATGGAGTGGGCTCGAGGCGCTTACTGTATGGGTTGACGCACAAAACCTAGGATGTACTGAGCGCTGCAACAGTTTGTCTTGTGTGGAGGTTCCACAGATTACAGGATGTTTTGACAGCCAAGTAACACACGAAAGCAAAAACTACGATGGGTCGACCCAGGACCCAAGCACAGAGGGTCTAGCAACCGATTTCCTGGACCTGGGGGCTATTAAGGCCCCATCAGCAGATGTCGATATCGGCGATTAGACAGACAGAACACGGTATCGTGCTTGTACATTCGCCAGTACCAAGAGCAATGTAAGGACTGGTGCACGAAATGGCAGGTCCTGCTGGACAAGAGTACTGAGACGGCGAATTGGTTGGACGCGACACGACCAGCTTGAATGCACAGTGTTGCGTGATGTTCAGCAGGATTTGTGGGTCGCTTTAGACAAGTCCATGGTCGTGTAGAAATGATAGCTTGGCTTGCTGGAATAAATGCTTGCTTTGGTCCTCGGATTTCTCGCCGCTCCTCTCTGTGGCACTTTGGTCGAGAGCCATTCTGGTAAGGGGGATTGACAGCAAGGAATGCTGCTCGTTGAGCAATAACTGCGAGGGTCTCTATAGTGTCGACAGTGGTCAGAGCCTGCTGGAAGTTTCCCCGTGATGGATGCTCCCAGGACACGGCCGCACCATCTCGTTTGCGGCAGCGTTTCCCGCTCCAGAATCCACCACGCCACGATCTAAACGGTGGACCCACTGCATTGACACAGCACACCTTCACGAATGTTCGAAACATGAGCAGGCAAATGCTTATTTTTAGCTAGCTGGCTGTGGGATGTATTGGCCGCGTCAGTGTGTCGGGGCATCTGACAGCAGCGAAACATGTGAGGTGGAAAACAGCGCGAGACAGCTGCATTGAGTTGCTGTCGATTGCGGGAACGGGGCTGGGGAAAAGAAATTGCACGGCGGGTGATGAGTCGCTCCCGAGGGCAAGCCCGAGAAGACCCAGCAGAAACGATCATGACATCAAAAGACGTGCTCCGGGGCCGCGTCTCCATAGAAACATGGCTGGAGTCTGCTGCAGTGCAACCGGCGGCTGGGGAGCGGTGGCGGGCGACCACGACAGCACGCCAGCTGCTGAGCAGTCTGCGCAACGCGTCCGCACCACCGCAGCCAGCAGCCAGCAGCAGACGAGCCAATCTTAGCCGATACGGCGCGCAATTCAACAGAAACCTCGCGTAAACTGACGTCTGGCCTGCGAGTGGAAGGGATGTGCGGGCACGGAGCATGCTATTCTCGGCGTTGGGGGGCTAGCAGGGGCGCGGCCGACTTGTGCAGCTAGCGCGGCCAGGCGTTGCAGCGGTTGCCCGTGGCGCTGGCCAGCCAGGGGTTTGTTGTGCGGCGCTGGGCGAGTACGCGTCGCTACATAAAGTGCGCAGGCCCGGGGCGAAGACTGACTTCCACCTGCCATTGCTCTCAGACCTCTGCCGTCTACGCCTGTCGTTAATCCACCGCACTCGTTAATTTCCAAAACGCCCCCACAGTCTCCAAGATGCGCACCGCCTTTGCTGTCACTGCTTTCGTCGCTGCGGCCTTTGCCCAGTCTGTACGTACTGCCCGCGCCTGCCTGCGCCTGCTCGCACCTGCCTGCTCATGCTAACACCGCGCAGTCGTCGGTCGACCCCTTCCCGCAGACCACCTTCCTCCAGCAGACCAACTCGCTGGGCGTCGTGACAGGCCAGCCCGCTGCCGCCACCTCGCAGCCCGCCGCCGACTCTGTCATCCCCGTGCAGCCGTCCGCTGACACCAACGTCGGCGTGCCCGCCTCCATCCCGGCCGTGGCCCCTGGCATCTACACCGTCCCCGTCCTCGGTGGCAATGTCACCCGCAGCGTCGTCGTCAGCGCCAACAACTCGACCACCATTGTGCTGAACGAGCCCACCTCCGGCTCGGCCGCCTCCAACAGCGCCGGCGCCACCGCCACCGGCTCTGGTGCCTCTGGCTCTGGTGCTTCTGGTTCGCGCACTGGCGCCTCGGGCTCCGGCGCCTCGTCCACTGCCTCTGGCACTGGCGCCGCGAACTCGGCCGGCGCCGCCGCCAACCTCAAGGTTGCCGCCGGTTCCCTCGTCGGGTTCGGTGCCTTCGTCGCTGCTTTCTTGTAAGCCTGTGGTAGCGTCAAGCTTTTGACGTTGCACGTCGCGGCCACGGCGCACTGCATCGCGCAGCCGTCGTGCACCCACTCCACGCCTGCCGCGTGGCTTTGGCTTTTTTGCTTGTTCACACAGGGCTGTCACTTGACGCCCCACTGTCCTTAAGATACCTTGGGTTTGCATTGCATCGCCTGGCAATCGGCGCCGGTTAGCACCATTGCCTGGGCATTAGGTCCCAGTTGGGACCGGAAGTAATAGTAATCGCTCATCTCGCCGCTGATGGAGCGTTGGAGGATGATTGGATGCCATACGAAACGTACTATTGTCGCAAGACTGAATGAAAACAATCCATCACCCATGACTCGTTCTCTCGTTCCTCTCTGTCCGTCACTTGTCGTGCATGAACACCCCGCTGCAGCCGCCACCCACCAACAACTCCAGCATTCCTGTCCCCCTCACAACATGACGCAATATCCCAAACGCATCTCCTCACTTCCTTACACGGATTCTCCGAATCCTCTCCAGACTCTCGACATCTGGCTTCCCCGCCCGCTCGAGCAGTCTGATCCGACGTCCTCGACATGGATCGTGTAAGCTCGAGGCTCGCCTCCTTGTGTAGCCAATGGTAGTACTGATGCTGCACGAACAGCTACATCCACGGCGGCGCCTGGCGCGACCCAACCCAAGACTCTCGCTGCATTGAGCCCACGCTCTCGTGCCTCCTCAAGTCGCACTCCACCACCCTCGCCAAGATCGCAGGCATAGCCTCCCTCAACTACCGCCTCTCGCCATACCCCTCACACCCCACGGCCCCAAGCGCGCCCTCCGACGCATCCCGCAACGCAGCGCACCCGGACCACGTGCGCGACGTTGCCCGCGCGCTGCGATGGCTCGCAGACGAATACGGCATGAAGGCCTGGGTCGGCGCAGGCCACAGCTGCGGCGCAACACTGCTGCTGCAATACGCAGCCGGCATTGGTCTCTCGGATGACGACAAGGCGCACACGCTCGGCGGGCCAGACGGACTCGTGCTGCTGTGCGGCATATACAACGTGCCGCTGCTGCTGCAGAACCACAATCCGCCCGCGTGCCCCGAGCACATCTCGAGAATCTACCACGAGTTTGTTGGTGCGGCGTTCGGCCACGACGCCGCCGTGTACCGCTCTGTGTCGCCTGTTGCGGGGCGCTATGGCACGCAGCAGTGGCCGAACGGGAAGCTGATGGTGCTGGCGCATAGCTATGAGGACGAGCTGATTGAGCGGCAGCAGCGGGATGTCATGTGCGTCGCGCTCGATCGAGAGGGGTGGAGCATCGTTATGGAAGTGGGCGATGGGGAGGCTGAAGTTGGGGAGGGGAGCAGGGTGCTGGAGGTCAGGGACTTGAAGGGCGGGCACGATTGGATCTGGGAGGATGGAGAGCAGGTCGCGATGTTGTTGGCAGACGTTGTGGAAAGGCTGGTGAAATAATCGCTTCTGCGGATACAAAATGGAGTGCGATTGCATGCATGTATCGCTCGCTTTTTCAAGAAACGTCTGTGATGAATCAATGCTTGGCTTATACTGACTTTTGCTAATGGTACAGCATGTATAATGTACAATGGTGCCGTTCCCTGCTCGACAATCTTCACATCGGGAAACCAGTTTACCTGTTCAGCCTCTGATCCATGACCTTGTTGATTTCATCTTGAACGCTTTTTGTGCCATCTTCGGCATTCTTCACAACTCCAGTAGACTTCTGCGAGCCTCCCGATACCAGCTTTGACGCAGTTGTCTTGGATGTTTCGTTCACCTTTCCATATACGGCCATCGCGCTCGCAATCATGCCACCAATGTCACCAACGTTGCCGGGTACAATCACGCTCGTGCCCTCCTTGGCCAGATTGCCAAAAGCGTCGACGTACTTCTCGGCAACCTGCAGCGAGATGGCGTTCTGCGCTGCATCCTGTCCCTGTTCGATGGCCTGTGCAACGGCGTCAATGCCCTTTGCGGTAGCCTGCGACTTCAGTATGATAGCCTCGGCCTCTCCGCTTGCCAAGTTGATTTGCTCAGCCCTCAGCGCCTCAGAAGCGAGGATAACGGACTGCTTCTTTCCCTCAGCAATATTGATAGCAGACTGTCTCTGGCCTTCAGACTCGAGAATTTCCGCGCGCTTTGATCGTTCGGCGGTGACTTGACGATGCATGGCTTCGACGACAGGCTCGGGGGCATGGATATCGCGGATCTCGTAACGCAGGCAGGTGACGCCCCAGTCTTGGGCAGCCTCGTTGATAGCGGCAGTGATGTTGGCGTTCAGATTGGCGCGCTCCTTCAGTACGTGATCGAGCGAGAGCTGACCAATCTCGGATCGCATCGTCGTCTGCGCAAGCTGAGAAATGGCGTATTCGGCGTCCTCGACACCGTAGCTAGCAGATGTTATTACGAATTCCTACCAACGCATGTTGACCAGACTTACCTTGCCTTGTAGGCGTCAAACACTCTGGTGTATAGCACACCGTCAAGCTCTAACGTGACGTTGTCCGCTGTGATGGCGCTCTGGCTTGGAATCTCGATCGCGTTCTCTTTGAGGCTCTTGACATAGGCTATCCGATCGATGAAGGGGATCAATATAGCCAGACCAGGCTCCAAGATGCGGTTGAACTTTCCCATGCGCTCGACGATCCATGCCGTCTGCTGCGGGACGAACCGCACGACAGTGTTCGTTGGTAGCCGCTTATGTGACCCAAAATACGAGGGAGGCCCAGCCTGAGAGTTGAGCTGTCCGAGGTTGAAGATGCTGGCGGGGCTCGAGGATGAGGCGGACTGCGAGTTTAGCTGCGAGAAGTGGCGCGTAGAAGGTGCGTTCAAGAGCGCAGCCAGCGGTGCTGTTCTTGAAGCGAGCGGTTTTGAGCTTCGAAGTAAGCTGGAAGCCGTGGAGGCTACCAACCTGTTGCGCGACGCCATCATTGGGTTTGAGGCGAGTGGTGGACAACGGACACGCGCAGCTCTCCCGGAGTTCCAAAGCAGATCGGCGACACCAGCGAAGAAAGCGCCGACATGACATAACCATTCAACGTGCATTGCTCTTGTAAGCTTATTCCACCCTTACGTCTCTTACGGCGCATGTCCATAATTACACATAACGATGCTCATATATATTCATCAAGGCCTCCATTACAAATGACCTGCTTCGATGCTGTGGTAAGGCGGATGTTTCCATCGTTCCTACCTATGCATTTACTTGGTTGTTGTAGCCACAGGAAAGTGACAGTACGCACAGGAAGGTGGTCTTGCATGTCATAACACATTATAAATTAGTTACTATAAGTCGTACGTTGCTTACCCAAGCCAGTGAACTGTGCAGAGGCAGGCCCTGACGCTCATGCCAGGTATACAACGCCAGTCGTCTATAAACAATATCTCCCGCCAGTATGGCAGGCACTCGAGCTGGACTAGCCGCCCTATCGCTAACATTAACAAATACCCATCCAGTACCAGACTGGATGCATGTTTGACCACGCATCATGCAATCATTGGGTGTTTGTCAGACTATTTGCCCAACCCCTTCGGACTGCTCGCTCTCGGGCTCATGGGAAACCATCTGACCTCGTTCCTCGTCTTTGTTACGAACACCAAGTAGCCTTCCAGTGCCTCTTCTTTGGTCGCGAATGTTTTGTCCTTGTTCATCCACATCTTCAAGTACTTGTCCGAACTCAAATCCTTGAGCGCTGCATACCACTCCCCAGAAGATCGCTGTTTGAGTACGATCGCGAGGCGTCGTCCACCGAGACCAGTCACACCCGAGACTTGTTTGAGACATGTGGATTTGAGCGAGGCGAGTGGATCGTCGTTGTCTTCGATGGGTGAATCCACACGTTTCGGTGGTGATTTGGAGCGCTTATTTTTTGGGGTTGTGGGTGCGGTTTTGGGAGTTGTGAATTTTGTAGGAGATGCGATTTTGGATGTCGATGAAGATTTCACTTGCGACGCTGCCTTGCTTGCTGACGCAGGCTTCGAAGATCCAATCTTGGGTGACAGTGGTTTTGAGGGTGAATCTTTGCGGACTTTCGGCTTTGTAGACCCTTTCTTCGGCGAAGAAGATGCTGTTGGAGGCGCTGGCTTTGGAGGCACGGCTTTTGTAACAACCGCTGGTGTAAACGCTGTCTTTGGTGATGCGACCTTCACTGTTGGTTCCACTGGTGGCGCAACTTTTGTTGATGGCTTCGTCTTGGAGGGCGGCACAATGGCATCAACTTGCGCTCCCAGTCTACCGGACTTCTTCGATGCTGTGACTGGGGCAAGCTTGGGCTCTGGCGCAGGATGAGTTAAAGATGCATCCAGGCCGCTCGTGGTGGACGCAGTAAATTGGCCATTGGCGATCTGCCGTGCGCGTTCTTTGACACTGACAAACATCTCGGTACAGTCTTGGAGAAATTGTACATCAGAGATGTCCGGGGCACGCACACACTTTCTATGCTTGACGCGACTCGTCTGCTACGCTTTGGCCACGTTGTGCACAAGCCTGTAGACCCGAACTGCTAATGAAGGCCATTCTACGTTGAGTCAGGAGGACGGTGGCAAACGGAACGTAATTACCGCTAGGCATCAGCATAAAGGGGCAAAAGTGTACAACAGAAGACCAGAGAATGGGTCATCGAAAACTGCGTAACGACTGCTGTTGGCACAGCCATTCCTAGATCACATGCATCCAGAGGCAGTGAGTGCTCAATGCTCATGGTCGTGCTTGTAGGATGAAAAGGTGGGTTCGGCGCTGATCGACCCACTGCCGCAGCACGACCAATGAAAAAGCATCGGCCACCAGTTCGCACATCACTTTCCTCACATCTGTGCACCACAACTCGATCGCGCCCACCAATGCGACCAGATCGACAGAGCGAGAGATCACATTGTTAGTAGCGATATGACCATGGCCATCTCTTGCCAGAACAATTTTAATGATTTGTGCGTTCTTCAGCTGAGTTCAAAGCTCAGTCTATGGACAAGTGGCGACACAGAGAGAAAGAAACGTATAAAATGGTAGAACGAATGTGTGTACAGAAGTGCCAAGGTGGTACGATTTATATTGGGAGATGATGGGCTATGTATAGCTGACACGTGTTGTAGCAACAGCTAATGTATCTTTTTGTGACCTTGTGTCACTTCACGCATGATCCGATCTTCCTAGCTGCATCTATTACACTAACGACCTCAGTTTCAGGTTACTTATTACGGATTTTCCTCTCGAAATCTATGTTTTCGGCCAGGGTAGTGGCCCAGAAATCGGCTGTGTCCGAGGAAACTCGCACATTCTACGGTGCTATATCCAATTGTCTAAACAGTCCGTTTTTTGGATCTTGAAGGGATCCGGTAAATGTGATGCTATCGTAACAGCTGCTTTCTCTGGACTCATAACATGGCGATATTGTGCCGCTCATCACAAGTTGTACTTGTATCATTAAGACCACAAATGAGTCATTTGGCGCTAGCCTCAATAGTCAACATGGTAGCCGGCTCCTTGTCGCTTCTCTACGAAGTATAAGGATCAAGGATAGCAATGAATTATGATAATATACACTTTAGATAACGGGCATAGATCTCCCGGTATTCCATCAATTTAATACACCCGCTTATGGCTGTCACTGCATTAGGAACACTGAGCACGACCAACTTTACTACTCACGATGTCACACCAACTCTCAGAGCAGACCCACGACTATCCTGCATTTGCAATAGCTGTCATCTCTCTTTCGACACCAATGAAGCGCAAAGAGAACACATGAAGTCTTCTTGGCAGTACGTTCCAGCATGTTCGTAGCCGCTCTTGCTCACACGTGTCAGCGTATACAATCTGAAGAGACGCATAGTCTCCCTACCACCAATTCCATTGAGCGTCTTCGAGGGACAGATTCAAATAGTAGAAGCACCTATAATCACCGTTTCTCGGGACGATCATCCAAAGAAAGAGGAAGAGGAACTAGATTCACCATTCCAATGTCTCTTCTGTCATCTAACATTCATGAATGACCATGAGGAGGTACGAGACGTCATCGAACACATGTCCACCGCCCACGGTTTTTTCATTCCAGACCAAGCTATGCTGTCAGACTCGACGAGCTTCTTGGGATACTTGCGTACCCAAGTCCGCGTGTGGCACGAATGCTTGTACTGTGGGATCGTGAGAACATCCACCTGGGCAATACAAGCTCATATGAAGGACAGCGGCCACTGTCGTTTGAACTTCGAGAGAGAACCCGAACTGTCCGAATTTTGGGAGAGTAGCAAGAGCACAGCAAACAGCACAACCAGCGTTCCTCTCCAGAAGAGTAGAAGGGGTGTTCGCGAGCTGAAGCCAGCGTATGGGAGGATGGTGGTGTCGGACACAAGTCACGGAGCCCGCCGGCGAGAAGAACGGGGGCAGGCAGAGTCGCTACTAAGGCCGGAGCAACTTGAGCCTCAAGCTTTATCCAAGCGTCACCGTTGTCATCAGCTCGTCCGCCTGGATGAGCAAGGCATCTCGAACATCAGCCCTCAACAGCGCCACGCCCTTGTGGTAGCCGTGAAGAGGTCTCAGAAAGATGCGGCTATGTCGACAAGAGCAAAGGAGTGGACGGTCGCTCGGAAAGCCAACAAGCAGAAGCATGATCAAAGCCATGGCCCTTTGTCGTGGGCAAAAGGTGGTATGCACAACTTGCTACCAAGATAGTTTGAAGTTATTAGTACTTGTTAGAACTTTCAGCGAGCATGTCAAATTGTAATTTACCGTAATGGCTGTTTCGGGAAACCCTACTGTATTATAATATTTAGGAGAGTACATGGCGTGAGGCCTAGATTTAGACCATTGGAGAAGTACCCTCAGTAACATTAAGATACGATATAGAGAGGAAGAGAACGTCTCTATCAAGATTCCGCCGACTAAGTAGGCTATACACCTAGTACCTTACTTACCGAATAGTAATGTGTATGCACTGGATATGGTCGACCCAGATAGATACTTCTTTCTTTCTCATTTTTTTCTTCTATCTAGATAAACCCTGTGGTCTCGAATTTCATGACAGATATTTCTATTAGAGATGGTTATATATCTTCTCTATTCTAGGGTATTGTAGAGAACGTGTAATTCGTTTGCAGGCTCACACCTTCCGAGTCTCCCACCAATGCTTCTTCTTAACGCGACCTGCGCCTGCGACTTCAGCACCACCTCTGCCAGTGCTTCGTGCATTGCCCCAATAGCCCCATTTATCGTGTTGGTTCCAGAACCACCAACGGCCAAGCGCCCGGGCCAGCTTTGCCCACTCTTTAGCCTTGACACCGTGCTTCACCTTGATGATTGCCACTAGCTCATCCATTGTCCACGCTATCGTCGGATCTGCTTCAGTGGGATCCGTGGTGATATCAGTGAATCGTAGTGGAATGCTTGAACAGAGCGGAAGTATGAGTCGGAACGTCGTAGATGCGTCGCTAATTGCCAAGAGCGAACCACCAGGATTGATGGCTGAGAAATGGAAAGGCTGGAAAAATGTTTTTGCGATACCACCGTCTGCAGTGAGGACGCTGTAGTTTAGGTTGCGGATCAACGAATTGCCCTGATACTTAGGTAACAACGCCTCGGCCTTCTCGGAGGCTGATTTAGGAAGGGACTCCGTCTGCAGTAGAAGGTCGAGAACAGTTGGGATGATAGACAAAGGCGTTGTCGAGGCCTTTAGCTGTATTCGTGGTAGATCTGGATGGACTAAGAGAAATGGTATGGCGAAATTGGAGATGTGCCCGTTGTTGACCGCAGATTGCGATTTGTCCAAAGAGTTGAAAGCCAGCCCGTGATCTCCAGTCATAACAACAAGTGTTTCGTTGAGTGCGCCAACATCGTGTAGCATTTGGAAAATATCAGAGATCCAATCATCCTGGTATTTGATAGTGTTCAGGTATCCATCCAAGGGGTCCTCGGGGCGCCATCGCTGTTTTTTCAGGTACTCGGTATGCCCTGCCCAATCTTTGGGTGTTGCGAATGGATGATGTGGGGAACTTGTCAGGTGTGACACGAACATTCGTTTTTGCTGCTGTCGGGCATCGACGAACATATCCTTCAAATAATCGAGGCTCTCTGTCTCGGGATATCCAAAGTAGTTCACCCAAGGCTGTTTTGGGGGGTAGTGCTTCGACGTCGGGTCCGAGAGAACACGTTCCGCAATAACATTTTCGAAGCCCATCTGTTCATCTAACAAGTCTTGAGAATCAAACTGGTCTGTGACTGATTGAATCATGGCAGATTCCCAGGGCCACGTAAGATGGTCCTCGACATCATCTCTTGTCTCTTTGTGCTCCTCGCGAATATGGGTGCTCAAAGATTCCAGAACCTGCGGCAGGCAAGACTGGTAAATCCATCCTTGGGTCTCCTCGGTAAAATCTACTGGCAGTGGCTCCACACCACAGTGACTGCTAAGCAGACTCTTGAGCGTGTATGCTGCTTGTGTGACAGCTCCCTGGACATTGATACTGCCGAAACCATCCTTGAATGCATGCCTCCACGACCCGTCCGGCACTTTGTCATCATCAGCCTGGAAGCCAGTGGATTCGCCAGAAAGGAATTTCGCCACACTGGTGATATTCCGAAGCTTGCTGTCTAGCTCCTGGCTTGCGTTGGCTGATGCGTAGGAGGATAAGATGGTGTTGTAAGCATGGCTATTCTTCTTCAACGGAAACATGTCTTTACGAGTACTCTCGAGCGTTAAAAGCAAGACGTTTTTAATTTTGGGCTTTCGATTTGTTAAGCCTGTCGCAAGAGGCGTTAGAATATCGGCATCGAGATTCGATAACTTCAGCGGGTCGCAAAGAGGCTCGTATGCACCTGTATGGCCGTGATGCCTCGGCGGGCCATCGTGTGGGAAGCCATGGCGTGCATCCGGCATTGACGATCTTGGGCGATCTGGGAATGGGGGTGGTGGGCCGTGGTGTCCATGCGGAGGAGGAGGGCCATGATGCCCAGGGGGAGGACCATGATGCCCAGGGGGAGGACCATGATGCCCAGGACCAGGAGGACCATGATCCCCAGGACCAGGAGGACCATGATCCCCAGGACCAGGAGGCGGCATTGGCGCGCAGCTATTGGGAGCATCGCAGTTGGGAGTTTCAGCCCATGGTGGAGGTCCAGGCCCGTTTGATCTATCGCACGTCGCTGAACGAGGCATCCAGTCCAAAGATTCAGGCTGGCCAAAGAATTCCGCAAACTGTTCCCAAGGAAACAGTACACGCTCGATGGGATGAGTTAGACAAAACTCAGAATCGATGGGCTGGAACAGCGATGCCTCTATGAGAGTCACGGGAAGCGATCCAGACATGTGAGCGTACGGCGGTGATTTCGGTCGGACCAGCTGTAACACCAGGACCACGATGCTGAGAGTGAGGGTCGTAAACGATACAGCGATAGCTCTTGGCGTACTGGGAGAAGCTTTGCAACTAGTGGCACGCTGTTCCTGAGCACTCGGCGGTTGAGCATGCTCCTCCAGAGGTATGAGCAACTCCTCATCTTCCGTGGCTTTTGGAGCTTTTTTTGTAAGACGATAACTCTGTTGAAATGAGCAAGCAATCGTGTCCAGCACATGCTCGATGGCGTCGTGGAATTTAGGTGCAATGACCCAGGCAATGCTGTACAAAATTGCAAAGGCTACGGTTAATGCAGGCAATCCAGATAAAAGCAGACCGAGGCCTCCACTGCCTCCCAAGACTCTGCTGGCCGCCATCCACTGTATCTCACCCCCCGTTTCCACGAAGAATGAGATTTGTGCGGCAGAGCATCCTGCGGTGAATAGACTGACCCTAAGGTTTAGCGATTGAAGAACACGACTTGAAAGAATTGTAACTTACGCAAGAAATGCTCCAATTGATCTCCGGATGGTAGACGGTTGGCTACCATTGTGTCTATAAATGAGAACCTTGCTTATGACAAGCAAGAGAACATCTGGTAGTAGAAATGTAGGAAAATAAAGGAGATAAAGAAGAATCGGCAATGACCCTGCGTGACTCCCAAGATGTAGTAGTTTGGCGGTAAAATAGCTGACAAAAAACAAGGCAAACTGGTTCTTCGGCCTCAGAATGACCTGAAGAGGCGCGAGCAGATTGACCTGCATCGCATTGGGATAGAAGACGGCCGTATGATCGTAAGTCGTAAACGCGCAGAGATAATCCAAGGGAGGCTGGAAAGGAGTAGGAAAGTCAGTGGAACTAGAACAAGGAGTGACCAACAGCGATCTCTTCGTTGCGAAACATCACAGCCTCAATAATACGGGGCTGACTTGCTTTGAGCACCATCGCGTGCGGGTGTCGCGTGTCCATATAAGAGCAGCATGGAAAATCCCTCCGCTGCATGGACCACTCCACTCCGCTCCCAGAATTGTGCGGATTGCCCAGAGCTCAGCCACCACTTCGGCAGCCGTCAAACAACGGGACGCTGATTAAGGTCCAAGAGTGGAAGTGATGGCGGCGCCTCCGTAGAAGTTCTCCACATCCTCGGGATTGAAGTTGACAGGCGTCCAGCAGTCCGCGCAGCTTTGCTCGAAAGGGACTAAATGCCCCTCAAAACGGCGGCTGGATCAGCCTCCTGCCCTGCGCTATTATTCAGGCTGATGACAGGTCAGCTCAAGGCGCATTTGGGTATGAAGGGGCAAGAAAGCACGTGCTTTTCAGGGGACCATCAGGGGTCTCTGAATCGCCGAGTGGGCCCATTTGCCTGCGGAGGGCGCTACAACGCTGCGGGAGCACGGGTTAGCATTTGCCGCCAACGAAGACGTCCCTTGGAACTCAGGGATTTACCAACGCATACTTGTTTCCCGGCTTTTGAACACGAGGCGGAAGCATCGTGGCGCTTGTTGGTGTGCCGAAGCTGGTCTCGCTAAGAAGCACCGGTGAACATCGCCATGTGCGTCGGTACGACACCAGGTATCGGCAGTAACCTCAACCCAAACTGAGTCGTGTGCGTTCTGTATCGGGATTAGATCATGTTGTTTCCATTCGCTTGAAGGAAGCTTGTCACACAGTGGAGGACATCCAAAGCCACGAGGGCGTTTGTCGTCTGTGTCCAGACCTGCACCCCGCAACAGGATTCACCCGTCCCCTACTAGGCTCAATCTCTGGACCTTCGCTGTGCCTTGGGTATGGCGCATGCTGCGCGCATGCTGCGCGCATGCTGCGGCAAATTGAAGGCCTCTGAGCGGCTACTACTGAAGGCGTTACCGGATATCTTGCAAGCGAAGACTTTAGCATAGAGTAAGCTCTCTGTAGTTCGTTCACTCAGCCCTGTTGAAGAGGAAAGAGAATGGTGACTGCAGCTGTGACCGAGACCAATTTTCGACTTGCACCTAACCCTGCAACCGCGACCATGTTACTGTTGTTCAAGTATGTCACATATCAAGGCGATGTGTCTGTTCTGAGGCAGACGACAAGTTGGAGGATAGAGCGCTTTTTTTTCTTGTGTAGCTTTTCGAGACAAGAATACTCGTTGTGCAAATCCTTTTTGAGTGTACATGTGAAAATTGAGACTAATATGTCGACATCAAAGTTCTAGGCTATTGCCGCAAAGGGGGTGTGACAATCTTGCTGAGAGGCTCCGGTCTAGTACCTTAAAGCTAGTCGTGGTGTGACATGTAACCGGGCTTCTTCGCTTCTAGCGGCCGTCGACTGCATGAATTAGCGTAGTCAGTTGCTCTTTCGAAGGGGGACTTATAAAAAGCGTACCGTCCCAGCAAGTGGAACGGCAAAATGGACTCCCCACAGACAAAGCCTCCCCGCATGGCGCCCTCGTAAACGCTACCGTTCACGAGGTTGGCTGAGCCCGACATTATATCACAAGAATACCAAGGTTCTGGCCAGAGCACCTGACACAAATGCGACTTGGCAGTCACCGAGCTCACAGCCACTTGCATGGGAAGACTGGCCAGATGCTGCAGATATTGATCGTGGACAGGCCTAAGCCTTGAGCCTCACACTTGAGAGGTCCCACGTTCCATATTCTGCTGAAGGCAGTGGTCAAGACTTGCCAGACAAAGTGGATGATACCTTCGATGCAAGCGCGTTGTATGCTGTATGCTCCTGGGCGAGGGCCTTTCCTCAGAGATTCGAGTAACATAATGCGGTTGTAGCCTCTCGCGAACAGCGGCGGCGGAGAAGACGCGACTTCCGTACATTGTTGAACAGCAGTCCGAGTTCACACCGTAAAATGACGCTGACCATGTGAACAGCACCCTAGCCAATACTGCAGAAGCTTCGCGCAAGGTTCTCCCTAGCTCCATCTTCTTGGGTGCAAGACCCAAAGAGCTTCTCTCCGTGTGAATTTGCATGACTCTCTGAGACAAGTTTTTGATTCCTCACCAGTCCGTGATGATCTGGAGGGCGGTTGCATGCGGACAAAAGACATCCTCAAAAACCGCAATGAGCCTCACAACAAGTATTGCTTGTTTGAGACATAGGGTAAACGCTTGTCAAAGAGCGTGTGATGAACACACGACTTGACAATTGACGCGACTGGTCGGATATCACCTTCAGGGGACGAATGCTGGGCTGCAAAGCCGTAGCACAGGCTCGAAGGCTGCCCTGTCAACGTGGTCGGTTAGCAATCTGGTTGGAACTCACGTCCCGGTTGGGGAGATGCGCAGAGACGAGCGTCAAAGTCATGTGCTAATGTCCGAAAGTCGCCACAGGATAATAACACTGCTGACGGAATCCAACGAAGACGGTGTTTCTCATACGTATTCTAGCAAGTTGCAGGTTTCGGCTTTGGAGCGTGACAGACAGCCATAGAAGACATTACCGACCTGAGACGCATTAAGACCTCGCTAGGCTTGCACCTTTCCGACGAGTGGATCTTGCGACAGCCGAAGCCAAACAGGTCGACATGTCCGTGTGGAAAGCTTAGTTCTGATATCCGTGCTCTGCCTAGACCATTGACTTGCTTCGAGACGTTGTAGAAGTGCATCTTTGATGTCGGCACTCCGTATGACAGCTTCTCTGTGAAAACATGCGAAGACTGCGAACAAGACCTGGTCGCTTTTTGAGTCCTGAGAACACTCCTCTGTTGAGGGGCTCGGCATCTCCCACCAGAGTACTCAGACCTACGTAACAAGGGCCGCCATAGAGCTATCCTTTCTGACCAGAGTCTGTTGCACGGATGATGTGTCGACGTGGTTCTCCAGGAAAACTTTAACGCCCCAACAGGCACATGCCACACCATTTCGAGCCGAAGCTCCCGTACCTCGAGCCTCCCTTTGGCGCGTGGTCTCGAGGCGTCCACGCAAGGTGCGACGCCAGGCAACCAAAGCTGATCGGAAGGTCGGCGAAATGACCGCGAAGCTTTTCATCGTGTAGAGTCCGATGAATACCAGGAGATGATTAGGGTTAAGATCCGAATCTGCCCTCCTCAAACGCAAGCACGTGCCGACATGCCAGAGAGGACCTCCGGCGAGCGTCGACAGTACGGAACGAGTGAGGCGCAGCGAACTGCATTCCGAGTGGAAGACAGAAATCGGTAGCTGTAGGGAGAGTGACATGCGTTTGAGCTTATAGCAAGCGAGAGAAGATATGGTGCAAAAGGGCCTTGCGCGAGTTCCCGCCGTTGCGGACGTGTTCAGGTGTCATATTCCATGGTCCAATCTGGTCATGAATACAGATGGGATAGACTGGGCACAGAGCGAGTACGAAAGATTTTGCGGCGATTGGTCGTTGGGGAGTTGTGTGTCAACAAGCAGGTGTCCCACGCGACTTGTTGTGTAGAGACGCGTCTGCACTAGTGCGTGATCACGTGGGATGTTGACTAAGCAGCAGCCCTCATGTCAGTTTCTTTGCTGTTGCCACCTCCACACCATCATTGACACTATGGGAGCCGTTGAAGAGGCAGTAGATGCTGCGGCGAATTTTGTTGGCCCGTTCGTAGATGCAAGTGCGAAGCATGGTGCTCGAAGTGGTGGTGTACAGCACTCTGATAACGCCGTGCTGGTACGGGAAGCTGTAGACCACTTGCAGGCCATTAACACCGCAGATTTGGCTGCTGAGCCGGATGCTCCCTACGATGCGTCTCTTGCCGGCGTTGTGTATGGCTTGTTGGATCTTATTACGTCGCTCGGAGTCCTCCCGTACCTCTCTCCTGGTGTTGCGTTTAGCCAGCGACCAAGATCTGTTCTGATAGCAACATTCACAACCTCTTCTCGGCAAAACAAGGATGTATTATCAGACAACATACCTCCTCTGCTGTTGATCTTGGGACAAAAGGAAGGAACAGGCCTCCAACCTCTCATCGCGCAACGCATTCTTCCTGATATCATTGCTGCACTGGCAGAACTTGCCTTATCACCCCAGTATACTCAGCAAGTTCACTCCCAGTTCGAGCCAGCCTTCAATGATCTGCTCGCGCGAACCCCAACATCGCGTCTGCTGCCAGTACTTACCTCATTCCTTCAGCAACCACTTCCGGCCTGGTTGAAGCCACGAATGGGGAGAGAGCTCGCTACAGTACCCATCCGGACACACGGTATCCGACACATCATCGAGTTCCTATCACTCTCCTACCTATCCAAGAACTCCCGTGTCCCATCAGACGCATCTGGTTCACAATCAAAGATACTGATACCCCTGGAAGCTGTGACGCAAGCAACGAAGTTGTTGATCTCACCACCAAGTGGCACAAGTCAGAACGAATGGATCCGGGCGTTGGAACCCCAGCTGTGGAGTCTTCTAGATGGAGACGAAGGCAGGGAGCTCAGTAGAGCAGCTGGCCAAATCATTGCAGGTGGTATTCTCAGCAAGAGAAGCACAGGTGCACCGGGTACAGATGGATGGAAGATGTTTGCACAGCCCATTCTCGAAACCATCGATCCTAAAAATGATGCGACAGCTATTACACGAGACAGCACCAAGGATCGAGTCCTGGTCCAGGATCATGATCTACTCCTTGCTTTGCAACGAGTAGCTGTCATTACGACATCGTACTCGCATGCAGGCCTTATCAAGAGACTCATCGGTCCCTTGCTCCTTCCTCTATGGGCTCTTCTTAATTATGCTCGATCGAAACGATCGCTCGACAAGGTATGGAGCGAGCTGCCACGCAATATCATTTCAAGATACATCACCGTCGCTTGCGATCCGCAGCAGATGGACACCATCGCGACTTGCCTTTTTTGGGATGGACCACCCGGTTGGATATTGGGCCCAGGTGCCAAAGCTGGTGTTGAAATACGAATGCGAGAGGATCGAGGCTCCAACGGTCTCGAGGGAATGGACTCAATTCTCTCACGTATCAGTGATCTCACTGGACGGATTGGCCTCTTTGTCTCTCTGCTCGCAGACTCAGAGGTTTCAGACGATGCTGCAGGCCTCATCTTTCTTCAAGTGACCAGAAGATGGCTGGTACCCACTTCCAGCTCGAAGGCGACACTTTTGGATGAACCCGATGATGACCCACTCAAAGCACTGACAGATGCAAAGCTCTCTGAAGCATTAGCTCTGAGATTCAAAGACAAATTTGCGAGATCGCCACAACACATTATCGAACTCATGGGACAACTGCTTCACAACTATGTCTCTGATCACCAGTCAAGCTCAAAACTACGAGCGCAATCACACAAACCAAGCAGAGCAAATCTACGGAATTTAGTTGATCCTCAAAAAGAGACTCGGAACAGAGAAAGCACGGGCGATACTTCAGATGACCTGGTCTCCTTTGCAATCAGCACAATCAGTACACTAATCGCGACCCCGGAGTTTGAACGAGGCCCTCAAACCGAGGCCCTCCTCTTACAGATTACTCGGCACCTGCAGTATCTCGTAGACGCCCACCACGCACTTCCTATTGCGTCAGTCATCACAAACTCAGCACGCAACCTTTTGCAGACTCTCAGCCCAGCGGCTCCCACAGCAACCCAGAGTAAAAGTGACTCTGACCCTCTGGCCCCTCATCGCATTACACTCCAAGCAGCCCTCCAGGACATCACTTCCCCCGAGGCCCCAAACCGCACATGGGCCCTCTCCACAATACACAAGCTGATCCAAGATGCCTCGTCATTCGCGGTCGTTGACGTACCAGCAACAGCCTTCCTCATACTCTCTGCTTCACTTGCCGATCCCGAGTCGTATGTCCACAGCGCGGCTGTTCCTGTGTTGGTCACTCTTGCGCTCTGCGCCCCACACCCCACCATCAAGATCCTCGTGGACGCGTTTCTCGACGTCGATGAGCGCAGTCTTGCGCTATCGAAAGGTCGAATGACGGACGAGAAACAGAGAGAGGTCGAGGAGAGTCTGGACTACCGTCTGCGAATCGGCGAGGTCTTGCACAAGATTCTCCTCAGCGACGACTTCTGGCACGGCCAGAGCGACGCAGTTCTGAAACACGCCAGTGCCAAGCAGATTGCGTCTGCTTGTCTTTTGCTGTCTTCGCGCCGCGGTCAGCGCTCCAGGACGCAGTCGTCTCGTCAAGCCGTGTCTCTGCAAATCGTGCAGCAGCAGGACGAGGCAGAGGCAGCATGGGGAGGCCCAGTTCCTAATATTCTTGAGCGCGAGAGCGAGGCTTCGGCGGCTGATCAAGCGGACTTCGAGGCTCTTGACAAGATCGTCAAGGGATGGGAAGACACAGGGGTGGAAGAAGACGTGCGGATTCGTGCGAGCGCGATGAGCATTTTTGGCACACTGCTTGAGAAGAGGATCAAGTTTGTGGGGCAGGCAACGGTCGATGCAGGCGTTCAGATTGTGCTGCTGGTGCTGACTATGGAAACTGCGGAGACATTTTTCATTCTGAGGCGAGCAGCGGCACTGGTCGTTATGGGGCTGCTGACAGCCCAAGACGAGGCGCTACAGGCTGGCGAGGATACTAATGTGGGCTTGGGGATAAAGCAGCAGGATGAGGTGGAGCGGGTGTTCAAGTGGACGAGCAACGAGGATGGAGATGAACTTGTAAGAGGCCATGCAGCGAGCGTGGTGGAAGGCCTCGAGACGTTGCGAATGAAGAAGCTGTACAGGGTCAGGGACGAGGGCATGGGACTGGGACTGGGATCAAATATGGGGCTTGAGGGCAGGCTGAGGGGTCTCAATGTCAGGCCAGATGTGGAGGGGGCACATGAACAGCGACGGATGGTGGTGGAAGAGATCGAATAGCACAGTGCTACCTCTATAGCTCAAGTTGGATGCCGATGCTCTGGAGCTCGACGTCCGCCCGCGCCGTGTGCACCTGACGTGTGGTGCCAGGTAGTCATCTTGTGCCAAACCACGCAGCTGCGCTCTCAGCGCTAGGACGTGCGTTTCGTGTCCCTCCTCCCCCGGGGCGCGTTCTGCTGACTTTTGGTATCGTATTCCCATGCTCGCACGGCACGAGCTCACCCGCTCATGGCCGTGTCCTTGGCCGCCTTGGCTTCGACGCCGTCGGCCTGTCCGATCCACAGCACGTTGTTGCAGCGGATCAAGACCTGGCCAAGGGTCCCTGAGCTGACGCCGTTGACGAATTCTTCCGTGTTGGCGAGCTGGATGTTCATGTAGAGGTCGACGGAGACGAGTCTGCCCTTGTACTCGGTCTCGCCCCACTTGAGACGCACGAAAATGTCCTTGTCGACGCTGCGCAGGTCAGTATGTAGCAGAGGGTTGCATGCGAAGGGCGCGTGGGCGTCGCGGAGTTGGGGACGTACAGGCTCTGGAGCAGCGGTCGGGGATTGAAAGGAGCAACGGCCTGGACGCGGTTAGCACGGGGCGCGGGCGACGGCAGCGCGCACTTACAGCCATGGTTGTGACGGCGGCGGGCGTGGAGGCAGCGGAGGCAGTGGCAGCGCAGGCAGTGAAGCTGGGCGCATCGACGCGCCCACTGCTTTCTCGACAGCGCACGGGCTGGCGCCGCCGATTGGCCCGCCCCGCCCCCGCGGCGAATGTTGCGCCTCGCAGCCCAGCAGTCTGCTGTGTAGGTCCAGGTCTGCACCCGCACCCGCACCGCACTCGCTCCCACCGCCCCGCCCGCAATGGTGCTCGCACTCGCCCTCAAGGCCGAGCTGGCCGGCGTCACGAATCTGCGCCCGCTCGACACCGAGGACGCGCCCTTCTACTACACCTTCAAGGTGCAGTGCACGTCGTGCCGCGAGACGCACCCCAACTGGGTGTCGGTCAGCCGCTTCGAGCAGAACGAGATCAGCGGCAGCAAGGGCGAGGCCAACTTTGTGTGGAAGTGCAAGAACTGCAAGCGCGAGCACTCGGCCAACATCAAAGCCGCGCCCGCCACCTACGAGCGCGCCGACCCGCCCAAGACGAAGAACATCCTCGAGTTCGACTGCCGCGGTCTGGAGTTTGTCGAGTTCAAGGCCGATGTGCGTTGTGCCGTTCGCGAGTGCGCAGTGCGCCGTGGCTGACCATCAACAGGGTGAGTGGCTTGCCACAGGCGAGGAGTCCGGCTCCAAGTTCGAAGGCATCGAGCTGCACGAGGGCGAGTGGTACGACTACGACGAAAAGGCCGGCGAGGAGGTCAGCATCACCAACCTGGTATGGGAGGTGCGCCGCGCATAGACCGAGGATGCGGGGTACCGGTAGAGGTTGGCAGAGGGTGCAGGTCAGGCTGAGGGGTGCAGGTACAGGTCAGCTGCAGACACTGGCCAAGGTAGCTGAAGCTGGTAAAGATAGCTGAGGGCACAGGAGGAGGCTGGCTGACGAACTTGAATAAAGCAGCTGAAGATACTGGTAAAGATAGCCAGAGGACTTGCAAAGCCAGCTGAGAGCACTGGCACGCTTGATTCGAAGTACTGGCAAGATTAGTGCAAGCACTGGCAGTTTTGGCGCAAGCACCGGCAAGACTGGCAAGATTGACTGAAGGCATTGGCAAGCTGGCTGAAAACACTGGCTGAAAGCACTGGCTGACGCCGACGCACACCTCGCGGTCCCTCGAGCAACATAAACAATTCGCGGCTTCAACTGTTCGCATTGATAAACAATATTCATGATCCACCAAACGCACGTGCTAATGCAGCCCTGTATCGGCCCTCTATGTACAAGTCCCGCCCAGACAACCATGAGAAGTTTGCACGATAGAATCCCATGTCTATCCATCAGGAGACTCCGTGAACGCCAGCAGCAGAGTCGACAACGCTGCCCCTCTTCGCTGCTCATATCCCAAGGTAGAACTTGGCCCTTTCGTAGACGAAGAAACTGGTCGCCACCATGGGCACAACTTTGACGTATCCTATCGTCAGGCCCACAAAGTAGCCTCTCCAGCCCCGCTCCATGTATATGCGCTTTGCAACTTCCGCGAGGCCCAGTCTGTGTCCATCGCCCACTACGCCGCCAACTTGCATCCGCCGCCGTATCACCTCCAGTGGGTACGATACCGTTTGTGAGACGAACCCGGCGGTGCCGCCTGTGGCCAGCTCGGCCCAGTAGCGCAGTTGCGCGGGCTTTTCGCTCGTCGTCGCCGACTCTGGGCGGCCTGTGTTCGGCAAGACAGTGTAAGGCGCAAGGCTCGGCCAGCGCATCATGTCGCTCACGGTATCGTGCACCAGAAACGAGGCCCCGGCATACGGCACCATGCCGAGCAGCGTGGGTGTGAAGCCGCGGAAGAAGTTGCTCAGCCCGGTCTGCGGGGTCAGCTTGTGCACGGCTTGCGTTGCAGTCGCCGTGAGTGCACCGGCAGGGCTGTGTGATGTCGGTGCCGCATGCTCGCCGTAGATCTTGCGGACAATGGAGGCCAAGTTGGATCTCTCGCCCGCGCGCGTCTCGAAGGCGAGGCGCACGCGGATGACCTCGAGTGGGTAGGTGAAGAAGACGCTGACCATGCCCGCCAGACTGCCAGACACAAAGCGGCGGCCGGGAGTCTCTTGGGCGTTTGAGTGGATTACTCGAGCGCGAATCTGCTCGTATGCGAGGAACTTGATGCCTGCGTACGGGAAGATGCGCAGCAGTGTCGCAGAGTGCCCCTTGAACAGCCCCCGCGTACCGGCCTGCAGATAGATGTCGCGCACAGCGGTGGGGAAGCCGGTCCACGAGCCCGTGTACTTTGCGAACTGCGGGTTCTGCGTCTGGAAGAGGATCTTCACACGGTCGAGGGGGCCGACGACCGTCTTGGCGGCGCAGCCTGCTATGCCGCCTGCAATGCCGCTCTTGACCAGGTATTCATAGCTCTTCTTGTCCACGGCTCGTGTTCGGCTCGCGGCTTCGTGGCCATGTGTGTTTTGCCCCGACCGCGAGGGCACAATGGCGTCGCCGTCGGTGGCGCACAGGGGCGGGGAATTTGTGCTGCTGCCAGCGCTCTTTGTATCGGCGTGCCTATGCGCATGGCGCGTCACCGTGTGCGTGTGCGTGTGCGTTTCCATGGGCGCCGTGTCATGGCGGAGGGCGGGCGAGGACATGCCAGGGCTCGTGATCACCGCGACATGGGGGTTGTGTGTGTGTACTATGCAGATAGTCGCGACGTCCCGGGGTGTTCTGGGAGGATCTTCACCAAGGTCGGAACGCGGAGAGGCCTGTGGGGGAGTGCAAGATTAGAAAACGCCGCCCCGTGTGTGGTCGAGATGCGGCTCCAGGCCATGACGTTAAGCCGAGGATCTCGCATCTCCATCCGGATAAGCTGGCGTTTGGCCGACGATACGCGGAAAAGTTCCACACGTCACACGAGCGCGACATCCTGGCGCAAAGTTGCATTCACGCGCCTGGTCCGCAGTCCAAGATCCTCCACGTGAATGAGAGGAGCTGCTTGCGAGCTGTAGAGTAGGCAAAGGTGAGACGCCGCCACTCCAGGCGGTGACAGCGTAAGTAAAATTTGCTGCTCCTCGCCTCGCTCTCGCGTGCTGCTTACAGTATGCGCCCAAGACCTGCCTCGCAATGGTGCACGCGCAGCCGAGTGCCATAATCTACCAAAGTGTGGACGGTGAGATCACGCTCATCGACATTCCCACATCTATTGCCATTGCTCAGGGCCGCTCCGGAACGCTCCTGTCCACTCCACCGCTAGAGGAGCCAATTCCGCCAAAGGAAGGATGCCGATCTAGGGCAAGCCAAAACACGGCTATCTCGTCCGTCGACATAGTTCGTCATGAGCAGTACAGGTCATTGATCGAGCAAGCATTACTCGATATCAAAGCTCACGTTCCTGGATTCTGGTGCGCTCCCCGACAGGTATTGCCTCATCTGCCGACACCTGGAAAAGGTGCAACGGGACCTGATGAAGTGGAGAGAGAGCTGGGGTCTCGATTTCGAGAGTGGGTCGCTGGTGAAGAGAGCAAAGTAGAGAGCTTGTCAGACTTCCAAGTGATGATGGCTTCTCTAGGTGCACCAGAGGTTCAATCCACGGCTGCCGGAAGTAATACACAACCCTGGATCGTGTCGCTTTCTGCGCCTGGGGGTGCCACTATACAGCAGGCTTCCACCTCAGGATCACTGCCGGCATTCTACAACGCAGAAGGGCAGTCCCTGAACCTGACCATCGCCCGCGCTACAACCGAGGATATGGGGGAGACTTGTGCCTATCACTTTACAGTACCGCCTCTTTCCGCCTCTTTCCTCGGAGACTGCGATCATCCAGAATTATTCCGTTCTTCCTTTCGCGATATCACGGACAAGCACGACCTCCCAAGACATTTTGACCTGGTACTATTGGATCCACCATGGCCCAACCGGTCGGCTAAGCGTAAGGGAGTATACGAGCAGATCGGAGGCATGCCGTACTTGAAGAACATGCTACACAGGATGGATCTTGATAGCTACATCGAGAACAACGCTCTTGTCGGCATCTGGATCACAAACAAACCAGCTCTGCGAGACCACGTGCTCGGTGCAGGAGGACTGTTCGAGACGTGGAACGTGGGACTGATCGAGGAGTGGATCTGGGTCAAGACAACTACCAAAGGAGAGCCGATGTTTGACATCGACGACGTAATGCGCAAGCCGTACGAGGTACTACTGTTAGGACGAGCAGCCCCGAACTCATGGACCACGATGACCCATGCACCAAAACCCCGAAAAAGGGTGATTGCTGCAGTGCCGGATGTCCATTCACGGAAGCCAAGTCTCAAGGCATTGCTGGAGCCGTATATGCCAGATCCTACTGACTACAATGCGCTTGAAGTTTTTGCCCGCTACCTTGTTGCTGGCTGGATGTCCTGGGGAAATGAGGTGCTGAAGTACAACTCGGACGTTTATTGGGCCAAGCACCCAAACACGCACTAGGCGTTGGGGCGCGAACGTATGCCAGCATAGTCCTACTATGAGGCTCTGGAAACCCTCATGGGGTTCGTAAACTTTTCGACAAAAAGTTGGTAATTACAATATAATAGTATTCAAACAAGTTTTGTAATTCCAGTACTGCACAATCAGTGTCCTCTACAGTTCATCGTGACTGTAACCCATCTGCTTCTTTTGAAAGTTCAAAATATGCGTCAGGAATCTAGGGTCGATGTGGATGAAGTCTATCAGGCCGAGTATGATCATGATGATGAAGCCAAGCCCGATGCCTAATAGCACTGCATCCCATTGCCTCGAGACCTTCCTGAGCCACGCCTTCGTGTCCTCGACGGCGATGTTCTCGTCAAGGGCCGACCTTGCGCTCTTCAGTCCCGGCAGTCCATCCATACTCCTAGAGTTGTTTAGCTTCTGGAAATCCATCATCTCCCTCCTCTCAATCTTCTTCGCGGCCCAAGCCTCGAGCGTCTCACGTCCATCTTTGTCGTCCTCGTGGTCGGCGAAAGCTGTTGCGTCGCCATCGGCGACGCCGGGGAGTGTGCCGAACCCACAACTCGTCTGCACCTTCTTGATCTGCAGGACGATAATGGCACGGGCACCAGTGATGTCGACGGTATCACCATTCTCGGACGCCATCTTGGCACGCAGCTGGTTGAAGTGGTGGTCCCATTTCTCCACGACACGGCCGACACAGAACAGCCGCAGGGTCTTGGCCTCGAGTCCTGAAGAGCTGAAGAGCAGCGTTACACGCCCATTCTCGTTGACGTGGGCGATGGTCTCGCATCCGTGGCCAGTAGCGTCAAGGTAGGCGACTGTGGTGGGGCCGAGGATGGAGAAGGTCTGTGAGGGCTGTCCCTTTGGGGAGATGTTGATGTGGTCTCCGGCCCAGGGCGCACTGGCAACGTAGAAGAGGGGCTGGGCGTTGATGAAGTCAACGTGGTCGCTGTTCAGGGAACTGTAGAACTTTGGCATGATGGCGGCTGTCTATGGTCTGCTGGAGATATAGTAGTCCCAATGCGGAGGAGAAGGAGGAGACGCGGCGGGCCAGGCGGATTTTGGCGGTGGTGTCTGGCGGTGCACGCTGAGGTGTTCACAAGTTTCCAGCTTAGATTCTTTTCTCTTCTATACTAATCTCTTGACAGATTTGGTTTCAATGCTTGGACCAGGTTGCGATATTTTGGAGATTGGTTGCTGAGTAAGCCGCACTTGCTGCAGCTGGTTAGGACCCTGGCCAGAGATGCCCGCGGGGACGGCGAACGCCAAGACTGGCGCGGTCGGCGATTTTTGGACAGCTCCGATGACACGATAATCTTGCAGTCGCAGTCACCCGCGCATTGCTCACCTGCCACCCGGCCGCTCGCTCGACGCTGCTCGGTCCACCGCCGTGCCCGCCGCGCCCGCCGCGACCGTCCCCAAAGTGCGTCGAAGCGCCCCTCGCCCCGCGATCCGCACCGCCGCCGGTCCGCACGCGGTCCAGCATGCGCCGGTAGCAATCATGGCTCTCTGGTCCCGGGCAACGCGGACCCCGGGATCCTGCCGACGCGCCATTGCCAGCCGTGCGGCGGCGCACCATGGCCCGCGAGGCCTGCGGCGCCCGTGTCGCCCGCCAACGTCCGCCAACGTCCACACAAGCAGCCCCGCCGCAGCCGCGGCCGTCGACGCGCAGGGGCCGGTCAGCGGGCGCCTGTGGGAAGCAGCCATCGCGTCGCTGCAGGAGGCTCTGGAGCGCCCGCTGGCCCAGCCACTGCAGCTGCGTGGCCAGGCGGCGCTCGAGTCCATCCCCCACACGCCGCTCGAAGGGCTGCCAGGCGACCTGGACTGGGCCCGCGTTGCGCGCGTCGCGGGCATGGACCTTGCCGACGACCAGCGGCTGTTCCACCGCATGCACTCGCGCGCCTACGACGACCCCCACGGCGCCTGGGAGGAGCTGCGCTGGGACTCGCGGCACCCGGGCATGCAGCAGCTCCAGTGGCCTGCGAACACGGGCCACCGCGTCAATCCCTATAACCTCCCGCCGCAGTCGCTGTGGGCTCCCGACAGGGCCCGCCTGACCGCCATGCGCCGCCGACACACGTGGAAGAAGCTCGCCATACAGGAGCTGAGCGTGGCCATGCTCATCCACTCGCTCTTGCACTACATCCGCACCCCGCGCCAGCCGCTTCCCGGCCTGTCGCCGCACATCAAGTTCGTTATTGCTTTCGGCCCCAGCCAAGCCATAAAAGCGCGAGAGAACATCTTTGGCCATTACTGGCGCATGCAGATGAGACCGGTCGATACTATCGTCGACGACGACGTGCTTGCCGATATTTATCCAAATCAGCCCGCCGTTCCGCGCTATCACCAGGACGCCGACGGCGACTTCCACCAAATCGCCCAGCGCCTGAACCTCAATTTGAAACAGCTCCTACACCACGATTCACAGGATCGCAAGGACGACAACGAAGCTGCAGTCCCACTGGCCAAGATCTGCCACAATCTTTTTGTGTCCTCGGCTCCACCAGACGTGCAAACATTCAACATCCTCATTGCCGGCTTCAGACGATGGCGCCGTCCCGAGATGGTGGAGCATGTCATCCGCGCATGTCTTGGCTCCAAGATACGTCCTAACGAGATCACACTGCGCTACATCCTGAGCCACTACATATCCGAAAATCGTGCAGACGAGTTCTCGGAGTTCGTGGCATGGATGCGAGGTGCCACTGATACACTGATGCTCGCAACCCCGGACATCACTATCAACGAAGCGAGCCAGGGCCGTCTCATTCGCAGAGGCAAAATGAAGGTCTTTCAAAAGGTGTATCCTACACCTACGGTGTTCGATGGTCTGATGGGTGGCGTGCTGAAGTTTGCTGGCTTTGAGCGCGCTCTAGATGTATACTACGAGATGAAATCCGACGGCTGGGGCCTCGACATGGCTGGCCTCAGACGGTTGCTAGGCGACTGCATCCGCCGAGCCGACTGGCAGGGTGGTGTATACGTCTGGGCTGAAATCAAAAGCATCCAAGACACGGCAAAGCCACTAGACATGGCCAAGGCGTACGAATACATGCTTTGCTTGGGCTCTGTGACGGGCAACACAAGTGCATTTAACCAGCTGCTGAAGGAGATTGCGAATGGGGGCCACGACCGGCACGCCATCATCACTCGCGCGATAAAACGAGCCAAGAGAACGAGCCTGTCCCCGGCCTGGGCTGCAGACAACCTACTCATCGCAGTATCCGGCTTTGCTCAAGACTACCAAACGCCAGAGCAGGGTGCCACTCCAGAATTGAATATTGATGATCTAATCTACGGACAACCAATCGTAGAGGGAGACGACGATATGATGGTCGACAACCTAAGTAATTGGGACGATAGCACTCCTGTGGAGGTGTCGGAGCAGAAAGCAACGGACGCTACCGAGACATGGGCCTCCTGGGTCGAAGCCGAGTTTGGAGAACGGCCAAAAGAGCCGGAGGCCCATGACTGGCTGACAGCGATGACGAGTGCGCCTGTCGGAGCAGAGCCAGACCCTACAGCGTCCGAGGAGGCCTGGGAGAAATGGCTCCAAGCCGAGTTTGGCGAGGAGCCGGAAGAGCCAAAGACATGAGCGCTGGTACTATGTGCACGGCACGACCTACGGAAGCATGGGACGGCGTTTTGGTTTGCATGAGACGGGGTCGTTTATTTGATATACCTTTGCATGGAGAAGGAGTGTAGGTCTAGACTTTATCTGTACAGTATAGTATGTGTACCAGTGTATATTAGGTAGTCGGAGTAGGGCTGAGGCGTGGACAGGCCCTGGTCGAGCCAAGGCAATATCCATTTAGCCGCACTGTACGAAGTATAAACACATGGTCCTCGCTTGTCCATGTCCGCCATGCGAACACCTTCCACATGTAGTCGTCGCACCGACGGCAGTACATTTAATTCACATGGTACAGTGGAGGTCAGGTTCGACGAACTGTCCGGAGAAGTAAGGGTCTGGGAAAGTGTCTGGCAATGGGCTTACACTTCTCAACCGAGATTCTGCTATGAACAGGCATATGCCTACAATACCCAACCGTTAGCACCGCGGCCTGCAGATGCCACGGCAGTCGTCCAGTCACGTCTCGTCGCGATATGTGCAGCCTTCGCACCACGCTTTACCCAGACTCCCCTGTCCGCCGCCGGGTCCAGAACCCTGAGCGGGTTGTTGTGTAGAGGTTGGCAAGGGCTGGCGATGGGTATATGAGCGTCTGGTGTCCGCACGAGGCAGTATCAGTATCAGTATCAATAGTAGTATCAGGTTCAGCATCAGCATCAGTATCAGCATCAGCATCAGTATCCATCACTCCAGCACTGAATCGCCACAACAGACAACACCACCATGCGCCCCGCCCTTCTCGCAGCAACCGCCTTCGCGGCTCTGACCCACGCGCTCCCGCTCACGGCGCCAGAGGTACACAGCCCCTTCCCCCCTTCCCCTGCGCTGACGCTGTGTTGACGCTGGTAGCCGCAGCTCGTCGACGCCAGCCCGGACGCGACGATTGGGCTTGGCAAACCGAGCTCGGAAACTACATGGGGCAGGCGCGATATTGTCGATGTGAAGCCCGGTTCTACGATTGAACTGGGTAAGCCAAGCTCAGAAACTACCTGGGGCAAGCGCGATATCATTGATGTGAAGCCGGGTTCTACGATTGAATTGGGTAAACCTAGCACGGAGGTCATCTGGGGGAAGCGCGATATCGTCGATGTGAAGCCAGGCTCGACCATCGGCCTGGGCAAACCGAGCTCGGAAACTACCTGGGGCAGACGTGATATTGTTGATGTCAAGCCGGGCTCGACGATTGAACTGGGCAAACCATCGTCTGAGACCACCTGGGGCAAACGAGATATCGTCGACATCAAGCCAGGCTCGACAATCGAGCTGGGCAAGCCGAGCACTGAGGTTATCTGGGGGAAGCGCGATATTGTTGATGTGAAGCCTGGTTCCACAATCGAGCTGGGCAAGCCGAGCACAGAGGTCACTTGGGGCAAGCGTTAGGGGACACGCACGCGCGGCTAGGCAAAGAGGAGACGTGTTGGGTAGCAATTGAAGGGTGTTGTTCTTCTATACTATGTGCTTAAAAGCTGCTGTGGGCTGGTTTGTGTGGGCTCTATCGTGCCGAGTTGCTGGTCGATGAGGCTGGCGCTGGCTCTGAGGCATGCTGCGCTATCGTGCCTCTCTGGCGAGGCCACTGTGGTGTGCCACGTCTCCCGTTGAATCGCCGCTTGCAAACCATGTTGCAATGAAGACATACCTCGTGGTTGCTAATGACGCGATTTCGATGTGAAGCTGGGCGTGTAGCGTCGGCTCTTCGTAGGTATATTGCCTAAATGTCAGAGCGCTTTCTGCTTCAGCTGAGATGGCTCATGCTTGCAGCAAGCACCTGGTTGACCATATTGAACAGATGTCGTGGAAGCTCATGTGGCGTGTCCGACTGCACTTGCAGGGGCCGCAGGAGGAGCTGCAGCAGCAGGTGCGGCAGAGGCTGGAGCCGGAGCGGCAGCGGTATTCGACCCTCCTCGGGCTCCTCCACGGCCACGTCCCCGAGGTGCAAAGCCGCCACGGCCGCCACGAGCTGGTCCTGTAGGCGGACCATGGGGCGGTCCCTGAGGTGTACCGTGGGGCGGACCTTGGGGTGGCGGGTTGAAGCGCGGGCCCCTGGCAACAGGAGCTTTGCGTTCAAGCACTTGTACAGCGCCCTGGGCAATCTTGATAGGACTAGCGGCCATGGCTTTGCGTAGACCGTCGGGCTCTGCAAAGTCGACGTATGCGAATCCCTTGCGCTTGTCGATCTCGACCTTGTCGAGCGCACCAAAGACCTTGAGCGCCTCTTCGATCAACGGCTCCGTGATGCCCTGGGAAGGATTGGCGTGCTTGAGGAACGCCTGCTTGCTGGTTGCGTCGGGGACTGGACGAGATGGCGTCGACCTTGCAGCAGCGGCGGGAGCTGGGGTCTGTGCCTTGACGGGCGTGGATGTCGTCCTTGTCGCAGCAGGCTCGGTAGGCGGAGCACGTGATGTTGCTGGGCCCTTGGGTGCTGGTGTCTGTGCAGGCTGGGGTTTTTTCAGAATCTGGGGTGATGGTGTTGCCGATGCCTTGCCAGTAGCTTGAGGTTTGGCATCGCTTGTAGCAGGCCTGCCGTTGGTGGTGTCTGCTAGAGAGGCCTTGAATGCCCTGCGCTCGGCGCGAGTCGGGCGTTCCTTCTTCTGCGACGCTTGGGCGGCCTTGTCAGCCGGAAGCGCAGCATGCTGGGCAGCGGGTGTTTCCTTGGGCTTTGGCTCCGACGCGGGTGCATCCTTTGCTGGAGCGGCAGTGTCGACGCCCGCAGCCTCTCGCTTTGTCCCACGGCGACGGTTGGGAGCAGGACCAGGGCCGACACCAAGATCACGCTGGAGCATTGACTTTGCAAGAGCGACGTTGGCGCGTTTGCGCTCCGGAGCCGGGCTGGCAGAGGCCTTGTCGGCAGCAGCATTCGCATTCTTCGAGGCCAGGGCCTCCTTGTTCAGAATCTTGACAGCGTCTTTGGTCGCTTGGGCCTTGTCTGGCTTGGCTGATTTGCGGGACTTGTCTCCGGCGACAGGGCCGTTCTCCTTGCCCGGCTTCGCAAGCAGCTTCTTCTCGGCAGCAAGGTCCTTTTCTCCACGGCCGCTGCGCCCCTTGCCGGCTGGCTTCTCCTTGTTTGCCTTTTTCTCACGCAGGGCCTCAATCAGCGGGGTTGTCTTCACCTTGACGTCCTTGGCGTGGTCGGCTTCCGGGGCAGGCGGCTTGGTGATGGGATTGGTCAGGCTCTCGAGGAAGTCCTTGAAGTCCTGGTCCTGGTCGATGGTGCCCTGGCGGTTGTCGTTGCGACGGCGGCCGCCGGGCATCTTGGGGTACGGGGCGAACTCGAGGGTCGGCAGGCCGACGAGGGCGGGGTCCTGCCACGACTTGGCAGCATCGTGGAAAGCGAGGGTGCGGACGTGGTCGCCGAGCTGGGGCACGAACTCGGGCTTGAGGACGTGGAAGTAGGCGCGCGACGGGCGCGAGGGTTTGGCGGCATCCTTGGAGACGCGGCCCTTGCGGTAGCTGAACCAGTCGACGCGGCCGGCGCCGGCGGCCCACTCGTCGGCGAGGGCGGCCTCGAACTCGGCCCTGGTCAGGCCCGGGGCCAGGCGGCGCAGGACGAGCTTCAGGCGGGGCTGGGCAGCTTTGGGGCCGCGCGGGGACGGGGCGGGGGCGGTTCGCTGGGCGGGAGCAGGTGGGTTGCGCTGGGCCGGGGCGGGTGGGTTGCGCTGCAGGACGGCGACGGGCAGGACGCCGTTGACGCCGGCCTGGGGGGCCATCGAGGGTGGGTGGGTGTGGGTATGAATTGGCGGGCGGCGGTGGTGGTACCAGCAGTCGCAGTGCTTCGGCGAGTGTGCGTGATGCGTGAGGCGTGGTGCGTGGTGCGTCGGCCAGCGTGGGTGATGTGCTGCGCGGTGCCAGGCCAGTCGTGCCCGTGATTGCGCTGGGGTTGTGCCGTGGTTGCGCTGGTGTCGAACCGTGGCGGCGCTGGTGTCGAACCGTGGATGCGCTGGTGTCGAACCGTGGGTGCGCAGGGCGTCGTGCCGATTGCGCTGGCCGTCGTGCGGTGGGGGCTCGCTATCTCGCTGGGGGCAGTGACGCGGGCAGCGCGCAGGCGCGTAGGGCTACAAGGCAGGGCTACTACACGCGAGGGCGGGCAGGGTGCGCCACACTGTGCTCGTCGCAGCCGCTCGCCGTGCCTCCACGGCCGCCCGAGCTCCGCCCCCACCCATTGCACCGCGCCGCGACGTCACGCTCGCCCGCCTCGCCCGTCTCCGTCACACGACGCCGGCCTGTCCCCGCCCCTCGACGCTGGTCTGCCGCTGGACCCCCGCCTGCTCGACTCCCACACGCGCCGCCGCCGGCCCTCGCCCCCGCCATGCCCAAGGACAGCGACGTCCCCCAGCCGGGCCCCGCGCGCCTCGCAAAGGGCGCCGGCCCCGACGAGTGGCTCGAGCAGGCCAAGCAGTGCAAGTACCTGCCCGAGGCCGACATGAAGCGCCTGTGCGAGATCGTCAAGGAGTGTCTGATGGAGGGTGCGCCGCCCGCCTGCCCGCCTGCCTGCCCGCCCCCGCTGATGCGCCTCCAGAGTCCAACATCCAGCCCGTGCGCACCCCCGTTACCGTGTGCGGCGACATCCACGGCCAGTTCTACGACCTGCTCGAGCTCTTCCGCGTCGCCGGCGGCATGCCCAACGACACCCCGCAGGCGCCCCAGGCCCCGCCCGTCACCCTGCCCAGCCAGATCAACCCCGCCGACCTCGAGCCGCCCACCAGCATCACAGACCCCAAGGTCAAGCGCAAGATGAAGCGCCGCTTCCAGCGCGACCCCAACTACATCGGCCCTGCCAGCCCCCCGGGCGGCGACGGCGACGACGGCGATGCTGACGACGACGAGGAGGAGACGCGCGGCCGCAGCAGGAGCGTCCACGACCGCCGCAGCACCGGCTCCATGTCTGACGCCGGCTCGACCCGCAACACCGTCGTCGGCAACGGCCAGCAGAACTTTGTCTTCCTGGGCGACTTTGTCGACCGCGGCTACTTCAGCCTGGAGACCTTCACCCTGCTCATGTGCCTCAAGGCCAAGTGCGCCCCCGCCGCCTCTCTCCTCGCCCGCCCCGCTAACTCCGCCAGGTTCCCGGACCGAGTCACCCTCGTGCGCGGAAACCACGAGTCGCGCCAGATCACCCAGGTCTACGGCTTCTACGAAGAGTGCCAGACCAAGTACGGCAACGCCTCCGTGTGGAAGGCCTGCTGCCAGGTCTTTGACTTCCTGGCCCTCGCCGCCATTGTCGACGGCAAGGTTCTCTGCGTGCACGGCGGCCTGTCGCCCGAGATCCGCACACTGGACCAGATCCGCGTCGTGGCCCGCGCCCAGGAGATTCCCCACGAAGGCGCCTTCTGCGATCTGGTCTGGAGTGACCCCGAGGACGTCGACACCTGGGCCGTGTCCCCCCGAGGCGCCGGCTGGCTGTTTGGAGACAAGGTGTCGTCCGAGTTCAACCACGTCAACGGCCTGCAGCTCATCGCCCGAGCCCATCAGCTGGTCAACGAAGGCTACAAGGTGAGCACTCTCTACCCCCTGCCGACCAACACAGCAAGCACATCCTAACACAAGCCCAGTACCACTTCAAGGACAAGGACGTCGTCACCGTATGGTCCGCTCCCAACTACTGCTACCGCTGCGGCAACGTCGCATCCATCATGAACCTCGGCGAGGACCTCAAGCAAGAATTCCAGATCTTCAGCGCCGTCCCCGACCACCGCCGCGCCGTGCCAGCTGGACGCGGCGGGAGAGGAGAGTACTTTTTATAGTCTGACACTGCAGATGGCACTTGTACCACGTGACGCGACGCGACGGATACCCAGGCACGACATGGACGAGACGAGTCCATGACACCGAGCTGAATACATGACTGCGCTTTTATACTGACCCCCTTAGATAGCTGCGTTGTACGATACAATCACGATGATGATGAAGAAATAAATTTGCATATCCTTCATCTCCTGCTTTTCTATCACGATACAATCACGACGATGACAGTGGTGAAGAAAGATTTCTTGTATATTGTTATCTCCGTCATTTCTTCATCTCATCATTCATCATCTGCATCTACTCAGAGATACGCCCGCTCTGCATAACTCGCAATCATCCCCTTTGCGTCTGCCTCATATTCCCTCAACTCCACCTTCCCATCCTTCTCCACGGTGTTGGCCTGCACAAACACCTTGCGCGGCACCTTCTTCCTCAACACCGCCGGCCGCACCAGGTTCTCGTAAAACGGCTCCACGTCGGTAATGTCGTCGTACAGCTTCTTCGCCTGCTTGTAGTCGGCCGTGCTCTTGAAAATGTGCAGGCGCTGCAGATAATCGTTGACGGCCGCGCGCCCCAGATCGAGGATGCGGTCGCGCTCCAGCCGGATCGTCAGATCCGACAAGTCGTCCTCCTTCCACTCGAGCTCGCAGAACTCGACGCCGGCGTTAAGAAACGTGCGCAGGATCGAGAAGCGCGCTTGCATGTGCGCCTGGCCCCACTTGCGGCTCTTGGGGTCCCAGAACTCGAGCGCCACGATGCCTGCGCGCGCCATGGACAGGTACGCCGTGTGCAGCACGTCGCCCGCCGGGCCGTGGATGTCGATGCTGCCGTCGCCGAAGCCGAACAGCTGCAGGATCGGAAACTCGCAGGACAGCGCCATGGCCACGCATTCAGCCCGGCATTCTTCGTAGCTGGCGGCGATGGTGCCGAAGACCGAGCCCCATGTCTGGCCCGGCTTGTACCACGTGCGGATCGGCGTCCCCGTTACGGGCGAGATGGGCGGGTTGTCGTGGTCGAAGTTGAATTCGCCCGGCGCTGTTTCTTGCAGCAGCTTGCCGCAGCCGTGGCCGAGCAGCTCGTGCAGGCCGACCTGTACTTCAAACGCCTGGTCGGCGTTCGCCTTGTAGAGGGCCTGTTGCTCGTCTTTGATGAATGGGATCTTCTCGTTGGCAGCTTTCGCGCTGAGGACGTTGCCGAGAGACACGTTCTTGAACCCGACGTTTTGTCGGATGTCGTCGTAATTGGGAATGTTGATCCCCGCAGGTATCCTGTGCAGCGTCAGCAAACCCATTCAATGCCATGTTACTCTCAATACTCACCCGCTACCGGCAAACGTGAGAACCTCGAGTGATGTAAAGTCCGGGCTCAGGAACTTGTCCTTCTCAAACTCTTTGCCCCAGGGAAGCTTTGGTATGTACTGTGGTGCAGATTCTACCAGCTTGGAGAACGCCTTGGTTCGCTCCTTGTTAACCATGGCCACGAATCCCTCCCACTCGCCGCGAATGCCGTGCGGGTCGCGATACGTCTCGATGAAGCCAATATCAGACTCGACCGTCGGTCCTTTGTCCATGATCCACGCCCTTTGGCTTTCCTTGAATGCCTCCAGCGAACCTGTCCTGAAGCTCTTTGCATACTCGTCCATCATCTTCGTCTGATTGTCGTTGGCAGCGTATTTCTTGGCTTGGTCGATGTGGTGCGCAATCAGCTCCATCTCCTTGGAGTAGTCGCCGAACACCAGCTTAACCTTCTTCCCGTCGTCCAATGTCCATTCACTGTCCTTCAGATCCCTCTGCTCAGACGTGGGGTCGCTCAACGCCGAAGCTATCAGGACATCAAACCCACCGTCCCTCTTTCTGATCCTTGTGTTCTCCGGCAAAAGTCCCTTGCTCTCGAGGAAGTCGCTCACTCCGGTAATCTCCTCTTTTGATATGGTTGGCGAGTCAGGATAGTACGTCGACACATGTCCTGCACTGGGGTATCCGAGGTGAAGCTTTGCGACATCGTCGCCCGCGAATATAGCGTCCTTGAACTGGTCGTAGAATCCCAACGCCTCCGTGGATGTCGTTGCCAGCGCTTTGAGCTGCCTGGGCTCGAGACGTGGCACGAACTTGGAGTCGCCAAACGACTTGTAGTTGCCGAGGTTTCCGAGAAACTGCGCGGCGTAGTTCAGATACGCCTCGACCTCCTCCTGCGACAGACCTGCCTCTTTGGCAAGTGCGTCATAGTCGCCTTTGCTGTGCTTGTGCAGGGCGACGATGAAATCGAAGATGGATTCGGACTCGGGGGACAGCTGGCGGAGCACGATGCGCGTGCCAGCAAAGCAGGCTCTGTTGGTACATGAGCACACAGTATGTGAGGTACGCGAGTGTCCTACAGTGAGATGTGGTGTGCATATAGCTTCTCCTTGTCGGTCAACGCCTCGAAGTGGGGCTTGATCGCGAGCGGTACAACCGTGGGCGGGCTGTCGGCCAGGTACTGTTTGAGAGTCTCTGAGTCTATGGTAGCGGACATGGTGTTGCTGGATGCAGGGCCTCTGGACAATTCCGAGGCAAATGGGGGGTACTAGCTATGGCGGATCGGCGGGGCTGGAGGAACAATAGCTAGAGCCGCTGGTAGAGCTTCAGAATGCGGGGTCCACGGACTTAAGGACCCCTGCTGTCTCATGACATTTGCGCTTCGCGCCTGGAACAAGTCAAAGGCAGCAACACTTGGAAAAACGGCTCATACTCGATGTAAATGCTAAAAGACACGCTATGCATAAATAAGGCCCAATCCCGGAACATGACTAAAATCCAGCGAATACGGAAACAATGCCAACCACAGCCAACAGTCCCCATGACACACCCACAGCAGCGGCAGCGCTTTTGTTGACACTGACGACCTCTGGCGTACCAACCTGCTTGACATCATCGATCTTACACACGACTTCGCATCCCTTGCTGGCTCTCTTCTGGTTCTTGCCCTCGTATGACCCGCTGGTGTTGAAAGTCATCTCGATCCATTGCACATGGAACTCTGCCGAGTGGTCCTCGGTCATGTTTCCGCTCCACTCTCCGCCGTCGCTCCACATGTTCAGCACCATGTAGCTCTGTTCTCTAGGTACCGAGTATGTGTTTGCAGCGACCTGTTTGCCGTTGAGGTACCAATAGCTGTGCTTCGGCAGCCAGTCGATACGATGCGTTTGCCAATCCTCCCAGCTGGGCAGGTTAGTGCTTGTGACCGAAGCCTCTGCGACCTCGTTGCCATCTTTCCCAACAGCGGGCTGGTTTGTGTAGCGGATCGTGTCGACAGGGTCGCGGGTCAGGATCTCAATGTCCGACTCGTTGTTGTCGTCAATGAAAGTAAAGAATCCAGCCACAGCGCCCTTGTCCCCCACCACACGCCCGGACATTCGCATTGAAACATGCATAAGGTTCTTCTGCTGATTCTCCATCTCGCCGGCCGACTGGTACTCGGCTTCGCGCGATGTGCGCAGCGCAAGGTAGCTGCTATCGTTTTCCTCGCCGAGGTAGATGTTTGCGTAGGAATTGGACATTGGAACTGGGAAATCTGCGGTAGCAGGCTTGCTCCAATTCTGTAGGCCCCAGTCGTATTTCCAGTCATCGCTGTTGAACAGATCGGGCTGCCATGTTGGCTCAAGCCCATCGCTGCTGTTCACCTGCGCTGGTGGGGAAGAAAAGCCGCCAGGAAGGTTGCGGAAGTCGTAGAAGCGGTAGTACTGGAAGTACTCAGGAGTGCTCGAGTCGGCACCAGATGAAACAACATAACAGTTGCAGTCTGCATTGTTGTCTTTTGGTGTCTCGTTCTTCGAAGACGCGTACGGGCTCGTTGCGACAGCGACAGCGGTGAGGGGTAAGAGCGAGAGCCCCAGTCGAGTAAAAGAAGGCATGGCTGCCTTGACGAGGTCGGTGTAAATTGTAATTAGGCAATTAAGATGTAAGTGAAAGTATCAGAATCGAGAGACCAGACAAAGCGAATGTCACTTGCACAAGGCCATAAAGAGTGAGTTGCCGCTCGAGAAGGACTGCGGTGACAGAGTTGACGAACACCAAAACGCAGTCTGAGGGATCAGTAAGCTCATATACGAGGTCTTTGCTGCAGTCAGCCGCTTAAGACGGGAGCCAGGCTGGATACGCCCATGCCTTTTCAATAGCGTCAATGTGTAAAAGTTGCAGCGTGTTTCGCGTTTCCTCGACGTCCAAATCAGTGGCTCAGCCACAGCGCATCTGGACCACCAATGCGAGAATGATCTCCTGAGTTAGCCGATTTGGAAACCTAGCGTCCATGACACGAGCCTCACGACGGCTGTGACGGCCTTCGAGCGAATCGCCAAGGCCGGCAGCCGGATGTCTCCATTACAGGGACACTAGAAGGCATGTCATTTGTCATAGTTGCGTTAAGTCGTTCCCTCTCCAGAGTCCAATGCGCCTTTTAAGTTCGGAATGCGGGTGCGCAGAAAGGCGAGGAGGAGAGATTTGCAGGGGTCATCACCAGCCACAGTCCATCACGCCTTTGGTGGCCTTTAGTGGCTTCTGGTGGTAGTTCCTGCAGGCTAATGCTAAAATAGAACACCAACACAACGGACAGAGCGCCAAAGCTAAAGCCAAACATTCGATGAGCAGGTGAGCAGATTCTTTTGCTGTCTAAGAACGACCAGCACACCTTGGCATCATGACAATGCTGTGTTACGCGACATCCTGCCTGAATACGAGACTGCTCGTCAAAGGAGCTGTTGATGACGAGCCCGCAGCTGGAGACTCCGTCTTACACGAGCTTGTCAATACTGTCTGCACCTCGTCCGCCATGAGCAACCAGGGGTTCTGCCCTAGCCACTACACCATAGACAACATAAGCATTAACCACAACTCCTCGCCTAGCACCCAGAAGTGATGGATGCCTTACTGTTAATCCAATCCAGTCCCTGTTGTGCTGGCAATTCATATGCCACCTATATTATTGTGGCTGTATAGGGTTTGATGATCGATTGGTATCGAGGACTGCTACGAATGAGAGGAGCACGACATACTTACACATAGCGTGCTTAAGGCCATTGTCATCGATATCATGCAACACAATGAAACTTCTCGAGCTCCAGTGTCGCTGTGCTTGAACTGCTCAGAGTTCAGCCTAAGAAACAAAATAGAGGGTGTTCAAAGCCGTCCGATCCCTGTCCGCGCCCCAAAATCTCCACGATTGTATCTTTTCAGATCGCATCCTGCCTTTTGGAAGCGTTTCAGCTCCCACTCCCTTTTACGCTCAAAGTCTTCCCCTGCCGATCTCTTCCTGATAGAATGCCGACTTTCGATATTTCTCGTCACGCCAGTTCCGCGTTGGACCTCCGTATTCGCCCAAGTAAAGGAGAGTTCTGTGAGAAGCGGATCTTGCTGGTTGTCTGGCTGAGTGACCGAGAAAGGACTCGTATGTGAGTATTTGAGCAACTCCGGTACGGCAGTTGTGGCTTCTTGTGAAGTAGCGATATTGGGAGATATGGGTATGACTAAAGATGTCTGTGGATGTGTCGTGCGTCTTGAAGTCATTGTCGTAAACGAGCCACTCTTCTGGAGCTCTGCAGCGATAGCTCCTCCGGCCTGCGAGCTCACGGGCGCAGCTCGCTTTGCTTCATCATCAAGGGATACACTAGGATTCAAGCCGCGAATACCAAACGTGTGTTTCTCGTATTTAGGTCCAGGAACTTTGATAGGCGACCTTGTTGGCCTGGGTATCCAGTCGCTCTCATCGCTCTCAGACTGCCCTGAACGTCCTCGGTGCTGCTTATTCTCTTCATCTTCGACGAGCGGTGCGCGTTGTACTTTTGAAGACGCTGGAGGTGTGAGCCTGACACGCTCCTTGCCCTTGCCCCGGGTTTCAAGTCTCGGCTCCTTCTCTGCCAGCTCTGGGTCTTCTTCTTCTCCGCGCATCTGAGCTTCCCTGATCTCCTTCGCAAGGCCACCCGGGGCAGCAGCGTGAATCTCAGTCATGAGCTTCGCACGCCGACAAAACCCAGCCCAGTCCTCGTTTGCGAGCTTGCCTGCCTCTTCGTTGAGCGCACTCGCCGGATTCGGCTGTATAAGAAGACACGATATGGTCACAAGCACGTCTCGTAGCTTGAGCGTGCTGCTCCAGTCGCGCTTGAGGGTTTCTACGCAGACGGCGCCTGTGGATTCGTCGACGTTCGGGTGCCAACATCTTGTGCGGAAGAAGGCTGTGGGAGCAGCTGCAGGGTATGTGGGTGGTATGTCGAGGTGCAGTCGCCAGACGCCGTGCGCATACGGCGTGCCGACGGGGCCGCAGAGCAGGACATCGAGGGAAGTCAGGTCGGCGGACAGGTCTGTGTTGGAGGGGAACAGGTAGTTTGGTGGCAGGCCAGCTGTGTGCAGGGAGCCATGGTCGCCTGCGAGACGCCTGAGTGTTTTGGAGTTCTGGGCAGCGGCATCAGCAGGCGCAAGTAGCCGAAGAGTGAGGACATGGCATAGTCAGGACAGAAGCTTACCATTGCAACACGCAGTCTTGTCGTCTGTCCATTAGCGCAGAGACTTGGGGCGCTCAGAATTGAGATCGCCCAGGCAGTTTGTTGTCGCCCGAGCTCGTAGCAACAGCTTCTTCGCGCCCGCAACAGACGCCTGCCGCCCTCACCAGCTCACCAGGCGCGTCCGCCCACCGCGCTAAACTTAGCGTGGGAACGCGCAGTCCAAACGTCGCGTCCCCGTCGCTTCGTACCGCAACCACACGACCAAGTCGCGTCTTAGCGTTTTAAAGCCGTCTTTAGCACAGCCAATAGGCTTGCCACTGACGACTTAGCACCTCTACTTCAGCACAACATCACTAACAAAGAAGCTTCCTGTTGATGCTGTAAATTCGTTGTTCCTAGTCTTGCAGCTGCAGTGCAGGATTTCCACAAACCAGGCGTCACCCAAGGGCAAGCTCGAACGCACATCTAGTTCGCTACGTTCCTTATCGTTCAAGTTGCCAAATGCTACCCACAATCTCCAGCCTGCCATGTATGTCTCGAATACCGTAACGCCGCGCTGCAATCATCTTACAATCATAGAATGTCCATGTCGTCCGCCGGATCTACAAAGGGAAAGTGGCCACTCTCGATCACTGCTATCCGGTCAAGCTCAGCCTGGTATTCCTTTCTCAGAGTGTCGAGCGTGACAATCTGCCTCTTCAGCAACTTCTTAGCTTTCCCTAAGCCCCATTGCGGCGGCCCAGTCTCGTCTATTTTCTGCTCCGCTAGGATGTATGCATCTTCTTTGTTGACCGACGAGAGCGTGTTGATGATCATCAGGTAGCCTTGTATCAATGATTCGTCTGCGGGGTCTTGAAACTTCGATGACGTTGTTTTGAGGCGCTGGAGTCGTTCATATAGGATAGATGCCGCACCGCGGAAGTTGTTGCGCGAAACGCGGAAAGAGTACAGGATTTGATGATATGGAGGTCCGGATGCCAGATTCAAGGTTTTGTGGCACAATGATGTTAAAGTCATGTCTACTTCGTCTGATAAGCCGACGAAAGGGAACTTGAGCAGGGCTGCGGCTTGCGATTGCCCCACCATCGAGGTTATCAGAGTTTGGAGAGACGAGTGTTTTCTGTAGGCACAATTAGTAGAGAGTTTATGCACAAGGAAACTCGCGCTTACAAGGCTGTATCGCTGTGCCGCGTCATCGCTGAGTACGCTGCTTGGTACCTTGCCGTTTGAATGGACGCGCTGAACAAGCGTTGAAGAAGCTCCGTTTTAGTCTCCTGGTCCTCTCGGCCTGTCAATGATCTGAGACCTGATTGTGCGAACTCGGCTACATATGAGTAGGCTTTCACTTTCTCGAACAAACCTACAATATGACTGTAGTACTTCGCTAGTCCTTCTGAGAACAGGTTACGGTCAGTTTCAGACACAAGGCCAGCGGAGTCGGCGTCTTCGACGCTGAACATGCCCAATGCTGTTGTCATTAGCACCAAGATTTGGGATCTTTCATGGAGACCTACCAAGTGTGTATGCCACTTTGTGGAAATAGACAGAGGCAATAGCGTTTTCGCCAAGAGCGATGTGCAACCGGGCCTTGAGGTAGGTAGCCCAGTTGCCGTCGGTAAGGAACTTGGCGAAGTCTAAGGCCAAGTCATATTCTTTCTGATAGAGTAAGATGCCCATGTTGTCCTCGACGACAGAATCGTATAGAGATTCCTCCCTAAACATTGAGGCCACCCAAGCGCGGCCCCAATAGGTCAGCTGGCCAGCCTTTAGACCCTTTGGTAGAGGCAAGTCGAAGAATCGGATACCATAAATTCCTTCCATCACCGTCTGAGTTATCGGAAGCTTCTTGCCTGTCTTCAAATTCTCACTCAGTGTTCGATTCACGGCCTCCGAGGCAGGCCCTGTGGACGTTTGATGTGACCAAACTGTTCGGGCCAGCCATGACACGGTCATATAGTCCCTGAATTGCGCTGCCAGCTCCACAAATACCTCGGATGCGTCAAATCCCTCTGGTGTCTCCCCTTCAAGCTCGACGAACATGACGAGCAAAAGTACCAACAGGTCTAGCACTGCGTGATAATCTCGCTCGAGAGTTTCTTGCGATACCCGCAACAATGCGTTAAGACCGAAGCGTGCAAGCTGCTTCCGATTGTTGGGTCGTCCTTGCTCTTCGTAAGCCAATATGTGGATGGCCTGAAGAAAAGTTTCCGTGCTGAGGTCTTTGATTTCGGTGCCAAGTTCATCGACAATGATTGCCAGATCTTCGTCTGATACATGTTGTACGAGCTCGCTCTGCGATTCAATCAACTCCATGCGATCGATGACTGTGAGTGAACGACTTTGCAGCGCATCGGCTTCCAGCTGACGTTCAACGCGACGCTGCACAAAGGAAGGAAGCCTTCGTCGAAAAGAAGATGCAGCATTGAGAAGCCGAGCCACATCAGGTGTCGATCTATCCAGAGCTCTGGAAAGAGGACCCGCCAGGGGTTGAGTGCTGGTCAGCGCTGTTGCGTTTAGTGTCGTAAGCTCCAGCTCGCTGCAAGTGCGAATTGCGGAAACGTAATCGCTCAAAATCAACCACGGCATAGATGTCTCTGCATCGTATACGAGTGACAAAGACTCCCCTCTGCGTTTATGTAATTCTTTGACCAAGCCGTAGAATGCTTGCCATTGTGCACAAACGGCATCACCGAATGTATCAGCGTCGCGAGCACCATGGGGCACCTTGCCTGCGAGCAGGGATACCGCACCACATATGCGCTCCTTCAGTGAACCTGTGCTAATTCCCCTGCTTGGCCGCTTTCGGTCGATGCTTCTCGCAAAGATGTTCAGTGCGGTCTCTAATGTGGCGACTGTGAAACGTCCTGGATAGAACAGAAAGTCAAGCCATTGCCCCGATACGTCAACATCATCATGAGCGGTATCTTGCTGATCTGGGAAGGTCGGACTACGTTTCAGCCCTTCTACCGTCAGCGGGCCTGCGTCGACAGAAACCCACTCGTTCTTCCATACTCGTTCCAGATTATCGGGCTCGTCGTGAAGGTCAAACTTCAGCTGATAGACCCTGCTGCTCGGGCCAGACCTTGCGCGGATCCATAGCTCAGTTCCCCTCCAAGTTCCAGCCGGGCCGGGTATAACATGGAACTCTTCCATGGACCACACAGTTGTGTTCATGAGCTCATCGATAGGAGGTACAAACTCGACGAGCGGCTGAACGTCGACAATGCCGTTGTGCATATCGTCACCATCACGTACGCCCCAGAATCTAAACTGGTGTTGCTTTGGCGAGTACGAGACGACATGGTAGTTGGCGCCCTCAACACCGCCTGGGATATCAAGAACCGCCATGAGCTTCGACTGTGCAGGTCCAATGAGGTATGAGCCATTTCCATTGCTGTTACCATTGACCATTTCCAACGTGCGGTCTGTTCGACCCAGCAGGTCGGTCTGGGCCCCTGGTTTTCCCGAGGCAACATTCCAGGCTCGTAGCGTATAGTCCAAAGAAATGGCCAGGATGTGCTGCTTATCCGGAGACAGCGCGACAGCGGCAGCGGCAGAGACGGCAAATTCTGCATTGTCGAATCTGATTGTCGGCTGTGCTTTCCATGACAGGAGCCCACGGACCGACCAATTGCTGTTCTGGTATCGCGAGCCGTCCCACACTTTGTTGTCCCTATCCCATGTTAGGCGGCAGACGGCACCATCGTCGAGCGACACGAGGAGATCGTCCACGGCGATGCTCTCGAGCCGGTACGGAATGCGGCCGCTGAACAGCACTGGCTCTGATGTCTTGCACCAGTTCTCGATCTCCTGCTCCGAGGCAGCGAGAGTTGTGAAGAAGTCGCGGTGGATAGTGATGGTGTAGAGCTCGTTCGCGGTGGTGATGGCGAATACAGTGAGCGCATCTCGGTCGTTGGGTTCTGCGAATGCGACACAGAACGGGCGGATCGGCGACGGAAACTTCAGCAGAAGCGTCAGATTGGCCTCGAAGCCGTGGCTCGAATCGTGATCGAGATCGGCGGCTTGAATCTCGAGAATTTTCCTGTTGTCTAAGACGCGCCAAAGAAAAGCGCGGGGATAGTCGTGGTGGTGTCGAAAGAACATCGAGCCGTCTGCGGCCAGGTGACGGCGCGTAAACGACTCTTCGTCCTGGTCGGCATACTGTTCTGTGACAATGGCGCGCTTTGCAGCAGTGCGCGTGCCGAACGTCGAGGTCGAGTGCGCCGGGAGTGTGAACGAGACGGTCGATCCAGGAAAGGCAGGCTCGATGTTCAGCCGCGCCTCTTTGTAGAGACAGGCGCCTCCGTTCTTGACCATCCTGCTCGCATATGAGGGTTTCGCTGGCAATGCGCGCAAGCGATCGAGGTTGTGCACGGTGGGGCTGCGGTGAACGCGGAGATGCAGCTTCAAGCAAACAAAAGATGCGCTCTCGTACGAAGTAGCTCGCGCACAGGCCAGCACTTCAACGCGCATCACCATTGGGTCCAAGTGCAATACATAAAGACATCCATATCATTATCGCTGAATCAGAAGCGCCGCCCTATGCTGAAACATGCAAAAGTAGAAAACACAACACAGCTCCTTCACGAGCCAACTATCTATTGTTTCTCTCTTCGAGATCCTTCTCCTTGGGATCGCCAATGCCGTCCTCGTTGATCGCAAATAAGCAGTCGCTCTCGGGCAGACAAGGACTGTCGTAGATCTTGCAAACTCGGGTCTCTCCTCTGCCCTTCCTTAGACTGAGACGTGTTGTACTTGCGTGGGCGATGATGTTTCCTCCGATCGGTTTTTTGGGATCTGGGTTGAACATGGCGCTTGGCCCTCCATCGACCTGCGCGACAACCTGATTGGTGATGACTACGGCAATTCCAAACTCGTCGGCAAGGCGCTGTAATGTTCGCATAAATTTTGCCAGATGTGTCTGTCGGCTTGAAAGCTCTCCACGCCCGGAGAAATCTGTCCGATACAGAGATGTTGCTGAGTCGACAATGAGCAGGGAGAATCGCGTCTCGGTCATCATCTGCGCAGCCTGGTTGAGCAGCTCAAGCTGATGGTCGGAGTTGTACGCTCGCGCGTATGCCACATTGTCCAATACTTCCTCGCCAGATAAACCGAATCGAGTCGCCACTGCTAAACAGCGTACAGGACGGAAAGTGCCTTCGGTATCGATGTATAGGCATTTGCCTTCGCCACCACCCATGTCGAAGGGCAGCTGGCATGTCACTGCCAAAGTATGGCAGATCTGACTCTTCCCTGTCCTGAATTCGCCGAAAATCTCTGTAATGGAACCTGTCTCGATGCCGCCAGCCAACAACGTGTCTAACTGCTTTGATCCAGTCGTGATTGAGATGAGCTCGCTCCGCCGCTGGTGCATCTCGGTCGCCGTTGTGAAACCCATCGGTACAAGTTTGGATGCTTCAGCAAGCAGCTTCGATGCCTTTTGTTCTGAAATGCCTTTGATCTGCTCCAACGCTCGTCGGGGTCTACATTTTCTTAGCGGCGGGGTCAGTACGCATTGTAGGCCTTGACTCACGTATAAGCAATCGACTCGACAGTGTTGTATCCACCTTCGACCACAAGCTTTATGTCGCGCGCAGTCAGACCATTTACGCCCTTTGCAGTTGTTAGCTATCGTCTACACCCGGATTTCAGAGAAGCGTAGGTAGCATACCTCGAGCGCCGATATGGGTGTGGGGGCACCAGGCCCTCCCATCTGACTCTCATCGTCGAATTGCTGCTCTTCGGTACTCATATTATATGCGATCTTGATACCAGGAAACTTGAGGTTGTGCAGTGCACTTGTACAGGAAAGTAAGTGGATGATGAGATGCAGAGATGCGGGTGGAAAGTCGCGTCTTGCCACTGTCATTTTAGCGCAAACGCGAACTCACATGACCATGACAAATCCCTCTCACGGGCGGATTTGGCTGCAGGCAACAACGCTATACTGCGATCCATAGGACATGACCACAGGAAGTAGGGATAGCTAGTTAGTTGTCTAGAGCTACCAATCATGATGATCCCAAGTGAAGCTGCGCAATCTTGGAGATATTGACAACTTGCCTGTGACCAATTGTGCAACCGAGCATGAGCATCTCGTTTTTCTGTGTTGATCATCGTATCCAAGCATGTCCGGCTAGCCACTTAGCAATTAAATAACATATGCTAGGAATGAGTTATTCAGTAGTGCTTAAGTAGTACTTCGACAGCTGATCAGCTACGATGATGATAGCATAGATCCCACAAAAGCGCCAGGTGGCTGACTAGACATGCCTCGGTGCTGTATGAGCTTAAAACATTGATCTGATTAGGTGCTTTAGTCTAATTTACAAATCAACAACCTGAGATCATCCAAGACCGTACGACAAAGTAATCACATATTTTCGTGCACTGAATGCATATACTGGTTTGGTCTTCATGTATATTCATGTGGAGGTATCATAAAATTATCAAACTTAGGTAGCCAGGAGCTTACTCGTCATCGCCAAAGAAAACCTTGACGGGCAGCCAAGCATCACCGCAGACCTTGAAGCGCTCCGGCAGAGAGTCAATGAGCTTGACCTCATCATCAGTCAGCTCCCACCCGTCAAGCTCAAAGTTGGCCTGGATGCGCTGAGCAGAGACCGACTTGGGGATGACACTGGATCCGCGCTGCAAGCCCCATACCAGGAGGACCTGTTGAACGGTCTTGCCCTTCTTCTCAGCAAGCTGCTTGAGCTCCTCGTTCTTGTAGAGAGGCGAGTCTGTAGAACCAAGGCAGGAGTAAGCAGTGGCGTGTATGCCCTTCTCCCTCAGGTAGTTGAGGAGCTTAGGTCTATTTCGTTGTAAGCACGTATCCAGTCAACCATGGAGCAACGCTTACGAAGGATTGTTTGGGTGAAGCTCAACCTGGTTGACAGCAGGTGTGATCTTGAAGCGTGAGTCTGCGAATAGCTTCTCTAGGTTCTTGATGGCGAAGTTGGAGACACCGATGTTCTTCACACGTCCAGACTCAGGAAGCTTTTGAAGCTCAGCCCATGTGTCAAGAAAATCCCAATCGGGATAGTGCTTGCTCAAGTCATCGGGGTCGGTGGATGATGGCCAGTGCTGTGCGTGGTCAGCATGTACAGATGTCGATGGATTCACGAGCTACACTCACCATAAGGTACAGGTCGATGTACTCGAGGCCCAGGCTCTTCAGCGAGCTGTTGATGCCTTCTTCAACGCGCTTATGCCACGGGTTGTCGAGCTTGGTGGTTACCCAGATCTCCTCACGAGGGATACCGGAGTCCTTAATGCCCTCACCAACCTCCTTCTCATTACCATAGGCAAGAGCGGTATCGATATGGCGGTAGCCAGACTGAAGGGCAACCTTAACGGCCTCGCGGACCTCACCAGGCTTCGACTGCCATGTTCCAAGACCAACAGCGGGAATCTTAGCTCCAGTGTTGAGCGTAAAATGCTCCTTGGTCCAGTTCTTGGGTGCCATTCTTGCGAGTGTACGGATCATATAAATGGTGGTTGAGATATAGAAGATATGCGAATACGTTTGATAGTAAAAGAAGAGGGGCAAAGTTGTTATTTCAACACAACAATCCCATCTGACGTCAATTGCGCTTTCGGCCAACGTGCCGAGGAGGACGCGACAATTCCCACCGGGTATTGATATGGACTGAGGCTCCACCAATGACCGCTCAATCAGCCCGCAGTGGGCCGTTGGAGGTTACATGGTCCCACTATTTCGAGCCTCATCTGAGGCGACAGATTCGGCTTAGGCTTGGATAGGTATCGTTTGTGGGCGTCATGCAGGCTACCCCCACTAGAAATCACCTTCAGACAGTAAGCTGGCTGCCGTGATTTGTTTCCTACGAAGCTACCGCAGAGTTTTGAGGAGTTTCCTGGGCGCGCATAACAGTGTTTGGGGTCGGGCCCTTGATGAATTTACCGATTTGCTACTGAAGCGCCAACAACAATGCCTCGGGGCAGCAACCACTTATCTGACTATCCGATGAGCGAAAAATACGGTTGACACGATCGGGTGTTCCTAACTCCAAGTTTGTAGATAGTTCGGTCAGGATAAAGATGAAGTTGGATGGTGGTGGGGCTTAGTCACTGCAAGCTCATGCTCGACCGCCGAGGCTCGAGGTCCGAGGTTCGCAACACCTCAATCTTCCCTCTTGGCTTGTTACACAACCGCGCGCCATGTCTTCAGGCTTTGTTTCCGGGGGAACTGCAGATGCACCTATTGAGCGAGATGAGGAATGGCGACAAGCTCAGCGTGCAATCGAGGAGAAACGGAAGGAGAAGGAAGACCTAGGAAGGCAGAACGAGGGCAAGAGCCTCTTTGAAGTATTGCAAGCAAACAAAGGTGATAACATCATGTCCGGGATTGGAACTATTGGCTAAAATGTCAGGTTGATGCTTAAGACGCTAAGCAAGAAGCATTTGAACAAGCTGCTCGCTACAAACTCCATGTAACGCTTGATGACGACGAAGCGGACTACCTCGAGGGTATCCTTGAGGCGAGGCGGAAAGAAGATGCGAGTGTGAAGAAGGAGACTCGTGAACAGCTGGAAATATTCCGCAGGCAGCAAGAAGAAGCGGAGAGGAAGGCGTTGGAAGATGAAAACAGCGAAGTGCCGAAGGAGGATCTTGTTCAATGGGCCGCGCCTGGCCGTAAGCGCAAAACAGGCCATGAGAACAGTCTACTGAAGAACGTCAAGTTACGAAAGCCCAGCTCGACGGCAGCAGAAAAGAAGCCGATCGTCACAGCTGACGAGCAGGAGAAGCCGGCCAATTCGCTGGCGGCGATCGCAGGAGAACCGACCTTGACTATTCCTTCTCCATCTAAGGCTCCAACTACGCTTGCGCTAGGTCTCGGCTACATGTCTTCTGACGAAGACGACTGAGTACGTTGCAGACAGTGGGTGGCCCTCAGCTGCAACAATTCGGCGAAGGTCGCCGTTTCCGAAGAACCTCGTTTTCTATGACCGATTGCTGGCAGGAACTCTCACTAGACCCACCCTGTTGTGCAGAAAACAACAATAGCAACATAACCACTTATTTGAGGAGATAGAGAATTTCCTGTGCTAGAAGTCTATATAGGTCAAAAGAACTTTCGCGGCAGAGCACAAGGTAGTATGATAGAACCACCCAAACAAGCGTTTAAGTCCGTCTAGAGCGTCACAAGGTAGACTGGGACGCTCACTAGAGCTGCTCAGGTCACTAAGCGCGTGACTCACCACTGAGTCGCTCCAGGAGCTGGGTGAATGTTACTTTAAAAGCTCCCTATATCGTTTCATCCCATCTGATTTTTCTAAGAAGTTGGTGGTCTAATACATCGATTACTTAAACACACTCTTAGTCTCTCGATTCCTTCACAAGAGCTTCATAGGTTGTAGTGCTTGTCAATAGCAAGTAAAGGGGGGATGCACATTCTAGTTTTCTGTTAGCGGTCGCTGTCACGTTGCAGGATAAATAATAGACTAAGGGTGTAAACTGGATATTCTACTATGCGACAGTAACGTAGAGAGTGCGCACAAGAACTCTATCAAATACTGTTTTACCTACAATATAAGTAATGCTTAACTAATTTTTAACTCTAAGTATTGTAATAGCTACAAGTCCTTTATCAAAGTTAGTCTGCTTGAAGGTTGCTTATCCGCTACTTGTTCTGAAGACTGAGAGCGATCGGTCACAAAAACAAGGCCTATCGTATACCGTCACGAACAGAACTCGCCACGAAGCGCGAAGTACAGCTGGATACGAATCAAGTCTGATTCTGGACCACGCGTCACAGATCTTGACTGTATGCTACAACAGTTCAGGGGTCAGCCGAGATTCTGTGACGGAACATGTCGTCACCTGGATAATTCCGAACGGTTGACAAAAAACGTAGCGAGGTAATGAGAAGGATTCGAGTCACCATCATCATGATTACTTCATCGTATGATATCTTTTCTACCGATATTACCACATGATCAATCCTGCCACAGTACAACAATCCACCGTATCAAACGCCTAAATAGTTAAGAAAATAAGCTCGTCATATACCACAGTGTGCACCTTAGTACTAGCACCTAGTACCAGCACTTTCCGTTCTTCTTGTCACAGCCAGCGGTGCAGGCCCAAGGGTCAGCAGAGCAGCGACCGGTTGTCTTGCAACAGCACTCAAGCTTGAAGCCAAAGCTGTTCTTGTAGCCAGCACAAGTCTGACTGTTCTCACCACCGCACTTACCGTCCTTGGAGACGGCCTTAGAGGGTGTAGGGAGTGGAGTCGATGAGGTAGTAGACGCCGCAGGCTTGACCGAAGAGCTGAGGGTGGTAGGATATTCAGGAGTAGACGAGGTAAGAGAGGGGGTGGCGGTCGAGGAGGCCATGTGGTCGCTAGTCGAGGAGGCCACGGTCGAGTGGTCGTCGGCGTAAACCGAGCTAGTTTGACTGGACTGTGTTGGTACGATACTCGATGAAGAGCTCAGGGGGTAGACGGAAGAGACGGTGCTAGACTCGTGCTCGGAAGCAGAGGACGTAACGTCTGAGTGGATTGAAGAGATTGTGCTGGACTCGTGCTCGGAAGAGACGGTGCTAGACTCGTGTTCTGAAGCAGAGGACGTAACGTCTGGGTGGACGGAAGAGATGGTGCTAGACTCGTGCTCGGAAGCAGAGGACGTAACGTCTGAGTGGATTGAAGAGATTGTGCTGGACTTGTCGCCAGACTCATCGGTAGAGACAGAGGGCGAAGCCGACGAAGAGTGAACCGTAGTCGAAGTGATAGAAGGAGTGTGGGCTGCTGAGGAAGAGGTGAAGTCGTGCTGAGTAGTTGAGGAAACGGGGGCCGATGAAGATTGGGCAACCGAAGACGAGACAGAATCACTTACAGAGCCGCATTTACCCGCAAGCGGGTTGCATCCGGTCCCGCAATGACCAGTAGAGGATCCACAGAAATTGTACTGCGAACAACACTCTGCTTTAGCACCTTCATGGACAAAGCCAACGCAAGTGAAGCCAGAGGAGGCACCGCAGGTACCATCAACGGAAGTCTTCAACGCACTAGTGGGTTGAGGAGCAGCAGACGAAGTAGGAGCGGAGCTGGGGTTAGCGTTGGTGCCGCAAGTGCCGAACGCGCTGTTGCAGCCAGTTCCACAGTGGTCAGTCTGTGACTTTGTTAGACGGCATTCGCTTATACAAAACCTCAAGAACACTTACAGTGGATCCGCACCACCCGTACTGCGAGCAGCAGTTTCCGCTGTCAAAGGTTAGCTAGGGCAGCTTGCGCAGCTTTGACAATACTACTTACAAGGTTGAGCCACGGCAGATCTGGTTCTTGCCCTGGGGACCGCAGCTTCCATCGGTGGAGATGACGCCAGTGGGGGTAGCAGTGGGACCGGTAGAGGTACGAGTGGACGAGGGAGTAACGGTTCCAGGTGTGGAGTCACGGTACCAGTTGGCAAGGGGCTCGTTCATGCACTCACCCATGGTGACACCCTTGAAGCCACGTGCTTGGAGGGTCTCAATCATGGTGACAGTGAGGTTGAGAGCGGTAAGCTCGTGGATGTCGTGTGCAATGGCAAGCTTGCTCTGGGTGGCCGGGTTGGCGGGGTTCACAGCGTTGCGGAAGTTGTTCTTAGCGACTTCGATCTTCTCACGTGTGAGTTGGTTGTAGTCATCAGTGTCCAAGTCGAAGTAGGAGATGACATATCCGAGCTTCTGCATAACGCTCTGGCAGACGGTGTTGCAAGACGAGTAGGGAGGTCGCATGTAGGTGGGGTATTTGCCGATGATGTTACGGATGGCCATCTCGTTCTTGACCATCTGATCGTAGACCTGAGCCTCAGTGATGGCGGAAAGATCCTGGTGAGACCAAGTGTGGGACGCAACCTGGTGTCCATCGGCGACCATACGCTTGATGACAGTACCCCACTTCTCATCGATAGCACCCTTACCGATGTTGATACCGGTGACGAAAAATGTGGCTTTGAAACCGGCAGCAGCAAACTTGTTCAGAACCTCGTTAGTGTAGGTGTATGGACCGTCATCGTAAGTAATGGCAACAGTTCCTGCCTTGCGGCATGCGTAGATGCCAGCACCACCATACTGTACACTGCCCTTCTGAGGACGAGCATCGTTGCGGGTGGAGGCTCCAGCAGGCGTCTTGTTGGCATCGCAGGCAGGACCAAAGTTGAACAAGCAGTCAGGAGCGTTGCAGTGGTCGGGGCTGTTTCCACAGTATCCCTGTCATGCCGTCAGCATACTTCAGCGAGGGAGACCAAAGATTCACATACGGCACCAGAGCAGCAGAAACCGGTAGCGCACTTAGCGTTGCCGAAGCTAGGTCCACAACGATTGTTGGCGTCACCACCCTGACGAGCATGAAGGTAATGAGGACCCGGAGCAGCGGCAGCACGAGCAGCACGAGGAGAAGGGGTTCTGATCTTGATGTCGCTAGGCAGACCAAAGAGCTTGGGGGCTCCCTGAATGTCACCGTGGGCGGCAACGAGGGAGGCCACCGATGAGGCGGCGAACAGCTCGGAGAAACGCATTATGCAGTTGTGTTAGGTGTGATAGGGCTATTCCAAGACTTGACGGTTCGAGTAGCGAGTGTGATGGTCGACTTCAATTAGTGATTAAAACGGTATGTTAAACGAATGACTGTCGCTATGGACGAGCAATTGACGCGCGAAACGGGTGAGGGCAGGGTGAACAGGCACTCGTCTGTACTTATACCGATGAAACGACAACAGGAGCGACAAGGCGAGGCGAGGCGCACATGGTTCAAGCCATGGCCGTCCGCTAATTGAGTGTCAGCGCACCATATCAGCAGCCAAGATCTCCCGCCTGGAGAGCTCGCAGAATACGAGCTATTATAGTGGGACCTCCATCTCCTCATTATCTCCGATGAACGCGTTACGATGGTGCTTTGTTTCGGGTTCAGAGCTTTGTTCTCTGCGCCTTTGATCAAGTTGACCTCCATCTGCACAACATTGTTCTCAGAACCTGGCATCAGCCACTGAGACAGACGTAGAATCACAGCGGAGAATATTTCGAGAACATATACCAAAAGGGGGAGGAATAACGATCCCGCCTTACGAGAGCCAAGACGTTAAGGCATGGCGGACTAAAAATATGAACCGACGTCGCCCACGCTTCCGCGTCGCGCAAGAGCCGAAGAAGCAAGATCGCCGCGCCCGCCAAGAGTCGATCCAGGCGGCTTGTCAGCCAACACGTTTGTATTTTGCGTGCGATGGCTGAAGACGGCGGGAAGCCGATGCATCTGTTTGGTAAGATGCAATGCTTGAGAGCCGTCATTCGCAGACGAGCATCGTAGTTCGGCTCTCGGGAGATGGACGTGGTCATGCAGACCCCTGACGTATAGCTGTCGATACTGGGCGTGGCTGGCGTGAAGGTAGCATTGCGATGCACCTCATCGTGGCCGCAGATATTGACAGGATGCCGGAGTACAGGCGGTAGCCGGCATGACTTGCAGGGCGTGGCTTTACAAGCAGAAAATGACACCTGCCTGTACCTGTCACCCTTCGCATCCTGCGCCGAATTCTGGGAGAGAATGTTGGATGAAGCGAGAACCAAACTTACCGGCGCCACTCACGGAAAGCGGGAAAGCTCGCGCTCTTGGCAACTCGAGCCAAGCTAACCCATGTGGAGATGAAGGTCAATAGGGGCTGCTGGAGCTGAATCGCTCCGAAATCCGACGACTTCCTTACCAGCCAACGTTTGAGCATTCGCTTACTGTAGCATCGAATGATGTTTGCCCCGAGGTGGGAGCGTAGTAGTTGCAGTCAATAAATTGCCGTCAGCAAAGGATTGATCGGCCCTTGTAAGATGCTTCGTGGAGAAACTGTGTACCACGTGGCTCCACTGTGACACGCTGTAAGGCGCAAATAGGCACGTAACAAGCGAGTGCGAAAGCGACGTCAACGTGCGCATTGTTGGGCATACAAGAGCCGCGGCCTTGGAGTTCGAGAAGGTAGTGCAACGCTCGCGTGTCGCTAGATTTAGCAAAGCGAGCCGTTGTTGCAGGGTTCTTTCTAGAGCCATAGTGCACGTTCACTGCAATTGTTTTTACTCCAGAGCGACACGCGGGGTACAGATGCCTGGCCCCATCCACCAGTTTCTGTTTTCTAGTCTGGCCGAGGCTGCAGGCACACAACAACTCGTATAGCAATGCATACACCGATCATCAATCTCGTATTATAAACCTTTCATGGTCAGGCGCACCAAAACGTGTACATTCCAAGACGCTTCTTGAGAACTTGCGCCATTGAATAATTTAAAAGTGGATATCGTCGAGTAAGACATGACATCAAGCTTAGTTAGCTGGTGAAGACACCAGCAGCGAATATAGATCTAGCACTATTAGAATTATTTCCTCACCACTCGCAACAACGGAGCAATCCTCGCCCGCTTGCTGAGCCCCACACGATAGGTCACTTTTGCCCTGTTGCTTGAAGGCTGCTCTCGAGGCGCGATCTTCTTCATGCGCTCTGGAGTGATAGGCTCGACGTCAGGACGATCTGGAAGAACCGCACGTTCAGGTGTAGACCGCCTGGTGAATGTGGCGACTACTACATCGCCCGATCTTGTACCCTTAGATTCTTGCCCGACTTTCGTAGTCGCCGCGTTCGCTGTGCCCTCCTTTCCTTGATTCTGCACTGATGGAGGCCGCACATCCTTGTCCAAGAGAGGTTCTAAATCTTCAGCCTGCTTTCCATGACACTCCTTCTCATCCATTTGGGTCCGAATCGTAGATGCAGGAGCCTCAACAATCTTTCCAGGACGGCCTCGGCTTCGCTTCTTTCCAGGTTTTACTCCTTTTATAACACTTGTAGTAGCTCCCGGCTCGTGTTGATCTGAACTGATGCTTCTGCCTTCGAAGGCTCTGTGATGATGGGGCTCTATGATGATGCCGGGCGACTTCGCAGGTATTACCACCTGCACCTTAGATGGGCTCCTAAGGTCCACCCCGGGTATCATGTAAACTTCTTCCGCGCAAGTCGTCTTGTCTTTCATCGCAGCTGACATGGCACCAATATCTGTGGCTACTGCATATTTGGCGCTAGACGTGCCTGCCTGAGGTTCGCAATCGTCCTTCGGCATTTCGCTGGATCTCGCCGGATGATCAATGTTGAGTTTTGGCAATGGAGGGGTGTCATCGACAAGTTCATCTTCAGCGACCTTGTTGGTAACGAGCCAGTTGACAGTCTGTGTGACGTCACCGTTATTTTGTCGCAACGCTCTTGCACTTGTAGAAGGCGTAAATCCCATGTCGCAGATTTGACGAATCCTCTTTGGCGTATTTAACGCGCTTGTAGCCGCAGGAGTCGTTCTTTCTCGTCTGTTCGCTCTCACGGCTTTCTCAGGTCTGACAGAGTAGTCAATAGCTTCTTGTGTGCCAATTTTTGAGGATCTTGAACGACTTGGGCGTGGCTTGTACCTGCAGGCTATATGTTATTAAGACAACAATATGGAGTGCATCAAGCTTACTGTTCTCCGAGCATCCCTGGGCTTGATAATTCTTCGTCCAGGCTTGGTCCAGGGCTTGCAATTTCTCTCCTCTTGTGCGATTGCACAGTCTCGAATCCCGATAGTATGCTCTGTGAAACACAGGGCTCCCCAGCGGATGACCTTGGATGCTGCGTAGCATTCGGAGGCGAGTTTAGATATTCTGACCATGGTATTGAGGCATTTGGTTCGAAGGGGACTCTACCACTGTCAACCTCAGAGCCGAGGAGAGCTGGCGGAAGTACCCCTTCCATCATCCGTTGTTGCGTCAGCGTTGCATTTGGCACTGTACTTGAGGGCTCAGGGAAAGATTTTCTTGGGTTGTGTTGGGCACATGGCTCACGTATAGTGCCTTCCAGCAACCACTCCGCTCCGTCGGGTGTTTCTGCAAGTTGAGGAGTTGGACCGATGAAATGTTGAACATGCTGCTGGCCAGTGGGCAAGCTGCCGAGGAACCCGTCAACAGGGCCACTGTCGGCACCGTACTGCACTCCGCAAGAACCGTTCAACGCACTGTTCGTCACGAACTCACTTGACAACTTCCTCTTTCGGCGATTCGTATCGGGGATAGCCTGTGTTCGGCCTTCGTGTACAGGGAGCTGAGACTGTAGATGTGCCCGATGCGCCGCTTCAATCTGCCGTCGGAGGGCCTCTGCTTAAATGTGTTAAATAGGTCAGGATCGGTCATGGGTCATGTGCACCTGTAGAGGAAGCGTTGCTGATGGCGTGTTTTGACGACGCGTCCTTTTCTACATGGTGCACGTCTACCTCCAGCTCATCGTCTAGCTCGTCATCCGAATCCTGAATCACCCGCGTCATGGCGCCTCATTGAATGTAGTGACCGTTAAGAGACTAAAGTGTTGTTGCTTGCGAAGGTGAAGTTGTTGATTGGTTGGGCGCGTCAACGCGCTGTCACATGGCAAGCGTAAAACTACCTTTTCCTTTCTGGGTTGGCGTGCCAGTGGTAAGGCCGATGCGTCTTCCTCAAGGTCCTCTGTCTATGCTCACAGAAAAACAGCGATGGATAAGTTCGGGCCATCTGGCGATGAACCACGCAGCTCCACCTCGGGAAATGGGCGCTTTGCTTCGCAGGCTGCCACTGCCGAGGATTTACTCAAAGCGCAAACCGTTGGCCTGGTGAATCTCGATGACTACCGCAAGAGACGCGCAGAGGCTATAGAGCTCAAGGAACGCGGGAGCCCTGGCGTAAGCTCCGGTGCTGATACACCACTAGAAAGGTATTGTTATTCGTCGTAATACGGCCAAAGCACATGCTAATTTGCCAAGTACAGTGCATCGAGTCCGAAGCCAGTATTCAAGAAGAAACGCAAGATCGCCACCAAGGGCAAACTGTCATTTGGACTAGATGAGGACGAAGAAACCGACTCGTCCCTTCCCACGCCTCCCGAAGGGACCTCCGCAGACGCGTCTACTGTAAACTCCGAGGCCGAGAACAAGACTTTCAAGAACAAGAAGCTGGGGGCCAACACAAGAGTTGGTCTCAAGCCGCGGGTCATGACAAAATCAGCTCTCCAACGTGAAGCACAGCAGGCAGACGTTGCGCGACAAGACTTCCTGAAGTTGCGTGAACGTGTGAAAGCGACAGAGGTTGCTATTCCGTTTGTATTCTACGATGGAACGAATGTTCCAGGAGGGTTGTGCAGGGTCAAAAAGGGTGATCATATATGGCTATTCCTTGACAAAGCCCGAAAAGTAGGCGCTGAATTGGGCGTGGGTGGTGACAACAGTAGGAGGAATTGGGCTAGAGTGAGTGTCGATGACCTAATGCTTGTGAGAGGAGAGGTGATATTGCCTCATGTAAGTCGCAACCCTACGATCACATTGGTAGAGCTCAGCTAACTTGATGTACCTACAGCACTATGAGTTCTATTACTTCTTGTTCAATAACGTCGCTGGATTCAACGGCCCCATTTTCGATTGGTCTACACAACTATCCAAGGCTTCACCGGTCATCAAGTCCGATGGACAAGAAAAGATCGACGAGTATGACCCGCTGAACCCCAAGAAGAATAAGGATCAGGAAGTACGACTTCCAGACGAAGAGCTCGAGGGTTATCATGACGACTCTACAATAACAAAGGTCGTAGATAGACGATGGTACGAGAAGAACAAGCACATCTTTCCTGCGAGCGTGTGGGAAGAATATAGTCCGGATAAGGTTTTTACAAAGGCTGGCCGCAAGGATGCTGAGGGCAATGGATTCTTCTTTGCTTAGGTACAGGCGAGATTCTTATACAAGCAATATCACGCATGAGAGATGTGACTACCTCCAATGTCTTGAGAAGCATGCCCAACAGAATGCGGGAACATGCCGCCAGTTTATGCGCCATGTTACTGCATGCAGGTCACCGTGCATGCAGTATCAGAAGCTCAGGGAGCTAGATAGCATCCTGCGTCCTGAGATTGACCATTGAGCGGATGTCAAGTCTAAGCCACCATTCCCACTAGGATGCTGCGTGATATTCAGGGTCTGAAGCGGTGTGACCCACCCCGGAGCGCATAGTGGCAGTTATAGACCATTTCGTAACCGCTTCCCAATCTAGAAAAGCTGGACATGTCGCGTGAGCAACTCCTCTAATGGACTTGTTTACCATGTTGCAAACAATATGGCGGATGGCGTTGATGTTTCGGCGGCGACATTGTGCAACCAGAGTTCCTGGGGCTAGATACAATGTCCCGCGCGTGATTCCTGTCGCTACCGCTCAAACACAAGCCCAGCTGCAACATCATGCGTCTTATCACCCTGCACACCATCAAAAGGCGACAGATCGAATGAAACCGCCGACCCAAGTGAGTTTTGCCGCTACCAACCGCGGCAGTCGTGACGCAAGTCCGTTGATCGGCTTGTCATGGCGATGCGCCTGCCGACGCGTTCCGACAAAGTCTGCAAGAAGCTTTGACTTGTGGAGCGGTGAATTGCAAGGATGGATATATAAGAAGAGTGGCCCTGCTTGGCTCCCAAAACAAAGAACATCTGTCGTCATCGGTCCCCGGATTATGCACCTTTGCGCCGTACAGCCAACATCGACACCACCCTCAAGCATCACAACCACACTTCTTAGCGACCAACTGCGCTCCCGTGTGCTTCCCCTTGCTTCAAGCTGCTGCTGCTTTTGTATTTGACAGCCCATTTAACCATGTTACAGGCACGGTCTGCGCGAGCCCTGTCTCATCCAATTAAATTCAGCGACTCGTGCACACCCTAGAATACCAGTACTCAACGCGTCCAATTCCAGAACTTGAATCGCCCGCACAGCTGTAACAATCGTTACTTAGCTGCCTATTTCTTGCGACACGCGCACACGCAAAAACACCACAAAGGCTATTGGGCTGCCAGGCGCTCGATCGCTTTTTTTTTTGGCGACCAACAGCGATCGATCAACATGAAATTTGGGCACGATCTGCCGCGTAACCAGGTCCCGGAGTGGGCTCCATCTTACATCAATTACAAAGGCTTGAAGAGGCTCATCAAGACCTCCGCTGAAGCCTCGAGACACGGCGCAGAACCCGATCTTGCTGGTACGTATCTTTTGCACCTTCTGGCTTCAAGTGTATGGGCTGTACCGTCGCCACAAGGATTGGGGCATGGATGTCTCAAGTTAGCTACACTTAGAACGAGGACTCAGGCGACAAGAATTGAATATCGCTGACATGAGTCTAGAATTCTTTTTCTCCCTCGACCGCAACCTCGAAGACGTAGACGCCTTCTACAACCGAAAGTACGCAGAATATACTCGTCGACTAAGGTTGCTGCAAAGTCGATATGGACGAATAGCACAGCTGCCAGAGGGTATTGACAAGGACGAGGCACAAGATCTCGTGGATGCATTGTTAGAGTTGCGCAGCCAACTGCGGAAGCTCCAGTGGTATGGCGAAGTCAATCGGAAAGGATTCGTCAAAATCACCAAGAAGCTGGACAAGAAGATTCCAACTTCATGCACGCAGGAGAGATATCTGGTTTCAAGAGTCAATCCAAAGCCATTCACGCGTAATTCCTCGCTAAGCCAGGATATGAAGACCGTCAATGAGTGGCTTTCTGGACTGGGCGATGTCAAGACTTTTGATGATAGCGGCTCCACATATTCAGCAGCATCTTTGGGACGGGTGCCTGGACGCTCGCTGAACCTTCCTTTACCATTTCTGGATGCAATTGAAGACGCGATCCGTAGCGATCGTGCCGAGGACGTCAGCCGTCTTCTCTCGGAAGCAGCTGCCAGCAACGAACCAACAAGCTCAGCTTTCCAGCAGGTCCTCTTGAACTTTCTACAGCGCGCTATTTCTCACAGAGCCAAGGGTTGCATCCTGAGGCTTTTGCAAGATATTGCAACACTAGATGAGGAAGATGACATAAACAAACGGAACGTTGTTCACCGTCTTGTCATCAGTATTGGTCGCTCTAAGACTGGCGAAACATTGGATGGTGAAGCGCGTCTCCCGCAAAGTCTACTGGATGCACGAAATTTCATCGTGCCAGCCACGGCACCGAATAGACAGCCGCGACCATGCACGACCACAGAGGAAGAGTCTTCGAAGCTTCTAAGCGAGAATGACGACTCTGTGCAGCTGCTTGTCTACCTGCTTGATCAGCTGCAACCGCATCAACGCATCGCCCTCCAATCACGCGATGCATTTGGACGCCTGCCACTCCATTATGCTGCTGGATACGGCTTTGTCGTGATCTGTCAAGTTGTGATCAAGCACATGCAGGACTGGGGTCAGTTCAATGTCAGTCAGGGTATCGACGCACAATACTGGCAAGATGCAGAAGGTGATGCGCCACTCCATCTCAGCGTAAAGGGCGGCCACCCCTTGACCACCAGAGCGCTACTGGAGGCCGAGAATTGGCGTGGCGCAAGCGAGGCGAAACTCACGTTAAGAAAGACCGTTTCTCAATCCGGAGAAGCTTTGGCTCTCGCCACGAAGTCAAATTTTGTGGCCATCGTCAAGTTGCTGGTAGATGCTGGTGTGAACGTCAACTATCAGAACAAGCAAGGAGAGACGGCTTTGCACATTGCTGCGCAGTATGGTCATGTTGAATGCGCCAAAGCTCTACTGGAGCGTTCAAACGTCAACAACATTGATCTAGATGTGCCCGAGAACACATTCGAGTGGACACCGTTGTTCAATGCTTGTGTCGATAATAATTTTCCTGTTGTCGAGCTTCTGGCCACGGCTGGAGCAGATCTGCAACGGTGTGATAATTCAGGATGGACAGCTAAAGAGCAAGCAGCGCTTCGAGGTCACATGAAAATTGCCCATTATCTTGCAGATCTCTGCCCTGCAACGGATCCTCCATCGGACGCAACAACAGCAGATACCAGGATTGCTCGAGCCGGATCGCCACCGCAATCATCTCTTGACGAGAAGACATCCAAGAATATGGCTCGTGAAAGCACTCAAATTATGCAGAAGGCGCCGGAGCCAGTAAAGAGCTTTGGCCATCGATATCTCTCAAATGAGACCATGATCCTGGTCAGTTTGGGCTCAATGGACATGCGGAAGAATGTACCAGCTGTCGCTCTTGATGATATTCCCATGGCCGACGCACATACTACTCAGCTCGATACTGCTCTATCAGTCTTTGTCTCAGCATCTGGTGCCACAGGCGAAACATACCCCATCGATTTACCGGTTCAGGACATTGCTACAGAACCAATCACTTTCATGACTAAAGACGTTAGCAAGGTTCGGCTACTTTTCGATATTTGTCCGACTTACGCAGGGTCAAAAGATAGCATCGTTGGTCGTGGCGTCGCTCTTCTCTCGACTATCAAGACCCACATTGGTTCTAAGCGTATTCCATTACAAGGAGACGTAAACGTTCCGATCATGGCGGCATCGACTTTACAGGTCATCGGCACAGTGAACTTCAATTTCCTGGTAATTACGCCATTCCAGCATCCAAATATGTCCATCACAGAAGAGCATACGTACTGGAAGAAGATGGCGACAACTATGGTTATTGGTCATCGCGGTCTTGGAAAGAACACTGACAAACAGAGGACGCTACAGCTTGGTGAGAACACGATTCAATCTTTTATCTCTGCTGCGAATCTGGGAGCAGAATACGTGGAATTCGATGTGCAGTTGACGAAAGATCTCGTCCCGGTCATCTATCACGACTTCTTAGTCAGCGAGACGGGCATCGACGCCCCTGTTCATACTCTCACATTGGATCAATTCCTTCATATTGGTGAAGGCCAAAAGCCACGATCGTCACGCTCTGGTTCTCCTGAGAGCGTCACTCCTGTTAGTGGTATTCTTGGCGGCGAGGAGTTACGTCCGAATACCAAGAGACTGCGATCTTACTCTGTGGACAATTCGACACAGCGCAACATACACACCGAGCGTCAAGACGAGCTTAAAGAGCGGATGAAATACACCCGTGATTACATCAAGAAGGGTTACAAAGGCAATAGTCGGGCCATCTCCATCGGATCTGACTTCACCACTCTTGAACGCATGTTCAAGAGCAAGGACATACCAGCATCCGTTGGCTTTAACATTGAGATGAAATACCCCATGCTACATGAGTCCGAAGAGGAAGAGATGGATCAATATGCCGTAGAGCTGAACACCTTCGTCGACACAGTCTTGCAGGTCGTGTATGACCATTCAAACGGGCGCAGGATAGTATTCTCTTCGTTCAACCCAGACATATGTTTGATGCTCTCATTCAAGCAGCCTTCAATTCCTGTCCTGTTTCTTACCGACGCGGGTACGTCAGACGTGGGAGACAAGCGAGCAGCTAGTTTGCAGGAAGCCATTCGGTTTGCCAGTCGATGGAACTTATTGGGTATTGTGAGCGCTGCAGACCCTCTGGTTATGTGTCCGAGGTTCATAAGGATGGTTAAAGAGAACGGCTTAGTGTGCATGACCTACGGCATGCTCAACAATGATCCCAAGAATGTCCGAGTAAGTGCCGAAATTCCACTCCCCCGTTGAACGCACTTCCTAACCATTGACAAGTTGCAAGAGAAAGAGGGCATCGATGCCGTCATCGTCGATAGTGTCCTCAGTATCCGGCAAGGTCTGCAAGCACCCAGTGAGACCAAGATCAACAGGATCAACGGTGGTCCGCTTCCGATCCATCCTCCACCTATTCCAGTGATCAAAGAGGGTAACGAACATGTACCAGCAGTGCATATCAACGGTCACTCGTAGGTAGATCAGTCTGGACTCATCATTACTGGAAGGTTGATTTGGCTATATTGCATTGTAGTGGCGTACGTGATGTCCCTTAACGGACTTTGAGCATCTCATGGCATTTTCATGTGCTCTCTTCACATATATCGAAGTTTGCAAACCTTGTTTCAACAGTATATTCTTGCTCATACTGGCACCAATCACACGACTAGAGAAAGCTGAAGACAGATTAGTGGTTCACTTGGCTCTCATTCTTTAAATACTGTACGAGGGATGACCCACCGCTCATACGAGTACCTTCGAACTTTTTCTAAGGTATCCCAACATATGGATCTATAGAGTATTACGTCTTTATTGAGCCACACTTTGCATGTAAAGATCCGCTCTGTCGAACTTAATGCTAGCGAGAGAAAGAGGCCAGCGTTCAAGCGCGGCACGCGGCCGAGGTGCGGGGGTGGAACAAACTGAAACCCCTTCAACCTCACTTGCACCACCCAAGCGTGGCTCTAATCTCGCTGCAACTTCGCCTCATTCTGCCTTCTACTTGTAGTGCCAAGCATGAATTATTACGAGGAAGACGTGCTTACAAGGTAGGATCTGCACCGGTGTGGGAGTAGTTTGCTGACATGACGTAGCGGAGCTCAAGATGCTGTAGATCGAGCTCGGAAAACAATCATCAAGGCAAGAGGAACCGCTGAAATATTAGAGACAAAGTATGAACTATGGAAAGTCGTAGTAGCAATTACTGACGGCCGGAGGCTTCATCGGCTCAAACTAGAGTATGATGACTGCAAGGCTGCTGTGAATGCTGCTCGAGCGTACGTATATGAGAACGTCAAGCCTAACCTTACTTATTGAAAGCAGCGTAGAAGAAGGCGCATACACTACGTATGCCCAGACAATATCGAAAAACTTCACCACGGCCTTCCTATCTGCGCTCCCAAGGGAACTCCGCGATCATGTGTACTCATACCTGTGGGACGACGAGGATATGATTCGTCAAACGAAGCGTTCTGTCCGCGAGTATGCATGGAGCTACAGAATGCCCGAGTTCTGCGCCCCTTCGTACGTTCAACCAGATCACGTAGGTCAGGTTGTTGCGGAAGAGCTTGCATTGAGCATTTACAGAAGAGCCTTTGGCAGACGACTACATGTCATAGTCAGCGCTGGACACATATGCAAATTCCTCGCTGCCAACCCGTTGAGAAGCAGCCTCAAGCCTGCTGACTGTATCAACGCCCTCGACATTGAGTGGTATCCAAATGAGTACTCAGATAAAGCAGTCATGGAGTCTTGCAAGGCTCTAGCGAACTACGCGTTCCCGCGCCCTATTCCCATTAAATTCATTTTAGGTAAATTCTCGACCGCCAACAGCGACAAGCCAAAGCCGATGGCAACATTAGAAGATCAACTTGGAGTCTTCAAACCTGCATACGTTGTTCTGGTGAGCAAGGGATTTCCGGTCACTGTCAAATCGCTTTCTGGGAATGAGACCGAGGTGGGCAGTTGCTCGTAGCTTTGACTAGACAGTCGTGTTACTCCTCGTCAAACGTCTAGCTGAACATTCCTTTCGAACTTCGGTCAAAGCATCCTCTGGGCGGGTGTCAGCGCGTCGCTAGACACCGTTAAATGTATAATAGACCAGTACGGTTGGAATGAGATTTTGTTTCGGCACAATTTTGATTAGAATACTGCGAATATCCTTTCTTTGGTTCTCCTGCAATGTGATGGGTCAATTACTACTGGCTTTGTGTCTGAAACCCCATTTCCAAAAAGACATGAGGAACATGAAGAGGAACATCGTTTGGAGATGTTTTGAAGCTTTGCATATCCATTTCGGTGCTCAAGAATTGTATTTACCTGTCCCTGAGGATCTTTGATATCCATTCATTTCCAGGGCTTATCATATAGCAAGTGTTGTTTCAAGGGTACTCGAATCTGCGGTCCGCTGTTCAACAACCTCCCTGTCGTAAAAAAAAAGCTCTGCTGTGTCCAAGGCTCCACGCATAAACTGGGAAAGCATGAAGGAGAACGACTAGTCCTATAGAGATCACAAGGACTAAGCTTTTAACGTATCTCATCGTGCGAAGACCTCATCTTGAGTAAAGTGTGGGAGGTTAGCAAGCGCACCGCTAAGATGCGTCGGGCGAGAGATGACCCCGAGCCGGGGCGAAAGCTGACGTCACGTGAATCGCTTACGCGCCAGGGCAGCCATGATTTCCTTGATTACTGCACCTGCAGTCTCAACGGTATCACTTTGATGTCGACTTATCGGAGTCCCTTTATCACAGATACTCCAGACCGTAAGCCATTAGCAAGACGCATCTGGTGATGGACAATACCTACCTAGGTACCTAGGTACCTACGCCACAGTGACTTGTGTGGATTCGTCCTGGATGCCTCGATCATTAGGTAAAGTTTATTTATTGGCCACATGCAGACCATTGTTTTAATCGATATTTCGGTGTCGAACTGATCGGCTGTACAACTTGCCTGGGACCCAACCTCCTCTAGCGCTGCTCTTACTTGCAAGTGCGGCTGAGGTATTCGGGTGTCGAGCCTTGTACATGAACAGCAATAATGAGTTGCCATTTCCATGACGATCTCGGTGCTTATTGGCTTTCCCAGAAGGCTGAAGGCATCCTCTGAAGGCCTTCGCATTTGCGCACTGCCTCACGCTAGCGCATCTTGATCTGTCCTGTAAACTTGTTGAAGGTCAGCCCCCGCGTAAGAGTAGGTCTCAGCTGACGCACGTGCGATGGCACGGAAGGAATTGATAGCAATATCACAACAAGCACAAGCGAATGCATCGATTGTTAGCGATGTCGCATTGCAAAGATATCCGGAGGCATCACGAATACTTAGGTAGATAGCCCGGACATCCTGATCCTTAATGACTATCAAGAAGCTTATGGTCAGATCATCACGATTTGAACAAGGTTGCGACACAGGACACCCTGCATAATCAACGTCGACGAATAGCATGAGAGGAAGGCCTCGTGCGTGCCTATGCATAGACAAGCGACACTGACATTGGCGAGAATCTACATGGTCCAGTGGATCCCCAATATAACCTCCGCCTCTCGGCTGAGCCCTTTCAGCTCGCCATTCGAGACCACGCGTCAAATGTGGACGAGAGCCTGATACACCAGTGATCTCACCTGCTTGACGACCTCACTCTCCTCTCGATATGGCGCTGCGATTCCTTCTATTGAGTGCGATACTTGCAATCACGAATGCTCAGCAGAATGTTGGAGACCCCATTGATGACTTTTGTCGGCGTCACCAGCATCAGACATGCATAATCGATTCCAAATTGTACATAGACGGTGGCAAGGTGTACTATGGAGGATCTGTGGACAACGGGAGCGTCGCCGAGCAAAGTTAGTATCTGTCATGCTGATAGGAACATGGCTAATTGGGACAGACACTCGACTCTTGTGGGAGTATGTTGTAGACACCAACAACGAATACAAGTTTCCGGTCCAGTACGACAATTTGACCAAGGTACATCATCTGTGGCAATGCCCACAGCCGAGCGTCAAGCACACAACTGACTGACTTCCGCAGGACCCAGAAGTACCGTCTGTAAGCGGTGGAGTTCTATGGCCCGACTCTACGAACAAACTCTTTTATCTATTCGGTGGCGAGTATGACAACTCGGATAACGTACAATCTTTCACTACCTTGTGGCTTTATGACATCTTGTACAATACCTGGAATCGCTCCCGATCTTCCGACAGCTCCCTTACAGACATCAAGTGGCCATCTCTTGGTGCAGGTACCGTCACGGACACCGGAACCGCTTATTACTATGGTGGCTACCTAAGCAATCTGTCCATGCCAAAGTGGAGTGGCGATCGTCTCATGCTGAATTCACTGACTTCTTTTGACATGGACACTCGAACCTGGAAAAACAGCACTCATGATCAGACACCACGAGCAGAAGGATCACTCCATTTCATTCCAGCCTCGGACACAGGCATGCTTGTATATTTTGGGGGCTTGGAGATTGAGAATGGCATCACCGGCTATGTGAGTAGCTGCTAGTGCCTCTTCGCATTAGCTTTTTCTAATAGTCTACAGGCAAACATGAGTGTAAGCGGTGTATTACGAGTTATGCGCCCATACTTGGACTGACGGCACTATAGGAAATTCAGGTTTTCGACATTGCCAACAATAGGTGGTTCACTCAGACGGCCACTGGAGACGTCCCTTCACCAAGACGTGGGTTCTGCGCAGACGTGGTTTGGGCCAAAGACAGGTCATCCTATAACTTGTAAGATTGAAACTCAGAAGGACATGCAAACACTGACGCCAAGAAGCTATGTTTATGGGGGGATTGCCTCCAACGAGCAGGCATTCGATGAGCTGTACATTCTTACTCTGCCCTCATTTCAGTGGACATTGGTATGTGGTCTCTAGACTACCTTTCTTGCGGTAGATGTACTAACCGTGTTAGATATATCCAAGTTCTATTCCGAATTACTTCGGGGGCAAAACTGGAATGTCTTGCAACGTGATCCGAGAGTCACAGATGCTCATTATCGGCGGACAGATCTCGAATGCCTCATTGACAGGATGTGACGTTCCAAAGATCGGTGGGCAGCACGGTCTTCTTCTAGGACAGGAGGCCGTGGAGCAAGGGGTTTGGTGGCATGGAGTACAGGACAACACTACAGGTTACAGAGTACCTGATACAATTATCTCTCTTATCGGCGGCAAGTACGTCTCACGCACTCGGAGTCCTCCTTCTAGTCTCATACTAATATCAAGACAGCACTGATGGAGATGCGACGGCAACAGCCCCAGCATCAGGCTTCGCAGTCAGCGATCTGTCAGTTTACTTCGGCAGAACAGCCTCCGCAACACCACGAACAGCATCGAGGCCCATCCCAACCGCAACTGAGTCCCCAACACCACAACCACCATCAAAATCAAACAAAGGGGCGATAGCAGGAGGTGTCGTCGGCGGCGTCGTTGGTCTCGTCGCCATCATCGGCCTCATCGTCTTCTGTCTCCGTCGCAGACGCCACACGCCTTCCCCAGCCCGCGCCGAACTCGCCCCCAACCCCGCCTCTCACAACAGCCCAGCCCTAGTGCAGAAGCCAGGCGCAAGCTACTCTGCGCACGCAAACTCTATGCATTCGCCTATGGCAGAAGCACCTGCATACTCGCCGCAGGCCTCGTCGCCCGGCTCGCATTCCTGGGCTGAGCACGCGCCCTTCTACCCGGGCGTGGTGCAGCCGCAGCACGGCGCATATGGCCAACCGCTACCGCAGCCATATTATCCGCCGCCTCCTGAGGCAGGGTTGGAGCCGGGTAAGCAGGGTGGACCGCTGGGTGTGAGCCATGAGCTGCGGAGCACGGGCACGCCGGCGATTTCAGAGTTGCCGCTTCTACAGAGTCCAGTCCCGAAACGAGTTGGATAGAAGAGGAGTGTGAAGGTGAGAAGACTGAGTTGGAAATGGTGCAAAATAGTCCTGATTCGCTGGCGGGATTCTGTGATACACATCCTCGTTGAGGTCGGGGAACGAAGGAGGGACCCTATCCGCTGTATCCTAATTTCTCTAATCTACGTAAACGTCTACTAAGGATTTACTCCACCCAGCGATAAACGCTACGCGTTGTTCGCTCCCACAGACCTTAATGTCACACCACACAGCATCGATTCCCTAGCCCTGCCACTTGGTCCTCCGCTGCCGAAACTGACTCACCATACCAATGGGTAGCCACCCCGGATCAACGATATTGAAACTGCCAAATCGCGCAATCATATCCGGTCCATACATCTGTGCAATCCACTTCCAGTAAGCGTCCATACTATACCAATTCGCAAGTATGCCGCGCAAGTTCCCATGCCCGAGCTCCCCCAGCGCCTGCTCGACCTGCACGCTCGGATCGACATGGGCCTCATGTGGGCGCGAAAGCAGTTGCGCGTAGACATTCCGCAGATCGGCGCTCCCCGTAGTCGCCCAAGACTCGCGGTAACGCGCAAATTCGGCAAAGGGGAGAAAGTGATCTCCGTCATCGGGGACGAAGGCGGCTGCTGCAGTGTGGCGACGCTGCAACTCGATGGCGCCCTTGTCGAAGCGGCGCTGGGCAGCAGCGTAGTCGTCTTGCTCGGCTGCGACATAGTCATCGAGAAGTGTTTGCGGATCGGCGTGCACGGCATCGCGAATCTGCAGGAGTCCGACGAAGGGGGATTTGAGCTCCAATCCGCCGAGCTCGACGGGGAAGTAGAGAAAACCATCTGGTAGGTTGGAGACTGTGAAGCGGTCGTGGATCATTTGCTTGAGGTACTGAACGACGTTACCGCCGTCAAAGACAGTTTCTTGGATGCGCCTGTGGGTCGCGAGCATCGTATCGATGTGTTCGCGGCCGAAGCAGTTTGCGGCTTTGCCAAAGTTTGTACTGAAGAAGGTTGTAGCGTATGAGTTCCAGGCTGGGGGAAAGGTTAGAATATGCTCATGGGAGTAGTAAGGAGGAAAGAATACGTACTTTGGATCCAGTCGATAACGCTCTTGGTCTTTCCTTGCAGCTGTTGCCGGAGCTCTTTTGCGTGAGAATCGACCATCTTGTGATCGATGTCAAAGCGGCCGTTGGTAGGGTTCAAGTAGAGAAAACCCCATCGGATGTCACCTTGAGGCAGGCAGTCATCAATCTCCAGCGGGCCTTCCCGGCCAACACGTATGCTCCCTGATTTTACGTTACTGATCTGGAGTGCGTTAGTGTGTGATATCATCGATTCGAAGTGGACTTACTTGAGTACCAGTGACCTCTGCGAACGTGCGGACACTATGCCAAGCTATGGCAGACGTCTCATAATCCTTATTCCAGAACCACACATCGTCGTACATGCGATGAAGTAGTGCACCGTTGGTGTCCTGATTCACCGAGAAGTCTAAGCAGAAGAGCAAAACTTCTCCGAAGACATCACTCAAGGCGTGCGAGTCGGGAGTGCCCCGACGCCTCAAGCGCGGCCCGTGTTCATCGTCTGTAAATTTCAACGGTGCCTCCAGATATGTTTTAAAAAATGTCTTCCACTTGTCCGACACTCCAAAGAAGCCAAGGACTGTCAATGCCGTATCGTGAGGCAGCAGTGGGTTCCACGACTCAAAGCCGGTACGAAAACAAGTCATTTCGCCGTTCAAACGAGTATTTATGATGATCTCGGTAGCAAGAATATGGAGAAGACTTTGCTTCGCTTCTATCGGGTTTTTGGCTTCGCTTTCATCGTCACCCGATATGGATTGATCGTCCAATTCCTCTTCCTCTTCCTCTTCCTCTTTCTCTTCCTCTCTTGCCATAAAGAGTGAAGATCTTCCATGCGCGACTGCACCTCCAAACAAGCCTCCTGCCGGTGCTGCTCGTGCCGGCGCCGATGCAAATGCTGACGCTGCAGATTTCTTTTTCTTAAGCTTGCCCAAAGATTCTTCTTGTGTAAATTCTCCAAAGTCAGCTTCTTCCTCGCCTTCATTATACTGCACCACTTGTTCCGGGAAGTCCAACAACTTGTTGGTAAAGTAGCGCTTGCGCTGCACTCTGCTGCGCTTACTATCAAGATTTCCGCGAATCGTCTGGCCTTGGCCGCCAAGAAAGTATTCGCGGCGCAACAAATCGGTTTTTGGTACATCGGGGCGGTTGCCTTTCCAGGTCTCTGCGTTGTCTCGTAACGCGACGAATGCGGACTTGAAGAATACCGACCACTTCACCCCAACAAAGTGCAGGAAGATAGCCTGCAGGATATCTTCGTGCATGTGGACTTGGAATCGACCGTTAATCTCGCGCCGTTGTTCAACAAGAACGTGGTCACCCCAGCTCCACCGGTCGAGTGCTAACAAACGCATGTTAAGCACATCCGCGATTTCTCCTAAGATGACGCCGTTGCTGAGAAAGTCACCAGAAACCTCACGTTTTTCGTTGGAGAGTGATCCTGACAATTGGAGAGACTTGATCACCCACCGCAGAGTGTATTCGTTGAACTGTGGGCTACTCGTCAGGTCTGTTTCAAAGTCGCGGACTTTCTTGCGCAGATCGCTCAGTGCTGAGGCGATCTTCTTCTTGTCTGTGACGAAGAGGCGTTCTAGATAGGCTTCCAAGCCAGACAGGTCAACAGAAGCGGGCTCGAAGACAGATTTCTCCCACTCCCTTCGGGCTTCAAATTTCTTGGCGCTTGGAAGCTCTTCGAAGCTCTCCCCCATCTCAACATTGCCTTCAGCAGTTACTGTCTTTTCCGAGGAAAGCCATTCGGTGACAAGCTTTCCATATAAAGCAGCATACCGATACTTCGTCGCTTGAATTGTAACATGAGACATGAACTTTTCTTCCCAGGTATTGAGCACGGCTGGAGAGACGGAAGGATCGAAGCGCGCTTGGTCCAGGAATCGGTCGACGTTCATAAGATCTGTTTCGAGCTGATTGTTGCGGGTTCCACCAAGAATCACACGCCCAGGTCTACTGTCATCCTCCTTGTGCGAGGTAGTCTTCACGCTCAGGCATAACTTTGTGCCGTCAACCACCTTGCTCAGGCGATTTAATGGATCCTGCTCTTCTTTCGCTGTTGTTAGAAGATCCGCATACTGTTTGTTAAAGACAGAATGTTGCTTAGAAAGTTCCTCCAATTTTGTGTTCGTGATGGTTTGCAGGGTTCCCGAAAACACACTGCCGGAAGTCATGCTGAGGTGCTTGAGATGCCGCTTGGCAAGCCTCGTAGTATGAGTGTTGGCTGTAGGGCGAGAATTGAATTGATAACTAGAGAAGATTGGGATTCGTCCAGGAAAGTATCAGAGGTACGAGCAGTAGTTTCTTTTGTATATGAAAGTTGCACAGCAGCGAACTTGCATTGCCTCGTATCCAGAACAGGCACCAGTGGCTGGGCTTGGCAAGCGGGGAGTCACCCGTTTCATTCACGTTGAGCTGGGACCGCAGTTCTGGATCTTCAGAGTCAGCTCTTGTAAACGCATCTGAGCATGCTAGTATAGCCAATCAGAATCCTATCCTTCTGTCGGAACAGGCATCCAGGAGCGTCCGGGCAACGACAGTGAAGTTGCCTGATGGAGCGAGTATGCAATTCGTTATCGATAACAATTTGCACAAACAAGACAGGCTCTCCTCACGTTGCAGGATAAACGGCGGACTACTATGTAAGGATGTGAGCTAAGTATTCTACGTATTCTACCACATGACAGCCAGATTAGGAAGAAAGATGTAAAAAAAAATACCTTTTTACCTACAAAATAAGTAACAGACTAACAGTTGATCAGACCTTAGCTTTGGTTATTATAATAGCTACAAGTTCTGTGTTAAAGTTGGTCAGCTTCCAGGTTGCTTATCCGGCGTTTTTCCTGAAACGTGAGAGACAATATCATTTCGCTGCGTGGGGAACAGGCTCGATACGTGTTGTGGCTGGACGTGCTGGTTCGCTCGTCGACTGCAGCTTCAGTGCTCTTGTGCAATTGTGCAGAAGCCCTGTGTATGGGCATAGGAACGAGAGATTTAGAGGCTGATCAGAATCGCTTCCAGTCCTGATGTAGGAGTACAATGCTCGACTTGGTGGTATCTTCGATCTACAACAGCAACAACAAACCCGCAGATACACAAAAACGCACAAAAAAAAACACAAGCAGACGATGTATTCCACACCATCGCTCAACATTACACGCCTTTTGCCTCACATAGATGTCCGCTCTTGCTCAGCACCGTGCCCAAGCCCTGGTGCACCTCGACCTGGAATCCCTCAAACGGAACTCGCTCGCCGTCAACGCTGATGTATCCGTCGTCCTGATTTTTTGGGATGATGCGGTACGCTACCACTTTCTGGTAGTCGACGCCGTCCATATCGAAGAAGGTGTGGTTCTCAACTGCCATGAGCATTTTCACGGCAGTGCCGCGCGCAATGTCGCCCCGAATGCGGACCAGGTCCAGGCAGCCGTCCGAGGGGAGCGAAGCGGGGAAGAAATTGGCGTCCGGCGACATGTAGGCGATGTTGCCACAGTAGAAGTTGCCGAGGGTGTCGTGGGGGATCAGGTCCCAGCCGGCAGGAAGCGGGTCATTGATGGTGCCGTACTGAAGCGGGGGAAGGGGCGTGTCAGCGGCGGGGACGGGGCGGGGGTCGTGGGCGGGCGCAGGTTTGGCGGCTTCGGCGCGGTAGGCGGCGCGCACGGCGGCCTTGTTGTCGTGGATGGTTTTGACGGCGATGTCGGCGGGGTAGATGGTTTGGGACAGCAGGCGCACGAGGAAGCCCCAAGTAAAGCGCGCGCTGCCCATCCAGCGCAGATGCTCTGTGGCGAGATCCGTCTCGGCGACAATGCCGACGGACTGCGAGAGGAACGAGAGGGTGCGGCGGTCGCCCTGCGTGATGGAGGCGAGGTCGAGCGGCGTGCGCAGGCCCTTGACGACGGCGAGGGCGGCGAGACTGGGGCTGTCGGAGCCGTTGAAGTTGAGGCTCAACGCATTGCCCGAGCCGCAGGGCAGCTGGGCGACGGCGACCTGGGCCAGGGCCCTCGCGGCGTCCGGACGCTTGCCCAGGCCGTTCCAGACCTCGTGCGGGATGCCGTCGCCGGAGCAGCAGGCGACGACGTCGTACGCGTCGATGTCCAGGCTCTGGGCAATCTCGACGCCGTGGCCCTGGTGCTGCGTCTCCTGGACGTCGAGGGTGCAGCGCGCGGCGGCCAGGATGGGCGCCACCGACTTGTGGTACATGCCAACAGCGCCGCCCTGGCCGCCGAAGGGATTCAGCAGCACCTTCATGCGCTTCTGGCGCTGCGATGCGCCGTATGCGCGGTCCAGCAGCTTCGCGATCCAGGCCTCGACCAGGTGGCTGTCGGGCTTGTCGAGCGTATAGCTGACGATGGCCGGGCGCACGACCTTGGGCGACACGGCATGGGCGTACTGCACCGTGATGTCGCCGCTGGCTGAGTGCTCGGCCCAGAGCACATTGTAGAAGGGGATCGCGCGCGTCGACTTGGTACGGCCAGGCAGGCTGAGGCCGCAGCAGCCCGCGCCCCGGCTGTCCTGCAGCGCTTCGTCTGGGGCCGTCAGTATGCGAGTCCGCAAGGCAGCTGTCTACACGCACCCAAGACGACGAGCGAGTCCGTCCCCAGCGTCAGCGAGGCATCGCGCCCCACCGCGAGCGTGTCGGAAACGCTGCCGGTGGCGGGGTCTCTAAAGGGATTGTCGTGGCCCCCGGGAGCGGCCATGTTATGCAAAGCGAGTGTGCAGCGCCCTCAGCATGCTGGACGCGCAGACAGGCGACGTGAGGCCTGAGGTAAGCCGTCGCCCGTTCACGCGATCGACCGCGGCAGCGGATGCCCGCGGGCTCTAGCGCGTGCGACGCGCCGCTGATTGGGCGGCGAGTCACAGGTGGCCGCAGACATTCCAGCTGGAGGTGCCTGTGGGCAGACAGGGCGATCTGTCACGTGCCAGTCACACTGGGCAATAGAGGATAGGTACGAAGTATTGGTACCTATATATGGAGGAGCAGGGATAATAGACACGTGCAGGACAGCAGCCAGGCACTGCACCGCGACATCTAGCCAACACCATCACGGCTGCGTCACAGTCCACAGAAACTCACTCTCTGCCTCTCAGCAATGCAGTGCACGTCCTGTACCGACCGCTCACTCTCGAACCCCGCCGCTCAGACTCAGTTGCAGCATCCATAACAGGCTGTGCACCCCAACCTAGCGCCAAGCTCTACAGCGCTGCAAACCGCCGGAACCCGGGCGGCGCACCCGAATGCACCCCCACGCCCCCAATGCCCAACATCGCGCGCCCACCCACGCGAAGTGGGAACGCCATTGCTGAACCTCCACTGGCCTTCACGCTCCGACGGCCTCCGCGGCACGACGTCGGCGCGCAACGCTCGATCGGGGGCCCGGTGCGGTGGTACTGGATCTGCGATGGTTTGTGGGCGAGGGGTGAGGACGAGTCGCGGGTGAGTGCACTAGAGTTTCCGCAAGAAGAATGCGTGCGAGTACAAGCGAGGTACGTGTATTCTAACAATATGGTGATGCTACGGTCGTGGTGGGCGAGGTTCAGTCTCCCGCACCACACCAATGCAGGCCCAGGCAAGGGTATATATCGCATAAATTGCGCCCAAAATAGTACAGACGCCAACGCCGATGATGCTGAACGCTAAAGGAGCGGGCTCGACAACGAGCTGCAGTTCATGTGCTACCGCGAGAGGAGGACTTTGTCGACAGCGTCGGACGCGAGCTGCGACACGTCCGCGATGGTGCCCTTAACTTCGACAATCTCAACGTCCTTGAGCTGCTTGATCTCCAGCTCGTCTGGCTCCTCAAGCACCGCAAATTGGCTCTCCACCATGCTGTCCTTCATGTAGTGGCCCTGTCGTCCGCGCACACGGGCGAGGAGCGTCTCCTTGTCGGCGCGCAGATACACAAAGTGTACGTTGGCGTCTGGCTCCTCGTCGTACAGCCTGGCGGTGCGAATGACGTCGCGGTACTTCTTCTTCAGGGCACTGCACGTGATGACAACGCCCTTGGCCCCGTTCTTGAGGTCCTTGAGTGCTTGGTCGCGCAGCAGGATCAGCCAGTCCCAGCGGTCTTCGTCGTTCAGCGGGATGCCCGCAGCCATCTTGTCAATGTTGGCCTTTGGGTGGTACTACAAACGGGTCATTACGAGATGCAACATGATCAAAGATGGATTCGTACCTCATCACCCTCAATATACTCAAATCCGTAACGGTCGCTGAGGACCTTGGCAATGGTGCTCTTTCCGCATCCTGCAGGACCAGTGACGATGAGAATGTGGTGTCGTTGAGGGACCGTCATTGCGGCGGTTTTACTCAGATTGGTGGAGGATGTAGACGGTGAGCCGGCTGAAGATGTGGGAGGTGTAGGCAGCGATGCATAGTGCACTGGGGCAGCGTGTGTCGGTTCAATAGCGTGCAACATGTTCGAGTGCGTGTACGTGCTGAGACAAGCGAACGGATCGACTGGACATGCGCTAGCAAGTATTCAAGATTAGACTTCCAAGATTGAAGAGACGGGGTCAGGTCGGGGATTATATAGTGCTGAGGCTGGATGTGACGCGGGATATAGTAGGGACTGGTAAGCAGTTTTCACTAAAGCTGGGGCAGGGCGCATTATAAAACGTGAACGCACGTCTGGCAATTCTGCCCGCGCCCATGACGGCAAGGGTGGGATCAGAGTTTGGGAGCACAGTCGTGGAGGCCAAGGCTTGATGTCACTTTGAATAGCTCGCGTGCGAATCAGGGGGCACTCTGCGGAATCTGCCTGGCCCAGCTGGGGACAGAGGCATGCGGATGTAACTGCCCGCGAATTGGCGTCGCTGGCCATGCCGGATGCGACGATAGACAGGGAGTTTCGTCTTCATCGGCGTTTGAAAGTTCGGGTGTGCCGGTGCGCGTGGGATGATGCAGTGGCGGCTGGAGACCCCGCAAACCTTGGTATGTACCCCGGTCAGCGTCAGGTACTGGTGCATCTTGCATTCGGCACGACGCTGCCAACGCAGCACCGGCTCGCAGCGCTCGTGATGGGCGCTGCGCACGCAAGACATCAGCAGCGCGCAGGTCAGCGCGATGTTCAGCCGGTCGACATTGGGCTGCGCTCGTCGCTGACAGAGGAACGTGTTGATAATAGCGCGTGGGGGTCACGAGAGGCGCTGAAGTCTTTTCCGGGCCGGTGACGGTCGAGCCTTGAACAGCAACGGGTCGTGTGGGCGAAACGCCAGGAGACAGCACGCTGGAAAGCTTCCAGATGCGCTAGAGCAGCGCCATTCTCCGACGCGCATCCCGAGGCTGCACTCCGTGCACTGTCGCTCACCGCTCGGCACGGTGGAAGAGAGAGCTGCCGGCAGTGCCCTGCGTACTCGCATGGTGCGCACCTCCGCGCCGAAGTCACGGCCCGCGTGACGACTTTGACCAGGCATGGAAGATGACGTGGAAGCTAGAAGCTGGAGGCTAGAAGCTAGTCGGAAGGAACAAGGGGACGTGAACGCCAGTGTGACGTGCAAGTCGGAGGCTGCGGGGGTAGAGCACGTGATCTGCTAGCATGCATATGGACAAGTGCCTGCCATTCCGGGGAGCTACGCACCAGCACCGCGACTGCGCCGACCACCGACGAGACGCTGACAGCTGCACCGCAACCCAGGAACGCGCCAGGGTACCCGCCGCGCCGTCGCCGCCATGTCCTACTTCTTCTCCACTCCGGTCGACATTGACGTCGTCCTCGAAGACCTGGACGACCGCTCGGCCGTCGACGTCAAGCTCGATAAGAACCGCAAAGAGAAGGTGCCCTTGTATCTCGACGGCGAGTCTGTCAAGGGGCAGGTCACAGTCAGGCCCAAGGATGGCAAGCGGCTCGAGCACACTGGCATCAAGGTGCAGTTCATCGGGACAATTGGTGGGTGGCACCGCGCTTGACGCTGGCGCCTGGAGTGCTGGCGGTCGATTGAGTCTCCACACTGACACGGCATGGCGCAGAGATGTTCTTCGATCGCGGCAACCACCATGAATTCCTCTCCCTCGGCCAGGAGCTTGCCGCGCCTGGCGAGCTCCAGCACCCTCAGACCTTTGAGTTCAACTTCAAGAACGTGGAGAAGCAGTACGAGTCGTACAACGGCATCAATGTCAAGCTGCGCTACTTTGTGCGCGTGACGGTCTCACGCCGCATGGCCGACGTGGTCAGGGAAAAGGACCTATGGGTCTACTCCTACCGGATACCGCCGGAGACGAACAGCTCCATCAAGATGGACGTTGGCATCGAGGACTGTCTGCACATCGAGTTCGAATACTCCAAGTCCAAGTACCACCTCAAGGATGTCATTGTAGGCAGGATATACTTTCTTCTGGTGCGGTTAAAGATCAAGCACATGGAGCTCTCCATCATCAGAAGGGAGACAACAGGGGCCGCACCGAACCAGTACAACGAGAGCGAGACACTAGTACGATTCGAGATTATGGATGGCTCACCATCAAGAGGTAGGATCCAGATGTTGCGGCATATGCTGCGTGCTGACGGAAAAGCAGGAGAGACGATCCCAATTAGGTTGTTCCTTGGCGGTTTCGACCTGACGCCCACTTTCCGAGAGGTGAACAAGAAATACTCGACTCGATACTATCTAAGCTTAGTGCTTATCGACGAAGGTGCGTGGACGCTGATAGTGAGCTGTGAACCCAACTAATTTGCTTCAAGACGCTCGAAGATACTTTAAGCAGTCTGAGATTGTTCTTTTCAGACAAGCGCCCGAGGGGCTTACCTTAGCCCAAGAGCAGAACAAGCTTATGGCGGTGCCATAAGCCTTGAGCGCAATCATAAACGATACGTTCCCTATCGGGTACTATAGGACTGTTGCTGGTGTGGATGACGCGATAGCGTTGAGACCACGTGCACCAAGGCCGGGGGCACTGACCCAGCGGATGATGGGAAGGAGACAGCTGAAAGCTTCCCCGCATTCCGAGAGACGACATCCTAGGTTCTGTAGATACAACTCTAATGATGATACCAATACCAAAACGGTAGCACGGCGAATCTGGAAATACTCGCCGATGACCCCCACGTGCCCGTGCTCCGGGGCAGCGGCCCAGCACGCTACGCTTCGGACGACTTCTAATCAGGATTTGCTGCGCTCTGGGCATGCCGTTGCCGTCGAGTTGAGCCTCCACGTCTCAGGCCTCCTCTTCAAGGACAGGAGCAGTTGTCCTTGGACCACGTCTTGGTGAAGTCCATGCGGCGGCTTCTACATATACTTAGATATGTGTCGATCTGAATGTGACTCACGACCAAAATAGTGAGCCCGGTCTGTCTACACGAATCAGTCACTGTGTATAGAAAGTCACTGCCTCTTTGATAAGGTGACAGCCCGCTGAAATGCACCATATTTTACAGATCGTGACAGAGGCTGTGATCGGCGAATTATCGAAGTTCGCCACTGTGGCTCAGGGTGCCGTTTTTCCCTCGCTAGTTCCCCATTTCGTCCGGCGCCGTTTTTTGAGGCTCTTTTCGGTTGCACTGTCCCGTGCCAAGTATCGCGATTTGTTCACGGCAACTTCTACATATGAAATTCTAAGCAAGAAGCATAACAAGGATGTTTGTTGGAATACCCCCAGCCCTCGTCCATGTTGCTCAAGCAAGGTCAGGCTCCAACCATATTACCTCATTGTACGGACAGTTCATCCCGCTGCATAATGCCTACAAATTGTCTTGCTGGACCTCCTGCTTGGTGATCGTCATTGCGATCAGCAGCAAACCTTGCATCTTGACAGCGCGACCATCGGATCGAAAATTCAGAAATAAAGCAATTCCCTCCTACACCTAATGCAGACACAAACGATGGGGACAAAACACAGAGAAGCGCATTCATTCGTTGTTGGGAGGTGTAGTGCGACTTTGACCGAGATGTGGAAACTGAGGTTTCGTAGCGATGACGTCGCACATGCAATTCTTTCACTTTCCCATGTTGAGCCTTGACTTTCCCATCCTTTATTAGGAGCAACAAGCTCCTGTTGCTGTTCATTGGAAAAGTTGACCGCAGAGTTTTCAGCATGGCAGATTCCCATCCCGGCAGCATTGGTATGTTTCTTGCATTAATGGAGTGTGTAGTACTGTGTACTCCACCGGAACTTCATCTTTGAGACTGACTGAAGAGTTTTGTAGAACCACAGTCTTATTTTGACCAAAAGGCCAAGAACCAGTCTCAGCCGTCGTCTCCTCAACCATCTCAAAGAGCAGACGCCGAAACCAGTGTTGCGAGAACCGGCACATCCGATGTTGATAGTTTCCGACCAGCACCCAATCGAAATAGCACAAGGCCCTCAGCCATGGAGAGGAGCGAGACCAATCAGACAGCGGGGACGAATGACGTCCAAAGGTTAGAGAAAAAGCAGCAGCAATTAGTTGACGTGGAAAATGAGTACTTCCGACTGAATCCCTGGTACAATCAGCAAAGAGAAAAACCTGTCTTTGGCCTTGGTCAGCCTCTTCCACATACCCTGCGCCGTGGTATGTGGTGGGGCAAAAGCGATGTTAAGAAACGGATGGAAGAGCTTGAAGTACAAGAGGCAGACCTACAAAAAGGTATTGACGCACGCGACATGGCGAAAGGGAGAGGTAAGTGATGTTCCATCTTTCCACCATACTTATTGATCAACGTAGCAGAGTCTGAGAATGAATCGGATGGCTCACAGACACCTTTGAAGCCAGGGCAGCCTTCACAGTCTACCAACGGAGATCTACAGTCCTATACTCAAGGTCGCATGCCAAACATTCGCCGACCAACAAGCAACACACATTCCATGGCAGGCAAGCAACGCAACGACGAATCAACTACAGAACGTGCACCGATCAACAACCATGGCTTGGATGAGGCTGATCAAGGCAACAATGGAAGGAACAACTTTGGTTTACAGGATGGTCTTCATCCACTCCAGGAACTTGACACCAGTGAAACAACCCAGACGCAGAAAGATGATAAGGAAATTCAAAAGCGTGAACACGAAGAGCAGCAAGACTATTATAATCAATACCGCAACCCCATTGCGAGGCTTCGAGCGCAATACCCGCAGGCACCGGCCGAGTTCCTTGCTGTAAGATAATATATGTCTTGAGTGGAGGCGTAGCTAATCTCACTAGACCTTCATATATCTTTTCCTGGGGATATGCGCCAACCTATCTATCGCAACTTCATCGGAAAGTACGGGCAGTTTTGAATCGCAAGCTTGGGCTTGGGGCTTTGCTGTGATGGTCGGCATCTACTTGAGTGGTGGTGTATCTGGTGGTCACCTCAGCCCCTGCATCACGATTTCACTCTCAATCTTTCGTGGTTTTCCATGGCGGATGGCAATCGTCTACATTTGCATGCAATTGCTAGCTGGCCTGGCCGCTGGAGGGCTGGCATACGGGTAAGTTATCGCACTGACTCTGCGTTACTGTCATACTTAATTTTCTCTCAGGCTCTACTATGATGCGATCAACGCCATAGACCCTGAGCATACGCTCGAATTGACAGGCAAGGCTCTCTTTCCCAAGGGGCCTGCCTTCACACCGACCACCGCGTTCTTCAACGATTTCATCTTCATGGCCCTTTACACTTGTATTGCTTTCGCTCTCGGAGACGATCAGAACTCGCCTCCTGGCCAGGGTATGACTGCTTTGATTTTCGGGTTCGTGGGCTACCTCATGATGGTTTCACTCGGATACAACACTGGCCTCGGCATCTCGCCTGCGCGCGACTTAGGACCAAGGCTCGTTGGGTTGTGGGCAGGCTACGATGCCTTCAGTGACGCGTACTGGGCGTACGGCCCATTTGGTGCTGCCACAAGTGGCGCGATATTTGGGGGCTTCATCTATGATCTGTTTGTGTTTGTAGGTGGAGAGTCGCCAGTCAACTATAGATGGCCAGAGAAGGGCGACATCAAGTGGAAGCTGAACGAGAAGAAGGAGCAAGCGAGGGATAAGATCCAAAGGCTAGCCTAGAGCGCGTCTCGAACACTAGAAAAATTAACAACTGTTTACGAATATTTTACACATCATTTGTGTTTACCTGGCCTAGTGTCGTCGTGTCTGCATTGGTTCCGGAAATAGAGGCGATTTCCCCGCATCCAGTCGGGAACTGGATCTTCTTCATCCAACACCAACAATCTCCGTCCGCTGGGTTTGATTCGTCAGCGGGACTCAATCTATTGTTCCGTGAAGCAGTCCATAATAACATCTCAACCTCAAGAATACCACTCATCACCTGTACCTCCTAGTGTGTTGCCCAGCGTAGATCGGCGACGATGTCTCGGCGATAGCTAGGTACCTAGGCAGCATCATAATACTTCATGTGTAGACAAGTTCACCCTCAATCTCAAACCAACGCATTTCGGCATGCCTCCAGGAGGGAGTTCTGATGTAAAACCGGCTGCAGAGAAGCAAGAAGAACATGGCGACAACGCATTGGCAGTGGGTATACGGGCGCGAGTCAAGCACGTTACCTGGGCATGGTTCCTCTCGACAATGTCCACTGGAGGACTCTCCATCGCACTCGCAGAAACACCACACAGATTTCGGGGTATGCTTACTGTAGAAAATGCAGTATGGTAAGCTGACACGCACACAGGGCTTCACACTATTGGTCTCGTCGTCTTCTTCTTTGAAACCTGTCTATTTGCACTTCTCTGCACCGCCACCCTGGCCCGAGCCACATTCCACTTCCAGCATTTCAAAAAGTCATTCACGCATCCATCAGAATCCTTCTTTCTTGGCTCTTTTTTGCTCAGCATAAGCGTCATCATCGGCTCCATTCAGCTCTACGGCGTAACATATGGCCCCGGCTACCCATGGCTTATCTCCACCATCAACACTCTATACTGGATTTACGCAGCCATATCGCTTCTCAACTCCATATTCCAATACTATATCCTCATCGCCCACAGCGCAGCCAGACCCGTTCCCATTCTGCCCAGCACCTTTCTAGCAGGCTACTCGGCAATGCTCACAGGCACCATCTCATCGCTCATTGCCGCACATCAGCCCCCAGGCCGTGCGATGGCTATCATAGTATCGGGCTGCGCATACCAGGGCTTTGGATGGCTCATCTCGCTGATATGTACCGCCTTTGTGATCAAGAGCCTCTTAGACAACGGGCTTCCCCCACCGCATTTACGCCCAGCTTTGTTCATCCCGGTGGGCGCAGGCGCGTATACCATAGTAGCTCTGATAGGTCAGGCGAACGCGATTCCAGAGTCGTACGGGTACTTTGCCATACACCGGGAAGCGAAGAGCGTACTTCAGGCGGTTGCGCTGTTCGGGGGCATTTTCCTGTGGCTGTTCTCCTTCTGGATCTTTGCTATCGCTGTCGTAGCGAACGTGAGTGTTGTGAGAAAAATGCCGTTTGCGCTCACGTGGTGGGCTTTCATTTTTCCAAACGTAGGCTTCACTTTGTCAACAGTCGTGATTGGGCGAGAGCTGGGGAGCGAGGTGATTCTCTGGGTGGGCAGTATCATGACGGTGCTTCTGGTTGCTGTATGGTGTGCTACGTTTGTTGGCTGTGTGCGTGCCGTATGGTTGAGGCGCATTGTCTGGCCAGGAAAAGACGAGGATAAGGATCGGTAGCGTTATGGAGGGACTCAATCTTTATATACTACTGGGCTTTTAAGAGTGGATACGCTGTAGAAGGTTCGAGCTATCTTGATTGTCTGGCGTTGACATCGAAGTCTGAGAAGTAATGGGACAAGACGAGAGGAGCGTACAGCATTTCAGGGGTTGATGCTGCACCTCAAGGAATGTATCTTACAACTTCGGCTCTTGTAATCACTTCTCAGCAACTCGATTATCTACAACAGTGTTTGAGGTGTAAGTAAATCACTGCCTTTACCATCGAAGACTGCTGCATAGCTGCCTGCACAATGCCTCATACAAGACCTATTAAGCAATGACAACTGCCCTCATCAAATATAATCAACATTGGCATCCACCTCCGGGATGGTATCAGAAATATTCAATTTTTGACTCTGCAAAAGCCAGAGAACTTGGGGTTAGGAGGGAAGAATTTATTAGGTTCAGCAGGCTCCCTGCAGATATGTGTGGAACAATGGGTATTTATGGAGTGGATGTGTATCACGGGTGGTAAGCAGTTGTACGACGGATTCCTTGTTGCGGAGAGTCTGTCACATGACAATCTCCTTAGTGCTCAGACATAGAATGCAGCCAAATGATGTCTGCCGCCTGCTGTACTGGCTGGCGTCCTAGCTTGCGAGTGTTTTTTAGAAGGACATCGTTCTCGCCAAGCAGACCTGAAATGCAGAGCTTAAGGTATACAAAGCTGGACCATGAATACCTACTAGACACGCAGCACGGTACGTCATAAAGATACGGGACAGACACACATAGTGAGTAAGGTACAGGCCTTTCAATGTTCGCAGAGCAATTTACAACGGCTAAGGAGTCGCAGACCAAATCCACCGGTTAGAATGTTACGACACAACCAGTGTACCTGGAAGGGCCGAGGATAAGGCAAATGAGAATATCTACCTAGGTATAGAAGAGAACCATCGCAGTCAACCCGCAGTTGGAAAAGACGTCAACCTGTCATGCCTTGATTAGCGCTCGGGCTATCACACCTACACATATGAATCTTCAAGCCACAACACCTGCACAGACAATTCGACATAGCTGGTGCGATCTACGGTGGCCACTTAGGTATCCAGTCTATTCTAGGATATCAGCGCAACCTTCCGTACTACAGCATGCACATCCATCAGTGGCCGAAGCAAGGCATCTAAGTTCGTGCGCGAGCTTCCAGAACGATAGTTCTGGACAGAGCGTGCGAGTGGCCAATTCTCCAGAAACGTGACGAGTCTGCAAGTTATGCTAAGGCCCGAACCCACTCAGGTACTCTGCAATACATGCGTTCAGCCAAGCTCACCGTGAACGTAGGTCGGCGTCAGTCGCATGTCGTTACTAGAGAAGTAACAACAAGACTAACGACTACTGGATTGAATGGTTTGCGAAGGGGGTCGCAGAACAAAGATATCACGGCGCAGTGGTCGTCTGGAAAGCATCGATGAAATTCCGTGAGCGCAGCGTAACGACCGGTAAGGCAAAGTACAATGAACTGTCGAAGCAAATTTATTCCTGGGTATCATGCTGTCACAAATCTTGAAAACGCAATAGTACTCGCTAAGTATCAACCTCTGCCCTTGACCGACCCCTGGCAATCGCATCGCCGAGCCCCATGTCTGACGATCCCATACCCGCATTCAGGCGTCTGGAGGAGTTCAGATTGTTTTGTACACGGGCCTCTTCCTCAGCGTCCTTCTTAGCCTGCTCACGGACACGCTCAGCACGCTGCTCTTCTGTGGTCGCGGCGTCTGCCTGCATTCTCGCGAGTCGCTCTGCCTTGTCATCGTCGTTACTTCCACGATCGTCGCGGTTACTTCCACGATAAGGTGATCGTGAGCGCCGTTGGTGCTCATTCCGGTTCCTGTGGTCCTTTCGGTCATGGTGGCTGCGGTGGTGGTAATCCCGGTCTCTGGACCGAGATCGATCACGACGGCTGTGATGGTGGTGTCCGCTGCGTTCGCCATCCTGATCTTTGTGTCTGTCTTCCCGATCTTTGTGTCTGTCTTCCCGACCTCTGTGCCTGTCTTCTCGATCTCGGTGTCTGACCTCTCGGTCTCTGTGCCTGTCCCCCCGATAATCTCTATGCCTGTCATCACGGTCCCTGTGCTTCCTGTCGCGCTCCTTCTCTTTGATGCGCTTTTCCTCATACTTGGCCTGCTTCTGGGCGTCCTTCATAGCCTTCAGCTGCAACTCCATCTTCTGCTTCTGGATCATCAGGAGCGGATCCTCAAGAACTTTCTTCTGAGTATCGCGTGCTGAGTTGGCGTTTGCTCCTCCAAATACATCGATCCCGACAGCAGCGCCCTTCTGCAGATCCTTTGTATCACTCGACGTCAAAAGCTGGTCGATTCTGCGCTTGCCCAGTAGGTAGCCTTCGCGCTCTTCGGTGACACCTGTGCCGTCGCCACCAGGGCCAGCATACATCCAGTCGACGCGCCTTTGCACAGTCCTGCCGCCGGCGGATTCTTGGAGCCTCTGAAGTTCTTCAAGCGCGCGCTCTTCCTCCCGCTCTTTGCGCAGCTTTTCGATTTGCTTGCGCTCCTCTAGAGCTGACTTCTCTTCCTTCCACACCCGCTCCTGGTTCTTGCGCAAGTGGGGATGCCATGACTTCTTCAAATTAAGATCACCACCCATTTTTGCGGCGTTGGTTGGTTATCCGTTGAGAGGGGTGATGATTGCCTCGATGTTTAGAGTAGTAGCGCGATGGAGTTGAACGGGATGGGATGAGAGTGTACCGTAGGAGCGTGTCGTGAAACGTGTACGAAAACGGGAAATGGGAGTGGTATGTAGAAGCGGTGTCGAGGCAGAGATGTGATTGAGACTGAGAGGATGGGAGCGCCACTTAATAATGATCACTTGGCGCGCTAAAAGAGCCCCGCTAAAATTTATAGCCAACCCGACTTCGAATCAATATTGTGGTCTTCACAACCTTGGAAACAATTACGACAACACATACCGCTGACGATACAAACAATATTCTCAAAGGACGTCTTTCCAGTTCCGTGGTTCTCAGGAACAGAAATTGCTCGCCATGTCTTCACGTAAACGCAATGAATGGCTCGATGCCGAAGAAAGCGACGACGATGAGCGCAGCTACGAGTCTGAAGAGGAAAGCCGAGCACACACTCTACCTTCTGCCAAACGCCAAAAAACCGCACAATCCTCCGAAGATGAAGCCTCAGACGCCGAGTATAACTCAGACGACGATGCAGAAGTAGACGACGACAACGACGACCCCATTTTTAGCAAAAACGCCGAACTTGCTCGTCTCGAGGAGATTGCCGCTGGCCTTCCCCAAGATCTGAGGCTCCAGGCAGACAAACTGAGTGGGAAACCAATCGAATTGAAGGCGCCTACGAAGGACAAATCTGGTGTAATCTACATCTCCCGCGTCCCACCGTTTATGAAGCCGACCGTCATGCGCTCCCTCCTCATTCCGTATGGCCCTGTCGGTCGCATATTTCTCACCCCAGAAGACACAACATCGCGGCAACAGCGCCTGCGTGGTGGCGGCACACGGCGCAAACTGTACCTGGACGGCTGGGTCGAGTTCACGCACAAGCGTGACGCTAAATTCGTTGCGGAAAACCTGAACGCGCAAACTATGGGCGGCAAGAAGAGGGGACGGTGGCACGACGAAGTCTGGAACATCAAGTATTTGACAGGTGTTAAGTGGGCGCATCTCGTGGAACAGATCCAGAACGAAAATGCGGAGCGCGCGGCGCGGTTGCGCTTTGAGATCACACAGAGCAAGAAGGAGAACAAGAGGTTTTTGGATAACGTGGAGAGAGGAAAGATGGAGAGCGGCATCAAGGCGACGAGAGAAAGGAGGGGCGAGGGCACGGACGATGCGCTGCAAGAATCGAACACGGCAACAGAAAGCAAGCCAAAGAAGAAGCGGAGGCTAGAGTTCAAGCAGCACGCGGCGACCAGTAAGGCTGACAAGAAGCCGGCGCCGGGGCAGGATGTGAATAGGGTGCTTAGTAAAATCTTTTGAGCGAGTGCGTAAAGAACGATATCAACATACATGAAATTGTTCTATCGTAACTCTTTGGTTTCCTTATCCCGGTAACGCCATATCCAATCATGTAATGCCTGGGTATCTCCATCTTCTCGAATAATAGTTGCCCATCTCTCACAGTACCCTATATGGCTGTCCCTCTCTCGAAATTCTCTCTGATTTCGGTAGTATACCTGTTGTAGAATCGCCCCAGCTTGTCGTTGAACTGCTTGTTCTTCTGGTTGATGTACGTAACATCGCCCTGGTCCTGCTCATCCCTTATGCCTCTCTTCCTGCGAGCCTCAAGGCGTGCCTTCTCGCTCTTCTCAATGTCCCCAACAAGTCTATCGATTGCTTCTTTACTGGGCTTGTGATCGTGACTGTACTCTTCTTCGACAGCTGTGTTGATCCTTCCATTTGGGTCCACCGTGTAGATTTCGCCCGAATCCGTCTCTACGAGCTGCAGCAGCCCCGCCTGCACCTGGCGCTGTAGTTTTGTGGCCTTCTCCTCTGCGTACGCTGCGAGATCAACCTTGGACATTTGTCCAATCTGGCGCTTGTACACTTTATTCGCCTCGCCTCGGTAGTCGGCGAAAGCGTTGTTGTCGCGCGCCCTCGACTTTTTGGCCAGCCGCCTGTCCCAGCTCTCGCTCTCGTCGACTGTGTAATCCCAATTCCGCTTTCGCTCGAAGTCCGGGTCATCGGTTTTCAGTAGCTTGTAGGAAGCTTTGGTGTGTGCATCTGCGAGCTTAGAGAGTTTCGCCAGCCTTTCTGATCGGTCTTCGGCGTCGCGAACTTCGCGCTCTGTTGCTTTGCGGCCGCTTTCTTTTTGCGCCTTCAACGATTTGAAGCGTGCCATGCGCGCCGCGAGGGCGGCTTTGGTGTCGGTTGGAGCATCAGTAGATGCGACCTCTGTGATCATGGATTTCGCTTCTGAAGGCACATCCTCGGGTGATATCTCTGTTTTAGCCATAGTGGTCGGTGTGAGTTCTGATTCTGCTGTATCGGCCATGTTTGGTTGTGGTGTGTAAAGCTAACGCTCGCAGATCGTGAAGGTGAATTGACGAGTGCCAAGACAGTAGTGCCGCTTGTGCCTTCCATGCACAGGGTCCCACGTTCCACTTAATGATTTTAATGCACCAAAGTCTCTGAGCACTTGTTTACTCTCGCAAAGTGCTACTGACGCAGTGACAGTGAAAGTGAACCGGAGGCTAATGTAACCAATATCAAGGTCACGATATGACTGCGCGACAGCAACCACCTTAGGTAAATAAGCTCAACCTTACTTAAGCATCCAGTGTCCTCGGATTGGATACATCCTTCCAAGCATGTGCCGATGAAGACTGAACGGCCCACCAGATAGATTTATGACATTGTTCATATTGACCTCACAACTTCGTTACTACCCCACCATACCCGCACCTCTCCACTTCTTCTGTGTTCACAAATGGTGGCGTCGTCTTTCGTAAAGCTAAATGTCTCTCCTGTTTCTTGCGACCAAAATTGCGAAGTACGAAGCTGATGTTAATGATAACACCATCAGCATGATGGCGACTGCTTCCGCCGAGACACACGTGCTCGTAGCTCTAACAGCTATGAAATCATCGTTCGACGAATCGATACCGAATACTTAGTATTGCCAATTCTGGCCGTTAGTAGTACTGTGTATCTGGATCGCGTACACTCCATTAGTCTTTCCTATGTAAATACGCTACCTAGGTATGTCTGACTTGCTGGTCTACTGTATGGACGTAGGTTGGAGCCTACCGTCCAATCTTCTATCCTCTTCGAAACCACCTACACTGCCAAAAAGCTTTTTGGGACCAGATGCCACTGGTACCGCGTGCAGCAGAAGCCACAGAGACATTATGGAGACAACGTGTGAAATGGTCTTCGAGAGCTATACACTTTTGAATTAGAAGCGGTGCAGGCCCTTTTGGGTGCCCAATCAGAGATAAGCAAAGGACTGCTCTACGGTAGCATAGAAACGTCACCGTACCTCAATCGCAACAAACTTTAGCATCAACGACAAAGAAGAATCCAGGACAACGTAATGGAGACTACTCTCTCCAATCTCGCTCCAAAATTTGAGAAGACATGTGATCAACTTCTTAATCGAACAAGACAGGCTGATGGGACGCTACTGTACCTTCTCGAGAACATGCCATACTTCGATTACGACGTTACATCTGCGCTTGCCATCGGGAAAGCAATTGAATACATCCCTGGTGGGCCAGAGGAGGTCACATATATCAATGTGAGAATATTCACCCCGAGCTTCGCCATGGGTACCATGCACCACATGCCATGGCTGATGAAGGCTCTTTGCGCCGTGTAGGCAAAGCATTGGCGCACTTGGAGCTTGGACGAGTGGTTCGAAGTTATGTGAATGAGTCGGATATCATCCTACCAGAAGATTATATGGCGGGGAATTAGATCAGAGAACATTTCTCCACAGTTCCCCACAGGGCCGCCCAGACAAGAAGTGAGTTTCGTGAGAACAGTGGGTGGACGAGCACGCGGCCCTGTTGTTGTCAGCAAGTGCGTTCGCGGGTGGTAGCGGACCGAATGCCATGTTTTACGCTCGATGAAACTGCCCTATCTGGCATTTTTCCAATGTCATCGATTACGGCGGGAAAGGCTACCTTGGCGGCGAAGCCACAACGTCGGTGTTCGACCTACCGAATCTGGAAAGTCTGAAGTTGCCATTGATCGCAGCGAGTGGAAGCCGTCGTCTCCTTCTGCACAGCCTCGGAAACCGCCGGTGGTATTAGCCCTTCGCTAAGCGCGAAGTCTCCACGTCATAGCGAGCTAGACATTCCGATGGCGGACGCCAAGCCGTACCCTGTCGGAACCGCGCTTCTCGTTGTCTTCCGTCCGATAATCTCATCCGCATTCTGTTACGTGACACAATACGAAGGTACGATTGATCTCTGCGCTGAGCATCACATCTGCTCGGTGTGAATTGACGTGATATTTAGCAGCGTCTGAAACATATGCAGCTGCGAACAGAGAGTAACCCTGACCTAGGTCCATTTGATCGTTGATATTCCCTCGGGTCAGGTAACAGCATACGACGTCGTACGCGGAATGGCATCGACCACGCACGTGTCGACTGATCGACCAGAGCCCCAAGAAAAGCGCCGCCGGATAGATCGAGTTACAGCAGCGTGTGATCTTTGTAAAAAGCGAAAAGTGAAGTGCGACGGTGAACAGCCATGCGCATATTGCCAACGTAAGGGTCGTGCAGATACGTGCACCTTTACAGCCCCAAAGGTCCGCGGTTTACGGTCTGCTGGACATACTCCAAACAGTTCAACCCCTTCGCACGTGTAAGTATCCAAGAGTCCAGGCCAGAGGCAGCAGCCTTGCCAGAGCGCAACAGTCTTTTAGAGATGTCGAAGCTGACCTACTGAAGTATTGAACAAGCAAATCAACAATTAACGCCCCACCGGCACATACATGATGGCGTAATCACTATTGGAACATCACTATCGCCCACGATCAGCAGAGAAGAACACCCCGAGGACACAGTGGTACCGCTGGAAGGCCGCATTTTGCGTGATGCGCAGGGCAAGGTTATTTTCGTTGGTGATTGCGCACCACTGTCGTTCTTGCAGACTGTCAGGCATTTGATTGCGTCTGCTGTCGATACAGACGCGGTGCCCGCGCAATCTTCTCGGGATTCAATAATTGAAGTTGCTCGACCAGGATCAGCTGACCAGCAACATCCTTTATCAGTATCGTTACACGAAGTCGGGCCCCTTGTTCAGCAATACACTGTAGCAGTCAGTGGCTTAGTTGATTTGTTTGAACATGATGAGCTAATGGGTGAGATACGTTCTTGGGCTACAGGTGCAATTGCGCGTCCCCACGAGTCTGCAGCTGCTGTGTTTTACCTTGTGCTTGCAATTGGCGCGCAAGAAAGCCATGAGATCAAGGCAGAAGCCTGGTTCGTATATGCCAGAGATATACTGCTAAAGAATCTCGTCAATAGCATGAACGTTTCAACAGTCCAAGGCTTTGCTCTCGTTACTATCTACATGCTCCGAGCTTTCCAGCCTAATGGTGCCTACCTTTACTTTTGTACGTTCTCAGATAAGGGCATGATGGTGCGTAGAACTTGCTGACACGACAAAGCCTTATCTGCTCGCACAGCTTATGCTATAGGCCTGCATCGAACAGAAGTGAACGCATCCTTTGGAGGTTCAATCAAGGTCGTCAGGGACCGTATATGGAAAAGCCTTCGTGTTGTCGATCAGCTCATCAGTAATCTGCTGGGTCGGCCCCCGTCAACTTCAGACGTGGACTGTACCGTCAAATACAGTGTTGCAGAAGTCGATGAAGATCTCAACACACGTATACTTGATGCAAGTGTACAGATATTCATGATCATCGAGCGAGTCGTGGTCGAAGTCTACTCTCGCAAACGGATTTCTCTTCGCATCGCAAATTATGTTTCTCGCCAACTGAAGACTTGGGCAACGAGCTGGCTTGAACCCTTACACGAGGCTACCAATCAAGTAGAACCGGGCAGCCAATCGCCACAGGCAGCCATCGGGGCGTGCTCTACACTGTGCACGTACTACTACGGTATAATGCTACTCACAAGACCATTCTTGATCTACGAGCTGTACGAGCACATGGGCGCTTCTCTTAAAGGTGGAGGTACACAAGTGGAACATGAGGAGAAGCGAAAGTATGCCGACGCCGCACTTGACGCCGCATCGTCTTTTGTGGACACTTTACAGAATGTCATACAAACTGGGAAATTGCCTCGCAGGATGCCGCTTATAGTGTAAGATGCTTCGTTCAATCTTCATGTAACATGTCAGCGACTGACTGAAACAGATCTTGGCTCTTCACCACTTCACTTGTGTTAGCAGTCGGCATACTTGGCCACTCAGGATTGACTTTTAAGGACGACTGCCAAGCTTCGATTCGATGCCTCGACTACTTCGGCAAAGTCGATCCACATGCAAGGCAGTACTCTCTCACTGTGCAATCTCTTCTGAAGACGACGACAACACATGTCAGACAACGAGAAAAACACTTGCGATCGCAGCAAAAGCAAGCCTCATCGCAGCTTTTTGGATTACTTCCCCCAACTAATACAACGCTAAGACAAGACGTCCATCGACGTTGCCCAACTACTGTGCAGTCGTTCACTTCGTCAGTACCAGAAGTGGACAGTGTCAATTCTGTCGCATCCTCTGACTGGACTATATACGATGCAGACTTTTTCTCAATGCCATGGATGAATGAGAATGATCAGGGCTTACAGGGCTTCCTGCAGCCCGGGACACACACTTTCGATGGTGCGTCCATCGCAGATATACCACTCTTCCCCATGTACGACCAGCAAAGTGGCGGAAGCTTCCTCTGAGCACGGAAAACTCAAACACCATTCGCCATGCAGCGCTCATAATGCCAAATGCAAGAAAATCAAAATGGAGTTTGCTGCGTTCAGCTTTCATGCGGGGAGATCGTTCCAAACCACATGCAGGCTGTTTGGCCACAACGAACGACTCTGTGTCACGCTTGGCGTTATCTCATGAAACAGTGGCTTCGTTGGTTTCGTCCCGAGATGTACGGAGGAAAGGAATGAGCTTAGTGCCGCCCGTGCCGACCAGTTCCTGTGTCTGTGGCTTTTCTGATGCCATTTTGGTGCTCATGGATGCAATGTCCTTGCGGTCCGTGAAATGGGCTGGTCTTCCCTGGCGTGCAGGGATGATGATATATCTGGTGACAAGAGCGATGTGGATGTCTCTGAATCGACTCAATGCAGCCACGGCCTCATTGTAGGCATTCAGGAGTTCAGCGTTGTTTTGGTGCGTGTCGACGTAGGCCCGAATGTTGGCGATGGACTCAATATCATCCAGGAACCTTTTGTGTGGCCCGGGCATGTAATCGCGCATCTCGGCGTGGAAATTGCCGCAACGAGAGTGGTTGACAGAGAGTGCGGCATCGAAAAATTGCAAAAGCGAGCTTTGACCGTTGCTGCCACCGCGGTACTTCCTCCACTCTCCTTTGCTGTCGCCTTCGTCATAGAAGACGCCATTTGGTAACCCGGCAGCCTCCATGTTCATGCTCCCTGCCAACAGCGGCCGAATGGTGTAGTAGAACTTCTGTGGGTTGCAGCGCTCGTCCATGCGCTCTAATAGTCTGCCGATATCCTTCATGCTTTCTGTAAAGTATTTCAATCCCGATACGATCGCAGCTACATCGTCATGCTCAACGGCTTCCATAGCTGCTAGCATAATGTGCAATAGAGGCCCTGCTCTAGCCTCCATGGCATTCGAGATGATGAGAAACCATGACTCGTCATCGGATCCTGTGGCAGTATGCAGCGCGACCAAGTTATCCGGTTGTGTAATATTGGCTCCTTTCTCGAGCGATCTCCAGTTCCACAGGTTCAGTGCTGCATATGTTGCGACAGGATGTACCTCGAGGTGCTCAGCTGCCTTCAGGAAGGGGACAGAGACAGCAGGGGGGAGGCGCTAGGACTATTGTTAGCAGAGAGCATCACTGCAGATTAATGTTCAAATCGCACCTCTGAAGGCTCTGGTCCTTGCCAGATATAGCCTTGGGCAAGTACTGCTAGCATAGAGTATGCCCTTTGCCACTCTGCTTCCGTCTTAAGATCCTTTGTGTCGAGAACAGAGAGTTCGTCAACTCGCAGACGGAGCTGTTGCGTCTCGATAAGGGTGGGCAACACTTCGATAATGGACTCCCATGGCTGATAATAATCGCTCGGTAGGCGCGTCAGAGGTGCATTTGCAGGCAGGAATCCCATCTTTGATATGCCATAAGATGGGAGGGCGGCCGCAGAGGGGAGGACTTCGACTTTGTGAGGGCTCATGGTGGTAAGTTTGTGTAATGGTGAATTCGAGGACAGCGTCTTCGAGGATACATTGCTACTTAACGTCCCTGACACCGCTTTTACGAAAAGAAAACAGGGTCCACTTTATTCTTACAATCCATGAATCTCATGATCGCGGCACGGTGAAAGCTTGACGGCGGTACCTTGGTCAAGCGTCGGAACGGAGGCTTGACGGATCCCTGTCCGACCACCTCCGAAAACGGAAGGTGCGTCAGTCTTCATCCGTAGTGGCGTTGGACTGTCGGATGCAGTCCACGGAAGCAACTCCACGATTTTTGCAGGACGTAATGTATATATATCAGCAACGTGTCACTCCACCATCTGTTCATTCGTGTCCCAAGATTCTCCGGCATTGCGCAATTCAAACCGCCTCCAAGTGTTGAACACAATGAACGCAACCTCAGCTATCAACCAGCTCCGACAGGGCCAGAAGCCAGAATGGCCGATCAACGCTAACTCGCACGAGTTCGCACAGTCTCTGGACAGCAGCAATGAAATTCTCAGAACCTTCAGAGATGAGTTCGTTGTTCCCACAAAAGCTCAGCTTGCACGGAAGCAGCTGAAGGACGACGCAAAGACCGCAGCAACAGCCAAGAGCGTGGATGACGAGGGCATTTATTTTTGCGGTAACTCGCTCGGCCTTCAACCCAAGGCTGTCGGCGAGCACCTGAATGCCTATTTGAAGACTTGGGGATCAATCGCTGTTGGCGGCCACTTCACAAACTTTGAGGACTCACCATTACCCGCATATCAGGACCTTGCCGCACAATGCTCGCAGCAAATGGCCGACATCGTCGGCGCAGCTCCCTCAGAGATTGTTGCCATGAACACGCTGACCATCAACCTCCACCTAATGATGGCTGCATTCTACAAGCCCACAGAGAAGAAACACAAGATCATGTGCGAGTGGCGACCTTTCCCCAGTGACTGGTACGCCATCGAATCGCAGATTGAATGGCACGGCCTTGACCCGAAGAAATCGATGCTGACCGTCGAGCCGGACGAAGGCTACTTGATGACAACAGAGCACATCTGCAAATTGATCACCGACAACGCTGATGAGATCGCCTTGGTCCTTCTCCCTGGTATCCAGTACTACTCAGGCCAGCTTCTTGACATTCCCACCATCACTGCTCACGCTCACAAATATGGACTCACCATCGGCTGGGATCTTGCCCACGCCGCCGGAAACGTGGAACTTAAGCTGCATGAGTGGGACGTTGACTTCGCTTGCTGGTGCACTTATAAGTATATGAACTCTGGAGCCGGCGCAGTCGCAGGGGCTTTCGTACATGAGAAGCACGGCAACAACGAGCACAACGTTGGTCTCAAGGGATGGTATGGCCACGACAAGTCATCTCGCTTCCTAATGGACAACAACTTCAAGCCCACACCTGGCGCACAGGGTTTCCAATGCTCAAACCCCTCTATCGTGGATTTGACATGCTTGTCTGGCAGCTTGAGCGTGTTCAACAAGACCACGATGGCCGATCTACGATCAAAGTCCCTTCTGCTCACAGCGTACGCGGAACATCTCCTCTCCGCCATCGCAACACGTAATATCAAAGACGGCGAATTTCCCTTCAAGATCATCTCGCCCTCGGACCCGCTTTTCCGTGGCGCTCAGCTTAGCGTCCTGCTGCAGGAGGATTTGATGGAGGATGTGGCAGCGGCACTCGAGAAGAACAGCGTCATCTGCGACAAGAGAAAGCCTGGCATCATCCGCGTGGCGCCTGCACCGCTGTACAACACATTTGCAGACGTGCAGAAGTTCATGGAGATCTTCGAGAGTGCGCTACAACCGAAGACAGAGCAGAGTGAAGGAAAAGAGGGGAGTATCAACGCAAACATTGAGGCACGGCTATGACGAAAGAAATGAATCAACCATAGTTTAGCGTTTAGTAATGCATTTGATACCATCCATCTCACTCCCTTATTCACAGGTGTTCGTCTAATCATCCGCCTGGCTCGCAGGGATACAGGGCACACCAATGTCGCCCTTGATATTCTCACACACAATCTGCGGTGGAGAACCGGCAGGACTGGTGATATTGATGTTTTCAAGGTGAATACCATTGCACGTCGCGCCCGGGCTGCACGTCAAATCCGCAACAACCTTGCCGTTCTTCCCACTAGAGCTACCCGAGATATTGATGAAGTTGACATTCGTAATGTTGACGTTACTCGGGTACTTGGCGCACGTCGTGTCGTTGACGTTGAAGTAGCATTGATCCAGCACAACGGGCGCATCCGTGTTCTCGATGATGATGTCCTTGTATGTTACGTTATCGATGTATCCGTAACCCACATTTGGCCCCGCCCAGGCCTTGAGGCGGGCGCCGTTCTGACCATTTAGGAGTGTCACATTCTCAATCCAAGCGTTGCTGATGAAGTCTTTCACGCCTGGATATTGTCCTATGCTGCCCATCGATACGCCGTGCGTACCGTTGCACCAAAGGTTCTTGACGAAGATGTTGGTGGTGTTGGGCTTGGGCGAGAAGCAGTCGTCGCCTACGTTGACTCGCGTGTTGGTGACGGTCAGACCATCAACATTGAGTGAATCGAAGCCATCAGTGTTCTTGGGTAGTGAGGATGTGTTAGTCGACACGGCATCGATGTAGATATTATCGAAGATAACATTCTTGGTGCGCACGAGGAAGGTCGTCCAGCATGGGGAGTCCTTGAGATGCAGGCCGGAGATCTCTACGTTGGTCGCGTTGTCGGTCAGGAAAAGGATTGGACGATAAAATTTGTTTGTTGGATCCAAAATCTCGGCACCTGAGAAGCCGTCCCACCATGCCTGGCCGTTGCCATTGATTACACCCGCACCTGAGTCGGAGTAGATCTTGATGTCTCTGGTTTGTATTAGTCTGTGCGGAGGCTGGAAGCATTGGAAGACTCACTTTCCGCCCCATACAGTGAAGGTGATGCTCTTCTGGAATGGGTAGTAGAAGTTGTTGGCCTGCCAATATTTGATGTCGTTGGTGTACTTGAGCTCGCCATCGATGTTGACGTAAACATCCTTTAGGAAGCTCAAATCAAGCTTCTTACCAATGACGTACTTGTGATTCTTTTTCAAGTGCACAAGACCGCCATTGTTTGCCTTCTTGAGAGCCCACAAAAAGTCGTCGCTGATGTCATCTGTGTCATTCTTGGAAGCTCGGATGGTAATCTTCTTGCGATCGTGTGCAACGGCGTTGCCCCAGTTGTCCTTTGCTCTAGGCTTCCTAGGCAAAATTGAGTCCAAGTGAGGGGTCTGAACTGAGGCTCCAGATGGGACGTAGTCATTGTCAAGAGCAGATGCAACTACCGAAGACAAAGATACCGCGAAAGCGAGAACGATTGAGAAGGACCTCATGGCGATGCACTGTACCAAGGTAGTTGCCTGCTTTAACCCAAACAACTCGACAGACCATTTTATAATCGAATCCTGTCCTCAATCATCAGTCCTCTGTCCCTTGGCTATTCTTGGCTCTGTGAGAAAGTTGTCTTAATTCTTCCGCTGCCAGCTTGATACTACTTCGCCAGCCGCTGTTCATTTCCGCAATGCGTCGATTATGCGGGGTCCCCGCGCGCTAACCCCAAGCATTTCAAGCAAACTTGGACGAAGCTTGGGGCAGCTTAAGGTGGCTTGGTGGACGGGATGCTCACTGCCAGATTGTGCTTTTTGGCGTTCATGCAGGGCGTCGCGGTTCGTGGGCACACGCACGGCTAATTTCCCACGAATGGTTTTCTATTTCCTAACGACCTCACGGGATAGTAAACCAGGTGTGGTGTCCTTGGTGAACTTGGCATGCGTTCAGAAAGGCCAGACTGGCTGGAGAAGCGGACCGTTGGAGTTTTGGGACGGCCCCTAGGTGACCTTGGAAGCTTGAAAGCAAGTGTCGAGATTCATCTTGAACGTGTCGCAATCTACCATCGTCGCTGGCCAACACTTCATTGCCCCTTCTTTTTTTCACTTCTATTACAAGACGATTTTGCTATGTAACTCACGCAGCTGACAAAAAAGAAGCGACACCCAAACGTTAACTTTGTTTGCAGCTTTGTAACAAGGTAAATACAATAGAAATATAGCACCTAAATTCTAGAGCAATTAAAACACCCTTTTCTCTATAAAACATCCTCTTTAGATTTTAATTTAAGTATTATTGTAAAGAAAAGGTGCTATAAAGAGGCGGTGTTTGTTTGCGGTCCTGTGATTTTGGTGGACTAGTGTTGCCTCTTTTTTGTCAGCCGCGTAGTACTGTACCAGCGGGTCAGTATAGAATTCGCTGATGTCTCGCGGTATCACTGATCGGAATTTTTTGATGCAGTTAGCGAGATTTCAAGCTGTCCATGCAGTAGGTATCTGGAGAAGCAGCAGAGTGGCCGTCGCGTCGGGGAGAAAAGTGGGGAACATGATGGCCGACAAATTTTTCTTTCACAGCACATCCACACCTCACCTGCGGGACCATGACATGCCTACACCACGATTATATTGACAGCCCGACTCCTAAGTCATCACCTGTCTTCGTTGGCCGGGAAATCACACTCCCCAAAACTGCGAACGGCGACATGACTATCTTGCCATCTTGTCACAATATACAACATCAAAACAGATGATTTCCACACGACAAGTACAAAAGCTGAGTGGCGCAGCGGAAGCGCGCCGGGCTCATAACCCGGAGGACACTGGATCGAAACCAGTCTCAGCTATTACTTTCTCTTCTTTTTGCTCTGTTGATATCTGATCGTCAGGGTGTTGTGCCAGTCATACTCTATAGATTTTATTGCATACTAATCGTCAAACACGCGAGATCCATGCTTTCGATTTACGCGCTGCTTCACGCGAGGAGCACAATGTCTACGACCGCGGTGCCCGGCCATTGTAGTTCACCCCAGGGCTCGCTGTGTAGTTGGCCAGGCAATCGTAGTCGAAGTCAATTTCAGTGCTTCGCTTCTGCAGCACGTTGACTACATTGTCAAATGCGCAGAGACCATCTTTGTCGGTCGGGCAGCCGGGGTGCGAGCCGTTGATCGGGATGACGGCGTCATTGCTATGAATATCGTCAGCCGGGCACACAGCGACAATGAGAAATATGCAAAATGATGATGGGCCGAAAAAGGCACATGAGAGAATACAGCAAACGTACACAATGAACCTGATCTGCCTGCTCGGACTCCTAGCCTTGCACTCCAATACCTGGGTAGTGAAATGCGTCGCAAATGGAACAAGTCTGCTCGCTACAAACGAATTGGCATATTGATTGCCGCTCGGACTCAACGCCGGGCCATCGAATAGCGCCGTAAGGTTGAAAGCGGTGAGCGTGTCGAGAACGACAACTTCGTGCGTTGCGTCGGCGTATATTGACTGTTGCAGTGGGAAGTAGGTCGTTGTATTGTCGAACGTTTCATTTAATGCCGAGTTGGCAGGCGGGTATGTGCCTGTCAAACGTGCAAGGTATTCGTCCAGGTATCCCTTTCCTTGTGCAGCAGCGACAGGTGAGCCAGGGCCGTTGTTATAGTAGAACGAGAGATCGTAGTAGTACTCGTAGTTGAGGAAGTCTGCCTAGATGAGTGTTAGCAGTTGAATCGCGGATGGAGGCAGGAGTGGTACTTCGCTGAACAGGTCGCAAAAAGCAGAGTAGCCGAGAGCATGAGTTTCGTATGAGCAGAGTTGTAACATAGCAATGGCGTCGGTTGCGGTAAATCTGATACCCTCAGCCTGCGATTGAAGGCGGGCTATAGTGGCGTTGACTGCCATGGAAGGTTAGAAGTTGATTCAAAGACTAGCTGAACGTGAGTTACCTACAAGCATTGACGGCGAACTTCGCGGCAATTGTGCTTCCAATGCTCCCCTTGCTGGCTATGTTCGAGTTCAAACAGACCTCGTAGGGTGCGCCCGAGTTGTTTACACCAGGGGTCTCGACTAAGATCTCAATGTTGACTTCGCTCATGTACTCAGGTACTGCTAAAGTCAGCTCCAAACCCACCCCACACACTGTGTCACATACCACCGAAGAAACCGGCAGCAAAATTCTCAGCTGTCTTAACCATACGGTCTTGAGACTGTGTTCGAAAAACAGGTAGCTTGCCTGCAGCAGTAAAGTTATTGAGTAAATGTCCGTACATCTGTCTAGATTGTACACCAAGCATAAAGTTTTGACTGCGTCCAAACGGTGTGAGAAGCTCGGCACCAAGCTTGTAGGTCCAGTCACTCAGGAAGGACAGCTCACCAGTGAAGGCAAGATCACCGGTCTTTGTCGCGTTAGCTACCTTCTGAGCAAATGTCCCTGGTGCAGCGCCGCTCGTAGGGTAGCGAGCTCCGTGCCTATACAGCAGCAAGACCTGGGTGATATTGCATCCCTCTGGTACAATAGGATTGGCGTCAGGCAGACCGTAATCTTCAGAGCGGAGGGAGTACCATGGAGATAAATTGCCCCAGTACCTCGAAATATCGAACTTAGAGTGGCCATCATTGCCATGAGGCTGCGGAGCAATGAGCGGGAAAGAGTTGGAACTCTTGTCGTTGTACGGATACGAGGGTGCTGTCTGAATAGCATTTGGCTCAGCACCAGTAGGCGTTGGTCCAGGGAAGCCAACAACAGACTCCGGTGGGAAAAGGGAGGAGTTGACCACAGCTGGTTGCACGAGTCAGTCGCATTCCGTTTATGTGCTTGAACGGAACGTACTGCCAGACGGAGGGTAGACATCAGAAGCAGGTGAGCCGGCATTCGATGACGCCTTGACTGTTGTAGGGGCTGTATTAACCGACGTAGCAAATATGAGGGCGGCAGCTGCGTGTGCAGCAAACGGGATATGCATAGTTCGCGAGAGCCAAGCTTCGTTAAGCTTTCGCCCAGCTCCGGGTGCAGCTTTGCAATTTATATGCATTTGCAGCCTGCGCTAATACCGCTGATCTTATCACAGTGCACGAAGGCTTTTCTGAACTTTGACAGGCTTGTCCTTAACATGCATGTCCACGTAGTAGTGCTCGACTCAACTCAGGCGCATCGGCCAATCGAATGTCAATGTCTCCGCACGTTGCCGCTAACGCCAAGTGGACAGACGCTCGGAGATCGAACTCCGGTAATTCCGCATGTGACGCCGTGGCCTCTGACCGAAATCGTATATCAACACATAAGCCTCCGTGTTATGCAGTGATGTGACCATTCGACTACATAGGTCAACACGCGGTGCGCAATGCTCGACAGAGATCTAATTTTCGATGCCCGAACTTTTGCTGGTGCACCGCATTATCATAATCATTCCCTTTCAATAGCTCTCTCACGCAACACCAACCTTATTCAGGCCCTTCAGCGACCCCAAGCTTAATGCTAACCCCTGCGAGCGACTACGAATACGGACAAATCCAGTGATCGGCCCATTGTCGCCCTCCTTCTCTATGCTCAAGTTGGCTAGAGCGTCTTCGCCTGTATGGAGTTAGCACGTGAAATTAGAACATGATCGAAGGATGGTACTGACCGAATACGCTCCTGGCGTATAGATTGGCTGACAAGAACTGGCAATCGCCCTTCATTGATGCTTCTGGTGTCAGGCAGCTCATGTTGGTGCAAGCCATCAGCTGCTCCAGGAAGTCGCGCAACGACTTAGCCTTGGAGTTGATGTTGACCTTGTTCTCCCACTCGAATTCGGTCCACATCGTCCGGAATTGTGTCTCTGTGCACTGTGCAGGCTTGATGTAGTCCATGATGTCAACATGCACGTCGTTCAAGATGACCACGTTGGAGTCGACACCCTTCTCACCCTCGTATAGCACGTTACCAAAGATGACGCCTGTGTCGGTCGAAGACACTTTGATGGTGGATTGCAAGTTAATGAAATCGTGAGGGCCAACGTTCTGCGTTGCCGGTCGCTCGACAACCTTGAGATCACCAAGAGTTGCGAACTCCACTGTGAGATTTTGCAGTGTTTCGGTTGTCTGATTGACAAGGAGGACATCAAGTACAATATCGAATTGGTGGACCTGTTTTCGTCAGTATATGCAAGTCAATCTACCACAATCAAACATACTTTGACGTAAGCTTCGGCGTAGACAGGATCGGAGAAACCTGTGAGTTGAACCACACGGCTGAGTTTCGATGAAAGATCCTCGGTCGCAGTGTCGCCACCTGTTGCCCTCTCTAGATCTTGCTCGATCTCGTCACTCCCGTCAGCATCCTTCTTCTTGAGCTGACGGATGCTGAACGAGTCATCGACATTGACGGCAGATTTCATTTTCTCCGAGGCTTCCTTAGCGGCACGCTTCTTCTCCTCTGTCTGTACCATGGTTGCGAAAGACTTTCGTGTATCTTCCAAGAAGACAGTCTCGAGCGCTTTCTTTTGCGAGAACTCTGATAACGATCGCACACAAGACATGACACGATCGACAGAGTCTTCGTCAATAAGAGTCTTCACGAATTGTGACTGCCCAACGCGAATGATCGAAATCATGATAAGCATAGCTTCCGCACGCAGAGCGTTCGTCCGTGCGACGTTTTGCGAGAGATCTGAGTAGCGCATAACAAGCTTGGTGAGTGTGCTCGAAAGAACGGTAGCAAGGTAGTAGTCTCCATCAAGTACGAGCTGTCGTAGAGGAGGTTTCTGTGAGTTCTTCACAGCATCAAGCTTCGCCTTGGCGGCGGCCGAAGATGTGAGTGCACTTTCAGTGGCGTACGTGCCGTCAGCCAGGACCTTGCGTGAGCCTGTCGGAGCCGCGGCCTTCGTGTGCCCGTTGACCTGGTCATCAGTCTCCTTGCCCTCTGACGCATCATCCAGAAGTCTCTGTTCGGAGGCAAGAATGGGAATCTCGCCCAGAGAGGAACGGATACCCTTCCAGGCATCCTGAATGTCCTTGATCTCGAGCGCATACTCACCGATAATCCAGAGAACACCTCGGTAAACCTTTCCAGCGCGGACCTCCCCTAGAGTTGAGACGAGACGCTCAATGATGGATGGGCGGAGATCTGGGAAGCGTTCGACGACTTCCTTGACGAAAGAGATGACATCCACAGCCGACGCGTTGCTGCTAACGTCGGAAATGAAGTCCATGAGCGAACCAACGACACTTGCGGCAACCTCGGGGAACTTAATAGCAGCCTGGTGAATAGCTGAGATGAGGATAGACCTGTACTCGGAGTTCTTATCATACTGTTCGTCAACAGTCTTCATCAGCTCCTTCTTCAAAAGCAGGACAACCTCTTCGACGTTTCTGCTGGAGATCATCTCCATAGCGATATGCAAAGCCTTCTTGCGCACATCGAGATCGGTACTCGACAGGACACGCAGAATCTCCATAGTCAGGTCGTCGAGAACACCCTCATTCTTGTCCCTCAGCTGGTTCACCCTCTCCAGAACGATGAGCTTGACATTGTTATCAGGTTCCTTCACAGCCAACTCCACAAATTTCCCTGCAGCGGCCTTGACAGCAACTGGGTTACTTGTGAGGGTTGTCAGGGCGTGTGCGGCCTCATAAATGACGGTCGAGACTTGGGACTCAAGGAGATCGAAGATCAGGCGCAGGTATTTGGCTTTGTTACCTGGATTGAGGGCGGCGTCACGGCGAATGAACTCGAGTTCTGCAAGGAGCAAAAGCTCTTCGTGGTTCGGAATTGCATCGAAGACTGTGCTCAGATATTCGAGCGCCTTCTCGTGGCTGATCGATGTGAGCGCGGCGAAAGCATTGCGCTTACAGGTGGGGTCGTTTTCGTCGTCAAGGAACGTGGTGAGCAGATCTGGCGCATCGGGCATAAGTTCGGGGAGGTGAGTGAAGATGGACGCGATAGCGAAAGTAGCGTTCTTGCGGACGTATGCGTGGCGGTGTGTCAGACACTGGCGGACAGGCTCTGAAGGTGTTTTAGCAAGGTTGAAGCGAAAAGTCAGGAGGATGCATACGTAGCAGCGGCTCTACAAGCTCTGCATCTCGTAGCTTTGTGCTACCGTCTACATTAGCAGAGTCCACACAATATACCAAGAGACCTACACAAAGCGCAGCGTGTTTCCTCGCACGTATTCGTTGGGCGCCTGCAGATCGAAACGAATAGCGTTGCTTCTTCAGTCAGTATGATGCCACACAACAGTAGCTTGATGCCCACGCACCAGACCAGGATCCACTCCTGCCGCAGCTTGCCTTGCGCATCGTGCTTCGGGCACACTTCGAAGAAGAAGTACATGAGCTTCTTGAGCGGCTTTGATTTGCTAGGCATAACGAATCGTATTATGTGCATGAGAAGACCCGTCTTAGGGTCGCCGTTGAGCATAATGGCCAGAATCTTCTTCTGTTTGGTTGTTAACCGTGCTACTGCACCGCCGCGGCATGTGGATTGCCGTCTTGCTGACGCACCATTGTCTCAATCTTCTGCTCGTCGCTGCCCTTCTCTAGAGCTGTCTTGAGCTCATTTTCCGAGGGGACATCGGCCGCATTGTCCTGATGCACCTGTTGTTGTCCGTCAGCTCTCTGGAGCTCCACCGTAATACTGCCAGGTGTTCCTTCCATACCATGCTGTACGCGTTCTCGAGGAATGTCGCCATCTTGACGGACTGGGTTTGCTAGCTACGGCTCAGGTTTGCGGTGTCGTTTGCCAGCAGCAGTGGCGGTGATCGTTCGTGGACCGTCTGGTAGCTCTGCCCTTGGTGACCGCAGGAGGTGGGATGCTACGTGTATAGTTGCCGACTCGGTCGCGAGGAGAGTGATGGGTCCGACGAAGCTGCAGCTGGCGAGTATGTGATGGTAAGATCAAATTGCCCTGCGCGCACCAGTGGCTTCTTCGGCTTAACAGTTGCGCTGCTTCCAGGATCGCGTACACTGTCCAGGTGTCTGCTCGAGAAAGTGGAACTAGGACGCTTGGCAGCCGTTCGCCAAAACAGCAGCAGGGGTCCTCACGAAGTACGCCGCCGAAGATCGCGAACGTCAAGACAGGACGTAGCAAAAAACCCAAACATCAACCGTCTTGCTGTAAATTTAACTAGAGCATCTGTCGGCACGCGATCCATCACGATGAGCAGTGAACCGTTCTATCTGCGATACTAGTAGGCTGTACAGTCACGGGGTGCACACGCAAAATGCTAACAACTGTGCAGCTCCGGCCACCAAGGGCGATTCGGGCACGAATTTCTAGGCAAGCAGTTCTGTTCGAACAGCCGGGCGACGGCGTTGCTAACGACCGTGCAGAATTCGACTTCCGGGTACTGGGGGATGGCGGCAGTGCATCTGCACGATATGCCAACAACTCCAACTATCGCAACGACTCCCTCATTCGGAAAGAGAGTATGATACTGGGCTCTTTCTCTTGATGACGTAACTAAACCGTGCAGTGTGCGTGAGCGACGCTCTTGTTGCTGAGATCAGGCGCATCGTCAAGGACAGTGAGATCTTGAAGTGCGTTCATTCTTCAATGTCTACAGCAGCAAATTGCTCACACAGCCCAGGGAAGATGATACGAAATGGCCCCAAAAGAACAAAGACGGCCGTCAAGAGCTCGAGATCAGGCTGGGTAGTGAGCACATCTCGTTCGAGGTACGTTCACGTTCGAAGAACAACGTCAAGATAGTTACTGATGCTAACAGACTGCCAAAATTGGGTCCCTGCAAGATGTACAAGACTCGTCTGACCCGGAAGGGCTCCGCGTATTCTACTACCTCGTTCAAGACCTGAAGGCACTCGTCTTCTCGTTAATCTCACTGCACTTCAAGGTACGGTATTCGTCACATGCAGGTAGTACAAAGCTGACAGTACACAGATCAAGCCCATCTAAACATTTGCTCATGGTTGGTGGCGCCGAGCTGCATGTTCCTGACAGCAGATTTCGACGCAATTGAAGCAAAAATGCATCAAGGGTCAAATTGCGATAAGTATGACCAGAAGCGTGGAGTACTTATGTGTGAAAGGTCTGGCACAGCCCGAGGTTAGCGACCTGGTACAGGGTCCACAAAGCCATCTTGGTTTGCAGCCGGAAACGGTGCTCTCGCATTTGGACTTCAGAGAAGAACCTCGAATTCAAGCTCCGATACCCAAGTTTATCATCAAAAGTAGAGCGGAGATCATCAATGCAGTCAATACGCCTGTCAGCACTTTACACATCTCATCACGCACAACATTCGTGATCGTGTGATCGGCCGCCTGCAAGTAGCCTAGGTGCAGTGCAGGGCCCCCACGTGAAGCTAGTCAACCCCAGAAAGCCATCGCCCGATCCACTCGTGTCATCCATCCGTCTGAGCGCCCGATTCCATCAGTCGTCGAAGCATACCTCATTCCTGCTATTATCTTAATCTCGATCGTCCTACCCTCGTTCACTTCGCTTCGACTGATGTGTGCTCAATAGCTCCTTGTCTTCGACCCTGGCCCCCTCTGCATCGGACTATGCCGACGCCCGATGATGCTGTCTCGCCAGCGGAACACGAGCGCGCAACATGCCCACCTGAAGACGCACACAGCTTGACTGCGCAGGTCGAACTGGGTGGCAGCCCTGACAGTAGTGCCAGCAATGATATGGTGTTTGCGCGACGTCCACCAATGCAGCAACAACGCACGCCGCCACCACATGGCATCCGCGAACCGCTGCCAGCCGAGACACACAGCAAGCCATCGAGCACAAGCATAGAGGCGCCGAACAGAGATACTCCGACACCAATGACGGCGACCGATGATAGCGCCGAAGATCAGCGCATATCTCAAGCCTCGCCGCTCTCCGCCAATGCGCCGGCGCCTATTCGATGTACCCCCAGCCATCTCGCTGCTCCATTTCCTGCTCACAGAGTATGTATTTGCTTTTGGCGCCTACTACCTGGTGTCCGGGTCGGGTTTTGCTGACCAGTGACGCAGTTCCTCCCCATCTCGTCGTCCTCGCTTCTCCGCCCCGGCAGCCGCTTCAAAGGGAGTCAGACCTCCGACCGCCAGCAGTATGAAGTCGATGTCGAGATAAAACATGTTGACATGCGGGAGTCATTCATATGCGGCTATTTGCGTATCCAAGGTGCGCATGCTCTGCGTTCCAAGCAGCCCAGATGAGGGTAATTGACGCATCAACAGGTCTGACCGACGACCACCCCAGTCTGACAACATACTTCGAAGGCGAGATCATTGGCAGCAAATACACCTTTATCACACAACATCCAGAATGGGGCTCGAACGAGAAGGTCGATCGACAGCACTGGGCACGATTCCCAGCCTACAAACCGTTCTCGAAACACTCGTCGCGATCGGAGGTCGTGTCTAAAGACTGGATGCAGAAGGAGCATCTATTCATGCGCTGGAAAGAGTACTTTCTGGTGCCAGATCACACCGTCCGGACCATTAGTGGAGCTAGTTTTGAGGGCTTTTACTACATTTCTTTTAACCAGGTCTCGGGCGGCATCGAAGGCATATACTTTCATGCTAAGAGCGAGAAGTCAGTATCACTGCTGCGCTCGCGATTCCTGCGCTAACACCCACAGATTTCAGAAGCTTCAACTGGAGCATATTGCCGACCACGGGTGCCAGGGCGCATATGAATTCCGTTGATTACGATTGAACGATTTGGCATGTTGTGTGGAATTAGCATTTGGGCGCAGCGGGTTTGGGCTTGAGTTGACTTTCATGTATCCAACTTTCCACCTCACCGTTCTTTACGCAGTGCGCGACTGAAGGGGTGGTTCTATCATAAATCAACGTGGGTTCGGTATTGGAGTACCGGCAACTATGTAAACCAAATTGGCGTGTCACACTACGTCATGTTCGACATGCGATTTGTTCGTGTCTCCGCAAAGTGAGCGGACCACGAAAGCTGAGCCTAGTGGGAAAAGGCTTGACTCCGCCTCGCTTCGAGTGAACCAGCCAATCCACTCTCGCCTCCCACATGAAACTTCTCCCAGGACCAACGTACAGGTCAACACAACCTCCATGAGCAAGCGCAAGACAGAAACCATGCCCGGCGAGACCGCAAAGCGCCAAAAGCGCGATGAGTACAAGAAGACCTTGACTGAAAACGACGCGGCGCTGCCGAAGAAGAGATTCTACCGGCAACGCGCGCACGCCAACCCGTTCTCGGACCACTCTCTAGCATAGTAATGAACGCTTCACCAATGCCTTTGATACCATGCTAAGCGTATGTAGTCCCAAAAGTCCTGCTGATATGGATTGGGCGAGCTTGTACCCCACACATGCAGTCGAGGAGAAAGAGCAACCAAACTCCAGATCACAGAGTAATGACGAAAGAGAGAAGGACACATCAATCAGAGCACTCACAAAGAACGTCGAGATTGCCGATATCGGTTGCGGCTTTGGAGGCTTGACATTCGCACTCGCACCGAAATTTCCAGATACGTTGATACTTGGTGCGTGATCTCACAGCACCTGCGCAATGCCCCCAAAACCTCGACTAATAATGTCTCAGGGCTAGAGATCAGGACCTCGGTCACAGAGTACGTACAGGATAAGGTGCGCGCTCTTCGTGTGCAGAACGCCGCAACTGGCGCCTATCAGAATGCGTCTTGCATCCGCGCAAACACGATGAAGTTCCTCCCCAACTTCTTCCAAAAAGCGCAGCTTTCCAAGATCTTCCTTTGCTTCCCAGATCCGCACTTCAAGCAGCGCAAGCACAAAGCCCGTATCGTATCGTACACGCTGAACTCCGAGTATGCTTACGTGCTCCAACCGGGGGCGATTGTGTACACTATCACCGACGTGCAGGATCTGCATGAGTGGATGAAGGGCCATTTTGAGAAGCATCCCAGCTTTGAGAGAGTCAACAGAGTCTTTGAGGAAGGCGAGGGCGAGGACGGAGAGGGCATGGATGAGTGTGTTCGGCTGATGAGGAATGAGACAGAAGAAGGGAAGAAGGTCACGAGAAACAACGGCGTCAAGTATGTGGCCTGTTTCAGGAGACTTGAAGATCCAGCATGGCCTTGAGCGGGGTGATTTGAGCTCCAAGGGGGGGAAATACTTGTCCACCAGGTCTGTGTATTTGATCGCTGGATACTAGCGGACTCCAGTGTATAGAAACATATGATCGAGAGAGACCTTGTGAGCAAATCAGATCATGTCTAAAGTCGTCGAATCTGATTGGCCGAGGTGCTTTCACATACCTATTGTGTTTAGGCAAGATGATCCATGTAATTTGTGGAGAAATTCAGAAGGCAGTTTTGAGCAAGAAATTGGCTGAAGACAAAGACTATCCGTCCGTAGATAATGTCCCTCGTAAATACGCCTTCCATCTTCAGAAGGAGGCTTGTTTAGCGTCACAACTAGCGTCAACGGCAGCCGCGGCCCTCAATGCAACGAACAATCCCAAGACGAGCGCTCCACATACATTTGAGGTGTAACCGCTGGCGTTATGCCTCTGCCTCTGAGATGAAGTGCGCCGAGCATCTAAGTCTTGTCTTCATGGGTGCTTGTCGTACTGTCAACTTGTTAGTCGAACCCCAGCCGTGTCTGGTCAGCTAAACCCAATCGATGGCTGGAGGACGCACTGCAGGATTGAGAGACATGGGTGTAAACAAGCCGACGAGTCCGAGAAGGCGAACGCTCGCACTTAAGCTCAACAAGGGATCGCATGTTGGCCCATATCATCCTCATTGACATTCAGTCGAAATTTGAACGTTTACGGACACAAGAACTATGGTGCTCAAACACTTTGCTACACTGCTTCTCGTGTTACCAGTGCTTGCTGTTGAATCTGCTACTAGCAGTATTGCTGGTGGACCGAAGATTGCATGTGCCAAACTCACGACCAAGCATCCTGAGCAGACTTTCTATCCAGGTTCTGCCGGTTACGCGTACGAAACCCAGTCAGGTAGGGATTAACCAAGTATTGCATGACACAAAGCTTACGTCAAAGTCTACTGGTCTGCGACTACTTTCAACGGTCCTGCGTGCGTGTTCGTTCCTCGAAATGCGTTGCAAGTATCTCTGGCGATTACGGCTCTAACGTTAACACAATCGAAATTCGCCATTCGAGGTGGAGGCCACATGCCAATTGTTGGTTACAATGGTATCGATAGTACGGGTGTATTGCTATCCGCGTCCAATCTTACCACTCTCGCGCTTGCATCCGACAAGTCAACGGTCTCAGTAGGTCCAGGCAACCGATGGGGAGACGTATACTCCTATCTGGCACCATCAAACCTCACAGCAGTGGGAGGTCGCGTCGGTCATGTTGGAGTCCCTGGCTTATTACTGGGTGGCGGAATCTCATTCTACAGTTCGCAACATGGTTTTGCCTCAGACAATGTAGTAAGATATCAGGTTGGTGATGCCCGTAGTTACACCCCTAATGATACCTTGCACTGACAGTCAAAGTGCGTACTGAGTAGCGGCATCGTTGTTGAAGTGACTGCCAACAATGCGTACTCAGATCTGTACTGGGCCCTCCGAGGCGGCAGCAACTCGTTCTGCATTGTGACGCGGTTCGACTTGAAGACTGTCCTCTCCAGCAAAGTACACATCGGCATTGCACAGTTCAGCCAGTCACAATCGCGGGATTATCTTGACGGTGTCTACAATTTCGGAAAATACGGTGGACCGTCTGATCCTAAAGCGGCTATCATCCCCACGATCTTGACGTTCCCTTCCGCAGATTTGACTGTGTACGTAGCAACCAGATTCTACGACTCGCTCACAGACAGCCTTACGGTTTTTGAGAACTTCACTGCGCCACGAATGCCTCCTGTTGCCGATTCCTACGTATTACAACCACTGGCCAACTACATCACTGCAACAGATGCATTGCAACCAAATGGTCTACGCCAGACATTCCGCACGCTTTCATCCGTGGTCAACAGAGACGCCGTCCAGAAGATCCACGACACTTTCATCTCTCATGTTTCGTCGAAGCTTTCCAGGGTAAGCGGTCTACAGGCTTCAATCACCTTCCAACCGGTGACCAAGTCTTTCCTACAAAAAAGCGTCGACAGTGGAGGTAACCCTCAGGGCGTTGATATTTCGAAGGCTCCTTTCTTCTGGATGGTCGAGAACTGGACGTGGACGAACTCAGTCGACGACGCTACGGTTGAGGCTGCTGCAGACACGATTACCGCAGATATCAACGCCTTCTTAATCCAAGAGTCTTACAACGCTACATACCTCTACATGAATGACGCAGGCAAGGAACAGCGCGTCTTTCAAAGCTATCCGGCTGTCAACCTCCGCAGGCTAAAGTTAATTCGCACGAAATATGATCCCTTGGAGATCTATACCAATTTGCTTGTTGGGGGGTGGAAAGTCGCGCATGCATAGTTCAGAGATAGAGTTCCGGCCACCGCTATCATCAAAGCGTTTCCCAGTTTTGGCCTGTATCCATCATGGTCTAGCTTGACCAGTAGCGAACAGTCAAGCTACGGCATCTGTTAGTTCAAGAGCATCCCTTGGTCTGATGATTTACCGTGGTCTTACAGATGTAGCGTACTGTCACATTGGAGGCCTTGCATCGTGTATCTCCTTCAAGTTGCGCGGGTGCGATGAGTAAATCTCGTTGAATAGGCGGGGAGCACGTCCCTGATCAATCATAAGGTGCACCCATACATTCCTAGAATCTATCCAACCCATGTCTTCAATTCTCATGCGTCCAGCTCTGTTCAAAAATAGATGCAGCGGGTCGGAGTCTGGCAAAACCTACCCAGAGCATCATTGCTATCCCAGACTGCAGCAGAATTGCGTACCTGAAGACTCCAATTCCAAGTCCTTCCACAACAGCACCGATACCGAACGGAAGTAACGCCCCACCCACTTGACCAAGCGACGCGACGAATGAGACCGCAGCGACATGTAGTTCCTTTGGCAGCAATTGTGTCAGGACGATCACGCCAGATGGGAATAAAGGGCCCATGAGGAAACCCAGGGCCACCATCAGCATGACCGAGGTAGACACGTACGGCAGCACGGCAAACAACATCTGGACTATCAGAGCAATGGCAAAGTACATAACAGTTGCTTTGCGCACGCCGATGTTATCAGTCAACGGTCCTAGGACTAGCCTTCCGACAGCCATGCCAGCCCAGTAACCTGATGATGAGAGACCTGCAAGGTAAGGAGTGGCAGATCGACTGCGGAGCATGAACGAGACAACCCATCCGGAGATTGCTGTTTCGACACCCACATCTGCGAGGCAGTAAGCCGCACACCACCAAGTAGCAGGGAATTTGAATGTTGCCTGGGCATGAGCTTTGTTGTCTGTTCTTTCGGATTGATGCATTTGACGGTATGCTGATGCTGTCTCGTTCCAGAACGCAGCAGATAGCGCTACAGCATCAACAACGGAAAGAGCGACCTGGAGACCCATAAGCTCAGATTGCACGATGTTGCATCAATACTACTCACCAGCACATAGCACCATGTATACCAAGCATGTCCATTCGTAGTCATAGCTGTGATCAGGATCGGAGCAGTCGCTGCGCCAGCAGAATAACTACCATGTAGAAACCCAGACATTGTGCTTGATTTCTCCATACTGCCAGCCCACGCACACCAGCTTCCATCAAGAAGCCCAGACCCAAGACCTTGCACCGCAAAGCCAACAAGCACTAGCCCGAAGGGCGGGTGCAACGAGAGCAACGCTGCAGCGATGATCTGCAGCACAGGACCGAGAAGTGCAATCCCGAACTGTCCGAAGTGGTAATGCACCAACGAACTCATCTGAGCAGCGACAATATAGCCCACGGGGCCAAACACGAAGATGAGGGATACGTGCAGATCAGACAGATTGTAGTGCGCCGAGATCAACGGGAGCAGGACGCCAATGGATGAGTTGAAAAGCCCGAGCGTGGCGAATGAGAACATGGCTGCTGCGATCTTGAGCGCGAACCGGGGATCGACATCTTGTGAGGTGCGTTGAGAAGTGCTGTCATTGTTATGAAGGGGCGCATCGTCGCCCAGCAGAGGTGCGGCTTCTGGTACGGCTTCTGGTGCGAGAAGCGCCATGTGGTGCGGATGAACGCGGAAGACGGGCAACAGCCAAGGCAAAGCAAGGAGGCCTGATTGAAAGAGAACAAAATTCTACAATGATTGTCTCATTCTTGACTGTGTAACGGCTGGAGATGAAAGTCGGTGTAGGTGTTCGCAAGAGGTCCTTGCATGTGGCGGGGTCCTGTGCCAGGGTACAGCCGAGGCTATTTTAGAATTATAAGATAGAAACAATTGCTACAGATTTTTAGTCTAGAGCTTTTCTACAATTCTATTAAAAGAGTATAAAGAATAGAGGTATACTATATAATAGCTTAGGCCTACTAGCGCCTTAGCTACTATACGCTTTAAGTATAAAACCTAAATTGCTCTAGGCTAAAAGACTCTAGCTAAGCGCTTTTAAAGCTCTAAAATAAATAGTTTTAAAGCTTATAGTGAAGCTACTATATACTTTATACTTAAACTAAAGTACTATAAAACTTTATACTCTATAAATAAAATTTTTAGTTACTTAATTTATATAATTTTAATACAAGAGTATAGAAATAGAGATATATTGCAAAAAATCTTATAAAATAGGCTAAGGCCCTCTATCTATAGTATAAAAGTTAGTATATACTTGTTATAGCAAAGTATATTAACGTAAGTGCATAGCGAGTGGACCGGCTAGGCGAGTGGACCGCCCTAACAAGCCATTGGGCACTCTGCAAGCAATTGCGCAACACCACAATGCTTTACTATAGCTAACAGTAGCAAATATTAATTGCTGACTTCTACTGCATCTTTCTCACACGTGCGCGAGTTGTGCCCTGCCTCACCGCAGCGCCTGCAGTGCCTTTTGTGCTGCTTGCCTGCACCTGTTCGAGCCCTACCCTCACGAGTTTCCCCCTCAAGCTGCGCCCCAACGTCGCGTTGGGCTATCAAATCCTCTGCCTGTTCCTTTGAGAGGTCTCCACCCTTCTGAATCCGCTTTCTTTTGCGCGATTTGCGCTCAGAAGCAGCCCTGTTTGACGCTTCAAGCTGTAGCACTCGGGCGGCTAGTAACGTCTGTGAATGCAGTATCATTGCAGTGCCTTTTTGCAGCTGATCCATCATCTCAACTATAGGAGAAGGTGACGATCCTTGGTGCCTCTGAATACGATCGCGAAGCAACGTTGATTGAGCCTCTATCTCATTGGCGTTGGTGGGTGTCTTAGGGTTCCATTGGGGCTCCCCTGTGAGAGGCGGTGTTGGCGTGCGACGCTTCACATCAAGCTTTAATAGCACTACCAATGGATCATTGGGCACTAAGCCAGTTGCTTTGAAGCTTGATACAATGTTTGCCTTTGAAAACGCCTTATCAAACACCTTCCCAAGGGTCGCGATGAAGGCTTTTTTGTCAATCCGGCCAATATGGTCCAGCGCCAAGACTCTGATCTCTTTGCTGTACGCCCGCTTTAGGGGGGCAAAACAACCCACATCAAGTGGTTGTAGGATGTGAGATGAGTGTGGAGGCATACACAGGGTAATAATCTTGCTCTCTGTGCAAAGATTTTGGAAAGTAAGCGACTTGTGGCTCTCGTGGCCGTCGATTATTAGCAGCACGTGGCTACCCACCCTCTGGCCCCGAATCTGCTCAACAAAGTGCCTTAACCAGGCTACTCCAATATCGTTAGTAGTCCAGCCGTTGTTACTGACCCCAATGCGCCATTGGGGCTTCAAATCAGGGTACCAGGACGCGTCGTGGTTCTTTGCTTTGAAGATAAGGTAGGGCGCAATTGCCCAGCCCATCGCGTTGACTGCAGCAATCAAAGTCACCCACTCACGGTCTCCCTGCTGGACCCCAATAGGTTGAGTACGTCTCTCAGATGCAGTAACTACTCTGACGCAATTTCCAACGCCCATAGTAAAGCCAGTCTCGTCAAAGTTGTAGGTATCTTCGTCCTGGATGCCGTACTTGGCCTTAACATTCCGTACTAGGTCAAACCAGGGCCCAATGACCCCTGGGTCGCTGCAGAGAACTCTCTGGCGATCCCTCTGTCGAGTTAATCGTGATTGGAGTCCAGGCTCGCGTTTGACGAAGTTTGAAGCCCATCGGGGGCCAACAGGCTCTGCATCGCGTGCAGCGCGCAATTGATTAGCCATATCTTCAACGCAATGGAGCGTTGGGGCAAGTCCTTGCTCGTCAAGCCTCCTTATATACTGCACAAGCGCCTTCTCTTCTATCTTATTAAGGGCTGATGATTTAGGCTGGGTATCGCGTGTTGACTGCCTCCCAGCGCGTCGCCGAAGGAGGGTTGTTTTTGACACCTGGTAGACAACAGCAGCGCGTCGCACGCTTAGTTCTTGGGGTTTCTTGATTGCTTGGAGTGCAAGCTTGATCCTGTCTTCTTTTAAGAGCGATTTGAGGTTATGTGGCTGATCCATTGAGGTTTGAAGGTTGGAGGGCCCAATGGCTTGTTAGGGCGGTCCACTCGCCTAGCCGGTCCACTCGCTATGCACTCACGTTATAAGGATACTTATATATTATAAATTATATATTATAAATTATATATTATAAATTATATATTATAAATTATATATTATAAATTATATAACGTACCCTATAGGCAAGTCGGTTAACGGGCGAGTCGGACACTTTTGCTAAGCCCCTACTAAAGTACCCTTCTTATACTAATGCCTTAACACTAACATATTATTAACGCGTCTTAGGAAGCTTAGGTACAGCTTGCGCTTTAAGCTCTTAAACAAGATGCAAATCTCTTACAACAACGCGCTGCAGCTATCTATAGGGTGCCTTAAAGCATACTAAGCAACTAACGCGCAGAACAACCTTTATAAGGCAATACTATGCCTAACTTATAAGGGTTAGATAATAATAAGGAGCAGGTAATTGTTAAGCATATACTTAAGCTAGATGCGCAAGGATTTAGCCCTTGGCTGGCAGATATAGCTGCAATAGCTAATTCTCTGCGCGCTAAGCGCAATCTAGGCCCTGTTAGTATAAACTAGCCTAGTATATTTGTTAAGCGTTAGCTAGAGCTTAAAGTAAAGTTTAATTGCAGGTATAACTATAAGCAAGCTCTCTGCGAGGATTTAGGGATTATATAGGGCTAGTTTAGCCTAGTAGCTAACGTTAAAGCTAAGTATAGCATCTAGGATAATAATACCTATAACTTTAATAAGACAGGCTTTATAATAGGCCAGATCTCCTAAGGAGCAGTTATTATAGCTTTAGAGAGACAAGGAAGGCTAAAGGCAGTCTAGCAAGGCAACTAGGAGTAGACAACAGTTATATAGGGCATCAATGTGAAAGGATAGGCTATCCTACTCTTTATTATCTTTAAAGCGCGCTACTACCTTTCTAGCTAGTATAAAGAGGAAGATCTGCCCTAGGACTAGGTTATTAGAGTCTCTAGTAATGGCTAGACTACTAATAAGCTTAGTCTTAAGTAGTTAAAGCACTTTAACAGGCATATAAAGGAGTATACTGTTAGTACCTACTAACTACTAGTTATTAATAGCCATAAGAGCCACAACTTGCTCTAATTCTAGCAATACTACAAGGATAACAAGATTATTACCCTATGCATGCCTCCTTACTTATTGCACCTCCTGCAGCTACTTAATATAGGCTGTTTTGCCCCTTTAAAGACTATATATAGGCGCCAAGCTAAAATGCTTATGCATAACTAGATTAGCTACCTTATAAAGACTAAGTTCCTGCTATGCTTTAAAGCAGCCTATAATGCAGTGTTTACTACTAGTAATATCTAAGGAGGGTTCTAAGGTGCTAGACTAGTCCTCTTTAACCTAGAATAGGTTATATTAGCCCTTAATATAAAGCTTTAGAGTCTAATACTACTACTTCCTGCTAATAACGTGCCCTAGCAGTTACAAACCTCTAGCAATACTCTAGAGTTTAGATTGCAATTAATACTTATAAAGTCAAGGATTTAGAGGCATATAGACAGCTCTCCTATATCTATAGTTAAGGCGTTTAAGAAGGTGTTAAAGGGGGCTGCAATTATTGCGCATAAGCTGGTTTTAGCTTAATAGGAAATTAGAGAGCTTTAAGCAGCTAATAAGGCTGCTATGCAACAAAAATTATATAAAAGAAAGTAGGTTTAGAAGGAAGGGATACTAATAGTTAAAGATAGGCAGCAACTAGCAGCTCTAAAGGAGTTTAGGGCGCGTAGTAATAGAAAGAGGGCAAAGAAGTAGGTGCGCGCTTAAGAGGGTAAGCCTGCCTAAAGGCGCTGTAGAAGGTGCAACTAGACTAGTTATAATGCGCAAATGTGCAAGATTAATATAGAAGAGGTCTCTAAATAATATTATATGCTGTAGTCTGCTATAGAGTGCTAAAGTGTAGTGTTATAGGCTATAATGGGTCTGGTTTTAGTGGGGGCTTAGCAAAAGTGTCTAACTTGCCCGTTAACTAACTTGCCTATAGGGTACGTTATTATAAATTATATATTATAAATTATATATTATAAATTATATATTATAAATTATATATTATAAATTATATATTATAAATTATATATTATAAATTATATATAGTTTCTAAGAGCTTTAAAAATATAATATATTATATAACTCTTATATATATAACTATAAAGTTAATTAACTTAACTTAATAATTATAAGTATAGCTACCTATAACTATAGGTTTAATATGTTAGGTAGCTCTATAGAAGTTTAAAAATTTTCTAAGTCTCTAAACTATATCTAACCTATAATACTATAGAAGACCTATAACTTTAAGTAGTTTCTATAGTAGAAGTAGACTATAAACTAGTTATACTCTATACTATTTATAATAAGAGTATAATTTATAGCTATAGTCTTATTATCTATATTATTCTTAATACCTAAGGTTACCTCCTTCTAAGTAGTTAAAAATTTAACCTAAGATAATATACCTAATTATCTTATACCTAACTTTAGTATTTATATAATCTTTCTTAATATACTAGCTATATAAATTAGGCTAGTGCTAGTACTATTTATATTCTAATAATAGCACTATATACCTTTAATATAAGTAGTATTAGATATACTAAAATATATTAATAAGCCTACTCTATATAAAAGGTATAATATTATATATCTTACTTTAACTACTAGAAAGGTTACCTTAACCTTAAGAAAGATACTAGACC